TCTTTATTATAAATCTTATAATTATACTCCATAGGCGAGTGTTTTTTTTAAAAAAAAATAATAAAGTATAAAATTTTATTATTATTATATTAAAACAGGACTCTAGTAGAAATATAATTAAAAATATTAATTTTTAAAATTATAATATATATTTAATTAAAAGGCTGCAAGACTAGAATATTAGTAAAAACTTTTTTAAAATAATTAAAGGCCTCCTAGCAGGACAGGGTCTATTTTTAGAATATTTTTTTATAAGCTAGGCTAATAAGCGGGATAATTAACTTTAAAAAATCTCAGATAAAATAATAATAAAAGTTATTAAATCCTAAAAATACTTAGATATTTATAATACAGGTTAGGACAGACTAGTTAATAATTATTTTAATCTTAAAAAGATCTATCCGGATCTTTTTATAATTAATAATTAGACCTAGAAACTTAGTTTTAAAAATAATAAACTTATATTTTAAAAGTTTTATAAATAAATAGATTTCTCGCAGCTTCTGTAGGATCTGGTAAATATAATAGATATATTTAGAATAGGTTTAGTTATAAATTAAGATATTATCCAGGTAGGTAATACAGAAAATATTTAAGTAATTATATAAAATATTATTAATATAATATTAGAATATCCCAGGGGCTCTAGTTAAACTAAATAATATTATTAAAGATTTAAATAGGCCCAGGCAGGTGTAAAATATAATTATTTATTTTTAATTTTTTTAGATATATAAATTATTAAAAATACTTATAATATTAATTTTTATAAAATAATATATTTTTTTCAAATTATTTAGAATCTCTTTTATTAAAAATAATAAATAATAATCTTTAATTATAATTATGTTCAGGGCTCAGTAATTAATATAAAAATATAAGTCTTTATTAGATTTATTAATAAACAGGACAGGGGACACTGCAGGGGATAAACTTAGATAAATAAAATTTTTTTATAAATTTTTAAATAATTATTCCCGGAGGGCCTTCAGCTCTTCCCAGAATATATTATATAAGAGGCTAAATAGCAGTCTTTTGCCAGGTTCTAGAATAATTATATAATTATAGTTTTTATGCGGGAGTAACTTATCTATTTTTTTTAATAAAAATATATTATTAAAATCTTAGAATTTTATAAGAATATTAGGGCTCTGATTAGGATTAGATATTTCTTATACTAAAGATTTCTTAGGAGATTTTTTATAAATTATTTAGTTAATTTATTTTATAATAATAATAAAGATTTTTTTTCTCTATTTTATATATATAGCACAAGCTTCTATAGATATTATATAAATATCGCGGGTCTAAAGGGCCTTTAGTATCTTTAAGTTAATTAGGCAGGCTTAAGTAAAAATATTATATAAAATCTAGATCTTCTAGGGATAGGACAGGATATTATAATATTTTTAATAATATTAATTATTAAACTAAAAAATATATTTAATAAAGTTTATTTTAGAGTTATAAGTCTTAAGCTAGGGAAATCTAATTATAATAAAAAAATATATAAGCTAAATAATTAAAAATAAAATATTTTTTTTAATATAATTATAGGTCTTTAGGATTATACAGGTATAATAAATAATAATATTAGTTTTACTCTCGTAATTATTAAATCTTATAATTAACTTAAGCTTTTTTAAAAGATATAAGATTAGATCTTGGGTTTTAGCCTAACTCTTATTTATAATACAGAATATAAAGCAGCCGGTATTAAATATAATATAAGTAATAATCTTATTTTTACTAGGGTTTAGTATAATAAAAATAATTAATAAATTAATTTTTTAAAATTTTTTTTAATAAAAAATTCTTTAGTAGCAGCTTTAAAAATTTAATAAATTTATATAAGAAAATCTACCTGGTCACAGCTTAGGCTAGGCTAATTTTTTTTAATTACTTACTTAGATCTGGGGAATACAGGTATTCTATTTAAAAAATTATTTAAAGCTGGGGAGCCTAGAGCAGCAGTAATATAAGTAGGCTTTATAAAATAAGATAAGGCTAGAGCATAAGAGAAAACTATTTTTAAGAAAATAAACAGGACTTTAAAGAAAAAATAAGATATATAATATAATTAGTCTAATATAAGTAATTATCCGGTTCAGGATAATCTCTAATTATATATTAATTTAATCCGTAGCAGAAGTATTTATTATAATTTTTATAGATATTATTTTTAGGATAGGGGAATAAATAATAAGTTAAAGAAAGATTTATAATATTAAGATTTAGGATAATAGTAATAGGCCGGGAGGGTTTATTAACTAGATTTCGGGGATAATAGCTTTAGGTATTCTTAACTAGGGTCTACGGGTGAGTATTAGTTCTAATTAAAATTAGGGCGGGTTTTTAAGGTTAGCTATAAAAATACTAAATATAATAATTTTTTAACTTTTATAAAAAAATAATAAGATTAATATAATTCCTAGCAGGCAGGTCTTAATATATTAATATAATTTTTATTTCCTGGTTAACAGTTTTCTTAAGAAAAATAAAAAAACTATTTTTAGCTATTTCCTTTTTTATAACTAGTTATTAGAATTTAATAAAAAAAACAAAAAATTCTTAGTTTTTTTATCTTAGATTATATAAAATATTTTAGGTATTATAAATATAGTTCAGGTCTTTATAAATATAATTAAGTATTTTTAAAATTTTAATATAGTCTTTCAGCTAGTAAACTCTGTTTTTAATATATAAAAAGACTTAGGTATAAAAGAGTCTCTTTAAGCAATTAAAAATATAGATTATATAGGCCTGAGGGGTTAGAAAATAGTTATAATTTATAGTTATTTTTTTTTAATTTAGGAGATAAAGCAGCAAAAATTTAATTTAATATTCTTAAACTTATTAGGATTAGGTAGTTATTCAGAAAAATAGGCGGAAGCAGAAGATCTAGGATTAATTAATATAAATACTTTTATTAAAATAGCTAGAAATTTTTTAACAGCAGGTTTAGGGGTCTAGTCTAAGATACTAATTATAAATATAATAGCCTGGATCACGCGGTTTTATTTTTAGATTACTATATTTTTATTAACTAAGGCCTAAATAAGTTTAAAATTTAAGCTTTTCTTATAATTTGCTTAAAGAATAATAATTTATATAATAATATTTATATTTTACTAAAGACAGGAGACTTTTTAGCGGAGATATTTTTAATTAGTATTAGTATTTATTATAAATATATAAATCCGGTTATAATAGGCGTATTATTTCTCAGTATATTTAGTAATATACTGGATAAATAGTTTAAGATTTTTAAAGAAAAATAGGGGCTTTAAAATTTCAGATATATTAAATAAGTACTAGCTTTATAAGTAAGAGCTATATAGTATTAAGATACAGGCTAGCAGATTAATAAAATTAATATAGTAAGGGCGGGCAGGGCAAGCAGTCTGGCTAGCTCAGACAGGCTAGGTTTATAAGGTCTTTAATTATTACTATTATTAGGCTATATACAGGATAATAAACAAGATATAGCTTAAAAAGCTATAACAGGATCTCTAGTATTCAGGCTTTTAAGCAGTTAGGGGATCAGGATCAGGGATAGGTTCTTCCAGCTTGGCAGTTCTGTCTGGTTCTGGCAGGCTTGGCGGTGCCCTCAGGTCTGCACCGTGACAATTTTTAAGAGATATAAAATATTTTAATTTTAAAAAATTAAATAAATTAATATATAATAATAATTATTAGAAGTTAATAATATATATTAAAATAATAAAATTAAAATAAAGCTTATATTATAGATTTATAATAAAAAAATTAAATATATAATTAAAAAATAAAATAAAAATATTATAATTAATATTTTATTAACTAATGATTATATTATATTTTTAAAATTAATAATTTTTAATATTAAAATAATTTATTATTAATGTCTAGTAAATCTAAAATATTTTAATTTTAAAAAATTAAATAATTTAATAATTTTTAATACTAATTAGAATTTATTATTAATTTTTAATAAATTTAAAATTAAAATAAAATTAAGATTTATATTATTATTATTATTATATATATATATATATATATAAATACTATCTAATTATTAAATAATAAATGTAAGATATTTAAAATTTAAAAATTTTAAAAATTAATATATAATAATAATTATTAGAAGCTAATAATATATATTAAAATAATAAAATTAAAATAAAGCTTAAATTATACTTTATTTTTAAAATTTAATAATTATTAATATTTACTAGTAGAAAATAATATATTTAACTTTAGAAATTTGAAAGAATTTTTATATAAATACTAATAATTATTAATATTTATTAATTTATTTAATTTAAAAAATATAAATTATTTTTTAATATAAATATTAATAAATATTAGTATATACTAATTTATTTAATTTTAGAAATTTAAAATTTTTTTATAAATACTAAAAATTATTAGTATATACTAATTAATTTAACTTTAAATATTTAAATAATTTTTTATATAATAATTATAATAATTTTAATTAATTTAGCTATAAAGTACTGTAATTTATTTACTAATAATTATTAAAAAATCTTATATTTTTTTATTTGTATTTTAATACCTTACATGAGCTCGCCAGGTCGCAAAACCTTGAAAATTATTAATTTTATTAGAAATTATTAAAAAAAAAATTAAATTTTATAAAAATACTTTTTAATTACAGCTATACCACCTGGCCAACTTTTAGGTATTGAAAGATTACGACCTGGCGAGCTATATTACTATAAAATAATAATAATAAATAGTAAAAAACAGTAATTTACTAAATAAATTACGACCTGGCGACCTGGCGAGACCGACCTGGCGACCTGGCCGAGCTGTACCCCGAAGATAATGTCATATGATAACTATGATATCATAGTGCGTAATATACGTAGTGTAAAAAACAGTACCAGTAATACAAGATGGTGGAATTTGTTCGAAGAATCCATGTCTGCCTTAACTCGGTCGGGTCGAAATGGCCTTATATACGTAGAACTGCAGCCCCCTCAGTTGCCTTACGATTCTCTTCAGAGTCGCAACAAATCCAGACGACTACAAATCGTCTCTGGTTCATCACCTAAGTACAATTCGCCACTCACGTGTTTTTGAGAACAGCCCTCCTGTCAGTCCTCCCTACTCTTCCATAGTGTGTTAAGCCTAACCGATGCCCTCAAGTAGTTTAGTAGAAGATGAGGATGTCAGACGAAGACCAAACCGGATTGCAACAAGCAGCTGGCGAAGATTATAGTATTGAGGAAGTCGATCCTGCCGGCAACGTCACTCTTCTCATTGAGGGTCCGAGTGTGGCACGGTTTCTCGTATCATCCAAAATACTCAGCATTGCGTCCCAGGTATTTGCAGGATTGTTTCATTCCGGGTTTTCCGAGAGTATGCAGATGGAAAACACTACATGTCCCACAATTTCCCTGCACGAAGATAATCCGGAGGCGATGCGAGTGATCTTCCGAGCCCTTCATTACAAAGACCCAGAGCAAGGGATTTTAATCGACGCAGGAATGCTCGCCACTCTTGCTATTCATTGCAATAAATATGATTGTGCGAAGGCACTTCAACCGTGGGTCTTCAAATGGTTTAGCGGACTACAGAATAGTACGACTTCCGAGGAGGATTTCGGCTACCTTCTCCTTGCGGCACATCTATTTCGTTCTGCAGAGCAGTTCTCTAGGCTATTCATCAAGGCTCAAACCGGGCTTTCTTTGGCCTTTTTTGCTCGTTGGGAGAAGATGGATACGATGGACCTTTTACCTGACGGCGTCCAACGTAAGACTCATTCGCATGAGTTGGAATCACTTGAGCTGACGAATGATAGGTGAACTGGCGGATCGAATTGAGAAACTACTTGACCGAATTCACATTGAACTCCAGTCTGTGGAGGGTCGGTTGAGGGACAACCAAGCAGGATATCTAATGCAGGGTTTATTATGCGTGCTCTGTGGGAGAACCCACCCAGATACAGCTCGAAAATGTCATCATTGCAAAAACAACAACTTGATTGACAAATACTGCACAAGTGATTCCCGAATAGCGGAATACTTTGCTGCTTTGAGGAAATCAAGGCTTTGGCCATCCTTGGAAGCCTTTCAAAATTCCTCTGCGGACGAGATCGCATCGTTTATATCGCAAATAAGACGGGCCCTTAGACACAGTTGTCACACAATATCCTGCCCACTCGAATCTGAATTGGACAGGCTTACAAAAAGTGCAAATGAAATCATTGGTGAGGTTAGAGGGATTGACCTAAATCCTCTCATCTGACACTAAATACTACAACTGTCATAACAAATTCATGAGTGCGCATATGTTACAAGGCAGGTTTGTCTTGCTGCAATCCATTTCTCAGCCTTTTATGTTCAGAACTAAGGCGGCTTGGATTCTTGGCTTAACAAAAAAAGAAAAAAAAAGGGGGTATCCAAGAGATAGAGCATAGTTACTAAGTGTGGTACTAAGGTCTTACTGCACATTCTTCGTACTACTGCATACATTTTCAAAGTAATTAATGTAATCGGGGGGCAGGCTAAAGACGTCATGGCTTATTTTTAGCCCTGTAACAATTTAAGAGGCATACAGCTTACTCAAGTACTGAATCGTTTTATCGGGATGCTGGTCTGCAAACCGTACGTTATAATACAGCCTTCCACTATATAAGATAGCGTACAATAGCATATTAGGGTTCGGAAACAACTCGTCGTAAAGATCATATGGAATCCGGTTCCGGGCGCCTCTATATCCCAAGTCGGAACTGCGCTCAACGGAAGTGGGATCGGCTGTACTGGAGTCAGTTCTCTGTGGCGTGGATATTGTTGAATCGGAAAATGCCGGACTTGCACTGCTACAGTCCGCTATACCATAGTCACTATTCACACTCGAGAGGTCATGGATTTTGAGATCCCCACTGTCCACTAGTCCATTTCTAGTCTGCAGTCAGTGCTCAACACGTTGACCTGGGTAGATATATTGTGGAATGAGAAGAAAAATTCTGTCAGCCCTTACTTAAATAAGGGCCTCAGTAAAGTGTTTTATAATCGGTAATAGATATAGTTCGAAATGTCTTAGCACACACACGGTTTAGAGGCCCTATACTGGTCACGTGATTGATGACCTTAGTTAGGCAAAAGCTCGCCCAGTTTTGCTCCCTAAGGGCTCCGGAACAATTCAGGAGTGGATGGATCGGCCGGTACGTGTGCTATGATTAGGAAGGGAGTGGCCGGAGCGGACCAAGAGCAGACCAGAAGTGCGCCGGGAGTGTGCCAGAAACAATTACATATGGCCCTTATAAAAGCGGCGGCACCTGAATCGGGCAATCAGGCGAAAAGCGTAGGAAAATACTTTATACAGATACTTTTAGCCATCTCTGCCAAGCCTCCCGAAACTGCCACAACTTAATAAAGGCAGACTGTGCGGGGTTACGGCAAGGACTACCTAAGACCTGCTACTGCAACCGCCTAGGCAAATGGAATTAATCTTCCACTGGAATTTGTATTGGAACCACCTGTTCGCTACTCTTTATCTTTGTTACCTAACTCTCCATTGTTTCTTCTGCGATGATGTCCTTGGTAGGACTGGACAACGCATTAGTTAGACATTTCATTACCGTCGCAGATTGCCACTCAGGTCCTGACAGCAGGTAGGTAGCTATGTAGTATTTTTTAATGTATCTAATTATAAAAATAAAATTTATCTGGATAAAGAGCACAATTTTTCCTAACAGCCGATGTCGTGGGCATTTTATCTGAAGCGCTTGTTTTTGCTATGGTTGAATACTAAGGAGCGGGCCATTCTATACCCTTCAGGGGTTTGGTGCGGGCTGCTGTTTTCCGTCTGGTTTTCCGTCTGCGTAATGTTCGGTTTTATTCCTTGCTATCTGGTGCACGTAGATGGTATCTAACCAGCCTTGCGAAGCAGGAAGCTAAATGTTATTACCACTTTCCGATTATGGTTTTTTAGGTCAGTGATGAAAATAGTCCCACCTGAAGTAGTAAGCCACGCAAAGTAGCCGCCTCATTAAGTGTTCGTGCTCTAGAGAGAATATCCTCATCCATGGTTCCATTGAAGTAGCCCTGTTTAGCTTCTTGAAGACAATAAATTAGTCTTTGGAAGTTGAAAACAAGATGATAGGCTTGCTTTTCTCGGTCAGATTTGCTGTCTTCCTATTCGGTTTTATTTAAAATATGGTCCGCAAATTTCTTTGCTTCCTTGGCGAGGGTTCCCCAGTTCTTTGGAGCAAAGTCGGGATGCATGTAAGTTGGAAAGGTTGTATATATCCAGATTCTTTCAGCGTCAGAGAAACACTGAGGGGCGTTGTAAGCCTTCATAAGTTTCTCCTCAAGTCCTGACCTTGATAAAGTGGCTTGAGGTGCTCCTGGGTCGAAAAAGATGTAATTATTATTGATTTAAATGACATTCTCTAAGCGTCTCACGCCGCCCAAGTGCTTGGCCAGATAGCTTTCGTGGTTGTGGATGATTTTTGTTTGGATTAGAGTCCGTGGTTCCGAGAAATCTGCTGTTTTGTGCAGAATTGGATCGTCGTAGAAGGGATGAAGTAAGTTTCCAGCTGTACTAACTTTGTTGATTGGCTCGTCCCAACTTTGCGTTATAACAAATCCTCCTTTGTCAAATTTGAAAAAAGCGTCGAAAAGTTCATCTCCTATGAGATATCGAATTCCTATCTATGGTAGAAGTGTAACCCACATGCCACAGTCAAGTGTAGTCGGCCCTTTGAGTAATTTATTGAGTCCGTGACCCAAAGGTGTATCGCCTTTGTAGTTAAGCACCTGATGATTATTTTTAAGCCCATTGGACTAGCCAGGAGGACATTGATATCTGATATCACGATCGTACATAGTGATAGGTAATTAAGGGTTTATTTTGTTCTACTTTTCGGCAAACGAATCTGGATAATTGAGGCCTTTCAACGGCTTGTTATAGTATATTGCTTTCTCAGGTCCAACTATCGTAGCTAGACGTATTAACCCCTCGATATATGTGTTGACATCCCAGATAGCGGATCCTTTTTTTAACCTGTCGAAATAGGCTAGAAGATGGTTAGAAGCTGGCTCGTTATGCAGTTCCATTAGCAAAATCGCCCTTCGGTCTTTATCTGACTCCGAAAGCTGCTCTAAAACGATGGAAGGTTTTGTCTCCATGACTGATATAACTTCTGCCGGCGGTTTTCCATCAGCATGTTAGAATTGTCGAGATCCAACCTATCCTACAGGACACTACAACTCACAATCAACTGAAACGGTCGCTGTCTCTTCTCTGCCAGACACTATCCGCAAGTCCTATTTATTAGCCGTTGTATTGACTTGGATGTTCTTCGTAATACTGGATGATGGACTACAGGTGAAGGTGAACTCGAATTTTTAAAAGGTAATGGAAGTAAAGTCCGTAGTCAAAGGCTCGCCGTGGGAAAAAATGAAAACCGAGCGAAAACCTGAGCTTAGCTCTCTGTCCGTGTTCAAGGTCAAACGAACACGCACAAGTTGGGCCATGCCACATAGCGCTTACCCCCACTTCCAAGCTGCAGATTGTAGATTGGCTGCATTTTCGGCTAATTGATCAGTCTTTCTCGAAAATTGATTAAGTCCTGTCGAATGCTGTCGGGCAAAGAGGGACTAGGACTGGCTAATTAATTAATCCACTGGGCGGGACGTAATATCTGTTTACAGCGGCTGAAATGAGTATTTATGAGTTATGACAAACTGATGTGTATGCTCTTTGTTCCTGGCTAGGTTCTCGCATATGTTGCCAAGAGCACGCTGCTTGAAATTTGTATTGAATCTAGTCAAGAGACGTGACGGGATCGCGGAGGGTTATCACGCGCGTTATGACAATGGTGATGACAACATAGAAAGTGTGGTAGTTTCGAGGGGCTTGGTCAGGTTCCAGGTGGGCTGAGGTTGATTTGTGTATATAAAGTGATGGTTAACTCACTAGTTAGTTAGTAGTGGCGGAGATGAGGTGATTTTACCGCTAGGATTTAATACCTTACCGCTTCCTGCCTAGATCTACGGCTTCAAGACTGCCTATTCAATGAGGACCCTGGCCTCATTAGAAAGTGTATATAAAGGTATTATGCAGGATCATTGATTCCGATGATGAGACCTTCGCTACAGTTAGATCTTCTATATGAATTTACTAGGCAATACGAACTTTTCAAAATCTAATAACTAGTTAACTAGTTAACTAGGTTAACGGATTCGGTAAGCCAGCTGGCCACGTAGGTAAGCCGGCCACCTCTGTATTCTATGTAAAATGCCACCGTTTTATACTCTATGTTAATAATAAGTAGGTGTAGAGTAATAGTGTAAATTATTCAAGACATATATGCTTTCAGAATAATAAATACTTCTTTTTAGGCTCTATAGTCTTATATTTAGCTTCTAATTCTAGAGTATTATAAAAATACCAAAAATTGTAACCAGGTGCTTATGTCAGCCGCGAGCGGACTTCGGAACGCCTGCGGTCAGCCTGCGGTCTGTAGGTGAAATGACATGTCAGTAGAGCGGGGGATCGGCTCTGCTGGCTTATTATATTATTTAAAGATCTACTTAGTTTAGTGGGCTAAAACTTGAGATACTTAATCTAGGCTATATTAATAGACTATATATTTTACTCTATGGCTCTAAGCCTCTAAGTCTACTTATTGTTGAGATATTAGGATAAAAAGGGTGCGATTCTATATGGAATACAGAGGTGGCCATCTCGCCTATGTGGCCAGCTTGTTTACCGGATATGCTAACTAGCGTTGCAAATGCAGCACGCAGAAAATACCACAGAACCCCCTTGTCTTGGGACTTGGGTATTACTTCTCGTTAGCCTGATCTTATTCCAATTTCAGTATCTAGCATGTCAGGGTTCAGTGCATTGGCAACATAATGACGTGGCCGTTGCCTAACACTCAGACGACCAGAATGTAAGGCAGCAGCAAGTTTATCATAATTGGTTGGCACAACGAGAATGATGTTATATCTCAACCTTCTGATCGTGGTGAAGACTGGGTTATAGACGTCATGTTCTCCCCAGGCTGCCAGTTATTAGCATCGGGTTCGGTGAATGGAAGGGTGAACATTTGGGAGAAAGATACGACCACATGGAATCTGAAATGGACTTTTCCTGGCGCGAATCAGGCCCGGTTTCTCTCATTTTCATCCGACGACTTGCTACTTGCTTCGAGCACAACTACACCGATAATACATATCTGGAACATGAGAACCGGCAAAATACATCAAAAAGTCCAGCAACCCGATGATGTGGAGGCCGTGAGCTTTTCCCAGGACAACCGATTTTTGGTATCAGGCTCAGATGAAACTATACGATTATGGGATACAGCTACATGGGGGCTAAAACAGACAATCTACACTGAAGGGGATAGGTTTGCACTTTCTCCGGATAACAAGTACATTGCATCCCGCGAGGAGTTAACAACCATAATTCGGGTGAGAGAAACAGGTGCTATTATTCAATCTGCAAAGAGCCACTCGGCTTATCCGATAACTGCCTTGGCATTCTCTTCAGACAGTCGTCTGATGGCATCAAGCGGATATGATAACACAATTCGGTTACGGAGTGTCACCCGTGAGAAATCGCAACAAGACCTAGATGGTCACGCAGACGCCATTTTCGCTCATGGATTCTCCCCGGATGGCTCTCTGGTGGTGACAGGCGGACTGGATTGCAAAGTCAAAATCTGGGATGCAGGTACAGGCAAGGTCAAGAAAACTCTTGAAGTTGAAACATCACTGGAAATCGTGGCGATTTCCCCAAACAATGAGCTAGTGGCAACGAGCTCTCCATATGAATCTCGTGATGGGAAGCTTCTGGTGTGGAAAGCAGAGACAGGAGAGAGGCTTATGGAAGAGGTAGTGGGTCGGCGTGACGAAGATTTGCCCATACATATTGAATTCTGCTCCGACAACCGGCTGTTATGCGCAGTGTCAAGGGATCGAACTATCACAGTGTGGGACACGAAAACGGGAGATCTTGTAAAGAAAGAAACCAACGAAATACTGGAGAGCGTTCTCAACTCCTTTCAGAACGATTTCTATCAGAATGACACAAAAGGAAACCAGGAGAATCAAATGTCTCTAGAAGCTGTCAGACCTGTCACACCTCCCCTGAAATGCCAGATTTCAATCGAAGACAATTGGGTAATTTCTGGAAATCAAAAAAGCATATGGCTCCCCCCGGATTTTCGGCCTGCACATGGAATTTGGGATTTCAGAAACAATACACTTGTCGTCGGAACATCCAACAATCGAGTTTATTTTATCTGGTTCAATCCGGAGATGATGTCTGCTGAAAAGTTGCAGATCCCGAGTGAAATGGATGATTATTCCTGGGAATCGACTTCGTCTTTGCAGAGCTTCATTCTCTGAAAAGTGTTTTCCTTGCTATGCCAACATCAAATGAAAAGATATTTTGCATCTTTCTCTCGAGTCTCTAGTATAGATTATTCTTAACCGCCATTCTTTGCACGACTGTAGTACCCCTTGCTTTTGGAAAGGATGGCACAAGGAGATAGAATCTAGATAGAGGTGTGAAAGGTAGAAGGAGGCTGGCATGAGAGGATGTTGACACAAGAATCGGAAAAGACCAGACATCTGAATTGTCACATAAGCGCTATTGTAAGTAGAACAGACTGCCAGATAGATAGGAAAACAGCCAAGGTTACTCCAGATTGTCCAAATCCAAGCCCCATTTTTCATTCTCTATACATAACACAAGTTAAAAAATTTTTGAGTCTGCGCAGCCTCCCCAGCTGGGACGTATATAGTACAATATCGTCGGGGTCATCCATATCTTTCAAGACGTAAGAAACATGGTATGAAATCAGAGACATGATATGATCAGTACTTAGTTTAGTTTAACGAGATGCTTCTTGATCTGATCTGCTTAGTTTAGTTGTAGGGTTTGTAGATGGCTGAGTTGAGCTTGCCGGTCACATCAGGAATACTCGAATAGGGCATCCGTGACTGTCAACACCCACATGTCCACTTTTGACTTTGATTGTATCAAGTAGGGTGAGCAGATATAACAGCCTTGTGCTTATGATCTTATTTTGGCTTATGGTATATAATCAGGCTGTATACCAACCACATAAATCAAAGTCAGGCAGGTTATGCAAGGCCCAGAAATTCGAAGATAGATACAAAAAGGAACAAGAAAATACAGCAGGCTAGCTACATATAATTGCCGCCCAGATTCTCATCGTCACTATCCCAGCCATAATAATCGTCACCGCCGTAATTCCACCCCCAGTAAGGATTAGCATGGTCGCCCAATTCAGCCAGGACCTCCCTGGCTGTCTTTGCACCGGCGTCACGAAGGACTTTCGCCACGCTGTCTTTATTGTTCTCCAATGTCAAGTCTAGAGGTGTTTTTGATTGATCGGAAATTGGACTCAGCTCAGCTTTGGCTCTAATCAGTGCTTGGACGCAGCCAAGGAAGCCATGGTAGGCCGCCCAGTGCAAAGGTGCCCAGCCGAAGTCAGTCCTGATGGATGGATTGACGCCTTGCCGGAGGAGGAAATCAACCTCTGCGACTTCGCCAGCTGCAGCGGCTGAGTAGAGTCTTGTTTCTCCTTGTTTCATCTTTGTGTTTGGGTCAGCACCGGCTTCCAGAAGGATTTTCAACACTGCAAAAGAAGACATCCTGTTAGTTGCCACGATCCAATTCCTTTTAAACTGGGCGTGTACGTACCGCCGGCATGATTCTTATCCAAATTTGCAGACCATGCCGTCTTTCCTGCATCATCTTTTGAATCCACGGCTGCTTTATGGTCGATAAGCATCTGGACCATCCTGGTATTGTTCCTGAATGTTGCGCGGTGAAGCAGTGTACAGTTGCCTAGACCTCTCAGGTTGACATTTGCTCCATGATCAAGCATTTCTGCTACCACATCTGTGTTATTGAGCTCGACCGCCAGAAATAGCGCAGTTTTGTGAAACGTGGAGCATTCTGCGTTGAAACACACCATGCCATCCGATATTAGTTGCCTGATGGTTATGCAGTCTCCCATCCAGGTCGCCATGAGAAGCCGGAGATTCGCAACGAGTTGTATATCCTTTTTCCTGTTGTCCGTGAAAAGACTGAATGCCATGTGTACCCACTTCCGCTCAAAATGCCGCAGTTGGTCTTGCGTAGGAAAGTAGCCGCTGACCAGAAACAATACCTCTAGAATGAGGTGAAGAATAGCAGCCACGGTATATTCAACAAATGTGATACAAGAAAGACTGCATAGAACACGGTCCAGTGAGCCAGAAACCAGCCTTTGAACAATACTCTGCTGGTCCTTTTGTGCTGTATGCAACAGCACAGCGTGACCCTCATCGGACAGAAGATCCACCGAAGCTCCATGATCGAGAAGCGTCGAGACAATCTTCCAATATCGCCTGGTAACTGCGAGTCTTAGCGGAGTCTGCCCACTGGTGTTGATGGCACTTATATTGTATCTTTCTGTGGGGTGATTGAGAAGAAATCGAACAATGGGAGCCCAACCCAGAGAAGCGGCAAGATGCATTGCAGTCGTCTCACCCACGCTCTTCGGGTTTCCCAACACCGGACCCAAATGTGATTGTGGGATCCCCCCATTCTGATTGGCCGATCCCGGGATATGAACTTCTTCCTTTGAATCAAAATTGAAATGGTGATCTTCGTCCAGGAATGATGGCGTTTGGCATATACTTGGTCGTGTTTCAACCCATTCCATGAAACGCTCGCCAGGGTCTGGATAGGATTCTTGGTGTCCATTGTACTCGACTGAGCTTTCAAGAGACACAGAATTCTCGTTAGAAGAGTGAATGTCTGACATGACCCGGACGAGGAAGTCTTTCTTCGGTTGGTCTTGGAGCAGTTTTTGTAAGCGCCGCAGGATATCGTCCGAGGGTGACACGTCTCCCAAATCTTGCAGGTGACGGGCGAGGTACGGTGCGGCGTATCTTAAAAATGGAAATTTTGCTCGCTTCTGACTGTAGGAGAGTCTAGCTTGGTTGCCAGAGCTCGGGTCTTTGAAAATCCAGTCAGGTACGAGACCATTGCCTGCGTATACTTGCTGGTTTTGTACCTCCTCCCGCTCCTCCAATACCTGGAGGGAGAGATAGGAGATGCAGGTGCGGGCAGCTTTGGTAGTAAACCCAGGAAACAGCTCATCGCGCTTTCGTGCAAAAAACTCTTGTGCAGTGTAGTGAGCGAGGACAACGACATCATTGCTTACGGTCACGAGGCCACCACAAACCTCCCGAATCATTTCCTTCCCATACATTTTATTCTTGTCGAACTTCTCAGTATCACAATCCACAGCCATGCAATGCTGAAGTTCTGGAACCGTTAAGGAGCGGTGGCTGAACACAACCCATGATATGGTATCGAACGCCAACTCCCGTTTTTGCGCTTCTAATTGTTTCATCCGGTCCAGCGTGTGTTGATACATGTCATCGATACTCGTAGGCAGTTTTTTGATCAACTGAGCTACATGGGCCAGCGTGGCTTGGTTCGTTATCGAACGCATCAGTAGGCTGGCAAGAAGGAACCTGTTGGCATCATTAGAGAGCACGAATACACGCTGTTGACCGCCTTTTGTACTCACATTCCGGCACAGGCGGTTTTCACAGCGACCTTAATCTCATCACGCAGTCCGGCTCGGGATTTTTCGAACTGTACTAAGCGGCTTTCTTGGAACTCGTGCTCGACAAAAAGATCTAGATCCTTCGGATCTGCCTCAAGCTTGGCCTGGGTACAGGTGCTTTCCATGCCCTGCCACTCGGGCAACATTCGGGACGTGACCAGAATATAAATATTTTCAAATTCTCCCAACTTGTTCATAAGGTCTCTGCGCTTTTCAAGCGGGTACTCGTCCAAGGCGTCGATGACAATATAAGCAGGCCGATCGAGTAATAACTGTTTCAGCACCTTTATCAGCCCTGTCAATGGCGGCCTATTCTTACCATAATTACAGTGCTTCCAGAGTTCAACCAAGGGGGATGGGTGCTCTTGATCATCTATGATGATTTGTCTGATAATGCTCCCAAGTAACTCTTCCAAGGCATACGGCTCTTTGTAATTCAGGTACATGTAGGCAACCCTTGTACTGCCTGGGTCATCTTTGCAGTCCCTTTGGTGTTCTGACAAACTTTCGATGATTATGGACCTAATTCGGTGAGTGGAAGACTAATGATAATCCACCTGCAGGTCACAGAAGGATACAGGAGACATACGCCATGACGGATTTCCCTGCGCCAGCTAAAGATAGACCGACCGAGATCAGAAAAAAAAAAAATTCAGAGTTGCTGCTACAACGGAAGGAAAGACCCACGCATTCCAAGATACCATAGCTCCCGAATCTGCTTCGCACGCCACTCCTTGAAGGTAGGCGACTCCAAAATCGACTTCCCCGAATAATGGCCGCTCGAACCGGGTTTCGAGTTCTGCTCTCTGATCTTGGCATTGTTGCGGATGCGGTCATGGGTCTCTTCGAAGAATAAAGAGGTCAGCCATGGATAAATATCCTGCACCTTCTTGTTGTAAGTTGAAGTGCGCTTTAGCATGAAGACGTGGCCATTGTGAACTCGGCCATGGCCAGTGACGCTTTGGGTATTTATCGCGTGTCCGGGAGCGATGTCCGAGGCGTAGAGAGTATCAGTCCGAATGACTTCAGTAGCCATGGCTGATTCATAACTCGAGTAAGATACGATACTGATAGAGACAGACAGAGACGTGATGCGAGAAAGGTATCCCGACGGAACAAAAAGCAGACTTCAAATATTGCTTTGTTGAGCTGGATTCAGCTGAAAGGCCCGACAGGGGCTAGCTGTATGCACGCCTCGAAACTAATAATGCATGTGTCTGTCGTCTCGGTCACGCTCCATTATTGGGCAACCCATGAGGCAACCGATTATTGAGCAATGCGTACTGCGTAATTAGTTTTGCATGGCATAGCCGATCATTATTTTAATACGGAGTACACACCCAAGGCTAAGGCTCAGGCTCAAATGGCTGGCTGTGACAGCAAATAACCAACTATACTGAACAGCGGACTCTCCCGAAATGGCAATGCTTACATTTGCATCATGCACGTACGGAGCAGATCCATGCATGGGCATCGGAATGCGCTACTCCGTGTTCTCAGCGGACAAAAGAAAGCGCAAATGTGACCTATCCACGTATCTCGGGATCCCAACCTACGCTAGAGCGTGATGGGTAGCATTCAGGGAGTGGAGCGTGGGATCCCTGCCTAGGCTGCCACTGGGCAATGGGGGCGAGGAGATCATATTGGAGGGCCGTGCTCCCAGGCTGGCAGATGGAGGAGACGGAGAATCCTTCTTCTTAGTTAAATACTGCACTCCGTACTTTCCTAGACAGGGAGCCATACAGATAGTTAGCGAGTTCTGTTTCAGTGTTAGCGAAATCAACCAATAGACGCCCAAAATGGCAGAAGCTTTTGGCATTGTTTCGGGGGCGGTCGGGATTGCTGGCATCTTCACCACCTGCCTCGAGTGTTTCGATTACATTCAACTTGGTCGACGCTTTGGTCAAGACTTCCAGACAAATCAGCTGGTGCTAAGCGGGCTCAAGCTCCGCCTATCTCGCTGGGGCGAGGCGGTCCATCTCTATACCGATCCGCAGCTCGGACACCCCACGGCATCAGAGGCAGATCTCCAGCTCGCTAAGAACACACTCTATCAGATATTAGTCCTGATGGCCGATTCGGAGAAAGTTTCGAAAAAGTTCGACATCACTGCAAGACCGGGCGATGATTTGTCCGATTCGACAAACAACCATCGCATGACGGCAAATGTGGCTGCCATGGACGATCTGATGCGAAAACAAGCTGCACGGCGACAGAAGGGTACTAGCCTGGTCAAGATCACAAGCTGGGCACTTCACGACAAGGAGCACTTCTCGGGGCTCATTGAAAACATAGCCAAGCTTTTGGATGGCCTGGAGCAGATGTTTCCAGCTCCAGAGGCTCAGAAATCGCTAGCAGAGTCGGAAATTAGGGAGGTTTGCAATGGGATCCAGGATCAACAGGGCGTTACTCTCAAGCTGATCCAAGACCTGTCAAATGGCGTCGACGGTGTTCTCAAAAACCAGGCATCAACAATGATCGAGAAGGGAATCACCGTGGGCTCGTTGGTGGCGACGGACAATTCTCGAGTCAGAGATGGGAGCTTTTATGGTTCAGCGTGGAAGGGAGAGACGCAGGTACCGGTGAGCTACAGCCGTGTTGCGATTGATACTATTCACGCCGAGGGTCACTCCCGGGTCATGAATGGTCATACCTACGCGGACCAGGACAATTTCTGGAATTGAAATTGAAGTCTCTGGGATTTAGTGCATTTCCATGCATTGGCAGTATACTTGAGAACTGTCTTGGGCAAAAAGGAATTCCAGCTGGTGTAGCTAAGATGTTCAATCTTACTATTAATTTGTAAGACACCTGCGTCGGTTCAGCTCTCTGCATGACAAGAAAGTACACAGTAGGCATAGTCTTCCCGAATGCTCTTGATTAGCCATATTGTTGATTGGAATAATCATCCGCATCCTTCGCATAGCGTCGTTCATCTCCATCACGGAGATTGGTCAGCGTTGATTTAGCAATTCCATAGGAACATGCTGCAGGTGTGGGGCGAGGCCGCCGGGATACAACCTGCCATGACTCATGAGCTGCTGTAGATCATTCATGCGGAACGGACCAATGCTAGGCCATGCAATGTACCGCATGAGGTCTGTACATACAGGGGCCCAGGAGTTCGGGGTCTACCGGGGAATACCTCACCCACCCGCAGCGGCCCCACTGCCTAAGGTTCCGGGCCGCCAGCGCTGAGCGCGGTAAAGTTTACGGCGGCTGCGGGATATAACGAAATGGGAGCTAGAACCCAAGGGACTTTTCTTTGCGCTTCCTCCGGATAACAAGTACATTATATTCGCCCACTTGTTAACGGCCATTCTTCGGGAGAGAGAACCAGGAGGAGCTATCCATCAAACTGCAGAGCACCAGACCGACAGGAGACAGCCAATGTCACTCCAGGTCGTCCAATTCCATGCCCCATTCTTCACTCTCCAAACATGCCAACAGTTCATAGAAGCTCCTTTTGATATTTGATTTCTGAATTGAAGGCCTTCGGGATTCGGCAACTGCGCTACCAAGCGCAGGTACAAGACAATTCAGTATATAAAAAGCTTTGGAATCTATAGCTTTGGGCATCCGGCTTTCCAGCAGGGACCGAAGAGTTATAGTTTCATCTGGATCATCCATCTCTTTCAACACCGAGGAAACGTGTTTAAAACTCACCCCATAAAAGTCATATCTCAGGGCCGTGGGCCCTGTCAGAGGACAGGGAAGACCTGCTATGGACGCCATTTGCAGGAGAAATCCAAGCCTAAAAGCAAACAATGGCTGTATATTTATCCAACGCATAACAATATCATAATTATCTCTTGATAGGTCAATTGCTTCATATTGCTTCGAGATTTGTGAAATGAAGAGGGATTGAATTCGAGATAGCGTGTCACACCGGCGTTGTTCAATGGCATCTAAGGTGGGAATCAGTTAGTATAGGAAGAAAAGGCTACTTTTCCACACTACTAGACACGTAATCCTTACCTATGAGCTTTTGTGGTAGCTGGGCATTGTCTATCACAGAGCCAAGGTCGTGACCCTCTGATTCTCTCTGGCATATTGCCGTGAGCCTTCGAAAGAGCGTGGGCACGCGGAATACCCAAGCGATCCATATCCACAGACTGATATCGTCATTAAACCCGTTTGAAATTTCGCTTCCAAGCTTGTCAACCCAAAGCTGGGCGTGTTTGATCACGGCAAGATGAAACCCATATTTATCCACAATCGTGGCGATGCGAGCCAATGTCTTTGAGTCCACAATCTCGGGGACTTGGACGTGCCTTTGATGTATAATCGCCATGACGATCCTGAATGGTTCATGTTTGTCGCCTGGGAGTTGTATATGCACCGAGCCTTTGGATTTCAAGGTATGGGCCTCCCAGAAGTGCTCATTGCTGAGCATAGCCTGGAATATGCGAGACGAGCTCTTCAGAATGGCGGAGGAGACCCGGATTTGAACTGTCTGAAGAGAGCCGGTATTGTGTTCTTTTTGTTCTTCATCGACACTCCCTGCTGTATTTCAATCAACACCGATATTATAAAACGGTGAGAATAGGTTTATTTCACCTTCATTGCCGATTACTTCCTCGCCTTCGGGGAAATGGGATTCGCTAGTGAGAGGCCCGAAAGAAAGATAGATGTCACCCTCGTCATCAAACACAAAGTAGTCCACCATGGTGAGTGGGGTGTATAACGGTAGGCCTGATCCTTGCGCAAGAGAATCATTGGATGGACTTGCTGTCTCGTAACTAGATGGCCAACAGGAAGAAAAGTGGGGTATGCTGGGGTGTTATGGTTGTGGGAACAACATCCGATCCAACCTTAAACTTATATTGAACATGACGTGCCATATCAGTAATAGGATGCTGAGTAGAGGTGTTCATTGTAACGCTAGCTTATAAGCTTGTTGGTCAATACACAGCGAGCAGATTCGGGCTTCATTATCGTCTTATGTTTGTTCACACCCGAAGACAAATGTAATAGACACTTAGAAGGCTTCGTTAGCTGATTCAAGATACTATCTCTGTTCATTTGAATACTTCAATAGGTAACTTATTATTCTTCTGCCTCAAAATTCCGAGAGAGATCATATATCATTCTAATTAGCCATAAGACTTGGCTCTCACCGTCATGGGACAGGACCTATTTAGCTAATTAGGATTCACATTAGACAAGGCAGTATGTGTGACCTAGTTACTACTATTTACATGTCTACTCTTCCACGGAACTATATCAATGATTTTACCTGGCGGTCGCTTCGAAGAATCAGAAAAAGAAATTTTGCATGTGGGATGACGAATATTCATAACATTGGTATCGGATACATTCTTAGATTCAAGATATAGAAAAAGGCGGAACCCACTATGCAAACAGGTACTTGGCCGCATGCTCGACATGATCATCCGAGAACGTGGCCATGGTGAAGTAGCTGTGGTCGTAGTCGGGCTGGTAGCGCACCTTGACGCCCTCAACACCAGCCTCCTTGGCGGCCTTTTCAAAGTTCTCGGGGAGCAGCTGGCCTTGCTTGTAGAAGTTGTCGCCGGTGCCCTGAGCCTGTTAGCTTTTTCATCCGGTTTCCTTTGAGTGGGCGGATATTGCACATACCACATCAATCAGCACATCCAAGGGTCCCTTCCACTGCTTGACCAGTTCCGAAGCATCGTGCTCCTTCCACTTCGCCTGCTGGTCATCTCCGAAGTATCCACCGAACGCCTTCTGGCCCCAAGGGCAGTTGACGGGGTTGGAGATGGGAGCGAAAGCAGAGACGGACTTGTATTTTCCGGGGTTGCGAAGGAACTATAACCGGTTAGATCAATATTTTTCCCCGCGGAAAATTCGATTTTCGGGATCCCCGTCCGAATATGGCCAAGCTGCAAAGGGATTGACGTACCAAAGTCAGAGCTCCGTGTCCACCCATACTGTGACCTGTGATGCTGACTCGGCTCGAGTCCAGCTGAGGGAAAGCGGCAAACACAGTCTTGGGCAGTTCCTCCGTCACGTAGGTGTACATGTTGTATCCGGCATTGTAAGGGGCCTTGGTAGCGTCGACGTAGAAACCGGCGCCCGTTCCGAAGTCCCAGGAGTCGTTCTCGCCTTGGATGTCAAGTCCGCCTTGATTCACTTCTGTCAGCTATTTCCTGCACAGCCGGCTGGGCTTATCTGATGGTGATGAGCAAAACGTACGAGGGCTCGTATCCGGGTACAGCACGGCAATACCCTTCTTGCTGGCACCGTGCTGGAAGAAGCCCTTCTCGGAGCAATTGTCGGCCGTGCAGGTCAAACCAGACAAGTAGATCAACACGGGGACCTTCTGGGAAGGGTTTTGGTAGGCCTGGGGAGGCAGGTAGAGGTTGAAGTTCATGTCGCATTTCGTGGAAGTGGCGGCATGGCTGAGCTTGAGGAGTTTTCCGCCGAAAGAGGCGATTGTGGCTTTGGTGGTGACAGACATAGTGGGTGATACGGTAGGGGGTGGATGGATGGATGATGAAGGAAGAAGGGAAAGAGAGAGACAGAGAACGAGGGAAAATGGCGGGGCTGTTTATGACGCCGGCGTGAGGGGATCCCCGGTGAGGGGTGCCTCAGGCTGCGGTGGGGACGTTTCCCCTCACCGGGTCCTTTTACTCGTTTCGGTTGTCTTCTTGAGATCATTCTTGTCTTCATCTCGGTTTTCCTGCGGAAAATACAAGAATGGAATCCATCAAGTTACAAGATCATTCCTCCATCAAATGCTTTTGTTGTATCTAGCCCGAGGTTGATACTACTACCTACGTACTTGCCCGACTCGCGGCTTCCCCATCCGTTTGGTGCCTCAGGCTAGCAATATTCGAAACCACTGCGCTCTCCATCCCAGCAGGATTATACGAATAAGGAATAAGTAACGAAGATAGAGCTTCATGATCCTCTGGAAGCTTCATTAAGAGAACTATGAAGCCGATAGCATGAGATGAGGACGCCTAGAAGGCCGTATCTCCAAGCTGCCTGCACATTGGCTCGCTACATCGAGGAACAGGAAAACAAGGACCTCCTAGACGTAAGCTTTGCATTCAAACATAGATTGTGATGGATTGACTCTCAGTTTACAAATCAGGTGCCATAGTGCTCTATGATTCGATCCCCGCTCTGAGCAACCCAGCGCGACACGAAGATGCAGGTCGCGAGGATGCGAAGCTCTGCAAGAAGACTTTCGTATATCCCACCCCCACGTTTATTTGAAACTGGAAATAGAGCAAATACCATGGAATAAAAGCTTACGATCTTTCTGAAATAGTTGACTTGTATACGGACGAAAAGTCATGCCTGAGAAACGCGTCCATCGTACGTTGTTCATTGTTGTCATCCGAACACCACGACTACGGCTACGACGCTGACTGCAATGAACAAAAACTGACTTAACCTACGGCTTACGCACTTAGCTACAAGGAAGATGGAAAAACTACGATTAAACTACGATTATTAAACTACGATTATTAAACTACGATTATTAAACTACGATTATTAAACTACGATTATTAAACTACGATTAATTAAACTACGATTAATTAAACTACGACTTAACTACGATTAAAGGAAAAAGCACATCTACGAAGGAATGAGATACAAAGGTCCGGACCAATGCACCTGGAGAGGAGAAAGAAGAAGAGAAAAGAAGAGGGAGGTGGACGGACGAGCGAGATCAACTTATAGGCCCAGCGAGCTTGTCTCTCGCACCTGCCTCTGCACATCAAGCCGCCGACGAGGGATCGGAAACAGGGAAGCTGCGGTTATGCATTGGTTCATATCCTTCATATTTCGTCATTCTACCTCTCAGAAGGACTCATGCGAAAACGGCAGCTGCAACTCTTACTATCCGGAAGCTACACTGGATGTTAGTCCACGAACGGATGGTTAAGAATCAAGTGCAGAAGAGGGAAAAGAAAGAGATGACATGAGCGCACTGTTGACCGGTGAGATCTTAAGCCCACGGCTACTCTCACAAATAGACTGTAGACTGGGACATTAACTGTTAGTGAAGCTCTGACCAGCAGGTTCTGTCGATAGACTACTACTTATCTCAAACCAGATGAAGAATAAAAAGGTCTAGTAAATTAAACTCGCAACATTACTAACAACTGTACAATAACCATGAACACCGGGCTCATGCATGCTAATAAAACCCAGACAACTCCAATAACAATAAACACAATCATAACCATAGTGCAAAGCGATGCAGTAATCGGCCAATAATGCCATCTATTCCAAAAACACCGTAGGAACTCCATAAATGACTGGCGCGGCTCCATTCAAATACTTCAAGACGCAAGATCGTCTGGACACCGAAACAGCCTCGTCCAATGTCTTGCCATTCGGCTCCTCCGTTCCATCGCCGCCGATAAGACCCCACTCTTCGAAGGTGGATTTCGCGAATCGATCGATGTCTTTGTCTGTGACGTCCCAGAGGGTGGCCACCAAGGCGGGACTACCGGCTTGGAGGTAGTTCATGGGCGTACCGTATGGCTCGTACTCCCCGGCTTCGGTGAGGGCGCCACTGCTGCAGCCCATAAGGAAAGTGACGGCGCATCGGTCGAGGCGTTTGATGGTTCGGCCGCGGATGTACTGTGCGCCGCTGCCGTGACCGAAGTAGAGGAAGACGCTCTTGGATTCCAGCCCGTCCTTGAATTCGTCCTCGCTCGGTTGGCGTTTGACGATGCCGGACCAGTTGTCTAGGGCGGAGAGGTCTTTCTCGAAGGTGGTTTCCGTTGTTTGCAGGTCGCCAGTTGGATTGAGGACGTAGATTCCGTTGTTGCGCTTGATACCCAGGCCGTTGTCAAGGTTGGTAGCACCTTCGTTACGGAAGCGGATGATTCGGTCACGGAGGCATTCGAGAGATGGGACACGGCAAACAGGAAGGCCCTGCAGGGAAGGGAGGGACTCCCAAGGGAAGAGGTGAAGGGACTTGTCCAGAACCAGGACGGTGTGGTTAGGAGTCTGGCTGTGTCCATCTTGAACAGATTCGTGATACCCTCGGAGCGCATCAAGAGTATCGAGGACCATCATATCAAAGTCGATCTCATCGTATGCGTTACGTTCGCCTTGGAACTGGAGGATGTCCACCACGAAATAAAGAAGATCCATCAAGGTGTCTTCAGGATCTTCCTGCTCGCCAAGGTCCTTGATTCCAATGAACAGCTCGAGAACATTGGGATGCAGTGTCAGTCGTGGACCCTCTGCTCGGCGACCCTTCTGGCGGGACGGAAGATGCTTGTCGAGAATGTTGTGGAACGAGGTCGCAAATCGGGCCAAAGGAGCAGTATCATGCGGCACAGGAGAGAAAATACCGCGGAATCCTCCAAACCAGACGTTTTCGATATTCTGCAGCAAGTTCTCCATTCGAGCATCAAGGGCCTCGCGGTTCTTCCACCAGTCTTTCTTCGCCTGCCGGTCCGTCTGCGCTTTGGCGGCATGAGCACTTTCGTTTGCAAGCTTGATAAGCTCCTGCATTTCTTCCCTGCCATCCTCGAAGGTAAACTGCTCCTCCTCGTCGTCCTCCGAGTTGCCTCGTTTGAGAGGGAGGCGCAGAAGGAAGGGCGAGCGGTCTCGGTGGAGCCTCGAAACAATGAACTCGCTGCAGTCAGCACTCAAGGATAGAGAAAGAACGTTCCAGCTCGCTGGCAGAATATCAACGTATTCCTTGGTGAAATGGGTGCACGGGTCATCATGCAGCTGGAGTGTTTCTTTCGGGGACGAGGGCCAAAGGAGCGGGTCGCTCAAGTCCGCCAACTGCTTGTCGATGCTGATGGCAACGTGCTCTTTGGCAAATGCACCAATGCGACCGATTTCTACAGAAGTCAGCTTTCTGTCCTTTTTGAGAGTAGAGTGACATGCTTACCGTTGACATTAGCAGGAGACAAAGACACTGCTGGGGCTTCATGGGAAGTAACGTGAGACAACATCGAGATCCGACTCATCAAACGAGACGCAGCGTGGCTATCAAGCGTGGATCCCAAAGCGGTGGCCGTGGAGAATACATTGTTCAAACAGTCACCAGCCTTAGACAGCATAACACTGAAGTCTTCGGCTGTTTTCTGAGTCCGAGAACGTACGCCCCTGGTGGGTGCTCTAGGTCTCTTCGTCGTAGTTGTTTTGCTTGAGGAAGCCGTTTCCTTAGGGGCCTTGGCGGGCGACTGCAACGATGGCAAAGAAATAGTTGACTCCGGAAGGACACAGTACACTGCGTGCGAGGCGAAGTGGCGTATAGCGTCCGCAAGGAAGTGTTCACTTTCTCCAATGTGAAGAGAAATCTGACTGTCTCGGGAGACTGCGAATTTGCGAGCATCGTCGAGCAAGGTCGAGGCTTTCTCGAATTCATGCAGCGTGCGCGAACAAGATGCTTGTTGTCGAAAGATGTCACTCTTCAAGTGCGACAGAGTAGTCGACTGAGTTGTAGGCGGTTCAGCACTTGGGGCTGACACCTTTGGTGCACTTCGGGAAGATGTCGTCGCGGTACGGGTCCTCCGTGTCGTCGTCGTCGTTGTTATTGTTGCAGTCGTTGCCGTCTGCCTAGTCCTTCGGCTGCTAGGTCGGACTTGAAGCTTTTCCATCTTCTGCTCCAAGTCTGTGGCATTGGAAGACGTCGATGAAGTATCCGAGCCCTCGGAGGCAATGAAACTAGCCATAATCTTGTCGGCATCGAGGAGAGACCGCAGTTCGTGTTTGTGGTCCCCTTCCGCCCTGTAAAGAGTGGCAAGACCCATGTGCAATGAGATCAACTCTATGCTGCTCTCTAGTTCCCTGGAAAGCGACTCGGCGGCTTCCAATAGTTCTCGGCCCTCAGAGATATGTCCTCCATAGATCCAGTGGGATCCAAGCTGTGCCTGGGAAGCAATCAGACGGACATTCGCATTGAGTGTCTTGTTGACCTTCAACGCCTGCTCGCCGTAATATATGGCGTCCTGGAACAGGCCATGGTGAGCTGACAAGCACGAAAGGTTCAATAGAGAGGTATGGTGAGAGCCAATGTGTGGCCAGAATGGCGCGCCTTGAGAATAGCTCGCGGAACCAGTCGATGCTTGGGTTACATCCAGCTTAGCCATGCCTTCGACCACGGTCTCGAGTTCGGAATTCTCGCTGCTGGGCAGACTCTTATCCTGCTTCCTTTGAGCGATTTTCTCGACCTTTGCCCAGATACGGCAGTTCAGTCTAACGGATAACTTGGCGAAAAAGAGGGCATCATTTGTGGAGCCTTGAGCAAACGACAGCCGGGAGCTCATGAAAGCTGCATCAGCCACCAATCTTTCCCAAGCGATCTTGGTCAGAACAGAGCAGCTGTTCAAATCTTGCTTCCGCTGGTTTTTCTCGTACAGCACCCTTGCCGCTGACAAGGTAGCTGCTGCCTTCTCGATGTCGCCCATTTCCAGTAGGTATCCAACTCGTGCCAAGCGATGAGACAACGTCGCTAAACAAGAGACATCATTCTGGGAGAGGCACTGTTCGGCACGAACAAGGAGTTCGCTTGCTTTTGTACAGAAACCGAGTCGACAGTACTGTAAGACGAGACGCGAAAGGATGACAATGGCTTCGGAAAAGTCACCGGATTCTTGAAGTTCGTTGACGCGAAGGATCAGTTCGAGAGCGGAAAGCTGAAGCTTCCACAGCCCGTGGATTTCTGTGTAGTCGACTACCGCCTTCATTTGGACGAGGCAGTAATCCACGTCCCCAACGTACGACACGAGTGACTCCCAGTCATGACAGTGGCGCATCATAGAGGTCCAGGAAGATATGACGTGGTCCAGTTGGTCGGGTCGCAAATCGCCTTGGTGAAGACCCATTGTGAGACGAACTGAGTTCTTCAGGTGAGTTAAAAAGGTAGACAAATCGACATCTTCGCCAGCTTTCTCATTTTCAATGCCCTCCATAGCTTCATCAATCAATTGTTGCAGGAGTGACGGTTCCAGAGCGCTCGGCCGCTCCAGCGAGAGGCGAAGTCCGCAAAGTACCACGCGCAGACGGCGGATAGGGTTGAGTTCGAAAGAATAGATATCGAGAAGCTTCGAAAGGAAAAGGGTAAATGTTCCTCGGAAAACCTCATCATTTGTCGCGTAGACGTGTAGCTCTGTCAAGATGCCCATCTGCCACTCCAGAATATGGCCTCGTAGCAATGGGTTCAAAGTCTCATCATCGAAGACCGAAACCTTTGATTTCCTGGCCCGCAGCTTCACTTTCAGGAATGCAGAAAGGACTCGCCCTACCATAAAACCATTGCTTTTCGGATCCTGGCAAGTTCGATGCGGAAATCCACTGGAAGCTTCAGAAAAGATTTGCTCCAAAGTCCCGTTTTCGATGTACTCTCTGAGTGATTGGAGAAACGCCTGTTCGGATTCGGCACTCATGTTCCCTTCCATGTACACATGGGCAAGCCGTTCGTATTTGAGAGCAGCAAACCCAGTGACTCGCTGAGCAGGTAGACAGGGAGACAGCAAATTGGCGGACTGTTTCAAGAGAGGCACGAGCTCGCGAAATCCTTTCCCAGCTTCTTTCTCTTTGAGGTACCGAGACCAGAAAAGGTTGGACATCTTGACAAATCCCATCCCAGTTTGCTCAATCAATGAAGTGTCGTTCATGTCAGTCGAGTCGATCACCGTCAGAAGTCGTTGGCAATCCGCCAGGCTGGAGAGAATATCCTCCCAAGCAGGTCGTTGAGACATGACAGATAGTTTTCCAACGGCAATTGCAGAGTCCACAGCGGCTAGCGCAATGCTTTGGCAGGTAGACACTCGCTTGGAAAATGCTTCATGCTCCTTGGACTCGTTATCCTCCGAAGGCTGACGGCCGATATAGCGGCGCAAGAACCTCAAAAACCCAGCCAAAAATTCATAAACTCGACCCGCAATATCGCTGTCCTCCGCTTTCCTGCTCTGTTGTTTCGAAATCAGGTCACCAAACCAGGCCATGGCGTATTTCTTCAGTCGGGCTGCTTCGACGAGCAGTTCATCGAGGTCGCTTGGACTGCCCTTCAAGGGCATGCTCAGGGCGGCAGTGGATTCGGAGACGGCGTTCGAGATGTGGGCAGGCGAGAACTTTTTCGATTTCCGGAGACCTTCAAAATATAGGACACCGATCTTGCATCGTACGGTGGCGAGGGATAGCGATTGCATACTCGAAAACGGGGTCAGAGATTCCGTGAACAGCTGCAAAGCCTCGTCAAAGCAGCCCGCTTCCTGAGCAAGCTGGCCCAACACCGTCGCGATTTTGGCCACGGAAAGGTTGTCTTTCATGTTGGTTGCCGTGCTCTTTGGAGTTTTCGCGACCACTGACTGGAGTCGAACAATTGTTTTGTAGGTGACGGCGAACTCGGTCTTCTCGATCCCGGTCTTGTTGTTGTGCGTAAATGTAGCAAGGTAACGTGCCAGAGGATCCCAGACCTCCCTCGCATCATCACACTTGTGCCCAGAAATCTTCCAGCTCATGAAGCGAATTTCCAATGACAGAAGCTGCAGGTTCAAAGCGGAAATCGGCTTCAGGCGATCTTTCGTGGTGGAGGCATCGGTAGACTTTTGGGGGGTAGAGGATAACGATAGAACCGTATTCGAGAGTAGTTGAAGCTGTACTGCCGCCTTGTCTTTTGCGAGAGCACCATTTTCCATCGCCGCTACAATGACGTTCGCAGGGCTGCTTGAATTGGACAATTGCAGGGCAGGCGCAACCTTCTGTATCGTCGATGCCTTCTTCTTGGACGCAATGAGCCGCAGAGAATTGGATTGGAACGAAACCAACAAGCCGAGCATGTCCTGGCCCTGTGTGAGGTTGGAAAATCCGATCAAATCCGACATGCGTTCCGTGACTGCATCCTCCGACCCTTCCTCGCTCTTCGTCGTCTTCTTTCGTGCCGTAGCCTTGCTATCCAGGTATTGTTGAATTCTCCGCTTCAGCCCACGCAGCTCCTTGTATGCCATGTCATTCAGTCCCAGCGAGAGATACCTTCCCGCCAGGACGCACGCACCCTGCTCGAGTTGAACATTTGGCGTCGTATTATCCTGATTGCCCTGTTCGAGCTTCAACGTCCTTAATGATGACAACGCCATTGTCGCACACTCAGACAGCGCTAGTAGCCCCGCATCCGTCGTCTTTTTCGGTGTTTGCGTCTGGGCAGGCGACGTCGACCCGCGAGACCGAGACTCGTCGCGTTTGGTAGTCTGCAACTTCACAGCGTCCGACAGCGTCTTTAACGTTGTGTTGAAGACTTCCGTAGCCAGAACCAACTTCTCCTGGTATGACAGACGCGACGCATCCTTCTCAGCCAATGTGCTTAACACGGCATCTCGCCCAGCGACCTTTGTCCTTGTTGTCCCTGTCGTCTTCGTGCGTGTCGTACTCGTCGCGGTAGTCTTGGTGGTCCTGGCTCGTCGACTCGAGGTATCGGACTTGGAATCGAGAGAGGATTTGGACGCAGGGCCGAAAAGAGTTTGGAGGGTCAACACTGTGGCATTCGAGCATGCCGCAGTCGATCGGACGGCCAGTTTCACCGATTCCACAGAGGGATCGGGCAACAGATTCGAGACCGTCATTTGGGCGTTGTGCTGGTGTACCTGTCTATTAAAAATTATCGTAGGTTAGTACTACCCATCTGCAACCAGCGACGATGCGGCAGATTCAAGGCTTCAATGGTCTGGGTCATGTTAGGGAGTGCCCTGTCAGTGATCGCTTGCCGTAAGCCAAGCCCACTCGCCGTTGTCGCGGCAACGGCCTCAGGCACTGCTCCCGCTTCGGTCTAGTGGCCACGGGAGCGCCAAGCCCGCCGACCCTCCGATCTTTTTGCCGACGGAGTTGCCCTTCAACGTCACAGTCTCAGTCTCAGTCCCAGTCACTTCGCGCAACCACATACCTCCGTCGACATGCGATCTTCGAATCTCCCGCTACGGCACATCGCCAATGGGCTTCTGCCCCCTCGAATGGCCCCGGCCGTGCGCGCCTGTCCCACACCGCTGCAATCGCGTCTATACTCCACATCCAGAGCCATGCCACGATTAGCCCAGCGCTCGGTATGGACGTCGCTGATCCCACGATTCCTCCGCGAACGAAGTACAAAAGACCCCAAGTCAGACTCGCCCAAGTCGAAAGAATGGAACCCCGCCAGCTTCTACATCATCATCTTCATCCTGATCGGATCGCAAGCCATCCGCATGATCGCGCTCAAGAACGACTACAAGGCCTACACGCGGACGACGGACGCCAAGATCCTGCTTCTGCGGGAAGTGATCGAGCGGGTGAAGAGCGGGGAGGAGGTGGATGTTGAGAAGTTGCTGGGGACGGGCGATGCGTCGAAGGAGAGAGAGTGGGATGAAGGTTGGTTCTTCTATTCTACTTTGTGCTGCGCGCAAGGTCAAGACCTTTGGGCTGACTGGACTTTCACCACAAAGTGCTCCGAGAAATCGAGGCGGAAGATTCGCTATGGCATCGTAAAAATAAGAACGCAGACAAGGAGCAGGACACGCAACCGCCGCAAGAGCAGAAGGTGCAGGCGGAATCAAAACCCAAGGAGCCTGTGGTGCCTGCTGAAGGAAATGGGACTGCCGAGCCCCCGGAGGGCAGTGCCTCGAGACGCAAACTCAACTTCTTCTAGACATCTCCTTATACCCCGTTGGCTATACCGGTCGTGTGTTCTCGATTGGGCGAATGCCGCATATCTGGACATCTGAGACTGCAGATATAGGACGAGTGTCTCGTCTCAAAAATTAAAATTACGTGAGTGTATTCAAGAAATAGTCAGACTCTGCATATTTGGAAACTAACGCGTTCTGATTAGAACTACCTCAGTCAAGTGCTTAGCATGCCGTATTGTATCAGTTACATGCTGTCGCGTGGAGGGGGCATATGTGTTAAAGAGGGGCCATGTTCTTCTTTGATCTCTCCGCCGACAACATTTCATAACTCTGTAATATATTTATCTTCCAATCTGCGACAGGTCTGTCTTCCGGCTCAACGAGGTTCGCTAAATATGTTCGCCATGATCTTGTTATACGGGCCCAGTTGGCATTTTCTCGATCAAATTGACGGCTTCGCGCACATAGTTCAGCTTGATATACATGTATATAGTTTTCGAAACCCCTATGATGATGAGTTCGTGCTCTATTCACCTGTTATTTAGCCATATGCCGTTATGGCTGCTAACTGGTGCAGTCCATTCCACCTGGGATAGAGAGGCCCTTATAGTCGGCATGCATGGAGCCTGCAGCGCATGCTATAATGCATCCTGACCCAGCCAATCAAAAGTATTCTGCAAGTCCAGCCCAAAGCTGAAGGGTGACGTCGATCCCCAGTTGAAGTCAATAAACGCTGCATCTCCATTTGCATCAGCCGGGGCGTTGAGATGGTGATCCAAGACCCACTCAATGATACGTTTAAAGTTGGCGCACGACTCGCTATTCGGTGCCTCTCGGGGTACCCATTCGAAGAAAGCAACTAACAAGCTGAGCTGCTGCACGATGGCCGAGTTCGTTAATCTAGGATCCTTAGGACGCGGCCTGGAATAGGTCGACTGGAGTAGTTCCTGGCACAAGATGCCTCCTCCCGGGGCGCCGTATTCCAGGAGCTTCTCTGGTGTCAGATATTGTGTATGTGATGTTGGTAGCAGGTCACTCACCATCCATTCATAATCGCGTAGTATGAAGGGGCTGTTGAATGCGTCTCGACGCTTCCAAAGCTCGATGGTCAAGCGGACGAGATCAAAGCTCGCGAGTATTAAGTCGAAGGATTCTAGCTGGCCGTAGCAGTGGAGTAGTCGTTCCGCGAAGAAGATGTTCTTGAGATGATCGAGTTGAACGATGATCTTGAAGTAGAGCTTTTCGGGAGAGAAGACCGGATCGTTCAAATCATCCGCACGATATATCAAGCCTGGCGGTAGGCTGGACGTGGCGGTAATTTGCCGGTCCTTGAGGACCCTATACTGAAAGTTTTAGCCCTTCCAACATTGGTGGTGGTACCAAATGACGAACCGAAGTTGTTCAATATCAACAGGCCTATGTTTGTGCAGCGCCATACACAAGAGTTCATCCCGAATGACCGCAATGGTATATCGTGCTCGAATAAGAGTAGCTGGATAGACATCACCCGAAAGTTTCCATCCACGGTCATCCAACAACTCGACCGCTTGCATGAGAGTAGTCTCATCCGAGGCCAAGTCTTCATCTCTCAGATCAAGGGGCGGTGGCGTGGAGAAAAATGCGAGAGGCAAAAGAGGCGGCCGGCCAGTGAACGCAACCCCAAACTTATCTGTCGTGAAGATCTGGGCCGCCAGTCGCCGCTGACTTTCCGAACAGAAAGATGCTCGATATGAAGGCTGATCCTCGAGCACATGGCGGCCCAGATACGTCAACATGGTGACTGCCAGGCTATGCGAGACGTAGCTGGAGATTCCTGTGCGCAGTTCAGATAGAAGCATCTAACCAAGACGAGGGCAAAATTACCAGAATCACCATCCAGGATGGAATCCAGAACCGACTTTCGTCGACAAAGATCTAACAGGAGATCGTTGCCCTCCGTAAACGCGCGAGCCAGCTCGATGCAATAAGCTAAGCACGCGCGAGCTGTTTCGGAGCATCGTCTTCCAGCAACCAAATCCAGCCGATTACTGCGCAGCGACTCGACATCATCCGATACATGTTCACCGGCAGCCCACAAGAGGCCCATCGATTCCCATCGCAGGTTGTCGCCGCAGAACTGGTCGATCCATCGGGAAGCACAGTGCTCATCGGTGATCGGCTGCGTAGTGTTGTTGCAGAGAGTTGCAGCCAAAATGCGCAATCCGGACTCGCTCCCCCGAAAGTGCCCTTTGAACGCCACCTGCAGTGAAGTTAAGATTCGGTCAATGGCAATAGCAGTCCAGCCCTTGGGCTCCCGATCCCTTGAGGGTAGCTGAAGATGTGCATGCTCATCAATGTGGTCGCGCAAGCAGCGAAGCACGTACAGCGCCGACTCTTGCAACGGCGATCGAATATCCTCCAGGGCGAACTGTGGCTGCCATCTCCCTGCCGCCTCACCCCTAGGACTCGACGAAGACCGGATGCCATTGGCACCAAATAGATTACGCTGCGTCTCCTCCAACACACTGCTGTGGCTTGTATAGCCAAGATAACCAATGCCCGACGCACCACCGCTCGCTGGCTTTGGCAGGACCGTCCGGGGGCTGTCCGCATTCCTAGTATCCGAGAGCCGTTTCGGGGCAGAAGCCGCCGTGGCCGCAGGGGACGAGGCTGGGTCAGAATAGACGCAATTGATTTTACCTCGTGCTCTCTGACATCTATTGCAGATGGGCTGCGAGCGGTCGCATGCGAGCTTTCGGGTCCGACAGGGCAGACATGGTGGGAAACGACGGTTGCGCATCATCGTTGAAGATGATGTCAATGTCAAGATGGATGCCGATGGGAGGATGGCGGAATGCTGGAACCCCCGAGACACGCACCAGTACTGTAAATTCCACGGACTATCAATTATGCCGATCCCGAAGTATTGATTGAATCTATCTTGATATCAAGAGGGTATTTGCTTGCTTCTGGTCTACTGTTTAAGCGAAATAAGATTGTCCATAATTCGCAAACTGTTGCGTCAGCTGTAGGATCTGTTGCAACATACCAGTTACCAAAATGATTAACCTTCTATTCGGCATCCGAGTAACCATAGTAGTAAAAGTCATTTTCCAATCAATTTAGCTATTGCACATAAAGAAGACATCCCAGATAAAAAACATGACACTACAGCAAAGCTCTCACCGAGTCTCCCCCCTCCCCGACTCTCGACTACTCGCGAACCACCCCAGACCCCCCAAGGACGAGACAAACATAAGAGCCCCAAGATAGATGACAAGCGGCGCAAACTTCCCCAATCCATAGCTCAACCCCATCGACTCCCCCAGCAAACTCTCTGCGATCGGAGCCGTCAGTATATTCCCAAGTCCCTTCCCGAACGCCATCCAACTAAACACAGGCTGCGGATCGTCTGCCAGCATCGAGCCAAACCGGGGCCAGAACACCACATAAGCTCCCGCAAACAACCCATACACAAAACTGAAGACCAGCAGCGGTGCCAGCGACCTCGTCAGTCCCCAGAGGGTAAATGTCGCTACTGACGATGTCACGCCCGTCACCACGATCAGCGTGAAGATGTTGCTGAGCCGATCTACCAGATAGCCGAAACCGAGCTGGCCCAACACTGTGGCTAGATTCAGAGCTGCGAGGACCAAAGCCCCGATGGAACCAGAAAGTCCCATACTCGAGGCAAAGGTGGGAAGGTACAGCGAGGGGATGTAGTACGCGAAGCTCTGACTTAGGTTCGACGCGGCAAGAACCCAGAACAGAGGGTGTTTGACGAAGGCCAGATCGATGCGTTGCGTCGGGATTTGGTGTGATGTGCTTAATCTTCCCTTACACAGTGGCAGAATTGGAATCAAGAGGACAGTCTGGGCGACGACAAAGACTCGCAAGGTCGTCCGGAACCCATATCGGGATAGGAGCCATTCGGAGAGGAAGGGGAGTCCTATGCCACTGAACCCGCCACCGGAGTAGACGACGGCGTAGGCGAATGCTCGTCGCTGGATGAACCATTCGTTGAGCATGGATAGGAGGGGGAAGTATATGACGAGGAAGCCTAGTCCGTAGAGCACGCCCTGGGTGGCAATGAGTACCGCGACGGAAGAGGCGAAAGAGGCTGCGAGTAGCGAGAGAACGCAGATTGCTGAGCCAAGAAGGACCATGTGGTGCCGCCAGTGAGGGAACTGTTTGACGAACGGGGTTGCTAACGGTGCGCCGAGGAAGTAGATGCTTGTCGATACTGTTCCCACAACAGCGATGTTGGAGGAATCGGCGAATTCAGACTGCTGCGAATAGTGCTCCTGAAAAACCCCATAAGCCATGGGGAAACCTGTCCCGGGTCAGTTTAAATGCCCAAGTTGGTAGCATCTGTATGAATCTCACCCCAGAGCACCCCTTCGATGATGAAGCATGCGAAGAGGAATTTCCAGGCCGCCAAACCTCGGTCTGGGGGAGGAAGAACGGAAACAGGGTGCGATTCATCCCCTTCGGTGGGAGGCTCGGTTCTCGGGATATGCGGCAGATCAAGAGACATTTTCTAGAGTGAACCAGCTGTTGCTTGCATTGTTCATCGACTTGGGTAGGTTAAGCTGAGACGTAAGTTCTCGAAGTAGACATGCGAAGATTCATTTAGGGGAAAAGTGCTGGTTTCCTGAAATCCTGAAAGTGATTCTATCTTCTGACCTTCCTTCATCCTTGGCTGCTTCGAGTATCCACACCAGGCAGATCCATGATCCAATAAAGCACAGAAGCACATACTTCAGAATATCGCTCTTCGGCGCGAAAGTCGGCTTCGGTGCGGACCCACGGAATGTAACCGACTCCGAACTTGTAGGCGAACCCGAGGATTGAAGCGTATCAGGGCCGCATCTGATTCGCATGTCTCTAAGGACTCCGTACTACCTTATAATGCTGTCGTTTTTCTCGCAAAATAGTCCTTTTTGTAGCAAAAGATTCTTAAATGCCAGTCTTGAGGAGAATCACCCAGAAAGTGATCGCAAAATCAAAAATGGCAATCGAAACCGTTCTCCAAGGGAAGTATCCCGCAAAAGCACACGCCCAGCGCGTGGTCGAATACCTCTCTACAAAAATCCCTCAACCCAGCGGCTTCCTCTTCCTCTCGGGCTGCCCGGAAAGATTCTACCAGGACTGTGATCTGGAGATCCCATTCCGCCAACATCGAGCGTTCATGTACCTCTCGGGGGTCAACGCTCCAGATCACCATCTGGTATACGAAATCGACAACAACCGCCTTACCCTCTTCATTCCCCCGATCGATCCTGAATCCATTATCTGGGCCGGCTTACCCCCGCCGTCGGAGGAAGTGCTCGCGAAGTATGACGTCGACGTTGTTCTACCGAGTACAGCGCTTGGTAATACGCTGGAAACCATCGGAGGTCGTCAGAAAGGTACCCAGCCGACAATATTCACAATCCCTGGCCACGTGGAGAAAGGAATAGAATTCCCCAAGGAGATGAGAGTGGACTCCATCGCCCTCAAAGAAGCAATTGATGAGTGCCGGGTGGTGAAGGATGAGTATGAAATTGCGCTGTTGAAGAAAGCCATCGACATCAGCGCTACAGCTCACAGAGCCGTGATGGAGACCGTCCGGAAGTCCACATCCGAGGCCGAAATCGACGGTGTTTTCTTGGGAGAATGTGCCAAAAGAGGCGCGAAGGTCCAGGCGTATCCCAGTATCGTGGCTAGTGGCCGTGCAGCAGCGACAATGCACCCCGAGGGCAATAACCAAAGCCTCTGCATTGACGGGAAACCCAAGGAATTGCTTCTGATTGATGCCGGCGCTGAGGTGGAGTGTTACGGTGCCGATATTGTAAGTCCACCGTCGCCGTGCCTGGACTGACGACACAAGAATGACATCTTGCAGACGCGAACTCTCCCGATCTCTGGGAAATTCACGCCCGAGGCGCGTGCAATTTACGACCTCGTGCTGGAGATGCAGGAGAAGTGCATTGCGTCGTTGAAGGCCGGAGTCTTATGGGATGATGCTCATCTGTTAGCGCACAAAGTGGCCATTCGAGGTCTCTTGGGCCTCGGAATTATGAAGGGAAATCCGGACGAAATCCTAGCGGCACGAACGAGCGCCGCTTTCATGCCTCACGGGCTCGGTCATTTCTTGGGCATGGATACACACGATGCGGGTGGTCGTTCCGAGGAAGCCGACCCAGACCCTTTGTTCAAATATCTGAGAGTCAGAAGACGCTTGCCTGCCGGGTGTGTCGTGACAGTCGAGCCGGGTGTGCGTCTGCCCTTTTCCACGAGCAAGATCATCGTTGGTCAGCTAACATATAAAGATCCATTTTGGCGAACACACCATCCGCGAGTATCTCAGCGACCCACGACATTCGCAGTATATTGACGAGGCGGTTCTTGATCGATTCTGGGATGTCGGTGGCGTGTGGTTTGTCCCCTTGTTACTGTTTCCATATATGACTTGGTCGCCATGAGCTAATGTAATGCAGTATCGAGGATGATATTCTCATCACCGAGGCAGGAAATGTGAACCTAACAGACCTTCCAAAGGATCCTGAGGTGGTGGAACAGATTGTCAGTTGGAGGAGTAGTCAGTCCAATAAAGAACTCAGCTAGATCCATCCGGATGCCTGACTTTCATGCCTGATGGTCCAGGCATCAAACATGCGCTATCGTACAAATACCTCTGTATCCTAAGGCCTCCTCTATCTTCTTTGCAGAATTATGATGGTTAATTTAAGCTATTGTATATAATTATCTTACCTACATTGGATCTATATCCTCAAGAAAACTACTCATCGCCTGTGAAGTTAATGATCATAATAGCGAATAAAGGTCAACTGAGCCGTTTCATATCCGAAAATATACACAGAACCCAACAACCAACTTAACAGTATCAAATACTATCATATCAAAATCTATCCAGAGATCCAAAACCAAATTGACATCTAGCATTATTTTTCAAAGGAAAGGCTAAACAACAATGATACACTAATGATCACAAAACCTTTTTAAAAATTGCAATCTCATCCACCCAGATTGTCGAAATAAGGAAAGATAGAAAGTCTAGGATCATGCAAAATGGGAATAATAGTCAAACCGATATCCCCCCTAGTCTATCCGGCTTTTTGTTACAATATGCAAAGGTGGCTCCTGTATGAACACGGGGGAAAAGGACATCAAAGGAATCGAAATCTTGACGGATGGTCTTTCAAACCCCCAAACCAAAACCCGAGAAACCAGAAAAATGAGGGTTGGATTGAAATAAGAACACAAGGTATTTCCAAGACAAAGAACATACAAAAATCAACAAAATGGGACCAATTCATCGCTAGTGAAATACAGGGACATGCTTTATTTATTGCTTGGCGGGTTGGATGAACTTAGGCCACTTGTCGGCCTGGGGTATCGAGGTGTGGCCGATGTTCTCGTCGATGTCGAGGATGAGCTTCAGAGCGTTTCTTGATCGGAGGTAGGGGAGAGGTGCCTTGGCAGTCTGGAGACCAACGCCGGGCTCGATCTGTCCGGAGGGGGTAACCTCGCCGTGGCCGGGCATGGGAAGCCAGTTCTGCAGCAGCTCGTAGGCGGCGAGGGTGAAACCGAACTGGGGAGAAGAACGGACGATACGGGCCGGACCACCCTTGAAGAAGGCCTTGAAACCTTCATCCTTCAGGATGGTGGAAGCGCAGTGACGCAGACCGGTGTATTTGACATCACCCTTACGGGCTTCGACTTGCAGACGGGTCTTGATCACGTCGCAGGGCGTCGTCAGGTAGGCAGCAGGCATACCCGCAATGGCACCGGCAGTGAGCAGCTGCACAATGCCAAGCTTGTGGGTTGGGGACTCGCCGAAGAAGCCAGTCTTGAGGTGAGAGTAGGTCGGGAAGTAAATGGCGGAGAACGGCACTGGTAGCGGGTGTTAGTGATTTGTCGGGGAAAGTGTCGTCATGCTGTACTCACCATCACGGAGCAGGCAGGCGCTGGCTCCCTTGTATAATCCCATCAATCCCAGGTTCTTGACGATCCAAAGGGCGGACCGACGAGGAGCACCTTCGACGTTCTTGGCAATCTCACCCTGGACTTGCAGACGGATCTTAACAATTTCCAGAGGGTTGGTGAAGATCTAAATGATTGATTTACATTAGCAGGCATTTAGGCATTTACGCGCCGGATCGAAACTTACAACTTGACACGCTCCGGCAGTACCACCGGCGAGAACCTCGTGGCCGGTCCAGATCTTTCCATTCTCCTTGTTCGTGAAGAATCCACGGACCAAATCGTTGACAGTGAGCTTGATGGCCTTCTCCGGGGCGACACCAATGAGCTGGGGAATAACGCCCGAGTACAGACCGGTGAAACCCTCGTTCCGGATGACCTTCCGCGCGCAGTCCAGAGAGTTGTTGTACAATCTCTGACCAACGTGGGACGATCGCTGGTTCTGCATGCGAGTCTTCACCAAATCAATGGGGTACACCATGAAAGCACCGAATGCTCCCGCCAAACTTCCGAGCGCGAAATGGTGGACCGACTCGAGCACACTGTACAAGATGGTCTTGGTCTTGTCGGCGGCCTTATGCGCAGCACCCGATGCGGCCTGTCCGGCGACAGCGAACGGCATACGCCACGAGGCGTCAACGACCTTGGCGAAGTCCCGCTGGGAGAGTCTGCCGGAAGGCGCATCCAGACCAGCGAAATGGAACAAGATATCGGCTTCCATGGGGGTGAATAGGGAGAAGCGGGTGATGCGCGCGGCCTCGTTCAGGAAGTCGGAACGCGTGATCTTGCCGTCGTCGCTCTTCTGAGTGGCCTCGCGCACGATGACATCAATCATATCCATCTCGCGCATGACGTTCTGGAACGCGCGCACGGTGGAATACGAGATCTTGGTGCCGGTCGAGATGTTGCACAGACTCGGGAGATTCTCGAGGACGTAGTCCGACAGCTTGTGTTTCGACGTCTCGAGGATGATGCGCTGGAAATCCTCGGGCTCGATGTAACCATCGCCATCCTGGTCGAAAACGTGGAATGCCTGGCGGATACGCTCGCCCTGCAAGCCTCGCAGCATCTGAGCAAACTGGGGGTAGCTCATGTCGTGGCGGCTCTTGGTCCGGCCAGTGTACAGGGAAGCCCATTCCGAGTTCCAATCGAAGGGGATGCTGTCTTTGGTCTTGTTCACGCTATAGAGGCTGTGGAAGGTTTCCCATTTGACGCTGCCCGTGCCATCCGTGTCGAACAGTCGGAAGGCAATCTCGTACTCCGCATCTGGTTTGGCCAGGAGGTTCTCGAAAGTCGACCAGTCTCCGAGCGACAATTTTCCCGATCTCCGCTTGTCGGCCACCTTGAACAGGATGCCGTAGTGTTCGCGCTGGATTTTGTGCTGTCGAAAAGCATTGACGTTAGCTTCGGAGTCATCCACGGGCAATGACACATCATGCGGAAGGCAGGGCAATGCGAAGGGCGGGCTGCAACACGTACATAATCCTCATGCTTGGGGGCAATCGCCTCGACGAAATCGTCTTCCGTCATGAACAGCTCCCCCGTGGCCTCGTCCTTGCGCGCATAGCGGTGGAAGTTGGCCTTTGCCTGCTGCGACGGCTGAGGCTCGTCGGAGGTGCCCATCAGGGACTCCTTGACTGCGTCCTTCACGCTGGCCATTGTGAGGTGATAAGAATAAGTCTAACCAAAAAGAAAAAGCAATCTATCCAAAGCGCTGAAAGGTCAGAAAGTCCACGCGAGAAAGAAGGAACCCGGCAGGAGGAATCGAAGGAGTCGGGGGGAGGCGTGACGAGAACGGGGTTATGAAGGGGTTGGGATAAGGAAAAGTGTGTGGAGAAAGGAAATTAAGAAAAATGGGGGGTGGCCCGAATGACAATTATAATCGGGATCGATCTGGTCGCTGGAGAATTCAATTATAAACAAGGCCTATTGATTGATTTGACGGGGTTTGTCGTTAAAAATGGAGATGCAAAGTCTACAGAGTTTTTTTTCGATTCTTTTTTCATGCTCATCCCTCCATAATTTGCCTTTCACAGATCCAGGATATTATTAGCCTCAGCTAATTTTTGAAAAACAAAAAAAGAAAAAAGAAAGAAAAATAAAAAAAACACCCAAGGACGAACGACCACGAGTCACCGGGCCAGACGCAGCCTCACCGCCCCTGGAATGCGTTAAATTACCCGGTGAGGCCATCGTTGCGATCGGACTTGGGGCCGACCGAGTCTCCAAATCCAAGGCCACCTGCCAGCTTCTTCAGACGGACTGACTTATCTCCGCGTCCCTTGCCTCGTCGGATGCTCGAGGACGGTTGTGCACCGCGGTCCATCTCGGACGTAAACATCTGAAGGTTGAAGACTCAAACAAAGAGCGTTCCAGGGCCCGAGGACTGGTACAGGCTGAGGCGAACCACATGCGGCACCTCCGGAAGGCCATCCACCCCTGGGAGGCAAATCCGTTCCAGAGGCAAAATAACCGAGTCCTGACCGCCTGCCTGTCTGGGGATTCAGCTGGAATTATGGGTAATATTTATCATTATTACATCCTATTATTCTTACGCAGTATGATGACTACTGCTCCTCGGAGAGGGTCGGGATGGATCTCCCAGCTGAGATTCTCCCCTCACCTGTCCTCCGTCTCCGGTGGGGGGAAGCGGATCCCTCGTTGGAGATGCTCGCCAGCCTCAGGCATCGCTGCCCCCGGTATCGCTCTCACCGAAGAACTTTCGATCGGTAGATCTACCTTCTTACTCCGTAGTACTTTTGAATTGTCGATTCTGATCTGACACTTGGGTAGCATACAGTATATTTTGTTAATATAAATCATCCCCTCTACCACCGTGACACCGTCCAGATAAACAACAAAGCTCTCTCGGACATCCGCCGAGCGCAAGAAGCCAAGCCAAGCCAACGAAGCCCCCCAGCCTTATTCTCTGGGCAGCTGACAGAATGATGCAATGATTGTTCGTGAGGTCGACTGACAGAGGGATCGATCACCCAGAGAAAGTCAATCCGCATACCGCATATGCAAGGGTCATCCTTATCAACCTGATCTGCCCGAATGGTTTACGATGTACTCCGTACCGTGTAGTGTGCACGAAGCACCAGTTACCTAAAGGATCGGAACGCGCTTACATTGTTTCCCCAATTTCCCCAATGATAGTTACCTAACCGCGTTACGTGAACCGTGCCCCGTCGGTCTGTCCCCGACGCGCGGGATCTTCGCGGCAGTCATTTATCCGGGGTACACTTCCTCTACAGGATCATATCTCCATGCGCATAGTCCATCAGCATCAACAATTAGAGCCAAGAAGCTTCCATGAGTCGGCCACAATGTCTGAAACAAATATGCACATTCCCTGTTGCCCAGAATCTAGACTGCCGTGTTCCCAGAAGGTAGCATTCGTCAGACTCGTCAACGTCCCTTGATTGGTGGCATCGCCCGCCAACGCAATCGGCAGACAGCCGCTCAACGCAAAATACCTCATCGCAATGCATGGTCTCCCTTCACCCGGCTCTTTGCACGCGGACTGACTTGGCGAAATGGTTCTTCCTAATATGCGCGTCTTGGAAGTCCTTATCTTTGGAAAAGTACCTTGACGAACGGTCTAGCCTGAATGGAAAACGGACCAAGCCCAGAGCTCGCTTGGCTCTCGAAGGGTAGTTATTGCACGTTACTCAGGACTGGGTAGGCAGATTCACTGCAAAGACTTGTATAGGTACTTGGGATTTTGGATTAATAGCTACTGCGTAGTAAGAAGGAATCCATTGTATCTTTCTATAACCTTCATTTGCGAATACAACATGGGTTAACAGCTCACTGTTTCACAGTTCTTCATCGAAGTGCGTTCAGATTGCAGAAACTGGGATATCTAGGTAGCCACGGGGTCGGTGAAACAAGTTAAATGAATAAGAATAAACTAAATACCTAGGTAAGTCCACCAGGTTTATGTACGATATCCGTCCTACACTTCGTCCCGAGTTGCTTCCAACGCGGGCTCATCAACCAACGGAACGTCTGGCCACATTTGCGAAGAGGAGGTGGCTTCTTAACTAAAAGTGGCACATTTTGACTTCCAACTCTCATGGCTCCTCACGTAATACTTACTTCTTTGAAACCATCTCGGACGAAATCCATTTACTCCCCGGATTGTATATGGCCGCTTCATGGAATGTCGCCTTGCCGGGTTGTTCGCGAGAGGTCAACGGACAGATGGATTTATCATCAAGAGAGAGACAATCATTGCATACAAGGTCATTCATCAACCTGATCTGCCTAGGATGGTATACTGTGTACTCCATATTCTACAGTAACGATGAATTACTTGCGCGCTAAATCCTGACACCGCGTCAACTGCGACCCCGCGAAGTATTCCGTAGTAGTGATCTATACCTAGGTACTTGTGTAAGGGCTCCCTTTAGGTAGGGATCACTGGTACCAAGGAGGACTGATCGCAACAGAACACATGATACCTATGGGAGATCCAAAGATCCAAAGTCGAAATCAGTCATGAACGGAAACAACAGTCTATGTCAGCTCCCACATACGCTTGTGATATAAGATGTATGTACATGATGTGTAGTACCTTATGCTCTCAGACTTGTTCGGAGTCTCCCAGGCCTACCAGAATCTTTTGCTCCTGTCCGGTTCCCGGGAAACAAAATTTAGATATGTACCATATCTAACTTTGGGTATATACACGCAGTTTTGATATTAATTCTGTTACTTCTTACGGAAGCGTCAAATGGACTCCGGCGACATCTTCATCCACGTGCTGTTGCTGTCCTTCACAACTTCCCTACATAGCGCACCCCTTCTGTCATCTCACATACTTTTATATTCAATCGGCGGATCATGAATCGATATGTGACCAGGCTGGATGCCAAACTACAGTGAAAAATAGCGGACTGGGTTAGATAAGCATTCAAGAGCATGACAAGTAGGTAGTACAGGAGCGAAAGTGCACTCACATGCTACTATCAGAGCCGGTTCGGCGAGAGCAGGAAAGGCTTTAGATACAGGAACTGGTGCTGTAGGTGCGCCAGCACAGGTGTATTCCTGCATATCTCTTATGCCCCAGGAACTGCATCGTCGCTTGCTGGTTGGCTTCTGAGGATTAGGTGGCAAAAGCAGGCCCTCACTCACTCTTGGTATCTTTGTGTATGATGTGTTACTTATTCAGCCACGCCATACCGGGCAGTCATTCACGCGGCTTGTCGTATACAACACTCGTGTTGAAATCTGCTATAAAAGGTGTTGTAGCATCAAACCCATTCAGTCTATGGAGTTCAGCTACTTTTGTAGCAAGAGGTCCATCTTCTTGGGGCCACCTTATAAGAAACCACCCTTTTCTCTTATGTTGCCAAAGAACATAAACAGGAAGAATGGTTTCCGTTTTGTGTGCCGTGTCAAAATCGTAATCAAAATTGTTGACATCAACGATCATAAAAGTACGGTCTCCCCTTATTTCAACGGCGAGGAAACGAATTCGAGGATCTTTCTCCCAATCTGGAAAGAGTTCGTTGATAAATTTGCACGTTGAGACACGATAATCAACGGAATCCAGTTTTTCTGTATGTAATTTAATAACCAATCGTTGCGCCTCCGTCCTTTCAAATATTCTTTCGCGGATCTCGGTGACGTTGGACATGGTGAGGGAGTGGGTTGAGGTATTGATTCGGGCTAGATGAAATGGAAGAAGGGGGAGCTACCTGATTGAAAGGTGGCAGGCGAGTCATCCTTTATATTCTCTTCACCGCCTCTCTGGGAGTTTGCACTGTTTGCAACATAATAACAAAGCCGCCACGAAACCCTGTTGGTCAGTGATACCCAGAGTTTTGTCCTTACATGGCCATCCAAGTAAACGAAGACTATGATATTTATACTAAACAAACGTTAGTAAGAATAAATAGTGCCTGGTTATCATGTCTTTTTGATAGAGCAACAAGTGAATTTAACTATGGAGGCCCTTTTTTGCCACTTCTAGATTAATCTCACAAGCCCCCTCTCACCTCCTGACACTATGTATATTCACGTTCCCAGCTCATCGAAGACAACTAAGGATAACTTTCTTGGGAACTTGGCGGAGTCATGTATTGATGGCGGGCGCAATTTCCTGGCAACCACACGATATCGATGTTCTGTCGTGGTTCAGTTGTACTGATCGTGCAGTCTCCTCGGTTGCAAGGTGGAATTCTTTTCTCGTGGCCAGCAGGGCAACCGCACCCTTGAAAGAATTTGTCGTCCCAGTTGCACATCTTGAAACAATTAAAGTCTGGTCTATGAAGTTCAAATTTTTTTTTAAAACTAACCTTTAAATGTGGCAAGCAGATCTTCTTGCGTATGGTCTGGAATAAATAGGAAATGGTAAACTTTGCGATGGAAGGGAGGAAAGGAAGGCGCTTAAGAATCTGTGCTGTTGACATCCCTGTCAGGATGGGATGCATCACACCCCACCCTGACAGGGATGAGCATCCTTCATGGTGCTCAGACGCAGATACATCTTGTGGTCAGCTACTGCGTAAGTACAATAATGCCCTGATTCGTCCTCCACCCTCTGAATCCGGCTCGGGTATTTGTCAGAAGCTATCACAGACCACCATCTTATGGGTTCATGCAGGCTCATCACATTACAGCTGTTCTCTTCAAGTGCCTCTTCGAAATGGGCTTCCAAACTTGTGTGTTCTTTTCTTGCTATGATGCAGGTCTAGTCAGGATGGAATCGGATGTTCCTGGACAATGAATACTTTAAATTGCGATTACCAAACTTTGAATCCCAACGGCGATTCTTACACAAACTCAACCTAGTCTAAGGGAGTATATCAATATCTGGAGCAGACCATATATAGTCATGCCTTTATATCACATGTGCTCTCTTCTATTCTATCCACTCACTTATAAAGGCATCCGATCTTCTTTTCTCACGATGAGCCCCTTACAAAAGATCCTAGATGCAGCTCCAACGTTGTCGAATATACCAGCAGTGAATAAAAAAAAAGCTTACTATTGCAGAGACCTCGAGTCGGCACTACAAAACCGGTAGATACTCTTACAGCCTAATGATATGTTTATCTCAAGGTGAGGTGTTGCGGGTGCAGTTTCTAAACAACATGAACCCGGGGCCCTCAAACTATTAGATTAAGATTTAAGCAACCCGCACCTTGACAATTAAGAAGGCTATTATAATTAATACTTTAATTATTATTAATAAAAGCTATTTTAGTACAGTATTTAAGAAGGAAAAGTAATATATATAATAAAAAAAAGAATATGTATGAATTATTATGGTGGCGCAGGCACAACAGCGTGTGGACTACGATACAGACGACCTACAGCCATAATCCCATTCTTTGGAGAGTATGTTCACTTCTTCCACTCCCTCCTTCTAACTAAGTTGTAATTAATGTGGAACAGTCAACCATTCTGGGGTAATATAGTATCCAAGTCCGGAGTAGGCCCTATCCCGTATAAATTATTGATTGTTGACACTCTATCTACCGTCTCTTATCATATTTAGACTCTCAAGTTATAAAAGCAGCGAAAGGTCTATCTATTCAAATACAGGCTAAGAATGGAGTAAAGACAGTATTTAATAGTTTCCACCACAACCTCCCACTAGACTGTATGTGTTGTCACGTCTTCCCCGATCAGCCGGCCGTGTGGAAGTGCAAGAAGACATCCACGAAACCGCTATGAATATCTAAACTCGCGTCGCAGATACTCATAAATCATATGAAAGTGGAGGTTAAACGTCTACAGCTGTGAGTTTCCTATCCCTCCTCTTAAGACTTAAGATTAACTCTCACCACCGGAATGGGCCTTGTCTGCACAATAACCGACATGCCCTACTAAGAAGCTGACCGCGGTCGTCGCGCTGACCCCAATCACACTCGTCCAGCTATGCCCCGGTCAATCAGTACACCAACACGCACATCCATATCCCGCTCAACCACCAGTACAGATAAAGACACAGACAGTACATGTATCCCCCCCCCCACCGTCCCAGCTCTCCCCACAAACATCCCAACCAACACCCTCACACCCACTCCCGCCCCCGATCCCAACAACCAATGCCCACGAAACCCCTGGGAAACAACCGGCGCCATCACCGCCGCCTCAGCAAAAGGTTTCGGAAAATTCCTCACGAACTACTACAAAGGCGTGATCGTGGATAGTCTACTGGCCGCAATGGAAGGTCTTTGTACTGTACCACGCCTCTACGGCGAAGAGGTCGAGGAATATACTATCCACGACTGGAATTCGGGTGCGGCCACTGGTGGGAAGAATTTTACGACTGGAATGAGGGACGGGTTCACGGGGGTCTGGACGCAGCCGATGCAGGTGGCGGCTGCAGAGGAGGGGGCTATAGGGGTTGCGAAGGGGATTATGAAGGGGGCGGTGGGATTGGTGACGAAGGTTCCGTCAGGTACGTCTTTCCCTACTTATCCTACCCTGTCCTATCGGTATCTATTTATGGTGGTTTACTGACTTCCATGTTTGTGGGTTAGCTGCGCTAGGGCTAGTTGCATACCCGGCTCATGGGATATGTAAGAGTATTCATACTGCTGTCCGCTCAACCACGAGGAAGCAGATTGCTGAAGCACAGTTACGAGAGGGAAACTATTTTGCGCGGGGGAAATTGGGGCAAGGGGTTGATCGGAAGCGGGTGATATAGGTTTATGATAGTTGACAGAAGGGGAAGGGAGCTCAAGAGGAGGAAGAAAAAGCGTTAATGGTATTAATAGATCCATTGATCAGCCCACTTGAACCATCAAAATACCCAAGGTATCTGCAGCGATAAATACCTCAATATCCTTCAACCATAACTTCCAGGTTTGAGTTGTAGGTCCTAGCTAACAGCTTCTAATAACTGTAGTAAGTTAGAGGATGGATTTATAAAAGCACTATGTGTTCATTATCTATATGAAAAGCTGATAGCGCCAAATCGATAAATCACAGGCTTGATCTTTTGTCAACCTTTTGTGAAGAGTACCTTCACCGATTTAGTACCTAGTCTTATTGAGTGAATTTGTTTCTATGGTAGCGACAGCTTAAAACACCACAGTGGGTGTTTTACCAGGGACCTACATTAAAGATTGCTCACTCGCATCTTCCCACCTACCCTGGTAGTATATAATTTATTTTTCGTCCTTGACAAGGAATTCTGGGCGAACCGTGCTTGGCCAGTCAAGAGGCGAGTAAGACGACAAGGCTGCGCCGCCTCACTTTTAGGTATCAACCATCTTTACCCCACCTCTATCACGGCGCCTCCTTACGGAAAAATCTTCAAAGGCACTGAGACAGTAATTAGTTGGTCCTACTTTGACACCGATGGCTTCTAACGCAAATGGTAAGCCTACCAGCTTCATTTATCAATGTCTAGAGGGGTATAAATGGCCTCCTCCCGACTAGGATCCGATGGCATGCCGCTTGAAGCGGAAACAAGAATTGATAATGATCATGCTATATCTCTGCTCGAAAGCGGGTCTGTAGCTCCTTTCATCTTGTTACTAAAAGTCCAACCGCGATCGCTAACCTAGCATAGTGCACTAAAGGGCAAAGTTATCGTCATCCTTATCATTGGCTCTACTGGGGCTGGAAAAACGAATGTGATTAACTTGCTCACGGATCGGAGTATTCCAGTTGGGATCACTCTAGAGCCTGGTATGACTTTGAGGTCGCAAGAACACATGTCTTGCGTTCCACGACTGACAAATAAAATCAACTTCTTGGCAGGTATCGAAATATCGCGTGCTATTCTGGAAACCATAAACAACCAGATGTTCCTCTTCATTGATACACCCGGGTTTGGCCATCCCAAGATGTCGAACGACAAAGTGAAAGATATTATCTTTGCATTGCTTGGATACTTCACTCGCTGGCTGGGGGGGGATCCACGGTATACTATATCTACAGGACATCCGCGCCGATCGCGAAAGCCCTGGAATGAGCGATAGTTTCGACTTTCTCGTCAGCTTGCTTGAAGAAATTCCGCCTGTCGTATCCTTTATCACAACAAAGTGGGATACAGTCGCGGCAAAGGAGGTACATAAACTCGTTACACGGGAGGAAGAGTTGAAGAAATATTGGCGAAAGCGGTTCGAGGTCCGCGTGTGGGAGTTTCCGGTTCGCGATGAGGCCGTCTTGCGTTGTGAGGCTAGCTGCCTCGATGACCTAGAATACAGGGAGCCGAAGCGGCAAGAATTGCTCGACAGAATATTTAGGAGGTATTTTCAGGCGAAGCTTGTAGCTTTGGAAATGCCATTTTGGGAATGGACTAAGTTGGACAAGGCCGCATACATCGGAACACTACCACTCAAAGCCGTCGCGATCGTCCTTGGGGAAGTTTTGAAAGGGATCGGTAGAGCGGAAGTTCGGTTTACCTTCAGTGTTGGATAGTCATTCAGGGGAGACTACATGCGTGAGGATGGAGGGGTAGGGTCACACGAGAATTATCAGGCGAATGGCTATGGTCTCTTTCTGGTCTCAAATGTTCATATTACGGGGTTCGTCTCTCTGCTATGTAGCGAATCTCAACCGCGATGGAGGGGATCCTGAGTAATACTTTAGCGGAAGTGTCCTTTGGGCTCGGAGGTTGACTATGCGACACTAAACATGTTGATCAACATACATTGTGCGTCAAAATCATATATGACCTTTGTAGCGTGCCATACGTTACTACCTAATAGGCCTTTCGGTCTTGTGCAACCGAGAGAGTGGAATGAAATGATAATTACACAGAACTTTAAAAAAGGGCAGAAACCTCATCCTTTATTAATAATATATTTAAGAATAGAATACTTAAATAAGGGAATACAGAGAAAGAGTAGAGACATCGGAGGTATAATAGATATAGTAAGTATAATAGCTGATTTTTAATTATTTACTATGATCATAAGATTTATACAGCGTATAGATGTAAGATTTTGCTTTACCGGAGAAGCGCCTGTATAGCCTATTCCTTTAATAGATAGGCTTTATCGGGTTAATAGAAGTTTGGTTGATTGATTAATTGATTGATCTAGCATTTTAAAGATCACCCAGCGCTCTCTTCGGTTCAGTCTTCCCCCAACTCATGCTGGTGGCATTTGCTGTGTCCTTCGGAGTTTGCGGGGTTCGCATTGGCGCTTCATGTTCGCACCAGAACGCGTGGTAGGAAGACCTCTATATTCAATTGTTTAATCAAGTCGATAACCGATCCCTGCACTTAGACACCCGGATGTTATGCAAGGTCGGCTACTCAACCTCATGGTTAAGCTCAGCTCCGGCGTATTTCCCCCGGACTACGGAGAAAGTCGAGCGTGGGGGAGACTGCGTATGTCTCATATTTTCGTGACACCATGTCGCATTGAGTTGAGCCGAGATAATCTCGTCATTTCTCGGTAGTCCAAAACCATGCTTAAGCTGATTATATGGACCGCCGCTAACTATAAAGCTGCTATCAATCCATTTGAAATCTACTGAAGTTAAGTCCTTCATTCCATTGAGTGGCAACAAACGACAAGCAATGACTCGCCCATATCTCTCTGTTAGGGCTATTCTGGTCCATTTCCTTTTCATACTCCAGCTCGTGAGCAGCCAAGTTATATCCTTCGATGAAGGAGATCTTTTGCTTGGGGCTAGGGACAACGCAGCAACGATCGTGGTCCTGGAGAATGAAATAAAAGGAGTTGTTCGCGCTGCTCAGGATCGCGCTTTAGATTTTGGCCGTGTCCTCGGCACCAATGGCACCCTTGTGCAAGGAGATACCGTCAGAAATAGCAATCAGCAGGTGGTTGTCATCGTGGGAACCATTGGAAATTCGACAGTCATCGACAAGCTCGTCGACAAGGGCAAGATCAACATCTCAAAGGTACAGGGGAAGTGGGAGTCCTACATTCAAGCCGTAGTTGATGATCCGCTCCCTGGCATCTCACATGCCTTCGTCATCGCCGGCAGCGACAAACGGGGTACTATCTACGGAATCTACGACATATCAGAAGCAATCGGGGTTTCTCCATGGTACTGGTGGGCGGATGTTCCCGTAAAGGAAAAGGACGCTATTTACCTAAAGCCTTCCGGCGCTAGAATCCAGGGCCCACCGCAGTGCGATATCGAGGCTTCTTCATCAACGATGGATCACAACTAATCCTATGGGCGGAAGGGAAGTTCCCGCGAAGTCCCCAGGGCGGTTGCTTTACGGGTGAATTCTACAAACTAGTCTTTTAGCTGCTCCTCCGGTTGAAGGCAAATTATCTCTGGCCTGGAATGAAAAGGAAGGAGGCGTTTTATCTCGACGATGAAGATGATGGTAGGATTGCACACGAGTATGGCATTTTCATGGGCACTAGTCATCATGAGCCCATGGCAAAGACCTACTATGAACAGCAGTACCGATTCGAAGGCCCATGGGACTGGAGTGAAAACTATGGCAACGTGGTCGAGTTCATGAGAGATGGGGTGAACCGGACCAAGGACTGGGATACGCTGTATACATTGGGAATGCGAGGGGATGGGGATCAAGAATCGCCAGCGTTAACGTCGTCTCAGCTGGAGGAGATCATACAGACGCAGCAGGACATGATCGAGGAGCTCACCGGCAAAGAACTCAAGGATGTACCGCAAACCTGGTCCTTATACAAGGTTAGTCTTGAACCCAATCGCGGACCCTGTTTATCTTGCAGTTGCTTATAAGTCAACAGGAAGTGGGACGCTACTGGCAGGCAGGAATGAATGTCTCTGATCTGGTTACATTGATGTGGGCTGACGACAATTTTGGAAACCTGCTTCGTGTGCCTTGGGCCAACGAGACCGACCGACCGGGCGGCGCAGGAGTCTACTACCACTTTGGATACGTAGGAGATCCTCGAAACTACGAGTGGATCAGCACTGTTCAGCTGGTCAAAACCTGGGAGCAAATGCATCTTGCCTACGAAAAGGGGGCTAGGGAGATTTGGATCGCTAATTCTCAGGATATCAAACCCTATGTGAGTGATCCCTATTTCTTCCATTATCAGGAGATACTAACAACCAGACAGGAGATTCCAACGAACCACTTCCTCGACATGGCCTATGACATGAGCAAATTCCAGAATCCCGAAAGCACTACCGAGTGGCTGAAGGCATGGGCAAAGCGTGAATTCGGCAGTGGCATCGAAAGCGCCACGGCCGAAATCCTGAACATCTACGGCCGATTAGTCGTCCGGAGAAAGTATGAGACCCTTTCCATGATGCCTTTCGCATACCACGTTTTGAACTACGACGAGGCCGAGAACGTGCTACAGGAATGGGAGGACCTACTCGACCAAGCCCGGCGTGTTCACGACAGCCTTGACCAACCGACCCGAGATGCGTTCTACGAGCTCGTCCTCCACCAAGTCTTAGCGGGCAAATACGTCCAGGAAATCTACATCGCAACACACCTGGGCTGGCTCTACAAGAACCAAAAAAGGGCCAGTACAAACCGCCTCGCCGCCCAGGCCCGCACTGCCTTTGCCAACGACGCCGCCACGTGTTGAGACTGTGGCTTTTGGAGCCGGGGGTATTGGTGCAGAAGATTGTGGTTGATTTGGGGGGGATGTTGGAGAGTGCGTTGGGGCCGCCGGAGAGTAGGAGTTTTGGTTGATCTGGATAGGGCTATGGATAGATGAGAGTTGTGTCTGCATTCACTACCCTAGGATACAGTATCAATAAACCGGTCTATTCTGATGCCCAGTCCAGCGAGCGAATATAAAAATACTCTACACTCAAACTCAACCCAGAAGCAAAGAAGCCTACTCCTCCGGCTTCTCCAACCTCAACACTCGGAACAACACCCTCTCAACCGGCAACAGCCCCAACATGACGCCATTAAACCGATAAGCCGTCAAAGTAACAGCGGCGCCCACCAGCGCATCCAACAAGAAATGATTCGCCGTCGCAACGACCGTCAAACCCATCAACACCGGCCACAGCGGGGCCAGGACCCTAACACCCCAGTGCGGACTAAACCTGACCAAGACAAACGCGATGAAGAACGCATTCCCAAAATGCAATGACGGCATAGCCGCAATCGTCAGCTGGAACTTATTCGACGTCCAGGCCGACCCGGTGCGGTTCTTATGCAGCACGTCGATGAACCCGTCGTCCGGGGGCAGGAGACGGGGCGGGGCGCAGCGCCAGAGACTCAGGATGCAGAAGGCGAGGACGTTCTCGAAGGAGAGCGCGCGGCGGACAGACTGGTATCGGTCGCGTGGGAGGTAGGTGAAGCAGTAGACGAGGAAGACGATGCCGAGGACGATGTGCGAGTAGTAGACTTTGGCGAGGACGGGCATCAGGGGAGGGAGTTGGGAGAGGACGAAGCGCTGGACGGACAGCTCGATGTCGATGTGCAGCAGGTGCTCGAGGGCGAGGATCTGGTGCGCATGGTCTTCGGCGCGGTCGAAGATGGCCTTGTGTCCGGCGATCTGGCGGGCGGAGAATGCGCGCAGGCCTTGGTAGATCTGGTTGTCGTGGTGGTCGTTTAGTGATGCTCACTAAAGTCTCATAATGAGTAGAATTGGCAGTGCATACCCAGTAGGTCAACACCCAGTACCAGATCTCCAGTAAGAATGGGAAGTAGGCCAGGATCCGCGATTGGATCGTCCGGCGGGTTTTGAAAGAATGGAAGACGACGTCTTCATTGGGAGGTTTATGCGGTGCAGGGTGGTTTTCTCCTAGGAGCGGCGACTCGACGGAGGGCGTTTCTGGTAATCGGACATGCTTGCGACGATTGATGAGCGTGCCTGCAGTGAAAACTGCCACGATCGCTGCCAGAGTCAATGTCAGGAAAGCCCGAGTATGGAAATGCATGGGCTGGACCTACCACCGGGCTCGATCAGATTCCGTATTCCTCCCATGACTATCGTGGTAACAATATTAACAGAATGGGTATAGGATCAAACGAGTGAGATCCAGACGGAGAACCACGGGACAGTTCGATGGATCCTGCAGGTTGATCGCCCGAGGAACAAGACTGTAGGGCTGAATTAGGGCACCGACGACGTCACTGGCAGGTCCGTGGGCAGGAGGAACGGATCAAGTCGACGGTCATGGATCGGAGGGGATGAACGATAGTTACTTCAGGTGAGTAATTCAGACTGAGAAAAGCAGGTACAAAGAAACGGGGAAATGCAATCAGGCGACTGTCGTGTCGTGGCTGCTGCGGTGATCTGTTCTTCCGCGACTTCCGTCGGCTCATGCAATGACTGGGGTGGTTTCACAGCGCTGCAGACTTGGAGATTGGGTTATCTGGTATAAAAAAGTATAAAACCCTCTCTATAAATTAGTGCCATTCTGTCAAACAGTATCTGGAGTTTAGTTGCTGAGGTATAAGGATCCTATAATAAGTCTTTTATATGGAAGTCCATAGTGTTCAATTGCGACCCTAACCAATTTGTACCCAGACAGCAATAGCTTCGGATTTCACTTTTTAACAGAACCAGAACTTGGTCGCAAGTACACCACTCAGTCAGCAGCGAAGAGCCTTATCATAATATAGTCGACGAACTATTCCAGCCTTGCCTTTGACCTCCTCAGGATCATTACCAGGATACTTAGCGCTCAGCCTGGTTTCTCTCGGATCAACCGGATCAAGCCGAGTGTTAGTCTCATTCCAGCCTTCTCTAGTGCTTACTTCGAAAGCACAAGATTCGGGGATAAGAACGGCGCAAATAAATGACATAAAGACAATATAATGAATGCTAGCTCCAACTACCATGTACCAACACTAAATAGTACCTAGTGAACTGATCGGATGATGATTGGTGGACAGGGGTTAGATGTTGGTGAATGACGGGGGAAGAGCTGAGGGGGAGATTTATTGAAGTATTAGACCGTTTTTGATTATTATAGACTGGACTGTCGTTCTCTAGACGCACCTTTCAATTTAGATACACTCCAATGTACGATTCACCGCGGGATCTTGAACCCCGGCACCATCTGCCGGAAGACGCCTTTCGGATCCAGTTCCTGGCTGATGCGCTGCAGCTTCTCCACGCTCTGGCGCCCGTAACTGGCGATCGGGTCCTGCCACTGCGCCGCGTAATTCAAGTACACGAACGGATGATATGCGTCCAGCGCATGCGCGTCGGCCTCGATGCCTGCAAACAGCATCCGGGCTGCTTCCTCCACTCGCGCATCGTCCGCCGCCTCATCCCAGGTGGCGCTCAGCACCGTCACCACCAGGGATCCCTCGGAGTCGGACAGGCCCATCGCATTGCGGGTCGGCGCCCGCGCATAGATGGCGGCGGGCAGCGGCTCGAGAGAAATCGACCAGACGATGCCCGACACATCCTGCACGGCCGTAAGGCTGGCGTTCCATCGCAAATAGGTCGCATTGAGCATGGGAACGGTCGAGTCGTGCGTGGTCACTATGCCTAGCTGCCTGGTATTTGTTCAGGTCAGCATGCCCCTTGAGAAAGATAAAGAGTCTTACCTCTTCCCACTCTGTGAAAACGATCCTTGCTCCGTAGCCACCTCATGCAAGGGCGCCACACGCACCGTGCTAAACAACTGAGGAATGTCAAAGAGCGGATCATACACGGGGGGCCGTTCTCCATCCCCGCGCTGCTCCCCCGTATACACCATGCTATTCACCACAGCGGCGCCCTGTCCGCCCGCAAATCCAAAGCTGGTGATCAACGAGGCATACTCATCATACGAGCCGACGATGGGATCGCTCAGCTCCGCGAACGCGCGCAGCTGCGCATCAATGGTCTCCATGCCGTAGTAGACATGGCCGCCGTAGATCGGACCCTGATGGAAAGCGCGTAGCTCGAAGCCGGTGACGACGCCGAAGTTGGACCCGCCGCCGCGCAGCGCAGCCAGCGTGTCCAGATGCTGTGCCTCGTCGAGATGCACGATCGAGCCGTTGGCGAGCACGATCTCCACCCCGACCACATTGTCGCACGTCCAGCCGTAGCGCGGCGAGAAGTACGAGATGCCGCCCTCGAGCGTCAGGCCGCCGACTCCGACCTGCGCGGCGCGGCCGCCTGCTACCGGGAGGCCTGCCGGGTCCAGGAGGGCGTACACTTCGCCCCAGGTGGCGCCTGTCCCGACGAAGACGGTGGGCGGGTGGTCATCGTCGGACTCGGACGGGGACGCGATCTGGACGTCGTTCAGAGCGCGCAGGTCGATCGTGACGCCTTGGTCGATGTTGGAGGCGCCCGCGAAAGAGTTGTGGCCACCGGAGCGGACGGCAAAGTGGCAGCCGGCTTGCTCGTGTGCAGGAAGGGCGGAGGCGGTCACAACGAGACTGGTCACGATGCTGGACACCTCCTCGGCCGACTCGGGGGATACCACGCACAACGGCTGGAGCTCGCTGTTTTGCCCGGCAAAGTAGGACTCCTGGGACGATTGGTACGGGATCGTGTCGGGGAATGCGACTTTCCCCGGGCCCAGGGAGGCCAGCGTGAGGCACTACAGACGATATTAGCCTTCGGGGTTTCAAGGCAAACCAGGGAAGGAAGAATTGAAACGCACGCAGACGCCTAGTGAGGAGGTAGCCATGGTCGAATTATCACCGACGATAGGCAACGCATCCATAGCGAGGAATGTTGTACGAAGGGCGGGAGAAGGGAGGAGAAAATGGGCAACCAGGAAGAGCCGGTGGGTTTTAAATGGTTTCTGTTTTGAGTTCGTACATCCTTCCGACGATGTACATGGATTGGCTTTTACTATAACCCTGTAGAAAATTGGCCTTACTATGATAGCATGAGTAATTTATCTGGGGCTTTTATGGTCAAGGTATATTAGTCTTGTAAAATATCTTTGATATAAGATACTCTCAGCATAATTAGGAAACAACAATTTATTTTATAATAGAAGTAGGACCTGGTTATCAAGTTACACCTACTACTTGAGTAACAATAACAAGGGTGCCAAAAATTACTATAACTATAAGAATCATTAATCTACTAATATCATTGATAAAAGATGAAATACAGAGAAGATCTCTACTTCTAGTACAATCATCTAACAATAATAGAAGACAGTAAAAATGGCTGAAGTAGATACCGACATGGAAACACTACCTATAAGCCTATATGGAGGACCGCCGCGGCAATCGAAAAGGATCAGAATGAGTATCAGGATAAATGAATGGGCTGAGTTCGTCTAGGATGAAGGGGATAACTTGAAATGCCTGCCAGGATCCCACAATAATTCTTTTAAGCGTATATGCTGAACATTGTATTTTCAGTAGGTAAATATGCTCAGTAGTTCTCCGTATGTTAAGATGCATAATATCTAGAAGCCATAGTCCGCTCGTATTTTCCTCTCAGTTATCGAGGACTTGTTGTCTCGTTCCTGATACAAAGCATGACCAGCAAAACGTCCTTCGTGATAGATAGAGACAATTTGGACCATATTATTCTTAAATCTCTCCTGGCGTGTATGTTTCTTCTCGATGCTCTGGAATGCTTGGGACGCATAACGCCTGGCAAGGGCGAACTGCGGTCGAGCCACGTGGACGCAGCCGCTCGTCCAAGCCTCCACTCCCCAGTCGGTTAGCCCAAACAAGATACCATCATCATTTCCATGCGAGAATGTTTTATCGTGCGGGCCATACTCTCCGTAGGTCGATAACAGGGCGATTTGTCTCCTCGAGAAGTGTTGCTTCATCACCCGTTGCTTCTGTCCACGCCGCTTTCTTTTCCACTCTGCCCCAACTGCATCAACCGATCTTATCATGTCCCATTGATGCAGAGCCTCTTGACCGCTATAAAAACGGTGGTTATCATCCAATCACACTTGGATGTGTCCTAGCCAACGGGAGATATAAGATACTGCATAAATTAGGATGGGGAGGTTACTCAACAGTTTGGGTTGCAAGAGACCGAAGGTAAGAATAGCCATTACCTTGGCGAAACCCAGCTAATTCACTCTTAGAGAAGAAGCGTACGTTGCTATCAAGATCTGCGTGTCTGAGCAAAAAAGCGATAGCAAGCAGCGAGAGCTCCATGTTCTGGAGAAGCTAACACCAACACACCTTGGCTCTCGGCACGTCATGCGCATACTTGACCACTTTAGCTTAAACGGACCTAACGGGACGCATCGCTGTCTAGTCCTTGAACTTTTGGGCCCAAGTGTCCCCGACTTTATAGAAGCACGCTTCGCGGATGGGAGACTTCCGGGAACTCTCGCCAAGACCATTGCCAAACAGGCTTTAGTTGGACTCGACCTTCTACATGACTACAAAATTGCACATGGTGGTGGGTCATACATACGTCTTGCTCTCGAATGGTGTTAACATTAGTTAGACCTCCACTCTCGCAACTTGGCTTTTGTCATGGCCCCTATGGATACCGTCTCGGAGCATGAGTTCATCAAGATACTAGGGAAACCAGATATCGGACATGTCCACAGAACTGACGGCAAAAACTTAGGGCCTGGCGTACCCGAGTATATTGTCAAGCCTGCGAGGACAACTTCATGGCCATTACCACACACCGTCAAGATAATTGACTTTGGCGAATCATTCCTGCAGCATAATTTCCCTCCGACTCTTCACACGCCACTGGTCGTCCGGGCACCTGAAGTTATCTTCCACGACCGTCTAGATTATCGTGTAGATCTCTAGGGTCTGGGCTGTATGGTAAGGCAGATTATTAGTAACAGCTCATTTCACTGTGACTAACAGATATGTCATAGCTGTTCGAAATATTTGTCGGTCAGCCTCCCTTCGATAGTCTGTTCACAACTCCTCAGATTCTTGTTGGCCAGATGCAAGAGATCACAAACGAAATGCTACCTGAAAGATGGATGGGCGCATGGGAGGCAATGCGCGGTGGTGATACCATGGAAGACTCGGGGCCTGGGTTGCAAGAATGGCTGGAGAAGATGTACTTCGATGGTGAGCGAAAAGCGGACTTGGCAAAGGAGGACATTGTCAAACTGGGGCACATTATCCAAAGGCTACTGCGGTTCGAGCCGTCTTCCAGGGCATCGGTGAAGGAAATTCTGAACGATCCTTGGTTTAGGGATTGAAACTACAGTTCGGTATACAAGGTGCGGGGCTCAGTGATTGACTTATTGCTCCGCAGAAGAGTAAAAGATAATTCCCAATCCGCTCACTCGTTCTTAGGAACTCACTCAATCACAGGGGTGAAGGCCTTGTGGGAGTTGTCTAAATTCACTATTTTCTATGTGGCAAGGTGAGAATACGAAGTCTCGCACCCACCTTCCCTCTATGACTAGTAGCACCCTGCACTACCGAATCCAAGATTTTCTTCTTTATCAATTGCTAATTCTCGTTTTCAAACTTTTCAGTAGGACGAACTATCAAACTCTATCAACCCCCCTCAAGATGTGACAGCCCAAGAGCACACGCTAATCCTGCACGTGAACACAGTCGGTGACTGCAGTTTAACTGTGATCAAGCTGCAGAAGATCTTCATTGGTAGTTTACAGCGTGGTGTGAGCAGGTGGCAATAAAGTTCGTGCGATATCCGGCGATTTACTGATGAAGGGGAGGGGAGGGGAGGGAGTGAGTTTGGCGGGGTTTTGTAGAGGCAAAGTCAGTCGTCTTTGAAAGTATGGTATTGGTAGCAGTATTAAAGAATGTGGTTGAAGTGTGAATATACAAATTGCCATAAGAGGTGGATGGATAGTAGCATGTAAGTCATCAAGTATCGAGGCCGGCAATTGACCACGAGGAAACTAACCCTTATACTAGCATTCAGACCCCCAACTATTAATCTATTCGAGGCCGTTCGATCTCTGCAGAAATCGATTAATTACGGCGTACTCCGGAAATCCTTTGCTCATTTCACGAATCCTGCAACACAGGCCCCCAACCCCCTCCAGGCCAATCGCAGACCATCGTGCCTCGGACTCTGGTTGGGCGATACCTCGCCTAGAGACTCCCCGGCCCAGTCCGAAATGTGACGGCCAAAAGGTGGACTGGACGGACTCTCCGCTGCAGCCATATTATTTGTCCATCGTATGCAGCACCGGGAGACTAAAATGTGATGAAGGGTGTTCTGTGCTCCATCGTGCAGCGAGTTGGCGCTTAGAGCAGAGACCCCGCGATCATTGGCCGCCAGCCTCCCGTGCCGTCGGAAGCCCTAACCTCCGCCATCAGACTCAGCGACTATATAGCCGCGCATCTATCCCTGGTCTTTGCCTCTTTTTCCTGTCTGGCACATTGTCTGTTTGAGGTTGATTTTCTTTCCGGTGTTCTTTTTTTTTTTTTTCTGTTCTATTTTCGTCGTTCGGTGGTTCGTTTGGCTGGCCCAGGCGACAGCTACAGTTGGCTTCTTTTTTTGGATCTGCACCACGTCAATAATAGTATCATTTACGCGCTGTGCCTCTGGCAACTCTGGCAACGGCTTTGTTGATCAAAGTCCGCCCCCACAGCTGTTCTCTGTTTTCCGTTTTCTTTCTTCTCTTTCATCATCCACTCCAAACTTTAATATCTCGCTTGTTCCGTCCTCGAAGTTGCAAGAACATCTTTTCATTATGCTTCCTCGTGTTGCCGTTAAACCCAAGCTGACCGTCAGCATCGCTGCGGCACAAAACCCTACTCGACCGGCTTTGTCTCTCAAGTCTCCTGGTCCTCTTCCTCGCACTCCCATCTCGCCGTCCCCCATCAGCCCCAGTGCCAAGCGGTATTCGTCGCTGCAAATCCCGGCCTACAACTACACCAACTCATGTTCGTCCAAGAGCATCCTCAAGAAGCACTCGGCGAATGGCACGGTCAAGAGACACATCCAATTCAAAGGCACCCCCACAGTGCACTGCGTGACGCCGATTGAAAACCCCGAGGAATACTACGGCACGCACACCAAAGTGTCGCGCGAAGAGCGACGCTGGACGGTCCGAGAATGAACACCCAGCGAGAATCGATTTGACACTTGACAATCTCTCTACCGGCGGATTTGTGGGAGCGCAGGGCCAAGATTGCAGAGTCCTCTTGCGGATCCTGCGACGTCACTTTCCCGCGCTCACGACCGGCCCTACTCTGAATCGATACGTCACCTTGCATTGGCCGATGCAGTCTAGTGGGATGGAATGTGGCGCAGAGCGACGGTTGTTCAGCAGGACGGAACTCGGTGGATGATCCTGGAGAAGGAGAACGCCTCCCGTGTATATGAGAACTACATACTATTATGTTTATGACGTGATGATCTGGTCTGGCGTTTAGTTTAGTTTAGTTTAGTTTGACGCTTGAGCATAGCCTGGTACAAATCCAATTACGCTCGTTATGGCTCCACTGAGGGACGCTGCACTTATTATTTATTAATAGTAGTGACTGGTCGGGTCTATTTATAGGTGCATGGCAACTACTGCGTAATTTATGCCCAAAACACCGAAGGCATTAATCAATCAATTAATATCGAATCTAGCTCCTTACTTAATCCTACCGCTTTGGTCCCTGGTTTAGGGCTGAGTCCCAGGGCTTGCCTGGCCCGTGCGAGCAGGTTCTTGCGCCTTTCCGTCGGGTCGCCTCCTGGCCCAGCGCCATTCTCGCCATCCGTTTCCCGATGCTACATTCGCGACTCCCTGCTGCGGTCTGTCGCAGGAAAATCTGTGCAGTCCCAAAACCAAAATGGAGTCTGCCCTCGCGATATCGCGGGTTACTGACTCTCGCCATCGAGTCGTCGTGGTGAGTTGATCCTGGTTCGGTTGGTCGAGGGACGGCCCGCAGAATTGCTAACTTCTTGCCAGCGATGATACCTCGGTTGCGATCGTCGAAAAGAAGACCGGTCCGTCTGGTGCCATCGCAAAGACCCATTTCCTCGAGAATGTCACGGCAGACACGACCTCGTATCGCGGCGTCCATCCCGTCGTCGCCCTGGAGTCGCATCAAGAGAACATGGCAAAGCTGGTCAACAAGGCCCTGTCGCATTTACCTACACCCTCGGAGGATACAAATGGAGGACATGGTCTATTACACCTTTCAAATGACCCCACGCCACGTCGCAAACCGGACTTTGTGTCTGCCACCAGGGGCCCGGGGATGCGATCTAATTTGTTCGTCGGGTTGGACACGGGTAAAGCGCTGTCGGTTGCGTGGCAGGTTCCCTTTGTCGGGGTCCATCATATGCAGGCTCATCTGTTGACGCCGCGTCTGGTGTCGTGTTTGGAACGTGCCCAAGACGAGGCGTCGGAGACCGTCTCGCCCAAGCCTACGACCCCTGAGTTCCCGTTCCTCTCGATCCTCGTCTCCGGTGGGCATACGATCCTCGTCAAATCGTCTTCCCTCACGGACCATGAGATCATGGCGTCTAGCTCGGACGTGGCGATCGGCGAATCGCTGGACAAAGCGGCCCGGGATATCATTCCCGAACCTGTGCTTCAGAGTGCGAAAACGACAATGTACGGCAAGTTGTTGGAGCAATTTGCGTTTCCAAACGGCAGCATAGACTACGCCGACTACCGGCCCCCGATGACGCGCGGCGAAGAGCTCGCCAAGCGTGAGACCCCCTGGGGCTGGTCCCTCACTACTCCCTTCGCCAAGACTCGACAGTTGGAATTCAGTTTCGCATCCATCGCGACGTCGATTACCAGGATCCTTTCTGCGAAGGATAAAGCCGGCAAGACCATGGGCGACGAAGAGCGGGTCGTCATGGCGCGTGAGTCGATGCGCGTCTGCTTCGAGCATCTTGCCTCCCGCACCGTCATCGCTCTCGAAGCGCTTCGCGACCAGGGCACCGGCGACGAGGTAAAAACCCTCGTGGTCAGCGGCGGCGTTGCGGCGAATCGCTTCCTGATGACCGTACTCCGCTCCTTCCTCGATGTCCGCGGGTTCGGGCACGTCAGTATCATCGCGCCGCCGCCCTCTCTGTGCACCGATAATGCCGCGATGATCGGATGGGCGGGCATCGAGATGTTCGAGGCCGGCTGGCGCAGCGATCTCAGCTGTCGGGCTTGGAGAAAGTGGTCTCTTGATCCCCGCGCTGAGGACGGCGGTATCCTGGGTCCGGCGGACTGGGTCAGGCTTGAACAATCATGAAACCACTGAAAATGTACACTAGCAAACCCTTGTATAATACTGTCGCACGTCGCTCTACTCCCTCTCATCGACAAATGTATATAGAATGATGCATACTAATCAAAATATTGAAAGACGTCTCGTCTCGATGTTTGTTTTTCATTTTATCATTTCCGCACTATTAGACAACCATTCAGAATACGCTATCCGGGTATGATGATAGATGATGATAGTCCTGTAGATGTAATTGCCTCAATCCCATATCCGCCCAAATGTCGTAAATCGCATTTTCGCCAACTCAGTGACGTTGCTAAGGATAGGTATCCTCCGATCGGCCAGCGACCAGCGAAACCAGCCTCAACCTCAACCCCAACCTCCTTACTCTGTCTATTCGACGTTCCAGCCCCCAAGCTCACTCCGCAAAGCTTAGCCACCCGCAACATTACCACCCTGTTTCAAAGTCGTAACTTGCTTTCGCAGCTCGAGGAAGAAATCCTTCCCGCTGGCCATCGAGTTTGCTGTGTCATCGTTAACCATAACCATTCACTCTGCTGACCTTCCAGTCGAGAAATAAGGGTAAGACTCGAGCACATACGCTTGGATCCCCACGGCCCGCCCGAGCGGTTATTCGCATCTTTACCCGGGGTTTTGTAGAAGAAGGGTCTCGGCGCTGCGGGTACGGAAGGGAAGCAGTTAGCGACGTGTGACCGGTGCAACATCTAGGGGAGCTTCTTGATCGAGAGGTGATGCGAAGGGCAGGAGAAGTGAAGGTGGTATGGTACGAAGGTCTCGCCATGTGGTCGAGCAGATCGGCCTGCATGTAGTTGTAGGTGTAGTAGGGCTGGCTGTGCTTTACGTACCTCCTGGGCCTGATCGGAAGCGCCGAAAACCGTTAGCAAAAAAAAAAAAAAAAAAAAAGCTCAAGTCGCACAGTGGTTGCTATCGCAATGATCATGACGCAAAAGACATACCTCTTCTCAGAGCTCCCTTTGCCTCGGCGGCGTTGAAGCCTCGTACGGGAACGTGCTGGTCCTGGGACAGTCCGGCGGCGGAGAGCTGGTCGCGTGAGTCGCCGGCCCCCCGGGCGTTGGGGTTCTGGCTCTGGTTCTGATTTGGGTTTTGATGTGGATTCTGATTCTGTCCGCCACGAGCGCCGCCGTGCATGTTCATGTTCCGGGCGTTGGGGTGACGCTGTCCCGACTGACGATTGTGATCGTAGGGCCGACCTCCGCGCCAACTGATGCGCAGCGGTTAGCTTGTTTGGGAGGAAGATAGAGGAGTGTTGGGGGGGAAGACGGGGGGTCTGAGGGAGGAGGGAGGTGTTACCGATCTTCGGGACCAATCATCCTGGAACAAGTGCAAAGCTGAGAAGAGGAAGTCGAGAGGCTTGACAGCAGCAGCAGGCGATGCTGAGCAGCTCCGCGTTTGTCTGCTTTGTTGGTTTTGCTTTGGTTTGACGGGCGGTGGAGCCTCTCCGCCTTTGGCCCAGCGCGGTTTAGCGCCGGCCGCCTGAGATAACGAAGGGCCACTCCTCGCCTTCGCGTCGTCCTGAGTCTGCTGTCGCTTGTCCGTCCCCGTTGCTGCCCTGCGTGCTTTGTCCCTCAAGTCATGATTCACTGCTGCGCTCTCTCTGATTGTGCTTGTGATTTCTCTGCTGATACGGTCCAGCTGGGATCTGTGGTGTCCCAACTGTGAGGGTGAGCACAAAGGATCCAGCTCGAGATTAACCACCCAAACAGTCCCTTCGTTTGCATCATACCTCATCGATCCTGTCTTTACTGAACCCACCTCTTCAAAATGGCGCCGTACGCCTCCCCGAAAAACCGCACTCCGCCCGGAAAACCGTCGAGATCCGCGTCGAAAGTCACCCTGAAGGGTCCCCGAAGCTCGGACCCGGCTCCCAGCGAAGGCCCCCCTCTCAAGAAACGCAAATACGTCCCCGGCGGCCCCGGTGGAGGAGGCCGATACATCGAACTCGACGTGAGGGAGACGAAACCCCCCAAGCCAGCTCCTGCCCGACGCACATCGTCCGCCACGTCGCGGAGTCGTCCCTCCGCCTCGCAGCCCAAGCCTCAGCCCGCCCAGCTGCCACCCCCTCCACCCCCGGTGCCCACCACGCCGCCCTCCGCGCGTCTGCGGCGCGATAAAAGCCAGAATCGGGGTCGCTTCGGCTCCTCGACGGCCGCCGCGCTGGCGTTACAACAAGGCGACGGCTACAAGCCGCGTGAGGAGCGAGGCTGGGAGGAGTTCCATCCCGAGCTGGACATCGAAACAAGATTCACGGTGTTCAGTGCCGACGATGTGGACCGTCCCGCGCCGTCCGGACCCATCGCCAATATCCTGACGCCGAGCGGGCTGGATAGGAATGGCGAGAAAGACCCGTTGGCGGAGCTCGTGCGCGCCCACGCCAACGGCACCTCGCCGACGCCCATCAAGCGGAAGCCAGGTCGGCCGCCCCGTCGTCCGGAAGCGATCTTGAATGCCCTGGGCATCTCGCCGCAGCAGAAAGTCGTGCCGCCGCCGGGTCCGAATCCTCGGGAGAAGTTGACGCTGCCGAAGCCGTCGTTCCGCATCTGTGACCCCTTTACATTCTACGATCAGCCCGGCGTGGGTCAGCAGAATTACGTCGACCGTACGATGGCGAGCGTGGGCTACCAGGAGAGCGACCTCTTTCTCCGCCATGACCGTCAGCTCGTTCGGATGACGGAGGGCGCGCAAGACGACGACATGGATCTGGCGAACCCCGTGATCACGGAGGGTGAGGTGAATGCGACGGTGGGGAGGGTGGAATATGATATGGATGAACAGGACGAGAAGTGGCTGGAGGACTACAACACCAAGCGACGAGAAGACCAGGTCGAGCCGATCAAGCCGGCGGTCTTCGAGATCACCATGACTAAGATTGAAAAGGAGTGGCATACCCTTGAGAAACGCATCCCGAAACCGAACCCCAAGCCTCCGCAGACGCAACGCCCCCGATCCAGCTCCGCGGCTGCGGTGAATGGCGAAACTACCGGCCCCGGGGAAGAACATGATACCAAATGCGCGATCTGTGATGATGGCGATTGCGAAAACTCGAACGCGATTGTCTTCTGTGACGGCTGCGATCTTGCGGTGCACCAGGAATGCTACGGCGTACCTTTCATCCCCGAGGGCCAGTGGCTGTGTCGTAAGTGTCAGCTGATCGGACGGGGGTCAGTGAACTGCATCTTTTGTCCGAATACCGAAGGTGCTTTTAAGCAGACGCCCAGTTCGAAATGGTCCCACTTGCTTTGCGCTATTTGGATTCCGGAGGTTTCGATCGGCAACCCTTCCCTGATGGAGCCGATCACCGACGTTGAGAAGGTACCTAGGAGTCGTTGGAAGCTTCATTGCTATATCTGTCGGCAGAGAATGGGTGCGTCGATCCAGTGTAGTAACAAAAACTGCTTCGTGGCCTTCCATGTGACCTGTGCGCGACGGGCCCAGCTGTACCTCAAGATGAAGTCCGGTCACGGCAGCCCTGCAATCATGGACTCTCATTTACTCAAGGCCTTCTGCGACAAACATGTGCCCCCGGAGTGGCGCAGAGAACACGGCACGGATGTTGCCACTGCGGATGCCATCGAATACTATCGCAATACCATGCAGGGCCGCCGGTGGGGCGACAGTCAGGCGGCAGCTCTGTCGTTAGAGCCGGCGCATCCCTTGGGGTGCGACCATGACGACGATGGCCCAAGGACCCATACGCCACGAATCACTCTCACTATGGGTGGTAACAAGCGGAAGCGACCGGCCGTGCCGAGGACTATCTGGAAATTACCCTCGGGGGCACCGGTCATTCCCCAGATCGTTCTGAACTCGGTTGTGGCCTCTCTCCAGCGCTTTGGCGTTCGGCAGCGAAAGCAATATGCCGAAGATGCCTGCAAGTACTGGACTTTGAAACGAGAGGCCAGACGAGGTGCGGCGCTTCTCAAACGACTCCAGCTGCAGCTCGAAACATTCTCGTCCATGGAAATGACGCGACGAGACTATGTCGCGATGGGAGTTGCCGGCGGCAAACGACTTCAGCGGCGGATTGATTTTGGTGAGCGATTGTATCACGATCTCGATCGGTTGAGGATGCTCTGCGATGAGGTCAAGAAGCGAGAGCGAGAGAAGCTGAAGGATGCCGAGATGCTTCGGCATGTGGTTGACACCGTATATTTCCCCATCTTCCCTCTGCTATGGCCTATTTTTGAGAAAGCACAAGGGTGAGAACGCTCCGTCCTGACTACGTTTATCTACAATGACTAATGTGTTTGCAGGCTGGATGGGAAAGCCGTCTTCCGGGATGGCTTGTTGTCCATACGCAGTAAATTGGCCGAGCGCCACTACACATCGGTGTCTGCGTTTTCGGGCGACCTTGCGCGTGTCTTTACCTCCGAGATTGGTGTCAAGCCAGCTGGTGACACCAAGGAGCTTCAGATGCAGATCAGCGGTCGCGCTCCCGAGCTCAGTCTCGAACAACGGGAGAAAAGGACGCTTGCCAAGCGAATCATCCGAGCTATCCAGCCCGCTCTGGAAGATGCGATTAAAAAGGAGAGCGAGCTAAATCGCAAACCCTTTGAACAAGAGCTCAAGGAGCTGGATCTCATGCTTGAGACGAGCGTCCTGTCGCGGAGAGACTCGGAAATAGATCCCTCAGATATCCAGGCCCTGGAGAGACCCGAAGAAACGCAGAAGACCAACGGATCGGATGAAAAGATGGATGACGAAAATGTAATTGCGAAACTGGAGCCTCGCGACACCGCCGAAGCAACGGCCGTGCCTGAGAAACTCCAAGAAGATACGACCATGCCCGAAGCCGATAAGGCGGAGGTTCCCGAACCTACGGTGGAATCTCAAGTCGAGGACGCTTCGAAAGCAGAACCGGTCGCTCCGGCTCCTCAGGAACCTGAAAGCCAGGATGTTGACATGGCCACCACGTCGAATACTGTCCTTCCTACCACCGAAGGGGAGCAGCCGGCTGTCAACGGCGAAACCAACAAGACCGAGCAGGGTAGCCCGCAGCCGGCGAAAGACTCGAATCACGATCCCGCAAAGGGCCCGCTGACGCCGCCGCCAAGTTTCAAAGGCGATCAGCAGCTCCCTCTGTCGCAAGGGGGAATCCAGTGGTACATGCAACCGTTCGACCCGGTGGGGACCACCATTCACGAAGAACGCTGGACTGGTCGCGACGTGATGCGTGGAATGAGCGAGGAGCTCAGCGAACTGGACGAGGACGAATTGAAAGACCTCGTGGGGGACGAACTAGAAGGGCAAATGGTCACTGCGCCGGACGGGTCATCGACTCACGGCACGGACAGATCGGCCAATGGACAAAATGTGAAAGTGCATCGTACTCGAAGACGGTGGCGAGGATTCAAGTGAGGAAGGAATATCCTAGCGCGTACATGATTTTGTTGATGTTTTTGATTTGTTGATTATCATTTGGAGCCCTGTATTAGCAGTGCCTTTTTGTTGCGGGTTCGGAAGTGCAGGAACGGCGTTCAGTGGTAGCTTTTTCATTGTTGGGGAATTGTTTTGTTTTGACAGCTAGGCAGGGACGAATTCATGCTTGCAGAGAGAATTTGAAGAATTATCCTAGAAGTAATATGGAGTATATCAAGGAAATCGACAGACGTTGCGGAAGGCTTGGCACCCGCCGGTCTGGAATCGCTCGCCTTTCTTCGCCCGGTTCTTCCCCCTTCTTTCATCATTCTCACCACACCTTCACTCTTCGCCATCCCTTCCTCTTCCCTCCCTCTTCTTTCTTCAATTTCACCCTTACTGCTTTCAGGGATCCCTCGCTCACTAGGTGCCCTTTCATCACCTGATTGCTCTTTTTCAATCTCCCTTTCTCTGCTCGGTGGTTGAATTTTCAGCTTCCTCTTTTTCTACCACACAACTGCGATTCTTGGGACCGTGCATCGCGCGCGCCACTGCTGAATCAACCAGCTCTCTCTCCATTCTTCCAGTCCTTTTCACTCCCCTCGACCATCATGGCCACGGAATACGATAACGAGAACGGTCGCTACGACGGTACGTTGATGATGATTTCATCCGCGCCACCCCCGTCTGGCTCCCGGCAACCCCGACTCAGAAGCTAATCTGCCTTTTTTCTGCCGCGTCATAGACGAGCCTCGTTTCGCCCGCGACCGCAGCGCATCTCCTCGCGATGAACCTCGCGGCGATCGCACTCGCAGCCGCTCTCCTAATGGCCGTATGGATGATCGGTAGGTACACCTTGACGCGTCGTCATTCATCAAGCTTGTCGAGAGCTTCCCGTCTTTGCCTCTTTCTCCCTCCACGCGATGAACCCCCCGAACTAACTTGGCTGTGGACACTTTAGGCCTTCTGTCGACTCTCGCAAGCCCTTGGATGACGATGAAGAGGGCGCTCAGAACACCGGCTCCAACCTGTTCGTCACTGGCATCCACCCTCGCCTCACTGAGTCCGACATCTGCCGCCTGTTCGAGAAGTATGGCGATGTTGAGAACTGCTCGATCATGGTCGACCCTCACACCAAGGAGTCTCGTGGCTTCGGTTTCGTCAAGATGGTGACGGCCGAGCAGGCCGATGCTGCCAAGGAGGGCCTGCAGGGCGAGGTTATCGAGGGTCGCACTCTGAGCATTGAGAAGGCCCGTCGTAGCCGTCCTCGCACCCCGACCCCCGGCAAATACTTCGGTCCTCCCAAGCGTGGTCAGTATTTTTTCTCTTTGTTTTCTCGCTCCCTTACATACATCGATGCACTTTATAAGTAGAGTTCGGCTGACCGTGTCTTTTTTTTGTCTCGAGAAGGTACAGATTTCCGTGGTGGACACGGTGGCCGTGGTCGTGGCGACCGCTTTGATGATCGCCGTGGCGGATACGGAGGCAGCTGGCGCCGTAATGACGACTACCGCTATGGTCGCTACGACTCCTACAGTGATCGCCGAGACTATGGTGGCCGCGATTACCGTGACTATGGCGGTCGTCGTGACTACCGTGACGACTACGGCTACCGTGGTGGCATCGACCGCTATGCTTCTAGCCGCGAGGACCGTTACAGCCGTGAGGAGCGTCGTGGTGGTGGTGGTGACGACCGCCGCAGCGGTGGTGGCGAAGACCGTCGTAGCTACTACGACCGCGACGCCAACCCCCCTAGCTACGGCGGTGGCCACAGCGCCGCACCTCCCTCTCGTGAGGCTTATGGCGGCAGTCGTTCCTACGATCCCCGTGACGACAGATACAGCTCCCGGTAGGTAGGTCAAGGTGAACATGAAAGAAATCGGCGTTCAAAGTCAAGGTCTTAAGCACGTAATTCCCCTTTCCCCCAGTTATTTTGTTTCTATTCTGTTACCTTCTACGTTGTACCTTCGCCCATTTTCTTTTGATTTCCTCTGACCTTTGTTTTGCCCTTTCCCATGTTCCTCACGATGGTTCTTGATCCATTCGACAACCTATCATTGGTTGGGATTGATGAATCTTTTTTTAACGGACCACGCTGGAGCGTCATTCATGTCATCTTATCACGCAAGGGAAAAGTCGTCTGCGCATTCACATGTCAACTCGGCCAAAATACTCGGAACGCCCTTCAGATTTGCGACTATTCAACTGAAAACAAGACCACAAGATGAAAAAAGCAAACTCTGTCGTCGCTCTTCGATCGCTGGCTGATGTTTTTTCTTTTGTTGCTTCGCTCGAAAAACTCACCCCGGGGAAAAATTATTGGCGGCAAGGGAAAAGAAAAAAAAAAAGGACACCAGATATTTACTTTAACGTTGTAATTCCCCCCGGATTGTCAGATGGGTCAGCACTGCTACATTTTTCAACTCTTCCGGAACTTGGTCGTTTTCTCGTCACTACCTAGTCAGCTGTTCGCCTTATTTGCGTCTCTTGTTGCGTCTTCTTCAACTCCTTCTACACGTAACGACTCGATTGTATTCGGCCAGAAAACAAACACTTTTAGGATCTGTCTGTCTTCAGGCCCTCCAAAGAAAACCACTATGTTCTTTGTTCAGTCTACGCCTTTGATTTACAGATTCAGATGAAAGAGATCCCCGGAGTCCGGCCATCTTTCGCCAGTTCCGCCTTGTAGTGTCGCCAGTACGATTTTCGTTTTCTGCGCTGCGACTTTCTAGATCCGGTTGCCGAGGAGACAACGCAAACATGAACAAGAACAACGTAATTCCTTGCAGCACTTCGATTTTCGGAAAGGACAAGACAGGACAAAAGGATCGAATCGCCGGTCTCGTCTTGGTCATGATGGGTTTGTGCGCGAAAGGTAAGGACTTGGTGGTGCTGACTGCTGATATGTTCTCAAGGATGCAGCTTTATCAACCCACTTCGTTGTGCTCTGCTGCGAACATTGCGATGATTGAGTCTGCATACCTATCCATGGCTTTCGTCACTTAGTCTCTTGACCTCTTGGTCGACTGATGGTCTACTTTGACGTCTTGCAGGAGTTTGACTTATCATCGTTGCATGTTGATCGGGATACAGGATAGAGCACTAATCACGGCAGGATTTGAATAGAGCTAGTTAGCTTGGTAGTTTAGGTCAATGGAAGTTTTGTATATGGATATGATTGTTTTGGATTTATTTATTTGGGTATTCTATGGTAGTTTTTTTGGTTGTCATTGTTCATTTGTCGTGGACAACGTGGCGATATATATACTTTCCCGCGGCTGCATTTCATGTTCCGATTTCGCGCACTAGAAGAACTACGAGAGAAACTGACATCAACAAGCCTACAAAGAACGATTCTACGACATTTAAATTATTTATTCCATTATTAAGAATTAACACAGCCGAGACTCGACCTCGCTTCTAGATAACCTGCATAATGCCATCGAAATGAGACAAAACAAGCTCGCCATCCCTGCGTGCCTCAAATCGCATATGAAAATACATAAACCCAGACTCAATCATCTACCTGGATGATAGTATAGAGATCATGCGAGCCATTCCCTGTCGCCACTGGCAGTAAAGGATAATCGATACCCGATCTTCATCGCAGATCGTCCTTCTCTTTCACACCCCTTCTCTTCTTTCTTGTCTTCTTTCTGTCCGCTGGTCGAGTAGAAGACGAGCATAGGATATAGTAAAGTGCTGAATATACCACACATTCTCCCACTACCGTCTAACCCTCGTCCAAAGCGCGAGTGCACAAGTATGCAGCTTCCAACCAGCGAGATCGTAAGCGTACGTCTCGACTCGGTATTCGATACACATCGTGCTTCTTACCTAGTGCTAGGTATCCACTCACGTCCATCTGAGCAAGCTGTTCGCGCAAAGCCAGACACGGACACAGACACAGTAAACGGCAGGTACGTGGGCAAGTAGCAGCAGACGAACAGATAGACGAAGAAGCCACCCACGCTGAACACTTCAACAAAAATGACCAGACCGGTCAATCCGAACCGATCCGAGCCTCCTTTACTCGGGCGTCTTGTTCGCGCCTCCCGCGCCGCCGCCCTCTACCTCGCTGCTCTTCTGGATGAGGAATTCGCCGAGCACGCGCAGCGGGTTCGACGGTCTGTGATTTTGGTGTTGATTAGCTTCGTTTCTACCTTACTTTTTTCTTCACGTGCAGTGTATATATAGGCATAGGTCCGATGGTCTGGATATCTGGAACGAATGACCCGGACTAGACCGGACCAAACCAGACCAGACCAGACCAGACCAGAACACACAATGCAGCATACACGGAGGAAAGCAAATCAGGGCGAACATACTGCTCCTTCGCAACAACCTTCATTCCCTCCAGCAGGTACGGCACGATCCGCTCGTTCATGTACACGCGAGCCGGCGCGCCTCCGGGCCGCATGGGCGCCGAGGCGGTGGAATCAGCGGCGGGGGTGTTGGCTGCGGAGTCGTTGCCCATAATTGTGTGCGGGGGGAGGTGAATTGTTGCTGTTGGGGTGTTGGAATTGGAATTGGGATTGGAGGGAGGGTTGACGGTGAAGCCGATGGTCGGTGGAGGAGGTGGTGGAGTATTCACCGCTTCGGAGGGAGGGTCCGCGGCAAATGAGCGCGAGGATGGGATTGAGAGAGACTTGTAAGGGAGTGGATGGTTAGCGGGAGGAATTGATGAGGATGAGGTTGTAGAATGGAGGATTGGATGTGTAGAAGGAAAAGAGGGAAGAAAGGAAAAGCGCAAAGACGGGCAAAATGCCAGAGGGAGAGAGCGGAGAGGACGGCGGAGTGAGTGCCTGTGGGTAAGTCATTGTTTCCATTCCTACGCTCTCCGCTCGGTGGGGATCAATCAAAGCGCATCGTGAACCATCTGAAGGGCTCTTACCGGGTCTTCATCGGCCATGGTGATTGGGATTTTTTCGTCTGACGATGCCAACGACACGAGAGACGCAAGCAGGAGATTATTTGGAATGCGACAGGCGACGCTGTTTGCTGATTGCTGACTTGCCCGATTGGGAGCGATGCAAACCGCACAAACACCACGGTCAGGTGACCGCGTGTTGCAAAAGACACGCCCGACACGTCCGTCTTTTCGCCGCTTCAGATCCTGATCAGCGGCGTCGATGTGATTGCGATGCTGCTGCCCCCCTTTCGGATGTCCCTTGTACATAGGCATCAGTCAGAATGTCCCTGCTGGACTATTGGGACACCAAACGTCCGTCTGTAAAACGAAGAAAAGTCTCGGCAGAGACGGAAAAAGACAGAAGCCCGGAAAAAGAGGATACTCTTCAGGAGAATGGCCTAGAGAGCCCCATGCCCCAGGCCTTGGACACACCATCCCTGGATCAAGCTGATCGAAGCCTCACTGGTGACGAGGAGTTTCCTTTCCCCCAGAGCCAGACGGAGTTGGAATCGTCGCTTCCAGCGCTCCAGGCCGATAGCGAGGCCATCGAGGAGTATGAGACGGCTCACGCTGTGGCGGCAGGCCAGGAAGAGGAGCCGGATCTGCAGTCACGGATGCAGAATGGCAAGTGGCGAAGGGGGAAGAGCTCCATCTACGTGGATGCGTTCAATCTGGCGCTGGAAACTGTGCTGGATGAAGAGGCGCATCTGTTTGACGAGGCCGAGATGGAGTTTTTCAATCAATGGAGGGCCCTTTCTTACGAGTCCCAGTATTTGTATGCTTGCCTTTCCCGGTTCTCGCGGACCTCTGGCTGACTCGGTTAGATATGTTCGGCTCTTCCTGCGAAAGACCTCCGCGTGGCATCGCATCAATCGACTGGGGTATCACTCGGATATCTCGGACGTATCTCGCGTCGTAGACGATCTCCAACGCAGTCGAAACCTCCCTCCGAGATCTGTGTCTGCGGGTGAAAACCCGGCGGGCCTCGAGTGCCCGGATGAGCTGGGTCTCGGCGGGGAGTTTCGCTTTGCGGACAAGACGGAAGAAATTACCACCTTAGAAGAAGCGTCGTCGCTGTTACTTCTCGAAGAATTGAAGAATTTAGCCAAAGAAGCCAAGGTCCAAGGAAAGAGTAAAAAGGAACTCCTGACGGCCTTGCACCGCGCCAGTCAAAGACAAACGGGCCTGGACTGGAATAGCGACAGGCAGCCGGTCAACCGAGACGCGCATTTCGTCCAGAAGATCCTGGACTACACAGGCGGCTGCATCAGACTTGCATCGGGCCCTCGGGCCCTCTTTGAACGTGTACATCTTGTATTCTATAAATCGACCGAGTGGACGGAGAAGTCCCTCTCCACCATCATCCTGGCGAAGATATCCCGCCGGAATTTCCCAGAGTATGTGGTCTGCCGGTCGAACTCGATCTTCCCATCGAGGGATTTCTTACTGGAGTTTGAGTCAGCCCTACGGACCCAGTTCCAGATCGACAATATCCTCGAGTTCAACGGGACACCGACGAAGGAAATGCTAGAGCAAGTGAGAGACCTTGCGTACAAAGTTCACCCACGGTGGAAATTCCTCCTCGAGCATGAAAGACGCAAAGAGGAAACCGTCTACGAATGCGGAGAGGGCGCTTACCTGCGCCGGTTCTCCCCAGCCTGGGTCTACACACGAATCATCCACAAAGGACTGCATCCCCTGGGGCGCTTCAAGGAGCACAGGGAAGAACATCGCGTTCTCTCCGAACTCCTAGGCCAACGGCTCTTCCACGCTGCCCGCCGCGGTGCATGGTACCAGCGCAAAGCCCTGCTGGAGGAGCACTACATGTGGGCACTGACGCCGAACGACGGACGCAGCGAGGAAGCGCAGCGAAAGCACTGGCGACGCATTGCTCTGCGCACCTGCGAAGCCGGCCTCGAAGACCCCGACTGCCACATCATCTACCACTACGACCTGCAGAAACGCATCACCAAGCTCGAAAAGGCCCTCCGGGTCGTCAAACGCGAACAGCACGAATTCAACCACGTCCGGCTCGTCAAGCCCGAGGAGCGAACCATCGAGGGCATCCGCATCGAGCGCGAGACTGAAAGCGACTCGCCGCCTCGCAACACAACCACACCCACCACCACCGACTCCAAACGCTGCCGTCCCACCATCTGGCTCGACTCGCGCGACGGCGGCGAATGCCGCGTCGAAAGCATGTGTCTGAACTGGTACCGCGACCACGGCTGGAAAGGCTACCACTCTGAAGGCGGAATCCTTAAAACCCTCTTCGGCTACCTCTTCTACGACATCCTGTTCACCTACGTCCCTAACGTCTTCCAAACCCCGTTCCAAACCTGCCCTCTAGACCTACACACCGACACCTTCTACGCGTCGCGCGCCTCCGAAATCAACCACCGCCTGGTCGAACTCACCAACGGCGCCGCCCCGCGCATCCTGCGCTCTGTACACGCGCGCGAATCCCCGCGCCAGACCTGCGCCGTCGGCATCGACTGGTCCTTCGAGCTGAGTGATCTGGAGGAGATCGTGCAGTGTTTTGACGGCGAGGCCCTGGCCACGGTGTGTAAGGTTCTGGCGCAGGAGTATCAGCAAAGGGGAGGGGGCGTTCCGGATCTGTTTCTGTGGAGTGTGGAGAGGGGGAGGGTGATGTTCGTGGAGGTTAAGTCTGAGAATGATCGGTTGAGTGATACCCAGCGGTTGTGGATTCATGTGTTGTCTGGGGCCGGGGTGAGGGTCGAGCTTTGTAATGCGGTTGCGAGGGAGGTGAGGGCTTCTTCTTCTTCCTAGCCTTGGGAGTTGGATGTTGTTAGATACAGGTCGTATATATGCCTTGTATAGGGGGGAGGGAAACGTTGGATACAATCTACGAATATACTGCAAGAATACAAATGAAGTCATGTAAATCATTTTATTTATTTTTTTATTCAACTATCCGCGACCAGGGTCCAATCGACCGTAGTCAACCAGAAGACAACACCAGCTTTCACCAGTGAAGATACTGCCCCCAGCCACAAAATAGCCACTCAACCACCATCACCAACCAGCCACAAAAAAACACCCATCTCTCCTGTTATCAACGAGAAGAAAGAGTAATCTAAGCGACCATGGTAGAGGCAGTCGAGGACTCGTAGCGCCAGGTGGGGGGCAGGACACCGACGGACTTGTAGTAGCGAGACAGACGGTGGATACGGGACTCGATGAGAATCAGACGGAACTTGCTGTCCTTGTCCTTGCGGTTACGCTCGAGGTGCTTGCGGACGGCAACGGCCTTCTTGATGAGGTGGTACAGATCCTCGGGGAGCTCGGGGGCGAGGCCTATATGATAGAGATCTCTCTGTCAGCCGATGATGACCAAGCAGAGGCTTTCGGGTTTGGGGGCCCGGGGTTGGGTCTTCAGAGTCTTCCATCCTCCACTTTCAAGGTTCATTGAAAGAATGGAGAGATGGAGCTCCTCGCCGTGGTCTACGGGTTTGTAGGTTGTGGGGAGTAGGGGTTGGCGTACCGTTGGACTTGAGGATACGGAGGATCTTGTTACCTATAGGGAGGAATGTTAGTTTTTGATTCCTTGACGGATGGCCAGCGCGAGTAGAACTTACCGGTGACGGTCTTAACCTGGGCAACACCGTGGGAGTCACGGAGGACAACACCGATCTGGGAGGGAGTGGCACTGTACAATCGATCAGCCACTTTTCTCTTCTCTCAACTCATCTTCCAGTCAACATACCCCTTCTTGGCGAGCTTGCAGATCTGGTCAACGACCTGGTCGGGAGTGGTCTTCAACCAGCTGGGGGGAGTGCGAGAGTAGGGGAGAGCGGAGGCAGAAATGCCCTTTCCCTTGGAGTGAAGACGACCCATTGTGATTGATGGTGTTTTTTTTTGGCGGGTTAAAAACCTGGTTGGTTGTCGACGGTGTTGAGGCTGCGATAGAAAGAAGAAGACTTCGATTTTTTTGCGACGAGATGTGAAAATGGAACCCCCCAGTGGGGTCACGTGGATTGAATTTTCGCGGTGGAGCTAGTGGTGGGTCACGTGAGGGCGGTGTTCGCTTAATTTAAAGGCTTCTTCTCGGCGGGATTTTTTTCTGCGGTTGTTGTTTCTTGGGTGTGTCGACGTTGCGGTTGCAGGTCCAGCGCCGTTGGATTTGAGATTTATGATATCTCTTTTTCCTGATCTGTTGATTTACTAACTGAGTGATGTTCATTCAGTATTTCTTCAAGGTTAGTACTCTCCTGCCCAGTCTTTTCCTCCTATCTTCACAATGATGAAACACAACCTTTTTATTTTATTTTCTGGTACCTCTTATGTCAGAAGGAAAGATCCTCGTGGTCTTTTCTTCGATGATCTAAATGGACTTCTGAAATCATCTTCTACGCTTTATTTTCTGGTTATGTTGGATGCTTGCAGTCTTGCTGACTTGGACTTTGTTAGGTTTCGATACTCGAGCTTGCGAATGCGACATACTTCTGGAGCTGGATGTACAGAATAGGGTAGTTTATCACAGCAATGGACACTTTATATGAATTTTGGTTCTCATGATACCGTATATTTGCACGTCAAAGTAGAAACTTCGGTTGCGGCTGGCCTCGGATTATGCTACGGCGCAGTAGATGACCGCTGGTAGTAACATGTCCTGTACTCGAGTCCACAGAGCATCACTTCGTGGACTGGACCGAGCATACTCCGTACTCTGGTCAAATGATATGATTGGATATATGACTGCATGGCTGATCATGACATCCTGCCTGCCTATCTGTCGAATGGTACCTGCTGTTGATCAAATTGAAATCACGACGTCCTCAACCTACCACTGAAAAGTAGCTCCACGCAAATTGCGGTTTCACCATCCGTCTACAGACGCGAAATGCAAGTGTCACGCAATATACTCAGATATCCGACTGTGGGCACCAAAAGCTCTTCACGATATCCAAAATCACACCGGCATCGGGGAGCAGGAACAAAATGCACGGGCATCACACCGCTATTCAAGCGTCCAGTGATGTCCCGAGATGCCCGTCTTGCAGTGACTGCCGACTAGTCTGGTGATACGGGGAAAGAATCCGAGAGACGGGTTCTGTTGAATGCCACTGCCCGGGTGACAGGGCACCTGCGGTCGGGATGTGGTACGAAGCCTTGAGAAATGCCAATTCCTTGATCTTATCATCGACTCGTGTTTTACATTTTGGTGGATGGAAGCTGAGCACGAGGTCTTCAGCTGAGATCTTGCCGCCGGATCATTCTGCGATGTGAATGCGACCAAGTCTGTTGGTTGAATCCTTGAATCGCAGGTTTCTTGCCAGGCGGAGCTGTGACAGGAAGTAGGTTCGTGACGGACTGATGGCCAGTAAGCCAATAGGACGATGGAGAAGAGGCGATCGAATCATCGCCAGAGAGGATCGTAACACAGACTCGTCGTGGCTGACGAGAGGGGTCAATTACTCCGTAATTCGCGCTGTTGGGGAAATCATAATGCAGCGCTGATATCAACGGCGGAAAAAGATCCAGCTCCTAAAAAAAGCTCACGCCATGACCACACAAAAGCATGGCGATCATATCAGGTGCCAGGGCAAAAACACATCCATGGGCGGATCGCCGCCGTGATTTGGCGCGGCCAGAGACATGGAGCACCGTCCAAGCTCGGAGACGGTCAAATCAGCGAGATGGATCCGGGAATAACGGGAGCCGCAGCTGCGGATTACCGCAGAGAGGGGTAAAATGTCGTAAAGAGCACGATGGAAGAAGGCGGAGTAGGACAGGACACGGGGGCTGCGGTGATCGAAGCTGATAGATACTGATCGTGGGGACCTGGGGCCCACGCGCAGTGATCGGTCGAGTTAGCGACGGGCCTATGATCACCACGAGAGGGCTTGCCGCAGGGCCCAGCTCCAGCCGCGGTCACTGTCGGCGCCGAGGATCTGGCGCCGATTGGGTGGCGGGATGGATCAGGATCCTACGATCCCATCCAAACAGGCCTCACGATTCAGTAGTCCGGCTAGTATCTGCGCAATTGTGGGATAAATCCACCGTGAAAGGTCAGAAAAACGTCGGCGCAGGCCTCCTAGACACTAGACAGTCTGGACTCTGATGGATGGCGGCGTAAAACGTCCCAAGAACCAAGACAAATTGAAATGATCCGTCTTAGCGGTTTGCTTGGCTCAGGTGTAATCGATGATCTTCTCTGTCATGTTGGCGAGATGCCAATCGCCCGAATCCGCGGCCTTCATCTCGGCTGCATGAGCCTGATCGGTCGGCCAGTATTATAATTGAATTTGCAGGATCTCGATGGCACTGCAAGGAGCAGGACAAATCGGAGAGACATTGAACGGGGTGGCGTAGATGCGACATTTTTTTTTCTTTTTCTTTTTGTTTCTTTTTGCTGCGCCCAGGATGCACGACACGATCCTCTAGGCTGGAGGAATCCTCCGTAAAGAGTGGAGACCGGAAGTATTACTCTTCTGAATCATAATCCATGATGGATTAATGAAAGATCTCGTTTGCCTCGTCAGCCCGGAACGTCTGGCAGGATGCGCTTGTCCCGTTCGGCCGTATCGCTGCCCGTTCCCTGAGGCATCACTCCGGAGTCCATTAATATGCGAACGGCGTAGGCGGAATTGTTAACACCAATGACACACGCTAGGCAGATCCTTCTCGCCAGTGGCAATGGAAATAATCCCATTGAGTAACTGGGCTGTTTTCCGAGCAAACATAAGCCATCCCGGTGTCCAGACCGTGATGACCTGCCGCAGTCGCGTGTGACGGCCGTCAGCGTGCCTGCAGCGACCTGCGGCAAGGGTCAAGTATACTCCAAAAGAAGGGGATTGTGGTCGCAAAAAGAAAAGAAACCATCGCCGCCCCGGCCCAAAAATAAACACCCCCAAAGATTCAAGACATGATGAAACACACGTGCTGGGGGGATTCCCATGGAACATTCGACCGTCAGCCAAAGATTTAGGCTGTTCGAGGACACGACAGAGCCGGGCATTTGGGGATTGTGGACGAAAGTATGGCTAGCCCAACGTTTCGAAGGTTAAATCCAACCTAATCCCGAGGCGAGGCAAGTCGCAGACTCTCCAGGCACTCAGGCAGTCGAGGGTCGACGGGGATACGTCGTGCCTAGTGTCGTTTCTGGTGCGCCATGCTGCGCTAATTTGGACCTGCTAAGAGGCTAGATAAACGTGCGTGCTTTAATTTAATGATCTAGGTATACTAGCGATTCGTATTATATGCGGGTAGAGATGCTATATTGGACAGTCCCCACGTGTGCGTGTTTGACCGTAATATCGTGGTATAATGGAATTGTTGCCAGGAAACCGACGAGAATCCAAACCCAAAGCAAAGCTTTAAGATAGCGACGAACATACTCCGTAAAGTAGCAGACTCCACTCAGGATCGACCGCAATCGGCAGACTCAATTCGTGAGCACATCACGGAGAACGTCCGCGCTTCGTCGAGGATCCCATCTTTGGATTTTGGGTTTCTTCCCAGCCCACGACTATCGGTGGATGATCGTCCGGATGTGCAAAGAGGAAACCCGCTAGAATGAACCCGCGTGATAGACGCGCCTATCGAGCTGAACCGCAACGAGGCCCACGATTCCCTTTTGACTTTGGAGTCGGCAAACTCTCGCGGCATCAACTTGCCGACTCCATGACGATCGCAACCCGGAGCCGTGGTCGAGAATCTTTGGGCACGAAAAGACAACCATGCGGCTCTGGGGACCCGCCGAGTTTTGATGTTTACTCTTGTCGTGTATGGAGGAGTGGAAGGGTTTGGATTTGGGACTTTGGATTCTGATGAGGTGCTCAGGAACTACGCCGAAAAGGGAACTGTTTCCAGGCTGGGCTCTGGCGCGGGATTTCCTGTAGTCATCTAGACTGGACAGAGTCGTACAGTAGTCCCAGGGACTAACTAGGATCCCTTGGAATAAGAGTAGGGCTTCGACGGAATTGATTTAATCACGTCCCACCGGCGTTGTGCACCCACGCGACAGTAACCATGACCGCAATAAAGGGCCGCCGTGGTCAGTGCGACGTCGGAGTCGATCTAGATGCGATGATGGCCGGTCGCATTAATCAATCGAATTGATCTTCTAGGCGACGTAAGCGGAGGGGAGTTCTTCAACGGAATGCCCCTTTCTTCCCGTAGTTCTGTCGGTCTCGTCATACCAGAGTATCCAGAGTAGGAGACTCGGGGAGAAAAAAAGAAACCGAAATAGCAATTGCAGTCCGACCACCGGTGGAGTCTCGCTTGTCTCCATCGTGACCGTCGGCTTCAATCCTTGGGGAAGGCATGGCGTCACTGGCACAGTTACAGTCACATAGCGGGCGTTCTCAAATGTGTCCAGAAACACGAGGCGAATCTCGTTGCGAGGATCGTACTACCAACAGGGGGATTATATTAGCCAAAAGACAAAAAGTAAAAAGTAAAAAGTAAAAAATAAATAAATGGAAAATCAAAATTTAAAAAAAGGAAGAATGCGGCAGTCGTGAGGAGACGGCGAAAGTCAAAACCCCTCATGCCGGCGAAGGGAACAAAAGAGATGCGGCGTTAGCGTCACTTTGAGTGCGTTAGTGCCTGGAACACGTCCCCTTCTGGGCTTAGCCGAAGTCTATCGCCTTCCCCATCCCTCCCTCTCCAGTATTGTTCGCGGTGACTCAGGTAAGGTACCGTATGCCGCCTGCCTTAGCGTCCGTTCTTTTCTTTTCTTTTCTTCCGCAGTCTGGACGCTGACTCAATTGCCATTGTTCTAGGGTTTGTGGTCTCCCGAGTTTCTCGGTCTGCCTCAACTACTGCGTTGGTGGCATCACCTAGGTATTCCGGAGTATTGATTCGTACGCATATAATTAGAAAACAGTTCCGTCGAGGGCAGACCAGTCTAGAGAGTCAGTCGGTCCTAGTTTGCCCTAGTCTGTACCAAACTTCCAGACCTTTGGCCTCGGTGGTGCGGTGGAACACCCAGACGGAGGATCCCAGCTGCAATAATACCAATAAAATTAGAAAAACAAATCGATAATGATAATAAAATAATCCTTGACAGTCGAGTAGCGAGCGCCGGTCCACTCGTGTCTGGGAAAAGGAAACGCATCCTTGGGTCGCGGTGGAGGCCGTCGGTATTTCTCAGCCCAATCATCCCCCGCCGCCGCCGTCGCAACGTCTGACTCCCCGCTTCCACCTCGTCTTCCACGAGTCAATGGGAGTTCCGACGGTCTCGTCGCAACTCCTCGAGGATCCTCGTTCTCTCTCTCTTTTTTTTTCGTTTCTCGGCTCCACTCATCGTCGCGAGCCCCTGGTGCCAAGCTACGTCTCGAGGTATCCCCGTCGCATCCAATCACAACCATGTCTGCTCGCCCATACCCTCTTCTCGTGCCTTGGGTGAACGGGCCTCTGGTCCATCAGTCCACTGGAACATCCTCCCTCTTCCCCAACGATGCGCATTTGAGTTAGTTGACCGTGCTAAAGGAGTATATCGCCAAGGTACATCACTGATCCATGTCCGGACTATATCTCCCCATCCTTCCCTCCTCCCCGTTCCTTCGCCTTCCTTCTTGCCCCCTCTCTTTCTTCCCCTCCACCGTTGTATGAGATCATACCCTCGAGAGTGGTTCGTTCTCTTCTACCTTTCGTCAATCGCAGTGATTGCACGGCTGCGAGCCTCTCGCACGGGGTTTCAATGCCTTGAAGCGTCCGAAATCTTTCCCCGTCGCGACGTTCCTCCGGTCCCTAGGCTATGATTCTTCGCCCATTGAATTGCACCCCCAGTATACGACGGTCAATTGATAGGGCTCGCCATGTCGAATAATACTATGCATGGGCTCTGCCCCAAACCTTTCCTTCAAGAATCTCTATTCCCATCGTCCGGTGGATGTACGCTGTCCCGTCGCAATATACCTTTTTTTATTTTTCTGTCGGTGGTGCTGATTTAGAATTGTTAGTTATCGAGGGACGATACTGTAAAGAGATTCCCGGCAAAGACGACGGCCAGGTCTCTTGCTGCCTACCATGTCCGTTGGCATCGTGGACATACGGCGATGGTGAGTCTGGCGGTTACCTCCCGGTTCAACAAGTCTCAGGCTAATCGAAATCGCCTGTTCTAGAATTGATGTCTAAGACAAGGGCGGCCAGCTGGCTCAGTGTCGCTGTCTTGCCTCTCTGCATCTTCCTTCTGGTCTCGTACGCGGTCCTTCCGGTGAAATGGACGCATCGCCACTACCTGAGCATCTGCTTTACATTGGGAATCTGTTTTATGGAGGTGAGAGATCTCGTGCCTCTCAAACCAGACCATGACTGACCAAACAGATCCCGTTCATCATCCCTCTCGGCACGAACCCCGAGCAATGCTACAATCAGATCACTCCGAAGGATATGCACGACGATCTGTCATGCGCCTTTACCGGCGCCATGCTCCTCTTCGGCGGCTGGGTCGTCGTCGTGTGGAGTTTCATCCGGACCGTCGCCTTCCATCTCCAGGTGTGCTGGGAGATTGTCATCGGGAAGAAATTCATGTGGGGCGCATTCATCTGTGGCTTCGGTATCCCAATCATCGGAACGACGGTCATGCTGATCCTGACGGGCGTCTCCTTCCGGTTTGGCAGCATGTGCCACATCAACATCAAACACAGTCTACAGGATTACTGGGCCCCGGTCATGGCCTTTGCCGCCGCCGCTTCGGTTCTGCAGCTTGCCACGATGGGCTACTGCATCCATGTCTACGTCCGGTCCGTCTTCGACAACGCCACCACCACGAATAGCTCCGATCTTCCGTCTTACACGTCGAGCGTGCGCACCGTGACGGCCCGACAAGCATACCGCCGTATCCGACGCGTCCTCCAATTGCAATGGCGAGGCGTGGCACTGGTTCTGATCATCATCGGCAACGTTATCTTCTTCGCCGTCGTCTTCATCGACATGGACAAGCAGCTCGCCGTGACGCCGGAGAACATGAAAAAGGCCATGCCATGGCTCGTGTGTCTGGTCTCGTCGGAAGGGGACAAGCAGAAATGCACCAAGGAGATCGAAGAGGTCGGACCCAACCAAGCCACGCTGCTCGCCGTTCTCATCCTCCTATCGCTCGTCGGCCTGTGGAACTTCGTTCTCTTTGCGCGCCCCTCGATCTTCCACGGCTGGGTCGACCTCTTCCGCAGCACGTTCGGCAAACGCGAGGAATACGTCTCGGCCGACGCGCGCAGCCTCCTGCCCGATTCGCGCACCTACGAAATGCTCGGCAACGCGACGATATCGCCGCTGAAGACCCCCGAACCGGTGGTCCGGTCGCCGTCGCCAGAACGGATCACGAGTCCGGACCCGGGCGACGGGTCCTACGGCCGAGACGCACGCTACGTCCAGCCGTCGATGAGCTTCTCGTCGCCTCGGCCGCCGGGTCCCACGTACGCAGGCGGTCGAGAGTGGGTGCCCGAGGCGACGTTTGCGCCGGGGAATCACCAATACAGCACTTCACAGTGAGTTCGGTTGGGTTTGGGGTTCGGTGTTCGGGTCGGATAAAACATTTACATACAGAAAAGTATTGTACATTGGGTATACCCTGGGAAGAATTGATTGATTACGCGACATGTACTGGCATATACGATATTATTACACTACACTACGATATTAGTTTAATCCAACTAATAACTACAAGAAACCATCCGACCCTCCGACCTCTCCGCAATTCGTAAGATAGAAGTCAAAGAGAAGAAGACCCACCCCAAAGTCAAACCTTCTACTCCGCAAGTCCCAACCGACTAGGGACGACCCGACAGCCCAAAAATCAGTCCATCGGTTGTCACCCCCGCATTTTGGCTCGTTTCTAGTCGAACCATCGCGATTGTCACGGTGGAATGGGTGGGGAGACATTGGATCTGGTGGCGATACTTTCCATCTGGTCTAGTCTAGTATCGCCTCCGGAGTATCTCGATAGTCGATCTGGAGATGCCGCGGCAGGGTCGGTGCGTTCGGTTGTCAGGCCACGTTCGCGGGCATCTGGTGGCTTTGGGTAATTACATTTAAGATTAATATTGGATGGCGTGCATTGGAGGACGGAGGATGAGTAAATCCCGGAGTTGTTGAGTTCGTGGTTAATAGAGTTGTCGTTCCTCTTCAACCTCAATCACTAACCCTAGAACTACACCAGACCCAGAACACAAAACAACCGCAAAAGAACCAAACCCCAAGAAGGAAAAAAAAAAGAAAAAGAAAAAACATGTGAACACCACCCTCGGTCCAGGGTCCTTCTTCCGTCCCTAGTCCCCGTCCTGCTCCAGGATGCGGTGGCACTAACGACGCATCCGCCGGGACTAAGCACGCAAACCCTGAAGACATACGTACGCCCGCTAATCCATCCCCTGTAGTTCCTAGTTCCTGTGGTTAGGGCGCCGACAAATCCCCAACCAGTTAGGGCCTGAGTGACATGACATGGCTGGTCGGACCTGAGTTGACCGGGGTGGCTTTTCTTTTAATTTAATTATCGTTAGATGGCGGTCTTTTTACTCCGCTGGGTAATTTAGAGAAAGAGGGACGGAGGGATTGTGGGAGACGAGGCTGGCTGTTTTCATGGCGGGCAGATGGGCACTAAAGTAGAACTGCGGAGTATGACTATTTACTAGTAATTACTTAGTGGTGGTCCGCGGAGAACGGAGTAATGAACGGAGTCGATCGTTTACTAGGGCTTTGCTCCGTCGCGGGAATGGGGGCGGGTTTCTGGAACTTGGAGTTAGTTTGTTAGTGCCCCGTGGGGTTATGATTATCTAGATGGAATATCTAGATTTGGGTTTCGCATTGAATTCCTACATTAACTTCTATCTGCGTAGATGGATGAAGGAGGGAGGGAGGAGGGAATCTATGGTGTGAATATCTGTAGAAGAGAATACTATGTAGTATTCACAGTCTCCATCATAGATTCAATCGCCTTGGTCTTCATCTCCATCTTTCTTTCATGAGCATGCAGTCTATACAATCTTCCTGCATCTTGGCTGTCCATTCTTTTCTCACTCATTCTCAGAGATATGGTCCGGCATATCCAGATATCGAGTACCCAGGGCGGAGGTCAAACACACCGCAAGACCAATGGGTTCAATGAAGCAGTAAGTCAGTAAGAAAAGCTCCCTCCATCACAGATATTCTAACCAGCATCCCAGTGTCTCTTCGACCACACACACATGGCCTAACAAGGACCAAACACTGATTAGCTTCCTGGGCAAAGCTAGATGCCCAAGATAACTCTGTTCTGGACTCGCAGTCTAGATCATGCATCAGCAGACTTCTCGTCTTCATGCCAGAATGGCCTAAACAAGAACGACAAGCTACCACTGGTACATCCTCTTAGGATAGTGGATGGAGACTGGAATGCCAAGTCCAGTGTTCATTGATGCATCTCAAAATCTGCGCCACATGTGTTATTTTGACAATCAGACAACATGCCCAAAGCTGTAGGGTTTGTTTCCCGTTGAGAAGACATTATCCGCGACGAACACCATAATCAAATCGACAAATAGATGGGCCAGCATCGCTCTTACATCAACTAGAGCTTGTACCACTGCTAGTCCACGTTATTCGTGCTCTCGTGCTCTATATGTTTCTTGAGAAGAGCGTACACAACACTCTTGACTGGAAAACACGCCTCTTTGGATTGGGATGACTTGCGCAGACCTCCGGAATCTGCAGCATTCAAAAACTTCTCAAGCTCCAGAAGTAATTCTCATACATCCTGTTCGATTTGAATATATTTTCAGGTCTTTGGTCTTAAGCAAACGGTGGGAGAACGAATCTCCAGTCCCATCAGATGTGAGTTATTCATGCGCAGACTTGCTCGAGTAGCGCTAACTTCCCTCAGTTTAAAGACCCTGATGTTTATGATAAACGAGAACTATTAATCAAACAGACAATCAACCATACTACTGCCTAGGTAAGTCGTTCATTTTCAACTTGTTTGGCTAGGCTAACGCATTTGTTGTACAGAAAGCGATGTATTACCACTCAGAGTATACTCCTGTGGGTATAGACATGCCTGGTTTAGCGGAACACATTTCACAAACAAGTGATTGTGGAAAGTTCTTCCACCTCAGAAAGCTAGGCATAGGGCTCTTAGAAGACAGCTTATTGTGTTCTCGCTGGCTGAGAACTTTCAGCAGCAACGAACTTCCCACGGAAGGTTCGTTGCGTTCAGGGTCGTTCAGCGGCATCCAGTGCCTGCCAGCAATTGAAGTACTCGAGCTGTTCATAGCGGACTTCTGTTCTGTCAATGCGTCTTCGACACTTACCACTACAACCCTGCGCCTTCAAACGCTCTAGGTTGACCAGCAAGCAACCTTCCGATCCCACCGTGCCATGGCGAGGATACTGGCGTACACCCACATCGCAGTTTTTGAACCACAACCCATAAGTCCGACTTAAAGTATGGTATGGCTTCATGTCCACCTACAACGAGACAGTCATTTTCAGACAGCGGGGGAGTATGAGCTACAGCATACGGATGTTCCGTGGCACAATTAGTCGATGGCATCCAATGGGTCAATTTCCCTGAGACAATGCATTTTTTTCATGGTGCAAAAGGAGCAGGTTAATCACACTATAGTGATAAACCTACCCGACAACCAGTGGTAGGGGTGGAGGTATAAGCTACAGCACACGGATATAGTGTGGCACGATTTGTTGATGACATCCATGGTGATCGCTTTCCCTACACCAGTGCAGGTTTTTCATGGGGCTGCAGGCGCAGATTTATCACTCGATAGTGATGAAGAGCTGGACCAGCAATCGGCGTGGGGGTACGAGCTACAATACTCGAATGTAGTGCGGCACAGTTCGTCGGTGGCTTCCAATGGGTCATCTTCCCTTCGGCAGTGCATGTTCTTCTTGGCACAACAAGCCCAAGTCGGTCTTTTATAATTTTCCGGACAAGCTATGGTCCGCGGAGCTATACGACAATGCAGCGAGAGCGTTCAGACTTTTTTCACAGGTTGAAGTGCCTGATTGCGAGTTTCAAACACCCATAAAGGGCTGTGACTTCTCTATCTCAAAATGAGGTACTCGCGATACTTTGTCTTGGCCTAAAAAGAGAAGAAGGACAAATATTGGAATCTCAGCCCTGAAGATGGTCAGGTGTGACGGCTACAATGGACAATAAATCTGATTTTTCGTTTGATATTTCCCTCCGGCTATCAAGGGCATTATAATGGTCCCTCCAGACTGCGGTCTTCCCCAATGGCACCAATATTTCAACCATAACAATGAAAATTGGATGTTCAAGAACTCGCAGCAGCCTTTGAGACGCGCCAGAGCAACTATCTGTGATTCTGTCTCACCTATATAGGTTGCTCAAATTGCGACTGCCAGAATATCCAAGTCATGCCTCGCAAGCGAGGAGAGATACACCCACGATGTCTATTTCACATAGATTTGAGATTTGTACTGATGAGAAAAGGTTAACAAGCCCCAGCCTCGGCCCCCAGCTCATAAGTCGAGAAGTTCTCTCCTGGGATTCTGTGCCAACTGCTGAGAAAAGACTTCGTGGAAGTCCGCTGCCACCCCCGCCAGCCAGCAGGTACGTCAAGGCTCCCTATCAGAAGAATTTGTCTCTATTGCTAAGGTGGTTTTACAGAAGCGTCTTGCCCCCACCACCCCGGCCAGGAAGGCAAATACGGAAACTGAGATACGTATCATTGTTATGGCATTGCTAAGTCAGAGCATGACAAGCGACAGAATAATCAGTATATCAAACACTTCGAGCCAAGTCAACATGAACGCCAAAAAGCAGGACAAGTCCAACTCGTTCAGCCATCGTGGTCTCTACAGAAAGCTCGCGATTAAATTTCACGCCGGACTTCTTTCTTCAAGACCCAGAACACAGGGCTCATTATGACTTGCAGTCTATTTCTTAAAGGCCAACTGATCAGTTCCCTTACAATAACACTCAACGCCCTCAACCAATTTGACATCGTTGTGTGCACTTAGGAGCTTTCTGGTGAAGACAGAATTTCGACATTCAATCAAACATCTCGATAATCGACAGGGCCGTTATCATCTTCGAAGATGACATTACCTCTGCTTGGTGGTCTGTCCATCTAGTAAGGCCGTCGACAGCTGACATACTACTGTCGTACATACTCGCGTCTGACCTGTCTGGTCTAAAGAAGAAGCACCCTCGTCACTGCTCCTACAGGTTATTATACCCACAGCTTATCGTGGTGGTCAAAGCTTCACGAATCGGAATATTGCTTGGAAAAACAATGGTGGGGCTGCTTTTAACTAGGGTGTTAAGCAACCTGCTCACTCGATGGGTCAAGATTGGGGAATCTCTAAAGAAGTGATAAGTGACCGAGACCGCTATGACTATTTTTGTCTGAATGTCCCGCCAGCCCGCCAAGCGGGTTTCGTTCGCTCTCCCCGAGAGGGAGACTTCTCCGCCCCCCGGCTCCTGTGAGTTTCTCCTCTCTCCTGCCTGGCGGGAGCCATGCGGTACGCATGCTGGGCGCGTGCGAGGCTAATTCCATGTATGTATAGTCTCGCAAAAAGCCTAAGAACTCTGTGGTCCCCAGCCGGCCCCTTCGCAAGAAGGACAAAGTGGCGGCCGCTATGCGACTGACCAAGGGCGGCGCCGCCGAGCGCAACCAGGTAAGGGCTCTCTTGATTATGAGGGTCTTTTGCTTATACGAGATTCTTCATAGAAGGAGCGAGAAGCCTGCCGTGCCGCTGAGGCCCTCGTCGCCAACGGGGACCTCCTGGCCCGCGCCGCCGAGCTGTCTTCGGACAGCGCGCTGTCCCCCAAACCAGAGGGGTTCTCTGAGGCGGTCACTCCGGTATGGAGATATTCTGTGTGGAGGAATAAACAGGGTGCTGACCTCTTTACAGTCTATAACTTCCACCGCAGTATCCGAAACTGTGGGGGAGGGAGCATTCTCGCAAGGAGGCAGACCTTACATATTCCAAAACCTGCGCGTCGGCAGGGACGGCTAGAACACAGAGGCCTCGGGAGGTCGTAGTCCTCTCCCTCTGAGTTCTGCGTCCGCTACCCTGTCTCATCCCCTCGAGGATGGTCGTCCCGTCGTCTCTGCTGACGGGGAACAAAGACTTTTCGATACGTCTCCCCTGCCGTTGGAGGACGATGCCCCTGGATCCGTGCAGGATGACCAGGGGGGCACGCTTGATGTCAGTGATGGAGACTCTCGTTGCAAAGATAGGCATTGAATGTCGGTTCTATTCGTCTGCTTACCACCCGCAATTCGTGACCTCGAGTGACCTTCAACATGGCCAATAACATCGTGGTTTTCCAGCCTGCCAAGATTCCAACCTGGCTGGCCCAGGAGTTGCTCCTCCTGTCGCCCCGAGCGCTCTGGTCCTTAGACAGGATGTTACACTTGTCGGGTCAACCGTCAAACAAAGCGTCTCTTCGTCCAGCCGACTGGCTTATCCGTGACGATCCAGACCGTTGTCCCCAGTGCAGCTATTGCTCCTGCTCCGTGACCACGCTGACCACGCTGAGCTATGTCCACAGAGAAACGGTTGTCGTCTCCCTTTCTCTATGTTCTTGAGTTAATCACTCTACTCATGAACAATGACCCAGATTAACCGTCAACCAGACTGCATGGAAGATGACAGCGTGTTTCAGTACCTGTCCGGATCGATACACCTGCGGGTGCAGAGAGAAACTTCCAGATATGTGTACTTTGACGCCCTGAATACTCATGCGGATGTGTCAAGCGGAAATTTCAGCAATGTGTTATCTGCCGTGGGACCATACCAGATGTGACAAGCACGAAGAGTTCGTCCGGGTTCAAATGAAGAAAATTGGGCTGATCGCGGGTTTTTTCCCGAAGAACCTCTTAGAAATGGGGACAGTTGGTTTGGTGATTCAATTATAGGATATCAGATTGGCAATTCTTCGGACACCACACTATTATCACCGTTGTTGACATGGGAGAATCTGTTCAGACGTCGAATACGATTATCCTCGAAGCTTTGAAAATGTCATTAGTCCCCAGTCGCGGAATCTGATAGTAAGCAAAGGAAAAAGACACGACTACAAAATCCTTAGGATAGAAATGAAGCTTTTGGTGTATCGATTGTCTCAGACGTATATAGATCTGCCAATGTCGAAAAAACAAGTCAACATAATACAAACGTTCCAATTTCATTTATCTCCCGCTATGATACACCGTAAGTTAAGAGAACTCAGTTAACTGGAAGGCCAGAGGACACAGCAACGCGAAAGCAAGACGTGAACGGAGTTAAAAACAATCCATCCATCCTCCCACTGGGATGTTTTATCATGAACCATCCGGGGAATAGATTCAGGATGAAACAAAACTGAAATATTAACCGCCATGTAGGTTAGTAGCAACGGGTTGGATTTCATCGTCTGCTCTACCAGGCATTGACATCGAAGTTGGGCTGCAAGTAGTTAGCATCCACACAGATAGATGATGGAGAGCTAGGTACCCACCTCCGAGAAGTAGGTTGTCACCACGGTTCGATCCGAGAACTTCCGTCCAGCGAGGGCCTTCAATGCGTTCGTGGTCGACTCTACCGTGTCGAACTTGACAAAGATCTTGCCCACACCAGGGGATTGTCTGCTGCCGCCGGAAGGTCGGGGGATCTTCAGCTCGACGATCTGTCCGTATTTGGAGCACTCATCGCGCACATCGTCGCAGATTTCTATCCTCATTAGCTTGTACCCCGTAAGAATAGAACGAAAGAAATACCTTCATAGTCTTCACTGTCCATCAACTCTTCCGGCGTGACCATGTTCAATAACTGCAACACACGGCTGGTCTCCAGGTCCTGTGACGTCGTCTTGGCGAACATCGACATGGCATTGACGCCCATGTCCAGTCCAGATGCCTGCGTCGTTCCGATACTAGCGCGCACCACCTTAAGATGCCGGTCGCCCAGTTCCATACCGTTAAGTCCTTCCACTGCAATGCTCGTGGCGGAAGGATCAGCGTATTCGCAGAACGCAATTCCCTGCAAATGTTAGACTGGGACATCTATAATCCAAATGCAACTTACCCGAGACTCTTCCGTCGAGGCATCCTTGACCAGAACAAAAGACTTCAATTCACCAAACGATTTGAGAAGCATGGTGACGGGCTCTTCGGGGATGTAGCTGGGGATGTTGGAGACGCAAATCTTGTTGGCCGAGTCGGGGACTTCGTTCAACAGCACTCCTTCCTGGAATTCTTGTTCGGTGGTGGTGCTAGGGACGATGTAGTCCTTGGGTCGCCGAATATCCAATCCCTTCTGCTCGCCATTGGCAGCGCCGTTTCCATCCATGGCGGCATGCTCATCCATCGTGATTCCGTCAAACGCAAGGGCAACCGTGGCATCGTTGGGCGACTTGAACTCGACGAGAGCGAAGGTATGGTCATCCGACACCTGCGCCGAAATACAAGGGTCCACGCTTTGAATGACATTGAGACCGTTAAGTTGAGTGTTCAGGAATGCCAGCAAAGACTCGCCCGTCACACTGGTCGGAACGTTGTAGATAAACAGACGCTTTGCCTGACGGGAGTTGGAGGGTTTGAGCATCGCGCTGTCGGCCGATCCACCACCAGGTTGCGCCATAAAGGCCTGAAGACGACTGGGATCCATGGGCTGCTGTCGAGGGGCACCGGGGAGAGGGAACATTCCTACAAACGTCAGTAAGTCTTTAGACAGTTCAGGGCATAGGATCAAGTCATACCCGACAGCTTCGCCTGTTCCGCAGTCACGTTCTCATAGCCAGGAGGCTTGATATCCCATTGTGTCAGGCGACGTTTCCGGTCCAGAATCGACGGCACATCTGTCAAGTCGGGCGTAGGCTCCCGCTTGCGCGGAGGAGGCGATGGGCTTCTCTTCCGCTCTCTCCTGTTCTCCCGATCGCGGTCGCCACGATCCCGATCTCCGCGATCTCTGCCTTCCCGCCGAGGTCTATCCTCGAACAGATCTCTGTCCCGCTCGCGTCGGGATGGTCGGTCTTCGTAGTCTCTGCGCCGGCGATCGCCGCGGTCGCCACGGTCACCGCGTTCACCACGCTCACCACGCTCGCCACGGTCTCGGTCCCACTCGCGATCTTCCCTCCGGCTGGAGTACCGGTCCTCTCGTTCTCGAGCGCGATAGTCCCGGCTCGACGAGTACGTGTCTACCTCGTAGTCGCGTCGAGAGCCTCGGGAGCCGTAATGGGGGGACCGCGATCGTCTTCTCTCGCCTCTCTCGCCTCTTTCGCCTCTCTCCGCTCTGTCGCCTCCGCGTTCGCGCCGTTCTTCACGCTGGGGGGCCGATGGGTGGTTAGTTTCTCGTCCGGAAGGTGCATCAGATCGGAAGGTATGCATCGAGTTCACTCACGTAATAGTCCCTAGGGCGACCAGAGTCTCCTATAGCCTGATTAGCCAAACATCCCGACTCAGGCGAAAGCTGAAACATAACAGAACGAGCATGTCTTACCTCTGGAAGAATAAGTATCGCCGTTCATTCTGAGCTCCCGTAACCGGTTCCCGCGATCCTTCTTTTATTTTTGCTTTCTCCAAGGGATACTTCAAAGAGACAAGATCCCGAAAACCAACAATACGCTTCCCGGATAAGTCAAGGGTCGCAAGAAACCGCCTCAATTCCAGCCAGATGGGACGAAGCAGGGGCACTGGAGAGGGAAAGGGCCGAGTTGCAGGCGAAAACTCGCAGGTGACGATCGGCGAAGCAGCCGTGCGACTATCCCGGTTGGGGATTAGTGCGACCAGACCGCCTGCGCTTTGTGTCTGAACTCGGCAGAATCGGCGTCTTTGGCTTCGCTCTTTCGCCTCCTCCGATGCCAGACTCGACCTCTATCGCCCGCACCATGACCGTAGGGGCTTTTTCCGAATGGCGCAAGCTCCCTGTGAGTCTCAGCGAACTCTGTATTAACACCACCCTGCGCTGCGGGCAGTCTTTCAGGTACATTGATCTAGTCCTCCCCGTCTGCTGCGCGCACTGACAAAGCTATCTAGATGGCACAATGTCCCCGATACCGAGGAATGGCGATGTGTTCTGCACGGACGTCTTCTCTCCTTGAAGCAAGACCCTAGTCATCTCTACTACCGGACCTACAACACCGCCAAGTCAACACCAACACCACCATCCTCCGACGACACCACCCTCGCCCTCATCAAACACTACCTGAACCTCTCCTCCAACCTCACCGACCTCTACGCGCTCTGGTCCTCGCAGGACCCCAACTTCAAGAAAAAAGCCCCCCAGTTCACCGGCATCCGCATCCTGCGCCAAGACGCCTGGGAAGCCCTCATCGGCTTTATCTGCAGCAGCAATAACAACATCTCGCGCATCTCGCAGATGGTCGAGAAGCTATGTCTTCATTACGGGCCCGCTATCGGCTCGGTCGACGGCCGCGCATACCACGACTTTCCCACTCCTGAGGCCCTGACCGGTGACGACGTCGAAAGCCGCCTCCGCGCCCTGGGGTTCGGGTACCGCGCTAAATACATCTACCAGACGGCTGTGATGGTGGCGAAGGAGAAGGGCGACGGGTGGCTGGATTCGCTGCGGAATCCTGAGTGTCCGGCATTCGGGGCGGAAAGCGCGCCGGCCGGAGAGATGTTTCCGGAAGGGAGAGAGGGGTATCGTGAGGCGCATGAGAAATTGCTCTCGTTACAGGGCGTGGGGCCGAAGGTTGCGGATTGCGTTTGCTTGATGGGGCTTGGTTGGGGGGAGGCGGTGCCTGTTGATACGCATGGTGAGTATTTCCCCTTCTTCTGGATTTTGGAACTGAGATTTTGTGCTAATGGGACTTAGTCTGGCAAATTGCCCAACGGGACTATAAGTTTGGTAAAGGGTCTCATAAGTCCCTTACGAAAGCTACTTACGACGCTGTCGGTAACCATTTCCGCAAACTCTGGGGCAAGGAAGCCGGTTGGGCGCATAGCGTTCTGTTCACGGCTGATCTGCGGTCTTTCTCGGATCGACTGGCTCCAAAAAAGGGAAAGGTCGAGGTTGACGTGAAGGAGGAAGACGACAAGGGCGAGGTGAAACTCGAAACCACGGTCACAACGTCGACAGTTGCGCTGAAGCGGTCTGCGACCGAGGATGACGGGATCAAGACTGAACCCGTCGACGACGAGTCCAAGGAAAACCTGAAGGCCGTGGTTCAAGCGGCGCAGACGACGACAACGAGGAGGATGCCGAAGCGGCTTCGGAGCCGCTGATTGAGATTCTGGGTTTTCTCGATCTAGACTTCATTCGATGTATATATTAAGACCAAACTTTTTAGACATTTGACTGCTACGCTAGATTTGAAGATTGCGCTTTCTAAGGGATATAATGCTTAACAATCCTAAGGGTCTATATACAACTACAGCACAAGACAAAGAGCATCCTGGAACGCGATACTCACCACGCCGACAACAACACCCACAGCAACAGCAACAGCTGCACCGGCGCAAAACCAGCACTCAAACTCGCCGTCCCAGTCGCTGTCTCCGACGCCGTCTCCGACGCCGTCTCCGACCTCGTCGCAACCCCAATTGCCACATCCGAGGTAGACGCAGGCGTAGGCGTCGTAGTAGCCATCGCCGTCGTCGTCACATCCACCCCCGTCCCAAGGACCCCCGAACCAGTCGAAACCGCCATCGAGACCGACGACGACGACGGCGTCGCCGTGCCCATACACGAGATCGAAAACGGCTGTTTCTGAGTGCGAGGATCCGCCGGACAATCCATAACCGCAATTCCAGGGTCCGAGTCGCCTATGATGGTGCTCATATCATCGACCGCCTGGGTCAGGTATCCGAAATCGTCATCGTTCTCGGCGCAGAAGTCGCGCCACGCCCGGAAGGTGGATAGCATCTCGGCGTCGGATTGCGTGTAGGTTAATTTTTCGTTGGAGGTGATGGCGTTGACGAGGCAGTGTAGACATTTGGATGCGGCTAATTGCAGGTGCGAGTCCAGGACGCAGATCGTCCAGTCTCGCGGGTCGGGGCCGGCTTCGACGACGGCGTCGTCTGTGATCGCGTGTTAGTTTATGGTGGTTCTGGTGGTTTGAGGATGAATGCAGGGACGTTAGGGCTACATACTGCAAACTCTATGGCAGGTATCCGGAATCCTCGAGGCCGGATCGTCGGCTGACTCGGTCGATTGTGAGCTAGAGATGATGTTCGACATCTTGGGTGTGGTTCTAGATGCAGTCTATACATCGAATGAATCCGAAGGACTTGGGTCGGTGGGTAATAGCCTCTTCTTAAACGTCATCTGCGTCAATGTAACCACCAGAAGCAACAAACCAACAAATTGGAACAGAGTCCCCATCGCCTCCAAGAACCCGGAAAAGGGTACTTTTCAGAGATATACTGCAGTCGGTGCCTTGGCAGTCGCTCGGGTATTCTTCTAACTGGCTGCCTCGCGTCGATAAGAGGGTCCTGGGGCGCTTTTTTCTAGCCCGGTTCAGGGTCTGCGGTGGATTAGCAAAGGCCGGTAGAACAGGAGATCCTATGAATCTGCCTTGTGGCTATCTGGAAAGCGGGCTTTAGGGCTAGGCGAGAAGTTAGATTTAGTTCAGATAATAATGTTACTCGACTGAGGCGGTTTTGTCCTGGTGTGTATGGATTTCGAGATTATGTTAGGATTAGTATTTCGCTCAAGTAGTTCAAGTGAACTTGGTTTATCAGGAAATCTAAAGGATTCTCTCTTTAGTCCACCCTCCAAAGCTGTTTGGTACTAGCAAGGAGTCTATCCATGGATCCGGCGGAGTCCGAGTGGATCTCCAGGAACATGCCATGCGGATTATCTTGGTCTTTTTATCCGTGGTACAAGATTCATTGATAACTGTAGTATCGTTAGGTAAATATTTTATCCAACCATGCAGGCTACGAATAGGCATTCTTTTACCTTCAACATCTTCCTCTTCCGTCTCTTCCACTCATTCGGATGGAATTGGATACATGGCACGCCAATACCGTTTTCTCAACTCCCTGATTAAGAAGAAATGTGACCATCGCACATAGACCCTGTCCTCAAAATATGGCAGCTCTATGGGCCCCTTCACACTGGGAGCATTTCCAAACTTCGAGGTCACCTTCGGACGGGACAACGTGCCCTCAATGCTGGGCATGAGGTGGAGGAAATCATCGCTTGTATAGCCCCTCGCAGACATGACTTCCAGAGAAGATTGAAGGAGGTTCAGGTAGAACGAGATCCGCATAAACAGTCAGTATGATCGGTGTTGAACGTCCAGTCGTGCGGAAGTATTGATTGAAATCAAGCCCATTGACCAGGAGATTGAATAGTGCGCGGGTGTTGTTGTTTTTCACGACGCGCTCCAGTCCCCATGGCGAACATTCTTTGGTATAGGCGTACTCTAAATGGAGCGTGATTATCTCCAGGATTTTGACGGGAAGGCATAGCAGATTTGCGCTGGCCGATTGCATTTTGAACGCTTGATGGAGAAGTACGAGGGTTGAGGCCTGAGCAAGGAAGACATGGAAGATCCTGACTAATCCACCACGTACCTATATAGACTCAAATATATCTGAATCGGTCTTTAGTGGTCCCTAATACTCTTACTTGCTTGATCTTTGATATTGACTGTCTTGAGCTGTGTAGGTCTAGTATTGTTCCATTACTATTTGACCTCTAGTTCATACTAGCTAATAATAAACCCAACCAGATAGACTCAAGACTGGGTACAAGATACAAAGATTCAGGTAAACAAAGGATGCACACTCAGCCCAAAGAGGCCCAGCAAAGTTGAAACCGGAGAAACACTACTCTCACAGAGGACGAAACCAGACCGAATGCCGTGGCAGATCGTGAATTGAATTCCTCTTATCCCTGCCCGTGTGCCCACTTGGGTTCCTTTTCAACCCCGTTCTTGGGTTTGACGCCCCACAGCTCAGTAGAGCCGTGGAATACGCCGCCAAAGGCATGCTTGCAGGCGTTGATCTTCTCGAGAGGACACTGCGCTGGGCGGAGGGTCTTTCCCTTCGGCTTCGGGCAGGCTTTATCGATGTTCTTCCCAGAACTCGCCTTCTCGGTTGCAACCATAACCTTTAGGGCCCAGTACTTTTCACCCTCGCTGTTCGTCCCGGTATCGCCCTTCGGGGTAATGGCCGTAAAGTATTTGTTGTTATTGGAGATAAACTCCTTCGTATCGTGGTTCCAGTCGCCGGCGCGAGGGTTTTGCTTGTTGTAATAATCATTCAATCCCTTGACCATTCGGTCCTGAGCTGCCTTGCAATCTTCCTCCGAGAATAGCTCGTCCGGATTACCCGCGAAATAGTGCACTTGGTCCTGGCAGAAGCCGATCATGTTCTTCTTACCGTAGGGCATACCCAATTGCCCGATAAATTGGATCATGCAATGGTAACGTTTTTCCTCGCCAGGACAGTCACAGCAGCAGTTGGATCCGTCAGCAAGCCCGAATTGCTCCCGACACTGACCCCTCGCGGACAGGAAAGTACTCCCCGGGCAGCCATCAGGATAGCTACCGCAAGCAGCGCTACTGACCGTGCTTGTTTGGCAGGAGCCTTGGCCATAGACTCGGCCCAGGGATGCCAGTGTCAGGAAGAGCGTGGCGTACTTCATTCTGCTGGGAAGGCGTCAGAGGAATAGAATGGTTAGGTAGGGGTTGGGTAGCATCAGCGTACATTGTGAAAGGCAGCTTCGGCCCTTTCTGCGGATGATGTGGACGGAGAGAGGCTGGAGGTAGAATGAATAGCGAGGAGTCTGTTTAAAGTTCTTTAGTTATGATTGTTTCAGTCGCATGGTTGTACAAAAAATGTGTGCTAGGGCAAGCATTGTGTCCCAAGGGGTGGGATCGGAGTGGGTGCTAAGGAGATATCACTCTCCTTGCCGGGTATGTAGTGGAACATCATGCTAGCATATTTCTAGTAAATGAATCACGAACGTAAGTCAATTAACCAGTGAGGAACTTTTCATACAGCGCTGTTTCGGGAATCATTCTCTGTGTGACCAATTCCTACGCTCTCGGCCACTCGAAGTACAGGAGGAAGAAAGGGAGGAAAAGGGTCAACAATTTCCGTCAATATTGGGAGACAGGTTGTGGCAGGGTGAGTATACCTGTCCGACTGCTGATCCTACGCTTTGAGATTCCATATCTACCCAGAAATCTACATATAACATTTCGCTTGGCGCTAATGAGGGGCGATGGTGCATACCGGATCAGATCTGGCTGGTCCGATTAGAATTCCTCTTTGTGCGCCTCCCGAACAGCTCCGCGAGATCAGGATTTGCATAATGAGCTTATGGCTCTATATTGTTGAACTAAGCAAGGTAGCCTGGAATCTTACAAAGAGGTTTACTCAAATATTATATAGATTTGATATAATAGTAGGAGTGGTTATTAGGGCTTAGTAAGGCACTGAATAACTACTACCTTATATAATACTAGATTAGCCCTAAAGGCAAGAATGTAGTTCACACATTGCGACTCTATTCAACATCTGAATCTACCAATACAGAAAGATTGGGTATAGCACAAACCCCACGTTGCATCAACTCATCTGTTACGCGCCGGAGCCAACACATCATGCATTAGCTCTGTGCAGGGATTCGAACGCAGCTGAGGCTGAGTTCGCGAACCTCCCTCGCCTGAATTCTTCAACCACAGAGCCCAGTTACCAGCAGCTGTCTAGTCTATTATCACAATCCAATATGACAGTTTGTTTGAAACTCAAGAATCTATTACCCAGAAGAACGAAGAAAACCAAAACCAGGGGAGGCGCGACCGAAGCTTTGCCAGAACCAACAGCCTCTATAGTGATTCCTAAACATGCTACACACGGTTCAGATGTCGGAGGTTCGATACCAGCTACCAGCGGCATAAGTGTTGGTGGTCGCGACTTGGATGAATCTCCGTCAAGAAATCCGGTCTCAAGCGAGGAGTTGTGGGCTCTGGCGTACGAATCGGCCCAGAAAGACGATCCTGATCTTATGAGCGAATTCAAGAAGAATCTGCAAATTCAGGATGACGTGACAACCGATGGGAACCCCTTCGAGAACCCAGACGCCGTGAAATCGATTGTCGAGCGTCTCCAAGTCAAAAGAGAGGAGAAGCAATGGCGCCTGCCACTGATCGGAGGAGAGCTGAAGATACGCGAACAAGCCGAGAAACTGGCCAAGTTCTTGATCTGGTCCGATGGAATTGTCAAGACTGCGGTCAGCTCTCAGCCATTTGCTGCATTGGCATGGTCTGGCGCCATGTTGGTTGTTCCGGTAAATTCATTCAATCTTCTGCAGATCATATCAGTCCTGACATTTCCATAAAGCTTTTGACAACAGGCACAACACAGCACCTTGCCATGCTTAACGGTTTCAATTCAATCAACGACATTCTGATATACTGGAACATTTGCGAAGATACCTACCTCCGTGGTGACAAGACCAATTCTCGGTCAAAGCTGTTGCAACTTTTGGTGAAGCTATACTCTCTGATCATTCAGTATCAAGCCCAGGTGGTCTGCCACCTCTCCAGTTCGCAGGCTTCGCGGGCGTGGCAGAAGGTCGGGGGCCAACAAGACTGGGAAGGAAGTTTTAACCACATCGAAAAAGTCAGCAAACAATGCCGTGAATGTCTCGAACCCTTAGAACAGCAAACTGCGAAGAATTTCAACCTCCAACTGGGGGAGATGCAAAAGTCTCAGGCGATACTCGACCAGATTCGAGAATGTATCCGCGATGGACAGGAACAAACAAAATGGTACTACGAAGACGAAAGCGAAAAGCAATTGCTTCATGACTTTGCTACCAGTCATGAAAGCTTCAAAAACTTCAACCCAACGAGAGTGAATGGAACGTGTGAATGGTTCTTCAGAGACGAAAGATTCCACGCGTGGCGTGAGAACAGATCAAGTGGTCTTCTCTGGGTCTCGGCAGGTCCTGGATGTGGGAAATCAGTGCTATCAAAGGCCTTGATTGATGAGGGAAGGCTTTCAACTAAAGTTGTAGCCTCGACGGTTTGCCACTTTTTCTTCAAGGATGGTGACACAAGGCGCATGTACTCCACTCAGGCTTTGTCCGCCATTCTTCATCAGATTTTCATTCAAGATCCTACCGGAAACCTGATCAAGCATGCCCTCCCGAGTCATCGAAGCTATGGCAAAGGACTTTGCAGAAACTTCCCAGAACTCTGGAAAATATTTACTCAGTGCGCCGCATCTTCCGAAACAGAAATGGTCTGTGTTTTCGATGCTTTAGATGAGTGCGAGAATGGCAGCGGGCACGAGCTGATTGATGCTCTGAAAGACCTTTTCTTCGAGCGCAGAGAGCATAACCTGAAACTCAAAATCCTTGTCACCAGCCGCCCTTATGACAACTTAGAGAGAGATTTTAGAGCTTTCTCCGCTGTCCCCAGTTATGTCCACTTTGACGGTGACGAGCGTTCCAACGACATTGCCCAAGAGATCAACCTGGTCATCGATGCGAAGGTCAAGAGCTTTGCTGCCGAATTCACCGACGGTGATCGGCAAAGAATATCCCATCGTCTTAAGAAAGCCAAGAATCGGACTTACCTGTGGCTTCACCTGATATTTGGCATCATCGAGCAGAAACCGAGTGAATACAGTCGACGGGTGGAAATTGAGCAGCTATTGTCAAATCTTCCACGTGATGCGTCCGCTGTTTACGAAGAAATTCTAGATCGCAGCGATTATGGCGGAGAAAAGACCGAAAAATTGCTTCAATTAGTACTTGCGGCAGAATGGCCTCTGACACTCGTGGAGGCCAATATTGCTTTGACACTGGCTACGTCAGCCAGAGAGATAGTTTCACTTAACGATCTAAAGGAAAACATGTGGTCCACAACCTCATTTTCGAACATCTTTAAGAATCTTTGCGGTCTACTGGTCAATGTATACGATGGGAAGTTGCACTTCGTTCATCAAACAGTGCGGGAGTTTCTCACAGGCCCACCTGGAAGCAATTGGGGTGGCCGTTTCGGGATGCCCGGTGCACATACTGCCATGTGGACTGTCTGCTATAATTATATCAGATTGCAGGGGGTTCGAAGATTTTCTGATGAAGATACATTTTGGTTTTAATTTTCCGAACGCCTCCTTACCGCATACCCTTTTCTTGAATACGCCGCCAGAAACTGGAGCATCCACTATAACGCGCAAGAAGAATCCGCTGCTAAAACGAGTCGGTCCAATGCACGCTTTCTTTGCAATACATCTCAAGCTGAAAACGAAAATTGGCTTTGGGTAGCGTTTGAGTTTGCCAGATATCTTGATTCTGATCTACAGGTTGCCGCGTATCTCGGCCTGAGGATGGTTGTCGAGTATATCCTTCAGAGAGAAGACCATGATTTGGAAGCGAGAGGTACAGTACTTATGTAGCGGTACAATATGCTGCAACAAGAAGCTAACGATAAATAAAAAGACTTTGTTTTAGGTTTGCGCGCGGCGTTTTCTCGTCGCTACAGGGAAATCGCGGATGTGTTATTAGAAAAACATGGTTGCTTTCAGGCGGCACTCTATGTCGCTGCTGATACAAACTATTTTGACATCCTCGAGGATTTGCTCAACAGAGGGGCCGATATCAATCTTCAAATATCTAGTGGTAAAACTGCCATGCATATTGCCCTTGAAAATGGAAGAGAGGAATTCGTGAAGGAACTCTTGAGCAACCAAGTCGACCTTGCTATTCTAGATAATGATGGAAACACCACGCTTCATTCTGCAACACAGAGTGGCAATTTAGGCCTTGTACAGTTACTTCTGGACAGGGGATTTGAACCGAATGCAAAAAACTCCTATGGTCAAACAGCATTTCATACAGCCGCTGAAATCGACAATGGGGCAATCGCCAAATTACTGCTAGAGAAGGGTGCTGATATCGATTCCAGAGACGACTTTGACATGTCAGCGCTCCATGTAGCGGCTCGAAGCCGCAATGGGGTAGTCGTCAAATTACTGCTAGAGAAGGGTGCTGATATTGATTCCAGAGACAACTTTGGCATGTCAGCGCTCCATGTAGCGGCTGAAAGCGGCAATGGGGCAGTCGTCAAATTACTGCTAGAGAAGGGTGCTGATATCGATTCCAGAGACAACTCTGGCATGACAGCACTCCTTTTGGCTGCTAAGTACAATCAGGACGAGATTGTACAATGTCTCGTGGACCGTGGAGCTACAATCGAGATTCGTGACAAATATGGACAGACGCCTCTTCATTTGGCATATTTCCGCAAAACGACTTCACAGATCTTTGCTACAAATGGGGTTGATATTAACGCCAAAGACAATGAAGGACAAACTGCAATTCATGGAGCAGCCCATAGACACTGTCCGGATGCTTTAGAGCTTTTTTTGGATAATGGAGGCGAAGTCAATGCTCAAGACGAATCAGGCAATACGCCGCTCCATCTGGCCCTGGTATCAATTTCCACGTGGGATCTGACTGACATTGATCAAACCACACGAATACTTCTGGAGAACGGAGCGGATCTCCACATAAAAAACAATCAAGGTGAGACATGCGCTGCAAACAAAGACTTTGATCGATTCCTCCGTAATGGGACATTCCGGAATTCTTTGGATGAAAAGGATGGCTCAGAGCATAGCCTCACAGAAGAGTGATGGGGAAGGCCGATAGTGGAGATTCTAGATACACGCTCGTTCACTTGCAGCAAGCATTCAATGGCTTTTGATCCTAGTTTCTTTACATATTATTGGCTTGTTTAATCGGCCTCTAGCTCAAAATAAGGTGCATCTCAAGTAACACACTTTCTTATAATAGATATCAAGGGCTTACCTACACCATTTGCCTATAGAGAATATCTTTCCCTAAAAAAAGAATTACTTATCTGCGAGACAATCGGCCCGCCAAAACAGAGACGAAGTGGACACAGAAGCGTCTCGAATACAACATCCTGTTGTTTGCTTGTCGTCAATCCTCGGGTTCATTCCTATCACTACAGCCTGAGTAGGTAAACGATGAATGCCATAGGTGTAATATCCTATTTAGATGTCTTTCCTATTCTACTAAAATATTTAAATTTGAAATAAGGTTCAGTATAATGTCTGTGCTCGGCAGAAAACTGGAAGTACTGTTAAACCAGATACTGCTTTTCTTTGGCTTAGCTTTTTGAGCCGCTACTATGTCCACTGTTCACCCAGTCACAGAATGGAAGAAACATAACTCTACAGATGAATACACTCAGTGCTCAAGTAAGCAAGTCTAGATATAACTCTATATACCAAATCCTAAATTCCACACCGTAGAAAGAAAGAAAGAAAATGCTAAGAACTCCCATACAGACTCAAGATCCTCATAATCCCATCCCAGCTGAAACCGAGGCAAAGAATCAACAGTAGTAATAGTAGTAGCATTCAGCCCTTTCAGCGTACCTATACAGCTCAGAGCTCCTGGCATTCTATCTACCCAACCTAACCCTGTACACTTCTCGAACGCCAACGAAAAAAACCCAAAATAGCGTCAACCCGAAGGCAAAGCAAGCGCAAAATCGACCAATCGACCAGAAAAGCAATATAAACACTGGACAACGACATCCTGGCGTTATTCCTCAAAAAAGGGGAGCATATGCGTCGTTGCCCAACCGGTTCCCCTGTCGACTGTGCGGATTATACCACGGATCAACGTACGACGGACCCAGTGGTCCCGGGACATCGCCTAGCGTCGACGAACTCAGCGGCCAAGTATCATATTCGAAGCTCACGCCTGCATCTGCGAAGACCGAACGCACTTGAGCCTCATCGGCTAGCTTCTCGCTCTCGTCCCACCGGACTTCCTCGAGTGTTGGGAACTGCCCGTGTAACGTAGCATGCGCAAGACCGAGAAGACTCGATTCTAGGCGCGGAAGCTCGTCTGTGATATGACCTGCTAGATGGAGAGATACGATGCTAAAGGGGAGGAGATGGACGAGGAGGTTCTGATCGCCGGCTGGGTCGGGGTCTGCGGCGATCCAGTGGGAGTGGAACTCGTCTATATTGAGGAAGAGGTGGGTCAGGGAGGTGAAGTCGCGCAGGGTGAATGAGATTCGGTCTTCCTGGGCGGGGGAGATGAAGCCGCGGGCGCGCAGATCGAGATGCAGCGACTGGAGGGATGCGCGATGTCGGGCGAGGTGCTTGATCGCGGATGAGAGGCGGAAGTGGTATGTGCAGCTGAGGCGGTTGAAGTGGGTGGAGGCCTCGTAGAAGAAGGATTGCAGGCCGGAGCAGGTGGAGAGGAGGGACTGGAGGCTGCGCTCGCTGAGGCGGCTGAATGTGAGGTGCAGGTGCTTGAGGTTGGGCAGGGAGAGGGATTCGGTGTCGGAGATGCCGCGACACATGTGGAGGTTGAGGGTTTCGAGGCAGGGGGATGCATCGAGAAGAGCGCGCGTGCACCGGCCGATATCGAATCGCTCGCTGTGCCAGCCGTCGGTGGCTGATGCTCTCAGGGACAGGTCGAGGGTCTTGATGGGGAGACGGGTGGTTCTTGTGGCGTGGAGGCCTGCAGAGCGGACGATCTCATCTGGGTATGGGACGACTTGGAGACTGCAGTGTTCGAGATTGGGCAGCTGGGCGATCAACACCGTCAAGAGGTTAGCTGCTGAGAGGGACACCAGGTCTTCGAGCCCCGATATACGTGCGAGCTCTTGGAGCGCAGCCCGAGCTTCATCCTCGCCGATGTATTGGCGCGGTTTGGGCTCGTGAATGAAAAAGTTGCTTGTACAGTTACCACACATGTAAAACATAGAACATGCGCATTCTATAGTTGTCTGTCTCTCGTCAAAGCATGCCAGGAGATACGGATGGACAAAGATCCGCTTGACAAGGGCGGCCAGATCTCGTCGCTGGGCCACGGTTCGCATGAATGAAATAAGTCGGCCATCCCAGGCGTAAACATCCGAGCGCCATGAATCGCCGTAACCGAGCATGAACTCATGGTATAGAATGGGCTGCACAATCTCGCACAAGCGCCTGGTGACGAAACACAGCGAGAGCAGCGTCTGAAGCTTCAAGGAGTACCAAGACGGCTGGTCACTCTCTTGGCGATCGGCACGGATGTACGCATTTGGGGGTTCTGGGAGGAGTTTCCCGCTGCAGTTGAAGCCCAAATGGCCCAGAATCAAGTGGACGATCTCCGTCGGGAGGCGGTTCAACGCTGCCCGCGTCATGCCCAATCTTGGGTGGGGCGAGAAATCGTCGTGCTTCTCCGGATGCTCGCCACTGGACGGTCGACCCTTTCGGGCTGGGTGCAAATTTGGACAGCAAATGATGCTCAGCGAGTCCCATAGGGCAGACGGCTGTTGCCAGTCATCGAGAATTGGATTTTCAGCCAGCGCAGCAATTGCTGATTGTGCTTACTCGGGGGCTATTCAGACCCCTGCTGTCGGACTATCATATTGGCCGAGGATCCTTAGCGTTTCTAGTGCCCATAAGAGACTTGAACTCATAATTGAACATGGGTGATGTTGCAAACAAGGTGTCCCTGGTCTGTATTTCTCCATAATTGAATGCGACCACCGGTCGAATTATGCAAGCAAGTCTGTTTCGATCGAATGAATCAATATCCGTAGAGGGGATCATAACACAGGACACAAATCAAAAGAAGAGAAACCGAAGGGGCCGAATGGCAATATTTAGGCAGTAAGATATTCATTCAAGGCACCAAAGCAACAAAACTGACAGTGTGAAAGAATTTGCAGGACCAGAAAAAAAGCAAAAAACAATTCAACACCCCTTCTAATGCTACATCCCCACACAAATATGAAGGTTCACCTACCTCATCTGCCTGTGGAGAATATCTTCCCCACGAGCAGTTGAACCTCTGATCCCCGAGAAGGGTAACTCTAGCGTACTGTCAGGTCATAATTCCCGACTGCGTGCTCCGTAGTTGCACACCGATCATCGAGTATCAAAGTCAGTGTGACCATGACCAACAGTTGATCCCCACCGGAGGGTGGGAGTGGGTAAGAGATCTCCGCTTAGAATGGAGACGGATCTCGAGGCGAAGAAAGTGCACCGATTGCTACGGGGTAGACAAAGTCGCGCACTATGACCAGTCAATCAGATACTCTTAACTATACGGACGACACCATGTCAAGGAGAGGATTAAGATATTTCGCCTGAGAAAATAACACCGAATGAAAAGAGAATAAACAAACCTCGGCAAATGCTCAACTCTAACTCTAATGTGCTACCACGCCAGAGCCCGGAGTGCACATACCTACTCCGTAGACAAGGCCAACCCCAGGGACCATCTACCACTGGCACATCCAAACTACCTATGACCTCACATCCCCCGAAAGTGGGTACCAACGACATCACCGGCGACCCACTACCTACCAAGGGGGGAAGCCGGGCACCCCCAACGTCCCTCGCTCGACTCATTCTCCGTGATTTTCCTGACGATCATCCAGACAAGACCGGGAGGGCCCAAACCGGACAAGCCGGCGCCAAGGCCAAGTCGGTCGACGAGTCAAGAGTTGAAGCTTGACTGATGCCAATTCTAGGGGATTAGGAATCTTTGTTCTGGGATCGGAGTGCGGTGGCGGTGTGGTTCCTGACCTAACAGACCTTGCTCGTTGCATATACCGTTGCCGGATAATGTGAGACGAGACAAGATTTCTGATTTGTGATTTTTAAGAGCAGGTGCATGTGAACGAGGACAGCATGCCGGGGTGCGTCTCGCGTAATGTGATATGTAGAGGCCCACGTTCGGAATGACTGCTTTGGGAGGGGGCGTGGAGTTCACTACTCCGGAGTGCGATGTAGATGACTGTGTTTTCATTTAATTTAATTGACTTGAATTGAACGAGACGGCTTCACTCACCATTCAAGCAGTTCCCCCGGAATGCATCGAGCACATCAATCGGAATACTTTCCCCTCTGCCTGATGAAAACCGGGATGATCGGAACGGGGAAGCCGTGGGACTGGGCAAGGCTGGGGTTGGAAGAGAAAAAAAGGGGGAAAAAAAGTTAAACTTGAGAATTAAAAAATCCAAGAGGAAAACGAAGATCGGGGGGGATTGCTGAAGATCGACAGACGCGACGGATGGAAAAGTTGGCTTTAGGGGACGTTGCCTTCTCCATCGCCCGAGCAGTTCATCGGAAAACTTGCTTTCTTTCCCTGCTTTTGCTCTCTCTTCCCCTCTTCTCTGCTGCAAAACCAGCCAGGTCGAGTCTTCAGCAGCAGTCCCTGTTCCCTGTAAGCAGGATAAGCACAGTTAGGGTTACCGACAAAGTCGTGACTAATCTTAAGGCTCGGCTGTGGTCTGAAGAATTGAGACTTTGATTCAGTGAAGGAATCTCAGCCGAATCGAATCCACCGATCGACTGGGCCTTGCCGAAGGTGCCGCTTTGGGTCCGGCTCAGTTTCATCTGAAGAACCCCCGGGCAACTCTGCCGAACTCGTTGGCTTCTTAAAAACTGGCCGTCTCTTTTTTTTTTCTTTTCTTTTCTTTCTCTCTTCTGGTGGCCAAGGCCAGCTACAGCTCATGCTAAAAAGGAGGGGTTACTCCGCTTCCGTTTCGATTGCAACCGCCTGGCTTCTTCATGTCGAATCGCTATCAATATCGAATGCTCCGTCGCTCATGCTCCCGGCGTGCTGATATCAACACAGGAGAGAAAAGAAAACACAAAATCAAACAGGAAAAGAAAACTAATTACAGACAGGCCGAGACAAGGAGAGGGGATATTATCAAAAAGAAACATTACTCCACCAGTCTGATGCGGTGTACATGAGTGTGGTATCTGAGAACAAGAACCAAAACTGAAAGAAAAACATAAGTGGTATCATGAAAAGCACGGCGACTCCTCCGACAGCCCGGCTGGCGGGTGGATGTCGCTGGGGAGCCTGACTCGACTGGTCGGACGCAGTCAATCTGGTGGAATGACCTTCCATCATGGACATGTTTCCCCGCTCGGAGACCGTCGGAGGGAGTGCGGTGGGATCCCTACATATCATGGAAGAGACCTGCCTGACTTCGTTCTCGCCGACCACCACAGGTGTGGGGTGTCCTCAAAATGAGGCCCAATGGGGAAAACGAGGACAAAAAGCTGACTCGAATCGAGTCGACGGAGGTAGGTAAGGGTTCCGGAACAGAACCATGCTATCATGGACCTCCAACATCTCCGGTGTCTTCATTCCAACCCCACTCTCGGAGGAGTTGGTTGACGCGGTATTCAGTCGCCCAGCCAAGGTCCGTCTCGATGCCGCGCAGCAATTGCAACGCCGTCCGTCGTTCGGCAGGCTCGGTGAGACACTGGCCGCTGACAAACAGTGGCTGGAGAGAGTTGATACGGACAGCGCCAGTCGGACGGCCCATCGAGATGCCTACAATTTCGCGGCTGTGAAACCGGATTTCGTTCTCGATCGACCGGTAGGAGTTGAGCCTGTCGGTGATGGTGCTCCGTCTACTGGTTGACTCGTGGGGTTTGTTGATGAGAAGCAGAATCCGAGCCATGTGGTAGTGTTGCATAGCAGATGCGCATACCGGAATGCTGTACCAGATCTCGCACAGAGATGAAAGGTCGTTGCCGGTGGTGCTGTCCTTCGCGCGAGATTGAAGCCGGGCGCAAGGTCGGAAAGTGTCTGGAAGCCCGTTGTACCACACGTCGAGCTCGGTCTCGAGACGGTACCACCGCTCAAGCAGAACCTGTTGCGAGATTGCCAGGGGGCCCGAGTCAACTGAGCCGTTATCCAAATGCAAATGATCGCCGGCACTAATATAGTTGACGATTTTAGACAGTATCCAAATGAGACCATTTCCGATAAGGTCCTCCCGCATGGTCTCGTCGCCCTCCGGATATCCAGCCGCAGTGGTGTTGGTGAGCCGTACAAAACCCATGTTATCGATTTGGAGACCCGCCTCAGTCCACAGCACTAAATCCTCGGTGTTCAATCTCGTCTGACACTCATTTATGACTAGCCAACACTGGTTAACCATTTGTCACACGGAACACCCGTTGTTAAACACTTACAAGCAGCCAAGTAATCCTGACGAGCAAAATTCCAAAACGTCGCCCTTCGTGCCCTCGACAAGCCAGGTTTTTTGGGTGGGAAAGGAGTCTCTCCCGGTGATGGACGCTGTTCAAGTGGCATCATTCCGACTTCGGCAACATCCAGCAGTGACTTGACACCACTCAGATGTCGACTCCAGGCTGGGCCGGTCGCGTCCAGGAGTTCATACACAGACAGAATGGCCGTGGCGGCTAGGATGTCATCCGAGTGGACGCCGTTGGACAGCCGACTCTCCGAGTAACGCCTTCGACGCTTTCGAGGATTATTACCGTTTTCACACAGTTCTGCGGCCTGCCATTGCCCAAAGGCTTCGGGAGTACTCAAGGGTGCCGGTCCCTTATCCGGTTGAAGCTCCTTCATCAAAAGTTGGATGGCCTTTTCGTAATACTTGGCGCCATACCAACCCCAGTCTACTTTACTTTCGTCGGGCCACGAATCCATCGAAGCTTGAAGCGGAGCAGCATCTCGAGAGGAAGCAAAGCTTCGGACGCGGCCTAACTGTTTCGCGGAATATGCACACGCCGCATATTTGAGCAGCGGGTTTGTCAGGGCCTTGACAGGGATATAAGACGCGAAATATGTCCCCAGATCGAACAAATCCATCCTGGCCATTGTCAGCCAATTGTCCTGGGCAAGAAATAGAAGAAAGGGGCGCGGGCGCATCTACTCACCAGAGTCCTGGTGCTTCGGAGAAATTTCTCAATAGAAAGGCGATCTCGTGCTCTGTTTCCACCGGCATGTCTGATCGCTGTTCGACCGGTTTGCCTCTTGCCACGAGGGACCTGGACGTCAACGACGAACCTCTACGCTCAGATCCATGTTGGATCGTAGATGTATCCGGGGAGAGGGACTGAGAAGAAGGGTTCAGAAGGAAGTTGATGTTATTATTAGTATTATTATTGCTGGAAGTGATCGAGATTGGCGGAGACGCGAGAGAGGGGATCGCGCTGCGAGGCGGGTTCGGAGAAGGTCCCGACGAGATAGAGGTGGTTGAGACTGTGTTGAAAGCTGAGCCGCCGTCGGTCGCCGTCAAAGCCTGCTGTTGTTCAACACTGAAAGGAGGATACGAGAGACGATCGTGAACAGCCGCCGTGGACAGAGTCTCGAGGCCATGAGATTCGCCGTCGGACGGCGAGGGATGTTGAGCGCTCCAATGTCGAGTCTGCGAATTAGCGGCCAGAATAGCGGCTTCGGACTCGCCTAGAGCGGCCTCAAGATCGTCGGCGTACGGATCCGAGTTGTCGACGAAGATAACTACCACAACACCACAGGTTAGACCACTCTGACGAATGCCGGAAACCACACCGCCAAGCAACGCTCGCCGGCTGGTGAGCGAGGACAGGGAGGACTACCATGTTTGGGAATATCCAACCAGACACTATCCTTGTCGAACGTATTCTTGTACGAGTAGAAACCCTTGAGATTCCCACGACCAGCGGAAGTGTCGTCCAAGTTCTTGTTCATCGAGGCATTTTGCTGATGACGGAAGACGATGCCTTCGCTGGGCCGACACTCTCTACCACCTTTGCGACATTGCGAACATTCGGGCTTCTGCTCGTCACCTAAAGCGAGACGGGCGCATTTAGTCCGGAACCTCTTCTGAGCATCACGACGAGGAGACTACCGTACATTTGAGTTTGCGAGTGCGGCATGTCAAGCTGTGATGGAGAAGACCAAAGCCCAAAAAGTCAGCTTACTCGGATTGCCTTGAGGTAAGGTGTTGCGAGACCGCCGCAGCGACGGGGAGAACGGGTGTGTCGTGTACAACAGGATCGCTGTGCTGTCGACGTGATGTGATGATCTTTATTTATTTTTGGGGAGATTGTTTTTGTTCTCAGCAGTCTTAATGGATATAACATACCAGCCTGTGCGAGATCGCATACCGGATGGTATCGACGACGATTGAGGTGCAGCATCCGAAGAGACGGTGGCGGGCCAATAATAGGAATATAACCCGGGGGAGGGAGAAAGCTGGAGTCAAGGCGCAACGACTAGCCCCAAATCGACGGTAGTGCGAGGGCCTCCGGACATGGATCGGATAGTCGATACCAAGACCGTGGGGAGAGGGGGGGAAGGGAAGGGGGAAGGGGGGACAGGCAAGTCAAGCAACTTAGGAGCACGTAGGTGGATGAAAGGGGGAAGGTTAGGAGACGAGCGAGGGGACGGGATGGACGAGCAGAATGCCAATACGGCACGACTTGGGAGCAGCGCAGAGTCGAAAATTTCGATTAAAAAATATTATTTCCATTACTATTGTTTTTCTCCCCAGCGACTTGGCAGCGAAGGCCCAAGGAGACTAAATGGACTAACGCCAAAAGGCCCCAGAAGAAGGGCAAAAGCGGGGATTTTTGCACCGCCGGTCGGGGAAGCGGATCATCGTTGGGCCGCCGCCGGAGGGCCTTGGGGCCTTGCGGGGAAAAAATCCGGGATGGGCTGGGTTGGGGTTGGTCATGGGACTTATTATTATGTGATACTATTATATTATTATCATGTTTATCATTATTCTCATATGCCCTGTAGCTCTGTCCAACTCGTCTTTTTGTTTTTTCTTATCACCATCTCTCTCTATTCAATGGTTCTAATTCTTCCTCTATGTTGACCGCCGTCCCGGAATATACCCGATTCTGCCCGCTAGCTCGTCCACTTCCATCGCCTTCGCCGGTTAATACGCAGTAGCCATGTCACGTCGGACTGTGGCCCCTCCATCACCAGATATTACTCCGGATTGGGTTATTAACACGCACCGCGCGCCCGCCCAAAATGACTTCATTTTTAATCTGTGGCGATGCCCGGCCGAATCAAATCCCACACTAGCGCTGTCGCATGCCTGGCTCTTTTAATTACCTAATGCCCTGGCCCTGCTGCCACCCAATCACCGTCGCGCCGGTCAGCCAACAACTGCGACGAGATCCACTACGGAGTTCGAAAGCCTCCAATCCATGGATTCGCCCTGTCGTAAGGAATCTTAGTTTCGACAAGTAAGCAGAGGTCACGCCGGGTGGTGGGTGGTGTGTTCCTTCCGGAGGCGAAGACTCGGTAAGCTTGAACGCGCCTCGTACGCCTGGTGATGTCAAGTGGCACTACTGGGACCTGGGATTGCGGAGTTACTCTGGAGCCATCTATCTCTCAATGAGAATTCTGTCCTAGTTACTAACAACATGCATTATTGTCATTACCGCGATCTCGCGCAGGCTATGTACATGCCCACCTGGTAACGTCACCCCCTCTGCACGAGGATGAAGTAAACAGTGTCACCCAGGTCGGAGACCATAGTACATGGGGAAATACTCAACAACAAAATGGTTCACTGACAAAGGACCGGATGTGGGCAAGGAAGGATATATCAACACGTCCCTGGCCAACTCAAGGACTGGATGAGAGAACATGGAAACAGCAAAAAAAAAAAAAAAAAAAAAAAGAGCCAGCAATTATGGTATATCTCCTGGGAAATCAACGGTCAACAAACCGAATGCCAAAATGCAAAGGCAAAAAAAGAAGTGAAGAAAAATGAGGTTCAAGAATTAAATAAGGGTATAAGATGATGTGCTTCCCAAGAACGCCGTTCTGAGAGGTATCAAACAGAAAGAAGAAAGGAAATGATCATTCTCTTAAATTGCACCAACGGGATCGTCACGACGAATGTTCAAAGCTCATATTACTGGCGCGGCCGGGTTGCGTTGCTGCAATGTATTGAAAAGGTACTCGGGAGGCAGCCGTTGCATGTTCGATGGTCGATCGGTGCCGTACGTTTGCGGAGCCTGCATGTAGCCTTGACGGCGGCGTTGAATCTTATTGAAGATCACACCGGCAATGACAATGAGGAACACGCAGCCAAGTGCAAGGCAGAATGATATCAACACAACAATGCCGTTCGAACGGTGTTTCCCTGTTTCAGACAATTAGTACGCATGGTTCGAGACATCAACGGAGGTAAGTCGGAAGATAACACTCACCTTCGCTGGTGTAAGGATTGGTCTTTTCGTAGAAGATCTTGGACATGCTGCCCGGTCGGCCATCAGACCCGGTCGTCAAGATGAAAGGGCTGAGGACAGTTCCGTTGAAAAGTGCCGCCGACGCATTGCCGAAACCCGGGATCACCAGTTGCCCGGTAATCAGGAGAATCAGATCCTTGTTCAGCATGTTGACGCTGTCGTGCTTTTCGGACAAGGGAATGACCTCGAGACCCTGAATTGAAGTTCCTTGTTCAAAGACGTCCGCGGTAAATTGAAACTCGGATCCATCATAATTTGCCAAAAAGCTGGACCCATTATTGGTTTCACCCGCCAGCCAAAAGGTGGACACGTCTTTGCTGGCTGGAGAAAAGGCGGTTACAGTTCCTGGGATGTCCGAAGCCGATGCCCCTTCGAACGCGGTCCATTCTGCCTTCTTGGCGTTGTAGGTGGCCACAACCGAACGGTTGCCATCGACGCTCAAGTTTCCGGCTGCCAACATTTTGTGATTGTTCATCCATGAGAGGGCTATGACGGAACCACTAAAATCTCCTCCCATTCTGTTCCACTGTAACTCGGATGGATCATACATACACACTCCCGCGCAAGGAAGGGCTCCGGCACTGTCAAAGTTACCGCCGACATAGATTTGACTCGAACCCGGGCGTGGAGCGATGGCATTGACGGTGACATCCTCGCCGGTGAATCGCGTCGGCTGTTTTTGCGCATAAGTTCCGTTTTCGAGATCATAGATGACAAGTCCGTTCAAGACTGAGTCACCAATAGTTCCGGTCAGGTTACCTCCGGCATACAGCCAGTCCTCGGAAACGGCGAGGGCTAAAACAGTCGAGTTGCGATCAATTCCTGCTCCGAGGCCATAGATTGTACCCTTGGTGCCATCAAGAATGGCGATGTTCTCGACTTCGGACCCATTGTTGGACATTGTTGTAAAGTGACCTCCCAAAATCGTGAGGTTCCGGTCGGAGCTGGAGTCGTAAATACCAGTATGAGTGCTACCACTCGAATTGGTGCTGGAGAGCAGAGGGTCCAAATCCAGGCCGTCATCGTAGAGTAAAGACACGGCAGCAGCAGCAGCGATACCCGCCGAAGCAAGATTACCCGCAAGCAGAGTCGTGTTATCCACCCTTGCAAACGACGATAGTTGCCCGGCAAACTCCATCTGGTTGACATCAAGGTTCTGCAGCCAATTCTTTCGCGAGGGCACCCAGACAGCAAAACCCGAGACGTTGGTCGACGGGGTCTTGTCGAAGGAAAGCAGTTGATCGAAATCTCCGCTGACTCCGATGATGGTCTCGTTGATTTCGGACGATACATTCAGAGTGAGAGCAAGGACCTGCGAGACCGGGCCGTTGACACCGCCCCCTAAGGCTGACCAAGACTTGGAACCAAAAGTGTAAGCTGCGATATGCTTGAGATGCTCGTTGCCGCCATCCGACGTATCCGTGAAGTTTCCTCCTACATAGAGAACCTTGTCGAGGGCAGTCATCGAGGTCACCTCCGAGTTCAAGCCGCCCTGAGGCAGTGACGTGGCGTTCTTGTTCTTCTCGAAGAACATTACGTTGTCAACATCAGAGCTGGAGAAGTTCCCGCCGACGTAGACGGCATTATCATGGCTAACCAAGCTCTTAATCGAGGCCTCCTCGTCCAAGCTCAGGCCCGCTCTATTGACAGCGGAGTCGGTGAAATTCGAGTTAGTGTCCTTTGACTCGGGGTCAAAGTCATAAAGGCCATTCAATTCTCCGTTCAGACCACCAGAAGCATGGATCAGGTTAAACCTGACCCGGGATGCGACAACCGTGAGGTCTCCCTGACCAGACTTCGGCGTCAATGTTACGCTGGGGCGAAACGAGCTGTCGCTGGCGTCCACGTGGCCAGTGTAGAGAGTGTCGTACTTCTCGTAGTAGTTGGTCTGGTAAATAAGCTTTTCAATCGGCTTGTCATTCTTCGAGCGGGTCGAAACCGTGCCGGTGACATTGACGATGCCGCGGGAACCGCACGTCCCATCTTGAATGCAGCCTGGGGTGTAGATAATGATCGAATAGTTGCCCGACCGTTTGATGTCAGGTTCGAAGACCACGGACGTGCTGTCGGCCGAAGTGTCGGTTACCTCGGCGGTCAAATAGTCGGACTGGCTCTGATCGGACTTTGTGTGAGACCAAGAGCCTTTCTGAGATGTTTTGGACGGGTACTTGATATCGCCGCATGTGGGTTCGTTGAAATCGCTCACGGCATAAGCGAAGATATCTTTGACAAATTAGCATATTCGAACAAGCAAGCACAGACCCGAATCAGGAAACTCACCATCCTCAAAGACTTCGATCCCATTCAGACCACCACCATCGCCATACCACTTCTGGATCTCGATCTGAAAACCACGCATGCCAACGCCGTTCACGAAATGGAAATCACGGTACTTCTCACTCGAGTTGCTCGAGAGCGGGCAGGTCGAATCGCAATACTTCTTATCGTGGGAGCCAGGCTCGCTATAGGTGAGGTTCATAATCCCATTGTCCGGAAGTGCTCGCAACAAGAACTCCTTCGTGCCCCTTCCTTCATAGTGGGTGTTATAGAGGCGAATTTTGGTTGGGTTGTATCCGAAGCGCATTTCCGCCCGCCAGAACCCGGGGGAATTGTCGGCGAGAAGCCATGTTTTACCCTCGCCATCTTTGCCGCTCGTTTGACACAAAATGTTTCGAGGATCGCTCAGGCCACTTCGGGAAGACGTCGCGTCGGAAGTAATCGTGGCGTTCTGGATGTTGACAATTTGCTCGTTCTTCTTCGACGAGGTAGAGTTCCCAATGCCGTCGAACAAACCACCAAAGATAACGTTCCCATCGTCGCCCTTCAGAATCGACGAGACGGGGCCATTGAATCCGCCGAAAGACAAACTCGACCAGCCCTTACCGTCATCCCATGCGACGGCGTGCGACGTATTCTTGTACCTGAAGTCTCCACCCACATAGACACGGTCGGAATCCTTGTCGCACAACAAGGCCGACACAGAGCCAGAAAGACCAGGGAGCGCCGTCACTTTCTTCGATTCGGGGTCAAACAACGCGGCGCCTTGTGTTTCGACGTCTCCGAGGCTGGTGAAATTGCCGCCGAGGAATATGCCCTTAAACGTTCCATCTTTCAGGGTAAACGGACACATCACACGAATGTCCGCATCCGCCACCGACAGCGTCGTAATAATTCCATTGGGGAGAGGCGTGAGGATGGACTGGGACCCCTCTTGCACGGAAGCCGTCACGGATTGTTCGGTGTAAGCGTAGATCGAGACCGCATCGAAATCTCCGGTGAGAGCGACTTTTCCCAGGGGCGTCAAATCCAATTCGGGTTCCGAGACCGAGTTAAACGAGAGACCGTGGGCGGGTTCGAGGAGCGACCAAAGGTAGAGGGCGGCCGACAAGCCAGCCGTCGCAGGCCTAAACAGTGAGGGGGTCCTCATTGTTCAGGAGCGCGACGACAGGCCAAGGGGGATGGAAGTCCCTGTAGAGGTGAAATAGTAAACAAAAAAATCAGGCTCAGATTCACAGCTGAGTCAAGAGCCAGATTGAGATCAAATTATTGGAACGGTCGAACCCAAGGGGGGGAGGGAGATTCTTTTTTTAAGGAGACCCGGCACCCATACGGACGACGCGATGAAAAAGGAGTGGCAATGAAATAGGAACTGGTCAGAAAGGGAGAGCGACAATGCAATGAGTAAAGAAGGAATGAATGAATGGATAGTAATCAGCCAGAGAGAGCCGACGAAAAAAAAAAAAAATGCAGGAATGGACAAGCCAAAGAAAACTAACGAATGACTGGGTGAAGCTGGATGGGCCGAACGAGTGACATGGCAGGGGCTTGTTTGTTCAAGTCTGGCTGAGCCTCTCGACGTTTTTCCGGATGCCATCTTATTCTTAGTCCGGCTACTGGGACGCTGCTGGTACGGGTACCTTACCGGTCGGGTACCTTCCTTGCCTGCGCCCTGGGTAAGACGCCCAGGTACCGCCGCCCGGACATACGTTGGTCCGGTATGTAATACGCAGCGAGAATCGCCCGCCACGGGAGGCCATCCATGGTCGACTCTCTGCGCGGTGGAGCCACAATGTCATTCATTCCGTCCGACAGTACGCCTGGTATCGCCAGGTATCTGTGTTCTGAATTTCGTTAAATTTCTTCAAATCTCCCAGGAAGCAGGTCGCTGTCCTCTCGGTGTCCGTATCACTATGGGTGTTGTCTCTCCGTGGAGGTGCGGAGTACCCTGTATGCCCGATACATTTCTGGACAATCCAAAACTTCAGCCATCTCGCCAATAGCCAATAGAGAGGCTGGTATGCTGCCACCCCTAGAGTCCGACTTTGCAGAGCCAACCCTCTTCGACTAAGACCTTGCAGTGTACATGACCTGATCACTTCCAGATGAACGTCGGATGGAGTTTCATCATGAGACTTTCATTTCGGCTCCCATCCGAAGAAGAGGCTGGCCACCGGCATGATAACCACCGTGTATGCATGTATGTATGCATCTGCATAGATCAGGATCTACGTCGATCTGTGTGTGCATGAGGTACTCCGTACAGAACCACATCATCCATTGGCCGTCGCATCTTGGCACTGCGACTCTGCCTCGACATCGGTGCGAGGAGACTCACGGTTTCCTAGCGGTGTATGATCGATACCATAGGCGCCCGTTGAAGCATGCCCGATGGCGAGAGATATAAATAGCACCCGTTTCATTCCGGATCAAAACTGAAACCATATCCCACATCTACGAGGTTATGACATGGTGGTTAGGACGACCAGTCGTTTGTCAGTGCTCCTTATGTGTTTCTTATGCTTTCGAACTCGCCAAACAAGAATTATTACTTCATGGCAATAGAGTGGCGGAGATGGGACCCGGGGGTGACATCACTCGTTATGATTCGTCGACACAGCCACCAACGATCATCCCTTTCAAGGATAGAACACATCATGTTCGGAACGTTAGCTTCGTCTCCCGATTTTCCGCTCAGTTGACAGCTCACAAAGGCCGACCGAGCTAACCTGCCCAACCAACGCAGGACATGAAGTGCGGCTTATCAGCCATTGCGAGCATCGAGGTTGAAAGAAGACAAATTGGCGCCTTCTGGCACCCTACAGAGAGCTAATGTGGAAACCCGGAGCCATTGAACTGAAATTCATGTCGATCAGTTGCCAGTCTAAAGTCTAGACGCTAGACTCCACGTCGTACTCCGTATCGGAGTAGTGTTCTTTGTTGTACAGTCCCAACTCAAATTTCATCGGACAAAGACACAATCTTAATATAGCTTCCATCCCTTTCTCCTGTCTCGTTTTCTCTTGCCTATCGTACTTCAGACTCTTTCTCTTCGTCGCCTTTATGTGGGTGATGGTGGCAATTGGATCATCTTCATGCCATTCTCCTCGGGCCACCATTCCCAGGAATGCCGCGATACCCACCTGCAGGAGTATGGAATTGCGTGTCTTGCGGAGATACTGTTGCCTACAAATATCATACAACTGAACTAAGAGCTACTTGAAACTTTGATCATTGCATCTACGGATACGACATATTTGGAACAAATTCAATCATCTTTTTAATACAATCCCCCAGTTGACTGTTGACTGTCGTATTCTGTACGGATCTAGCGATCGCGACATGTCTACTGTAATTCACTCACTGTCGCACAAATAGTCTCTAGGCAATAATATTTAATTCTGTCATTTGTTGGGCTGATTGTTCATCAAAATAACATCAGACGTAGAAACACGTTGATCGAAGGATCGGTGCCAAGCCCCGAGGACCGAGACGCCACGAGACCGGGAGGCTGACTGGCCTTCTCTCCACCTTCCATCAATTCACCACTCCATCCCGGCTGGCCAATTCATCCATCTTTGTATCTACCTTTAAAACTAGAATCTCATCTTAATTACCCGGAAAGTTCGGTCTCGGGGCCTTGGAACGATAGTCTCTATACTATAGCCCCAGTAAAGCTCATTGTTACAATGGCGGACGCCGAGCGCCGAACAACACCTTACTTCAAAATATGCAAATCTTGTGAGCAATGCAGACTGCGCAAAGTCCGGTGCATTGGTACGCTACCATCAATTTCCTGTCACGCGAGGTATTCCTAATCGTGTGGAATAGTGACCCGGGATAATCCTTCGAGATGCACACACTGTACTGTAAGGAAGAACGCAGTCTGGATGAGAAGGCCACAACTGACGCGACTATACCTTAATATCCAGAAACGGAACGAGGACTGTGAATTTAGACATATCAAGCGCAGGTTCAGAGCGCAGGCGCAGGCCACGACAAGTAGGTAGAGCATCGTGGCAAAGGCCTATTGCTGCAGGTTTCTGATTACGGCTGCTTAGTTCCAGATCGATCCGTATCAAGCGCAAGTCAGCATTCTCATAATTGGGATTCTTCTCGGAGAAACTATACCCAGACAACAAGTGTCATCACGCCATTATTCGTGGACCACCTCTTGGATAGTCCACCCAGTGGCGCGGAACTTGGTGACGAGGCTTATATTTTCAAGGTGAGCGGTCTTCACATAGAGATTTATTGACCCCTCTAATCGGCATACAGTCCCAGGAGCATGAAGGTAGGTTATTTCTACTGAATTTCAAGTTCAATCGTGATCTAACAAGTTATTACAGTCAGCAGCTCAAACTTAGCCTTCTTCTCAGAGCAAAGAATTCAGTCTTTATCGCAGAGACTAGGAAACAATCGACTCGTGGAATTATTGGAATCTATTGAGACCGTAATTTCTCATCGAGTGATGGCTCAAGGAAACGTTTCAATTTCCCCAATTACTTTTAAAGGGCCATCGAGCTCTATTCATATTCCAAGAGAAGCAGCTCGGCTCTACATCGATGGTTATACCCCTTTATTCCTCCCCACAATTGATAGTCTAATAAGGTTCTAGCCTATTTCCAACATTTCCACTCACTCTACCCGTTTTTGGATCGGCAGAGATTTGAGAGAACTGCATTGGGGTCTGATATCGCCCGGACTTTGGACTCGGATGCTGCGTTTTCTGCCTTGTACCACGCCGTTCTGGCTTTGGGATGTCAATATCGTGATGGTGGAACCTTTGACCCTGGTAAAGGAAAAGCATGGAAACTGTTCCAGATATCATTGTGCTTGATGGCCGATATCCTGTCGCCGACAGAATCGTTGCTCAAACTACAGGTAAGACTCTGTATCCATGCTATTCGTCTGAAAAAGTACTGACAGCCATCAACACAGGCCCTCACTGCCATGGTAAGCAATATTGGTGGCTTTGTCATGTTAAAATAACTTTTAACGGGAATCTCGCAGTCGATATTCGCCTTGAACACCTGCTGCATTCAAATTGATGAACTCCTGATCATGGAAGCTGCACGGATGGCACAAACGCTCCGGTATCACAGGTCAATTCAATGTGGTGACCAACAAATATGCTGTCAGCGAACATTCTGGGTGATTTATATAATGGAGAAGCAACTGGTATTTCACAATCGTGTAAACTCGGTAAGTAGTTGATGGAGTCTCGACGTTCGTTGCTAAGTCTGCCATGCTAGATAATAGTGGACTTCGACATCGGATGTCCCATTCCAGATACGCCCGAGGCAAGCTTCGGTGGCTGCAACTGGTTTCTTTCGAGAGTTCGGTTTGCTAGGATTACGTCTCAAGCATATGAGCTTTTGTTCTCAATCAGTGCCTCGGTGAACACTGAAGAAAGCTATTACACCGCGATCGATCATGTCGAGGATCGCCTAGAGCGGTGGAAGATGGCACTGCCTGGAGACTTTCGACCGGGAGGCCATAGATCGTACTCATTTTCTGATCCTGGCTTTAAAATGGGTATTCTGCAGACCCATTGCTCATACTATAGCCTGGTCATTGCTCTGGCTCGACTCACTATACAGATCAGTCCAGAAAAAGGACACCGGCATGAAGACAGCAAAAGAAAATTGATGGAATCGGCTCGACGCTTAATTGAGCTAACTCAGTACATTGATAAGGCCCCTCATACTCCAATTTTGTATGTTTATATGCGCACGTTGTTTCGTCATCCGAAGGATTATCAGAATGCTGATCAGTACCACAGTATATTAGGAGTCATACCCCTTGTGGCCCTCTTTATTCTTTTCGACTTTGTCGTGCATAATCCTCTGCATCCCGAGACAAAAACCAATTTATCCATGTTGGATATAGCTTCGGGCCATTTCAATCTGGTAGAGCATGCGTCTAACGGCTCGCTTCCCTCTTCCGGAATTTCCGAATTCTCGCACATAGCGAGGCAGTATGTCAGAGACTTTCCGGCAAATAATGACCAAGAACGCGTATATCACCAAGTTCCGACTCGAGATTCAAATCCCGACAGTATTGTGCCCACACCAAACGTTCAAGGTCTCTCGGAGTCAAAGCCCTTGGGCTCAATAAAGCATGCAAATCCGGTGGGAATCTAACAATTCCTCAGTCTCTACCAGACCTTAAGCTAATCATCGAACGTCCCAGGCGCATATTCCGGTTGATCGGGAGGTTGACGTTGACTTGGGACAGTATGACCAAGTTAGTAGCTGGGGCGAGCCAGTAGATTATCTATACTATCCAACGGCGGATTTTAATGTCGATATCGATGATCCTCTATTGCATGGGTTTGATGTGCGCACGTTGTTCGGTTCAATCATCCCGGATAGTTTTGCTGCCCCTGCAGATGACTACCAATCGACCATTTTGGAGCCTGGAGCACCAGTGTAATATCGTCAAACAGACTGGAGACCAAGAAAGACGACGTCAAAGTGTTGCAACATGTTTAAATATACTTTGAGAAATAGATTATTGTGGATTCGGTGCCCGGCGTCAGATCTCGGTGTTCGGGGCTCGGTGCTTGGCGTTATAGGGCTTCGAAAGTCGCTCAGTCGATAATCTGTCAGCCTGTCAAAGAACGCTCGGTGTTCGGGGGGAAGTAAAGCTCTAAAATGAGCTTTAAAAAGGGGTTTTTAGGTTATCTATTTATGTAGTTTAAATGCCCATGCTCGCTCTCTGTTTCTCGAAACCTACAAGCTCATTCTTCGAAACGTGCGTCGGGAAGAGCCAACCAACGATTCACCAGCGGAATCCTACAGTATGACCTCGGGTCTGGGACGTTCTTTGGCAACAGATCTTGAAGCGGAAAAGGAATCCAGCGATGATCATAGAGAAGCGGCTATCTCTGAGATTGCTCGCCAGATCACTCGATCTTCGACGATAGGTGACGTCGATATCAACTCCGTCTTGAACCCTCAAAGCAACAGCAAGCTTGATCCTTCCTCTTCTTCATTTGATGCAACAGCATGGGTGAGCTCTTTCATGCACCTGCTAGAGTCACGCTCTGGTGAAGCACCACCTTTGAGAAAAAGCGGCATTGCATATCGCAACCTCAGTGTTTCGGGATATAGCAACGGGGCTTCGTACCAGAAGAGCACTGGGAACATCCCTCTCAGTATCCTATCATCCGTTGCGGCGTTGACTGGCAACAGTCGACGTACGAAAAAAATCGGGATTCTGCAGGACTTTGAGGGCATTGTTAATGATGGTGAGATGCTTCTGGTGCTTGGTCCGCCGGGATCAGGATGCTCCACCCTATTAAAGACTCTGGCTGGGCAGACAAGCGGCCTGAAAATTAATCCCGAATCATATCTTAACTATCGAGGTAAGAAATATTCTTCGTATATACAACTTCTTTGCAATATACTCATTTAAGGCTTCAGGAATACTTCCCAAGTATATGCACCATCGATTCCGTGGCGATGTACTCTACAATGCCGAATTAGATGTCCACCTTCCGCACCTCACTGTCGGAGAAACACTCACTTTCGCGGCGCGCGCGAGAGCATGCACAAACATTCCGGGAGACAGCGCCGTACAAGCAAGCAACATTATTCGGGATGTAGTCATGGCCGTTTTTGGGATCGCACACACCAAGAACACCCGAGTCGGAGACGAGTACGTGCGCGGAGTCAGCGGTGGTGAGCGCAAACGCGTCAGTATCGCTGAGGCAGCTTTGACTGGGGCTAGATTCCAATGCTGGGACAATTCAACTCGCGGATTAGACAGTCAGAATGCAATCCAGTTTTGCAAGAATCTACGTGTACAAGCGGACTATATGGATCTGGCCTCTGTGGTAGCCATTTATCAGGCTCCGCAGGATGCTTACGAGGTGAGTTTATTTTGGACACTTGGGATTGAAAATGGCGGCTTACTCATGTTCTTTAAGCTATTCGATAAAGTCACAGTGCTTTATGAAGGGAGGCAGATTTTCTATGGTCGAGTACAGGACGCCAAGAAGTATTTCGAGGATCTTGGGTTCGAATGTGAGTATAACCTTCGATCACTTAGGCGTGTAGAGCCAAGTCTCTAACTCATCTATATGAAGGCCCTAAGAGGCAAACCACGCCTGATTTCTTGACCTCAATGACCAGTCCACAAGAGCGCAGGATCAGACCCGGGTACGAGAGTCTGGCTCCGCGGACACCAGAAGACTTTGCCCTGAGATGGAAACTCAGCGATCAACGCCAATGCCTCATGCAGGAAATCGAAGCATACGAGAACACTCATCACCAGAAGTTACTGCTGGAAGAATTTACCAAGTCCCGGCGAGCAGAGCGTGGAAGTTTCCAAAGCACCAGGTCTCCTTATATCTTGTCCTATTGGAAACAGGTTGAGCTGTGTCTTTGGCGCGGGTGGCGAAGGCTACTAGCAGATCCAGAATTTACCATCACGCAGCTCATATTTAATTCCATTGTCGGTCTGGTATTGGGTTCCATGTTCTACGGCCTGAAAGATGACACCTCGAGTTTCTACTACCGGGGAGGCCTGCTGTTCTTCGCGCTGCTATTCAACGCCTTTTCAAGTCAGCTTGAGGTAATGTCCTTTTATTTTGTTATCTGCAACCACTATCAAAACACTAAGTCTAATTAGGTTCTCACACTGTATGCCGAACGTCCCACTGTCGAGAAGCATAATCGTTACGCCTTCTATCATCAGTCTGCCCAATCCATCGCCAGCTACCTGATCGACATTCCATATAAGACAGCTAACATGATTGTATTCAATACGCTCATATACTTCATGTCGGGTTTTCGTCGCGAAGCTGGCTCTTTTTTCTTCTTTTGCCTGGCTTCGTACATCACCACCTTGGTTATGTCTGCAGTCTATCGCACTCTAGCGAGTGTTACCCGCACCTCCCATCAAGCCATGGTTCCAAGCTCTCTCCTCACTATAGGAGTCATGATATATACTGGTTTCACCATCCCCACCCCTTATATGCCGGGGTGGTCTCGTTGGATGGCGTACATAAATCCCCTGGCCTATGCATTTGAAGCCCTGATGGCGAATGAGTTTTATGGAAGAAGCTTTCCGTGTGCTCAGATTGTCCCAGAGGGTCCATCTTACGGGAACGTGACACTAGATCACCGGATTTGTGCAGCTGTGGGCTCTGTGCCCGGCTCGTCGTTCGTTGATGGTGAAACATACATCAACCAAGCATTTGACTATTGGAATTCCCATAAATGGAGGTGAGCACTATTTGAGGATCTCACGATTGCGTGTCCGCGATTGATAAGCCGTACTGACAGAGATCTAGGAACGTCGGTATTCTTTTTGGTTTTCTCATCGGCTTTCTCGCGATCTACTTCATTACTGCCGAGTACGCTCGTCCACCCCGAAATAAGGGTGAAATTCTAGTATTTCGCAGAGGGAAGGTTCCACGTGAATCTGCTGCTCAAAAGTCAGATGTTGAATCTCTGGAGGTACAAAGGCCTGTTGTTTCCGAGCGTATCGAAAGAAATGGCCCTATCAACAAAAGCGAGCAGTCACGGCCTGTTTTCCACTGGGAAGATCTCTGTTATGATATCAAGATCAAAGGCGAGACTCGCAGAATCCTCGACCACATAGACGGCTGGGTGCGACCAGGAACATCCACTGCACTTATGGTGACTATTTCCCCATGGTTTTGCCAGAAAGCGACTAACTTCAGATTAGGGTGCATCCGGTGCAGGGAAGACAACTCTTTTAGACACTCTAGCAGCCAGGGTGACCATGGGAGTGGTATCCGGGAATGCCCTGGTCAACGGTATACCCACGGATGCCTCTTTTGCCCATAAAATTGGCTACGTGCAGCAACAAGATCTGCACCTTGGGACAATGACAGTCCGCGAAGCACTGGAGTTTAGTGCTATTCTTCGTCAACCTGCTGATGTGCCCCGCGATGAAAAAATGGCATACACAGAAGAAGTCATTGATATGCTTGACATGCAGGAATTTGCAGACGCTGTTATCGGCGTTCCCGGAGAAGGTCTCAATGTCGAGCAACGCAAGCGGCTAACCATCGGAGTAGAGCTTGCTGCAAAGCCTGAGCTCCTCGTCTTCTTGGATGAACCTACTTCAGGCCTAGATTCCCAGACCTCGTGGGCAATATGTGACCTGATTGAGAAACTGGTGAAGAGCGGCCAAGCAGTTCTATGCACCATTCACCAGCCTTCTGCAGTGCTTTTCCAAAGATTTGACCGCCTTCTTCTACTTCAACCAGGCGGGAAAACAGTCTACTTTGGTGGTATGTGTCTTCAGATCTTTTTTTCAAGTATATACTCACTGAATTGATCAGAGCTTGGCAGTAATGCTCGTACGTTAATCAATTATCTTGAGTACAACGGAGCCCCAAAGTGTCCTCCAAATGGAAACCCCGCAGAGTGGATGCTTAGTGTCACTGAGCCTGCTTCTCAAAAGTCTGACACTCAGCTTGACTGGTCTCAAATATGGCGCTCTTCACCTGAATATCGGCAGACGAAAGAGGAACTTGCTCAACTAAAGCAGCGTTCTGCCAACCAGGCTTTGAGTACCTCATTGACCGCAACAAGCGACTCCCAGCACCACGAGTTTGTCGCTTCATTCCCGGCTCAATTTTGGCAAGTTTTAAAGCGCGTCTCAAAGCACTTCTACCGCTCCCCGAGCTATATTTACTCGAAAGCAGCCTTGGTGGCCTTGTCGGTCTGTTTAATTTCATCTGAAAGTATTTACAGGCTTATTGGCTAATCAGCAATAGGCATTGTACGTCGGTTTCAGCTTCAAGGCTGACAACAGTATCCAAGGGCTTCAAAATCAGGTCTATGCCTTCTTCATGTACTTGACTATTTTTGGCAGTCTGCACGAACAGATAACGCCCGTGTTTATTCCCCAACGTGCGCTCTACGAAGTGCGTGAGCAGCCGTCGCGAATGTACAGATGGACGAGTAAGTACTTCCCTACCTATCCCTAATTCAAGCGTGACTAAACCGTGAAAAAGCATATCTTCTCTCAAACATACTCGTCGAAATCTTCTGGAACACCCTCATGGCCGTCCTGGTTTATTTCTGCTGGTTTTACCCTGTTGGCTTTGCTCGGAACATGTCTGCCGATGACGAGCACATTCGCGGGTTTCTCATATTCCTCTTCTCGTGGATGTTCATGCTCTTCGTCAGCACCTTTTCCCATCTTTGCATTGCAGCGATTGAAACACCGGATATGGCAGGAGCCGTAGCTACATTGATCTGGGTGCTATGCATTACATTCTGCGGGTATGAAATACCTACTCCTCCCTCTCGCTTGCACTCCAGCTAACCAATGCCGGTGATTAGGGTGGGCGTCGCCAAAGCCGACCTCCCAGGTTTCTGGATCTTCATGTACCGCCTTTCGCCAGCAACATATCTGGTAAGCGGCGTGTTATCAACCGCATTAACAGGTTCCAAAATCATCTGTGCGCCACATGAAATCCTTCGCATGCAACCAGCTGCGAATCTGACTTGTGGCGAGTATATGAGCGACTTCATACGCAACGCTGGTGGGTATCTTCTGGACGAAGATGCGAGAGACCAATGCGAGTATTGTCGGTTGACTTCTACGGATGATTATCTGGCAACTTTCGACATCTATTATACAGATAGATGGAGAAATTTTGGTTTGCTTTGGGTCTATATAGGGGTTAATATTGTCGCGGCTTTGGGTGTGTATTGGCTTTTCCGTGTTCCTAAGACTCCACGGGTTAAGAAGGGGGAATAGAGGAATATGCAGGGTAACTGAGGTGGTGTTTTGATGGAGGATATATAGAAGGTCGCTTCTCACCACATTTATCAGAATATAATCATAATTTCAACATTTATATTGATTATCCTTCATTTCACTGGCAGTCCCACGTTTGTAATAATCGAACCTAGGTGGGTAATTGAGGGCTGGAATTACATCAACTTCGTCCCTCATGGTAGGGCATTGGTATTTGGGCTTTCATATCTGAGCTCTTAGAAAGCGTAAAGTGAGTGCAATAAATGATTTCATGTATATATCCCTACATCTAGCACTTTCTGTAGCGGCTCTCCCATACCGCCCCGTGTTTTGCTTGAATCATCCAAAACCTGAAGCTCTATAGAAACACATTTCTGCCTGAGGCATACACAGAACCCGCTAGTCCAGATTGAGCAGGAAGTGATTCCCGCTCACCGCCTGCAAGCGCAGTTTTCTGCCGGCCCGCGTAGCAACCAACCGGCAGCCGCGCGCAACGCGAGACTCCGGGAAAAAGTGATAGTTAAAGCTGAAGCAGCCAATATCTCAGCTGTCTATCACTGAGTCAAACAACATTTCGTGTCATCTACATACTCTTTATCTCTGTCGCTTGTCATCATATTTTTCGATCTCACCAACCTCCTTATCTTTTCCTCAGTAGCGAAAACTCTCCTCACAGCTTCTCCAACATGTGAGCATCCCCCCCTGCCTTTGCCCTGGTGTAACCATTGTGCTCCGGACGCTGATATCCTGCCCAGGGAGAGCTTCGATAACATCTACCTCGACCTCTCGAAACAACCGGGGAAGTGCAAGCTCGCGGAGAGCGGCTTGGGATGGAAGCCGTCGGGCGGCGGCGAGACGTTTACTCTCGATAGCAGCAATGTCGGCGCCGCTCAATGGAGCCGAGCTTCCAAGGGTTTCGAGCTGAAGATCCTTTCGCGCTCTTCGGGCGTCATCCAGCTGGACGGATTTGATCAAGAGGTATGTCCCGCCATGTGCTGATCTATTCACTCCCTGGGACAGGGTTTTTGTCTAACCCGTGGCTAATCATGTCTTTTTTTTCCATAGGACTTCGAGCGATTGACCAAGGCGTTCAAAATCTGGTACGGCATCAACATCGAAAGCAGAGAACATGCCCTCCGCGGCTGGAACTGGGGTAAGGCCGATTTCGCAAAGGCCGAGCTCAGCTTCAACGTCCAAAACCGCCCCGCCTTCGAAATCCCCTACTCCGAGATCTCCAACACCAACCTGGCGGGTAAGAATGAGGTCGCCGTCGAGTTTTCCCTCCCGGCCGAGAACGAACCCAAGTCGCAGCCGGCGGGGAGCACGAAAAACAGGGGTCGCAAGGCGGCGGCCGGGCCGGATGAGTTGGTCGAAATGCGGTTCTACATCCCTGGTACGGTCGTGAAGACGGAGAAGGGCATTAAGGAGGAGAACGGCGAGGAGAAGCCTGAGGGTGAAGAAGGGGAGGAGGAGGAGCAGGAAGGCGAGGAGCAGAACGCTGCTAATCTCTTCTACGAGATGCTGATGGAGAAGGCTGAGATTGGAGACGTGGCTGGTGATACGTTTGCCACTTTCTTGGATGTTCTCCATCTTACTCCCAGGTATGTTTTGTTCCGGTTGGGGTTATGCTTGGATGGGGTGGGTTTAACGGGTGCTGCAGAGGTCGTTTCGACATCGATATGTACGAGGCGTCGTTCCGGTTACGTGGAAAAACATACGACTACAAGATTCAATACGCTTCGATCAAGAAGTTCTTCTTGCTTCCTAAGAATGACGACACGCATACGCTCATTGTTTTGGGTCTTGATCCTCCGTTGCGCCAGGGACAGACCCGGTATCCGTTCCTGGTCATGCAGCTGAAATTGGACGAGGAAATCAGCTTGGAGTTGAACATGACAGAGTAAGTTCCGTCGTCGAAGGAATTCTGATATTGGGACAATCGTCTAACTTCCTCCAGTGAGTTGTTGGAGACGCGCTACAAGGACAAGTTGGAGTCTCGCTACGAGGAGCCCATCCACCAGGTCGTTACGAAGATCTTCCGCGGCCTATCAGGCAAGAAGGTTATCATGCCATCGAAGGACTTTGTCAGGTAAGTAATTCGCCAAGTTCCTTGATGAGAAAGTGCTCACAAGTTTGTAGCCACCACGGCCACAGCGGTGTCAAGTGTTCCATCAAGGCCAACGAGGGTCTGTTGTACTTCTTGGATAAGAGCTTGATCTTCGTTCCCAAGCCTGCCACGTACATCCAGATTGAGAACATTGCCGTCATCACCATGTCTCGTGTTGGCGGTGCCGTGTCGGCCAGCCGAACGTTCGACATCACGGTCACCTTGAAGGCCGGCGCCGGTGCGCATCAGTTCAGTAACATTAACCGGTATGACTTCTTTTACAGACTCGTGGTTTCGCATTGATTCTAATTCTGTCGCAGTGAGGAGCAACAACCCCTTGAAGAGTTCTTCAAGGCGAAGAACATCCGATTCAAGAACGAGATGACCGAAGATGTACGTTCAAGCCACTCTCTTTCCCATCTACATCCCGAAACTAATGCTTTTTCTTTTCAGACCTCGGCGATCTTGAAGGCGGCTCTGAACAACGAAGACATGGGATCCAGCGAGGACGAGGGTGTCCGACCCGACCGTGGCTCAGCCGACGAAGACGAGGAATCCGTGGACGAGGACTTCCAGGCGGACACCGAGTCGGACGTTGCGGAGGAGTTCGACTCCGAGCACGAAAGCAGCGGAAGCGACGCCGAGATGGAATATGGCTCGGGCGGCGGCGGCGACGATGACGGAGATGTCGACATGGACGACGCAGAGGAGTCGCGACCAAAGAAGAAGTCGAAGGTTGGGAAATAAAAACCCCTCTATTTTGGCGGGAACTAGGCCCCCTATATTGTTCTACAGCAACTACCCTGTGATGACGGTCGTATAATGAAATGGTTCCAATCAATATCTGGGTGGTGGTTATGTTTTCGTAGCACCTCGGTCGATCGGTGGTTGAGGATGACCACTCGGTATTCATATCATATTGCACCCAAAGCCTATCTGACATATCAGATCGATCAGCACATGTCAACGTCTGCTATTGACAGCGCTATTGAGTCTCGCCTGCATCTGCATATATCAGACGGGACACGATTGTCTGGTCGATCAGAAACCTGGGTCCATGTACGGTCGATCATAAGGGGAACCAGCAATAGGAGGGACACGAGAATACCAGCTGGATATACCCTGGTACCTATACCTGAGTGGGTAAGCCGTTGGTAACTGTATCATACATACGATACCTTTGATCTCGTCCATGGATTCTAGGAGTTACTTACTACAAGGAGCAACTTACAGCGTAGTCATAATATACTAGCGGTCATCTCCACGTCCACCAGCTGGGATCCGATACACCACCGGTCGGAGCGTGGCCAATGGGCTAGAAAGAATGCCGTCTCACGCCGTGGTTTGTACATGCCGAAGTGCATGGGGTGTTGCAGATCCATCTGGAACACGGTTGGAATGCGAATGCCAGCAGGTCGATTGTTTAGTTTGACCGTTATCCTTGCGATGTCTCTCTTTATTTTTGTGTCTTCTGTTTATTATTTGTACACCCAGCCTCTCCTCATTTTATTTCCCTTGCGACCTACGCACGGGGCCCTGGAGTGAAGCAGATACTAAGGACTGTAGCTGGAATTGCCGACGCATGTCCCAGATGTCTGCTATATATATCCATCCTACGCAGTAATTGTCTGACTGTCTGGTGTTGTTGACTGGAGTTGCCACATCCATTGGCCACTCCCCGTCAATGACTGACTAGCGAAAGGGATTGAATTGTGTCTGTGTCTGATTGGGCGTGCAGGGCAACAATCTGGATCCGAGGCAAGACATTTCTGTTCATGAGATCTCGTCCGCCCGGCGTGATTTGACGATCCTCGACTGCGAGGCTTCGGCCCGTCGGTGGCGCCCCCTGATTGGTTGGGGGGTTTCCATTTGTACGGCACGGCTTATTTTTTTATTTTTATTTTTTTTTTCTTTCTTTCTTTTTCTTGGTTTCCTTTATATGCTAGTAGCAGGTATTCTATGGGCACTGGGACTGGGCACATCGTAGGTGATTCCCCCTGACTGATTGTGTCTAGGTCGTTTCCGAGACATTATGGAGGGGGGAGGGAGCTCTATTTATTTATTTAGTTGGTTACCTGACAGTCTCAGTATACCTAAGGTACCTTATGCCGAGACCGTCAGTGTGGGCAAAACCCAGAATGAAGGCGGGATACTGATTTATAGATCGGATATCGAACGTTGGGATTACGAGATTCCCCTGAATAAGGTATCTGCGGTGTACGGTACCATACGTAGGTATACATCCTATGAATAGTATGGATAGTATGAATAGTAGAATAGCACAATTGCCCTCCGAAACGTAGACCGGGCCAGAATGCGCATCATCCCGAGCCACAGCCGCTGCGACCAAGTCCAAGCAAGGCTCTCCTGAGGGTGTGTACTCTCCGTAACACCCCAGGATGAATCCGCTGTTTGCCCCGAACTGTACCGTACGGACCGGTGTGTTACCGGACGTTGGTAAGTTATGGATCAGGGGAGCCCGTACCGTCCGTTTACTATTTTTTTATTTGGGATTATTTGGATGATTCGGCGCATTTGCTTTTTGGGACTCAGGAATTGATTGATTAGTATTTTCTTTTTCCCGGTTCAGTAGAGAAGGACCAAACATCCGCATTCGAGGGTCTATTGAAATTATAATTGAAAGTGAAATCCAAATGGAAGTTGACCTGTCGACTGCGAATCGCCCTACGGAGCACCGACCGGGGGGAAAGATTCATGACATGCGACCGTTGGCATTCTTTCGTTCGGTCTGGCAGAATACCTGTCGCGACTGGCAATTGCGGCGAAATCGATCCTGGGAGTCGAGCAGAGGAAATTAGCATCGTCCCAGGGGACCTCGTCGACCGGGTTTAACCTACTCGGAGCTAGTTCCACCCCCCTTTCTCTCAGGCCAAACCGCGTCTGGCTGCAACGACCAACTCTCTTAACCTCCACCCCGTCAATTCACTCCGCAGGTCCAGTCGTTCTCGCCTTCCCCTGCTCTTGCTTGCTTTACTGTCTTCTTTCTCTCGTTCATCGTCCCTTTTTTTATTTTCTTCTTTCCATTTGGATTCCTCTTTTTTCTCTCCTCCCCCCCCCCCGGCTCCTCGTTTGTGTCCCGCCCCGGAGCTTGTGCATCTTGAGATCCCTCTCCCCTATTGTCGCCCCGTCTCCCTCGATCGTGATCGACTGAACCTCACCCTGTTCTATTTTTTTTTTCTTCAACTCTCTGGTGAACGGTATCATCAAGGTATGGTGGCTTGTCAATTCCCTCTTTCTTCGTGTGCCACAATTCTCCCTTGATGCCTTCCTGCCGGCCGTCGTTGCGTCGGTCTAAACTTACCACCCTCCCCTTAATTCCGGTCTGCAAGGAATCTTTCATACTAACCAACTCGGTGCGACCTGATTAGGGAACCAGAAAAAAAAGCCCCATTCTCGACACTCGCTTCCAGATCTAAAACCCTGATACTTTCACAATGGGTAAGCTCGTCTCGTCTATGGCACCACTTCCTCCTACCATCTCATTCCCGCTTTCCCATTCCGTGGACTCTTCCTCCGTCGTGAACAGAACCGCCAGACGCTCGCGCCTTGTGACGATTTAGACAAGAAAAAGAAAACAAAACCAAACAAAAAATATGTTGCGTTCTAGACGTCAGACTGTGGAGGGTTGCTCGCAGGTCATAGACTCAGCAAGCCTCAGTCCTTCGCCCCCATTGAGATCCAAGAGCTACTCGTCTTGTTCGCCTCGGAGGGATTCGTCTTCGGATGGCAGCAACTACCTAGATCCTAAAACCGATACTAACTCTACTCTCGCCGATGTAGCCTCGCCTCCTCCCCCTTCCAACGGGACCCCCGGGTCGGCCATGGAGTCGCCCGCCAGCAGCAAGCCTGGTTCTCCCTTCGTGGAGCGTAGCAACCCTATGGGAGCCGGTAATGCCCAGACTGTCAGCTCTAAGGATCCCAAGGCTGTCGCTCAGGCCGCAACAGATATGAAGAACGTCGTTCGCCGGAAGTTGACTGGCTACGTTGGTTTCGCCAACCTGCCCAACCAATGGCACCGAAAGAGTGTTCGCAAAGGATTCAACTTCAATGTGATGGTTGTTGGTGAGTCTCCCCCAGTGAAAGGCATACGGGGATTGCGAAGAGGGCAGTTTCGCTAACGTGAACTTCAGGTGAATCGGGTCTCGGAAAGTCCACCCTGGTGAACACCCTCTTCAACGCCTCTCTCTACCCCCCTAAGGAGCCCGCCGGCCCCAGCCACGACATCATCCCCAAGACCGTGGCCATCCAGTCCATCAGCTCAGACATCGAGGAGAACGGCGTCCGTCTCCGCTTGACCGTGGTCGACACCCCTGGATTTGGTGATTTCGTCAACAACGATGACTCGTGGCGCCCGATTGTCGAGAACATCGAGCAGCGATACGACGCCTTCTTGGAAGCCGAGAACAAGGTGAACCGCACGAACATCATTGACAACCGCATCCACGCCTGTGTCTACTTCATCCAGCCCACCGGTCACTCCCTGAAGCCTCTCGACATCGAGGTGATGCGCCGCCTGCACACCAAGGTCAACCTGATTCCCGTGATTGCCAAGGCGGACACCCTCACCGACGAGGAGATTGCGCTCTTCAAGCAGAGAGTATGATAACCTTCCCCTATTTCTGACAGTTGGTTACGAAAGTTGGTTATTAACTTGATCCCCCCCCCTTTAGATTCTTGCCGATATCCAGCACCACAACATCCAGATCTTCGAGGGACCCCGCTACGAGCTCGACGACGAGGAAACCATCGCCGAGAACCAGGAGATCATGTCCAAGGTGCCCTTCGCCGTCGTCGGTGCCAACTCGGAAGTGTCCACCCCCGACGGTCGCAAGGTCCGTGGCCGTAGCTACCCCTGGGGTATCATCGAGGTCGACAACGAGGAGCACTGCGATTTCGTCAAGCTGCGCCAGATGTTGATCCGCACCCACATGGAGGAGCTCAAGGAACACACCAACAACTCGCTGTACGAGAACTACCGCTCCGACAAGCTCACCCAGATGGGTGTCGCCCAGGACCCCAGCGTGTTCAAGGAGGTCAACCCCGCCGTCAAGCAGGAGGAGGAGCGCGCTCTCCACGAGCAGAAACTCGCCAAGATGGAGGTCGAGATGAAGATGGTCTTCCAACAGAAGGTGGCCGAGAAGGAAAGCAAACTGAAACAGAGCGAGGACGAGCTATATGCCCGACATCGCGAGATGAAGGAGCAACTGGATCGGCAGCGCCAGGAACTGGACGAGAAGAAGTCACGACTCGAAAGCGGCCGCCCGATCGAAGAGAAGGGGAAGAGAAAGGGGTTCTCACTCCGTTAAGGGCGAAACCGCTGAAGTCTGTTCGGGGGGTTCCCGGTGCTTCTCTGCAGGGGTCAACGCCACGGACTGCTGCTCATGGGATGTATGTGGTCGTCGGAGGCATTCTGGTGATTTTACGGTTGATTCTCCACGACTGTCGATTGATCGAGCGCTGTCTTTCTTTTTTCTCTCTCTTACCCCCACTCTCTCCTTTGATTCTCCCGTGTTTATTTGTTCCCACCCCCGACGTTCCCTCCAATACTTTCTTATTTGCTTCCAGTAATGACTCTTTGCGTTTTTACACCTCTTTTTTTTTTACATTTTCCTTTTCTCATATTAATTGGATGGTCCCCAGCGACCATGAAAAAAGAAAGCTGCATCTCGTTCTCATGCCGACAGTCGGATTAATAACAATCGGGGGAAATGACTAGGAGAATGTGCTGGAACACGCGAGCGACGTCCATGCTTGGAATCTTCTGCAAGATGATGCACACGGGGGTCAAACCGGCCTCATCCACGTCTTGTCCCCTTTTCGCTTCTTGTTATGTACTTTGCCCACGCTATACCTTGTGTCCCGCCTGTTTCCTATTCCCCGTGGCATCTCGTCCTACCTTACCTGCCGCCGCCATTTCTTTTCTTTCTTCATTATATCTTCTGTGCACTTTTCGTGTCCTCTACTACAGCCTTTTAGTGACCTGACCCACCCTCCGACTATCATTTCTGGACGCTTTCTCCTTTTCTTAGTGTGTTTATTTTCCTCGCGGTTTGTCGTTAGTTGTCAATTTAAGTGTTTGCAAAAGCTGGATCTATGGCTGCGTGGCTACTCGGTAGATTGGAGTGTATGGACCTAAGAGAGACCTGAGTACTGCGTAGACCAAAAAGGAAATCAGCTTGTGGGTCTTGGCATTTTTGTGCCCAAAGATTCCCAAGTATTCTGCAGAGACTGTTGTCTAGAACAGGCAATGTGAATATTACAGCAATTGAGGAACAACTGAAGAATCATGACGGAGCGTTGCATCACGTCCCGACGTCACCGGCCGAGCAGTCGGAAAGGCCGAGGCGCCAGCAAACCCGCTCGCTGTCCTCCCACCACCGCCTTTTGCTCTCTTCGTCTCCCCGCCCAGCCTCCCCCCAAATAAAATTGCCCCAAAGCCAATAGACAAGTGGATATCGACCTTCTCTCCCACCGCTCAATTCCCTTCTCCTGCTGTCTCGCTCCTCTTTCGCGCCACTAGTTCTCTCCCTGTTCATCTTTCTGCCCCAGACTCTTCTCCCCCGTTTTTCTAGCTTCGTTCCGTGGATCACCGCCAACTCCGAACACGTATCGCTACGATGGCTCCTCCCCCGGCGCACTTGCCTTTGGGTGAAAGGCTCAAGGCTCTGGCTCAGACACTACAGTGAGTGCTTCGCTCGGTGGTTCCGTTTGAAAGAAGGGGGAAAAAATAAAACGACGTACTGACCACCTGGCTCGGCAGATTCGCTTGGTTCGCCGGGTATGTTTTCTCATATTATTCGCTCAGCAAGCTCCCAACTTCCTCCGGCCAACGGCAAATGACAGCTGCGTGTTTCGCGATTGCTCGCAGTGACACCGTGACGGCGAATAGGGTCGCTGACTGACGGAGTTTAGGCATGTAACGCTGCTGATTTCCGTCTTCCGCTATTTCCTGTCCTACCTCACCTTCAACTACTATTCCTCCACCGCGCAGGCCGCCTACCGTTTGGCGTTCGTAGCCGCGGCCGCAACATATGGCATTGTGGTATACAAGGGACACATCGCGCGGGGCCGTCTCCAGGGCAGTGCCCCCAGCATTGTTCTGAAACTGGCTGGCGATGAGAATGTGCAGTACCTGGGTGAGTTGGAGCCCGCGCGACACCCGGGGCCGGTCGTTTCCGACAGTGGTCCCCGTTTGGAATCTTGATCGTGGCTAACCGGTTGCGCTAGGTATGGCTTTGGTTTGGCTGTACTCGCGTCAGGTCTCTCTGGCCCTCCTTCCTTTCAGCGTCTACTCGATCTTCCACGTCGCGACCTACTCGCGTGCCCATTTGATCCCCACCTTGCAGCCTCCTCAGGGTGGCGCTGCCCCTGCCTCGCCCGCCTCTCCCAGCTCCCCCAAGCCTGCCCCCAAGCAGTCTCCTCTGGCGGAGACCATCGGCCGATTTGTCAAGCAGTACTACGACACCAGCATGGACATCGTCGCATCGCTTGAAATGACCCTTCTGTTCCGCCTGGTCGTGTCGGTCCTGACCTTCTCCAAGGGAGCCTTCGTTCTCCTGTTCATCTACTCGGCCTTCTTCCGCGCCCGATACAGCCAGAGCTCGTTCGTCCAGCAGGCCGTCCGCCACTTCACTGCTCGCGTCGACGCCTCCGTTTCCCACCAGAGCACCCCTCCTGCCGTGCGCCAGGGCTGGGAGAGCTTCAAGGGCATTGTGCGCCAGGCCTATGAATCCACCGACCTGGGCCGCCTGGTCGGCAAGGCGGACGCCAAGAAGCCGCAATAAACGGGGACCGAGAAAGGGTGACCTACGGACAGGTTTTACGGAATCGGGCGATTACGACAATTTGAGAGGGTTTGGACAGACTATCCTCGACCTGCCCGATGGCTTGGACTTGTTTGTTCAAGATGCCTGATAGTATCCATCTATAACGAAGCAATATGTCATTGGCTCTGACGTCGGTTGGTTCCGTGGCTTCTTTAGCATATGAACGAAGGACGATGTATACCTTGGAGGAACAGAACGGGGATATGGTTGGCTGATCGTGGAGGATGGAGGAATGGATAATGTGCAACGCCTCAAGATTCAATATTTTATTCTATTTCATTTCTAGTTTTGAGTACCTTCCTCTGTGTTTGATATGTCGAATGTGTGTTTGAGCTATAATGCGAATTTTGAAAGAGTGCAGTAGCTTCTTGTCCTTGCGTTTTTGACCTAGTAGGTGCTATATAGTGTCTTTATGCTATGGCTTCATGCGCTTCATACCTGATGAATGGATATTTGCCTCTGCATATTGAAGATCTGTGAATATGAAAGGCTTCTTTATTCCCTGTAGAATCCTAGGTGAATATTCTGTCCTCCAGCCGGGTTGTATGAACATTCCATGATGCAATCCGCCAAGCATTCGCCGTTTGCCTACCCCTCCGGCCAGCTTATATACAGGCAATCCCCAGGATCTTCTTCTTCTTCTTCCTGCATCACCCCCTTCAGGTCATCTTGATATATATACACACTTTCTGTTTTTCCTTTTGTCATCTTCTTCCATCTTCATCCATCTGGACAGTCATGGCTTGACAGGGGAGACAGTATATACCGCCGAGCTTGCATCTGCTTCCAAGATGGTCTACTTGCAATTTTTACTTCTGCTTGCGATCTGGCAGACACATTCAACGGTTTGTCTTGAGAAGTAGTACAATACATTCCTGAGGCTACCGTAGCTAGACACTAACAGAGACTAGGTATCGCACTATACTCCCCCCTGACCGACCTGCAACCACCCAACCCTATCAGCAGCTATTACGCCAGCTGCATAAACACCCAAGGATTAAAGCATTTTGCTTGAACCGACAGAGGACAATCGAATAGCCAACACAGCTCTGGTTGTCTTTTTGAACGCTCTTTCTAAATGCTTGTTGCATTTTGGTTGACCATTTCCCATCATCTTTTATGTTTTGGACGTGATGAGAATGTTGTTTTTTCCCAGCACTAGACGTCTTTGGAGTCTATGTAGATATTCGACGGCTTTTATCATGGAGAAAGAGGTGATGGTAGGTAGTCTTGGTTGGGGTCTTCTATTCCTGTGCATACGCTGACCCATTTGCAGGGAAAGCCCTAATCCGGCCGGCGAGAATCGAAAGTCTGGCTTGCGAATTTCCAAGTGCATAGCCACTTTGCCTTATTACGAATACTTGCATAAGTTTCTTCGGAATAAAACGATAGAGAATGTCTTATTCGACCACATATCCAGACGGTCGATCACTCTACCTTGCTTGGGTATAGTAACTCGGACACCAATCGAATGCGTCTACTCCCGGGCATTCTGTCCTCGTCCTCACTATCGAATGCCGAAGACCTTCAAAATCTCAACCGACGAAGCTGAATTCAGTTTCCGAAGACGATCAGCTTCTCTTGGATCGATGGTTTGAACATCACAGCACATACTGAAGTTTCGGCGTATTTGCCCACATCCTAGATTCGGCGGGACTTCTTTCGGTCAAGACCAGAGGACATTAACCCCATGGATCTGACCGAAGATGCACTGGGAATTTTTGCTCTCATCTTGACGTATGCAAAGGCAGCTGCGATATTCCCATGTCAGGGTGGCTTCGAAAAGAATACATCAATCATGCCGCGAACGGAGTTTGTCCCAATACTCCAGCACTGATACCATGAATCTTACTGAAGATGCACTTGGGCTATTTTCCCTGATCCTGACATATGCAAAGACAGCTGCGATGCTCTTATGTCAGGGTAGCTTCAAAAGAAAATACATCGATCATGCCACGCACAGACTTTGTTCCAATCCTCCAGCACTAATCCCATGGATCTGACTAAAGATGCACCTGGGCTTTTGCCCTGATCCTGACATTCGCCAAGTCAGCAGCGGCAGTTTCACGCCTGGACGGTCCCCAAATGAATACATCGATCATGCCGCGGCAACGAGAATGTTGGGGCTCTGGTGGTCAATCCACGCATCTTGCCTCAGGCTTATCTTAACACGGACGTCCACATCGGCGCCATTGAATACCCCCTGGCCGGGGGGCAGAACCACAGCACGGGTCCGCGAAATACTTCTGCACGAGCTCTTCCGGCGGGACTTGTGGGAATGGGGGCTCGCGAGGGCCATAATTCTAATGCCCCGCGAGGACGTCGCAGCCATCATGAACGACAATAGGAGATTGGATGACCTTGGCAGAGTTCCCCGGCGGGTGGTGGTGGGCGTCAACCTACCTGAGGCCTCCCCTTACTACCTGAACCCGGCCGTTCCCATGTATTATCTCAGCGCGGCAGAGTTTAGCCTGTTGGTGAGGACGCTGAGGAGATACCGGGATCGCGGCCCCGTGGACCCTGTCGTGACATTTGTCTACCGGCAAGTGCCGGCCATCTACGGGGCCGGACGGACGGAGTTTGTTCCAATCCCCCAGCACTAATCCCATGGACCTGACTAAGGATGCACCTGGGCTATTTGCCCTGATCCTGACCTATGCAAAGTCAGCAGCGGCATTTTCACGTCAGCGTGGCTTCGAAAAGAATATATCCATTATGCCGCGGATGGAATTCGTGGCAATGTTCCAGCTGACACGTTTGAAAAACTACGATATTGACAGGAATGTCCCTGTACAACATTGTCAGGAGGCTTTCTGTTATGAGGCTCTCAGAGAGGGTGGTTGTTTGGTAAGTTCCTTCTGTGCTTTCGTTTCCTGATAATAGCTAACGGAATGTTCTAGTTACAGTTATGGTGGCCATGTTGACGAGGTCGATGATGCGATGAACCAGATGGTTTCGATCATGATCAAAGATGCCTGCGCACGGGATTACAAGAAAGACCCGATTGCGGTCAATACCCTTGCCCCGCGACTACAGCTCAGTGTAGGCTATCGCCCCCTGCAACTATGCGGCCCAGTCGAGAGCAACCCCGCCGGGACATCTACGGGGTTGGTCATTTATCACGAAATGGTGATACGAGACGAGGATTCGCCGGTTTTAAAAACCTTTGCTGATGCAGCTTGTTGCAAAGATGCCTGTGATGGCAGAAGCGAGATGGGCCAAAATCACGCCCTCGTTCTAGTCTGGAAACGAATGATCGACTGCATGGCATACACATCAAGATGCCAAATTGGCGGAAGGTTTTCAGAGCCCTTCACTTGATACATGTTCGTTCTGTTCCAACTCGAAACGCGAATGAAATTGCTGTGCGCATCCACAAAGACACCGGGGCAGTATTAACAGGCAAAACCGACTACTCGCTCTGGTATGGAGATGCCGATTTGCAACTGTCGAACCTAGCTGAGGTTGGGGCTAAGCAACCGGGAAAAGGTAGTTTCTTTTATAGGTGAGCTACTGGCTAGGTCTTTCTAAGTTTTATTTGCTGGCTCGATTAGCATGCTTATAATGAGCACAGGCAGCACTAGATACCTTATCACATATAGGTAACCCACAGCTGCTCTGATTGTTGATGGGGTTTGAGCCTATATTATACGATATTTGGTGCAATCGGGTACGAGATGCCTGGAAGAATTTACATTCTCGCTCCTCAATGCCAGAATTCCTCGACTATCGGAGGACGATCATGAATAATTCAAGATATGGCTAAAGCATTCGGAATGGATAGTGTGCTGGATCAAACAACATCTTTCCGATGATGCGCTCAACCAGGTCAGTCGGTTATTCCCTTTCCATCGCATTCATTCCCTTTCTACACCCTCGATACTTTCTCAAGATTATTCAAAACTGACAATACATAGGCAAACGAAGGAGCAGACCAGAACACAGCAACGGGCGGCTATCGTGCTCAGCATAGATGTGAGAAGACTCCTGGCTTATGGCCAGCTGCTCTTTCAAGAGTCGGATCCGGGAGGTTCGCAACAACCCGCCTGCACTGGCAAATGCTGTCGCCAGCGATGTAGCCAAGCTCGACAAACACGTGTCCAGGCTGAGCAGCCAGTGCGCATTTCCGAAAGTCGTTACGATATACATGATCGGTAGATGGTCGTTATCAAATGGAGATGATGTGAACTATCCACACATAATAGGATCGGTGGTCCCCTGAGTCGACCGTCTCTGCTCAGGGGAAAGTGTTGTCTCAACAGAGGAAGCACACCATGCAGATGGCGCATGGTGTCACTGGTGTCTTGTGTTTGTGGGCCGCAACACATCAGAGAACTTCCAGGACGCACTCTCTGCACATGAAGTCATACTCGAACAGATCCTCTCTTTTATCAGATTACCCATATTGAGGCTGTCTAATAATTCTGGATCTCCGAAAACGCCTAAGAGATATTGGTTCGTCCCTCTCCGAGGGCTCTGCGGTGTCCGAGGTTCGAAGATGGATGTTTTCATTAAATTTCACATCTATTCGGCTATCAGACACCACCCAACTCTGTTGACTTGGAAAGTACCATGTGGACGTCATCCACATCATGCCTATCATTCCGTACCGGCGCATTTGACTGGACACGATAAGAACATGAGTCGAAGGTAGAGCTTGGCAGCTTCTACCAAGCCCTAGCCTATATGACCTTCATTCTACGATACTCTATGAATCTACTTCCAAGACAGACCGAGAGAATCGAAAAGCAGAAGCTGGACTCCAAACGTGTGGTCAGATTTACATACTTTGCTGAGGCCGAGACGGTGCTCATAGTCAAGCCGGATCCTGATGTTATTGAACAGATTGATTTGCAAGATATCCCCTTGGAACCGAGAGAAACCTGAGCTGAAGCGGGGTGTATAACGGAGATGTTTCGGTTCATGCTCCAGGGAATTCTTCATGATGACTACAACTGACTCGCTCTACCTGGGCGTTGATAGCCGGCTTGAGGGGTATTGAAATGTCCATGGAAACCCACATGATGAACGCCGAACGACGAACCATCGACGATTGCCATGATACAAGAACACGGAAGAAGTACTTTGAAAGATCGCAATTCGCCGACAAGAATCCATGTCAGAGGGTATGGATACGTTCCACAAACAAAAGTATTCGCTGAGCCTGTCACGGGTTGGCGCGAACCTCCACAGACAGTGCCTCGTATCAGCCCATTAGCGCTGAATATCCTGTGTTTGCTAGATAAGATGGGTATCTGGCTAATACTGTTTTTCAAGGGAATAAGAACAGACTTATCGCAGTCGCAGGAGTCAAAGAGAGCGTCGAGCTCAGGCTATTCTATCAACCCACCGATCGCTTATGTTTTACCAAATCATCCGCTCGCCCACCTATTTGACCGAACTCTAGACGCTGTTCAACGTATTACTACCGACATGTTCCCCAGAGAAATCTCGGGCAGATGCGAACTATACCAAGCCCCGCTGGGTGAATTCTGTGTGTCTTGTCCGGGCTGCCGGCCCAGATTACATTGCACCAGTCACGACAAAATGCGCGACGAGATGTACGAATCTCGCGTCAAGATGATCCAGAAATTGAAAGAAGAGTACCGTGAGACACTTGACGGTCCAGAGGGGTCGATATTGCGCGAAGCCGAAAGCTACCCTGCCCTGGTCAATAGCTCTTGCAAAGGCCGAGAGTCGCCGCTAGGCGCAAACCGAGCCCAGCTATATCAGTCTTGTGGTGACATCTATCAATATAGAGCATATCAAGACCACCTTTAACCTGGAACGAGGAAAAGGATACTGCTATCTCGCCTGTGTAAGTTTAACCAAACTTGACCGAGCTGGACGCACCTCGCTAATTGATACAAGTAATCTGAATGACTATGCTCTGACCCTTGAAGGGGCCCCGGAGAAAGAAGCAGCCGTGAGAACACGCATCGACACGCAGTCGCTCTTTCTGGAACGTCATGTTCCAAATCAGTTATGCCTCGTAGAGGAACTACCTCGCATACACCTCCAAGTCCAGCCTCGACATTGTGAGTACCGATCTCAAAGGTCAGAAGCTGGCAGACGCGAGGTTGGTGCCGAGAATGGACAAGCATGCGTACAACTGCGCCGTGGACATACTGACAGGGAAGCCAATGTTGATGTCGGGGTGTTTCTTCTCGCCCGGGTCAGAAACTGGGTCACTAAATATAGTGGAATGAGCTGGAAAAGGCTCAAGGACATGGAAAAGAGAGGTAAAACCATGCACGATTGGCCTGCTGCTCGGGAAGAACTATTTAAATATATTGATAGGGACACGGTGCTAGTTGGACATGCACTAGATAACGATCTCAAGACTCTTGGGATCGTTCATGATAAGGTCGTGGATACCTCGATCTTAACCAGAGAGGTGGTCGCGGAGCATCTTAGGGGAGGGCGTGCCAATCCAGGAAAAGTCCTCGGGCCATGACTGCATGGAGGATACCATGGCCAGAGAGGTCTCAAAGCGGAGATGGAGTATAGGGACGGAGTGCTTCTGAAATGTTACGCTGTCTGAGGAACTATACCGATTACCGACCAAGATGTGCTAAGAGATATGGACTTACTATGGGGATTCTATTCTTTCCTGGCGTGGCGATGAAGAAGCTGTGATATCATACCAAGATCTATATGGCTAGGTTCCTAGAAGCTATTAGTTGCAAATAGGAATGATGCATGAGTCAATCGAGATCTATTCTTAGAGTGACGTCATCGGGCCAATGGACAATGCGATTATTCATCACTGCCTCAGGCACCACTCCCCTCGGGCGCGGAGATACGCAAAACCGACCAAAATTTCGGGCTGTTGATGCTCGTCCAATCTTTAAAGATTTTTAGATAATTCCCTCAGGCGGTGCCATGTTCCTACTTCCCCCCTCGCGACCCTCGTTGGTGCTTGTCTAATCCCCCCCTTCTTTCCTTTCAATTTTTGCCTCTGAACCGCCCCCTTTCTTTTTCCTTCCGCCGTCATCCTCGCTGTAGGTTGGCGTCCTTCCCGGAAAGCCCAACGTCGCCGCCGCATCCCAACCAAACCCCCCGAGGTCTGGTCCGCGCACCGATCTGGTGGGTTGCGGTGTTCTTGCAATGAGCCTGTCCTCGGTGTTTGGCCTGTTTACGACGACAGAGATACCTGATTCCCCTGCGTCGGCCGTCTATTCGAAGACCGCCAGCACCGGCGAACATGTCCCCCATGGCCCCAGTCAAGTGAAGACCGACCGAGACGCCCATGCCCCTAATGCTGCCTCGATAGCAGACGAGGAGGAGCCCCGGCCTCCGTATTTGCACGTATGTTCGATCGGTATACCGTCGCCCGTTGGATAGTAGCGCGATCCCGTGTGGAGTAGCCGTGTCCATGTGCGCCTGGAATGATGTTCCTTTGTTGTCAAACGCTGACCTTGGCCTTGATTTGATACAGGCGATGCTTGCGGGTGGTATCGGTGGCACTTGCGGTGATATGCTCATGCACTCGCTCGACACGGTGAAGACGAGACAACAAGGCGATCCTCACATTCCTCCGAAATACACGTCCATGACCTCGTCGTATGCGACCATCTATCGACAAGAAGGACTGTTTCGAGGCCTCTACGGCGGTGTGACGCCTGCGTTTCTCGGCTCCTTCCCGGGAACAGTGACCTTTTTCGGAGTTTATGAGTTCACCAAGCGACGGATGCTGGACGCAGGGATCAACCCCAACCTCGCCTATCTCTCCGGAGGTAAGAGACTGTGGCCATCGTTTGTTTTGTTGGATGGAGCTGATGGTTTTGCTCTTAGGATTCCTTGCCGATCTCGCCGCTTCGATCGTCTACGTCCCTTCGGAAGTCTTGAAAACTCGGATGCAATTACAGGGACGCTATAACAACCCCTACTTCTATTCGGGATATAACTACCGCTCCACTACGGACGCTTTCCGCACGATTGTCCGACAGGAGGGATTCGCCGCACTCTTCTACGGATATAAGGCGACCATCTTCCGCGACCTTCCTTTCTCGGCCCTGCAATTCGCATTCTACGAACAGGAACACCGGATGGCCATCGAGTGGGTGGGATCTCGGGACATCGGACTGGGATTAGAGATCCTGACTGCGGCGACGGCCGGTGGAATGGCAGGTGTGATGACATGTCCGATGGACGTCGTCAAAACTCGTGTTCAGACCCAACAAAACCCCGAAACCGCAAGCCCACCTAAAGGCGCGACCGAACCCGCCTCGATCAAGGAGAGCCCCCGGCAGCATGCGCCCTCGCAGACGACGTCCTCGAACCTCCGAACGCATTCGCGACCGATTTCGACTTCTCCACCGTCGACATCGGTGCCTCCCCCCGGAACGCCGCGCCTGGATACCACTTCGTTCTTCACCGGCCTGAAGATGATCTACCGGGCGGAAGGCATCCAGGGGTGGTTCCGCGGAGTCGGACCTCGAGGCGTGTGGACCAGCATTCAGAGTGGAACGATGTTGGTCATGTACCAATACCTGTTGAAGAAGTTCGAGGAATATCAGAGCCTCGAGGAGACGAACCCGCTCTAGGGAGGAATAGATCCGAGTGTACCAGGAGACGCCTGGCGACTCGGTTGTAGATAATATGGCACCACAACCGGAACTTTGCACATTGGATGATTCAGAGGATCGGGCGTTCTGGAAGGTTGTGGCATGATTTTCTTTACTCGTTTTTCTTTTTTTTTATAATGTTTGCTCCTGTCATCTCTCCACTATACCTTGTTTCTTGTGTGCATACGGCGTACACTGTGGCTGATTTGGAGAGAGGGAGAGAGGGGGATTGGATACTTGTACGGATTTACATAGACTTTAGACAGGCTGCGGCCTCGTGTACCATAAGATCATATACATAGAATTGGAATCAACAAACCGCTACCAAGTACTAGTAGTCATACTCCGTAAGTCGTAAATCATCAGGACGCGCCGGCGGGACCCGCAAAGTAAACAAAGACGGATGCGGTCAGCCCCGCCGATCGGCCTTCCAGTCTTGTCTTGTACTTCTGCGCCTCCCTTCTTTCGCGCTTTCTCTTTCTCCCTCCCTCGTCTCTCTCGGCTTGTTTGTTTATCGCTTCGATCCGCTCTTCCCCCTCCCCCCATATTTATACCTGCCCTCCTCTCCACCCCTTGCACCCCATCCCTCGTCGCATGGTTCTGGTGGATCCCCTTCCGTGCGCGTCACCGTCTATATTCTCATTCTCATTTCCATCTCATCATGTCCAACGCTTTGCCGTATCTGCAGAAGCTGCGCAAGTCCCAGCTAGTGGACTGGGCGGAGGCTACTGACCTCAAAGAGTACGTCGGCCCGCAACCGTTGTTATCGATCCCTATCATCGTCCCCATCGCCCGCATGTTCTAACCCTCTACAGTTACGAGGACTTAAATAAACCCGAGCTGGTCACCACTCTCGACGATCATCTCCAATCCAACCAGTCTATCTTCGCGACCGACGACCGTCTGGCTGAATACTACCGCCGCCTGTCGCAAAGCCCTCGTTTGTCGCCCACGAAGAGGGAGCCGAAGTTGGAGTCGCCGACAAAGGTGTCGCCGACCAAGTTGGAGGCTCCCAGGTCGGTGCGTCGTGGACGCAAAGCAAAGGAGGAGATCGAACAGACGTGAGTTGTCCCCTTCCTCAAATCCCCATTGTTGACGCCGTTCCCGTGACCTTGCAATTTGGTGTGCGTCGCGCACGGGCGCGCGCCTTTGTAATGATCTACACAGTATGCGACGGATGACAGCTAACGGTCTCATGTTGTAGAGATGACTCCGATGTGTCGCCGCAAGCCATTGCGACAACCACGCCCGGTCGCAGCCCGTTAGTGACCGTTCAGCCGCCATTGCCGCCATCTCCGGCTGTTGTGACCGATGCGATTGACCGCCAGACTGCCGCCTGGGGCGAGCGCATTGGCGACGCGTGGACCGCATTAGGCGTCCGGGAGCGCTCGCATGCGTTGCGCTCGATCTTGAGTAGCGCCAAGGCCGTGGAGATTCTGTTCGTGGCCCTCGAGGGGGCCGGTCTCTTCCGGACCCTCCTGCCGCTGGCGTATGTGGCCACCGTTCCGGCCGTCGAGGCCATCAACTCTCCCGAAATCCCTATCAGCGTTCCGGATCTTTTCAAGCTGGTGGAGGGCACATTCTGGGCGCCGCTCTCGCTCTGGCTCCTCACCAGCCTGTTCCTGCCATTGACCGCCGCCTACTTCTTCAACCTGAGCGGGCAGACGAGCGGAGGCCCGGCCTTGAATACGCGCCGAAACCGTGCCGCTCAGGCTACTTTCGATCCTCTAAGCTTCAACATCGCCAAGGCATTGATCTCGTATCTAGTGTATGCGAATCGGTTTACGTTCTGGAATGTCTTCAGCGACGCGTCTATCGCCACAGTGAACGAGTCTGTTCCCGGACAATGGGCCGGCATCCTGACTGGGTCGGCCATCGGAACGATCGGGACTCTGTACGAAGCCATTTTGAAGAAGTAAATATATGCCTGCCGACAATTCACATGTCGGATTTGGGATACGGACTGTCCGATTGTTTTTGATGCCTGGGACTGATACGGCGTAAATGTATGGAGCACGAATGGGGATGGTGGACAGAATCACCATCTGCCTGCTGTATCAGAGCTGTATTGCTGCGGTTGCGGTTGCGGTTACTGCCATAGAGGATCTTTTTCAGTAAATTTCCTTGGCTGTTGGATAGGTTGTCTTCTTTTCTGGCGCTGTGATCTCGGAGTTGGTGTTTGCCGCTGCGACCACCGTCTTTTGATATCCTCTCGTTTCGGATTGTTGTTTGCCTTTTTTCTACGGCGTGATGAGTGTCAGGTTTCTGGTTTGAGTTCTTGAGCTTTTGCTTGTAATTCAGTTTATCCAGTTCTATGCTTACTGGCTAGGGAGGCGCCTTGGATGTATTGGTCAGGTCGAACTTCGTTCTTTTCTCTGGATTTGTCTTTCTTGCTCTAGCGTACTGTGAACGATTAATGTTAAATTTGAGTGAAATTTCTCCAATCAAGCTGAGACTTCGCGCTGAAGTTGAAGCTGTATCCATACTAAATCTATTTGGTATCTGGTATCAATCTATCCCATGCCCCCTAGTTACCAATCCAATGCAAAATGCAAACCAAACACAAGCCGACGAGAAAACACAAAAAGAGAAAAAGACAGAAAGAAAGAAGATTCAAAATCCGTCACCTCGTCCTCTTAAACCTCTCCGCCAACTCCAGCGTAAACAACACCGGCACCCGACTCTCCACCTCCACCACGTCCGCCCGGATATGATTACTCGTGCTCAGCTGTCCCCCGATCTCCGTCGCCCAGTCCGTCACATCCCACTCGAGCCCGGAGGTCGTGATCCTCGCCGGTCCAGAGAGGGGAATGATGCCGACATTTTCCTCCAGCAGATGCTCCTCCCCCGCGGAGTCCTCCCCGCCAGACAAGGGCCGATTCGCCCCCGGCGTCCGAATGACGTTCTTCCCCGGCCGTAGGATAAACGTGATACTTTCCTCGGAGATGAGATATAGATGACCTTCTTCTCCTGCCTCCCCTTGCTCTTGCTGATGCTGACGCTGATGCTGTATCTCCTGCGTCATGGTATACAGGTGGTGGATCTGCGAGAATGCCTGGTCCACGCGACCCCCTAGACCGCCTAGGATGAGGGTGTTTAGCGGAGCACTTGTACTGCTGTCAGTGGAAGCCTTCTGGGCAATGATCTCAGACGCGTGCGCACGCAAGTAGTTGAGACACTTCGTGAAGTCCGTCGAGTACTGGTCTTCGTCTTTGATGACCGGGATGCCGAGACCCGAGTAGTGGGCTTGGACGGCTGGGGCGATGGAATCCAGGTCGCCGATGATTAGGGAGGGGAGCTAGAGGGGTTTCAGGTTCATTTTTAGTGCTGGTCTTTCTTTTCTGTCTATACATGGACATGGGTGGACACTGTGTGTATCTGTGTCAAGCAAGGGTGGGGAGGGGTAGTATGTATGGACATGGACATACATCCAGAGCCTCTCGGCCTTGCTTTTTCATCATATCGTAGTATCGGTTTGCGCCGCCGTCTGCGCAGACGGTGATGCATGCTTTCCGGTTGGTGGCGTTAGCGGGCGGGTTTAGTTGGCTTGATATACATCGTTGGGTCTGGTAGGTAGACTGGACTGGATGTGCGGGGGATCAAACAGGACAGGACAGGGATGGGGCAAACATGCACTAGCCCTGCAAAAATTAGGGCTAGTTGGATGGATAGCGATGAACGTACCATGTTCCTTCAACACCGCGAACGCCTTCTCGTTGATCGGCTGGTTCAGAACCACCAGCGCAAATGGCGTCGGAGGGTCGTCGGCGCGGAAGAATTGCGTGGGATCCCACTCCATTGGATTGAGGTTTTGGACAAGGTATGTGGGTTTGGTGGGTGAAGTAAAGACGGTATAGATTGCAAAAAGTCTAGAAATGCATTAGTCCGAGGGGTTTCCTGTAGATCGAGGATTCCTGGATCGATCAATATCCAGCATTTCCGTCTGGATCGTGCATGCGCCACATCGCGGGACCATGTGGCGTGGCGGGGTGTGGCTGTGCTTATTTTATGTATTTTATGAAGAGGCATTGCTGACTCAGATATACATTGCTCCCTGGGCTCACTCTCCATCTCGTTTTCATCTACTCATCTGAGGGGTTCCTTGCTGCCTACCTATGATCATGACGAATGAATCCGACGCATCGCCCTGAATATGGGCGTCCCTCGAAGCAATGGGTGCTTGCTTTGCGTCAAGCGTCGAGTGAAGGTTCGCTGTCCTTCCCTTGGTCGTTTGTAGGAGTACCAGAGTTCCTAACGAGGATCCAGTGCGACGAGCGGGTCCCTGGCTGTGCAAGATGCGAGACCTACGGAAGGCCTTGTCCCGGGTATGATCGGGGCTTTACATTCGTTGCCGGAAAGCCTTATCGCTCTCGACGACGTCCAAAGACAGAAGACAGCAAAAGCAGCTCTACGGGTGAGACTACGCCTACGACTGTGGACACCGTCTCTCATGCTACTATCTGGCAATTGCAGCTCCAGAGCGCTAGCCCAGGTACTCTAGCATCTGCCGACTCCAATGTAATGCAAGGCCTAGGTATCGTCCTCGATGAAGTTTCCCAGCCCGAGCAGTTGAACTCAGCTTATGTTATATCCCGCTGGCTGCGAGCTCTACCGGCCGTGTATGGACGGAACCGGGCTTTGGATTCGACCATCAAGTGTTTTGTTTCTCACCATGTGGGATATATGACTTGCAATGGACAGGCTCTTTGGTATGCTCGGTCTGCGTATGTAGAGGCGCTGGCGAGACTTCGGAAGGCGCTGGAGAGTCCGGCTGAGGGACTGTCTTCCGAGACTTTCTGCGCGGTCTTGCTATTGTGTTTGTATGAGGTGAGTGGTTTGAGGGAAACCGTGTTGGATACTGGCTGACTTGACAAGCTCTTTTCCAATACTACTGACTCGGTGTCGTGGATGAAACATGCTCAAGCTTTGAGTCAGTTGACGGAGATCAGGGGCTGTGGGCGCTATGTGGATGAGTTTGATCTGACCTTGTTAAAGGCGTCTCGTGGGTTAATTGTATGTTTGTGTGGTTTGGTTTCTTGCTCATTTGTACATGCAATGTGCTAACATTACAGGTGATGCATTCTTTGTTTTCGGGCCAGAAATGCTTCTTGGCTTTAGATCGCTGGCATTCTGTGATGGCAATGCATGTGAATACTGGGTTGTCAAGCAAGCTAGATCGCTTGGTGGAAGAGTTTTTTGCCTACTTCACCTCCGTGCCTAGTCTGATACATGAGCTCTATGACCTCAAGCAAGCGGATTGGACGGATCCACGGACCCAGCAGAGAACCTCAGACCTTGTGACCCGATCTCTCGATATGACAGACAAGGTGTCTGCATGGTACGGCCAGTTCTCGACTACGGTTCCGCTTCCAACCGAGGCCCTTTCGCCCACAGGGGACAAGCTGTTCCCTGTCATTCTCATTTACTCCGATGTCAACAGCGGGGCTCTCTTTTGTGGCTATTATTCTTACATGATGCTTCTACATGAGATCCTCAGATCGTGCGGTTATCCTGGTGAGCATGCAGCTATGATTGCTCACTTTCGTGACCTCATCTGTCAGTCAATTGAGTATAATGCTCGTGGAATGCTAGGGCCGTATCGAATGGGATTCTCACTGCGCGCGGTCTACGAAACGGCCGATCCTGTTACCAAGACGTGGCTTGAGGGTTGGCTGGAACGGCTGTCGAAAGGATATGCGGCAGTGCAGCCCAGGAATTTTCAGATGATCGACTAAACGGCTATATCTCGTTCCATAACCCTCTATTCTTGTTAACTGTCTAGCATGGATTATCTATCCAATGATGGGACATGCTGAATAAAGAACATTCAACAGCTCATACCTCCTCTGTCTGAACAGGCACCGACCAAAATGGCTCTGCCACGGCCCTCGCAGCCAAGAGACACACTGTGATGAAGATCTCCATCAAAAGCCCCATCCCCACCGTCACACCTACATCTCCTACTTCAGAGCTGTACTTCCGCGGCCCAAACTCCGCCAGCAGGAAATTCGCAACTCGCACCACAAGAAACGGCAATGCCGTCAGCACTAGCAAAACGCAGTGGTGACCGGCTTTAGGGAGAATGGCCCGGTACTGTATGGCCAGCGACACAGCCAGTCCGCAGCCAAAAGCGAATGCGATGACCAAGATTATTGATCCGATAACCGTACAGACGCGCTTGTTGATGGACGCACCCACCACTACCAACACGATCGAGATGAAGATAGGGAATCGGAACAAATGGAGAGCGAAGCGGATTTGCTTCGGGTATCTCGAGTCTCCGGGGCCTGTGCGACCGGCTTGACCACTATTACGGACAGGTTTGTGAGTTTCGTGCTTGTCAGGAATCAAGATCGGTTCCGATGTCGAAGCTTACCTTCGCAGCAGGACAAGGCTCACCTCGAACATCAGCGGGGAGAGACCAATGCCCTGAAGGACGTACTCGGTAATCAGCAGCGACTTGCCCGGGTTTGCGTTTGATATGACCATGGCAGATCCGGCAATTCGAACTGCGAAGTGTCAGTGATCTTTGTCCGTCACTCTAGAATTGGGGGTTTGTATACGCTGTGCCAGGACGCCTAGCAGCCCCATCCACGAGTACATAATGCAACGAGGCAAGGACTTTCGCTTGTCATGGTGCCAGTACCGCCACTCTTGGATGAACCTCGTGTAGAACTGGAAGATCTGGATCATTGAGAAGATGACGACCTCTGCAATGGCGATGTGACGCTTGTCAGAGGAAATGATGGCCATTATCCACGAGATGTCTTGCTTTGATAAGCTGAAGGACAGAAAGAAGAGATAAAATTTGAGACATGACAGTGCCCTTCAAGGCAGATTATATACCTTTCGGCCATTCTCCTGGCTGACGGAGTCTTTCGTGTCCTGCGCTGGACCTCCATAGATCTGAAGCCTTGTGGGGCCATCGCGGTAGATGACCCGTTCGGGTTTAGCGTGGGTGACTGTCGAGGATGAACTGCAACTCTGGGATCACAGCTGGACTGGCATTTAATACGAGGCACTAAGAATTAGATCAAGTAACACGATCCTACTGAATATCGTCCTAATTGTAGGTGTTATAGATATCTAGGTACTGACAGTGACGTAACCCGTAATCCGGCACGCTGATTGGCCCGTGACCCTTCGTCCCCAACTGGCAATTCGGCGCCTCAGGCAGCGATCGCGAAGTCTCCGGATCGACTTTCTTCTTCTTCTCCGCCTCGCAATCCCGGTTTGGGCCGTTCTTCGTTCCCTTCATTTCCACCCCATTGCGGTCGTCATCGTCACTCCTCCCCCCTCCCCTCTTTCATTCTTCCTCTTTCTCCTTTCCAATCCCTCCCCTCTACTCCACCATGTTCCGTCCCGCCTCCAGAGTCCTCCTCCGCGCCCCGGCCACAGCCCGTGGCCCGGCCAGCAGACGATTGATAAGCACCGCTCCCGCCGAGGCCTCCAAGTCGAGGAGCTGGAAGAACACCGCCGTCCGACTGGGTCTGGCGGCCGGTGCTGTCTACTATTATAACACGGCCAGCGTGTTCGCCGAGCCTCCTTCCTGTATGTCAATGCGAACAACAGTCCCCCGGAAGAGAAGAGGAGAGAGGACCGAGGGGAGAGAAAAATTCCGTCCATGGCCAGGTGGTGGTGTTGCGTTGCTGCGACATCACCAATTGACTTGCCCTTCATCCTCTCCCTCTATCTCTTCCTCTCTCTTCAAACCATGAAATGCCAAATGAATCACACCCCACTGACTCAATCCCAAACCAGTCTCCCTCCGCGAACAAATCACCACCTCCGAACCCGCCACCTCTCTCACCCTCGACTCCGTCAAGCCCAAGATCCGCGCCCAGAAGGAATCCGAATCCCAATCGAAACCCGCCCCCTCTCCGTCCGCCGATGCGCCGCAACAACAACAACCGTCCGGCTCCGACGCCGCCGTAAACCCCCAAGAGCTCGAGGAAGAAGCCAGCCAGGAGGCCGCCTTTAACCCGGAAACCGGCGAGATTAACTGGGACTGCCCGTGTCTGGGCGGTATGGCGCATGGGCCTTGCGGAGAGGACTTCAAGGCTGCGTTCAGCTGCTTCGTGTTCTCGACTGAGGAGCCCAAGGGTATTGATTGTATTGAGAAGTTTAAGTTAGTTCTCCCCTTTCCCTCACCATCGCACCTTCTCGGGGGTATAGAAGGGGGCTGGATTGGTTATTTTAGTGGTAAGATGAGGCTAACGGATTCAACGCGCAGGGCCATGCAAGATTGCTTCCGCCAGCATCCCGACGTCTACGGAGCCGAGATCGACGATGACGAGGAAGCCCCCGCTGCTCCTCCCGTGAGCGCCGAAGACGCCCCCGCCGCCGTCGCTCCTCAGTCCACGGCTTCCGCCGCGGAGATCGAGGCCTCGTCGCATCCGGATGAGAAGCGCGCTCGCGCCAAGGAGACCGTCGCTGAGACCAAGACCGTCGCGGCCGGTCAGCCTGAGCTGGCGGAGAGCGACGAGCTGTTGCCCAAGGCCTGGCACGACACGGAAGCTAAGAACGAGCAGTCGGAGAAATAAGTCATTGGTTTCTACGGAAGCAGACAGCAAATATCAATGAAAAGTGACTTATTCGATGAAATTCTATCAGTTGGGGTGGATTGAGAGTGGAATGCTATGCCGAGAAGAGAAGAGAGGCAGCAGGGAGGAGAAACAAGTATATGACTTCCGAACTAGATCTGATTTCATTTTCCTTTTCTCTTTCCTTGCCTCGAAAATTGACAGTGGAAATCGAAGGCAAGGAACTTCGGAAAGAGAGAATGGATTAGATCTCGTGTGTATTCTATTTGATTGGCATGTTCTTCTTTCTTCTTCCTTCCCTCCTCTCCTCTCTATCCTCTCTTTTTGGCTCTGTTCTGTCCTGTTCTATTCTCCATTCTATCCTACCTGCCAAGTTTCATTCCTGTCTCCCCTCTTCTTTCTTTCTTCCTACCCACCTTTCATTTGTTCTATTGGAAATTTTCAGCATACATCATTCCCACCTGCGTCTTTGTTTGTGCTTGTGTTTGTGGTTCTGTTTTGCCCCGATCATGTAACCTACTGTATTTGTATGTTGCGTCGAGATCTCGGTTGGAGCGAGAGTGATATAGAAATAGAATTGGTCTTTTGTATAGGTATAGGTAGCAAGCGAGCAAGCACTACTCGTACTAATCGTCTCAGGACGAGATAGATAGCTACGAAGAGAGGGAGGGAGGGAGGGAGGGAAGGAGTAAAACTAAGACACATTATGGGTTTCGGTATGAATGACATTAAAAAATAAACTCGTGAGATTATCAATTTGTGCACGCAGCTATCAACTTGATCCTCGCTTCGGCCTTCCGGGGAAATCAAATGGGTTGGATCAGCTCGAATTCGAACATAAAATTGGCTGGCGAAGCTCGGTGGCACATGATCATGTTGATATGATGGCATATTTCTAGTGGTGCTCTTTCTTCCCCTTCACGATAAGTTACTGACTCTTCTCCGTTTCAGACTCCTTTTTTCTTTTTTTGTGCTATCAAGCCTCCATGGTCAAGTTGCCATATCGCGGATCAAATTGAAGTTGCACATCTACCGCCATGTGAGGTTCGGATCCTAGCACATCTGAGATGTAGATGTAAGATGCATACTTCGGGCATACCATGGGATAAGGTCGAAGAACAAGAACTCAGCCGATTGACCAGATGCGCTTGATGCTAGTGGTTTCCCCTTTGTGGATTATGGATAGACGCCGTATCACTTGTACGTAACGCCATAGCTCACGCTATGAAACCCGCGGATAGAAAAACGCGCCTAGGTTTGAACATGCGCGACCTCCTGCAAACAATGATTGGTTGGTGAGTTTGGATACCGGTTGGTATCAGGTGATTCAGTGCAGTTGGACCCAATCCGGTTACCAGTTCACATCGCTGAGTTGGAGCTTGCGGGAGCGGAACGCAGTGCGATTGGTGTTGGACTTGTTGAGTTGGGTGTCGCGATGAGGAGTTCGCTTGTCGGTTGTAGCTGGGAGATTGATTAGAATGTATTATTGGATGTGCTGATGTTGGCTACTTACCCTCGGTTGTCTCGGTGTCTGTCGACATTTCGTAATTCAACACCAGGTTCTTGATGCGCTGCTGCTCCTCGCGGTCCGCTTGTTGCTGGCTTCTCATGGCGACAGCCAAGTTGGAATCGGACGGCAGGTCAATGGTGCGAGTCTGCGCCGCGTTAGTATGCTATCGTTCGGGAGTAAGAAAGGAAAACATACCTGTTGCTTATTGCCCTTCTTGGTCATCAGAGAGAATGCCATGGTTCTTGGCTGCTCCTGTGGCTCCGGGGCCTCTGCGGCATTCTCGGAAGACGAAGGTTCACGGGCAGCCCGCTTCATGGGCAGAGGTATATCAAAGACCCCCTTGCGCTCGAATCTTCTCGAGTCCACGCTCTCCGCCATCATCTTTTCAAACTCGCGATCAAACTCCGCTTCAGCCTGCGGGTCACGTTCCTCTTCCTGTCTCGTGACAAAGATCTGTTCATCTTCAGAATCGCTATCGCCATTTTGCTCGGCGTTGGGACCAGAGACTTCATCCTCCTCACTCGATTCCTGCTCATCCTCGACCTCAGGAATCGCGTCTTCCTCCAAGCCTTCATCGGATGAGCTGCTTTCGGCATCATCGTCATCGGGCTCCGCGGGTCTTTCGGAATCCTGGGTCTTGTAATTCTGAGCGACTGCCTCGCCGAAGATGCGCGTGGCTTCTTGCGGATCAGTCACCAGCTTCCACTGAGGACGAGCCATTGAAAAGGTGTCTTGAACGAGGAAATCAACATCCATCGGCAACGGGTCCTTCGTGGTCATGTAATACTATCGAATCTGTAAGCCGCGAGCCCTACATTCCATATGAGGCAGGATAATCACCTGGAAGAAAGTCAAAAAGAAGTCAAGTTTCTTCTTCGCCGATCCTCGGTCGAAACAGTGACCACAAGTATCGAGCAGAGTACAAACCAAGCGAACTCGGAAGAAATCGTCGGGCAGGTCCAGGACGTTGAGCTTTCCGGGAATTGGAGTGCCACCTTCTGTAATTTTGTGAGCATGCGGTTATAAAGCACATATGCCAATAGTTTATTATCTTACCATGACCAAACGTAACAATGCGGTATAGAGTATCGAAGATCACCGGCGAATCAATCATCTTGTAATTGTAGAGTTCTCCCAAGTACTTGACCTCAGCGACACGCTTTTGGTTGAATTTGAACTCGTTCTGTTCAAGTCCGAGTGTGATCTGTTCGAGAATATTGTCCACGATGCCAATGACAAAGTCCTGATGATATCTGTAAAGAGCACTGATCAAAATTGCGAGAAGGTGGATGTTTCCGTATTTGACCTTCACTGGCTTGCTAAAGACACGCTCAAGAATATCGACCACCTAAAGCAGAAATTGTTAGCGATCTGTAATTGCATTGACTGTAATCCATGCTTACCTCCTGCTCCTCCCAATGAAGTTTACGGATTGATTTCAGGATCTTGGTGTAGTTGCGCTTGTTCATGTCCAAGTAAATCAACTTCCGGATGTAAGACTCCATGGGGGTTCGTTCCTTCTGTTGGATGGCCGGTCGAGGTGGCGGGTCGACATAGTATACCGCATTCTCAATAATCATTCGCTCTTGCTGGCCCAGATGCTGAACTGCCTTCTTTCGACTCAAGGTCTCCAGGAAGGAGGCCATTCTTGGGGATGTATCGGGGTTGCGAAGCAGATAGCGACCGCAGTTTTCCAGAAGATGTCCAATAATTTCAATGTTCATGCGCGAGAATTCGTCGAGGGAGACCTTGAAGCAATGGAAGATAATATGCTCCGGAACAACACCAAATTTGGTCAACTCCGCCAAATAGCGGACATTGCTCATCCGAACTTGACCGAGGAACTCCTTCGATTTTCGGCGTTGAAGACTGCGAAATTCTTCGTCCAGATACGTTGTCAATCCTTGCGGAATGTCGGGAAGATACTGTCCAAGGGTTGCGACCAGGCGTGAGTACAAAGGCAGGAGGTCGATGCGGCCCTTAGGAACATCCGAAACAGCCTTGATGAGTCGGTTTCTCGAAGCTTTGGAGTTGAGGAAGCAGAAATCCAGCGCCAGTTGGTCGACATGGTCCTTGGTCTGCAGCTCCGGGAGTTTGGCCAGAAGTCCATCGACCTGAGCTCCAACCGTCCTGCTAGCAATCGCCGTTGATTGATCATCTGCCTCGGCCTTTTCTTCAGCTGACTGGGGTTGGCTACTTGCGTCTTGCTTCTCGGCAGCCGAATCAACCGCGGGCTCATCATCAGCCTTCTTTTTGGTCGCGTCCTCAGACTCGGGCTTCTTTTTCTTGCCATCCTCCAGTAGCACAGCCGGAACTTTGCCTTTGAGATCAACAAGATTCTCATAGAAGCGCCTTTCCTCTTCATCTTCCCAGATACCAGCACCCTCGCCCTGGCCTCGCAGATACTCAGAAGTCTTCACAAGGCCAATGCCACCATTGGATGTAGGGTCCGATGATTCCTGCTCCGCTAAAGCTGGCATCTCCGCCCCCAGGACTTCACACAAGACTTGGGTGTTTGTAACCAGTTTCTCCAGCGTCTTCGTCTGCTTATCGAAGTTTGCCTGGCGATCCTCGAAGATCTCGCCGCTTTTGACGTAGGCCTCTGCGTTCCGACGACTCTGCGCAGCCAACGCTCTCTGGTCGCGCACCACGTGTGCCTTGACATCCTCCAGATACCGGTTGAAGATACTCTTGAAGCGTAGCTGGATCTTTTCGGGGGCAAGAGGCGGATCATCCTCGCCGGCGGGCACTTCTTCCGCATCCTCCTTGCCATTCGTGGTCTCGGCACCAGTTCCGGACGTCACTGCGCCATCCGCCTCCACGGTCTTCCGGCCTTCTTCAACGGATTTGACCCCAAGAACCTCCCAACTAAAGCTCTTCACGAACAAGACCGCAAGCGGCAGGTTGGTGTGGTCCCGGTCGTGTCCGAGGAGGTCCTTCAACACTTCCAAGGGAAACGGCTCGGCTTCTTTATCGTTGTCTCGGACAGCAGACGGGGCCTTGGCCTTGGAGGGACCGTCAGGCACCTTCCCGACGACACCATCCTTACCCTTTGTGCCCAGATCCTCGGGTCGCTCGATGTCATCCAAGGTCCGCAGAACCCCGACCAACCAGAGCTCCGTGACCACTCGCAGCAGCACTCGGTGGCGAGAAAGCCGCTCCTTCTCCTCGCGCTCGCGGACCTCCTGGCTGAGAGCCTTCAATTGTCCCTTGTCCGGCGTGCTGAGGCCTCGACCCAAAAGCCATCCGATCTGTCTCGTGAACTCGGCGGGGCCGAAACGCTGATGCAGGGCGCTAGTGATTTCGACGCCGGTGGCAATCTCGCCGGGAGATTTCAATTTGCAGAGGCCCTCATAGCAGGCGGAGATGATCTCGGAGAGATATTTGTGGAGCGACAGGGTGCGGATGTCGGCCAAGAAGGTTGGTTGGGCGGAGGCGTTAATTCCCGTACGAAGACGCTTGATGAAGGCGGTGTTCTTCTTCAGAGCCGAATCCAGAGATTTGCTGACCGGAAAAATATCTATTTCGAGCCGGGCAGGCAGACAGATCGGTTAGAATCATCAAAGAAAACCTCCGTCGAGGGGTGGGACAAGAAGCAAAGGGCAGGCAGGTGGGGAGATCATTACCACTTTCGCCAGTCCAGGCCCTCTCATTGAGATCGCGAAGCTCCCCTAGAAATAGCACACATCTGTTAGAGATCATAGAGGCACAGGGCAGAGATAGAGATGGATCGGCCAGCCATACGCTTCCTTTGGCGTTCCATCTTTTACGATCGATGTTCAGGAATCCCGCCGGAGTCTATTTCAGCTGTCGTGGGGTCCTTTCAATGAGTCGGAAAGGAAAGCGCATAAGTGACTTGAACGCCACATTGGTGAAACACGGTGAAAGGAAGTGACGCGGGACGTCTGGAGAGTGAAGACAGCATGCGTCTGGGGATGAGAGAGGGACGTTGGAAAAGCCGTGCTGGAGCTGCGGCGACGAAGTGGGAACCGAAGGCGGTCCTGCGAAGAAAGGCGGACTCTTTTTTTGGGGATATGCATTCGTTGCCCCTTGCGGTTTAGCGCCCTTGTCACCTGGCCCGATTCACCGGAATATACCTCTTAACGTGTCTACAGACTACAAGTCTGCTGGATATCTCCTGATGGCAATTTGCATTCTCCCGTTCATCCTGATCACATCCTGCCGGATACCGGAACAAGCAGCAATGAACCCCAATCGTTGCCCTTCGTCAATCTTGTCAACCCTGCCATCCCCCCTCATAGTACTTCACATTCATTCCACCCCTCATCCTAAAGCAGGATCAAATACCCCTACAGCATCAAGGCAATCTCCTACTCAGTCTCTGTAAACCCATGATTCACACCCTCCTCCACATTCAACAACCGCGCCTGAAGCTCATGTTTCCGATCCGCTTCGCTCCAACTATGCGAACGGCCATCGGACGGTTTCCACGGTTTCTCCAGGACCCGGGGTTCCAGATCATCATCGAGTGTCTGCAGCGGGGGATGGTTTGTTCCGAATTTATTCGGGTTGCCCGGCAGCAGAATGGTTTGGAATTCCAATTCAGTGGTGAGATATGCCCGGGGGTGGTCATGAGAGGACTCCTCTCCGGATCTGAAATAAGAGAGGGATTCGATGGTTCGGTTGGATGTTTGATCCATTTGGGGCAGTAGAGGTGAGGAGACTTTTCTTGCGATAGTCTGCTCGCTAAGGTGGGTGAGGTGTCGTAGGTAGGTAGTATAGTATGTAGATGTGTCAATGGCTTCGGAGGGAGTTGAAGTACGTCGCAGCGATGCGATTTTTATTGCTTTTGACTTTGGGGAAAGTATAGACCAGAGACAACTGCGGAGATTCGAGTCGAGTGCTCCAAGGCTTCATATGTAGTCTGTCCTGTGGGACAATTCAAATCATTGCGCTATGGCCTGTGGCGAATCGGGACGTACGTTGACGTCTAAGTCTGATCATGATTGCCTGCCATATAGCCAATAAGCGCGGGGATATCCTAGCTTTGTATAACAAAGATACGAAGATCAGACAATTGAAGATCATGCGTCAAAATGACGGACGGGCGACATCGCAATCGACGGTCTCGACCACGCCTCATGGCGACAGTGGCACGTGATAGATGCTGGAATAGGAAATATAATGCTGTCGGATCAATGAAAGACCGAGCATATTGGCGATCGGTGAATAGCAGAAGTGATAAAGAACCAAGTGCATTTTTTTGTTCCTTGCAAGAAACTTGGGTAACATACATATCATAACTCTGTCGGGGTGGTGAGGCGACAAAACATCTCCGCAAACCGCCGGACAGACAGGACTGGATTTCCAACAAGATCATACAGGCATGCCATCGAAGACAGCGATGCCCACAAAAGCATACTCCTCACTGTGAAACAATGAAGGCGAAGACCAGCACATGTGAAACACATGATTTGGTTAACTGAAATGAAGCAAAAAAGGTAGGCATCCCACGTGGACCGGAAACAAAGCAGGTCTCTACCACCTGAAAACAGGTAGAGAGAAAAGAAAGCGAGAAAAACCAAAGGGGAAAGAAAAATCACCATACATCGTACAGCTTCATTCAACGACGTAAAAATCAGACAGGGTATGCCCACGCCACGCTATGCGAGTCCATGAAGGGGAAATAAAAAAACAAAACATTGACACTATGTACTAAAACGGTTGGGCGGAAATATTAGCAAGAGACTGAACAGAATGTTGTTCTTTTTTTTTGTTCTTTTCTGGAACAGGCCGTTCTAAGACACTGTATTTATTTGGGCTTGCGCCAGAAATATTGCTGCGGCAGGGTCAGTTGCATGAACAGTCAAGTGGCTATAAGAAGTCGACATACCTTATGTTGCTTTCTACAGTTCCGAAGCCCTGGCTTTCGGAGATCATGCACAACAGCTTCCCGTCGCATGTCATCGTCATCGAAATCCGGGATGTAGTAATATTCGCTTTCAAGAGGCTTCCCGGCGGCATCTTTTCCCTCACGGGCAACCTTTCCAATGCACTTGGTGGTGTCAATGACGGCAAGAATTTGCTCTTTGGTCGGCCCCTGCTTGGAATGGCTGTTCTGTCTCCACAGAGTGGGAGGAAGGTTGCTCAGAATGGTTGAGAATGGCGTCGAAGAAAGACGCGAGAAGGCGAGCTGGTTGACAGCATGGTTCTGGACGCGTTCCAGACCTTCGTCAAGCGGCTCCGGCTTGCTGGGTGCACTTTCGGCGTCGTCTGCGGCCTTGGAAGGCTGGCGAGGTGACTGCGTAGGCTGGAGAGGTTGCGTAGAGGACTGGTTGCGAGGACGAGTGGGACGGACGGGTGACTCGTCGGCAGTGAACGAAGCCATGCGAGGCAGGATGTTCTCCCCGAAGGGTCCAAAGGAGTGGATTATGGGGTCGTTCTCCTCATCGTGGTCAGACAGCTCGTCATGCTTACTCAGTTCACTTAGTTCGCTGGACTGGGAGCTCTGCAGAAGGTCTACAGCGGAAGAGGGATCGTGGAAAGTTTCGGACGTGAGATCCTCCGCGGAGCTAGTCGCACGGACAGGAGAGGCCTCGTCTTCATACACAACCACGGCATTGCGCGAGCGAGTCGGGGTATAGAGCGGGGAAGATGGGGGAATCAAGGACTTGACCGCCGGGGACGGTGACACGGGAGAAGCCAAACGTCGACGCTCCACACTTGGACTATCCTGCAGGCTTCGACGAGACTCCCCGTTGCGTTTGGGGGTGGTCTCCTCCCAAGTATGTTCGGAGTCGGTATCCTTTCTCTCACCACGCGGCCATTGCACCAAAACACGGGCGTCATGCACGTCGATCATGATGTCGGCATCCTTGATATCGGACGTGAAGGTCTTCCCCTTGGCCAAATCATATGTCTTTCCCTGGCAGTGCAGTTTAATCCCGTTCCATCCCATGCACATAATCTCTACCCTATCTCGGTCGAAGGGGTTCGGTGCGGGCTTATAGGTGGCCTTGACATGGATTCTCGATATCATACGGTTAGCGGCGAGCTGATGATGACAGGAGACGCTCGACCGGCCCATGAGAAGGGGTTCGCCGGAGTCCGAGAGCATCAGGGTCGGGACGGCAGATAGAGGGGTACGTTCGGAGCTGCTCGAGGCAAGGTTACGACGCGACGCGGATCGAGGCAGGGCCATTCGAGGAGGGGAGGACGACATGATGTGAGTCGACGAGGTCGGGACGGGAGTCGGATAGGTCGAGACAACGGCATGGTCATCGCGTGCTACACGCTTCTGAGGCCGAGGCAGAGACGGGGAAGAGCTCAATGGCTCGAAAGCCGGCAACAGGGACGCCGGACGCTTCACGCCTGCCACGGGAGCAGCAGAGCTACTCCTCGGGGGAGACGACTCCATGACGCTCTGGAACGGTGGCTCCAAGCACCGGACACGCTGCTCTGGGCGTTGAACTAGAGGGGACAGGCTTTTTCTTCAATTGAAGGTCGCGTCGAGGTCGAATAGGGGGTCTATTTCTATGAGAGGGTTCGAGAGGCACGCGAGGGGACCAGGGCCAGGGAAGGGAAAGAAGGTGGATAAAGCGTAAATTTAGGACGAGACGAAAAGAAAAAGAACGAGCGTTGACACAGTCCTCCAGGGCAAGAAGCCAGGGAGGTTGGGGAGGGTCACTGGAATTGGATTGCCAGGGAAGAAAAAAGAACGAGAAGCATAAAATAGAAAAGGGTGAGAAATGGTGTGCGGTGGAATGCTTTGCCTGCCGGAACGGAGCGTCTGGTCCTTCCAGCGCGGAAACGCACGCTTACAACCCGAGACGCGTTCGATAGGCGCCGACGAGGTCCACCACTAACCTCGCGCAGCCTCACAGCCTGACCTTCGCTAACTATGCATTGCACTGCATATTCGTCAGATGGGCGAGATTTTCCGGTTGAAAAAATGGATGAGCGATTCACTCGAATCCAAACGCATCGCCAGTAATTTGGCCACTCCTGCGCCCTTGATCGAGTCGCATCAGGCACTCAGGCAGGCTCTCCGGCGCGTCTCCCCGCGTCTGCAAATCATGTGGCCCGCGTTCTTTGGTTCGAGTCACGGGACTCGCGCCTGGTCACGTGTGGCAGTCCTCGGCGATGGCAGGGGCGCTAGTCCCGAGGGGGAAAGGCCATGTGCACGATCCCGAGGTTCCGCGCGTCTGATTGGGCCATTCGATGCACGGTAATCGTGACAGGAGCCTATTGCGTAACAAGGGATTTTTCGTCATGTTCTTTTCTTATTATTGTTCTGTCGTAGGCGTAGTAAAACCATATGAAAAAATGCATTCAGACACCACCGTAGGGGCCATATCTAGGGGTGCTAACCACTCGATTCTCCCCTAGAAACTGTGAATGTGCTCCGACATGGAACGTGTCTCGTCGCCAACCCTGGATTGGAAAAAACTCAATAGGCGGTGCTACTTATTTTACTACGACCTAAGAAGCACTACTGCAACCATTTTTTCCTTTGAAATTTCAAGTCGCCCCCTCATTACTTATTACGCAGTATTTCGAGCAAACCCCCTAGTGGGAACTGCTTGCAGCGGTACGTGCTCGACGCGACTTTACATACATACAGCCCCCAGCCTTTTTTTTTTCGTGTCGCCAGTCGCCACTACGCACTACGGAGCAGGTATTTTCCTCTCAACCGAAACTTGAGGGGACTCACCGACCGGCCGGGCTCCACTTCACATTCCACAACTGAAGGCATTACATCAATCGATGCATGATGTAAATGTCCAGCCTGCAGGCTCTAGACTTTGCGAGCGACAGGTAACATCCAAATCTCCCAGCGCCTACCACCCACCAACCAGGACCATTTCCAACCCTTTGTCAGGGTGAGAACCTTCAAGGGCATGAAGCCAGGGATAAAGATTAAGGAGGTCGTGGCTGGTCGGTGAAGTCTAGGCGCGTAGACATATATATTTGAACAAGTCCATATCTTCTGCGACGCACCTCTGCCGCGGGATTTACATCTTCTACGGTTGAACGCCCGAACATCGAAACATATCCGATATATTTTTACCAAGTATTAAAGAGAATTACTTACATCGTATCCATTGAACAGTACATGAGATTAATAGACCAGAGATATAGAACAGAAAACAACAAAGAGACGGTGCGCATGTGTACATAAAAGAGGAAAGTGGAAACCGGAGTTACTTCACAGTAGAGAGAAGGTAAATCTAAACACAATTGTCCCTACCAAGCGAATAGAGACGTTACATACGACGAGAGGATATACTTTCCAAGTCATATGAACATACTAAGATACACAGAAGAAAGCATTAAGGCGGACAGAGGCATGAAGGAAAAACGCTTTATTGTGGAGTTGCCTCGTCGGACCTATTTGCGCCGCGGACTGGGGCCAGGCAAAGTATCGGACCTTACGACAGGTTCGTTGAAGTCGTTCAGTAGAAGACAAAGGTGGCATCGCCGGAGTTGACCTTGACCTAAAGCAGAGGTTAATACTGGGAAAGTTGAATTGCAGGAGAAAGAGGATCTTACAGTGCAGCCGGAGTCGTTCGAGCCGGTGTCAGAGATGAAGCTGCCATCCTCGTACTTGCAGGAGCCGCCAAGGTCGCTACCCTTGATCTTAATGTTGAAGTCAAGCTTCTCGTTGGTGGTGGGGGCGTTCTGGGAGATCGAGAGCCATTTGCCGTTGTTCTCGCCAACACCGAGGTTGATGGGAGCCCAGTTACCAATGGGCTCGCTACCGTCACCCCACTGGCAGCCCTTCTTGGCCGGGGTACCCTTGGGGTTCACGTAGTACTGGGCGGAGGTGACCTTCTGCTCCCACTTGAAGTAGTTGGCATCGGGGCAAGTCAGGGGCTGGAGGTCGTTGTCTCCAAGGGTGAGGGGAATGGTCTCGGACTCGGTACCTGCAGAATATCACCGTTAGATTGGGTTTCAAGGGAGGGGAAGTCAGGATCATTGTATAATTATGAGTCACTCACCAGGGTAATCGGTACGGCACACAGCAACTTCTTCGCCCAGGTTGTTCTGGACGTGAACACCACCAACACCCTCAATGCAGAGCTTGCTAGAAAGTTTCTTGTTGGTAAGGTAAAGCTTGCCACCCTTGCACTGCAGACCACCAACGGATTGACCGGTGGAGCCCTGGGTGGTGGGCCACTGGGACTTCTGGTAGCCAGGCGGGCAGGCGTAGGAGCACATAGCGCCGTTGTGGCAGTCGTCACCAGTCACGGCAGTGACGATGTCGCTGATGAGTTCGTCGGCGAAGGTGACGTACTGGATACCGGACCATCCGCCCAGGTCCAGGTAGTCGAGGGCGATAGCACCATAGTCGGAGGGGAACGAACCGCAGTCGATTTCGCCGTCGGGGAAATCGCGGTCCATACCAGTACCGCTCGAGGAGCCGCTGGAGCCGCTGGAGCCCGAAGAGCTACCGGAAGAGGGAGCCGGGGTAGAAGCCGCGCTCGAGGTCGCAGGGGCGACGGAGGCGGAGACCTCAGCGAACTCGGCGGCGGCGTCGACGGAGAGGGTAGAGGAAGAAGCGGCCGAAGAAGTAGCAGCGGTGCTCTCTTGGCAAGGGTCCACGGCAGGCGTAGGCTCGCCGGGCTTGTATTCGAGAGACCCCTTCTTGATGCCGGCGCAGACGTCGCTGGCCGAGATGGCGTTGCCGTCGAGGACGTACTTGATGACGGTGTCGGCATCACGCTTGTGGGGGTGACGGTGCTGGTGGTGGTGCTGGGCAGCCACGAAGGAGCCCGCCGTGGCGAGAGTCAAGGCAATCGAGTACTTCATCTTGATAATTTCCCGTCGAGCTTTTCCTAGGATTCAGATCTATACACAATCGAACAAGCACCGGTCAGCATCTTCGTCAATGGAAGAATTCTCAACACGACCAGATCCGATCACAATCTCGAGTCGGTTGGCGTCATATAGTGAGGCGCCTCCCTAGGTCGGTCCAATCCTGTCGGGTCGCATGCTTGCGACAAGCACGGCCGGGGACTCGAGGCCTCCCGAGGTGAATCGTAAACCACGTCGGGGACGGCGACGGAGCGGCGGGGGAGAGACATGGAAGACAAAGCGGCTATAGAGAAGCCGAGATGGACAACGTACATGAACGTTACAGCAAGCCAGTCGCGCTTGTCAAAGGTATTTCTGTACAAGAATGGAATTCGCAGAAATGCAATGGCCGCTGGACAATACCTGGCGGAGGCGCAAAAGAATGCCTGGAATTTAAAGAGAGTGCTAGAAGCGAGAAGAGAATAGGTAAGAAGAGGTTCCCGAAAAGAGCGTGCGAGAGAGAAGCAAAGTCCCCTCTGGTCGGACAGGAAAGCTCACGAGAAAGACAGTAAGGTGAGAGAGATAAAAAAGGATGAAACGCTCTGGGGACGAGAAAATGTGGAGGGTCGCGAGGAGAAGAGGGAGATGAAGAGAGAGAATTAGACTCTGTCGGTCAAGTCATCCAGGGGTACAAGAAGGACAAAGATGTGCAGTGCAGACCCTTCCAGGGGGAGAAGCCAACCAAAGAGAGAGACAGGAAAGTATGTGTGGCGCACTGAGAACGATGGGCGGACACGACAGAGAGAGGCTAACCGTCGTTCAAGGCCAAAATAATAATAATAATAATAATAATAACCAAAAAGCAAAAGCACACTAAACTCAGGGGGCCCACTCCAAAGGCTCAAAGACATTATTATTATTATTATTTTTTATTTTTATTATTATGATTTCTTTCCGCTAAGGTTTACGGTACACGTATCGGCCAGTACCGTCCAATCGAGCTGCAAGTGCGTCCGACTGGCCAGGCGCAGTCCAGCCCGAGGCCAAGGGGGGTAAGAAAGGTGGGCACAGGGCCAAGGCCCCAAGGATGCCCTGGACGGGGAAGACACCATCTGAGAAACTCTTAGAATTGCAGCCCCAAGTGGGGTGGGGGGACACGTCGTGTCCACGAAGGACAGCTAGTCGGAGCTCGTCGCCTTGGGGTTTATTATTATATTATCCTACGAGTCCTGGAGTTCTTGGAGTGAATGGACGAGCCTGGGCAGGTCTTGGTTCTTTTGACTGGGCAAAAGCCACCGTTACTTTTCCCCTCGCCCACCCACCATTTCCATGTTTGGAGGTTTCCTGTTCCTGAATGGTGAGCTTGGCGTTTACCGAAATTACCTGTGGCCGGGCCTGGCCAATCAGCATGGAGATCTTGGCAGAGGGCGGTGGGGACCAGACTTCCCCTCCTGGCCAGGTACACCAATCAGCGGCTCCCGGTCAACCGAACCATTGCCACAAGGTTGACTCCCAAGGAATGTCTCATGTCCGATCGTTATGTATGGCTGCATTAGGTCGTATTATAAACGGCCAGGTCCCAGTCCTTTTTTTTTTTTGTGGTTTCCCTCCGAGAGGTGGTACACTCCGGCAGTATTTAGGCAGCGTGTTATAATGGATATCCCTGTCCTACAGGGACTTGATGCCTGGCATGCTTCACGGGAAGACGTCCTGATTGACCTTCCCCTCGTTCCTGGTCTTCAGCGGCAGGTACCAACTTAGTGTCTCCCGTGGTTCTGAGCCGTTGTATAAATAGTCACCCATACGCGCGCGCTATTACAATCCTCCCAAGAAACAGTCCACTTTTTGGATCTGCGCATGATCCAGGTACTTCCCGCAAAAATAGGGGTATTCTTGCTCAGCTTGCTCAGTGCTCGAAATATCGGCATTCGACTAAACAACTCGGGGTTGACAGCGTTCAGCTCCCAAGATGCTCAAATCCCCGCGGAGCCGGTTGGCGACCGGTTATGACCAACCAAGTGGCCAACCCTGCAGGGATTATCCCTCTGCCCGCCAGGATCTGGCAGAATATGATGTTATCCGGAGTGGTGTGGTTGGATTTGATTCGACGGTGGCATACAATCAGTCACATCGCTTTTGATTCATTGTGAATGCTTCGCTGTCAGCCCCTCGATCAGACCTGTCGGCCCTATGACGGCAATGCATCGCCTTCGCTTTGAAGAGAGCTGCAGAAAACGGTCGAGGCTATCAACTTTTGATAGATGAAGGATTGACAACTTGACAGCGAGCGCAACGACCCCGGCCAACCCACAATGGACAATCAGCACACAAAGGGCAATTATTCTCCGCGCTGTAACGACCTTGCAGCTCCCAGTTTGACATCTCTACTCTAGCGTGTCACGGAGTCCCCCCGCCATGCTCTGCTGGCTCCTTTTTCGTTTTTCCCTCCTTTTTTCTTTTTCTTTTTCTTTTTTTTTTTTTTTTTACCCTTGGCTCCTGGCTTCCTCCTTTTCTGTTTGTCACTTATCTTTCTATCTAATATCTATCCTCCCTAGTCAGGGCGGACTACTCCGGGGCAAAAAGCCGGCTAAAGACGCCAGCCCCGTACCAAAATGCGATGGGACGGTCCCGGATAGCTCCAAGAGTAAGAAGGGGTTAGACGTGCTAGCCTGTACGCGCCTTTTTCTGAAAGGGGGCCGGATCTTTTCGTACATGCGCTAATGATCCAACCTCTTGCACGGGGCAGACCGCAAATGCTGCTGTATGCACAAGTGTGGAGTCCAATTGCAACCTTACTGATTCGAAGATTTTTCGAGTCAGCAGCTTCGCGATCTTGGTCGAGACGCTTCTAGCCAATGATGTTGAGTTCCAGCCCGGATGCGTTATATCAGGGGTTGATTTCGAGATGTATGACGAGCTTATTCTTCCAGAATATGGCGTTCGATTCGAGCCAACATTCGACCAACACCATTCATCAGTGGGTCTGGGGAATTCATCCATCAATCTCATGATAATAAGTTTGGTAAGGTAGACTTGCAGGTACGGCGTATGTTTGAAAGACACGCGTTGCGCATGGTTGCCCGAGTACCTATGCCTCCTTGCTGATGTTCTGAATATCACAATTAAAAGCGAATCCCGGGTTTGCAGGAATACTAGTCAGTGATCCGGCAGGTGAAAACCGCACCCCTTTAGCTCAGGTGAGGCCCAACACCGCAAAGGATCATGGACTTGACTCGCATTGTTCTTGTTGCGGTCAGTAAATCCAAGACCACCGCAATCTCCCACGATAGCGTTGGTAGGCCACCGCAGCGGATCTACAGAGTACGGCCGTTGCCAGTCATCGACTCTCCAATGATCATTGGCTCTTTGAGTAGATATCTAGGGCTATTCACTGCGTCGGCCCGATTAATTCGTCCTCAGCAATGTCCTGTCCAGTTTTGGTGCTTCACACAGGGCTGTACAAAGTCCGGAACGATGTGAAACTGACTGACAGTTGTGGCCCGTGAGATCCATCATCGGTTGTCGCGGTCTGACTTCGCTAGTTTTTCTTAGTCGAGACAAGCACCATAGTGTAGAATCCTCCAACTCTCTCGCTGGGGCCATCGTCGAGGATGGTTTTTCTTTTTTTTACAAATAGTTCTTGGGGTCCATGGGTCCAAATCCAGACAATTTCTTGTTCTCAGCTTCGCTTCTCGCAGAGTTTTCTCGGCTCCTTCTTTTATCAGTCTAGGTTGCGAGATAAGGGGCGGCATGCGATGGACACGAGGCTGGGTTCTTCCTCGCGAGTATCGCCATGGTTGATGACTCGATGAGGTTGGAGCGACCAAATTAACTTTCGTGATATTTTAGAGCCCTATGCATAGGCCTGCGTGTGCTGGAAGACCTGGAAGACCCGGAATACGAAAGGATTCCCGGCCAAATCCCATTTCAATACGAATTCTGCAGTCATCGGTCATCATTTTCGGTTAATATCCAGCAATGACGAACAATGAACATCCAGCATGGCCAATCCTGGTGAAGCGATCGCGAATGTCGACTGTTTTATTTTTTATGGGTATTTGGATACGCCATGAAGAGACCATCTGGGTCGGGTCTCAACAACAGTGGGCGTGGATAATCAAGTCCACAGGGCTGAAAGCACGCAATGAATCTGATGACGATGACAAACCTGAAGATCATGCTGGAGTATGCATCATTTAATTACCTCGGCAGAGTTATTCATGGATCGCTGGCCTACGGAGTAGTGCGCATGAGGCAGGCCGCATCGGAGACTACAACCCCAGCAACCTCTCTCCCAGGAATCAGATCTGTCCAGCCATGGCAGAGATTAAATCCCGTCTTCTTTACCATGTCACTGGGAAGGGCCGCCGCAACCGAAAGTCAAGAACAACGTGTTCGGCGGAGGTCCAAGTCCGAGGGTTCCGTGGGCCTGGATAGTGGTACGGGAAATTGCACCGAACTTTGCGTTCCTGCTAACCAGGGACTCTGGAGAACGTGCTACGTGAAATAAAACATCTCCAAATTCGAGATCGCACCGTGGGCAAGGAATCGGGCGCTAAGATTCTCCAATGCGGTGGAATCGCAGAAAGGAGACGAGTCGTAAGAGCCATTACGGATTACGTACGGCGTCGTGGCTATGATCTTATCAAGTTACCATGCTAAGATCAAGTTCGCAAGGCACCCACCCAGAAGATTGTGGTCCAGGAGGGCAACCTTAATGCGAATCTCGGGAGGGCATCAGTTCACAACGGCGCTGGACTTGCGTGGCTTTATCGCCAGTTACGTACTCGCTACGCCGGAGAGTAGGGAGTCGAGGATCCAACGCGTGGGGCATCCGAGCGTAGTTCAGGGGTTCGCTCTCTCCGGACTTCTTTCTGCGTTGGAATTTCTTCACGCTATTGACTGATGGTTCCGAAGCCTAATGGCCAGTCATCTGACATTTCTGAGTTTCTCATATTAATGATATTAACGACATCGATAGTACGGTATTTTGCAGCCTGTGGTGGGTAGTGGGTACACCATACTCTACGGAATAGACTCCGTAAGTACTCCACGGAGGACAGTGGTTAAACTCAACACCATGGAGTACAGCCAGGCTGTACACTCGTAGATTTCTCCTCGGATGTTTTGCATCAATCCAGGTGGTTTTTTTTACGTTGCCCTGACATCTGACCAGGCACAAGGCGCCAAGCGAGATTAATCTCCAGCGGTCTGAGCGATTGAGTCTTTGACGTGGACGGTACACGATTCAGGTACCGACCGTAGCACCAGCCAGCGGAGGGTGAGACTCGTGTTCCAATATCTCTCTCTCCCTGGCTACTTAGGCACCTGCACTCGTATCTGCAAAGCGGGAAATGATTCATTCCGTCTCGTGTCGGGATGGCAGTGATTGGACTTCGCTCCTGCGTTACGAGTATCGGGAACTAGAGTGATGACTCGCTTATTGACGGAGTACGATGCTGACCAGCGGACAGCGCTAATCTCGGGATAATTTGCCCAGTAGGTGTCCGTGGATATTTCATTTCATTTCCAGGGGAATAGACGAACTATCTCGGATGAATCCTAGTAGTATGAGGGGGAACCGGAGTAACTTTGGCGGGTCGGATTCCGCCTCGGGCGCTACTGAGGATGACCACAGAAATATACAATTGAGCTGACTTCACCAGGATTACAGCAGTCAATTCAAAATCCATGATCTTGCCATACTGAAAAATGAACTGACTATATGATCAAAAGCGAGTAACAACCTCCTGTGCCTCCAGAAGTTGAAGATAAACACCTATACCCATGGTTAGCAAAAGCAGGCAGATGGCCAATAAGAAAGTACCTGCGACATTCCACCGAGTATTAATGGCCAGAAACGCCTCCTTGATACTCCTTACCACCTCCTGTGAGCTTGCTGTCTCTTGCGGACAATGCGTATGGGAGACACAAACCCGATAGGCGAAAAAGAGACCCCATGGCGACATATCCTCCGGGTCGCGACCCGCGAAGCATTGGCGCTCCACGAGGTTAGCGCTGATCCGGTCGGTGATTTGTTGAATGACGGCTCTCGCACACCGAGTACGATCTGTGTCCTGTGTGATGGCTCTCTCGGAGGGAAGCCGGGTCGTATGCAAAGCGACAAGAGCACTGGATGCTGTCAAAGGGCATTCATTCATCAGTTGCAGGCTCAATGCACACACCTATACACAAAAGCAATCTGATCATGGTCCGGGCTGTCTAGATTAAGCGCTGCTGCTAGCATCGACTGCAAGGTCCGATCTAATTGCATCCAGACCCCGTCGTCCGTCGTCGACTCGCTGGACACGTCGTGGAGGACTTGGCCTAGCAATCGCGCGGCTTGACAGAGCAAAGCGAATTTACTCATGTGCCCGGCTAACGGGGACGAGAGGGCAAAGAATTCATCAGGTCGGACAATCTATGGGGAATTGTCAGCACGAAAGCTATCTACAGGTCGAGAACCTACTCCCTGGTCCCATGCGCTGTCGTCTGCCGGCAGAAGGTCATCTAGTTGTGGATCTGCCGTCGCGAAGGGCCTACCGGGACAGCCAATACTCACGAAACTGAATCACAATTCAAGGTTATTTTCGAAGCGCAGATTCAACCAGGAAAGCAATGAACAAACCGGTCCAAGATGACTATCGCCCACCACAGTCTCCTGCGCTCCTCAGCTTCCACCAGCGTGAGAACCTTTGTTGTATACACCGTCCGATTGACACCGACCCCAAGAGCATGCGCATAACGAGCACACGCGCCAATCGACAAGAAAGCAGCCGGATAGATACCATGCCCGAGCTCGTACAACGCTATAAGGATCCCGGCCTGGGGCACGAGAATCGAAATGCCACTGGAGCCTTCGACCTCGAGATAGAAATATTTCACCGCATGATACAACGCACTGCGAGGACCCGACCTGGCGGGCAGAATCGTGGTAATGAGCTTGAGCGACAGAAGCAACAGGACGACACTAGGCTGAGTCGAAAAGGCCGGCTGCAAGTGGAGCTCGTAGAATCGTTTCTTGGAAATGAAAGGCATCCACCGGTGGATGTGTTTGAAGAACCTGGCGGCAGTGTCATGCATCTCGTCCATATCGCCTAGCAGGTGCATAATATGTGCCGGAACTGGCGATGCAGCTCGCTCAAACTCCACCTGGCCATGTCGCAGAAAACCAGGGTCTAGAAATGCCAGGGTTGGAAAGTCGATGGAATGGATACCCGGCTGGTTGTGCTCGCGAGAGCCGAGCCACCACGGATCGCTTGCGGAGGCCGATATAGAACTGCCACTTGGCTCTGGCTGGATGTACTCGCATGGGATGTTCTTCCTGTATTGGATTTCCACGAGAGTTGAGCGTTATACTGCGGCGATGGGAAACCGAATCGAATCGACTTACTTCGCGCACGATGAACAAGTCGGAAGAGCCTTATTGCACTTCCGCTTCCGAATCTTACAGGATCTACACACATAAGATGCTTGTTCATTGGAGACTTGCATGATGGTGAATGGTGGAGTAGATGTTGGATGTTCCGATGAAGCCGCGGGGCGGCTTACATGGCGGCCGCCCTACGCTGACGCTAACATCTAGATCGCGGCCGCCTGTTGTTGGAGTAGCAGCATGGCATGGCATTGCGTCGAGAATCAACTATAAAGAGACGACCATGAGGGCACGTTGTCTGGAATGTGTCATTGCGCAAAACATCCTTTCAGAGAATTTGCCCTTCTATCGCAATGACAGTGTCACCCAGTCCTTATGCCGCCACGCACGCCGACCCCCAAGGTGCCGGGGATGCACGACCAACCGCTCTCCAGATCATTCAGGCTGAGTCTCTGGAAGGCAAGCTTGTCGGCAAGGTGATTGTCGTCACCGGTGCCACGTCAGGCATCGGTTTGGAGACAGCCCGCGCGTTGTCTATCACCGGAGCGACCTTGTTCTTACCGGCTCGCGATCTAGAAAAGGCCCGGGAAAAGCTATCAAACATACTCGAGCCAGGCCGCATCTCCCTCATCCACATGGACATCAACTCGTTTGCGAGCATTCGGGCTGCAGCGGCGGAGATACTGTCCGTTACCCAGAACCAGGTCAATATCCTCATCAATAACGCCGGGGTGATGGGCATCCCAGAGCGCCAATTGACGGAAGATGGCCATGAAACACACTTCATGACCAACTACCTGGGCCCCTTCCTCCTCTTCCAGCTGCTGAAACCCGCCCTGCTGGCCAGCGCTTCGCTCGATTTCTCCTCTCGGGTTGTCAACGTGTCTTCGTCCGCGCACCGATCCTGCACTCTCATGGACAGCGACAATTATGATTTTCAAAAAGGCGACTACGACCATGAGCTGGCCTATGCCAACTCCAAGTTAGCCAGCGTCTACATGGCCAACGAGATTGATCGTCGTTACGGGTCCAAGGGCATCCATGCCACCAGTCTCCACCCTGGGGGCGTCAACACAAACATCTCCAGAAACATAGGTCCTGAATTTGTGGCAGCGATCATGAGCAACGAAGCGATTCTCAAGATCTTGAAATCCCCGGAGCAGGGAGCTGCGACGACGGTTCTGGCCGCGGTTGGGAAGGAGTGGGAGAACAAGGGAGGGAAGTATTTGGAGGATTGCGAGGAAGCAAAAAGAGGGAAGGGTGATAATCAGGTGTTTGGGGTGGGATATGTCCGCCAAACCTATGATCTTAAGGAGGAGGAGCGCCTGTGGAAGGACTCGCTGAAGCTGGTGGCAGTCGACGACGATGTTTGAGGCTTGTTATTCATGGATGACACCAAGTATCATTCATAATTAGTGTAGTTTCTCAAGGCACAGTGATCAAGAACCATGAAGAGATGCAAATAGGCAGGATAGAAATTAGACTGGTGTATAGTTCAGATGGAATCGTCGTCCATACAAAAGTACTGGAAGATAGCGGATGACTAAGCGACCCACCGCCAAGATCGGACAAATTTGCCCACCGCCTTCCCGTCGATTTTTTTGATTTCGATTTCGATTATCCCAGAATTCGAGACCGTCGAAATCTGCAGCAATCAGCCATTCATCCAAAAATGCCGTCTTCTACAGCGGTCACGACCAAGGTGACCTCCGGGTCTCCTTACCAGCTTGACAACACCCAGGTACGCGATCCACAAAGACTGTTTTCCAGCGGGACTGGAAAATCCGCAAAAAAAAAAAAAAAAAAAAAAAAAAAAATGGCAAGCGCCGAATGCTAACGGTTAAATTTACAGGTCACTCGCGCCTCTTCTGCGCTCCTGAAACACATCAAATCTTCGCAAGAGGAGAAGGAGAAGTCGGCGACCAAGAAGACTCTTATCGGCGACAACGATGGCGACTCCGACGAAGAAGACAGCCCCATGCACAACGAAGCCATTTGGCTCGTGCTCACCACGAAGAAGCACGTTGTTGACAAGAACCGCCTGAAGCCCGGCAAGATCAGCATCCCTCACTCCCTCAACGCCTCGTCCTCCCTCAGTGTCTGCCTTATCACCGCCGACCCGCAGCGCGCGGTCAAGAATATCGTCGCCGACTCGTCCTTCCCTCAACACCTCTCCTCCCGCATCGACAAGGTCATCGGCTTCTCGAAACTGAAGACCAAATACCAGAGCTTTGAGAGCCGGCGACAACTGCTCTCGGAGCATGACGTTTTCCTGGCGGACGACCGCATCGTCATGCGCCTGGTCAACACCCTTGGTAAAATCTTCTACAAGTCCAGCAAGCGCCCCATTCCCATTCGCATTGCCGAGATCGAGAAGGTGGATGGCAAGAAGGTGAAGAAGGACCCCAAGCAGAAGTCGAAGGAGGATGATAGCGCTTTTGCGTCCCCCGCTATCGTCGCCAAGGAGATCGAGAAGGCCCTCAGCTGTGCCGCCGTACACCTTGCCCCCGCCACCACCGCCGCCATCCGCGTTGGTAACTCCAAGTTCACTTCCCAGCAGCTGGCCGAGAACGTCGACGCCGTTGTCAAGGGATTGACCGAAAAGTTCATCACCAAGGGCTGGAGGAATATCAAGGCTCTTCACGTGAAGGGCGCGAACACGATGGCCATGCCCATCTGGTTGGCCAGCGAGCTGTGGGTTGACGAGGCCGACGTCGTCGAGCAGGCACCGGAGGACGAGACCAAGGCCATCGAAGGAGGCAAGAACAAGAAGCGCAAGCAGAGCGGAGAGGAGGAGAAGCAGCTCGAAGCTCCCAAGAAGAACAAGAAGTCCAAGGCTACCGAGGATGACGATGACAATGCGGCCGCCCGCAAGGAGAAGCTTCAGAAGCAGAAGGCCAAGGCCCTCGAGGATGGCAAAGAGCCCGCGGCTGGAGCTGGCAAGAAGAAGAGAAAGTCGACTTCATAATCAAAGATTCCTACGGTGTTTAATGGATTGTATTTATGGATTGCAACTATTTCTGGGTTCTTATACAGCGGCGTACCAGATGTCACGTGTGTCGATTTTGTACTTTAGACACAATACCCTTTCCAGGAAAAAAGTTTTTGTTGCTCTAGTTTTCGTCGAATATTTGTAAATCGTAAATGCTCGTTAATTTAAGGTAGGGATCTTGTCTTCCAGAATATATAGACCGGACGTGAAAGTACCCGTGAAAAAAGGTAACGTGAACCGTCTGAGGATTAACCGAAGACTCCGAGGATCGGCGGGTGCTTGGCGTGCCGACGATAGCCACCTCCCGCCCGCGGCAACCGTCAAGTCGAGGCAGTATACCCTTTCCACTCCTTGTTGGCTGTCTGACAGGCCGTTGAGCAGGTTCTCATTCTTTTTTATTTACTTTCCTCACACTCGCCCACCATGATCCCAATCGCTAGACACTCTGCTCTGCGGGCCGTCCGCTCGCAACTCCGCCCGCGGGCGTTCAACCAGCCCGCAGCCTCTGCGCTCGCCCGCCTCCTCTCGACTCTGGCCGTGCTCGAACAGCGAGGGGGCAAGCTCGAGAACTCCTCGCTCTCGGCAATCGCAGCTGCTCAGAAGCTCGGTGGCCCCGTTACCGCATTCGTCGCCGGAAACAACGTCAAGGGAACCTCTGCCGCCGAGGCGGCCAAGATCAAAGGCCTGGACAAGGTTGTGGCCGTGGACAACGAGGCCTACGAGAAGGTATGAGGCTGTCGGAGTGAGGCAATCCGAGGGATCGTTATGCTGATCGATTTCTTGCACTGCAGGGTCTCCCCGAGAACTACGCTCCCCTCCTCGTGGAGAACATCAAGAAAGGCGAATTCACCCACATCATCGGTGGCCACTCGGCTTTTGGAAAGAGTCTTCTTCCCCGCGTCGCCGCTCTGCTGGACGTCCAGCAGATCTCCGATATCACTAGCATCGAGAGCGAGGACAGTACGTATTCTACGGGACGATCAGGGCTTCAATGAGCTCCGTCGTCCATGAGTCACTGCAATTACTGACGCCAAGTGCCAGCTTTCGTCCGTCCCATCTATGCCGGAAACGCTATCCTGACCGTCCAGTCGACCGACCCTACCAAGGTGATCACCGTGCGAGGAACCGCCTTCCAGGGCGTTGAGACGGAGGGTGGCTCCGCGGAGATCGTCGAGGGCGCTGACCCCAAGGCTCCCGCCCAGACCGAGTGGGTGTCCGAAGAGCTTGCCAAGTCCGAGCGCCCCGACCTGGCGACTGCCTCCCGCGTCGTGTCCGGTGGCCGTGGATTGAAGTCGAAGGAGGAATTCGACCGGGTCATCGTGCCCTTGGCTGACTCGCTGGGTGCCGCCATCGGTGCCTCACGTGCGGCCGTCGACAGCGGCTTCGCCGACAACAGTCTGCAGGTCGGTCAGACCGGAAAGAACGTCGCCCCTCAACTATACCTCTGCGCTGGTATTTCGGGTGCCATCCAGCATCTGGCTGGTATGAAGGACAGCAAGGTCATTGCGGCTATCAACAAGGACCCCGATGCGCCTATCTTCCAGGTTGCTGACGTCGGTCTTGTCGGTGACCTTTTCGATAAGGTGCCCGAGTTGACTGAGAAGTTGAAGAGCCAGTAATTGCTTTTCTTGTCTATGTTTCTTGTATCATGATGTTTGTTTATCTCCTTGCGAGCTTTCAGGTTTAGATGAATTATACAGTATACCACCTTATCTGGGGATTATCTAAAGACCTTTTTCTTTCTACTCTTAGGGGTATAGTGACCATCTTTAGCGATTAACATCTGTAATCGTGGCCTATAGGCTTTGGCACAATAGTATTATTCTTCATTGTGAAATGTCACAGGACTTCTGCCCATAGCCTTGTTCGACATCAGATAAGATAACTCGTTCCAAGCATAAAGCCTTCTTGACTCGCCGCGGAGCGGGAACTTGATATCACCGTGTGCTTTCCCTGATCTCGAGCTTCGCAAGCAAAGAGCCGTCTTAGAATAATGTAACTTAGCACTATTTCCATAGCTCAGTCATGGATCTGCTATACAGCTGATGACGTTTGGATCCCGGTGTCTTCTGAAAGGCAATGCAATGCCTGCAATCGGGCGTCGTGAAAGCTTCTATCTTGTGTTGAGTTATTTAGCCTACTTTAGACAAGAGAGTCATATATTCTGCCATCCTAAAATACTTTCTAGAAGTACGGCAGAGGACTATATTCATCAGCTCTCAATCGTGGTATACTGGTGTACAGTTTCTATGCCGGAACCATTCCGCCTACCTTCCCAAACAGGACTAGCCCCTCACTTCGGCGCAGAAAGTAATGCCTGATCCGCAAGGCCGAAATACATCCCAAACCGGGCTAGCGCGTCTCTCCCCACGCGTCGAGCGCGTCGCATCGCCAAATCGGGGAGATAACCAGATACCAGATGGGAGGGTCAATCAATCCAACTTACTCCACTCGATAATACCATCAATCAGTGACTTCGAACCCATTGAGAAACATGACCATCTGAACGCCTTTTATGACGACATCTCCTGCCTCCGTTCCCCCTTCCTTTGATCCCGCTATCCACCTTCACTCGGAGGGCCCGCCAGACGATATCGAGCCGCCCTCAGAATCCTTTTCCGACGAGCTCGAAGCCCTGCAACTCAACCGATTGGAGAAGACTCGCAACAAGGTTGTCATCCAGCATCGTGCGTGGAACCTGTCGGATTGTTTTCGGAGTGACGAGGATATCAGACCTTGTATGTGTGGTTGATCTTAATCTGATGGGAGGGGAAGCTGACCATCGAGTAGATACGCCGACAAAGTCGAATCGAAGAGCGTTGATTCAAAGCGCCGGATCCCCGCTGCCGACATTACCGTCTTCGCCTCCCGTCGCCAAAATGCCGTTTATTTCGTCGCCGGTCGTCTTCCCATCCAGTGCCCCCTCGCCGGATGCGCAGAAGAGGAAGAACGATGAACAGGCGTCGGCAGAGCCCAAGAGGCAGAAGATGATGGGAGGATTTATAGATGACGAGGATGACGATGAAGATGCCATGGATGCGTTCGGAGATGCGCACTTCGCCAGCCAGTTTGCGATTGAAGAAACCAATGAACAAGAACTCGTCGAACTCCCTAAACCCATTGAAAGACCACAAATCGATCCGACACCGGCAGAGACACCGACCGTCGATCCAGTACAAGACACACCCGTTCCAAAGACTACCGGTCTTGATTCATCACGACAAGCGTCTGGACGAGTGCAGATAAAGACCTGCTCCGGCAAAACCCACAATGTTTGGATGAAGAAGCCTAAAGCCCCGGTCACTTACGAAAGGCTCATTGCTGGCCGCTCGACGACAGCCCCTGGGAGGGCGCAGAAAAGCTACTACGGCATCGATATCCATAAACTCTTAGACGAAGCGGCACAGGAACCCGAACGTGAAAAAACCCCCAAGGTACCGTCAGGGGCACCAGTACACCCGTCGATTGAATCATCCTCAGCAAACCGGAAAAGCAAGAAGAGCGCGACAGCGATGTGGACTGAGAAGTATCGTGCTCGAAAGTTCACAGAGCTCATCGGAGACGAACGAACGCATCGATCCGTTTTGCGCTGGCTGAAGGGCTGGGAGCCCATTGTTTACCCAAACCTCGCCAAACAAAAGTCGAAGAAGCCAGCCAATGGTTACGAAGAGAACGAACGAGCACACCGAAAGGTCTTGCTGCTATGCGGACCCCCGGGTCTTGGAAAGACCACCTTGGCGCATGTTTGTGCCAGACAGGCAGGCTACGAAGTCCTCGAGATCAATGCTAGTGATGAAAGAAGTAGAGACGTGGTGAAGGGTAGAATCAGAGATTCCCTCGGTACCGAGAATGTTAAGGGCATGAACGTGGAGGTTGGTGAGCAAAAGGTACGAAAGGTCGGGCGACCGGTCTGCGTCGTGGTTGACGAGGTCGATGGAGTGGTCAGTGGATCTGGAGGAGGCGGTGGAGAGGTAGGCTTTATGAAGGCGTTGATTGACCTTGTTCTTCTCGACCAAAAGAACACGGCGCGCTCTGAGCAAAATTCCACCGGTAAGAAACGAAAAGGTGATAATTTTCGATTTCTCCGGCCCCTCATATTGGTCTGCAACGATGTCTACCACCCAAGTCTACGGCCGCTCAGGGCATCCTCCATTGCCGAAATTATCCATGTTCGCCAGGCACCGCTTGAGAATGTTGTCTCCCGAATGAAGAACATCTTCGTCAATGAAGGCATCCCGGCCGACAACGACGGGGTGAGACGGCTCTGTGAAGCATCCTGGGGCCTCGCGCGAAGGAAACAGGGCAATGTCAAAAACAGCGGGACGGCCGAGGGCGACATCCGCAGCGTCCTTGTGGCTGCAGAATGGGTCGCTCATAAGCTGAGATATGATAGCGAAGCCTCGCTTCGGCTAACGAGGAGCTGGCTGGAGCAGCGTGTTTTGAGCGAAGGCTCAGGGGGTGGCTCTTTTTTCAAGGGTTTGAACCGAGGAGGCGTACGCGACCTTGTCGACCGCGTTTTTACAGAAGGTGCAGGTCTTGCAGATGCGCCCGTTGGCACGGATTCCTTCCGTGATGCTTTCGATGATAGCGAAAAAGTGCCCGTGGGCGTTGCAGATCTGAAAAAACGTCATGCCATCAACCGGCTGCGCGAGATGGTCGATGCTAGTGGCGACCAAGATCGCTGCGTTTCCGAGTGCTTTGCGTCTTATCCTTTGCAAGCATACCAGGACGATACGTTCCTTTCGAAGCCTAATGCGGCTTACGAATGGCTTAGTTTTCACGACACCGTCTCATCCAAGGTATTCTCGTCTCAAGATTGGGAACTCAGCCCGTATCTGAGCCAGTCGGTTGTAGCATTCCATCATCTCTTTGCGACTTCTAAGGGCAAACGGAGTGTTAATAATGCTGATGAGGAAGAGGAGGAACATCCATTCTCTGGACCCCGAGCAGACTTTGCGGCTTTCGAAGCTCAGAAGCAGAACCGCGCCATTATTACAGGGTTTCAGTCGTCTTTATCTGCCCCACTACACCGTCTGTTCCGGTCAACAGACTGCTTGATAGGCGAGCTCATTCCGAACCTCATGCGAATGCTGTCACCCGATGTGAAGCCCGTGGTTGTCCGCGGAAACGGAGACCAGAGGAGCGTGGCCAGTGTCCGGAAAGAGAGCGAACGGGCTCTTGTGCAGGCCGCCGTCCGTGCCATGACAGGACTGGGCGTGACCTTCGAAAAGGTGCGCGTGGAGGGTGAGGGTGGCGCACATGGGGGATTTGCTTATCGAATGGAACCGTAAGTACCCACCACTACACTTTTTGGCTCCTATCCACCCTTGACTAACATTACGAAACTAGACCGCTCGACTCACTGGTGAGCTTCTCCAAAACGAAAGGTCTTCTACCCGGCTCGAGCAGCTCCGGACCCGTCCGGTATGCCGTCCGTCAAGTTCTGGACCAGGAATATCGCAAGGAAACGGCACGAAAGCATTCCGAAGCCCTCAGCTCGTCAGCGATTGGCAAAAAGGTCGCCGGCAAATCCGGGGACGCCGACGATTCGAAGAAAAAAGTGCCCAAGGATGGCGTTGGTGTCAAGCGAGACTTTTTCGGGCGAATCGTCAAGGAGCCGACACCACCTGTGCAGACCTCGCAAGAAGGTACCGTGCAGGATGAGACGTCCAAGGCGGGGAGAAAGGCATGGGTCACATACCACGATGGATTCTCTAATGCTGTGCGCAAACCGATCTCCATGGGTGAATTGATGGCTGGTCTTTAAGCATAAGTATATACGCTGTAATTAATTGAGGCCAGGCAGAGGAAAGAAACCGTTTGAATCATGTTTATTTCTAGCTCTATCTGTTCCATCTAGGGAAGTTCGATAGGTCGTAGTCTATTCAAAGCTAAGCAGCAATACCAGCTTCGATCTTCTTCCCCTTCACGCTTTTCCACTCCACAAAGGCACTGCCCAGTGCAGAAAACGCAGCCATGACGGTGTCGATAACGAAGGCGTTTTTCAAGCCATTGCTGTACGCCCAGACAACCGCCGAAAGGAACTGCCTGGGGACATGACCGGCGAGATCAGACGCGCCGCTGTCCAGCACCACGAAGGGGTCCAGGTCGGGGACTGTAGCGGTCAGCTCGTGGGTTAGTCGGCTTGTGAACGCGGACTGGGCCACGCTGATGAACACTGCGCCGCCGATGGTCTGGGAGAAGGACAGGATGGCCGTTGCGGTGGGCACGTCGGCCATGCTGGAAACCGTTTGGACGGCCACGATGGGTTGCTGCCATCCTAGGCCGATCCCCACGCCGACGAGGACCTGGTAGCCGATCCAGGCGGCCGTGCTGGTGTTCGGATTGAACAGTGTTAGCAGGCCGCCGCCTACTGAGGTGACGATGGTGCCTAGGATCATGAATGGTGCGTAGAGGCCGACGGCGGCGACGGCTATGCCCGAGAGGGTGGTCGCGACGATGTTCCCAACTAGCATGGGCAACGTGCGTTTCCCTGACTCGATGGCGCTGACCCCCTGGACGGCTTGGAACCAGATTGGTACGTAGTAGACGAAAATGAAAAAGCCGGCGCCCAGGAATAGCTGGTACACTGCACAGGACCAGATGGTCCGGTTCCTGATGATGCGTGGCGGCACGGTGGCATTGTCTTGGGCACGGCACTGCACAACAACGAAGGCGAGAAGAAGTATACCACACGAGACGAGCAAGGCAATGACTCTGCTGCTGTTCCATGGATATTTGGCACCTCCCCACTGCAGGGCCAGAAGGAGGCAGATCACAGCTGGCATGAAAAGGATGGTTCCCAGAGGGTCGAAACGCTTGACACGGTCGAACAGAGTTCGGGACGCTGGGGCATCGGGCACGCTAGGGTTCTGAAAAAAGATTGCCACGACGATGAAAGTTACTAAACCGATGGGGAGGTTGATATAGAAACACCACCGCCATGACTGTTCGACCTGTTAGACAAGCTGATTAGGAAGGATGGGATTGACATACAACTTTGTCCGTGAAGACATCACCAAGCGGAGGCCCAGCAATGGCAGCAACGCCATATGTACCGCCAGTTAGGGCACTAGACAAGAATCAGCTTATGTTATATCTCCCCATGGAGAGATGGGCTAGCTCACGTGAATAACGGACGTCGCTCGAGTGGTACACTGTGAGCCAAGATGAGGAGCGCACCTGAGAGCAGACCGGCATTACCGCAGCCAGCAATGGCTCGTCCAAGGATCAGGGATACAGAATTGGGTGCTGCGCCGCAAATGGCACTTCCGACCTCGAACACGAGGAGTGCGACCAAAAAGACCCATTTGATGCCCATTGTGGAATAGAACTTTCCGACAAGTAGCTGCGAAGACGCTGTCGTGAGAAGATATGCTAGAATCAGTGTTAGTCGTGATCTCTACCGCTGGACACGACCAACACACAACTCCCATACCAGCCAACATCCTCCAAACTGCGGAATTCAGACGTAATTGCGGGGATGGCCGTGGCAATGATCGAGAAACTGATAGGGAGATCGTCATGTTAGCTTATCTAGTGGATAGGAACTCAGGTATCGAGATTATTTTACTTACTCAAGGGAAATCAGAAAGATAGTCAGACAGATGGCAAGCGTGAGGAGAGCCAATTTCCACCCTTTAGGGTATTCCTTTGCAAGCTGCTCGTCCGAGTGGCTGGTGCTAATTGATCCCATGGTGAATTGACTGCAAAAAGCGCAGAGTCGACTTGAATCGTGGATGAGTTTAGAATTTGAGAGTTCATGTTTTTCTAGATATAGTCTCTGTCTTGCTCTTTACGCGACGCGTCGACAGCACAGCAACAGGCATCAGGCCTGGCAGGCAGCAAAGGTCGTACAAAATATGGACTTTGAACCGAATAGGGAAGAGCCTATTTGATAGTAAATTATCAGCTGTCGAATTTCATTCTGGTTCAAGGGGTCTCCAGATGGCGACGTGCTGATTGGCTCCGTCGCTCTTTGTTGCTGACGCCTTCTTTGTTGGATCTTCCCAGCTTATTAAACCCCTTAGCTTTCAAATTTGCCTACTATCGGATCATCAAAGCTGGAACCCTGGTGCTGGCTTCAAAAATGGAAGTTCGATGGTGGAACGACACTTTGATATCGAGGGGACCCTGTCTCTAAAACAGCCGCAAGTTGCCATCTATTGCGATAGCCCTAACACATCTGAGAACGACTAGAAAGTATACTCGTCCCCGTAAATATGACTGCGCGTCGAAATTGTACGAGCTGAAGCTTTGGCCGTCTTTACCTACCAGGTACATGAGTTCTTGAAACTGGTCTCTAGTCCTGCTTTCAATAGTCGCTTGGACGAGTTCCGCCTCCTTTCACAGCGTACCGACAGACAACACAAGCCAGCCAGCGGGCTCCAAGCGTTCTAATAATGAACTGAAACCGCATAGACAACTGGAATGATACACATTTCATCGAGTTGCCCTCTCGGTGCGCCAGCTTTATCATGGGAGCAGGCCATTGTTCAAGCAGCGAGTGCTTTATGATCGCAACGCATTGAGGATGAAGCTTTGGAATTCCTTTCCACCGCAGCGAAGGCAATCCCAGCTCCGTCATTCTCTCGAGATTAACGGTGCATCATCGGACGACGGTAGGAAGAAGGCAGCACTAGTTGGGCTGGCTCAGTATGAGCGCAGCTGTTGGAAGGACGTATTGCAGCGACTTGAGAAAGGATTGCTTGAGGCTGCACGATTGGACAAACGCCGTATGCGAATACTGACTTTTCTGATGTCACAGATATCTATGGAGAGGAATGTCCTTGAAAATCTTTCTAGTCCGATCAAAGGACCCTCTAATATTGAAGGCGCCATGTATCATTAGTTAGTGCTAGCCAGGATTCAATGAAGTGACAAAGCATCTATGTTTCTCAACTCTGTTTGTTTTATCAACAATCTGTGATCATGCTGATTGTAGCCTCGACCAGTTCAGAGAAGTTGTAGACCGTAGTGGCAGTCAACTCCGTACTGTGTCGGAGTATGGAGGAGCGATCACCGACCGAGAGACATGGAGACGGAAGCACTGTTCCTGCGGGCTCCCAGAAAAAGACACGGGTGTCACATGACCCCAGGGCGCCGAGACCCTCAGAGTGGTAGTTTTTGTCGAAACGCTTTGATGAGGGCTACACGCTTGCCGAGCGATTCGAATCGAATAAAAAAATTACAGAGTATTTATTAGGATATTGCGATAATACAGTGCAATTTTCAAAATAAATAATTGTTTTTTTGAGGGTGCAGGAGTTTTGCAAAAACTATCGCTCCTTTTGCATGATTGACCAAGATAAACCGCTCGGTCCATCCAGGCAAGAAACTACCATCGCACTGCCAGCCCTAAAGACTGCTATGTACTTTTTTGTTTTTCCATTCTTCCCATCCCTTGAAACAAAATTTCAATTCATGGCTTATATTACTGCTTTGGTGGATTGGTATGATTGGCTAGGTGGATGCATTTATATAAAAGAAGATACTTCTGGTCAAAATAGACCACTCTACAGTACTACTGAACTTATATATCGGGACAGGTTCAATGCGAAACTTGAATTAAATTCCAGCCACTATCATTAGTACTAATTAAATAACAAAATACATAAAAGACCTCGCATGCTTCTATATAAAAGACAATTTCGAAAGAAAACCAAGTATCCCAAACTCCAGTAGCCGTAAGTCTCATTAACCCATTTTTTACTCAGTCGGAATTCCTTCTCGGAGTTCACTGACAATCACAGTTCTGATCACCGGTTGGAGAGGTAGGCGAGCACGGCCTCGTTGTGTAGAGCCCGTTCGGCCGCCCGCTCGGCAGACTTGTTGGTTGGCATGGACTTGCTGGGTCCGTCGCTCTTCTTCAGAGAGAACCACTTCTTCTTGGATGCGTCGCCCTTGAGGGTTGTCGCGGTGGAGGAGACAGAGTAGGTGGAGGCGGTATCGAAGGAGGTCTTAGAGGCGGCCATTGTAGATGTTTTGTTTGATTTTGGAGGATCGGATTTGAAAGGTATTATTTTGGCTTTGGTTGGAGGTTGAGGTTCAAAGATGGTTGGTATACTTGTGGTGGTTGTGGAGTATTGCGATGTAGATGTAGATGTAGATAGAGAGGATGCTTTCGAGAATCTTAGAGGATTTGATTGATTCTGATGCAGGTAGTGAGGGATGCGTTGAATGATGCAGAAAATTAAACCTTTATCTGGAGGAAATCCAAGGTCTATATATACCAAGTCTGTTGACTACTTGCAGTATCTTCATTGTCTACTCCGTACCGCATGGTTTTACTCCGACGCCCTACGGAGTTGGTTTCAGGCAAGGAAAAAAAAAAAAAAAAAAAAAAAAAAAAAAAAAAAAAAAAAAGCCAGGCCGCTTCAAATACGTCAGTTGATGACCCACAGCACACCACAAAGGCTTAGCATTGTCCAAGACGTCTAGATGCGTCGACCATACTCCATATATACGAGCGGCCTTTACAGATGCCTCGTGTCTGGTCCACTGACTTGCCTGTTCGAGTAGTTGCTGCCATGCGAAGGGCGCGCCCAACAACACGAACCCCATCAACGGCGCGTCTGCCTTGACTCAGAACGCTGCCTGAACCGCCTTGGCGAGCGAGATCGTTGATTTGATTTTGATGCCTTGAAGGCATCCATCTGATACGCAGTTCCCGATGTCGCTGGTCGGACACCGTTTTGGGAGCCCGCGGTGGAACTCCCTTGTTCGCTAAGCACAAATAGGGCTGGGAGTACGCATGCGCTGCCACGGTGGCTGAAATTAAGATTCAAATTGAAAGAAACGATCGCTCTTGGGAGTCATCCTTCACGGGCCTAGTCCGAGTGCGCTGTCCCATTCAAGCATCGCGTTGATCGTATCGACTCAGAAATGACTCAATGCCGACGATGGATTGACGCCATTTGCGGTCGGATATTACTGAATGACGCGGATTCTCGTACATGTCTAGATGCACTGCTTACATCTACGGAGTATATTCGACTAGACTCGTGGTGCACGGGGGCTTCCCCCTTGATGGCATGTCGGAATGAAAAAGTCGGTCTAGACCTGCTGGTCTGATCAATTCCTGACTCCGAGAATCCCAGATCGTGCCCTTTTTTTACTCCGACAGCCTCTGCAGGGCCACTCCGAACTCCGAATACTACTCCGACAACAGGATTTTCAGCGTTTTCCTAGACTAGACCGGCGATGATCATTGTGATTCGGTATGATGATGAATAACGAATATCACCTTGATTGACTATATTTATAATTTAGTCCGAAGGGAGTCAACATCACGAGGATTGCCAGGGTGATCTCATGGTGTATGGCCGGACACTCGGAGTACTTGAGGTCACGGAATGTCTTTGGCCGCGGCTTTCCGTCCGCCTTTCTTTTGCCTTCTACTCCGTAGTGTTCTCAAACCTCCTTTCCTTCTGTAAGGGCCTACCCAGAGGACCATCAAAGTCTAAGTGAGGGAAAACGAAGAAAGCATAAGATGGAGCAAATCATTCATGAATCGCTAGAATATAATCCGACGACGCTGACTGCCTGAATTGGCCTTACAGGGCTCACCAGAGAACTCAGAGACCAGTTTGAGAAAAGAAACGCAGACTGATTGACTACAGAGGTGCAGCGAACCTGACAAATAGAGTGCGTATGCAGCAGAGCGATCGACTGGATCGCATCGTATCTGAGAACTTTAAAGGCCCGAAATCTTCAACCAATCGATCAAACTTTGTGGTGATCTCCCCGAGGTTATTCCGGCCGCCGACTGTGATCCATCTACCTCAATTTACACCTGCTGGGATGCTGAGACGACTTTGAAACCCCCGTCATATGCACAGTGCCATTTTCGAGTTACCCTAAGCTTCCAGGGAGCTGCTTCACAGTTAACTCCTGGGCTCAGGAGCGGCAACCTTGGCGCCACGCTGGGTGACACAATCCTGTCACGCCCTGTTTTTAAGAACGTCTGGTCAGAGTTTTATGCTTAAGGCAACGGTTCTGGTCGATTGATCCTGGAGGATGAGGAGAACGACCGTGTTATGTAACATTTTCCGATGGAAAAGGCTTCCTTCGGACACGATTAAGGAATCCCGTGCTTTCCGCGCAACTCAAGGAGCCCGCGAGGTGGAGATTCCCACGTCCAAACACCGGATATAGCCTGATGGGTCCTCATTGGATGATTGATCGACATTTGATCAAATCTAGCCCTAATCCACCTTGAACTCTCATTCCTCGAGGTGCTTGGGCCACCGCAAGGACCAAGAGAGGCTACTTGCATGATTGTATTTGACACAGACACCCGCTCGACCGGAGGAAAGGGGGTCAATGCAGAAAAAAAGGACCTCTTTGACAGCCGGATGTGGAAATCTTGGGAAGACCGTTGGAGACGTTCCAACGCCCACGAAGTCTCCACCCCCTGTCTAGTCCACGAATGATCGGACCGACGAGGAGAAAAATGACAGGTGCCAGTCTTTGTTTTCTGACCCTGAACCCTGAAGGTTTCAGGTTCACTTTCATCAGACTCAATTTTGGGCTCGTCGATCCCCCTCTCAAACACCCTATAGGCAGACTTCAGCAGTCTATTTGGCCCTGAAAATTCGCCACAAATGATGCCTTCATCGATCTTTTTTGGGGTGATCCATCACAAATTGAGTTCCACAGATCCACGGTCTGTGTTCAATTTAGATTGCAGCTACCTTAGATTGGACCCAGTTGAACCGCCGTTGATTTTACGTATAGGAAATCATGCCATATATCTACAGGGATGGAAGGCCTCTGCCGGACTGGTTCTCTGCTGGGCTTAAGCGCTCAATTCCCTTCATGCTGACTCGTGCTTGTACTCAATCCACCATTCACCTACCAGAATGCCAGGGGGAATTCGTCCGCCGCCCTCGGTCATTGAATCCTGGCCACCGGCAAATACCGTCAATCCCGAATCCCATGGACCGGGAGCCATCATAGTGCCGGCCGTTTTAGGAAGCCTTGCCTTCATCCTGATCTGTGTTCGACTATGGGCGCGCTGTGGAATTCAAAGAACAGGAGGACTGGATGATGTCTTGATCGCATTGAGCCTTGTAAGAAGCTTGCACGTGCCAATCCTTTCTAGAGCGGTTACTGACTACCACTGAAAAGATACCCACCCTAGGACTGATCATTACCATTCCCCTTGGTAAGAATGTGATCGCATTCCATCGAGCCCCAACCATCGCTTACCCCGAGCCTCAGGAGCCTACAAATATGGCCAAAACCACCACGTGTGGGACAACCCGCTGCCTATACTTGTCAGCGAGCGGAAACTTGCGGTCGCCAGTGAGATATTTTATGTGGTCTCCTCGAGTCTTATCAAGGTCTCGGTGCTGCTCTTTTACCGTCGCATGGGCGTGCGCACGGTCTCGCCCCGTTTCATCACCATTATCTGGATCAGTATTGCATCCGTCATCGCCTACAGCATCGCCTTTCTCGTCGTCATCTTTGTCTCGTGCCGCCCTTTCAAGGCCTTCTGGCTCCAGGCCGACCCCGTCTGGTCCCAGACGAACGAATGGGCCTGTTACGACGAAGCGGCCCACCTTTTCGCTGCTACGGGCATCAGTCTCGCCCAAGACTTGATCGCTACCAGTCTTCCGGCCTGGCTATGCTGGAAACTCCAGCTTCCTCTCCGACAGAAGGTCGCGCTCAATGCCATCTTCGCGCTCGGCTATCTCACTGCCGTCGTCGCCGGTGTCCGGATCTATTTCGTCTGGCGGCTGTTTTACGCCACCTACGACGCCTCCTGGGAGGCTTGGTACGCCTGGCTCTTCGGCCTCCTGGAGGTGCTTATCGCAGCCATTTGCTCGAGTCTGCCCGCCGTCAAGGTCTTCTTGCGTTGGTTTGAGATCCCGTCGAGTCTGGCGGGCGTTGTTCGCACCCTCAAGAACTCCCATTCCCATGGCACTCGGAATAAACAATCTGTCTCCTCTGCTAGACCTGAGAATTGGCGCTCTGGTGACGATACGGATAAATACCCCTTGACCGAGTATGAGATGTACAGTGGGTCGGAGTTGAAGTCGGCTCCTGGGAGCGTCAGCGAACCGAAGTCGACGTCACCTATGGAGCTGTCGCTAAATTCTCAGACGGCAGCTTCTCATGTTTAGATTTAGAGGTTGAAGTTTGCAGACTATTTTGTACAACCTAGAATTGTTTAAACAGGCAGGTCACCTCGTTAACAGCTTCACTGACTTTTGTAAATAATAAATTCATCTTGTGAACCCTATGCCACCTTTTTTAAGGCCAAGCAACTTCTGCGAAATTAGACCTCCATCCCAAACAAATCAATTTCTAACAACCATGACCGATGCAAAAGCCCTCAGGTATTCGCGCATTAAAAGACGATCAGTCATGACGTACCGATCAGGATCGATCGCGATACATACACGCACACCGACGATCTATCAGATTATCCACCACCATGTCACCTTCCCTCAACGGCTGACAATAGCACCGGATTTCAAATCATCATCCTCACATCACGAATCCCGATAATCTGCTTTAGAGGATGCTTGGCATGAGGTCACTCCATACGAAATCGCATGACTGACTAATTAGCCCTCAGAGCTGTGGCTGATGCTATGTGTCCGTTTTCTTGGACTGCAGGCCATTTTAGCGTCCCAGCCTTGCGGCGGAGTTTATCGTTTATCAGCGCTTCGGATTTCGGGCCTACGCGATGCCGAGTGCGTTGAGAGTATCACGATCGAAGATGTTGGAAGATTGAGGAACTCATTATTAAGAGTGAGATTGGGTGTTTATATAAGTGACTGTGCTGGATGTCTTTGTGATGGTAGATTAGAATCCAGAATCAATTCGTTTCTTCGCCGTCTCTACTGCTTAGCACTTAGCACTACGATTTCCACTACGACCGGACCAAACCAGACTATACCACACGCGAGAATCATGTCTCCGAAGCCAATTGTCCTCTACATCCATCCTTCTGGCCCCAACCCATGGAAAGTGGTCGCAGTCCTCGAGGAGCTCAGCATCCCCTACGAGACGAGGTTCCTCCACGGCGCAGCCATCAAACAAGAGCCGTTCATCTCCGTGAACCCCAACGGTCGGCTCCCTGCCATCGAGGACCCCAACACAAACATCACGCTGTGGGAGTCCGGGGCGATCCTCGAATACCTCGTCGAGACGTACGACAAGGAGCGCACAGTCAGCTTCGAGCCCGGCACGCCCGAATACTTCCACGCGAAGCAGTGGCTTCATTTCCAGATGTCCGGCCAGGGGCCGTACTTCGGCCAGTTCGTGTGGTTCTCGGTTCACCACGCCGAGAAGATTCCCAGTGCGCAGGAGCGCTATCTGAATGAGGTCAAGAGGGTGTCTGGAGTGCTGGATAAGTTCCTGGAGGGTCGCGAGTGGCTGGTCGGTGGCAAGTTCAGCTACGTGGATGCGGCGTTTTTGCCGTGGTTTGGGATCATGGGCAGATTTACTGGCGATGCTATCGATCTGGAGAAGGATTTCCCGAATCTCGATGCCTGGTTGAAGAGGCTGAATGCTAGACCTGCTATCGCCAAGACTCAGAAGGATAGGGCAGCGGCGGCTGAGAGCCACAAGTAGGAGTTGCACCCTGGTTGTAGAGAAGATTTGGTTTTTTGATGTTCATATTGAGATTTGCGTTTCTTTGTAATTAATTTTGCGAATAGTGATTGAATGATGTGTCTTAAGTCTCCGCATGATCGGTTCAACAGTCACTCATGTAGTGTTGAATTTAGTATGTAGGCCATGCAAGGCTTCAATCCGAGTGCACGTTGATGACTAGAATTGATTCTGCCTAAAGGCTAGGAGAAAGAGAATCGTACGACCATCGATGGGCAGTGTAGATGACAAGAGGACAAGAGGACAAGAGGAGACGACGTGGAGGTCATCGATGCGGCGCTAGTCCCGACCGGGCTAGCGCACGTGAGGCTCTTGGCGCGAGTTTTTGGAGCGAAACGTCCGTGTCGCGACGAGTTGGTGACACCCCCAAGCCCATCCTCTGCTCCGCCAGTCTGTCGTATGGTGTTACTCCGTACTCATCCCGGACTCCCTGCCTGCTCCGTCCATTGATTCTTCATTCACTGAAAGGGTTGCCTCCGCACCCTCCTCTATTCTCCCTCTCCATTGACGTCGGCTCGCGCCAGGCAAAGACCCTTGCTCGCCGTCGTCCGCGACCTCCATATCCATCCTTTCACATCATTACCACAGGATGGAGGATAACCCTGTCATTTCCGGCGGCGCTGCCGATGACTCTCTCGCAGGCACCACCGGCCAAGATGCCCCTGGTGATGTGATCAATGCTTCCGGTGGGTTTTGATCCTCTCTCCGCCACCCCTGACAGCAACGCATGGACTGTGCCAACCTTTCGCAAACCTATGCCCAGAATCGCAATCGCGTCAAGAATCTCCTGACAAGAATGATTCAGGAACTGATAACCCGTTAGATGCCCCCGCCTCCCCCAAGCCGCAGAATGCCGATGGCGAACTTGAAGACGAGGAGATGGGCGGCACCGAGACCGAGCCGAAGAAAGAGAACGATGGCAGCGACGAGCTCGCTGACCCTGCCGCTCAGTCGGGCGCAGAGGGTCCGACCGATGAGCAGCCCGCGCAGGGCAAAACGTCGGTTGAGAACTCCGCGCGTTCACAACTCGTTTCGCAGACACACGCCATCATCCTCCCCAGCTATTCCACATGGTTCGACATGCACACGATTCATCCGATCGAGAAGAAGGCGCTTGCGGAGTTCTTCAACGGTAGAAACCGAAGCAAGACGCCCGCCGTCTACAAGGACTACCGTGATTTCATGATCAACACCTACCGACTGAACCCCATCGAGTATCTCACAGTCACCGCGTGTCGCCGCAATCTTGCGGGAGACGTATGTGCGATCATGCGTCTTCACTCGTTCCTTGAGCAGTGGGGCCTGATCAACTACCAAGTGAGTATATATGGGTTTGTGAGTTCTAAGACGAGGTTTCGCTAACACGTTACTTTCTACCCAGGTGGACCCCCAAACCCGGCCGTCGAATATCGGACCTCCATTCACTGGCCATTTCCGTGTCGTTGCTGACACACCCCGAGGCCTTCAGCCGTTCCAGCCCGGTCCGAACCACTTCGTTAAGCCTGGAAAGCCTCTGTCCGCCACCGACCGTGCCGCATCGGCTACCCCCGCACCCAAGGCCGATCTGAACCTGGAGATCCGGCGCAACGTCTACGATGATAAGGGCAAGGAGATCACTCCTGCCGCCGAGGATCAGGAGAAGCAAACAAACGGAGAGGGCTCTGGTGCCAACGGAACGGCGGCGGATTCGAAGGCGATTGAATCCGCGGCCAAGGACCCTCGGAAGAAGTTCTACTGCTTCTCTTGCAGCATCAACTGCACACGCCTCCGATTCCACTACGCCAAGTCGACACCGGCTACCAATACGGCCACGTCGGATTCGAAGTACGACCTGTGCCCCAACTGCTTCTTACAGGGCCGGATGCCCAACACCCACAGTGCCTCGGATTTCGTCAAACTCGAAGACAACGGGTACTCTGTTGTTCCCGACAAGGACGCACCCTGGTCCGATGCGGAACTTGTGCTCCTTCTTGAGGGACTGGAGAACTTCGACGACAACTGGGAGCAGATTGCCGGCCATGTCGGTACCCGGACGCGGGAAGAGTGTGTGATGAAGTTCTTGCAACTGGAAATCGAAGACAAGTACATCGATGACGTACCGGAGGTGCGGGCAGGATCCGGACGAGAGCCCATCAGCCAGGCCGAAAACCCCGTCCTGTCGGTAGTTGCCTTCCTGGCCCAGATGGCCGAACCCGCCGTGGCGGCTGCCGCGGCCGGCCGCTCCGTCGAAGAAATCCGCAAGGAGCTCCGGAAGCAGCTCGAGAAGGGCTCCGGAGATGACAAGAGCCAAGACAAGGGCAAGGAGAAAGAGGGTACCGCCGGTGTGAAGACCGAGGACTCTATGGATGTGGGAGAGGACGCGCCTGCAGAGATGGTGGAGTCCACCACCTCCGAAGGCCAGTCCAAGTCCTCGTTGCCTACCGTCGCTCTCGCCGCCTCGGCTGCCCGTGCCGGTGCTCTTGCCTCGCACGAAGAGCGCGAGATGACGCGCTTGGTCTCTGCCGCCGTCAACGTCACCCTGCAGAAATTCGAAGTTAAGCTGCAACAATTCAACGAGATGGAGGAGATCATCGAAGCCGAGCGCCGCGAGCTTGAATTGGCTCGCCAGCAGCTCTTCCTGGACCGCATGGCCTTCAAGAAGAGAGTCAAGGAAGTCCAAGATACCCTGCAGGCCGTCACTCTGAAGGGACCCGGCGAGGAGGCCAACCACATGATTGCCGACGCCGCCACGATGGGCATTGGCAGCCGGTTCAACTTCCAGCCTGGCACTGGTGAAGCCCGAGCCAATGCTCAGCCCCTAAGTGCCGAGACTGGCGCCGACTACAAGACGCTGGACCTGTAATGCCGCAAGCAAAAACAAAGAATGAAATGAAATGTTTTTAATGGACGTGCGTTCAACTCAAACCATCCCACCAGATGGAAACCGAAAATGCCAAAAAAAAAGACATAATCAGTACATCTGTTTCTCTTTTCATTCTCTTTCTGCTATGATCTGGCTGGAAATCTTTTTCTTTCTATCTTTTCTTAAGTTGATTTCATTATAATATCCCATGTATTGTACAATACCTTATCCTTGGGTATCTACTATTCTATCGCATCAGGATGGCTGGGCAGTTTGAGAAATGGGATGCGTTTGATTGGGGAAAGGCCGTTTGGGTGATGGACGGACGGACGGTCGCCATGGGGTTTGGGTTTTGTGGTTATCTCTTTTCTCTTTCTTCTTTCTATTACTATGTTTCTTGTCGTCTGGGCTGCTAGGAAAAGGCGCTCGTCTCGGAGTTTAGAGTCTGTTCGCGATCAATTTATTCAGTTATTTAAATGGACTTTTCATTTTATTGTAGGGATTTATTTAGTAGCTATTTGTGTAAGATATGATATGATGGATTCCAATATCCCGAAAGTAGATAGATAGATGGTAGATAACCCGAAAAGAAATAAGGCCATATATATCCAAGCCTGGTAAATATCAAATTATACCAAAATGCACATCAGGATAAATCAGAAATAACCCGACAGACCCGTCTATAGATCAGCAGCGCTGATGCAAATGGCACATAGTTCGGTGGCATCACGACTAATAATGAGAAAAAAAATGGGATATCCAACGCTTAAAGCAAGCTTCCCTTAGGGAGGGAAGGGGGGGGGGTGCAGGGGGTGGGAACGGACCGAACGGAATCTTATTCCGTCGGCCAGTCAGTCGGACTCATCGGGTGTGAGTACAGCGGTATTCCGTCCTGATCGTCCTCGTCTTCGGATGAATATGGTTTTGATTCTTCGTGGTTGACAGGGAGATCATCTTCGGAATTCGAAGAGGGCGCATGGTCCCCGTGTTGGTAATGATAGGGGTTGGGTTTGCTGGAGATGTAGCGAGATTTAGAGGGAGAAGAGACCGGCGAAGGGGATGATGTTGCGAGAGAGACCTGGGGGTGTTGTTGGAGTGTTGATAGGTCGGGTGTGAAGTCTTTGTCTTGGGTAAAAAGCGGGTTTCCGTTCTCTGGGCTTAAAGGAGTTTGGTCTTCATAATGGTTGAGGGGCGGGGAGGTTGATTGTGGAGGATATTCAGAGGCGTGATGTGACCTGTCCACTTCCATGTCATCAGGTTCATCTGCGCTTGAATCTGCCTGAGCCTCTTCATGATTTTGAACATCGTCATCAGAGTCGGAATTGGACCCAGAACCGGAAATCTCATCGTTTGATGAGTCCGATGGGTCCAAAGGCACAGCGGGCTGTTCGAGACGACGGCGCTTCCGTCGGTGTTCGGATATGTCTTCGTATATATCGATCACCCCGTTGCCGTGTTCCTCCCAGTCTCCCCGGTATAGAGTCCTATTACGCCAGTCGACCAGCTCTTCAGGTGTCTTGCGTTCCCCAGGTGGCTTGCGCAGCTTCGAACCTCGCTTGCGGTCCTTCGCGATGAGCGAGTGAAGAGAGGCGGGTGGTGACTGGCCCATGATTTCCCATAGCTGCTGTTCTTCCAAATGGTTCGCTTTCTGGTCAACCTGTTCTGCATGATCCTCCTCTGGATCTTCGGGCAGAGGCTCCTCCTCATCTGACAGTGGCGAGGACAGATTCGATGACACCGCGGAACCATTATCACTGGCATCATCTGAATCCCGGTCTTCTTCATCGCCGCCAATAACCTCCTGCGATTTGTGCGCCGAGGCACTTCTTCCCCCGGGCTCGGGATCCAGCGGGACCCTGTCAGATAGTATATCCTCGACCTCGTTGTAATCCATACGGACGGAGTTCCAGCCTTTGCGATGGCGAAGATCGGCCACATCCAAGTTGCATCTTCGCGCCAATCCTACCCAGTAGTCGAAGCGATCATGCTTCATGTTCAGCACGTCCAGCGCGGTCTGAACATCGCGTGATTTAATCACCTTCGCCTTGGGATTACCGGTGTCTCTCATGCTTTGCAGTCGGGACATGGCGAAGAAAAGCGCCGAATGAATCAAACGTCGCGTCACGCTTACTGCCAGAGAGTAGAAATCCGCGAAAGCGTCCGCGGTAACCGAGGGCGTCTCATCGGCGAAAGCTACGTTGACCCAGTTGTCTTCGAGCCTCGGGCCGCCGAAGTTCATGAAAAACCGCTCTGAGAGACGAATCCACGACTTTATGTTCAATAGCCCAGCTGTGTGGTGAATGCTGGTATCTGAGGCAAAGGCTTCATCCTGTGGCTGAGGCTGCTCGTCCAATTCCGCCGCAGCATCCTCATTGATGATCCACATACCACGATGCCTCTTCCGCCCAGCCACATCTTCGGAGTGTTGCTCCTCGAGCTGCAGTAGTTCCGCATACCCATCGAGCGCTTGGCAGCATTTTCGGCTGACTTCGGCCGCTGCGGGGATCTCCCCCAGGATGACCGATCTGCTATGTCGATCTACTAGATGCTGGTGCTCCAAACCCTTGTGTATAAGTCTGAGGTACTCCTGCACCTCCAGTTCTGACTTCGTCCCAATCGCCTGGGCAATCTCCCTGACCCCATTCTTGCCCTTTCTGTCCAGTATATTGAAGAATACTTTCTTCTCTTGCGGTGTCCATAAGACAATGCCTTTGTAATCGTCGCCTTTTTTGTGCGTGGTCGCATTTTCATCCGTAGTGCTGGGCAACTTTTCGTCCAATGTCGTATCCAGGAGATTCCCGTAAGTCTCTATCGATTCCTTGGGTAACGATATACGAAGGCGCTGGAGCGCCTGAGATCGTGTGCCTATGCTGCTGCGGGAAGTTGAACCAAACGGAGATTGCCCATCCTGGTCAGCCGGAGAGAATTGTCGCAACCCGTCGGTGGGCGGGGATGAAGGAGGGGCTTTCTTTCGCGACACTGGTTTGACGGCGAAGTCGGAATCAGATGCATCTTCGTCTTCCTCGGGCTCGTAAAGGCTTGAACTGCTCATGGTCGGGAGGAGGGAGGTCCGCGGAGGCGTCGCACCAAATACATGGACTTGAAACAAGCGTCGGAAACATGCCCGGCATCAGACCGATCAAGAAAACATCGTACGAAGCAAGTAGCCGTTGGGATGCTCCGGAGCAAAAGCAAACGAAGAAATTGTTCCGCGACGTCGAGATGATCGGCGGAAAGATATCTGATAAGAACGGGTGTTTGTCCTGTTTGCCTTGTTTGCCCGGTTTGCGTCTAACCTTTTGGGGTCTTCGGCAACCGCGACTCTTCGACCTTCGTTGTTGCTCATGGCATCCATCATTGGGAATAGATGGAGCGCTTATGTCGGTCATTGGGACTCATTCCCATCTCGCGCCTTCTGTTCCGCCCTCGCGCACCTGTGAGACCGCGCTTGGTAGCCCACACGCTGCCGAAGCAATATGTCCGCCTCAAATCTACGGCAACTTCTCCAGCTCCACCTGACGATGCTATAGTTCTTCGCGACTACCAGGAAGAATGCATACAGTCAGTCTTGACACACGTGGAGCAAGGCCACAGGCGACTGGGGGTCTCCTTGGCGACAGGCTCCGGCAAAACTGTTAGTATGAATGAACCTACAAATGCCAGAAAATGGTCGTCCGTCCCACACTGACCTCGTTCCCTTTCCTGATGCACTAGGTAATCTTTACACAACTCATTGGACGCATCCCACCGCGGGGTAAAAACAGAGACCGGACTCTAATCCTTGTCCATCGTCGTGAACTTGTTGAACAAGCGTACCGGCATTGTCGGCTCGCTTATGGTCCCGACAAAAGAATCGAGATCGAAATGGGAAATGAACAGGCCGGGGGTGATGCGGACATCACCGTCGCATCGGTTCGCAGTCTGGCATCCCGCGATCGGATCCATAAGTTTGATCCCAGCTTCTTCAAGCTTCTCCTAGTCGACGAGGCCCACCACATTGTTGCGCCGTCTTACCGCACTGTACTTGACTACTTCGGACTCAACCAGACGTCCCCGGATTCCCCCGTGCTTGTCGGCGTGTCGGCGACGCTGTCGCGATTTGACGGATTGAAGCTGGGGAGCGCTATCGACCACATCGTCTATCACAAGGATTACATGGACATGATCGACGATAAATGGCTCGCCAACGCGGTGTTCACCACCGTACAGTCGCAGGCGAACCTGTCCAGCGTGAGAAAGGACAATTTCGGCGACTTCGCCGTGGGATCCCTTTCCAAAGCTGTGAACACTGATGTCACGAACAGCATCACTGTGCGCGCATGGCTTGCCAACGCGCAGGATCGCAAGTCCACCTTGGTGTTCTGTGTTGATATCGAACATGCCAGGCGCCTCACCGAGGCATTCCGCGAAATCGGAGTCGATGCGCGGTACATCACTGGGAAAACTGACAAGAAAGTGCGTGACCAACAGCTGGAAAACTTCAGGAATCGAGAGTTCCCTGTCCTTCTGAACTGCGGCCTGTTCACCGAAGGCACGGACATCCCTAACGTCGATTGCGTCCTGCTCGCCCGGCCTACGCGGTCTCGGAACCTTCTCATCCAGATGATCGGCCGAGGCCTACGCCTCTACCCCGACAAGAAGGACTGCCACATCATCGACATGGTGTCCACCTTGGACACGGGAGTTATCTCCACCCCAACTCTCTTTGGCCTGCATCCCGACGAAGTTCTCAACAAAGAAAGCTCCAACGACTTGAAAAGCCGCGCAGCCCCTCCGCCCACCGAACCAGAGGAGACCCCAGAACCCGACCCCGATTCCGATCAATCCAACCCCGGCGACGACTTCACCCTCGCCTTCACCAAATACGACACCGTCTACGACCTCATCCTCGACATGAAACACGAGCGCCACATCCGCTCCATCAGTCCCTACTCGTGGGTCCGCGTCGGCCAAGACCGCTACATCATCAGCGACCAGCTCGGCTGGGTCGCCATCGAAAAGAAAGACAGCGCCGCGGAACACGGCTTCCCCGACCCGCCGTGGAAAATCCACCACGTCGCGCGCTTCGAGACCCCCGAGACCGAAAAGAAGCTGTTCACCCGGCCCCGGTTCGTTGCCGAGGCCGAGGACTTCGAAACCGCCGTCCACGCCGCCGACACCTTCGTCGCGTCCGTGTTCCCCGAACGCCGAATCTCCAACAGTCAGGCCTGGCGACGCTTCCCAGCCACCAAGGTGCAGATTGACTTACTGAACCGCGTCCCCCTCGTCAAGAAGAAGTTTAAGCCGACGGCCCAGATCACAAAAGGCCAGGCGGCCGATATGATCACGAAGATCCGTTTCGGAGGGATAAAGCGATTCGAGACGGCCAGAGACGCACGATTAAAGCAGGCGAAGAAGGAGGCGGACAAGAAAGCTCAAACGGCCAAGTTGTTGGATCGAGCAACGGTTCGAGTTGGTCCGGTTCCTCGATGACCTAACTGGTGGTGACCGGACCTATCTAGACCATCATATCTTGTAATATAACCATGTATGTATACGGTATTTGTTTGCTATTAGGAGGGAAAAGGGTCCTTAGTATGTATGAATGTGTATAATCAACTCTATAATCCGTTCTGATCTGCATACATGGGTAAAGTAAGAATACCAATCACTTCCTAGCCACGGAGATTCTATATCCAGATCCAACCGTATATACAGACGGGGATTAGAAGCAGGTAGTTAGGAATGGCAAGACGAGGTTATAAGAAAAGATGCTGTCCACGACCTTCTAAGACAATACGGACAGACAGAATGAGATGGTCAGGAAGGATGCTCATCAAAAACAAAAACAAGACGGGATATAAATGGAACAAAACAGATCCTGTACAAAAAACGAAAAAAGAGAACAATAAAACCAAACACCGCTCCAGTAGTGAACGCCGTAGAGATATGATGAGGTCTAGTGAGACCTAAATGCAAGAGGGACATTGAACATAGGGATGTAATGGACAATGATGAATGACAAGGATTAGAGAAGGTGCTCAAATGGAGAGGGAATAGAGAGAACATGACAACTGTAATGGTATATGATATTGATTTATGGTTTTTTCTTCATGTAGCTCCGTGGTTCGGAGGTGGTTTGCGTTACTTCGTCTCCTTCTAGAACTCGCCATAGCCGACGGATGGAGAAGCCGCTGCTGAAGAGGTAGATTCCAACCAGCCAGGCGGCGAAGATGTTGGCGAGATGGTGGAGGAGGTAGGCGTACGAGACGCCGTAGACTGCCGAGTAGATGGCAATGGAAAAGAAGAGCATGTAGGTGAGGTGTTTGAGCCTGGGTCCGTTAGTGACAAAGTGCGTGGAGGTTGGAATCCAGCGAGGCTTACCGGGACGTGACGCGAGGGATCATGGTCCCTGTGGTCATGGCTTCAACGAGGAGAATGAAGGGCATTATAGACAAAACATTATGATGCGATGAGAACGGCATAAACCAATGCACGACCAGATTATGAGCCCACACAAGAAGCACGAGGATGTTGATGGGGAGGATCCACAGCATAAACACAAAGATAGAATAACTGTAATTGGCGAAATTGTAATGCGCGGTAGATTTCTGACGAGGTTAGCAGGGTTCATGACGAGGGTTCAAGATTCAAGCCGTACAGTTTCCTTGGCATGCCATTGGGCCCGAACAGCGGTTGCGAGCTGTACGATGCATGCCACCATATAAGCGAACTGGTAAGGGATGGCCGTCGACACGAGAATCAACAGGATGGCCGTGTTGATCGCACGTCGTCTGGGTGTGGGAGACGAGAAGATCGGGAGGTTCCTATCAGACAGCGTTAGTAAGATTGCCATTCGATTGAAAGGTGGACAGGCGGATTTACCCTTTATCATCGCGCCGAATGTACCCCGATTTGCTCTTCAAAAAGCCATAAATCATAGAGAATATCGAGATGAGAGCCAGGGCTGCATAATTGACAATGACGCAGATACCCACACTCATTACACCGAAAACAGGCACCAGGAACCAGAAGAATGAGTCCTGGGAGCCTAGAAGGAGGTCATTCTTGGTGAAGTCGATCGGGGACTCGGTGGCATTCATAGGCCAATGGAAAGGGTCATCACTCGGCGGCAACTTGTTGGAGGTGGCCAACGAGGAAGCCAGCAAAGACATGGAAAGTAGGAGAGCGGGCAAGGAAGATCGCAAGGAACGGTCCAAACCCTCTGCGAATGTAAGGAAATAGCCGGTCTCGTCATACACCTGGAATTGCTTCCGAAGAACGAGAGCGATAACAAGGATGGGAAACGCAGCAAAAACAGTGCGATAACGCATCACAAGCTCTCCCAGACTGCCGAGAATGTCCACCGACAGAGAGATGTCGACTGTAGAGCCACTGCTTGGATCCGTCCAAAGCTGAAAGGAAACGCCGCCATAGGTTGCCTGGTCTCGAAGCGGAGGGGGCATGAACGGCGCCAATCCGTGCAGATTCACATTGACCTCCTTCACGTTGACGAAAAACTTGGACTCGTGCGGATCCGGGATGGACTGGCGCAGGAGGGGAGCAAATAGTTCCGTCTGACCTTTGGGGCCTCGTTGGACGATCTTGAGTTTGTAGTCAAGCAGGCTGGAATACAAGGCGGGAATTTTCACCTCGGTCAGCATGGGTCGGTTTGCTGGCAGCCGCATCTTCATTCCGGCACTGAGCAGGCTGCCCAGGCCAATCCGGGCTTTGATGACGGCATCCGAGCTGTCCGAAAATTCTGCTAGCACCCATCCCTTAGTCGGTGTATGAGCTTTGTCGACGATCGCCACAAACTGATGCTCCGCCAGGTCCTCCAGGTCATACTGAAGATAGGAGTATGGCTGGACTCGCTCATAGGGGTGCTTCGAGGTGGATGTCGACGCTGGCAGATGAATCGCGTCGTCGGCGGCGTTCTTGCAGGCAAGCCGCGTAGATCCCATGCCACCACCGGAGAAGTCCACGTTCATGGAAAAGATGGTGGAGAACTTTCCATTGTGCAAGGGGAACACGCTACAGAAGAGGACGTCCAGGCTGCCCTGGTCCCCGGCCCTCTCGAAGGGTTGATCGGTGAGCAGGGTGAATTTCTTCCCCGGCACCCCTTGCGGAGGGACCGGCATCAGATGCACGTTGGGACCGTTGCGATGGCCTAGTTCCCGGAGCGTGAGTCGCTGACCCTGCGGCAGTATCGCATTGGCTTGATCCTCAAGGGTCAAGAGAGAGTTCGGCTCTGCGATAAAAGGCGAGATTAGTTTCCGCTAGATGAAAGATTTCAAGGATGATTGGCATACCTTTTTGGGGAAGGGTTCTCTCCGCCACGGGCTCCAGTCCGGTCAAGTACCATTTCTTAAAAACGCGCATGCGCTGCGCCCTCGGCTTCGTCTGGCTGGCACGTCGCACATCGACAACCTCGAACAACGATTTGATAATCGCTTTCCGGAATTGATCGCACCAAGTGATGGATAGATGATCCATCCCGATCCAGACGTCCGGAATGGTGGACGTAAACACGGTGAAGCCATGGGTCTCCGGGACGAGAGACGATATGCTCGCATAATCCGAAGGGACGACCGTATCGCGCGAGCCGCCCGCAATTGAAATGAGCGTCACATGCCACAGGGGGTTGTTGTTGGCCCAGGTCTGGGAATAGGCCTCGCGCCAGTAATCGTTGATTTGCTTGTAGGTGCGAACGATGTCGGATTCGAAGGATACCGGAGGTTTCGCGTGGGGCGCAGACATGGTCACGATGGTGTTGACCGAATTGGCTTGGTAGTTGGGCATGGTCAACGTGGTACGTGCGACAATACCTCCCATGGAATGTCCAACAAGGATGACGGAGCTGGGATCCGGTAGGTCAGGGTCCCTCCACGACCGTCGCGGGTCGTGATAGAGCGAGAGGATATAAGCCACGGCCTCGTTCACGTATTCGGCCTGGTCAACCAGGGTCTGGCCGTGAAAGGCCGCCATGTCCTCGTTGAAATCGATCATGAAGAAGTCCAAGCTCCGGGTTCCGGTCGCTAGACGCTCGTGGTCGTGGCGGATCACATCGCTGTAGTGCCTCGAGGCTTCGGCGGCTAGGGATCGGACTTGTCGATAGCTCCCGGCATTTCCGGGCAGAAAGAGGACAGGGGCACCGTTCAACTATCGCGAGAAGAGGTTTAGTCAGATAAAAGGATCTCATCAACGTGAACATGAGGACCTAGCTTACCCCGAGGTTTTCCTGAGTATACGGGTCGACGCCCGCCTCTCGGTACAGATAGAGATTATACTTGCTCGCGAAGCGCGTATGTTCCGTGTCAAACCCCACCATATGAAGGAACGACGGACTCATGACCGGTATGCCACAGCCATCTCCGCCAGACTGCCGAGTCGAAAAGGAACGGCAGATGAAAAAGAGGAATATGGAGGCAATGCAGGTTGTCACGGCGGTTAGGATCGAACACGGCCACGGGCTTCGGAAGCGGGACGGTCGAGATCGGGACTGGGCGTCAGGCGAAGATTCCATGGGGAGTCGCTGCGAGGCCAATGGCATCATGACGGAGGACGACTTGGAGTCGGAGTGGCCCAGAGTCGTCGGCGACGCGACAGACGACGGGGTTCTCCACATACTCGAGTTTCTGGAGCGCGGGGTGGATGCGCCGGCGTTGTCTCGACGCAGCTCAAAGCTGGTGCCTGTTCGGGCTACCTGCGGGCGCGATTTCTCCGGCGAGTCGGCGACATTGGGCCCATAGCTTGATTCGTTCGGAGTTCGAGAAGCCAAAGAATCTTCAGCGTCGTCCTCGACAGGCGAGCCAGACGAGCGTCTGTGCATTGGAAGAGGCGAATGTCGCAGTAATCATCCAGCGCGGTGTCGGGGAGAAAGAGGAATCCGATAGGTAGAAAGCGATCGCAAGTTTGGGGAAGGAGGGAATTTCGTCGGCGGCAAAAGGGGAATCCGATTCGATTCGATCAGGGGAGAGCGACGATGGCCAAACGTAGGAAAATCTGTCCGATGCTGTAGCGACTGAATGTTGAAGGAAGGTGGACTGGAACGAAGAGGTCTAATCGTTAGTTGCGGGCCTTTTTTTTTTTTTTTTTTTTTTTTTTTTTTTTTTTTTTTTTTCTTCCTGTCTTCCTTGGAATTGATCGGCCCCTAAGGAAAACCGGGATGATAGACGAACGAGCGATAAACCGACCGAGGGACAAAGAGCGCAGAATTTAGGACAGGGGAACGGGGGGGACTATACGCACGCGGCAGGAAGAGAAGGAGGGGAATGGACGGAGGAAAGAAGAGACGCAAGACGCAGCTCAGCAATCGATCTCCCGGAAGGGAAGAGGTGAGGATGGAGATGGAGATAAACTGAACTGCCTGAGCGAACGTCGTCGTCAACCGCCGACGGAACGGGCTTGGCGGATGCGCTCGGCAAGGCGTTATTGGCCTGGATCGGACTACGAACACTAACGAGGGTGGCTGGATTGCTGGAGCCTTCGCTTCTTGCGACACTCCGTCCGCCGCAGCAGCATCTAGATCTAAGCTTTTATCTGAAACAATGAAAGACGGCGCGATCATGAATCATGACGGATGGACGAAGCCCGGAAAGGGGCAGGTTTCCCCTTTCCGGCTGCTCGTCGGATGTTCTGCATGGCAAACCATCGGAGACTTCTATTCTCCTGATCATCTTGCGTGATGAGTGACCAACGGCCCAATAGTGAGCGATCAACCTGCTTTGCTCTCACTAAAACTTCCTATTGACTGTGTTTTCTCCACCGTCCATCGTCGTCTTTGCTCCGAAGACACCAGGTGATGGGCGGCTGACCGCCTGCCGCACTGGGACAGTGCCTGACCACGCTGCCGGAGTCGGAGGAACATCGCTCCGGTGGGGTTGACGAGGCATCGGACGATTCATCCATGATTCATCCATGATCCATCCCTGGTTCTCACTGGTCATTGACTTTGCAGCTTGTCATATGTGATCATCTAGAGTTCAGGCTCCGTGTAGCTTTCGAGTCAGCGAGGAGCTCTGCCGTTACCTGCACGGAGTCTCTGATCCACCCCATTGTATATTTGCGATGAACATGCGCAACTGAATAGGATGTAGTGGAGTGATACACTTCGTTCCGAGATGGGGTTTCCCCTTTATTTTCTTTCGTCTCCTTTCATTGTCTGGAATATAGAAGACGTCATCGAAATTCAAGGTTAACAAATTGTGACACTGCGCTGGCGCTACTGTAAGCCATCTTCGTTACTTATTCGTTCTAAACATTAAGACGAGTGTGATCGAATGCTTGCTCAGTTACTAGGATGCCATGTCATCCATTCATCATCAGCCCAGAGTCCGAAAAAGCTTTCTGGGCTTTCTTGGGAAACGAAGCCAAGACGGTCAAGACCTGCGGATAGTCTGGGCAAGCCTCAGCCCATCCCGAAGACACCCTTACACTCATATGGCCCGAGTCTTTGATTCATTGCTTTCTAGGTTGCAGTCTTCCAGAGTATGATCATGCAGATACTGCACTGGGAAGGAGATAGAATCTGCCCAACATCCATCAACAGTCGCAGTCGGGCTAGAATCATTACTATGTAATGAGTAATGACTCGATGATGAAATCCCTGCGCGGCAGGTGATGCCGGCCCAAAGTTCGGTTCATCCAGTCCGGGAAGCCCAGATGGGTCGCGTGGAATCGACACAGACCGCTCGTTAGGGTTCTTGGTCGGCCTTTGGCCAGGAATCGACTGAATGGACGATGGTCATCGACTAGTGGGTTAGCGGCTTACCCCGCGACCGGGGATGTGAACCATGGCTGACATGGGTGGTGATAAGCCCGAGTCAGACTAAGCTGCGTTAGTGAGAAAGGCGGCAGGGAGGGAAATTACTTTGGACGGAGGAAACGAGGACGAAGGAGGTCAATCGGCCGCAGAATGAAAGAAATGGGCATTTTGATGGAGAATCTGGAGACCAGAAATCCGGGGAGAGCGAGCGGCTTGGCACCCCGGGAATAAAGCTTGGCGGGTTGGCATCGTCGGCGTGACCGTCAAACGTATCAAACTCTCTCGACTTGTCTACGACTCAGACTCTCCCGGGCCACGGCTCCTCCGTCATCCTCGGAGATCGGCACGCCATTATGCGCTGCTCGATGGAAACGGTTCTGCGGGGTTTTTTCTTTTTTCTTTTTTCTTGTCCTGGCGGAAACCAGATTCCCGGGTTTAAAAAGCAATGTTTCCTCCGGTCGTCCATGTTCTTGGTTTCGTCTCTTCCCGTGTAGCTCTTTCCCTCTTCTTCGTTGCCCACCAAGATACCCCCTCGTGAGGGGAGTTTGGCTTACTTCCATTCCATCTCTGTGCACCCATAAACACATCAAGAGAATGACGGACACTCAGATCGAGAAAGCAGACGGCAGCGTCTCGCCTATGCCGTCCCAGTATGAGACGCAGCAGGTCACCTTTACCAGCCTGGCAAAATATTTCGGGTCACGCCTGCCAACGCTGGTGCCGCCGATGAACAAAGCTCCCAACCCATTTGGCGCGCTTCGTCTCTTGAATAGTCAACAATGGCTTTTCTTCTTGGTTGGTTTCTCCAAAGGGCCATGCAGTCCAACAAGTTAACACTGTTAGGTCGCTTTCTTCGGCTGGTCCTGGGACGCATTCGATTTCTTCACCGTCTCGCTGACGACATCCCAACTGGCCGAATCATTTGACAAGTCCATCTCCGACATAACCTGGGGAATCACCCTGGTGTTGATGCTCCGGTCGGTGGGTGCCATTGCTTTTGGGATTGCCTCGGATCGCTGGGGCCGAAAATGGCCCTTCATCGTGAACAACGTCCTGTTCATCGTGCTGGAGCTGGGCACGGGCTTCTGTCAGACCTACAAACAATTCCTGGCCTGTCGGGCCCTGTTCGGAATCGCTATGGGTGGTCTGTACGGAAATGCAGCGGCAACGGCACTGGAGGACTGTCCGCAGCAGGCACGCGGGATCGTGTCAGGTCTGCTGCAGCAAGGGTATGCTTTTGGCTACCTGCTTGCTGCTGCATTCGCGCGCGCTTTTGTAGACACGACTCCTCACGGATGGAGACCGCTCTACTGGTTTGGAGCTGGACCTCCCGTGCTGATCATCATCTTCCGTCTGTTCCTCCCCGAGACCAAGACGTTCCAGGAGCGTCAGGCCACCCGCGAGAATAACTTGGACGGGAAGACGTCGGAATTCCTCGAGCAGAGTAAGGTAGCTGTGAAGCGTCATTGGCTGCTCCTGGTATATTTGGTCTTGCTCATGGCAGGGTTTAACTTCATGGTATGCTCCTGACTCCTGTTTGACTTCAGCATCTAACTGGATATAGTCACATGGATCTCAAGATCTGTACCCGACACTGCTCAAGAGTGAGTTTGGCTTCTCTGCCAACGAGGTTACGGTCACGCAGGTTGTCGCCAACCTTGGAGCCTTGACAGGCGGCACCATTTGTGGCTGGGCCAGTCAGATCTTCGGCCGCCGCTTTTCTATCATCGTGATCAGTATCGTTGGTGGTGCACTTTTATACCCGTACACCTTCGTCACCTCTACCAACGTGATGGCCGCCGCCTTCTTCGAGCAGTTCTGCGTACAAGGCGCCTGGGGCGTGATCCCTATCCACCTGATGGAGCTCTCACCCGGAGCTATCCGCACGTTCGCCGTCGGTACTGCCTACCAGCTCGGAAATCTGGTCTCTTCGGCCAGCTCCACGATCGAATCTACGATCGGCGAACGCTTCCCGCTGCCCCCGACGAAGACGGAGGAGCATCGATACGAATACGGCAAAGTGATCTGCATCTTCATGGGCTGTGTGTATGGCTATGTCATTCTAGTCACCCTTCTAGGGCCAGAGAATCTCGGTCGGAACTTTGACGTCGCACACGACTCCGACATGGCCGTGGTGGCAGCGCACCGCACGGGGGCAGATGGTAAGAGCAGTGACCCGGAGAAGGGGACTGTACGGATTGATTGATGGACTACTGTGGAAGCGAGGAAGAAACTTGGACTCTGGATAATTTCATTGCTGCCATTGCCAACCTCTATGTATTTATCGGCGCCAACGACATCGACGGGATCGAGGAGTGATCTAGCGAAGGCCAATCATTAGCGAGGGCAAGTCAAGATGAATGACACAATTTGAAGTGAGAAACGATTGCATCTGAGTCTGCTTAATTGTAAGATTGTATGGTGCGTTCATGGGACAATCACAATGAGGTAAAAGGGTTTCTTCATCTGCAAGAGTAAAGGCCTAAGCCTATGATAGGACGACGATGAAAATGATAAAAAGGAAAGAAAAACCACTCACCGGACTCAGCACCTGAAGCGAAATCCCACACAAACGACCTGTCTAAAATAGAAACGAAAACAAAATCCGAATCCGAATCAGGGGCCCAGGGGAAAAAAAACCCCCAAGGTATTTGTACCGCTTGGCTGACGGGATGGAACCCCGCTCGGGGATCGAATCAGACGAGACGGTGGCGTTTTCTCGGCGGATTTGGTGTGTTTGGCGTGTTTGGTGCGATGGCATGATGGGATGGTGATGTCAGTTGGTTAGTTGGTTGATAACCTGTTCGGTGGACGGAGTAGGATTGAATGAATGCCTGGATGAAGTAGATGATGGTTTGGGTGCCTGAAGATCGTTCATGCTTTGAGTTTGGGGGTTTGACCCACTGTTTTTCGGGTGTCAGGCAGTTCGGTCCACTTTGATGGAGTACATATCATCTGAAAGTAAATGTTTTTTTATAGAAAATAAGTATCGGGGAGGAAGGACAGAATTGAATAATTTTAATGAGCAACTCTACTGACTATTTTCAGCAGGTTGATAATCACTCTTATAGGTATGATCACCTCGTGGGAGGTTCCAACTAACAGAATCACATTTTTTCATCAACAGAAAAGAAAAGGAAACAGTAAAAAAAAAAAAAAAAAAAAAAACAAAACACACAGCCTGGAGGTACTTCTGATATTCTCAGATGGTCAGTAATATCTCGAAACGCAGCATTTAGAGTTTTGTGCTGCTTTGCTATAGCGGCTAGATTTTCATCGCATTTTTTTGATTCATTATTATGAACCCCCCCCTTTTCTTTTTCTTTCGCTAGCTTTGTCTTTGTTCAATTTTTGACACCTTGTTTTAACAGTATTGAGGTTGCAGGTTAAATTAAAGAAAATCGAACCGGTAGTTCAATTTGTCTGCACAGCTGAGCGTCCGTCGGATTCATGATGGGAGGAGCAGGCTTTGGGTTAGTAGGCGTGGGTTTTTCAGGTATCATGACTTCTTCCGCGAGTGCCTCTCTATCGCTGTGATTTATGGGCTGTCGGCGCGACGGCCTGGGTTTTGTGCGGCACATTAATAGGGACTTTTTTTGCCGTTCACCTGCTTCCATATAAACGCCAGCAGCTTCCACCCCTGCACGAGGTCGTGGGTGTCAAACTTGACGACATCTAGGGAGATCTCGGTTAATGGAAAGAGAAAAGGCTTTGCCTGCATGAGTCGGCGGATATACCAAAGGCAGGACAACCTCATAATGGTGTCCTGGCTGACAGTATCGTGGCCAATCTGCGGGGGCTATGTAAATATCATAGCCGTTCTTGCCTTTTTGTTGGCAGGGGCGGAGGACTTCCACGAAGTCTTTTCTCAGTAATCAAGACAAAGCTTTCTGATAGAACCTTGACTGGCCGTGGAGAAGGGGCCGCCAGCCACCTTTCTAGTCGATCGCAGCTTTCTAGAATCACAGCGGACTCCATGAAGTACATTTCTTAGCAATCGGCATAGAATCCTATGAGAAAACCTCTCGACTTACCTGGCCGGTAGAGGGGGTGGCGGCGGCAGGCTTTATGAAGTCTTTTCTCAGCAACTGCCACAGAATCCTATGAGAGAACCACTCGACTTACCTTCTCGGGGGCGGCAGGGGGGCGCTCTCTTGGCTTCTCTCATTAGTACAGATCTTCAATCTATGTGAAATAGACCTTATGGATCTATCTCACCTCGGTGGTGGCCCATGTTGGGCATTCGGGGGGTCGGAGCGGTGGTGAGGCTGTTGGGAGTAGGGGTAAGTAGGAAGATTCTTGGTCGCAAAAAAGAAATAAGCAAAAACGAAAAATTGAGAAAGAAAGAGAATAACAGACGTACTATAATCTCATGGAACTGCTTTAGTTTCAGCCTTTTTATTGGCGGGCTTCTTTAGCACTTGTAGTATTGCAATCTCTGGGTTTTCGTTAGTAGAGACTAGAAATTAGAGGAACTGGAGCACGATACCTGTCTATGGTTCGCAATGGAAAAAGCATATCGGAGTTTTCATGACAAATTGAACCGTCGGGAGAGGCGATTTCAAGGGGAAATCGACCCCGATTCTGCTGTTGAGTGCCCTGTATGATGGGCAACGAATAAGAAGAAGCTTCGATGTACAGCTATCTACAGGAAGTCATGAGCCACCCCACTAAAAATTGATGAAAATGAAAAATAGCCTTTATTAAATCAACCATATCTCTACCAAAATAGCAGTTTTTTTATTGATTTTGACTGCATATGAATCGTAGGTATCTAAGCTATAAGTTGCCTAGTATTTTGTATGTCCTCCACGAGCCTTTATACATTCAAAGCATCTGCGGTGCATTGACTCGAATAAATGGCGAATTTCTTGTTGATTAATTGAATTCTATTCCTCCTCGATAATCTTGTGTAATTTATTGATTGAATGAATTCGGTGACGTCGCTTAGTAATTCTTAATTTGACGATATACCAGAGATTCTCGATCGGGTTAAGATCAGGTGAATAAGCGGGCCAAATCATACGCTGCATCTTTATAGCTTTTTAGTAGTTTTGAACAAGCTTTGCTGTATGATATCTGGCTCTATTATTTTGCCAGATAGCATCCCCTTGAAGTTCAGCTATTGCTTCATAATAGGGATACGCTAAATCATTTATTATTGTATTTTGGTAGAACGTTAAGTTCGTACGTTGTCTCTGGGGTAGAATCACGAGTTTTGGCTTCAAATTATATGAAATAGCACCCCAAACACCCACTGTTGATCGTCCAGATTTGAAGATAGGCTTTAAATAGCGTGATTTAAAGGCCTCACCCCTTTTACGCCTAACCCAGGGTGGTGAAGTATTAATTCCTAGCTCAAAATTTGCCTCATTTGAAAAGATCGTACATATCCAATCCTCTAACAACCATTTTAGGTGTTCTTTGGCCCACTGAAGTCTCAACTTTTTGTGTTTTTCTGTAAGAAATGGCTTCCGGCGAGGGCGAAAGGCGTACAGCTCGTGTTTCTTGAGATATCGACGGGTTGTATTAGGATGAAGACGATAACCCGATTTTGAAGAAGTAGATAAAGCAGCTAAGGTTTTAAAAGGATTCTGCCGAATATAACGAATCAAAGCTCTTTCTGCACGCTAATTAAGCTTACCTGGTCTTTTTTCCCGCTTTTTTGGCTCAAGAATGACTCCGTTCTTATTTTTCCGGGTTCGAAAAATGCGGGTAACTGTAGATTTCGGGATACTACTAAAATCACTGATTTTAGCTGCAGAAAACCCGTGCTCTTTTAAGCGAAATAATAATTTGATTATATTAATGGAATGCTCAGAACGAGCAGTTTTTTTGTGTGTAGGCATTTCAAAGAGAAGATGGTTGTGGTGGTTGAAATTAATGATTGAATTTTATTACTAATTTTGATTGTGTGGTCAGGTGACCAGGTGGCTCATGACTTCCTGTGTATAGCTGTACATAATATGTATGTATCAGCATGCATTGACACCTCAATACTTGATGCCAGAGGCTTCAGCAATCCCAGTATGAGATAGACTCAGAACAAGTCCCAAGAAGATGATGGAGAAGAAGAAAGACCTTGGGGTGATCAGCCGTATAGAAAAGCCCCTCCAACCAGACTGTGAAGCCCTAAGATTCACCCTACATATTCATCCTACAGATTCACATCTCTACAGCTAATAACCACCCTCCAAATCCCAAATCGCCCATAGTGAATAACCCCCACCCCATGAACCCCCAAGTCTTGGCTCTACTGGCTGAATCGCATCAATCAGGCTAAATGGGTTTATCCGTGCTGGGCATCGCCATCACCGCGAGTGCTGTCCAGCCTTACCCCACCTCTTCTGCGTCATGGACGTGTCCCAGAGGTTTCAGAGAATGTATTTTGCCGTAGATTCGGTGCATAAGAAGACCGAGGGCCCTGCGGGGTTACAGCTGGGGAATCCAGTCCTGTCGGGAATTAATCGTCCTGATCCTGAGTCACCGCAATTCACCAATCCAGTTACCAGCCAACCCAGTCCACCATGAGCACTGGAATCCTCAAAGTCACCGGCAACAAAGTTGTCGATAACAATGGCACCGAAGTCCTACTTCGAGGGGCTGCCATTGGCGGCTGGACCAAGTATGTCTTCCACCCAGACTCGAAGATAGGTAGGATAGGGCTAGGGCAGAATCAACCAACTAACCCTAACGACTAGCATGGAGAACTTCATCACCGGCTACCCCGGCCATGAGTCGCAGCACCGAGCCGCCATGCGCCGCGTCCTCGGCGACCAGAAATACGAGTTCTTCTTCGACAAATGGCTCGAGTATTTCTTCACCGACGCGGACGCCAAGTTCTACGCTGCCCTGGGGCTCAATTGTCTGCGCATCCCGTTCAACTACCGCCACTTCGAAGATGATATGAATCCGCGCGTGCTGAAGGAGTCCGGGTTTAAGCATCTAGATCGTGTGGTTGAGCTTGTACTTCCCCTCCCTTCCCACCTCCATCCCATTCCCTAGCCTAAGGCTATCACTGAGACTAAATGAATGCCAGTGCGCTCAACACAAAATCTACACAATCCTCGACATGCACACCGCCCCCGGCGGCCAAAACGGCGACTGGCACTCGGACAACCCGACCAGCTACGCCGCCTTCTGGGACTACAAGGACCACCAGGACCGGACGGTATGGCTGTGGGAGCAGATTGCGCGCCGCTACCGCAGCAACCCCTGGGTGGCCGGGTATAACCCGCTGAACGAGCCGTGTGATCCGCAGCACGTGCGGCTGCCGGCGTTCTACGAGCGCGTCGAGAAGGCTATCCGTGCGATTGACCCCGAGCATATCCTGTGGCTGGATGGGAATACATTCGCGATGGAGTGGAGGGGTTTTGATCGGGTGTTGCCGAATTGTGTGTATGCGATGCATGATTATTCGGTTTGTCCCCCTGCTCCCTTTCCCCTTTTCCTTGGACTGGACTTGTCTGCTACGGGGCGAGCTATGTTATGTTAGAGTGGTAGGGGTATGAACTAACCAAAGGACAGTCAATGGGCTTCCCAACAGGCCAACGATACAAAGGCACACCGGAGCAAAAAGAGCAAGTGGAGCGGCAATACCTCCGCAAAGCAGAGTTCATGAACCGCAACGGCACAGCAGTCTGGAACGGGGAGTTCGGGCCCGTCTACGCCTCGTACTCCGACATCGATGCCGAAGCGATCAACCAGGAGCGCTACAACCTGCTCGGTGAGCAGCTACGCATCTACGACAAGTACAACATCCACTGGTCGATCTGGCTGTACAAGGACATCGGACTGCAGGGGATGATCCACACCAGCCCGTCCAGCAAATGGAACCAGACGATCCAGCCGTTCCTGGAGAAGAAGAACCGGCTGTGGTTGGATAACTGGGGGCGGAGGCCGTCGGCGGAGCCGGAGGCGGCCCTGAAGCCTCTCGTGCAGTGGATCGATCAGGTCAGTCCCTCGGCGAAGGAGACGTATCCGACGTCGTGGAATACAGAGCGGCATATGCTGCGGGCGGTGTTTCAGACGTTTCTGGCAGCGTCGTTTGTGGATGAGTTTGCGGAACTGTTTCGCGGGATGGATGAGGCGGAGCTGGAGGCGTTGGCGCATAGCTTTCATTTTGACGAGTGCGTGCAGAGGGAAGGGCTGAATGAGATTCTGAGGGAACATGCTCGGGTGACGGGGAAATAGAGAGGAGGCTACGATAGACTGGAGATCTCGTAAATTCAATTATCAATCCAATATGTGCCCTGAGGGTATCTGCAATACAGACATGGATGCCTAAAACATGTGAAGACCAAATAAACACCGCAACCCCGTTGTATGAACACTGGCTTTGTACTGGATTCAAAATAACACCTGAAATAAACATTGCTATGTCGTTAGATCTCTCGATATCAATGAGAGCGGCTGTATGTATAGTGTCGGGGAGTCGGTGGCCACTACCAATCCTGGCCGCGGTCTTTCATGAGGATTTCTATAGCCTCGTCTTCGGGGACGGGGTGCTCATTCAGCTCTCGGACGCATTGCGTGAGCCCTTCGGCAGCTTCGTCCACCTGCTCGGCGCTCCAGGCAGTGCAGGCCATGACCATCCGTCGATAGTTCTGGCCTAGCACCACATTCTTGGACTTGAGCAGGTCCACCTCGTTGAGAATATCTTCGTTGAAGTCCTGGTAGCAATTTATTCGTTGTTGAAGCACCTCGGGGGATAACAGTGACTGTAGATAGGATGTCTGTTTGTCGGAAAATCCTGAAGCAGGGTCGAAGTTGTCAGGGAACATCGACTCGAATTCGGCGATGTCAACGCCCGAGTCTTTGTCGGCATCGCCGATGGTGGCGTGTTTCAAGGGCTCGAATGATTCCCCATGGGTATTTTTGAGGATCGCCAGAAGATCTTCAGATGACCGTTCCAAGTTCTTAAATCGCCTGCCAAGTTCCACGCGGTCTGACGACTTGACTTTGAGCTCGTCAAATTGTTTCTGGTCGATCTGTCGAGCCTTGGCCGTCTCACGGATTTTAGAATGCCAGTGCTCGAACTTTTCCTGCTTCTTGTTCAATGACGAGGCCAGCTCTTTATCGATATTGCCTAGCGTCTCCTGTACCATTGAGCTGATTTGAGCCATGGTTGCTAGGAAAGTTAGTATACATATCTTTCAGAGTAAAGGATTACTTACCATCTAGGATTTCTTTCTTGGTCTTCGCGAGTTGATCGATGAACGTGTCGTTCTTGCCAGCCTGCATGGCTTGCGAATCCACCATATCCACCCCCACTCCGTAGTCTGCAGGTCGTAGACCCGTGTGATTTGGTATATGGGGATCCGCGCCGACCTCTAAAAGTTGTGGTACAAGCACAGAGCGCGCGCGTCCGGCAAGATTCAACGCCGTGTCTCCCTGGTCATCCCGAAGGTTGACGATTTCCGAAATGAACCGGCCCAAAGTCAACACCTCGCCTTGCAATACACCCGTCCCATTCTCCAAAGACCCGTTGGGAGTTTGCTGACTGGCCGAAGCACCGCCGTGACGCACGATGAATTCTAACAATGCCTCAAGATAGTGTTTGGCGGAGACATGGCCTCCACCCCCGGTGGCTGCCATGACCGCGATGTGGTGTAGAATCGTTCGCCCACTGTAATCCACCATGTCGATGGTCGGAGCCAACACCTGTAAAAGTCGGGGAAAGCTCCGGTAGTCAAGGTTGTTTCGTGTGCCGACCGACTTTTGCAAAGCAGTTTCACCGGCTCCATTCAGCCGGAAGATGCTGACGCCTTTCTCGACCAGAGCGTGAACAAGGGGCATGCGCGCCAGCATGGCTGCCCAGTGCAAAGCATTGTTGCGATATTCGTCTAGAGGTATTTCAAGATCCTCACCTGTCAGCTGCAGGAGGGCAGGGTGGGTGGAGAAATCCTTTGTCCGTTTGTCCAAGAACAGAGTCATGATGAGCTTCATCTTCTGGAACCTCTCCGGGGTCGTAGCCGGCAAGAGAGGCTCAGTACCCCGGTTGTTACCATCCGGCACCGCGGTCGGTCCGTCCATGTCCTGGTAAAAAGAGTCGTTCGGCTCGGTAGGTGTGGGTTCATTCATCGACATCGAAGGGTCATAGTGGTTAAGTCCGAAAGAGTGCGCAAGGTTAGAAGAGGACCGAATGCGTTTGCGAGGAGGCTCCACAGAATCGTCGTGCTCAAAGGTCGCCGTGTCATTGGCAGGATATCGCCCGTTGGTGTTCGGGATGTTGCTAGCAAACCCACTATCGGACGCCACACTGTACATGCTCTGTTGACTGCCAAAGGGCATCTGCGATTCCTGGCTTCCCATCTGGTTCGACGGTTTCCGGGCGAGGCTTGATCGCCTTCCGTCCACACCCCGTGCGGCGGGAGAGTCAAAGCGAGCTTTACTCATCGCATTCACCGCCGTCGCTGCAGTCCGCGAAATGTTCTGGAAAAAGGTTCCCTGCTGCGGCTGGGAAACGCCACGATTGTCCATGCCGCTGTAGAGCCGCTTTCGCTGGGCAGCCATCGCTTGTTCTTTGGTTGGCGTGTCGAGCGTATCTTGAGCGGCGCCGGTGGCACCATTCGAACCCATGTCGTACTCGAGGAGCGGTCGGAGCATCTCTTCGACGTGGTATTCTCGACAAAGTTCCACACCCCTTTGGTAGTTGACCCACGTCCCTTGGTATTTGCCATAACCCCCTTGAACCTTCTCATGCTCGCCAGCCGCAATCTCCTTCTCGAGGGTTTTTGTTCGTCTGGCTTTGTTGACTCCGGCGACTTTGAGGATCTGGGTGGCATTCAGCCAAGAATCAGAGCGACGTTTCATCACAGCAACTCCATTGACTTCCATTTCGTAAACGGCAACATTCGAGTAGACGGCCTACAGTCAGGGTGAACGATCAGCAAAATCCCAGATATCAAAGGACAAAGGTAATACCCTGTAGATTTGAGGTTTGAATTCATCATGATATTGGATCAATGCGCCGTAATTGGTAACTTCTTCGTATCCGCCAAATCCTGGCCGGGAGCCATGGGGCGGATTCTTCGAATAGTTGAATGAGGCCGGGGGCTGTTGCGACGACCCCTTGGGAGGAGGTGTGGCCCGAGGGGTGGAGGCGACGGACTGGGAGGCATTGAAAGAACCTAGTTGCGACTGCGAAAATGCCATGCCATTTGAGGATGCGACACTGCTTTGGGAGAAGGACGGTACCGGTAGACCGTGCTGTGGAGGGTTGTGGTTATGGTTATGGTTGGACGACATGACACCAGAGGACCCCAGCTCAGGGACTTTGCTCGTCGAACTGCAGAATGGCGTCAGTATAGCTGATGGACGATCCTAGCCACCAAATAGCACGGCCTTAACAAAATCATCCAAGACAGGGAGAGCCAGGGAGGCAGACAAAGCATGTGGGGAAAATGCACCTTATGCTAGGATCGGCCGGAAGAGTCGCGCGAGGCGAGGGCGCGTGGCTAGGCGCTCCAATCGCGAAATTGGGCGCCGACCAAGCCGAGGCAAAGTCAATGTGGCCAACCCCGGTGGGGATCAATCAGGTGGATGAATGGATGGGGTTAATAACCTCAGACGACAGGATGCAAGGCAGACAAAGAGAACATGCACGAGAAAGAAAGAGAGAAAGACGAAGGCGACCAAAAGTCGCGGGGTCTCGTCGGCGCGTTTTGGGTTTAGCGCCGTTTTCGCGTGACCGCCGGTTGCGCATTTCCCTTTTGGGCCGATGCGGCTTCGATTTCGCAGTCGAAAAAGACCGACAGTCCGAGAGAGAGAGAAAACCGCCATGCCTCCCCGTTCGCTACCCCCGCAATGGGCTCACCTCTGCCGTGCCCTTCTACGAGAATGTTCCTACCTCCCTGACCCCCTCGCCCGAGCTTACCATCATGATTTCATCATGCAGCGGTTCCGACACCTCTGCGAGGATCCTCGAGACAAGCGACACAACATCTATCGACAAAACCAGCTGCGAAAAAAGGCAGTGCAGGGACTGTCGCTGCTACACCGGGCAAATGAGGGATATTCGCGACCCCTCGAGAAAGTCCTGCGACAGGCCTACGGCCGAAAGGGCAAGAAGAGACAGGAATTGATCGATAAACTGGTCCACCCCGGATTTCCTACCGACCACATGTCCGTCGAAGAGGTTCTCACCAGGCCGGAAATTTTCTCTGATGGATGGGAACCTCCGCGGGTTATGGTCAACTTGCTGAAAGCGCAACAAAATGCCGGCGTGGCCGCCCAATTGACCCTCAGTGGGCTCAAGCAGCATGCTCCCGTCATCCCCGAGACGAACAGCTGGGGGTGGCCGCTCTCCGAGAACCGTCGTCGAAATATCCGGAAGAGGTGGTACTATAATAGGATGTCCGACTTACTGCCTCCGCTGCCGGACTCGGAGCTCCAGATCCTGGAAGGTTTAATCTCGGGGAGTATACCTTGGACACCACCGAAGAAGAGGAAAGCCATCGGGGTCGTTTCCGAGGTCAAAACGGCCCTCAGCACTGATTTCTTGACGGAGGGTCCGCAGAAAGGCGAAACGCACAGAAAACACGTTGACGGACGGCCGCATGTCATTACGCGGCGCTTCATGGAGAAGCAATGGAAGCGCATCTCGTGTCTCGTCCCGCGCATGACGTACGATCCGAATACCCAGAAGCATACCTTTACGTGGGATACTATCTGGAATGTCCCCAAGCTTGCATACACAGCGAAAGAGGGGACAGATGAAGTCTTCGAAGGCGTTGATAAGGGTGGCAAGCTGATTAAAAAGTGATCGCTCAACCGATGTCGCTGTTCTCATGTGGAACAGCATGGCTTTGCATTCTGCGATTGCTCCAAGAGTCATCAACTATATCCACTGGAAGGCCAGTACCCGCATGCCATCTCAGCATGAACACCTGGCTTACATTGCGCTTGGCCTGTGAGCAGCACATCTGCTCTATCTTCCTCGGACACAGTCCAGGAACTGGGAATGTCGGTTCGGATCAGGAGGACATCCTAGCTGTACTATATCAATCTCACGAGAACTCTGTATTATAACCAAACCTGTACATAGATACTTAAATAACTCAACCAAACCATGAACTATACACTACTCAATCTCACCTCACGTCCACCTGCCCAAACCGATCCACAAACGGTCTTTCATCGCCCAGACACAAGAACTTCGCATTCGACCCAAAATCCCGACTCATGCCCTCTCCACCCCACACCTTCTCCATCTCCTCGCGAAACTTCGACTTCGCCTTCCCATCCCTCACCCTCAGCTTCTCGAAGAACACATAACCCGCGTAGAAGATCGCCGACGTCGCCCCGGCATTCGCCCCATGCTTCTGCCTAAAATCCCCCAGCGTCTTCGACGACAACTTCTTCTCCTGCCCCGGGAACGCCGCCGCCGCCGCATCTCGCAGGAACTGCGCCTGCGTCACCCCCGGCTCCTGCAAATGCGCCGCGATCTTCTTGCGCAGCGAATCGCACGTGTCATACACGGGCACAGTCCCGTCCTCGTCCCCGGGCAGCTTGACCCCGGAGACGTCGAATCGCGCGGGGTCGGGCTTTCCGGCTGTCGCGCCGGCACCAGCAGACGAGGACGCTGTGGCGCGCTTCTTGCGCGGGGGCTTCAGGCCCTGGAGTTCGCGCTTCTTGAAGAAGCGGTGGGCGTTGTCGTAGGTGGCGGAGTGGATGCCCTTATCGCGACCGGATTGGCGCGTGAAGTCGAGATACGAGCGCGACGACACGTTGATGGCGTCTTGGAACTCCCCGATCTTCATCTCCCCTGAGTCGATGAAGTTGCGGATACGTGTGCGCACCTGGTCTGCGTTCCAGGTGATTTCGTTGAGGCGCTCATCGTCGCTGTCGATTTCGGGGAGAGGTGGTTGGGGAGAAGCTTCTGCTTCGGTGGATTTTTCTTTTGGGAGGCATCTTTTTTGTGGGTTTTTGGATTTATGGGATTGATTGGGGTTTGTGTTGAGGATAAGTTGAGTGGGTTGAGTGATTTTCGAAAGTTGGTTTTTATGGTGGTGGTTGTGGAACGTACTAACAAAACCACTTTGGTCGAGGGTGTAGACAAAGCGTGGGAGAATAGGGGATGTGGTGTTTGATGACGGATTGTTTTCCCACGACGCGTCGAGCGGATGCACTATCATCAGATCAAACAATGAGTCCTTCTAATTTTATGATTGGCCTAGAAAATAAATTAATGCTGTTTTTGATCAAGTTGATTGTTTGATTGCATTTAGATCGTCGTCGGAGTCACTATCGATGTTACCGGTGCTCAGTGGCTTCGCCCTCTACAGCAATTGACGCTCCATTGTCAAGTCGCGGTCAATTGACTCGTCGGGTTCTGTTTACCATGAAAGCCCTTATATTACTCTTATTATTATTTTAGCGCGTGTTGATTTGTTTGGTGTCTTTGGACAATTTGTGACAGGTCAGATGTCAATATGTATGGAGCCGAATAGCGTCATAATTCACGGGTCTCGAACTATACGGACGATCCCAATCTGGTTGTGTTACATGATAATATCCATATTTGTTTCTATGAATTTTCATTGATGCGCATCTTCAGTTGCATCCCATTCCCATGCCTCTCGAAGTCGTTCCTGCATCGCTGCCGTCGGCCAGTAATTGTAGTCCTGATTCATGTCGATCAGAATGCGCATCAAAGCCTGTTGTTCTACGTGGTCTGTAAAACGCTCCCCACACATCATGATAGCAGAAGATGCAGTCAGAAGAGCTGTCGGCGACTGGCGATTCGACAGGGCAATGCCGCAGATTTCACGCACCGTGGATCGAATGGTGGAATCGATATGGGACATAGCTATCCGATGCGCGAGGCCGATGCGAGCCGTGTGTGGATTGTACGCAGCCAGAAGGATATTCGTGAGCCCAACGCTTTGAATCGCCACGATGTGGCAATCATCCAGATACCACATCTTGGGGAACAGTTCGCCTCGGCTGTGGTCTGGCGGTTCGAAGTACACGGGGGAGAACGAGGAGGGACAGCTGCGAAGCCATTGGTTTCGACGTTCCACGAGCTCATCGTACCCCGTATAACTCCGTTGGTACTGGTCATTGAAACAGTACTGGACAATTTGGGCGCAGATCACTAGGAGGTGGTTGACCCAGACATAGTCCGGGGCCTTCTCCCCCGGTCGATAATTTTCATATGCATCCAGAGGAAGTCGAAAAGGGCGTTGCTGAGAAAACGCCATGTGAAACTCCTGCCGGAAGCCTATCCAGAATACGGCTTGACGCAGCCCCGGTGATGCAAGGGCCGAGGATGCCTGGGCCTCCAGAAATACCTGGAGTCCTCGGACGGCGGTGTCATTGGGGAGATCGATAAACGGGCCTACGAAGTTAGTCGGTGAGCTGGAATCCCGTGAGCTTTCTTACTGTCAAGTTCTTCATAGAATCTCAAAGCGACCACAGCTGCTAAGAGATTCTCGTCCATGATTGCATCTGGCTCGTCGCTCACGGATCTCAAGTGTGCAATACACCTGCTGTGATAGCTCAGAGTGGACTCTTCACCGATCACTAGGCCACGTTCTAAGCCATATTTGAGGGTGATTTCAATTTGCCGAGTCTCAGAAAGAGTGCTGAAATGTCTCGCCGACGCAGACAGCAGAGCGTCTAGAAGAGGGGGGCAGACTCGTGCGCGTTGTGGAACTACGACGGCGAAATGTCGTTCGGGGTCACAGAGATCGAACTATACGATTAGCCATGGATCATAAGCCCATACTTTGACAACCAACCCATTTAGCCAAATTTTCAACGAAGTAACGCAGGAGACATGCTTCTTCTAGACTGAGTTGCGGTTGCGCAGACTGTCTCTCAAATATTAACGGCCTTGGAGTCTGGACCGCTCCGGATTGTGCACCAGGCGAGTTCAAATGAGATGAGGACGTGGTTCTAAGACTCGTCGGGCTTGGTACGCCTGGCGGTGCTGTATTCCAGGGGGGTATTCTAGGATTCCTGGGACTCGCAACAGCAACTGTTTCAGCGGACGGTGGTGCAGTGTCTGCTGGCCGGCGTGGAGACGCATCTTGTGCGTACCGAGCAGTCAGCTCAGGCGTCTCATCGACATACTGTATCGTGGTATCTTTCAAGCCCGTAAGTATGTAATCCTCTACAATGAAAGCTCCCACAAACTTCGAGTTTCACGAGGCGTCGATGGCTGCTGGCTCGTGCTGTGGAGAAAGTGCAGGCGCGGCGCAGCTCGTAGACAATCTCGTCCGGATCTCTGGCATCGCCCACATTTCGGACGGCCATCGTCACCTGAAAGAGATCAGCATGAATACTGCGATACTTTGTACTGCATAGAGACTTACATTTTACATGGTGTTCTAGCGGCAGATGAATTTGAGCAGCCTTGAATGCAGGTAAGGGATAAAGACCTACTACGACAGTTTTGGCTAGAGCGGTCAGTCCAGACTCTAGGACCGAAGAAGAGACCTACCAGGGTTCTCGCCGAGCGCGCATTCACAGGATGGCGGCCACAGGATGAGCGCCGAATCTGAATGGACACTCGAAGGGACGTGGAAGAGGAAAGGAAAGGAAATGGTGGGGCGTTGACTGCCGATGCGGTAAGCCTGCCCGATGTGGGCCTGCATTCTTGCTCCCTTCACGGAGTATCTTTTCTTTCTTTTTGTTTTTTTTATTTATTATCATTATTCTTATTATCGAGAAGAAGAAGAAACTACAACCCATCGTTTGGGTGCCAAATGTTAAACCATCTCTGGTCAATCCCCTCGCCACCTTTCTCGTAGAACCTCAAGTCCGTACTCAGGCGAATCCTCCCTTCAGCGTCCTCGTTACGTCCACTGGCGTGGATGCTGTATGGATTATGGAAGACCGCATCTCCCGCCTCGTAGTTTGTGGCCAACCATTGATGGGACCCGAATTCTGAGTGAGCTGCAGCAAAGTCCTGTGGCGACGGTGAGATCATGCCTCCGCCCAGCATATTGACATTATATGCCGAGATTCGCTCTTCTTGCGTCATGTCCGCAGCTCGTCGGGTGAAATCATTTTCAACTTCCTCGCCAAGAGGGACGGAGTTTGCCAGATAGCAGAGACCTCCGCCATTGATCGATATATCACCTATGTTGGTCAATATCCGGTCGACAGGAACACAGAAGCGAATACGAACCAATCGGAACCCACGCCGTGAGGAAGAATCCAGAACCACCTCGCAGAAACAACTTGTCGTAGTGGATGCCAGTTCCCTTGCCAAAAGGGACATTGTGTCGCAGCATCGTGCGATCCAGTATGACATGCTCTTTCCAGCCCATCAGATCCCGAATGAACTTGGTGAGGGCTGGGTGCTCGACGAAGGCTCGGTATTTGGAATCCGAATGGGCATCGATAAGGATCTTCTCCTCCACGGGGTCAGCCGGCAATCCTTGGCCACCAATACCCTTGTGCAGGTCAGGGTCAGAGGAAGCGTTGAAGATCCCGTCGCGCGGGGAGCTACCAGGGGCCAATAACGACGTGTCGGCGTATGCTTGAAAGTAACTGCACGGTCGTTTCATTAGCCCCAATATGGTCTCGTGTCGCAGGTTAGGTTAGGTCTGTGCGGAGGAACTTACTTCTCGCGGGCATCCAGCACGTCTTCGCGGGGAATGACTCCCTTTACGAACAGGTATCCATCTTCTTCCAGTCTGCGACGCATCTCTTCGACGGGCAAATCACAAGGCGTGGGTCTCAGCAAGCCAAGCTGAGACCGATCGACGCGGCCTCCATTCTGGCCCAGGCTCTCTGGTAGACTCGCTGGCTGCTGCGGTTGAACAGACGCGGTATGAGCAACTGTAGCCATTTTGATTGTATTCGGACACAATTTCCAAATTTCAGTGGGATGCAGCCGCAATATAAGCCACCAAGATTTGGTGGATCAGCTGGCCAGCACCCTCGCTAACATTCTGCACAATAGCATAGATTGCCCTGGATCGAGTGGGGAAGCTTCCGCTCTTGATCCCATTGGTAATTTGTATCTACTCCGTAGGAAAGATAATCAGTACGTGGGCTGGACAGTATGCACCTCATGTGGAGGTCAGTTGCGCTGGTAATTGGATTATGTGGGCCATCTCGACCACTGGCTTCAACCACTGGTTGTGGTTCCCAGTAATAAAGCATGATTTGATTCGTCCAATTCCGCATCTCATTGCTTGAGGTGATGAAATTCGGCATGGAGAGTTGGCAGTTGCTCGGTTTCGCAGCGCGATTCCCCACTGTTCTTGCAGCCGTCGATCTCTTCCTTTTCTGCGTATTATCGGCGAGTCTAACCGCATCTGGCAGAATCTCGCCGACCTTCCCCACGCCTACTCCAAGCAGTGGGTTTGCGCTGTTTGCATACGAAGTACATACATGTATGTACATCTACGCCAGGCATATAAGGACCACGAGCATCATGATCAGAATCGTGGCAAAACAGCAAAAGACTTCTGAAACATTCTCTCCAGAATGTACAGCACGATCCTCGCAGTCGTATCCCTCTTTCTCTTCCTCTATTACTTCGTTCTCCCGGTCATCAACTATATCCGGGACCCTAAAGGATTCCGCAAATACCCCAATTTCAGGTTCTGGTCAGGCATATCAGACCTCACTCTCATATATGAATCACACAAAGGCTTCCGATCCCGTTCACTACTTGAGGCCCATAAAAACCACCCTGTCATCCGCATAGGGCCAAACAAGCTCTCCTACTCCGATCCTGCCGCCATCAAAGACATCTACGGTCACGGCACGAAATGCACCAAGGATGTCTTTTACTCCGAGCTGTCTGGCTCCCATTTTCATCTCGCAGACGTGGTGGATAAGAGCGAGCATGCTCGGAAACGCAAAGTTCTCGCCAGCGCGTATGCGATTAAGAACTTGGAAAACTGGGAGTATAAAGTGGCCGATATGTCGCGCCGCCTCATCAAGGCCTTTGATGCTCGATGTACTGCACCGCTCCCAAAAGGTAGTATTCCAGATGAGAAGGATCTCACTGTCGACTATCGCATGTGGTCGAACCTCTTTACAATTGCCGCTATCGCCAACATCGGCTTAAGCGAGGACCTGCGCTTCCTTGATCAGGGCAGTGATCTCGTCGCCTCAGAGAGCCAGGATGGAGCCGTCAAGGAAGTCAACTTTCGAGAGTGCCTGTATGCCACGGCCTGGGCCACTTCCAACCTGGTCTGGTCCTATGACTGGTATCAGACGCTATGCAGGGTCAGCTCATTAGTGTCATCGACCTACCGCCAGAAATGGAAGCTGAACAAAGACTGGGATGGGATCGTGTACAACCGAGCGACCACACGCTGGAAGCGCTATGAATCCGGCGAGAAGTTAGACGACTTTTTTACCGCTCTCATGGCCGACAAAGCCGGGGCCCCATATAATCTCGAATGGGGGGAGATTGTGGCCGAGGTGAGCATCATGATGAACGCGGGTTCGGATACCACGGGAATTGCATTGAACAACGTGATGTTTTCCCTCATCCGCAACCCACGTTGTCTACGGAAGCTGCAGGAAGAGCTCGATAATGTCCTGGACGAGGATGAAGTCATTGCGCCATACGACAAAGTCAAACATCTCCCGTATCTTCGCGCCTGCATCGATGAGAGCATGCGGATGTTCCCTCCTGTGTCCTTCAACCTGCCTCGCCGCACGCCTCCCGAAGGCGCAAACATTCTAGGGGAATTTATTCCAGGCAATACATCCGTGAGCATTTCTGCGTATGTGGTGCACCGTGACGAAACCATATTCCCGGAGCCGAATGTCTATCGCCCAGAGCGGTGGCTGGGCGAAGCAGGCAAGGACCTTCAGCCCTATTTCGTGGCTTTCAGTGCTGGAGCAAGGGGCTGTATTGGTCGAAATATCAGCTATCTTGAGCAAACGGTTCTACTTGCGTCCTTGATTCATCGTTACGAGTTTGCGCTTCCATCTCCTGATTGGGAGCCCGTTCGGCGAGAGACAACGAATCTCAGTTCGGGCCCTATGCCATTGAAGCTATGGAGGCGAGAGGTCGACGGGATACAGGCTGCCTGATATTGGTATATCTATTGCTATGGATTTTATGTTAGCGTCGTTTCAAGTTGAATATCATGATAGCATCCGAAACTGCGACCACTCAAGTAGTGAATCCAGTAGAAGTAGTGAATCATTTTTCCACCCACTCTTTTCAAAATTAGACACGACAAGGTGAAGGGAAAGTGGTCTTCTATTCACCCAATGTCTTGGTATCCTTCTCTCCTCTCTCATCTCAATTCATTTCATTTCATATTCTCCTATTTCCTATACCTCACAGTCGCTTCTAAACTCGATCACTTGCTGCTGTCCGCTGCCACACAGGATGAGCCGACAAAGAGGAAGGAGCCCCCTGGGGGGTACCGTTTATGATGCAGCATGCAGGTAGCAACAGCCCTGAAAGAATCGGGAGTTGCGCAAACACAACACCTTTCTCATCACAGTCCTGGCAAATATTCTCTCTTGAGAGCGATTGTCACGCAGTGACAGTTGTCCAGTCGGACAGCCGTGGAGGCGATAGAATGCGAGGGTAGGTTGGATGGTTCGAAATTGATGTAAAGTTGTCCATCACGTCTCTTGGGGTTGCAAATCCTCCACAGTTCACCGCTGACGATGACTTCGAGTAGCACCAGATTTGCTCCTTGCACTTACCAAACACCCAAGAACCCGCGTCAGGGCGAGCACATGTTGCAGCCCCCCTCCCCCTCGGTCTGGTCTGTCAGAAGAAGTTCGAGACCGAGAACCCTTCCCTCCCCCGCTAGCAGCGTCAGTGTTAGCCCAGGATTTGAAATCTGAAAAATACTACCACGTTCATCGACATGGGCCCGTCTCGACCATCAAGAGACATTCGGGACTTCTTTCAACGCGCTAAGCGTTCGGAGGAAGCTCCTGTCATCCCAAGTGGAGCTTCATTTGGCAGGAAAATTGGCGGTGATAGAAATCGCCGTCTCGTTCCGGCTTCTCGAGAAAACCAGAGACTTACTTTAGTCTTGGAAGATGGTCTCGCGTACAAAGAAGAGGATATCATTTCGACCCATCCAGCTTTTTCAAGAAGAAAGAGGGTCATTCTGGATTCGGATGACGACCTCGAGGAGTCAAACAGAGACGATAGTCCTGTCGTACCTCCCACCAATGAAGGAAAATGCCAGAAGACTGAAAATACACCAGCGGGTCTCCAGGATGAGGATTGCCAATAGTATTGGCTTACAGCAATGGAGGCTTCACTAGAGAAGACGAAACTGTTGGATCCCCATCCAACGACATTGTGGACGACGAATATATTCCTGGTCCCGATGACGTTGCCGAATCTGACAATTTGGATGTCGCTAATGCGATATCAATTACCCCCATACAAGCGATCGTCACCCAGCGTCGGTTCGTGCAGATTTTGCACAACTGTTTGCTGGAGTTAAAGACTTAGGCTGAGGAATCTAACCTATTCGGAGTCACGGGGGACCAGACTGATGATGATAGTCTATTTGCTCTTGATCAAGCGATTATCATCGGAGCTCATCGTTTCATGTTGTTGGCGGGAATTGAAAGATCAGTCGACAAGTTGCACAAATCCCCAAAAGAAGCTTCCATTACAGGCAGATATGTCAGGAGGGAGTTCAAAATAATTTCCGAGTGCTTGCCGCTTTCGACGAGCCAATCCATCAAGGCTACCAACTGCTTCTGGAGGGAGTCTTCATGCTCCTGCTCGGGATATACCAATATCCTGCATTGTTGGAACCTCCCACCATGTTGGCGGTAGGTTCCGCTTGTTTCATGGCTCGTTTCGCTACGGATGCCATGTGACCATGGCTATATAAGCCATGGTCCTCTTGGCTAAATAGTTTCTGAGAGATCTCACCTCATTCATTTCATTCATTTCGACCATTGGTTTGGTCATCCATTCATTCATTCTGCCCACTGCCTTTTACGAGATGTATCAAAATAGGCGACTGAAGCTTCCTATAAATTGGTGGCAGATGTCAGAGGGAAGCTGGACCTTCCAGCCATATCATTGCGTGGCCTGAACGCAGCATGGCCCTTGCGTCAGGGATTTGTGAATTCAAAGATCAAGACAGTGTCAGAGTGTGAAAATCCCCCATGCAACACCATGACATATCCCCTTTATTTGACTCCAGATGGTGCTAAGCGCTTCCGTCGGATGAACCTAAATCCCGGCGATTCTTTGGGTGGATATGTGTGCAGAGTGTGCATGAATTTCAGGCGCATAAGGAGCTTCCCGGTGCAGAATTTCTGGCTAAAGTCGCAATGCGTGCCGCAGTCTGAGAAGCAGCTGGGACAGATGCAGAATGCGCCTGTTGCCATCGCAGCGAGTCGCAGTTGCTGCTTCATAAATCACTGCTCGAGGCAAAAACCACTATGAGCGGACATTTCGCATCCATCCGACCGTCCCCGGATGTCTTCTATGTGAGACGTGTCATGCTTTTGTTGAAAACAACGCAAGAATGCATACTGATAAGGAAATTCAGAATCTCATCGCGACCTCAGATTTAACAGCCCTAATGGATGGTGGGGATGCAGAGTGCGAGAATTGTCACAGAAGGAAGAGCCAACTGAAGTTACATGCAAAACATCATCATTTCAGCACACAATGCCGTAAAGTTCTGTGCGATCTTTGCTTTGAGTACTTTATCAGGAATGGCAAGATGCGCAATCCTAAGTTGAATGGCATTCTGAGCGTACGAAGACAACTACAGCAGGACCGCAAGGCTGGTCAGCGCATCGCTTGTACTAAAGGTGATTGCATGGCAGTCGAGCACAAATCCGATCTCAAGAAATTTGTGGTCAGCAGTGTCACCTGAACCATCATGTGCCCTAAGTGCAAAGATTTTGAGTCCCTTGTATATTGCCAACATCAGGGTAGAGCTCGCTGACACGTCTCCATCTTGGAACGTGAAGCAGAATTCTTTTTGCGCTATGTAAAGGAGATTAAGAATATTATGAGAAGAGCGGATGGTCATCTATCTATTTGTGAAAAACCGTGACTCGGTGCACTCATTGCATAAACAAATAATGTGATTAAAATCTACATACTCATGCCTTCATACAGTATCCAGTGTTATTTAGTAGAAATAACAATAAAACCAAGGCGAGCATCAAAGAAATCGTAGGACAATTCTAAGATCTGTAGGTTACTATAAAGCCATCCGTCTGAAGAAATAAAATTTGGTTGTTATATCTGGATAGATAGAAGAGGAAGAGCAGTACCTGTTTTGAGAGCAAGATTTACAACAAAAAGGGCGTGAAGAGCATGGGTAGAGCACTGACGATTGCCAGCTTGCAGGTTCCATCTGTATTTAGATAGTGACTTAGCATGGAGCGGTGTCAGAGTACTCTAAAAACAACTTACCTTCTCTTCGATCCCTGTTAACAGAAGTTTGTCGTGGACCCTTCTCTACAGTATAAGTAAATGTGGTCTAGGGCGAAAGAATGCAACAGTCAGCATTGTGCGAAGAAAGAGAGCAAAATAGCCGCTTGACTCGATTGCGAGAATGGAGGAGGATCCACGCCCAGCGCTCTTTTCGTTGACGCGTAGTCACCACGGGTAGACCACAACCACTTGCTAATCAGTGCATTCAAGCCCAACAACATGAAGGGGAGGGTATAGGGCCCCGATCAAAGCGCATCCGGTCTGAAAGCCGAGTGTGTCTGACTTCTCGTGATAGAGAAGCGCAGTCTGAGGTGCGCGGCTTCGAGGAAGGGAGAAGGTAGAGGCGTCGTGTGGTTGACTCGGTCAGTCCAAGAGTCCAAACTCATCCGATCATGTAGTAGAGAATATCCTAACTCCATAACACCAAGCCTCTCAAGAACCTATATTTCTGGATCCGGTCCAGGGATATTCTACCGATAACCCTTCTTCATCCAAGAACTAAATTGTTCATAGGCGTAGGTCCCATTCCTAGGGGCGGACGTTTGCTCAAACATGCCTTGGATATACCTAGAAACTATGAGACACCAGAAAGGCAAATTGCAGATAAAGATCAAATGAACTGACATTTTTCGGTATATTCCTCCCATAAAAGCTGACGGGTAGAAGGAATAGCCCAAGGGCGGACGCCATGAGGGCCAAAAGAGCTGTTTTTAGAATAAACATTAGCCATTCGAAGTGGAGGGGTCTGATAGAACCGTAGAAGGTAGATATTAGCCATCTTAATGAGGGGACTGGATGATGGTAAGTTCAAAGGAAGAAAAGGAATTGAGGTTAGGAAAGCTGATCTTGGAACAAGTCAGGTGACCGTCCACTGCTTTTGCCCCGGTTCGAATGATGTTGTTTGCTTGGTTTCCAGGCCTGATCATAGTAACGCCTTGATAGACAGAGGCTCTGGGCGTTGCTTTGCAGCCTGGCAATATTCCTTGCTCGAGGATGAAGAAGATAGTTTACCGACTAATCAAGAAGTCGAATTATTTTCCATCCACTTGAATCAATTTTCCAGAAGTTTTCTCCGCACTCAAATTCAACCCGTCCTAACAACAAATGATAACATGATGGGTGATGCTGGGAAGAGTGTTGCTGGCTGCATGTGGCTTGGCATTCGAACCCGACGGCAGGTACTGCCATCTGCTACCGCTTCCGGGATACGGCTTCATATGCCGAGATATCAAGATCCGAGCACATTCATGAAAATCTACGTTGGAACAGCAGGAAACTGTAGATTTAAAAATGATACTTAAATGAATTCATACTTTCATAACTTCTATAAGCAACATTACATAACTGGAACCTCAAAAAGCAACTTTTGACTGCGAAAACACCTAAAAGTCGTCCTCATCCGAGAACACCTCCTCTCCACGCTTGCGGCGAGCAGCTCTCTCCTTCTTCTTCTTTCGCAACTCAGATCCTGTAAGCTTCTTCTTTTTCTCGACCACCGATTTATTTCCCATCGCATCCACTATTTCAGTATCTTCGTCCTTAGCGGCGAGACGAGGGCCGGAGCCTTGTCCCTGAACCCAGTTGTGACCAGAGGGGGTCATCTTTCCGTCGACGACAGCCCACACTTCCTCGGTGAGGTTCTCAGTGAACTCACGGGAGTGGGTAATGATGACGACACCACCCTCGAAGGACTTGAGAGCCTTGGACAGAGCACCAAGGGAGTCACGGTCAAGGTAGTTGGTAGGTTCGTCAAGGACGATCACGTGAGGACGCTGCCACGAGCAGGCGGCGAGCACGACCTTGACACGCTGACCACCGGAGAGACCGCGCATACGGGAGTGAGAGACCAGCTCGGCGTCGAGACCGAACTGCTCGCAGTGGGCCTCAATCTCCTTACGGACCAGAGGACGGAACTGACCGCTGGCAAGAGCCTCCTTCTGATCAACCTCGGCAACCATCTTGGCGTGAGAGGCGATAATCTCGGTACGGGGAATCCAGGCGTTGTCGCTGGTCATCATGGGAGTCCACTTCTCGCTCTTCATGCCGATGTTGTCACCGAGCAAGAACGAACACTCGTACTCGTAGGTGTTCTTGAACTTACGACGGGAGTGGATACCGATGACACGACGGGGAGTACCCTCGATCTTGTAGATCTTGTCCATGGCCTTCTCATCCTCGTCGGTGACGATCTTGTTGGCACGGTCCATGGTCTCACGGTCCTCACCGGTCTGGAAACGCCACTGGATGTACTCGGAGGGAGTGCTGTCGAGGTGGTTATCGATGTGAGCGAAAGCGTGCTGCTTGATGTAGGCGATACGGATGTTCTCGTGCTGGTAGACATCACCAGTGGTGGGGATCAATTCACCGGTCAGGACGTTGACCAGGGTGGATTTACCAGCACCGTTGGGACCGATGACGGCAATACGGGAGCCCAGGGAGATCTGGAAGCTGATGTCCGTAAGCTGAGGGCGGGGGGTGTTGGGGTACTGGAAGGTCATGTTCGAGACACGAATGATGGCCTTGGCCTTGGTCTTGACACCCTCAAGGAAACCGGGCTCGGGGAACTTGAACTCCATGTCGGAAGCACCGAGCTCGTAGTAGGAACGAGCGGAGGGAACGCGCTTGACGAACTCGCTCAGGGAACCACGGTAACGCTTGAGCTTGAAGCGCTCGTAGTGGACGACGTGCTGGATGACGTTGTCCAAGAACTTGCTGTCGTGGGACACCATGATGGAAGTGCAAGGGGAGGTGCAGAGGTAGTTCTCCAACCAGGCGACGTTCTTCACATCCAAGTGGTTGGTGGGCTCGTCCAGAAGCAGAATGTCGGGCTCCTCGAACACGGCACGGGCAAGAGCCAACTTCATCTTCCAACCACCAGACAGAGAGGTGATAGGGCCCTCGAACTGCTCACGGAGGAAACCGAACTCCTCGAGCTTGGCCTCGACATTGGCCTGATCAGGGTTGAGACCGACCTCCTTAAGCTTCTTGATGGTCCAGCCAATGACGGTCTGCTCAGTGTCGGCAGCGTCCAGGTCGTGCTCGACGTAGACGGTCTTGACCTCGTCCTTCTTGGGGAAACCCTCCAGCTGCTCGTTGTTGATGGCACGCATGAGGGTGGTCTTACCGGTACCGTTGGGACCGAGCAGACCGTAACGCTGACCACGCTTCAGACGCAGGTGAGTCTGGTTAAGCAGGATCTTGGCACCGTAGGCCAGAGAGAAGGTGCAGTTGCAAAGATCCTCACCCTCCTCCTCGTCGGAAGGAACGTCGTTCTCAGCGGCGGCGTCGGGGCAAGCCTTCTTGCGGAGCTCCTCAGCGACGGCCTTGGCGTCCTCCTCGCCAACGATGGCAGCGATGTAAGGGAGGGCGTTCTGGGTCCAGCTGGTGACCTCGTTCTCCTTCTCGTCGACGAGCTGACCACCGATAGCACCGACGTAGTTGATGACAGCGTCAGCGCCAGCGACCTTGCCCTGGTGCTTGGCCTCAAGGATCTCCTTCAGGATACCGGCAACGGTGGAGATGTCACCAGCGGTGGAGATCTCAGGGATCTTGCCGTCCTTAACGTCACCGACACGGCACAGAGTGTCCAGAGCCTGCTGGGTCTTGCCACGAGCCTCAGGATCGGCCAGGGTGTCGTTGTTCTTCTCGAGACGGGGCATCAACTTGGGCAAGAAGGGAGCGACGATCTGAGGGTCCTCCACAAGCTTACACATGTTGTCGACGATGACAGCGGACTTACGCTTGATGGCAGTCTCACGCTCAACCAGACCACGGTCCAGCAGGGGAACCATGATGGCCAGGGTAGGGCCAGTGACATCGGAAACGAAAGTAGTGGCACCGAGCAAGTGAACGGTCTCGGGGACGTTCTCAGGCTTGCTGATACACTTGATGAGCTCGGGAATGAAGCGGTCAATATCCTTGTTGACGATCAGGCCGCAGACCTTCTCCATGGTGGAGTAGGCGTACTTCTTGATCTCGGACTTGGTGTCCCACATGGCCTCGGAGACAACGGGGATAAGCTCGGGAACACGGAAGGAGACCTGAGCGGGAGCGGACTCGACGAGAGAGTTGATGCAGTCGAGAGCGCACATCTTCTCCTGCCACTTCTGAGCGTTGGCGAGAGACTCGAGGATGACGGGAACGATGGCCTTGACGGCGTTGCCGTTGATGCCCTTGACGATGGCGTTGGCGGCAGCCTTGGCGGCGTTCTGAACGGGCATCACCTTGTCACCAACGGCGGCGAGGACGGGGCCGAGCAGGGTAACGAGGTGAGGCTCAACACCGGAGGCGATGGTGGAGTGCGAGGCGATGGCGCGGATGGCATCGAGAGCACGCTCGCGGGAGGTGGCATCCTTCTTGTTGGCGAGCTGCTTCTTGAAGGTCTCGACGGCCCTGGAAGAAAAAATTTTCGTTAGCAATCTGTTCCGACAAACCAAAGCCTATCGTTGGAGCTTTTTCACATACTTCAGGGGCAGAGCCTGCTCCGGGATGGGACCGCTCAGAAGGTGAGCAACGTTGCCGGAGGCAGCGTTGACCTCATCCTGAGAGGAAGAGATGTTGAGGTTCTTGATCAAGTCCTCGAGGACAGCGATGGACTGAGCAGTCTCCTTGCCGGAGACAGCAGGAACGGACGAAACATCAGCAGCAGGCATTTTGAACGTAAAGAATTCGGAAAAAAGAATAAAGGAGATAAAAAGAGAAGATAAAAGCAAGAACGAGCAAAAACCGTTCTATGGGGGTATCTCGATAAGAGGTGGCGGCCCACGAAAAACTGCGTCTACAAGAAAAACGCAGAAAAACGCTCTAGGGTGGCCCAGGAAAATCTATTTTTTGTCTAGACAGAAGACAAAAAAGAAAAAGAAAAGTAAAGAGAGGACCAGACCTCTTTGAAGAAGAGATTAGGGATGGGATGGGAGAGGGAAGAAGAAAGGAGGGGGGGAAGTGGACGGGCAAAGATATTTATCAGTTTGTGGCCTCTCTTTTTTTTTTCGCCGCCCAACCCTCCAACACAGCACCTCAGATTAGAAAAAAAATTTTCTTTTCTTTTTTTTTTTCAGTTCCCTGTCCCGCACTAGACCCGGATCCGGACTAGTAGCGATGGCTGTCGAAGCAACCAACCCGATAGGGCCCGTGGCTGCGGTAGGATCAATCAGTGGCTGGTGATTGGTCCGTGGCGAATAAAAAGGAGGGTCGTCGAGAAAAACTTTGAATGCCTCCCATCCACTCACTGCAGGTTGCCTGCCTGATTCGGGACGGACAATCCGAGAATGCAATAGGAGATGCCTGAAATTTAGCCACGGCTCTGCTTCGATGTACGGAGAAACTTCGTGTTCATACTCCGGAGTACGTACCTCGTAGAGATGGGAGAAAAGTCTTCTTCCTGTTGTCGGTCCGAGGCGACCTGATTTTTAATTTTAACCACCACATCTACGGAGTACTCCCGCCCTACATATGCTGTACTCAGACAGCGCCAACTCCTTGCCAGTGGCAGAGAGAACTCGCTTTGTCAACCAATCTCAGGCACAGCCGCTTATTGTAAGAATACACAAAGGCAGACAGCAGCCAGAGCCCCTTTTTGAAAACAAGGCTGAAGGCGTCTGTCTATTCACAACCCCCCCCCCATCCCTACATATCAATGTGCCTGGATTCTCGGCGGTTACAGAATTACGACTCTGAAGCTTTGGTACTAGACTAGGTAGAAAAGGAACATCCCCGGATTAATTTGCAGCGGTGGATGTTGCGCATCCCTTGATAATCCTTCTCTTTGACGGGCTAGGGTTCTCTAGTCCCTGACAGGCCGTGAATCCGGGGATGCAACGATATTGGATAGTCCACCGCGGTTAGTCCCCGTTCTCCCCGTGGAAAATGTGCTAGGCCTGCAGATACTTTGCTGCTATTTCGGTTGCCACCCTCAGGGCGCTCGGGCTTGGTGGCGCAGCCGAAATCCCAACTCCTTGTGGGAAAGAAAAAAAGAAAGGAAAAAATAATATTAAAAGAAAAAAGAAAACCTCGTACGGAAATGAAAGAAAATAATTTTAGAGTTAAGGGGAGCCGTGGGTTTTTTTCAGATCGTCTTCCGTTCTTGCCCGGTACCCTGAGCCAGTGATGTTTGAAAATATATCAACGCGGCAGCTACTACTGAACTGTTCGCAACGTTGGCATGCACTGCATATACTAAATACACGCGTCTGGGGAAACCCCCAAAACAGGGACTAACCGCAGGGGCATACTAATGCTGATGATTGTTGTCCATGCTGATCGACGCCTGGCTGTGGTGATGGTTTGCCCGAATCCTCGCCCTTTGGACTGAAAGTACCATCGAGGGTGGTGGTCTCCTCGGGTTGGGTTGGGGTCCGAATAATAATAGACATGTTCTTTGATTCTTTGAGGTGAGAAATATCGAGCAGGGATATGTCCGGGGTCAATCACAACCTGGTTGATTGATTACTTGTCGCATACCCCCAACGGCTGAAACGCACGGCTTACCTGAGGATGCGACGCGTATCACCGCCATTTCTGATTCGGGCGTTGCATCTCACCGCCGGATGGATAAGATTTCTTACAGCACCAGTAGCCCAAACTGATGAATGTGATAGATTTGACTCTGACAGGACTACGGAGTGGGCTACTGAAAGTATGGGGAAGAAATAAATCAATTGAAAATTCCCAGTCCTTATCGTGGCCTAATCCCCCTTATCGATTGTCGACTATCGGAATTTGAGTTTTGATCCCTCCTTGCCAATTCTCCGGATCCCGCCCACACCATCTTTTTCCCCCGCGAAAATCCCGGAGACAGTGGCAATGCCGAAGGAGGGTGGAAATAATGCAGCACATGCAAAATGAAACAAAAAAAAAAAAAAAGAAAAAAAAAAGGAGAGAGAAAAATTTTTTTTGTCTCCCGGACTCCGTACCTTAGACGGTCTTATTTTGATTCTGATTCTTTTTATTATTTTTTTCTCTCTCAGCCCTTACTCCAATTCGGTTAGCAATAATCAATCAGACCTTTTAATCTAGCCGCCCTTACTGCTGCATACGTTGACATCTCCTGGAGTGCATCAACCACAGTGGGACTAGTCAACCGCCTAGGCAGCACTCAATTAATATACTCAAGTATCGGCTAAGCAGCCCATTTCCCAGGACGCCGCGATGACCTCTCCTCTGAGCAATTCTCATCGACACTTTCTGACTCATGCTGTCATCCCCTCAAATAGCTCGAATCATGACAGCGTCATGCGTGTTTGCTACTTCAACCATTCGCCACCGGCTTCCTGGAATTTATCCTTAAGACCAATAGAATCCGGAGTCGCAACTGATTATTAACACGGCTCACAATCAGATTCTGCTTTCGCGTGGTTACAACGCCCATCAGAAAGACAGTTACTAATCGTTCGGTCTAGGAAGTATATGTTGCCACTGCGGTCATTGCAGTCTTTGCTTTCGTCGTGTCTTGACCTTATTGTTTTGCCCGCCAATTAGGTGGTATGGTTCGAGTGAGAACGTAATAGTCTCGTCATTTCGTCATGCGCGTCTAGTCGATTGACCTGGTCATCCAATACCGAATGAAGCCTTTCAGTTTGCTTAATGTCGACTCCGTCTAGAACTCTACGTGTGGCGATATTCTACTAAAGGCCCGTGTTGATGTCATAGGTAGTGTGAGAGGTTTTCAAAATACTCATTTGATATGGATGAACAACGCGATGCCGAATAATAGAGACAAGAGAAGAAATTCAGACCAGCATCAATCTGACAAAGCCATGCGACCAACAGAACAACTTCCATATCACCGGGAAAAATCATCTTGCTGACAATCGAGCACTGCATCAATCGTTAACGATGTATAAATCGAACAAAGAAAGGTGTCGACCCTGATTCAGATCGGTCGCTTAGTCGCTAGAGCTCGAGCTGGACGAGCTGGACGAGCTTGAACTGGAACTGGAACTCGCGTTGCGTTTGTGTTCCTTCTTGTACTTCATGTGTTTCTTGTGCTTTTTGTGCCTGTTTGGAATCAAAAAAGTCAAAATACTGAAGACACCATGAACGATGGAACAAGCTTACAATTTGCTGGCTAATCCCATCCCAGCAGCGCCAGCCAGTGCACCTCCAGCTGTGCTCAGCAGTCCGCCTCCGATCTTATGGCCAACGAAACCACCGCCAGCAGCACCGAGAAGCGATGATCCGAGACCTTTCTCTCCTTCCTGGGTTCCCGGAGCTGGACTGTGTCCTTGCTGGTGTGGAGGACCTCCCGACTGGGCGCCATAAAAGGAAGCACTTTCGCCTTGGCAGGGCTGCTGCTGCGGATACGGAGAGCCTTGATCATGCTTATAATTCATGTTCTGGCCGTAACCGTGCTGCTGGTCTGGATATCCTTGCTGGGGTCCACCATAGGGCGCGTAGGCCTGCTGCTGGTTGTACGGGGGAGGAGGACCGGAGTATGGTGCCTGTGGGTGATTCTCATAGGGAGCCTGAACAAGGAAAACATCATTTCGTCAGCTTGAAGCACCGCCAGAAACCCGAAGAACACGACGAGGTAGGTCACAGAGCAGACTTACGGGGGGTGGATAGTACGATTGTTGTGGCTGACCGTACTGACCCTGCGGAGGGGGCCCATGGCTTTGTTGTCCCTGATAATATCCACCGTACTGATTGTTTCCAGCCTGCGAGGGGTCATACGGGGGGTATGGATTGCGGTTGTAAGGATCGGACATGATGGACGACGATGAAAAGGAGCACGAACGAATGTACCGATATCTGTTGGGTATATGAGTATTTAAGCCTTCTGGATTTGAAGCGGAGAATGCAGATGATCAGAAGAAGGCTATCATCAGTTTTCTTTCATCAGAGGAGTTGCTGACGGACGCGGAAGGCGCCATGGCCAGCTGCGGTAAGGTCAGCGGGGCGCATCGTCGGGATCGAACGTGGCTCAGCGCGTCACTTCGGGCAAAGAGTGACGGGGGGCTGGAACCACTGGCGGCGTCTGGAAACGACGGCTCACTAGTGTGGATAATACGAGGAATCCTCAAATTTATTTCATATGATATCTTACGACTCTTCGACCTCGTCGCAGAAATATGCATCTATCGGCTCTCATCAGCTTACTCGGTATGCAGCTCGTTAATAGATCAATTGGTGTCATTGAGATGAGAATGTCAGAATTCGATTTGTTCTAATTATGTCGAAGAACCCCCCCTATCCAACAATATGGCCTGAATGTTTGAAAAAGACAGTCATTCTCATTTTCTTAACATTCCTTTTCGACTCTGCTTAATCGCTGTCTCGGCGATTGATCGATATCGGGCACAGCATTGCACGAAATTACTTATGTTTTCGTCGGAACGAATCATGGAGATGTCTGAGAAAAAGCTTTCCACAGCACGCATCAGCTCGATATCTGTATTCCCTCTCGCGACTTGTGGATCTTGCACGATGAGCATGGAGAGAATCATGAGGGCGAACATCACACAATAGGCAATGGAGCTACTCTCAGCTGTCAGTCATGCCTGCCAGATGGAAACCTTGCTAATGACAGAGTTTGATTATGGACTCACCCGCCGAATAGTTTATGGTGTTGAGGAAGATGTTGAACTAGTTCCATTGACTTTCGTGCAGCCTGCACACATAGCTGAGTAGATATCAACGTTCGTGGATTTGGCGAGCGAAGGGGTGGAAGCCGACAAGAACGTGGGTCGAGGTTCATCGACCACGTTGCTCGACTGATCGCTTTTCTGTGAATTGCCAAAATGCAGCTGTAATAGCTGAAATGTACGTAAAAGATGGACATATGCGGATCTCTTCGGATAACGTCATCGGGCCGAGCAACCTCTGGTCGATAGTCCAGGGGAATACCATTCCTCCAGTCTTCGAGAAGTGTGTCGAGCTGACCGACAATTGCAATGATTTCTGGATCACTTTTGTCGCTAGCAGTGGCGGAGTAGAGCTCACGGTACACATGACTTTTCAGAGTCGTTAATCCGGTGTATGAATCAAAAAGATCGAAAATATAAGAGGTAGCGAAGTTATTATTAGAAGAATTAGAATTCTTGTGATTGATGCGATCATCGAAAAGCGTGTTTAGGGATACGGTGGGAATGGGCTGTGTGGGTGGAGTTGCTGAACGGAGTGAAATACTGCAATAGTTAGCGGTTAAGGATGTCGCTCCCTTGGAAAAAGTAAACCTTTTAATGAAGAAAGTACGTACTCGATATCGAGGTCGTATGTGATTGCGAGAACCCTACGGTATGCCGGTGACCGCTCGTATTCGGCAGGGTTTAATCCATGTAATATGCGGAGTGCAAGTGAGACAAATGTCTGTGATGGGGTCGCACTGAATGTTCCGATGAGATACGCAGTCTAGTTCTGAGTGAGCATTTAACCGGACGGACTGAATCGCTATAAGTTTTACCATTGCTAAAAGAGCCTGTGCCGATGACAATTGCGGCCGTTCAATGAAAAAGCTATTTAGCGAGAGCGTGGCATTTTTCCAATAAAGCCATGCCTTTGAGTAGAGCCCTGTTTCGAATGCACAAGAAAGCGCAATCGTGGCATTTATACAAGCCCACCAAGAGGGTGATGACTGAGGGTAAATGGGGTAATCATACTCAACACGGGACATAAACTCGTTCTCATCAAACAAGGGACAAAACGGATTCATTTCTCTGAAGTAAGTGTTAAAAAGTTGCATAGCAACGCTTTTTGGTGGCAATTCTATGAATGGCTGGGTTAGAAAAGCGTCCGCCATGGGGTCGTCGTCGATAAATTTATTTTCAGGATGCAATGGTGAATCAAAGTCCTCGATGTCGATAGTTCCATACCCAGCTTTATCACATAGCCATTTTAACCCCTCGGGAGAAAATATTGAAAAAGACGAAGAGGCTGGCTCGACTGAGTCGGTGTTAGCGGACTGGAGAGGCCTGGACTGCATGCTGATTTACCAGGATTTTCAGGTTGGTCAACAAGGGACCGTGGAAGCATGAAGCACGGTGACGTGAAAAGCATGTGTTCCTCGTTAGATACCTTGGGCGTGTTGAAGAGGAGTGAAATTGGATCAAAGGATATGAAGCCACCCCCATCGCTATTCTGAAATAGAGAGTCATATAGACCGGGATATATTGGAGGCGATTGAAAAAGGGTTGTATTCAAAGACCCTAGCAATGGGCCAATGTCACTTGTATCATGGAGTGATTGGTCCAAGGCGGAGGATTGATTGAAAACCCCATGTCTAGAAAGCTGGGTTCCTGTATTGACAAGCACACACTCGCTGTGGCGTCTCTCACATGCTTGACACTTGAGCGATTTGCTTGACATTTCACATTTTACTTTGCGGCGGCGACACGGTATGCATGCCTACACTCAGATCTCAGTATTTGCAGTCCTTCTCCGAGAGGAGCACAGATGATCTGTGAGCGAAGTGAATCGGACCTTGCCTGCACGCATGCGCTGATAACCATTTCTGGATGCCATGATGGAGGATCATGGAGGAGGACTTGAGCATTGATAATGATGAGAGAAGAGGACGAAGATGATGGTATCGTCGCCGGGCGGGCCGAGTACTTGCAGAGGCGTCGGAGCCTGAGTGGAGCCTGATCGACCACCCACAGCGCGTCCCGAGGAAAGTTTCAACGCTGGAATCCGCATCTCCGAGTGTATTGCTTACCGCCAGCGCTCCCGTGATTACGCCGTCAATACCGTCTCCTTCATTTCCGGGGCCGACCTCCACTCTTCCTAGCTACAACTCACAAGCATGCTGGAGGCTAATGAGCTGCAGATAAGCCCCACGATGGAGCGGACGGCTCCCAATAATACACTCGGACAGACCGATTCCGAGGTGTATCTTACAACGGCCTCGAGATTGTCCCAATTTCTGCGAACCAAGCCCCTGGAAGCTCAAGATGATGACCATCGGACACGCTGATTGGATTGATTCACCACCTTAGACCCTCTCCGGTGATGAAACCTGCATTTATCTGTTCTATTCTAGAACCCTTCCCAGACTAATCATCCGGAAGTCTCCACCCACGGCCACTCTCGGGCCCCGAGTCCGTGCCTGTTGGGTTAGGCAGTAGTACCGGCCTACGGAACGGGGGATCCGGATCGGGTTTGATGCTGAAGTTCACTGAGATTACCAATGGCATTCATTACCGAAGATATGGGGGGGGGGGGGGACTACAGTGGATAGCTCGAATGATATAAAGGGGTGTTTCTTCCCCTGGAGTGGACATTTTGTTTCCTCTCAAGAGATTGATACACCTATTTTCGTCAGGAGAGACACTCTTACATCTCCTTTTCTTTCCTACACCCCACCAGAGTCCATGTTCAGGGCAGTGTCTTTCTGACTGCTGGTAAAATGTCAGGTCCTGGTGGAACGCCATCTTCGGGCGACTCTCGAGAAGACGTCAGAGGCGATCATGAGATAAGCGGTCAATGTGAAACAGACACGGCATCAACTCGCACGAAGTTGGATGGGAGAGAGGATAACGAGGATATAAAAGATATGGAAGAGGAAGTTGAGCAGATGGTGCGACACCTTACCCGCCATTCCACTCGTTTCTCCACCACCGGCGCGAAGAATCCCTTCTTTGAGGAAGACAAGGAATCAACATGGCACCCGGATAGTCCATTTTTCAAGACGAAGGATTGGATCAGATCTCTTTTGGCCGCACAGTCGCGTGATCCAGAACGGTTCCGTCAGCGTAGTGCTGGCGTAGCATTCAAAGACCTCCATGTCCACGGTTTTGGCAGTCCAACTGATTATCAGAAAGATGTGTTCAACTCGATCCTGGGTGTGGGAGGTCTTGTGCGGCAGGCTATGGGTAATGGTCTTCAAAAGGTTCAAATTTTGAATGACTTCAACGGAATGGTCAGGAGCGGTGAAATGCTCCTGGTTTTAGGTCGTCCTGGAAGGTAAGTTTACGTGAAAAGAAAGCAAAACCCCGCCCCATATTTGGTCCACGGCGCGTCTAACCTGCGACTAATATTAGTGGTTGCTCGACGCTTCTCAAGACAATTGCTGGTGAAATGAATGGAATCTATGTCCATGAAAACAGTTACATGAATTACCAAGGTATCACTTTGCGCTGCTCCTACATTTATCTCAAAAAGGATCTAACTAAAGATGCCTAGGTATATCTGCCAAAGACATGCAAAAAAGGTTTCGCGGCGAGGCCATATTCAGCGCTGAAAACGACGTCCACTTCCCACAACTTTCAGTTGGAGACACTTTGACATTCGCTGCTCAGGCGCGGGCCCCACGCACTCGGTTTCCCGGGTTGAGCCGCAAGGAATATGCAAACCATGTTCGCGATGTGGTCATGACAATGCTGGGATTACGGCATACCTTTAATACACGAGTAGGCAATGACTTCGTCCGAGGTGTCAGTGGTGGCGAGCGCAAACGAGTGAGCATTGCGGAGGCCATCCTCAGTGGTGCGCCACTTCAGTGCTGGGACAACAGCACCCGGGGACTGGACAGTGCCAACGCATTGGAATTTTGCAAGAATCTGCAATTGATGAGCAAATACGCCGGCACAACTGCCTGTGTTGCGATATATCAAGCCTCTCAGAACGCATACGATGTAAGTCGGCTTTGTGGTGCAAGACTGAGGCAACAATACGCTAATTCCTTTCACAATAGGTCTTTGATAAAGTTGTTGTACTCTATGAAGGCCATCAGATCTACTTTGGTCCGACCAACGAAGCACGGCAGTTTTTTACTGATATGGGATTTGACTGCCCGCAGAGACAGACCACTGCGGACTTTCTTACTTCATTGACCAGTCCAAGCGAGCGAAGAGTGAAGCCTGGATATGAGGACAAAGTGCCTCGGACCCCGATGGAGTTTGCATCACGGTGGAAGAGCAGCCTGGAATTTGGCAGGCTTTTACAGGAAATTGAAGCATTTGATCAGGAATATCCTATTGGAGGACATTCCTTTACCGAGTTTGGAGAGGCACGTCGATTGATGCAGTCAAAGCAACAGTGAGGTCCCTTGCAACAAAGCTTCACTGACTCGATTTACTAACAACACTACCAGGCGTGCCAAATCTCCCTACACACTATCCGTAATTGAACAGGTGAACCTGTGTCTAGTACGCGGCTTTCAGCGCCTTAAGGGTGATGCCAGCTTGACCACGACTGCCATCTTCGGGAATTTTATAATCTCTCTGATTCTAGGAAGTGTGTTTTATGATATGCCTTCAGACACATCCAGCTTCTATTCTCGTGGAGTCCTTCTTTTCTACGCGGTATTAATGAGCGCATTTAGTAGTGCACTCGAGGTTAGTGAAGTCCCTGGACATGTCTGTGAGTCAGCTAACATCGTCCTAGATTTTGACCCTCTACGCTCAACGTCCCATTGTGGAAAAGCAAGCACGATATGCGTTTTACCATCCATTTGCAGAGGCCATCGCATCCATGCTTTGCGATCTTCCGTATAAAATCACCAATTCAGTGACGTTCAATCTACCTCTTTATTTCTTGTCTCACTTGCGTCGAGAGCCGGGGCCTTTCTTTATTTTTTGGCTTTTCTCTATAGTGACGACATTGACCATGTCAATGATCTTTCGGTCCATTGGCGCTGGCTCACGGTCATTGGCCCAAGCCCTCGTGCCAGCGGCGATACTCATCCTGGGTCTAGTTATTTATACAGGCTTCATCATCCCAACACGTGATATGTTGGGCTGGTCAAGATGGATGAATTACATTGATCCAATTGCTTACGCCTTTGAAAGCTTTATGGTCAATGAGTTCGATGGTCGAGATTTTCCCTGCCTTTCATTCATTCCTTCAGGCCCGGGCTTTGAAAACATCGATCCTACCTATCAAACCTGCAGCGCAGTTTCCTCTTCCCCAGGATTACGGAGCATCAGTGGAACTTCGTATGTTGAGACAACGTACCAATACACTCGTTCTCACTTATGGCGGAATCTCGGAATTATGATCGGGTTCATGGTTTTCTTCATGTTCGTTTATCTACTAGCCACTGAGCTTGTTTCTGAGGCTTTGTCGAAAGGGGAAGTCCTCATATTTCGCCGAGGTCATCAGCCGAAAAATACTCAAGATACGGAGACGCCGTTAGACACGGGCTACAAAGAAGATAGTCCGATGGAAAGTTCTGCTAACATACAACGACAAACCGCAATCTTCCAATGGCAGGATTTGTGCTACGACATCAAAATCAAAGGGGAACCACGTCGGATTTTGGATAATGTCAATGGATGGGTCAAACCTGGCACAGCCACGGCATTGATGGTTCGTTCCTTTCTATAACATTCGAGGCCAAGACAAGCTAACAGCAGATAGGGTGTGTCTGGTGCGGGAAAGACAACATTACTCGACGTACTTGCCACCAGAGTGACCATGGGTGTTGTTTCCGGCGAGGTCTTGGTTAACGGCCAGCCACGTGACGATTCATTTCAGCGGAAAACTGGCTACGTTCAGCAACAGGATGCCCATTTACAAACCTCAACAGTTCGTGAAGCACTTCGGTTTAGTGCTCTGCTCAGACAGCCAGCACATGTCAGCCGGCAAGAAAAATTGGATTACGTTGAAGAAGTGCTTGATCTGCTTGGTATGCAATCTTATGCAGATGCGGTGGTTGGTGTTCCAGGAGAAGGTACGTTAACCTATGTCCAATTTTGTCCGTTGATGATGCCTTATCGGATCAAGCTACTGACTGTCTGACAGGTCTCAATGTTGAGCAACGAAAGCGTTTAACAATCGGTGTTGAACTAGCTGCCAAGCCGCAATTACTACTTTTCCTCGATGAACCAACGTCTGGACTAGATAGTCAGACCTCGTGGTCAGTTCTAGACCTCATCGAAACACTTACAAAACACGGGCAGGCCATTCTCTGCACAATTCATCAGCCCTCCGCAATGCTATTTCAAAGGTTCGATCGCCTCCTGTTTTTAGCAAAAGGAGGTAAAACTGTCTACTTCGGAGAGATTGGCGAAAACTCTTCAACCCTCGCAAACTACTTCATTTCAAACGGCGGCCATGCGCTTTCGGCAGGCGAGAACCCTGCAGAATGGATGCTTGACGTTATTGGGGCCGCCCCCGGTTCCCATAGTGAAATCGACTGGCCGGAAGTCTGGAAGAATAGTCCCGAAAAGCAAGCTGTGTGTGAACATCTGTCCGAATTAAAATCGACCCTATCCCAGCGGCCCAAGGAATCAAGCTCTCAGGATGATTACCGGGAATTTGCCGCACCGACTTCCGTCCAATTAAAGGAATGTCTCTCTCGGGTTTTCTCGCAGTACTGGCGCACCCCGTCATACATCTATTCCAAGCTTGTGTTGTCCATCCTGACCGCGCTATACAATGGTTTTTCATTCTTCAAAGCCAAAAACACACAGCAAGGCCTGCAGAACCAGATGTTTAGCATTTTCATGCTGATGACTATCTTCGGCAATTTAGTACAACAGATCATGCCAAACTTCATCATTCAGCGATCGATCTATGAAGTACGCGAACGTCCCTCTAAGATGTACTCCTGGCGTGTTTTCATGGCTGCCAACATTCTAGTGGAACTGCCGTGGAACTTGCTCGTGGCCATATTGATGTACGTTTGTTGGTATTATCCGGTTGGACTGTATCAGAATGCCGAGCCAACAAACGCGGTTCATGAACGGGGAGCCCTCATGTTCCTGTTCCTGCTTACCTTCTTGTGGTTTACATCTACCTTCGCACACATGGTCATCGCAGGTGTCGAGAACGCGGAAACAGGAGGCAACATTGCGAATCTTATCTTTGTGCTTCTCCTTCTATTTTGCGGGTTAGTTCTCCCCCTCTCGTGTTATTCTACTTGAAGGTGCGTACTGACGAATTGAACAACAGTGTTGTCGCCACTCCCGAAGCTATGCCCGGATTTTGGATCTTCATGTATCGCCTTTCGCCATTCACTTACCTGGTTTCTGGAATGTTATCCACCGCGGTCAGCGGCGCAGAGGTCACATGCGACTCTATCGAAACGTTGACGGTCAATCCACCTTCTAATCAAACATGCTACGAATATCTCGGTGCATTTGCTGCAGCTAGTGGAGGGCGCGTTCAGAATCCGAATGCAACAAGCGAGTGTGCATACTGCGCCATGTCGGGGACGGATACTTTCCTAGCATCCATTAGCAGTTACTGGGGGGATGCATGGCGGAACTTTGGTCTGATGTGGGTTTACATCGCCTTTAACATCGTGGCTGCAATTGGCGTATACTGGCTAGCGCGGGTGCCCAAGGGGAGCAAGAATAAAGGCAGTGTTTGATTGTCAATCACCAGGAACAGCATTCCGCCGTATGGAAGGCATAGGGCTATACTAGGAAATATGTGAGTGGCTTTGCTCGTCTTAGCAGTTCGTTCTTTCTTCCGATTTTCCTTTTCTTTCTTTCATTCCTTTCCTTCTCGTTTTTCTTCCTTTATTAATTACATTTTTCTTTTCTTTTCTTCTTTTTTGTTTTTTATATTTCTGTTTCCGTCATATAGAATGTTCCTGTCGTCTTAAGTATATATCAGCTCTTGTTAATAGTTTAAGTGTTATCCATTGATAAGTCCTACAACTTGACATAGTCAGCACCAAAAACGAAACAAAAATCAACAGAGCAAGTTCACTTTGTCGACATGCGGCTATCCGGTATGGCAACAGAAGAAAGAAATACTCTACATCAGGAGATAAAGTATGTTGGAACCTTAAAGCTGCCCAATGTACTTTAGCCTTGCATGTATCTAGATAGCTCAACTGCAGTTTCCCCTGCACCTCAATTCCAAGCAAGCACTTCATTCACTTTATTCACTTCATTCGCTGGTCGTAGATGTAATAGCCATTCACTTAGCCCAATTCACCTGCATGCCCACGCATTTGAACGCTCTTTGAAGCTTCTCAGGAAGCTTTCCCACCCTCTTCTTGTCATCCACCTACCCATACCCCAAACAGCCTCGCGCTCGCGAACCCAACCACACCATCATCTCATATGATATCTACAAACCCACAATGGACCGAAAGCACAGTGAGATAAATCCATGAGATCTATTTCACATAGATTTGAGATCTGTGCTTATGAAGGAAGAGCGCGGATACCAACCCACTGCCTCCGGTGCCGAGCAGGCAAGTCGAGAATTTAGTGAGAGACTATTGTCTCAATGGCCGATAAAAGACTTCGTGGAAGTCCTTCGCTTCTACGGCTACTAGAAAGGTAAGCCAAGGCTTCCTATCGGAGGGTTTTGTCTCAATTGCTAAGAATATAAATTTGCAGAAGCGTCCTGTCTCCGCCCCCGATAACCCGGCCAAAAAGGCCAAAACGGAGAATGAGATCCGTGAACAGGTAGAGAACCATAATTATATCTGAAAATTAACTAGAAACTTTTCGGGGATTTTACTAACCAGTTTTCTTTAGGCATACGCAGAACTGGAAGCCCAGAGACTGATCATACCAGAAAGACCTATGCATACCAGCCCAAAGCCCCCTGCTCACCGTCTTTCTGAAGGACAATTACAGCGTCAGCTAGAGTTAAATACCAAGCTTGATGGTGTAAAGGCGGCGATCAGAGAGAAGAAGGCCAAGAAAGCCGCCTGTCGGGAAAAAAAGAATCGCATCCTTGGAGGCGGAGATAAAAGAAAGTCCAAGAAGAACTCGGTGCCCTGAAAAAAAGAAACCAAGGGCGTAGATAAGCAGTTCGAAGAGATTGCGCTGCGTTTGAAGGATGCCCTTCCTTTATTTGTTTATTTTTCTTTTTCTTCCCCCCCTCAGATATACACTGAAATAGGGAAGTTTCCCAATGGCCGAAGACAGACAACTCGAGCTCACCTGAGATATGGATGTCAAGAAAGCAGACATTCAGCAGGTAAAAGAAGAAAAGGCTGCTGAAGGAGAAAAAGGAAAAAAGGAGGATCATGATAACAAGCCGAGAAAATGTGATGAAAATCTGGCTGCCATGTCAAAGCAGCAGAAAACTCTAAACGCAGAGTTTCGTGACATCGTTGTGAGGCTGAAAAACATCCGCAATATTTAGCGACTGGGTCTACTGTTTTCTTTCTTTCTTTTTCCTGAAAAAGAAGAAGCATTTACTTTCAGCTACGTTAGTCCTCTACAGTGGAAACGGGGTTCAAGCATCACATGCAGCTCAAACTTACGGGACACTGGTTCCATATCAGAGTGTGGGACGGTGCATGACAATGGTGAACTGGAGGTCTTATGATGTGAAATTAGCATGGTGGAATGGCCCTGAAGAAAGCCAAAGCTGTATCTCGGCCTAGATTCAGGGTCAGCTTGTCTCTGCTACCGGCTCGCCTGGATGTTAATTGATACTACTACTACTACTACTACTACTACTACTACTACTACTACTACTACTACTACTACTACTACTACTACTACAATTCTACTACGCATTGGCTCTTATAAAATACTATGTATGCAAAGTAAAAGCCATTCGATGTTATGTCATAAACAAAAACTTAGAACCTGTATGTCTATGTACTATATTGAGGGATTCATACCGCAAGGAGATAACTAGGCACGATTAAGAAAAGAATAGAAAGAAAATCCTAGATAATATCTCCGTCGCTAATAGCGTTTCTCACTCGGCAAATCATCAATCAGTATGCTAGCTAGCTTCTGCCTGCACTCTAGCTTGGGACTCATCTAGGGGTCATTCGCGCGCGTAATTTACTTGTAAGATCGGGGAACAGTTTGGCTTAGGGGAGCTAAGTAGCTATCCTATCTACAGCAGCGACTGCTCTCCTGCTGTCTGACTTCGAGAGGTATAGATAGTAGCTAAAATTAGGAACTTGCCAATGTTTTCATGTAGAAGAGTTTCTATCAAAGGAACATCTTCGTCTACAGTAAGTGTTCATGTTGAAAAATTCCAATCAAAGTAGCATTTCCCTCTGGGGTGCCCAATTCTCCATGGGTTCTGGCCAACGAAGAAGATGGGTGGTCGTAGGGGTGTTGGCTCTTCACTGTGGTCCAGGTCACCTGCCCACCCCCTCCTCGAGTTCAAATTTCACTTCAGAAGACTTTCCCCCTTCTTCTTCCCTTCCCCCCACCACCCCCTCCGTCGACCTCGCCTTCGCCAACTCCATTTCCATCTCCATCTATCCATCCATCCATCTATCTATCTATCTATCTATCTATCAACCTGATCAAAATGCCTCCCAAGAAAGGTGAGCTAGATTCATGAGGTCCACTTCACATTGATCCAAGATCTGTACTAATGAGAGAAGAACCTGCCGCCCCCCTCCCCCCTCAGCTGGTAAGTCAAGGCTTTCCATCTAGAGACGCTTGTCTCCGTGGCTGAGAAATGTACTTCATGAAGCCTGGTGTCGAAGAGCCCGTTGCCGCCGACATTGGTGGCCCCTCCCCCTTGACCAGCCAGGTAAGTTGAGGTCTTCTGCCATGCGACTGGGTCTCAGTTGCTGATAAAAGACTTCATCGAAGTCCTCTGTCGCCCCCCCTCCCAGCCAGGTAAGTCAAGACGTCCTTTCACCAGATCTTGTCTCAATTGCTAAGAAGATAAACTTGTAGGAATGTGCGCGTGTGCCAGGCGCCTCCTCCGCCAACGAGGAGGCGGACCTTCTTGAAAGGCTGGAAAGCATCATGCGCAAGAAAGAAGATGTAGAAAATAGAATGGCCGCCTGCAGAGAGAGAGCAAAAGCTGCCAAGGAAGAATTCAAGAAACATGAGGAGAATATAGCTGCTATGGATGAGCGGTTGGAAACTTTGTACGCGGAATCCCGGCGAATTGACTCTTGCCTCAAGAACGGGTGTTGATTTGTTCGGGGTTTTTTTTTTTTTCTTTTCTTTCGTTTATTTTTTCTATGTTGATAAAACCAAGTTTTTCAATGAGAAAAATGTTCTCCAGTTAGTTTGAAGAAATAGTAGAGCAGAACATCCAAAGTCCTAGAACGATATTCAGGCCTTGATGTGGGTAATCTACAGTTTTCAGTCAAAGTATAGCGAGACATTCATTATTCGACAGGTCCTAGATACTCAGACTGACTGGCAGTTCCTGTGTAGTAGAACTCATTCCCCCCTCTTGTGTCTGAGAACTCGCGGTCTAGAGCAGAGTCTCCACGAGCCGAGTATGGCGCGGGAGCGAAGAAAAGCGCGTCGAAACCTGTTCTTAGTTTCCATCGCATTATTTGTTTCTGAGTTGTTGTTTTCCCACCTCATTGTTTGTTTCTGGGTTGATCTTCTTGCATCTCGCCTTTTTCTCAGCTCATCCCTTCATCTAGTTCTTTGTTGTCGCCGAACAACTCTCGCTCCTGTGAAATGCTATATAAAGTGAACCCTATTCGCAATAATTTCGGCAATGAACACGAAAAGCTTCCATCTGCATACCCAGCTTTTCTAAGTCCGTTGATCGAACAAAAAGCTTCATACAGAATGAGAAACATCGAAAAGAAGCAAACAACAAAGACCAAGAAATTACCCCAGGACCGCCATGTGCAGCATATCAGCAGGGCAGGGTGTGGAGTATTTTATCCACTGCAAATTAACCCCGAGATTGGCGATTTTGGGTCAAATGACGGATGTATGAGAAGGTCCTTCGGTTAGTCGGCGAGCTTAAGACATACTGGGTCAACGATAGCTTTATTGGCGACGTAAGCACTCTGCGGAAAAAGAATGAGGCAACAGGGCTCTACCTCATGAATATACCGAGTGCGCGTAGTCCCTGACATGTATACACAGGACAGGGAACGGAGAACATGCAAGATACTCGTTACCAGATGTTACTGCAAAAGAAATACCTACAGGGGATCCCACCGTCAAGGTTTAACTATTCGCGATATCTTAGCCTTGACACTGAAAACCGGTTTGAAAATCAACCATGATGACCAATTACGGATGTCAATAGTGACCAAAAGCAGAATTGGAATTGATCCTTGGAGTCCAGCAAGTGCAATCATCGAAGTCTATTCCCTTGAAGACTCCATTCTCTGTCTAAGGTCCCTCAGCACGTCAACCTTTTCTAATGACACGCTGTGCTCATTTCGAACCTCGACCGTCTGAATACCGCGAATCGAGAAAAGGCCCTGAATCCCGGGGTTGAGCTTTATTTCGTCATCCGTTTTATTGGAAACGAGGTCATCCGGAAAGATGAGACGCAGAAATCTGAGTCGTTTCAACTGACGGAGAAGCTGTACACACCTCACAGCATGAAGAGTAGGTGGCTTGCCATAGGGGTCCTCGATATCTGGCTCGTTCTCGACAGTAGCTTCTATATCACTTCTGCTCTGCCATGCAAACTCAAGGGATTCAATATTCTCGCGACCGACCTCACCGACTGTAATGGCGAGCTTGATAAAGTCGTCCATGTCACCCAAGCGGAACATCGTCCTGCGATGTACCAGTGGGAGGGCTTCTGTGCGTATCTGTCGGTTGAGGTTGATAAGACTCAGACCGATCCTAAGTGGAAAATAGAAGCCAGTCGGGTCACCAAGGCCTCCAGCCAGGTTGACACCTCCGAGATAGTCCGCGTTGACCACTTTCCATTCCTGTCGGGGTATGGCGTATGTGTAAATCCTATCGCGAAGTTCTCTGGGGAGCTTAAGAAAGGCTGCCCCCGCGACAGGGGTGATTTCATGCGCTAACTATCGAGGGTTTGCTTTGTGCTTAGAATATGACCCTGACAAATAATAAACATGGAAAAGGGGCAGGCGTCATATACCCTAGCGACCGCCATGGTAACCGAGGCTTCTTTCTTTGTCAGCTGCAGAGGCAAATGGAACCCGAGGGCGCAATGCACATCCGCCGTGAAGCTGTATTGACATATGCGGTTTTTTCGTTCAAGCAAAACGGAATCCCGACAGCCAGAAATTCGCTCGAGGCACGTCAGTCGGAAGTTCAGAGCCGAATCCGAGAGTCCGTACCTACTTGGACCACGCCTGGGTCGGGAAAGAGTCTCTCCGACAAACCAGCCGAGTCTGGACGACGTTTTGCGCTGAGATGCTCCTCGAGCTCCTTTCGAGTCTGGTCGTATATGCTCTCTAGTACCGGAGTCAGGTCCGAGTAAAAGCGCTGCACGTCATGACGGAATTCCGGCGAGCTCGTCAGCTCATAGCCGAGAGACTGCTCCATCTGACCGAGCGAGACGAACGGACTGCGTTTGGCCATGGTCGCTGGGCAGAGTGAAGCAAAGCGCCTTGGTTGTGGACGGAGTGAGTTGCCTTCTTTCTTCGCCCGAGTTCTCGTCAGGCTCAACGCGGCTAATCGTTAGCCCGGGCCAAAGGCCTCTGGTATGACATCATCGCTGGTCGTCGCAGTCCACCGAGAGGATAAGGATACATGGTAACGGGCAATTTCTTGAGCCCATTTGAACCTCCCGGGGGCCTTTTTTTTCTGCTACTGGAAGAAGGTCTACCTAGTTGCACCTACGATCGAAGATGGCCGCCGTGGGTTGAGGGATACTTGCTCTTAGATTGCTCTTCAGGCTATTCCCCATACGACGACGGAAGGCAAGCGGTTCTTTCTCTTTTTCCTTTCCTTTTCTTTTTTTCTTCTTTCGTTTCTCTGCTCTGATCCCGCCCCTCCATCCCGCGGTCCCTCGATGAAGTGCCTGGTCTAGTAGGCGATGGGGTCAACCACTGTACGTATAATCATCTTTGGGATGCCATCGCCAGGCTGATCTTGTCTGCAGGAATCAGGGAGAAATCACGTGGACGTGGTAGGGGTGGTGGGACTGAGTTCGTGATGCTCCCACTTCTCGAAGTCGACGAAATCGAAGAGGTCGGGACTGGAAGCCGTGGAGCCCGTCTTCATCGTCGCCGATCCCTTCGGACGCTTGGAAGGGTTGCCGGCGCATATCTGGCAGCGCTTAAGGAGAAAAATCACGTCCGACCGCAGGATGCCGTAGTAGGAACTGCGGATGTTGTCCCAGGTCGCATCCCACCCTGCGTGACCGTTGTGCTCATGTGTGGCTTCGACGACGCTTGGGATTTGGTCCTCCGTTACCACAGCCCGTTCTCGTGGCTCGCCTTTCTTCGGCACCGCCGTCAAGCTTTGCGTTGCTGGCGTCCACCGAAAGGCCTTGCGGACATAATTTCGGCGACTAAATTCACGTTGGGAGGAGAGCTGCGGCCGGGCAGTCGTCAACCATTCGACAATTGTGTCACGTTCTCCGGATGATACCCGGCGGTTGCTTGGGTGCTCGCTGAGGTACTGGAGAAATTGGAGCTTGGTGCTCTCGTTAAAGGAGGCGAGATCGCCCGCGCACGCGCCACTCATGTTCGCCAGATTTGGCCTCCAGCTTACGCTCCGTCTCCGCGTCAGCCTTGGCCCTAGTGGGCGATACGCCGCCCGTCGAGATGCCAATTGACGTGTACGCCTCTAGTCGAGACTAGACGCTTATGCCCCACCGGTCTATTAGTAGACATGCCCGGGCTGCTTGGCGCCATCTGGAGCGCTGCGGTCTGTCAAAGATTTCCAGCATCCTTGCATGAATTGGCACAGCACTTTCGACAAGAAATCTTGTGTGCTTAGTGAAATCTCCATCCCCCGTCGTGCCCATGAATCCGCGAAATACACGAGCATAAAAACAGCGAATGGCCGCCCCAGCCTCCGTTGTTCGGTTTGAAGCCGGTGTCGCCGCGACGGACTTCGCTGACATCTGGAACCTCGCCATAGCTCGGTATGAAGAGACCACCAAAACAGAGTTGGTGTCGCTTTCGTCGGCCGGCACGGTGGACGACGTCTTGCGCGAAATACGTGGCCGAGGCTTGCTTTTCAAACTCCGTCGCCACAAAAGTTCCAGGATCGACACATTTAGAGCCCTCGTGACGAGAAGCCTCAAGCCTATTCAGGTCGTGACGGAAACCGTTGGACAGGGCGTCTCAAATGTATGTCCCGGAGTCACTTCTACCCTGCTCAGCAATAGATATTGACATGGGCCCACCGGAACAGGTTTTCCCTCCGGGCATGGCTATCTTTACAGCAGTGCGCTATTTGATATCTGTAGGGCAGATCATGGGATCGCTGAATGGATCATGACTCTAACAAGCTTCAGACTGCCAACGCTGTCTCAGCGGATTACGATAAGTTAACGGAATTCTTTGAAGATCTAGACGCCTACCTGGGTAGAGTAAAGGTCCTGGAGTCTCGGATGTCACTCATACCCGAGCTCCAAAATGCCCTGGCCGAAGTCCTCAGTTCGGTGCTCATTCTTTGCGGCATCAGTGCAAGATACATCAAAACCAGACGGATCGGTGAGTCAAATACATCCTCCTTCCTCCCATAGTATTCGTCGATGGGTTCTGCTGCCCTGAATTCCCGATATGCAAATGATCCTTCTCCCTACCTCGCTCTTTGTTGATAATAATTCCCAATCAATGTTCTAATGAAATACTATATACAGTGAAAGCCTTTCGAAGTCTTGTCTCTGGGCAAGACGAAGAACTTGCATCTGCATACGCAGCTTTTCATAAGGCCGTTGAGCGAGAAGAAGGCATCGTCAGAAACGCAATCCTGGTAGCAGTGGAGCAAAACCGCAGGGAAGCAGACCGCAACCACCAAGAAATCACAGAACATACGAGAAAGATAGATGGTATGTCATTGCCAGCTTTTGTGAGACTGTCACGGCCTAATGCAAAACCGCCACACAGATAAAGAGGCCAGCTCGGAGCGCAAGAGAGTCCTGGAAGGGTTGTCGTCGTTGAGCTTCGACGAAAAGCAAAATGACACTTTTGAAAAACGTCATGAAGGCACTTGCCAGTGGGTGCTGGACAGTGATGAATTCCAGAATTGGTTCAAAGGCAACCCAAGATCAAGGCTGTGGTGTCGTGGAATCCGTACGTCATTTCTCCCCACTCACTATCAGACACCGAGTCCAGTCGTACTTACATTCTAGCCAGCGGGATCTGGGAAGACGTTTATCATGTGAGTGGTCTGGACAGTCGCACCCTAGGAGCTCCACTTAAATCGTTTTGGAATTTGCAATCAGCTGATGTGTCGCCTAGATCGGCCGCCGTCAACTACTTGACCGACATTACCGAGAGAGCAAAAGCTGCTGTTGTCTACATATATTGCGATTACAAATCCCAAGAGACACACTCGGAAACCCAACTCTTGTCTAGCATAGCCCGACAGTTAGCCGAGCAAAGTGGCTCTATACCAGAAGAGGCAAGAGACTTCCTTGACAAAGCTGCAGAGAAAAACCGACACCCGTTTGTTGATGAATGGCTGTCTTTGATTCGATCGCTATGTTCCAGGTTTGAGGAGACATACGTACTTGTTGATTCTCTGGTAATTGAAATCTTCCTTCGACGCTGGACCTCGCATGCTTACTGATGGTTTCGTACGTCTAGGATGAGTGTCCTGAAAAGCGCCGAGATAGCTTCCTGCGGGCGATCAACAAACTCGAGTTGTCCATTCGGTTCCTTTTCTCTTCCCGTCCACATATCGACCTTCCCATTGAATTTGGGCACGTGGCGAGACTTGAGATTTCCGCCAGGAAATCCGACATCGCGGCATACCTGGAGTCTGAGATTAAAAATAGCAAATCACTATCCAGGCTCATCGCCAAAGATCCCAGCCTGAAGAGTGATATAATTGAGAACCTTAGTCGCAATGCTTCAGGCATGTAAGTATATGGCGCAAACCCCTGACCTGTTGAGAAAGAAAACCAGTTAATGGGACTTGGAAAAGGTTTCTTTTGGTACACCTCCAGATCAATAGGATTAGCGAACCACATAACCTTATCACCGTGCGGGAAGCCATCAAAGCAATGCCGGTGGGAGTTGAAGAAATGTACGACAATGCCATGGAGCGAATTGAGGTTCAGGGGCTGGAAACGGTGCAGTTGGTCAAAAGAGCCTTCTCGTACATATTTCGGGCCAGGAGACCATTGCAAGTTGAAGAGTTGCAACATGCTCTAGGCGTAGAGACTGCGGACACCGACTTTGACGAAGCTGCTTTGCTTGATATCGACACTCTCCTTAGTGCGACCGCTGGACTGATGAGGGTTGATGAGAAGCGGAATGTAATAGGGCTTGTCCATCAAACTCTACACGAGTACTTCGAGAAGAACCCGGGCAGGTTGCTTCCAGACCCCGATGCCGAGTTTGCAAGGGCCTGTATTCGCTACTTATCCTTTGCTACGTTTGATGAGGGGCCGTCTCAGGACGCCGAGACTCTCAAGCGGAGACTAGGTGAATATCGATTTCTTGACTATGCCTGCCATAACTGGGGGTTTCACCTAATGGAACAGCGTCCGGGCCAAGATGAGCTTGCGATGAGCTACTTGGCCCAAAGCAAGAAGCTGGCATCCTCCACCCAGGTTTTGCATGTGACCCCCTATCAGACCAAATTACGGGTTGATAGGTTTCCGAAGAATTTCGGGCCCTTGCATGCCAGCGCATACTGGGGCCTCCAAGGGGTCCTTCATAGGCTGTTACGCAATCGGATGCCGGCCGATAGTCGAGATAGCTACGGAGTGACTCCACTTCTCTTAGCGGCAAAGCACGGTCATATGGAAGTCGTGGGGATTTTGCTCACGGCGGGTGCCGACATCAACGCACAGAGCAATAGTGGAGAAACAGCTCTATACTGGGCAGCTCGAAATGACCACCAGCAAATCGTGCAGTTTCTCCTCGAACGCGGTGCCGAAATCGTCCAAGATAATGAAGGCTGGACTGCAGTCAACTGGGCGATTCTAAGTGGGCATCTCGAGTTGGCCACACTTCTGTTTGAAAGCTTTCTTGTTACGGACGCTGAACAAGACCGTATAAACCAGGCGTTCTTTCTTGCAGCCGAGGAAGGAAAGGATGGTATGGTGCAAATGCTCTTGGATCACGGAGTGGACGTCAATGCCAAAGACTGGGCGGGCAGCACGGCCCTGGATTTCGCGTCCACAGTAGGACATGGACCTACGATCCAGGTGCTTTTGAAGAACCAGGCTGATGTCAACTCGAGAGATAGATACGATAACTCCGCTCTCCACTGGGCTGTTTCGCACGAGGGCATTGTACGGCTTTTGTTGAACAACGGAGCCGATGTCCAAGCCAGGAACGATTGCGAACAGACTGCACTCTGCTGGACCGCCCAAAGTGGGAACGTCCCAGTTGCAGAGCTCTTGATTGAAAGGAACGCCGATGTTAATGCCCAGGATAGTGGTGACATTGCTCCCATCCACCGGGCAGCTTTAAGGGGGTCTGAAGACATGGTTCAATTGCTCCTTAAACATGGGGCGAACCCCAACCTGAAGGACAAGGACGGGTGGACACCGCTACATGGTGCATGTTTGAAAAGCCACGAATCCTTAGTCCAAATCCTCTTGGATAAGGTAGAAAAGGGCCAGGAAATCGTCGCATCTTTGGTCGCGCAGAAAGAAGACCCCAAGCGCCATTCGATGTTGATGAAGCTCGCAGAGGAAAAGTGCCAGGGAAGTACAGTGCTCACCGGCCTGCGTTTTGCTGCCCAAGAAGGGCAGGCTGGTCGATTGCAGGCAATGCTGGAGAAGGGAGCAGAAATAAATGCAAAGGACGTTGGGGGCTATACCGCGCTTGAGCTGGCAGTTTATCAGCAGCACGAAGAGGCTGCCCGAGTGCTCCTCGAGAATGGCGCCGATGTCAATATCCGCGGATCCGGAGATCGTCCACCGCTGGTATATGCAATTGAAAATGCCGACGAAGCAATGGTGCAGTTGCTCATCAGGCATGGAGCGGATCCGATTGCCGGCACACATGGCTCAGCTCCCATAATCATAGCGGCTGATATCGGTAGTATCGAAATCATACAGTACCTGGCTGGCGCTGGGATTGACATTAATGTTCAAGACCACCTAGGGCGGACGGCCTTGCACCTCGCGTCGTTGAATGGACGACTAGAGGTTCTGCACTGGCTGATTGACCAGCAAGCTGATCTGGACACTGCTGATGATTGCGGCCAAACGGCTCTCATGTTGGCCATTGAGAATTTACAGCACACAGCAGTAGAATTCCTACTCAAGAAGGGAGCTTCCATCGAAAAGAGGATGAAGGGTGGCGCCACAGCACTCCACTTGGCAACTTTCGTCGGAGATCGAAGAATTATCAAGATGCTTCTGGAAAGTGGTGCCGATGTCAATGCAAGCACGCAGGAGTGCTGCACTGCACTGCACATCGCCGCTTTTAGAGGGCTCAAAGCTGCTACACGGGTGTTGTTGGCCAATGGCGCCAATCGCAGCGTTAAGTTTCAACCGTTGAAAGTTGGAAATGATGAAAGACATGGTACCTTTCAGAAGACGGAGCAGGAGATTGACTTTTCGAGTAAACTTCTGAATGACATGGTGCTTGCGAGTCAGAAAGCGTCTCTGGAGATGGACGCAGAGGAAGGACTGACAGCGGAAAGGCTTGCAGGCATCTGTGGACATGCGTCAGTGCAGCGCCTGCTTCGAAAGAATACCCCATAGTATTTTGCATTTAGGAATAGGGTCATTCGGGTACAATGTTTAGCTTGTCTGTATCATTTGAGCTTCTTGACATCTTTCTATTTCAGCAGTGTTTTCCTCTCGCAGGATCCAAATTATTCCCTGACCATTGAGGATCGAACTTTTCTTTTTTTGCCTAGTGGTAATTTGCAATATTCCTCAACAGTTCGACTGCATATTTGCCCGATTGTGGGGAGGTAAGCCAATATCGGCGGATTAAACCCCCGGTTCCTGCAGCCTCGGCAATGCCGATCCTTCGAAAGGTTGATTCTGGCAAAAGTCATAAGATAAGGCTTTTTGATAGGGTTTGTGTAGCAGCTTATCCCGTCAAAAACTCTTCCAACAGGCAGGTATCCATCGGCGTTCTCCGTTCACCATGCCCTTACCTATCAAGGTAAATGTGTGTGTTTTGATCCGTGCGATGCACTAGTACTAACATCCTGGATCACCCCACCTTTAGCGAGGTGACGCTTGGATCAACCCCAGCTTCCCTGACGTTTCGCTCGACCTTGCAGGCGTTGTCTCTCTGGCGGATATTTCTACCAGTTTGCAACGGACCGCGCTCACGGGCACTGCCACTTTATTGGACTGCTTGGTCCTCTGCCCGGGCTTCCATCTCCAGCAACACGCTGACGAGCTCAACAAAGGCGAGCATCCGGCCGCAGCAGCGTTAACTTCAGGCTATGTCTTCAGAATCGAAAACCCGGCCACTGTGTATTATCTGCAGAAGATCGGTAAAACCGGCAGTCTTACCACGGTGAGAGTCAGAGATGTGAGAAAGAGACAGAAGAAGAATGCTCTGCTGGAGACGCTGTTCACGGTGGACACCGCGAATGCTGTCTCTATCGGCGCACATGCCATTGCCGTCTCCTTGACCCTCGCCGTCCTTGTGATTGTTGGTCTCATGAGAGACTGGTGGGGCCTGTTCGTGACCTTGATCCTGGTCCTCGCACGCCTTCTCAATGTCGTTCTGATTCGACGACGCTGCAAGCTGAAATGGTCGGGAGCGGTTGAGGCAGATCGCCCGGGAGATTTGCTCGTGCTCCTGAGTCAGGACCGGTGGATCAAAATCGTCGGCGATATCAATCAGATCAAAGCCGTCTCTTCCGGTCAGTGGCTCCAGGACATGTCGGCCCCCGAGAGCTGGATGGCGGCCTTCGCCACCGTCTTGGTGTATCTCAATGCGGCGTTGGCCAGTAACGCCTCGCAGTTTGGCAAGGTGCTCTTGATCTTGCTGCTGATCGTGTCTGCGGGTCTACTGGCCGCGGCAAATCAGTGGACGGATCAATTGCAGATGCACGGATACGTGCTTGAACTGGCCAAAGGGGAGACCAAGGCCTACGAGAGACGACTTCACATGGTGAAAGACCTGGTTGAGCAGTATGATGGAAATCCCGACTGGGCTCTGCGCTTGGGACTGATCAACCCGGAGGATCTGCACGGTCCCCGGCGGCGAGCGAGAGAAGATATCATGGTAGACCGAAGCAGTGAGGAGTTCTCGGTGTCGTCCGAGGAGCGAAGGTCAGTTCGCAATCGAGGGAGGGACAGAGCGAGTGAGGATATCCGGCCGGCGATCATGTGAAGACAGACCGGAGAGCAAACAGACCACCCGGAACAAACAGGGCCAACAGGGTCGGTCGGGGTTGCTCAGTGGGGCAGGCCGAGCCGACCGAGAGCGCGGGCGTACGGAGTGGATCTCCGAAAGCTTGTCGGAATTAATAATGAGTCGGCCGATGACAGCCTGAGGCTTCGGAACGTTTTCCATCGAAGAACCTGAGCCGGTGGGTCTGCGAACAGGATGGGTCTTTATCTTTCGTCATGTTCCCGATCAAATTTTTTGTTGTTGTCGCCTTCAATCCATTCCTTTTCTCTTCTCTTTCTTCCTCCCTCTCACCATCCTCTCTTACTGCGCTCAGTCTATACCCCAGCTAAGCGCAAAATGGCGTTCATTCTTCAGTATCGCGCTCTGCGAAAGCATGTCAACCAGCTAGTCGCAGACGCCGGCAACACCAAGGAAGAGACCTCTCCAGACTTCTCTTCACCGAGTAAGATCTCCAATCCGTCCGAAATCCCTGGCGTGTCGTTGAAATCGGATTGTAACGGTGAGCAGTACTTCGAGGTAGGCTGGGCCGCAGATGATCCGTTCAATCCGCAGCTATGGTCCAATCCTCGACGAGTATCTGCCACGATGACGGTGTGCCTCGTGGCGTTGGTGACCACGATGGCATCTGCTATCGATTCTGCTGTCATCACAGAGGCTTCTAAAGAGTTTGGGGTGTCGGAAGTGGCTGAGTCACTCGCAACCGGTCTGTACCTGGTCGGATTCGGCGCCGGCGCTCTCATTGCCAGCCCTCTCTCCGAGATGGTTGGTCGTTACCCGGTCTACTTGGGAACCCTGATCATCTTTGGAGCCTGGATTCTAGGAGCAGCGTTGGCCCCCAACTTCGGTGCGCAGATCGCGTTTCGCTTTCTTGCTGGAATTACCGGTTCCGCGCCTTTGACCGTGGCTGGAGGCTCCATCTCTGACATCTGGAGTACTTTGGAAAAGACATTCGGCTTTCCTACTTTTGCCATTCCGGCATTCGGTGGTCCTATCCTTGGTATGGTTGTCTTTCCGTTGTCACTTGTATTCATTTGGCTGACCGTGATGTAGGACCGGTGGTCGGAGCTTACATCGGATACAGTCCGCACATCAGCTGGAGATGGTCCGAATGGATCATGCTGGTCTTCGACGGTCTGGTAATCGCGACCATCTTCATCTTCAAACGCGAAACGTTCGCGCCTCGTCTTCTATACTACAAGGCCCGGTTCTTCCGTCAGGTAACAGGGGACGCGCGATTCAAAACCGCGATCGAAGCCTCCGGAACTGGAGACATTTTGTCCGTCGTCAAGCGGGACTTTAGTCGCCCGTGGATCCTTCTTCTCGAGCCAATTGTCATTTTCTTCACTTTTTACCTCTCGGTGGTGTACATCGTGCTGTTCACCTTCTTGGACGGGTATCCGTACATCTTTGGAGAAGTCCACGGCCTTAACGACGGTCTAGTCAACATCTGCTTCCTCGGTCTTTTCATCGGTATTGTCCTGACAATGATCCTTGTCCCAATTCTCTACCGCCGAACCGCTAGACAGCTCAAAGAGGACGGCGACGATGGCTCAGGACGCATGCTCAACCGAGAATCGCGTCTCTTCTTCGCGCAGATCGGTGCTCCCGCCATCCCCATCGGCCTGTTCTGGATGGGATGGACCAACTACGTAAGTCCTTCGCAACTACCCCCATCAACATCATACTGACTTAAACCAGTCCTGGATCTCGGTGTGGTCGCCCCTCGCAGCCTCCGTGGTGATCGGATTCGGCATCATCTGCGTGTTCCTGTCTGCGTACATGTACATCATCGACTCTTACCAACAGTACGCCGCATCCGCCCTCACCTTTGTCGCGCTGGTGAGATACCTCGCCGCCGGAGGGATGACGGTCGTGGGAATACCCATGTACCGGAATCTAGGAACACATTGGACGTTGACGGTACTGGGCATCATCAGTGCCGTGGCGATGCCGATTCCGTACATTTTGACTTTCTGGGGACCGTCCTTGCGAAAGAGGAGCAAGTGGGCGACTGCTTTGTCGTCTTGATTGCTTTCATGCACCCGGCGTGGTTACAGCGGTGCTGTCTGTGATAAGGATTTAATTAGACTCGTATATATAGATGGATTTACATGTAATAGACTAAAACGGGGTGATAGAATCGACGGGTGGAGGAATGTACGCTTTTGCCATTATTTAGTGCAAATTACTATATAGTCGATAATTGATTCATAATTTAGACTTCAGTTCTCACTCGCAAACATGTATGCCATAACACACCCTGATTCATAAACTCTACGGCGATAAAACCAGTCCTCTGAACGAGTCCAAACCAAGACCGGTACGGGTAGATCGGCGGATGAGCGGCGAATCCTCAAGAGGAAATAGAACGACACCGAAGTAAATCCGACGGTTCGCATGACGTCACCCTTTGGCATTCTGGCAGGTCGATCCGCCGTCGGATTTAAGTCAATCGGGCTCGGTATCCACAAGCATATAACGGGGCCGAAGCATACTACTACCTACAACACCTCCGCTGCGGAGTATCCGAACCAACAACTACACTGCCATAAGATAAGGTCGTATTCGGCACCGGAACGCATCCTGAACACATCACCCCATCGATTTATCATGCCCCTACGAACGATCCAAGGCCCCGCCATCTTCGTCGCGCAGTACATCTCCGACGACGCGCCCTTCAACTCCCTCGACGGGATCTGCGGCTGGGCAGCGAGTCTCGGCTACAAGGGGATTCAAATCCCGCTGGACACGCGACTGATTGACGTTGAGCGCGCGGCGCACGACACAGACTACTGCGCCTCGCTCCAGGCCGTGTTCCGGCACCACGGCGTCCAGCTGACCGAGCTGTCGTCTCATCTGCAGGGCCAGCTGGTCGCCGTGCACCCGGCCTACGACAGCCTGTTTGACGGGTTTGCGCCGGAGCACGCGCGCGGGGACCGCGTGGCTCGACAGCGCTGGGCGACGGAGGTGCTACTGCTCGCGGCGCAGGCGTCGAAGAACCTAGGCCTGAAGGCGCATGCGACGTTCTCGGGGGCCCTGGCTTGGCCGTATATCTACCCGTGGCCGCAGCGGCCGGAGGGGCTGGTTGAGGCGGCGTTCGAGGAGCTGGCGAAGCGGTGGCGGCCGATTCTCGATGCGTTTGATGCGTGTGGTGTCGATGTGGCGTTTGAGATCCATCCCGGGGAGGATCTGCATGATGGGGTGAGTTTTGAGCGGTTTTTGGATGCGGTGGGGGGTCATCGTCGGGCTTGTATTCTGTACGATCCGAGTCATTTTGTGCTGCAGTGTTTGGATTACCGTGCGTTTGTGGATAGGTATCATGAGAAGATTAAGGTGTTTCATGTTAAGGATGCAGAGTTTGTGCCGGATGGGCGTCAGGGCGTGTACGGGGGTTTCGGGGACTGGACGCAGCGGGCGGGGAGATTCAGGGCACTTGGGGATGGGCAGGTGGATTTTAAGGGGATATTTACGAGGCTGACGAGGTATGGGTATGAAGGGTGGGCAGTGTTGGAGTCGGAGTGTGCGTTTAAGGATAAGATTGTTTGTGCGGAGGAGGGCGCTGGGTTTATTAAGGAGCATATTATCCCGGTTGCGGAGACGGCGTTTGATGATTTTGCGGCGGCGAAGGTCGATAGGAGGGAGATTGATGCGTTGCTTGGGCTGGAGTAGGTGGAGATTGTTTTGGCATTTGATGTCTATCGACTAGTTTTCTCGGCTTTCTGTTCTAGGGCATGAGGGAACTTATCATTCAACCCCATTCAGTACTCACTAAGTCTCCTGCGTACCCCTGTGATTCAAAAACTTTCCATCATGCGTCTCTTTCGTCGACTCATCAATCAAGCGCACAACGCCAGGGAGCCGAGGACAACCGCAGCGATCTAAAAGGATAAAAAGGTCATCAGGTGAATGAATTGATTGAGAAAGGTAGAAAGATCTTCCGTGTTTGCATGCATAGAAAGGCCGGTAAGCAAACGATGAAATGCTTGGCAGCCTGTACTTGACGGAATAGATTTCCACAACGCAGTCATCACCTTTTCTCCACATTCCTGATTAACTCTGCTGCCTTTCACATTCCATCTCTACTGATGTCTCAATTACAGCCTAGACACGAAAGCTCGAGTGCAAATCACGAGCCTGACGCGCCTTCGCCGTCTTATCCCCCGTCAACAGGCTCGTCGCGTTGCGAATCATCTCCGACACCTTAGCAATATCCCCTTGGCTAATGACCTCCCCGGACCGTGCCCACCCCAGAGTAAACGGCAGGCGCTCGTTCTCTGCGATCACGATTAGCATAGCTTCATGAGCTGGCGCATGTCAGCAGGACCTACCGAAGAAATACTCCACCAAGGAGCGATTCACCGTTCCAGACTCCATATCCCCGAACGCAATGATCGGGGCGGCGATCTCGCCGAGACTGAACTCCTCCGTCATTGCGCCGAACGTGTATGTCGGGTTCGTGGCGCGCGAGCTGATCTGCCGCGCCAGCTTGCTGTTGGCGAGCATCTCGGCCGTGATGACGGGCTTGGTCCAGTATGCCCGGGACTCTTCGAAGATGGTGCGGTTGAAGATGTGGTTGCTGCCGAAGAAGGCGTCCGTGCGGCTGGAGAACGTTAGCTTGCAGTCTATACTGGATGTTTAAGAGTGGAACGAACCTCAGACTTCCGTCGTGTTCAAGCACGTTGTGTCGGTTCAGATGGTCCCTGGGAAGGTCAGAGTGGGTTATGGCTTGTGGATCCAGCACAGCTTACAGGGTGAAGTAGGTTGCGTTGGGCTCCGGGTTGGCCACGATGGCCATTTCAAACATCAGATCGGCAAGCGAGGAATTGAAATTGAGTCCTGCGCCTAAGCCCTCAACCAGCTTCTGCTTGGTGATTTGTCGTCCGTCGTGCGGCAGGTATCCGTGGTTTGCCAGGGTGTTCATCATGGGGCAAGGGCCTCGAACTGGGTCTTTGTGTTAGCATGCTATCTAGAAAGGACGATAGGACTGCACATACAGTCATCCTTTCCCGCTGGCCTCCAATGAGGAGAGTCGCTTCCGAAGGAAGGTCTGGCAGCAGCCAAGCCAACGAGCAAGGCAGAGGAAAAGAGAGTAAACTTCATATTTCCGGTTCAGATCGAAAGTATGAAGTCGAGTTGAATGAAAGCGAATTGAGAATTGAGACATCCCTACTCGTCCAGCAAGCGCTGCCTTTATAACCTTTTCTCCAGACCGTTATCCCGGTCGAGGCAGCACATTTTTGGGAGCCTGGCGATGTCGATCCATATCTTCAAGACGTGGACTCCACCAGGAACCGTCCAATATGAGGCAAGATGATTCAACCCCTGTGTCTGTTTAACCAACTGCATCCAGTGGTCCAGGTTGGATTAACAACCGTCCTGCAATGAATGGTCCAGCCAACCATAAGGGGCACTCGTACTCGTATCAATCCATCGGGAGCGCAGAACGAACTAGCGTTGTGATCGGCGGCGCTTTTCCTGGTTTGAACTTTGACTCGTATGTCGTATCGACCTCTCGTCGTTGGGCGGCGATCCTAACTTAGCGTGGTATATATGACGTATAGATTCTTTCTGCCTGTTTCAACTCGGGTTTGTAGCTTGTGTCAGGGATATATTCGGGGTTAATCTCACTTACCGCTTGTCTAGTCACGGAGTAATGCAACGAGCAAGAGGAGAGTTAAAGCCATAAGATTTCTGAAAACGTAATAGCAAACATCACTCCGAACAGAGCTAGTAGAGGTCTTTAGGAGCTGTAATTCACCTGTCTGCAAACTCCAAGATAGGAATAGCGCCCCTATTTAGGAATAGTGTTATTTCTTTTGGGAAGTACCTCCGATTGCTAGTTTTTGTAAGTGCTTGTTATGTGTAGAGATCGCTGCACCTTGAATGTAGTAGCAACCCTATCTTAAAAGAGTATAGTGTATATAAAAAAGGTATAGCTTTATTTGAATCGTCATTCTATTCAGCATTATATACAGTCAATAAGATAAAATAAACGCGTATATACTATAAAATAGGAATTATAATGACTTCTAGTAGGATTAGTATAGCTTATTTTATAATTTTTAATACTTATAAGTTCTTAAATGTCTTATTACAAGTTGAAATACTTATATTTGACTAAATACTCTACGAATATATGTTTTTACACACACTGTGTGGTTTGAATAATGAGTATTTTCAGGTCGGTTGTTAATTACTAAGTTAATTTGAAATTGTTTTTCAGTAGCGGTTAAATTAATTACTAGGGGTGGGACACGCTATTCCTATCTTAGGGTTTGCGAAAGGGTCATTTAGAAAGGTCCTAAAGACCTCTAGTAGCACTGACGGGTCATTTTCTAAACCACTCCAAACCCACAAACTCCACAACAATTCTTTTAAAGAGAACCATACTACACATGCTTGAGATTCTTCAGGCGCACCACGACCGCCTTGAAGGCGGAGCTTAGGTCCTTCAGCGCGGCCTTGATGGCATCGTGCTTCTCCTCCAACTTCTTCTGCTCCTGTTCTAACTCTTTTAACTCCTGTTCTAAACACTCCTACTCCCCTTCCAACAACCCCTCCTGTTTCACTTTCCTCTGCCCCAGTTCTACCTCCTTCTACTCCTATTCCACCTCCTTTAGCTATACTTCTATCTCCCCTTTGCTTTCCTTTGTCTTCCCGATTTTCGATTTGATTTCATTAAGCTCTGCTTCGAGCTCGGCCTTACGAGCGATTTGCCCTGGAGTCAGCTGCCGTTCTGCGGCCGGGGGAGCAGGCGCAGCTTGAAAGGCGTCAGGGATGACGACGCCCAGGACTTTCATGTCTGAGATGATCTGAGGCAGCGCAATAGTAAGTAGTTGGGGGAATGTAAAGAGTTCAGTTGCTGTTAAGCTACTACGCACTTGCCTGCTTCCTTATCTCGGCCTCCCTCTCGGCTTTCAACAGACGGGGCTTCTTGGGGGCGGGCTAGTCGGCCTAGGCGGCATCAGTGTGCTTCTATGAGCTAGAGACACAGGACTTTAATAGAAAGTCTTGACTTACTCTCTTGGCCTAGAGACGGATGGCGGCTAGCTACTTGGGGTCCATTTTGACGGGGGAGTGAGAAAGGTGACAGCGTGAGCAAGTGGGCACAGTTGAGAGGTTTCGTCTGGAAGATCCTTCGCAAGTAGGGTAGATGAACGACGCAGGCTTGGCCGGCGAGGGAGAGGAGGCGAAGATGGCGATGATGAAGGTGATGGTGGTGGGAGGGGAAAGTAGTAAAATTTCTCAAGTGAGAGCTCGAGGAGGGGACATGTGACATCTGGTGGCCTGAACTCAACCTGGACTTTGGACCCCTTCAAAACTCAAGATTCATTCGCTTGCGGCATTTCCCAGGTTTGACACATCAACAACTATCTGAATCTGTGATAACCACTTACTCTACGAGCCCAGTAGCCAGCCTGCACTCCAATGGCAGGTACAAGGCAAGACTTAGATCGAATATGAAGCCAAGAGGCTGTATTGCACCGCTGTCGCTCAGTTTGTGTCCCACATTTGTCAATTCCAATCATTTGTCGCCATAGTCAACGTTGAGCACCGTCCTGTCAAGTCCGAGCTTATGAGAATTCATTGCACCATCAAAATCAAAAGGCATATAGCGACTGTCCTCGAAGTTGAAAGAGGCATTGTGGCCTACGCTATGCATGTCTAACGACAGCCTCGCTGAACACTTACAACCAAGTCAGGAACAAACGAAGTCTTTTTAACTACCGCGAAAGTTGGACATACCTCATAGCGTGAATCATGCGGATGTATACTCCTGTGTGGAGATAATTGTGGAGTCAAGCGGATGCCTCGGCTTTTGATTACGTGCCGACTTCCGATTACGATTAAAGCTGATGCGAACACCTTAACAGGCTTGGGCAACTGCTAAGCTTCCGACCCGCAGCATCTCCTGCTCATCCCGACAATGGTACGTCCCTGGTTCTCCCGGTTGGTATAGCGCCTGATGGCTAATGAATCTTCAGTCTTACCGCAAACGGAAGAACATTGCCCTGGCTTGCGAGCCATGTCGAGTGCGAAAGGTCCGCTGTGATGGTGCCGAGCCCATTTGTAGCTCTTGCGCACGGCGAAATGACCCCTGCTTCTATCCCGCAGATAGACCGAAAAAGCGTCTTGATAATAGGTAATATCGAACCTCCGTAGTCAAGCGGTTTCTTACAATCACAGGTACATTCGCCAGGTGCGAGACAATTCTCCCTGCCCCGAGGGTTCTCGACTTGATCTTGCAGCGTCGGAAGATGATAATATATCGCTAGAGACTCCGGCTGTAGCAGTTGAAAATGGGAAACAGGAAAGCAGCAATACACCGGTGGCTACTCTGTCTACCAAGGCATTCTCGACGTCGGAAATCCGCCAGGATGATCAAAACGAAAATGATAAAGGTCATTCTCCCAATGAGTATTGGAGTCAAAACCAGCTCACGGCAATGGGAATCGCATCTGAACAACCATCGGGGGGCTCCGAGAGTCAGAATGAGTTTTTTGGTAACTCCTCGGTCGCCTCGTTTCTGAAGCAAATCACCGTCTCCGCTGCTAGTAACTTTGAAGGTGCGTCTTCAGGAACAGGACGGGGAAAAGTTGGCAAATCAAGTTTCATTATCAGTGCCCACGATCTGCCACAGCGCCAGCTAGGTGACTATTTGGTCGAATGCTATTTCGATAAATTCCACTGCCTTTATCCGTTCATCCACCGACACTCATTCTACCGCGCGTACACCAACCTATGGTCGTCTCAGTTGATTGCGGAAGAAAAGACCCCTTCGCTTGGGATTGGCCTGGGTGACCCTACCGTACAGTCGTCGACATTTCTTTGCGCATTGAATATGATCTTGGCCCTGGGATGTCAATTCTCCCAGTTGGAACCCTCAGTCCGCCAGGCTGCTTCTGCGGATTTCTTCCAACGGTCCCAAAAGTTCCTAAATGTGATTGACCTAGACAAGGGAGACCTCGCCCTCATACAGACCCTTCTTCTGACAGCGACGTATCTGCAAGGGGGCGAGTCGCCATCAAAATGCTGGAATATGATCGGTCTTGCATGCAGAGTGGCACAAGGTCTGGGAATGCATTCATTGAAGGCAGATAGAAATCGAAAATCAGCAGAGATCCAAATGAGAAGGCGTGTTTGGCATGGCTGCATCATGCTGGATCTGTAAGTACAGTCCCGCCGAATTGAAGTGATCATCTGACAATGAACTCAAGAGCAAGTAGTATGATGTTGGGCCGTCCTCCGATGACCAATGCCTCGGTAGTCCCTCTGCCACAAGCTATTGATGATGAGGATCTGGATTCTTCCGGCCATACTTCACATAATACCCCTCGGACGTCTCGCAGCGAGTTCTACGTTCAAACCCTGCAGCTACACACAATACTCAGGAAGGTGTTATTGGAGGTTTATGAGCCCTGGGAAAATTTAACCGTGTCCGACCATTTAGAGCAAATTAAAGTCGAGCACAACCATGCCCAAACCGTGATGAAACTAGACGCAGAGCTCTTGGCCTTCATTTCCAAGGTTCCGGTAGCCTTGCAATGGAAGAAACCACCGGAGCTCTCAGAACAATTTCGCCGCGAAAGTAGTCTACTAAGAGCAAGGTACGGTCTGGATTAGGATATTTATATCATGCAATGCTGACACCCCGCTTCTAGATTTCTGCATCTTAGGATTTTACTCCTGCGCCCAACTTTAGTCAGGTTGTATCGGACATATCCTACATCCCATGAACAAGGAGACTCCATACACACCAACTCTGAAGGGAGCGGTGCAGGATCAGGAAGCACGTTGTTCCTAGATTTCAGTCTCAGCTGTTCAACGCATTGTGTTGAAGCTGCAATTGAATTGTCTCACCTGATGAATGAGATTTCGAGAACCGAGCTAGCCAGCGTCTGGTGGTATAATGTTTTCTGTAGGTGCCACCTGAAGAGCTCCCATTATATACTGCTAATCTACTATCAGATACGTTCAGCGCTGGGGTTGTTCTAGCCATAGCCCAAACAATCCCCGTCCTTACCAGCAGGTTCCCCGAACAAGCCCTGACCGATGCATGGCAAAGTTGTATTCATTGTCTAGAGACGCTCAGCTCTTGCACTAGCACGGCGAAGGTTTGCGCGGACTGTCTCCACACCATTACGTCCCAATATTCTCATCAAAGCTCGGAAAATGGTCCTCGTATTCCTTCTTACGAAGCCTGGGAGCCTGAGACGAACGAAATGGGCCTATTTGATCCACTGCAGCCTGAGTCCAGTAGCATTTTTGGAGGTGTTCCGACTGGCTCTTTGTTAGATATGGCATGTGATGACTTTTGGTTGACGGCTCTAGATCTTCCAATCTACTGAGTTGCCACTCTGTCTTCCTCTTGGTGAATCTCAACTATGAGACTGGGTATTACCGGGTGATACACATTCCGTGGCTTCGGAGATGAACGGATCAGCCAAACTCCGTACGCATTGTGTAATATTACACACTCCGGTATTCTCAGTGGAGATCTTCCCACTTTCTTCTTGATCCATTCTCACAACGAAGTCAATGCAGCCAATTCCTCTCAGTTCTCCGACAAATGGCTACCCACCTCATTCCGAGACCGACACAACACCCCCTGTACCGATGGCCCGAGAGGTCAGGTATAAAGACTGCCTATAGGGAGTGAAGGACCATCTCTACTCTCATCGCAATCATAACCAATCGTCATTGGAAGCACTCTGCAAGATGGCGGGTACTATCAATACCGAAGTTCTCATTTGTGGTGGTGGGCCTGTTGGACTTCTTATTGCCTACTCGCTTGCCCTTCAGGGCGTGGACTCGGTGGTTGTTGGTAAGAGCCCTCATCTACTTCCAGGGAACCATCTAACCAGATGCCACTGTATTAGAAAAGCATGACCGTGCGCAGCAGGCGATGTACGGTCGGGCAGGAACGCTTTACCCTCGGACACTTGAAATGCTTGACCAGCTTCAACTCTTGGATGAGTTGAACCAAATTGGATATATTGCCGGGAACAGTGTGACCTATAAGAAAGGCCAACTTGTGACCTCGCGAGGATGGCATGTTATGTATCAGCGGATGCACGAGACTTTCTTGGATTACGTTCTCAACATTCGCCAGAAGCACTTCGAAGACGTGTTCCGGCAGGAGTATGAGCGCCTAGGAGGAAAGCCTTTGACCTGCTGGCGGCTTGATAGTTTCGAAGTGCAAGACTCGTGTCCGGAGGATTATAAAGTGACATCGACTATCACTGATGTGGCTTCAGAGAAGACATCGACTGTCAAAAGGTAGTTTTCCGAGATCCTTCAACCTGTTTGCTGCTTATGTATCACAGTAAATTCATCATTGGCGCCGATGGAGGTCGCTCCTTGGTCCGAAGCCTGGCCGACATCCCATTCAACGCCGATCAAACCGAATACAAATGGGTCCGTATCGATGGACACTTCACAACAGATATGCCAGACGCCGACCTTGGTTTTGCCTCGCTCGAGTCCGAAAGTCATGGAAACGTGCTCTGGGTGCAAATGGACCACGGAGTCAAGCGGATTGGGTTCGCCATGACAGATGCAATGCTGGCCAAGTATGGCAGTAACCTGACGCTGGAGGATGCCAAGGTGGAAGCAGTGAAGGCTATGGCTCCTTTCTCATTGAACTTTGGCGACATTACCTGGTGGACGTTGTACAGGCAAGTGTTCACTCAAGCTTTTATTGCCGACTATTTTACATCCTCTAACCATCCCGCAGCATCAATCAAGGAGTCGCAGACACCTTCGTCAAGAATGACCGGGTCATCCTGGCCGGTGACGCCTGCCACACCCACTCCTCCGGCGCCGCACAAGGGATGAACACCGGGGTCCACGATGCTGTGAACCTATCCTGGAAGCTAGCCGGTGTTGTAAAGGGCTGGTACGGTAACGAGGTCCTTCAAACCTACGATACCGAGCGACGCCCAGCCGCCCAGCACCTCATCAACCTCGACAGGACCTTTTCAGCCGCTATCTCAGGCAAAGTGCCGGACGCCTACAAGGGCCAGAACATCACCGCCGACGAGCTCTTCACCCAAGCATTCGACGACAATGTCCAGTTCAACATCGGGCTGGGAATCCACTATACCAACAACCTCATCAACAAACCCCCTACCGCAACCATGGTGACCGCGGGCTGGAGAGCCCCAGACGCGACCGTCTATGCTCCGGGGTCTCGCTTCCCTGTGCGACTGTTCCAGCTCGCACCGAACACCGGTATCTGGTCTGTCATTGTGCTCGCGGGACATCCGGACAAGACTGGGGCTAGGCTGAGTCACGCGGTGAATGAGTTGCAGAGGCTGCGCGATGGAGCTCCTTCAGGGATGCTGCGATTTTTCACAGTCGTGGCGCAGGCTATTGGGGGCGGTGATCAATGGTCTCAGATCCCGAGAATTGGGAGACTGTACTACGACACGGCGAGATCGGCCCATACCGCGTACAATGTTTCTGACTCGAGTGGTGCAGTGGTTGTTATTCGACCGGATGGGATTTTGGGGCATGCAGCCCGTTTGAACGATTTGGGTGATGTCTTTGAGTATTTCAAAAGCTTTGTTCAATCGAGTGCCTGAGCACGTGTTCCACTAGCCTTGAGATTTGAACCATTTATATGTTTTAACAAGAATGCGAGTCTTTGATTGCGCTCATTGTCCCTTCAGTATCCCATTTGTCATTATTCAATTGAATGTGGATCCCGTAATATAGATCCTGCATAAATTGGGACATTGCCTCTGCGAATTGGATACTGAGAAGGTTCTTCATGATCCTTCAGTTCTGTAGGATATTAAACAAGGAGACAATAAACAAATATACAAATTCGTTGTCCAATCAGATGCCCTAATTGAACCGGCTAGATCGAAACTGAAAAGCAATGTTGTGGCAGGGATTTTGATTGAACTAGAGCGATTTACTGCACGTGTTTTAATTGTTATTTCCAAGAAGAAAACCGTACTGCAATTTAAACAGATCCCGTCAGAGTAAGAAAATAAATAAAAGAAAGAAATAAATAAATCCAGGGAATGTGACTGAAATAAAAAGCTGAGTAATGCACTCCACCGCCTTCCACCCGGTTCTGCCGTGCTTATCGATAACCAGAAAGGAAAAAAAAAAAAAAAAAAAAAGTGCCCCTCCAAAGGCGGGAGTCTCGATCGAATTCCCCTCTTTCTCTCCCCAACTCCCTCATCATGGCCGACCCCTCCAAATCCCCCGTGTTCCTGAACACGATCTTCGATGAAGGAGTGCGCGATCAGTTCGATCCCATCCATTTGACCGATCCCGAGATCCTCCCCATCTTGCAGTTGCCTCTGGCCGGCACGCTGCTCGGCCATGATTCACCGGAAGATGCCCTGAGCCGAGTGTCGCGCGGCGAAATCTCCTTCACCCAATTCGTGGCCGACAAAGCCCAGGCGACTTCCCAGCCGCAAGACCGTTCTCAATTGCTTCATATCGGCGTGGCTGCTCTCTTCAGCTTCCTTCAGTCTAACGTCACAGGGCCTCCCCTCGAATTCAGCCCCGCCGAAGTCATCCTCCCGCTCGGCCTGCGATCCGATCCGACAGTCCTACAAAATGTCCGCGCTCACATCATCCGCGAACTCTCCGTCGACGGAGAAGCCGCATACAAACTCACTCCCAATGTCGAGCTGTTCGCCGTTGCGAAGGCCCTCTTGGCCGACTCTGACGTCTTGTTCACGAACCCCCCGCTCGTCGCACGAACCGCAAGAATGCGAGTGAACTTCCTCCACCAGAAGATGCTGTCAGAAGTGACTGGAAAGCTCCAAGATGCCATCTATGAGGATCTGGAGAAGATCAGCCAGGTCGTGCTTCCCAACACAACCTCGACCGAGGCGAAGGGACGATTCTTACTGGAACGGGCAACCATCCACACCCACCACGGCTACGATGCCAAGGCTAGGGCCGACCTGGAGCAAGCTGCCGCTGTGCGGAATTTCGAGTTCGCTCTGACGGGTAGAATGGGCAAGCGGACCAAGTTCCAGGACCGCGACATCAGTCAGTTGGTCATCTTGGCCAAAAGTGCTAATGAAGCCTCGAATGCCCCGATCAGCGCGGAGAAGGAAGACTCGAAGCCGAAGAACCTAGACCTCAACGATGATACCCTCCTTGAATCCATTTCATTCTCCAAGTCCGACAGCCAGGAGCAGGACAAGCCCGTGACCGTCCAGGATGAGTCCGATCTTTCGCCGTCATTGGCATCTCTGGACCCTGGCAACCAACCCATCCTGAACCCCATCGACTCTTCGATCCTTCTCGCAGTCGCCTCCGCCATTACCAACACCACCCCGGAGAACGGATTGACCCGAGAGGAAACTCAGCCGTATGCTACGCGTGTTCTCGAGGGTGGTAGCTCTAACTGGCAGATCTACACCCAGGCGCTTCTCCTGAGAAGTCGCATCGAGGGCTACCGCGCTCGAACGGTGGAGCGATCTGTGTTGCAGATGCAGGCTCTGGTTGATCAGGTCATCGCCGATACCGCCACTCCCGACACCCAGGCTACAGGTTCCGTGGAGCAGCCCACTACCTTCCTTCCGAGACCCGAACAGTCCGAATCGGCCACCGCCGCCGAGCGACTTGAATACATCTGGATTCTTAATTTCTCCACCCGCTGGAATCTTGAGTCTGAACTGGCCAAGCGATGGGTCGAGCTGGGCGCACTGAGGACCGCGTTGGAAATCTATGAGCGCCTGCAGATGTGGGCCGAAGCTGCACTCTGCTACGCCGCTACCGAGAGAGAGGCCAAGGCGAAGTCCATGGTTCGCAGACAGCTCTATGAACCCATCGACAAGGAGGCGGATGACGAGAACGAAAAGTTCGAAGGTCCGGAACGATCTCCTCTCCCGGCCGATGCTCCCCGCCTATTCTGCATTCTGGGAGACATCGACACCGACCCCGCCATGTACGAGCGCGCCTGGGAAGTTTCCGGTCACAGGTACGCCCGGGCGCAGCGTTCTCTGGCGCGTCACTACCTCACCATGAAGCCACCTGCCCTGGAGAAGGCCGAGGAGGCCTATCGCAAGAGTCTGCACATCAACCGTTTGAACCACAGCGCGTGGTTTGCTCTGGGCTGTGTGCAACTTGAGTTGCAGCGCTGGGAGGACGCCATCGACTCGTTCACCCGGACCGTTCAAATCGACGACACCGATGCCGAAGCATGGAGCAATCTCGCCGCAGCCATACTCCGATCACCCCAGCCCGACGAAGACACCACCCCCGCCGCCGCCGCGATTGTGCCGAAACTACCCGACGAGGACGAGGAAGTCGACGAGAACGCCCAAAAGGCACCGGAGACTCCATGGAAGCGGAAGCGGGAGGCCCTCGCGGCGCTGCATCGAGCCGCATCGCTCAAACATACCGACGCGCGGATCTGGGATAACGTCCTCACCGTCGCCGCTTCGATTCCCCCGCCGTTCACCCCCTTCCGGGACGCGGTCATGGCCCAAAGACGACTCATCGAGCTTCTTGGGGCTAAGAACGGCGAGAAGTGCGTCGATATCCCCATCCTGGGCATGCTCGTGGACCACCTCGTGACGGCGTATGATTACGACAAGCTGTTGATTCACGTCAACGCCGGCAGCGACGCGGCACCGGAATACGTCGTCCGCAGCGGTACCGTTCCGGGTCAGATCCTGTCTCTCATCGACGACTCCGTCGTGCCTTTGATCACCCACTCCGCCCCCCTGTGGCTTTTGGTCTCGCGCGTGGAACAGTTCCGCGAACAGCCGTCCAAGGCATTCGAAGCCCACGAGAAGGCCTGGCGCGCCACCGTCGCCTCGTCCACGCAGGGTGCGTTCCAGATGGGCGACGAGAAGAAGTGGATGGACGTCGTGCGGGCCACCGAAAAGCTGGTCCGCAACGGATACGCCAAGTACGGACCCATGGACAAGGAAGGCCAGGGCGATGTCGAGGAGCCCGAGCAGGTGGCCAAGGACTGGCGGTTCAAGTCGCGCAGCGCCGTCCGAGGCATCCTCGGAAAGGGCAAGGATTTCTGGGAGGATACCGAGGGATGGACGCGTCTGAAGGAGCTGCAGAGCGAGGTTGGAAGTTCATAGGAGCGGTCATCTAGATACCGCAACGTTTAGACGATGTATGCATTTACGTTGAATGATATGCAATGAAATTTTTGCCTTTATCTTCATTATTTACGTTCTGGTGAGCAGTCGGCAAAGCAGTGGGGGAGGCAAAAAGTAGGCCAACCCACGTGGCGGTTGCTGCCTTTCCCTGATAAGAAGAACCTGAGGCTATATGAGCACCTCGGTAAGCCGCACATGTTGATTATTATACAGTTATAAATCACCCGCAGGCGACCCGCTATATCGCCAATTATATACAACAAACTGGCCTTCTTCAGCTTAATTTAAGGATGACGAAGAGGAGAACAAGGCCCCGGAACCTAAGAGTCTTTTCAAAGGTCTTAAACTAGATAATAAAGACAATAGCTATATAGAACTTTAGGGGGAAGAGCAGAGATCTCGCGCTGCCCCCAGGGACGTACCTAAGGATAGAATATCTAAATAGGGGAATACAGAAGGAACGGAGGCGCCTTGGATGGCGTGATAGACACGCGGCAGGCGTGTGGCAGCTATGATTTAGTTATACCTATTTCACCTTTTGATTATTTACTGCAATTATAGGATTTATATATGGCGTTCGGGAGCAAAATTCTCCTTCGCTGGAGACGCACCCGCATAGCCTGTCACTTTAATAGATAGGCTTCATCGGGTTAATAGAATACTGATTGATTGATTGATTGATTGATTGATTGATTGGCCTTCATCACCCACGCCAGATCTAGTAATTCAACTTCCCAATTGGAACTCATCGGAGTGATACGCCACGTCCAAAACACTAAGTACAGACTCAAGCCACGCTAGCCAAAAACCCACGACCTGGGATAATCTCACTGCCTCCCCTCAATATACAAAGGATACATACCACCGTTAAACCCATCGTTCAAAGCCTGCAGCCAGCGGCTCTCATCCTCAAGCTCGACGCGCTCCATCGTGAAGGTGACAACCCCAATCAGTCCTTTCAGCACCTCGGTTGTTGGATGAAAACCACACTGCGCCCTCAGGATATCGAGACACCGCGCGAAGGACAGGTCCGTTCGGCGCAGTTGTGGAATACCGAGCTCTGTTGTCCAGGGGCTTCGGGTTGCGCCTTCTCCCAGGAATGAGCGCAGTGGGAACGACTTTATGACCATTTCGCCCCGGTAGATCCAGACGGGATAGTCGGCAAAATAGTTGGAAGGGTTGAGTTGGGGTGCTGGTTGCTGGATGGTGCCGCTGGTTGTAAGACGAGCAGGGAATGTAACTGTTGACGGGTTTGTAGCGGCTGCAGCAGGAAACATAGAAGTATACTGAGTCAGGCCCGAAGCCGCCAGACCTGCACCAGCTGCTGCAGGTAAAGAAGGATGAGAAGGGAGAAGAGGGACTGGGGCAGCTGAACCTGCAGCCGGAGCAGGCTCCTCATCTTTCGGCTTTTGTTTCCTCCTGTCTCGGTTCTTTCGCATAATCATAGCAATCTGGTACAAAACTTCGACGACCTGGGAGCGCTGGTCAGGGTTATTGAACTCCGAACGAATCTAGTCCGGGAACCTAGACTGCTGGCTCTGCACGAATTCTTCCATTTGTGTCCTGGCGATCCCCCGGTTTTTCTTTATTGAGAGATTGGACATAACGTCGCTGTTTTGATTGCAAAAGTTGAGGATTTCCTGGGAAACGTCTTGTTCATCGTCTGAGGAAAACTCTGGAAAGCAAGCGAAGAGAGACTCCTTGCTCTTTTTGCGGGGGAGGTCTTTCATGATTGTGGAAGTAGGTGGGTGTTTATGTGTGTAGCTGGGTTCTATGTAGCTGGCAGTAAGTGTGAGAATGATATTGATTAAGGATGAGGTTTGTGTTGAAGATGCTACTCACACTGTGTGGGATAATATACGCAGTGAAATGGAAGTTTCCTCTAACTAGATGAGCCCACTATCGGCGTGGGTACTTCTTACCTATTCCTAGGTAAACTGTCTAGGTGCTGTTCTTGCCTGTTCGACATTTGCAGGAATGTGGAAAACAACAAGCAACCGGCCTTTGGATAGGTTCTGTATCTTCACTGCTCTGTAACGATTATATAAATCCGTCCTGTGTAATATTATTCTACTATTACCTGGGTAAATATAGATTATAATTAGCATTAAAACTAACATGGTTCATGACTGTGTAACATCAGGAGCTGATTAGGTCAAGGATGGCTTTCAAAATAATATGCTTCACCTGAATATTAAAGGATCCAGCTGTTAAATGAAACAGCTGAGGAAGGTGACTATCAATGAAATGCAACTCTGTATGACTTGACAATACTGAGGTTGACTGACACATGGAAGAGACGGCACAGATGGAACAGATGGGAGGGTAGAGAAAGGCTGCCACAAAGATGCCTGAGGCCTACCAGAACCAGACCTGTAGTATAGGCACCTCTGACCTCCCTGAGTAGTGGATAATAGTAGCAGAGATAGTAGACATTATTTAAAAATCTTAGGTTATCTGATATTTACAGCCTTGTTATCTTATTAGTACCTGGAGTATAAGGGGATACCATATATATAAGTAGGTATCTAAAAGTAGGCTAAAATAGCTTTTATCGTTGAGGCAAGTATCTAGTTCTAATATCTAGTTTAATAAGGCTCTTTAAAAAGAATGGATTATGTAGCTATTGATTTCATTATCTATTCATAATTATCTTATGATTTTAAGATATCTAACAGTTTAAATAGCCTGTTAAGCAGGTTTCCAAACTATTGCATTTTAAAAATTATAGCAGCCTACTAACAGATGTTTGTCTGGGTATAGGCCCTGCCCTATCTTTCTGTCCCAGGCAGTAATAAGGCAACAAGGAAAAAAGTAAGAATAAAGAACTGGTATCCCCTACTTCTGAGGCCCATGGCACTCGCAATACAAGTCTTATAAAAGTGAAAGTAGAGTTCAAAGAGATTTATAATATAATATCTTAGATAATAGGTACTCTAAACCGTGTCTATCTTGTTCTACTGCTCTGTAACCGGCGGAGAACGTAAGATATGCTAACAGAGATGAATTAGGTATATATAGTAGCTGTGGCACCTTTATAATGGCTTGATATATGCTTTCTGTTTTATCCTTTTCCGGAGCAATCATATAGTTTATACTGTTCAAACTCTTCATTTGGCCGGGTCTAGTCTACACTACGAATAGAAAACAAGATGAAGATTAAACAAAAAGGAAACAGAGATAAACAACAACAAATAAAAGCAAAGAACAAGGCAGGCAGACAGTAGAAGGAGGTACTGCTACTAGAAGGTGCAGTTGGTGCGCGGAACAAGATAGTTCACACCAGGCCATCCCAAGGAAAAACAACCCAAAAAGCCAATTTCGAAGTCCGCAGGAGCGACACATCTAAGCCAAGGCTCAAGGCATAAGTTACATGGGAACAGATCAACAGACACACAGGCTCAACTCACCATCACCTGTTCTGAATCTCCAAATGGTAAAGGTCAGCCGAAAGACCATGCTTCAGAAAGGTCGGCCACGAGTGCTGGTCGATGTCTATACATTCCATCCTGTCCTCGGAGACCGCGATCAACTCCCTCAGCATCTCGCTTTTCTCATCGAACGCACAATCCTCTTTCAGAACCTGCAGACAAGCAGCAAACGATGGCTTCGGTTGGCGCAGTCGACGAAGACCACGACGCTCGGGCAGGAACGCTTCCAGTGGAAACTCAGTCATGTCGGTTTCGACTCCCCGAAGGACCATAACGGCATAGTCAGAGATATCTTCGAGGTCGCGCGGCCGGGACGGAGACTGGGCCTGGGCCTGGGGCTCTTCTTCCTCGATAGTGCTGCTGGGAACGGGGGCCGCTTCTGAAGCTGGTTCTCTGGCTGCGGGCTCAGCAGACTCGACAGACTCGGTGGGCCCTGTCGGGGTAGGCGAACAGGGAGGAGGGGAAGTCCGGCCCTTCTTGGACGGGGAAGACGAAATGGCGCGGGACGCAGACCGAAACGATGAGGCAGGACGACGACGGCCCCGGCGGCTCTTAAACTCTCTTTCCTTTCTTCTTCTCTCTGAGTTGGCCGCATAGTACAAGGTCGAGGCAATATTATACAGGCAGGTAATGACTTTTTCTCTCTCTTCTGGCTTCTGAAACTCGAATATCACAAACAATGGGAAGTCGTAGTCGTTCTCCCATAGAGCTCGCTCCAGTCTCATTTTGAGCTTGTCTCGATAGACTGGAGATTTAAGTTTTGATATCATGATGAGATTATCTTTGATAGACTGCTGGAGGCAGTTGCGGAGAGCTGTTTTGCTATCAGATGTATGGTAAGGAAAGCAGTTGAAGTAGGCTTTCAGGCCTGCGGTGGCTGGGATGCTTTTCATAATGGATGGTGGATAAGTAGATTAAAGGCAATGGTTTCAGTTGTTATGGTGAAGTAACAAGATTGAGATAAAGTAAAGAAACAAAGGAGAGAGGGTTGAGAGAGCCAGGAGAATTAGAAAGTACTCACATCTAGTAGTAGGGGACATGCCAGTGAGAGGGAACTTCCTGCTGCTGGATCAACTTTCCTCGGCGTACCAGTGAAGCCTGCGAGGTGCTGGTGCTTACTTCTGTGCAAACAAATCTGTGAGGAGAAACACCATAGTAAACAGCAAATTCACACTCATATCTAGTATCCAAGCTACCATATAAACTAAAGAGAAAATAGTCGATTCCTTTTCTTACTATGCATATCTGGATGATTATCAACATAGGCTAGGCTGCCTAATATCTTATATCCCCGGAATATTTACAATCTCCCATCACCACTCTACTGGTCAACGCACTCAAACTCCTCCCAGTTCCAGCGGCCCCCAGTCATGTTGTCTTTATACCGCGCCACCAGCGGCCAGGCACACAGTTTCCGTGTGCGATCCTCGTCGCTCGTCTGGCTTGCTCGCATATCGCGTGGTGAAATGCCTTTTTCTACCCAGTTGATCATCGTCTCCAGTGTGTTCACCTCGGATGGGATATCCGGGTAATGGGGTGACGGGCCGCAGTGTCCGCCGCCTGTAGATATGCGCGTTAGGACTATCATATACTAAGATGGTGGGAGAGTAGGGAAAGTGTCAACCACATAAAAAAAGCGAGTAACACTTACCAGGAATCATAAACAACTTCATCCACTCTTCCTTATTTTGCCCACCTTCCCCAGCGCTGGTGACCTCTTCAATCCTCGCCAAATGCTCCATCGGCCACGTCGGCGCATTATACGGATCCGACCACCCCTGCGTAACGAGTAACTTGCCGCCTTTATTCTTGAACACTGACAGATCCGTGCTGATGGCGTCAAGGACAGGCGAGACCTCGCTATCCACGAGAGCGACGTGACTGGTCCAGTTGAAAGATTGCGCGGTAGGGAGGGTGAAGTTCCGCGCGCTCTGAGACCGAGACTGAGAGATTAAATTCTGGAAGAGCGGCACGGCGTAGTCTTGTGCTAGTTCGCCCTGTTGACCTGTCCAGTCGGACTCGCTGCCGGGTTTGAATCCTGGGTATAGGGATTTCTTGGTTACCGGGTGGATGGGCCCTGATGAGATGAGGGTGTAGGTTCTGAGCTGGGAGGGCGTGAGGCAGGGTTCGCTGGTGGTGGTGTTTGCGTCAGGAGGACAGGGTAATGAGGGGATGTTGAAATCACAGGCGAGGGGGTTCTCGATAAGACCGTCTTCTAGACCGTCTAGGCCATCGCAGGCGTCTAGGACCTGGGAGCGAATAAAGTCAAGGGTCGATTGGGGGAGGGGAGCTTGGTCCTAGAATGTTTAAATCAGTAGCTTCTCTTTCTCCTGGGTATTGAAAGAAAGGAAAGAACACATACGGCAGCCTTCCATCCCCATAGAAAGCTCAACATAAGATGCGAATACCAGTTTCCCGGACAGGACGCCACGATGCCGTCGAACAGGTCCGGATGAAACTCAGCCGCCGCAAACCCCTGGGCTCCGCCGGTCGAGCATCCCTCGTAGTAAATGTACTCCGGTGTGTTGGCGTAGAACATGCCAGTAATGGCCTTCGTCGATGGGGTGAAATACGCGATGGAGTTGCGGATCCAAGCGAGGGTTTGTTGCGTATCGTGCAGAAAGGGAAGGGAGGTAGCGCCGTTGTCGATGTCGTTGATGGACTGCCGGTGACCGCCATCACTCCCGGCTACCGCGAATCCTTTATGGAGATTTTTGAAGAGTGATGCGGTGTCGACGGTTCCTGCGAAGCCGCCGTTTCCTGGTTATGGCATTAGATGGGTTTGAGGGGCCAGAGCCAGAGGGGACGGACCGACAGATAGATACCGGCCGTTATATGTCTCGTTGTCTGGAAGCCAAAGTTCGAAAAGAACGCTGTTGTTGATGGGATATGGGATGGACCCCTGCAGACGACAGAAGGGAATGGAGTTCCATGTCCCTGATACGTTCATGCCATGGATGTCAACAAAGGAAGAGCGTGGCGACTGGATATCTGGGATGTGTGTAGCGACCAGAGTCGACAGGTGTTTGCATTGGCTTTGTAGATCGTCGTGTGCTGCTACTCCGATCGCAGCAATCAGGGTAGTTAGAAATTTGAGGCCCAGGAGTCTCATGATTTTCCAAATCAACCTGGTCTATCAGACAATTGTATGCCGAAGACAACCCCAGAGAAATGCATCATGTCGGTATTTAAGTAGCTCGGCTCAACCCCGCGGGGAACGGGAGATGATACCCCACAATAACCCTTGAGACTATAAAGTGATTATCCGGGATGTGGACGATCCAAGGAATCGTTGAAAGAGACTAAGAGTAGTGAGTGCGGAGATTCGGAGTCCCTCCGTGCGGACGGACTGTCCGTCCGACGATGTACATTTTGTCCCAAGGTCTCGGTTTGAAGGCCGGTGTGAAATAGATAGGTAGGATATAGAGTTGTTAGGACATATTTCGTCTTAAGGATTGCAGAAGCAAGCTGTCACTTTTGGGCTGTCACTGCTTAAGTTGTTACTCGTTTATCTCGGAATATACAACGACTATTTGGCCTTCCCAACCTTGACCAAAGATTCAAATACTTTTAAATATCATTTCATTTACGCTTGAGATATACTAGAGAATAGTTCAGGTTGTTCCACAGCAAGTAACGACTTGAAGGACTTGGAAGAGGCAGCAATAAATGGATAGAACAACAGGACCGAAGAAAGATATCGACATCCTTCCCGTCTGCCTCGAATGACGCCCACCCTGCTTTTAGGCTACTAAAGCATCGAATGACAAAGATTCCCAGACGTCAGTCTGGCAGAAGTCCTCCAGATTAACATTGCCGCATGATTAGCTGACCAGGCACCCAAAACCCGCTGCCGTGCGGTGCAGCCAAGCCAATCGACACATAACATGATCTTCGCGACGTTGCTTCTCTGGGTTCTCGGTCAGAGAATCAGACAGGTGGAAATTGTACCTCTATCTGCAGCCAATCATGCCTCGTGGCAACGAGATGAGCATTGAATTGAAGAGGCCAAATTCGGATTGGGCAGAAAATCCCCGGACTCCGTACGTCGATCGGCCGAGGTAAAGATGAGACGAACACGAGTGACAAGAGCCTCTCAGAGTGGTGCAAGAAGATGCAAAGCAGGATGCACGCTTAGCGAGGGCGCGGGTCTCGTGACGGCAAGGATTTTGCGTCAAATGAAAGGAAGGATTTGCTTTTCTGGTCTGGCGATCGCGACAGCAGGTTCATCGAAGCAGTAGAATGCATGCCGATCATAGTTTATTGCCCGATCCTCTGGCGATCAGTCCCGGTGAGCTGGGACGATATGACCATCGTCGACTCTCACAGGGTGGAGATAACAGGCATTGGCAATTTGGGGAGAGTAATGCATTCGCTTATCGCCATCTCCGCGGTTGGCACTCCGGGGGCGGAGGACGCCATCCGCCGATCTCTCGGCTGGGGACGAGGCAGCCAGAAAAAGAAAGCATGAAGTCGAGAGATATTGTCATCTGGACTGCCGCTGGTACCGCAGTTTCATCTTGGCCGGATGCCAGGATGGAGATCGGCCTCTAGCGTCAGGCACGAGCAGTGGGGTGAGGCAGAGTGAATCCGACCGTGTAGATGTCATGTCGAGTCATGCATGAGAATACATTGAATGCATTCTGGTCTACAACACAACAGAGTCCGGAGTACAGAGTATACTAAAGAATATTAGAGTCGGTATAGATTATATAAGAGTGGAGCCTCCCCTCTTCGGCTTCCCGCCAAATCTCGCTTCCCCAAACTCTTCGGCATCAGCCCATCTTCGCTGCTCTGTCTGCTCTCGTGGGACTGCCGGACTGTCGGTCTGCATTCACCTATTCGTCTCCAGTCTCTTCTATTCCCCCGATCCTCGATATTCCCGTCGCTGTCACTCTCGCCCCAACCGAGCAGTCGGCCTTCTCCGCCCCGACCACGTTTTCCCCACGGGGTTTTGCGTTTTTTCCTGCGTCGCTCACCGGTCGCCCACTGCGTCTCTCCCCGCGCTGCGCATGTGTCTATGGCTGGCTTCATCCGCTTACTGCCATAACCTGATCCTCTCGGTTTTGGTCATCGGTCCGCGACTCTCGTGGGCTGATGGGCCAGCCTAGCGAAAATTCGGATTTCCTCCGGTCGCCGGGCGCTGCCGAACCTCGACGGACAGCCGATCACAGAGTATTCATCGGAAACACACGATCATCGATATATGAGAAGGCAGGACCCGGACGATGACTTCCGTGGTCAGCGTAATGCCGGGGCTGGACGGACCCAGAAACAACCGACGGGCGCACAGCGAGATGGAGACGACCTCGGATAACGAGGCCCCCGCCGTCAACGCGACGCCGCGCAAGAGGAAGAGAAGCCGCAAGGTGCACTCCGATCGCAAGTACGACTGCACCTTCGAGGGCTGCGGCAAGAGCTATTCCCGCGCCGAGCATCTATACCGGCATCAATTGAACCGTAAGTGGACACACTCCCCATATCACTCCAGTCACTAATAATTTGCATAGATGCCCCCAAGCAGATCTACCGATGCGACTTCCCCGACTGCTATCGCTCCTTCGTGCGACAAGATCTGTGCCTGCGACACCGAGAACGACACACTACGCAAGGGTCTCAGCTGCAGAAACGCGACCACTTCGCGCAGGCGGCGTCCGCCAATCCTGCCCCGATCTCTCAGCCCGCCGTCTCGCCGTCGACCGACCTCTCGTCCGGCCGTGCGTCGACGGGGGGCTTGCTAGATTCCCAGGCTGCCAGCCATGCGACCAGAGCAGTCGCGGCATCCTCGTCACCTCCGTCGACTGGCATCAACCGGGCCTTCAGCTTCCCGGACCTACTTCCGCAACGCGACATCGAGGCGGCCAGCGTTTCCTTCTCACGGCCCGCAGGCACCAACGACCACACACCCGCAAATCAGCCGACCGCATATAGTCCTACAAATCTACAAAAAGCATCAGGCGCGTTCCCAAATCGAAACTCGGTGACCGGGTCGACGACCTCTGGCGAGCTGGGCAATGATTCGCAGTCCCGACCGTCCGTATCGGAGGCCAGTCGCAGTTCTGGCGCCCCATCTCATGATCCGAGTTCGGTCTTCTCGATTCCGGCCGATTTGACCGGCTCCTCCCTGGTCAGCCCGACGGCGTACGGTTCGCAGGCGGGCCTTCAGATGCCTGGGAGCGGGTATGCCGGCATCTCCCTAGCGCCGGCCGCCTCTTCCACTCCCGCGTCCCTTGGTCAGACCGCCAGCCTGAATGCGTTGGATTCCATGTCCGGCATGATGGCCCCGGGCGCGGTGGGAGACGGCGGGTTTGACTCGCTGACCTCGTGTGTCTATCCCATCTTCGGCAGCGAGTCCTACAATCGGTCGCCCTTCGCCATGGCCGACGACTTCACGGCGTGGCTGTTCAACGACCCCCCGGCGGTGTCGTCCTCCGTCGGTTATTCGTCGGCGACCGGCATGGTGCCCAACTACATGGACGCCGCGCAGCTGCAGAACCAGTTTTTCATGGGCGACTCGGCCTACGGGGCGTTCCTGAGTGGCGTGGTGCCGCATCACCCCATGAGCGTGACCAGCATCCTGGATCCCGGATCCCCGCGGGCCATCATGTCGGAGGACAAGCGCCAGGAGCTGCTGCACCTCATGGCAACTCGGTTCAACGAGGCGGCGTATTCCGTAGTGGCCAAGCGCAAGGACGCCCTGATGGAGGGCGACATGGACGACGACAATCACGTGCTGAGCCTGCGCATGATGCAGACGTACATCGGCTCGTACTGGTACCACTTCCACGCGCAGCTGCCCATCCTGCACCGCCCGACCTTCGTCGCCGACCAGGCACCCAACCTGCTGCTGCTGGCCGTCATGGCGATCGGCGCGTCCACGCTGGACCACGTCCACGGACCGCAAGTGACCGAGGCGGCGTCCGAGCTGGCGAACTTTATCGTCTGGCACCTACGGTGGGAGATCTTCATGGACGCCGATTTCCGGCCGCCCGCCAAGCTCTGGGTCTTCCAGGCGCTGCTGCTGCTGGAGGTCTACGAGAAGATGTACTCCACGCGCGCCCTGCACGAGCGGGCCCATATCCATCACGACACGACGCTAACGCTGATGCGCCGTGGCAGCTCGTTGATCGGTCGCTCGGCTTTCGACTCCCCGGCTAGTCTGCGGGAGGACCGGCAGGTGCGGTCGGCGTCGGGGTCGACGACGACGCCCGACTTTGCGGCCGACGAGTCGTGGACGCACTGGATCAAGACGGAGGCCACCCGCCGCGTGGCCTTTGCCGCCTTTGTGCTGGACTCGACGCACGCCACCATGTTCGGCCACTCGGCCAAGATGGTCGCGCACGAGCTGCGTCTGCCCCTGCCGTGCGACGAGGCGCTGTGGTCGGCCACCAGCGCCGCCGAGGTGGCGCGCGTGCAGTCCAGCCTGCACGCCAACGGCGTCAAGCCGGTGATGTTCCTGGACGGGCTCAAGAAGACCCTGAACGGGCAGCGCGTGCGCACCAACGCCTTCGGTCGCACCATCATCATGGCCGGCCTGCTCAGCGTCAGCTGGCATATGAACCAGCGGGACCTCCAGGTCAGTTCGCTCGGGGTGCCCCAGGCGCTGGGCGGGCGGGACAAATGGCGATCGGCTCTGCTGCGCGCCTTCGACAACTGGCGGCGCGACTTTGACGAGGCGCTGGGCCAGATCGGGTCGCCGCCGTTCCCCAACGGCTACAATCGCCTGCGGAACCCGCTGGACGAGGACAACGTGTTCGAATCGCGCGACGTGCTGCACGGGCTCGCCCACATGGCGTCCCACGTGGACATTGTCGACTGCCAGATCTTTGCGGGCGCGGGTCGCCTGATGGGTCGCTCGATCACCCCGAGAGATTACAGTGCCGCGCGCGAGAAGATGATCGAGCGATGGGCGACCAAGGCGTCGGCTCGCGATGCCGTCTTCTACGCCCTGAAGTTTTTGTCGGAGTGCTTGTTGCATTGGAGCTCGCAGGAGGGCGGCAACGACTGCTATTCGGGTCGGGACGACTTTCTCCTCAACCGGCCCTGGGTCATTTACGTGGCGGCGTTGGTCGTATGGTGTTACGGGTTCGCTCTGGACGGCCCGATCACATCGCCGCCGGCCCTGGCGACGGTGGCCGAGCAGCGACGCGACATGCAGGAATTCCTTCAGCGGGTTGGCGGCGTGAAGTCGCCCAACGACCTGGAAGGGATGCAGGGACGCAATCGGTGCCTGGGGCTGTTGATCATCCTGCGCGAGGGATTCCTGCACACGCGATGGGAGCTCTTGGCGGAGGCGGCCAATTTGCTCGGCAGTTGCATCGACAAACTACGAGGGCGATAGGTATATAAAATTTGATTTCACGAGGGTTTGGATAACCGAGCTGGGAGTCTGGCAGGACGGGGTGTTTATACAACTGGCGATGGATTGGTGTTATGCATGATGATTTGTACGTTATGATACCAGGCGGCAATACTTTTAAATCCTGTAATTATGCAGAACTACTGCATATAAATAGCGGCAGTTACTACGGCGAGAGTGTAGAGTGTCGAGTGAGTGTAGATCGAGTGGAGCCCCCGAATTCAGGCGACGAGGCGTTACCACAACAACGGCCACAACAGGAAGGAAGCCGCCCGGACCAGCGACGGGACTTGTGTCTTCTTCTCCTTTCCTCTCCAGATTGTCTCTCACATTCCATCCTCCTTCGCTTTATCGATTGTGGTCCTCCGCCCCTGTTTTCACCCCTCACTGCACCCCTACCGGTTCTCGAATTGCCCCCCAACAACAAAAACATCGTCATTTGACCACCTCATCAATATGGTACGTGCCGGAGTTTCTTTGGTGGAATCACGACCCTTGCATACCCTGTCAACAAATACATGGTTGTCTTCCAAACTGGGACGGTCGTGCCACTCGTGGTTTGGGTGGCATCGTGCACCAGACTGGCGATCGGTTCCTTCACCAGAATCCCGCCCCTCGTTTCCCTGGCATCCTTTTCCCTGGTTCGCCGACGTCTGGTTCCGTCAACTTCACTTCATTCCCTTCCCAACCCATCCATTCCTTTGAGCTTCATCCCTCTATCATCTGTCAAAATGTCTCGCTCACCTCATCGCGATAATGACCAGGCCTCCACCAACTACAAGGAAGCGTTCTCGCTATTCGACCGCCGTGGGTCCGGGAAGGTGTCGCTGGAGTCGCTGGGCGATTTGCTGCGCGCCTGCGGTCAGAATCCCACCCTCTCTGAGATTTCGGACCTGGAGAAGAGCGTCGGAGGTGACTGTAAGTGGCCAGATTTGATGCGATGGGGGTAGATATTGATGAATGGGTACAGTCGATTTCGAGTCGTTCCTGAAGGTGCTCAACCGCCCCGGTGGATTCCGTGAGCCCGGCGAGCCCGATGAATACTGTCGCGGATTCCAGGTGTTTGATAAGGATTTGACTGGGTTTATTGGAGTGGGACAGCTCCGCTACAGTGAGTGGTTCTCTAGTGCATGTGAGGATGGCACTAATCTGGGTAGTCTTGACGAATCTTGGTGAGAAAATGTCGGATGAGGAAGTCGACGAGCTGCTCAAGGCTGTCGACACCAGCTCTGGCGAGATCAACTACACCGGTAAGCCTTTCGCTATCTTGGTTGGATGAACGCAGCTAATTTCGCAGACCTCGTTCGCACCATCCTGGCCAACTAAATGTTTCACGATACCCTGATGTTCTTCATGATCTCTCTCCTTACGACGCGATTCTGCCCCGAGGCCGGGAGTTGTTGCTTGAGCGTATTAGTTAGGTTATAATGTTATTTATTGTATATGCGTGTAGTTCAGAATACAGTTTCATGGTACAGTTTCATGGATCTAGTGTCTTCTAAGGAATCCACCCCGACCACTCTCGATCAATGGCCTTCATCTTCTCCGGATGTCCCATGTCCTCGGTCTCGACCAACGCCCCGGGCAGCAAGTAAACCACCTTGGCTCTTTCTGCTTCCTCTTCCTCTTCCTCCAGCCTTTCTTGGCCCTTATCCGCAGCCGGAAAATGCACCGCATCTAGAAAATACCCCACCACGACGCGACAGCGCCCACATCGGACAAACCACCTCTTCTCGAACCCATCTTCGCGTCGCACCATCGTCGCCCGCCGATCCGGCACCGCCGTCGACAGCAGAATCGAGTAATGCGTCTGCGTCTGTCCTGTTTCGTTCGCATCCGAAGACCCGGTACTCGTCTCCTTGTCCTTGTCTGTCGATGTCGATGTAGCTGTAGCTGTAGTCGTAGATGTAGACGTAGAAGGAGAAGGAAGAGGGAGTATCAGCGCGCCATCTCGAGCGGGTTCTTTTCGGCGGGGCAGAGACGATGTACTGTGTGTTGTTGCGAGGAGGAGGTGGTTGCAGAAGCGGCAGTGGTTAGTGTGCATGGGGAGGGTGGGTTTTTGGGGTTCGGTTTCGAGAGGTTGTTGTTGTTGTTGTTGTTGTTGGGGTGGGGTTTGGGTGTCGGATGTTGACATTTTTGCTTCTTTGGGTTTGGTTGGTTTAGGATTCGGCTTGGTGGTTGGTGTGGTTGTGGTTGTGGTTGTGGTTATGGGTTGAGATGAGGGTGAGGATGTTCGGTTGGATTGGTTTGGGGGATGAATTTGGAGGTGGAGTTGATTGAGTCGAGGGATTGATGTCGGAGGTATTTGGTGTAATTGAGGTATATGTATCTGGTCAGGAGGGCAGGTCAATGAATTGATGTGATATCAAGATGAAGATTCAAAGATCGAAGGATGCGAGTTCAGGTGGTTGCCTGATAAGGTTAGTGCGCAATTCTAGTTTGGTTAGTGCGGTCCTGTGGTGGCCTGATATCTCAGGTGTCTGTGTTGGCGGCTCTATAGATCATGCTGCATAGAAGACTTTTTGGGATCGGGCCTTTTTTTATTTTTGTTTACTTTTTTTTCAGTCTTTTGATTACCTCCTAGCAGACTGCCTTACTATTGAAGTTATCGCTGACCGGCGGCCTAACCTTTCAAAAACCGATCTAGATCAAAAAATGTTTTCCCTCCTATGCATAGCAAATTGCTTTGATGGTTCTTATTTGCCGAATGGTGTTGGGTTTTTTGACATTTTCCTGTTATTGTCATCATAATAGCACTGCTTCTAGAGGCACAGTTTTGCCATCTATAGACAACCGCGAGCATCAGCGAAACTGAGCTGGTAGAAAAGATTTCCTTGGCTTTACTATGGAAGAAATAATCGAGGAGGATAACAGGGGATCCCCGGTTATTAGTTATCGCGCGATCTAGTCAGCAGTAGTGAGGCTGTTTCCTGGTCGTCAGGCTGCGGCAGGTGGCGTCACGCGGCTGTTGGCTTCCCCTCTTTTGTCACTTCTGTTTTATCTGCCATCTCCTGCATCCTTCAAGCCTCTATCACTGCGCTCGATCATGTCCGTGTCGGCAAAATACCTATCCAGCGGATCCAAAATGGCTCAAGAAGCCTTGGACGGGGGTGCCAAGATAGCAGCTGCATACGGAAAGCCTGCCTTGGAGAGCACATCAGCCGCAGCCACCCAGGTGTGTGTGACTTGGTTTCCTCCCTACGACCTTAAAGCACTTGGCTTCGCTCGCTGGTTCACTAATAGGAGAAATGACCAGGCCGCTGGATGGGCTACCGAAAATCCTGGGTCGGCAGCAACAACTGCCCTCGTGGCCGTTGGCATCGCGGCCCCGGGCGTTTTGAGCGCTCCGCTGCTCTCGGCCCTGGGGTTTGGCGCTGGGGGTGTACAGGCTTGTTCGTGACCCTAAGTATCCCCAATCTATTCTAGTACCGTCCTCCGTTAGTTCGGGGATTTGTCCAGCACCTAGGAATGGTAATTAATGCTGACCTGACTGGTGACTCTTGGTATAGCTTCCCTCGCTGCCGGTGTACACAGCCTGTTGGGGAATGTCGCGGCCGGCAGCACCTTCGCTACCCTGCAAAGTGCCGGGGCTGGAGGGGCGGGACTTGCTGCTCTGAATGGGGCTGCACAGGTGGGTGCTGCGACTGTTGGAGTTGGGAATGCGGCGGTGGGCTGGGCGAGAGCAAGGCTGTAACTTGACTCGGTGGTAGGGCATACATGGTATTGTGTTGTGATAGGTAGAATTCTCAAATCGAATCCTTATAGGGGCAGCCATCTAATGAAATCAATCCTATACAACGAAGACATGGTAACGTCTATCCGGCCAGTACCGCAACATCCTTCTACTTCTACCATCCATGAGATACGCATACCCCTTCAACCACCAGAACTACCTAAAAACTCCCCTCCTCCCTGACCGTCTTCATCATCACCAAACAATCATACGACACTTGAATCCCATACATCGCCAGTCCCACCCAATACGAAAGCGCCCCATTCCACGCCATCGGCCCCTCCTTCTGAATATGAATCCCCGCCGCAAACGCCAACCCCAACGGCGTCACCAGATTCACCCACCCCATACTCGTCGGAAAGACCGTCTTCGGCCCGGGGTCGCTGAAGATCCCCCAGCTGACCGTCCACATCTGCACCCAGAAGGCGGGCCAGGGCAAGAACGCCGCCATCCACATCAGATCATTGAGCAGACGGATTGTCTCGGCGCCGTAGTCCCGGAAGGTCAGCACAGACATGAACGTCGCGGCGAGCATGAAGGCGGCGAACCCGCAGGCACCGCAGGCGAGGACGAGGTCGGGAATGATGGGGTCGAGGGCGGGGATGAGACGCATACGTTTGGCGATGATGGCGCTGTAGGGGAGGTAGAAGCCGCCGCCAAGCATGAGAAAGATGGTGGCAGCTTGGGTGCCTTTTATGTGTGCGTGGTAGTGCTCTTCGAAGCGCTCGGCGGTCCACCAGGGCTTGGTGGGCGGGAGGTTGCCGGAGAGGACGAAGCCGAGGAGCAGGCAGATGGCGGAGAGGTTGCCGGAGAGGATGGACAGGTATTGCCAGTTTTTGATGGAGAGGAGGTCGGCGGTTTTGCTGAAGGAGGGGGAGACTTTCATTTTGGTGGATGGGATTGATGGATGAGAGATGGGGGAGGGTGTTGAGAATAGAGACGGTTGGAAAGGGAGTCAAGAGCTTAAAGGCCTGAAGATGTTTTATACTGGCTGGTTTCGTTCAGAGTTGTCAGCAACCTCGGATATATCTGCCAGTGCCTGTCATTTGACATCTTCATACATGTCCTGTTGCAGTAACTCGTATCTCCCTTGCATGCTTGAAGGATCGACATGTCACACAACGTTAGTCCTTCTGAAAAAAGCCACCCGCAGTATAAAGTATGCCAGACCATGACTGAATGGTCCATTTGCATCTTAACATTTCTCGGCGCGACCTACCCCAGTACTCTGACGCCCTTTCCGTACGTAATAAAAAGGATGCCATAGTTTATGACATCATGCGCAATCCAGTATCCACAGATCTAGACTTGTGCATAATAAGCTTACAGAACTAAAGGAATGTGAATCTGTACGTTTTGATAACCTTGCACTGGAGAATGACGTCTGTTGCCTAAACGGGTAGGATTAGGGTTTCTGTGGAGAGGAGAGTTGCCTTCAGCCCTGAGCCAGGTTAGCATGTCTTTCGGACATTGTAGATGTATCCATTGCTCATGAAACGGCTTTGCATGTGTTTGAGTTGTATTCGATGTCAAACTGGTTTAACTCGATGGATTACGTGACATCTATCTGTGAAGCTGTATGATGCGTATATTCCGTCTCAGGCGTGCCTTACTATACCTACAGCTCTTGCCTCTTGAGAAAAGTATATTGAGTTTCAGAGTAAATGTAATTGCGTAGAATTCTCGAAGGCTGATCTAATAATAGGGGGGAAAGAGTAGGATAACCGTAATGCCATCACCCAAAATCATTACTGCATGCTCCAAATCTTCTCCAACAACGCCGAATGACCCTCCGACTTTGCCTGTTCTGAGCTGGAGAGAAGAAGCGATTCATGCTCCGCCGAGCGCGGTCGAATATCAAGTTCAAAAGGCGTGGGCTGACTGACGATTCCCGGCTGGAAGTCCTCGGGTGGCTCCATCACCTGCCCGTTCACAACTGGTTTGCGGATGTGGAAGAGAATAAGCGATCGAGCGATTGTGAGATAGAGATTTGAATCAGCTAGAAAGCGACCCGGACATGTTCGACGGCCGAATCCGAACGCCATCTTATGCGGGTCGAGCTCGGGTGCATGGCCGTCACATTCCAGGAACCTTTCAGGCTTGAACGCCATTGGATCGGGGTACGTTTGAGGATCATGCATGAAAGCCCTATAGATTCGTTAGCCAGGCAGGATAAGTGGTGGGTAATGAATCCTTGCCAGATATTGGGAATCAGGGTCGCGCCCTGGGGAATCCTGTAGCCCTCGTAGAAATCATCCTCCGTGGTCGTATGTGGAACACCGACAGGCGCAACCGGGTTCCACCGCAGGACCTCCTTGATCACAGCCTCGATATAGACTAGATTCTTTCTGTCTTCCGGCGCAGGCATCCTGCATCCGACGACGCGGTCAAGCTCCGTTTGGGCTTTGCGTTGAGCCTCGGGATGCAACGCCATGGCCAGGAAAAAGGCCGAGATTGCTGATACAGTCTATCCTTTTGTTAGACTTGCTTAGGGTTGTTTTTGGTTGGCACTCACCGTATCAGCACCGGCACCGTAGAGAACCCCGGCAGTCCAGATGATCTCGTGCTCCTCCTGGGGACTCATGACTCCCCCTGCCTGTTCAATCTGCTTCGACACGAATGACGGTTTGTGGGTTCCAGCCGCCATTTGGTGCCTCACGAACGCGTATGGCTTCTCGGCTAGCGCGGTCAGCAGCTTGCGCCATGCCTCGGCTTTACGTTTGAACTCTGCTCCTGGCATCCATTTTGGGACGTGTTTCACTGAGAAGGTCAGCCAGCTATTTAGATTTTCCCATCTGTAACGCCAAATCTGAACATACGGAAAGGGAAGCTGTCAACGAGCCAAAGGCCCGGCTCAATCGCCTTGTTGAACCTCTCCCCTATTGCTTCAGCTAGTTCAATGAGACAATCGTGTCCAGCGGGCTTCACCTTGTATCCGTAGGTGATTTGCAAAATGTTGGCTCCGACCAGGCTGTCCTTCGGTTAATCTGGATTATCGACTCATCGAGCAAGAGGCTGCGTGGGAGTTTCTACACACCTTCGAACCAGCTCCAGGAGGTCACTGGGCTTGGCAAGCACGCTCAACAGAAACTGATTGATTTGGGAATCCTGCTGAGGATAGAAGGAGGCTAACGCCTGAGTCGAGCCAATGTGATGGTTGATGCGCTTGCGATGAGCTCGCACCTCGATCGGGTTGCTCTTCATCGTTACCAGGCGGTTCCATCCTCCTCTATACCATTTATTAGCACGAATGAGTTTAGCGGGGATATTGATCTCACAGCTCGGCACCCATAACCATCCTCGGTCGTGCAGAGTACTGTGAGCCTCTTTTTTCAAACAGGTCGAATGCCATTCGAGCTTCGTTTAGGATGATGATTGTGTTTCCTGCCGCGGTCACGGAGCTTATGGGGCCTTTGTATTGTTAGAATGGAGTTGACTGTATATGGTGTAGGATTCACCGTATTCATCTTTGTGTTTTAGCCAGTGTAGCCATTCCTTGCACCCGTGGGGTGGCATATCGAGAACGTTTCCGATGAGAGGAAGAGGTTTTGGTCCTGGAGGGAGTGGTGGTAGTTTTGCTAGCTTTAGGAGTCTCATGAGGTACCATCCTATGGACCCTAGAAATAGTATCCCCAGAAGGTATATGGTGATCATTGTTTGAACGGAGCGGCTGTCTTTGGATAGACTGCTGGTGCTTCTAATGGAGCTGTATATGTCGGAAGCAAGCTTGGAAAGATATGATGGGAATCTGTTTGACAAATTAATGACGGACGTTGTATAAGTCAAGGTCAGAGGATATCCTGCTATAGGCGATCACCTGGACTGATTATGGGTTACAGAGTCCTACATCCAACGTGCACGGATTAAGATCGGAGCATGGCGAAAGATCTTGTGTCATCTCCGCTTGTGACTTTTCGCCTGCTTTATTCCAGCTACTGTATCTCGCTTCACATGCCTAAGCAGCTCGATATATCTGCTCACAGAATGACTCAATTTATCCAACTCATTCTAGGAATAACTTATACGATCCACTCCAACCCACACTTCAAGTATTGACACCTACCTCTTCAGGAAGACAGCTTGCTTGGATTGTACTTGTAACCCTCTTGTGGAAGGCAAGTCAATGAACGCTAGACATGCCCAAATTGGCTACCTTGTGTATGAAACTGCAAATGTGGCGTTAAACTTCTGGAAACCTTCCATAAACCTGTTTCTTTCTTTTTCTTCTTTATCCTTCTTTTTTCCCTTTCCGTCTTGGTATCTGCTAAGAATGCTCAGCGGTGCCACTTACTGACGTGGCGTTTTAACCTCAGAAATACTAAGTTTGTTCGTCTTTTCATTTTGTGGAATCGGATAGCTGGTAAGTTCTGTGGCGCTGATGGCTCCACCAAGCTTATACTAAGTTTGTATACATGCTCTTTAGGTAAACAACAACGGGGTATTATGAGGTAAAGGGATGGTGTGATAGAGTGTATATGGAGACTTGTATTTCATACGTGTTTTAATCCGAGCCATCTCCATTTAAATGTATATTATCTGTCACATTGTTCCTCCCTATCTAGAGATTCCTCGTCAGGCATAAACTGGACGTATATATCGCCGATCACATGACCTCTATCAAGGGATGATATTTCTGCTGTAGACTAATCACAATCCTTGATTTAACCCCTTGATTGATCGGTGCATTCCTCATTCTCCTGAGACATCCACCATGACGATCTACTCGCAACCGCCAACCACTGCCATCATCATCGGAGCCGGATTCTCCGGCCTGACGATGGCATGCCAATTGAAACGGGTCTTCAATCTCGAGGATTTCTACATCTACGACCGCGCAGAAGGAATCGGAGGGACGTGGTGGAGCAATACCTGTTAGTCAGGTTCCCCTCGTGATCACTTTGCCCTAACCAGTCTCAGATCCAGGTTGTGCGGTCGACATTCCAGCCATCTGCTATAGTCTCTCCTTCGCGCCCAATCCGAATTTCACCAAGCTTTTCCCTTCGCAGCCGGAGATTCTGGACTATGTCCATGACGTGGCGTCACAGTATGGAGTGCATTCGCATTTCGTGGGGGCCACAGAGTGGAGGGGCGCGAGGTGGCAGGAATCCACGAAGACATGGACCGTGACGTTTGAGAATCTTCGAACGGGGCATATCTTCACTCAGCGGTGCAAGATCCTCATCTCTGGCGTTGGGGGTCTCGTGAACCCGAACCGCTTCGATGTCCCTGGGGCTCAAAACTTCAAGGGCGACATCGTTCATACGGCCCGCTGGAATCCCAATCTCGACCTGACAGGCAAACATGTGCTTGTCGTGGGAAATGGATGTAAGTGCTCGCAATGTTTCCAACACACCGTCTGACGATGCAGGTTCTGCCGCCCAACTTGTCCCGGCCATCGCGGACCAGACGAAAACTGTCACGCAGTTCATGCGGGTTCGTCTACTCTAACACCTGCATTTGCATTTGCTGATGGTACAGACACCGCATCATATCATGCCCAGCCAGAATTACGAGATATCGCCGACGTGGCGAATCATCTTCCGTTGCGTGCCTGGCCTGCTCTTTCTCATCCGCCTTTTGATGTTCCTGTATATGGAGACTGGATTTCTTCAGTTCGGGAAAGGCAAAGCGGAGTCGGCGTCTCGAAGGAGCTCAGCACAGTTGAGCGCTGGTCATGTTCGGAATACAGCACCCGGTAGGTTGATTGATATCTCTACGGAAACCCCATTGACCTGTATCAGAGAAATACTGGGGCTTATTAACGCCCGATTTCGAATTCGGCTGCAAGGTAGGCCTCGCTACTTTTCTAACCCACCAAATCTAACCTGACTAGAGACGAGTCTTCGACCACGGATATCTCAACTGTCTCAATAGAGATAATATCCGCCTCACCGATGACCGCATTATCCACGTTAAAGAACACTCCGTCCTGACCAAATCAGGGGATGAAATCTTCGCCCACGCCATCGTAAGCCCCCCGTTTCAAGCACTAAGCAGCCACCTAACCAACCTACAGATCCTCGCCAACGGATTCGCCCTGACGCAATGGGATGTGGACATCCGCGGTCGAAACGGCATCACCCGGAAACAGCACTGGGAGAAATACGGCAGCAAATCAGCGTTCCAGTCCATCGCGATGAGCGACTTTCCGAATTTCTTCACCCTGATCGGTCCGAACTCCGGGCGTGCGCATACGTCGACTTTGTTGTCTATTGAAAGGTACGAGCTTCACAGATTGGGTTTATAGAGGCTAATGGATGCAGTTATACTAATTTAATTCTCTCGGCGATTGAGCCTGTGCTTAATGGCTCTGCTCGCTCTGTGGAGGTCAAGGCGTCCAGTGAGAGGAGGTTTAATAGCGATGTTCATCTGGCGTTGGAGCAGATGGTTCAGAATGCGTCCTGCGCGAGTGTGAGTTTCCTTTGTCCGTCATTGGATCAGCAATAACATTGGCAGTACTTCATCGACAAGGATACTGGGAAAAACTGGTTTGTTTATCCGTGGAATTCGTTGCAGCTGTGGTGGTCTACGTGGCGGAGATGCGATGATGATTGGGTATATCAGAAGATTTAGACTGCTATCTAATGGCTGATGGAGTTGGAAAGACTTTCGGACTGAAATCCTCGGCTGTTCACTAGAATAGCCCTATTAGTTTTATTTCTGGAATGTATCTAGCGATCTTAATCGACGGTGTATAAACTTTGTGGTGTTGATAACATGCAATTATATCTTGTTTTGGAGTATTGTGCAATTAACCTCAGTCGGGAGACTCGCAGATTTTCTAGGTTCAGAGATATCATCATGGAAAGAGTACCATTAAGGAAGAGCGTAATTTCTGTCTCACGATGATGTCATCTGTAACCAACTCCTATTTCCTTATGCGTATACTCGAACTCTATCTCTTTGCATGTCCTACATACCAATAGCCTCGGTCATACTCCTGGTGCAACCTAGTGAGCAAAATGCTCTATGAGGTTATTTCTCAAACAGGATAGAGGGTCTTGTTATGTTAAGCATTTGCTTTTTCCAGAAAATAAGACGGATATGATAGCGCACTTCCGTGGCAAAGGATCCCAGATCTCTATTTGTTCAACTCTGTCTAAGTGGGTCGGCTTCACGGAGTTTGCCTCAACCCAATATCTCCATCCGTTTTCTCGGTCCCTGGACTGTGGCTGAATGGCTGAATGTAAAGTCGGATTGTGGGTCTTTCAAGGGTGATTGCCGATTTGATGGTACTAATGTATATGTCCCTATACAGACTTGATTCTCTAGACTTAATGCAGCTTTCCCTATTTAGATAAGGCGCTGAGGGGGTTACTACTAGAAAGTAAGTAGGTTTGAAACTTGGGTACAGATGACCAAGGTTTGAGACGCTGGCTATATCATTGTTTCAAGCGATGCAAGGGTGCCGATAGGAGTAAAACCAAAGGACAAATCATAATATAAGAATTAATTGTGGCCAGGAATGATGACATCGGGCATAATTCATTGAGGTATAAAGCAGTCCCTTGGTACGAGTCATGAAGGTGAGACATCTCGGGGTTTGACCAACAAGCCACTAAAGATGGCTCAAAACCGACTTCGTAAAACTCTACCATCCTGGGTGTTTAATTGCTGGGAGCAAAACAAAAAAAGAGAAAAAAGAATGGTATGTCCGAAGCAGGGTTCGAACCTGCGATTTATTGTGTGTAAGCTATTGTATATTGTTAGTGAATTTGTTCAACGCTAGAAGAATTGTCGGGATGACTAACACAATCGTCATGACCACTAGACCATTCGGACTTATGCGTGCCAGATCCACTCTTTTCACATTCCTTCCTCAAGCAAATACGGAGCAACTGATCTATCAGGTATAACGGGTCTACAGTTGTTCTTTTGTGGCAACCCAGATCATCATACCTGATCATCATATCTCAGTGCTCTTCTTTTGCCCCCGACTAAGTAGTAATCATAACAAGTGCAAATTCGCGCATTCGTTTAATCTGAGATTTTGTTAGAGCATATATCTGATTGGCTAGTCGTACGTTTCAACTTTTATACGATTCCGCAACAATTGCAGGCTTAGCACCATATACTACTAGTATTGTCTGTTTACAAGCACTCACATATGGCTTCAAGACGCTGGTGACGATGATATTCTTTTTTGCCCATATTGGCCGTATAGATTTGGCACTGCTACGCCTTCCATAACTGAGTCTAACAAGTTGGTGCAACCAAGATGCAGAGCATTCCTAACATCTTTCAGCTCCATCATATATCAAGGGTGCCGTGGGACTTCATCATCTACAACGCTGAGACAAGTGGAAATCCTGTTATCTGCAGCATCATTCCCTTACCTTAGGAAAAGGGGTGTAGTATGTCGGGGTTTGCTCTGGATACCACAAAAGGTGATGCTGCATTGGAATGTGTTGCACACCCACCGCTGTTCAACCATCTTAAGGTATAAATACTTAGCCGTCTTCCATTTCTGACCAGCAAGTCTCTATCTCTACATCCAAGTCTTACTTCGCATATCCTCCAACACCGAAGCAAATATAAACCAGGACATCTTCATCATGAAGCTCACCACCACCCTTGTTGCAAGTGTCATGGCCCTCGCTGCCTCTGTGCATGCTAGGGATTGCACTGCCGGCTTGAAGTACTGCGGCAAAGTGCTGATTGGTCTTGGTATGTTAGCCACCTGTGATGATTCCTCGCGGCTACTGATATACTTTTATAGATGACAAGTACCTTCCTATGTTGCAAGAGCTGAACCGGCAAAGGGGCGTCAATCCCAACGAGGGTAGGTGGAAGTACGAGTGCCTGCCTGGTGGTGAAGTTAAGATTGATAAGTTTTGCGAAATCAAATGCACGGACATGGGATATGGGCATAACGATATTTGCAACTGAGCGAGGATTTATCGAAAGACGGTCAGCTGTTACTGGTTGAATTGACCGAGCTGGGGGGACGCAGATCAGATGAGTGTTGGATTGTTGAGGATCTCAGGGCTCATGTTGTAACTAATTTCATCTGACTGTAATAGAGTCACTATTTTTACAAATGCAGTTCAGAATACCTTAGGATCTAGAAAGGCGCTTATCCTATAGGGTCACGTCTCTCTAGGCCCTAAGGTGCCTTATCCTCATCTTCATTCTTCATTTCCTTCTCATTCGTTAATCACCTCCTTGTTTCGCACACCCACTTTAGCATACACATTGGATTATACCTCAGATAACATCTTCGTTTTATACATATCTAAAACCAGTTGACTCGTCCTTTGCTCTGCTCATAGACTATTAATATTTGTCTAGCCGTACTACTGATTCCTTTACGTATCTATTTCCTACTAACCCCGGGCTACTAAGTCCGAATCCTATTACAAGGAGAGTAAGACTAGATAGCAATAGGTTATAAGTATCTGATAATATTAATGTTAATCTTAATGATAACTGGATAGACCCAGGTAAGCATCCGCGTTTATTCTACTAATATAAAGTTGGTAGCATATAAACTATCCTGCGCTTCTTCCTCCCCTCCGCAAGCAAAAGTAGATCATAGATCAAGAGATAAATAAGGGGGAAGTTACTAGTTAAAGTGTAATTTATCAAGGTTACTTAAAGTAATTTCATTTACTTTATACTTGAAAATTACCTCAGGCTTTTAGGTGCTTAAGTCTATTTAGTAAGTAAAAAGTGGCGAGAGGTAAGTACTAAAACGGAAAGAGAAAGCTATCAGCTGGCTAGAGAATGAAGTACATGCACGCATGAAGCAGACGTTGCATCATATTGCCGACTCCTTGCCGCATGCACCTTCCGGACCCTCTCCAGCGCATATCGGTGTTCCCTTTTTCAGAAACACCCTCGCGGTCTTGAGCGATGTGACACGCCGCAAGATCATCCAAATTCCTACTCACTTGCCTGCACTCAGCCAATAAAAGCAATGCGTCAAATCGGGGTGCTCATAAAACGACCAACGCACCGTCTGTGGTCCCCTCATCCTCCTCATAGCAAAAATCTGAAAACCAACGACAAAATGAAAGGTCCCAAGTCTCTGAACCCACTGCACCTGGCACGCTCAAGTGCCAGACCCTCGATCAGTATCGAGTATCTCCTCCTGTGGATCCTGTCCGGCAGCCTCCGTCTCGGTGGAGTATATCTCGGCCTGAAATGGACCGTCGTGGCGATCGCTGTTGCGGTCCTCGCGTCGCCGAATCTCCTGATCGGCTATCTCCTGCTGGCATCTCTTTATCCGCGCAAACTCACCTCCGTCGCGGGCACCGAGGTCTCGGTTCTGGGCAAACCGCTGCTCTTCCCGATTACCTTGACGCATAATCGTCGGTCTCCTATCTGGAACCGCTTCAGTCACAGCGTCTTGTTCGTCGGGGTTCCTGTGGGTATTAAATGCCAGATCGGAAAGTTGCTGTCCATCGATGCGGACGAGACAATTTCCAGCTGGTTTACTGTTGACTCGAAGCGGTATCTTCATCGGGGAGACGATCATCTCGGTTTGCGGGAGAAGCTGGATGTTTTCTTGCGAGATCAGGTATGCGTGCTTCGACGGGATGGGGAATAGACTAACAGATGGCAAAGAATGAAGATCCATCGCAATGGCCGTACGCCTATCTCCTCAGCGTCCCGCGGTTTCTCTGGTGGGAGCGCAGCGTCGTCACTTGGTGGTTCCTCTACGGAGACAACAAGGAGCTCGACGCCGTGATCATGGAGATTAATAACTCGTTTGACGAGAAGCGCAACGTGCTCTTCAAAGTGCACGGCACGGAAGCGGAGACCTCAGCCCTCGAGGACTCGCTGGATACGGATAACTTGAAAACACAGTATCTCGATATGAGACGTACCGTGGAATCCGTGACCTCCCGTCCCACGGCTGTCTACTATAAAGGCATCTTGGTAAAGCACATCTACTCATCTCCATTCGAGAAGGTCGGCGAGCATATCGCAGAGAGATTCATGGATCCTACGATCCCAGCGGCGTGGGATAAGATGCGCTCCATGTCGAATACGACGACCATGACTGCGTCCGGGCGTCCGAAGATGATGGCGAGGATGTCGTGCCATAGTCCCCCGGTTGATCCAACGCAGACATCTTGGTTTACCATCATCAAGTTGCTGATGTGGTGGACTTTGCCGGTGACATTGACCACAGCGAGGATTCTATATCAGGCACTGAGGATCGAGTTTAAGGGTTTGATGCGCATGATGGACAAGCCGGATATTCGGTCGGGGAGTGAGTCGCGGCGGGCTACGGGGGGCGAATCGTAGGTATCCAGTCTGGACCTGAAGATTCTTGCTAATTTATGTGCAGTGGCCTGGAACCCTTCTTCCGTCAATACCTCGGTCACTGTGTTGCTTCGTGTTCGTTTCCGTTGGAAGTGAAATATCTTCCCTCGAAAGCGATATCGCGAGAGGAGGTGCAGATGCAGTCGCCTTCTTGCTTTTCAGCTAAAGAACCTACGAAGTCATTGACCATCGAGGTCCTAGATCCTGGCTTCTACAGTCGGATTCTGCAATGCGAAGACCCCATCCTGGGTTTGAGCACCGAAGCCACTCCGCGCGGGCTGGAGGCCGATACGCAGGCGTCTCCATTGAAAGTGTCAGACATCTCTCTGCTCAAAGAACTGATCCAGTCGAGTCCATCCTATCAGACGGACACTCTTGTCCCGGAAAGGCGGACCTGGTTAGGCGGGCCCAACTCATTCATGGACGGGTTCACGAAGAGATACCTGCCGTCGTCTTCGCAGTGGACTTATAGGTCGCTCAAACTTCGTCTGCTCGCTGAGAAGCCCTCGTTTAATCAGCCGGAGGTGCTGAAAATTTATGAATATGCGGCTGCCGTTGTGTGGAGAATGGGCGTGAGTGAGCTGCTGGGGATGTGCCTGGGTGGTAATTATGAGGCTGCTTATCTGGGTGTTCTTCATGCCGGCGTTGCGTGTCTTTTCTAGATGGCTATGGAGAATCTTATTCTTACCTGGTCAATCGTTTTGAAAGGATAATTCTTATATTCATTTGACATTGGCTTTATGTCATTACTAGATTGCAGTTCTTATGATGACGCATTAACTATAAAGAAACAGCTACTAGTTCCAGTCTTCTCAAACATGTTGCTGCTTTATTCATAATCGAAATGTAGCTCTCTTAATCTAGACAGATCAAATCCAATCCATCCTATTTATACCCATTCCTCTCCTCCTGAGGCACCAAAACCGCTCTATACCGCACCTTTCCGTCCCTCAGATCCTGCATCGCATTCTCAATGCCCTCCACCCCAAACGGATACTTCACCACCATGGGCCGGATCTTCTTGCGCGCCGCAAACTCGAGCAGCTCCTGCAGGTTATTCCGCGAGGTGATGAACGAGCCCTGGATGCGGACTCCCTTCGACAGCAAAGGCAGCGTCGGGACGGGCGTGGTATCAAACGACACCGCCATGTGGTAGATCGTGCCGGTGGTGTCCATGAGGGGGATCAACCTACGGTCTTATCTTAGAATATCCCATCCATCTCACCACATAATATGTAAGAGAAAAAAAAGCGGGGGGGGGGGGTCAAACTCACTTCGTATAATCCTCACTCCCACTCCCACACACAAGCAAATGCTTCAACGGCCGCACATCCCCCTCCTTCACACCACTCAGCGCATGAAACTCCTCCGCCCCGAACCCCCTCGCCTCCTCCCTCTTCTTCTCCGACCCCGACAGCGCAACAACCTGATACCCCAGCGCCGACGCAAGCTTAATCGCTAAATGTCCTAACCCGCCAATCCCCAGCACCCCGACCCGGTCGTTCACCCGCATCCCGTTCTGCGTTAGACAGCTCCACACCGTCGCACCCGCACACATCAGCGGCGCGGCGTCCGCGGAGTCCAATGCCTCCAGGATCGGGAACACGCAGGATGCGTCCCACACGGTGCCGTGTGCGAAGGATCCCACGTCGAAGTCGTGGGTTCCGTATGCGCGCTTGACCCGACAGTATTGGTCCAGTCCGCGCGTGCAGTTGTCGCATGTTCCGCAGACTGACCGGATGTAGGCGAATCCGACCCGGTCGCCGACTTGGTGGTTGGTTACGCCGGGCCCGAGGGCCGTGACGGTGCCGATTCCTTCGTGGCCAAGGACGCAGCCGGCGTGTAGGAAGTGTTCGTCGGTGCCGCAGATTCCGGAGTGTGTGGCTGTGATGTGGATTTCGTTGTGCTGGAGGTGGCGGCTTGTGGTGCTGGGGGTGATTTTTCCTGTCGGGGAGCCGCGGTAGACGGTGAAGGTGATGGGTTCAGACATTTTGGTTTGTTCGGTTGTCTTTTATGGAGGGTTGGTTGGTTTGTATTTGTTTAGGTGAGTTCATGGGTTGGATTGATGGGTTATATGGTAGATGGGGAGAGTTAGGGTTTTATATGTCCAGGTGATGCCCGAACGGGTAAGGTTCCGCGGTGTCTCTCTGGGTTTGGATGTAAGTTACCTTCGAATCAACTCGAGTCAAACTTTGGTTTCATGCGCTGCCCTGATTCTAGGTATCATGACATAAGACTCGGGTCCCTGACTTCATGCATTTCGATTGGAACGGGTGTTTTCTCTTCCCTCATTCGTGTTCGCACGCAGCATAGACACCAGGTAGGGCAATCTGTCTTGGCTGTATCTTCTGATGGATTGGATTCGTCTAGAGGCATTTCATTCGCTCATGTGTTGTGCTCCTTGCACCTTTACTCCTTACTCTGGTCGACATCACTAGCTGATCTTGAGTGGCAACCAGTAACCCTCCCTCCCCCACAAGCAAATAAAGAAAAGAAATCAAAGACTATACCCCCCATCCACCACCAACGCAGCCCCCACCATGAAGCTACTCATCGGCGACACCATGTACAGAATCGTATCGGCGATCTCCTCCACCTGCCCGACTCGTCCGATCGGAAGGGCTTCGATGTCGCGCACGAAGTTCCCGGCGTCGATGCCGGGCTGGATCAGAGGGGTTGCGACCCATCTATAATTGTGAGCTTATTACATGGCTATCGGGTGAAGGTGCATATATCTATAGGGTTAAGAGAAAGAAGGGAGGGGGATATACCCCGGACAGAGCGCGTTGATTCGGATTCCGTCTTTTGCGTAGTGTCGTCCGTCCTGTAGGCTGTTAGGCTTTGGTTTGGATGGAGATAGAAAGGGATAGGGACGTACGGTTCTGGTGAGTCCTACTATCGCTGGGGAAGTATTAGTGTCTCTCTCTCTCTCTCTCTCTCTCTCTCTCTCTCTCTCTCTCTCTCTCTTCCATCTATCACCCCTCTCAAGGAAAGAAGCGAGGATATAAACGAGAGAAAAGCCTCACCATGCTTCGAAGACACATAACAACTCAACGGCGACTCCACGTCCGTCGCCGTGACGCCCAACGACGAAGAAACATTCACAATGACCCCTCGACCGAGCCGCGGACCTAGATGTCTGAACCCATATTAGCCATCCAAACATATCTTACCCTCATCCTCACCCAGAAGAGAAGAGAGAAAAAGGGAAAACAAACTCCTGCCCTAACATCACCCTCACCAACTCCCTCTGACACAACCACACCCCCGTCTGATTCACCCCCACCACCCGATTCCAGGTCTCCCGCGACGTCTCATGCGTGGGCACCACAGGCTGCGCGACCCCCGCGCAATTCACCCCGATATCGATGCGTCCGAACTCATGGGCTGTTTTGCGGATGGCGCTCGTGACGGAGTCTTCGGAGGAGACGTCGAAGGGTAGGACGAGTACGCGGAGGTCGGGGCGCGTGCTGGTGAGTTCGGCAGCGATCTTGGAGAGCCCGGACTCGTCGATGTCGGCGAGGGCGAGGTTCGAGATTCCGTGGGTGGAGAGGTTGTGCGCGGTGGAGGCGGCGATTCCTATTTTTTTCAAATTTTTTTGGGGGTTAGTGTTTTTGGGATTGGGTTGAAGTTTCAGTGGAGGGTTTTAGGGTGGGAAGCGCATAGGATGAGGAATACCTGATGCGGCGCCGGTGATGAAGGCTGTTCCTTGGACTTGGTGGGTCATTCTGTTCGTTCTTAGTTGTGTTGATTCGAATGTTGCTGGAAAGATAGCGTGGTAAGCACCAGGTACTTATCAATGGGCGGCTTACATACTTACATGAATGTCTTCGATCATTCTTACTACACGGCCATATACGTATCCTTGCGTATAGTGGCATCTGCACGAAAGGCCAAAAGCAGAATATGTGACGTAGGTGGTGTTTGACTACGACTGGGCAAAGGCAATATGGCATACAGTTGCGATGGCTTACTAGGGTTTCTCGCTCCATGGTTGGATAATACGTTGCCAAGAGGTATTTCCTGTCTTCCCAGGATTCTGTTATTTATCCGTCTTGTCTATCTGCCTACGCCAGTCCCATGTCCTTGTAGAAAGCATCCGTCTTAGGCTCCCGGCCCAAGAACTCCGTCAGCGTCGTCATCTCATCCTGGCTGCCGCCCTTCTCCAACACCTGGTAGCGGTACCGGCGTCCAGCCTTGGGGTCCATCGGGTTCGACTTGAACACCGTGTAGAACATATCGGTCGAGTAGACTTGCGAGCTGCAGGTTGTTAGTATCACCCATATGAAAAAAAAAAAAAAAAAAAAAAAAAAAGAAAGAAAGAAAGAAAGAAAGAAAAGGAGGCGTACCTGAGATATCCGTAGTATCCCGCATCGTATCCACCGATCAAATGTCCAAACGTAGCCTCGCCGTGTCCCCATTCGTCGCCCAGTCCCAAAGTCTCGGGTCCGTCCATCTGCGTGATCTGCTTGCGCAGCTGGTTGTACGTGGCCGAGATCGGCAGCTTCTCGATGTAGTCGTGGCTCTCCGGCTCGTGCACCGTCATGTCGAAGATACCAAAGTGCAGCTGCCGCAGGTTGAACAGCGCGTCGTTGACGTGCTTCGTGCGGATGAGGTTCTCGATCACGTCGTCGGGGATCTGCTCCGAGGGCTTGGACGCGCCGCCGGCCTGCTCCTGCCATCCCGCCAGGTACTCCGGCGACAGGCTGGAGTAGTGTTTGCTGAGCGACTTCAGCTGGGACGGCGTCCAGCACCAGTTCTCCAGCATCTGACTGGGCGCCTCGACAAAGTCGCGCACCGTGTTGGTGCCGTGGAAGCGCGAGTAGGTCGTCTTGGCCACCAGGTCGTGGATGCCATGACCCAACTCGTGGAACAGCGTCACCACCTCGTCGTGCTTGAGCAGACTCGGCTTCTTGGGCGTCGGCTTGGTGAAGTTGCACACCAGCGCCGTGGCGGGGTAGCGGCGGTTGCCCTCGGCGTCGATGAAGCCGGGCTGCAGGTTGAAGTTGGCAGCGTGGCCGTACTTGCCGCTGCGCGGGAACAGATCCAAGTAGAGGTATCCCACGAATCCGCTGCCCTCGCCCTCGTCGTTCCAGACACTGAAGATCTGCACGTCCTCGTGCCAGACAATGTCGCTGCCCTTGCCGGACGGCGCGATCTTCTCGCGGTCCTCGCCGGTGATCTCCACGAACACCAGACCGAAGAGCTCCTCAAAGATCTTCAGCATCCCCTCGATCGTCGTCTGGAGCGGGAAGTACTCGGCAATCTGCTGCTGGTTCAACGAGAAGTCCTTCTCCAGCATCAACCGGTCGTAGTACCGGTGGTCCCACAGGTAGTAGCGGCCGTCGAACGACTCGCTGCGGGCCTCCAGATCGCTCTTCTTGATCTCGAGGAGGTTCTGGATCTCCTTCTGGCCGCCGGCCGTCAGGCGCTTGCGCAGGTCTCCCAGGAAGGTGTCGACCGTCTCGGGCGTCTTGGCCATCTTGTCCTCGATGCGGAACGCGGCGTGGTTGGGGTATCCGAGCAGGCGAGCGGCCTCGTCGCGCAGGATGATCGACTCGCGGAAGAGCGGGACGTTCTGGTTGCACTTGTTCTCGTTCTGGATCATCACCGTCTTGCGGGTCTCGGCGTTCTTGGCGTATTTCATCGTGGGGAAGAGGTCGGGGTACTTGAAGGTCAGCCAGAGCTTGCCGTCGTTCTCGCCCTCACCCTTCTTCAGGCCCGACAGGACGTCATCCGGCACGCCGTCCAGCTGCTCGCGGGTGAACCAGAGCCCTTCGTTCTCTTCGTTCAGGTTCTTCTGGAACTCAATGCTGATCTGGGATAGACGCTTCTTGATCTCCTTGAAGCGGTCACGCTTGGGCCCGGCCGGCAAGCCCAGGCCGTTGCGGATGAAATCCTTGTGTTCCTTCTCCAGCAGACGGCGGGACTCGGGGTCCAGGGTCTCGTTCTTGCTCAGCACGGCGTCCACCAGCTTGAAGACGTCCTCGCGCATGGCACTCTCGATGAAGAATTCATCCATCAGCTCCTCCGCCTTGGACGAGGCGTCGCGCAGCTCCTGTTCCGTCGAGACGGCCTGGTAGAAGCCGAGGATGTGGGACTCGAGGGCCATGACGTTCTCATCTTGGGCGAGGGGCTTGATGACGGAGGCGAAGGCAGCGGTATCGGGCTTCACGTTGGCCACGACGCCATCCTGGACCTTGCGGGAGGTCTCGACGAGGCGTTTGGCGTCGTCGACGATGGACTGGGCGGTTGCGGTGAAGACGGGCGGAGCCTGAGGGGGGCGGCGGAGGTGTTCAGGAGCCATGTTGGCGGTAGTGAGGGATTTGCGAAGGTCGGTCAAAGCTGGATTCGAAACGGCAGACAGTCGCGAGCCGCGGAAATGGCTCAGGACTGACGATAGTCGGAAGGTGGGGGTAGAGAGTCGGAGAGGGGGAGCCACGGTGAATAGAAGAACGCCCAGGAGAAGGACGAGGAGGTGGATATATAAGGGGCGGAAGGCGGGAGAAGCTATGGTGACGACGGAGGGGTTTGAGAGCGTAAAAGAGGGGGCGAGTGGGGTATGCAAGCTGAATGACTTGTTCGGATTCAATTGAGAAGACCAAAGAACCGTCGAGTGAGGTCGCTGCTCGGCCGCCTAGGCAGTAAGGCAGCTAGGCAGTAAGGCAGCTAAGGCAGCTGTTTGGCGGCCGAGCAAACAGACCCTTACTGTATTGGGTTAGTGCGATCTGCTGGCAATAACATTGACTCGGTTTCCCATATGGTCCTCCGAAGTATACAGGTAGCTACAGTATGTCCAAATGAGTATATACTCAATTTCTACTTCGAATAAGTCATCCCTTTGCTAAATTCACATTAGGATCATCTGCAACTGCCAGTTCATTCAAATACAGTCTGCCAAAGAATATGTGTCCAATCCGGTCTTTTGCCCCCGTGAAGTTGCAAATCAAGTTATTTCTCCATAGCATTTGGTCCAACAGATGAACATCCATGGATATCCATGGATATACGTAGGAGTCATGATACAAGTATCACAAAGGCACGGAAGCTCTGGCCCACTTCGGGTTAGTCGCAGGCTAGCGACGTCGCTAGTCTCCCTGATCGTGCCTAATGTTGACCTCCTTCCCCACAACCTTTTTCCAACTTTCAAGATGAAGCAAATAAATATGAGGCATATCGTCATTTCTATTGGCGTGGTTCAACCACATTAAGCTTTTGAAGTAATACACACAGATCACCAGATCAACACACTCCCCAAATCGGAAACCCCGCGAACTCCGGCAACTCCTTACAGGCAGAAAACAAAAATATCAAATCGAACGCCCACGTGCTGATGATAAGACTCAAGTCTCAAGTGATGAGAAAACTGATCAACGACAAGTCAATCTAGGCGGCATCTGCCGTGGGAATAGGCTCGGGAATCTTGGTGACCTGCTCGCCGGCACGGACAATGCGCTGGCCAGTCTCGTCACGGACGTACTCGGTGGTACCCTCCTTCTGAGCCCGCTTCCAGATCTCAACCTCGCAGCCACCCCGGATCACACCAACCCGCATGGTGGACAGCAGGTTGTGGGCAGCGTTCGAGTGGTAGTAGATACCGCCGTTGAACATCGCCGTGGCGTCCTTGCCGATACCCGAGTTGATCATGGCCTTGCCACCGGGGTGATCCTTGATGAAGTCGGTCACGTCGTGGACGACACCGGCAATGGCCACGAGACCACGGCCGTTCTTGGCCTGGTCGACATAGTCGTCCCACTCCATGACGGGCAGCTGGTCCAGGGGAACACCCCAGTCCAGGCGGGCACGCTTCTGGTCGATCTTCTTCTGCAGCTGCTGCACGCGGCCCTTCTCGATCTCGTTGGCACGGAACTTTTTGAGGTCGTAGGCCAGACCCATCTGCTTCCAGATCCAGATGGTCCACTTGGTAGGGTCGTACTGGTGCCATTCGATGGCGTTGCGGTAGTCGGAGGGGAACTCGTGGTGGAAGTTGTGGTATCCCTCACCCAGGGTCACCAGGGCGGTGATCACGTGGTCACGGGGGGAGTTGCGGTCGTCGAAGGGCTGGTCACCGAGCCAGTGGGCCAGGGAGTTGACGCAGAAGGTGGCCTGCTGGACGAAGAAGATACGCAGGATACCGGCGTAGACGAAGCCGCCCCACCAGTCACCCCAGCCGAGACCGGCCACCAGCATGGGCACAATCAGACCCATGGCGATGACGGTCTGGATGTAGTTGCGGTGCTGCCACTGGACGACGGGGTCCTCGTTCAAGTCGGAGATGTCGGTTCGGCCGATACGCTTGGGGTTCTGCTTCATGACCATCCAGCCGAGATGCGAGTAGAGCAGACCCTTGCGGACGGAGTAGGGGTCCTTGTCGGTGTCGGTGTAGCGGTGGTGAGCACGGTGGCCACGAGCCCACCAGCGGATGGAACCCTCGACGGCACCACCACCGACGGCGGCGAGCCAGATACGCAGGGGAAGACGAGCCGAGTACGAGCAGTGAGCCCACAGACGGTGGTATCCTGTGTCCGTTAGATCTGTTCCAACACCAGTTCTCTCAAGGCGACTTACCTGCCGTGATACCCAATCCGGTGAAGAAGTAGTAGATGACAGCCCAGATGGCGGTCTTCATCTGCAGGGGCACCCACAGAGCTTGAATGCATCCATACAGGGGAATACCGAGAATGAAGGTGACGTTCAGCCAGTTGACGTGCTTGTACCAGTTCTGCCGCGTCAAGGCCGTGTCGGCGATGTGAACCTTCTTGGTGTCACCACCAGCCCGAGGCCGGGTGGCATCCGCAGGCTTTGCAGACATGATGCCGAAGATTCCGGATTCAAATCTTTTCCCTGGAGCTCGCAGCTCTTCCGATTAGAAGGGATGATCAGGATAGATGGTTCCGACGACACGATCGTCTTCTATGGAGCGGAACCCGGGGAGGCAAAAGGTGGTCTGGGAGGAAAAGGGATGAAGGAAGCGCGGGTATAGAATTACTTTTTAAAAGCTGACGGGGGCAAACAATTTGCAGGGGACGAAGATCCGAGGAAGAAGGGTGGGGAATCTGCGGCGAAGGCCAGAGAACAATCAAGAGTGAGAGAAAAAAACAAAAGGGAAAACCAGATTGGCAGGCGTTCGAGTGAGCCGGGTCCACCGTCGGGATGACGGTTGGGGAGGAAGAGAGATGCAAGGCGGCCAGCAGCCAATGATGCTATGCTGAGCTGAATGGATGGGGAGGAGTCTAGGAGAGGACACCCGACGTGGTGGTCTGACCGGCCTTGGGGATGGTTTTACTTTTATCTACAGCAGGCGATGATCAAGTAATCGATCAGAAGATCCCGAGGCTGGCAGAGAATTGCGTTCAACAATTCCCATTCACGCCTGAGCTTGCGGCATGCGCAGCCCAGGAGTTGAGGTTGTTGCCATCACAGGCAGGAACGGCTTGTTGGGCGGCCGATCGCCCGCCGCCGACGCCCTGCCCAGACCCTGCCGCTTCCGGCTAGTCGGAGGGCCGCCCGCCAATCAGCTCCGCGCGTTTAACTGTTGAATCCCCAACGTTTTCCTGACCCCTGCAGGCGGTGAACCCGACCGCCGCCTCTGACTGGTGGAATCCGACGGCTGAATGCTGACTCAGGCGCCTGAGTTTTCCACTTAGTCATGCCGGTGGATAATGCACCCGCTCATCCCTTTATTCCTTCATAACTCCTGACTCCGTAATTTATCCTCCCCCCTTCAGCCGCGGCAATCGAGTGAGTCCACCCGGGGCAAAACCGGGGTTCCTCCGGAAAGATGCTCTCGTCCTCCGCAGTAGTGGCAGTGGCAGTGGCTCCCGGAACGGTTGATTTAAGGTCGGGATGGCGTTGGACTAGTTCTCGACGGGGTGAAACGGACAGGCCTGCTCCGACGGTATCAGATGCAGCCCTACGGCTGGACCGCCGGTTTGCCACTCACCAGTCGCCACCGAGGTTGGTCTGAGGCTGTTGCCTGGTCCTGGGGCTTGGAGCTTCTGGAGTTCTTATCCACATGAATCTTCGCGACGTTCGTTCCTGCGTGGCGATCAAACTCAGGGGTACGGAGTAGACAGCTCATTATGGAACTTTCAGGATTCAAGTAAACAGCTCTGCAGGAAGTCGCCCAACTGCGGAGGATGTAAGGGTTATATCTCGGGAATTTGCTTCCTAATAGGAAACAACACTCTTCACTGTGCCTTGACCCTCAGAAAGACGAAATAAGTAACGATTGCCTAAGTTGCACGAAGTATATTACATGCATTTCATTAGGGTTTCTTACCCGCGAATTTTCGCCCCTACCTCTCCTGGATCTCATCACGACACTCTTGCCTTAAATCGCTCTGTACTCAAGAAGCACAATTCATCCAACCCAGTAGTTGCGTCTTATTCAATGGGATTTGCTGGATCGTAAATTCTCAATCCATATCGTTCGCATAACTCGCGGATATATATCTTTCGGATCCTTATTGAAGTCTGCGGAATCTCAATCATTCTAGCCGCTCAATTTTCAAGAAAAAAAAAATGTTCCGATTGAAGGACTGACCGTTCTAGACTATTTGATTTAAGAATTACCCACTGGAGGATCGATATCTCCGTCGTGCTCCTATGCATCTACTCGTGTAGTCCGTCGAGCACTCTAACTAGTTATCGAGCGCCAGTTTCTGTGACTAACAGGATCCCCCTTCCGGACCGCTAATCCTCATCTGGACTGCACTAAACCCTGCTCGGAGTACATCGTGCCACACGTGACCCTGCACGTTTCCTCCATCTCCGTACTCCAGACCAAGACCTACTCCGTATAAGACTCCCACGCCCAGCATTCGGGATGATGTCTTCTCCGTCTCGTCCTTCTCATGCTTCGCTTCGGCTCCTCGCTATCAGGGCGTCCTGCCCCGATCTGGACTTCGGCGGTACCCGCCTTGGTCGCTGATAAGCAGCCGGCAGCTTCGTTTACATGAGCAGCGACTGTCAGCGAGTCCTCTTATCGCCGGCTCCACTATTTCCGCCAAGGAGGACCAACCGACGGGGGGTTCAAAGAGCTCTCGACATTGGTGCCAAAGTCTAGAGTTTCCAATCGGCCTATCATCATTGCGTGTGCCACGTTAGCTTGCTCCTTCTGGGCGGTCTGGGGAATACGCGAAGCTGGAGAGATAACCACGCCCAACCAGCTCGAGGAACAAGGAAAAGAAATTGCATTATTCGATTGCTTCACGCATCCAGATTGTCGCTGATAATCGCATCCCGGACCTTCGTCGACTCTCCGACCTCCGCGAATATGCTCTCGTTTATATATCGCCTGCATTCCTCTGGGATCTCGGGGGTCAGACTTCCCCGCATCGCCTCCGATCAATTGGATTCGTCGACCACTCGGGTTTGCCACGGATTCGAGATCCCTTGCCTGCCCTGAGGGGTTCTTCTCGACACTACTTCAACCCCTTCATTTAATTTCACCATCATATTTGCTGCCAGCATGGATGGCCCTGATCAGATTGGCCCCGACCATCGTCCCCGGCGGACATGGGCCGACCACACTCGGAGACTCGTCAAGACTTTTACTACCAGGTAATTTTATCTCGAGGTGCTGTTGTTCTGCTGCGGGGTCCTAACTGGGTGTCCATAGAGAGGGATTGATCGGAGACTATGACTACGCCTACCTGTTTACGCCGCATATTCCCTTCGTGAGCAAAACCAGGAGATCGGCACCCTTTTTCGGCCTAGAAGATCGAGTACCCGTGTTGTTGGCTTTGATTCTTGGTCTGCAGCATGCCTTGGCGATGCTGGCTGGAGGTGAGCTCCGTCTATACCTCGGGTCCTTGACCAAGCTAATGCGAGCCTTTAGTTATCGCCCCTCCGATTCTCCTGGGTGGCTCCGCCGCCGCCAACTTCTCCGGCGACGATTATCAATATCTGGTCTCGACATCCCTGATCGTCTCCGGACTGCTGTCGGCCGTTCAGATGACCCGCTTCCATGTCTACAAAACGCGATTCTACGTTGGCACCGGTCTGATCTCGGTGGTGGGTACCTCGTTTGCCACCATCACGGTCGCAACGGGCACCTTTAGTCAGATGTATAGCTCTGGGTACTGCCCAGTCGATGGCCAAGGCAACCGCTTGCCTTGTCCTAAAGGCTATGGAGCTCTCCTGGGTACTTCGTGTCTTTGCTCCTTGCTGGAAATTGGGCTGTCATTCATGAGTCCCAAAGTCCTGAAGCGGATCTTCCCCCCTCTGGTGACGGGCCCGACGGTCTTGCTTATCGGAGCGAGTCTCATCGAGAGCGGCATGAAAGACTGGGCCGGCGGCTCTGGTAGCTGCGGCAGCGACCCTTCCGCCCGAGCCTTGTGTCCCAACGCAGATGCACCGCACGCCCTTCCTTGGGGTAGCGCCGAGTTCATCGGCCTCGGCTTCCTGGTCTTCTTGACCATCATTCTCTGCGAGCGCTTCGGCTCGCCCATCATGAAATCATGCGCCGTCGTGATCGGTCTGCTGGTCGGATGCATCGTGGCGGCCGCCTGCGGCTACTTCGACCGCTCCAGCATCGACGCCGCTCCCGTCGTCTCCTTCATCTGGGTCAAAACCTTCCCGCTCACCATCTACCCGCCCCTGATCCTGCCTCTGCTGGCCGTCTACATCGTGATCATGATGGAATCCATCGGCGACATCACGGCCACCTGCGACGTCTCCCAACTCGAAGTCGAAGGCGCCACCTTCGACTCCCGCATCCAAGGCGGCGTGCTCGGCAACGGATTCACCTGTCTCCTGGCCGGTCTCTGCACCATCACGCCCATGTCCGTGTTCGCGCAGAACAACGGCGTCATCGCGCTGACCAAATGCGCCAACCGCAAAGCCGGCTACGCCTGCTGCTTCTTCCTCGTCGTCATGGGCATCTTCGCCAAATTCGCCGCCGCCCTCGTCGCCATCCCTAGCTCCGTCCTCGGCGGCATGACCACCTTCCTGTTCTCCTCCGTCGCCGTCTCCGGTATCCGCATCATCTCCACCGTGCCATTCACCCGTCGCAACCGTTTCATCCTCACGGCCTCCTTCGCCATCGGTATGGCCGCTACCCTGGTGCCCGAGTGGTTCCAGTATTTCTTCACCTATAGCGGCGACAATCACGCTCTGCAGGGCCTGCTCGACGCCGTGGTTCTGGTCATGACGAACGGCTTCGCCGTGACCTCCGTGCTCGGGTTGATTCTGAACCTGCTGATCCCGGAGGAGCCGGAAGAAGAAACGGCCGTTGTGGATTCGCGGAGCGAAGCACCTGTTGAGGAGCCAAAGGGGACTCCCGAACCGTATACGAAAGCGGATCAGTCCGAGGGGTCTAGAAGCATGTAATGGTCCCGAGGAGGTATAATCTATACAGTTGTTTATGAATGTTTGATAATGTTACGATATGGATGCGCGGTAATGGATGGATGGATAGGATAGGATAGGATAGGATAGGATACCCCGATGAATTTGAACCTGACATACCCTCGACATTTGTCCGTTTGCCTCCCACATAAGACTAGACCGTAGAATCACTGATTAATCCCCTTGACCATTCCTCATAAACACTCCACCGCCCAAACAATCACCACCTAAACCAATTAAACCCGCCCCTCAGTCTCCGCCTTCCTCAGCATCTCTTCCACAGACATAAACTTCATCCCCTTGAAGAACTTCTCATACTGCCGCTCGGTCTTCTCTTCCGGACAAGCCGTCGCCCCACTCACCTCCCATTCCTCTACTTCGGCGATCGTCAGCTCAGCCTTGGTACTAGGATTGGCGATAGTTCGATTAATATCGTCGAGGCTGCGGTGGGTTGTTCGGAAGGGGCGGTCTGGCAGTTCGTTAGTTTTAACTAAGGCAACTTGGACAGTGAAAGGATAAGGGGGTTGAATATACCGTAGAACCGCTCTAATATTTTCACCATCTCTTTATATGTGCCCCGTTGTCCGGTGATGTATGTCACTGGTTCCTGGGGAGAAGGCAAACAGGTTAGAAACTCCAGTCAACAGCCTAACGACTTTTGATATATGGGAAAAGGAAGAAAGACTCACCCACTCCTCACACCCTAACAACACCACCACCGCCCTCGCGACATCCCTCGCACACGTCCACGCCTGGGGCTCCTCGCCCGTTCCCCGGACCACCCACCGCCAGACGCTCGGGCGCGGATCAACCGGGAACTCGCCCTCCAGGAACGCCATGTACGACTTCTCCTCTGTCAGGAAGTAGTCCATGAACCAGCCGAAGTTGAAGCTCGTGGATTTGATCCCGGGCGTCTGGCGCAGGGTCTCGCGGAACGGAGCGCGCGTGCGACCATACATCCGGGGGATGTTGGGGAAGTCTTCGACGTTGCCGGCCCAGTCGGAGGGGATGAAGCGTTTGCAGAGTGGGGAGTCGAGACACGCGGAGAGGAGGGTGGTGTGGAGGGGGAGGTAGAGGGGTTCAGGGGGATTGAGGGTGGAGATGAGTGTTGTGGCGCGTGTGGAGGTGAGGATGGAGATGAGGGAGGGGAGCGTGTAGTCTGTTTGGTGGTAGGTGAGGTTGGGAGTTGGGTTGGTTGGGGGTTCCTGGGTGGGTGTTAGATGTTTTGTTAGGGAAGGGGAGGGATGGGTTGTAGATACCTGTCGAGTGAGGACGGCCACGGCGTATCGATCATCTTTGCACAGCTCTTCGATGAGATATCTGCTTAGGTTGCCGTTTCCTGCAAGAGCGATGACCTGGCGTTGTTCGTTTGGAGTAGACATATTCAAGATGAACAGAGTAAATAGGGCCGTAGGTCGATTCTGGAAAAATAAACTATTCTCGTTGAGTGATGTGAAGAGTAATGTCGCATATAATCGTTTGTCCAGTTGTGCTTCAGATAGTTCACCTGAAGTCAATTGCTGAAATAATATATGGGCCCAAGAGGCTTCTTTATAGATGGCCATCTAGACACCCTTGGGCATCCTGGCTGACCATACAGTCACCTTCGAAAGCTTGCTGGGAGAGCTGACAGGGCTTACACCGACCGCAGCTTGTATATGTAGTACAAAAGCATAGACCGATATGTATTGTCGTGTGGCCTCAGTATGAAAAGTGTATAGACCTGTAGGATGACATGCAAGACAGGAAGGGTGGACTTGGGGTTCTTCATGTATGGACATGGAATTGCCAAATCCCTGCTGAGAGAACAAATGAGACTCCGAATACCGTCTATTAGGCTCTGTTAGCTCACTTCGACGGGCAGTGCAAAGCGAGGTTCACGTAGATTTCGTACCTTCATTCATTCCTTTTGTCTTGCAGTTTATGTGTGTGAAAGTTCAACTGTAAACTTGAGACTATGTTCCGGATTTAAATGGGCCTAATACGGACGATGATGAACAGGATGAAATAACGAAATGATTTGATGATTATCTAGGAGACAAGGAGAGAAAGAAAGAGAAAAAGAAGAAGGGACAATGCTATGGCTATGCGACACGTGATAAGCATTTGACTTGGATTCTTCTGGCTCAACTTCCATCTTCTCCCGTCTGTCTTCCAACTTTCTCGAATCAGCCAATGATAACAAAACATTCAAGTGGAGGCAGCCTGGACCCAGTGAGGGAGATATGTTGCAATCAAAGAAGTAGGAGAAGGGCAAAGCAATAAGTCAGGATTGTCAGCGAGTGAATGACAAAGATTGGCGGTGCCAAACTCGGGCATGCTCTGCTGCATCTCCCATCGTGTTCGATCCCCAAATACCTTTTCTTCTAGCATGGGCAATAACGATAGAATTAGGTTGTTAGGACTCTGAGAGAGCCTTTTAACCCACTCCGCATACGGAATTCCTCGCATTGGTGACGCTTCGATGAGACTGTTGACGGATTGAAAAATCGTGGCCATGTCAATTGTACAGGTGGGATGCACAAGATTATATGCCTGGCCAACGCTGGTGTCTTTGGAGGCAATATGCAGCATTGCAGATACCACAAAGTCGACCGGCACAAAATCCTCTCTTTGCTGAGGCAGCAGAGGAAAGCTTGCATTCCTAATGCAGCTCGCCATGACCTTGTGGAAGAAGTCGTCGGTATTCATCGTGCCCATCTCGCTGTGGCCAAGCACAACCCCTGGACGATATATTGTCAAAGGAAGCCCGTTATCTATCGCTTTCCAGGCAATCGTTTCCGCAACAAACTGACTTTGGGAGTATCCAGTATCGTATCGAAGGGCGGCGACATGATTTGCAGGCCTTTCATCTTCAGGAAGGTGGGTTGACCCCATCACCAACCCCGTGGGCCCATATGCACTAATGCTAGATGTATAGTGCAGATGTTTGGGGCGACTCGTATTGGCAAAGCGTATCATGTTCACTGTACCCAGAACGTTGGCCGCTCGATGATTTGAGTAAGGCTGTACATAGTTGATGTGCGCGCCCAGATGGAACACAACGCTTGACCACTCTGCAAGATGCAGATATTGTTCAACGCCTATTCCAAGGTCTGCTTGGGAAAGGTCGCCAAGAAGAGCCACAATCTTGTCCTCTTGGCCAGGAAGTAGAGATAATTGATATTTCTCTAGCGCCTCTCGGATTCGTAGGATGCCATTGGCTTGATTTTCTGCGCGGACCAGACACACCACTGTCTTGACTTGAGGCAATGCCAAAAGCTTCGCTAGAAAGAACGAGCCCATAAATCCCGTGGCACCTGTCAGGAACACTCGTCCTTCTCCGTCGCTTTGCCAGTCAGCAGGAGAACCAGCAATAGCTTTGATATCACTACCCAAATCACAATCTTTCAGCCACAGTGCCATCTCTGCTGTATAATCATGGATTGGTGTATCGTTCCGTGCTCTGGACACCACATCACACATGCTTTCGAATGTCGAATTTTCGAACAAGGTCGCCACACGGACCACAACACCGAGTGACTGCTGAAGCTTTGAGACGAGAAGAGCCGCATGGAGTGATGTACCACCGATCAAAAAGAAGTCATCACTAGTTTGGATGCTGTCCAGTGACAGGCCAAGGATATCCTGCCACAATCCCTGCAAGTGATTCTCTATGTTGTCTGCAACAACGGCGCCGTTCTGGTTTCGGGCCAGTCTCATTGATTGACGTTGCCTGATGTATTCTTTGGCAAGCCTGATTCTATCCGTCTTCCCACTCGGCGTGAGGAAGAGAGAGTCCACCAACTCTATTCGAGGAACCATAAGTTGGGGTGGCGCTAATTTGGCATAAGCATCTCCAACAAGCCTGGAGTCGAGGTCTGAGACGGCAGGTATGACAAAAGCCAGCAGTTCCGAGCCACATTCAAGATCTCCATCATCTATTTTAAGGGCGACCGCCGCGGATACTAGAGTTGTCTTTAGCAAACATGCTTCGACCGACGCCAGATCGACCCTTCGACCATGTATTTTCACCTCACTGTCCTGGCGGCCAAGGTATTCAATAAGCCCCCTGTGGTTACTCCGAGCGAAGTCGCCGGTCCGGTAAAGAAGCCCTGTGCTTGTTTTGCAGGCAACAGAGAGGTGAGGGGCACTAACGTACGCCGAAGAAGTTTTCGCAGGATTCCGAAAATAGCCGGCTGTGACGCCTGCACCACCGACCAAAAGCTCCCCGGCATGGCCGTCGGGAACAGGCTGTAGGTTTTCGTCAACGATGAAAGCTTGGTAATTTCTTAGAGGTCGTCCGATAGGTATAGTGCCACTCTGAACGTCCTCGGGGGTGATCTGATGACACGTTGCGAATACTGTCAGTTCTGTTGGGCCATAGAGGTTCCACAACTGTCTTGGTGGACCATTGGCAAAGATTGCTCGGCAGGTTTGGATATTGACTGCTTCACCACCTGTCACCAGCGTGTTAACGTTGGAGTAAATTTGGGGACAAGCATTTGCCAAGGTTGCTAATAGCGATGTTGTCTGCCACAGGACGTCAATCCGGTCGTTTTGCAGCCGTTGTTCGAATATCATGGCGTCCAATAGCTCATGGCGATGGTAAACCACAATAGTGGCCCCATGCAGCAATGAGGACCAAATTTCCCACAACGACACATCGAATCCAATATTGCAGACATGACCTAAGCGGTGGCCTCGTCTAACGAGATCGACGTCGTTAAAGACCAAGTTCAGAAGGCCTAACGACAATACTTGCACGGCCTTCGGTTTACCTGTTGACCCCGAGGTGTGGAAGATATGAGATCGACAATATGGGTCATTTTCAGAAACCTCATGATAACCCGATGCTGTATCCCTATCGTCAAAAGCATGGTTGACAACAATTCGTTTGAAGTATCCGAGCCGATGACAGTTGCTGATATCGCTTAATAGTATCGAGGATTCAATATTATGCAGCATATTGCTGATGTGTGTATCCGGGAGATCGACATTAATGGGTACACAAGTCCCTCCTGCATAAATCACGGCAACTTGAGATATGATGTGGTCAATGCCGCGTGGCGCGAGAACACCAATTGGCTCTTCCTTGCGAATCTGGTGCTGCAGGATGGTTTGCATCAATTTCAACGCCTTGCAGTGTAACTCGCGGAAGGTGATGCTGTGCCCCCCGTCTTCAATGGCAACGCCATCATTGAACAAGTTGAGTCGATCTCGCAAAATGCGGGCAAGACCAAGCTCTAATGTTTCATCACTGAGAATATCTGCACCGACAGCCATGTTAGGAAAGTGACCTCCTTTGCAAACCCGAAAAGCAAAACGAAAGAAATATCGTGTCTTGGATGGGGGGTTGATGTTTAGAACTCGAATGTCGACAATTCGAGACCACGAGAAATGTCGTACACAGCTTTTGTGTTCTTATCTGCACGATCGCCTGCGAAGAAATAAGAGCGATGCTGGGTGCCATTCTTGGGTTCATTTTGTCGGTAAACCCGGAAATTTCGCATGCAGCCGTAGTAACCCTGGAACCTAGATGACCTCGCATTTGGATCACACGATTTTGAGTGATTGGCCTTACGTCTGAAGTATGTCGATATCCTCAGCACATGCGCATTCTGTTATAAACTCGACTGGAAGATTCGCAAGATTCAGTCAGTTAGCAAGCCGCTGAACGATATTTCGAAACTCAAAGACTATTTTTGGGATCAATTCCAAGCTTTGAAGTATACTTGCTTACTACCATGCGTTGCAATTCAAATAATTGACACACAATTACAGCTACTGAGCTGATAAATGGCACCGTGCATATTCTGATATGCTTTGATGTCATTCAACCAAGTACGCCTACAAACTGAGTCAGACCCGACAGGGAATGAGCGATCCGAGTATCAGGTACTTGCTTTTTTCATGAAAATTGGACTCAATGGTTATTTCGATGATGATGAAGCAGACATTTGTTTTTAGGCACTTGATTGGAAGCGATTGTTCTATTTCGAGAACCTGCAGCGATAACTGACTTTGCTAGTTCTCACAGATGTGGCATGCTATGACCCAAGATCGACATATAAAAGCTTTTATTTCGATTATGGGATGTCCGAGTTCTAATACTTACTCATGTTACGTACGGTTTTCCTTCCTTCCTTCCTTCCTAAGTTTGATTTAGGCTACCAAGAACCAGATGGGCAGATGCTAATCCTAGCCCTTCACGTCCCAATAGCCATAAAGATCTAAATGATTGGCTTTGATACTTTCAATCTGACTACACCTATACGAGCAGTAGTAGATCCCATGCCAACCGATAACGCTCTTTCAAAAGCCACAGCTGACGTTCACGTCACACAAAAGCTCAAAGCAATCAAGATCCCACTCCCAGATAGCTAGCAAAATATTCGTTGCCCTCTAGTTGATACAATCCTGCTGAAAAACCAATCCAAAGCCTTATAATATAATGGCGCGCTCATACCAGAGCTGAAGAACACATCGATGAAATCCTTTTTCATTCCCGCTAGTATCCATCAAAATGAGAATAAACCAGTTCCTTGTTCCCAGCATGACGGTCCTCAGCCCGGAGCAGCTGCAGAGCCCGTATCACCACTCCTTTTTCACGTTGTATGATTGAAATTGTTCCCCAGTATCTCAGTATCACCTGTCTAACGTTGTATAATCTACAAGCGGCGACTCATACACATCGACCCAGTTCAACACCCTAGGCACTCAACCCTCACTTGAAAACCCAATGGGGAACCCAAGTCTTGGTAATAGCCATTCTAACCTACCCAAGTCTAGTATAACATTTAATGAAAGACACCGCTTACAGGCCAAGGAACCACAGCCGACGGCATCAATTGGGTCGGATACTTAACAACAGAATACAATGCCTCGGTTGTCATGAACTACAATCTTGCAGCTTACGGTGCCACCGTCGATGATGCGGTCGTGGATGGCAAGTCAAAAGACCTGGTGTATCAGGTTACTAGCGATTTCAACGACTATTACTGTTTATCACTGGAACCGAGCCGGGAGTGGAGGCCAGATACAACTTTGTTCGGAATCTGGATAGGAATCAACGAGTAAGTCGGCTTGCGAGAAAGGAGTAAACGCAGGCCGAGTAGCTGACTCGAATTTTCTTCTCTCCTCGAATAGTGTTCTTCTCAGTTACATGCGAGATGATCCTTTGGAGATGATATCTCGCATCTTGCAGAGTTACCTCGCTGTCCTAGACCACCTGCATGAATGCGGAGCTCGTCACTTCCTACTCCTCAACGTGCCTCCGACTGACAGAACGCCGCAAATGCGGTGGTTCGAGTACTGGCAACGAGAAAGACACCGCGAGGTTGTCGTCGAATTCAATCGCCAGCTGCAGGCTGCGGTCGTAGGATGGCGCATGACTCACCGCGATGTATGTTCTGTTTCTCCTTTCATCACAATTAGCTCTACTTTGAACCGCGTATCTAACCATGTATAGTCTACCATGGCCCTCTACGATTCATGGTCACTCATGACCGAGATCCTCGACAATCCTCAGATCTATGGATTTGAGGATGGTGAGTGCATGGGTCAAGGATGCGTCTGGTGGGATGACCTTCATCCTACCTCGGAGTTTCATAGGCTGTTAGCTGATGACCTTGCGACGTATCTGAGTCAGTCGGGGACGGGTTTCGTGTAGCCATGAGGAATTATCAGCTGCAGATTGAGGAGCAACGAGCCTGGCGTAGGGATGGATGCAGGAATAAATTGTTCCAACGGCTATATAATTTCGTATCTTCCAACGTCATACTCTTCAATTGATTGGTGAAATGGTTTTGCAAGCCGTAGGAAGTGCCTCTTTTTCTTTCTCTCCCCCAGTTCTATTCGTCTATTTCCTTTCGTCTTTGCTGCTTCCAATGATCTTATAATCACGTACCAATCATTTGGGGCATAAAAATTCTATTGGAACCAGTATTGTCTTCTATATACCCACCTGAATTAATGTACATCATTTCACAATATCTACAATCCCACTGTAATCCATCAAGCAGAAAAAGATTAAACCCCCTCAACCTTCTCGCCCGGCGCCAACATCTTGATATAAAAATGCTCTCCCGTTTCAACCACAGACACCGCGTCACCGACCGAGAGAGTGAATTCTAGAAATGAATCAGCCCAGCTCATGAACCTAACCCACTTCCACACATGAAAAGAATGGTAAAAGAGAGAAGAAAAAGGAAATCAAACTCACCCTCCACAGCCGGAACAAGCTGCATCCCTAGCGCCGCATTCGTATAATCGCCGGGATCAATACAGCGATAGGACTTGAGCGTGCGATCGGGCTCGTTGCGATGCCGAATGCCCGTGTCGGGGTCCACGTTCGGAAGCTTGCAGCGCATCGTGCGGCAGACGGTGTAGATCTCCACGCCTTCTAGAACTTCTGTCTTATGGATCTGGGACTGTGATTGATCACGCAAGGACGAGATAGAACCTGGACTCGGTGCGATGCGAATCCGCTTCCACGCGTCTTCCGCGAACGCGCTCGGTCCCTGGACGATGATATTCGCTCGGAACCGCCGGATCGAGAGTCGTGGGATCCATTGCGAGCATCTTTCTGCGACGTCCTGTACGCTGGCGACGTTTAGGAGGTGTAGTGGGTAGGCGTCCGCGAAGCCGGTGACGGTCTGGAAGCCGAGGTCCTCTTTGCGTGGCGCGCAGCGGAAGATCTCGCGGTGGTGGGACGGGTCGACGCGGAAGAGGGTTAGAGGTCCTCGAGGGGAGGAATCTGATGGGCAGAGGAAGTCGCGCAGGGAAGTAGGGACGTGCTGCGCGTAGTCGAATGCGAAGGGGGCGTCTTTCCAGACTTTGACGGGGGCGGATGGGTAGATTGATAGATGTGATGAAGGGGGATAGAGTGGGACGCGGAAGGAGAGGTCGCGGGAGATGAGACCCAGACGAATAGCCAGCTTTTTGAGGGAGGAGAGAAAGCCAGTGCCTGCTGGGCGAGGGTACTTAATGAGTAGCACGCCTTGCGATTTCACCTCCTCGAGCTCGGGATGGTAATCGGGCGCTGCAGGGTCTGGGATCCAGATCTCGGGGCGGATGAGCGCCAGGCGGCAGAAGGGACCTTCGCGCATAGTTCGCGCCGTCCAGTGTGGTTTGCTAGCAGACCCCTGGGGAATCATGTATTCGGCGAAGCAGAATTGTCGGTCATATTGCAGTCCGGTGGGGACGACGTCGGCCACGTCGAGCTCAACGCCAGTGCAGCTCTTGATCGGGTATGTGAAGAGCGCTTTGATGCGCCAGGATGGGCACCCTTTTGCGTCGGTTTGAGTCTCAGGTACTCCCTGGCTGTATTTGGGATCATATTCATCTTGAAGATTACTGCGATCTGCTGGGAGACCGAGTCGGCGACATCCTCTGGGGGCAGTTGGTTGTTGGGCACGCAGATGAACCAAATAGAAGACAAATAGAGGAAGAAAGGAATAAAGATAGTTGATTGTAGGAAAGACGGCGTCCATTGGAGGTTGAGTTGTGGATGGTGACGATGTATGTCGCTGCAGCAAAGGCTGCAAGGGAGATCAAAAGATCGAAAAAGCCTCCGTCGATCGGCTCCACCAACGCTAATTCCACCTCCGCAAATGATTGCTTCATCGCATCCGACTGATTTCCACGCCAAAACACGCTTGCATCATTCAAAATGAGAATCTGGGAATATTACAGAGACTTTCAACGTGTTGATTCCATCTGAACCGCTTCACTCCAGAGTCCTTGCTCGTCATGGACAGGCCGGACTTCCTGGGCTTGTCGAGCCAAACACCGCGTAAGTCGCCAGCCTATCTGTATCTATCGAATTCTTCTTCCAATCATCATGAAGATCTCTAGAATGATCACGTCTAACTGCTTACAGAACGCGTGGTCTCATTTCCAGCCTCGCAGTCGCTGCACGCGTCTACCGCGTCGGCCACCACCGCCATTTCCACGGGTCTTGCTCGTCTAGACGAGGCGCTGTGTCCGTCGTCGCTGGATGATTTCTCCGGCGTTGCCCATCAAGAGGCCAAGGGAATTCCAGGGGGTCATGTCACGGAGGTCTTCGGGCCTCCAGGCGTCGGCAAGACCTCTCTTGCGTACGCTCGCCTCTCTCGTGTTTACCTTGCATCCACTGACGCGATACACGTCTGTATAGCCTCAGCATCGCATCAAACGCTCTCCGAGCAGGAGGGAAGGTCGTTTGGATCGGTAGGCATCTTTCCGTCAGCCCTTCTGATGACCCCAAACTAACAACTCAGACACGGGCTCTCCGCTGCCCAAACCTCGCCTGCGTGACTTCCTCACCTCCTCTGCCTCTCCCTCTCCCTCCTCCTCTCCCTCCAACCCAGACTTAATCTCCCAAAACCTCCTCTACATCCAAACCCGCACCCTCCCCCACCTCCTCTCCCTCCTCCACCACCCCCTCAAACCTTCCCACCCCCCAACACCACCCTCCTAATCATCGACTCCATCTCCGCCCTCTTCCAACCCTACTACCCAGCCCCCTCAGACCTCAAATCCCGCCTCTCCACCCCCCGCACCGACAGATCGCAGCTCTCCTGGCTCCTGAACCGCAGATGGAACGTCACCAGCGACCTGGCGTCCCAGTTGTCCAAACTAGCCGCTACGCATAGCATGGCCGTCATGGCGCTGAACCAGATGCATACGCGCATCAAGGGCCTGCCGCGCGCGACACTGACGCCGGTCCTTGCAGGTGGAGGCTGGGAGACGGGGGTGTTTGCGAGGGTGGGGATTTATAGGGATTTTGTGCGGGAGGGTCAGTACCCTGATGCTAATGCAGGTCGAGATGGGGATAGCAATGAAGCAGGGCAGGCGGGGAGATTGAGGAGGGTCAGGTTTGCAGAGGTGATGAAGCGGAATGGGAGGGCTGTGCTGGTTAGGAGGGAGGAGGATACCGTGGTGCCGTTTTTGATTGAGATGGTTTGTTTCCCTTTCGGTTCCTTTCCTAGTGTGATTTTGAATGGACTGGGTTGAAGCTGATGAGTTCGGTGCAGGATGGTCTTCATGCGTTGGATGAACCGGCTTCTTCGCGGAGAGTGGAAACGCAGAAGGTTGTTCCGGAGCCGGAATTGGAATTACCACAGACATCGGAACCGGACTCGGGACTGAGGAAGGAGACAGAGCAGGAACATGGACAGGAACCTGCAAAAGAACGAACGCCGGAGCCTGAGTTGGAGAGAGAACCGCTGCAAAACGTACAGCATCAACGAGAGCAGGAGACAGAACCAGAGCAAGAGAACGAACCAGAACAATCGCTACAAGGACAACAAGTCCAGCAAGAACCAACCGACTCCCTTGACACTACACGAAAACGAAAGGTCGACGAGATCGCAGACAGCCAGGACGAAGATTCGGACGGGGAGTTTGGGTGGAACGAAGACGACGATGCGGGATTGCTAGAAAGACACTAGCAAACCGCTATTATTATTGGATTAATTATCCGGAATACTTCCTATATACTATTCGATTCTTTACATCGTAAATCGTCACGCTGGGCCCGCTGGAACCCAACTCAGACGCTGCTGTTCCCCCTGCGCCGTTCAACCCACGTCGAGACTTCCGTCATCGTCACGATCTTCCCGTTGGCCATCCTTCGAGGACTGGCCTTATTTTCTTGTCGGGATGGTCCACACGTCAGCGCGTCGGCCACCGTGCAAAAGGTCATATTCCGCGAGAGTCTGGATGACCCGACTGCCGGCATCGCGGCGTTTCCGGCATCCAGCGAGTTTAACTGCACTGCGTTGTCGAGTGATGGCGGCCGCTGGTGGCTGTGGACGACGTCGACGAGTTTCCCGAGCACCGCGAATTCGAGTTTGAGTTTGATGCTGTAGATGGCGCCTTTGAGCGTGATTTGGATGGCGTAGTAGTTGGCGTATTCCAAGCCCAAAAGCACCAAGTCCATGACGAACATCAACACGTTGATCCCCACGAGCTGGTGCATAATCTTTTGTTTGGAGCGCTCCGACCCCAGCCGGAGCATTCTGACGGTTTCCCACACATACAACGCCGAGATGATCACCTCTTGGATTGTGAAGCCGGTCATCTGCAGCTTCTCCATAATGTTATAGCCTTGTACAAAGCGGCGCGATGGGTCCTTGACGTTGGAACCGTATGTGAGGATGGTTGTAGGTATGTGGAGGAGGAATATATTCGCAATGATCATATAAAGGACGCGCCGCAGGATGCGCTCGTCGCGGATCACCAAGTGAAGACGCGAGTAGAGGACGAATGATTGACCGGTGACCATGGTCCACCAGCCGACGCTGAGCATGGTGACCGACAAGATGGAGGTGGCTCCGGTGAAGAATTTCAGCAGGAAACCCAACGAGTATGGAACCACTCCCAGGCAGCCCGAGAGAAGCAAGCTCCAGAAATAAAGACCGCCCCAGCGCCGGAACGTCGATAGGACGAGGACCACCAGCTCCACCACGTTGTAGCAAGCGATGGCAATAAAGAGGAATAAAGTCGCCTTGATGCCGTCCTTGCCGTTCTCGAGCACCCCCGATATTCCATCCAAAGGGTCTTGAGCGGATGCCATATTTTCGTTTCTGGATAACGTGTGCTGCGAAGCTCAGAATCGTCTCATTCATTAGGGGTGGGTCATTCTGCTCCAAATATTAGTAGGCGCCCAGAGCTCCCTCGAGGAACAGGGTCAGTTATTTAGAAACCATCTGGAGAAGGACTACACACCATTCAAAGAATTTAAAATTGCCTCAGAGTCGAGCATCCCTGCCGCCAATCAGTTTCAACACGTTCTCCAACTCCGGAAAATCAAAACACACAAAGAAAGAATTAAAGCAAGAGAGAAAAAAACACCACCACACCTTCGAATCTACGGTCGCGTGCATTGACTTGGCTCCTCTCCCATCAACCAGTGACCATGCGAGGCCTCAAGCCAAACAAACGAGCCAGTGGTCTGACGACGGGGGAAGACATTGATGAAAAACAAACAAGCAAAGGCAAAACTGGTGACAGTGACTGCAGCGGCAGAAGCAGCAGGACGAAAAGTGCATTAATCAAGGAGAACAGAGATCTGACTGGAGGCTGCACACTGCAAACCACGATGTTGGTGGTACAATCTCGCTTCCAGCTGTTCATGGGACCCTTCCCCTATTATATTTCAATTCATAAGGGCCACGCTGGGTGGCCCTAGCGTAGATCCCCCAGACCCAATCCATTGCTCGCAGGGACCCGAGGGAGGTACGGCCTCCTGGTTTTTATTTGCTATCGGGATGCTAGACACATGAGGATCCGAGCTAGTCGAAACCGCCATGGAGAAAGTTTGGGGCCATTGTTGGATTTATTGGGCCAACGCCACTAGGACAAGCATCAGCAAATTCAAATAGATTTAGCGCCAGCAGAAAAACAAGAAAACAATCACCCCGACCACCCGTTGCCAGCGATGGAGGATGAGTGGCCTTCGTATTTCCCCTGGCAATAAACGCACGGGTCATTCCGCTGCGGGGGAGATGAGAGCCCAGGATTCTTGTCCATGGAACACGCCATCGAGGATGGATTGGAAAGGCCGGTGTGACAGAGATGCGGTGACCCGGTCAGAGATGCCGCCAACCAACGAATCCTTGCGGGAGGGCGAGACAAGAGAAAGAAAAGGAAGAGAAAGTTGTTTCCCTCCTGAGCGGCACCCGCTTTCCGGCCTTTCTAGACCGCCGGTCACATGTCCGGCCTACCAACTACGACTGGATTGTCTGGACTCTGATAAAACGCATACATTCCCATATGATATTTCTTTCTTTTATCGCAAGCATTAATGAGCAGAACGCCCGACTATCTCATCAATTGCAGACCCCAAAGGTCTTGTCGTCGCAGACCGAGTACGGTCCATGTGCTAATTGTATGGTGCCCGAGAACCTCGCAGACTCGACAGATGTCTATTAAACTAGAAGGTTCGTTGAATAACAAAGGTCCAAGCGTGTATCAATCATAGGTTGGTCAGGTAGTCCTCGATCTCCTCCTTGGTCAGCTTCCTGAATCGGGGTCCCCGGGACTCCTCGACGCCCTCGTAGCCAAGCAGGTGGTCGGCGGGAGGGCCAACAATGCCTAAACAGGAATCAGCTGCATGCTGGATGTAAATCGGTCCGGGTCAGCTCCACTCACCAAGCTCTATCGTGTCCCCGTTCATCTCGCCCTCGATGGTCTCCTTTAGCGTCAGAAGGGCGATGTGAATGGCATCTTCCAGCTCAAGACCCTCGGTGTAACGCTTCTCAAGGAAGGTCTTCGCACTCGTGGCGTGCTTGCCGATGGCCGTGGCCTTCCATGGGTAATAACTGCCACTGGGGTCGACCTGGTACAAGCTGGGGCCACCCTTCAGGATACCGCCCGTCTTGCCCGTGGCCTTGCGGGACTCCGGGTCCTCATCCTCTCCCTTCGCCGCTTGTTCCGACTCGGGCTCGACACCCTCGTCCCAGCCGGCGATCAGCAAACTGACACCGTACGGTCGGACACCACCGGACTGCGTCGCCTCTTGCACGACACGGGCCACGTCCTGCACCAGGATCCGGGTCGGGGGGTATTCGTTGTAGATGCGCTTGTAGCCGGTGTGAGACACCTTGCGGGCCTTGTCGACCAGCACGCGGTAGTCAGGACCCATACCGGCGTAGACCATACCAATGTCGGGGGTGATTAACGAGATCTTGGAGAGGGAGGGGGGGTCGATGAGGGGCGAAGACGACTTCTTTTCCGTAGCAAGGACGATTCCATTTGTGGCTGGACATCGAAGAGGGGAGTCAGTAATTGATCGAGACCAACTAAAGAAACCCGCATTGGACGTTCATACCTTTGATTCCAAGGGCAGTCACACCCGAGTTGACGGCGTTCAAGGCATATTCTGCAAAAAGATTAGTATTCTCATTTTATCGCCGACAAGCTTGAGGCATTACCAATCTGAACCAGCTTTCCACTGCGGGCCAATGTTAGCTACACGTATGTTCATCCGTTGCTAGCGGGAGCTCGTCTTACCTGGGGGAGAAGGTGGTCAGGGAGAACGAATAACGGTCAGCCATGGAGACGTCTGGTTACCTCCACGAGCTCTGGAGGGGGAAAGTAGAAAGGTAGGAAGATGGAGACGAGTGGTTGACAGATAGAAGCAGTGGTGGGGGATCCAAAATGAAGCTCCTCTGGTCAGCGAGTCCGGAGTCAAGGCGACAGGATGTTGACGCAGTTGCTCGATGCCAAGCCGCGTCTGGGGCGGTGACGGTAGGCGAGCGGCTAGCGTCGTTTCGCCGCGCTTCTGTCGCTGTCTCTCTCCACAGCTGTCTTTAAGGCTTTTTCTTTCCCATTTTCCATTTTCCCTTCTTCCTTTTCCCTTTTCCTCTGCATGGATTTTCCTCCCATCCTTCTCTGTATCTACTCACCCTATCCCGACACATAGTCTCCCTGTCTATTATACCGGGTCGCAGGTAGACCTCGGGTGCTATATTATGACAATCCCTTTCGAACACGTCATTGGACAAAATGGACCTGCACAATGAGCCACGCTGGCAGTGGCCTGCAAGCTCCTCAGCCAATGCTCCCGGGAACGCCGGGGCAGAGGAACAACCCGAGCATGCTCACAACACCCATGATGCGGGTGCGCCTGCACCAGAAGCTTCTCAGAAGCATTATCCACCTCGCGTCTGCCGCATCTGCCTGGAGACCGTGTTGCCCACGCTCCACCCTCCTGCGGAAAACCTCCCCGGGTTCCTCCAAGGCCAGCCCCGAGTCGTCTACGAGTCGGAGGATCCGGAACTTGGTCGCCTTCTTCGGCCGTGCAAATGCAAGGGTTCCTCGCGATACGTCCACGAGGGTTGTCTTCAGTCCTGGCGGCACGCGGATCCGGGCTATGGCAAGCGCAATTACTGGCATTGTCCCACCTGTGGCTTCCAGTATCGCCTCGAGCGTCTCACCTGGGCGCGTTGGATCAGTAGTTCTTTCGCACAGTTTGGATTGACTTTGAGCATTTTAATTTTCACCGTGTTTCTCCTCGGTTTTGTTGCTGACCCTATCATTAACCTTTACGTGGACCCCATGGAAACCCTTTACTACTCGGAGTTCTGGGACCCGACGGTCTCCGACGTTCTACCGACTGGCCGGGGCCATTCCTGGTTTGAGCACTTTTTCAAGGGACTGGCTTCCTTGGGCGTGCTCTCGTTCATCAAAGCTCTGTTCGCCCTATCGCCTTGGCAGTGGTGGAACCTTCGCAGCTCTGGCGTTGTCAGTGGAGGTAGAAACACTGGCAGGAGCCGAGCCGCGTCTGTGAGCTGGATCGTCATCTTGATTGGCGTCCTGACCTTCCTCTGGGTAAGTTGGCTCTTGTTACACTGATTGACCGGTGCTAACCACGTTGCAGGCCGTGTACAAAGGCGTAAGGAACTGGAGTCGGAAAACGTTGGAAAAGGCTGGGGAACGAGTCATGGATGTTCCGTTGCCCGACGATGATGGCGATGTGCCGAACAATGGCTCCGAGCGTAGGAAGGATGATTGATCATCACAAGGCATTGGCTTCGGATGCGAAACTCTTGATGATGGGTTTTTATACCGGCTCCGAATAGCCTCGCACTACTTTGAGTTGTCACGCTCCTTTCAATGACGTGCCAATCAGTCAATGTGCGAAGAACGATTTGGCCCTCTTAACCTCTGGGTTCTGTCTGAGAAGTTGAATGGTTGGAAGAAACGTTTTGTCTCTTCCTCTTCGTTCTCCTTTATCCACCAGGCATGCCCTTAGGGAGGGCCTTTCTACAGCTCGATCCGAATAGGCGTTTCAAGTAGTGAGCGTTTTCGATTGAGGTGCAGTACATACATCTGATAGTTTAATATTAATATCTTCATCGAAGTATTTCACACTAATATTGGTAGATCCTTTTGTAGACTACTCGGCGAAGTAATCGTTGATGCAATCCCGTATTTCGCGGCAGTACATATCTGCCTGGCCGTCCCGGTAAGTTGTCATTGCTATCTCCCCTTTTTCACTGAGAAGCTTGAGGAAATTGGATCTTGCCTTTGGTATTTATGACTGCCTGTGCTTACGCCTATCTCCCACAGGAAAAGATATACCGGTCGATTAGAAAATGTTGCGGACAAAGCCATACCGTACACAATCCCATTGTTCCCAACCCTAACATGAAATCCATGGCCGTTATTCTACACAACTATAATCTGACATTCTTTATGCATTCACAGAAAAAGGGTAATTCTTGTTTGTGTCTTTGTGTCTGGACTTCTCCATCTTGAATATCTAATATATGCTAAGCACAAACAGAGAGGCGGAAGGCTTTCCCTCCTGCTATTGGCTTCACTCGAGCCCAGGCTTCTGTTACTTTATTCACTACAGTCGTACGCTAAGGTTAGCGCAAGTATGCATGGCTGTTTCTCACTGGAGGCTGGAAAAGCACTCTGGTGGAAGTCTCCATCCTCATAAGAGCTATTGCTGGAATTCACCGTTAGATGGAATATGCCTAACGCCCACCTCGCGCATTTTTTTGCTTCTTATACCTCTTCCTTTTTTCCTTGCCCCTCAACTTATCTTCTCACCTATCCTCACGCTTCTACATTTCCACTTCGTCCTACTCGTCCAAAGCAATCTTGCTCTATTTCTTTGCTTGACTAAAGTCCCGTGTCTGTCTCCAGTTCCTGTCTATTTGATTTTGTATCCAACTGTCTTGTTTCAGCATCTGAATTGGCATATTGTGACTCGAAATGTCTAGCAACAATCCTGTGTCTCCAAGCGTTGCATTCAGGCAGCACTTGGACCAAATTATCCAATATCAGCACCGTCGTGAAAGAATGTTCAACCTGCCTGATCTCCATGCATTCTTTTACAAACGGGTGGTTGAACGACGGCGTCCTGCTGAAGAGGAGCACGACTCAGACGTCGCAAGCTCGTCCGCCCATGAGAGCCAGCAAGCGGATCTCCTCGCTGACGCAGCGTATCCTGAGTTCAGCCTTTTTGGACATATCTACCCTGATATCCCTGATACCGACTCAGACTCCACAGAAGAATTCGTCATCCCTGAAATCCCTCCTGAGGCAGCTCCTCGTGAATCTACTGCCCCAGCCGCTGAAGATATCACTAGCGACGGTCCTTCTGCAGTACCAACCACTGGTGCTCCCACTCATGAGGCTCATACTGCACAAGTTGTTGCTGAGCATGTTCCAACCGGTGAAGCTGCAACTGCAGACACTTCGGTTATCGGTGGTCCTACTGCTGTTAAGCCTACTACTGAAACAAGTGAGTGGCTGGTGTATGACCCTGAGTGGTACGACTCTGAACAGTGGGAAACCATGGAAAATATGGAAGATCTGCGCCAGGAAATCGACACTAGTGCAGATCAGGCCGCAGTGTCTACTGGCAACGAAGACACAACAGTCAGTTCTACTCCCCCAAACACACAGAGACACTTTCTACTCTTCTCAACTAACCGAATTCACTTGCAGACTCCCCTTTACCCCCACCTCCCTCTTGAACGACAAACCTTTCTCCACGGAAACCCCGATTCTTCCTCCACCGAACCCTTCCCTTCCTACTACGAGTCTTACGACGCTGAAGCTTCTCGCATCAACGAAGAGACTGAGCAAGCGTACACTTACGCGCTCTCCAAAGTTGCTGAAAGCAGCCTTCTCTTCGAAGACATGTCGTTCAGACAGCACCTCACCCCCTTCGCGCCTCGCGCGCCTCCTACCTTCTCTCCCAATGTCAATCCCGATTTGCGTTCTCATCAGGGTCCAAGTGCCTGGCCTAGAACTCCTGTCCGTCCTCGCAACACCTCTCGTTTCTTTCCTGGTGGTAACACTCCCACTCGCGCCCGCTACGCGGCTCAGAACCCCCAAAGCACTGTCGCCGTCGTCCACGCCATGAGCTCTAGCGAGATCCTTAGCCATGCATCTTCTTCTGTGCAACCTCAGGTTGCGACGCAGCCAATTGAACCCGCCCCTTTGAACAAAAGACTGATCGAGGAAGCCATTCGTTCTGGCCGTATCTCATCCGGCGATAAGAAAGCCGAGACCTTCCGCGCCATGACCGAGCTGCTCCTCGATTCCGAGATCAACGACGAGCTGCGAAGCAAGTTCAGCGCTCTGTCTAACGACGTCCTGCGTTTGGAACTCGACATCTTCCAGGGCCCCGAATCCTCGGCTGGCAACTTCCTTGGCCCAAAGACCATCGAGCAGATCACCCCTATCGCTCACGCCTTCATCGAATATCTCGGATTCCTTGACGAAACTCTCGAGAAAGAGGCCCGCGATGCCCAGTCTGTCAAGCGCGCCGTTGTTCACGCCGCCTCTGACCAGACTGCTTCTCTCGAAATGAGATTCCGCGGCATGATCCGGCCCATCTTACGGTACGTACTCTCCCCAATCCATCATCCATCATCAGGTTCAGCTAACAGAAGACCCAGAAACCTGAAGCGTCCTCGCCCGGCCGAACACCGCATCCTCCAAACCTTCATCGACCTCTTCGACGCCTACGTGTACAGCGACTTCTTAAATGTCTACAACTATCAAGTCATCCACGACAAAGTCCTGTACGACGAGCGGATGGCAGTCTCTCGACTGCTCATCACGATCTGGGCCGTCCTGCAGCGGACGGTCGGGAACTACAAGGCCATCATGATGGTCAATGATGAACTAAAGGCCCAGTTCATCAGTCCCGCCATGGGCCAGATCGCCAATTACAAGGCGATCTGGGACGACGAGAACGCCCTCTACCGGAAGGAGGTTGACGGGGGGGTCCGTTTGGGGCCCTAGGGTCTTTTGTTTTCTTTGCTTCTTTCTTTTGCTTTTTTTTTATTCTTATTTTTGATGTTTAATGAACTGTCCTTTTGGACAGCATCTTCATGGTGCTTTGGCTTTTCTTTTTCCTTTCTTTTCCTTTCTTTTTTTCTCAATGGCAAAATGAAAAACACTTGTAAAAGAAAAAAGAAAAAAAAAAAGAAAATTGTTTGAGTCGCCAAAAAAGGCTTCTTCATTTCAATCATAGTAGAAGCAAAGTAATGAAATCACGAAACTACAGTGACAATACTAAGGACATGATGAACTCGTTCTGTGTCGGAGACGTCTGGTAAAAGTCCAACCCATTCCCAAGAAAGCAGCACCAGGTACCGGAAACGCCAAAGCAGTCAGCAACTCGAGCCAGAATCACTACCACTAATATCAAAATCCAACTCCAAGTCCAAGCCAAAGTAAAGGTTATAATAACCACAATTCGGACAAGTATGCTTCCTCCTCTCTTTCGCCTCTTCTTTCTCCTGTTTCTTCTTCAATCTTGCCTGTTTTTTATGCCGCTTGCGCATCGAAGGAGTCCACACAGGCTCGATGCCGCTGCAACGCCGTATCGGAGCACGAGTGCTCTCAATCCAATTATCCAACTCAGTTCCAGAAATATAAGTCAGGTGCCAGTCGGCGTTATCAGGGCGAGAAGGAAAGCTAAAGAGTTTATTAGACTCCGAATGGACGATCAAATCACACGCAGGGAATAAATCTTCAAGCGCCGTCTTCTTCTCTTCCCGGTACCAGGAATCCATCTTATCGGCAAGCTTCTCCGCATCTGCGTATAGATAAAGAGGATCTCTTGAGGGGATCAACCGTCCCCCTTCTATTGATCTCTCGAGATCATCGAGGCGCATCGATCGACCAAGGTCCCATGCCGCGTAGAAATGAATCGTCCCTTGTAATGCTTCATTCTCGATAAAGCAAATCCGCGAGGTCGGGGGCTGCTTGAGCAGCATTTTTCTCCAGCTGGCTTCTGCCCGGAGGTAGGGCTTTATTGTATCCGTGATGAGTCTGTCCTTGAGAGGTGCTAGCGCTGATACTGGTGCTCCCCATTGAATCTTTCGTGGTGGGTCCGTGTTGAAATAGGTGCTAAAGAACTGGGGCCACATGATCTGCGTGATAAGTGGGTTCGTCGTGCGTGGGTGATTCTGGGTTTCGGTTTCGGGCATCGGTCGGAAAAATAATGCAGTTTGAATCTTGGGGGAGTCCCGAATGACAGTATTCCAGGAGCTACAAACCCGGGCAGAGGTTAATAGGGTGCGCATGTCGAGATGAAGAAGGATTTGCTCCATGAGCTCGGGGATGAAGAAAAGGGTTGAGGCTTGCTGTTGTGCCATTTCGATGAGATGGAGAAGTGCTTTCTGTGATATTTGGCAGGAGTTGGGTAGCTGTTGATGATATGAAGGTGGATGGTAGATGGGAGGACGGGGTGAGAAAGTCTTTCGACTCGAGTCATACTGCGGCCAATATAGCATCAGCATAGCATCATCTGCACCAGCTTTGGTTATGTCATGTGAGCACTAGAACTCTATTTAGTGATTCTTAAATAGGAAGATACATGATAATCTTCACTTTAAGAATAAAATGCCTGGACCGATTGCTAAACTGTTGGTATACGAGGCATCGCTGGACCCATCAATCACGATTCGAAGAAGATAAATGGGATGGCAAGGTGCTCTCTACAGGCCTCAAGGAACCAGAGAAATCATTCACCACACTCTTCGGCGGCATTTGATCCTTTCCTGTTCTTTCAACTCCATGTACATACTAGCACCACCCTAGAAACCGAGCATTTCTGGTAGTAACGCTGTATACTATACGTTTTAGGAGCTGGCTACCGTACCTACCTACCTAGTAGGTACCAAGAAACCTGACATAAATCACTATACCATACTCCCACGGACCCGGGTCCCACGCCGTACACAAAGTGAACACAATATAGATTTTTGACCGCACCCCAGACAGAACAAATTTCAGAACGAAGCATTTATCTCCAAACTTCATTATGTGTTTCGGACATTTTAAATATCTACGCAGGTCAATTATTCCCTATACTGCGTGTTATCTCCACACATATCATGGTTCCTGCCTAGTAGGTTTTCGTAGTAACGAACGCACCTTCCTCATGTAGAGTGTTCCAAGCCAGTAAGCAAAAGTTCTTCGCCCGTCGCGAGTCGTAGACGTTTCTAGGAGCACATCCAAGTCATCGAGTTCACGTTAATACTTGCCCTTTTTCATTTCAAGCACTCTTTTCCCCTTACCACTGAGTCCCAATGGCGCGACGAGTGGTGGACAAGTCTTTGCTCAACTTGGTCGACTGGGCTTTACGGACCCTGAAGCATCGCGGCTTCGTGGATCCGAAGGAGATCCAGAAGAGGGAAGATGAGGCCAAGGAAATAGTGGCAAGGAACGAGAACGAGGTGACGGAAGGCCGAGTCCAGCATTTCACGCTGTCGACTATCACCACCCAAGATTTGCGGGAGATCTTCGGGCTTAGGCCTAAGAAGGGTGGGCCGCACTGGATGGCACCTCTGGCAATCATGCCAACCTCTCTACACACCGCGCTCGAAAGAACCGACAGGGTTATGAGGGGGTCCCGACGCAACGAGGCGCTAGTCCGTGCTCGGCTCAATCATTTCCTAGTTCATTCTCTCGACGCCGTGCACCTTCGGCTGCCGGCTGACCATCATCTTGCCTTGGCAATGGAGCGTCAGCTCGAGACAGTCAAGGGCCCGGTTCGAGTATCGGGATGCGCCGATTATACCGCATGGTATAAGGACCGAGATAAGCCAGAAAACAATGTGGTGATTGTTGAAGCCAAGGCCGATAACCCTGGGCAAGGGAAATCGCAGATCCTTGGTGCAATGGCTATCGTATCCGTGCTCAGAGAGAAGGAAGGAAAGTCCAATGTTGTTTACGGCATCTTGTCGGATAGCGACGAATTTTTCTTCTACCGCCTCGAGGATATGACTTACATCACTTGGCACAGAATTTGGGAGAGCGGCGAGGAAGACCAGCATGCCATTGTTGGTGCCCTGCAAACCATATTTTCTGAGGCCAGTACGATGATTTCCCCCAGTGTATCTCTCGAGGCCGGCCAGCCGATGGACTTGGATGCCCAGGCTTCTTAGTCGGGTGCAACTGTTCTTCATATGGTCGCGACCTTGGACATGTCGTTAAAAGGTCCCCCTGTGCCTACTGACCAGGCCAGGTGTCTTGTGGGAGAAGGGAAGAAAATACCTGATCCCGGTAGGGGCTTACTCCATTCGTGGAGTTTGGAAGCCACCCTTTGTGGCCTGACACACCCAAAGGAACCTACCACCGTAGCGGAACAGCAAACCGCGTTACCAAACTCCAAAGGAAAATGTCGAAAACCGGGTGGCTCTGACACGGCCGCTGGCAACTCCTGGACTTGACACACGCCGGAGTTGTGGATCTGGATCTGCCGTTGGATGATCCTGGTCCACTCCCCTTAGGGGACCCCGACTTGTTCACACCCATGTGCGCCTAGGCGCTGCGGTGTCGGGGATCAGTAACTTTTTTTCGCCTTTGTCGTTTTTTCTTTCGAGTCCTACCTCCGACATATCCACATTGCGAAAAGTGAAGCCAACGTGAACAGCCTCTGCAACAACATCATGCGAGGCGCATTCTTCGAACACAATTTTTTGTCCTTCCTCCTGGCAAAGTTATCCAGCTCTTCTATTTGCAAAATCCTGTGTCCTGGCGAATCAATCTGCTCGCCTTCAGCAGCCTCTGCGACAACATCAACCAAAGTCACGCGAGGCGCGCTCTTCAAGCGCAATTTCTTGTCCTGTGTCCTGGCGATTCAATCTGCTCGCCCTCAACAGCCTCTGCGACAACGTCATCCAAGACAACGCGAAGCGTGTTCTTCAAACACAATTTCTTCTGTGTCCTTCTTGCAAAGTCAGTCAATCATACAAGTCCACTCTTTGCAAAAACCGGTGTCCTGGCGATTCAATCTACTCGCCCTCAACAGCCTCTGCGACAACGTCACCCAAGACAACGCGAGGCGCGTTCCTTCAAACACAATTTCGTGTCCTGTGTCTTTTCGCAAAATCATCCAGTTATTTTTGCGAGACCCTGTGTCCCGGCGATTAAACCCGCCTACCGTGTCTTTCGATCTGTCCTTCGAGCTTTCGCGATCTCTGCCGCATCTAAGGCCGCACCACACAATGTCCTTTCACCGGCCTGCCCTTGCGTGTCAGCACTCACCTTCCAATTAAGCGATCGCCCAGCCGTTCCATGACGGACAGTTTACGGTGTCTTGCCTGACTTCTATTGTCCGGTGCCTTCATTAGCACCCAAGAACCAAACTTCTGGCGTACGGAAACCCAAACGCCTACCTTGAAATTTCTTCATGCCCCGTCCGATTGATATCTTCCAACACAACATGACTGGAATCGAGATCCGGATTGTTTCCCCGACATGCTGTACATCGGCGTCGGGAAGCGTGGACGCAATCGTCCAGCGTCTTCCAAACTCGGGTCGCGTGACATCGCCCAGCGGTTACCTGATGCCGTCACGCGATTTGCCATGTGATTCGGCTGGCCTCCATCTCAATGAGGTCTGAGACTCTTCACCACGCCCCAACTTATTCGGGCCATCTCTTCACTTCCCATCACTCACCACGATAGGGAGCATTCTGTCCAGTGTCCTGTTCGACAGTAATTCAACATTGCTTGGTCACCCCTGACCTGCACCGAGGCACCCAGTCCTTCCTCTCCGTTGCTCAATGCGTTTCTTTCCTTTTCGAAATCTAGCCAGAGGGACCAGGGCCTCCTTCGCGGGACACTAGAAGACAAGGTAGTGGAAATTCCTATCCCTACCCCATCGGACAACAGCCCTGTTCCTATTCAGAAAATCAGGTCTTCGTTGCCAAAACAAAGACAATGTCTTTTGGGTGTTTTGCTCCGGTGCCGGAACAAGAATTTCGAGTGCAGCTCCTCGCTCCTCAGATCGTCTACAAAACCACAATTCTTACGGTGAGGCGAATTATGTCCGGCCCTTGAAGCGAAAACCCTCCCATGCCGGCAATCACTGGCTTTCAAGACAATGCGAGGTACTCCACCTTCAATCAAGATGTCCATTGTCTTGCTTACTGCTGTAACTGCCTGGTCTTCGCCATCCTGCATGATCATATCTCCGTGCTCCATCAACACCCAAAGGCTAGTGGAGCTCCTGGATGGCTTTGAGAAGCAGACGCCCTGGTTACATCCACATGTTTCTACCGGCACAATTGGCACAATTTCGGCCAGCATACCTGCAACTCGGGAGACCTAGAATGACCATTCAGCATGATACAAAATGAGCAAATCATCCCCACGATAGCAGGCCACACATAAATTCGGTCCAGGCTCTGTGGCAATTTCAACTAGGCAGTGGGAATACCTTGCACAAAGAGCAGTCGCCTTATTTGCCAGTTGCTCATGAGCCCCTCTATCGAATTGTTGGTTGGATCGATGACGAACTTTCATCCAAAAGACGATTCTCAGTTGTTCGTCTCAGAAAGTCACTTCTCCGCCATTCTGATTCAATTAGCTTGGACCATACCAGCGATGTGGATAACGCCGGTACTATATCCAATGCTTCCGAGAAATTCCCGCACGAGCAGGTGCGAAACGTCACCAAGTCAAAGCTATGGATTGTGGCACAAAGGTCAAGGGGCATACGCCGAGAACTACACGATCCCCCGGGTAGGTTCTTTATACTCTCATTCTAATGATCATGGCTAATCAATCGTATCAGGTCTACTCGCAGTGGCTTATATCACAGAGAAATCGACTAATTGGCCCGGATAGCAGTCGCAAGACCTTGCCTTCCACCTTGAATATTCTGACAAACAAATCCTGACGTGTCTCCGCCATTTTGGTAACTGTTCAAACCATTGGTTGGTGTGGGTAAACGTTTCGGGGAGAATGGAACGACGAGTGATCGGTTCGGCGAGATGCTGATTGAAATCTCATCACGGTAACACTCGCAAGAGACCTGGGATAAACGGTCGACTCCGCTCTCGCGTCCCTTGAAAATGAATCATTCCACGATGCCTTACAGGAGGCTAGCTTCTGTCCTCGACAGGCTTCTCAGCATCTTCTATGTTGGTCAGTTTAGACTCAAAGCTCTTTCTTGGCCGAGAACATCGCTCATCCAGTCTTCTCATCTGCTAGGTCTGACTACTTCTTTCTCCTGCGGTGTCAAATGATCAACAACTTCCACCAAGGTATGTCGGTGCTCTAATATCTTTGGGCGACCGTATCTGCAAGTCTGAATGTTTGGTGATGAGCCTCCGTTCGCCTATAAGGAAGCTGCTCGCTTTTCCTGAACCCAGTCCTGCTAGTTTGATCGAAAAGCAAGAAATACCATTTCACATTCTAGTCTGCCAACACCTGACTCCCATTGACGCCGATTAATCAAAGCCTTTGAACAGCATTTGGGCAAAGAGACTTGATAGAGGCGCTTGACACAGCTCTACACGATGTTTGGTGGTTAGCGACTCGGGATTTGACCATTTCCCATCGAAAACAAGCTACCTCTCTCCGAATGCTCTACGGGAAAAGTCATACCGACCGAGACAAACCAAGAAGGTGGTTTGACGAACACCTTTGATCTGATGCCCCCAAATGGCGATTGGATGGCAGCTCAAGTGCTCAAGGAGGCCTTTCTTGGTAAGCCAGACATCCTCGGGACAATCAGTAGAATCTAACGAGGACTAGTTCAAGACTTAGAGCTCGCGAGATGTGACCATAGGCTTTATGGCAGCCTTTCACAACTTGGTATAGCCAGACCCGATGCTAGACAGGACCAGTCCCTTGCGAGATGAGGTCACAGTGAGCTCAACTGAAATGAAATAAATGGAACTGGAGCACTTCTCTCACCCAGAAATTTGTGTTGTATGATATTCTGTGTATCCCTGTCGCTCTTTACAATCACTAGCGACCGGTCGAGCCCTGGACCCTGAACTCTCCAAGGGAAAGATGGAGATGACTCTCCTCTCTGGTATGCTCGGCTATCCCCATAGATTCAGTGCGGATATCTTACCATGGGAAAAGCGGCGGTGTTTATCTCAACGACCCACTTCAAGATCTCAATACCTTTGTTGATGAAACCTGCTTTTACAGCATGCCGGCGATGCATGTCTACAAATCCTCCTATTCAGCATGGCCCTTCGCAATGCCTCCGAGGTTATTTCCGCCGGCTAGGAGACGGAGCTGAAAGGTGAGCCATAGGAACAGCGGCTCTCACTTGTGATTACTTGTCTCGAGCTTTTACTAAGTTTTACTAGGAGTGATTACAGCAATGACCGGCGCCGAGGAGCAACCTGATATACTAGTACCATTTCCGCCCAGGAGTTCAGAGGAAATGCTAGTAACAAAGCTTTCTTTTCTACCGCCTCGAGAATATGGCCGGAAGAAGACTTGGAAACGGTGACAGGTGCTTTGTTGTGTGATGGCACAATATCAAGCAGAAGGCCAGACGGCAGACGTCCGAGGTTTTAGGTGTTGTTTTCGTTTTTCTCTGTCTGCGATTATTCTTTTCCCTGTATCTTCTCCTGAATTGTGTCTTAGAATCGAAACTTTCTCCGAGGCTCCTGCCTCAGCTCATATTATTCCTAGATAGACCCATGTACGATAGTTGACCTCGAGCAGTTTACATAAATTTGATTATTTGATCAATCGCCCGACTTCTTTGATTATCACCGTGCGAATTCATAGTCAGCTGCATCATGTGGCGTGACAGGTCGATTTCTAGATAGACAAAACGCAGTGAAGACTGGTACTGAATACAAAATTATCTTGTGTCTTCAATTCATTTCTTTGATCATGTATCATTTGTGGGCCAGATGTAACCGGCGAGAATACCTACTTCACATTTCCTAGCCAGACAGGCTAATCAATACACGAAGTCTCCACAACTATCAGCTTTCATTGCATTATCTCCCAAATAACCCAATTATTTCAAACAAACCAATCAAGCTGTGCTATCATGATACGGCCCCAACTTAAACAACCTCTTCGCATTCTCACGCCCAATCTTCAACCGATCCGTGCCATTCAACTCCGCATGATCAAACCACTCACAGGCATCCCCGAACGTCTCGAACGGATAATCAATGGAGAAGAGAATACGATCGGCGCCGACCTCCGCCATGCAGAAGTTCAGCGTCGTGGTGGAGAAATGCCCCGACGTCGTGATCCAGATATTCTCGGCGAAATACTCCCGAATCGTCTTCTTGCACGTCTCCGCCAGTCCCAGCAGCTTCTTGCGGTCCTCGAACCAGTGGTTGATCCGCCACATGTCGAACGGCACATGCTCGCCCAGATGGCCCATGATGACCTGCAGTTTCGGGTGCCGGTCGAATACCCCGTTCGTCACCATCCCCAGCACGTGCAGGCTGACGCCGTGCGCGAAGCTCAACGGCGGCCCCACGAGCCATTTGCGGTCGGCCCAGAGCTTCTCGTAGATCGTGCCGGTGGGGTTCCGTGGGTGCAGGTAGAACGGCACGTCGAGGTCGGCGCACGTTTGCCAGAATATGTCCCACGAGGCGTTGTCGTAGAAGATGAGGTCGTCGCCGTCGGGGCCGGCTCGCTGTGTGTCGTTCACTAGGGCGCCTTTGAAGCCGTATTTTTCGACGCAGCGGCAGAGCTCGGACGCTGCTTCTTGGGGGTTGTGCATGGATAGCGTGCTGGATGTTATCAGCCCGACTCGTTCAGATCAAAACTCCCTTCAATAGGAAGCACAATAAGGGGTGAAAGCTTACGCAAAAGCTCCGAACCTCGTCGGATTCGCCTGCACCTGCTCCGCGATATAGTCATTGATCTCAACCGCCAGGGCCTGCGCCTCCACCGGGTCCCAGATATCCTGGACTCCGGGGGCTGTGTACGAGAGAATCTGGTAGCCGACGCCGTGCTTGTCGGCGTGCTGAATGCGGATCTTGTTGATGTCGGTGATCTCTTTGACGTGGGTTTCGACGTCGGTGGAGAACAGGCCGGCCCACCAGCGAGTCTTCTCTTCGAAGCGAGGCAGCGCGAAGGCTTCTTCGAGGGCGATTTTGCCGAGCATGATTATTTACAAGGAGTTGATATATTTGGGTACGGAGTTAGGATTTCAGGGATAATAGGATTAGGAATGGGATGTGATGAGGGGACAGGTTCCCCGGCTTTATAGAGGTCGAGTTGCTTCCCCGGGAATGCGGAGAAGTGCGCGGCCCGCTGTCATGATGGATCGACTATCAGACGACGAGAATGGATGGTTGATCCACGGTTTGACCTGCAGATCCGATCGGATGGTTCGTTCCGTCGGATGGCGAAGTGAGGGGACGCTTATAGTCGGGGGATTTGGTTGTTCGAGACATCCGACGCTTGGAAACGATCCGATCACCCCGCAGTTGCTATTCGATGGATTTCATTCATAATTCGAGATATACATTTGCATATTAACTCTGTGTGAAGGTTAGTACAGAACAGACTAGCAGGGTAGAGTCACGCGTTGGCTTATATGTTTAATATAATCCCGGAATATACTAGTGATGGATCCCCGCAAATACGCTGCGAACAGAATATGGGGATAAACTTCACGGCAGATGTCCACGAGGCATAGGGCATGTCTAGTCGCCAACAAATTAGAATGATCTCTCTTTCACGAGGATTGGCCCATTGACCGAGTGGAAAGTTCAATATACTTTGTTTCTCGTGACAACGCCATGCAGATGTTCGTGATGGATGCAAGTCTGCACATCGAGATCGAGCACCCGACCAACTCTGCAAACGACTGGCGAGATCCCCGAAGGTTCATTCTTCAGCTGCCTTAGCTTCGGTCAAATATCGGGGAGCGGAGCTTGAATAGAGACATCATTCGCTAAGAGGCCCTTGACCACGACCCCAAGAACGAGCTAACGGCCAAGGTCCGTGTTGAATTAGGATGCGGGTGCTTCTAAGCGAGGAACAGTATACATATAAAACACCATCGATGTTCCAGGGTCTACCATGCCACGACAGCCAGCTGCGACAGAATCATGAAAAGTTCTTCAATATTCACTCTCGCCGGCCTGTTGACGTCGGTCGCCGGCCATGGTTATCTTACCATCCCGTCGAGTAGAACCCGACTAGGATTTGAGGTATGAATTTCGCTTTTTTCCTACCGCATACCCTTCTGATATACCGAATCCAGGCCGGCATCGATACGTGCCCCGAATGTTCGATCCTGGAACCCGTGGCGGCATGGCCAGACCTCGAAGCTGCGCAGGTCGGTCGCTCAGGACCCTGCGGATACAATGCGCGGGTCAGTGTCGACTATAACCAGCCTGGCGATCACTGGGGCAATTCTGTCGTCGCGACGTACACTGCCGGGGATACTATCGACGTCGAATGGTGTGTTGATCACAACGGTGACCATGGCGGCATGTTCACCTACGGGATCTGCGCCAACCAAACGCTCGTCGACCTCTTCCTGGACCCGGACTATCTGCCCACAAACGACGAGAAGCAAGCAGCCGAGGATTGCTTCCTGGATGGCGAGCTGAAATGCACTGACGTTTCGGGCCAGTCTTGCGGATATAACCCCGACTGCTCATCGGGTGAGCCCTGCCAACGGAATGACTGGTTTACCTGCAATGCCTTCAACGCCGATTCGAACCGCGGCTGTCAGGGTGTTGATGGAGCTGCGCTGAACTCGTGCAAGACCACAATTGCTGGTGGATATACCGTGACCAAGAAGATCAAGGTAGATGGATACGTGCCCTTCAGTTTGAACGTCCCCTAATGCACCTATCAATGTCTAGCTCCCGAACTACTCGTCCGAGCATACCCTGCTGCGCTGGAGATGGAACAGCTTCCAGACTGAGCAAATCTATCTGGGATGCGCGGATATCGCTATCACTGGCGGCTCAGGGTCGACCACCACAAAGAGCCCCAGCACTAGCACCACTACCAAAGCATCCAGCACTACAACCTCAACAGGCACCTGCACTGCTGCCACCAGCGTCGCCGTGACCTTCAACGAGCTGGTCACGACGTCGTACGGACAGAATATCTACCTCACCGGCTCGATCAGCCAGCTCGGCTCGTGGTCCAGCTCCTCTGCGATCGCGCTCTCTGCCTCCTCGTATACCTCCTCGAACCCGTTGTGGAAGGCCACGGTGGCTCTGCCGGTCGGAACGACGTTCCAGTACAAGTTCATCAAGAAGGAGTCTGACGGGACGGTGGTGTGGGAGAGCGATCCGAACCGGTCGTACACGGTTCCGACGGGATGTGCGACTGCGGCGGCGGTGACTGCGACGTGGAGATAGACCTGTTGGTATTGGCATGGCTATTATATGCGACCGAGAGTAAAGATGACATTCTGCTGCTGAGAGCTCCACATGTATCGTCTGTTATATTATTGTTGAACTATCATAATCTATGGTAGTTGCAGGTTCCTTGTATTCCTTGTAGGCGAGTCAGTAGACAGCGGCATGTTTATTCTAGAACAACCGTGTAGCCTTCCAGAAAGTTAGAATCGGATTCCAGAAAGGAGGATAAGGAAAGAGAGTTACAGTTATCTATGCTTTCTTATTAATTAGCTGGATCCCGTGATTTTCCCTCTTCTTACTCCAGATTTCTCAGGTACATCTTTCTTTGTTCTCCATCCCAATCCTCACGGAAATAAATACATCAGTCGAGTGAATGCACCCCAGCCCAAGACCAGCCACCTGACTGGTCCTCTTGGCCATGCAAAAATACGAAGCGCAAGGCCTCCTTTGTCTGCATCTCTTCTGGCGCCATGACAGCCCTGTCTTTATGCTGACGGACGCCTCCGCCAATCAGTCTGGTGCTGACTCGGGCAAACACATCCCAGCCCTTCAGGAATCCTCCTGCAGAAGCCTGACTGGCAACTGGAGAAGCAGTTCCGACCCTAGAAAATGGGTGGAATTTTCCATCCGGCCAGTCCACGTCTGATAGCACTGGCCGTCCCGGATGCCTCCGGGGTCGTATTTATTTCTGTCTGTTGCCAGTCAGGTAACGCAACGTCTTCCCTTGGCCTTGCCCGTTGCACCATTCATCGTGAGCTTCCTTGTTCTCGGTGCCTCTGGGTTGGCTCTGCTTCTGGGTCTTTCCTTGGTTCTCCTGGCCCACTAACGTGAATTCGTCCGTACTTCCATCAGGCGACTCGGCACTTCGGTTCTTTGTCGTAGTCTCTCTCCTTTGTTGATGCGCAAACCACCTGGACCCTGGCTGTAACTACTGGACTGTGATCCCTGCTGGGACTTTGCAAGAGGGTGCCTCTGTTGCGCAAATCATTTCTAGTCCCCCCCTCCCCGCTCCTCACATGTCCTGTTGATTCGTGCCGTTCGTCAAGCAGCCCCCCTCGGTTTCCAACCAGTGCTGGTACTTTTACCTGCTTGTGTTACTGTCCATCCAGCCTTGCGCTACCGTGTTCTGTGATCAACTCTACCATATCGGCAATCAACCGTCCAGATGTCTGGCAAGGACGAGATAGGGGTCTTCGGGGACCCAATCCCCGAGCATCACAATGTGGAATACGCCACCGACAAAGAGCACATTCTGCCTCGTCGCATCTTGGGCACTGCCGCCGAACGAGCTAGGCGCAATCTGAATGCTAAGCTGGCCAATCCGCTGGCGGGCTATAGCCATGAGGAACTGCGGAAACAAGGCATCAGCTTTGCCATTACTCACCAGATCGGCGACGAGGAGGATATCCGTGCTTTTGCCATCGGCGCTGTCCTGGCCCAGACACCGGAGAAGGTCACCAATCTTCCTGGCATGACGGCGGAGGAACTGACTGCTTTGCAGAAGGAGTTCACTAGTCGTTGGTCGCAGCCATGGACAATGTACCTGGTGATCATCCTGTGCTCGCTTTCTGCTGCAGTTCAAGGAATGGGTAAGTGATTCGGCCGGACGGTCTGTCCTTGTTCTAGAGTGGCTACTAAAACAGTGGCTTCGGTCTGTTAGATGAAACGGTTGTCAACGGCGCACAGATATTCTACAAGCATCAGTTTGGGATCAGTGGCAACGATTCTCGGTCGAATTGGCTGGTTGGCCTGGTGAACTCCGCTCCCTATCTATGCTGCGCCGTCATCGGTTGCTGGCTGACGGTCCCGTTCAACGCCTGGTTTGGTCGGCGCGGCACCATCTTCATTACCTGTTGCTTTTCTGCACTGGCCTGTCTTTGGCAAGGATTCGTGAACACCTGGTGGCACATGTTCATTTCGCGGTTCGCACTGGGCTTCGGCATCGGTCCCAAGTCTGCCACCGTCCCCGTCTATGCCGCCGAAACAGCTCCGCCAGCAATTCGTGGTGCTTTGGTCATGCAATGGCAGATGTGGACGGCGTTTGGCATCATGTTTGGCTACGCAGCCGACCTTGCCTTCTTCGAAGTACGGGATCAGTCAGGAATCGTCGGCTTGAACTGGCGCCTTATGATGGCATCCGCCATGTTTCCGGCCATCCTGGTTTGCTGTTTCGTTTTCTCCTGTCCCGAGTCGCCGCGTTGGTATATGTCCCGGAATCTTTATGCCAAAGCGTACCAGTCCATGTGTAGTCTACGGCCCACCAAGATCCAGGCTGCCCGGGACATGTACTATATGCACACCTTGCTGGAGGCGGAAAACTCCATGAAGCTTGGTCAGAACAAAATCCTGGAACTGATCGCTGTGCCTCGTAATCGACGGGCCTTGGTTGCCTCCGAGCTTGTCATGTTTCTGCAACAGGTATGTTCGCACAGTTCCCTGATTCTTTGAAACTGCTAACGTGAGATAGTTCTGCGGTATGCCTCAGACATGTCCATCACATCCCATATATCCCCTATACTAACCACGTCCAGGAGTCAACGTGATCGCCTACTACTCCTCCGAAATCTTCCTCGAAACCACCAACCAGCGCAATGCCCTAACCGCCTCCCTCGGCTGGGGTCTGATCAACTGGCTCTTCGCCATCCCCGCCGTCTACACGATCGATACCTTCGGCCGCCGCAACCTCCTCCTCACCACGTTCCCTCTCATGGCCATCGCCATGTTCTTCACGGGCTTCAGCTTCTGGATCCCCCAGGACACCCACAACGCCGCACGACTCGGCTGCATCGCCCTCGGCACCTACCTCTTCGGCGTCGTCTACTCCACCGGCGAAGGCCCCGTCCCCTTCACCTACTCCGCCGAGGCCTACCCCCTGTACGTCCGATCCTACGGCATGGCGCTGGCCACTGCAACCACCTGGCTCTTCAACTGGCTCCTGGCCATCACCTGGCCGTCCCTGCGCAACGCGTTCACCCCGCAGGGCGCCTTCAGCTGGTACGCCGGATGGAATATCGTCGGCTGGTGGCTCATCCTGATGCTGCTGCCCGAAACGAAGGGCAAGACGCTCGAGGAGCTCGATCAGGTGTTCTCCGTCTCGACGCATTTCCACGCTGCGTATGGACTCCGTCAGATTCCATACTTTGTTAAGAGGTATCTGTTAAGGAAGCCCGTGCAGCCGGAGGTCTTGTATGAAAGGGAAGATCCGTCGGCGGTGCCCCCGGAGGCGGGATTTAATACTCTGTAATTTTCTCTCCTCTTTTCCTCTTGTTTTGTTGATTGCGAGACAGATTGTAGGATCTATTGATCATTTCCTTGTTTCGGTGGGAGGACATAAAATGAGATACGGTGTTGATCTTGATAGCTGGCGTTTTCTAGAGGCAATGAACTCCATGTCTGATACGGTGCGCGCTAACGATGCGATCTCTCAGCGTAGCCAAAAGAATCCAGAAAAATAATTCAAAAAATATCTTTTCATTGTAGAATGTAAAGTTATATAACCCAGATAAAACCACCCGTGCACCTCCAGGCCAGGTCCTGAACACGAAACGTCGGAGTATCTAATATAGGTAGGCAGCCTTGAGACAAGTTAGTCAAAACTCAACCACCAGTGTCATTGTCAAAAACGAGGGTGAAAACTTCGTCAGACAGCAGTTGGAACGATTGTTAATCCGCATGGATAAATGCTCGGAACAGGTCTGTGTGAAATCTTTCTTCTTCATGCGAAGTTGTCGGAGGGAAAAGGGGAGGGAAGGAAAAGTCGAGGGAGCTTACCGATTGATTAGCGATTGAAGGTGAAACTAAGTGGTTAGTTGGGTATGTCGGCAGCTCGAAGGTCATTGGAATCATGAATCCAGGGATCTTCAAGATCTCCAAGGCATGCTCTGCATTCTGCAGACAGGTAGACCGACGGAAGAAGGACGATGGAAGAATTTAAATACCCGGCGGACGAGACTAACCGCCCGGAGCATTCGCTAACGGACCAACCACAGGCGAGAGCGCGGCATCGCGTCGAGTTTGCCTCGTTTGCGCCGTTTGTCGTGTTTTTTTGCGTCCCGCGGCGAAAAAAGTAAATCCGCATTTTTTTACCCGCAAGGAAGGCGAGTCGTTATTCGGTTGTCTTCATTTTTGTGTTCGTGACTTGGCTGGGTTTTTTTCTTCTTGATCTTATTGCTCTCTTGTCTGTCTCTGTGTCTGTTGCTCTTGGGCTGTGGCTCCTCTTTCGGGTAAGTGATTTGCGTGCGGTTTCTACGCCTACGTTTACGGCGATGTAAATCTAGATGCTAACGATTGTGCCTGGCTTAGATTTCCCCACGATTCTTTCCTCGCTTCTTCCCATTAATATTATATATCCGCCAAAATGGTCGACGCTCCCGAGAGTCCTAGGCCGCAGGAACAAAGTGTGTAGGAAACAAAAGAAAAGAAATACAACCTTCGCGGGCTGCTCATATCCGGGGCTGGACCAAATGAAGTGTCGTACAGCGCTGCAAAGAATCGACTAATTCTGGGTTCCTTACTTAGCTCCCGTCAAATCCGGTTTCCAGAATGGTGTCAGAACGACGGGCCGTGCTTTCCACTCCCCCAACTGGCGCGTGAAGCGTGAGGAGAGCCCTAGCGGCCAGAGTGCCGGCTCGCCGGGCCCCAAGACGAGCACCTCGCGAGTCGCATTCAGCAAACCGAGTCCCCATGTCCCGCAGGCCATCTCCGAGGGCCGACGCCTCTACGTCGGCAACATGCCCTACACGGCCAAGTCGGAAGATGTGCAGGCACTGTTCACGGCCGCCGAGTTCCCAATGTATGACTGAGTGAGAGAAAGAAAAAGAAATCTCGTGCTAGAGGATGGCCCCCCAACTGAGTGTTGCTTTCATAGCGAGCGCATCGATATCGCCATCGACCCCTTTACCGGCCGGAACCCGTCATACTGCTTCGTGGACCTCGAGACGAAGGAATTGGCCGAGCGCGCCATGGTCGAGTTGGACGGTCACGATATGCTGGGCCGTCCCGTCAAGATCAAGCCCGGCGTGGTCAAGTCGCAAAGCGAACGATCTCAGCAGCAGCAGCAACAGCAACAGCAGCCCCGAACGGATGGCTCCCCCCGTGCCCCCAAGACTTCCTCCCCCTTCGGTATGGACCGATGGCGCCGTGACGACAGTGCCCCTGCTCCCCCCGCCGCCCCTGCCCTCCAGCGAACCAACTCGGACCCGAGCCGCCGTCTGTACGTCGGCGGACTGCCGCGCGTGAGCGACCAGGAGACGATCAACAGCAACATCACGAACTTTTTCAAGGGTTTCAACATGTACGTTCTGTCGGCCTTACCGGAGCGTCTGCTGTGATACTGACTGTCCATTAGCGAGAACATTAGCAAACTCTTCAGCCCCCACCCCGCCAAGCGCTTCGAGCCCGGTGACCATTACTACCTGTTCGTCGACTTCGGCACCGTCGACGAGACGCAGGCTGCCATGGAGGCCTTGAATGGCCAGGAGGGACCCTGGGGTGGCAACATCCGGGTGCAGCGAGCCCGTGGCGAGACCTGGAACTCGGAGGAGCGAAAGAGGTGGGCGAGTTCCCGGGAGAACGGGGCTGCACCTGCTGAGGCAGCAGCTGAGGTTTAAAAAGAAACCCGTTTCAATTATTTGCATTTGGGATTAACGGCCATTTGGACACATTTTTTGTTTTGCATATGGAGTCATAACGGAGCAAAAGGACCAAAAAAAGTTTGGAGATTTGGCGAGAGAAGATTTTAATTATTTAAAAGCATAGAGAGATATGACCATGAATCGAGATGATTGCATATTCTTGACCTCCTGGACTATGGATAATAGTTTCTAGAACTAGTCGAACTCCTGGACTAAATTACTTTGTCGATCTTCCGAAGCCGCGAGTTTACCCGACGAAAACGCCCGGGACATCACGTGGTGCGGTGTTTGAAGGCATTCCCTCCCTGTCGCTTTCACGAATTCAATCCCCTGTGCTCCTCGAAAAGCCTCATCTCTGATCGTCAATTCATCTCCCCCTCTGCATCCCCGCCATCCGGGCTGGTCCACCTGCAATTCCCGCGTCGTTACAAAGCAGCGACGGGCACCGGTTAAGTTGCCCCGCGGCATGACGTCTGTGCTGTCCCTCGACTTCTTCACCGCATCGGCTGTTGGGGCTTAATGGGATTCCCCCTTGCAACGAATTCCTGAGAGACAGCCGGAACTGTCTAGTTTGCTCGCTCGGTGAGAATTGCGCCGGAGTTCCATCCAGAGTCCCTACTGTTTGTTGTACTGCGACGAGGCTGCCTCTCCCGGTCTTGCGGCATTAATTCTCCTGGACCCGGTTTTCGGCCCATCTACTTACTTCCTTGCTGCTCCTCCCCCCTCCAACTCCCTATTCTCCGGCCCTCTTGTCCGGTCGGATTGCCTGGTCTTGGCCCGAGGTCTCTCGTCCGTTTTCGCCCATCTCGTATTCATCTCTCGTCTTCACTGCCATTTGCCCATCATGGCGGCTGTTCGGAGGGGAAATGGCCACAAGAGCTATTTTGCAAGTGTAAGTCCTGGTTTTGATGTTCTGCTTTATTTATTGCGTCCTTCCCCGGCTTCGGGGCTGCCTTGGCAGCTGTCCACCTGTCCACCTGCCTGCGTCGTAGTCTGTATGGTCCTGGATCCAGACATTCTAGTATACAACTCGTTGCGGCGGCTTCCTTTATTTATTTCTGTCGGCTTTGTTCACTACTGTCAAACTGCTCCGCGCATGCTCTCCGGAGTATTTGTCTAATTTGCCACGCACTTGACCATCAACAAGGAAAATCCCTCGACATGAAAATGCTGACTAGATTACAGTCAGATGACACGAAGATCTGCGTGGTCATGGTTGGTCTGCCAGCCCGAGGCAAAAGTCTCATCGCTGGAAAAGGTATAGTCCTGCTCGTTTGCATCGAGTGCACTGTAGATCGTGGAACTGACCAAATCTAGCCATGAGATATCTTGCGTGGGTTGGTATCCCTGCTCGTGTCTTCAACGTGGGCAGCTACCGTCGCAACAACACGCCGCAGCCAACCGCCACCTTCTTCGATCCCCACAACAGTGAGGGAGAGAAGATGCGGCGAGCCGCCGCGGAGGCTGCCATGTCCGATATGCTCCGGTGGTTTGCGTCGGGCAAAGGCGTCGTTGCCATCCTCGATGCGACCAATTCCACGAGAGAGCGGCGTCGCTGGATCTATGAGAGCTGCGACGCGGCCAATGTGGAGACGTTATTCGTCGAGTCGATATGCGACGAGGAAGACCTAATAATGAACAACATTCTCGAGGTCAAGACGACGTCGCCGGATTACAAGGGGCAGGACCCTGAGGCTGCTGCGCTGGATTTCCGCAATCGAATCCGCAACTACGAGAAGGTCTATGAGACCATCGACGACAACGAGAAACACTTTACCTACGTGAAGCTCATCAATGTCGGCTCCACGGTCATCATCAACCAGATCAAGGACTATCTATCCAGTCGGCTAGTCTACTATATCCAGAACCTCCACATCAAACCTCGCTCAATCTGGCTGTCTCGCGTAAGTGATCTTCTGATATGAAAAAAGTTTGATCTAACGTCTGTTTAGCACGGAGAGTCCGAGTACAATCTGGTAGGCAAGATTGGCGGCGATGCCAGCATCTCCGAACGGGGAGAGGCTTATGCTCGAGCTCTTCCGGGGCTTCTGAAAAAGTCCGGAGTTCCCCCTAACACGAAAATTGTCATCTGGACATCCACTCTCAGACGCACGATTCAAACGGCGCGCCACCTCGCCGCCGAGACCGGCTACGAGAAGCTGGAGTGGAAAGCCCTCGACGAACTCGACTCGGGCGTCTGCGACGGACTCACGTACGAGGATATCGCGCAAAAATACCCCGAGGATTTCGCCGCGCGCGACGAGGACAAGTACAACTACCGCTACCGCGGGGGCGAGTCTTACCGCGACGTTGTCATCCGGCTGGAACCGATCATCATGGAGCTAGAGCGCAGTGAAAACGTGATCATTGTCACCCACCAGGCGGTCCTGCGTTGCATCTACGCCTATTTCCTCAACACCCCCCAGGAGCAGAGCCCGTGGATGGAGGTTCCCCTTCATACGTTGATCAAGCTCACGCCTCGTGCCTACGGTACTGATGAACAGCGGTTTAAAGCCGACATTCCCGCCGTGTCGACCTGGCGCGCCAAGGGGACTTCGGCCAAGCATCAGGATTATCCCACTACCGAACACGAAGTCACCAACGCCGTCAGCGCCTAGAGGCTAGAATTTGGTCTTGTTTGAGCAATTTCATGTCCGCTCTTGCGGTCCTAGTAAATCCAATGTCTGAAGATCCAGACAATTCACTAACAATTATATCACAATCTCCCTGCATCGCCCCTTCTTCCTTGCGAGCCTCTTCCTTTCAAAAGTTTTGTTTCAGTCTCCGGCAGCATGTACAAGTCGTCTGTCTGTCTGGTTCATTTCCTGCATATATTATCACAATTGGAGGCAATCGCGGGTGTCCTCCTACATTCCCATTGGGAGCGTTTATAACCATTTTCGATGTTCCGCACCATTGATGCTCTCTCGAGGGATTGCATGCGGCTCATAGAACTAATATATTCATCGCTACGACTGCAATATGTCATGGAATAGAGATAGATTTTCATTCTATTATTCGATGTAGCTGTTTTCTTGTTACTTTGTATGTTATTTTGTAAATTAAAAATATAAGCTTAGATGAATGTACAGAGAGAGCATAATGTAAGTTGTAAACGATACAGTAAACACTATGGAGTAAAGCGGCATGACCGTCACTTGAGGCGGCCGACATTGGTGCCTGCATGCCTGAGCCTGACCGACTCCGACCGCAGCGTCACCGGCCGGTAACCAACCAACCAACTCTCTTAGTGAGTTCCCTCTACTTAGCTGTCTGTCTACCTCCGACCTACAATCCACCCAGCACACTCAACACACGACTGACACACGAACGATGCCCCACTCCAGCATCTAAGCCTCGCGCTGCACACACTCCACTCCGTCTTTCCATGTTTCTCCCACCCGCTGGACATGCCTATCGCTCTCGTCCCGACCCTGAACCGGTGAAGCACCACGAAGGAGAAGATTCCCGCCACGCCGAGCCATGCTATCGGCGTTCACGGCTCGGCCTCTCGTCGAGCTCAAGCCGCGCGATAAATCTCGCATCGAGTCCCTCCTCGCGTACGGTGATCGCCTCCTCGTCGGCTTGAATAATGGGAGTCTGCGCATCTATCGCGTTAATGAGGTTGTCGAGGGTGAGGGGAGGGTTGTTGCGGAGGGGGAGGGGGAGAATCATAATACCCGGGGTCGTGACGAGGGTCGCAATGGAAACATAAACACGGCCGCAGGGGGAGGAGGGGAGGCTGTGAAGAATGGGGAGAGGCCTGGGACGGCTCCTCCGGCGGCGGCGTCCAATGCGAAGGTCAAGCAGACGGATTTGCTGCGCGAGTTGGAGAAGTTCTCCCGGTATAAGGTCGAGCAGCTGGCGCTGATTAAGGAGGCTAAGGTCCTGGTTTCGCTGTCGGGGGGATATGTGTCGATTCATGACTTGCAGAGCTACGAGCTGCAGGAGCAGCTGACCAAGACGAAAGGCGCCAGTACGTTTGCCGTCACCTCGAATATTTTCAATGATCCCGAGACGGGCGTGCCGTCGATCGTGTCGCGGCTGGCGGTGGCTGTGAAGCGGAAGATACTGCTGTGGACGTGGCGGGATATGGAGCTGGATGGCGAGGCGGCGGAGATGACGCTGGTCAGCGGCATTAAGAGCCTGACGTGGGTGTCGGGGACGAAGGTCGTGGCGGGGCTCAGCTCGAGCTTTGTGATGGTGGACATTGAGAGTTCGTCCGTCACGGACTTGGTGGGACCCGGCAGCATTGGGGGTCTAGGGGGGCAGGAGACAGGTCGTCTGGCGGGCGTTGGCGTGGCGAGTATGAGCTATATTGGGATTGGAGGAGCGGCGCCGAAGCCGTTGGCGACTCGGCTGAGTGAGGGTCAGGTGCTGCTGGCGAAGGATATCAATACCCAGTTTATCGACATCGATGGCAACTCTCTCGGACGCAGACAGGTGCCGTGGAGTCATGCGCCCGCGAATATCGGATACTCGTACCCCTTCCTGCTGGCGCTGCATGACTCGTCCAAGGGCGTCTTGGAGGTCAGGAACCCCGAGACGTTGTCCCTTCTCCAGTCCATTCCGCTGCCGTCGGCGACTCTCTTGCACATCTCGCAGCCTACGATCAGCTTGGCGCATGCCGGGAAGGGGTTTCTGGTGGGGAGTGATAGGACGATTTGGAGGATGGAGGCGCTCAGTTACGATACCCAGATCGACTCGCTGGTAGAGAAGGGGTATCTCGACGAGGCCATCAGTCTGGCCAACATGTTGGAAGACGCGCTTCTCCGAAACAAGCAGGGTCGGCTCCGGGAGATCAAGCTTGAAAAGGCCCAGGGTCTTTTCAGCGTGCATAAATACAGCGACTCGATGGAATTGTTCACCGAGATTTCGGCGCCGCCTGAGACCGTGATTCAGCTGTATCCTCGGATCATTGCCGGGGACCTCAGTACCGTGAACGAGGAGCCGGAGGAGTCGGAGGATGGCACAACGGATAGTCAGTCGAAACCCGTTGACGGCCAGACACAGACGGACGGCGCCATTTCAGAGGACTTGGCCGCTTCAAAGACCCTGAACCACACGCCCTCCATGAGATCCTTCCTGCGCACGAAAACGGACGACGGGAGCGACGCGGGGAGTATCCGCGGCAAATCCTCAGAGGATCCTCGAGCCCACAAGTCGCCCCAGGAGAAGCAGCTCGAGTCCTCCGTGCGCGAGCTTCAGAGATACCTTGCCGACGTCCGCAGGCGGTTCCAGCGGTTCCTGAACCCTGACGGCACCCTGAAAGTGGTCGATCCGACGGCCGACGGAGCAACGGATGAGTTCACCGACTCCGTGATGAAGCTCCTTGATCTTACTGGAGATCACAAAGATTACGATTTCGGCGAGCAGCTACGCGAAAAGGCGAAGCTGGTCGATACGACCCTTTTCCGGGCGTATATGTTTGTCAACCCCCGTCTCGCCGGCTCCCTCTTCCGCATCGCCAACTTCTGCGACCCCGAAGTGGTGATGGAGAAGTTGGAGGAAACCGGGCGCCACAACGACCTGATTGACTTCCTCTACGGCAAGAAGATGCATCGCCAGGCCCTCGAGCTGCTGAAGAAGTTCGGCCAGGCCGATTCAGAAGAAGAGACCGCACCGCAGCTCCACGGCCCCAAGAGAACCGTGGGCTATCTGCAGAATCTGACCCCGGACCGGATTGAGCTCGTTCTGGAATTCGCCGAGTGGCCTCTGCGACAAGATCCCGATCTAGGCATGGAGGTGTTCCTGGCGGATACCGAGAATGCCGAAACGCTGCCCCGGCATCAGGTTTTGGATTTTCTGCAGCGAATCGATACCAACCTTGCTGTTCGATACCTCGAGCATGTCATCGGGGAGTTGAATGATATGACTCCCGATCTACATCAGAGGCTTCTTGTGTTGTACCTGGAGCGTTTGGAAAAGGATAAGATGCAGGAATGGCCGTTTCCGAACGAAAACGACCGAGCGGACTGGCTGAGTAAATTCTTGGAGATGTTGAAATCCAGCTCGCAGTATTCCCCGGCCAAGATCCTCGACCGTCTTGACCGCGATGGTACGCATGACCTTACATTTGTGCTTGGCCGCATCTAACGCATCCTGCAGATTCCGAGTTCTTTGAAGCACGAGCCATTGTCTTCAGCAAGATGGGCCAGCACCGACAGGCTTTGGAGATCTACGTTTTCAAGTTGGAGGACTACGCGAAAGCAGAAGAGTACGTTCGGGCATAACCGAGAGTTCATGCGAATGCTAATGCCATGATAGGTACTGCAACCACCTGCATAAGACGGAGGAAACGACCAGCACGGAGGCCACGCCTCCACGCGGAGCAGCTCTCCCCGACTCGGAGGTGAAACCGTCTATCTATCTCACATTATTATCTCTATACCTCTCGCCTCCGCACAGGTATCAGCCGCAGTACGGGCCAGCGCTCGACGTGCTGGCCAAGCACGGATCACGTCTGCCCCCCGGTTCGGCGTTGGAGCTCATTCCCGAGACGCTCCCGGTCAAAGATCTGGAGTTCTATTTCCGGGGTCGCATGCGCGCCGCCAATTCGATGCTCAGCGAGTCCCGGATCGTGGCCAGCCTGCAAAAGTCCCAGAATATCAAGACGCAGGCGCAGCTGCTGGTTGGCGAGGGGACGGACGGTAAATCGGCGCGGTCCAGGCACGTCACCATCACGGAAGAAAGAATCTGTGGGGTGTGTCATAAACGAATCGGAGGCAGCGTGATCAACGTGTTTCCCGAGTATGTTCTATCCCGATATATCTGTATGGTGCTTTTGCTGACTTCTCATAGTAATACGGTGGTTCATCTTGGATGCGCCAGCCGTCTTTCTTCGCATTGATGAGGCATTTGCAAATAGAATCGGCATGGTATGGATATTTGTTGCTTTTTTGTTTTCTGTTTTTTTCTTCGTTTTCTATCTTTCCCTTCGGTCTTGCGGTTCTCTTGTTCGATCAACTCCAGTTATGTTGCGTGGAGTGGCGGGTGTATTCTGCGTTGATACCCAGGATAGCGAGTATCCAAGGATCCAATATATAATTTCTCTCTCTCCTTTATATCGTTGGATAGGCACCATTGCATCACTCTAGATCCGAGGGAACTGTTCATTCGTCCTCCTCGACGACTTCTTCACCGTAGTTCTCCTCTTCCTGGGCTTCCTTGGCCGAGATTTTCTGGCCCTGCGCCTCGGCCAGCTTCTTGTCCTCTTCCATGCGCTCGGTCAGGAACACGTTAATGTCGTTCTGCAGCGTCGGCACGAGGGTGCGCAGCTCGGCGAGATAGGCCACTTTGGCGGGCACCTCCTGCGAGGGAGACGACGCAAGGCGATGCTCGAAGGTGCGCGTTGCGTCAGGGGCGGTGTAGACGGCGCGCAGGGGGGCGGACGAAGACATGATGAAATTTTCTAGATGGTTGGTGTATTGTAAAGGAGAGACCGAAAGAGTGGGTGTTGAGTGGGAGAAATAAGAGAAAGTGTGGAAAGGCGGGGCGATCGGGAGTTTCCAACGATCGACAACCTGCACTCTTCGTCGATTCGGTCGGAAGTCCAGACCGACACCAGCTTCTCCCCCTATCGAATTGCCATTCCATTCTCCCTCGCATTCTCATCCATGAGACCATGGACTACGGTCCCCTCGTTCCCTCCTTCCCTTCATCGAGAATGCTACGCTCGCCCGTTTCCCCGGAGCGAGTCTCCAGATCGCCCGCTCCTTCTCTTCCTCCTCCTCGTCAATCCTTCGATGACGAACTGATTCGCCCGGGCTCCTCTGGCAGTGATGCCTCATCCATTACCTCCAGCGTGACCACCGTCTCTGCCCAGCCTGCTGCTCCGACTCTGCAGTATCCCCCCGGCGCCTCGTCTCCGCGGCCCCCTCGCACCTCGTCGATCCCCAACAGCGCCAGCACCGCCAGCCTCGCTCGTCCCCCCGCCTCCTTCATGCCGCAGAATGAGCCCTCCAGCAGGAAGCCGTCGAGTCGGGCTCTCCCGCCCGAGCTGCAGCGGCATCGCTCTCGTCATCACTCGCAGGGCTTCTTCGAGCCCTCCCTGCCAACTGCCTCCATCTCCGAATCCACCCTGTCCGCCTCCAGGATCGCCGCGCAGGCAGCCATGTCGCAGCAACAGGTGGCTGCCGCTCAACAACCGCAGCAGCAGCAACATCCCCCGAAACGTCCGCCGCATGTAGTCTTCCCCCATACGGATGACCCTTCGAGACACCGGAGAACGGGGAGCATGTCGCCTCCCCCGCCTCCAGTTCCGCTATCGCAATCGGTGGCGCCCCCTGGATCCGCCGGGTTGTCGGGTCACTCGTATCAGAATGGACAGCCGCAACAACAGCTGCAGCCGCAGTCGCAGCATCACCAACCACAACAACCCCAACCGCCGTCGCAGCAGCAACAGCAACAGCAGCAACCGGGTGGGCACGCTCATGTGGCGACGACCGCGGCCAATCTAGTATTCCCCAGGCAACCGAGCCTGCAACCCCCCGGGTTAGAGGCTGACAAGGAGCACAAGCATAAGGGGGAGAAGGAGAAGTCCAAGAAGAAGCTATTCTCGAAGCCGAAACACATCGGGATCAGCGGTCGAGACAAGGACGGGTTTATGAAAGACCGAGGACTCCCGTCACCCAGCAAAATGGGGCTGCCCAGCGCCAGCGGACTGTCCCGCATCGTCAGTGCGTCGACGACCAGCCTCGCGGACACGTTCCCGTCGAACAACTCGTCCATGTATAACCTGTCGAACGCGTCGGCGAGCACGGTGGTGCCGGCGGATAAAGCGACGGGCGGCGAGAAGGACAAGGACAAGGAGAAGGAGAAAGACAAGGACAAGCATAAGCATCACTTTCTGTCGCGCCAGAAGCTGAAGCTGAAGGACCGTGGCGATGATCATCACAACTTGCCGCTCTCGTCCGCATCGAGTAACTCGAAACCGTCGGATCCGAACGCTCCCCAGTCGCTGTACTCGTTTACTCCGCTTTCTCCCAATGCGGCGTCGACAACGTTTGGCAAGTCGGTCAGCGGACTAGATCTGCTGCACGGGGGCCGCGCGCTGCGGGAGAAGAAGAAGGAAGAGAAGGCCATGGCGGAGTCGGAGCAGCAGGAATGGCTGGCGAACTCCACGGCCTCGGGCGTCACGCAGGCCACGTTTGCCGGTCCGTCCTCGCTGGGGAGTTCGACGACGGGGATTCTTGCCGAGGCCGCTCTGCGCGAGACTCTGCAAGGGTTTGGATTGAATAACATGTCTCCGGAAGACGCGTGGGATTTCTTGAAGGCGAAGCTCTTGGTGATATTTGATGGCGAGGACGTGCGCATTGCCATCGAGGACCTGAACAAGCTGGTGATGATCCATATCCAACGGTGCGTGCAGAAGCGTACGCCGATGGCGATCGTCGACGATCTTCGGGAGTTGCTGGAAACGGGGTTCGCTTCTCTGAACCACACGCTGAATGGCGTGCCGGACGAGAAGATGGTGCCTCACCTGGTCCAGATCTGGATGCTGGTGTTTGGCACGATCCTGCCGTTCATCCAGGCGGTCTTCCTGCCGCTGGATCTGGAATTCAAGGGCCACGGCACCGTGATGAATCCGCGCGAGGCCAGTGAGTTCTGGGCCGGTGCCTTGCATGGGGAGTATCCCGGCTGCGAACTCGAGGTCCGCAACCTGGTTCTGATCGCCTTCCGGGACATGGTGGTTCTCTTCCGCTACGACGGGCTCAAGGCGACGTTCTCGCGTCTGAGTCTGGACAACATCAACCTGGGCAACGCCGCGCTCAGCGTCACCACCAAGAGCAGCGCCAACAGCGGCCGGCCGGCCACGTCGGCCTCGCTGGACGCCGGCTTCGGCAGCTACAGCTCGCAGTCCTCGCACCTCAACGCCGCTGCCACTGCCGGCAGCTACTCGTCCGACTCGATGAGCTGCAACCGCAGCCGCGCGGCCTCCAACACGTCGTCTAACCCGGACCAGCTCATCTTCCAGTCCTTCTCCTCGCCGACCCAGCGGCCCACCATCATCCACCGCGGCGCCGACACGTCGCAGGTCATCACCGAGACCGTCGGCCGCATGCTCCAGTGCGTCAGCGTCCTCGGCAGCGTGCAGACGGGCGACCATGCGCAGGAGCGAGTCGAGATCCTCAGCAAAGCGCTCAAGCATAACTGGCTCGGTCGCGGCCGCACGGGACGCGACCGGCGTGGTTTTGTGGGTGCGAAGATCCGGCCTGCGATGGTGCCGCGGTCTGATAGTGACATGTCCTCGCGGGGAACGGGGGAGTCTGATCTGCGAGATGGAAGAAGGGAGATGAGTGTTTTATAGTTCTCTCTCCTTTTCTTTTGCTCTCTATTCTTTCTTTTGGTGGTTTTTGATGTTCTTCAGGTTCTGTTGTTTTGTTCATCTGGGGCGTAAATAGATACCTCTGCGGCGTGGATGGTTTCTTTCTTTCTTTTTATTTCACTTGGATCAATGAGTGGTACTTTGGTACGAAGGCTGTATGACCGTCATCTTTATATAACGAGGTTCGAACATTGAAATCAATGACTGCATGCTTTGGGTTGTATTGTAGTGGCCATGACTAGGTTTATAGAATCACATATTATCCTACGTAGACCATCAAAGGACGTCTTTCGCGTGGATGACATTCATTCGTACCAGCATAAGCTAGAATCTCGAAGTAATCACCTAAACTGACGCATCAATCCCAATCCCCAGACATCACAACTCCAGTAAACCCCAGCCCAGAGGATAAATCAACCCTAGCTCTCCATCCACGAACCAGAAACAAGCGAAAAGAAACAGAACAGGACATAACACGTCATCCACGCATTCGATAGTCCGTCCTTGGAATCAACAAAAGAGAGAGAGAAAAGTACCACGCCATAGTTTCCATCTCACGCCGCTCTGAGAACTCCGACTAGATACATGCAGCATAGAGTCCATTCCCGGCAAGTAAGATGTACCCTACCAGTTACTCATCTCCGTAGAGGTCGACGTCTTTCAAAGACTCGGAGATACTGACGGTTTTGGTAGGGGTGGTAGCATCAGGAAGGGTGTCAGATTCAGCAGTGTCGGTGGTAGCATTGGCGTTGGCGCTGGCATTGGTGCTGGCACTAGCACTGGGATTGGGATTGGGATTGGGATTCGCAGTGGCAGGCACAGGGACCGAACCACCATTCTTGCTCGCCATCTGCTTGAACTTCTTCTGCAGACTGACCCCGGGATACTTCTTGCCGCCGTTTGCCTCGATCAAGTCCGCGATTTTAGTCCACTTCTCGACCTCGAAACGTTCTTCGACTTCGTGCTTAGCCTGAAGAAGGCGGACTTCCTATAGATATATCATATCAGGTTAGCATTCATACCCAACCCAACCCAGAATACAAACAGCAGAACCAAAGAGAATGAAGGAAAGAATGAAAGAAGGAAAGAAGGAAAGAAGGAAAGGAGACCTACATCCTCCGGATCCACACAGACAAAATTACTCTTCATCGTACGATACCTCATCCGCAGCGTCGTCCGGCCCACCGAGATCCCAGTCGCCGCAGTCCACGCGCTGTTGATCTCCGGCCATCCGCGATTCTCGTCGTCTCGGAGCCGCAGGATCAAGCGGTCCGATTGCCCCGCGGCCTCGAACGAGGTCGGGATCGGTCCCATGGCTTTCTTAGTCGTGCTGCCGGGGGTGCCTCCTTTGCGGGACTTTTTGCTGGGGGAGGCGTTGGAGCTTTCGGATGCTGAGCCCGAAGCTTCGGCGTCGCCGGAGGGGGAGGCATCGGGATTGGGGATGGCGAAGGTTACGGTGCCCTTGGCCTTGCCTTTGGCGCTGCCTTTGCCTTTGGCAGTGGCATTGGGCTTGGTGGGAGTTTTGGTGGGGGTTTGGGTGCTGGCGCTGGGCTTGGTCTTGGGGGGACGGCCGCGCTTGCGAGGGGTGGGGGTTGGAGTGAGGGTTTGGGTCTGAGGATTTGTTAGTTGGTTTGATTTGACAGATATGACTGTTGATGTAGATGTGTAGTGTGTAGATGAGGTGAACATACCTCAGCATTGGCCTCAGTCTCCTCTTCCTTGCAGGGAGTAGACAGTTCCATGGGCTCTGGGGCCACAGCAGGGCTCGCGGGCTCAGACTTAGGCTCAGGCTCAGGCTCAAGCTCAGACGCCATGATGTTCTTGGACTTGATGGCCTCGGTGCTGGGTTCGTCTGCCATGAAGGGCTTGTTCACAGGAGTGAAGCGTGAGGTGCGGTAGATGTAGGGAGATGCGCACGGGGTGGAATCAGGGCTGAGGTTCATCAGTGGAAAGATGAGGGAGAGAGAGGAAAAGTGAGAAGAACCTGCGATTAGTGGGAGGCTTCAAGTGAGTGGAGTGAATGGCGTGTCGAAGCGCATCAGGTTGAAGTTGGAAATCCCTGGTAGAGTGAATTCACTGGGGAAAATGCCGGTGCGCGCACTACATGGCAGGCTAGGTGTGGTGCGGCTGGGTAGAAAGGAAAGAATGGAATGGGTGGCATGGTGTGAGAGTGTTTACGATAGAATATTGAGAGAGATGGTTCGAGGGAGTGGTTTACAGTGATATTCCGATGCCGTTCGTGGCGACTTTTTAGGGCACGGAAGGCGTGTGATCAGAGCTACTGGACTATACAGAGACTAAGCATCTGGACGGCATCACATCACATCACACCCCCATGCGTCATGCCCTAATGTTTCACAATCAGATCCAGGAAAAGAGAGAAAAGAAAGAAAAATGAAGAAAAGCAAAGAAAGAAAGAAAGCAGGTATCCGGCACCAGCAGACTGAATCATTGGGCACAACGTCCGCAACTGCAGCTGTCGATCCCCCATATTGGCTTGCAGACCAGGCCAGAGAGCAAGACGATACGAGACCGGCTGCAGCAGGATGACCCTGGCAGGCGAGATGAGACAGGAATCCTGGGATTGCAAAGATTGCCAAAGCAACGCCTCGTTTCTCACCGCCAGACGCCGGGCAGCCAATCCTCGCGGCCTGCAAAGTAAGGCGCTGCTGTCAGACGGCCTTATTTCTGGCCTTCGCGCGCCCTCCTTTTCTCTTCTTCCTCTTCCTCTTCCTTCCTCTCCCTTCTTCTCTTCTCTCCCTTCTCTCGTCCCTCCCTCGGCTGTGGCCCTCTTCCTGTTAGTACCCTTTTCTTCCTCTCTTTCATCTTTATTTGGTGCTCTCCATGACTCCACTGCTAACCCTGCTAGATCGTCGATACGCTCCCCACAAGCTCCCCCCGGTCCGTGCCTGACAGCTCCACTGCGGGCGCCAATTTCCTCCCCAATCATTTCCTGGCCCAAGCATCCCAAATTTATTATCCTGAAGCATGGCCGATCCCACCTCCTCCGTCGCCCCAGAAACAAAACACGACGCCGACCCCCAGGCCGACAACTCCGCCGTCAAGCCGGAAGCCAAGTCCGCCGTCTCGGTGTCCGAAACCTCCCCCAAACAGACCTGCAAGAAACATCCCGCCAAGGAGTCGGACCGCCCCAAGAGAAAGTCCCACAAGTCCAATAAACCCTCGTCCGTCGTCACCCCCAGTGATGACAGCTCGTCGGCCTCCAGCTCCGATGGAGACGTCGACAGCGTCGCCGACTCCGCCTCCGACGACGATTCTGCCTCCGCGGAGTCCGAGTCGGAGCCGGATCAGAAGCCCCGACGCAAGCGGGTGAAGAACCGATCGAGACGGGCGCTGAAGAGCGGCAGGAAGAAGAAGACGCGGTCGCATTACCAGGACGAGTCGGATTCTGAGTCGGAGGAGGAGGAGAGTGAGGAATCCTCGTCGTTGGATGAGAAGGCGCTGAAGAAGCTGGTCTCTAAGCTCAAGGCCCGCAAGGCCAAGAAGGTGCGCAAGGATGATTCGTCCGAGGACCCGCTGGAGGAGGAGGACGAGACCGACCTGGACGACACGGCGCTGTCCTTGGCCAAGGAGAAGCTGGCAGCTTTGCGACTCAAGCAGGGAGAGAAGCGCCGGGGCAAGCACCGCGGGAAGCGGGCGTCCGACGGTCTGAATGACGGTCAGAAGGGAGGCTCGCAACGCTCCAAAGGCCGGAAGAAGGCCGCCGCCTCGAAAATCGCTTTCAAGCGGGTCGATCAATGTTTGCAGTCCCTCTTGTTTCACATAACGTTTTATTTCATATGGCTGACGTCTTGCTTTAGTATGGGACAATACAATACACAACTTCAAGCTGACGGAGACTGTGGACGACCCCGGGGCCAACGAGTGGGACCAGTATCTTTTTACCGTGCGCCGCAAGTTTGACTGGGACAACAAGTATCTCGAGACGGTGGTGGATATCAAGAGCAAGCACCTGCGCGATGCTCTGGCAAAGGTCATGGACGGCGTCAAGGGAGTCAGCCTGGTGCAGGAAACTGCCGTCGTCGATCCTAACATGCTCTTCTTGTACCTGGAGGAGACCCGTCAGTACATGAAGGAATTGAAGCAGCAGGCCAAAACGGAGAAGAAGAAGGCCCGGAACGCCGCCAACCTCAAGGCGCAGCATCTCAAAGTCTTGCTGAAGTACCTAGACACCGACTATGCGGAGACCAAGAAGACCCTCTATCCCCTGCTTGAAGCCAATATGATCACCTTTGAGCTGCTCTGGGCCTTGTTCAAGCCGAACACCATTGCCTACACTCCTACCTACGGGAACCAGGATGAGCCGCGCGCCTTCAAGATTGAATATGCCACCAAGGAGTCATCGTTCATGAAGGGCCAGTGGTACAGCATCGAGGGCCGCTACCTGGAGTATGACGGCAAGACCTTCGGCATGGGCACCATGGCGGCCGAGGTGGAGAGCTTCAAAGGCGCCCGGAAGATCACCAGCCTGGGCTGCTACCCGCTCAAGTACCACCGTGAAGCCGACAGCGTTCAGGCCAAGCTGATCGAACGTGGCAAGAAGTTTGTGGCTCTGCGGGGCATGAACTACCGTTACCACAAGGGCATGGCCTTCTACAAGAAGAAGCGCACCGTGATCAAGGTCAATATCAACGGACGCGTGATGATCGACCCGGCAATCCATCGCCGCATCAATCCGAATTACCCCATCAGCACCGTCCGCCCCAAAGACCCCGACTTCCTGGATGCCGATGACGACGACGGCAGCGAGGGCTGCTGCTGTGCGATGTCCGGCTCGGAGGACGAAGAGACCTACGCTCCCCGCAGGGATTCCGATGCTCCTCGCGTGCGCTATAAGGTGATCCGCGACAAGGAGGGCCGGCCGCACGTCGTTGAGGTGGAACTGGATGAGAACGGCAACGAGATCCAGAAAGAAGACATGGACCAGGTTGAAGACACCGATCGGGAATTCACGGAAGAGGAGCTCCTTATCGCGAGTCCCGTCGTGCTGGGTTTCGCCTTCAGCGAGAAGCTGTGGCTCGAATTCAGCATCTCGGGCATCAGTGATATCGACTGGAACGAGGACGCCTTTGACTCGCTCGTGCTGCCGGACAACCAGAAGTCCATCGTCAAGGCCCTGGTGGAGTCGCACACCTTCTGCGCGGCGCAGAATATCGACGACGTCATTCAAGGCAAGGGCAAAGGCCTCGTCGCCGTGCTGCATGGCCCGCCCGGCACCGGAAAGACGCTCACCGCGGAGGGCATCGCCGAACTGCTCAAGCGACCCCTGTATATGGTCAGCGCCGGCGAGCTCGGCACCGATTCCCGCACCCTAGAAGGCGAGTTGAACAAGATCCTGGACATCGCTCACTCCTGGGGCGCCGTTCTCCTGCTGGACGAGGCCGATATCTTCCTGGAGAAGCGCACGATCCAGGACATCCACCGCAACGCGCTCGTCAGCATCTTCCTGCGTCTCCTCGAATATTTCCAGGGGATCCTCTTCCTGACGACCAACCGCGTGGAGACCTTCGACGACGCCTTCCAGTCCCGTATTCACGTTGCCCTGCGGTACGGTGATCTGCCGACCAAAGCCAAGCGCAGCGTCTGGATGATGTTCCTCGAGCGAGTGCAGGCTATGGAGGGCGTTACGACCGCGAAATTTACCGAGAAGGATTACGATGCGCTGGCTCGTCACAATCTGAACGGCCGTCAAGTATGTCCTCTCCCTTCCTTTAAACTATGCTGAAAACTAACCCAATTATTAGATCAAAAACTCCGTGCGCACCGCCCAGGCCCTCGCCGTCAACGAAGGCACCCCTCTCTCCATGGAACACATCAAGCGTGTTCTTGAAGTCGCCGAAACATTCGACCATGACCTCCGTGGCGGAATGGGCTATATTGACGCTATGAGAAGTTATACGTGATTCTTTCCTTTCCTTTTCTGGGTTCTGGTTTTCTGAACTTCATTAGTGGTGTGGAGTGCAAGGCATGAAGAATACCCTTTCTTTTTGGTCTTTCAGTTTGAACGTTTTCTGCTTTTTGAAAAAAGAGAAAAGAGAAAAAAATCCCTTTCGACTTTATGACTTTAACGAGTCTACGATGCTATGCCAGTTACGCCATGCTATGCAATCTTAGGATCTGTTTCCGTCTTGTTTCTTTTCTTTGGTTTTGTCTCGTTTTGTCTGGTTGGTTTGGTTTGGTTCAATTGGTTTGTTTTATTTTATGCAATGCACGGTTCACGCGAAGAGAGGATTGATTTTTTGATTTGGTTTACCTTGGTTTTTCTTCTTCTTTTATTTGCCATGGTCTCATCCATTCGATGGCTTGATTGATTGATTGATAACATGACATCAGACTGGCGAGCAAAGATAGCGAAGCGAAGATCTGTCCACCATGCGTTATGCGTTCGTTTTATTGAACTACAGCTACGATCTATCTGGCAGATTGACCCTGGTCTTCGTTGAGGAACGCAGATTCAAACACTAGATACATGAATGAAGGAAGCGAGGGATACGAATACAAGTTGATTGATTTTGGAGCAGTCACTCTACATGACGTCAAATAAGAAAAGACTTCTTTCATTTAAGTTATGGAAACATACGTCACGATCATGTTCCCTTTCCCCCCATCAACATTCTATTCCATTAGATTGAGCCATATAGAAAAAGTTCCGGAAAAAAACATCCCAGACTCAATGCCAACGAAAAAAGAAAATGCGGTCCACATACTGCAGCAGCACAATCCTCCAATTATAAAAGTCGATGCGGGTAGGGGGAATAAAGGGGAATTTAGGGTTCAAATATGATAAGCTAAACAAGATACACAAGGGACTGTTATACAAGGAGGAGAGGCGGCTGCAGACGAATCGATCTATCTAACCATTTTTATTTACCCTGTACTTTCTCGGTGATTAGAGAAGAGTAATTTAAGGGTTGGCGGCAACGAAGTCAACACCCTTCTTGATGTTCTTCTTGAGGTCAGCAAGGGCAGCCTCGAGGAGCTTCTCCTCGTAGGCGTTGACCTGGCCGACGGGGAGGATCTTCTCAGCACCGTTGGGGCCGAGCTCGACCTTGGAGGCGAAGAAGTCGACACCCTGGTCCTTGTAGAGGGGAGAGTCGACGAAGGTAGGCTCGATGACACCCTTCTCGCCCTGGGCGGCGCGGAGGAGGGACTCGGCGAAGCGGGCACCGGCCATGGCCATGGAGAGGGTGGCGGAACCGGCACCGTCCTTGGCCTTGACAACCTCGTCACCACCGAACTGGATGCGGTTGACAAGAGCGTCACGGGCCTCACCCTCAATGTTGGGGTGGCCGGACTGGGAAAGGAGGGGAACGATGGTCACGCCAGAGTGGCCACCGACGACGGGGACGGCCTCGTTGGCGGGGTCGGTCTTCTGGACCTGGGAGATGAAGCGGGAGGCACGGACGACGTCAAGGGTGGTGACACCGAACAGGCGCTTGGGGTTGTAGACACCGCGGGCCTTGTAGACCTCAGAGACGATGGGGACGGTGGAGTTGACCTAGTGAAACAGTTAGCCGTCGGTTCCGCAGAGTAACTAGGGGGCAAGGCTGCGTACGGGGTTGGAGATGACGAGGACGTTGGCCTCGGGGGAAGCCTCAGCGGCGGCCTTGGCAAGGTCACGGACGATGGAGGCGTTAGTGTTGAAAAGGTCTATTCAATTGAGATGGGATCAGCTTTCGAGGACCTTGGAAGGTACTTGGGGGTCAGAAAAATTGCACAATCGTGCATACCGTCACGGGTCATGCCGGGCTTGCGAGGAACACCGGCGGGGATGAGGACGATCTCAGAGCCCTTGAGAGCATCACGGAGACCGGAGGCAGTAGGGTCGAATCCGGAGACGACGCTGTTGGTGTTGATGTGGCCGAGATCAGCGGCGACACCTGGATGAAGGGAAAGAAAGACAAGGTTAGCCAAGCTCCGATCACCGGCGCGGACGGGTTGGGGAGCTGAACACACCAGGGCCACCACGGATGTCGTAGAGAGCGAGCTCAGAGACACGGGGGTTGAGCTTGAGCAGGAGAGAGAGAGGCTGGCCAATGCCACCGCCGGCACCGAGGACGGTAACCTTGGAAGCCTGGAGAGAAGGAAAAGAAGGTTAGCACGTTTCGAGAGGAGCGCCGAGGTTCAGGGCGAGGAACGAAAGGTTCACACACCTGGCGGGCAGAGGCAGAGAAGCTGCGCTTCTGGAAGAGGTTGAAACCCTGACGAGCGGCGAACATTGTGGCTGTGGGAAGGAGACAGAAAAGAATCTATCTGAATGGAATGGAGTGGGGGAGATGAGAGAGTGGATGGAAGAGAAGAAAACAAATGCGACGGACGGAGGGAGGGAGAAGAAGAGGAAGAGACGGAAGGGAAGAAGCGAAGGGCCGTTGGTTGCCGGTGAGAAGGAGTCGATTCATTGGGGCGGCTAAATCGCTCCGTTTTCCGACCCACGACGGTTGACACGGCAGCCAGTAGTAGTAGTATATTGTGGACTCATGCTCTACGAACTTATTCTGCATATTCTGCAGACTAAATGTACTGGATTACTGTACTGGACTACCTGACTTCTTGAATCCCGCGTAGTGCTATATCTGTTGATTCAATTACTTCATCCCCCAAACGCCGGCGCTGGCCAATTGAACTAACTCTCAGAATCAGAGCAACAAAGGAAAAAAGAAACTAGCGAGTGACTACTGATACATAAGACCCTTCGTCATATATAAACATCGCCCCATCACATTCACCGCAAAAAGTGCAACACCGCCCAGCAAAACAGGAAGAACAGGAGCACTCCGATCCAGAAAATCCACTTGTCCTGTTTCGCCCGGCGCTCGACCTTGCGAATCGTCTCCCCGCTGACGCCCAGAGTGTTGGCGACGCTGTACAACCGACGCTGTGTACCTTTGAGAACCTCTCGCTGGTCGCCGAGGTCCGCAAGGACCGCTCGTCCCCGGTCGATGAACTCGTCCAATTGCGTGTTCGTGGTACCGAGGAAGGACTGTTCGCGAAGCGCATGCGTCTCCCGGTTGTAGTCTGCCGGCGAGGCACCAAAACTGAGACCGCCTCGAGAGGAAGACGGCGCAAACGGCGACGGGTTGGGGAGTGATGATTGCGCATACGGGTTCTCGGGGGTGGCTGTATGGTGCGGTCGTCGGCCGAGAAGCTCATTGCGATTCGTCACGGATTGCTGTTCATCAAAAAATGGTCAGTCAGCTATCGTCGCCAGATGCAAACAGCACGTCCAGAATTCAAGGCTCGACTCACCGCATCCTCTCTCTCTTTTCGTAGTTGATCGAAATGCTGGCGATAGTCTGCAAGCTCCGATCGGAATTTCTTGGTTCGTTCAAATGCCTTCTCTTGTTTCTCAGGAATAAGCTCCTTCTTGGACAGGGCCGAGTAGTCGTCGATCGTTCGTGATAGAGAGGCAAGAGAAGCTGCTATCTGGCCTATAGAGTGCGATCAGTATTCAGTCTTCCAAACATGCCAGAAGAAAGCATATCCTGCACAGTGTATAGAACAGAACCCACGTACCCTGCAAAGCTGCCGAGGATGTCGCAGGGGATTGCGAAAATGTGTCCAGATCGCGCCGGATGGCAGACGACTGCTTGAGTGCGGAATTAAAGAGGGAATTCTATCCATCGCAGTCTATTAGCTATCTGAAGCGACCAAATGACAGTGCATCAATGCAAGACTTTTAAGCAGGGAGACGCACCATTTTATTTGAAGCGCAAGGTAATTTCTGTGTATGGGCAACCGGCGTGTTTACCGCGGGATCGGGAGACAGGAGTTGCCAGAAAGAAGATAGATGTCGGCTGGATTTAGAGTTCTGAGAACTGAGAATACCTTCAGACACTAAGGACAAGACAAGACCGCTTCCACTTTCTGGTCGGTGTCGGCGTCGACGTGTTCGCACGATGATGCTAATAATAAGTATGCGGGCCAAGGCCACATGTTCTTGCCATTCTGACGCCGCTGACCGCCTCCGCTTCTGCCTATCGGCTTCAACAGCCGTTCACCATTGGAGTTGCCATCAATAGATTCTGTTCGGCTGGCTTTATGTTGCTGACTGGATTCGTAGGACTTTATTCCAATAGTTGTGCTGGATAGAAATACAAGAGGTTTCTTTAGTGTAGCCTCCCTGTGTACTACTACTAGTGCCTATACCGATATATATATAGTACTACCTTAACCGTTGCAGCAGAAGTAGAGTATGGAATAAGAGTAGAGTGGATTAAAATAATAACACTACTCGACCACTAGTACTAGACTAAACCAGCTCAAGTAACTGAAAAGTATGAACAAACCAGTGAAATGAATATCCTCCCACCACTGCTTGAACTCCAGCCTCTACAAAAGACAAAAAAGAACAATCGCAAACCCGGGGTAATAGTGACAAAAAGTCAACAGTCAAAAGTCAACCGACCCAAATCATCCACCAGTCACGTAGGAATGCATCTATTTGGGAGGAAACTTGTTCTGAAGGAACCACCTACAAGAACGATACGCATTAGTCAAACACTTCTCTCAAATAGTCCAACAAAGATAGAGCACTCACTTGCTAACGAAGTAGTCGACGGCACCGAAGGCTCCGACAGCCCCGGACCACAGACCAACGAGCTGCCACGACAGCTTGCCATCGAGGTGTTTTCGGTAGGCGCCAAGTCCAAGTCCTGCGCCGACGGCACTCAGGAGCACGGCATTGGTCAGGTACACGGGGTTGCTCTTGTTGTTGCGAATGCCGGAGGACTTGGCCTTGGCCTTGCGCTCGGCGCGAGCCTTCTTTTCCTTCTCTTCGTCCTCCTCTTCGCGCTCCACGCGCTCGGCCTGGGTCGCCGTCTTGATGTCCTGGTTCAGGAAACCGGGCTCGACGGTGGTGACGTGGGGGGAGTCGACGTCAACCAGGGACGCCGTGCTTTCGGACTCATCCTTGTAGACCTTGGAGATCTCGGGGGCGCGACTTGATTGGTATGTTAGCTATCTTTGGCAAGTACTGATGTCGCCGGGGAGTTCACTCACGCCTAAGGATAGATCAGTCAGCATGCAATTCCATCGGTAGACTCGGTACAGTGCCGAGGCGAAGGAACAAGGGTGGAACTCACATCAGCTGGGCTCTGCTTAGGACCCTGGGCAGCAGCTTCGGCGTAAGACATGTTGAGAGTTGTTGGTAGGTGAGAGTGAGGATATGAGATGATAGGAGATGATAGGAGAGAGTCTGGTCTAGAATCATGAGATCAGGTGCGTCCTCACACGACCAGCTAGTCGCACGCCAAGATGCGAAGCAGTCGAGTCGACCGGCCAGGATAACTTACAAGGAGAATCGGGAGCAAAAGGGAGTGAATCTCAAAGAACGGGCTAGTCAGAAAATGCAGGAACGAGAGCGCGAAGAAAGTTTGGGGGGAGGGAACCTTTATAGCGGCCGTGCCAGGGTTGCGAGCATGACATCACATCATAGGCCGGGTGGGCTCATGCGAGTGCGTCGTGCCAAGCCCCACCGGCAGCACCAGCCACCACAGGAGTCTATACTACCAAGGGATGGACATGAATTGAACATAGAAAATGAATTGAGATCTTATGGACTGTACTTTAGAACGGGCCTCTGAATGGCCAAAGAAAAAGGGAAAAAACCAAGCTGATTTTTAATACATATTAAAACAAATCCTCCAAAAAAACCAAGGAACGCCGATCGGAGCAGCTGTCAATCCGATCGGAATCCCAAATCAGCCGCAAATGCGCTTACAAAAGAAGATCCAGAGGGTTCTCGACAATCTTCTTCAGCTCCTTGATCCACTCGCCTCCAACGGCACCGTCGACAACCTTGTGGTCGAAGCTACCGGTGACGATGATCTGGTCGTCCCACTTGACGGAGGTGCCCTCCTCGGTCTCGACGGGCACGGCAACCTTGCGGGTGGTACCGACGGCCAGGATACCGGCCTGAGGGGGGTTGATGACGGCGGTGAAACGCTCGACGGCGGCGTTCATGCCCATGTTGCTGATGGTGAAGGTACCGCCCTGGTACTCGTCGGGCTTCAGCTTGTTGTCACGAGCACGCTTGCCGAGATCCTTGACCTGGTTCGAGATGCTGGACAGACCAAGGTTCTGCACGTTCTTGACGACGGGGGTAATCAGTCCGGAGGGGGTGGCCACGGCAACGCTGATGTCGGCGGTCTTGTGCTGACGGATGACGACCTGGCCGTTCTCCTCGTGCCAGCTGGAGTTGACAGCGGGGACCTTCAGGAGGGCGGCGGCACAGGCCTTGACGAGGAAGTCGTTGACCGAGAGCTTGTACTTGCCGTCGGCGGAGGCGTTCAGGGCCTGGCGGAGCTTCAGGAGCTTGGTGACCGACAGGGTGGTCGAGACGAAGTAGTGGGGGTTCTCGCGCATGGATTGCTGAAGACGGTTGGCAATGGTCTTGCGCATGGAGGTCAGAGGAACGTCCTCGTAAGTGGGGCCGGCAGCGGCGGAGGCGCTGGGCTTGAACTTCTCGACGTCCTCCTTGGTGATCTGACCACCACGGCCGGTGCCCTTGAGGGCCTTGATGGAGACACCCTTCTCGAGAGCCAGGGCCTTGGCGGCAGGACTGATGGCGGGCTCACGGTCCAGACTGGGCTGGAGCTTCTCACCCGAAGTCTCGGGCTCCTGAGCAACGGGCTCGGGCTCCGACGTCGAGGCGGCGGGGGCGGCATCGCCCTTGGACTCCTCCTTGCTCTCCTGAGCGGGCGCGGCGGACTTGTCGCCACCGGCGTCTTGCAGGCTGAACGATTCGAACGGCAAGACATCGGCACCCTCCTCAACCAGAACGGCGATAGGCTGTGGAAAGGGCAAAGAAAACCCCGGTCAGCAAATCTCTGCGAGAGACCAAGTGGCCAGTTTCTTGGGAGATGAAACACGTACAGATCCGACGGCAACGTCCTTCTCACCGCTGTCCTTCAGGACCTTGGCGAGGACACCCTCCTCCTGGAACTCAAAGTCCATCTGGGCCTTATCGGTCTCGATTTCCACGAGGACATCACCGGGCTGCAGACCGTCACCGGCCTTCTTCTGCCACGCGCCAATGTTTCCGGCGGTCATCGTCGGCGACAGAGCGGGCATGCTGATGATAGTGTGGGGAGGGAAGGCTGTAACGATGACATGTTAGATTGGTATCTTTTGCCAGGGGTGGTGGACGCAGATAACGCCCGAGTCAGCCGGGTGAAAAAAAACCGGATAACATACACTTGGAGGCATAGTATCGGGAAAGGGCGGAGAACGCAGGCAATTGGGGTCTGCAAAATAGGAGAAAAAGAGAATCAGCATCGGGGCATTGATAGAGGAATCAGAAAATCGATGGCGGCCCATACTGGAGAGTCTCCTTGAATCTGTGCATGGCCTGCGGCCTCTTCAGGCAGGAGGCGGCGCCTTTGGAGAAGAACATGGCGCTGGGGGTGCGCATCCGGACAGCAGAGGCAACCATGGTGCCCAAATGCTGTGAGTATGAGACAGGGAGAGGCCCGCGGCTCGATCAAGAGTGGAGAGAGGGGATACGAAGGGGGTGGACGGCGGATGGCAGGTGGACGGGGCCTGGTATCATAAAGAGTTGAGGATTGCAGCTCTCAGGAACTTTTCTGTTGAGCTTCCCGGTGAGCGATCGGAATAGAGTCGCCGGCTGCCGCCGTAGCCCCGATTATGTCAGCGCCACGTCTCCGGCACGTACCGGCGGCCGTAGTCCGCGGGCGCGGGAGAAGACACGCATGCCGCTTGCCTGCTCGTTCCTGGGCCCGCATTGCCATTCCGTGCTCTCGCCATCCCCCCTCGTTCTACGCTCCTCGCAAATAGTCCCATGTGGACCCCTCGTCGACTGCCTTCTGGATTCTGCGGACGGAGTCTCGCATAAATGGCCGAAGTCGAGAACGGCTCTCCCCGCGAGCCTGCCCAAACACCGCAGGCAGACGGCAAGGAGACCGGGGTCGATGTCTCCACGCATCCCGAGTCCCCTGAGGCCGTCGAGGAAAACAAACCCACGTTGCCCAATGAGTCCGAGCGATTAGAGATTGACGCGGACCAAAGTCCGGACCAAGACGAACCGCAAGCCAGCTCGGAGCCTGCTGACGGCACAGAATCCCCCGACCACGATTCGTCTCCTCCGCAGGACGCTGCCGACCAACCCGCAGAGACCGGTGATGACCCGGAACCTTCGCCAGACCGGAAGGAGGAAGGCTCAGCGAGCCCGGCCGAAGACTCAACAGCTAGCCCCGAGAGGGACTCTCCCGACGAGAGCAAAAAGGCCGAAGATACAGCTCCTGCCCAGGATGAGCCCGTCCCTGATGCCCGACTACGCTCGGATTCGAGATCGACAACTGCCACGTTGGCGACCCAGCCCGTCAGCTCTACCGTGTTCATAGTGACCGCCCTCGACGCCATCGGCGCCTCGAGGGAAGCGCGCAAGAGCAAGGAACTGGAAGCCGCCGTGAAGAATGCGCTGGCGAACGTCAAGCAGTCGGACCGCCAACCCATCGATCCCGAAGTGATCTTCCGCCCTCTATATATCGCAACCAAGAGCCTGAGCATCCCCTTGCAAGTGACGGCGCTTGATTGCATCGGCAAATTGATCACGTATTCGTACTTCGCCTTCCCTTCGGCCCAGGACATTCGCGGTTCGGAAGCCGAGGCAGCCTCGGAGCAGCAGCCACAGCAGCCACCCCTGATCGAACGAGCCATCGATGCGATCTGCGACTGTTTCGAAAATGAGGCCACGCCGGTGGAGATTCAACAGCAGATCATCAAATCCCTTCTCGCGGCAGTGTTGAATGACAAGATCGTGGTGCATGGAGCGGGTCTCCTGAAAGCTGTTCGCCAGATTTACAACATTTTCATATACTCCAAGTCAAGTCAAAACCAGCAAATTGCCCAGGGGTCTTTGACGCAGATGGTTAGCACGGTGTTCGACAGAGTGCGCGTGAGGCTTGAGCTGAAGGAATTGAACCTGCGCGAGGGTGAAAAGGGACAGGGCCCTTCCTCGGACACCGTTACCCTCGAACCTGACGTGGGCCAGACGAACGATGAAGACCCTGTGTCAGATGCGGCCTCCGCGACAGTTGCCGACCAACCCGTCTTAAAAGAGCCCGTCGAAAAACTCACGCTGCAAAGTTTTGAGTCTAGCAAGGATGTCACGTCCGTCAATGACAACGCCCCAACGACGGTCACTCGTGCCAAGCCCGGCCAGACACATAAGAAGTCTTCAAGCGGAGGGTTTGATGACAGAGAGGACGCCGATGGGTCTGCAGATGATGACGAAGACGAAGTCTACGTCAAGGATTCGTTTTTGGTGTTGAGGGCTCTCTGCAAGTTGAGCCATAAGATCCTCAGCCACGATCAGCAGCAGGATCTAAAATCTCAGCACATGCGCTCGAAGTTGCTTTCCCTCCATCTTATTCATTACCTCATCAACAACCACGTTGCCGTATTTACATCTCCGCTTTTGACGATCCGACAGAGCTCCAGTAGCGCAGATGCCATGACGCTTCTCCAAGCCGTTCGACCTCATCTGTGTCTGAGTCTCAGTCGGAACGGTTCTAGCTCTGTGCCGAGAGTTTTTGAAGTCTGCTGCGAGATATTCTGGCTGATGCTCAAGCACATGAGAGTTATGATGAAGGTTTGCTAAAATTCACATAAAATCTTTTTTTTCTTACTGTATCTGACTCGAAACAGAAAGAGCTTGAGGTCTTTTTGAAGGAGATCTACCTCGCCATTCTCGAAAAACGAAACTCGCCCACCTTCCAAAAACAGTATTTCATGGAGATCTTGGAAAGGCTAGCGGGCGATCCGCGGGCGTTAGTCGAGATCTATCTCAACTATGACTGTGACAGAACGGCGCTAGAAAATATTTTCCAGAAGTATGTCCTCAACCATCAATATGCTTTCCCAATGATAGCAGTACCTAACGTGGTTTCTTGTGCAGTATGATCGAGCAGCTGTCACGGTACTGCAGCGTACCAGTTGCTGTGAATGCCTTGCAGCAGCAGACATTCCAGGAACACTATGTTAAGATCTCGAAGCTGGGGAGCGAATGGCATCAGCGTGGTACCCTGCCCCCTTCTCTCACAACCGCCAATATTGCCAATGCCCAGCAGCCCAATCTGCAAAATGTACCTCCAGAGTATATACTGAAGAATCAAGCGGTTGAGTGTTTGGTGGAGATTCTGCAATCGTTAGACAACTGGGCCTCACAGCGCATAGCGGATCAGCCCGCTGCTGTCCCAAATCACTCATCGCAAAAGTCCATGGATAACTCCAGAGAGTCGCTTGACACAAACGTCGGCGCCTACCTGTCCTCACCGAGGGTTGATGGCGATGGCAGTACCGGTCGGTCCACGCCAGTGGCCGAAGACGACCCTGGTCAGATAGAAAAAGTTAAGCAGCGGAAGATTGCCCTCACGAATGCCATCCAGCAATTCAACTTCAAACCCAAGCGCGGTATCAAGCTTTTTGTGCAAGAAGGCTTCGTACGGCCCGACTCTCCGGAAGACATGGCGAACTTCCTGGTCCGAAACGATCGGCTGGATAAGGCCATGCTGGGTGAATATCTTGGTGAGGGAGATGCGGATAACATCGCCATCATGCACGCCTTCGTGGACACGATGGAGTTTGCCAAGCGGCGTTTTGTGGATGCTCTCCGTCAATTCCTCCAACACTTCCGACTCCCAGGAGAGGCCCAGAAGATCGATCGATTCATGCTCAAGTTCGCTGAGCGGTACACAACTCAGAACCCCAATGCCTTTGCTAACGCCGACACGGCTTACGTGCTTTCGTACTCCGTCATCATGCTCAACACCGACCAGCACAGTTCCAAGATCCGGGGTAATCGTATGACCAAGGAGGACTTCATCAAGAACAATCGGGGTATCAACGATAATCAGGATTTGCCTAATGATTATCTGGGAGCCATCTACGATGAGATTGCGAATAACGAAATCGTGCTTGACACGGAACGAGAGCATGCCGCCAACGTCGGAATCCCTACGTCCACCCCGGCTGGCCTGGCTTCTCGGGCTGGGCAGGTTTTCGCAACTGTGGGACGCGACATCCAGGGCGAGAAGTATGCGCAGGCGTCGGAGGAAATGGCCAACAAAACCGAGCAACTCTACAGAAGCCTCATCCGCGCCCAACGGAAGACCGCGGTCAAAGAAGCCCTTTCGCGTTTCATCCCCGCAACCTCAGTCCGGCATGTCGGTTCGATGTTCAATGTTACCTGGATGTCTTTCCTTTCCGGCCTTTCTGCTCCCATGCAGGATACCCAATACCTGGAAATCATCAAGCTCTGCATGGAGGGAATGAAGCTTGCCATTCGTATTAGCTGCGCGTTCGACCTGGAGACCCCTCGGGTTGCATTCGTGACAGCTCTTGCCAAGTTCACGAACCTGGGCAACATCAGAGAAATGGTGGCCAAGAACGTGGAAGCTTTGAAGGTCTTGCTCGATGTCGCTTTGTCGGAAGGAAACCGGCTGAAGAGCTCTTGGAGAGAAATCTTGACCTGTGTCAGCCAACTCGATCGACTCCAGCTCCTGACGGATGGCGTCGATGAGGGATCTCTCCCCGACGTGTCTCGGGCTCGCATCGTGCCCCAGGCATCTTCGGATGGCTCCCGTAGGTCGATTCAATCGGCCAGACGGCCTCGTCCGCGGTCGGTCAATGGCCCGGCCGCTTTCCGTGCTGAAGTCGCCATGGAAAGTCGATCCGCTGAAATGATTCGGGGTGTGGATCGCATATTTACTAATACCGCCAATCTCTCCCACGAGGCTATTATCGACTTTATCCGGGCGCTGAGCGATGTGAGTTGGCAGGAGATTCAGTCCTCGGGACAAACCGACTCTCCGCGGACATACAGTCTGCAGAAGCTGGTTGAGATCAGTTACTACAACATGACCCGAGTCAGGATCGAGTGGTCGAAGATCTGGGAGGTTCTTGGACAACACTTCAATCATGTCGGATGTCATTCAAACACCACGGTTGTCTTCTTTGCCTTGGATTCACTTCGGCAGCTCTCCATGCGCTTCATGGAGATCGAGGAACTGCCGGGATTCAAGTTCCAAAAGGACTTCCTCAAGCCCTTCGAGCATGTCATGGCCAACAGCAATGCCGTAACAGTAAAGGATATGATTCTGCGGTGTCTCATTCAGATGATCCAGGCACGGGGCGACAACATCCGATCTGGTTGGAAAACAATGTTCGGCGTGTTCACTGTCGCTGCTCGGGAGCCCTACGGTAAGTTTCTACGCAACAACCCAGTTTTATTGACAGATGTCTAATATTCCTGTAGAGGGCATTGTAAACATGGCCTTCGAGCATGTCACGCAGGTCTACAACACTCGCTTTGGTGTCGTTATCACACAGGGCGCATTCCCCGATCTGATCGTTTGCCTCACGGAGTTTTCTAAGAACATGAAGTTCCAGAAGAAGTCCCTGCAGGCGATTGAACTCCTTAAATCCACCGTCACAAAAATGCTCAGGGCACCCGAATGTCCTCTCTCCCACCGCGGCGCTCAAGCGCAAGAGGTTATCATTGACTCCACGAATCTCGCCAAACAGCTTACGCGCCAGTCGAAGGAGGAGCAGTTCTGGTACCCTATCTTGATTGCCTTCCAGGACATCCTGATGACTGGCGATGACCTTGAGGCTCGATCGCGGTAAGTCCTTCTCGCAATCCCCCTTGTAGCACCTTTGCGCTGACTTGTTTAAACAGGGCATTGACGTATCTTTTTGATACATTGATCCGACACGGTGGCGACTTCCCTCAAGAGTTCTGGGACGTTCTTTGGCGCCAGCTTCTTTACCCCATCTTCGTCGTGCTGCAGTCGAAGTCTGAGATGTCCAAAGTACCCAACCACGAGGAACTTTCGGTGTGGCTTTCGACGACAATGATCCAGGCGCTGAGAAATATGATTACCCTCTTCACACATTATTTCGACGCGCTGGAGTACATGCTTGACCGCATCTTGGAGCTGCTTACTCTTTGCATTTGCCAGGAGAACGACACAATCGCCCGCATTGGTAGCAACTGTTTGCAGCAACTGATACTGCAGAATGTCATGAAGTTTGGGCAAGAGCACTGGACCAAGGTCGTAGGTGCCTTCGTCGAGCTATTCAGCAAGACTACCGCCTATGAGCTGTTCACGGCGGCTGCGACTATCTACTCGAAGCCGTCGAACTCACAGAAACCGGCCAATGGCGAGACGGACGGCTCCGAGGATGGCACGGGAGAGTCGGCCGACTCGGCCTCAGTCCCGGAAAATTTCGGCGACTCATCGAAGACCAACGGGTTGCAGCATGTGGAAAATGAGCATGAGGAGGGTGACATGCCCGCCGCGTCCAACACGGAGCTGGAGGACTACCGACCTCAAGCCGATGTGCAACAACAGCCAGCCGCCGTCACCGTCGCACGACGTCGGTTTTTCAACCGGATCATAACCAACTGCGTGCTTCAATTACTCATGATTGAAACTGTACACGAGTTGTTCTCCAACGACAAGGTCTACGCACAGATCCCGAGTCCTGAGCTTCTCCGGTTGATGGGACTGCTGAAAAAGAGTTACCAGTTCGCCAAGAAGTTCAATGAAGACAAGGAGCTCCGTATGCAGCTCTGGCGCCAGGGCTTCATGAAGCAGCCACCAAACCTGCTGAAGCAGGAGAGTGGGAGCGCTGCGACTTACGTCCATATTCTTTTCCGCATGTATCATGACGAGAGGGAGGAAAGGAAGAGCAATCGTGTGGCGACAGAAGCCGCACTCATCCCGTAGGTTTCCCGGCTATTTCGTGACAATTTCAGTTGGATGCTAATCTCTGTCTCTAGACTCTGTGCCGATATCATTCGCAGCTTCGTCCTCCTGGATGAAGACTCGCAACATCGCAACATAGTAGCCTGGCGTCCCGTTGTTGTCGATGTACTCGACGGTTACACCAACTTCCCATCCGAAGGCTTTGATAAACATGTCCAGACCTTCTACCCACTGTGCGTCGATCTATTAAGTCGTAACCTCAACCCTGAAATCCGGGTGGCTCTTCAGGCCCTGCTCCGGAGAATCGGTGAGGTGAAATTGGGGGTTCCGGTGATGCACACGCCTATTACTCCGAGGAAGTCGATTTCCCAGTCCTCCGCTCGCGAATCGAGTAGCTAGCCTTGACTGGGGGATGTTCCAAGCCTTAATTTTCTCTATCCCTATTTTTCTTATTACCGTTTTTGGATATCCTCGCCACCTTGATTGTTGGGCTTGTCTCACACCTGATGGAATAACTTGTAGACTTAGCAATGCTTGTCGGTTTTTTCTTATTTGTCTTTGTGTTTTAACAGCCCTTTCGGGTTTCTTCATTTGAGCAGGGCTTTATACATGTATGTACACATCAGAACTATAAAAGAGCGGACATTTCTATTTTTCACCATCCCATACGTTAGGCATCATATTTCATGGTAGTGCTTCATAAATCGTATCATACAACGGCGAGGACGGCGGAAACGTCGAGCCAAATTGCACTCAGCTCGATCGGATTTCTTCCAACGGTGGGATCTTGCCGGACTTGTAATGGGCCAAGAGACCATCCATGTCTTGATCGTTCATTTGGACCAGGTCATCCAGACTCCACGACTCACAGACTCCAGACATCCTACAGAATCAATTGGTCAGCGTCAAGGGAAAATCGCGCCCGAGGAAGGGGACCATCCAACATACCATTTCATTCTTTTAGGCCCCTCCTCCGCCAGAGGAGCAACCTCCCGGAGTTTCTTCCGCAATTTGCCCACATTGTCTATGGCCGCACCCATGTTATCGGGAAGGGTTTCGGCGATCTTCTTCCGCACAATGCTGGCAAGCTTCGGGCCGTTTCCGTTCGTGCTGACCATCACCTGCAATGGACCGTCGCGATGCACGCTACCAAAGTAAAAGTCGCACTCTGGAGGCACATCGGCAATGTTAGCCGGTATCCGCTTCTCCTTGCACAGTTTCCAAACTTGTGTGGAAGCTTCCGGGTCGTCAATGGCACACAGGACCATGTCCGCCTCGTCGAGGTCGGTCGGCTCGAAGTTTCGGTCGATATGCGAGACTTGGCCCTCAGACACTCGAAAGGCCACTTCATCGTTGAGACCGGAGGCCGGACAGACGACGGTCACTTTGGCATCGGCGTTGAGGGCATGTAGGATCCGACCAGCAGCTACCTACGTATATATTGAAGACGTCATTAGTAAAGCGACTATGCTGGTTAGGCGAAGACCGTCTTACCTCCCCACCACCGATAACCAGGATATTCTTTTGCTTGACTTGCCAGGCAAGAATCAGAGAGCCGCCTCCTTGGACGGGAGGGTATTTTGAGGCCATAATTGAGGGGAATTGGAGCTAGACGAGACCAAGAAGACCATGGCGGGGTGATGCTTTGGGCGATGCGATCACGTCGGGCGGGGCGGACACGCAGTCCGGCAGACGACAGCGACCCAAGACGACGTGTCCTTTTTTTTTTTTTTTTCTTTTTCATTCTCCGTCTTTTTTCTTCCCGCACCTTAAAAAGCTCCGCCCGGTTTTTCCCTCTGTTTTTCCTTTTCTCCCTCTCAACCACATGAGATGTGTTCCACGATCTGCTCCCCCACGTTGACTCTGCTCTTTCAGCCCCCAGTCTATGCCCTGTCATAACACTTGAGACTCTTGTAAAATGCGGGGAGTTCAGATTTTTTCCGGGACATCTCATCCCTTGCTTGCAGATACCATCTGCGAACGCTTAGGCACCCAGCCTGCCCGGGCCAACCTTGGGAAGTTCGCCAATGGCGAGACCAGTGTCAACATTGGTGTCTCGGTTCGGAACCAAGATGTCTACATCGTCCAGAGCGGCAGTGGGAAGATCAATGACAGCGTAATGGAGCTGCTGATCATGATCTCTGCTTGCAAGGGTGGTTCCGCCAAATCCATCACAGGTGCGTCTTAGGCTGTCAAGATAACCCCACCACCCATTGGTACCGTGATAGCTGACTTGATGCTTCCTTGCTCTTAGCGGTCATGCCGTATGAAGCCTGTCCAGTTTGAATGCTACGCTGTTGATGCTGACGTCGTCGAGGTACTTCCCGTACTCCCGCCAATCCAAGAAGAAGAGTCACCGTGGTGCCATCACCGCTCGGATGCTGGCCAACCTGCTATCAGTCGCCGGCGTGGACCATGTGATAACTCTGGATTTGCATGTGAGTTCCAACGGGCAAAACCTCTGTTGTGGAGGCATTCCTTTGTTTTTCTGCAACGAATCACAAGAGGGATTCTTATCAAATTCAAACCGTTCTAGGCATCTCAAATGCAGGGTTTCTTTGGAAAGCCCGTGGACAATCTCTTCGCCGAGCCCTTCATCGCGCGTTGGATCCGCATGAACGTCCTCGGCTGGAAGGAGGCTGTTGTCGTCAGCAAGAACGCCGGAGGTACCAAGCGAGTCACTTCATTGGCGGACACACTCAAACTGAACTTTGGCATCGTCACTACTGACCGACGACGCCCGAAGGTGGCTGTAACCATGACGGACAGCACCGTGTTTTTCGACTCCATTGAGGAAGCGGAAACCCCTGCCCCCAAAGAGCAAGACCCCTTTGTGGTGCATGTTCAGAGCGGAAGTGATGAGGCTTCTGAGTCCGAAAAGTCTCAGAATGTTGCTGTCGAACCCGTTTCGGCCGGTTCCCTCTTCCCCGACCTCTCGTCCGGTGCCCGCCGCCCGTCAGAGTTGGAGGCTGCACGCGAGTACACTGACGTTCGCGTGCGGGACGTCATCACTGGGAGACTCGTGCAGGGTCAGCTTGTAGACGATGATTACCCCTCGGCCGAGCCCTCGGCTCCTGTGTCCGGCGAGACCACTCCAGGACCGAACCCCAGCCAAGACAGTGAGCCCGTCTCTGATCCGATGGCCGAATCTCTTATCTCCACCACGTCCTCCCAGCCCGCGGATCATGCCCTGGGTGGCTCCTTTGATGCCGCCGAATCATCGGACGAAGAAGGTAGCGTGGGACGGATTGCCGAGCAGGAGAAGACTATCACCCTGGTCGGAGATGTTCGCGACAGGACGGTGTTCATTGTTGATGACATGATCGATAAGAGCGGATCCTGGATTGCTGCCGCTGAGACGGTTGTCAAGAAGGGTGGTGCCAAGAAGGTTTACTGCATTGCGACTCACGGCCTTTTCGGGGATGAGTCCCTTGAGCAGATGGAGCAATGCAAGTCGATTGACCACATTGTTGTTACTAACACTTTCCCGGTTTCCCCTCAAATGCTCAAGAAGTCGAAAAAGTTGATTGTCATTGACATCTCGAGTCTTGTTGCGGAGAGTATCCGACGTCATCACTATGGCGAAAGGTGAGTTGTCTCGCCTTATACTATGGAGTTTGGTTTGCTAACGAACATTGCAGTGTTTCGGCATTGTTCCACCTCAATGAATAATATGCGCAGCATTTGTCAATATGAGGTTCTTTTCCTTTTTCTTTTTCTATACCACAGCGTGTTCCGAGCTGTCTATGCTCCGGAAAGCATTAGTTTGGTATTCAAATGATGATGGCTCAAGACATTTACGACCAGAAGAAAATTTGATGATTCTCTTTCCTTTCCCCTAACCAAGCGGCAGCTGGTTTGTTTGCTTTTGGAACATACAAGGACGCCATCATTTGCATTATGGTGGCAACGTATTCACGAATCCTTGCTCTCCTGGGTGACCTATCCTAGTTCCCCTTCATGGACTTCGAGATATCCTTTTAGGTAAAGTGAGCCAGGAGAACTTGTGAAATTATGATGACAACACTTTTTGGTGAACCAAATTATTTCCCGTTCTTTTCCTTCACTACAATCCCTTCATGCTTCATAAAGCATCTCGATGCACATCAACATCTCCACAAATGGAGACTGAATTGTCATTCGAAAACACCAGCGATGCAGTCCACTTTGGGTACTGCAGGGGCAACTTGTTAGAAAGGAGGTATCTATCTCTGGACTTGGTTCACAAGACTGTTCTTAACGGAGCGTTGGAAGATTAAAACATTTTTGCTTTGGTTAGCTGTCTTTGTCTCTTTGCCAATTGGCAACTGGGCATGGTCAGCTGCCAGGGCATGACGAGGACTGAAGACACCACTTTCTTGAGTTCCATGTCTCTTGACTGGAACTCTGGCGCGAGCCGGTGGAAGTGGTGTCGGATATTATCTCGGACATTCTTGACATACATCTAGTTGTATATTTGCTCACCGTAAACTTTTTGATTTTGGAATAAAAATTTTTTTTTTTGGATGCAATATTTTGATCGCCCATCCACTTCTATTGTATTTGCATTTCTCAGCTCAGCTCCTGCGCAGCCTCGCTTTTCTTTTTTTCTCCCTTTACTTGGATTAGAATCTTCAGCCAGATGCATGACGACATCGTGCAAACCACCAACTCCTAGGCCCAAACGACATTTCCGGTGAAACACTGAGGTGGTTCAATGCGCTCGTCCCTTTGCTGGGAATCCGCAGAAGAATGTCATGGAAGAGTCGATTCGATTGCCTCTCATTCAGCGAGCTGACGGTATGGCGATGTCACACGACGGCACTATTGAAGTGCTGTTTGCTACTGCATCGTCGACAGATCTGCGTCTTCAAATGGCCCCGAAGGATCGTTGTAGCGGTGTGCGTGTGCCCGGCAAGAAGAATACGCAGCATGGAGACATCACAAGCAAGCCGGATTGGCTGGTGGTATCAACGCATCATTTCCTGCAGCACATCCAGGGACACCTTGCAAGTGACGATGGTGGTAGAGCAAAGACCGATTTCTTCCTGAATCGGGGAGTGTCCCAATGCGAATGGATCGAAGCGTCAGAGATGTGTTCTGACGAAAGACAAAAAAAAAAAAAAAAAAAAAAAAAAACACGAAGCCACCGCCCAGCAGGCGAGAGACCTAAGCGAACAGTTCGCTTCAAAGGATCATGATCGAGAGTGCCACTTCGCAAGCCCGAAACAGCTCGGCAGCCGAAATGGCTTTTCGGAAAATAAAACAGGACCTGTGGGGGCGGATAAAGACAGCAGGACAAATGCGACGTGCCAAATATCACCAATTTTGGGGAAAGGGAGGAAGAAGAGACCTGTCAGAAAGCAAAAGTACGATGCGTCAACGGAATCGGGGAAGAGAGTTTAGAGCCCAGGGCCGCGGGCGACGAAATGACACTGGCGTCAGGCTAGCGACTGAGCCAAACTAACCGGGGCAAGAATACGCCGGGGAAGGACATCCGGTAGATCAGGATATTCGTCCCCCAAAAGTTCCAGATTCCTTTCGGCCAGTGTCGTCATTTACTGATTGAGACAATGGCCGGCGCAGGATGTCAGCCGTCTACTCTATCTGGAGGACTAGGCCCTTTGGGCCTGCCATGCTACCTCGAGGCCGGCCTCTTCCTGACAGGGTTGATCGTGGTTCAGAAAGACCATTGATCGACTCGGCTTGCCTGGCTAATTTGTAATGTGGTGGTACTGGAAACACTGGCTCTCTTTCAACTCACGACAGCCAAACCGGCCATGTGGAGCTTCATGGTCCTAGCTCTCAAAGTGGACGGTGGGTCGCACACGTCCAGAGAAGCAGGCCCAGGGGCCAGGACGCCGGAGAATCCTGGAATTCGGGGCTCAGGGCACCTGATGCACCGCGTGCTGTTTTGGTTTCCCTCCCCCTTGCACTTCTGACGGAACATCCCAGCCTTTTTTTTAGTTCAAGCGGCCCTGCAAGCGTCCCGAAGATGTCAGGGCAGGGGCTCGGACGACGCATGATTCGCTAGCCACGGCTCGATTTACTTCCTAGGGTTACCAACCATGGGTCTAGATTTGGACCCAAAATTACCTTACTGGAAGGCTACTAGTGGATGATTAGTTCACCTATGAAGTGGAGAGAGGGTGAATGTTGCACTTGCATCCCTGGCGACCCCTCTCTGTCTTTCGGTTGCTCTCTTGCAGGACAGTTAACTCGACTTGGAAATCGGGATGCATATCCAATAAACACCAAGGAGACTGAGGCGGGGAAGAAGAAAAACGACTCAAAATCAAAACATTGGGGGAAAAATAATAGTCAAACCACAAACCGGCCGGAGTCAGTCACGATATCCTCCGACACAGGCTAGACTGGTCACTTCATTCCTTCTCGGGAGCCGTCGTACTTTTCCGACTAGTGCCAGGCGGAACCGAAGTTGGGAGCCGGCCTAAAGTCCCTTTGGAAGCCACTTAGTCACGAACCTGGTTGGCGGAATTGCGGATCCTCTGCAAATGCCCGCTACGATCGGCTAAGATCTGCGAGAGGGCGAAAAGACTGCAAGAGAAAGAGGGCCGTGAGGACGGAGGGAGGGGGAAACAAAAATACATTTGGTCGGCGACCAGGCTCGCCATGCGACAAGCCTGCCGGCAGCAGACCGACATGACATCCGTTTGGAGGGTGAGGTCAGAATGATGGACGTATCCATCGTGCATTGGACACCGGACGGCATTGCATTGGGGAAACTAAAAGACACCAGTGGATTTTCCGTGTCCGGCTTCCCCTGTTTGATGGGTGGATCAGTGGAGGTGAAGGGGGTGGACCGGTTCAGCTCGGTGGTGTTGACGGCAGCAAACAAACGGCCTAGGAAAGGCAAGTTGGCCCCAAGGGAGAGTTCATCCGAGCAGCTGGGTGGGAACGAGTCGGATGCCTGCTGCTTTGGTCTAGCCTCGCAGCCTTGGTTTGGCTTTGAGTGGACCAAAGGCACCGAGTGCGAAAGAGAAATCAAATTCACGCAGGCCAATCAATCCCTACGATCTCAGGAGCGACCGAAAGTCGCAGACCGAGGAGCAAAGTCCAGACAGAAAAGCACACGGTATATATGGACCGAATGTGCGGTATAATAATATCAACTCCCCCAATGACAGGTGGGTCGGACCCGGTGGAAATGATATCCTATCGAACCAGCCAACCGCTGGACTGATCTGATTTCAATATCAATCGCCAGCCACGATCCTTATGCGCTCGACAAGGCACTAGGATAGGATCCTGTCATAAAAAACCCATTATACTTCCGTCTATGGAGCCGGGCGATCTGCATGCCAAATCCCCAGCACCGGTGCCCTGGAACTTTTCGATCTCCAATCAAACCCGCCCGATTTCTGGGATCGAGATCTTGCTCCCAAACATCTATCGGCGTCAGCTTTCCAGATCTCAATGTGGATGGATATTTGGATCCTTTGACCTTCCAAACTTCCCGGTGAGCCTCACCCAGCTCTGTTACATCATCCTTTGCCCATGCCAATTGACGAGCTAATAGGGGAGGTGAGTTTATTATCCACTCCCGGCCCACTTTCACTGGGCGATATATCAACTTTCTTTTCTTACTTTCTTTTTCTTCCCCGGCGCGTTGGTTGCTGGGAAGCCCAAGAACCGTATTATTGGCTCCGACCTGACGATTTTCGGAGGCTAGACTTCCTTTTAATTTTTATTATTTTTATCTTTGTGTGATGAATTTATTTGTTTGTTTAGAGTAATCACTGTCCCTATTGTTTTTTTATTTCTTTTTTCTTTTTCCAATGATTATGATTCGACTCTATCGCTTTCTTTTCTTCTTCTCTCGATCTCGCTGGTTGTATTTTTTTTTATTATTCCATTTTTGATTTCGTTTCCCCTTGACGCATCTTCCCATCCATCTCCACTCCACTAATGGTCCTTTCTTAGACAATAGTCGGGTTCTTGCATCACTTTCCCGCAACAGAGTCGTTCCATGCAGCTTGCTAGGCTTCATGGTCTGGACCTTGTCACACTGGTTGGGATATCCTATGTTGAACGGTCACCTTCAGCGTTCTGTATCCATTGATTCCTCAAAAAAGAATATGGCTCACGTCCTGTCTGGCCCTGGTCCTATTTGAAAGCCCGCCCTATATATACTATGGAGCTTCATCCCCATCGTTCCTTCCTCCATCAGCTTCAATTCTTCTCATTCTTCACCACCAACAACCCATTCCATATCTTCACCTTGGCTCCCTATCCTTCATTCCTCATTACAGAACACGAAGTCTTAACTGACTCGCGCATCGTCGGTTTCACTCTCCCCTTGCGCCAGATCTAAGTTGCCACCTCGACAGCCCAAGGCTTCAAGTTTCATTGTTCCTTCTACTCTCAGCTCTTTTATTTATTCCTTGGGTCTTCCTATACTGCCCTGTCCCTTTTTTCTTCTGGTTCCCCACCTCGTTCCACGGTTCAGTGGCGGCCAACAGAAAGCTTCTTTGTCACCCTTATTCATCCGATTCTTGTAAGTCAGCTTCAGCCGGGTCCAGTTTGACCTCTCACTGACCGGATGGAACGACACTAGTCATCTCATTCATCCGAACCGAGACACAATGGCCAACGGATGCTCCGGACATGCCTTTGCCATCGTGCAGGCAACTAACGGCAACATCCTCACCTGGCGCTGCTCCGACTGCAATTCGGGCCCATTTGTGGCCATTTGGCGCTGCAAGATTTGCAGCCACTGTCGGTGCAACTCCTGCCACACCGCCAAAGCATAAGTACTGGTTACATGGCTGTGGCTATCCTCCTCGCGGTAAGTGAAGTGTCATGCCATTGCAATCCGGATGGGCGTACCGTCCGGCAGGGTGTAACCCTCTGACCTCAGTCGTGGAACTTGAAGGGAGAGAATGCATACGACAGCAAGGAAAAATGGGCTGACTATTTTATTCTTTCATTTTATCCACTTAGATACGAAATTTCCTGGAAACCCCTCAACGTTCTCGCTGCAGATATCCCTGCGTGGTTCCTGCAGGGGATAAATCCACTCCGATTTGGTCATCCCGGAGAGGCCTTTCTTTCCTTATTTTTCTTTTTTCCTTTTGCGCTTTTTCCATTCTCATTATTATTTTTCTTCTCTTTTTTCGTCTCTTTACTTTTTTGGGCTCGCGGGGCCTCCTCAAGCCATTCGCATTCTCATGGGACCAACCATAATCCCCGGATCTCATTCCCAGACGGCCTCACACCAATCAAATACGGCTTGATGGCTTGAAGGAATGAGTATCCATGTCTTCCAGCCTTTCGGAAGTTAGAGGTACCCATTGAGAACAGGCCCCTTGGGCGGTTTCCTTCTCCGATCGAGCTCATTTCCCCCTTTCACCTCTCCATTTTCTCTTTTTCTTGGCTTTTTATCCCTTTTAATGACACAGTGACACGGCCGAATACTCACCTCTCCACAACTGTCTGTTCTGTCTGTTGGTTTGTTCTTAAGCAAGCATTGCATTGCTGGAGTCATGGCCTGCGATACAAAACTATTTGTTGGGCTATTTTTTCTTACTTTTCGGGACACTTCCACTGCCTGTCATTCTGCTCTCTTGTTCTCGGTGTTTTTTGCTTCACCCCTCCAAATAGATAGATCTTACATAGACTTATTTCCGCAAGGAAAACTACAATCTACGCGGCGACGCGATCAATCCACCACCTCCTTCATCTCCAACTCATCCATTCCAAAACAAAGTCCCTTCCCAATTCCGCCAGCGAAAGGGAACGGGAAGAGCAAGAAAAGTCTGAGCGGCGGCCGACTTCCGGAATCCAGACCCGCCCTGCCTGCAGGGCAGCGCGGCATGTCGATCTGAAACTGCTAAAATCTTAAATTACAAGGAAAAGTGACGCGACGGCCACAGCAAGGCGTGATGATAGGTGGGCCCCCCGGGGGGGGGGGGGGGGGTGCTTTTTTGACGTTCCGGGACGCTCGAGCACAGGAATGTCGCTTGCTAGTTGCTGCCGGTGTTGACGAATGCCCTTGCGAATGGGTATGTTCTCCGATCTCCATAGTTAGTAGGTTAGTTGGGTTAGGCTAGCTTGGGATCGTATCCACTACGCTATCTATGCACAATCGGTAGTGTCGACTCCGTACTCTGTGGAGTTACTTCGTCTGTGTAGGAAGGTCTAAATACGCAGTAGACCAAGGGCACAGTCTAACTGGCTACTGGTAGTTTAGTCTACTCTATCCCGTATTGTCGGAGTCGCCGTGGTGTTTGGTAGGAACTAAGGTAGGTTCTCCACCTGGTAGAGAAAAGATTTCACTGTCCAGTGCACGGAGTAAGTAGAGGGTGCATACATTCTTCCTAGTGGAGGAGCGAGAAGAGCAAAGAATCCGGTGGAAATTTGCAGACGTCCTACCTGCGTCCTTCGTACTTCGGACCTCCGACCTCGTACTTCGGCAGAATGGACTGGAATGCAATGCAATGCGTCTGAATCAGATTGTATTCAAACTAATCAATAGGATCAAGGGGATGGAAAGTAGGAGAAAGGGAGTATTCTGCATAGAATAAGCGCTAGCATAAAGACATACTACGCAGTAGATTACATTACATTCGTAAAGCACAGACACCAATCGATATGTATGTATGTCTTAGAAGAAAAGAAAAGAAAAGAAAACCAAAACGAGACCGGAAAGAAAAAGCAAAAGCACAGGATCAAAAAAGGAAAGAGGAAAAAGGAAAAAGCGAGGTGCCTGATTCTGCATCCGCCTTAGTTCTCTCGCTCTTTATATGGGTAGCCCGGGGAATGTATCCGGGCGATCGATTACGATCTCTTCTGATGCTGCGATGTCTTTGGATCGTGGCCATTCATCGGGCCAAGAGAACAGGTGCCGCTTAACTAGGTAATGGGTGATGAGAGGCACATACGCATAGGGAAGCTGAGAAGAGATGGAGGGTTGGATGGATGGATGGAGGCAGGAGGAGCAGACGCTTCACTTCACACCAGTCACGATCTGATGTACGGAGGACTCGTACTCCGTGCGGTGGTGTCTGACTGAGAGAAAAAGATGGCTTGGTCTGGTCTGGCCTGGCCTACTCTAAGACATCTCCACTGTTAGACGACGCGTACCTACTCCGTGTACGGAGGAGGTCCGTCTGAGGATGAACGAAAGTGCCTAGGCCCGCAGGGGAAACGGAAAATACACACCGCTAGAAACCCAACCCCACTGGGCCGGGGTACTTCCGGAGTAGGCCCTGTGCTGGTCTGGGATCCGGATCGGTTACAACTGGTTGGCTTGAGGGTTTCGCCGCTGATGGGCATCACGAGACACATGTGCACTGACAGATGAAGCCGTGGACGATTGTGCGTCGTCGATCTCGGTCGCTTGCTTGGAGACCTAGCCCAAGCTTACAGCTGAGAGGCTGATGCTTCAAGAATAGTTAGGAGATGGTGGCGACGCAGTCCGCTACTGCCGGAGTCGATATGACTACAGTTGAGAGGGTACACAAAAGTAACTGCAGCTATGGTCCGATGCTATCTGGTAAGCATGAACGGGGCAGCCGGTGTCAAAGCGATATTGATGGAGGCGAGCTGGTAGGCAAGGGAAACTGGGCCCTTGGATTCAAAATAAGCAGGGAGCTAGAGACATACTGAAAAGAACTAGGTCAATGGGACGATAGCCATATTGAAGAGGGCAAAAGTATGCTCGGAGAGCCCGAGGATCAATTTCATCGTCGTTGCTGGGGTTCGTGGGGATAACCCAACATCCGAAAGAGCACGCAAGGGATGACAGAGGCTTCAGCAGGGCTGCAGATGATAGAATGGAGGAAAGGTTGTTGAATTGTTGGCCGCGGAGATACCGGCAGACAAAGCATGCCGTCGAAGAAGGCTGACATCCCTAGGAAGATGCGTATATCTGCTGGTTGGGCTCGAAATGGAATTGCATGGACAAATATTGCCACACCGATAATGGTAACACCTTCTCAGCCCTTCTCAGCCCTGCACTCCAGGGACATGCAAGGGTAAGAATCTAATCTGGAGCCTGGATGCTAAGGCTGTCCAATCGAAAACGTGGAATCTCCACATGAATCATGTACTTGCTTGTCAACGAGGCATTCAGCAATCACGAAGGCTTCGGTACACCATGATCCAAATTGCTTGGAAAACTTCATACCATCTTCGGGGTCTCAATGTACGGCCTGTGAATTGGCCTGTAGATGTCGGTGAAGTGACTTGGCCATTCCTAGGTCTGATATTGACCAAAGTCAGCTGTAATCTGTTGAACTAGACGGACCATGAGCAGTGTCATCCACGCTCCACACGACCAGCATCTTTTGAGATGACTACATCGTCGATATCCAATAAACCTGGCGAGCCCATCAACCAAATTGACATGAGATTCAAATTATCAAAATTATGCTGAGAAATCATTAATGCTGATCATATGTCCAGCCGGCAACTCAAAGCCACCAAGATGATATAGAAAACGTTCCAATCATGACCTCAATATACCAAATCAAACCAAGACAAACAAAATCAAGTGTAGATACTCTGTACCAGGTGGTTAGCTGCATGGATTTGATAAGAATCAGCGCACTTACCTCGGTGATTTGATTCACAGCCAGTCCTGGCTCAGCCATCTCGGCGTCCCGCAGGAATTCCAACGGCATCCAGACCAGATGGCCCTTGATCTTATCCAAATTCTCGCGAACATACTGGACCGGCTGGTAGGGGTCGAAGAGGTGGCCTTGCTTCCCATTCTTGGGCCGGAAGGTATCGTACTCCTCAAAGGTCTTGATGTTGTCGTCGGGATCGGCACGGAAGAGCATGCGATAAATTTCGGTGTTGACGGTGGCCCGGTCTGTCCACATCTTCCAGACGTCATCGCTCAGAGGATCCGTGACGAAGTCGTTCTCAGGTCCCTCGTAGATCTGGTTCATGCAGGCGTTGGGTGGCTTGGCGTTGGGATGCTGAGAGGCATCGTAGTTTTGGGCAGGAAGCAAGCCCATGTGCTCCCTCCACAGCTGCCGACGTAGCGTAGCAGCCATGCGAGCGGCCTTGTAAGGTCGACCCTCCATGGTGCTGTCGATAAAGTCTTGGTCTTCCACAACGATGGCCAGCTCGCTGTCGTGATAGCCCAATTGTGACTGTGGCTGGTTAGTCTACGTCCTTCAATCCCGAAGAGAGGGAGACTTACTCGGTCGTTGATGTTGGCACTACCGCAGATGGCGATTCGGTCATCGACAATGCAGACTTTGCCGTGGACATAAAGTTCCTCCTGAATGAAATTCTCCAATTCGGCCTTGGCATCCCCTTCCCACGGCTCATCAGACATTTTGCCTCCGTTGAGCATGACGGTGTGTGAAACGGTGTCTTTGCTGATATAACCGTGGCCTTCTTTCTGGCGCTCGCTCTTCTCCTCGTATTTGCGCAACCGCGCAATCCGTTCTTCTTTCTCTTTCTCCTGCTCAGCGTTATCATAGCCGACTTCGTTCTTGTCACCGTCTTTGCCAATCGCAGGGTGAACACTGTCACTCATGATGGATTCGGCAATACCACGCTGGATATCGTTATATGTCACGTCGGCCTGGCTCTCCAGTTCCTCCAGTGCCGGGGTTTTGTTGATACGATCGAACGCACGCAGGGTGAAAACAAAAACGTGTTCTAAGGATCTTAGCAGTGTCCTTCACAAAGGAATATGACGAGCTTACCTCTAGGGTCGACGCCTTGGGCAGAGATCTGGCCGAAGATGGAATGTTCACCGCGGTTGATCGACTTGTACTGGTAGTCCATGATGGCTCGAGTACCCGTCGCTTCGTTCTGTCTGAGATCTCCCGCAAACCCGGGAATGGCTGGAATCACGATGATGACTCGGAATTTCCGACCGGCCTTGCCAGCTCTCACACAGGCATCGACAATGGAACGTCCGATGGTGTTGAGAATGGGGGCTTGCTGGTCGCCAGTAGCCGTGACTAGTCCGGTTAGATATTTGCGCATGGATACTAACGCCAAAACTTACTGAAGAACTGGTTCTCAATGTAGACGAAATGTTCCGCCTTGCTGATGACCTCCTTGTACGCGTTCTGGATACTGTGCTCGGTCAAAATTCCGCTGCTCCAATCTGCGCTGCTGCGAACGATCTGCGCGCGTGCAGTGCCCTGGTTGCCTAGTGGTTTTGAGCTCAAAGGCTGTAAGGGATGCTGGATGTAATCGCCACAGGGGTATTTCGGACGCTGCACGGCAACAAGGTCCTCGTCTTCGCCAGTGCGGCCCTCAAGCAAAAGCCAGTCCACGTTATCGTCTCGCTTGTACTTGTCACGCTTGATAAAGTTCCATCGAAGCACGAAGTGCTCAGCAATATCGTAGACACAGTCACCCATCAGACCCATGGCCACGTCGTGCCAGGGCATCCGACCGTACTCCGCTTTGCTGACTTCGTTAGACTGCCAGTCACCCACACTCTGGAAATCCATGATTCGGTTGTTGTTGAACTCCTGTCCGGGGAAGATCTCATCCTTCAGATTCGACGGGTGAACATCAGCCAGAGGGTGCTGGTGGGCGTCCCACCTACCGAAGCAGAGGTCGATACCTCCAATGAAGGCGAGCGCATAGTCAATGACGATGAATTTCTCGTGATGGGCCTGATAACCTGCCATTAGCCATTCCAATCCATATAAGTATCCAGACAGACCATCTCACCCAGTACAAAGTCATGTCGGCTCCGTTCTCAAAGATGTTGTGATCCGGATGGCGCAGGATCTTGATGTTTCCGTAACCCGGGGTTCCTTCAGGGCAGAGATTGCGCAACGCATGCTTCGTATGGGCCGAGTTGCAAGTCAATGCTTGATTGACCTATTCCACGGTGAGTATTGCACATATAGCAACGGTGCTGGTGCCGAACCTCCTTGTACACAATCACGTAGATCTTCACACCCGCCTCGGCGCGGCGTTTCAGCACCTGATCCAGTCGCCATTCCTGCGTCAAGAACGGAGGTCTCCGCAGGAACAGTTCGGGGGACAACCACCAGTCTTCAATGTAGATGACCTCCTTGGCCTGCTCGAGGGCGATAGAAACAGCCCACAGGTAGTCCAACGCATCGACATACCACTTGACGCGATTGTTCTCTCGGATGGGCGCGAAGGATCCGAATCGGTGGGACTCCGCGACGGCGGATCGCTTGCGGTCGGTTTCCTGCTCGTGCTCCTCGTCGTGGCGGTGATTGGGGTTGACAATGTTGAAGAACTTGCCCACTTTATGCTTGAAATGATGGGCTTCTTCCTTGATGTGGGTTTCTGCGCACGTGGAAGATGGTCAGTCCCGCTCAGTGCGGTCACGTTGGGCAGCGAATTGACCTTTGAAGTGCTCCTCGAGGGAGCTGAACTTGTCCCTGAATTTATCCATGGCGGCAGTCAATTGATTCGCTGGCGGGTAAAAAAATGGGACACTGAAGGGTCAATTGAAATATGCAAGACGCCGGCAAGAAGAGGGAAGAAGGAGGGGGATCGGCCACAAGCGAAACAAAACGCGCGGTCTTCCGCATGACATCACCCGCCCTGGCAGCCTTGGGGCCTGGGGGCCTGGAGGCCTGACAATCCTCCGCCCAGGAAGGCGTCTTTACTTTCTAACTCTACACTACACTACACTTCCCTAGCTCTGGACTCCGATCAACATCCGCCACCCTTCTCTCATAGGGCCAGCCTTGCCTTTACCATCACCAGAAATACTTCTGTACTAGTGACTGCATTGGACCGTGAGTCCCCTTTCCCCGTCCCCTCGACCCACCGTCGCCCAACGGGTCGACTTCCCGCGCTTCCGTCCCCTGTTGATATCGTCATGCCATCGGCGGAGCCGGTTTTTTCTTTTTTTCTCCGTCGAGACTAAAATCGGCTAAGGCAGGGTCCTGGGATGACACTCGGTAGCGCAATGAGATCAGCGCGCAACATTTACAAAGATGACGTGGATTTCACGACGCTGGCTCTGCAGTCGCCCGACTTTGCGAAATAGTAAGTCAATGATCCTGGACGTTCACATTATCCTACGTAATTAGCGGACACTAACAATTCAGCGTGAAATCAAATGGCCAATTGGACTTTAGCGACCCCGATGCCGTTCGGTAGGATTCTGTCCCCAGACTGGGGCGTTCCAGATGACAGGTCGCGTGACTGATGAGATTTGTAGACAATTGACGAAGAGCCTTCTCAAACGAGACTTTGACTTGACGGTTGACATCCCGGGAAATAGACTCTGTCCGCCGGTATGTGCCTGCTCGCATCCTGTCTACGTCATTCCAGCTAACGGGGACTAGGTGCCGAACAGGTAGGTCGGAAAGATCGCGTCCACAGACCCCGGGCTGGTCTAACGCCGATAGACTAAACTACATCCTATGGATCCAAGACCTGTTGGACGCCACTGGAGACGAATACCGCGGGGACTTTGACCCTGACCGAAAAGTCGTGGGTCTGGATATGTACTCCACCACTCCCTAGATAAGATAATCATATTCTTACTTGTGTCTAGAGGAACGGGATGCTGTTGCATCTACCCACTTCTCGGATGCGCTTCGCGACCGCAGTGGAATTTCGTGGCGACAGGTGAGTTGACCTGGCCTGAAAAGGACTGTCTTTACTTACATCCAACCCCAGATATCGACAATGACAACATCCAATCGTCCCTGAGGGCGGTTAATGCCAATAGCCTTGAATCGCGTATCCGAATCATGAAAACAGATCCAAAAGATGGGCTCATTCCCTTACACACCAAACTGGGGGTGGACCGGTTCGTCAACCATTCCTAGTCCTTCGTTCATACTAACCCTCAAAAATAGCCTGGATTTCACAATGTGCAACCCCCCATTCTACGCCTCCCGCAACGAACTGATATCCTCCGCCGAAGCCAAAGAACGACCCCCATTTTCAGTAAGCCACTCACCCCTCATAGTAAACTTGACTAAAAGAAAAACAGGCCTGCACCGGCGCCGAAGTCGAAATGGTCACGGACGGCGGCGAAATCGCCTTCGTATCCCGCATGATCGAAGAGAGCCTCGAACTCCGCGAAAAAGTCCTATGGTATACCTCAATGCTCGGCAAACTGAGCAGCGTCTCGGTACTGGTCGAAAGCCTCATCGAACTCAAGAACCACAACTACGCTGTCACCGAGTTCGTGCAAGGGAACAAAACAAAGAGGTGGGCGATCGCCTGGTCATGGGCTGATCTCCGTCCGAGTGTGGTACGTCTATCGGACACTTGCGAGTCCTGTGCGATTGCACACTCATAGCCCGAACGATGCTAACGCGAAACTAGAACGTCGCGCGCTCCATTTCCAACTTCCCGAAACATCTCCTCCCGTTCCCGTCCGAGTACGTATTCGATATCCCTTCGGGATCGATCGACGCCGTCAGCGAAAAGCTTGATGTGGAACTCTCGTCGCTTCCGATTCAGTGGCTTTGGCGGCAGAATCTGGCCACGGGAGTCGGATTCGCGATGGAAAACGTCTGGTCGCGTCAAGCGCGTAGAAAGATGCAGGGATCCGCTGGAGTGGCGCATAAGGCGGAGATTGACGAAGCTAAAGCCGCGCTGGGATTCAAAATATCTGTGAAGAAAGAGGGGATTGAGGATAAGGGAGTCCGGGTTGTGGTGCAGTGGCTGAAGGGAACGGATTCGGTTCTGTTCGAGAGCTTTTGCGGGATGGTGAAGAGGAAGACGGAAGGCAGGTGAGGTGAGCATGGATGCGTTCATTGCCAGGCACTGTATCGTTAAATGTCCCTTGACAGAGGCAGCCCATTCTGTCTCCTTAATCGACATCCCTGCGGCCGACCTTCCCCTTCAACCCGCCATCATCCAGAATACTCCCAAACATCGCCGCCTCGTACAGATAATTCACCTGCCAGGCATGATGCTGCGCATGGGCAATCAACCACATCATTTCATCCACACATCCCAACGAATAAGCCTTCGCCATGGCCACCTTCAACGCATGAACATGCTCCTCCACCTGGGGAGCCCTTCGCGGCATATTCCACCAACCCAGTCGATAGCAACCACCACATGGTCGCGAGCAAGTCGCACTCTCTCCAACTGCCCAGACGAGCCTGCACCTGGTCGCATGGATCCTCGCCATCACAAGCACCCGCAAGCGGCCTGCTGAATCCAGTCGTTCGATTCGTCGAGTCAAACGCCTCGCACCAATCTGCTTCGCGTTGTCCTTTGCGCGTGGCCCTCCGCATGCTATACCCCAACACCGCCCGTCTCAGCAACTCGTGTCTACCATCCTGGATGTGCCAGGTATACAACGCTGCGACGACGCGGGCGCCGGGCTCCGACCACTGCTGCGTAAGAGTCTTGGCGCCGGCGTGCGCAAACGCATCGTAGACCCGTCTTAGCGCCTTCTCGCCCACCACGCCTGTATCAGTAACGTCGGCGACGTTCAGCACGGCATTAAAGAGCTCCGAGTTATGAATATCCGAGCCGACGTCCACGATATCCGTTCCCCGGTTACTCAAGCAGAAGTCATTCATAAGGCCGGCGGGATCGTGCCCGCGTGCTACCGCCTCCGCCGCAATGCCTAGGATGCTGGAGTCACCGAAGTACGCGATCAAGGCCTGCTCGCGATCCAGCCGTGCTGTCATATTTGCGAGCTTGGCTTTGCGGTGCTCCTCGTGCGCTACTTTGGCTCGGATGAATTTGAGCCCATGGCTCGCGATGATCCGTCTCTCTGCGCCGCCGGGGGTTTGCAGCCGTGTTCGTAGAAGAAGCCTACGTCTACGGCGTAGTTGGAGTATAGGGTCTCCGGGTCATATGCGCCGATGAGGAGATCGGCGAATCCGGAGCCGAATAATGCGCCGTTCGTTAGAAGCGCGTCGGCCCAGTCCTCTGCGTGAAGCAGATGAATGATATCCTCGGAGACGCGAGTCAGGCCGTCTCCCTTTTGTGGAAGCACGTGGCCGGCTTTGAATTGCTCGTCGCGCCACGTCTGGAGCTCGTCGGATAGACGCAACTTTGTCACAAGAGATGGTTCTCCGTTGAATTTGTCCAAGTCGTGAAAGACGGCGTCGACTACCTCTCTTCCCTTCTCTAGTATCTCGGTCATTCGGCTGGGGCTTCCATCTCCGATAATCCTGCGTGCTGCGAGGTAGCCGGTCTCATGACGAAACAGGGTCTCCTTGGTCTTCTCGGTGTCTTGTCCCCAGAAGTAAGAAGCTACTTCGGTCGAAGGAGCAATTCGCAAGAGGAGGTTGGTTCCTTCGTCATGCTTGAAAGTATGTCCTGCCGTGGTTGCGTTTGTACTGGTAGACATTTCGAGAGCGCTTCGCGGGTTCAATAAACCAAGAGAACATAAATGGCGATAAACTGTAGTCTTCAAATGGGAAGGATTGACTTTTCCAGGTTTTCAACTGGTGGCTCAGCTTGTTTGCGACCCATGTTTTGAGGCGGCCCATCCATGGGCTTTTATAGCCATAGTTCAAATAGATCAGGACATGAAAACTGCCTGATCTCCGGATTTCATCTTACAACCTCATAAAAAGGATCACCGTCCCAGTGATGCATTAGGCCAGTTTGGTAAGTTTGGCCACATAATTCTGACTGCTCTGCGTTCCCATGGTCCTGTTCAAAGCCTAATATGGTATGATAGACGGGTCAAATGTCTGTCTCCATTCTTCTCCCTTGCAGACACGAGTCAGATATGAAGTAAGACGGACGGGTAGAGCCAGAATTTGTAGCATGAGCTCATGCATTGATTGAATCAGTAGGAATGTTTCAACCAGAGCACCAAGTAAGATTTCACTGGGCAGCCTGTGGAAGAGCACGTTTTCCTGACTTGGAAAGAGTTCCACAGAGCCCGCCTGACTGAAAGAATAGGCTGTATTTGACTGATTATTGGTTGGCAGACACCATCCAGAGCTACCTACCACCTTACTAACCTGAGGACTTCTGATTCATGGAGCGTATTTGAGAGTTCACCCCCTTGCCGACATGATGGTTGAGACGATGAATTCTTTTCTTCTCCTCTCGGCAATGCTGATGTCTTCTCTAGCTTACTGGACACAATTCATGAATCCAATAAAGTGGATCGGTTGACTCAGCATTAAAGTCCTGCTGCACTCTCATCTAGCCGTGCACAATAATTGCTGGGAGCTGTGTCGATTGTGAGAGAGCGCATCCTGTCTTATCGGACTCGGTCTCCGACGCCGAAGGAGTCACTCACCCTATCAGCCTAAATAATCCCCTTTATCCTGGCCTACCCATCAGAGATACCACTGTGTCTCTCTTTCACTCATGGTCAAAATATTGAATTCCTTCTCTCGTTGTATTTAAACAAACACCCAACAATCATGCCTCACAACGACCGACCCCCCATCCGGATCGGCAATGTCTCCGGCGCCACAGGCGACCACCCACATGCAATGTCACGCATGCTCCGGTCGGGAGCTGTCGATGTGATTACAGGAGACTGGCTCTCGGAGATGAACATCGCGTGGAATGCGATCGCAAAGCAAGAAGTTGATTCCAGACTGGGGTACGAGCCCGGGTTCTTCGAGCAGTTGGATGAGTGTCTGGATGAGATCATGCAAAAGAATGTGAAGGTCGTTACGAATGCCGGGGCACTGAATACCACTGCGCTCTTTGAAAAGGTGAAAAAGCTGTGCCAGAGGAGGGGGTATAGCGATTGTGTGGTGGCAATGGTGTTGGGAGATGATTTGTCCGAGTTGGTCACCGGTGGGAAAGGAAAGGGGGGAATTGTCCATTTGGATAATCCGGATATGACGCTGGAGAAGTGGGAGTTTGAGCCCTGCTGCGCAACGGCGTATATTGGGTGCTGGGGCATTGTGGAGGCGCTGCGCGCTGGCGCTCATATTGTCATATGTGGAAGATGTACCGATGCGTCGCCGGTTATGGGTGCTGCGGCATGGTGGCATGGCTGGAAAGAAGAGCAGTATGCCGAGTTGGCCGGGTCGTTGGTCGCAGCACATTTGATTGAATGTGGGCCATATGTTGTCGGTGCGAACTTTTCGGGCTTCAAGGACTTCATGCCGGGGCTTGTTGATCTAGGGTTTCCGGTGGCTGAGATCGATGTATTCGGGCGCTGTGTGATTGAGAAGACAAGCGAGGGCGGAGGACATGTGACGAAGGAGACGGTTACTGCACAGCTGCTGTATGAGCTTCAGGGTCATTTGTATCTTAACCCAGACGTTGTGGCGGATCTGTCTGGTGTCACTGTTGAGCAGCAGCCCCGGGGTGTGGACCGAGTATGCGTGCACGGCGTGAAGGGTCTGGCACCACCATCAACGACAAAGGTCATGGTCGCAGGCAAGGGAGGCTTCCAGGCCGAGGCAACGTTTTATATAAACGGCCTAGATGTGGAGGAGAAGGCCGAAATGATGAAAGCTCAGTTGGCGCATATCTTCAAGGACAGCAACTTCAGCAAACTGAACATCGAGTTACTGGGCTCTGCGGCTTCGAATCCTCAATCACAACAGTCTGGCACGGTACCGCTGAGGGTGTTTGCCCAGGCCCGGCGAAAAGAAGATATCGATGAGAGGAAATTCAAAGTGCCCATCTATGCCCTGAGGATGCAAAGCTACCCTGGCTATCACATGAACCTCGATTTCCGAACCATGTCTCCTAGACCATTCATGGAGATGTTCCCCGGCTTGATTCCCATCGCCGACATCGATCATCGGGTGCAGATGAGTACTGGGGAAATCTTGCACGTTGACCCCCCGAAATGTGGCGTTTCCACATATCCTGTCGTGCGGCCTTCCTCGGACACCGCTAATCCTGCTGACCTTCTTGCTTTTGGGCCAACCGAGCTCGCACCGCTAGGGAGTATAGTCCATGCTAGGTCGGGCGATAAAGGCGACAATTCGAATATAGGGTTCTTTGTTCGCCATAGCGATGAGTATGAATGGCTCCGTTCAGCATTGACCATTTCCAGGTTGAAACAGTTACTGGGTGATGATTGGTACAGGGGAGATCCTCAGCGTCGAGTTGAGCGAGTTGAGTTCCCAAATATACATGCGGTTCATTTGTAAGTCCCTCCTTTGGAATTTGCGAACGACCTACTAATCGGTGGATGGTTAGTCGAATACTCAACAATCTGGATGGTGGAATAGCCTCTTCGGGAAGGATTGACGGCCTAGGAAAGGGCCTTGGTGAATACTTGCGGAGCAGATTCATCGAGATACCGCGAATTTTCCTCACTAGAGGGAAGATATAGAATTGACTTTATATAGAATACCGGCGTATATAGACCAAAGAATTGATTCATCGTCTCACTATCGTTCAAGGCTGCTCAGAAATGCTCGATCCTCATTGAGCCCCAAAAACCACTCTTGCGAAAGCTGGGAAAGAGCATCGTTGTGCAGTTCATCGAATCCTAAGTTCTGCAGATCACTAAAGTAATCCCGAAATGTACTGTCGATCGCCATATTCATGTTAATGCTGCTTGACTCCGGCACTTGGTTATGAAAGCCCTCTCCAGGCGCATTCATTGAGCTCGCTTCTGCTGTGAAATGAGGCACCGGGGTTGACGCGAGAAACCCTGTTGAAGTACTCTGTGCTGCAAACACATCTGTGATGAGCGCATCGCTGAGCCGGTCAAATAGTTCTGAGCAGTTCCGCGCAATGTCCTGTCTTTCGGCAACTGCAAGTAGCACCTTGGAACAGGCCCGAGTATCATTCACCACTTCGGTTATCGTTGGTGTGCCAGTTAGTATTGGCTGCGTGGCTTGGGCCTGGATGGATTGAAAGTGATTTCGAAGGGCATATATGTATGACAATCCCGCCAGGAAGATAGTGTGCATGGTGATCCAGGAGTAGTTTAGCTTCCGGGACCTGTGAAGACTGGAATACAGGTGGATAGCTTCGCGAGAGGAGTGGAAGAGATGTTGTAATGTGGCACTGTTATGGGAGGCGTCACAGAGGTAGGGCGAAGGGCGGTATAGCATTAGCATGCCATTGTGGTACAACAGCCGATACCACTCTTCGGACAGGAAGCACGACCCTCCCCTGGTTGGAAGCTCATTGAGTGCTTGATTATCCCGGGGTGATAACGGTAGCTTCGCTGTTCCAGAATACCATTCCTGTAGCTCCGTGGCTAACGAGTCCCTTGCCTCCAACAAATTGACGGAATCTCCTTTTACTCTCGACGCTCGATGTAGGGCATTTGATATCTTCCCACATATGAGACGATATCGCACGATGTACACGAATGCGGAAGTCTTAATCTGATCCTGTCGAGAATATTCGCTCAGTGCAGCAGGTGAGCACGTCTCTTGCTGGTTGTCAATGGGAAGCCCGTCGCTAAGGTCTATGTCGATGTCCTCCAATTGAATTGCGAAAGGGCGCCCGAGAGCTAGACTCACAACCCGGTCCAAGGCTACCAAGCTCCAGAAGCACTTCTTTTTTGTTTCCATTTCTTCCCGCCTTGCTTGCAAAGTGGTGTCGTAATTTTCATTCGTCGACCCTGTAGGCACAACAGGGAGGGAATAGGTTGACGCTCGGTGAAGACCCATCTCCAAACAAGTTCTCGCCGCTACGCCGATAAGATGCCACACACTCGGAGTGGTACTGCTAGAGGTAGAGCCCATCTTATATTGGCAGATTAGCAAAAGAGCTTGCAGGCGTTGGACGCCTCCTCGAGCAAGCACATCTGTCAGTCTCGTCATGGCGCGATGCAAGTGTGCTTCTGAATCGTAGATACCATTCCATTTCAGGCGATGCGCTTGGGCTGTTCCAATAGCAAGTGCCATGTCAACGAAGAAAGCCTCGACAGGGTCGTCATTGTTCCCATCGTACACCGAGTCTAAGCATTGAAAGAGAGTCTTGGTGGAAATGTAGGGATAACAAAGATGATCATGGGCGCGATAGGCTTGCAGCAAGTCTCTTGCTAGACCTTTGGGTGGTCTATTAGAATCTGTATAAGGGGAATGACGACTTTGCTCTGGCCCACCGCCTGCTTGCTGAGTGGGAATAGGAAAAACCGATGACGATGAGTGGCCGGACTGGAGCAGTGTTGCGAGCAGCAGACCGCTCGTAGAACCCACGAAGTGATGACCCCCTCCCGCAACCAGCGACGCATGAACCACTTGCTCCGCCACCCCATCATCTCTAGCCCCGATATTCTCTTCGTGCTGCGGCGTGACTGCCGGTTGAGGATCACTATTTGCCACCGGTCGGTCCTGACTGCTTCTCAGCTGCGCGGCTAGGGAATTATTGTCGGTCTCTAGTTGCCGGATTCGCTGCTCCAGTCTCTGTAGGTGTTGACGGCGATGCTGGTGCTCACTGGTCGTGTATTGGCAGGTCACCTTGGCCCTTGCACATGGGGAGCATTGCGGGAGAGATCTGTCGCATCGGACCTTTCTCCGATGACACCGCAGACATGCAGTCGAATGCATTATTACTCGAGTGCATAACAGATACAAGTGCAGGCCTAGGTCGGAGACTCAGTCCGCTTCATTTATCCAGTCCGACTCTCGGGGAGGATGTCCGCGCTCGGCTGGACAACCCCGCAAAAGCATGGCTTAGTGTGGGGTGCATGAAGGACGAAGGCTCCACTGGCGATTGAGCATCCATTGAGCGTGGAGCCCATGTCCAGTGAACTCATCCATCGGACTTGTCATACCTGAAGTCCAAGACCACTGTTTGGGATGCTGCTGCTCTTGTTGAGATAGCTGGGTTCGATGGCAGGGATGGACGGATGGTTGAAAGCGGAGGAAGAAGAAAACAAAATCGAAGACACTGCCTAGACACGTGACGGGCCCTGGAGCCCTAACGAGGACAAGAGTCGGACTGCGGCCCCGATGACCGAAGTGATGACGCTGTTTCTCTCCATGTTTCCCCAGATCCGTGGCTACCCCGGACGCAATGGCTAGAATTGTGGAGGTTAATTTAGGAATGACATGTCCGGCCAGCATTGAAGCTTCTTGCTGCACTTCATCTCCACATTGATCAATCCAACATGTCTACGGCTTCAAAGGAGAAGCACAATGTGAACGCAGCAGAAAAAGGAATCATCCGTACAGCTTCTGAAGATGAGCATGCAGTCAGTCTCGATCTAACCACGCTCATTCCAGAATGCTGACAACAGAACAGGCTCCTTCCCAATCAACCCTTCATGAGATCTCTCCAGCGGCCTCCAAAGCCGTCGTACGCAAACAGGATCTCCGAATCCTCCCCTTATCAGCATTCATCTACTTCCTCTGCTACCTGGACCGCTCCAACATCGGCAACGCCAAAATCATGAACTCATCCACTCACAACGACCTCATGACCGAGACCGGCATGTCCAACTACCAATACACCATTGGCCTGATGATCTTCCTCGTCGCTTACGGTGTCTTCGAGGCTCCCTCGAACATCCTTCTCAAGAAACTCCGACCTTCCAAGTGGATCGCCTTCCTCATGGTCTCCTGGGGCGCGCTGACCATCTCCCTCGGCGCCTCAAAGAACCCAGCCACTGTCATCGCCCTGCGCTTCCTCCTCGGCATCTTCGAGGCAGGTCTCTTCCCGGGCCTCGTCTACTACCTCACCTTCTGGTACAAGACCGACGAGCGCAGCATGCGTGTCGCGCTGATCCTCGCCAGCGCCACGCTGGCAGGAGCCTTCGGGGGCGCTATCGCCTACGGCGTCGGACACATGAACCAAGTCAGCGGAGTATCCGGGTGGCGATGGCTCTTCTACCTCGAGGGGATCCCGTCCGTGGTCTCCGGGTTCGCCGTCTGGTTCATTCTGCCCGACTACCCCGAGACATCGGGGTGGCTATCAGCAGAGGAGAAAGCCGTCGCAGCTGAGCGTCTCCGCATCGAAGGCAGCAAAGGCACCCATAAGAGCATCACTTGGGAAGATGCCAAGTCCACCCTCACCGACTGGCGTCTGTATGGCCACTATCTGATCTACCTGGCTATTTCCTGTCCCTTTAGCTCGCTGTCTCTCTTCTCGCCATCCATTATCAAAGGACTGGGATATGAAGACCTCAACGCACAGCTGATGACCGTCCCGCCTTACGCTGTCGCATACGGTATGTTCTATGTCCCATCTTTCTTCCCTGCCCTCGTCTCTCTTCATCTCATTCCTCCCTTCCACCCACCCTCCTTATCCTCCCTCCAAACTCACAAACCCAGTAATCCAAATCCTCACCTCCTACTCCGCCGACCACTTCAACGCGCGAGCCCTCCACTCCGCGGCCTGCTCCCTCACCGGGGGAATCGGCTTCCTCGCCTCCGCGCTCCTCCCCGCCCACAGCTACTCCGCGCGCTACGCCTGCCTCTTCATCGCCAACATGGGCGCCTTCTCGTGCATCCCGCCGCTTCTAGGCTGGCTGTCATCTAACATCGCAGGCACCTCGGCCGTGGGGCTCGCGATCGCGCTGAATATCGGGCTGGGCGGTTCCCCGGGGCAGATTATTGGGGTGTGGATTTATAAGGCGGAGGAGGCGGAAAGGGGGTACCCGACGGGACATGGCACGAATGCGGCGTTTTGTTTCCTGGCGGCGGGGATGTGTCTGGCGTTGAGGGTTTATTATGGGGTGAGGAATAGGAGGATTTTGAAGGAGGGGGGTGAAGGGGGGAGGTTGTTTAGGTATTAGGTATTGTTGGGTTTGGAGTTAATTAATGGGTATGGGTGTTTTTTGGAGAACTCGGAAGTTGGCTGGGATTATTAAACTGTAGGTTGCTATGAGATGAGGATTGTAGCGTAGTAGGGCTAGGGAGCGCGGCCATCGATAAGATAGAGCCTATGGCGTCTCATAAAAGTAGATAAAATAAAGTGACAAGCGACAATCAATCAATTCAAATTAAGGTATCTCAACGAATCATAAACACAGCCCAACGCACCATCTCCCCATTTTGACGGCAGATCTAATGATTAAATTATTATGTACATGCAACATTGCCCAATCATAAACAACAGAAAAAGAACTCCCATCTAGGAAGCGAAATGAGGGGCGTTAAGGAACAACCCCATCAAGACACCACCCAGGGTACCGGCAATCGGAATCGTCATGATCCACGAAAGCAGCAACAGACCGACTCGCTGAAAGTTGACGGCCTTGATGGTTCCGTTGCAGAGACCGACACCGACCGTGGCGCCGGTTATACACATGGAAGTGGACACGGGAAGGGAGTACTGCGAGAAGACGAGGACGGTGATGGCGGCGCCCATTTCCATGGAGCTCCCGCGGCTGGGCGAGTGGTAGGTGATCTTGTTACCCATGACCTTCATGATGTTGTAGCCGTAGGTGATCAGGCCGATGGAGATCATGGCGGCCAGGACGGCGAGCTGCCAGACGGGCACGGGGGCTTTGGCGGCGGCGGCGTCCCCGGTCTTCCAGGCGGAGTAGATGACGGCCCAGGGGCCGACGGAGTTGCCGATGTCGTTGGCGCCGTGGGCGAAGGAGGCGGTGCAGGCCGTCAGGACCTGGATGAAGGAGTAGGTGTGTTCGACCTCGTTGGGGTATTTCTCGGCGTGGGCGTACACGCGCTTCATGCGCTCACCCTCGGGTGTGCCGGCGATACCGGACTGCGCGGTGTGGATGTCGTAGTGAAGGCCGTACAGGAGACCGCAGGTGATCAGGGCAGGGATACGTTTGGCGAGGATGATCATGTTTCGCACTTCGTAGAGCTCGCCAGCGCCCATGGGGTTGTCGCGGAGGGTTCGCAGAGCCCAGCCAAGAGGTCCGCGCTTCTGGATGAGCTTCTGGTGCAACCGGTCCTGGCTCTGAGCTTGGAGTTCCTGGTAGGTGAGCTGCTTGGCCTCGGCGGCAACAAGGCTCTTCTCGTGGTCATCTTTGGCGGTGATGGCGGGCGAGGCGACGGTCGAGGCGTCGGGAGAGACTGTCTTGTCCAGTTTGGAAGACGCGTTGGAAGGAGGGTAGTCATCCTCCTGAACAACAGCGTAGTCGGGAACCTTGGCCACATCGGCTTGATCCACGGCGCCACGTTTAAGCAAGAAGGGACCCTCGGCGAACATCCACCACTTGACGGATTGATCCCGCTTGATGATCCGAGCATGCAGGAAGGGAAGAAAGAAGATGATCGACAGGAGAGCAACACCACCTCCACAGCCCAAGGTGACGGCAGCAATGTACCAGGCCGGCTTCTTGCTCAGACCCAGGCTGGGGGAGCCCTTGTAGACAATGGAAAGGGTGCAGATGGTGGCGGCAACCAAGAAGAAAAAGGGCGAGGTGTAGACAGCCCACGGGATAGGGTTCTTACGCATGTGGACAGTGACCTTGATGAGCATGAAGATGATAGCGCCAAAGCATCCGGAGATGACCGGTGCCATGCCCAGTCCGGCGAAGATGGCTCCGAGACCCTTGCCATTGTTCCATCCCCATTGTACCTGTGAGGCACCGACCGTGGCAACACCAACACCGGCGACGGCCGAGATGAGGGAGTATGTTGAAGAGACGTGAGCGGAGTGACGAGTACACCACATCACCCATGACGAGGCGGCAGCCAGAGCCAAGGTGAACGCCAGCATCTGGACACCGGCATCTCCCCGGAAGGCCGAGTTCGGGATAATCCCGTTCTTGATGGTATCGGCAGTACGAGCACCGACGGCGATGGCTCCCACCATCTCAAACACCGTGCCAAGGACCATGGCCTGTCTGTAGGTGACGGAGCGGGAGGAGACACTGGTGGCCCAGGAGTTGGCAACATCGTCTATCGGAAAGACCAGTCAGCACCTGTTCCTGTCACGCACACACGGAGGGGTATCAATAGAGCCAAGACTTACTGGCACCGTTGTTGTAGGCATCCAGCATGGCAAACAGAGTGCCGATGGCGAAAACGTAATCGTACTGATGCAGCACCATCTTGATGAGGAGTGACGGACAGGTAAAGACCTAGTCGAGGGTACTGGATGGCTTGCAGATTCGGACTGAATGCTGTGAAGAGAAATCCCAAGAAGAAAGAGGAGAGAAAGCCAGCGAGCGAGTCGACTTATGTACTACAGATCTGCCAGTCCGTGGCAAGATCGAGTCCGAGGCCTGTACTCCCTCGTACGCGGTATTTACCTCGCGGGCTATCTAGCGGAAATCTCAGTAACGACACGCTCTCTTGGCAGCGATCTAGAAGTATACCTGCTACGGTGCTACGCGCACCGGGTGACACGAGCCCATTAGCCCGACCAGGTAAAATGGCTCCCACGTTCCCAATTGCGCGGCTGTGATTTGCGGTTCCGGGGGCACCAGGGACCCCGGTCCATCGACCATTTTCGGGCATGGTCGGCTGCCTCTTCGTCAGTGGTGGCTGCGAAGAATACGACTAGGGGCAGGCAATCGGGGGGTCGCAACATAAGCACGGACAAGAGACTTGGGAGGAGAGCTTGGATGCGAAGTCAAGAGCCATCAAGACGCCGCCGCTTCTCGTTGGCGGGCACGTGTCTTGGCACGGGGGCTGCGGCTTGGCATCAGGCACCTACGGGTCCTATGGGACGCTGGCCTGAGGGCACGTGGGTGGAGAAGCCCTGCCATCCTCATCTCTTTATGCTTTCCCCGGCGATGCATCTCATCCTCTGGACCCTCGATGTCAGGCAGTTTTGCCTGCGGTCCATGGTTGGCTCCCCTCCAAACGGCCTAGCCTCGATCCGATGACAGTATCCTGTCACCCATAGAACCGCTCTCCGTCAATCAGCACGCTCTTCGATGCCATGTGCTGCACCCGCGGACAATTGCCCCCAATTGGACGTTGTATACGGTTACCTACCTGACCACAGCTCAGTCCACTCTCCGTTCAGCTCGACCACGCAGTACTACCCTACCTTACGGCGTACATGCAGTACATGCTGCAGGGTATTCGCTTTTCTCCGAACCTGATCTCCCTCCGAATCCTTCGTTCGCCGCCAACCACATTGTCCGGTTCTTTCCCATGTGGCCCAGGCTAGGTCGCTCTCTGTACCAGCGGAGCGAGGTAGGTAGCGGTGGCATGTCACCGTTTGACTCGCGTCGTGAAACATCCCCGTCGACCGACGCGCGGTATCCACCGGAAATCCGAGGGGTGTGATGCAATGGATGATCCGAGAACGTATCACTACCCTCCATTCCAGTTCTATCACCGGTGAAGTGGATGTTCTTTGTTTGAGACAAGAATGACTCTTCTCTGCGAGAGCTTTCCAACTCACCGTGGCAACATCCTAGTGTTTAGGACGTCAATCCGAGGCTCCTCGCCGTGGCAAGGCAGAGATACACAATATCTCCCTTCCGATTGGTAAACAAACCAACAAATAGCATCCCCCGGGGCCGACATGCCCGTCAGGCCTCCCTCCTAAGCACCTACTCCCGACCTACCTACCTACTTACCAAGCCCGGGTAACCCGACGCCCCCAAAATGTAACCCCATCCAATGACACCAGGGCAAGGCTCATGATCTGAACCCCTTTCCAGAGCGATCACCGACCATGGCGTTCGCCACCAGGTCACCTACATCCTCACACACGGGCAACTGCATGCCAAATCGAACGGCCTCGCCGACCCTGCGCCCTAGCCGGCCTCCCAGTGAACGCACTTATCTCGTACATACACAAAGCCTGGAACCCTCGGGAGACCGCGATCGATCCGATCCAGCCGCGTCCTGTGGCGTGTCACACGAGCAGAGAACATATCGAGTGTCCCAAGCATGCAGGGATGACAGCTAAGAGAAAACTCTGCGGGCTAAGACTTCTTGGACGCTGGGCCAAGGGCTTGGGATTCTTACGGTACGTGTCGTGTAATTCTCAATCTTCTAGAAGGTTTCGAAGGATCAGTGGCAATAATAGCGCGGACGTATGATAGACGCGCGTGAAGCACGAAGCTGGATGGCGTCCGCTGATTGGTAGGTGATAGCTTGATGGGATCAGGGAGATTCCGTTGATGGGGACCGGGACTGATTCCATGCTTCTATCCTAATATTTAAAGGCTATGCTCACTGCACTCCAGTCGATCGGTTTATATAGACCTGCATCTGGATCTGTATATTTATCATTCTAACCCTATACACAAAGCCATGCAATGCATGCCTTTCACCTCCGCCCCTGCCTATAGGTATATAGGTCATCCAGTGACAGTCAATCAACTGACACAGTTCAGGCTGACGCTAGATAAAAACTGTAGGAATTCAGCGAGATTCCGGATGCCTACCGGAGCATTCCGCTGACCTATCCCAAGATGATGTCATTCGATCATGTTTTATGGGAGGTTCCATTAGTTGATCACCGCCTTGATCAGCATAAATAGGGCCTTTCTGCGTGTATCTAGAGCTTCATCACCAACAATCTTTCATCTATCTGTTTTCTAGTCAATTGAATTGTTCTATCGTGGACCACCCCCCTCTGCCAATTCCCTACAAAAACCCATCTCCAACTCAGTAATAATAGGCCAAATACTTCCCAAGGACCTAGTGAGAGCCTTACCATAAGGCAATCATGCATAGGATCTAGAAGTCATCCACTTCTAGACATATTAGATGCAGCTTTAGAAAACTACTGTCTAGTCATCTCGCTCTACGCATTCTAAATGATGCGGTGGTTAGTAACCTGGCTTATCTCATTAATTAACTAGTCAATAGATGGTGATAATCATGCAGGCATAATGTTAGTACGGCTCGCCATAATATGGTACTTTATAAGCCAACACAGGTAATTCGTTAGGCAAAAGCAGATTAAAACAAAGAGCGGCAGATGAAACCCCAAATATAGACAGACAGTAATTTAAATGGAATTGGTGACGGCTTTTTTCTTGTTCTGCAATGGACAACCGACCTCGAAATCACTGCAGTCAGCTCGTGGCCCTAATAGGAAGAACAAGACTTTTATGTGTTGTTTATATTCTCTTGGTTCTTCTCCATTGCATCTTATTTTCAATATTATATATATTTCACTTTCATGTGTTCCTGTGGCGTAGTACTAGTAGCAGTAGCACCAATGTCTATCGAGTGCTTCCAAGCATAATGGCTCGGAGGCGATTCCTTGAATATATCTTTATCTACCTAATCTCTCTAATGCCTTGAAAATTGCTACCAAGAACCAAGAACAAGAACAAGAACATAAAAGTCATTGATTATAAACCCACTCTAAATCCCTAACTAAATACTAATAAAATAGCGTTATTACAAACGTCTCGGGGCCACCGACCGCGACGACAACCCCTTCGGCGACCGAATATATCCATCTTCCCATAACAGGCTATATTTTGACATCGACAAGCACCCGCCCGGAAGATCGTATACAGTAAGGCTGTGTGAGTGGGATGAAATTTCGAGGTAGGTGTGGTTTTTTCTTTCTTTTTGCGCTGGGGAGAAATATTGATGATTTTTGAAATTTGAAAAATCTGCCTTTTAACAAACGCGCAGCACGCGTTCAGTGGTGCGTTCTCGCCCGGTTTTCTCACGACGTGCCGCTAAGCATAGTTGATACCCGTGGGCGGGCGTCGACGAAAGTGTCATAGGCTGGATAATGGGGGTCCCCAACTCAAGCTGAACGGTTGTATGAATTCAGTCCGTCTTCCCTTTCGCTTGTCTCCTTCCCCTGCTTCTATTATCCACTAAACCGGAACCGGGTAGCCTCGAGTCGACCGAGCCCTTCTCTGGGTGCCACGTTCCTCCGTCGGTACGAGTTGGTGAAGTCTGAGTATTTCCGTTAGCAACTAACCACACGCATATTACCCCACTTTTAACATACCTTGTAGCAGGACACGGATCTTTCGGAGTTCTCCTGATTGCACCTTGTCAGAGATGCCCTTGAGCAAACGCTCCGCCTCGTTGGGCTTCATCGTGCCGGGCGGCAGCATCTGGAGGGTCGACTGTAGCCACATTCCCGCTTCCTGAGGCATCAATTCAAACAGCGACATCATCACGCCAGACGCATCAGCGAAACAGTCCCCGGGGAAAGAAAACATCATGCCCGTCATGATACGCTGGGACAAGGCCTGGCCCTGCGATGCGATCAGTTGCTTGACTGCTTCGCGGACCTCCGGGGGATTCGTGTAGGGGTCCCCGTTGGAGCTGGTGAACTCAGATATGGCCGGCCTCTCGAACGCAAAGCTGAAGAGATCGTGGTAGTAGTGCAGGGTGGCGATGAGCGGATCCACCTGCTGCAGAGTGAGAGCGCTGAGAGCTGCAGTGAAGATAGGAACCGAAAGAGACGACGAGATGCATTCCTTGGGATAGTAGCGAACGGCATCGGACGAGAGTCGGTAGAAGTCCTCGATCACTAACGGTTCATTAGCACGTTTTCCGCCATCAAAACATCTAGGGGAATCGACTTACCATCGGGCAATTGCTCGGGAGGAAGGTCGTTGAGAGTGCGTAGGAAGGCAGTGGCCTGCTGCTCGTAGAACTGGAAGACTGCGCTGCTCGTCATGGGGTCGACAAACTCGGCTCCCTCGGAGAACTCGCGCACAACGGCATCGGTAGCCCACAGGAAGCACCCTTCGCGCGACGCCTGGAATCCATTGGCAAGACTTTCGGCAAGCGTAGGAAGAAGAGGCGTCATGGCGGTTCGGTAAGAGATGATCATGTTGCGCCAGCAGCGGCAAACACGCTCCAAAATCGGGGTGGATTCAGTAAAGTTCAAGGCAATCGTCGTCATGATCGGGAGAATTTCGCCGCAATACTTGACGGCGGGGTTCTCTTCACCACGAGAAACGTAAGGGTTGACGACCAGCACGAAGATCGTGATCAATTGGAGATGATCTACGATAATGTTAGTGATCTAATGTATGGTACTAGGGGGCGTGTTCGAGAAGAGCAAACATACCAGCAACGGCGCGCTGGCCTTGTTCATCCTTGGCGTTATTGGCCAGAGCCATAATGCGGTTCATAATGGGATCGCAGAACAGCTTCATGGTCTCGTAGATTTTGTCGATGGGCTGCACGGCAACGACGGCAGCCACACCTTCGGTTACTTCCTCCTGACTGGCGGGCTTCAACTTATCAAGCACAGACTCGTAGAACGAGTGGAGTTGCGCAATGTGGCCGCCCAGCAACTTCTGGCAGTCGGTTCCGAGGAACTTGAACGCCAAAGCCGAAGCCTGGACGACCTCCGAGGAGCTATGTTGGAAGCCAGAAATGACGTAGTTAAGCTGTGCTTCGAGCGTCTCTGGGTGCTGTGCGGTCCATTCCGTGTAGCGCGCGAGCGCCATGATGGCCTGGAACCGAACCTTCTCCTGGTTGGGGATCTGTACGATCAAGGGGATGACCTGAGTCAGGACCGTGTTCTCCTCCGGATCAACCATGCGGCCCATCGCTCGCAAGCTGAACAGCGGCGCCTCGAGTTCCTGCCAGTTGGGCACGTGCTCATCGCTGGCCTGAGAGGCATACTTGGAGACCCACTGCTGAATCAACTGGTACGCCTTCGTCAAACACTCGCTAACTCCGATAACAGCGCAACAGTCCTTGAGCACGTCACCCATCGAATGGCGGAAATGGCGGAACTTTTCTTCCTGCTCCCGATCACCACCGAACAAATCAACCTCGCCATCATCCGGACGGGGGTACTCGAGGTGCTTGACCATGATATCCACCAGCTGGGAGAAGATGTCGCTGAAGCAGACCCGCGAATCCGTGTATCGCTCCAATGTGACATACTGCTTCAACTCGTACCAAAAGACAAAGGTAAGGGAGACGGCGTCACGATCCCAGTCCCGAGCGCAACATTCCAGGACCGCCTCCACCAACCCTCGAAATTCGGTCGGCAGGCGAGCAGCCAACACCACCCACGCTTCACCAGCCTCGGCGAACAACCTTGTGATCCCTCTGAATGCATCTGTGTCCTCGGTTTCGGCGAATTCGGCAATCTTCGGGCGGAGTGTCATAAGGCGTGGGTACAGAGCTTGGATGATGGACAATGACTCATCAACCTCGCGAGTGTCGCGGTACAACGTGCACATGCTGTCAACGGCGGATTCGAAGGAGACATCGTTGTCCAGACCCTTGAGGACGATATCCAACAAGGGGGACTCAACGATCTTTGCCGCGGGGATTTCACGCATCCAAGATGTGATGCAGTCCAGGAGACGCGGGTTGGTGGATGCGGTCGCTAAAGGAGAGCACGTCGTTTAGCACAAGAAGACCATTGAGGGGGAGTGTACCAGAGAGGGATACATACGAGACGACTGCGCGTACTGTATTAATAGATGCATCACTTGCTCCGCATTGTCCTCCAACAGTTCCTTGGTCCGAGTGATAAGGTCATCTTCCTAATTCAGGCCAGCAGATTAGATTTTGAACGTTCGGTCGCGCCCCCTGCAGTCGCTGTCGATCGCATGGACAAAGGCGGGTCGCACGTAGAGCATTGGGATGATGGTCGAACGTACACTCAGATTGATCTTGCGACCTTCCGTCACTTCTTCGGGGAGAATCTTCAGAAATTCCAGCACGCAATCGCCCGCGCTGCTTCCCAGTGCCGAGCCCACCGATGCGAGAACATCTTTCCATTCGAGCATCTGGATGGCGAGACTGGCCAGACACACGCATAGCTGCGTTTGTATCGGGCGGGGGCCCGACGTAAAAGCCACGAGCAGATTCATGACCGAGTCTCGCAACGCCACCACCGATTCTGCCGGTAACTGATCCAAATCGAACATAATCTAGGTGTCGTCAGTATCCTTCCATCGCCGCGTCCTGGCGGGCGGCGTTGCCTCACCTTTCCTTTCAACGTAGTCGCCGCGAACAATTTGGCTTCGACAGGGACGTCAGGGGACTGCAAGAGCTCGTGGGTAATCGTCCATGCCTCTATCTATAAGAATTCCAAAACGCATGACAGTCAGCCAAAGCCATTCCAGTCAGGACGAGAGGGCATGAAGCAGGATATCTGCAACGCAGGGCAAGACAGAAAGAGGGGCACCAAACGGACCGATTTCTGGAACTTCTCCAGGAACTCATGAGCATGCGTCTTTTCGGATCGTGAAACGTTTCCTTGCATCGTAGCGACGGCGGCCAGAACAGGGCCAAAGGCCTGTCCGGCGGAACCCTCCTTCGTGGCCATGGTCGTCGCGTGGAGGAGGCGGAGGGGGGGATGTTTTGTTTAGTAGAGACAGGAACGGGGAAGATGAGGGGTTGATTAGCCAGGCCAAGAGGCTCAACACCTAGAGGATACAGTCATGAACCACCATGCAACACGAGCCAGAGAAAGCAGGGAAGCACGCGAAAGAACTCCCCAGGATCGAATGGAAGAACGCGTGGCGGGGGGAGGAAGACGGAGGGGAAGAGAGAGGGGGAATAAAGAGGAGCTGGACTGAGAGCAGGAGAAGAAGTGGGATGGGCGTGACGGACGGCAGAAACGCATCGGGAAAAGTTGGTGAGCCGCAGCCACGGAAGTCGAGCTCTCGCCCTTCACCTTTTACCGTCTTCCCCCATTTCTTTCTCCCCGACCCACGCCATCACGTCCTCTCTGGTTGCCCCGACCGACCGTCCATTACGATCGCAGTCGTCTCTTCTCCGTTCTTTCTTCTGTTTATTTAATTCCCCCTTTTCGCCCGTCGATTACACACGATGACCGGTCGAGGAGGCGGTGGAGCCGCTCGCAAGACATTGCTTGCGCCGATTCACTTTATCTTCAAGCTCCTCCAGCAACGAACCACGGTGTCGGTCTGGCTGTATGAGCAGCTGGCTTTCCGGATAGAGGGAAAGATTCGGGTAATGATGCTCCGGTGCTTCCCCCACGCGCAAACAGCGTACTGATCTCATGGGATAGGGATTCGACGAGTTCATGAATCTGGTCATCGACGACGCCGTGGAGGTCCGAATGCCGACAAAGACGGAGGAGGAAAAGCGGCGACCGCTGGGTATGAAGCTTCCCATCGCGACGCGTGCTGTACTGTGTTTTCTTTTTCTGCGATGCTAACGGAGTGACGTCGACAACAGGCCAAATCCTGCTGAAGGGTGACAATGTGTCACTGATCCAAGCCGTCCAGTGATCCGAACGAGGGGCCGAACATTTAATAGAGAAAAAAATACCGAAATGGAAGAAAAAGCAAAAACAACAAAATCAATTTTTTTTCGCTTGTGTCACGACCAAATTCCACACTTGTCTGTTAATCAAGAGAGCTATCTACACGTTCCCGGTGGGAGGAAACAATCATATGCACATCTACTACGTACACGAGAAACTTGCCATGAGGGGATAACTTAAGTGAACTTCGGTGGTTCGGGTTTCTCAATCAGCGCTGGCGGAAGGTGCACTCTTCGTCGCCCACGATGAGAACATCTACTAGCCAGTCGTGATCGGCCACGGGGACTTGTTCGGGCGCGGACAGCATTTGCTCCCTGAGACAGGGAGCCACTGGACGAGAGTTAGCCGGAGACGATTCGGGTTAGTTGGGGTGATGTTTTGGGGACGAGGGTTTGGTTCTTTTCTTACCGAGTAGAGGCATCTTTTGCGTCTTGTTCTGGCTCTCAGCATCTTTCAAATACCTAGCCAAAAATTGATCATAATATCCTCTCCCATGGCCCAGGCGCCGAAATCCCGAATCAAAAGCCATTCCGGGCATGACGAGCAAGTCGAGTCCGACCTCGTCCTGGCGGGCTTCCACGGCGATGCCAGTCCCTCCGAAGCAGTTCTTCTTAGTCTCGGCTTGCGGTTTCGTGAACGACGGAATCCCCCATTTGTCGCGCTTTAGCGCGTAGAACTCCTCCATCGAATCTAGGGATAACATGTCCATTGTGGAGGTCTTCGCTTGCACCATCGGCGGCATCAGGGTGTGGATGTGTGGCACATACACCTCTTTGCCCGCTGCCAGCGCATCTTGCACGATGTCCGTGGTGGACAGTTCCCCCGTCAGCATGGAGAGATAGACTCCGATGCGCCGCGCATTCCGGTACTCCTCCATGGACAGGAGTTTACTCGTGGCCGCTCTGGCTGTGGCGAGTCAGCTTGTTACTGCGAGTCCAAGACGAGGTCTATCGCTGACATTGTTGAGTGATGGAATCCGCGGGGATTCTCTGCAAGACATCGCCCATTCTCGACCGAAGCTGTTTTTTGGCCACCTGAAGAGCAGGCATCGTCATGGCGGCGGATGGGGCTGGAGACTGGAGTCTCGACTTCGAGCGCAAGCGATGATATCAACGTAATGAATGATGAACGTAGAGGCCGACAAGGTAGAGACAGTGACTGCGTAGTTCGAGAGGAGAAGGAGATCGGCGCGGGCTTGGCGCATTTCTGGCCGCTGATTTGCGTGTTCGATCGACATGTTTGTATGCCACTTGCATACTCCACCGTGCAGCCCTCGCCCTTGATACCAGCCCTTCTTTTGTTTACTCATGTCCTTCGCATCTTTCCGGCTTCCTTCTCGTCGTTCTGAGCTGCCACCATGATCGTGGGGTACCTGTATCTCGGCTTGCTGGCAACGACCGCGAGTGCTGCAAAAGTCGCCGATCTAGTCGGTACTTGGTCTACAAAGTCCGGCAGCGTTGTGACAGGTCCAGTACGTTTGACGCCTTCGTCGCTCGGGGTTGATGGGGAAATGGGAAATGTGGTCGCGCACTAATGCATCGGACAGGGCTTCTACGATGCCGTCAAGGACAAGCTGATCGAGCCGGATCTACCGGGCATCTCCTACTCGTTCACGGCCGACGGTCACTATGAAGAGGCCTACTATCGCGCCCTTGCGAATCGTCAGTCCCTCCCACTCCCCTCTGCGGGTTTGATTGTCCCTCATCGACATGTACTGACGCGCGTGGTTTGACCAACTACAGCCACGAACCCTTCGTGTCCGAAAGGGATTATGCAATGGCAGCATGGCACCTTCACCATGGACAGCGATGGCTCTCTAGAATTGTCGCCCATCGAGAGAGACGGACGCCAGCTCGAGTCAGACCCGTGCTCGTCCTCCCTGGGGACATACACGCGATACAACCAGACCGAACGCTTCAATGTATGTCGTTCTCGCTGCCTGCGTTGGTGTCGATGCTGACACTGCCATAGTCCTTCAAGGTTTCCGTTGATCCTTACCACAACGTTCAACGTCTGGATTTGTTCTCTTTTGACGACTCGCCCATGCATCCGATGTACATCACCTACCGGCCGCCACAGATGCTCCCGACTAGCCCCTTGGAGTCAGTAACCAAGGACGCAAAGCGCAAACGCGATGTCGGCAGCCAGACCGAGTCGCCTTTTCGCATGGCGAACTTGATTAAGCGAGAAGATCTTGTCAACCCGGATCGATGGCTGTGGCTGGGTATTTTCATGACTGCCCTCGGCGGAATTACTGTATTCTGTTCCTGACATCTGGTTGGGTGCATCGAGAAGGCTGGTTAGTGACAGACTGGGAATTGGAAACCATGGATAATATGGATAATACGGGCGTATAGATGGGGCCTTCACATACAACATTGGCGCTGGAAGGATTCTTTTATTTTCCGTTTCGACGCGACTGTTTCACGCGATACTTGCTTGTTTCTCTCTGGTGACCTTAATTTCCTTGCACGTAAATTGAATGGATATAATCAGGCAATATTTGGGCGTTATCGTTCGTCTCTTCTCATTTCCCGTAATGGAAGCTCGCTGGGTCTGATTCATCCCGCAGCAAATCTCTAGATGCAGAGTGGATATCAATTGACATAGTACAAGTGGATAATATACATTTTTTTTCTCGCCCGGATGTCCTAAGCAGCTGCGACAAGCTCCTTAGCGATCCTGGCAACCTCTGACCTCTCGGCGGGCTTGCCATCCAGGGCACCTCCCGGGGCGAAGAGAGCCTTCAGCACCAGGCCAACATTCGTCTTGTTGCCTCCCTCCTGCAGCTTGGCGATCTCCTGCGAGACGATTTGCTTGACATCGTCGAGGCTCATGGTCTCCACCTGTCCGGCATATTCCTCCAGGATGGCGACCTGCTTGTCCTCGTTCTCCTGGAGATCGGGTCGCTCGGCTTCGGCGAATTGTTTCGAGGCCTCCTTCGCATTGGCGGCGCGCTTCCGAATCAGCGACAAGAGCTGCAGGTCGGTTTGGATGGGCGACGCCGTTCGGACCGAATTGTTGGTTTCGGAGATGAGGGCGCGCAGAACATTCAACCTGGTTATTGGCACATTGTTTAGCACTAGAGACCCATGACACCAGAATCGATTCCAGCATACCTATCCTTATCCTTGGCTCGCATGGCAACCTTGAGATCGGTGCGGATCTTGCCCATCAGAGGCGGCGATGCCGGACTGGCGGTCGAGTTCCATCGCACGGAGCGGAGAGGGAGGCGGGGGGCGAGACGTAGAGAACGGAACATGATGGTGAGAATGAAGCAGAGGGAGGAAAAGACAATAGTCCAAGGGTATAAATCAAGGTAAATAAAAGATGATGAAATCCCGGGCGGAGAGAGAAGCAAAGGCGGCGAGCAGCTCGAACTGCCGGGCCCGTGCACAATTTTGTTTCTCTTGTGCTTTCCGCTGCCAACCCTTCACCTTCACCTTCACTTCCTCCTGCTCCTGCTCCCGGACCTTTTGTCTGTCCCTCTCCCTCGCGATTCTTTCTTTCTTCTTCTCATTCCCCTTCGTCTTCCTCGACTTCACCTTTTCCCGCTCTCCCTTGGTTCTCTGCGCCCAATCAATTTCGTCGACCACGCCCCGGGGAGCGCGACGATTTCCCCCCCAACGGCCTGCATCGGCCTGTCAGACCGCACCATGTCCTATCCCAATTTATCCACGATGGCCACGCCGCCGCGCAGGCCACTTCCCGGCGCATACTTCCAGACTCCGGCTCCAGTGCCCAATCCCGTGCCAAAGCCGCCAGCTGCTGCGGCTCCCCCCGCCGATGCTGCGGTCCCGGTGCCCGCCTCGCTTCCCAAGTTTCCCCCGGCGGCGTCGAAGTCGAAAAGTCAGACATTGAGAACGGAGGAGCGGGGCGCGCGGACGGTCAACGATACTCTGCTGCAGGAGGCTCGCTATCCGGACTTGGACAACTATCTCTCGCGTAAGTGGAAGCTCTCCGCTCGTCTGGTCGGGTGGAAATGCCCGGTCCCTTGCTAACGCTCGCTGTGCAGAGGGATTCTCCTCGGACTATGACATGCCCGCGACGCCTTCGTGGCATCCCTTCCAGAAGGTGAAGATGTATAACATCCCTGATCAGATTTTCGATCAGTATAATCGCGCCCAGGTTTCGACGAGCATGGGTCTCTTCGCCGAGCTGAATCACGCGTGGGTTGCCATTGACAACGCTCTCTACATCTGGGACTATACGCATCCCAATCCTCAGCTGGTGGGATTCGAGGAGCAGCCGAACAGCATCAATTCCGTGCGCCTCACGAAACCTCGCCCCGGGGTGTTCCTGCCTTCGATCACTCACCTTCTAGTCATCTCGACAACGGTCGACATCATCCTGCTCGGAATGGGCTGCGAGACAACGGCAGCGGGCGCGCGCCAAGTGACGTTATACCAGACCGGCATGTCGGTGTCGATCCGTGGCCTGGATGTTGACGTGATCACCGCTTCCGACGCGACGGGCCGTATCTTTTTCGGAGGTTCCTCCAGCGATGATGTCTACGAGCTTGTCTACCAACAGGAGGAGAAATGGTTTAAGGGCCGGTGCTCGAAGGTGTGCCACACTAGCTCCCGCCTGTCGACGATCACCCAATCGCTCAGTTTCACGGCGCAACAATTCGAGAGAGTAGGCCAAATGGAGGTCGACGACAGCAGGCAATTGCTCTATACGTTATCGACCTTGTCTACGATCCGGGTATTCCATATGAAATCGGACGGTACTCTTGCTCTGGCCATCACCAAGCAGGCGAGCGACATCTATGCCAACATCGGACACATCATCCCCACGAACGACACGGTTCACTCTCGTGTGCGCATTGTCTCCATCAGCCCCATTCCCGCCGCCGAGGCGTCGAGATACCACTTGATGGCAACCACTGCCACTGGATACAGAATTTACCTCAGTGCCACCGCCTCTTTCAGCTGGAACTCGGACCCCTCGAGTTCTTCTGCCCCCACGAGCATGCAGGCACATCACGTTAAAACCCCTCCCATCAACCCGGCCCTTCTCGCCGAACAGGGCCAGGGCATTCCCGGTCAGCCTCGATCCACAACATCCATCGCGTCCAAGCAGTCGATCTACTCCCTCGATCCAACTCGGTTCGCTGCTCGGTACCCGCCGGGCTATTTCTTTTGTTTCACGTGCAAGGATTCTGTTTTGAAAACCGATACGCTCTTCATCTCGTCGCCTGATTCCGGGCGAGTGGCCCGTTCGCAAGAGAATGTGATTCCCGAAAAGGCCGCCGAGACCGCAACTTGGCTGAGACTGGGTAGCAGCGCGGAGGATATCGGTCTTTGCTCGCCACCTCCGGTGGCCTCGAACACGCCTGGGGGGTTCAGCAACGAACTTGCCGTCCAATTCGAAAGCCAGGCGGCGGAGATCGCCATTCTCACTAACACTGGCATTCATATCATTCGCCGGCGACGTCTTGTGGACATCTTCGCGGCATTGGCGCGAAATGGCGGCGGCGACGAGGGTCTGGATGGCGAGGTCAAGAGCTTCATCCGCACGTACGGTCGAAGCGAGACCCTCGCTACTGCCTTGGCAGTGGCATGTGGTCAGGGAGTGGAAGTGTCGACGGAATCGCGATTGACCCAGGTCACCGATCCCGATGTCCTGGAGTTCGCGCGCAAGGTATTCATTGAGTACGGCGGAAGGCCGACGATGAACGAAAACGTCGTTGCGGACAGCGCGACACCCGCCATCGACACCGTTGTGCTCTCTCCCCGACATTCGGGTATTGCCCTTTACATCTCTCGGCTTTTGCGCTCGATCTGGAATAAGGAAATCGTCAAGGTGACCAGCACACCCAACGGGGCGCAGAGCGTCACTCCCTCGGTCGCTCCGGCGAAGCTGCAGAGTGTCCAGCGAGACCTCGCGGCTCTGCAAGAGTTCTTCACGGCGAACAAAAGCTTTATCGAAGGACTGAGCGGCCCGGAGGCTCTGACCCGCGTGTCGACAAAGCAGGAGGAAACGGCGTTGCAGGCGGAACACAGGGCCCTCCACTCTCTGGTTCAACTTGTGTCTCACACCATCGAGGGCATTTCGTTCGTCTTGGTTCTCTTTGACGAGCGCGTGGATGAGATCGTGGCACCGCTGCCCGCCGAATCCAAGCAGCGTTTCATCACCCTTACGTTCGAGGAGCTTTTCAGCACCGGCAAAGGCCACGAGATCGCAAAGGAACTGGTGAAGGGGATCGTGAACAGGAACATCGCCAAGGGTTCGAACGTGGAAACGGTAGCAGACGCCCTCCGCCGCCGGTGCGGCAGCTTCTGCAGCGCCGAGGATGTCGTTATTTTCAAGGCCCAGGAGTGTTTGAAGCGGGCTACTGAGGCTGGCTCGAACTCGGAATTCGGCCGCAACCTGTTGAATGAGAGCTTGCATACATTCCAGCAGGTGTCTGAGAGTCTTCCTATGGACTATCTTGTCTCCGCGGTGGAGAGTTACATTGCGAATCAATTCTTTGCGGGTATGTTATTATCGTGTCACGAATAATCTGATCTGCAGTGGCTAACTGAGTCAACAGGCGCGATCCAGCTCGCTCTCAACGTGGCTCAAAGTTCGGACAAGGGCAACGCGGCGCTAACGTGGGTTGCGGATGGACGTCTGGAAGAGGTACAACATGCCATTCTCTAAATGCTTTCCCTGTACACGTGTGTCAGGCTAACACTATTTTGATCCAGGATTCCCGAAAGGACTACTTCTATTACAGGAAGCAGTGTTATGATCTTATTTTCAAGGCAATCCTTGCCGTGGACAACCTTGCGGCCCAGGATGCCGGAATGATCGACGGCCAATTGACCACCATTGCCAAACGCCAGAGTGAAGCGTATGGAGTCATCACCAAGTCCACGGATGAGCTTTTCTTGACCAGTCTATACGACTGGTACCTCGAGGAGGGCTGGAGCGACCGTCTGCTCCAAACCGACACGCCACTTGTCGTCACGTATCTGGAGCGCAAGTCGACTGATGATCTCTCGCACGCCGATCTGCTTTGGAAATACTACACTCAGTCGCAACGGTTCTTCGATGCGGCCCAGGTGCAATACAACCTCGCCCAAAGTGCTTTCACGCTCCCCCTTAGCCGCAGGATCGAGTACTTGGGTCGTGCCAGGGCCAACGCCTCGATCTTCACGCCAGACGTGGGACGACAGCAACGACAGCGACTCCTGCGAGAAATTTCAAACCTGATCGATGTTGCAAACATCCAGGATGATCTTTTGCAGCGCCTCCGGGATGATAGGCGGATCGAGGCGGGTCGCCGACAGGAGGTCATCCGCGATGTTGACGGTGCGATCATGGATATCAGCACGGTAAGTTTTATCTACGCATGCCATCCTACGCGAAGATATTCCCAGTCAGCCATACTGATCTATACTTAGCTGTTCAACCAATACGCCGACCCCGCCAGCTACTACGATGTCTGTCTCCAAATCTTCTACGCGGCTGACTACCGCGATCCCGCCAACATCAAAATCACCTGGCAGCACCTTCTCCAAAACCTGCACGACGAAGTCGCCGAGAGGGGCGAGATCCCCCCCTTCGAAGCGGTCGCCGAAAAGGTCCGCAACCTGGGCGGCCGTCTTCGCATGTCCGAAGTCGTCTTCCCCATCCCCATCATCCTCCCCTTGCTGGAGCGCTACTCCCTCGAACACCAGCGCGGCGTGGCCCCGGCCACCTGGATCGTCGACCTCTTCCTCGACCTGGGCGTCACGCACGAGGCCCTCTACGCCGTCCTCGAATCGATGTTCTACGTCGACGAGGCCCCCTTCCACGGCCCCAACCGCAGATACATCGCCAAGGACCTGCTGTACGTCATCGACCACTGGTTCCGGGGCACCGTGCGTCTCGGAGGCGCCGTGTTCGGCAGCGACGTTATTGCCGAGCGGGTCTGCGAAACGCTCCTTCTTCTCCTCCAGACGAGTGCCATCCCTCCGGATCAACTGCAACAAGCTCAGGACCTGCGACGGAAGATCGAAGAAACCTTGCGATATGAATGAGTTGGACTATGTTGTTGAATTGGGTTAAGTTTGCGTATTTTTTTTTCTCTTCTATTTTTTTATTAGCATTGGGGGACTTTTGGCCGGAGGATAAGCAGCAGCATTCATTTCACAAACAAGCAAGCAAGAAGAGAGAACGCACGAGGATGAAGACGAGGATGAGGACAGCACCACCGGAAGAAGACACGAAGTTAAAATTTCATCTCCTTTTTTTTTTTTTTCTTTCTTACTTTTTCACCATCTGCTACTACTACTAACACTAACTCTGATACTACTCCGTATGTATGTACTGTACTATTTGGGCGTCTTGTGTTGTTTTTTTCCCTTCTTAATTTTGTGTGTTTTATTTGTTTGTTTAGAGGGAATGCCAAGGCTTTGAACTTTTTTTCCGACTTTCTTTCTTTTTTTTTTCTTTAAGTGGTTGGTTGGTTGGTGGTCGGTCTGTTGTGCACCGCGCGCGGTCCAATGTAGACTTTGGTTTTCTCTTAGTTATCGAATACCTCCTCCTTGATTGTGTATTGGTTAAAGGAGAGATTCTAATACAAATCTAATTTAACTCATCACTGCGTGCAAGTATTGTAGTAGCATGATGTGGCTGCCGCAGTTTAGTTTCATCGCGGGATATATATTTGCGGACAAGTAGTAGCACTACAACAACAATAAATCAACTGCCAGACCGAGAATGTCCAGTTCAGAACGGTAACACATTACGATATGTAGAGAGGATAGAAAATGGTTTTTCTTTTACACTATACTCCCTTTGAAGTTGAATACTTGGTAGCTGAAACCCTCTCACACTAACTATAACTGTACCAATTAATGAATGAATAGATCTTCGGAGGATAATCTGTCTAAAAAATAGACTCGAAATGTGAATAAAAATAGAAGGAAATGTCTTAATCTACCCCGTTGGATGAAGACACAGAATGAAGTCGAGTATCCGAGTCAGCAAGTAGAGATTATACCCAAGAACAACCTAGGTCAATTCCGTAGGTTGGGTCGAGCATCGACCACGGTGAGCCTAAGTATAGAGTGCCAAAAGTACGCCTAGGGCTAGACCGCTCGACGATCATCGTACTTCGAGTTTCATACGAAGTAAAAACCAAAATAAAACTTCATCTCATCATGTATTAAGTAAAAAAATAAATAATAGGTAAATATAAGTCCACCTCGACCAATATGGCAAACAAGGTGGCCAGAAAAAGACAAACAGATGAAAATGAAAAACAAAACAGCCAGCCATTAGCAAACAAGCAAAAACACGAAAACAAGTCTATTAGCGGAACCCAAAATAGCGCAGAAAAACAGGCGGACGAGGACAAGTATGAAATGATCCACCGCATTGGACAAATCAAATCAAACCCGATTCAGTCCAACCAAACCAAACCAAAAAGAGGATGTGAATCCAACCGTTCTATGTATCAACCGAGCCGAGGTATCAATCAAACCAAACCAAGCAAGCAAGCAATCAATAAAAGCTGATAAATCAAAGGCAGCCAAGCAAAATGGCGGTCCCGAGTCCCTGGAAATGGAAACCAAGTGGCGAGAAAGAAAAAATGGCAAATAAACGCCCGCGTGCCGATCCGACATGTCATATCCATGAAATGCAAGGTATGAGTGAAGAAGGAAATCTGAGCCGCGTGTCGAGTATTGATTCTAATTTCCGAGGATGGAGCCGGTCGACAAATTGGGATGTGGCAAATGCAAGAACGAATTAAGAAAGAATATTGAGTAACAAAACTCCGTCAATGGCGCTTGCTTGATGAAAACTAGGCGAAATGAAGTTCAATCGGGACGGAAGCGCGTCGTGAGAGTCGACTGTCCTGGGACAATCTACTCGAATTGGTCGTAAACAGGGATCGGCTTTTCGCCGAGGGCAGTGAGGCGGAAAATGTGGCGGAGTTTGGCGCCATTGTCGTCGTCTAGGTAATCGACGATGGCAGAGTCTAGAACGGTCAGCCTTACGATCAACTATTTTGGGGAAATGAAGCGAGAACATACGCAGAGTGCAACGGTTGTCAAACATGACGATCGTCCTGGGTTGCCATCTCACGCGAGCCTGGAAATCATGGCCACCGATGATGTGCTGCATGAGGAAGTCGACGAGCCAGCGTTGCTCGGGCTCTTTGAGACCCTGAATGCGGGTGATGAATTCACCGTTGATGAAAAGGCACTTCTCGCCGGTGACGGGGTGGACGCGGACAAGAGGGTGGGTGGTGTCAACGGGGTCTTTGCGGACCAGACCTCCCGTTGAACGAGCGTGATTGATCATCTTGGCAGAGGAGTGGGTGACGCGCAGAGTGTCGAGCCACGAGGTGAACGTGGGAGAGAGACGCCTGCGTTGTTAGTTTTGAAGGTTTCTCGAGAACTAACCCTAGAAAACTTACTTGTATGCCATATCAGTCGCAGCGAAGACAGTGTCACCTCCAACTTCGGGGCCCTCCAGAAGACCCAGCATGACATAGCCGGGAGGCTGGATTTCGTAGCTAACATCCTGGTGCCAAAGAGTCGTGGTGGTGCGCTGTTCCAGGAAACGCGAGATCTCTTCACGGTTACCATCGCGATGGATGATATGGAAGCCAGGGTGGCCGCGCACGCTGCCGGAGACGGGCTGATAGTTGGGCTTGCCGAAGTGGCGCATAAAGGCCTCCTGGGCCTCCGGACCGGCGTCGATGAGGTCTTGCTCGGGGAAGGCGACGACTTTGCGCTCCGCAATCAACAGGGCCAGTTCGTCCTTGGCAGCGTCTGTGAGCTTGTTCAATTGTACACCTTCAACAACGGTGCCCATGCGCGGCTGAATCTCGGTCACTTTGGTATCGGGGCCCAACAAGTTGCGCTTGGACTTGTCTTTGACGCGGAGGGCGGGATCCTCGTAAGTGAACGGCGTCAATGGGTCGAACCAGATCTTGTCCCATGTCGGGAGGTATTCGGGGTATCTGGTGCGCGCATGGGTCTCCTTGTTGACATCGACATAAGGGATGTTGATGTCATAGCTGATTGGCTCGTCTTCCTTGTGCGCATTGACAGGTTGAGTCTTCTTTGGTCGTATGACGGGGGCAGAAGACGGCATTGTGACTTTTGTGTTCTTTTCTATGAGATCAGAGAAAGAGACGGGGCAATCACCAAGCAGAGATTAAAGTGGGAGAAAGCAGGAGCAATGGAACAAAGAGATTGATGTATACTCCGGGAAAAGGAAGTAGACAGTTAAGACAGAGCAAGGTCAAATACTTGAAGAGTGGATGAAGATGAAAAGGAATGAAAAAAAGAGCTTGTTGGAAGAGGCAGACGAGGAGTATAAATAACAATGGATGAAGCCGGCCTCCACTCCTCCGTCATCGCATCGATGGGATCACATAAATAAAATCAAACAAATAAATAAAATAAAAAGGTAGGACTTGTTTGAGGCAGGAATCCTAGGCGAGTGGATGATAGACCATGCCGGCACCAATAGACTGGCACCAAACGGGGACTTCGCTAGAATAGGACTATCCCTTTCATCTCCGATGCGGCGAACTCGCGCTGGGGATGCGCCAAACTATTCATGGCGGACAAAAACGTTTCCTCGATGTCATGACGACAGGGGGGAGCAGGAATCGGCCTTAGGACGGGTCTCGACAGATTAGGCCGGAGAGCATCATAAGGATTAAGGGATATGGTGTGTGGGAAGAGGGGCGGCAGCAGCTACGCAGCCACTCAGAGATGAGATGGGCCGATGGCAATTGGTTCAAAAAGGGCGAAAGAGAAGAGAACCGACAGACAGGATCGGTAGGCGAAGAGAGACGTAGCGGAGAAAAAAAAAAAAAAAGAAAAAAACTAAAAGAAAAATCAAAAATCAAAAATCCAGAAATAAAAATAACAGCAGAAAAAATAAAAATAAAAATGAAGAATCGAAGACCAATTAAATAAATTCAAGAAAGGGAAGAGAAGCGGTCAAGCAGAAAAAAAAAGGGCCCAATGTACCGATATCCACCTTGATATACATACGGAGTAGCTCCCGCACCAAGGGGAAATCCCCCCAAGACAGACAGAAGGACGAGAGTAACAGAGTATGGGAGAAAGCCGGACGATGGTAGGCCAAGTTCCTCTGCCTCATGGCCAGCGAGATATCCCTAAGCTGTGGGCACAGTCTTCTTCCTGCTCCCGGCGTGATCCGGCGGATTGGCTCATCGTCTGTCGCGATGTATTCCATTTGTTTCTGGTGCGGTTTCACCGCTCAATCTGGCGCAACCGGACGAACGATAAGAAGCCGAGCGAGCGCCAGAGGCCAGGGAAGTGGAGCCCATGCACCATGCACGTTGGTCCAATATCGTTAACTTTGAGTCTGTTTCGAACCGGGTAATAGGCCATGTTGGATCGCGGAAGATGGGAGTTGCAGTAGTCGCCCGAGACACAGCTGCAGCCACCGGTAGCTCTGCTATCTTGCATTGTCCTTGCATCGATGGGGGAGAAGGCGTAAAAAATCCCGGCTTCCAGGCCTAGGTTGCTTAATTTTTTTTTTGTTCATGCTTGTCCTACTGCGATTGTACGTCGACTATTTTGCGTTATGTAACCTGCAATCCAATAATCGAGGAGCATTGCAGCGGTTGGTCTTGCCTCCGGCCGGTGGACTGATCGATTGTCGATAATGCGAATGCATGCCGTACGACATTGGCGGAAATCTATTTGTCTCTTTTCCGTGTCCACTATCCAACAAGATAATTGTAGGCTTTTTTTTTTTTTTTTTTTTTTTTCCTGTCCCTGGTCAGTTTGCTTTACGCCTTCGGGAGTGATATCCCTGTTTTATCGTGTGCTCGATCACGATAGACTTATTCGACACGCATCCAACCAAAGTGCTTCTTTTGGATAGACACATAAAACAAGGGGCCAAGGGGGGAACACTTTGACTTTTTCCCGATCATTTTTCCTGATAATTTTGGCACTTGTTTCTGGTGACTTGCTTCATGGGTCCCCCGCCCGTGTCAAGGAAGAACACGAACGTCGGTGTAAAAAAAATCAAGGTTGCACACAGGGATGTCTCTCTCTTAGCGGGCTTCCAGTCAAGCAACATCCCTATGCAGCAGCCAATCCGCCCCAAGGGCGGAGCAACCAAAAGGATAGCGGCTGCGATTGCTTGCAAGCCAAGACTCTGGTGACGTTCATGATCATTTCGGAAAAGCGGCCCAATGCCCGTTTATCAGGCTTCCCCACAGAGGTACATTAGCGTTCCAAGGACTTTGGTAGATGACCCCAGAAGGAATATGGAATGTTTCCACGGCCGTTTCGAAGGCCCATCGAAGCCTCGAACGAAGCCGCTTGGAAAAAATTGGTCCGATCATGTACAATGATGCTCCCACCGACCCGGTCAAACTGCAGGCTGCACATCTAGGCCCACCGGGTAGGGTAAACAAAGAAAGCCGAAACCAAAAAAAGCCATGATTCTTTTTTAGGGGCCTGGAGGAGTCGAATTGTAATCGCGACTGGTGAGGAAATTTTTTCGTCCAGTATATTGACTGAAATTCTCTGTCATTTTAGCCACTACGCCGAAATGATTGGCACCAGGTTCGGGACACCGTCTCGGGTGCCGCTTTGATTAACCTCCTATTGACGGGAAGTACCATGTCACTGGATTGTAACGCCTTTTTTTTTTTTTTTTTTTTTTTTTTTTTGTTTTGTGGTTGATCTTTTGACTTTTGGGCTTCCCGTCAGGTCCTTTGGTGAATTTGCATTCTGTTACGAAATCGATTTCCCCCCTTGGCCAAAGGATTCGCAAGATTGGCACCAAGTTGGTAACGGGAGTGGCTGGCTACTGGCAGAAGGGCGAGGTATGTGGCCGAGGAGGCTCGTCAATCATCAATCGGAGCTACCCTGGTAGCAGCGGTCAAAAGTTTGCCCCCCAAACAAACGCTCCGGGGAAAGGACTAAGGGATCCATCGGGACGGAGTGGTGCTATGTCGGGTCGACCGAGGGAGGAAAGACAGTAGACGAGTCCCATCGACGCACGCTATGTGATAGATTAATGGCGGTGGTTCGGTAATAGTCTGACGCTAAGATGCAATCTTCCCGTGGCTTGTCGCAGTGGATTCGAAAGACAGCCGGTCCAAATTATTAGTTGGGAAAATGACAAGCCGACAGGAAGTCCCGCGCCCTGCCGTACTTTTGGATCGCACCTGATACATCCATTGTTATGAGTATGCTGAGACCGGTGAATCCCGTCCGCGCCGTCAGCCGTAGAAATATTGAATGGGTGGAGAGTCAAAAAGGTGGCACCGGGGCATACGAAGCAGATGGATAGATAAGAAGATTGAATACGGAGGAATATTTGCTTTTGCTCCTTGCAGTACGCTGGATATTCCTGGAGCAAATGGAGTCGATCCAATTCCCGGACCGGGAAAAGAGTCTGGCGGTCCACCAGATGGAAGGGGGAGGGGGGTGGAGCAGATCAGCCCCCTGGGGCTGTCACCATTAGTTCATTGGAGGGGAGGAAGGAGGGGGCGAATTTTTTTTCTCATGTCCGTTACTTCCTCTTGCACCACAAACTTCCAGCAACAAGGTCAAGGGGCAAAAGCAGAATTGCGGTGAGGGAGTCTCAAATTCGGGCAGGATCTCAGGCTGAGCCTGTAAGACGGTGTGTGTGTAGTTACCCGGTCGGCAAGAAAGAGCCGTTACCAGCAGCATCCGCCCGAGCGGACGTGATATAATGAACTGTGACGATCCGACGATGCTAATAATCTCGAAGACCCCGGCAGGGGCAGATCGAAGGATAGTATGATGCAAGATCGATGAGAACGAGAAGCTTGATAAGCCCTGAAGAGGAAAAAGCAACGAGAGCGATTAGCATTGCTTCTGGCAGCCCTGAGCCTTGGTTCACACTAAGGCTAAACTTACCCGACTCGCGGAGTCCGTTCCAGAGTTCCACCACGCAGCTAAGCTTAAGCTATCTTTAGGGGGAGACGAGACTGGCCTTGCAGCTCCGAGGCCCAAAGTCTGAAAGGGGGGTGAAAAAAGCAAACATCCTGTCTTCCCTTGCCCTGGTTTTTTCCAGCAGTCTGGGTCTGGCGGGGAATTCCGGGATTTTTGTCAGATTTCGATTCTTTGGGTGATGTCAGACCAGCAGGCAAATGAGGCGGAGGCAGGAAGAAGGAAGAACCCGCGATGTTTGCTCTCGTCACCTGACCGCGTGATTGGCCTGTTTGTTGTTTGTCACGTTGCCTGCCGTCTCTCCCCACATTCCTCTGCTGCATTAAAAGCACACTTGATCAATTGATTCGGCCTCAAGTTTGACAAGATCTCCACAACTTCAGTTACACCCGATCGCCATGGCCTCTCCCAAGAATTCGTCCACTCTCTCCCTGTGGAATCGTAAACGCGATCTGCTCTACTTCATTTTCTTCGCGATCCACATCCCCATCGTCTTCTGTGAGTCGAGTCCTGCTACTTGCTGTATGCGACGTCTAGACTAACCGCCACCTTCTGGATAGTGGTCGACACCGTGCATCTGCAGCCTTCGTTCTTGACCTTCCAGTTCTCCCACGATGTCCGCGACTTCTACTTCCGCAACTACCAGGACAAGTTCTTCATGGGAACTCCGCCCGGCTGGTTCCAGTTCTTCTCGTACATGGAGCTCTACTACCACGGACCCTTGAGCATCTGGGCCGTTGCGGCGCTCTGGAAAGGTATGCACGCGCACGGCCAATGACTGGGATTATGATTGGAACTGGAGTTGTCGGGACACTGCCGCTAACGTCTGATGATTGGTACCTAGACGACCCCATGGTGCCCGTCCACTTGCTCGTTTTCGGAATCCAGTCCTTCGTCACCACCCTCGTCTGTCTCATTGAGATGTGGAGCTGGGCTGATCGCACCGTCGGCCAGAAGCAGGCCCTGTCGATGCTGTATACCCCGTATGCGGCGCTTGGTAGGTTTCCCTCCCGTGTTTGTTGCGACGGTGGCATGCTAACCGTATGATGCAGGCGGCTTCATCGCACTGGACATGATATTTAGATTGCGCCGACAGATTCTGGCCAAGGCCAAGCGCGAGTAGCTGGGCTTTCTGCCGTTCTCTTTTCCCGTCTTTTGTTTTATTGGGTAGAGATGCGTACATGATGTTGGTCCGATTTACGATGTCATATGTCTCTTCTTGATTCTTGATCTATGTATTCTGAGATACTCGTACTTCTCGGATAATAGAATCATTTTTATTGCACTGCTGGTATGAAACGCACTTGTAGTATGATGCCTATGTTGTAGAACGGATGATTGCATTAGACCTGAAACTGGCTCAAGCCATCGTTGCCACATCACAACCACGGGAAGAGACAGAAAAGATAATAATAAAATAGGTGATGTATATATAGAAAACATACGCCGCGCAAACGCCTCTAATAATGCATTGATGCCTTGACTCGCTAGGTCTTGGTAGGTGAAATTATGCAACCAGCCACGGTCCGCCATGATGCCACCGCCAGACTCAGTTGCTCTGGGCTTCTCTACTGCGCCTCGTCGATCAGAATCAAACGGTCAGGGCTTTGTCATACGTCACTAAGAGCTCGGATACATAGGTACAAAGCCGCCCGGGTGGGCCGATCAGATCAGGAATCCAATGGCGCCGTCTAGGTCGCCGTTGGCGGCATCCAATGCGCGCATCGCTTCTTCCCGTGTGAATCCCAGCTCGGTGATCTTCGCGATGGTGTCCTGCGACCAGCGGGATGATTGCGTCGGGGCCGGGCGGATGTTGATGCCGGGATTTGACGAGGACGCCGCGGCTGAAGATGATGGGCCGGCAGCAGCGCCACTGGAGCCTTGACCTCCACCCGCTTGATGCGTGACGGCCCCTGTGCGAGCGCCGACTTCGGCGCCGTCGGGCCCTCTGATCATCGGCTCGTCCTCGAATTCCTCCTGCAGATGTTTCGGAATATCGGCTTCTCCCAGGAACGGGACCGCCTGGTCCTGGATGACGAGAGCCCCCCTCTTCAGGTCGATGCACGCTTGGTGCCGCTTCAACATATCCAGACCCAGGAGCAGGTCGATGTGCTTGCCTTCCATGACGGTGAAGGAGCACGGGAGAAACATGCTGCCGATTTTGATCTGGGCCGAGTGTACTCGACCGAGGATAGTCGCCGTTCCGACACCCTTGGCAATGCCTCCGTATCGCTGGTCGACCAACCGCATGATGTTGCACGCAGTGGCACACTCGGGGGACATGATGGTCACCTGGGCACCCGAGTCGACAAAGGCATTCAATCGGTGACCGTTGACTTCGACAGGGATGTACAGCATGTTGACACGCCCAAACGCTACGAGGCTCGGTTAGCTTGAGGGCCCCATTTCTTTGTTCGAAAGATACATAATCTCAAACCAACTCACATTCAGGATGGTGTTCCATCGCGTTATGGAGGTTCTCCGTCACCGCATTTTGTCGAATGATCTCCTCGATCGCCTTCTGGTTCTCGGGATTGAACGGATCCGCATTCAGCATTGCAATCCTTGCTTCCTTCTCTTGCTCCATTTGAGCCTCCCGCCTTTGTTGTCCGAGCAAGATGTCACGGAAACGCTGCGGATCTTGGGCGGCCTCTGCTAGTTCCGGGTTCTGGCGTCGGACAGCCTCGCGCACGCGCGGGTCGCCTAGGATATGCAGACGGATTGTCTCCGGATCGGGATTCATCGCCTGTTGTCGCTGAAGGTTTTGCTGCGAGGCCGCGGAGGTGGGAGCGCTGGGACCTCCGACCGTGCGGGCAGGTGCTTGGGGCGTCCGTAGCGTTACATGAACGCCCAGCATGTCTCCTTCGCCTATCCCGACCTGTTCCAGGGTACGTTTATCATCGCTGAGCAGCTGGTTGTTGTAAACAAGCCGTTGGTCGGTGGGGGAAATGGAAGTTTCGCTCTCGACGATGGCTTTGAGCAGATCGATCGTCATGTCCCCGCCGACTTCGAGGGAGATGATGTCGGCATCGGCCTGATCGGGGCGGATGACGCTAACAGTAATACGCCTAGTCGATAGAGAAAGGTGTCAGCTTCGGAGGATGACAATGCTGACCCATTGCGCTGCTCACTTACATTATGTGTCACGGGCGGTGCGGGGAAGGCTCTAGCTCGGGGACCAGGGAATTTAGAGGGTGAAAGGAATCAGAGAAGGCGGAAAGCAGATAGAGAGGTGTCTAATGTACAGGGAGGAAAGTCGACGGAAGACGCGAGGGCTGGACAACTGGGGGTGCCGATTGTTGAGCCTAGGTTTCGAACCGCGAGTGAAGAGGCCGGGGAGAGGTTGGAGAGGTTGGCAAGGCGGGATTAGAAATAGGTCCGGTAAAGAGGGGGAGCCGAAGGGAGGGAGAGGGATAACCGAAGAGATGCGAGAGAGGATGAGAGGAGAGAGAAAGAGCGAGGAGAGACAGGGGAAAGGGAATGGGATGAATGGAGAGACGAAGAGTGAAGTTAGTCCGGACCAGAGAAAGCGTGCGGGCGGAGCCAAAGGTAAAGGTGTGACGTCCGGTTAGGTACCCGCATTCGTCATCGCATTGCGGCGTAGGACTGCCGGTCGGATTGGGGGTTAGCGGGCTGACTTGGATCTAGTGACATGGCATGTTCTCGTCGAGTTTCTCTTCGCAGTTACTACGTCTGGATAGTACGTCCTTGGGATTCTCTGCGCTTGTTGAGCTGGTCCTGTTCATCTTGCGTTGTTCTGCCGGGGTCTAGAATGCCGCCTGACTAAGCCTTATCGATAAACCTTCTTTGTCGGTCGCTCTCTTTCTCTGTCCTTCTCTCTCTCTCTCTCTCTCTGTCTGTCTGTCTTCGATGAAAGAATCTCTGTCAATGCCCAAGAGAACAGTCGGAAGTCAATCATCCATGCTCTCATCCAGTCCATCTGATGACCATGACATCACCTGAAGATATAACGCGGCTTGATATAGGCCGTGATCCATGATAGAGTCGTCCGGGTCCCATTCGATCAATGCTTTCTGGCTAACCGCAATCATAGCGCGTTGCTTTAGTCTCGGTGATCCCCGACCCGTTTAGGTAGTAGGCCAAGGTCCCCGTCCAAGCCTCAACGACCAGTTCGCGCGGGCAGATCGTCCAAAAGAGCTAGTTACAGCTCGCTACGGTCGGGGCGACCAGCCACGAGACGCGACCGCACCAAAAGTACATACAGCTGAGCATCTTCCTCCCGGCTTAGGGTCGTCCTTCGGTATATTCTTTGGTACCTTCGGCGATGATCTTCCTGTCTGCTACTGCCAGTGGTTGTGACTGACGGGGATAAAAGAAGATCCCGACCGACTGGTAGGAGCGCTATTGGACAAGTCGCGTTTCAACTACGTGCTAATACCTGGACCATTCATTCCGGCATCTTCCTTTGCCCCTCCCCTCCCCCCCTTCGCCATCTTCTCGAGACGGGAGTGTTGAGACTGACTCGTCGTGGATGGCCACTACCGAGCGCTAACTCCCATCTCCCTCCACCCGCAACGGGCCCCAAGTCTGCAACTAACCCGCAGCTTCCGTCCACCATATCCCATTGGACTTTGGTGGCCCATTCTCGACCGGGATGCTCTTCCAGGGCGTCTTTAGTGCTTAGACGAGGGCGGACTGTGGTTTAGAGGCTTGACTCGCATCCGAGTCGGGTCACATGGGCGAGCGACGTCAGCGCGTTGCCCGGAGTCACTATAGGTCGATGCGGCTCAGGAAATCATTATTTCCTACTCCCCAGAGCCATTCATCATCGCCAAGGCTGAAATTATATTATAGTACATGCAGCCAGACCTTGCGATGTTACAGTGCGGAATTTGATCACACTGTGATGCCCAGTCCGTTTGATTAGTTATCGGGGGATTTGCGTACATTACGTCGACGATTGTGTCAAGCATCCACGTCGCGAGGAAGGATTGGCGCCGTGTGGGATGCACCGAGCGTCCGTTGGGCTTTTAGAGGCGATACGGTCGGATTAATCGTCTCATTTATTCTCGCCGGATGTCAAGAACTAATGATATAGACTCATTCCTTCTCCTGTTTCAATGGGCTGACATCTCAAACCCGCCAAGTAATTTCTCGGCTGACAGAATTGGAGGTTTAAAATTGGACACGGGCAACACGTCAGTACAATATGCACGCAGCAAATGAACGGATTCATCATATTTTAATGCGACCGCCGTTGCTATACAAAAGCCACATCTAGCCTATTCCAGCCGCCTGGCGCACGAGACATCCGGTACGCCCTCGCCCTCCACCACCTTGGCAGATACGATTTCGTCCACGGGGATTTCTCCAATTCTGTCAATCACATGGTGTAGGGTGGGAAGTAGGTCCCAGCTCAGTCCGTCGATCTGGAAGCTGGCCTTTTTTGTTCGACGCACGCGAGTCACTTTGGATGGAACTATCTTAGACTCTTCTGCATGCGGGACGAATACGGGATACTCGGCCTCGGCGTCGCCTTTGCAGTCCCGACCAACTTTGGGAAGACAACGGTGGACCAAAATCCCGTCGCTAGGCTCACCCCCGATCGTGCCTGTATCACGGCCTAGAACTTCATCTTCCAGTTCATCCAAGTGAAAACGCCCCCAGACAACACCTTCCCAGCCGGCTTCCAGGTGATACGACTGAGCACGCTCGCGCGCATGGATTGTGGAATAAAGCTTTGGCATCCCTAGCTCCTCCCTGCCAGAGATAATCGGGTCTGCCAGGTTTTCAAACAGAATAGGCATGTAGGTTCCTCGGATGATCTCACCGTTGGCTTTCTTGTACTGCACCCCCTCGATGTACAGTCCAAGGTGGCGGTATCCGCCGCCGCCAAGCCAGTCCATGCCGTCAAGCTTTGTCTGCGAGAATGAGGCATAGGCATAGGTGCTGGGACTGCTGAAGCTGTATGACTCATTCGGAAGTAGGTTCTGGAGAAGAGTGCGGCTTGTCTTGAACCGAATTGATGCCGTCTGAAAAGTAGACTTCAAAGACTTGGTGGCTCGATCACGGCCTTGAAAGTCTTGGCGAGGACCGGGCATGGGACCAAACACGGTGGGTTGACGCCAGTATTTTCGCGGGGACTGACTCCAGAGATGTCTCCGGAGAACCTGAGTTGAATGGTCGAATTCATCGTGCCCGTAGATGTAGCACGTGATGGCCTGCGCTGGAATAGAGGTCAGTTATGAACTAAAAGCACAAAGCAGGGAAACACTCACATTCGGCTGGAGGAAGCGGCCCATGGGAGGAATCCCGGGTCATCTGCTGGACTCTCGTGGCGCGAGTGTGGCGGGCTCTTTCGTACAGCTTCAGACGCTCCGGCACCTGTTGAGGATCAACGTCGCCCGGTAGCATTACCGCGAGCGAAATGGCATCCTCAATGGCCATTCCTCCACCTGACCCTCGGTACGGAAGAAATGGATGTGCCGCGTCACCTATAAGAGCCATTCGATCCTCCACCCACGATGGCAGCGTTTCCATGTCTAGCAAAGGCCATACCCTCAAGGTCTGGGGGTCTGCCTTGGCTAGCAGCTTCACGACCTTGGGACTGAAATCCTTGTACACGTCTAGTAAGGACTCCTTACTGGCCTGCTGATTCCAATCCGCGTCCTTGTTAACAGCAGACATCTCCGCCGGATGAATGCAAACGAAGTTGAGCTGCTCGTTGTAAACACAGGGATAGATAACCACCCGTCTATCAGGGGAGTCAAACATATCGAGCGCACCGAGGTCGGAAGAAATCTCTCGGGTCTCGGGGTCATCCATCGCCTCTTTACGCGATATCAGGAATCGAAATGCATTTTTCCCTGAACTAAATGGCTTGACGTTACTGGCCACACTCAATTTGGATCGCGCCACGGAATGAACGCCGTCGGCTGCAATAACCACGTCGCCCTCCAGGACTTCACCGTTCTCCAAAGTAATGGTGGCGTGATGAGGATCGATATCGGCAACCTTGCTTGAGGTGGCCAGTTCACATCCCACTGCCAACGCGGCAGCTTTCAGATGCTCGTGAAGATGCGCGCGATGAACCAGAAGCCATGGCTATTTGATCAGCACAGTCACCATTGGGTAATCAAGTTTACCTACGTATCTCCATAGACCCGCATGTTTCTTCACATTGACATCTTCAATGGGCTCGCCCGAGGGGGCGAAGGTACGTAGCTACGCAAGTCAGCCTCGGTCGTGCACCTGTAGAAGATACATGCCTTTTCTGTCTCGACTGCACCAAACTGGGCAGCGTCAATACCGAGTCTTTGGAGCACTGAGTTGCAGTTTGGCGATAGGTGGATAGCGGCACCTATCTCGTTGGCGAATCGAGATCGCTCAAGCAACTGAGTTGTCAGCATACGCTTGTTAGTATGACTTTTAGTACTCACTTTGACATAGTGTCCATTTTTCTTTAACGCGATAGCGGCCGACAAGCCGCCAATTCCTGCGCCGACGATGAGGATGCGCAGGCCTTTTGAGGCTGCGCCGTTGGTATTATTGCTACCCATGATGAAAGGTTTTGTAGATGGATACAAGGGTTAGAGAGCGTGCAACTGACTCTGGAATGTCCTCTCAGCATTATATAGAATCTGCCGCGGATCATCCGGCTTCCTCGGAATGTTGCGTCTAGCCGGAGTGTCGTCCTTCGGCTCCGTTTCGGCTCCACGTAGAGGGACAAAATGATTTCAGAGACCGCGATCCACGTGAAGAAACCTATTTATGCATTCAGCACGCATCATCTGAATCAACATCGTATTAGCAAAGGTGTTCATACATCATGCCGAATCCCGCTCTCGATCTCGCCAAGCGCGATGACGTTTCGTTCCCATACATTTTCGAACAGAATGTCACAATTACACTGAAAGATCAATCAGGCCTAGTGCGATGCAATGTGTATCGACCGAAGGATGTAGATAAGGTGCCTGTTCTGGTTACTTACGGGCCCTACGGCAAGGATATCCCCTATAGGGAGTGAGTTTGGGAGGCTCTTGGGTGCGCGAACATACTTGCTAACACAGACAGTTTCCACCCCAAGTCCTTTGCCGAGGTTAATCCAGAACACCACTCGGAGCATTCAGCCTGGGAAACCCCAGATCCTGGGTTCTGGACGAAACATGGGTACGCCATTGTGCGGGCCGACGAGCGAGGAACCGGACAGTCCCGCGGCAAATTAGACACCATGTCTCGCGAAACCAGCGAGGCATTCTTCGACGTGGTCGAATGGGCGGCGGACCAGCCGTGGTCGACGGGTAAGGTGGGCCTGCTGGGTATCTCGTACTACGCAGGAAGTCAATGGAGAGTTGCAGCGAGGTCTCCCAAGGGACTTGCATGTATGGTTCCTTGGGAGGGAATGTCGGGTACGTTTCCGGTTGAATTTGGTGAGCCCTGCTGATTGTGGATAGACTATTATCGAGATCGGTGTCGACATGGAGGCATTCTGAGCAACGCGTTCATCAAATTTTGGTGGGACCGCCAGGTGGTTTCTAACCAGTATGGTCGCCCTGGGCGTGCGGCGCGCAACTGGGGTGTCGACACCATTGAAGGCGACCTTCCGGAGGAGGAGTTGGTAGCCAACCGGCAGGACCAGACCATTGACAACGCGAACAATCAGTTCCGGGATGATATCTACTACGCTAGCAAGGAGTATACAATGTCGGATATCCAGGTAGGCATGGCTCGGCAATCGACAAACCAGGACTGACAAACGCAGGTTCCGCTTCTTTCCGTTGCGAATTGGGGTGGAATTCTTCTACACCTACGCGGAAACGTCGAAGGATACACCCAGGCCGGCAGTGAGCTCAAGTATCTGCGATTCATTACCGGACGCCACGACCTGCCATTCTACTACAGCGAGGAGGTTGAGATCCAGCGCAGCTTCCTCGACGCCTTTCTGAAAGGCGAAGACCGAGCCGGGTGGTCCACCGGACAAGCGCCCAAGGTCGACCTCGTGCTTCGCAAAGGCGACGTGGGATTCAACAACGCCGAGGCCGAGAAGCAATTCCCTCGCCGCACGGAGAGCGAATGGCCCATCGCCCGTACACAGTACACGCCGTTCTATCTCACCCCTGGAAGAGAGCTTGTGACGGAGCGGCCGGCAACGCGACCGACTAAAATTACCTACCGCGCCCTGGGGAGTTTAGAGGATCCCCAAGTGGTGCAATTCACCACGGCACCTTTCGAGCAGGAGACAGAAATCACCGGCCACATCGTCGCGCACTTGAACGTATCCATGAGTCCCGATCCGGGTGCCCCAACGCCTCGTGATATCGACTTGTTCCTGACTCTCCGGTACATTTCCCCAGAGGGCAAGGAAGTGTTCTACACCGGCACGGCCGGCGACCCGGTGCCTCTCTGCAAGGGCTGGCAGCGCGTTAGTCTGCGCAAGGTGAACAGCGAACACCGACGTCACCGTGCCTGGCTGCCCCATCGCGACTACTACTCGACGGACGTGCAGCCCGTGATCCCGGGCGAGGTGTACCCAGTGGACGTGGAAGTGTGGCCTACGAACGTGGTTGTAGAAAAGGGAGGCCAACTCATCTTCGAGGTATCGTCTGGCGACACGCAGGGTAGTGGAATCTTCCAGCATAACTCTCCGACTGATCGGTATGTGTCTTCACTTAACCTGAGTGATCACAGGACTAACGTGTTGTATAGATCGCTGGAGAAACTCCAGGGACAGAACCATATCAATTTCGGACACGAGGACAACTACGTTACCTTGCCGATTATTCCGAGGGCGTAGGATAGATTCCGATAGATAGCTAGAATTTGACTTTATTTTCGTTTTAGAGTCCGTCCGGGTAGTCCACACATACGTACACCCATCCTCTCCACGAGCTTCCGATGTGGTCCCGAAGCGACCTCAAGTATATACTTCCACCATCCTGTACTACTACCTATACATATCCAAGTCTTTATATCCCACCTATCACCAACCAACCAACCACCAATAAACAAAATTCATTCAAAATGAGCACCCCGGAAAAGAACCTCCGCCCCCTCTCCCGCTACATAACAACCCACAACGCGACCACCGGCCTCGCGATCTTCTCCACCACGCTCCCGGAGTCCATGCCCGTCGCTCCCATCCCCAACACCGCACACTTCAGCCTCGCCTACACAACCTCACACTACCCGTCCCAAATCCCATCCTCCGAATCCGACGTCACCGAATACTCATCCTACCTCTCCCAGCCCCCGGGGCTCGTCATCTCCTCCGGCTCCGTCTGCCGCATCGTCGATATGCCGCCGCAGGCGCTGAGCCCGATGCATCGCACCCAGAGCCTGGATTATGGGGTTGTGTTGGAGGGGGAGGTCGAGTTGGTTCTGGATTCCGGGGAGACGAGAGTGCTCAAGAGGGGGGATGTGGCCGTGCAGAGGGGTACGAATCATGCGTGGAGGAATTTGAGCAAGGAGGGTTGGGCCAGGATGTTGTATGTTTTGTTGCCGGCTGAGGAGGTGCTGCTTGAGGGGGGGAGGAGGTTGGGGGAGGAACTGGGTGGGATGGAGGGGGTTAGGGGGAGTACTTGATCTTATCTATATTATTCAGGGGGTTGTTCGGGGTAGAGATGGGGTAGATGGGGGTAGACTAGAGTGTTTATTGTGTTTTTAGATGGTCTTTGCGTGTGGGATGGATCATGTTATTTAGATATGCGAATGAAGTACAACAATCCAAACTGAACAGCAAAACACCAAGTGCCATACTACCAGACTCGACTAAACCCATAATCTAAACAGCAATTACCACTCCCCTCCAACCTCATAATGAAACACCTTATCATTGACTCTGCCCCCCGTAAACCGCCACAACCTCGCAACAGACTATATACACCGATCAGTTTCTAGACTCTTCCCACACAACCAAGAGATACAAAACTTACAGCATTTAACCACACCCCATGCAACATCGCCTGTATAAACACAAACTCGGCCGGGTTGCTTCCCGCCGGTCTTTCGCTGCGATCCTGCTGCCGGTTGACAGGGCGATAGGGCGGGACTCGGCGGTGGTTGGTGGGCCAGGTTGGGGGGTTCGTGTGTGCAGCCGGTGGGGTTTGGTCGGAGGAGAACTCAGAGCCGCTGTGGTGAAGGGCGTAGTCGGAGAGAATTGAGGATGGGGGTGTTGTTGTGGTTGAGGTTGTGGTGGTGGTGGACATTATGGATGGGTTAGGTTTGGGATGTTAACTCTGGAGGGAGGATGTTGAGGATAACAAGAAGTATTGCGGAGATGAACGGGTCAGAATAAAGAAGCGATGGGAGTCTGGGGCAGAGGGTAGAGGGCCTGAACTACCTTCCAGGGTATGATACTACCAATGCACCTCCAATCGGGTCCACTTGTTCCTGTCCACATCCCGACGCCGTATGATGCCAAAGCACCGCATCATCTCCGTGCGGCCATGTCCACATGTCCTCGCCAACCCATATCCCCCTAGCAGCTTTAATAATAATACCTCCCAGACCCAATCAATGTAATCATACCCAAACCACCACGATGGTAACAACACACCCCTTCCCCCGGCTCCTCGCCGCCTCGATCGACGGCCGCTGCCACAACACGCGCTACCGACAGTCGCAACTCCAGTGCCTCCAATCCGCTCTGGTGCACCATGTCGAAGAGCTCAAGAAGTCCATCCAGTCTGACTCAGGACACTCCGCGGGCGAAGTATCCGCGGAGATCTGTCTCGCACTGCAAGAGCTGCGCACGCATTACCTGTCTCTCGATCTCCAGCGAGATCTGGAAGCCGAGTATCGCGTCGCGAACGGGAGGGATAATCTGGATGGGAAGCGCGGCGTAGGTATTGTTTATATTGCGCCGTGCACGCATACGCTGTTCTTCTCGGTCGTGTCGGCGCTTAGTGCTGCGGTGGCGGCGGGGAATTGTGTGATCTTAGAGGTATGTATTGTCCTCCAGCATTGCAAAGAACTCCCCTAGTATACGACGAAAATGGCGTGAGAATAGACCTAACAACAGCAGCTATCCCAAACAACCATGACCCTCCCCACGCTCCTCCGCAAAATCCTCACCACATCCCTGGACGCAGATACTTTCGCCATCAGCGAAGAGCGACCCGACGCCTCGTTCCTAACCCTCCCTCAAGTCCTGCCAATCCTCCAAACAGAGTCCTCCAACACAGCACAATATCTCTCCGCATCCCCAACAGCAAGAACCATCGCCGTCGTCGACCGCACGGCGAACATCGCCTCCGCGACGGAGCAGCTCGTCGCGGCGCGATTTGCTTTCGGCGGTCATTCGCCGTACTCGCCGGACGTGGTCCTGGTCAACGAGTTCGTGATGAAAGAGTTCATTGAAGCCGTTATTCAGCAGTCAGGTCGGTATTTGGCGCCGGAGACTGCGGCCAGAAATCCGAGGGGGAGGCCAGCTGGGGCGTCGGTGTTGGATCTGGCGTTTAAGGAGAAGGGGGCGAGAGTGGTTGTCTCGGGGAGTGGATGGGGTGTTGTGGATGTTTTGGATCGGTGAGTTTCTCTTATTTCCCCTTGGGGTTCTGCTCGTTGAAAAGGGTTCAGTAAGGTGAGCTGATACTGATATTGTGCAGAGAAAGCGCTCTCTTGCAGAAAATGAACGAGAAAGTGCTGCTTGTTCACTCGGTGACGAGTCTGGATGATGCGATTGATTTCGGGAATTCGTGAGTCTTGCATAGGTCAAAAATCTCATATGGAATAGAAGTATTAACTGCCTATAGCATGACCCCCTTAGCAGCAACATACGCCTTTGCTGCTCCGTCCTCGGCAAAATACCTGACGCAGTTTATCGACGCCCATATTTCTTGGATCAACCATGTTCCCACAGACATGCTGAGTTAGTATCTCCTCTATCCTCGTATATCCTCCCTACTAACGATGATCAAACAGTCGGCCCTCAAATCCCCACCAACACGCCCTTCCCCTCTCAAACCCGCTACTCGACAGATCTACTACAGCTACCCCGTCCGCAGATTGCGCAAGAGACACGCAAAGCGGCCATTGTGCGCGCTGCGCTGAGTAGTTCCCCGGAGAGTGCGACGGTCTGGAATGCGGCGCTGGCGCCTTTGCCGGGGACGGGACAGCGTGCGGGTCGCAAGATCGGGTTCTTCGAGCAGGGCATTATTACCGGGGGTGTTATTACGTTGTTTTCGGTTGTGGTGAGCTTGGGGACGTTGGGGTATTATGCGTTGGGGGTTGTTAGGAGGGTTCGTTAATCTTTTTTTCTTTTTCTCGGGCTAAGTGTTGTGGTGGACAGTAGCATATGGGTTGATAAGATGACAGATATAATAGATTCCATAGTGCTTTATTGTCAGTCAAACAAGCGTCTGAGAGAATTGTGCTAGAAGTTATGAAGTATTACGTCAAGTAAAGGACAATGACCACCCGAAAATAAGCTCAAATAGACTAGGATGAGCTTCCGAGGTTGCCGTGGTTCTCTGGGATACAAGGCTTAAACCTACATGCCGGATGTGAATGACAGGCCACAACTATGAAAGGTTGTGACGTTTCAAGATCACCCAAAGAATCAAGGTAGTTCGCAAACATACCATTTCGAGGCGGTTCTAGATGCTCCTCCACCTTACTGTTTGCGGAAGTTGACGTCGAACCCGGCAATGCATGCAACGTCGCATTGTCGCGACACAACAAGGGCTTAAATAATGGCTCCAGATAAATGGGGCCTATTGTGTCTTTATTCCACCAGAAACCTGCTCCTCCTACCCTCCGCATTGTCAATTCTATCACCAATATGTCTCCTCCGTCAGCAGACGCCTACCCCGTCCCGGAGGGTACTGGATACCCAGCAAGTCAATCTCCGCGAGCAGACTCCCCGGACCCCTGAAGTACTCAGGCAGTCTCGATGAATACGAGTCATTTGATCTGACCTCCGCCATCGGCCGAGAGTTCTCGACTTTGCAGCTGAGCGAGATCCTGCACGATGACACCAAAATCAGGGATCTCGGCATTACCGGTCAGTCAGCCTGTTTGCCCAGAGAAACCGATATGCTAACAGCGAAGCAGTGTCACAGCGCGGCGTCGTCTTCCTCCGCAACCAGGACCTGAACATCGCAGACCAAAAGACTCTAGCCATCAAGATCGGCCAGCTAACCGGCCGACCCGAGGCTTCGTATCTGCACAAGCACCCCCTGTCCAACGGCAAGCGCAGACTCGCAGTCGACAAGGACGGCAAAGTCGACGACGAAGTGACCATCATGTCCTCCGAGCAGAACAAGAAGATGTACAAGGGACGGTGTGGACCGACGACGAAGCGGCTGGCCAGCGAGGGATGGCACTCCGAGTAAGTGTTGCGCTGAACCCTGCCTCATCCCGAGACTAAAGTTGCTTTGTTGGGTATCACATTCGAGCCGGTCCCGTCTGACTACGCGATCTTGAAGATCGTCACTCCCCCTGAGGACGCGGGGGGAGATACACTCTGGGCGTCCGGGTACGAGGCCTTCGATCGACTGTCGCCGGCGTGGAAGAAATTCGCAGAGGGATTGACCGCCACGCACTATCAGCCTGCGTTTAATGATGCGGCCAGGGACCAAAATATGGAGCTGATCACGGAGAACCGCGGAAATCCCGAAAACAGCGGGGTGGATTTCAAGGTTTCGCAGTGAGTGATCTGGCTCAATTTATCGAAAGCTTGCTGATCGAGACTACAGCCCTGTTGTGCGTACGAACCCGGTGACTGGGTAAGAGAATTGGATGACTTTCGTTAATGCACTGAAGATGGAAGATGCTGATTATGACAGATGGAAGAGTCTCTTCGCCGCCGGATTTCAGATCCGCGCAGGCTGGATCGACGACGTAACGGAGTATGAAAGCGAGATGCTGAAGTCATACTGTATGACCTGTATTACCTCCACCAATTCCGAACTCGACTAACTCGACTGTCTTCAGTTTTGAAATTGATTTCCGAAAACCACGACCTCCAGGTGCGGTTTCGCTGGAGCAAAAACGACATCGCCATTTGGGACAAGTACGTACTTACTCATGCCTGACGCGTGAAAGAAACATGGCTAACATCTACTAGCCGTTCGGTCTTCCATACTGCAACATAGTAAGTTGAAAGCAGAAAGCAGCTTCAAAAGACCTTCTAACAATGACACAGTGACTACAATGGCGCACGAGTTGGAAACCGGGTCGTCTCGCTTGGAGAGAGACCATTCTACGACCCGAATTCTATCTCTCGCAGAGAGGCACTTGGTCTGGATGCATAGAGCATCGGATAGCTATGGCGAAGTGTTTTGGAGTAGTTCAGTCCCCAGTCTAGCTGCGGGGCTCCGCGTTGGAGGTCGAATTAGTATGCCGGTTTAGGTAGAAGAGAAATTGCCAGAATGTTCGAATCCGTTGAAAAGATCGCCAAGCCTGTAAATTTGGACTGCATGCAATCACCGTATGCAGTGGGATGTGCCGGGAATGTGCCATCGAGACATCCGAAAACGGAAATGAAGGAGTTCACAACAGCCAGTGCTGATTATGGCGAAAAGCCAACATTTCTCTACTCCTGATCCCCTTGAGATTTCAAAGCTATCTGAATAGAACCCATCTGATTGAAAATGCATACTCTGCCGATCACCCTCGACTACACTCTCCGCGATCTCTACTCAATCGATTCCGAAGATGACCCGAACAACGTCCTGATCTACTACCCTCTACAATTTGGCCATAACCACGAGGGAGCATCGGCAAAGTTTGCATACGAATACAGGGTGGAAGATGACTCTGAAGATGCGGCGTCATCCCTCACAATGGCAGCCAACATGGTGCCACAGCGGTACGCGTTCTCGGCGGGCAAGATGCCTCTGGTGATCCTGGACTTTCCTTCGAAGGAATCAGACAGCGAAATTCAACCCGATTGTGAAAGAAAAGGTCCCCTGCCTCTTCATCAAATTGATATCCACCGAACTTTCGCCCAGTTACAGCACCACCAGCGACCAGCCGTGAGCTTTGCAAAGAGCCCAGACAGCATCGAGCTAGGCTTGAACGCAAAGATCGCAGTTCTTCTGCCCACCGACTGTCTCACGCATCTACCTCATCTCACCTGTCCCGAGACGCATTACGAGATCCTGTCAAAGCGTGGACTTGCAATGTCCGGCCTGCCCACGCCGCCGTCTCGCGTGATCGACACCATCCTGATCGACTCCGAGGATCCTACTCTTCTCGCAGAAGAGACCACCCGAATGACAGAGTCCATCGACCAACACGCCCTTCCATTCATGGTGAAGCTCCCCCAGTCAATCTCCGGAATGGGCACCTTCGCCATCACCTCCGAAGCAGAGCGCGCACACGTCAAGGCCATGCTACAAACCCAGCTCGGCTCCATGCTGCGCCAACTCAACCACTCCAATCACCACCTGTACCCCTGCTCCATTGTCTTGCAGGATTTTGTCTCCGGCCCGGTAGTAGCGCTGTCACTCTTCGTCACGAAAACCGGATCCCCCATCTTCATCGCCTGCTGTGAGCAGCTCTTCGACGACCACTCGCACTGGATCGGCGGGTCGATCTCATACGCCCAGCAAGCTCACTTCCAAACGACATTCTCCGCGCTCGTGGACAAAATCGCTGCGTTCCTGCATCGCAAGGGATATCATGGCCCTGCTGGTGTGGATATCGTCACTGATACGCGCACGGGCGAGCAGATGGTGATTGACCTGAATGTTCGGGTGACGGGGACGTTTCATCTGGGGCCTCTGAGGGGACATTTTACGAGTCGGGGGCTGGGAGAGGTGGCGATGACGACGGGGGATTTCTTTTGCTCGAGGGATTTGTTTGAGGGAGTTTTTGCGGATGAGATTCAGAGGGGGAGTTTGATTGTCAGTGGCTGGGTTCATGGCGAGGGAGCGAAGAGCCATGCAGCGATTACGGTGGGAGCTGGGGATGTCGGTGAGTTGCAGGAGTTTCTTGCAAGGGTGAGGGCTGCTGGGTTGCCGAATTAATCTAGAGATTATAGTGTGAAAGAGTATGAGATTTACTGTTCTGTCGCTTGAACTGGTTCATATTCTAAATCAATTAAGTCGTATCAAAACATTCCATCCCTTTCTAGATGTCAAGAAACTATAGGCCCCTGTTTGGCGTCCGGCATCACCGACTGCAGAAACTGTTCTAACCCCTTCACATCCTCTATATCCGACAGAAACGCCAGGTGCTGATCCGGTCGCAATAACGCCATACACCCCTCTTTCTGAATCCCAAACGACGAGTACAACTTCCCCCCACCAGCGTGGTGGTAGGCCTCACCGTCTGCCCAGACCCTGCCATAGTCCACGCCATCCTTCGTCCACGGCCGAAAGACCAGCGGCAAGTCGTTCAGCTCAATGCTATGCCTATCTGCGCAATGGACCAGGAACACGCCGAGAGTGGGAAATCCGCGTCTCGCCACATCGAGCGGATCATTCAGCTTCTGAACCGCCGAGTCCGGGTCCTCAAGCGCATTCGCGAGCTCTTCGACACGCCGCTTTTGCTCTGTAGCCGCAATGTCACCCCCAAAAACAATCAGATTCCACTGCCCCGTGCTCGGAAGGATCTGCTGCAGATGGCATGCCTGCGAGTCGCTTTGGTTAAGGATCAGCACGCTGGGAATGCGCGCCCCGACGCGGAGATTCGTCGCCACGCCCGGTCTGCTGCTGCAGGGCGCTGCGTCTTTGGGCCACGGAGCGTCGGAAACAGTTGTCGTGACGAGAGAGTTCGGCTGGTAGATCACAGCAAGCCCGGACATGGAGGAATTCTCCTCCTCGAGGGCGCGCTTGTGGTCGTCGTCGAACTGACCGTGTTGGATGTCTGGATCCACGTTCCGCTGGCTGCACATTCCTCGGCAGATGCGCTGGTCGAGCGCGATCAGTCGTTCGGCCACGGGGAGCCGTTCTTGCTGATAGGTTTCGAGGACCCGCGGATCGAGAACCCCCTTGATGACGGATGCGAGTTTCCAGCCCAAATTGAACGTATCTTGCATGCTGACGTTCATCCCTTGGCCTGCTTTTGGCGAGTGCGTGTGGATGGCGTCTCCGGCGAGGAATATGCGGTTCTGGAGCCCGATCTTGCGGCAGATGCGTTGTCCGACCTGGTTTTATTAATTGGGAGTCTCTTGATCGTCAGGAGAGGTAAGCTCACGGTGTATATCGTGGACCAGTCGATGTGGCTGGTCTTTATGGTGTATGGCTGCATGATAGTCGCGACCTGATCCATGAGGACGTCGGCGTTGTGTTCGGCTCGATATCGCTCGGCAGCTTCGGGGGGAAGCTCGACGTAGACGCGGACCAGCTTTCTCTCGCGGGGGATCATCATGAGTGTGCCGTGTTTCGATTTTATGATGAAGCGTTTTCTGATGTCGGCTGAATGGCATGTTAGCAGCGCATCTGGTGTATCATCTTGCAGAACTCACGAAAGTCCGTCAAGGGGATAATATCCATCACACCCCATGTGTCTCCATAGGTCTCGCCCTCCAATCTCAGTCCAAGTTGCTTCCTGAGCCAGCTATGCGCTCCGTCACAGCCCAGGATGTACTTGGCTTCAACCATGGTGCCCATGCCCGCGTATCCAGAGTCATCTGATTGAGTTTCGCTAAGCTCACTATTCGGCGTGTCCACGTCCACGTCATCAGAAGGGGTTTTTGGCTCGGACGGGGCGTTCTCCAGGTTCACGCGGATCGGGTACGCATCGTGGTCGTCGATCACGTCGTAGTCAATGTCCAGCGAAGTAGGGATCGTCTGTCTCCTCACGTCAATGTGCTTGCGAATTCGCACATACTCCATAAGATATTCTTCTATCTGGCCCTGGCTGAGCGTCGACTCGTGGAAGCGCGACCATCCTGGCTTGGAGTTCGCCGTGACGCTGTGTCGTTGTAGTTTGCCGTCTGTTCCGCCCTGCCATAATCGCGCTGTTAGTGGAGTCGTGAGGAGGAATTAGGAGGCCATCGTACCCATAAGGCAATCTCCACTGTGTGGTTGGCCTGCGCCCACACTTTATCTCCCAGCCCAAAACTGTCCAGGATCTCCAGTGTTCGACTCTCCAGTCCGTCTGCGCGACCACATCGCGTATGGTGCGACTTCTGGTCAATGATCGTGGTCTTCACTCCCATCTGGGCCATCCAGGCCGCGGCCATCAGACTATCCCATACGTCAGTACTTGTCTCAGATGATAAAAGCGAGGCACATACCCCGAGGGACCGGCCCCGACGATCAGCACGTCGGTTCGGACTGTGTCGCCCATAGTAATGTGATTAAGATTAAAGATTATGGTAAGTCAATGAATATAGCATTTTTTCCGCCAACACAGAGAATGCAGTAGAGTACATATTAGTACCGAGATGCATTGCGGAAACAGGTTCCACCTATCCCAGCCCGTCTAGTCTGCGTCAATGACCCGACGTTTTCATTTCCTGCAAAGTGGAGGCTGTCATATTTCCGCATTCGATTATGAGCATTGTGGAGCCGTTGTAGTCGAGAACGAAATGGGTTGAGGAGTTCTGGTCGTGGATGAAATGCGTTGGGTGGAGCGGCGTTGCATTCGGAGCCCTAATTCGATGCGTTTGGTTTCCGCATGCGGATGCTTTCTATACTTCCATCTCTCTGCGCCCACTGCCCAATGCTATTGATTATTTATTAAGAGGCGAATGTCATTGTCTCTAATTGACACTTCTCAGAGATAAACATCCCATTTCACTGTTTACCGTCGTCCTCCATCTCCATCACCACATCCCTCACAATGGCAGCCGTAGCGACCAGCACTCCAGCATCCCAAGGCTTCTACAAGCCCGAGGAGAACGTCTTCGTATGCCCTCTCTCCCTCCTTCCACCACCCATCAAACCAACTAACAACCCCAGTGCAACGACGGCCGCGAAGACCAACTCCTCACCTTCATAACCACCCACCCCCAGCTCTCCGCGATCCGCAACTCGCCCGAGGCCGTCCTCGCCGCCATCGACGAGTTCGCGCGCACCAAAGACTTCCTCATGAACGTGGGCCCGCACAAAGGAACCATCATCACCGACATCATCGCGACCGAGCGACCGGCCTCGATCCTCGAAATCGGCGGCTACGTCGGCTACTCGGCCATCATGTTCGGGAACGCGATGCGCAACACCGGCGTGCCCAGTCCACGCTTCACCAGTCTCGAAATGAACCCCAAGTTCGCCGCCGTGTCGCGGGCCCTCGTCGAGATCGCAGGCCTCAGCGATGTCGTGGATATCCAGGAGGGCCCGTGTCGGGCGTCCCTGCAGCGGTTAGCTGCCACGGGGATCAGCTCGGGTCTGGGGTCTCGCAAGTGGGATATGTTGTTCCTGGACCATTCGAAGATCTCGTATCTGAATGATTTGAAGCTCGCGGAGGAGCTGGGGATTGTGGCGCCCGGCTCGATTGTCATCGCGGATGATATGAAGAGGCCCGGGAACCCGATGTATTCGGAGTATGTGCGCGCTGGGACGGAGAGTAAGACCGAGGCGTATAAGCCGTTCGTGGGATGCTTGTCGGATGGCGGCATTTCGTTGGGGAATCCGTGTTTGGTGTATCAGACGATGTTGCTGGAGGGGTTGGAGCCGACGGGGCATATGGTGAGTTCTCTTGTCGTTGTTTGAGTTTGATGAGTGGGATGTGCTAATGTGATTAGGATGCTGTGGAGATTTCGCGGTGCGTGGACCAGGTGGAGATGAAGTAGGGTGAAAGATCAGGATGAAGGCAAGAGGGGATATGCTAGGAATAGTTTCGGGTTATATTTAGTAGCACAATTTAATCATTTGTTGTTCACACCAATCAATTGACGTTCTATGAACATTCTATAAACACGTTGGAGTCTATCTATTGAAGCAACAAGCTATGCGAGCGCTTCGCCGGTCGAAGCGTATTCTTGTGTCCGTACGCCATATAAATCACAAAATGCGGTGGACAATTAAGGAAAAAAAAAAGCCGGCCTCTTCCTCTTTGGCACTAAACGTTGCTTTGACTATACTGTCTTCCTCCCTGAAGGAATCAACAAACCCGATAAAGAAGCTCCTCTCTTACCCCCCAACCAACCGTAAACGCAGCTCCAGGTCCAGCAATGAATCCGACACCGATCAACCCACCGAGCAATTTCCACCAGTTCACAGATACCCCAAGCTCCCGTAGCTCCCTAAATCGGAGTCCAAGCCAGATAAGCCCGCTTCCAAGTCCAAATATCTCATCGTACTGCAAGAACCGCGCGATGCCCTGGCTGAAAGAGGTGATCGGAGCACTTTGTCCCATTGTTTTCGGGAAAAAGATATCAAGGACAGAAGACCCAGCAGGGGCTGTGAATCGAGAGTAAATGAATGTCAGCCCTGAGAGTACAGCAAGCGGGATGTAGGTTTTTCTGATTTCAGCGATTCCTGAATGCTGGGTCTTGGTCGTTGAATCTGCTGTCTGTGCTTTCGATTCATTGTTGTGCGAGCGTGACGACGGCTCTTTGAAGAAGCCAGACAGTCGGAATGGAGCCTGTAGAAGAGGTATGAGGATGGGAAAGAGCTGCCAGATGGCATTATATGTCTGTTTTGTGCTGGCTCCAGAGGCGAAGAAGCATCCGAGCGTGGGAATGTAGTATCCAGCCAACAGAGCGATTGGGAGAGAGGTAAGAACCGATTTGTCGATGGATCTGTTCATCCCAAGGATGACTTTCGATAGAGGGGCCCGCAGATAATCGAGAGCATAGTAGAGCGGCGCGATCTTCCCGATTCCGAGGAATTGAAACGCCGTTCCAAACATGACCGGACTGTTGATTCCGTATGAGCAACTACAAGGTAAACTGGTAGGAGGCAGTGTGCAGGAGAAACTTACAAGACGACCTCAGCCCACGAGTGGGCTCGACGAGAACTTTCCAACAGCCATATCACATAGACAGGACCTATATCGACCATGAAGGAGAGCATCTGCGCGCGTGACAAGGCATCTGAGCCTGTTATAGAGGGCAGAAAGCAGGTGATCATAGGCCGGAGCATTTTATCGAGGAAGGGAACATGATAGATTGGCCGGGTGAGGTCGACAACCTCTCCGGCGCTGGATGCCCAAGTGCCTTTTTCCAGCACAGTGCGAAGGAACGGAAGAACATGACCCAACGTAGAGTCCATGGCAGCAGATCCGAGCTTATAACATCCCAGGAGCGGTAGTGTCCAGAGAGCCCGTTTCCAGATCGATTCGGAAAGACGATCGTAGTGTTGTATGAATGGAATAGTAGCTTTTGCCGACTGGGGCGGATCAGGGAGAAAGTCAAGTTTTTCGGCCCCGATGAAGCCCCTAGACAACTTGTCGGCGAGGAATCTTTGCATCCATGGAAGTAGATAAAGTGCGGTGGATCTGTCTTTGGGCGATGCCAATGCCTCGGTGCGAGTTAGCTTGTTGGCACCCTCGCAGATGGCGTTTACACGGGGTTGACGGGCTGTCTCCCATGCTTGAAGGCAGGACTCAATGGCGCTTTGAGAGAAGTCTTTCTGATTGTTCAGCTGGACGAGGTAATTGGCAAGTAAAGCTGCGCTTTCAATGGCGCTGTTGCCCCCTTGGCCCATGTTCGGGGTCATCTGTCATGTTTATGTCAACATACGTAGATGGAATAAATACAACGCAGACGTACCTTGTGTGCGGAATCTCCGATGCAGGCAAATCTCCCTTTCGTCCAATGGCGGTAGCTTGCTTCTTCTAAAGACAGACGTGTAGTGACTATAGCCTTGTCGTAGATAGCTGAGAATGGTACATCGGCCGTGATTGCTTTCTCCATGAACGGGGCGACATCGTCTTGGATGTCTTCTTTCCGGAATCGAGGAATGTTCGACGCAGGATATCTCCGATCTAGCTTTATAAACAGGAACCAGAAGACACGACCATGCTTTCCAATCACGTTCAAGAAGGAGAATCCGTCAGCGTACGTGCGATGGCTAGTTCCAGGTGCAAGTCCGGGTGTTGCGGTCGAAATACCAAAGACACAGGAATACTCCGATGTCATGGCTGCTAGATATTAGATAGGAACGTGGCGCATGTGGTGTCTACGTACCTTTCTTCTCTTTTTCTGTCTCTTCGTTGAGCGAGATCGACTCCATGTACCGCCACATCTCGCGTCGAATGGTACTTCGGACCCCGTCGGCTCCTACTACAATGTCTCCTTCGTATGAGGTGCCGTCGTGACAATGAACAATGACTTTGTCGGATAGGTATTCCACTTGAGTAGCCTTTTTGTTCACATGCACCTTGTGCTGGTTACAGCCCAGGTGGTTATACAGCTTTTCCAGCAGAACCTGCCGATCCAGAAAGGCAGTAGGGTATCCGTGTCTTGTTCTGTTAATAGTCATCCAAATACAGGTGTAGGAAAACTTGCCTTTCATGAAGAATCTCGGGAATATTTCCCGTGGTAATGAGCCGACCCTTCTCGGTCCACGTAAAGGAGGTATGCAGCGGTTCGACTTCCGTGTAAACGTCGTCCCAAACACCCACTTGATCGAGGATTCGAGCTCCGTTCGGTAGAATGCCAATTGATGCTCCTACCTGGGGCGCAATTTCGGAGTTCGATTCCAGTACCACGAAGTCAATCCCAGCTTTCACGAGGGAGTGGGCAAGGGTGAGGCCGGCAACAGAGCCGCCGACTATCACGACTCTGAGCCGTTTCTGCTGTTGTTTTGCCATGTCTGGTTGTGTTTGAGGTCGGGGAATATGCACTTGGGGAGATCATTTTGGTATTTATATTAGGATATTTGGCTAGAGGCCGTCTGAGAGACGGCAGAAAGATCAAGAACATGGATGCCTGTTCTGAATAAATTGCACACATAGGCAGTGGGTAATGTCTCCTAGAAAGCGCAGGCTCGGGCGACATCCATGAAGCCATACAAAAGTTGGAAATACCAATACGCAGGATCATGTTTACCGGCTCTGATTGGTTCGGATTGTCCTGGAGTGAGAAAGCCGAGAAAACCGCGTATTCCGTGAAATCCTCGTAATCCATCAACTCCCTCCTTTCTTGCCTTGTTTCTCCTCATTTCCAACATTCTCCCATCGTCTTCTCCCCCTCTTGACAGCTGCCATCCATTCTCCCTCCATTATCGGAGCATAAATCTCCGAGAACTTGCATGGGATGTCCGAAATTTCCGAGAAAAGTGGACCGACCCCGTCATCCACAATGCACGAGATCGCACTACGCAAGCACCTGGACCGGAAGCGACGCCATCAGAAGCCGAGAGTTTTGTTCTCGTGCACATTCTGCAGGACGAGGAAGTGAGGTGTGATATTCTTGCAGCACTGTGCATGCATTAATGGTTTCAATAGACTGAAATGCAACCGCCAACAACCATGTGACAACTGCGTCAAGCGCAACCAGGGTCCCTCTTGTCACTATGATGTGGAACGAGGGGATTCGATCAAATCCACCAGCGATCTTCATGATCGGTTGAAGTTTCTCGAAGAGAAGGTTCAACGGCTAGAACGACAATCAATGCCTGAAATTACACGCCCTGACAGTAGGAATTCCGGTGACGGCCACGATAAACAATCCTCCCATGCCCCAGGGGTGATCTTTTCCGGGCACGGAGGTACGCGATACGTTGACTCAGGTCACTGGAGGGCCATTCTTAATGATGTCAGCGGTCTTTGCGCCCCCAGCGGAGCCTGTGCTGATACTCGCAGATCGAGGAAATCGGGAAAGATCGTCACCACGCGGCAGTCGCGGACCCCATTGACGACGTGGATCGGAACACCAGAGGTCTGGAGTTATTGATAGGAATGCCGGTTGCCAGAGGCACGAGCGAGCTGCTTGCTGTTATGCCACCGCGTAATACAGCAGATCCGCTAGTGGCACGATACTTCAAGTCGAGGGAAACTTCGTTGAGTATGAGACGTAGATTACGAATATAGAAACCCTACTAACTCTCATAAAGTCTTCATTCATACTCCAACCTTTTACAAAGAGGTGGGTCTTCTATCTATCTTGCTAGAGCAGACCATGCTAACAATCCAAGTATGAGGCATTCTGGGAGGACCCCTTACAGGTGTCTATTCCATGGCTTGGCATTCTGTACGGTGTACTCTCCTGTGGACTGTGGATGGAATTCCAAACCGATCAACGCTTTTCATCTCTGTTAGATGCCAGGTTCTGCGGTGTATATCGCACATACTGTGCGCTATGCCTCACCAGCTGTAACTACACTGTCCCCGGGCGATACAAACCCGAGGCACTAGTGATGTACTTGGGAAACGAGTATCTCCAGAACCCAACGGCCAGGTCGGGCATTTCAATGCTGTTAAGCTGTGCCGTTCGCCTGGCGATTCTGATGGGTTATCACCGGGATTCGCGACACTACCCCCACATCACCACATTCGAGGGAGAAATGCGGCGTCGCCTCTGGTTGTTTCTGCGAGTCACAGATGCAGTTATGGCGCGGCAATATGGAATCCCAGCGGTTATACAAAAAGGGCATGGAGACACATCCTTACCTCGCAATCTACTAGATGAAGACTTTGGGCCCAATACTCGTGTGTTGCCTCTTCCCAGGCCTGAAATAGTAACCACACCTATTGCAAGGTCCCTATCAATCGAGCGGGTCCTGGCTGTGACTGGCGAGATCCTCCACGCAACATCCTCCATGGAGCTTCTCTCTTACGACCGCACAATAGAGCTGAATTCTAAGATCGACCAGGTGCGCAGTCGCCTCTCCCCAGCCTTCCAGATGCAGGTCTCTCCCCCCGCGACACCCGGCGTTTCAAGCCCCGAGGACGTGCGAGGGATAGACATTGCACTTCAGCGCTACGGCACCGAAATGGTTCTCCAGGTCGCAAGATGCATCCTACTCAGGCGGTATCTGATTGACGCAAGGTCAGAAACCCGGTATGACCAGCTTCGGTGGGCCTGTCTCGACGCTGCACGCCAAATACTCCATCACCAACTCGAGCTGTTCCAGCAGGTTATAGTCCGGGCTAAACAGCACAACAGAGTCTGGTTTTCTTTTTCTCATATAGTATCGGACTGTTTGACTGCGGCCATGGTGATCTGCCTTGAGGTTATCTGTCAGATACGAGCGAAGCAGCATGTTGACTCAGACCTGATTCATTTGCTACAAGGGTCACATCAGACATGGAGGTCATCAGAGAGACAAACTGTCGAGGTGTCTAAGGCAGAGGGAATTCTTGCAGCTATGCTGGAATTGATCGCGTCTAAATTATCGGAGCAGAATTCGCGTGACGCCGAGTTGTCTGACAAAGCAGCATGCGATCAGACTGCAAGACGCGTGGAAACGGAGTTTCCGATGGGTCTCGTCAACGATGTGCTGGCAGGTTCAGACTTCGACTGGGTACGTTTCTTCTTCAATATTACTTGGTGGATGCTATATTGACAAGTTTCAGGACCTATGGGACTTTGAAATGCAACAGAGTGTGTCAGGATTCCCTGCCACCTGGATGTGCTAAGTTCATCTTCTGACATGCTACTTCGCTGAACATGCCTTCCGTGGAATCTTGTCTATCGGCTTACAGCCCCGTCGAGCAAAGCGGACCATAGTCCTTATGCGGCAGAAACCGCTGGTACCATCCCGTACTCCCCACGCAAGTCGGGCAGTAAAAGAAGTCCTCGGGGTCATACTTTCTCTTGATCATCGTCAGGGGTAGATAATGTACTCCATAGAAGTCCGTCGCCCAGAGAGGGTCGTTGCGGTCCGCCTGCTCTCAGATTAACACCTATCCCACCTAGCATGCATGCAACATGCCAGAGTGGAGCCAGGATACTCACCTCGTTCAAATAGCTCCCCAAAAAGGGTGTCAGCTTCCGCATCGCCCAGTTCTTCTTATACGAGATATCGGCCTTCACGGCCTTTGCGGTCTTCTCATCCGCATCTTCGGACCAGCCTCGCGAGACAACTTCTACCATATACGTCGATCGCCAGGCCGGGCTCAGACCCGATAGCGGGTCGTGGTCGAAGACCTTTCCTCCACCATTGAGCTCAATGCTCATTATTGTGGATTCCTCGCGAGTACCAGCCACCACGCCGACCATCTCACGCAAAGCGGCGCGGTCAGACGTCAGAGCTTTCTTATCGAACATGCGAGACGTCATGGCCGAGTTTCCATTCCCTCCGGAAATCTGCGCGCCGGACATCGTCATATAGTAGGTTGGGTAGCTGGGGAATTCGAACCAAGTGACCGTGACGAAAAGCGATGTGCCGTTGTATTTCTGCAGTGATTTCAGAATAGACGCAAATGAGGCCTTTGCCTCGGAGAGCAAAACACCCATTGCTGCGATAGCATGCACATAGCCGACGGTTGAGTTCCCGACAATCGCACTGTGGCTGTTGATCGACCAGGTTCCGTAGCCAGAGAATCCGGCGTCTGAGATATGGGGGTATGCGGCGTGAATGTCAGTGACTGCTTCGAGAAGAGGGTCTAGATTCTTGGTTAAGGGTGAGATCGTGAGCGATTGAGCGACGACCGGCTTGGACGGATAGGCCTTGATAGTGGCCGAGGTTACGATGCCGTATGTTCCTGCGCCGCCGCCTCGGATCGCAAAATACAGGTCGGAGTTCTGGCACGGACTGGCTGTGACGGTGGTGCCGTTGGCCAGGAGGACTTGGGCTTCGAGGATCTGGTCGGCTGCGAGTCCGTAGTCGCGACTTGCTGGAGAGTGTCCGCCTCCTTGGATGTACCCACCGATGCAGCCGACTGTCTGTCCTTCATTATCAGTACTGCTCTAGCATAATGAGACCCTCGAGTGTCAACATACCGGATCTCCTCCGCCAACAACCGTCAGGTTTCGCGGAAACGCAAGCTTGTACACGTCGTCCCAGACATACCCACCAGCAATGGTAATCGCCGTCCCATTCCACTTCGCCTTGCTGCACAATGCAGCCTTGGAAGGCTCATACACATCATGAATTCTGATCCCTTTACGCAGATACTTAATCCACACTTGCAGCGCGCCGTATCCCTCCGACCTACACTCAGTCAGCCCCAACCCAGCAGCAAAACCCCATCAGAACTCACTTCCCCAAAAGATCATGCCCCGTATTCCTCACCACAAAGCGCAGATTCCTCTCCCTTGCAAACTGCATCCCCGCCACGAGATCCTCCACCTCGGTCGCATTGACCGTATACACAGGGGCCGGACCAAGCGTGCAATTCCCTGGTTTCTCCCCCGCGCTGACATCCACCGGCGGACACGGATCGTCCGTCGGATAGACGTACCCGACCGGCTTGAGAGACTGGAATGTAGAATTGGACCATTGAGAGTGGACGTAGGCGCATTCCTCCTCGCTGTGGTACGGTCCAGGATAACATGATATGGCGGGCGGGGTGTTGCGAATCAGTTTGCCTGAGACGGTGCTGTTGAGCGTATCCCATGTTTCTTGTGATGGCCAGCATGTGTCACCTGGTGTCTTTGATATTGGTTAGTGGGTTTAAAGGGATACAGGGCGGAATGGCTAACGCATTTGCAGGATCCAGGGAAGGACGCGGAGCTGAGCCCGAGTAGGGCCAGCAGGGGCAGAAGCTTGGTCATTATGCCGAATCAGCGACAAGCATATGGGATGAGATAACTACGTTATATGAGTAGGCAAAGGAAAAGCAGGGAGGGAGAACTACGCGACTATTGAATTGAACTTTCGTGGAACGTGGTACCTACTTAATGGGATGTTCCGCTTGAAACCTCGCAAACTACTCCGCACCGGCTATTAATTACTTAATTAATTGCTCTGTTTATACTCAACGCGGGTTTCATATCAACCCTGCTGTCAAACGCTAATTAATTCCGGATTTGCTGGAAACGGAGATTCGAAAGAGGGCGATTCACCCCGGAGTGGCCGGATGGGTAGCCGAGGGGCGAATGCAGCACTTAGCGTGATGCACAGTCAAGATAGTCTGAAATTATAATTTATCGAGTCAGCAAATTACGATATAGGTATAGCGTTGTCTGTGGCCCCTTTTGGACCTCTTACGGAGTAGACTTTTGGCAGCTGTGGTTGTATGATCGGGTTGTTGTGTCATGTTTCATGTTGTGTATAGGAAGTTGCAGAAAGGTATAGTTGGTGCATACTTTACTCTGAGATACAATATAGCCATACTGTGGGTTAGTAATTGTGATTATACTTGAGAAGAAGGAAATACTGTTCTGATTCATCAAGCGCTTTTGTCGACATAGAGGGTCATACTGCCCTTGTCTCCGAGCATCTTATTGCATCACGAACAGCTTTGAATCACTATAAAAATGCCCGGTTTTTCCGCAGTAGATAGTGCGAACTTGGTTTCTATATTTGAGGATATCACTGCGTAGTTAGGGGATACAACTCACAAGCAAACGCGCTAATTGCTTGGAAATGGAGACACGACCAGCTGGCCGGGCACCGCAGAACAACGGCCCATTGCGCCAGTATCCCTCGTCGGATGGCTTTTCTAAGGGGTTATTAGAACGCTTGGCAGGTTGTCATTTGTTCGATCAGATTAAATGTTTTCACTCTGCCAGTGGATCGGTGGCTAGTGTCGGGGTCCAAGTGCGAGACAAGGCTGACCCACATGGTTGAGCCAATTACCTTCGAATGTCTTTGTTTTGATTGACGGGGCGATGGAATGTCCAGTTTGACATCGGCAATAATGAATTTCAACAGCCATTGTGCCTGTTGGTCAGTTATTCAGGAATGCGACATCATGCTGTCGTCTGACCGCGTGACCCCCAAACCCTAAGTCGAAGCAGGGCGAAAAACATCATCCCCGACAATCAGCAAGCAAAGCCAAGACACAGACGAGAATCGACAATGCTGTCAGATTTTAGCCCCCAATCTAATGCAATCGATCATCCCCGTCAACCAATCCCGCTCTGTGCACCCCCGGTTCCTCTGTTGGGGCAATGATTGTGAAACACCCCATCGCCCATTCCGCAGCCCGCAGGCTCTTGGATCGCTCTCCACCATGCATCCGAAGGCCTTTGGAAGCACTCATCTGCAGCTTCTCGGACCCGGTGGATGCTCCATGGGCCAGTCCGCCATGTCAGCACGGTAAACTCGTTCTGCCCCATAAGCAGGCCATGCGCCCGAGAGACCCTGGCTGATCCTTCCGTCTGTTTTTTTTTCTCCCGGCTTCGACGATATTTACCCCCGTCATGCTACGACCTGTCGATCTCTGCTCGACTCTTCCCATGCTCAACCTACTATGAGCAGCTCCGACTCTCCCCAGGGCGTCGCTAACACTCTCCCCGCCCGAGGCCTCGTCGCAGTCACCTGGGTCGGCGTCGCTCTGGGTATCGCATTCGCAAGCACGCGCATAGCTATCCGCATCCACCGTCTGAACCGGCTTCTAATAGACGACTACTTTGTGCTTCTTGCGCTGGCGCTCCTGATCACGAACGCAGCGCTTCAGACGGTCCAGACGCCCCATCTGTACTATACGGCGTTGACGCCGACCGGGCCGGATATCGAGCACCATGGCAATCAATACGTGCGGTGGGAGTTTGCAATAATAGGCCTGTTCTGGTCGGTTTTGTGGAGCATCAAGGGCTCATTTCTGGCGCTGTTCTGGGTGCTCACGGACGGTATCCCGAGGTATCGCTGGGCTTGTTGTGGTGTCGGGGCGTTTTCGACCGCCGCGTATACGGTGTGTTGGTTGTTATCGGCGCTGAACTGTCATCCGCCGGGGGATTATTTTCATTTTGGTAGGTACCTATCTTTCCTGATAAGGATCTGAATATTGTGTCTGACAGCGGCAGGGAAATGCACCAAACCGAATGATCAGCACAGCGCGTTCATCACTATTTGCTTTAGTACCACGGTGGACATCATAACAGACTTCATGAGTATGTGTATACATCCACTCGACGCAGAATCTCCGCAAAGATACATGGAAGCTAACGACTCAAAGTCATGGCCATCGGCCTCACCCTCATTTGGAACACCGGGCTTAATCTGCGCCAGAAACTTGGACTCGGGGTGATGTTCAGTCTAGGCCTCGTCATAATCGCGGTAGCCATAGTCCGCGCCGTGCAAATCAGCGGCAAGGCGTACACCGACATCGTGGGAGTCGCGATCTGGGGCATTGCCGAATCATCCATCTGTAAGCTTCTCCACCCCCGTCACCAACCAAATCCTCAAGCTAATCGATACAAAAAGCAATGATCGTCGGATGTCTACCACCCTTCAAGATCTTCATCTCCAGCGACTCAAAGTCCTTGGCGCGATACACCTCCCGATATAGCCGGAGCGGAGGCTCGAAGCGAAAATCTCTCAGGCCGTCCAGCTGGGCTGATGTGCCTCTTCCGTTGCCGCTGCAGGAGCGCCAGGTGTATCGGAATCTAGATTATGAGTTACATGCTCGGGATACAAATATCACGGGCGGAAAGCAGGCGCAGGTGACTGGGAAGGAGGTTCCTGAGTCGAGGGGAAGTGTTTCGGATGATGAGAGGCCCGGGGAGATTAGGATGGTGAAGGAATTTGTGAGTTCTTCCTGCAGCTTTACTCATTGGGTGTTGGATTAAGAGGATGGAAATGCTAATCCGAGTTATAGAGTCTGGTGACTACGTCGTGAACGAACGGCTTGTTTTCTATAATATGAGATTGTGGTTGTTGGGTTGTTGGAGTTTTGAGGTCTGGTTGCATGGGCTGGTTGTATACTATTATGATTTGGGTTGGGGTTTTGATCAAGGAGCGATTTGTTGGCATGTTGTTTTATACCCTGGTTGGAACTTGCGATGTTCTTTTTATTAATAATACACTCAATACATTCTTCTCCTTCCATCTAAATTTTCTGCTCTATTAGAAGCCTTCAGCGTAAACCAGCGATCATGTCGACGCCGGTCGCAGCTCCTGTTGATGTTGCAAACATCAACCTTCTAATGCATCCTTTTCAGAGGTATCGCCAAGGCTGGGAAAGGACAATCGACATAATTGGTCATCTTATCCCTTGTGTGCTGAAACCCAGAGCATGCAAGGTTTCAACTGGCTAGATACTTTGTGTTTCAGGTCACTTACCTGGGCACTATCACAAGCCGAACTTTAGATTATGTTTCCCACTTGATTCGTTCATGGATTCTAGCATCCCTTCACCGCTAGATAAATGTGCGGAGGCGGTGTTTCATCTCTCGATGTGGCCCATAGCCGTCGAACATATTTTCCCGAACCGCCGTCAACACAACGGACTTCCAGCCAACAACCAAATTGATTTCATTCAAAATGTTAAAGTCACATAAATTTCATGTCATAGTCTGTATTCAAAAGCTGACTCTTTCATTAGGTCGTTAACTTTTTTTTCTTTTTTTTTTTTTTTCTTTTTTGGGTGGGGGTTCGGAAATGAGATATTTGGATTTTGAAACAGCATAGTCCTCGAGAAAAAGAAAGACGACTAGCATTTCCATATCTTACTTGACTAGCAGTCCTCGAGGTCAGGTATAAAATAATGGTATATGTAATTTCAATTTCCTTACTCTAGGGTAGAATAGCTGCTAATTATGGCCCTTAATACTTAATACAGGGTCTTGTGGGAAAAGCTGCGCATAACGTTAAGAGAACGTGACCAGTGACCTTTTATAGATCTCTCAATCTATATCCCTGAGTCAGGGATTATAAAAACATTGAGCCACGCACGATGTTTCTAGAAAGGTCTTGAGTAGAAATCTGAAAAAGGGAGGTTCCCAAAAGACCTTGTTCTAGTCAGTCACTGATCAGCACTCAGGAGAGATTTACTCCTTTCGCCCTGCATCCCCGCATCCTTACGGCCGATGGACATCCATATAGCCAAAGGACAGGTGTGGTTGGGGAAGAAAGAAATTATAATCAAAATAAGAGTTTAAATGGTGACGTTCAATCACAAGCTCGGGCTCTAGGGTCAACGTCAGGACCGGACCAATGGATGTTCGTGCTTGTGGACCGCTGATTCCAGCCACGATTAAGACAGTGAAGATCAATAGCAAAGACTGTGACAGCAAGATCGACATTCAAGACCGGGCAGGCAAAACAACACCAGGACAGTTTCCTCGCTGGCAATTACCCCGAGCTCGGGTCTATGGATGCAGTACCCCGCATTTGGCTATACCAAGATTCTCCGACATTGTGGGGATATATACCAGGGCACATAATAAACTATCAACATCCCGCTTGTCTGTGGTGTACTGAGAACGTTGTGTGAGAGTTAAGGCAATAGAGTTTGACCTGGAACTGCGCTGCATTGCCTCCTGGATAACCACCATGCACCTTTCGCGCCTCTTATTCTTCCTTGCAGCTTTGATCTGCGTCTCTGCCATTCGAACATCTCCCAGGAATACCTGTGTCATCCCAGCCTCAGGTTCAAATACCACCGATGATGCACCCGCCATTGTTCAGGCTTTCAAGCAGTGTGGTCGAGGCGGCAAGATCATCTTCAAGCCAACCACCTACCACGTCAACTCAGTCATGAACATAACCTGGCTGGAGGATGTCGACATTGACATCAAAGGAGAGCTCTTGGTCCGTTGCATTCTCACTAACCCCTAGTATTTGAATGAGAACTTACAACTCGACAGTGGGGTACGAACATCCAATACTGGCTGAACCACTCGCTGCCTGTCGGCTACCAGAACCAATCCACCGCGTTTATCCTCGGAGGGAATAACGTCCGGATTGATGGCCACGGCGTGGGAACGTTGAATGGAAATGGTGATACCTGGTATCAGTGGATCCAAAAGCAACCGAACACGTCTAACTATCCTGGTCGCCCGCATGGAATCACGTTCAACGGATTGACTAATTCGGTTGTTCGAGGACTGAGCTTTCTGCGAAGTCAGATGTGGTGAGTTTGACTGGCTTGCCAAGCTTTTGTTGTCGAGCTAATGGGAGTAAAACAGGACAATGTCGATAATATATTCCCATCATGTGCTTCTCGACAATATTCTGGTCAACAACACCGGGAATGTTGTCTCCAGCTGTAAGGCATTCTACCATAAGAACTAAATAAAAGAATTTACTAACCGTAAAAAGCCAACACGGACGGAGCCGACACAATTCGATCATCGCACATCAAGTTCAACAACTGGACGGTATACAACGGAGACGACAGCATCTCGCTCAAAGGCAACAGCACCGACATCACGATCACCAATTCCCACTTCTACAACGGCCTTGGCATTGCCTTGGGCAGTATCGGGCAATATAAAGATCAGTTCGAGACGATCGAACGCCTGAATGTCAAGAACGTCAAGTTTGACAATACCCTGCACGCGGTAAGATGACCCAGTCGGTCAAAACATTGGCATTATATCTAACAGCTCATCACCAGGTCTACTTCAAGACATGGACAGCGGAACAAAACGGCTACCCACCCAACGGTGGCGGCGGGGGACTCGGATGTAAGCGAGCCATCTCCCAATAAATCAGCACGGAAAACTAACAAACTGTTCTAGACGCTTCAGACATGGTACTGAAGGACCTCACGGCCACATCCCTGCGCGGATCCGCCGTTGCGATTTCGCAGTGTACGCGATTCATCGGCGCCCCGGGCCAAGGCAACTGCACGAGCTCGGAATTCCAGATTCGAGATATCACCGTGGCCAATCTCAGTGGAACGACCAAGTCGTCTAGGGTGGCTAGTCTTCAGTGTAGTGCCGTGGCACCGTGTACGGATATTGGACTTCTCGATGTTGATCTAAAGCTTACGAATGGAACGGCGGCTAGGCAGTACCTGTGTGGAAATGTGAAGGACCCGAAGGGTTTCAATTGCACGGGTCCGGTGTGTGAAGGTGGAAGCTCGACGGGGGAGTGTTAGTTCCTGGAGGGAGATCTCCAGGTCGTTTGACTAATGTGTGCAGAAGAAATATGCTGTTTGTCTTTCTGACATTTAAGCTACTCTTCCACGTGTGAAAAGTATTTCCAGTCTAGGAAGACATAGGATGTACTCATGAGGCGAACCTTGGCTCAATATAGCACTCCTTTGTAGAAGAGGAATATATGGCTACTATTCACCAAGCTGACATCTCAAAGTCCGCATTTCTAGAATCCCACAGTCCAGACGAGTACATTGGCATCTCATACACAGTATCCTCAGTGAAACCAGCGAACTTAGAAAGTTTCTTTGTATTAGGGTAAACTTGGATTGAACGCACGTTCATCGAGCTTCGAGGATCCCACCAGGATACAGGTAGAAAACCATCTAATAGGCGCTCCACCCGGTATTTCACGCTCGTCAAGCCCCAGCAATCTGCTGTAATATCGAGTTGTATGAGCTGCGGCCAGGAAGGCATACTGTGATTGTTTGCAGCAGGTCTGTGCTGTAGCACCTTTTGAGCTGCGACATAACGAAATGCCTCCTCGGTTATGGATGCGTCGAGCCATGGGAAAGGGGGCATATCGGGCTTGGCGTTTTTCGGAACGAAGCCGACGCCATCCGGTGTAAGAAGCTCAAGGGCTTTCAGGTTCTCAAAAGAGGCTACGCCGCTAAGTATGTCGCAAGGCTTCAACGGTGAGATCAGTACAGTTTTAATAGCTGGTCTTTCCGACTTTTGGGGCTGAGCTTACCATGCTACCAATGAAGCACAGGTCAATACCTAATCTTTCGACGAATGGGAGTTCAGAAGAAAGGCATGTTAGTTCTTCGGGTGAAAGCAGAGAGATCAAGAGCCTGGAGAGTGCTCTGGCGTCCCGACAGATATCAAATCGACTTCCATTGAGTCCAGGCGGGCACCGGAAAGCAAATCCGCTATGGTGGAATCTAAGTTGACGAAGGTGGTTACCGTGATAGAGTCCCACGGAGCGGAGAACATCCTTTGGCCAGTCATAGGCCTCGAAGGAGTGCAGTTTGGTAATTTGACGCAAAAATAAATCGAGCGACTTGATGATTCCGGGGTTGAAATCGCGATTCGCGGGCGCGGGCCCCCGGATGGCGAAAGACCTCAAATTCGAGACACTTCCGGAAAGCTGGTCAACCAAGCTGCACACCTCGGGGATATTGTCGAAGCCCAAGTGAAGGATTTTTCGAGTCTTAAGGCGCTGTGCCCAGTCGGCTACTTGCCCAGGATTGAAACTAAAGCTCGCAAAAGAAAGAATTCGAAGGAAAGCAGGCAGCGTGCTTCCGGGGGGCAGATCGAACATAGGCCTTTGACTGTCAGACCTCAAAAGCAATCGCTCTAGAAAAGGAAGAGATACGATGATAGGCCCCAGGTCGTTGATATCGATTACGGGAGCGACTCTGTTTTTGAAGTTTATGGATAGGGATTTAATACAAGCGGTGCCAATGATATTATGACTTAAGAGCAGATCTGGCTCGCCTTCAAAGTGAAAGCACGGAGCTGGCTGTCTTCTTTCGAGGGTTTTGAATAGACTTGGGGGGAGAGGGATGTCACGCCACCTGGCTGCGTCAATCGAATGAACAAAACTTCATTACTTTCCTCTTTCGTACCTGATAGTGCGCAGGTTATGCATATTTTCCACCACTCTGTTAGTGAGTTCACTATGCTCATCTACTTGCATGCTGCGTTCTGTAAATGATATGATAAGTATTTGTACATGACGACAAATATCCATATCTTGCTCAAGAAGCGCAAATAGTTTATGTCTCGGGTCGTCCTCTGTTTTTCGCAAAGGGAAGGAGATGCGGAGAGTTCTGTATAGTAAAGGCGATACAATTTGACGAAAATTGCGACACGATGCATTAAGCGAGTAAAGGGAATTTTGACAGTCCCAACGCAGCTTTTTAGTAACTCCATGCCATGGTGAATCGACTGTTAGTACTTACATAGTCAAGTATAAGTAGCCATATCTCAACAGGAAGGTGTCCGACAAAGACATGGCTCTTCTCTGGAGCCATACTCGATGTGAAGGAGAGATAGACTGAGATGAAAGCTTGAAAAATGTTAGGCTAGGGGAGTAGGTAGATGTCAGCTGTTAATGGATCATCAGGGGTTATACAGTATGGCTTGTTTTGGAGATGTAACTTGTGGTAACCAATCCAAGGGCGGGCGGGCTTGGCGCGGAGCGGGTAGGGATCCCGCCGGGGCGGAGCTCGGCCGAGGCCTAGACTATCCGTAGCGTTTCATCTTCCCGCCGCCTCTTACGGACAGATGCATACTCTCCTGAGTCCTGGTTGAGTTACATTGTGCTCGCTGCGACATGCACCCTCACCAAGGTAATATTTCTGAGTCACAAAGGGGTCCAAAGGGGTCCAAAGGAGTCCAGATTTGGCTGTCAATGTATACCCATGCACGCGCAATTTGGCCTACCTCTTTAGTCTTAGTTCTACGAGCTGCCCACCAGCTGGTTATCTTTGGAAAAGCAGGCGATCATGGAGACTGACTCATTGAAGTTCGGCTTTGAGAGATCCCGCCTACTCTGCAGATGCATGTATGCATAGTCAAGCGCTGAGATGTAATTTCTGACAAAGTTTGACGCACTCTGTTGATTGTAGATTAAGAAATTTCTACACCTGCTCTTTAAAATCCTCCTGCATACTAGTAAGCTACTCAACCGCTCTGGTATCAAGAAAGTAATATTTTGCCAGTAGACAGTATATTACCACTCACATCGGTGTTAATCACTTTCCAATAAGCACTTTTTAAGATTACGAGGCATTATGTCGTGATTGGCTTATATCCCTCATGACTCATTCATTCAATATGTGACTCACAATTCTCTCCCAGGTCTGTTACACAGTAATTTAAACGAGCCGTGGGCCCTAGAACACGGGGCATACTGCGTAGACGCCCCAGTCTTAGGCAACATCCTTCCCCATAATGATACACACCCCGGACAGTGAATAATGATGACTGCATATCCATGCACAATTTGACATAAGGACCCTTGCCAAGCGTCCGTTCCTCAACAAGACTTCTGACGGCGACATGGATATGTTTAGTTCCCTCATTGAATTGTGTTTCTAAATTCATGACGAGTATCGAGGTCTCACTTCAGCTGACTACGCCAGAGCCAGATGGTTTGCGGAGGGCTTCGACGATGGCAGTTATTCTTTCAGCTGACGTACTGGATTCAAATCCGAGGACATGATCCCGGTATTATGGGGGAAATGATGTATCAGTGTGCGTCCCTCATGGAAAGACGGGTTGAGGGAAATATTAACCATGGGGGTACCGGCAACCATGAAGAAGACCGAAAGCTCGAATTACACACTCAGAATTCTGCATATCTGCACAGACAGATTGATAACGAGGCCGCAAGACTGGAGGTGATGTTTGGCGAGGAAAGTTCATAGTGATCCTGATTTCATGCAATCTCTTCTATGACCAGTGGGTCCTCGCCCCTCATACTGCGCCACCACTCGCTTTGTCGGACAAGCTCTCCGTCTTCACCCCCTAAGAGAGACCAGTACTTCTTGACAAACCACGCCTTTGCCTCCCAGCTGCGGTTATCCCAGGGAGTTCCTGTTGATGCATATCCAGTGGAGGCATTTCGATCTTTCTGTCCCAATCCTACTCCTCCCCAGCAGACTAAGCCGGTCAAGATATCGCGCAGAAATTCATCCTCGTCCACCTCCTTTTGCCGGAGAATGAGATTCTTCCGCAGAGTCCGGAAGGGAAGAACATCAATATATGGAGGGTGCTCGACAGTAATCTGCTCACTGCTTGGCCTCAAGTCTGGTTTGAGGGTTTTGAATATCCTCTGCACTGTGCAAACCATATTTTCCTTCACTGCGGCATCTGTGGGCGCCCGGATTGGCCGATAGAAGAGTGAAGGTGATTCTTCGTCACACACCATGTCCTCTGTAAGGCCAAGATGCAGTCTCAGTGTATCCATGGCGGATAACGTACAAAGCGTTTCTAGACGAAGATGGTTGGCGTATGGATCTGGTACCGGTACGAGCGGTGCAATCGTGATTATCCTAACCTCGGTAGAGCCGCTGGTGCCGTGTCCAGACGATTGTACCTTGATATGTGGGGTGGCGCAATCGCACTCAACAGTTGCTGTCCAGCGTTGATCGAGGCCGGCATTGTGTTTGTCGTGAACGAGAACTGAAGGGTCAACATGAGTTGGAGGAGTCCGCACACTGTGTTTGGGCAAGAAAGTCTCCGACGGGGGTGGTTGATTTGTGGAGCTCGAGACGGTAGGTTCCAATGAAGACAGCTGTGCTGTGTAATCCCAACTTGCGGAATCCCAGAAGTTTAGTGGCGACAGAGTATTGTCTGGGAATGGCGGTTGATAAGTTGTAGGGTCCCAAGAATTCAAGTTCGATGCAGTATCGACAGACCGGGAAAATTCAAGCTGACAGTCTGTGGGAGTGGTCATCGATGAACAGGAGATAGATCCATTAGAACCCTCATAATGTGGGATCGACTCGGATTGGATGGAGCTCTCCGCTGGAGATCCTTGCGCCAGCGATGCTGCAAGTGTTTCGAGGGTTTGCATGCGCCCACGAAGCTTCTCCCCTGCAGAGGAACATTCATCAGCATCCAACTCGAATATTCTCACCTAAACCACTCATTCATATCTTATTCTAGGTGCACTCACGGTATTTACGTTGCGCGCGGATATTCTGTTGACGCCGTTTTTCAGGGTCGCGACGGACGGGTTTTCGTTTCTGCTTCGTGGTACCCTCGCTCACTGCAGTGTTCTCGGTAGTATTTCGCGGCATCGTGCACTCTGTACGCAATCTGCGTCTCCTCTGTGTTGCTGGAAGGACGAGAGATGGACAAAGTGTGGAGCTGCGGAAGATGAGCTCCACCGATGTGGACAGCTTTCTGCCTGGGTGCCTGATTTCGCTCAAGTCACGGGATCTGCCCCCGTCGGTCACGTTGCATGACGTCATGTATACCAAGGCTCGGTATTCGCTTCACCTTTCAATCTCTTTCATCTGGACGACAGCCAGCACGATTGACTCTCTCAGCAACACCAATAACTAGGGGAACTAAGCATGGTCTGTTCTTTTACAGGATTGCTTTTTTTTTGCTTTTCTTTTCTATTTTTTCAGCCCTTCCCTTGGCTGCATCTTTAAACAATGCGTTTCTTATCCGCGAAAAGTAACAACATCTAGAATTGGTCGAGCTCCTGACTATATCATCTTAGCCATGCACACTTTTCTTCTTACCTTCCTGCTGGCATAGGCAGCTGTTGTTGAAGTCATGTCGTCAACCTTCCATACCACGAATTTAAACCCCAAGGATAGGATCAAATGAGGGGTAGCTGTGGTCGGCAGCAGCTCCTCAGACATATACTCCACCATCAGCCTCAAAGACAAGTTTACACCGGTGGATGTGATCGAGAGGAACGGAGAATCGGGCGGTCACTTCGAGACCTTTTTTGACCCCGAAACTGGGATTCCAGTGGGTCTGAATGACATCGCTGTGCTCAACACAACTCTGTTCTTGATTTCCTCGGGATGGTAACTTCCGGAAGTTTGCATTTGCTGTGTTACACTTAGATGCAGAAGCTACTACACCATGGCGGGCAGCCGAAAACATCCACTCTCGGAGCAAGTGACCTTCCAAGCCCTAAGTCCTACCATCATCACCACATGCCGCAGCTTGACGCCAACCAACTAAGCAACAATCCCCTTCTCCCACCCCCCAAACGTAAACTGCGAATTACACATATTCGTCAACTCCCAGCTCTCCGCCGGCATAACCGCCTTGGTCCCCACATCCTCCAAATCGCCCACCGCGCCCGCCACAAACATCGCCGCCATGAAATGATCATCCGTGGCATGAGCATCCCGGAATCGCGGATGCTTCATCAACCTCGTCATGGCCCTCCTCAGCTTCGGCCCCCCAGCCGTCTTCGTGATCACATCTTCCACCGCCTGACGAAACTCCAACGCCCACTCCTCCGGCGGCGTCTCCATCGCAAAGTTATCGCGGAACCGCATCATCGGCGCCCACCGGTTGCGGTACAGATTATGCACCGCGCCTCCGGTGCCAATGAGTAGGAAGTTCTCGCGACGGAGGGGACGCAGCGCGGAGCCTATTTTCATATGGTAGTGCGGGTCGTAGCGCGCGTTCATCGAGATGATGGTTGTGGGGGGACAGGCGGAGGGGAACATATGGATGAGAATGAGGTAGACGTCATGTATCCAGTCAAAGGTCGGGTTTGCGGAGACGTTGAAGCCCTCATTTGCGAGGAGGGAGATGCATCGATTAGCGGTTGGGAGGTCGGGGTTTAATTTGTAGTTAACGTATTTGTCTGGGTGGACGTAGGCGACGGGGCTTTTGGCGGGATCAGGGTTGGTTGCGACTTCGATTTTGTCGCCGAGGCAGTCCCAGTGGGCGCCCTGTATGGATGGTTAGTTTTGTTCGTGCTTTGATTGACTATCTTGAGGTGAAGATGTGAGGGCACGGATCTGACCATGATGACAACGCCCTTGATGTTCTGCGCCAATGCCTCGTCTCCGCATTTTCTCCAGTAATCGGCTGACTCGGATTTCTCTCCGAGCATCATGGTCGAGCCATGCGAGAAGAAATGAACAGGTGTTAGACCTGTACTGGTGTCAGCTACATAATTGGCGCTTGATACCGATTGATGAACTGAGATTCGTACCCATAATGACGATTTCTGGTAAATCTGTCTCAACAATTGTTTAGAAATGAGAGTACTATGATTGCATTCTAATAATAACAGTGACGGGACCAGAGCATAGCTAGACAAGGAATTAGCATAATTGACGACCTCGGATGTCCGTCGGCAGCATCTCTCCACATCCCGAGTCGGCTGCCCACTTGACAGGATCTGGGGTAAGAAACCGGAACGAAAACCACTTCACTCTCACAGTGTCACTGTTGACTTCATTCGTTCAGATCACTCATTTATTTACTAAGACTTAATTGTATTGAGCAAAGTTTGCCACGGATGTGATCGGTTGCTGCTGGTTGCTGGTTTAGATTGTACTGTCAGGAAGAAAATACATCACCCTAACCAATCTAGATTGAACAGCGTTCGTAGTCCAAGGTCGAGTGCAAGGGAAACGGGCTTGTCAACTATTTAACCAATCTCTTGAATGATGGACCAACATGCCAATTATATACATCCGGTTGGCATTCTGGAGAGCAGCGATCAGGTAAGTAAAAAGACCTCCTAGGTGTACCATCTTGTGTCTTGAACTTGCAATATGTTGAACAACCAACGAGTTGTCATCATCCCTATCTAGGGCCTTGAGCTTCATATGATCTCCCTGCACAACCTTTATCTGACTGTTGGTATTCACAACAATTTTATTTGTTCATTAAGTCCACCATATACCAGCTGCGCCGTCAGTGTCGAGATCTGCAGTAGAGTACAGCAGATCTATATTCCCAGACCTTCTGGAAGATGCCATACACGCACGGATACAGGCGGGGAAGGGTCAAGTAAAGCTCGACGATTAGCCCTGCACTTTTATTGAAGATAATGCCATGTTTTAGACCTCCATCGGGGTACATCGCTAGTCTGGTTCGAAAAAGGCCGAGGGATTTTGTGCGGCCAAGAATTGTATCCCAGTGTCAGTGGGTGTCATCTGGCCCGTTAAAAATATCGGCAATCACGAATACCTAAGACCGGCATAGCAGAGACGGGGTATGAGTTAGCGAACAATCGTTACCTGTCGTTTTAGTTTCAACACCACGGAGAAAATGATGTAGTCCGAACCCAGGAAATTGTCAATAGAAAAGTCAGATGACGTTGGATCTTTGAATATTACACTGGAACCTCCCATCTTCGGAAACAACAAGCCCGAGGTCTCAATTCCGTATCGCGAAAAACTAAGTGGGAAATAAAGGGCGTCTGCCTGGACATTCGACCCCATATTTCACACTAGTATTCGTGAATAGCCTAGACATTCCCCATCTGGATCTCCCTGCGATAACAGCGGTCTTGCTCCCAATGCGGAATCTCCAACCAGTGGGATTCCCAGAATACAGGAGTAAACGGTTCTGTATCGAGCTCTTGCCAATTTGACAAGGGTATAGAGTTTGACGCCAAGGATGTTGGTCTGCTCACGTCCACGACTAGAGGTAGGGCTGCACTTGGCGCATGCCCGGAAAGGGGAATTTGAATACGAATACCTCCCCTCAAGTGGTGGTTGCAGATACCCTGGAGTCGAACATATGACTTTCCCTCGATCTTCTGAGGGGAATATTCCCGGGTTCGATCACTCTTCCTCCCGCACATGGGCATTTCCCTCTAAGGACCCGGAGCTAAAGACACTAAATCCATGATGCTAGATCATGCTATATAGGTGCGATGCATTCTTCTGAGCCTACAATTTATCTGCGCACGAATCTCTTTCACCCTTGACATACCTCCAGACTAAGTGAGATTTGAATTTGCTTCAACTATGACTCGTTCCCAAGTCGACAATCGTATCCCTGACCTCACCAGGCTTGCTCTACCTCCATCCAAGCCTCGCGTTTTTCTCCTCACCGATATTGAAAACGAGCCGGATGACCAGGAGTCCCTCGTCCGGTATCTGCTTTATTCAAACGAGTTCGAAACTCGAGGAATTTGCGCCGTCACTTCAGCATGGCTACCAACGCGGACAGCCCCGGAATCGATTCGCACAACCATCAAGGCCTACGCCTTGGTGGTGGATAATCTCAATCAGCACGTACATCCGGATGCTCGATACCCGACAGCGGAAGCCCTTTTAAAGCTTGTATCTTCTGGAGCACCTGTAAGAGATCCCTGAGTAGATGATCGTCTCATCTTAAATTCCATTACGGTGTGCTAACTTTGTTTTAGGTATATGGCAAACAAGCCCTTTCTTTGCCGCTCAGTCCCGGTGCCAGGGATCTGGTGAACAAAGTCCAGGAATCGACAGAGCCACTATGGGTCTTGAGCTGGGGTGGAACTAATGTGCTCGCAGAAACATTACAACATATCCACGAAACAAAAACCCCTGCTGAAGAAGCAGTCCTGCACTCACGACTGCGAGTGTACACGATTTCAGACCAGGATGACACCGGCGAATGGATCCGGAACGCATTTCCGGCAGTCTTTTTTATCTGTTCAATCCATGGCTTCGGTGCCTTCGATATGTCCACTTGGCAGGGTATCTCGCATCCAATCTCCGGCGGAGACTTGTCGAAGGTATCCGCTGAATGGCTTCGGGCCCATATCCAGAAAGGTCCTCTGGGCAAGGTGTATCCAACTCCAATGCACATCATGGAAGGTGACACACCCACCTTCCTATACCTCATCCAGAATGGATTGGGACACCCAGAGAGGCCGGACTTTGGGAGCTGGGGAGGACGGTACAGGGCCGTTAACGTCGGCAGCGCGCACTACGCCGACGTCGTTGACACTCTTGTTGGTCCTAACAAGACCGAGCGTACGGACCAGAAGGCCACTATTTGCCGCTGGCGCGACCACTTCCAAAACGACTTTGTGACACGCATGAGTTGGTCGGTCACCTCGCACTTCTGGCAAGCGAGCCACCCTCCTGTGCCGATCGTTGATGGCCACCAAGGCCCAGCCTGTATGACGCGGAAGGTGAAATCCGGGGATATCGTCGTGTTGGATGCTTCGAAGACTTACGACCCTGATCACCCAGAGGATAACTCGCATCTGGAGTTCCAATGGTACCAGTACCTGGAACCAACTCTTAGCCATCCCATCGGTGCCCAAGCTGTGCCTCGGTGTACCATAAAGCCGCTTTCTCCTCCCCCAGGCACTAGTAGGAGATTGGTCTACAATGATGCCGGCTTTGAGGATGTGGCTCTTGGCCCGTGTGTGGAGGTCGTTGTACCTGATAGTAAAAAGCCCGCAATGTTTGGCATGCCAGTACAGCATTGGCTTCCCTACACGGGTGTTGACGGGATGTTCTATCATATTATTTTACAGGTGTCGCACAGAAAGGCGCAGTTTCCTGTACATAGATATCTGCGTATCATTTTGGATGCCGGCTTATCCTAAGGTTGACTACTGGTAAGACACGAAGAGGTGAAATATCCGAAGATGCGGTCTGCAGGGCCTAGAGGAGTTTTGAATTCTATGAGGTTCATGGGAAAAAAGTTCAATCTAGTCTTCATTTCGGTCTTAAAGGAAACCCGTTCTCAGCTGTATATTAAGGTTTCGAATTACTTTCGTTTTTCTTTTTTTTTTTCTTTTTTTTCCCCTTTCGTTTGCGTGGTTAAGTATTGAATTAACATCCGGCGAGAATTAGAGACAACGAATGGTCAGAAACTAGTAACTTTTGTTCTTGTTAGCCAGAGCTGAACATTCGAGTTTTTTTAAATTAGATATTATTTACAACACAAGTGTATCATTTCTTTTCGAGCGTTGCTCTATTGAGCACACTGAAATAGGCAGTCTATATCGGGGGAACATTGAGAAAAGTCCCCGGTCTAGGCGCCTGCTTTGGTGGCAATCAGTGTAAGCCGGCTAATGAGCACCGGGCTTTTGGGCAGCCGGGTGAAGTAGTTGTATCTAGACGATCTAGAGCATAGACGAGACATTTATAGCGCTTACGCCTGCCTTAAACGGACAGCCGTTACGGTATCGTCTTACCCTCGCTATCGTGCTCACCTTTGCCTGAACACAATCGTACGACATTTTAGCCTTAGAGCCTACCTGGTACTGATGGACATGTACCCCGCAAAAAGCCCCAGATCTTTCCCCGGATTTTAATTGGGGTGTTGGATCCTGACGGTTTCCCCAGCCAGGGCCTCCACATATGAGTATCAGACGACTGTGGCTAGGTCTCACAAGTCTTCGCGGACTAGAGTGAGACCTGGACTTCTCTAAATGCCTCAATCTGTCTAGTCAGAAAGGGTATAATGGTCGGGCTCTAATATACCGAGAGCAGCTTTGACCCGGGGAATCAAGCGTGAATGATGACCGTAAAGGGAGGTAGTCTCTACTGGGCGTATATAATAAGTACTATTCAAGTTCTCGTCTTTGGAAACAAGATCTGCTGGTTCCATTTATATGTTGTCTCAATTTAGCAATTTCTTGAATCATATCTTTCAATATTGCTTTTTCGGTCCCTCCCAAGACGCCTACACAATGTCCACCGAGTTAGATCGGGACACACTTCAGCAACTCATCAGAGACGCACCACCTTGGTATAAAGCTGGCAGCCTTGTGAGATTATACTTACTACTAATCGCTCCTCTTCTCACCTCGACGGCATGGGGGTTCGACCAAAGCCTAACAAATGGACTGCAATCCGTCGATACATTCATGGTCACTTTTGACAGTCCCAGTGGCTCACGTCTTGGATTCTTCGGGGCTGCAGCGGCCGTCGGTGGCATCGTGGCGTGCATCATTGGCGGCCCATTCGCGGAGAGATTTGGACGAAGAATCATGTGTTCGGCTGGCGCTGCGCTTGTCGTAGCAATGGCTCTCATGCAAACCTTTTCGACCAGTTTCGAAATGTTCACAGGAGGAAAGCTTCTCGTCGGACTAGGGTCCTATCTCCAGCAGATCGCAGCCCCAGTACTGGTTACCGAGCTTGCGCATCCCAAACAGCGCGTCTCCATCACTTCTATCTACAACACGAGCATATTCCTCGGCTTGGTTATCGGCGGCTGGGTTACTTTCGCCACCTACCGTATTGAAAGCCAGTGGGCCTGGAAACTCCCCTGTGTCCTTCAGATTGTCATTCCGTCCTACCAAATGGTCATGATCTGGCTCTGTCCTGAGAGTCCCCGGTGGCTCGTCTCAAAAGGACGCATTGAGGAAGCTCGGGCTATTCTCGTCAAATACCACGGAAACGGCATCGAAGACAACCTCGTCCGCTTTGAGATGCAGGAAATTATTGCCGGTGTTGAGGCCGATAAGACAATCATGAAGTTCAACCTGCAATCAGTCAAGACTATTATCGGCACTAAAGGCAACCGCCATCGCCTCTGGCTATGTCTCGTAACGGCTGTGGCATCGCAAACAATCGGCGGTGGTTTTACCGCCACGTATCTCCCGCTCATTCTCGATCAGATCGGAATGAACTCCGAAAAAGACAAAACGCTAATCAACGCCTGTCTGAGCCTTTTCCACTGGGTGGTCTGCTTTCTGTCCGCGTTCGTTATTCCCAGGGTCAGACGCCGTACGATCTTCCTGTTCTCGGCGGTCGGTATCAATGTTACTTTCATCATCTGGACTGCCCTGAGCGCGAGATACACAATGACCGGAGACCCGAATATGGGTATCGGCGTATTGGTCATGATCTTCATGAGCTCTTTCTTTGTTGCCATCTGCTGGGTTCCTTTGGTCATTGCGTATCCCTTGGAAACTGTGACCACTAAGCAGCGGAGTATTTTCTTCAGCACAACGATGCTTGTTGTCAACATTTCGAACTTTATTAACACTTATATGAGCCCAGTGGGGATTGACCGGATTGGTTGGCACTACTACATTCCCACTTGCGTTTGGAATGCCCTGCTTTTAATGGTCATTTATTTTACGTTCGTGGAGACTAGTGGAATGACGTTGGAGGAGATTTCAACTCTCTTTGATGGAGATGAAGACTTCCTGAATACTGTTGCTGCCGTTGGTGCTGACTTGGATGGGAAGAATGGAGAGAAGGCATGTCATATTGAGAAGTCCGAGAGGCTCTGAGTTTATCTCACTCGATCTTGGCTTTCTATTCCATTTCGAAGGAAGTAATAACCGAATTTAGACTGGATCTTCTGTCGGGATCTACATACCATCAATAGGATGGAAGTTTTGTCTACGACGACGCTATAGTTTAGGACAATCCCTTTATCGCACTATCATTCAATCAATCATGATTACGATACCCCTCGAGTTTCTCATTTCTTTCACCACTACAGTGGGATTGCCCTGTTACGCAATGAACACCCATGAATTGTGCAAAGTCTATATATCGACCTCTTCAAATCTATTCCACTCCTCTCCAAGCCCGGTAGCAAACACCCCGATGACAGGCCCGGTAAAGTCGTGCCCCGACAAGTCCAGCGTGTCAACCAACACACACGGATTCCACCCTTCTCGATCGGCCGTCGATCCCAATCGATACAAAAAGTAGATGAGCTGCTCCGTATACACGATTCTGAAGGTGATCGTCTTAGCATCTTCACAGTTGACCTCCACTCGCTTTTCCCTCCACACCTGTGGGTCCTTGGCGCGATTTAATACTTCGAAAGCCACCGTCCTCACACCAGGTTCATACATAATCATCGCATACCGGTGCTCGTCCTTGTAATACGCCAAACCAAGCTTGGCGTCTACGGCTCCTTCAGTATCAGACTCTTGAGAAAGAACCAGGGCAGCAGAGGCGGAGCCAGCGAGACGACGTTGGCGCCTTCCGATGAAGGACATCGACTGCCCGGTACATTCCCCAAGATCCGTCGGCGAGGCTAATAGACAAACCAATCTCCCGTCTGTTGAAATCCAACTCCGACTGAAATCCGGATCTCGAATCCAGACCAGATCCATGTCCGGGGACAACGGAGATGGAATCATCTCCATCGGCGACGACATCGTCGAGCAGCCACTGTCCCCTTCGGCATTGCCCCCCTCCAAACGTCGATACATCGCCCGCGGAATTGGATGCTCGATCTGCGGCCAAATCTCACCAGCCGGCCATTTCACCGCTGCTAAAAAGGTCTCGCGACCAAGGATCATCCGCCCGGCTCTGTCCTTTCGCACCCCCAAACACACCATCCACCAGTCGCCTTGCAGGTCCTGGACCAGATCCCCGTGTCCGTTATAGTGACAATAGGCGAACGGATCGTGCATACCGGTCGATTGGAGAATTGGGTTGCGATCGCAGGACTCATACGGGCCCCAAATGCTAGATGCGCGAGCGATAGTGATGCAGTGTCCTTCGTGGGTTCCTCCTTCTGCGACGAGCAGATAGTAATACCCCCCGCGTTTGTAGATATGCGGGCCCTCCGGGATTATCTGAGTATGGCCGTACCAGAGCATCGTTTCCTCGCTTAGCTTGCGTCCTGTATCGATCTCGATCTCGAAGCAACTGATACCGCACGACGGTGAAGGGCGCCAGGATGAGCCGCTGATGTAGGCGCGGCCGTCGTCGTCAAAGAACAGATCCGGATCGATGCCATGGTAGTCGAAGAAGATCGGATCACTCCACTGGCCGGCGCGGATGTCCGTCGTCGAGATTATGAAGCTTTGGAATGAGAGACCAGATGCCCAGTCCCCCGTGTCTTCGGCTTCGTTGTAGACCACGTTCGTGCAGATGATGTAAGTTGTTCCGTCATGGTGCCGAATCGTGGGCGCATAGAGTCCCCCAGTTACTGGGGCTTTTTCGATTGAATCGTCCGAGGAGAAGATAAGATTTGTGCAGGACCTCGCGAGACTCAGCTGTGTTGGTCGGTGAATGGCGTTCCCGATATGTGTCCAGTCGATTAGATCTTTGGATGCAAAGATGGGAAGGCCCGGGTAGAGGTGGAAGGACGAGTTGACCAGGTAGAATGTGTCTTGAATTCGGACGATCGATGGATCCGGCGCAAAACCGGGGATGATGGGGTTTCGGCATGCCATTGAATCTGTCTTGTAAAGTGACGATGCCTCCATTGTGCGTGAATCTCAGTTGCAGAGCTTGATGTGTCCTCGTCAATTGGATTTGCTCTGTATCTTTACCGTGCCTTTGACTCTGTCAGTTTTCCTGATCTACTCCAAGTCTGTACAGCCAGTGGCTGCAGGTGCCTAATACGTCTGGCCATGCTCCTTTCTAGAGGAAGCCAGCTGCATAATCAACCCACAGCCAAGGTCAAAAAGAATTACCATATCCCATTGAGGCAGGTTTACGCGCAGGAAACCAAAATACACTTCGTTGTACGGTTCTCACTATCAATGCACAGCTCCCCCGAAGTAGTAGACTAGACTAGTGTAGGACAACCGTCAATTGCGCTTTCTAGCAATTCCCGCGTATTCGTATTCCAGCATACCATTGAGGGCAAACAGACTTAGAATGGATTCGTACTCGTACCAAATACCAGTTTCAGGCGTATTTCATAGCCGCTTCCGGATAAATTCGCGGTTTTCTCCCACTCCCCGCACCAATTGTTAACATGTTTAAAACGCTCTCGAATCCCGGGTTCCGGGGTAATTTCGGCATGCTTCTTGGCGTCATGAACGGTTTCAAAGGCAGATAAATGGAAAGACGAAATAGAACTGGATATTGGAAGTATTCCTTGTCGACGAACCTCTTGGATTCCATTGTGGCCGAGATATCTAGACAGAGTCCTTCCTGGAGGAAAGAATATCCCCAAGACGAATAGCTAAATCTTGCTCCAAGGAGCTTGACGGGCTAGTGTCGTTGGTATCCACCACGATTTCTCCCAGTTCGGAAATCCGACAATAGTATAGTATGCACGCGCTGCGGTATTTGATCCTGCGGTCGATACAGCGCCAATTCCCACCGTAACTGTCGCTCAATACCTCATCCACCGTACATGGTCTGAAGGCATCATCATGCAACTCGATAAACAAGCTTTCCCTCGTACGCAGATATCCATAATACACCCCGTCCTCATCATTGCCGTCATACACAATCACTCCGAAGAGAGTATAGACCCAAGACTCGGACCGGTCCGCATCCATCGATAAGTAAGGGATCATATCGATTTCCTCCGGATACTCGAAGTAGTCGTTATATCTGACACGTCGTTGACATTCCTCATACTCGCTGCGCTGTAAATGAATCGATAAGACCGGTGGAAGCTTCTCATACACAAGACCTTTTTCAGTGCCGAGATAAAACATCCCACCGTGCACTCTGGCATCTTCACGCGAGAATTGCGGCTGGATTAAATCCTGCAGACTCTCGCTGAGGGAGCGATTTCCTCGCACTCGTAAGCTCAAGTGCCATGTTTCTTCGGTGCAGTGCACTCTGGTATCTGAGACTAGAGAGGAGTCGTAGCGCTTTGAGTGTATCTTCAAGAGACTGGACACTGTGTGTTGAAGCGCGCTGTCGTCAATTTGCTCGGTTAGCATTTCTATGAACAGGCTTTCTACTTGTTCGATGCTGTGCGGGTCGAGAGGTGCTGTACTGAGGTCTTTTTCGAGCAAGAAGAGTACCTCTTCCAGTGCAGTTGCAAAGTAAGCCCCCTTCATCTGGTCGGTGAGCATTTCCTGGATGACCTGGATATCGTTTAGTTTGTTTCCCGAAGGGTTAGTAGGGATCTTACCCTCCGAAGGGGGTTTATGTGGAACAGGATTTGCAGAACCAACTTCAATAGTCTTGTCTTGCGGTTATGGTTCAGTCCAGGTGGGAGTGACCTAAAGATTAAACTGATTGCAATTCTCATGTCAGCCAGAATTTCTGTCAAAGGAAATTGGTGCTATATACCCCTCTTCGACGGCAGGGGGATCAAACACCCTCATGTAGACAGTAATGTTAAACTTTCTGAAGTCAACATTCCTTGATTGTTTATCATAATAGAAGTACTCGATTAGCTTCCCAGGAGGGGGCAACAGCTGAGGGCCCCAAGTTCGCCGGTCCTTGTCATAGCAATGTCTTGCAGCTGGACTTATTAGTCGTCATTGAGTATCGATGAGAAGACGTCTTACTGCGCATGATATACTTCTGTGGGCATTCAGGTAGCTACACGACCAACGCGAATGCAACAGAGCATCCAGAAACCTCCCCGTCCGTTGGAAGAAGCTCCAACTGGAGAGAAATGTTGTCGCAAAGAGCTGGATCAGGGAGCAAGATAGCTCTCCTGTATGGCTTAGTTACGACCTGAGATCACTATACATTCACTTACCATTGCCTATTTGCAGAGTGAAAAACAGGGCTGGCCTTTCGGTCTCTGGGTCTTGTATAATCTACTTCCCAGGTATAATAGCTTTCGTCGAGTACTCCGACATTTGAGTCAAGAGTAACAGACTTTGACATCATCGCTTCATCTGCAACTGTCAGTCATACCGCATGCAGCCTGCTCCCAGATAGACATACAATCATCAGCCCTCCCACTCTCTTGCTCAAGTCCACCATAAAACGCCTCATTCCTAACAACCTCTTTCGTCTCATTCCCAACCACGCCTTTCTGTCTTAACATCCTCTCCAACCGCACATCCCCAAAATGCAACGCCACATCCAAAACACCACCCAACCTTCCACGCTCCCTCGACACATCAACTCCCACCCCCTTACACCTCTCCAGCAGCACGCTCACAATCTCCAAATGCCCCGCCTCACAAGCAACATACAACGGGCCATACCGCTCCACCGCATCTACTCTCGCTCCATGATCAATCAATAACTCGACGATCTTCACATGACCAGCGAAGCAAGCCGCGCGCAGGGCATCCCCATGCCTACCACCCTGTGCATTCACATCCGCACCTTCGTACAGGAGCATGAACGCGACTTCTTCGTGGCCTCGAATGCAGGCGGCTTGTAGGGGTGTTCCGTATACTCCACCAGCTGTGTTGGGGCTTACGCCTTCGCCGAGGAGGCGCAGGACGTTGTGCATGTCGCCGGAGAGGGCGGCGTTGTGGAGGGCTGTTTGGGCTGTTTCCGCGCGGGGAGCATCGGGGGTCCATTCGCCGGGGAACATTTTGTTAAATCTGGGAGTAGATGTGAAATAATTGGTTTCGGGGACGGTCTTGGGAGAGAATGAATTCTGGATGCGAGATAAGAGAGGAGGAATCCACAGCTCGTATTCGGATGCGCCGCGGGGCAGAAGAGGCTGAGTCTAGCGAGGCGGGGAGATAGAGCCCTATACAAGATAGAGACTGCGCGGCTCAGACGGCAAAGCAATATAACTCGAAATCTGCGTATCTTCTGCAATCTTTAGAGTTGTACGATTAAGGACCCAGGATTTTATCCTTCGCAACTTCTAACTATTCGGTTGCTAGTCTTGAAATAGGATGTGGTAAAATCGTAGCACAGACGTGAGCACATAAACAGACCTATCATTAATTAGACATCAGTAGAATCTTTCTCTACAGCTTCGCAGGTTTCTGGAACGACCGATGACCCGATACCTGCCGAGCAGGCAACTCCACTCCCCAAGCAATCCTGCAATCCCAACGAAGATGCTCATCTGTCAGAATGGCCTCCGAGGCATGCACAGGGCGATTGATAATATCTCGCCAGGCCATATCCCCAACTCCCCCTTCGCCTGCCAGAATCCACCTCCGCGCAATCTCCCCTGCTACACCGTCGCCGTCTCGCTCAGCGTCCAAAGCCAGCAGTGCGCCGCAGAGAACCCAGGCCAGAGTAAACATCGCGCGTCGTCCATCCGCAAGAATCAACCGCGCATGCTCCGTCGCCGACAACCGGGTCAGAAAGCTCGACCACACGCGTTTCAAGACCCTCGAGAGCTCTGCGTTCTGAATCAAGCCCAGCACCCGCCCAACCCAGGCCGAAAACACCACTACATGGTCATTCTTCAGGATATGACGCACCAGCTCGCTAGCCAGGACATTCGTCGTCCCCTCCCAGATCGAATTCACCAGCGTGTTGCGCAGGATCCGCGAGACGTTAAACTCCGGCTCATCCGCCTCGTCCATATACCCAACCCCTCCCATAGCCTCCTGACACTCTTGGATGCCCGCGATGGCATTCTTGCTCACCACCGCTTTCGCAGTCGCCGTGAGCGCGCGGAATACGACCTCCGCCTCCTTCCCGGGGGCCGGCAAATGCGGCGCAGCATGTCCCGAGACGCCGTTATTCTCAACCACGCCCATCACCGCCACCGTGAAGAATCCGAGGTTCATCGCGCCCCGGTGTCTCACTTCCATATCGGCCAGGAGATTCAGATGCATGGGCACCAGCCAAAGCGGCTCCCCGACCGTCGTCCTTGCCTTGGCAAAATTCTTCGCAATGCTGATCGCCCGTCGCCATCCGGCCAACGAGCCAATAAACGTATGCGTGCGCGTGACATTCAACAGCGGTGAAATCATCGACACGCCGCGATCCAAGCGTCCGATTAGGTGCGCGCGCATATCTTTCAGCTCCAGCTCCGCAGTGGGGAGTTCCTTGGTGCCGAGTTTGTTTTTGAGTCGGTGGATGCGCACCCCGTTGCTGATTTCGTGGGACTTCCCGTCCTGCGAGATAACTGTTTTGCGCAGAGGCGCGAGAAACGTGCTGAGTTTCCCAGAGGCGGTTTTGGCCAGCAGTAAGGCGACGTTGGCGTCTGTGGCGGAGGAGAAGAACTTGAACCCGCTGACGAGGTACTCGCCGTCGTTGGGGTCCGAACCGGGTGCGTGTGTCGCCCAGGTCTCTGTGTTCTGGACGTCGCTGCCGCCGGCTCGTTCGGTCATCCATTGTCCTGAGGTCCAGTGGTTTTCTCTCGCGATGAGCTTCTGGTAAACGCTGTGGAAGTGGTGGTCTGCTGGAAGTGATTTCAGCTGTTGCGAGAGAATCAAGGCGGCGCCGTCTGTCATTGCAATCGGGCAAGAGTATAGCCCCGACGACGGAGAGTAGAGATAATTCCTGGATGCATCAACATAGGCACCTCTACTATCGCTCAGAAAGGTCAACTTACACAGCATGTTGCACCAATCTTCTCTCCGCTCCATACGTCGGTTCATACCCCAACGCAACCACACTAGCTATCAATCAGCATATACTCAGTCCAAAAGCCAAAGTCACTCACCCATGTCGAGCACCCCATTTCCCCAACTGCTTCCACCCCTCACTCGTCACCAACCTGTCATAATCATACCTCTGCCCCCACACATTATACCCCTTTACATAAGGCTGGTCGCGCTCTGCATCAGCGCTCCATTCGCGGACCTGGTCCGATACAGCCTCCTCGCCCAACTGGGTAAGCTGGGGCTGAATATCCTGCAAAGTCGAAGACGGCAGATACCCTATCCATCCGGATCAGACTCATTCACTACCAGTGCCTCGAGCGAGGCATTGCCAACTCACAGGAAATCACCCGCTGCAGACTGCTGTCTGTCGTGTATGTATTCTCAAGCGGTTCGAGACGCGTGATGTGTCCGTGGTCGGCGGTAGCCGGCTGTGGCTGTGGACGGGACGCCATAGTAGCGAAATTGGAGATAGAATTTACAAGTTCCAGCGATCAAGTGAGATGGAATGGTGAGGTAGTTATAGGTAGCAGATGGTGTTCTTTGTGGCCTGATGGCTGGTCACGAGGCGTGGCTTGGCTGCCTGGCTACTCGGCTTAGTTACCTTACCTCGGCTATCCCGAAATGCGGAGTATTCACTGCCCATCGCCAATGATGATCAGGTCAGATGCTCGGCCGAGGATCAACTCTGGGGAGTCCTTGCTTTCATGGGCCGGGATTAGAATATCGAAGTTTATCCTGTTGGGTCATGTGAATGGGCCTGGAAACGCAAATGTCGTGTGGTGATTCTATATTCTTTATGACGGGGTCGGTGACATCACTTTGGTGCATATATTATCTATCTACCCGCGGAACATAAGGGGAATAGTAGGCGGAATATGGTTGGTTGGATTATTCTATTTTAGGGCACCAAAAGGCTAAATGAAGTTAGAAGGCAAATTGAATGGTTTGTTTTATAGAGTTTTTGTTCTCCCCGGAATCTCCAACCCCGTCGCTCCGTTGAAACATCTTAGTTTGCATTGGAGAAACGGCCGCAGATGTTCCAATAACAGAGACAAAAGAAAAGAAAATAAAACCAAATAAATAAATCGATTGATTTAAATCAAATCGATCACTACGAAGTAGCTAAAAGTATCACCGAAGGTTTTGTATGAAGTTGAGAAGGGAGGTTCGATTGCTAGATATTAATATAGGTACAATCCCCATTCCGACATAGCTTCAAAGTTCTTATCCTATTAGCCAAGGATCCTGCAGAAGCTCTTTTGCGGTCGCCCTTTCCTCGGGTAGCCATGTAAGAGTCTTCCGGAGAAAACGAAGGAAGCCGGCATTATCATCTAATTTGGTTTCAAGGGACTCTATAGTCCGGTCGTGAGGAATAGGTGCGAGGCCAAGCCACTCACCTGCGATGGTAATTAGTAACGCATCTTCGTGGAATCATGATTCTGGAAAAGGGCCATACCGTTCTCATCCCAAAAGTCCGCCCGCCTCTCTGGGTTCCTAGCTAGAAACTCGGCGGGTGGCGGACCCAGTGCGGCAATAAACTGAGCCAGATGAGCAGCATCGTATAGATCACCGTCATCATCGCGTGCGGTAAAGAGTCGTTTCGTTCCGAGGAGATCCCACGCCTGTTATCGCATCTTAGTCTTCTGAACCCTGATCCGGAACAGGTGGGATTGAAGCTCACTGTAAGACCAACACTCCAAATATCAACCGGGTAGCTCCATCCTATATAAAGTAGTGTTTCAGGTGCTCGGTACTCCAACGGCATTATATCACCTGCGTGGGGGCCTGGTCCGATTCTCGCTTCACCAAAGTCAGAGAGAAGCATGGGCCCTTCTTTCGGTAGCACTAAACGTGAGAGATAGATCGTGCGGTCGGGATATGTCTTGCGAGTAACCGGTGATGTGATTTCCTTCTCCTCTAGTCTGCGTAAAAGATCATTGTCATAAAGACCAAGGAGCATGTTGCCGGAGTGTACATCTGCTTAGGATCAGCGAAGGAACATGTAGATCGGGGTGACGATCTTCATAGACAAGCCATACCAGTGTGGACAATTTCTCCGTGTGAGTGCAAAAAGTCAAGGGCTTTAAGAAGTTCAATAATGGCGCCCTTGACAAAATGCTCCTCGAAGCCCTCGCGCCGGAAAACCACCTTCATATCACGAAGGCTCATTTGCGCGGGCTCAAAGACGAGGACAACGTGCTTGCCATGTGGACCAGTAACTTCGAAAGACTCCATTAATTTTCGAATGTTATCTCTTCCTAGTCCTTGATAGGAGTTGTCGGCCATGCGACTGTTTATACGGTCGTATGCCGGCAGCTCTCGATGATGGAGTGAGGTGTGTACATAAACCTTAAGCGCAACATATCGTCGATCCCTATAAGAATGAGCTATCGCTGGCTTCTGACTGATGGGATGGCTGACCTCAAGTCCCGGGCCAGCCAGGTGGTTGAAGAAGAGCCGAAGCCAAGCTTTGCGACGCATTGATAGCGGCCTTGAAAAAGTTCGCCCAGTTGAACAGGATAAAATTGGTCAGCTCGATAATCGGGTATTTCCTCCTCTTCGACTAGAGTCTCGGTCGGGATCGTAGGGTACCCGCTTGTGGGCAGGGACCGAGGCTTCTCCAGACTGGCTGTCCCTGACGCGGTGGAGAATGTTTTGAGTGAAGATGTGATTGCATTCCATGACAATGGCGTTCTGGCTCTAGGGGGATAGAAAGAGGCTCTGATTCCTATATTTTTACAAACTTTATTGAGTCGCAGACCAGATGCGAGTTTCCAAGTCTTTCTCGGCATCATCATTGTTGATTGCATGGTGAGCTGGTCAGCATGTCGCTGTATCTGCGTACAAGACCTTTGCTTGACACCTGAGGCCAAACAGGGGCACTGGCGCGCTATTGGGTCCAGGTGTGGGCCAGTCAGGAGCGGTATATAACCTACTGTGGAGCAGATACTACTCTGGGGTATGACCCAGCCTGGAGTCCTGCACCTGAGGAATGAGAAACCTCCCAATATTGACACGAGCGCTAGAGACCGCCCACGAAGGAGATGATGATTTGTTGGAGTTGACCAAATGGATGTGGTCGTTTGGATATTCAATAGAAGATGCGGAAGGCGGTCAATGTGGACGGCAGAATGGTGTGTTTGTTTGGTTTGCATGTGGGGGCCTGAGGCTGTTCCTTAGTGCGACGCATGTAGTTCTTCTACATTTCGACTAGGTTTCCTGCAATTGGGCTAGTCATACATGCAACCACAGTCAGAGTAGGGGTTTCATCTCCTTGAGATGCTCAGAATGCTAGCTGAGGATGTTTACATTGCATCGCATGTCAAGCAAAAGTACTGATCTCCAAGCTAACGGAGATTAGCGTTCGGAAGATCCGTGTGGAGGACCCGCAGTCTGGTATGTTACCAGGAATTACCAAAGAATACCAGGGGCTGTGTGGTGTTTTATCGTATTCGGCTGCGTATACACCCGCAATACGCAGTGATTGCCTGATGTTTGGCCCATCACAGGCCGCCGATTACTCGCCCTCTCTTTCCCCTTCTCTTGCTTCGCAATCAGCCCACCTTGCTTTTTCTTTTCGTGCTTCTTTTTTTTTTTTTTTTTCTGTTTTGCTTTTCCATTATTTTCTTCTGTGTATTTTCTTCTCTTCCCTTCTTTCTCCCTTTATTTCTATTCTTTTAATTCCTTCTTGTCTTCGTTCTTTGCACCCTTTCACCCTCGCCTTCAGCCATGTTGTCCTTGGCCTCCATCGGGGTCTATGGGCTCCTGGCCTTCGTCGCGTCCATTGTGCTCAACCTCGTCTATCAATGGGTCTTTGCGAAACTGAACAAGACCGAACCCCCGTTGGTCTTTCACTGGATCCCCTTTTTGGGCAACACCATCAGCTATGGAATGGACCCCTATGGCTTTTTCTTTGCCTGTCGCGAGAAGGTAAGACCGCCCCTTTTTGGTCGCACAATCCTTGACTAACCAGGAACTGTTTTTCAACCTCTAGCATGGCGATATCTTCACCTTCATCCTCCTCGGTCGCAAAACTACGGTCTACCTCGGCGTGCAGGGCAACGAGTTCATCCTCAATGGCAAACTGAAAGATGTCAATGCCGAGGAGGTCTACAGCCCCTTGACGACTCCCGTCTTCGGTTCCGACGTGGTCTACGATTGCCCCAACTCGAAATTGATGGAGCAGAAGAAGTTCATCAAATTCGGTCTGACGCAAGCCGCCTTGGAATCGCATGTGCCGCTCATTGAGAAAGAAACCCTCGACTACCTGGCCACTTCGCCCAAATTCAACGGCCCCTCGGGACGAGTGGACGTCGGCGCCGCCATGGCTGAAATCACCATCTTCACGGCTGCGCGCGCCCTGCAGGGCGAGGAAGTCCGCTCGAAATTGACCGCTGAATTCGCCGATCTCTACCACGACTTGGACAAGGGTTTCACGCCAATCAACTTCATGCTGCCCTGGGCGCCTCTGCCGCACAACAAGAAGCGCGACGCCGCCCATGCGCGCATGCGTGCCATCTACACGGACATCATCAACGAGCGCCGTCGCGCCGGCGAATCGGCCACCCACACCTCGGACATGATTTCGAACCTGATGAACTGCGTCTACAAGAACGGAACCCCCGTGCCCGACAAGGAGATCGCACACATGATGATCACCCTGCTCATGGCCGGTCAACACTCCTCTTCGTCCATTAGTTCCTGGATCATGTTGCGTCTTGCCTCCCAGCCCGAAGTTATCGAGGAACTCTACCAGGAACAGCTGGCTCAACTCGGCCCCGTCGGTCCTGACGGCACCCTTCCCCCTCTGCAATACAAGGACCTCGACCAGCTCCCGCTACACCAGAATGTCATCCGCGAGACTCTCCGCGTCAACAACTCTATCCACTCTCTCATGCGCAAGGTCAAGAACCCCATCCCTGTCCCCGGTACTCCCTACGTCATCCCCACCTCGCACGTCCTGCTCGCCTCGCCCGGCATAACGGCCCTCAGCGACGAATACTTCCCCAACGCCATGAAGTGGGACCCTCACCGCTGGGAAACTCAGGCCCCCACCGAGGACAAGGAGGAGGACGTCGTCGATTACGGCTACGGTGCCGTCTCCAAGGGTACCTCCAGCCCCTACCTGCCCTTCGGCGCCGGCCGCCACCGCTGCATTGGTGAGAAGTTCGCCTACGTGAACCTGACCGTCATCATCGCCAGTGTTGTGCGCACCATGCGTCTTCACAACGTGGACGGCCGCAAGGGCGTGCCCGGAACGGACTACTCCTCTCTGTTCTCTGGGCCCATGAAACCAGCTATCATCGGATGGGAACGTCGGTCCGCGAAATCGGCCTAGTCTTTGGCTGGAGATGCACTAATGTACAGTATATGAGAACATTAAATGAGCTTCTACCTTCGACCATGTATGTATTTAATATTGACATTTTCATAATTCTACCAATCCAATTCATTACTTCCAAATCCTAATTCGGTTAATCCCTTGGCAAATGTTTGTTCACTTTGTTTGCTTCGCGGCTGGTCATCACGTGATCATTTCTCTAAATAGCAAAGTCTGGATTACCTAATTTGCGGCTAAACGGGAGCCCCTTCCGCCTCAGGCAAAAACTATGGGATGAGCAGGGAACATAATAAAACCGTTATCGCGATATCCCTTCTACTGTATTGACTGAATCGTTAGTTTCAATGTACCGTAGTCTGAATGATCTCCTTGTTCCTTGACTATATGTTCCCCTCTCGTTTTTGAGTGTTACCTTTGTCAAAGGATTGTGCCTGCGAACTATATATATGGGAGTTTCCAGTTCAGATAGATCGAGCCAACCATAGTATTTTACCAAATCAATTTAGGTTTCGTTTTTCTTGTCTCTGGATAGATCTCAACAGATACAGGCTTACGATGAAACTATGGAATTAATGCTGAAACCTGCAGATAAGAAAGTCGCACCTCCAATCCCTTGCTAAGCGATCGATGTTGGGCCGGCGGTAGAGGTTGACAGCAGATAAACAAGAACGCTAGAATGCCAGGAAGGATGTTTCAATGGACTCAAGGATTTCTGTACGAGATTATAACGTATAATCCCTCTATTGTTGACTTGAAGATTGGTGAAATGGGAATACGTAAGATATATGTATGATTGCGGTGCTTACTTCTAGGGCCATGGATAGAGGACCATGGCCCACTGGCCCAAATAGTTTGCATATTTGAAACACTACATCTGTGTCATATAGCAGAAGAGATAGTGACAGCGCGAGAGAAGATGTCCGGGTGACCTGCCCAAATCCGTTCCCACCGCCTCCGAACCCTGCAAGGCAGGCGCGAACGGCCCATTGTGGAAGCCCCTACCTAGCATTGTCTGCACCATCGTTGTGATGCAGTTTATAGCCAGCCTGGGTTCTCGATCTCTAAACATCTTCAAATCCTATCGTTCGCGGGCACTACCGGTAACATGCCACTCCTTCGTTCGTCCTTCAAAAAGCGTTGGTCGCAGAATGTCATCCTCGCCAAGGGTGACTCACGACAAGCTTAGCTTCTTCGAGCCTCCACCTTTTGAATATGTCCCCATTGAGGGTGTCGAACGACTCGAGGGATATCAACCCGGTGGGTACCATCCCATCGAAATCGGAGATGTCCTTCAAACGCGATATCGAGTCGTTCACAAACTGGGCTTCGGGACCTACTCTACAACGTGGCTCTGCCGAGATGACCAGCACGAGAAATACGTCGCGGTCAAAGTTGGAACGGGGGATTCGAGCTCTCGAGAAGCTGATATTCTCCACGCACTGACGAGTAGCACCGGCGTCTCTCATCCCAACCATCAGGGAAGGGACATGATCCTTCCAGTCCGAGATCGTTTTGTCCTTGAAGGTCCCAATGGCGTTCATCCCTGCTACGTTACAGCTCCAGCAAGTTGCAGTGTCTCGGGTGCAAAGAACGGGTCATACCAACGCCTTTTTCAAGCCAGGTCAGCCCGCTCACTTATCGCTCAGCTGGTCATGGCTGTGGAGTATATTCACTCCCGGGGAATCGTGCACGGAGGTATGTTAAGTCTGTCTGCATGGTCTCTGTATTCCGACAAATACTACAACCAAATCACTAACATTCCAGACCTTCATCTTGGAAATATTCTCCTGCGTCTTCCCACTGATTTCGACACCCTCTCGGTCGAAGAGCTATACGCTAAATACGGCCCACCTACTTCAGAGCCCATCGTTCGTCACGACAATCAACCATTAGCGCCTAACGTCCCCAAAAAGGCCGTTCTCCCAGTATGGCTTGGGAAGCTTTGCGAGAAGTTCACCTCCCCCGAAGTCAGTATTCTACTCTCAGATTTTGGTGAGGCATTTATGCCCTCCATGGAGGATCGATGTCAGTCCCACGTGCCGATTGCATTTGCACCGCCTGAATCTGTGTTCGAACCAAGAACACCTCTTTCCTATGCATCGGATATTTGGACTCTCGCCTGCCCCATATGGTCGATCCTCGGACAGCGGCCATTGTTCGAAGGCATTCTTGCCACTCAGGATGACATCACGGCCGAACAGGTCGATGTCCTTGGGAAGCTGCCTGCAGAGTGGTGGCATGAGTGGCCGGCGCGACAGGAGTGCTTTACCGACGACGGTGAAGCTCGCTCTGATCGACACGCTCGGTCTTGGGAGGACCGGTTCATATCCCATATTCAACGACCGCGATCGGAAGCCGGAATCTCAGGTATTTGCGTTGAGGAGAAAGCTGCTGTTTTGGATATGTTGCGATCAATGCTGGCTTTCAGGCCGGAGATGCGAGCCACGGCGAGGGACGTGTTGAAGTGTGATTGGATGACTAAATGGGCTTTGCCGGAGCTTGAGGAGGCAAAAATGAAAGGATCTGATTGAAGCAGATGGGCCGAGTTTGTATACTTAGTAACTAGTTCTCAGAATGAAGCATTTATTTGGTGATAGAAGTGTCATGCTTAGAGGAGATCGGAAGGGAAAACAGGTCCATCCAGCGATCGAGGTTAGGCTATGCTCAAGGGAAGACATCTAGGTCTAGCTTAGTGGGCTACAGCCTGTGATGATTAAAATCTTTGTTATTACTGACGCCGAGCAAATAAGTTTACCAAGACCTGGAGGCACAAGAGAAGCGGGAGTTGCTTTTGCGGCAGCGCAGGAAAGAATAGAAATATACACCAAACAAAAGTGTAGATCGCCAAATGAAATTATGAACTCAAGATAGATAATAGCAATATTCTGACAAGAAAGTGCTGATTTGGTCTTGTATTTTTATCCCGAGTCCAGCTTCACGAGACAACCGAAGCTCTGACGACATCATCACCAACCATGACTCACTTCGACCGTATCAACAAACAAAAAATAGATAAGACTATTAGCTGCTCATAATAGGAATATCTGATAGTATATATTGCTTGCTTGTTAAAAAAAATCATCTCGTGAGATCCTTACTCATTGTCACGATATCAACTTAGCCCTAACTCCGGGATCCCAAAACACCAACACCAGCCCGCTTCGATGACTCCCTAACCATGACGAATGCCTACGTCTCTATGACCAAAATATTCTATCAGGATGACACTTTCATCACGATTTTATGACGGAAACATGTCACGGGCATGCAGAATTTTCTCCCCTACAAAAGGGAGGGAATCTTCCCTTTCCCCTCGACTCTGACTTGTTCCTTTCCATATTCTTTGCCATATTCTTCACAAGAAACAAAGAAACACCAACTTTACGGACTATTTCGTCTATTCAGTGCCATATTATTGCACCTTTTACTATTCTACTCAACTCATCTTTGTTTGAGTCCTTGTTCGAGTCAGCCTCGATCTCGATACCTTCCAATATCGCCTTTATCTTTTTTCAAAGGCTTCGACATTCCTCACAGAACCTCAGATTTATTCCGCCAAAGCGGTTCTTGGTACTTGAATCCTCTATCGTGACGGAGATCCCCGTCCCTCGAAACATCATATATAACCCTATATCGCCTCGAATATAGGGATTTACCAACCTCTACGTCGACAGAACCAGACGTCGACAGAAGCACACAGCGTCTTCCATCTCAAGATACAAGATATCTTCTACTTCCAGAAAACGGCAAAATGGTTTCTGTTTGCCGTAACATCGTGATTCCATTCAACGACATGACCAACGGGTCATCGTCCATCGACATAGACATCGTTGCACCACAGCCCAACGGGGCCATCACCATACACGACACACAAGTCGAGTCAAGCTCACCGGAGCAAAACCCTCAGAATTCCTGGGGCAGGAACAAGAACAGGAACAGGAGACGGAATAGGGGGCGGAACGGCCGTCAAAACGCCTTCCCTGCAGGCCTCAGGGACGGCAGTGAATGGACCGATTCTTCTTCCTCCTCTTCTCCAGCCCCCCTGCCCCTTCTACATCACAAATCGACACCGAAATTCGACATCACATCGACACTGGAAAGCCCTGGTCCGGGCCACTCGACAAATCGATCAGACAGAGCTTCGTGGAGAATCTCCGAAGTAAATGCCACTCATGGGCGACCCTCAAGAACACCGGCTATAGGATGGACCCCACACAAAAAGGATATCAGCATGCCCCCCAAGGCGGACCCCAAAAGCGCGCTGCAGTCGCGCTAGACTGCGAGATGGTCCAAACGGAGAACGGGCAAGAGTGCGTGCAACTTTGCGCGGTGGATATGATTACAGGAGAGGCGATCGTTGATGTTGGCGTGTTCCCTCTGGCCCGGGTGACAAACTGGGTTACGAGATATAGCGGCATGAGCTGGAAGAGGCTCAAGGCCATGGAAAAGAAAGGCAAGACCGTGCACGGTTGGCCTTCTGCGAGGGAAAGACTGTTCAAGTACATCAATAGGGACACGGTGCTGGTGGGACACGCCCTCGAAAACGACCTCAAGACTCTCGGCATCGTTCACGATAACATCGTCGACACCTCGATCTTGACAAAGGAGGTGGTGGAGGAGCATATTGGGGTTTGTGGACGAAAGTGGGCCCTCAGAAAGCTAACAGCTGCTTTTGTGGGCATTGCCATCCAGAACTCAAGCTCGGGCCACGACTGCATGGAGGACACCATGGCCACTCGCGAGGTCCTCCTTGTTTGTCTCCTGAAGCCTGACGTCCTGGAGCAGTGGGCGGTTGAGGCGGCTGTTGAAGAGGGCCGGGTTGGAAATGGACCCGCATACGGCGGAGTGGAAGACTTTATGTGAACGTGCACGTTGCATGGTTCTCACTTTGGATTGGTCCTTGGAGTGGGCTTTCTATTTCTATTTCATGTACTGGGTTTTTTTCTTCCCTTGTGGATTTTTCCCAGATTTTTCTGCTGTCAGGAGAGTCTTGGTTGAGAGTACTGTCTGCTTGGGTTGACCTTGCATGAGTCTTAAATTGGTGGATTGTTTTTTTCCCCTTTTAGGGGTTTTTTTTTGGATATATTTTCATTTTCATGTATTCATCTCAGGGACTGGGCTTGGTTGAGATGTTTTTGTATACTAGGCTATTCACTCCAGCTTTAAGGAGTTGTCGGAAGTCAGTCTTACACTTCCGTTGAGATACGTGCTATACACCCACGGCACCTGAATGCAGCATCTTTCTATCTCACTGTGTGAACATAAAGTAGTAATAAAGCTTCTTGTAATCCTTGATTGTAGTAAGTAGACATGGAAGTCTTCTTCTTACCTCATGAGCTTTGGAACGCGCCATATCGAACGTCCCGGGACTCTATTCTCCTCCTATAAATAGCGACTTTCAGGCACGCAAACCTGGATTTGGTTTGCATATTTTGTTGCAAAAGATCATTCACTATTGTTCAAGGGATTGAATTAACCTCTTGCGGCTACAGGTTACGGACGTGTCTACAACTGAATAACAAATCGCAGCAACACAGAAAGAAAAAGATATTCTAGCTCTTAACCCTTCCTATTCAACTGTACCGCAATGTCATAATTCGAAGCAACTCAAATTTGGTAGTCCCTCAACCTCAGTCCTAATAACCAAAAAAAAGGAATAACAAAAAGCCGGTACAAGCCGACAATTTCTCATGCTCGTACCCTAAATTGGATGTCAAACTCAAGATACGGATCTTGGGCATCTGATAAATCCAACCCGGGATTGTTCGCTTGATTGATCACAATATGCCATTTAGCAAATGGCCCAACCATGGCGTATTCGTCGTCATCAGAAGCCGTGTTGACAACGCCATCTACCGTTCCCGGTCCAGTATGATCCTTATCCTGGATCACATAGCGGAAGTTTATCGTGACAGGCTGGTGATCAAACATATGTGTTGTGCCCACTTCATCGACGATAGCCTCTTGACCGGTATGCACTAGGATAAGATCAAGAAACCCAGTGTCGGTCTTTGCGCCATCGATAAAGCAGCGAACATTCGTCAATCGGATATCAACCCTTCCTTCTCCGAAGATTAGCCCGCCCGTTGTTGGGTTGACGGTTTCTGGCGTGATCGCTACTTGGATGGTAGACTTGTTGTTTGTAACGATTTGCATGTCCTGGCGAACATTGGACACTGGAAATGTGACACCCTTGAGTGTCTGGACTGACTGGCCCCAAGACTCGATACGTTGAGCATAGTAGTTATCCAGATCGGAGCGGACGGAGTTCAACATGCCGTACGTGAACTGGGAAAATTCGAACCCCTTCATTGCATTTCCAATGACGTTCGTTTCATCCAGTGTGACGAAAGCATAGGCCTGCTGCATCTTTTCCAACCAGAGCTGGACACTGGTAAGGGAGTTGGTGTACAGCGTCCGCATGAACGCTGTCAGGGTTGGGTGTTCTAGCCCCAGTACATTGTACTCGTCACGGACTATGTCCTTTTTCTGACTATCCAGAGACTCGATAGTTTCTAGATTGTTAATGAGAAGTTGGACATCGGCACTGTAATCCATGACCGCTGAATTGCGGGCTTGTGTAGTTTCTATAATTGATCAACATTAGCATTACATTGCTCTAGGAGAGGACGTGGTGTGGTGGGTAAAGCTTTATCCAACTCACCAACATATCGATCGAAACGATCTTTGACTTCGCGGAGAAGGTCGCCTCCGAGCGCACCGCTAAATTCTGCGAGGAGACTGTTGAGCTGAGATTCCAGCAACACTAGCTTTGCACACCCCGGGTCATCGAACTGAGCGTTTCCGTTGGCCAGGATGGTGTACCCTTCATGTAGGCTTTCGATAGAACCTTCAATCTGGGTGACGGAGTTCAGAAGATAGGCCTTGTTGATGGTGAGCCCGGTGTCTTTGGAGATTTGCGAGAGATGGTCATGGGCCCATTTAGTGCCGTCGTTGATAGTGCCCAGCAGGGACGTGAAATCGTCTTTCATGGAGACAACCTGGGTGATTCCTTTGAGAAGGTCAACGAAGGTGAATTTAAAAGCATCGCTTATCGCGTCTTCCACGTCGGCGATACTTTCTGTCAAGCGTGCCTCGGCTATTCTCATATCCTCCTGAGCGACTGCAATCTTGGAGTCTATCGTAGTTAGATCGTATTTCACGGCCACAATCGAATTTTCAATCTGATCTTTGGAGGCGTCACACATGGCACCCCTTTGATTAATTGCTTTGGCTGTCTGGTCGACTGAGAGATCGTCCTTGAGATACCCCAAATATGTGTCCTCAATTTCTTTCAGGTCGTCAAGGAATCTCGCTGCGTATTCTTGATAAAAGGCAAAAGATCCACGGGGGACTTTGAGATTCTGTGTTCCGAATGTGTCCTGGGGAGCAACGAGCATCTTGATGGTTTTGTCAACCTGGCTGTAGATTGACCGGAGCTGCTGTATGGATGCAGGTTCCTCTGCCTCTGGCCCGGAAACCACCGCCAGAGATTCCTCCGCCTTCCGATATGCCTGTCCTAGATTGGTATCGGATAAATCATCAGGGCAAGAAGGGTCTCCCAGGAACCAAAGCCGTTGCTGAAGCTGCTGGAGGTACTGCAAAGCCTTGGCTTTCTGGTCGTCGTTGTTGAGAAACAGAAGAGCCTTTGCCTTATCAAGAAGCATTCGACATTCCACAGGATGCAGGTAGCATACGGTGGAATCGGTTACTGTCGAGGTCGAGTCTATAAAAAAGGAGTGATGCGAGCCACTGGAGCCACTGTTGCCGCTTTCCCCTTGGCCCTGGGCGCTTGTCCCACCGACTCCATATGTTCCTCCGTCGACATTGATACTTTTAGTCACCTGGGAGAGCACCGAGTCTTCGTTTGTGAGAAGCTGCTGGTAGGCCTTGATCAATTCCCGATTGAAGTCGGCTTTAGGTCCACTGAGGACCTGGCTCGCATCTTGCGTGGTGGATGGCAATGCATAAACATTTTTGACCTCTTCCTGATTCATCGTACTGATCCACGAGCGGACGGAGTCCCGGAAGTCAATTGGCCATTCGCTGCCATCGCTGTTGAGCGCTGTTAACAACGAGTCTGAGGCGGTGATTGCCTGGCTTAGAAGCCGCCCTAAGAGCACAGTGACATTTCCACCGTTGCCTCCGTCACCACCATTGGAAGGGGCTTTATCCTCCGCCGTTGAGATGCCATCCCATCCGTGACCACCGGTAACTATGTCATTGAAAAGAAATGAACTCGTTAGCAACAATTAGACTTAATGCAGGCCTGAAAGCCTAAGGCGAGAAAGGGATAGAGGACTGTACCTTTTATGCCGATCCTGCTCGCGGTATCCAGTGGAAGACTCTCCACATACAGCTCAATTCTCCCACCGGATGCACCCTTCGGGTGATCTAACGAGCCGTCTTTGCCCGTAAATCCCAGTGAGATGCGGCCATCCGATGATTTAGGAACATCGATCTGATGAGTGTACAGCCTGAAGGCAGCTGCAGTGGTATCCGTGCTATCATTTACCGCAGTCGTCTCGTTTTCATTTCCGTTATAATCATTTTCCACGAGAAGATCTTTGGTTAAAGAAAACTTCTCGACGTATAGCGAGACCGGAACCTGCAACCCGGTCTTGGGTGCGAAGGCATCTTCCGACACCGACAGGATAACAGATGGGTCTGCCAGCGGATATTCGATAAGATCGGGATTCATAGTGAAGAAGATTAATGATGAAATCGATGATAAGATGAAAAGCAAAAGAGAATTTCCTGACAGGCGAACCTAGAAATCTTGATTTTCTTCGAGGTCCTGGAGAGGGAGAAATCACTCGACCTGATGGGTTCTTAAATACTACTGATGTTGTTGTATCAGTCAAGGTATTGCCCTCTTAGATTTGTAAACGCTTGAATTGCGACAGAACTATGGTTTAGATTATCTCTAGAGCTAGCCGATCTCTGCCAAAAAGAATTCCAGCAGCAGGATGCAGATGGTGGCTGCAGTGGCAAAATAACAGTTTTTCGTGCTAATGCATCACCCACATCGCATCCCTGCATTACCCCGCCCCAGCTGAGAAACCCCCTGTAGTAAGCCAAATGATAGGTTCTTAGACCGTTGGAAGTTATTCCCTAATGCCAAAATGCGACCCTTCGGGGCGTTGAGATTGCGTTGCAACATCACTAATGTCTTGACCATCTCGAAGCCGGGCTAGACCCTGTCAGAAGAGATCCACATACAGGGCCGAGAATCGACCCGCGTCCACCTCAGCCTAGGAAGAATTTTTATTCAAAAGGCAAAAAGCGTATGAGCGGCAAGAAATCTACGGCGTCTACGGTGGCAAACAGGCGATTATGCGGTGTCTCGTCATTACCCCCGCCCGAGCTGAACAGTCCCCGGGAGATTTAATATAGGAAGCCAAATGTCCATGGGGTGAGTGGAGGACATGCGTAATCTTGTTAATATAAATGTTAATATAAGTGACTTTCAGAGCTGAAGGGGCGTCAACACCGAGCATTAGCGGTGATGAATGCTCATGTTCAAGATGAAGATCCCCCCTCCTAGGTTCTTCGTTGCTGATACCATTGGCTATACGAAGGGCATGCTTCAAATTGCCCTCTTGTCTAGATTGGAATCGAGCATGATCTGGATTTTCAGCTGCTGAAAGTTGATTCTTGGCCCTACGCTACCTGAGATGATATCGTCATTTTCTCTGTACCTTCCTGTGGATATATCCTGGTGAGCTGCTTGGAACTGGTCAGGTATTTATAGGCCCAATCCTCTTCCATTGATGAGACTTCTTCATTGTCAACATCCTTCTCCAAGCCCAATAACTCTGATCCATTTCTTTGAAAAAGACAAACTGCACACAATGTCAACCAAATTCCAATCCAGAGCCGATTTTCATCAGAGTCTTGTCGACTACAACCTAACTACTACTGATGGTTGGGATGTAATTGTCAGTTACTCAGAGGCCAAGTTAAATACCTTGTTGAAAAAGTATTGGTCTCAGAAATTCGAACCGGCTCAGGTCTCTTTCCAACATACCACCGGGACAGATAAGAATTATTTCATATATATGTATGCTCTTACTCTCGAAGCCCCTACCTTATCGTTCAAGTCGATCGCTACTACCCATGGCAACATTGCTGTCTCCGCCCTTTCATGGAAGGTCACGGGCACTATGCATACTGTGGTTTACGTCAACGGCAAAGAGATGGGCTCCGATGATGAGGACGTGGGTAAAGATCAAGATGTGTACTTGGAGGTGGTGACACCGGTGTCTGCCATGGATGGAGAGTCGACAGATACCAGCACTGCAAAGGTTAGTCGTCCATTGTCCCTGTCGTCGACATCGTCATGAGGGTTCTGTGCAGGTCATACTGAAAGGAAAATATCATATAGTCCAGCGATTCAACCTTCCAGTTCAGCGACAATACCGAGTCCAGCTACAAGGTCATCCTCCATTTCCAGAACGCCCAGGACTCAGACTGGTCCGTCACAACGCCTAATTCTAGTGACCCGCTCAACGAAAGTCTCACGGAAATGGTGCAGGCGTTGATGAACAACGAGGAGTTCAAGTCATTCACTTTTACCCTTGGCACTGTCAAGAACACGAAAGATCAGTCTTCGGACTTTTTGCAGCCACGGGAATTCAGATTCAATGCGACCGAAGGCATTCTGAGCATATTCATCCAAGTGAAAGGCGGCAGTGGCAAAGGAACGGCCGAAGCACCGCAGTTCCAGCTGACACACGATAGCGGAATCGCGGCCATTCCCGAGGGCTACGAAGCGAGTATTATTCTCTCTCAGACACTCATCCGCGATGACTATCTCGTGAAACAGATCGCCGAAAGTTTGAAGGATACATTGCGAAGTAGCGGCGGTGTGACTGCCAGCCAAGCGTCCGCTAATCCAACTTTCCACCTGAAGTTCAAATCCGACAAAGTCTGGGAAGGCGAAGCGATGAATCACGGCGGCCCACCTATTGTTGGTGAAGGAGAAATCACTGTAGACTGGGACAAATACCCTTTGATCCTGACCATCTCCGACGATGGAGAGCCGCTGACATCTCATTACAAATGGGTTTGGAACGAAGTACCGGTGACGCTGTCCTACACCACCATGGATCCAATCCATGGGGCTACAAGTGATCATGTGTACGATATCGATGGGACTATTAAGGCCGTGAGTTTATTATCTTTCCGGATTGCCACATTATACAAGGGCTTGAAGCTAATAATTATAGAACTCGACCCCTGTCGCGACTATTTCAGGAGATAAGTTGGAATTCAACATCCAATTCACCTCTGCTAATCAACCAGATGCGTCCTTCTCCAACGTCGGCCCTGCAGACCTGACCGGATCGGTGACATTCCCGGAGTTTGACCTCAAACTGCCTGACCTCGACTTCTTCCAAACGCAGAATGTGCTGGCTCCCGGCGAGGATTTCATCAAAGCAGAAGACACTATGTGTCCTTGCGACTTGTTTGTTCTGGGATCTATGTACAGCTGATAAGTTCTTTTGACGCGGTATTAAGAGAGGCGAAGTAGGACGGGCAGATAGGACTACAGACTTTAGGTTCATTACAATCTTGATTTCACATCCCATAACTTCTACTTATCACCTACCAATCTTCTTCAAGTCTTTACTTGTTTCATCAATTTGATTCATTAAGCACATACGACCACAGGGTGAGGAGAACAGGGCTTCCCGTCCGCTCAGCCGTACTTAAGCCTCACGCCGGCCGGTTAGTAGTTGGGTGGGTGACCACCAGCGAATCCCGGCTGTTGTATGTTTTTATTTTTTCTATTTTTTTTCTACGGCTGGTTTGCATTGCTGTTTTGAATCTGTATGGAAAGAAAGAGAGAGAGAGATGTTTGTTCTGCCTCGGGCCACTTACCGTGTCACGGGGATACAACCAAACTTTCTCTCTCCCCACTTCGTCATTTCCCGCACCTCCATCGCGGTAATGTCATCCTCTTTGAAACAAGAACACAACAATTTCCCTCATGAATACCCCCGTATGTCACTATCCTAATTTCCATTTCACTTTCATATCATCTGGCTAACAAACATCTAGACCGACCAAGTTCCACCAGGCTGGACCAACGAACCTGCTCGCCTGAGAGGGCTTTTCTATCCCGGCTCAGGAGAGAGCCAGATGGCAAGAAGCTACGGGCTGACGGACTTCAACCCACTTCTTTTCAATACTCCGGATACAGGGGAAATGGGCTATATACTTCAGTCGGGCGAGGAGTTCTATTGGGGTGACCTCATGATCGATTATATATTCTTAATCACAAAACCGAAGACGTTAGAGGAATTCTGCATACGCTTACCACGGAGGGAGATAAAGGTTTGAAGACAAAGGAGCTGACACCGGTGGAAATGGACCAAGAGGAAATCGGGGAGGAGGGGCAGCAGGAGGAGATTGAGGAAAGTTTATTCATGCCAATAGGCTGAAGACCTTCGGGCCAAGTCAGAAAATATAGCACAAATATTAAAACAAACAAAGTCCTCTACTGTGCTATTGAATAGTACGGGCGGGATCCTTTCAGCGTATTGCAAATTACAGGACCCACTTTCGGACCATTGCATCCCGGCCCGCAGCGGCCGCTAGCGCGCGCCGACCAACCTTAAATTTAGTTACCCGAGTGGCCCCTCGCGACCTAATCTTTCAGGCGGCGCATGCCTTCGATGCATGCTCTCAATTTCAGCTTTGCTCCATATCCCGGAGGGTTACATTGTGCCCACATGAGGCTGCTTAGCAAATTACCAGTCAGATTCACACAATGCACATAAATCGTCGAGATCCCTCCGAAGCCACTTTTGTAGAACAACAAAAATAGGCACTCATGTTACAACTTGACCGCTGAAACTTTTCCGCAATTCATGCACCAAGAAATGCTAGCACAGGGTAATTTGTATTCTAAGCTGCCCTAATCAGTGTCATTAAGAGTCGTATTGGGATATCGAGAAATCCGATGAAAATAAATGAATCCGGGGGACTCAAAGAGGGCTTGCTTGTGGTCATGACCCCCTTTGCATGAGGTGGTGAACAGATTTTCTCCCTCATATTCTGATGCGCAGCTTCAGGTGACCCATATTTAATGCACTACTTACACATTCTTACGAACAATGGCTTTACTGGAACACGTGCGAGATGATGCAGCAATGACTCACACAGACGCGGTAGTTGCTGGTTTCCATGTAGGCCTGCAGCATATTGAGCGCAACACTGAAGGTGGGGAAGGGTGTATATAACACAAGTCCCCTTAAGTTGTCGCTAACACAGTGCCATAGGTTGGCAGCCCATTGGAACGAAATGTGTAGGTTATCACCACTTGAAGCTTTATCGATTTTATGTCTAACGCATGCAGACCCATACTACTTTCAAGAAGTCTCCCAGTTTGCCCGAAACTATGTTGAGGGGCGGATCCGCTACGTTCGAGAGCAATTCGAAGATTCTAATAGTCCCTATCGTGATAGCGTGCTAACGGAGCTGTCCAAGACTGAAAAGAAGATTCCTCACATGAAATATCCGTTTGAATATTAAGAAAGGCAAGCCTATATTTATAATTCACCAGTTTGCCGTCTCCAGTGGTTGCTTATAGAATAAATACCATACATCTGGAAGATCAAACATAGCGTCATAGAAAGAAGAGCCCACCATCCAGGATGCCATCTTCATCCAGCCAACATTCTCGTCGCAACAACCATCAATCGGCTCATAAGTCTCGTCTTCCTCGGTTAAAAGATCTGAGGTCGGGGGGTTCTCTTCGGGCCACCTGCTTGATGGCACCCAGTTCACCATCCAAGTCGTGATCAGGCGGCTGTGGAGCCTCGTATACAACACTCTTCAACGAAGACTCATCGACTTGGACAAAATAAGAATATCGGGGGTTGCAGGATCCAGCATTGAAGCTCTCCGAGTTTGGGTCCTCTGATTCAATCGCATCTTTTGCCCAAGCCTTGAAGCGGGAGCGAAGATAATGTCTGGAAGCGCCGTCAAGTGTGTCGCGATCTTCAACAAATACCCACTCGAGGGTATCTGCGAGCTCCGGCGCATCAGATGTAGCAGCGCACTCGAGGGCTCTTTGTTGGATAATTTGCTTGAATCGTGCCCACCCCTCGTCGTCGTCGTAGGTGCATCGGTAGATAACCCAGCCCCATTTATTCTGCTTTGCGTCTTGCAATTTTAATGACAGAGATTTTTGTTCAGATGGCCATTTTGAATCATCGGCTCGAGAGGCAGATGAAGTAAAGCCTTTGTACGGAGATCCTTGCATTGGGAGACGGATGCGAGGGTATCGAACTAGAGAAGGGCGAGATAACTGCACCGAGGATATGATTGGAGCGCCGGGGTGTCTGAACACGGGATTTTTGAAGAATGGTTTGGGGAATCGCGCAAGGCGACATGCCCCTGACCACATTGCAGCGTTTCTCTCTGGAGAGCGAGAAGACGAAAGGTCAATGAAAGTTGGGTAGTGTCTTCTGGGTAATGGGGAATAGGGTTCCTTAAGTACTGCGCTCGTTGTGCCAAAACCCTCAGGTCATCATTTCTGGTCATGTGGAGCGATGGAGCCCTGCTTTGGTTCTTGTTTTTGGGTCGATGGATCGGAACCGTGGGTTAGTTGTTTATTAGTGTAATTTAGGTAGTGTTGATATGTCTTATTGATACGTCGGGAGTTTTGTGGTTACAGTTAAGAGAATGAATTTGAGATTGAGTCTCTTGAAATACTAGCGTTCTCTTTCAATACCAGTTTCTCCGTGCAGGATGCATATAAGTAACTGCATGTAAGCCTCATGTTGAGAATGACATTACTAGTAATAGTAAAGTGTTGAAATTTTACCACTGCGCTGAAAAGGGTTAACTCCTAGTCAACAAGGGTAAATTGCGTACTTTGTAGCTCATCTCACTGCAACATAAAGATCCAACATATTGTGTGTGCCAATTTTGTTATGGCTCTCTCTTCGACCCATGATGAAACTTTTTCATGGACTTTTTATCATATCCGCTTTTATGGCTCCTTTACACAGTCTTACCGGGTTCAGCTTGTGCTGTAATGTATATTTGCAGACAATAATGACATGGGTTGATTTTATACTCCAGTAGGGCCAGAGCACGGTGTCAAGAATTGTCTAAACACTGTGATAGACATTACGGAATGATTCAAGTACAAAATATTACCACGGATTTGAGTTTTCTTCTCTTTATACCCCATTATTAACATTGTTCAGTTGTTTTCAATTGACTGGAAGTCACCACAAATTAGCTATCTGAAATTCCAAAATGTATAACTCGTACTCCGGCTCAACTCAATCAGTCTCACATACCGCCACAACAAACATGGAGAATACTTCTGCTATACCAACAGCCATTGTCACTTCTATTTTCTGGTAGATATCATATGTCTCTCTCAAAACTCCCGGGTTTAGTTGGCGTCAATCGACCGCGAGCATGTCCAAGCAAGGAGAGAGTTTCTAGGAATTGCTCCCCCCCCCCCCCCCCCCCCCCCCCAACCTCCAGAATCTGGTGGACCTTGACATTTTCAATAACATTTCGTGTTGAACAAAGCCTTTTTTGTAGATTCAATGTGTAACTGATACATCGCAGTCATTCTCATTCATATAGCATCTTTACTATAGAAGAAGCAGAAGCAAATAGGACATGACTTGCCATTTGACTGACTCTACTCTGTGGCTCGAGCGCGATGAATATACAGTCCTAATAATAATACGTACGCATGATTCATATGAGATTTCCCAAATTTGAAATGGAGATGGAAATAGGTATGCGGGTAGCGGACTCTGTATAGCTTCGAAATTTCCTAAACTGGAAAGAAAGGGTCGGGATGAGGATCTCTACCGTAGCTGCCTAAGAGATTCCTGAATAATAGTCTGTAAAGTTCTAGGGCTCCGGCGATCTAAATTATTCAACTAATTAACATTTTATCCATAAAAGAGGTCTTCGATCGTGATGTGTACATAATATGGCTATCATGGGAAACGGGGAACTGTTTGGCGACTGGAAGCTCAGGTTTTGCGTTTTTAATATTAAACTAAATTTTGATGCAAAGAAAAGTAAGCAAAACTCCTAGTATTATTACCTCTAGGTCGTCTAGTAGTATTTCCGTATAAATCTTCTAAGAGTATATATACGCCATCCAAATCATATAAGTGCAAAAGCAACCCAACCAAAAATCATACATCACAAGAAAGCAAGTCCAATATTTACAGCTTACTCTTCGGCGGGGTGTTCTTCAACACCGCCTCGTTCCACGGATACGGGTCGAACACCAGATCATTGACCGGGTTCTGGCTCGCGCGACGGAACAGATCGGGATAGACCTCGCCGTCGTAGCGACCGAGACTGCTATCGAGCTGCCAGTCGGGGATCTTCCATGCGTCGACGAGACGCACGGCGTGGGGACGGATGTCGTCGAGGAGCTTCATGACGGCGTTGGTCTGCGCCAGGGAGATCTGGCGGGTGGTGACGGCGCTGGAGGAGAAAAATTCGGCGGCCTCGCGCTCGAGCGTGTGCAGGGCGTAGAGGCGGAAGAGCTTGTGCATCAGACCGGTGGTCTCGGGGTCCAGGGCGCTGGTGAGGTGCGGGGAGGTGACGGCTTCGTGGAAGTTTTTGACGACGAGATACTGCGAGTGGGCGGTGGAAAGGCGCCAGAAGTCGACGAGGAGGCTGTTCCACGAGCGCTTCTCGACGTCGCGGTGCTTGAGCGCCTCGAAGGTGAGGTGGGCGGTGCGCCAGGCGAAGGCGGCCACGATGTCGCTGTCGACTTCCAGGACGTCGAATGACGCGCCCTTGTCGCGGCGGTCAAGGTAGGTTTGCAGGATCTGGCAGGTGTCGTTGTTGGCGCCTTTGCCGGCGAGGACGACACGGGCGGATTTCAACAGCTGTTCTCGGTTAATGTCTAGTTCGAATGTAAGGGCTCAGCGATGACTTACGTATCTCGCAACCTGCTGGGTCAACATGTAGTTATCACCCTCCCAGGTCAGGGTGGGAAGGTAGTCCGAGTACCACGGGCCAATGCCGCTGTAGCTGCTGTATCCGTGGCCACCACAAGCGCGACGGCAGACTTCGAGACCCTCTCCGGCCGCGGTACTAGCCAAGGCCTTCAGACCGCAAGAAGTGGCATGGAGATCGGCCAGCAAGTCAGCACCGGCACGAAGCTCCTCCGGGCCAGCGCCTCGGCTGTCCTGTCCGGATTGAGCACCCGCCTTCATACGCTTCTGGTTCTCCTGGTAGAGTCGCATCATGCCGCGACCGGTGAAATGCAGAGCATACATGGACGCCAGCAGAGGCAGCAGACGAACCTGCACCATCTTGTAGTTGAGGACCTGGTTCTCGCCCACGTTGCCCTGGGCATCACGGTCCTGGAACTGTTTCCGGACGGCGCAGTAGCGAGTAGCAATGGTGACACCGCGCGCAAGCACGCCACCAGCCTGGAGCACGATGTTCGAGCGCACCCAGGTCAAAGTGCCGTACACCAGCGTCGGCGAGGCAGGGCGCAGGTACTTGCCCGTCTGCTTGTCAATGCTGGAGAAGCGAGCCAGCATGTTCACATGGGGGATCTTAACATGGTTAAACAAGAGGAAACCATTATCCATCGTACTATTCCAGTCAGCAACATGCCCAACCCGTTTCCCAATCAATCAACTCACTTATATCCAAACTTCGGCCCAATATCTCCAACATAGATGTTCTCCAGTGGCTGATGCGTCTGGAGATCGCGCACCTGGACAACGAACGGATGAGGACCATAGTTCTTCCCACCGATGTACAACTGCGCCATCACAACGGCATGGTTTGCCGTGCGACCCAACGACCCGATCCACCACTTCGACGCCGTCAGCGTCGGCGAATGGATCGTGAACGTCTTATCATCTTGGTTCCACGTAGCCGTAGTCTCCAGACCACGCACATTGGACCCGTGGCCCAGCTCCGTCTGCGCATAGCATCCCAGAATCTGATAATTCTGCGCCCGCTCCAGGAAAAGTTTATGTTGCTCGGGGGTTCCCTGCTCACGAAGGGTGACCTATCACATCGGGACTCGTTAGCGCCACAGCCACAGACCAGACAACCACACCCCCATCCAACACCCGTAAACCAACCCAACCCAAGGTCAGGACCAGGACAAGGGGAAAAGAAACTCACCAAAAACATCGAAGCATGCAGACCATACGGCGTCGGCTCACCCAGCAACTCATTCGCGGCATGCAACTCCTCCATGGACCAATTATTCTTCTCGGCCAACTGCTGCAGCCGCTTCGCCTTGCCCAGGGACTTCTGGATCCGCTCGGTGCGGCCTAGCGTGTGGTTCTGGGACTTGTCGAAGACCGGATCGGCCTGGAGCAGCGCAAGGAGACGGTCTTGTCGGTCGAGCGATTCCTTGGTGTGTAGTAGTTCGGCCAGTCGGTCGACGTCGACTTTGGACTGGGCGCGCTCCTGCGAGAGAAGCTGCGAGCCTTGCGGGTCGGCAGGCTTCAGGGCCTGGACCCAGGCGGGGGGGGGGGATGGCATTTTGCTGGGGTGGTGGATGTGGGGGATTGGATTAAAGAGGTATAGGGGGTGGGAGGGAGGAAAGGTGGAATGGGGAGAGTGGGAGAGGAAGACTTATAGGAGGACGAGGAAGTCCGCGGAAAGGCGAGATTTGGTCAGGCCGAGGGCGACCGCGGGTTGCCCAATGCGGAAAAAGCCTCGGCTCATTCGGTGGCGGTCTGGATGCCTGAATGCCTGGGCCGAGTGCGCGGTCATCTCACCTCAGCGGATGCGACGAATCAGTATGTTTTTGTGGGGTAAACTGGCAGTATTCGGTGGCTATTGCACTCTACTGTGTCTGTCTATACATCGGGAGAAACAGTGCCGAATCATCCCAGTCCTGTCGCTCAGGCACGTCGCTCAGGCATCCGCAGCACCCGAAATCGGCATCGTGCAGCGCCGGCGTCGAGCTCATTGGCCGGCGATTATCAGATAACGATCAGTCCAGGATGCTGCAGTCTTCAGTTGTTCCTCGGTAATTCTATCTTCTAGAGAGGTCCTACGCAGTGTATCGTGTCCGATGTGCTTTTTGCTACTCTGCATTCTCTGGGTGACTGAGCATCACGGTTGTCTCTCGGCCGATACCACCCCACTTCTATTCCGCCTCCGTATACTGAAGACCTGTCCTTTGCGGAGTAGAATGCAGGCATCAGCGGGTTTAGTGGCTTGGAATATCCTAGTATTCCTTCTAAATGATCTGACTTGGAATATTGACTAATCAAATACTGCGTCCTTCCCAAGGATCAGGCGAAGCCCATCCGACGGCAACCATCCCTCGGCCAAGTCACTTCAAGCCACGCGGATGGAAGAAAATTGCGCCAAATGACCAGGTGCTCGCACGTGCTCATTCAATTCACATGATGGCCTCAGACCCTAAAAGTAGACCATCTGGACAGTGCTGATGGCACAGATGCGATCTTATTTCTTTCCTATGATTCTCCGTACGGTCAAATCCACCTTCACATGTGAGCGATCCACCCCCGTACTATCCTTTTCCCCGACTTTCTCCATGCCGAACCACAGTCCAAGACCACCGAACTAAGACGCCCCGATTGCCGCCGCCGCCTCCCGCGACAACTCCGCCATCCCCTTCTTCGAGCTGCCGTAGGTGTCCGCATATCGCGCCCCCATCCACTCGGCCACCGTAATGGGCGGGTACTTGGCCTGTCCGTCATCCCGACAGCTCGGGAGACAATCGACCACGTAGTCTGGGTTGCCCGAGAAGAAGAACGGGACACTACACCGGTCTTCTCCGCTGTAGTTGATCACTCGGTGCAGGTTGGACAAGTAGCGATCGTTCGTCCACCGCATCATCATGTTTCCTAGATTCACAACCAGCGCGCCCGGCGTGGGCACTACATCCGCCCATTCTGACGCCTCGCCATCCCAGACCTGTAGGCCTCCTTTGTCGTCTTGAAGCAGGATCGTGATGGCTCCGAAGTCGGTGTGTGCGCCGATCCCTGCCCCCAGATGTTAGCACGCATCATCCATGCCATGTTCAGCTTCGAGATAGATGCCATTAAATCCCATACACACCTCGCTGAACCCCCTCTGCCTCCTCCCGTGCTTGCGGCGGATACCTCAACAACCTCAAAATCGCCACCGGCTCCTCACAAAACGCCTCGACTGAATCCTCCTCCATCCCCACCGTCATCGCCACTGCTCTCATAAGCCGCCCCGCCAACTCACACATCAACCCATGATACTCATCCACAACACGACGAAACTCCCCTGGGGCGCGAATCTCACCCGGATACGGATTCGGACCCTGCGAGAACTTCCCCGCGACCACGGAGGGGTGTGTGGCGGGGAGGTCTTTCCCCAGATAGAACCCCTCTTTGAGATCGCCGGGGCCTCGTTTCTCGAAGTTTTGTGCTCGGAAGCGCTCGTAGCCGCGGTTTGAGGGGCCAGCGTCTGTTATCATCGGCCCCGTCCGCCGGTCTGCGTCAGCGTGTCTTGATCCCGCGATCCCGCGATCCCGCGATCCCGCGATCCCGCGATCCCGCGATATAGTAGTATACTACTATGTCTTGAGGATAGGAGCACCCCCTGAGTGACGACTAACCCATGCTATACTTCTCCTTCACGTCGAGCGGCAGACTAAACAGATCGTGCGCCTGAGAGAGGATAGAAGCCTGGATAGCGTCCGGGATGCCGTGGTTTGTGATCTGAAAGAAGCCGTGGTCTTGACAGGCTTGGCGGATCTGATTGAGGAAGGTGGATTTGAGGATAGGGTCGGGGGTGTGGAACCCTACACTCGTGGTATTGTTGTAGATGGTTAGATTTCATCGATTTCGAGATGTGGGACTAGTAAGGCCGGGTAGGATTGCGGGAGACAACTCACCCGCGAAATCGATGATGGGCGGAGCTCTGGGCATGGCTCTGGCTTGCTGTGATGATGAGCAGCAGGACGAGGATGTTTGCTGTTGAAGAGCTGGATGGGAGCATCGTTGGAGGATATGTAGAGGGGATGGAGGTAAAAGCGGGGTGGGGGATGCGGAGGTCGTGCAGATAAGGCAGTAGACGAGGTACTACCCAGATAGGTAGTAGATGGTAGATAAGGTGCTTTCTTGAAATGGTCTGGTTGGGATCGTCACAACGGTTGGTATAATATATGGAAGTTGTTTGTTTATTCGAGTCAGATAATAATCTAGGGAATTGAAGTCAGAAGTCCCTCCCAAGTAAGGGACAGCCCCTCCTTCCCCGGATCCCCCGCGATGCTGATTTTCCACCAATCATCACATCTAAGGCCCTACTATAGACTATAAAGACTCTTAAGGCACGCAGAATCACTGCGCCCTAAAATTAAATCTACACAGCCAGCAAAATGTACAACCCTATACTCCCCGGCTTCAACCCCGACCCGTCCATAATCCGCGTTGACTCCTCCTTTTACCTTGTCACCTCCTCCTTCGAATACTTCCCTGCCGCCCCTATCTACCACAGCACCGACCTAGTGCAATGGTCCCTGATCGGCCACGCCCTCACGCGCCCCAGTCAGCTGCAGGTCCAGACGCCTGAGCCGGGCGGTGGCGTCTGGGCAACCACGCTGCGACACCACAACGGCGTGTTCTACATTATCGCAGCGTGCTTTTCGCGGTACAGACCACAACTAGATGAGCGCGTCTGGCCGAGGGGGTTTTATGTCAAGACGACGGATATCTGGGATGAGGCGAGTTGGTCGGACCCGGTGTTTTTCGATCAGGTGGGGTTTGATCAAGATGTATGTAGTTGTCCATGAGTTGGGAGACAGACAGAAGGATGAGATGTCGGACTAATCTTCTCTGATAAGCTGTTCTGGGACTCCGACGAAACCGTTTACCTCTCTACCACTCACCGCAAGTTGGCTCGCACCCCAAATGCGAATCTCAAAGACTTCGCAATTCACATCGCCACGGTGGATCTCGCAACCGGTAACTCGACATCCGAGCCGAAGCTCATTCGTGAATCCTCCTCCGGCGTGGCAGAAGGCTCGCATATCTTCAAACGCGGCAAGTACTACTACCTATTCACGGCCGAAGGAGGCACCGAGAGCGGGCACTGCGAGTGGGTGAGTCGCAGCGAGGTCGGTCCGTTTGGGCCGTGGGAGCTGGGCCCGAATAACCCGCTGTGGCGGAATGGGGTGCATGATGAAGTGCAGAACACGGGCCATGCGGATCTGGTGGAGGACGAGAAGGGACAATGGTGGGCTGTTTTGCTGGGGGTGAGGCCCGTCAAGAGGGATGGCGGGTGGGAGGAGTCAGTCTTCGGTGAGTCTGCAGACAGGCCTGCGATTGGGTTGATTATTGATGAAAGTATGCTGTCCAGGTCGAGAGACCTTCCTGGTTCCGGTGACGTGGGTCGACGATTGGCCTGTGTTTAATGGCGGAGAAAAGATATCGCTGCAGATCGATGGTCCAGGGCTTTATCACTTCGAGCATCCTATTGCATGGAAAGACGACTTTTCGAGCTCCTCTTTGCAATTAGGATGGTATAGGAAAAGTATGCTTCAGAAAAATCTTTCCTCCGAGGATCAGGCTAACGGAACAGACACTCCGGTGAAAACGGACTACTCGTTGACAGAGCGACCGGGATATCTTCGTCTCCATGGAGGACCTTACAATCTCTCTGTTCCGGCGTGTCCGACTCTGTTTCTACGAAAACAGACACAGCGGCATTGCACCTGGGAAACTCGCCTGTCCTTTCAACCGACATCGGTCCAAACAGAGGCGGGAACGACCGTATGGTGGAACTATTTCACTTACAGCAGTATCGGGATTCGACTGTCTCCGACTAGGCAGAAGGACACTCGTATAGTCAGGTTCCGGCCGGCGGAGGGAGAGACAGTCGATGTAGAACTAACTAGTTCTGCTTCTGACGTTGTTTTCGTCATTGAATGTGGAGATGCATACAGGTTTGGGTTCAAGGAAGTCCGTCAAAATGAAGACCTTGGTACGGTCCATTGGGTTGGAGAAGTCAAGAATCGAACGATGACAGAGGCTTCACTCCCCCTCGGCGCTCCATTTACAGGCATGATGTTGGGGTTGTATGCTTTTGGAGAACTTCAGCGTTGTTTGGCTCCGGCAGATTTTGAGTATGCTGAATTCCGGTAGACAACCTGGTGGACTCATTTAGGATAGTAATGTATGAGATAAAGTGGGCTTATCATTATGAAGCTATTAACATATATAATTTCGACATGAAAACATCAAACTATTCGCAGTCAGTAGACGCCACGTTTTTAAGTGACATACCAGGGGGGCCTCCACAAGATCTGTGGTATGGTCGATACTTACCAAGTCCTAATCAGTGAAATCGCAAAGCATGGACCAAAGTTGGACATAGAGTGAAAGCGAAGGTGAAGATAAGTAATATGCCCAGAAATGATTCGCAGTCATCCTGCACGATCGGCCTTATTTCGCCGAAGGCCGGAATTCAACACAGGAGAACTTAATACCTTCTCCCAATTGTGCAGCATTTCGGTATTGGTGGAGGACAAACAAACCTCACCACCCGCACGACTGATCATTTCGCTCTCATACTTTGCGATCGCCTCGGATTGCGAGACCCGACCACGGACAAAATCCCCGATGGATTCGACGAGCCTGGCGGCGTCGGTGACGGAGTGGTTCAAGCCCTGGCCACGCTGATATGTCATCGCATGAGCGGCATCCCCGGCGAGAGTTACGCGACCGCCATAATTATCCCAACGGTGATCCCTGCTACCGGGATCAAAGTCGGTGAGGTTCATGTACCAAACCTGGTGATCATCTTCCAGCCACTCAAACGCGCTTTTCCACGGATCTACAAACGTTTTAGCAAATTCCTTAACCTGCTGCAGTCTTTTGGCATTGGTCCACTGTGCGGTTCTCTCTTGCTCCTCCAGCGTTGAGTGCCATGAGATGTAGAAGAAAAACGTCCACGACTCTGGTCGGCCTGGATCTTCGGCGTTGTGCAGACCAAAGAAGGAAAAGTAACCCGCAGGGTTAATGCCGGCAAGATAGAGCGGGTGAAACTTCCGGAGAAAACGAGCCTGTTCCGCGGTATAACTTGCCTGCACAAATGTTGCACAGTAGGGCAAGGTATGAATGCGACCGGCACTAGAGCCCAATAGAAGCTGCCGGGTGGTTGAGCGAGCACCATCTGTGCCGACCACGAGTCGTGCCGTGATAGATCGGCCATCATCACACAATGCAGTGGCATGCTGGCCATTATCGGAGTACTCGATTGCCTGCATGGTCTTGCCATATTGAATGTCCACGCCTTGTGCCAAGAGATGTCGAAGTTTATAGCGACGGAGTCGGTAGAAGTACTGGACAGGAATGGTGGCTAGTGTTTCACCCGACTGCGCATTGAGAAAATTAAGACTGTCGTGCTCCGCAGTTGGCTCACTGGGGTCAACCTGGACAGATTGGATCTGCGCCCACAATTCCCCGGGTATCAAGGACTTGAGTGACTCTGCTCCCCAGTGTAACCCCATGTTCCAATCCCTGGACTGTGCATCCAGGCTTTCATGTTTTTCGAGGACCATACATGGGATGCCGAGCTGAACATATCAGATACGTTTCTGACAGTTGGTGGAGAACAAGCGCACACCTTCTTCAAACCTTGGGCCAGTGCAAGTCCAGTCGAGCCTGGCTGCTGTATCAGCAATGAGTTGGCATTTCAACTTCCTTTGAGATTACCTGCACCGACAATCAGAATCGTTGTGTTTGCGTCTGGCTTTGGGGCGGAAAAGATCGCAGTGATCCTTTCATGAAAAAAGCACCATAGCCTCCTGAAAGGTTCCATGATTTTGGCTCTCAAGACCCGAGATAAGGGAGTAAAGCGATGTCAAAAGAGCGAGAGGGGGGCATAAATGCACGAGGTCCGTATCAAATCCATATTGGCCGGATGATTTCATGAGACACTCGGTGAGCCAAGTGAAATCCTGCCAATTGATCAACTCGCTCGGACAATCGGCGCTCAGAAGTTGGTGCTTTCGTCATCCAGACCGCCGATCATCAGTTTTGATGCGGGATAAGCCATCATACCATCACCCTAGTCCCGCAGCATTGGCAGTGCGGAAATGCCGTCCTAGAAACAGAAATTAGCTTGAGTATACAGCATTAAGCCCACGTTTGATTGGAGTGGCAAGCAATTTGACGGCCATCGATACGCCGACCAGGCTGAGACTCAACGGTCTCGGAGAGTTTGAGAGCTTGACCAATGGCATGATGACCTTCTAGCCAGGATTGCATGCGGATAGCCGGAGTTGGTTCAGCCACGCTCGGTGAGAAGTCGACGAGAGAAGAGGGAGAGTCTTGACACTCGAGGCCTGAGAGTCGACGGGCGACGACAGCCGTTGGGACTAAACCGCATCGGGAAGTTGCCCAGCGCCGTCCGGGTCGCTGGTCCCGTGGTTTCCTGCCGCGCACGCGACAAGTACCGGCTACCTTGACCCTCGGCGGCCGAGCTACGAAGGACGGTGTACCTGCTACTTTCCGTCCTTCGTGATCGGCTTTGAGCGGAGATCAAATCGACAATTCAATCTCACTTTAGCTTCATCGCTCCCAATTCATGTTCACACTTCCCCGCCTTTTAGTTAAGATTCAATAGTACTGCTAGTTCAACTGGGATCATTTCTCTTTGTTTCATCCGTTCATGGCTTCTTTCACCCTTAAATCCGCACTTTCCCCCACTTAGTCTCTGGACCCTCACGCCGCGGCGATCCCCTTCGAACCGCCCCAGCCGTCTTGCTCCATGCGATAATCCCACCGTTTGAACCCCACCGCTGTCATCGCAATGCCCACTTCTCCATACCATGAAGATCCGTCTCCTCTTGATTGTCCCGAATCTTCGGTCGCACATCCCCAAGAGCATAACTTCGACGATTCCCACGACACCGACGGTGGCGGATACAGTGATTCGGACTCCGCCTATAGCGGCGATTCTTTACTAGGTGATGATACGAAGACGCTCTCGACGTATATAACAGAATATCGATATGAATTTGGCCGTCGCTACCACTCCTATCACGATGGCGCATACTGGGTAAGTTCTCTGCGACGAGCAGGATGTTTCGATTCTAATTCACGTTATTTGTCTTCAGGGCCCGAACGACGAAGTTGCGAACGAATTCCAAGATCTTGCTCACCATATGTACCTCTTGACGCTGGACGGAAAGCTACACCTTGCCCCAATCGATTCTCCGCAGGTATGAACTTTTTCGCTCGTTCATCTGGCCATGGCGGTTTTATTCAGTAATATCAGGCGACCGATTCGATTATCCAGTTGACAATGGTGGCTAAGAACCAGTGCTCCTAGGAAATCCTCGATGTGGGCACAGGTACGGGAGTTTGGGCAGTGTGAGTCTCAGCTATATACCCGGATTTCTACAGATGGCTCATGGATTACCAGGGACATGGCCGATGAACATCCCAGTGCGAAAGTAACTGGAGTCGATCTTTCTCCCATCCAGCCGGTGTTTGTACCCCCTAACTGCGTGTTCGAGATCGACGATATCACCCTCCCCTGGACGTACGCTTCGAATCAATTCGACTTCATTCATGTCCGTGAGATGTTCGGCTGTGTACCAGACTGGGATGAGTTCTTTCGGCAATGCTGGCGTTGCTTGAGGCCGGGTGGTTTCATCGAGGTAGTGGAGCACGCAGTCCAACCGACCAGTGATGACGGAAGCATGGGTCCCGATCATTTCTATCACCTATGGGGGAAGACGGTGGTGCAATCCGGTGAGAAATTTGGTAAAAGTTTCACCATCTGGGAGGAGAGTGCCGCCCGTCTCAAGAAGGCCGGGTTTATCGGGGTGGTTGAGACGGAATATAAATGGCCTATGAACGGGTATGTCTCCGACGGTTACTTTGCGCTGTGGTCTCGTGTACTAATATACCTCATGTAGATGGAGCACTGACAGAAAGTTGCATGATCTGGTGAGTTGCATCTTCTCCTTCAGAAGCTCTTTCTAACGGGTCAGGGCCGCTGGAATCAACTTCGGCTGCACGGTGGGATAGAAGGATACATGCTGCGTCTTCTTACTTCCACACTCAAGTGGTCGTACGAGCAGGCCCAGGTATTTCTAGCTCAAATGCGTGCTTCGCTACGAGACTACAAAATCCATGCTTATCTTCCCGGTACTGTTGTTTATGCTCAAAAGCCTAAGTCCCCGGCTTTTCATTGACAATAACGAGCGCGCATGAAATAATTTTGCGGACTGTTTAATTTTCTGGAGCAGAGCGACTGGATACCCTTCTTGCTGTTATTTTTGCTCGTCGGTTATTTGTTTACCTTGGTTATATTAATTTAATCGGCTCGGTTTCTTGGTTTTACTGTCTATTTTATCTTTATGGCTTGGGCTTTTATAGCTACTGGGTACCTACTAATGGGTGTTGGAAAATTGCAAGCTCTCCTCTGGGTGGATGGCTGTGAACCAGAACGTGAGATATCAGCATCCAGCCGAAAAATATATATCAAAATACCAGCTCACCGCAGTTGACCAAAACCGACTTTGTATTATTATCAATGAATCAATATATACGAAATGAGTATCTCAATCAGTGATAAACAATTTCAGTCAATTTCTGAGTTTGGGGAAATGCATAGCGTACCTACCCTGTTAAGCCAGACAGGATCACCCAGCGACCGCTGTTGATAGTCCGTGGATAAACTCTTCCTTTATATTGTCAAATAAAAAGCCCAAAGACATCAATCGCTCGCATGGCTTAGTTGGTAAAGCGCATGACTAGTAATCATGAGATCCTCGGTTCGAATCCGAGTGTGAGCATTTCTTTTTTCTTTTGCCCGGCCATCTAGCTGGGTGGGTGTTTTGGCTATCCTGTCTTTTTCGTGCTTGCGCTTGCCTTTCTATTTTTTGTTTTTGTTTCCCAGAAAAATTAAAGTTATGCATAAAAAGTTGTGTGAAGTCTGTTTGGCCCGTATCGTCGAACCATGGACTGGGGTGAATCCATCCATATCTGGAAAGTTGCTGGCACCTGATTCTTATCTACCATGTGCAATCATTTACTTTTTATTATTTTGTCTTGTTGAATCAAAGAATGTGAGCCTGTCCCACTTCCCACCTCCTAGCTGGTATCTATTCTATATATTAATGCATTTATTATTTAGACAGGTCTAGTATACACTCAAAGCTTAACAAACAATGCACTGTGACTCCATCCCTAGTAACCGTCCGCGCCCCCGACTCCCCCTGTCGCCGCTTATATTGCGCACCCAGAAACTCCTTCGCCTTCACAGCCTCCCCCATATAATCAGCGCCCTCGACGTCCGTTTCATAATTCATCAAAACCGCCTCCATCGTCGTATCGGCATGCGTATCCGACGTAGCCGCCCAAACCGCCTTCAGCACATCAGGCACAAACCCCGCTCCATACGGTCTGATATCCTCGCATTGAAAAGCAACGTCCAGGGTCCCATTATAGCAACCCTTCGCGGCTGCTAGCAGGACAGGATTAGGAGTATGCTCATGGCCCCGCAGCGCGTAATTGATCAATGCTTCCAAGGCAAGCATGACGCCCCATGAGAAGAGAAACGAGATGCGAAGTTTGAGGGCCTGGTGCGAGCCTGTTGGCGCGTGGGTCGCTGATGTCGCTAGTGCAGTGAGCTGGCGGATTCGAGGCTTCTCGCTTTGGATGAGTCAAAACATGTGGTTCAGTTCGGGGGTGTGTTCGGCTGGACTGCGCAGGTGGATGGATGTTTGGGCGAGTTGGGTCTCCTCGAGGCTGGGAAAGGTTTTCCCTTCGTGATAGTTGATCGGGCGAGGGGCGATGCAGGTGCTGTGGATTTTCCAGAACCAGGATTCCAACCAAAGTTGGGTCGATGAGGGTTACCTAGACTAGGAGAATTGTTTAGTAAGAGAGAGAGTAAGGTTGCTCCGTGGTGCGGATTAGTACAGCTATTTGACAAAGTCCGTACAGATACCGTTGGTCGATTTGATACGCCGTGCCCGGGATGGTGGACTCGCGAAACACATGAGCGAGCATGATTCGGTGGCGATCGGCATCTTTGCGATTAATAAGGACCTAGTGAGCTGAGTATCAATAGCGAATCTTTTCGATCTCCAGCCAGCACGGCAAAAACAGCGATGTCCAGATCCGCATTCGGGCCCTGGGCTCTCGGATTCGGTCGTACTGCGATGCCGGAGATCCATTCTGTGACGTGATGGCATTCAGCAGTAGCGAAGCGCTCAACGGCACCGCGCATTTGCAGTATGTGCAGAATTATGGCAAGCAGGTGGTGAGCTTTGTGGTTGAGCAGTTCCGTAATGGAAGTTCTGGGAAGCGGTCGAGTCCAGGGTCGGAGCCTGCGGCCACAGCGAAAGTTAATACAGCGACAGGGCTTGTGCCGGTAAAAGGGATGTTGGTGCATCTTTGGGTTTAGGGAGACTATACGCTGTTTTCGAGGTTGAGGATAGGGATTGTGTATTTTAATATTGGCAAATATTCACATTTGTTATAAGGTTGGCGTTTGTCTGCTCTTGTATGTGAAACTGGTGTCTGAGGGCTCCAAGCATATATATTCCCGGATAGCATTATTTTTTGGCCCAGACTCCACTGAGATGATTTCGAGCTATCCCGATCCAACATATAAGGTCACTTAGTATAGACGGAAACAAATTTCAGGTATTCACCATGCTGATCTACCAGTTCACACATTATCTATGCCACTGGAGAATAGTGGAAAGCCTTGATATCTTTGCCTTAGGACCATAAAATCAAATTAGCGCGAGACTAACCAATCAGCTCGCATGGCTTAGTTGGTAAAGCGCATGACTAGTAATCATGAGATCCTCGGTTCGAATCCGAGTGTGAGCATTTCTTTTTTCTTTTTGTCCCTCAAACTTGAATCGCTTGTCCCTTTTGTCTTGTTTTATCTTTTATAATCTTTCGGCAAAGGGGTGGGTGGGTTTCGAAGTTCGTAAATTCATAACAGAATTGGAGTATCAAAAATAATCAACAAAGAACAAGCATAGAAAGACACTCATCTTCCTTCACTCCCAGAATCAATTACCGCTCGGTCCATATCCAATACTCATATATCAACGACCCTTCCTCCCACCCAGCCCCTTAACTCCCTGATCCAAATCACCGCCACTGCCCAGCATCCTCCACTCCCTTCGCCACTCTCTTCGCTCCGTCCTCCACTCCACTCCCAAGACTCCCCAGCGCATCGCCGACAGGCTGTCCTGCGCTGCCCGTGGCGCCGTTAATGGTGCCTCCGACGCCGCGGGTGGCAGCGCCCGTGACTCCGCCGACGGTGCGGGAGACGCCGCCGACGGTGTTGCCCAGCGTCGAGGTGACGAATTTGGCGGCGCCTGTGACGCCGGTATCTTGTGAGGAGGAGAAGGTGTTGTTGGGCATTTTGGTTGGTTTGTATAGTACTTTGTAGTGTGGTAGAGGAGGTGAGGTATGTACCTATTGGATGGGCTTGAGAGGTACCGAGGTAGATTGAATGTTTGTATGTATGTAGAAGGAGTTTTGATTTGGGATTTGCAGAGAGACTTGGATAGGAGCATGAGGTTGGAGAGAGTGTGGTCCTTTATACTACGAGGGAGGCATGGAACAGGAGTAGAGTAGAGATGACGTCGATGGCAGCCTCCCGGGCGCTGAGTGGCTGCTCTCGCGCACGATGATGCAGTTAATCAATTTGGGGGGGGGGGGGGGCTGGACCCACTGCTTGGCTGCCATGTGTGGCGGATCAGGGACTATGACGAGCATCGATGATGTTGAAGGGTCCGCGTGCTTTTATTTTGTGTCGCATATTAAATTAGGACTACGTCGGCATCTTGTTAGTTCTTGATGTTATGACAGCCGGAATACCCACCGGGTCTGGATCTTTGGATCAGGAACGGTCGGCCACGCTAGCTATCTGGCTAGTATCTGTCGGTTCTAACCCAAAGGGGCCAGAAATTTTCATGACTTCGTTCTCTCTCCCTTTGCCCTCGTCTAGAGTATTTCCAACGAAAGAACACAAAGATGATCCGATGACACCATGTGGTATCGCTACGTCGCTATCCTTGCCTGCATCTCTTATGCCATCAGTTCAGCAGAACAATTACCCGGATCCGGTCGAGCCCAGCGTCCTTCCTACCTGATCCCCGACCTAGCGGCGAACTGCTTCATCGGAGATACCATCCATCCCGATGCTCCCCAAGAAGCATACACACCATATCTCACGGTCGGATACGAAACAGCCCAATGTGAGGGCGATCTTGTACGCGAACGCCTCTATCTAATCCATCTCGAGTCCGCATCACGCAACTAACCTTATATCAAGTGCGGAAAGCCCATCTGCTGCCCACCTGAGATCGCGCGAGAAATCGATCTCCATGACTGCACATGGCGTGGCTCAGCATCAGACTGCCACGGCCAATGCGCCACGGGGCAAGTCAAGCTCGCGCACTCGACGTGGGACGAGCCCCCTGCCTCCGAGAGCCCCATGAGCAGCTGCAAGCGTGGATCAAAAGCCCTCTGCTGCGGTCTGATATCCTACGAGAAAATGGTCACGGAATGTTATCGTTCTCCGGGGTTGTATGTCGCCTATTCCAGTTTAACCTAGCCCAGCCTGCCCTGGCGAAATGGGATACTAACGTTCGAAACAGCGGCTACCCATGCACACACGACTACACCAGCATCGCCCATTTCTGGAACCCCTGGGTACCATGGAAAAAAGGCCGTCCGGTCTACAACCCCGGCGAAGACATCTGCTGTCCGATGAGCTCTCCGCTGCCATTTGTTGACTGTCATTGGGTGGGTGGGGGCGATTGCGTGGATGCGACTTGTGCGGCGGGGGAAGTCAGTCTTGGAGCTGATGGTGTTGGAGGGGATGGGGAGTCGTGTATTGGTATGTTCTTTTATTCTCTGTTTGCGCTTTCTTCTTCTTTGCTGACTGGTTGGATTGGACAGGAGCTGGATTGAAGTCTCTTTGCTGCAGGCCTAATTTGGCGGCGCTGGATGGGATGGTGTGCGGGGTTGATGATTTCTGCTTGGAGGATCCGTATGGCTGTGAAGATGATGAGGTTGATGAGGACTGGTTCGGGGGGTAGAAGTGGACAAGAATTTTCGGTACCCTAGGAACTACCCTAGCAGGACTCAGCACAGGACAAATGGAGTGAGCGGGAGAAGGACCCGATTATGTACAGAGTAACCGATCGATCGATTATACCCAAGCCCTTATATGGTTCCTCGATACGGAAAATATCACTCCTTTGCATTACTGACCGCTATGTCCATGCCGTCATAGTACTCGCGCTGTTTTTTTTTTTTTTTTTTTTTTTTTCTTCTTTTCTTTTTTTTTCACCGCTATATTCGCTATGTATTCAGACCGCCATTCCGGTAGCTCACTTCGGCCCCGTTCGGAGTTCATGGCATAGGTTTGTAATATGACTCGGTGCTTTCAGTCTAACGACACCTCGTATGATACATTGATCGCGAAGAAAATAAAGTCTTATCGACTATAAGCTCAGGCTACAGATATTTTGCTCCTTCGAAACTAGCCGTATAACAATCAGTCAAGGAACGTGAAATTTCCGACTATCTATACCATCCAGCTCCGCAAAGAAAACCGCAACTTACGCGCACTAAGCGAAAGAGAGAGGCTTTGAGATTGCGTGCTCCAGAGGGTCTAAATTGCCATAAGCTTGCATATCAGCCTGCCCTTTGTTTTATATTTTTTTGATTCCTCATAATAAGAGAATAACACCATCGAGGCCACATCATGAAGCTAGCCACTGTTCAGCTGAAGCTGCATTGACCATGACTCATGCAGTCACGGGATGGATTGAGCCCATGACCAACAATTTCCATGTTGTCATGCAGCCACTTAATAGTTTCAATGTTTTCCGCCCATATTCAAACCGCTACACTTGAATCAAGCCTCAGAAGATGTGCTATTGATAGATAGTCAAATCCTGCTTGTAATTAGCAGGCATTTTTCAACCAAATCGCAATCGTCTCCCAATCCCGTAAGCGTATAATGCTGCCCGGGTGAGATCCGCTGGGTTATCAGATGAGAGTCATCATGGGAAAGTGCCCTCGGGTAAAATCGCCCGTTACCGGTATACTGCATATGCGTGAAGAATTACAACACAGACACACATCAAATAGCCTCATGGCCCGCGCGGCTGGTCACAGAGAACTCACGATAGTACTCTCTTATCTACCCTCTTGCCTGAATTAGAAATCGAGTAAACGCGTTCTCATCACAGTGGACCCTGCCACAGATGAGTATTTGATAAGCACCAAAAACAATAGCTATCAAACATGCATATTCCAAAGAAGCAAACACCGAAAACAGCGAGGCCGTAAGCCGACCGAGTCTGATAGTCTCCAGCCGGACCCTCCATTGGCATATTAGAGTTTAACTTTCTCTTTCCGTACAATTGAATCTCCTCGGTAAACTGCTATACCGGCTATCTCATCCATCATGAACGCCAACGCTTTCGTCCACTCCTTCGGATACACATGGGTAACATCTTACAACACCCTGAAGGTCCTCGGCAAGGATGGGTTCAGCGATGCCGAGGCAAAGCTATGGGTTGAAACAAAGATCACGGAGCTGAATTTCATGTCGGCCATAGTAAGTTTAAATTCCAGTCAGACGTACAAGACAGACCCCTTGCTGATTCCGATTCACCCCGCACGACAGGGCACCTTTATCGCCTCCGTGATTGCAACGAGCCTCGGTTGGCCCGGCATGGACAAGACACACTGGGTGGTCAGCGCGTTCTGGTACAACGCCATCGTCATGGCGGTGGTGTCGGCCGTGATGGCGTTCCAGCAGTCTTCGGGGTTGGGGTGTGTGAGGGCGAAGATCACGAGTGAGCATAGGCTGGATGAAGCGTTGATGCGGGGATCAGTGCAGCAAAAACCCTCTCGCGCGGCAGTCTTCGTGCTCCAGGCCCCGGTGCAGATCTTGAGTTATAGTGTGATGATTTATTTGGCGGGGTTGGTGGTGTTTTTGATTCATCCGGTCGGGAGTCATGCCTTTGAGGATAAGGAGGTTAAGGTGAGTGAGTTGTTTGTGTTGCTTGAAGGAGAGATAAGCTGACTTGGGCAGATTGCAATCTTTTGTGGTGCTTTGTTTCCTGTTTATGTTGCCTTTTATGTCGCGTCTTCGGTGCTGCTGCAGAAGATTATTAAGAAGATATAGACGCAGATGAACGGTGGTGACAATCTGGGAAAGAATAGAATGTTGAATATAGTGGCAGAAATTGTATAATAGATAGATCAGAGAACAATATCTCGGAAATTAACCATAAATAAAGTCAGTACTTCAGCCGTTTACCAGGGGTGTCCATGTCAGAGTCTTGCCACGTAACGACCCTATTCCCTCATGCTCACGATCTCTTTTGCTGTCGTCGTTGTGTTTGCTCGCTTCCACGTGTTGCTAATCCCACATCTACCAGGCCACACTCTGTCGGTCTGATTTCTTTCTAAAGTGTCAGGCTCGAGTCACGTCCCGCTACAAGAAAAGCTTGTTCTTCTGGTTGGGATTCATGCCACAAAGCACTCCCAACAAGAGACACCGAATTCTGAATCTAAGCAGTTCTGTCGCTGGTGCGTGAAGAATGCCTTTGAAAGATTAGAAAACCCCAGAGTAACCCTCGTTTCTAGTTTCCCAATATGAGCAAAGTCTCTGATCTTGCCTTCGAAAACCTCGCAACTGAAGACGCTGGCAAAGAGCAACCACCCAGCTCACTATCCGCAATATCCTACATCAAACACAATGAAATGATCACCAGATCCATACAAGAATGGGGCGAGGGAATCATAAATCACAAAGAAGCGCTCTCAGACTGGTTCGTCACCAAGATCGAGCATATGAAGAACTTCCATTTCTCCGCCGTTCTACACGAGGTCCTGAAAGTCTCGATAGCCCACCTCAGCAATACAACCAAGGCAAGCAATAACAAGGAAGAAGCAATCATATTCATCGAGCGGATGGCAGATTGCGACCAGGTGACGGTTGGATGGACCAAAATCGACCATCCGCCGCTCACGCCCTGGTGGATTGTACGGCTGCTTCGGGGATATTTCAGCGATCCGACGGAGGGCGGCATGCCGGTTCTGAGAAGCTCGTGTGGATCGATGGCGTCTGCGCAGGATCTATGGAGAGCGAAGGGATACTCTGCGCTGGATTACCTGTGTGGGTTGAGTTTAAATAACGGTGGGATTCCGCTGCCGGAGTTCTCGAAGATCTTGATCGAGACGAACAAGGAAGCGCCGGTCTATGATGCTGTCGAGCATAATTGTTTCTGGTATGCTCGGTCGGTGTATCTCAAGGCTTTGGAGGGGTGGCAGCCTGAGGAACATCGAGGGGGGTATTTCAAACATATGGGCAAGTTTGCTGGGATGCGGACAAAGTTGGCGGTTGTTGTAAGTGCCATTCGTCTTCTCTGTTTTTGTTTTATTTTACTTTATTATAGTTTTTATGTCGCTAGACTAATGACATGCCCAGATTGCCCAGAGAATGAAAATTCGCAACCCGGTTACAAAACAGATTGAGAAAGATGAGGAGGAAGAAAGGCTTTTGTCGACGTGAAGATAGCCTTTGGAATTACTAAGCTGTATCAAAGTCCGGTCGAGGGGGAAGCGCAGTTATATTTACGACAAAATGTGTCAATCGATTAATTATTATGAACTCTGCAGATATGAGCGCCAGAAGAGGACAGCCGCTATGACCAAAATCAAACACATGATCACATACCAAAGATACTCTCTTGCAGAAGCAAGTCTCGGAGAGCCCCAGTGAACTCCAGCAAACTTTCCTCTATGCTTGTAGTAGTCTCCTCTATATTCCGAACGGAACCACCGATCCTTCAGTCCTTCATACACCGAGAAAGCAAACCAGTAGTTATTCGCCGCCAAGGCCGAGTATCGAGGGGAGCTCTCGCTCAATCTCAGCAACTCCTCGGCGAACTGTAGAAGCGAGACACCAGACCCCTCAAAATCGATAGAGCAGAGGAAGTCAGAGCCCGAATATCCAACTGCCTTCCACTTTTTCCAGTTCTCCCAGACCGGCAAGCCGTCTTCATCGAAGGTATCTGGGTTGAAATATCCGCGAAGAAGGCGTTCAATCCACCACGCACTCAGCTCTGGGTGTGGCACCCTTTCCCACCCCACTGTGACAGTATCTGCATTTGTTTCTCGCTCGATAATCAGGTAGATAGGGTCCGCAGTATTGCCGACCGGTTCTTCTCTGACGGTGGCGCGGAGGAACTCATGCATGTAGGGCGAGAAGTGGAAGTTCTTCATATGCTCCACCTTTGTGACAACCCAGCCGTGGAGTTGGTCCTTGTGTGTGGTGAGATCTGCGTGCCAGTTTTGCATCGGCATTATTCTCATCTCATGAGGGTGAAGTGGACAGTCGTGCCCGTATAAAGCCGAGGATGGAGATAGATCTGAGACTAGAGGGACCTCGTGTGCTGTCGGATGCTTCATCGTGTGGACAGGTTTTGTCTTGTATCTGTTAGATGTTAGCTCCTATGCGGCAGTTGCGAGTCTCAAACACATTACCTTTTGGCCTGGCTTGTTCCGACTGCACAAATCTATGTTTTGTCCGTACATTCAAACCTGTGCATCTGCAAATTGTCCAGCCTGATAGTCACGTGGATGCTCATGCGCGTGACGTGGCAGCGATCGAGGAGGTTTGCTTTTCCTGAGGCAATCAATCCGCGCCTCCAGTACTCAGCGTATACACACTGAATCTGACCATGCGCATTGGAGATTATAGCAGGAGTCAAATTGTTATCAATTACAGAAAAACTAGCTTACTACACCCTCTAAGCTCTGAAAATCTTTTTGTCAAAGACTTGTTGCTCTCAACGAGAACCCTCCGGACTTGCATATTGATGCCTGAGGCACCGTTTCACTGTCCACCCGGATCTTGTTACCCCGGGTCTTGTGGGGAAACTCAATAAAATTAAAAATTAAAAATGCCTACACATGCAGGATAGTCCTGGGGGGGGGGGGCGTTTTCTGTAGATCGCTCGTTCTCCGAGATTCTGGTGCGGTTTTGTCTATTTAAGCAGCAGAGAACTTTGTAGTAATGTGCCAGACTGATTTACTGTGGGTGTGTGCTCAAGTGGCGGTATAGAAGGCACTGATCACAAAGCATCAACCTTGCCTACAGTCGATGGTGAATCTCTTCTGAATGGAACTTGGGATTACCTCAGCAAAAGGATTTCTAATTTTATTAGCTGATTCTTTAGTTGCCGCCTTCTAAGAGCCTTTCCCAGGGGTCTCATCAAATTTTGGCTGGCTGTGGCCAGATCTCATGGGTATAGCTTGTAGAAGGGTGGGCGAATCAGACCCCGGATTCCCCGGATTGCGCGTTCAGTGAGCCCCGGTGAAGAGAAATCTGGTCCATAACGGAGATTCCCTCATCTAATAATCACTGTGATTGGTCCTCAATATGTAGAAAATAATTACTCTTCACAAAGAGCGGCCTGGGCCCTGGAATGAAGCTTTTCCGGCGTTCCTTCCCCACCGCAGAGGCTGGAGTGCATACCAATACCAGACCCCTGTCACTTCGCACTGGAACTCCCCGGTAGGTATCTTTACTATGAGTATGGGCAGAACGAAATTGCTTCACCGCATCGCCTCTATTTATATGCCTCATATCTTTTCCCTCGTTCACTTCTGATCTCTCCTCCTCCACCAACCTCCTTCTACCTTCTCAGTACCTGTAACCTTACCCACAACCCAACATCTTTATTCATCTCTGACCTTCCAACCTTTATCAATCTACTCGATCAACTTCATTGGTTGCTGGCCTTCTGGCTCCAGTCATCATGAAGCTCTTCACCTTCCTCCTCGTCTTCTTGGTCTCGGTCTTGTCCACTTCTGCTACTGTTCTTGATACTGATAGTAAATAACCAACATTCCTATTCGTCCAATAGCAGCACATACTAACGAAGGCAGACTCTTTTGGTACTTCCTCTGAGGCTGGCAGGCCCAGAAGGGCTCGATGCACTACCTGGGAGCACTGCCGTAACATGAAGTCTTGCATTGATGGCTACTGTCGTTATCCGGAAGAAAAGCCTCCCATGCTGCTTGCGGCCCGTGATGAAACTGCTTCGCATCCCCCTGTTGACCTTTATGAGATCCAAGGCGATCGTTGCGATTCTAACAAGAACTGTCCCGGCTCTCACAACTGCATCCGTGGTTACTGTCGCCAGAAGCCTCATGATTCTCCTGCAACTTTCGAGTCCCCTGATTCAAACGATGACGATGAATCTGACGCCGTCGAGGTCAAGGCTACCCAGTGCCGCTCTTACAAGGATTGTCGCTACGCGAAGCAATGTGTCAAAGGCACTTGCCAGTACCCTCGTGGTCAGCCTCATCCAGCTCTTGTGGCGGATGATGAAAGTGACAACCAGTCGCTTGAGTCTAGAGGTATGGAGTGTAATTCTGCCGAGCAGTGCCAGGGTGGCAAGTGGTGTGTCCATGGAACTTGTCGCTACATTCGTGGTCGGCCTCCTCTTACCTGGATCCACTCCCGCGATTTTGCCGATCAGGCTGTCAACGGCACTTGTGAAAAGGATGCTGATTGCGGCGACGGTATCTGCCTGGAGAATGTTTGTATCGACGCGGGTGAGTACCTCCCTGGATTTTAAATTCCTTTTCTTCTTTGAGCGTTATGACTGATCTACGATAGCCGTGAATGACGACCTAGCTCTCGATGGTGATCTTGAGACCGGTATTTCCAAAGTCAGGAAAGCATGCAGTGACAATGGTGACTGTCCCAAGGGCAAGATCTGCATGTGGCGTACTTGTAGAGCCCCTGTCAAGATTCATTCCACGCGTGATGTTGAGAGCGTCGACGTTGAAAACGATACCGGTAAGTCCATTGGCTTTCCACTGTCAACTCCCATTACTAACATAAGTAGATCTAAATGATGCTGATGGCGTCCTTCGCTCCGACAACGATTCTACACTTCTCTCTGAGCGTGACACTGCTGACCCGGATCCTGAAGCCAACGATGAAATCGAGGAGCCCAAGACTCAAGTGCTCGGCAAGACCTGCAACAACTGCCCCAAAGGCAAAGTCTGCAACCGCAACGGGAAATGCGTTGACAAGAAATGTGGCAATCGCCCTGCCTGCAACTTCGGATGGTGCAAGAACGGCAAATGTACCAACGGCCTAGGGGGGCGCTCCTACGACAATGGCTACGAGGTCGAAGAAGGCGAAAATGTCAATGATGGTGCTGATGATCTCGACGCCCCTGAAACCCACCTTCTCGCAGAAGGCAAAAAGTGCAAGACCTTCAAGGACTGCGGACCTTACCAGAAATGTGAGAAGAAGCGTTGCAAGATCCGACCCTGTATTGAAGTTCCAACTTGCCGGCCTGGCAGCTTCTGTAAGAATGGAAGATGCACAAGGAGCCTGGGCCTTCGAACCGGTGATCTTCGTCCCAGAAGTGATATTGGTCAGTCGGATACAGATACAGATACAGAGTCCTCTGATGGTGACAACGACAAGCCGTCTACCACTTGCGGATCCAACCAGGACTGCCCTCAATGGTACCGATGCAACAAAGGAGTCTGCAAGTTTCATCATCCTCATCTCCACCCCGCTGAGAAGCGTGACAATGAAGACATCGCCATTGAGCCGAAGGACGAAGAAACCACCATCTCTGAGCCTGATGTCAACATTCTCAGTGGCAAGTACCCTCCCCACTGCCAGTCCAACAATGACTGCCCTCCCTCGCAGCGATGCTACGGAGGTATTTGCAAATATCGCCCCCCCCATAACCATCCCGCTGTGAAGCGCGATGAGGACCCCACCGATTCTGATGAAGACGACTTCCACATCACCGAGCCTGAGGTTGAGGTTCTTTCTAACAAATACCCTCCTCACTGCAAGTCGAACAATGATTGTCCTCCATCGCAGCGTTGCTATGGTGGTATCTGCAAGTACCGGCCTCCTCACAACCACCCTTCGGTCAAGCGCGATGAAGATCCCACTGATCCTGGCGATGATGATTTCCACATCACCGAGCCCGACGTCGAGGTTCTTTCGGCTAAGCCCCCTCCCTACTGCAAATCTAACAACGACTGCCCTCGCTATCAGCGATGCTACGGCGGAATCTGCAAGTACCGGGGTCCCCCTAGCAAGCGCGACGATGAAGACTCCTCAGATCCCGATGATGACGATGACTTTCACATCACCGATTCTGACGCCGAGCTCCTCGTCGCTGCCCGCCGGGCTCCGCGGTGCCGATACGACCACGAGTGCCTTCGCGACCAGAAATGCATCCAGTACCACTGCATGTATCATGACATGCTCGCTGAAGGTCCTTTGATTTGAGAGCCTGAGAGTCCTGAATGCTGGAGATGATGAGCGGAGTGGTAGAATGATTACGTGGAAGCAATTTGTACCTAGTGAATTTATTCCTAGTTGACCGATCTTCAGTCGCATCTCGACTAGAAGTCCTCCTGAATGAAACCTGATTTACGGTCTGAATCTGAGAATTTGCCTTGCAAGTAGGCATAGTAGTAGCAGTAGTAGTACTAGATAGTCTCCGCACGGAGTACAGTGTCATAGCCTCAGGCACAAACTAAGCAAGAAGTACAAATCACCCCACAGAAGCCACTAACTCTTCACACCCCTAAGAATACTAAGAATATCTTAGCCTAAGGCCACCGTAGAATCTAAGTTCCCATAGCGCTTCCCACATTTCCTCCCGCACCGACTATCGAAAATCCAGGCCCAGGTAGGGCTCAAGTGCCCACAATTTCAGGCATCTCGGGGCGCCAAGAGCAGCGACTGCCCCACCGCCCAGTCGAATGGAGCATGCAATACGAGTACGAATACACCATTTGCCACGATCTGCACCACAACCAGGGCCCATTATTGCCCATCCATCCATCCGTGTTCCATGGATTGGGCAGCTATAAAGATGCCGCGCCCCCGGGCTTTTCATCTCCGTTTTCCCTGCACTCTCTTGTCGTACTCGCACTCGTATGATGGCCTCGTCGAAGGATAAGAGTCGCCTCCCGTATCAGGACGACGCGCACGTCGGCCCCATCGAGGAGGAAACTCCACCGCCGTATGAGCTGGTCGCGCCGGAGGGGAATAGTGTGGTTCAAGGTATGTCGTATCTTTTCCCTTCTTTGCTCAGACGGAATGGGGGGGATGGGATTGGTGCCGGTGCTGATGACGACAGACGACGGCCGAATCGAAGTAGATCTCGACTCGCGAGCATGTCGAGCCGCGCTGAAATTCATCCAATGGCCTAGCGACGAGGACTCATCGCTTCCTCCGCCCGAGTACACGGCGTCCACGGCGCCGGGGATCCGACTCAACATCGTCATACAGGTCGTCGGCAGTCGCGGGGACGTGCAGCCGTTTATTGCGCTGGGGAACGAGCTGCAGCGCTACGGACACCGGGTTCGACTCGCGACGCACGATGTCTTTGACTCGTTTGTGCGCGGGTCCGGGCTCGAGTTCTACCCTATCGGCGGCGACCCGGCGGAGCTGATGGCGTATATGGTGAAGAATCCGGGCCTGATTCCGAAGATGAAGAGTTTGAAGGCGGGCGATATTCAGAAGAAGAGGGCCATGGTGGCGGAGATGCTGGATGGGTGCTGGAGGTCTTGCGTCGAGGATGATTTGGTCTCGGGGACGCCGTTCGTCGCGGATGCGATCATTGCGAATCCTCCTAGTTTCGCGCATGTGCATTGTGCCCAGGCGCTTGGGGTGCCGCTGCATTTGATGTTTACGATGCCGTGGAGTCCGACGACGGCGTATCCGCATCCGTTGGCGAATTTGAAGTACTCCGGGAATAATATGAAGTTTGCGAATTCGGTATCGTATGGGATTGTGGAGTGGATGACGTGGCAGGGGTGAGTGAGATGGTTCTCTGTGTGAAGAGTTTGCTGACAGGTGTAGGCTTGGAGATGTGATCAATGAGTGGAGAGCTACGATGGACTTGGAACCGGTCCCCAATGGAGAAGGGCCGAATCTGGCGCAGACGTTGAAAGTGCCGTTCACTTACTGTTGGTCGCCGGCGCTGCTGCCGAAGCCGGAGGATTGGCCGTCGTATATTGGTACTATATTCCCTCCTCCTAGGCTAGACGCAAGCTGACTCTGCAGATGTCTGTGGCTTTTTCTTCCGCGATCCACCGAATTATACGCCCCCGCCTGATCTCGATGCGTTCCTGAGACAAGGACCTCCGCCAGTGTATATCGGGTTTGGAAGTATTGTGATCGACGACCCCCCGCGAATGACTGAAATACTGGAGCAAACCGTCAGACATCTGGGAATACGCGCGATCATATCTCGTGGGTGGAGCAAGCTTGGGGGCTCTTCGTCACGCGATATTTTCTACCTCGGAGACTGTCCGCACGAATGGCTGTTCCAACACGTTTCAGCCGTTGTGCACCACGGTGGCGCAGGAACAACGGCCTGCGGGCTGCGATTCGGCAAACCGACCGTGATTATCCCGTTTTTCGGCGATCAACCTTTCTGGGGAAATATGATTGCTGCATCAGGTGCTGGTCCACCACCTATCCATCACCGTTCGTTGAGCGTGGAAGGTCTTGCCAGTGCCATTCAGTACTGCTTTGAGTCGCGTGCGCAGAAAGCTGCAGAGCATATTTGCATCAAAATGCAGGCCGAGTCTGGTGTGCAGCGGGCGGTGGAGTCGTTCCATCGCAATCTCCCTGTAGACACAATGCGCTGTCAGATCCTGCCCGACCAGCCGGCTGTCTGGGCGTATAAGAAGTCCTCGATGAAGCCGATTTGTTTATCAAAAGCAGCCACGCAGCTTTTGATGGACCATCTCAAGATCGAGCAGAAGAACCTACAAGTGTGAGTACTCCACCGTTGATCGCAGAGCTGAGCTGATTCAGACCAGGTTTGAAGCAAGACCGATCTTTATCCAGAACCGAAGACTCGACCCGCTCAGTAGCACCACGTCCGCAGCGATAGGAACCGGCACCAACATGCTCAAAGCCACCACCGATATGTTCCTGAAGCCATACCAGGAAGCCACTCGACCCAGCTCCTCGCGATCCACCAGTGCACCCATCACACCTACGCGATCACGATCGATGCAGGACTCATCCGGAGGAGAACCGATATCCGCGACGCCAGCGCTCGAGAACAGCGACGAGAAAACCAACTGGCACCGAGGCGGAGCAGCAGTTGCCGCAGGAGCTAAAGGATTCGGCAAATTCATCAGCAGCTACTCGAAAGGCGTCATAGTTGACATTCCGCTCGCCGCAACAGAAGGCCTGCGCGCAGTCCCACGATTATACGGAGAGGAGGTGGAGGACTACCAAGTCCGGGACTGGAAATCCGGTGCCATGGCCGGTGGAAAGAACTTTGCACATAACATGCGGGAGGGGTTCACGGGGATATGGAACCAGCCGCGAAAAGGCGCGGACGAAGGAGCCCTCGGCGTGGCGAAGGGTATTATGAAGGGGACGATCGGGTTTACGACGATGGTGCCGTCTGGTATGTTCTCCGAAACTTGAGATCGGATCGATGCTAACGTTGACCGCAGCGGCACTTGGTCTGGTGGCTTATCCGGCGCAGGGAATCTGCAAGAGTCTTCACACGGCGGTTCGATCGAAGACTAGGAAGCAGATCGCAAAGTCTCGACATCGGGAAGGTTTGTATATGATGCGGAACATGGGGGCGAGTCTGGACCGCAGGTCGGTGATGCAGACATTCGATTCTCTGAAGCGAGAAGCCCAGAGATGATTCCTGATGGGACTTGGACGAACGGTCAAATGAAACGTGAAGAACGATTACAGGATAATAAGCGAGTTTAGCCAAGTCGACATGGATATCTAAACGAGGATTTAATACGGATTAGCAGCGACCATTAGAGATTGGACAACGATAAAAATACAGGGTTATATTTCGGCAATGGTTTTCGGCCAGAGTTTGGAACTGGGTTTTCTCGGGAGAAACTCGGCGACTCTTATATTGGATGGAAGAACGGAGTACCTCATGGAGGACTCAACCCCCATCGTTAATTTCAAGATACATATCTGTCTGTGGCCTTATCTCCGCACGATCCACCTTCTGAAGGGATGTGGATCATTGTCGCTCAGAGTATATCGTCAAGGAAGAAAACAGCACTGCCTGTGTTGGGTGGATCGTGTCAAGTCTCTTCGACTCGATGATTGGAGCCTGAGACATGCCGAGAAAGGGCCACGCAATCCATCGTGGCAGAGATCAGTATAAAAGCTTGCATCGACCGTCTCTCCTGCTTTATATGCTGAGACACCACCTCAGGCAGCCACCGTACGGTAAGTAATGACCGTACCGAAACTGCGGCTCCACCAGCAGTTAACGGCCGCTTAACTCCGACCCAAACTTTGCCCGTCAGCCGCCTGCATAAGTAGCGCAGTCCACCCCGGATCCTTTCCACAATCGCACCTCTTGACATCATGGCCACCGAACCCACCATGAAGCGCGATTCCTCGACTTCGCCCGACCTGGAGAGTATTGAGCCCGAGCACCTCCAGCCAGATGATTGGAAGGGCTTGACCGACCCGAAAGAGCGCAGGCGCCGTCAAAATCGGGTCAATCAGCGGGCTTACCGTGAGTTCTGTCCATGCAGCCGCGATTGAAGCCGTACAGAGGCTGATGCTTGAGCCACAGGAAAGCGGAAGCAAGAACAGCGCCGAAATATCAAAATCCCCTCATCCGAGCTCGTCAAACGAATATCCTCTTCCTCCGAGAACACCTCCCCATCATCAAACCCAGACACAACACCCACCAGCACCTCACTCTCTATCCGAAATGCCAAACCCAGCACACAACCACTCACCCTCTCCTCGCGCTGCATCAGCCTCGACAAAGCCTCCACCCTCCTCGACCAACTCAGCATCACCGCCTACGAAAACTACATCCTCGGCTCCCCGACCTCCGACCACCTCATGACCCTCAGCAAAATGAACGTCTTCCGCGCCTTCAACTCCATCATCACCACCCTCGGCATGCAACACAACATGGAATGGCTCCACGACGACGCCATCTCGCCCTTCTCAACGCACCAGCCCGGCTACGTCGAAGACCCCAACCTCCCCGTCAGTCTGCGCCCGACCCCCATCCAACGCCGCATCTCCCACCACCCGTGGCTCGACTTCTTTCCGGACCCGCGCATGCGCGATAATCTGGTCTCCGCGGGCGACGCCTTCGACGACGAGCAGCTCTGCATCGATATCATGGGGTTCTGGGACATGTCGAATGAAAGCTGTAGTTTGCTGGTTTGGGGCGATCCGTCGGATCCGGCGAATTGGGAGGTTACCGAACAGTTTCTGCGGAAGTGGCCGTGGGTGGTGCGCGGGTGTGGTGGGCTCATGGAGGCGACGAATCGCTGGCGCGCGAGCAGGGGGGAGAAGATGATTTTTCGGTATTTATAACCAATCCGGATTTCTGTTATTGCAATTGAGCGACGCAGTGGATATGTAAATGGTAAATGGTAAATGGTCAATGATATATGATATATGAGATTAAATGACTTGAGATATACTTGGGAGCAGTAGGCTGTCAGCCATTTGATGACGTCATTATCCATCCGTCCTAGATAACGTCGCCATCAACATTTCAATAGCACAATTGTAGCGTATCTTCGACAACAGTAAACTCAAACACCTCGAGTTGATTGACGTTACATATTGTATTCCGCTTGCACCCTGTCCTAGACCTACACTCCGAAGTCGTGGCTGACAGCACCGTTCCAGACAATGAACGGCCCGCGTGGCTGATGGCTGACGGCATCCACAGCCTCACGTGTTCTGGTTGCAGCGTTCCACAAAAGCCTGGCCGCTTTTTTCTTTCTTTATCGGGGATTTCTTTTCCTAAGCTATTTGCCTTGGAAATTGATCTTGGGAAATATTTGTGCAGCTTATTTGTTGTGCATTCCTACTTTTCACTTGAAAGTGGTGGTACATACATCGCCCACTATTGAGTAGATATATCTGCGTCTTAATAATTGACGGGCAATTAGGAAGACAGGTACGCATTTCCCCGCCCCTCTATCCCAGTCTACTAAGCCCTCAGACATTGCAGTCCAATCTCACCAGCCTCTAGAGCTGAATATCAGAACAAGAGAATGAAAATCCTCTTCGTCGGCGCCTCAGGCTCCATCGGCAGCGAAGTCCTGCAGGAATGTCTCTCAGACCCTCGCGTCAGCTCTGTCGTCGCTTTCGTGCGTCGACCGCTCCCTGAGAAGGTCTCCGCGCATCCGAAGCTAGAGTGTGTTATCGTGAAGGATTTCGCGGAGTGGTCGGAGGATGTGCTATTGAAGCATAAGGATGCGAGGGGCATGATTTGGTTAGTTTTCTTCTCTTTCTCTTTCTCTTGTCTGGTTGAAAGTATGGTAGTGTATAGAGGCACTGATGTGGTTTCAGGACGATGGGAACAAATACTGGCAGTATGGCAGCTGATTTGGAGTATCCGCTTATATTTCTAGAGAGTATGGGGAGGGTATTGGAGGGTGAGAACGACGGCGAGGGTAAAGGCAGTAGGACGCAGCGATTCCGATACGTCCATTTGAGTGGGAAATTCGTGCGGCAGGATCAAGAGGAGAAGTTATGGTTTTTGGAGACGCCCAGGAAGATCAAGGTATTTATTTAAATCCCTTCCTCCCTCCACAGGGCTCATGTCAATGCCATCCCAGCCCATACCGTCCTTCACAGGATAGACTCTCTGAAGTATGGCTAATAAAAAACGTCAGGGCCTCCTTGAAACCCGCGCTCTTACCTTCGCGGAATCCCACTCAATCTGGCAGACTTTCATCGTCAAGCCGGGCGGCGTGGTCCCTAGAAGTATGTTTTCCGGGGGACTTTTGAATATGATCACGCCGATTGGGGCGCTATTGGGTGAGAACTGGTCCGTCAAGGTGCAGGAGTTAGGGGCTTTTATGACGCATTTGGTGGTAGATGGGGATGGGGAAGAGAGCATTACGGAGAATGCAAGGATTGTGAGGAAGGGGAGAGAGTTGTTGGAGGAGAGGAAGAGGGGAGGGAATCAGTAGATTGTAGAGGTAAAGTTACAGGGCTAGTCTGTTACCTGGCTCTTATCAACTCTTGATTCTTCCGACACCTTTCGTGTTGAATCTTAAACCTCATGGCTGGTTTAGTCTTCGGTATGCAAGGGATGTTACAGACAACAGTCTTACAATGTCCGTGCTCCCATCTCTCGCCAAAGCTCCTTGCATATCTTTATCTTTCAGAACTCGATCCGCCTCTTTGGCCTTCCCAGTGGCGTGAAGTATCTTCGCAATCGTGGCATGTATCGAGAGAAGCAATGGACAGGGCAATTTGTATGTGCCATTTTGCTCGAACTTAACCAACCCATCCCGAGGCAAATGGATTGAGAGAGTATCCCGTGGCGTAAAGTTCCTAATCTGGTACACATGCGGCTTGTCAGTCGCGATCAGTGTGAAGTTAAACCGACCGAACATATCGTGCAGAGGTGCGCTCATTGTTATCGCGTTGCAGGGGGTATTGATCGAAGATGGTGTGAAACTAATGCTGGAGCGCAGTGACGGGAAACAACGATCCAGAAGAACCCAAATAGCAGAGGTACATCTTTCTTTGTTTTCCCACCTTCCCAGAGCGATTGGAAGGATTGGCGCACATTTGGTGGGGGTAAATTGTGCGTCGGATTTAGCGGCATATGTGGTATCAAAAGCACCTGTGATTAGACACTTTCTCCTGTCGCGTCTCAAGCACGCCGCTTTGAGACACTTCTGGTTATTGAGCCAAAGATCATCGAGTCTCAAAGAAACATTCTCAATTGTGGCTTCTTTTCTAAACCTCTCGGAGGCTATTATGCTGGGTGTCTTCGGTTGTACTCTGAAAGGGAACAATAAGCCCTCAACAAGTGAACGAGCATGTCGGTTCAACGCCAAGTCGCCTGGACAGTCTAGGATGTCGTCGATCAGATTTGCTTTCCCATCTTGCGGAAGGTTCTCGAGGAAGGCTAATAGAACACGTCTCGTGTCATCTTTTTCATTCAGCGGCGTGTACTTCTCAAGTCGTTGGAGGGTCTGCTGCTCAACGGAGCTGATGCTCGAGAGGTAGGAATCTAACTGAGACATGTCGCGTCGAGAGGAGGGGCTTGTGGATAAAAGTAGACTGTTTCAGATGAAGACCATAGAATGATGGAATAAGGAGACACAGGAAGAGCGAAAAGTATGAAGGATGGCCATTGAAGACTCTGTGAGGAGCGAGGAGAAATTGGGTTGAGGTCTCGAACTAAGTGAGTCAGATGAAAGTCACTCTAGATGAATGACAGAAGTAATACGTAAATGAAAAGAAATTCAAAAGGGATGGAGGTAAGCTTGAGAATAAAGTCAGGCAATTTTCCCCACACTTTATTCGCTTCCATGGTTGATATGATAGACAGTCAATCAGGGCCTGACTACAAAACCTTCACTTGACGTCAAGGCAAGGAATGTACCGTTTCCACCGGGAGGTGGCCTAATAGCAGGATAGAGATTTTCTTTGCTTTGACGGTATGTTCCATATACATTTTGTCCACCGCTGTCCCGTTTCTCCAGTCAATCAATCAAATTTCTATTAACCCGATAGAGCTTTTCTATTGAAGGAACAAGTTATACAAAAACATTTATCCGTATGCCCTAATTCTATCAATAAAGTGGACAGTCCAAAAATCATAACTAAGCTAAATAGCAGCTACTCCATAACTACCGTGTCTACTACACCCGGGGCGCCCTGCTTCTTCTATATTCTATTATCGCAGTATTCCACCTCCAATTATGTTAGTACTAAGGAGTAAGACCTTCGCTTGAATGGGTATTGTTATTGCCTTTGTTTAACCTGACTTCCTCGAGTGATGCCTCTTTTGTTTCTTTGTCTCAGTGTGTAGGTAGTTATCATCCTTTCTTTTTCGCACCTCCAGGAATGTATCCTTGAGCATCTTTCAAGTCATCTTTTGAAAGAATTTCTTTCAACCAGGCTAATATACAGGTATATAAGTTGACCTCTCCCTAAGAGTTCATCCGTCCATTTTCCCGAACTATAATTCAATTAATACCCACGACCAAGTTGACTCATCATGACTGGGTTCAAATACAATGGCCAGAGGGTCGACAACAACCTCGCTGAGGAGATTGGAAAGCTCCTCGATCATGCTGGAGTGCCAAATTATGTATGGGGAGAAATATACCTCACTCTTATCGCCGCTCCAGTCGTAATACATGTGAGTCGCACACCTTCGCGGAAACACGCTAGATACTGACGAATACAGAAACTCGACTTCTTCGTTCCCGACCATCTGATCGACGTCGCCATCAACACCCTCCGGAACGCCGACTTTCCTGACGACAAAGACAATCCCCGCTGCGCGTGGAACAAGAAGGCACACGAGCGTGAAGGAACATGGCCAATCCCCTACCACATGTTCCACCTGGAAGAGGACGATAGCTTATTAATGGACGAGCAGGACGAACACTTCCCGAAGACGGCGGAGGATATAGAACGCATCAAAGGCCCCTGGCATGTCGACCTTTTCCTGTACCGCAAGTCGGACTATTTCTGGGACCTGCCCGACATCCCCGTGGGACTACCCGCGCCGGACGATCCGAACTTCATGCTGGCCAATGACCGCCGACTCCCAGTCGAGAGGGTCCAGGGGTCAGGCGATGGCCGAATCGAGGACCCGAATTGCCAGTTGAAGATAGTGGCGCCTCCCCGGTACATCGAGTCGAATCTGCTTCTCATAGCACGCGACCGGAGATCATGCGATGGCGGCCTATACTGGGCCGAGAACCTACGCTTCGTGATCATGTATACCACGAAATCCACGGCCGACTGGAGTCTCACGGAACCCGAGAGCCTAAAGCCGCGATTTCAGAGGCTGTGGGCAACTTGGTTGAGGGATCATATATCCTATCAGGAATCCGTTTTCCGTCAAATTGGGCGACTTCGTGCGGCTTTGCTTAGAGAAGGCTCGCTTCCTAGCTCTCCGTTTCCTAATAGGCATTGATATTCTATGTGGGTGAGGCTTGATTGACTTGATCTTGTTATTCTTCTGTCCGCTACGTTTTCTCTAGTATGTTTCATTGTTTCTATTCCACCCATACTACCCTCACAGTCGCAATTATTTAGATGAAACCCTGGTGGCCATTGTCCATTTAGATAAGAATACAAGCAATAAGCACAGATTCCCCAGAAGCAGAAAACATAAGAACAAATAAAAGACTAAGCACAAGACAAAATAAGCAAGAAATAAAAAGAAAGTGAGTGTTTGTCAGTGGCAGATGTAAGAGAAATGAAAATGAAAGATAAAGAGCGACAAATTCAGCATACATAAACAAGAAAGCAATTACCCAAAGGAACACACAAGTTAGTAACATCAAGGAACAAAAGAAAATATAAATTCAAAGACTGAATGTGATATAGGGGAAATGCAAAAGAAGCCAAAAAATCAAACAAGAACAGAAAAAGAAACTAACATCAGGATAGAACAATAGGCAGTTGCAAGACTATCGCCCAGGCGTCTACGTTTCTGTAATGGTGTTTCGAGTATTCGGAAAGGTAGAAAATACCATTCGCAAATGTCTCTAGGTGCCATATATCCCATATGACGCCCTGCGGCAGCCTCATCGCCAATTCCCAGCAGTCGTTCGCATCTCGGACATTTTTCGCAATTGTCATGCGTGTCCCGCAGGAGTAGGCCTTGATTGCGACCATATCCTGGAGTGACAGAAAAGGCAGCCTGTTGATTTGGACCATGTTGATAGAGATAGCCTGCGGGGGGAATCTGTGTTCGTCGAAAGTGTCCTCGTGCTGGTTCCAGGGAAAGATGAATAGCTGTGACATGATGTCCACCTGGATCCTCCTTGTCCCGACTTTGAACAAGAACACGTCCGCGGCCATTTCGAACTGGTGGGGGGATGCTGCCACCAAGGCAGATTTTACCTCGGAGGTATCAATCGGACTTTCGATCATCAGATCAAGGTCCTAGTTAAGATACGGTTAGAAAGGAGAGTGATTAGGGGGGAAGGACTGCGTACATTGGTTTCGCGCGGTTCCGGATGGACATGATGTTTGACGCATACACCACCTACCACGGCAATTCGGCGACTCTGCCATCCGGGCAGTCCTTGAAGAGCAAGGATAACATTTTCCACAGCGGTTCTCAAATCCCTGTCGGCTGCCATGGTTGATCGAGAGAAAGGGAGAGAAGGGAAAATAAGAGACAGAGAGATGTCGGGCAAACACAGTAGGTGATAGCAAGAGGATAGTAGGAGAATGAACAAATGTTGGAAACGAGGAAGAGGGTTATTTTGTAGAAGGGAGGGAATGGAGGATCTGGAGAGATGCCTCCAGGGGGTATATGTATCTGTGTTCGGGACTCATCCCACATCAGTATTTGCAAAGCAACTCGTTTCATCAGGATCTAGAACGAAAGGTGCAACTGGATAATGACTGGAAGACATGTCTTGAATGTCTTTCTTTGAGATTTAATGAGCCCACCATATTTCTTCCGTCGACTGAATACCATGTCGGCGAAGCGGCTGTCGACATGTTCGCTTCCAGTTTTTTTGCAGATCAAAGTCAACAATGATGTTCAAATTTTATAGAGTGTAGATACCTTGTCAAAAGGTCAATTCACGGTGTCATCCCGTCGATGGATGAGCGAAGTCATCAACACCATCTTGACCGAGCGGGTATAGCTTGCGCCTTCTGTTTTTGGCTCTTGCATGTTCATTCACTGAAACAGAAAAATATCTCTTTAAGACAAATTTTATTAGTATTTGCAACGAGATGGAGCACCTGACGCATGCGCGGCCTGATCCATCGCCTTTTCGGCTCAGGAGTTGATTTTAGATCTGAGTTACACAGTATGTGACCGTCCACACTACTGTGAAGACCTATATCTCTCTCGCCTATGGCCCATCTACGTATCTTACCTTGCTCGACCACGATGCTTGCATGTGCATTTGAAGATTTCTATAACTTACACTACAGTACACTGCGCAACAATCCCCCAAACGTTATTCAACGATTGTTGTACGCATTCCACCTACGGGACGAGAGTCTTGGTTGTAATTTTCGGGAGTGTTCCACCATCGGATACGATCTGGTGGCGTCGGGCATGAAACAGAGGACGCTATTATTGGAAGTTGCACCGTTACAGCGTCGATCATGCGAAAGGGGATAAAGAACTGTTTCATGGTCGACTGGAGCGCTTTGGGCTTCTGGTCTCTTCACAGGGTTCACTGGCGATATCGCGAGCAGGACTGGATGGCGGTAGGAGCCGTCCAAGTAACAAGCGTAAAGTTTACAGAGGGGGTTTGTATTGAGCTATTGACAGCATCAGTGTACAGTTTGTAGCTCAGGAATCCATTCTCGCTTCTAGAATCCAAACCATCCATCGGATCTTCACCGTCGATGGAACGCTAATCCCGGCGCTAATGCAGGCTGCTTACGCGCTAACCACAACTTAATTTCATGGCGGAAGTTTAAGCCAATGGGAATGCTCTATTTAGACTCTTGGCACTTGGCATGACAATTAATCAGCACCGTATTGGTACGAGCATCGTATTGACAGTATCTTACCTGTTTTGCTGCCTGGCCTTGTTCGGGAAATAATTAGGGCTCCGCACATACAGTAGGGATTTGAAGACATTCACTGGCGAGAAATGAGTATATGCTGTCTTCCAGGCGATCAGAATGGTTGCACTCATACTGGCGCATCCGTTAGTGGGCTACTGTCTCCCATAATTAATTGGTTTTCTTAGGTTTAAGTAGACTTCTAAATCAACCGAAATTCATAATCTGACATTGACTATCGTGTTGCCTGGCAATCTGCTGTAATACCACAATGGCTGAATCAAGTTGCAACCCCAAACCTTCACTCGTAGCTGACAGTCTCAAGTGAACGTGGCAAACTGCTTCCTCACATTCAGCTTGGTCTCACCCGGTCTGAGATCACCGTCGAATTTGACTCTGTTCTCAAACACCACCACCACATCCGAGCCTCCAAACTGGAAGTACGAGATATTCTGACCCTTTTCAACGTGGTCGCCTTTTTGAACGGTGAACACCACAGACGAAACCTGTGCCATACCAATCGGCAGAACCGCCACCTTTCCGTACTTTTTCGTCTGAATGATGATCAACCCGCGGGTCTGGCACCACTGATAGCCCGCGTCATCAGGAGCGTCCAGCGCAAAGAACTGCTTTCCTGGCTTTGCCTCGCGCTTTTGCAGCTCCGCCAGATCACGAGTCAATCCACGGTCGCCGCGCAATCCACCGCCCTTCTTCTTCGCCACCTGCAGATACACCTGGTCCTGGATGTTGCGGACCTCAATGACCTCCCCGGTGACGGGCGCATGCTGGCGGTGGTAATCAGTCGGTCCGAGGAAGGCGTGCATGAAGTTCCCTCCGGTGAAGGTCGTCCCGGTGGTCTGCAGCAGCTTGTTGATGGGCCACTGCACGGACTTGGCGTCGATGGTGATTACCACGTCGCCGTTATCGACCGGCCAGGACCCATCGTACATGGAGTCCGCCACGCTGACGATGATGTTGTCGTCGTCTTTGCCGTCCAGCGGACGAGCCACGTCGATGTCCTTCCACTCGCGCGCAAACCAGTGGTTGAACGACAGCCAGCCCGTCTTGGGCTCGGCCCATTCCGGCGCCTCCGGCTTGTACTTGTCATTGATGTAGAATGAGTACACGGCGGCTGCAGACTGCGGCGAGTTCATGAAGCTGCCCTGCTCCCGCGCGAACGTCACGAGCCAGTACGACAGCCAGGACAAATCGGTGTTAGAGTTCTGTGGCTGGATTTCGGTCTGGAGACCGCGGAGTGACGGCTGGTCGAAGACCCAGTAGAAGACGAGGATTCTGGTGAGAAGCTCGTCGCCAGTAGTGTTGACTCGGGGAACCCATCGGAGCAGCTCGTCGACCCATTGGATGTAGTTGTCGAGGTTTGCGATGCCTTGCTCTTTCATCTCGTCTGCTCCGCCATTTTCGGGGGCGATGGCAGAGGCGACTGCGTCGTTGAACGCCTTGGTTCGCTCCTCGGTGCGATAGATGTAATCGCTGAGGTCGCGAACGATGGGCTCTTTGGGCTTGTATGGGGTGGACATTTTGAAGATTTGTTTGATGTCTTTGTGATTGAGTGGATTGAGACAAGTGTGAAGCTGATTTGGATGTAAGACCAGAATTCAGCAGTCTCTTATACCCATCTGTCCATAACCATCGCCCTTGACTTATGATGTATTAATTGCCAACTCATTTGAAAAGAGGGGTTTATCTGCAGCATGCAGGCTATACAGCTCAGCTATACTAGTTCAGCCCTGGTGCCACTATGCCGAACAGCCCACGAGAAGCTATTGGGTATACCAAAGTACGATGCTTCTACTATCTCATACCTCTGTCATGCGTGCATAGGTATATGCATCAGTATGTCAGCTGTGCTACACGGTGATTTATCCGTATGCGAGACCCATGTCGAAATGCGTTGTGCGGGTATGCTGAATCTGCATAGCTGTGGCGGATATGCGTGCACTTGCAGCTCAGCTGCAGCGTCAAGCTCGCAATTACGAAATACTTTGCCCAGCTCCGCAGTGGCGTAGGAGCTGGAGCTGAAGCCAAGGTCGATAGCATATTGAGCTGCATTTAGTGAGGGGAACCTGGTGTAGCAGCAGTACTCGCCATGTGCCCATTGGCCATACAACTACTTTCTGCGATTTGTTTTTGGACCAGCCCAGCTTCGACTGCCATGATGCATTATGAGATAACTAGATACATCCGATATTACAACCCCGCCACAGGGGTACAATTCGTCGGCCAGGACTTTCTCCTGGGCCTTGTTTATGGGTGGCCGGGGGGGGGGGGGGGGGTCTACTGCATAGAATGCAAGCTTTTATTTTTCTCCTGCGTAGCTCGGCTTTCTCCTTAAGTTCATATTCCAATTTCCTTTTCCAGTACCTCACCAGCCATGGTAGACGAAGTGAGCCTATCATTTGCTGCATTTTTATCTCGGTTCTGTGTGAAGTTATTTCACCGGCATCCGCCCATTCTGTACTTACAAGTATTCCTTTGCTACTTGACGACCTAAAAAGTAACATTTTCTTTGTTACCTCTTACTAGCTTTATTAAAAGCCACTGCTAAAAAATATGCATGTTTTTCACTCAGTAGATCATTTTGGGGTGTAGATTAGTCTCTCATCATTTCCGCATCTATCTACTTCATCCCTTAACTACTCCGATGTTGAACCATGAGATCTGAAAGATCAGTAGACCTACCCTCTCAGGATCCATTCACAATAACAAAAATAAAAAAAGAAAAACCCATAATTTGAGGTTGAATCGACATTTGCTGTCCGAAAAACTAAATGTCATGATACTACCTATTACGAACGACAACTCGGTCGGACATCCCATAGACTTGCTTTTTTAGTTTGTAAAGTGCACGGACACAAATCTTGATTCAGTTCTTGGAATCCCGGATTGGTCGCCTTAAAAGCCACTGGCGAAAACAAAGTGGTGGCTATAGTGTTGGACTTTAACAATAAAATCGGCGAGACCAGGCTATTCAAAATGGCTTCGAGTGGAAAGGAATTCGGGATGATAAAGACCGTTCTTGTGAGTATCTATAGATAGCCATGCTTCTTTCATAAATCCCTACCATTATTCCGCTATTACCAGAATTCCATATTTTCCCGATATCTTCATAAAAGCTTCCTATTTACGCGGTTGTCGAATGCTGTTTTCCTGACCTATGCATTTGTCACAGGCTAAGACCCGTATTTTGGGGACGTGCGCTCTCTAAAGGAACCTTATCTTGAGATTTGGCAGTCTCTTCAGTATCATCTCGGACTTCAAAATCGTACTACAGTAGACGCCATGTGGAGATGGCGGGGTGGGGATCCACAATCATTTCGCTCCTCCACCTTGTGTGTTGTCAGTTGTTGTTATCTGTGTATCCGCATGTCCCTGATTCTATCCTTGTTCGTACATTATTCATCCCGGTCACTGCACAGTCCTGCATTCAATCACTCCCAGATCGAACCCAGCCTATCACATCATGACTACCACGCAAGACAACATCAGCTTGCACGTCGACGAGAATCTCGAGTTCAGTGTCCAGCATGGCCTGGAATTGCCAGACCCCGAGCAAGGAGAATTCCTAGTCGAGACACACTTTTCCGGGGTGAACCCATCCGACACCAAGCATGCTACCGATTTCCAAATCCATCCTGTTGTTCTGGGATATGACTACTGCGGAAAAGTCCTCAAGACACCAACCAACTCACGCTTTCAACCCGGCCAAATCGTGGCCGGATACGCTCGAACCAGACTAGGCCGTCCATTGAAATACGGCGTTCATCAGATATATCTCATCAGCGTTGCAGAAACGGCTTTCGCCCTGGCAATCTTTCGCCACAGCATGCCGCCTGTCTGGGCATCGTGACCATGAGGGGGTCCGATGCAATCTTCAATCATTTTCAAATCCCCTTGCCGACAGAGTCACCCAGCGACAAGCTCCTCGGACCTCTTCTCATCTAGGGTGCCTCCACCAGCGTAGGGATCTCTGCTCTTCAACTAGCCCGCGCCAGTAGAGTCAAGTCCATCTTCGTAACTGCTTCACCCGAAAGACACGCTCTACTGCGTGAGCTAGGCTCCACGCATTGTTTTGACTATAAATCTCTCGGATGTCAAAGAAGCATTCAAGGAGACCTCATCCGGCTCATTCCATTACGCTCTCGACGCAATTGGAGCGCATCAAGACGGAGGATCTGGGCGACCATTAGCGGCTTGCTCTTCAGATGAGACGATTCTGGCCTTGTCGTGGTTCAGCCGGATCCGCGATTCAAATTGCCCTTGGCGGCGCCAAATCATGACGTAAGTATCCAGATTGCGGGCATTCCTCGTCCTTTCACGATTCCGGCGCGCTATGCCGACTATGAACGTGCTTGGAAGGGAGTTCAGTGGGTTGCTGAGAACTATGGGGATCGGTTTCGGTTGCCGTCTGTAGAGGTGTTTGAGGGTACTGCGGATGAAGCCTTGGAAGAGTTGAAGGTTGTTGGGAATCATGGACGAGGGTTTGGGAAGTTGGTTCTAAAGCATCCGTTCTAGATGTGTGTATTGCAAAAGCCCCTATGGGATAAATCGAAGTGATCGAAGATTCCATGAAATCCAATGATGATGTGCATCTGAGATTATATATCAATAGTAATTCCTCGGGGAGAAATGGCACTATGGGAGAAAAGTCCATACAAGGCAGCATAGTATTCGATTGTGCACCAAATATACAACTGAAGATGACTCACTCATCCACAGTATGAGTTGTCTTGAGATGCTGGGAAAAGGCAAGAAGCAAAGGCTGCGGCGGGAATCGAGCTCCCCTGTTTCTGCCTCAGGCACCACTGTGTAGGTGTCGCGTGACTTCCCGAGGCCCCACTCGTTCACGTGGCATGCAAACATCCAGCAAACAGAGCAGACAATGCAAACACTCTATACTCTCCCGTTTCCTGCCGGACTGGCAAAGGCACACATTCCCCTTCAACAATTCCACCATCCATTGACAGAACGTCAACCGGATCGGATTACTCCAGTCATGCCTATCGATCTGCTTCCCCCCAGCATTTATTGCCCACGTCTCTGGCCCACTACTCCACAACCCCAATATTTATCTCGCGTGCATCCAGCTTATCGGGTTCACCGAAGGAACGTCTCGCCGAGACATCCAAGGAACCAGTGGCGTGTTATTGGAATTGCGAGGAATTTCGACTAGCCTGACTTGGAGCAACGGCTGCTGTGTACCACAATGTCGCTGTCACCCGGAGCGGACAAATTTCCCTCGCCCCTCGATGCCTAGAGATTGGCACCCGCTAGACGACATCTGGCCACGGTCTGTCCGCCCATCAGCGATGAATACGAGGATCGTCCGACCTCGGCCCACCCTTCCCCTGGCTTGATTTGCTGGTTCGCAGGGTTTCGAGAATGTTGGTTGGCTGCGTGATCCACCGTGGAATGTTTCCCTTACGTTTTCCTCCGAAGCCTGCCCGTGAGGGTTGGAGCATCTGTTAATCAGATAAGATGAATTTGATGAATTTCATGGCGCCGCCTTGGCCAAGACATCACCGCCTGATCTCTTGTCTTGTCTTTTTTTTTTTTTTTTTTTTTTTTTTTTTTCTTGCCCCGGCGGTTGGGTGAGATTTAAATTAAAAAATTCTTCCTCTTTTTTTCTCTGCTGTGATCCCTGTCCCGTTTTTCTTCGTTCAGATTTCTGTGCCCGTCGCAATGTCGTCGACTATCCCTCCCCCGGAGGACAAATATCCTCGCGATGTCGTGGCTTCGGACTCCGATGAGGACTCCATTACCGGCCATTCCGGTGTCAAGCGCATCGAGGTCATTTCGTCGCAATTCCGCCTCGTCGATCGCATTTTCCTGTTCTTTGGGATCTTCCTGATGGCCTACGTTTATGGTCTAGATGGCACAGTTCGATACACATATCAGGTGTGATTAGCTTCTATCGCTGCTGAGTGCGACACGAACTGACTTCCCAAGCCTCTGGCGACTGCTGGGTTTGGTTCTCATAGTTTGCTCGCCACGATCAATGTTTTGCGATCCGTTATTGCCGTCGCCGCGCAGGTATGCGATTCGATAATTCCGTGCCAGCTGTGTCTAACGTGAATAGCCAACTGCTGCCAAAATCGCCGATGTGTTTGGTCGCGTGGAGCTGATTCTATTCTGCGTAGTGACCTATACTCTGGGTAGGTGTGGTTATCGGATTGCGTGGGGTCGATCTGACGTCTCCAGGAACGGTGGTCGAAGCCGCTGCAACCAATATGGCTACATTTTGTGGCGGCGCAGTGCTGTATCAAGTGAGTTGTGGTACTGAACCTTGCTCTATAGATTCCTACTGACAGCCTCTTTCATAGATCGGCTACACCGGTAGTTTGCTCCTCGTTGAAGTCCTCATCGGCGATGTCACCTCCCTTCGCTCGCGACTGCTCTTCTCTTATATCCCTGCGACACCGTTTATCGTAAGCATTCCGACTCTGCCGCGATGCGTCAGCTCACACATCTAGATCAATACATGGATTAGTGGAAACGTGACATCCTCCGTTCTGAACGTCACGACATGGCAATGGGGCATCGGCATGTTCGCCATCATTTTCCCGGGTATGGTCGGCTCTTTGTCACGATGTCTGGGTTTATCTGACGAGAACTTTAGTTTGCACGATTCCTCTGTTCGCTACTCTGTTCTGGGGACACTGGAAGGCCAAGAGACACAATCCGGCGGCATACCGGAGCACGATCCAGGTCCTCGGCTTTCAAAAGTTCTGCGCGGAACTGTTTTGGTATCTGGATGTGGTCGGAATGATACTGCTGATTGCCATCTTGGCTTTGATTCTGACCCCGTTCACTCTTGCTAGTGGCTCTTCCGACCAATGGAAGACGGCCAAGATTCTCGCGCCTCTCATCATTGGTATTTGCTGTATTCCCCCTTGGGTGTACTGGGAGAAGACTTGCAAATATCCGATGGTCCCGTTTAGAGTGAGTGCATGATGATGTTGTCGGAAAGCCTCTGCTGACATTGTGTAGTTGCTGAAAGATCGAGCCGTGTGGGGCGCTCTTGGAATCGCAATGATGCTCAACTTAGGTAGGTTTGCTGCGATGAATCACTGGCCACCACTAACATCCATTAGCGTGGGTTATCCAGGGAGAATTCCTGTACACAGTCTTGATCGTCAGCTTTGATGAGACCGTCACGAGTGCCACGCGTATCACTTCGCTCTACAGGTCTGTCAGCCCCTGTTTCGAATCTGACTATAGAAATCTAACATCTTCCAGTTTCGCCTCTGTCATCACCGGATGTATCTGCGGTTTCGTGGTGCTCAAAGTAAAACAGTTGAAACCGTTCATCGTTGCAGGAACCTGTCTTTTCATGGTTGCATATGGAATTCTCATCCATTTCCGCGGCGGATCCAGCGGCTCGAGTCACTCAGGCATTATCGGAGGTCAAATCCTTCTCGGTATCGGTAAGACCTCCGAGTCTTTAAACTATGACCATATACTGACAAAACCCAGCGGGCGGTCTCTTCCCCTACCCAGCTCAAGCCAGTATTCAAGCCGCAACCAAACACAACCGTAACTACCCCTTCCTCGCAAACCTCAACCAAACCCAATCACTAACCCCTTAATACAGACCTCGCTGTCGTAACAGGCCTCTACCTCGCAACTTACAACATCGGCAGCGCAATCGGCAACACAATCGCCGGCGCCATTTGGCGTCAAACCCTCGAGAAGGAACTCATCTCGCAACTCGGCGACGCCACCCTTGCCACTACAATCTTCGGCGACCCATTCACCTTCGTCGCAGCGAACCCTGTGGGGACTGAGCAACGCGACGCCGTCGTTTTGGCGTATCGGCATACTCAGCGTTTACTTTGCATCACGGGTATCTGTTTGACGGTGCCGTTGATCGCGTTTTCGTTGTGTATTCGCAACCCGAAGCTCACGAAGGAGCAGAGTCTACCGGACGCGGAGAGGGAGAATTGATATTCCTTTTAGGATTTAATGGTTCACGCAGAGAGATGCGATAGTATCGAAATTGAAATTAAATGTTATTCGGGCGCAGCTGGGAAGGAGGGTTTTATTTCGATTCGTTATCTTCCACTAGGTCAGTAGAAAAAGTGTATACATAATATCGTTCAATACATTAATGGAACATATTTTAACCCCTTAAACATTACATCCACTGATTCAGTCCTTAACCGCAAGCAAAACATTTAAAGACCAAAAAACCCCCAAAAGTCTGAAAGAAAATCCCTATCCTCGACCACCCACCGGCGTCGAAACCCCATACAACTCAATCTCATCCTCAGACCTCGACCCTCTGGATCCCTTCCCACCCTTAAAGCTTTGAACCGCATACCCCAAGCTCGGCGCATGTCCCTGCGACCCCGAACCGGAGGTATGATTCCTCGACCCTCTACCTCTCCTCCCGCTCGAGAGCAAAGTAAGCGCAGACGGCCAAGAGCCCATTTTATCGAGGACGCGCGCGAACGAGAGTTTATCCAGATGACGTGCGCAGGGAGGCAGACAGGCGACTTGGAATCCGACGCCGATTTCGACGTATGTCCAGAAGAGGATTATCGAGACGATTCCTTTGGGGTTTGGTTAGTGTGGAGTTAGAATGAGGATAGCCAGAAAGGCACAGAGTGGGTGAGTATGCATGTAAGGGCATACCTTCTTGATCGATTGATGGGAGCACCGTGGATAGGATCTTTGTGGTTGGGTTCTGCGTCCCTTGCATTACTATTTGGATCCAGCCGATCATTCGGAGGAGGCCTGCTATGACGGCGCTGGGGTGGGTTAGTGGTTTTCCTTTTGAGCGAATGATCATTGTATAGGCGCGTGGATGATACTGACAAGATACTGCAGAAGAAGACCAGCGAAACCTGGAGTTTCTTTCGGAAGCTCATTTTCAACGGAGCGATCTAGTCCAGGCATATCAGTTTTTGAAGTTGCGATCGTAGAAAGAGAGACAAGAACCATGAACAGCGGCTCAATTAAAATCGCCAAATCCATCACCCAACTGAACACCGCACACCCAGTCTGCATCGCAAACGTATCGACGCATTTACTTCGCAGCGACTCCAGGCTGGCCCACCCGCGGGACGGGTCCGCACCGCATGCGAAGATCTGAATGAATAGGAAGACCACGGTCCATAAGGTGACGAGGACGATGAGAGTCCAGTTGGCGTAGTCGAAGGGTGTTTGGTATGCGCTGCCTGTTTGCTCGGAATTCTGTTATGCTAACGTTTGTTTTATGGGGTCTAAGACCGGAAGAACGCACCTTTGAAGATGCGCCGGAAGAGGAAGAGGAGGGCGAGTTTGATCAGGCCGATGGCGAGGACGTGGCCGATCCAGAAGGCATATTCGAACTAGAAGCGCGGGCTTGGCTCAGTATTTGTCGCAAATATGAGGATTGTTGAAGGTAGGAAAGACCTTTCCAACTTGGCGCTGCTTGGGCGGTGTAATTCCTAGACTCGAGTGTCCTCCAACGATGTCCATTTGCGCTCCTAAAGCAGATCACAGTTAGCACGATATCTCATGGTTGCAGGGATCCAAGAATTGCTTCTAACCGATAACCATCGCCACACCGGCTGCTATCGTGAGAACCTATCAGTGCAGACATCGTCAGAAGACAGCGAGTGTTCCCTGTAAAGAGCTCACTAACAGCAGCAGGCACGATGAGAAAGTCATCGACCCCAAGAACACGCGAATTTCGCCGCCATCCCAATGCCCGAATTCCCAAAGACACGACAACAAGAATAGGAAAGATGATCCCAATCGTAGTGACGCTTTCCTTATTAACGTATGTCATTGTAGGTCCACGTATCGCCTATACTGGTGACGAGAAAGTCCCGATCGATAACATGCAGAATCGTCAAGCCCATTGTATTATCTAAAAGACGCGACCCTACACAAGGCAGCGTCCATTCCTTTTCTAGATCGATTACCGTCCTGCAGAAGATAATGTTTGCCGTTGGGGGCGGGCAGAATCAAAATCCACTGCGGGAGTTTCTCAAAAGCTGTTATCATCCGTCGGGCTGAAAGGACCGAGGCAACACAGTGCCAAACAAGAACCTTGAATTCCTCGTTCTTTCTACGCCATGCTGACAGGAAAAAGCAAGAGCGGTATGTTCTTCGTACTCTGTGCTCCACTCCGTTGATCGCCACATACCTGGATCGGGGCCCGACGAGACATTATCGTGAGTGGCTGGCAGATTGTGCTGACATGGGGTTGCAGTGCGGGCTAATGCATCCCAGCATGCCTCCGAGATCTTACGGAGTAGAAGCAATAGCGGGTTGAGTGACGGAAGGAGAGAGTGCTGGTGCCGATCAATCAGCCCGATCTGCAAGGTGCTCATGACTCGTGACGGAGAGAGGGAGAGGGATAAGGTAAAGCAATTATGTCACGCACACAACTAGTAATTCATGCGACCAAATCAGAAACATGCAGTTGGTGGCGGGGAGTAAGCGCTAATTTGTTAAGGACTGGTGCTCTGTAGGCTGAGAACTGTTTGCTTGACTAAATGTGTGCCTGCGACCGTGGATCCTATTTTTGTTGCCTTTCACTCTGTTCATGATACTTGGGTTAGTTATTACGAAATGACTACGACTGAAGACCGAGAGAAGAGGCCATTTCTGGCCAGCGAGGAAGACGATGCTGACTCTGAAGCTCTGGCTGGCTCACGGCGTAAAAATGACTCTTCGCAATTCCAATTTCTCAAGTCGCATCGCATGCTCTTTATTCTTCAGATGATCCTCCTCGCTGGGAATATTGCCTTCTTCAGCTGGAACTTAACCTGTGCGAAGAAAATGAAGACCAGGAATGTTAATGATGGGCTGCAGGTATATAGTAAGTTAGCCCTCATGCATTGTCGAAAAACGCAATACACAAAAGAAATATTTACATGTGCTCTGCGAATCACCATTGACTTAAGTATAGCACCCGCGCAGTCATCACTCCAGTACACGGTCGAAGAAATGACCTTTGCGCCTCCCAACAACCCCTTTGCCGGAGGGCCCAGTCCTGAAACTGACCGAGCGTGGTCCGATCTGCTCAGAGGTAACTCAATTTCCAGCTCTGAATCTAAGCGAGACACTGAACTCTATGTCCAGGTGGTATGGTCAAGCTATCCGAAGAGGAGCTACAAAAGATGAACAAAACCTCCATCAAATTGAAAGACGGGAGTGGATACCTCGGATATTTGGAGTCGATTCATATGCTACATTGCGTGGTATGTGTTCATGACCGGTACAACATACCAGGCCAGTAAGCTGATAATCGCAGAAACGTATCTACCAATACCAATATCCAGACTACTATCCCGAACTTCAAGACCTGCACGCCTTTGAGCCGGGCCATTGGGGTAAGCTTGCTTTTTTTTCCTCTTTATTTCGTCGGGTTATGCTGAATACTACAGATCATTGTCTCGAAGTACTACGTGAAGGGATTCTGTGCAATGCAGATATCACGGTCAATACGTACTATTGGAAAAGCCCGACGGAGATTCATGGTAATCGAACGGGGACGCGGAAATGCACTAATTGGAAGAAGATTCAGGATTGGGCGATTGACAGGGCAGTTGAGTTTGATGGGCCGGATGCGCTTACGGATAGCTTAGTGAGGGAGGGAGATGATGATTTATTATGAGTTTTGAAGAGCTTTCTACAGGGCTGATGGTTATGGTACAACGCAGAATAACGACAGTAATGTCTGAAGTGTTCTGCATTGTTAATGACGAAAGCTCGAAGCAAAATTCCCTTCACGGCCCTATTAACTCATCGGTACTTGCAGCCCTCCCCTCCATCCACTTATGCAGTTTATCCCAATTAACGCATTTCTGCACCTTCGGTACGTTGTGTGTTGGAATGTCCTGTCTGCGTGCGCCCCAGTAGACGGTATACAGGGAGTAATCTAGATTGCATAGGCTACCCTGGCGGAGGAAGTCGAGGCAGTGATCTAGAGTCAAAAAGTCAGTAGATATAAGAGAATATATGGGAAGGTCTATGACTGACCTGCATGATCTTGGAGATATAAGAATTCTCCGCTGGTTTCGTCCATTCCTGGGTAGATGTCTTTGTGGTAGATGAACTCTTTGATTTTTTTCTGTTGACGACTCAAATGAATTCAAGCGATCCATCAAAAAAGAAAAAGGGAAGATTAAAAGGGTCATACCACACAATGCAAGCTATGTGCGACTCCCAGACCTGCTGCGTACCCGTCTCCTTCTAACGGAATAGAGTCGCTGCCGGACAGTGCCAATTCTTCATCGGAGATGCGGAATAGTGTTCCTAGAGAGGAATATGTTGTTAGTATACAACAGACCTTCCTAGGACAGAATCGATTTGTAGTTGACTTACCAGACATTAATTCGCTGAAGTATTGCTTCCACTCTGGCCCAGGGTGACCTCTGAATCGAGTGTCGTTTTTCATCATGGATCGATATTCGTATTCAATGATCTCGTTGGCCGGCGCTGAAACATTGTCAAAACTTTGAAATTGGCTTGAATTTGAGAAGAGGATCTTACAGTATGGTTCCTCGACCTCCCCATGATATCTATCACTGTGTGTATTCAATCGCGAGATGGATAGAAGGATTGCGCTTAAAAGTAAACAAATCGGTAAAAGAACCGCATTCGAAATGACCGAGATAACCAGTACTCTATTCCGCGTCTTGTATGAACATGGCACATGGGAGCCTCTGACGCTCTCATCTTCGTTTGTTCTATCTAGAAACGGCTTCTGTTCTTCGGTCAACATGATGCTGTCTTTAGTACAATTGAACCGTTCTCGACAACAAGGCGGATATTTTCCTGTGACTATAATACGATCCAGCCTTGAACACCGTCAAAACTAAGCCCACAGTGGAATACGAATGACCCCACCACAAGAAAATAGACAGGCCAAGCTGTTGGTCGAATATTATACTATTATTGGATATCTCGGCCGACGGCTGATCTGCGCTAACAGGGATCAGACTATCGAAATCCACACCCACCATTGACCCCGCACGGGGCGCCCAAGCTAGCAGGCTGGATCAAGAAGCACGCGCCAGTTCCACCTGTGGATCCCGAAGAGCGAGGCGACGGGGCTCTGTAAAGCCTTGGTGGCAGACCAGCTGCATCCAGCTGAAAGTCCCTTGCTTTCTGTTGGACAGCAGACGGTAGCCCGTACTTAGTAGCCATCTACCGGCTGTTACGTTGTACAAACACGGATCACGCATGAAGCAATTAGAACGAAAGGAGGGTGTGCTGACTGCGCCCCGACGCAGGGGATGTCACTTCCGTCACGAGCGGCGGCAAGGTCTGTTACTGGAATGGTTAATGATCCCTTTGAACGCCTCGTTTCGCTGGGCCGAGAGGCAAACATCGACGATCTTCCCTGACTCGGGAAGTGCGGCGTCTGCAATGTGATCGGCAATCGTTCGGAAAGGACCCAGTCCCGGCTTATTCATCCTCCATGACGCAGTCGATATCGGTGTTTGTTGCTATCGGATTGCTCTTGCTGAGGGGCATGGGGGTCTGGATGTTCTGAGGTTGCATGATCTTGGTTGGAGAGCATGAGTGACCGGCAAGTGTACCCCGTGAAGCGCCGACGATGTGTGCCTGGTGCTGTTGATGTGCTGGGGTAGTGGGTGGTATTTGAGGTTCAGATTATCCAATCTGACAGTACTGGAAACTGTCGCAGATTGAAGACCGTTTGATCAGACTGTCCTATCTGCGATTCATCCTGCATTTATCCTATCCCATTTATATTCCATCGGAACCTCATTTTGCAACACATCCCACAGCCAGCGCCCAGTTCAACATGAAGTACGCTCTCCTAATCGTGGGATTACTCACTGCTCTGGCAGCTGCTACACCGATGTCTCCAGGTAGGCCAGACAACGCAGGCCCCTCATCGCATCTGCAACCAGCTAACCAAGAATCTCAACAATAGTCGAGCGCCGCGATGGGAGCACCGAATTCGATCCTGACTACGGCTTCAAGAAATAAATTGAGACTGGCTATGGACTGGATAGATTTGTTGTTCTGAGGAGTGATGGAGCAGGACATGGCCGGGGCAGTGTTTTAGGGTTTGGGATGTCACGAGCTTGATTCGTATGGAATGGATGGAATTTGTGGTAGTGTATAGTTACTCATCAGTGAAGCCGATAAGTCGAATAATTTCAATATCTTCATGCCAATTTCCGTGAAATAGATGAATGCCTCTGCATCAGCAAATTACATCGAATCCTTGTATCGACCAAGGCTCCAAAATTCTGTTCTGAGCATTCATCTATACCGCATTGAAATGTCATGGCTTCATTGCCTTACGATCGGGAAGTCCCTTACAAGCAATCAATAATTCGATAAAGCCCACCTGAACATGGCTCTCCAATCGCATGAAATCTTTGGAGACTGAACCAGCCCCGGCTTCCCCCAGGAATAACCGCAGACAAGTGAACGCCGATCTTGTCATTTACAGATAACGAGCCAGATGATCAGAGCCCCTCGTGTCTGACATACTTACGAGTCATGCAGTCAGCATCCAGCCAGGCTGAATAGCCCACTCCGTCTTCTTCCGGTAAACAAAGAAACACGATCCTTAGCGCGGGGCCTCAGCCCATCGGTCTTCCGAGACTCCCGCGAACAACTCATAAAGCCTACCTCTATTCTCGAGCACGTAAGAGGGAGATGTAGCATACAGATTGTTTGCAAATACTCCACATGTCTACTCCTATCAGAATCGCCATCCTAGGCGGTGGCCTAGCGGGCGCATCGCTCCTGCACGCTCTCCGTCCGCACGAGCACCTCGACGCGCACATCTTCGAATCCGCCCCGGCATTTAAAGAAGCCGGAATGGCTATCGGCGTCGCCAGTAACGCTCTCGAAGCACTAGACCTGATCGGCCCGTCTATCGGGCAATGTCTCCAGCGCGCCGGGGCCGTTCCCATGCGCGGAGTGCGGTTCATGCTCGCGCAGGGCCCTAGCGCGGGGGAGATGTTCGCCGAAGTCGACGAGACAGATGGTCGACAAAGAGTGACTAGCATTGTGCACCGCGCGGCATTTCTGCATGAATTGTTGGCGGACGTGAGTCCGGAGCGCATGCATGCTTCTAAGCAGCTGGAGCGGTTTGATACGAACTCCGATGGCTCGCTGACGCTGCGGTTTGCGGACGGGTCGACGCATAACTGCGATATTCTAATCGGGGCTGATGGGATCAGGAGTACTGTGCGGAAGATTCTTCTGGGTGAAGATGATCCTGCTGCGTCGCCTCGTAATACTGGCGCTTGGTGCATCATGGCCCTCAAGCCGTATGCCCTCGCACAGGCGAGCCTTGGTTCGGGGCCTGTCGATTTCGAGAATGCGCGCGAGTATATGTGGATAGGCAACGGGGCGTGGATCATGCATAATTTGCTGAATGATGGACAGCTGGTGCAGTTTGTCGTTGCGGCGCATGAGAAGGACACGGAGGGGTCGGGTCGTCGGCATCGAACTGTCGGCGCAGATGAGATTAAGAAGCTATTCGAGGGTTTCCCGCCGCATTTAGTCAAGGCGGTTAATGAGGTATGACTATCATCCTTTCCCTCGATTTCTCGGTGAGTGTGGCATGTGGAAGTTAACGTAACCCTAGTTGCTTTGCGACCAACCCGAGCAACCAGCCATGTATCTCTGGGATCATCCGCCTGCGCGCACGTACGTCTCTGACTCCGGCTCCATCTGTATCATGGGTGACGCTGCGCACGCCACGACCCCCTGGCAAGCCTCTGGCGGTGGTATGTCCATCGAAGACACCCTGATCCTATCTGCTCTATTAGGCCGCGCGAAATCTGTTTCCGACGCGCGCACGGCGTTAGGAGTCTACGATAAGGTGCGGCGTCCGCGCACGCAGCGAATCGTCGAGTCGAGTCGAGGTACGGGGCAGATTGCTTTAGGATTGAATGAAGAGTTTGGTCTGGATTATGAGAAGATGAAGGCAAATATGTTGCCGAGATGGGGCTTTATTGTGGGCTTTGACAATGAGAAGCATCGCGATGAGGCATTGGAGTTGTTAGCAAGGGAGTTGGAAGCACAGACAGAGCATTGAGATGGAGTCGAAGATGTAGCGCGTACTGACGCCAAGCGAGCATTAACGTAACCCTCGACCATAAGAACAAGCCTTCCAGGACGAGGTCCATTTCTTTCTCAATTCGAAACCAGGTAGGAACTCGTTCAGAAAGGACACTACAATAACTTTGTTAAAAACGCCGTAAAACACTGAAAAGAAATCAACAATAAGTTTGATAGTATTCACGAACGAATAGTCCTGTACCATTAAATGTGTATACTTAATTGCATACTTGCAATAGGCTTGCCCTCTTACTGAATTAATATTTTCGTTGTTATTGCTTTTCTTCGCTGCTTTAGGAAAGACGTCTTATGAATTATAGCCCCCCAATTATACGTGAGTTTCCAATGGCCATCTTCAAAGAAGCTCAGCTTTAGAGACTTAGGGATCATGGGTGGGATCAAACTGCCATATATTATTAAGTCTCAAATCAAGTACTCCGCAAAGTGCAATACATCCTTCCTTGCATTGGAGTGGAATGCCCCTGCCGCCTTAACTCCCTTGTCTAAATTGCCACCTCCGATTTATCCCATTCTAGTTGATGCATCATGTACGACGATTTCGATATCCAAAATCGCACACAAGAAACCCCCCTTGCATTGCGGTGTAGGGGCCTTGGCCAGCGCGGTGAATCTCTATAATTCTTGATATCTTCGGCGGGGTCCGTTGAACACGATCGATCATGATTTGGAAGCTTCCTCAATGCTAAATCAGTAAGGGCTTATATTGCGACATTGACCGAGGAATTCCGTTGACCTGTATTATCCAGTAGTATAGAAGGCGGTATGCCCCACTGTCACCCTAGCTCCGATCAATCATGCAATAATTCATGCATTAGAATATGACTGATAGACCCCTAGGTAATGGAGCCCGCGGAAAATGTTCCAGCACTTTGCAAGTGGTAGTCACCTAATACAAGGCGAGGGAAAAAATGCCACTTGTCCCAGCCATCAGGGAGAAGACTAAAATGATGTAATCTACATCGAGGAAACGAGATGACTCCATATCTGATGAGCTCGGCCAAGCCAATTGACAACGACTAGGAAAGGACATTTGGTCACCTCGATCCTCACAAATCACCAAATGGCCGGTGACAATGCCTCACAACTGACCGATATAACCCCAACGGAGAGTGCGACAAAGCAGCTTGAGTCAAGCCCGGTGAGGAATGCCGCGCCCGAGGACCAGACCGCAGAGGCAAGCTATAGCGCATTGCCGTACAGACAGAAGCTCATCGCGATTGCAATTGCCTCTCTAGCTACCTTTGTTTCTCCCATGTCTGCCAGCATCTACTATCCCGGAATAGAAGCCGTGGCGAGCGACCTCCGTGTTTCCACAAATATGATCAATCTGACGATGACCTCCTTCAAGGTATCATCCCAAGACCTGTGCCTGAAGTCTCTCTCTAATCAGAGAAATAAAGATCTGCCAAGGTATCGCCCCGCTTGTAACGGGCGGGCTGTCCGACCAAAAAGGCCGACGCTGGACTCTTATTGTCAGCTTATTCCTTTATATTGACACCAATGTTGCCATCGCCTTGCAACCCACCTTTGCCGGGTTGCTTGTCCTCCGATCGTTTCAAAGTATCTTCAGTAGCAGCATCGCCATCGTGGGGTCAGCAATCACAGCCGATGTGGCCTCCGGCGCTGAACGGGGGAAATATATGGCCTACACTATACTCGGAGCAACAGTTGGACCGGCACTCGGTCCCGCTGTCGGGGGAGTCCTGATCCAGTTCTTCGGTTGGCGCAGCACCCTTTGGGCTCTTGCAATATTCGCCTTCACGATACTCACTGCTGTGCTTATCTTGTTGCCAGAGACCTGTCGGGCCGTAGTTGGGAATGGGAGCATACTTCCTCCCAAATGGAACCGACCCGTCTCCCAACTCGTATCTCGAGCTTCTCGTCCAGCCTCGCCTCAATATGACACTTTAACCAGCTTCAAAGCAAAACCGGGCCCTTGGAACACCCTAAAGCTCATGCGGCAAAAGGAGACTGCCGCTACCATATGCTTCAGCGCTATTATGTATTCTGGGTACATCTCCATCACCACAACACTGCCATTTGAGTTGGGGAGGCACTACCGCTATAATAATTTGCAGATCGGGCTGTGCTATTTGGCATATGGCGGAGGCAGCTTTGCCGCGCGTTGGACGGCCGGGCCATTGACCGATTGGAACTTTCGACGTCTCGCACGTCGGCTCGGTTTTGGCATCTTTGCGAGTGGCCTGAAGAAATACGACCTGGTGGACTTTCCGCTGGAGAAAGCCAGACTCCAGGTTGCGTTCCCTTTTGCGTACATGGCTTCGATTTTCGTCGTTGCTTACGGCTGGGTGTTGGAGTACGAAGTGACCGTTGCGGCCTCGTTAGTTATGCTGTTCTGCATCGCCCATGCTCTGGCTGGAATTACCAGCACACTGACCACGTTGATCGTTGACTTCCATCCCGGCCAGCCAGCGTCTGCATCGGCGGCAGCAAACTTCTTTCGGTGTATGTTAGGCGCTGGGACAAGTGCCGCTGGGATGCCGCTGATCAACCGCACGGGGGTTGGATGGGCCGGCAACATACTTGCATTTATATTTGCTGGATCGAGTCCGCTGCTGTGGACGGTGTATATTTTCGGGAACAAGTGGCGCAGGCAACGCCACAGCACAGAATAGTGTTTCTAAGTGAGATATGGCTGAACCTTTATTCAGAATGAATTCAATTATGTTTAAGCTGAACAACAGCCCGCGAATAAAAATATGGAGACGGCACATGAAGGCAGAACCTGTAGCGACAGTGAAATATTGCAGATCTATCCTGCTTTATACTATACAATACTACTATGAAAGAAAGACCATGACTATTTCCTGTGTAACGGAGTAAACTTAGCTAACGATATACCACAGTAAGCGCGTTCTTAGAACACTCTACGCTCTCAGCAGACTTCATTCACCTCCACAGCAGTTGAGCTCTTTCCATGATTCGTACCTCCGACGGCGCGTACGGCGACGTACAACGGCGTTCCATCAATGATAGCGGCGGTTTCGAATCCAGTCTTCTTAACATGGGTCCTATATTGCAGGCCATCCTCAACATCTCCTGTCCAGACCTCCCATTCCTCAATGTCCGTGGCCCCATTCCAGCTAACGTACAGACGCGTCCGATCTAGCGACCATCGACAGGCCACCGCCTGGGGACTGGTACGCGGTGTTCCTACCCACGCTGATCGCATAGCAGCGTAGTTTCCGTCTGTAGGTGAGAAGCCAAACCGAGCATCTAAAACAAGGTTGCCCTTTTCATCGTACTCCTCAAGTTTGGCAACGATACCATGGCCGACGAGAACATGGTTGTCCGGAAGCATTTGACAGTTTCCTCGAGCGGTGGAATACACTGGGTCATTTGGATTGTATAACCTGCGATTCAGCGTCACCTGCATGGATGTAACATCTACATCAAGAAGGAGTCCGTTGCTGGGAAAGATGCTCGTTTTGTTGCAGGTTACGCCATTGTTATGCATGGAAATGCTGAGAATCTCATGGTCTCCTATGAAGCGATGCTCGTACACCCGAACGTTATGTTGTGAAATGAAATTCGTTCGAGGCCCGAGTGTAAAGTCTCCTCCTGTCAGCCCCTGATGTTGTGTGAGTGTGATCAGCTAAAGGGCGTCCCGGGGGAAGGATCACAGGCGGAAACTCACGTTCAATCTCCACCGAACTGAACCATCCGATTGAACGAGGAATATGGTGTTCATGCATTTGAAGGACACCAGGTAGTCATCTCCCAATGGGAATATTGAGTTGATATGCATATAATCCCATGGCGTTCCCTGGGTACGGCCGTCTCGATTCCCAGCCAGCAAACGGGACGAATCACGAGGATCAATCATGTCTGTATGCTCCGCACCGCTCCATCGAAAAAGGATCTCGTTTGTTTTGACATCTATCTCATAGAACAGGCTGTCCTGTATCCAACCATCTGCCGGCCCACCGAATGGCCGCAAATCTCTCCGAGTCGCATTGATTGCCGTCACCAGGATCGTCCCTTTCTCCGTAATGAAAGCCTCGTGTTTACCGATATACGACGGAAACTCTGCTAATAGCGGCGAGACCCATGTTTCATTCCCGGCCAGAGTGATCTTGTATATCTCATCGTAGGACGCGTTGAGGAGGTGGATTGATCCAAAGCCCCAGCCTCCCTCGCCTGTGGCTCCGTTCCAGTATGACAGAACCTGCTGACCATGTAGCGTCTGAGGGAAGAAATTGGTGATGTTGCCCGGGGGCCCTTCCCAGATGAGGGTGTGATCATCAAAGATGAAACTGCTTTCGGCGTGCGTGGTGCTGTTTTCCGGAGTAAGAAACAGATAGCCTGATGATGTCTGGCCTGATTTCGTCATGTTCATGACTGGCGGTCTCGCACTCGAGGATTTGTATATCTGGGCAGGCCATGCTTCCTCCGCGTCAGATGCAGAAGCAACTGTAGTAGCCCAAAAGAGAAGAAGACTTGCAATGTGCAGTGCTGCCTGCATTTTGAAAGTCGGCATGGAATATCGAGCTCGACAGAGCCGTATATATGACGAGGATAAATGGATCGGATATATATACGCGCGATTCCTCGGCCATAATGGGAGAATGGGTGTCTGCAGCTTGTCCAAATGACAATAGCGCGAGAGGTGGCTCCAGAAACCAGAGGTTTCCAGGCGAATTGACCCCTGGGATTCATTGACATGCGGACAACCCCGACCGGATATTATTTGCAGTATCCACACCTTGCTTCGCGGCTTGCATGGAGCTTTGAGATGGGCATCAGCTCCTATCAAGGATATCACGCAAGGGGGTTTTGTATTTGCTAAATTATGAGGATCTGAATGATGTAGTGGGTAACATCCGACTACCGTCATGCAATACATGCTGGGTCGGTGGTGGAGTCTCCAATATCCCATCCGCCCCTTGCATCAGACCGTCAAGGGCTCTCAGAGACAAGTCCCAACAACATTTCCAAGCGGTGTAGCCGAACAGAGAAACATACGGTTATATACATCCGCCTGTAAGCTGTCACTGCGACAATTCTGACTACATCCAGCACCAGGTTCTCGTTCTGGTCATCAATCAATCAAAATTCTATTAACCCGATAAAGCCTATCCATTGTAGCAACAGGCTATGTGGGCACTTCTCCGGCAAAGCAGAATCTTGTAGACGTACGCCTATGATCGCAGTACGCAATCAAAAAGCAAAACACAACTAAAACAAGCAAAAAGTAGCTGCCACACTCCTGCCGCGTGTCTACCGCGCCCTCGAGGCGCCTCCTACCCCTTCTGCGTTCCCCTTATCTAAGTATTCCATAAAGTCCTTTCTCAAGAGGTGTTACGGCGGCGCTGGAGTGCCCAGGATGCTGGCCAGCACTGAGTATGTCTCCATCTACTACCGCTACCATGGGGCTCGAATCGGGCATAACTGTGCGCTATACGCTAACTGAACTCCCGACCTGATATTAACCGAGCCCGATTCAGTAACTAGATGGGACAGAGGAGCCATTGACAATACATCTGCCGTCTGCCACATACATTCGCGAGGTGAAGTTGAACTGAGGGAACTCGATATCGGATCGGGAAGCGTCCTGCGGCCATGGTCCGGTGCCACGTAGCACTTGGAGATTGAATCGGCGCCGGGTGGAGGTGGTACTTCACAGGCACCGATGTACTCAAAATACTCGATGTCACATCCTGCGAAAGAAGGATACAACCTGCTTTTGTGATGGGTGCCTAAACGGAAATAGACTGTAGCATTCATCTGATATGCGAAATGCCTGCACATCTATCCACTCGCTCAAGGATTTATTCAGTCCTCGGTATCCCCCAAGTAAATCAAGAGTGTTACAAGACTATCAGCAAACCGCGCTCTCGTCCACAAGACCAGCAACAGAATCAAGACATCTAAACTATCCTTGATCGGTCTAGATTAGCCAATGTCGCGCAGTCGCTACGGAGTACATTTCCACAAGCTCCCTTCAAAGCTAATAAGCCTTGCTTTTATTGTTCAATAATACACTATCAATAATACTAAAGAATGTTAAACCCCTATATCAAAAGGAGCGACATCCAAATAAACAACCGGTCACCGAAAAAGCAGCCTAGCTAACAGTTCCACAGCCCAACCACTCTCAGTATCCAAACACCTCGGCGTAAAGACGAAGCGCTTAGCACTCAGGGAGAGTCTCGGTGTAGACGCAGGACTCGCTGGGGCCGCTGCCGATCTCCTCGGGCTCGTCGCCGTTCTCGTTGCCCTCGTAGGAGGTGCAGATCTCCTTGACGTCGGTGGCGCAGGTGTCGGTGATGGTGGCCTTGTCGCCGAAGTTCTCGTTGACACCGGCCAGAAGCTTGCCGGAGATGGCCTTGACGTTGGAGATGGTCACGGAGCGCTCGGCCATGGACTTGCAGTTGCCGCAGGAGCGGAAGAGCTTGCCGAAGTCGTAGACGGTGAAGCCGTCAATGGAGACCTCACCCTCGGCGTTGTGCTATTGTTGGAGGGATTAGTGGTGTTGAGATCTGGGGGAATTGATGAGGAACGGCTGCTTACCTGGATGACCTTGTCCTCGGCACCCTGGGCACCACCGCCGATGATCTTGTAAGGGCCGGAACCCTTCTTCAGGGAGAGAGCGTCTATTGTGCAGCGAGGTTAGTAACGAGCTCGGGAGTTTTGTAAATAGGAGTTGACCATACCCTCGCAGACAGCCTCCCACCAGACGTTCTCGATGGTGCAAGCACCCTGGCAGTGGACACCCTCGATCTGGTCGGCACCGATAATGGCGTTCTTGAGGGTACCGCCCTCAAGGATGGAGAAGACAGCATCGCTGTCATCACCCTCGTCCTGGCCGGTACATTCGACACCACGGCCGAAGGTCTTCATGCCTCCATCGTAGACCTCACCCTCGCCGATCTCGTAGGTCTCTTCGAAGGTCTCGGTTCCCTTGGACTCGGGCAGAGGGAAGGTGTAGCGCTTGTTGAGGGCACCGAGGGCCGTGGAGGCCAGGAGAGAGAGGAGGACAGCCTTCTGGACCATTGTTGCGGTATTGGATGGGTTGATGGGGGTTGAGTTCAATAAATATGGTTTCCAGAACCGTAAAAAGAAAGCTTCACTCGCAGAGTGTAGTGACAAAGAAGAAAGATTGTGTGGTAGATGATTTTCTCTCGATTCCCTCGGGATCACCAGCCATCTTTATAGGGACTGCTGACCACCATCGACGAGACCTTCTCACCGACTCTGTCGGGTGTTCCTCCGTACCCTCTGGCGGAAATCCAATTGAGGCTCTTGGCATGTTTCAATATGTCTCTCCGGGCCTTACCCGACGCGGTAACCCTGACATTAACGTGAAACGGCCAGAAGACTTCAATCTCCCGAAATTGACCCAAGGCTTCCGAATCGGGGATTTCGCGGGGTTGATCAGTGGTGCTGGATGGACGAGACCGAGCGCTAGCCTCCAAGCCAATATAATAAGCTATGTGCCGGGTCCATACCTCCGTAACTATTACGGTGTTAGGAAATTCTCCTGTGTCGTTAGGCCCCATCGTCCGCGGTCCACATTTTCTGCTTTTTTTTCCATGGCGTTCTTGGCATCGTTAGGGCTTGCTTCTCTTCACGTAGAGTCCGCCGCGATAAATGGAGATAGGATCGTCGCCGAAAGTCGAGAGCCGGCATCCTGATTGATGGCCTTGATGGGTTTCTGGTTCCGTGATAATCTCGCCTTGACCAAGTATGCGATGTGCATCTGCCAGTTGAAGGGTTTGCCGCCGCGCCCCTGCACAAGTGCCTTGTTAGCGTGGGAATCGTGGCGCAGCACACTCGTCCGACAATGCCAAGATCGAAGATCTATGGAAACCTTCCGGTCCAGGCCGGCACTCTACCATTCTCACCGGTTTGTTGCGCTCGAGATGCCGTTCTCTTGTCGATTATAAACATCACGGTGCTGTATGAGTCAATTAGCCAACAAAAATACTATTATCTCTCAGATAGCATATTCCACTCATCTCACCCCTTGAATTTTTCACTTTTTTTTTTGTTCTCAAAATGTCTCTGCGAGACTCAATATAACTCCATCGTACGATTGGAGGATATCGAACTGCTGACCCATAATGATCGACGCGTCCCTTCGGTTAGGCCTGTGTCCGGATTCCGGCTTCGAGCAGGTGTTGCACCGAGCAGTTCCAGTGGACAAGTTATGGCCGTTGGAACCCACTCGTGCCACACAAAAGGTTAGTGGCTGGATAATTCGCCGACCAGTGCTTACTGCAATCAGACCAGGAAGAAATGCGAGGAGTGATTCAGGATCAGGCGAACTAACTCCGAATGCGAAGTAATTTGGACCAAGGAGTGCCAAGTACCGCGTCGACGTTTCAATATCATTGTGAACAAACTTGTGGATGCATACTCTGTCATATCTGAGGGACCTCGTCGAAGGGAAAGTGCGAGCGAGGCTCGAATGTTCAACATTCCCCTGTGGCGCTTGATCCCTCCCAAGCCTTTGGCGCAGTCGAAGGCGGTTAACCCAATCATGTTGCCACAGAGGTAGCCCGTTGCCTTGTTCTGTTCGGTTCTAGCACAAGATCCACTTCATCCAGTGCAATATTTTTGCAAGGCCTGATAGCGCTACACTGATAGCTCGCTACACTGGCTTTTTCAGCTTTTCCTAAAATCCATTTCCGGTAATGTCGTTTATCTCGAGTTTGGACAAAGAGTTACCCGGCTATGTCCGAAACCAAGGTGCGGAAAACGCAGAGCCCCTGAGGTCTTGGGATGTCAAGTTAGAGCATGACAGGTCGATGACATCTGTTTGGTCAGGTGTCAGTTCGATATGGAATGTGTCTCGACACGATGGAATCTGAATACGTGCAGCCAAGAACGCCTTCTTTGCCATTGGGTGGATAGCTCTCTTCCTTTCCGGTCTAAGTCTTAAAATATAACGCATGCAAAGTACTGTCGTAACCGTTGTTCTCGACTCGAATCTGCTCCACTGTCTTTAAGACATCCGTGTACCGGCCGATGCTTCCTACGGCAATGCCCAGACCACAGTAGGTGGTGGAGTTTGTGATCAGGATATTGTGGATTTTGCTTTCACGCTAATGCTGTCGCTGCCGTTATCCACAACCAGGTTACTGAATGTGATGTATGAGCTGTAGATACTGTCCGCCCCATCCATATTTCTTGTGGTATGGCATGGTCAGGGGCATGCTCTTTTTGTCCACGTTCTTCGTTTACCCGCGCCGCCCATTTTCGTTAGCTGATGTACTCTTCACATTGATCCAGTCACACAGACTGTTATTGAGAATTGACAGCATCCTAAGGAGCGTGACTTTCTGTCAACAAATATCCACGCTACTCACCACGTCTGACTCTGTAGAAGTCTTGTTCCCTTGAAGACAGAGGTTGTGTTATTCGCTATGGTGAGAGCATGAAGCCAACTTGGCGAGTTCGACTCCCGGTGGTAAAGTCGTGCCAGGGCTGACTTCAGATGAACGGTGTCTTTACAGAATCGGATAACAATTACTTGAACCTTCTCATCGAACGACCTATCCCAGTCAAATTTCATATAGTTGCCGCCTATCACCCAAGCCGTGGACATGTTCTGATATCCGATAGAGCTTCTGCGCCAGTGAGGAATGTCTGTTCCCCACCGTCTTTCGTCAGAAGACTTTCCATAAGGATTAATTTATTCCCGTTGTTCTCAGCATCGTCTTCTCGTTGCAGGTGGCGTTCTGGGAATTTATCTTCCCGCATTCTCGAAAGGCTTGTCCAATTGCTCAGCATCATTAATTGATTCAGGTCCTCCGGCAGGGATCGCCTATCCTATGCAGATTCCGTCAGACTGTACTCAATTCCCTCAAAGGTAGACTTCAATAAGATTTCACCGAGATCGCATTTCCCGAGTTTGTCCTCGTAATGGCCTTCGTTCTTTCCGTTGTCTGCAGCATGATCGGCACGCGTAGAACTGGGTGACCCCACATTCATGGCAGAAGTCCTGGTTCGGTGATTTTATTTCCGTCTATCAGATATTTAGGAGGCAATCATAGCTATTTCATGGGATGAGATTGCATGATTTTGGACAAACCGATCATCGTTTACTCGATCAGTTCCTGGAGTCCGGTCCTTGCGTGTGTCGATAGTTTTTCAACTGGTTTATTATCTGTATTATAATACCATGGTATTAGGTTCGTTTTTATTCCTCGACTCCCAGTCAAGAATGATTTCCCTTGCTTAAGGAGTCTGTCAATTGACGGTGATTGTCAGTGCCGACATGTCATGCAGCGCCATACCGTAATAATATATATTGCGCATCCGTGAGGTTCATCATTGAACCACCACAAGGGAAGATATGGTAGTCTCGAGTCGTAACTGTCATTATGACAGTTCTTGCTCTAGGAATAAAAAGCGTTCAATTGAATCAAATACATTGTAGATGACATCCATCCGATTCTTGATGAATGGACGAAGATGAAGAGATCCGGAGACGCCAAGAAGCAACAACCCGGGAACGCGCTAAACCCGATACAGGGGCTTGGCAATGTTGACAAACACAACAAACACAACAAACAACCCCGCGTGTCCAAAACATGGCGGCGCGTCTGCTGCCTCTCTATTTCTTTAGCCTCTGCTAGAAAGTTCAAGTGAAGTCAATATTTGGCTCTCCAAGAAGAGAAGGGCTCGTGGTTGATTTGCATAATTGCTGTCTCGCACATAACTAGCCTCTTTTCTCGTGATGATCAAGGATTAGCGGTGCGAATTACATATGTCGAATGTCAAATTCCATGGAATTTGGAATGCTTTCATGAGGGAAAAGCCCCAGGTATGGAATCCGAATTCATCAGGTACACCTATGTACGATGATTGGTCTTCGCTGTGGGCCTTTATTCCATGTTGCTTGCCCTCGAAGAAGTTGGGTTGGACCGTGCATTGTATAACAGTTGTCAAGACATCAACTATTGAAATTGGAATTCCCGAAATACAACAGGTGGCTTGGAAGTTTGAAATTGCCAACGTCCCCTATTCTGGATAAGACCAGATCTACCTGACCTCGATCGTCCCTGATCTCCAAGGCTGCCGCTCATCAACCATCTTCCAGAACCTACTTGTTGCGCAACTGGGCACATTCCAAGCCTCCTGAAAAAATGACAGACCCTACTCACCAGAGGGTTTCCCATTTCTTAGCCCTGCCGACAGAACTGATTTTCGAGGTTGCAGAGTATCTATCAATCGCCAACTTGAACGCGCTGGTTCAAGCATGTCGCCAAACATGTGCCATATTGACAGGGTCACTGTATATGAAAGGGTCAGACCACCCGCATGGCGACCAGCCTTCCACACTTCTCTGGGCAGCGAAGTCGGGAAACCTCGGGACTCTCCGGAATGTGATAAAGTACTGTATTGGGGAATCTCTGACCGGTGACACCGGGAACAAGGCTTTACTACTGGCGATTGAAAATGAAAACGTGGAGACTTTTTACACTTTGATTTATCATGGCGTGAGCCCCGACATCAGTTTGCCGCCGCAGCGGGACGGCGAAAAGGGCTTTTCAGGGCTCGCCAAGATACTACTCGATGGCGGGACCGACATTTCGAAGGTAAACCGGCACCTGAAAAAACTCCGAGCAGACCCCGACATGGTCGAAGTGTTGTTCCACGAAAGCGATGAAATGGCATCGCCAAAAGACTGGACGGAGCTGGTGCCCAATGCGCTTTTGTCCCTGGAGAATGACCTTGTGAAGAAATCGCTGTACCGGCATATTGGGCGCGGAGACTGTGGACATGGTTCTACGAAGTTGCACCTGATGACCGGAATGAAAATGCTTAAGTCTATTCGGCGGTTGCTCTCCCGGGGTGCGGACGCAACGGCCCGCGACGGCTATGCACGCACCCCGATGCATCTCCTGGCGTATGATTACGACGCAGAGATATACGAAGCCCTGGCCGAACACGGGGCGGACATAAATGCGACTGATAATAAGGGTGAGAGCCCGTTGTTCAGAGCGATGAGCAAGTATGGGTGTTCCGATATGGCTCTCCGGCTGATCACAAACGGCGCCCATGATGTAGCCGCGCGTGGAGGGGATCTCTTAATAGAAGCCATGGAAGGGAAAAAGGGCGAAGAGATAGTGCAGGCTCTATTGGATGCCGGCGTTGTTAACATGGCCGCGCATCAAACGCCAAAGTTGCTTTTTTACGCTGCAAGGGAAAATTATCCGGACATTGTGCAACAGCTGCTGGACCATGGAGTTGATCCAACGACGCTGGCAAGGCAAAGGAGCGATACGAGCGATGCTATAACACCACTAATGGCTGCGAGTTCAGTCAAACACGAGAGAATATTTCACATGCTGCTGGCTCGCACAAATGACTTTGAGGTCCAGAGCACATATGGCCGTACAGCGTTATCCTTCGCTCTTGAAAACGGGAGCAAAGAGATGATTCGCCTGCTGCTGGACCGGACCTCGAATATAGACACGCAAGATAACGATGGCAACACACCGTTAATATATGCCGCCCAATACCAGTCGATTGAGGTGGTGTCATGGCTTCTGGAGCGCTGCCAGAGCATTAACCTCTCAAACTGTGATAATAAAACCGCTCTTTATTACGCTGTGCAGCGCAATGAACATCAGATGGTACAGCTTCTCCTTGAAGCAGGGGCTGGAACGGAAAGCTATGTTTGCGCTAATCGGTCGCTCCTAATGATTGCCGCAGAGCAGGGACACGTCGATACCGTTAGGACACTGTTAGAGTGGCCTGAGATCAGGACAGCAAGATCTATCCAGGAATCGCTATCTATGGCTGTGTCTAATGAACATGTTCCCGTGGTTGAGTTTCTTTTGCAACAAGGAGCTGACCTTGACGAGATCAAATCGTCGCCCAATAAAACGCATCTGATGGTGGCTTTCTACAAAGGAAACGAGGCGTTGGCTCATGTGCTTCTTAAGTACAGATACTTCAATAACATGGGCCCTGCTTTGATACCAGCGGTTCGAAAAGGATGGGAGAGTATCGTGATTCAGCTTCTGGCTAAGGATGCTTTTCTAGACGTGGATTCTAGGGACCAGAGCACACGAACAGCACTATTATGGGCCGCCACTGGAGGGAGCCAGGCCATCGTGCTGGAATTACTTGCTAGGGGCGCCCATCCCTTCATCGCTGACGACAGAGACTGGATAGCATTGGATTATGCTGCCGAAGCTGGTCATGACGATATCGTTCGTATCCTCGTTGAATGGGGGGAACGATGGACAGACTCTCTCCCGGAAGCGTATTTTGAGATGCCTCTTATACAAGCCGCGAAAAAAGGCCATGCGGGAATTGTCGATTATTTTCTGTTCAAGTATGCCGATGTGGATTATCAGGTCTGGTTTCGAACTGCTCTTTCATATGCGGCTGAGAAGGGACATAGAGAAACCGCAGAAGTTCTCCTACGCCATGGAGCCGACGTGGATTCAAGAGATTCGACTTGTCGTACACCCTTGTCCTGGGCTGCCGAAGCTGGTCACTCTGGTGTCGCCGAGGTATTGATTCGAGCAGGAGCGGACATAGTCTGTTCAGATGCCACTGGTAGAACTCCGCTCTCTTGGGCGCTAGCTGACGGGCACGATTCAGTGGTAAAGGTGCTTTATGAAAAATTGATCACGTAGTGGCGTGGAATGAGCGGTCGGGCAGACTTCGGGAAGATGTGAGTGAACGAGGAATATTAGCAAAATTAACCCTCAAGAATGGCGAGAACTCGTGTCGATAGAATTTCAGCAGTCAGTCGAAATAAAATCAGAATTGCGAGAGAGGATTGATGGAACGGATGGGTGAGAGGAGTGGGAAGGAGGACACGAAGCGAGAAAGAAAGAACAGCAAGAAGTAGAACAGGTCAGATGACCCCCTGAACACCGCAGACAGCGAGGATTTCATGACAACAGGACAGACAGCCGAGTGATTAATATCAAAAGAAAGTTAGCATTAATTAGCCTATTGGAAAATAAATAACCGTTAAACGTAACCTAATCCTACTCTCGAACCATCTCGGGCCTCGTACAATGTCCTCTGTCAACCCAGTATCGCTCATCTACCATGAATCCCTGACATCAGTACCACCGCGATAGCCATCCCCGTCTCGAAGAAACCCGCTCATACTCCTCCACTGCTGGCGTGGGCGGCTTCATAACGTCCTCCGCCTCCATCGATCTCATCGAGTACCTTGCCGTCGGAATGAGCGGCGTTCTCTCCTCCGCCTTGGTCCGAATATAATAGTGCTCGTCTTCCGGCTCCATGCCCACGAACCATTTCTCCTTGAGATGCTCGCCGTAAGGCCCGGCACCACAGGCTCCGTCAAGCTTTGACGTGGCGGGACTGTTCATCGCAAGCGTGAATAGATTCTGCGGGTCCGTGAAATCTGTCAATTGCCGCCCTTTAATGAGAACCATGTAGACGAGACAGAAGGCGCTGGTGATAAACGCCAGCCCCAGGATCACGAAGAAGACGTAGTGCCATTTCTCTGTCCCGCTTGACTGATACCCCACGACGCTTACGGTGGCGCGGAAATACTGCGGCTCCGGACTGGGGACGGTTGCGTTTTTCGGCTCCTTGCTGATGTCGGTGTAGTTCCAGAAATGGACGAAAGGAGCATTGGAGGAGCTGAGGATGAGGGTGTTCCCCGCCATCACGGCCAGTGCTTCTGCGACGGAGGGGACCTTTGGGCTGAGTGTGTCGTTCTTGGGGGTCAATTGCATGAGGACCCGGGAGTTGCTGGCACGGCCGTTGGTGATGCCAGTGTTGAGACTCAAGGCGAGGGCCCAGGAATGGGCAATATTTTTCCAATCTGCATCCCAGGCGCCATCGGGCGCGTCAGGATATTCCTCGTCGTAGCGCCATTTGTCGTTGAGGCTGTCGCACTTCGTGCTGAATGCGGCGCCGCGGATTGAGGCGGAGTAGCGTGTCGAGCAGCGAGGGCTGAGTTTGGCTTTCATGGAGCAAAGCACATACTCCGGTGTTCGGTTGGTCGGGGCGTGGCCGAGGAGATAGAGAGAGTCGCCGAAGTAAACGGATCCGTTGACGATGGTGTTGTATGCCTCGGGGAATTTACCGAAAATAGGTGGGCGCGCGTTGTATTCCTTCCCCCACCGGAATAGATCATCGACCACGGTGCGATTAAGCCACGATGGGTAGACGGGAACATCGCTGTGCTGATCTAAGGTCCAGTTGTCAGGGTTGAAGCGCGCGTGTGGCCATTCTTCGTAGATCAGAGGGCTTAGCTCTTTTGCCGACATGCCTGCGCAAAGCACGTTTACTGCAGGAGATGGCAATCGGGCTTTGACGTCGAAATTACCCTCGGAGGAGATCCTAGGCCGGTGGAAGCCGTTTTGGGGGTTATTTATGGCGTTGACTACGCCGCCATGAGGCATGGCTGCCGTCACGTTGATGACCATGCGACCGTAGCGTTTCGACAACTCGGTGATGTCGGTCTGGTCGATCCAAGCCCCAGTCACTGTGGTGTTATCGAACATCGTCCCTACCGGGGGTGGTCGCTTGTCCTGGACTAGTGCTGTGGAGTTATTCTGAGAATCTATGGTGCTCCATTTCGAAAGATACGCGTGATAATTGTGGTATGCCTGGCTGACATGTTGTAGCTCTAGACACGTATTTCCTCGATCCAGCTCTGTTTCCGATGGGTCGATATCATGTGTAATCACCGTCTCGCAGTGGTTGCGCAAATCGTCGGGCCAGGCAAATTTGGCTGTGATGTTCCCCGTCAGGGTCCTATCCTCGTGTGGTCCTTGGAGAAGCTTTGGTGACACTACAAGGCTTTGTTAGTAAAAGCGCATTTCCCCTTGAAATCAGGAAGGAAAGGGAATTTCACACTCACCGAGAGCCTCGGCAGCAGTGGTGTAGAGCATCGCGACAATGGTGGCCGTTAAAGTAAGCATTCCAAGCACAGTCCACGCTGAGTAACGGAGGGCCTGGGAATGAATGATCATCGACGCCGGCTGCATGATCCACGTCCGCATACTTAAATCCGAGATGCTGATGCCGCTGGATCCCTTTTTAATAGCTCTTCGGCTGAGGAACTGTCCCAGGAACGCAACAAAGACGCTGACATAGGCCAACTCAATCGTCTTGGCAAACATGGCACTGAGTAAACTGGCCGTGGAAGGCCGAAGACCCCCATCCGTACCAATAGAGTTGCCATATCGAGGCCTCAGCCAGGACACAACAAAGTATATTCCCGAAACAATAGTCGAGTAGATGGCCAGCACCAGTACGGTGATGGGAACCCATGAACACCGACGCTGGACCACTCGCTTTTTGCACGAACACTTCGTTGTGTTGAATTCGCTATCGACGAATGATGCTCTGGAGTAATGCGACCGTAGGGTTTGCTGCTCCGAGAAACCCGGGGAGAAGAGATCGCTGGTCGGAGTTGCCTGGTCGGGTCCTCGACTATCTCGATTGGAAACTAGTCGCTGTGTAGAATCGTTGATCCCGAGTCCTGCGTACGCCGTGACATCTTCTTCCTCCTGCGGCGTGTGTGCTCGTTCGTAACGAATGTAGGAGCGGTCAGACGGCGAAATCGGATCAAATGGGTTCCAGGACGTTCCCGGGCGGTCGGAACGGGAATGAGATGAGCGAGAAATTGGAGGGAGAGAAAACTGCTCTGGTTGACCGGACGACATTGTGTTCAGCGAGTGTAGAGATGCGCACCAGCGACCGGGACACCCATTCTCGAAGGAAGCAAAACAAGCGAAGGCCGAAGCTGGAAGCCGCCCGAATATATGAGAATCAAGCCGAACCGGCCATTCTTAGCTCCAGAACCAGCGGCTCTGGAAAGTGGGGAGAGCAGGAAATGGAGCGGCCTTTATGGAGGAACAGAGATTTAAAACCGGCTGGCTGGCTGGGCTGGACTCTCAGCCTCGTGGTCGATAGGCGTTCGTGTCCAACTTCCACCAATAGTGAGGCTTGCGCTCTGTGTGTCCGTGCGCTAAGAATAGATTAATTCCTCTACGCCATTTGCCAAGGTCTCTAGTCTGTGAGACGTTGATTTTGGCTTTGGCGGTCGGGAAGGAGGGCCTGCCGACCGGGTTTCACTGTCGCACCAGGTGTCGATAGAGGATCAGGAAACCAGTGTCTGACGCGCAGCTGAGGCGGGCGACGTGATGTCTACCAATTCGCTGTTTTCTGGAACCCCGTCAGCCGCCATCCCATAAGGCTACCCGTTATAGTGGAGTCTGCTTACCCTGGTTACTCCGTAGTCCGTACGTCGACTCATGGAAGTCTCGGGATCGACGCCATCTCGCCGTCGTTGATGTCAGCGTGCATATCTTGGCATGGATGATCAGGCATACAGCGGACCGAGCCCAGCTATAGATAGTAACACCCGGACGTTGAGTTCGAAATCATTACGCGAGAAGTGGGAGAGAAAGAGAGACTCGGAGGAGAAAAGAAGCGGATCGCCGTGGACCGGGTGGTCACGGGACCAACAACCCTAGGCCTGTTAACATCTATTTCGTCAGGTTAGTGGTCTAACACCTAACACCAGGAACGCCCAAAGACATACGAATTTTTGCAATGTGGATTCATTTTGGACTTGTGGACATACATGCCTTGTTTCTCGAGAGACTTGCAAAGAACCCTTAGCGCTGGTCGCTCCTATCACACAACACACCACGTGACTCACAGCGTGATGGGATTCAAGATTCGAGGTGCCTAACATGGGCCAGATTAGCAAGTCAAAGAGCTTGCCATGGGTTTCAAGAGATCCGTACTCCTAAACGGCAGATTCACCGTTGATAGAGAGGAAGTTTCCCGTTACAGGTGGCTTCTCAAAATCTTCATGGCGTTGATGTATTTCCATTTTATGTTAACCGTACTATGTATTTCTATGATAGATAGGGTCATTATCTAGAACCATCTTCCAAGAGTCCTTTTTTCAGTCGTCTTCTCTAATTGCTACATGTTTATTTCTGCCAGCTCCGATGGGACTAGAAGAGATACCCTGCCGGATGTCCGGCCACCCTATTCGCATTTCCGTAAGATAAACCCAATCCAGCATTTGACGCCTTCCCAATGCCCACGCATCGCTCCAACCATATCTGGATTCTCCGGAATACCTTCTTGTACCTCCAGGAGCTCAAATCCCCATTCTGCGCCGACTGTCTTCACATCGTCGACAGTGTGTATGTGGTCATCACTCCAGAGCTGTTCCCCAGTCTCGGGGTCCAGAAAGTTCCCGTGCGACACGTTGGCGAGATCCGAGTGTGTATTGGTGATAAGTAAATATCCACCTGGAACTAGCATTTCGTCGCACATCTTGAAGAACTTGGATAATTCGATATGCACCAGAACCAGAGTACAAATGATTCCTTGCGCTTGTTCGGCCGCGCGTGGGATTTGAGCACCGTCTTTCAGAGGGTTGTATACCTGGAAGCTGAGGGTCTTGGCTCTGCTTTCAGCTGGCCTAGTTGCTATTAAATCTTCGGACTGCCTTTCTGCGACATCAAGAAGGCTTTTCGTCGCGTCGAGACCCACAATATCGGAGCCAGGAAGCATGATCGCCAGTTTCAGGGTGTTGCGTCCGGTGCCACAGCCGAAGTCGACCACTTTGAGATGCTCGGGGAAGGCTTTTTGTAAGAGGGATATGTATTTCGGTAGAAATCTCTCGAGCTGCACGTCATCTAGGCCCTGGAGGTTGTTGACTCGGCCTTGGTTGTAGCCAGCTCCCCATCGAGAATATAGGTCCTCAACGGGGACGGACCGGATTTGAGACTTTGCGATTGTCATTATGGCGAGATTTGCGTAAATAAATCCTTCAACTGTATATGTTTCACTGGGGGCTGCGTTGGCGGCTTGGTATGTGATAGTAATCTTGCAAATGCGTTCAGCGTGGAAAGAACAGAGGGGAAACAAGAAGCCGGGCGCTGGAACACGGACTCTTTTATCTCTTGAGCCACATCAAGTCTCGGAAATCTATACCATTTTTCGACAAGAGATCCTGTCTTCCCCGGATTGGTGGATTCGGTTTCCAGTGAATCCCGGGAGGATCATTGGCTTTGAAATAGATGCATAGTTGTCTTTGCAGATTTGTTTTCTGGCCGTCCAAAATATATGTTCGCACGCTTCCGTTATAATCTTATGCAGCTTGGATGTAGTTCAAACCATATTGATTTATTCTTTTCTTCCCTTTCATGTTCTTCTCCTTCCTTTTTATTTTTCTTTCTTCTTTCTTCTTTCCCTTTTCGCTTACTGAAAATATTCATGCTAATCCCATCTGGCTCCGTGCACAGTCCAACGGCATCACCAGCGATAAATCTTTGAGGCCCATCTGTTGAAATGACTCTATTTGACGTCAGTAGGGGTATTGGTGACTCACTCGACAACTTCCTTCCTCAGCGTCACCCACAGTAATGCCGAGGGCAAGCGCATCTCTCCAGCGACCGGTAGTATTCAGCTTTCTCGCCCTTACCTAGTCAAACCTCTAGCATGAGTGTCTTCGAAAGTAAGAACGATCCTCGTCCAGGTCTCCAGTCTCAACGCTCTATTATTAAACAGCATACAATGGAAATCATTAGCGACGTGTCCTTCGATCTGAGACAGGAGGTCTTGGACCTCAAACAAGAGCTCGCGGAGCTTCGTGATGCCTTCCTACAATGCCGGTCGGACAATTGCGATACGTCCAGACTTCAAGATCTGGAACATGGCATGGAACATTCGAATCTCAACGCGGACATGGCCTTCGGCTTCAGCGACACAGCAGCTGCTATCAGCATACAATTGAACAAAGAAATGTCCGCACTTCTTCAGATAGTTGGGTCGCTGGATAAGCGTGTCTCACGCATGGAGGCGAAGTTCTTAGCCCAAGAACAAGCCATGACACGACTGAATGAGCTCTACATCAATCAACAGGCTCAGATTGAACGGCTCACCTCTGATGCAACGTGGTTTGGCGCTATCAGTGAACATTTTATCCAGGCTCGTGAGATATACTGGGATAGCAAGTTACGGGAACTTGACAGCGGTCTGTCCACGGGAGAGAACACACCTCCAGCCTCCCACCTCTCCTCAAATACCCAGGCAGAAGTCGTCCTTGATGCGAGATTGTGCATGGACCGAAGATCACTCATGGACCGCGACAGATTCCGGCAACTGTACGGGCTAAGTCCCGAGCAGGTAGAGGCACTTGGTAAGCGACATTCACCATTCGCGTCTTTACTGCCTACCGCAGAACTAACAGGGCGATAGCATCCCAAAGGTGTGTCAATACTCTGCGCATTGTCAATACCGTCGCTGGACTTCGATTGTCAAATTGTGAGCTCAAACCTGGAGAGTATGACATCTTCAATCGGATCACCCAGCTGGTTAACCTCTATGACGATTATTCTGCTGTTGAGGCCAGAAGCGTAGAGCTTCTGGCTAATGTCAACGAGACTAAAAAGTAAATGTCGAAGGGTGTCTGTCCTCTGATACTACTCACAGCCCCGTTGAACTGCTATTTCGGGAACTGCACTTGGCTGTTCGTTTTATGAAGTGATCCTCTCCCATTTCATCTAGCTGCTTGAATGTCTAATTGCTCTGCCTGGGCATGTTGAGATGGCTTTTTTGTTTCATCGAAAACGTTGGTTCTCTCTGTCAACCCACAAGGTGTTTTTAGTACATTTTAGGACACATCCTGAAGCAGAGTGTATCCTCAGGATGTTTTCTAAAGTTCACAATATTCGACTTTTGTCGAACAATAAAGTCCGACAGCGGCGACACTTCCATGCAGATCCCCGTCCAGGCACTTAACCAAAATATCAAACACAGCGACATTGGTTGACTATCTTCAGTGACACGTATACCCGCTTTTCAACTGCTTGAAGGCTATAATCAAGCCTCGGATCTTCCACCCTGGTTTTCCCCCTCCCTTTTCTCCTGAATCCCATACTCCGTCTCCAATTCCGTCCTCAACTCCAACCCCTTCGCCACCCAAACCAAACCGAACCCAACCACACTAATCCCCAACCCAACCCACCAAATCGTCCTCAAACTCCTAGAATAAATACTCACAACCTCGCCCCAAACACCCTTCTCTACCTCATCCCGCAGAGAATGCGCCTGACTCGCAAAAGCATACGCTCCTCCCTCCCACAACTCCTCTCTCAGCGAAGTCTCTTGAACCTTCCCCCCTGCCAACTCCCCCTTCCACACCCCATTAAACACAATCGATGGAACTGTAACACCCCAAATATACCCGAACGTGCGTATAAAGCTATACGTCGCCGACGCGGCCGCCACATCCGATTCCGATAACGCAGCCATAATGGCAGGGAGCAGCGTCGAGAGGACCATGCCCGCGCCTGCGCTGCCGATAAGCTGATAGAACACCCAAGCGACTGTGCTCGTGGTCTCGTTTAGGAGCGTGAACAGTCCAAAGCTAATAGCCGAGAGGGCGAACGCAACAGCGTGGATGGGTCTGTAGGCTCCCAGCTTGCTGAGGAGGGTTCCTGCGGCGGCGGCGAAGAAGAGGGTTCCGATGGCGAAGGGGAGGAAGTTGACGCCGGAGCGGAGGACGGTGGTGCTCTTCACGGCTTGGAAGTAGATCGGGAGGAAGTAGGATGTGGCTTGGACGAGGATGGAGGAGAGGAAAGTGAGAGCGAAGCCGACGGCAGAGGTGCGGTTGGCGAAGAGGTGGTTTGGGACGCTGGGATGTTTGGAGAAGGCTTGTTGGATGTGGAATGCTATCCAGCCTAGGGCGCCTAGGATGAGAGGTAGAAGAACGCGCCAGGAGGACCAAGGGTGCTGGACACCGCCGGTTACGAGGCCAAGGAGGAGGGAAGTCATGCTGGGGATGAAGATGAGGTTGCCGAGGTAGTCGATCTGGGTGAGCTTGGGGTTCTTGGTTTGTGAGCCGGTGTGGACACGCATGAAAGGGAGGATGAGGGCCAGGGCGACTCCGCAGATGGGAAGATTGAGATAGAAGATCCAGCGCCAGTTTGCTTCTGCTAGGGCTCCGCCGACCACGGGACCCAGGGCGGCTGCGAGGCCAGACCACGAGAACATGAGGCCAAGGTACTTGCCGCGCTCACGAAGCGGTACGAGATCGCAGCATACAATATCTAAGAGAACGTAGATCCCCCCTGCACCGACACCTTGCACTGCGCGACCGCCGATTAACATGGCGGGATTGTGGGCGCCGCCGGCGATTCCACTGCCCAGAATGAAGAGCGCAGTTGATCCGATCATGGGCGTACGGCGGCCGAGGATATTTGCGAGCTGGCCTGTCAGCGGCTGTAGTACGGATGAGGCGAGAACAAACGAATTTGCTATCCAAACGAATTGAGTAGCGCCGCCAATGTCGCTGGTGATGGTTGGGAGGGCTGTTGTGATGATTGCCACATCCAGGGCGGAGATGAAGGCCAGTAAGCAGAGGGCTGCGAATATTCCCCAGAATCGGAGATTATGATTGGACGTTTCAGATGACGTTGGTTCAGCTGGTGAAACGGTAGGGGAGGTATCAGTTTCATCTATCATCTTTTTCATGTTGAGACCATGAAGACAACAGCAGTGACTGGGGATATGTCAATGTCTTTTGAAATGAGAAATAACAGATCCAAACTGAAAACGTAATCATGTCGACGACTGAACTATAAATAATTTCGTTCCCTGTATCAGTTCGGTGGTAGAAACAAAGAACCCATCTACCAACACTACCATGTCGGCCGCAGTTAGCAGTTCTTTCGGCTTTAGAGACCCGTCGGCTTCCTGCATTATGCTTTAGGCTCCTAGCAAATCTCTTATTTCAGCTACTCAATCGGAATTCAACCTCAAATTCCCCTGTGACAGGTACACCCCTATAAAAAAGCCCCGGCTAACCCCGGTATCGGCGAAGCCCTCGCTGTCAGAAAACACGAGTCATGGCACCTTCTTTCTACTGGCAGATTTCCGGTGGCGCATGTCGATCTTCCACTGGATCAGTTCCAAGCCCTGCGATGTTGGCGCCATTTAGAAGCAGATTAAGCCACACCAGTGGGCATGACGGGTCTTTGTTGGGAGCATTCTGGACCTTGTAATTGAGCAAAATGATGAAATTTCATTGCACCAAGTAAAGACCAAGGAGAACGTTCGAAACAACGTACGTCCATAGCGACTCCTGTGTGGTATTTCCTTTGACGTGGAAGATACTGGTTTACTGGTTATGCGCTAATCCCGATACGGGTAAGCATGAGGTTCGAATTGTGTACGGGATGCGTAATAATACCGGACTTTGCAACGTTCCAGTACGCAAAATACAAGCTTCCGGAAACAGCATCGATGTAAACCAAGCAAACAGGCCAAATGAAGCCAACAAGGCAAATACGACAAACTAGACAATCTAGACAAACAGAACAAACTACGCCCCCAAATCGCGTGATAAAAACCATCAAATTAATTTATTTCAACAACTCTGGAGCCCTGGAAAGCAGTATAAATAGAGCCATGTAGGCAGGAAGTAAAAGACGATCATCACCGTTTTCCTGCGTCAATCCGACCCTCAGAATCAAGATTCACATTCCACCAATTCCATCAACCATCGCCAAGCATTCTCCCCAAAATCCCACCATGGACTCTCTCCTCTCAGCTCATGAAATCGGCGAAGGACTTCCCGTCGTGATCATCCACGGATGGCAGATGCAGGGAAAAGCCGACCAGCTGGACTTTGAGCCGATTTTCAGCAAAACACTAGGATTGCGCCGGATCTACGTCGACCTTCCCGGCATGGGCACATCACCTGCGAACAATGTCCAGGACCAAGACGACGTATACCATCGACTAGGGCAATTCATTGATTCTCGACTCGGGACATCAAGGTTCTTAGTCGTCGGCTCGTCATGTGGGGGTTACCTTGCGCGCGCGATTGCGCAGAAATACATCGACCAAGTCGATGGGTTACTACTGCGGGTCCCGCTCATCGAACCAACAGATAGCATGCGCGACGTGGATACATTCGAGCCGTTGGTTGCGAACGAGGAAGTCATGGCGAACATGCCAGCCGAGGACAAGGCGCTTCTCGGAAACGTCCTCGTTCAAACTCCTGCGTACGTGCAGGCTTTGAAGACAAAATACGACCAGGCGTACACTCCAGCGGAGAAAGCATCGGACGTGAAGGTGCTAGATCCGATCCGCGAAGACACACGCCGATATCAGTTATCGTTTTCGTTGGACAATGAAAGCGCCAAGTTCTTTGCACCCACGCTGATTGTATGTGGTCGGCATGATGAGAGCGTTGGGTATAGGGATAGTTTGCGCCTGCTGGGTCTCTATCCACGATCTACATATGCTGTGTTGGATCGTGGTACGCATGGCCTTCCGATTGATGAGACTGGTCTTTTTGCAGCCCTTGTTCGGGATTGGATTTTTCGGGTTGAGGAATGGCGAGGTCGTGTGGAGAAATAAGAGCTGTCCATGTGGATGATGATTGATGTACATACCCACTCTAGTGCATGGAATAAAAACTGAAGATGTAAAATGGAGAACAGCCATGCAAGCCAGATTGAACTTTGTCCTTGAGGGACAGAAGAACATGAAATTCAAGATGCGATTCTCGAATTATCTCTCAAAGACCACCGTATAATCATGGTCCAAATACCGTTGCTGGTCCAGTCCTGCCGGAATCATTTTTCTCGGCCGTGATATTTGTTTGTCAGACATGCCGACAAAAAAAAAAAAAAAAAAAAAAAAAAAAAAAAAAAAACAGCATTAAGCTGAATCGGAAGCTTTTTTAAGACGCTGGGAGACTTGCAAAAGGCGATTCGAAGGGTTCAGCATCCCGTCTTGTGTATATACTCGCAGTACCCGATGTGCCCATAGCACGCCCCTGATAAAAGTCCGAGGCTCCCAATCTCAGCTAGGGAGCATTTTAAATGAGAAGAATAAATTAAACCACCCCATCACTTTTCCTCATTACAACCAACATCTCAAACCCCGCCACCCCCACATCCTCATAAACCTGCACATCCGAAAACATAGAGGCCCGAAAACAAGGCTCATAATCCACCCAATCAGCCCTGGGTCCCAACCAAACAATGATCTCAACCTCATCTGCGGAGAAAGTCTCCAAATACTTGCTAACCAGTTTCGGCTCCCGCGGATAGACAAACATCCACGCTGCGGCCTCGCGGACCCTAGGGTGAAGATCCCACGTTCCGTGAACCACATTCATGTCTGGTTCCAAGATGTACCGGTTTACAGTGGAGTTGACCTCCACGCCCTCGATTAATACATCAGAGTGGCGATGTGAGATGAGAGCTTCTAGAAGGCCGGATCCGCTGCCGATTGAGACGGTGAAGGAGGGCTTTTTGGGCAGGAGAGAGGCGAGGTGGGATGTTAGGGTCCTGGAAATGGATAGGCAGCAATTTGGGAATGCTTTTGGGGTTGGGGAGAGTTGGGTGGAGATTTGGGAGATATCCATCGTGAAAGCGCTGGGGTGGAAATGAAATCAATAAGAGTATGGAATTACCCTGTGATGGATTCGATGTTCAAAGGTGACGCAAAAATGTTACGCGGGCAGACTACCCGAGGCTAACAATTAAGCGAACATTCCACCGCCCGCTTTTGCCTGCAGATTGTTTCTGGTATAACGAATATTTCATAAAATTAAGAGAACTTTCCACCCATGTAGCATGCTTAGGACGTCGATCTTGCTAATCCGCAGGCATGACTGTTATGGGCCCACATACTGTGACGGTCTGGGACTGACCTGCAACGACAAGGCAGAGGTTGCACTCCAGCTCATGCCGATGCCAAACAATATACGATTTGAAGCTCGGATGAACTGCACGCACAGATATGCCGTGGAAATGCTGCCTCTGAGGACTCTTCCGGAAGCTATCCGACCCTAAATAAAGCCGACATATACTCCCAACGTCGAAAGGACGACTTTCCTGCCCGACTTGAAATGCAACTGGGTTCTGAGAATTGGGCAGGGTAGTCTTAATATCGAGAGTGTGATGCTTGCGCCAAAAGTCACTGAGAGACTTGGGCCCCGAGTCTCCGCGAACATAGACGGATGTCATGGCGGCGATAGTGACGCGAATCGACTGCAATGTGACTTTAACCACCGCGTCTTGTAGCGCCGGGCTGGTCTTGTCTGGGACGCACACGATATTGACAGCCAGCGGGATTGGGACGGGGTGGTCTAGCTGCACGGCCTTGGGCGCGCTGACCTCGACTCTGTACGTGAATTCAGGGACTTTAGAAGACCCGTAGATGTTCTGCATCTTTTGTCGGAAGGATAACTGCCCTGTTCCGGTCACTAACCGGTGGTTGTGAATGCGTGTGTTTGTCGTATGCTTGATCATCTCGTAATGTACTAGCGGAGGGTCCAGCGCAGTATGTCGGATAACAACAGGACATGTATCTTTATTCGTGAAATATCCGCCACCGCGACGGTATCGCATTTCAACTTCTAGGGTGTATTTGACCATTCCACTCGAGTCGCCGTTGTTGCTCTCGAAGAACGTCCCGGGGAGGATGTGCTGCTCCACGCTTTCCTGGTCGACGGGCAGATAACTTGACTCATTTTTACGGCGTCTAATCTGTGTGACAGACGGCCCGGGCGGGATATTCACCTCAAATGGGAATGTTAGGCATTCTTCACTACCTTCGGGGAGATGCAAAGGTCCCCGAAAGAGGTCAATCGTCTTTGGGTCTAAGAGGTCCCACCGACTGACACGGTCTTCACTCTGATTGCCGGATCTTTCAAGTGTCCTGGTCTCGGTAGCTCCCCGTAGGGTTAGCTGAATTGTTGCCTCGGGACTGACGATCGATGTGTGGCGTACGACGGTGCCGATGATGCTGTCGCCAGGGGCAAAGGTCCAGGCGGGCGGGGCGGCGAGGTTGACCTTGAGATCTTTGGAATCGGGCCTCTTTGGCGGGCCAAACATGGCTGGTGAGATGCTTGTTTGGGGATAGTTTTCACATGAGCGGATGGCTTGCCTTGGGGACTTCATTCCATGCTAAATAAGTCGGGAGATCCGCCCCCAAGAGCACAAGGCTGATCCGGTGGGTCACCGGGCGTTCAACGACGTTCAGCGTTTGGTTAGCCAAGGACGGGATATTCAGGCTAGGGAAACTTAGGAGAAAAGTGAACTGGGGTATTCTTCTGCATTGTGGGAGTTTCAGCTACATGGGAGTGTTTTGTTGTTGCTTGTCCTCGTCCCGATGAGGAGGAACAATTGCTACAACAGCATCTTATTATACTTCTATCGGGCGCATTAAGAGAATTGATGGGATAGCCAATGATAAGAGGAAGGCATATGCGAACTTGAACGCTAAACCTGTGAAAGGAGACCACCCACCCTCAAGTAAACAATTTAAAACCACCCGGAACGCCCTTCTGAAACACGCCTTCTGGATCATACTTCCGACTCACATCCTGCAGTCTCTGTTTATTCTCGGCCCCATACGAAGCAACAGGGTCCTGGAACGGAAAGGCATAGTTCATAAAGCGGAACGGAACACTCTGACCGCGGGACTCTGCATCCTTCTCGATGTTCTCTAGAGCCACTCGCATGGTATCCAGGATCTTCTTATCGTCACTGCGATTCTTCCAGTAAGTCAGAAGAAGAACGGACACCACCGGGCCATTTGCCGCATCCAAACCAAGCGAGTTGCCGCCACGCGCCGCGGACTTCTTCAGCAAGGACACTGGGTAGGGCTGGAGTGTGAGAGAACAGATCAGCCCCTCGAGAGGCTTGATGGGCTCGAGTGCAGCAGTGTAGATGTCGCTGGCAGCTTGGAGTGTCGGAACGTCTGCTTTCACCGTGATGTTCATGTATGCGCATCTATACCAAATCAGAATCCTGTAGCAAGCACAATCTCGGAAATACCCACCTCAACTGATCCATAGCAACAGAAGCCTGCTCCGAAGCAGCCTCCTTCAGCGTCTGCAGGCGCATGGAGTTCAACTGATCAACCTGCGGCTGTATCGCTGTGAACGGCTCTAGGACGGCAGGCTTCTCAGCGCTCTGAGTATAATAGACTTGATTCTGACACATAGTTTCGCCGAAGTGGTAGCCGATGCTGATCATCAAATGTGTCTCTTTTGTAGCATCTGGCTTCTGCACCTCGCTGACCAGCGCGTCAATCTGGTCCGGAAAGCTAGATGCGAAGTAATACACGCTGCCACCCCAGAACGGACCCTGCAGGAACGTCCGCATATCATAGCGAGTAATGACGCCGAAGTTATTGGCGCCCCCGCGAAGAGCGATCCACAGGTCGGAGTTCTCATGGGCGTTGGCTTGTACGACTTCTCCGGAGGCAAGGACGATCTCGTAGTTGAGGACATTGTCGCAGATGAAACCTTCTCGAGAGGAGAAGAATGAGAGACCACCTAGACTGGTATTAATTTTGTGCATTTTGAACACTCGTCAGTGGGTATGGAAGAGTTACCCTGAAGCGCCAATCCTCCAATGCCGCCCCGAGACGAGCGCGCGCCCGTGACACCGAGCCCGGCGGCATCCAGATTTTCATAGACAGCTCCCCAGCGTTCGCCAGCTGCGATGGATACACTGCCGTCTTTAATTTCGATTCCGGTCAAGAGGCCCAGGTCCAGGGTTATTCCATCCTGGATGTTAGAGCAGCCCGGGGCAGGCTGTTGTCCTGCTCCGCGTATAGCGAATGCCGCCTCGCCGCGGTCAATGAATGGACGGATTGTCCGCAGAAAGGCGACAATCTGTTCTTTGCTGGATGGTCGAACAATGCAGGCCGGAGTGATATCACTCTGGAGGGCGGAAAGGTAGGATGCATTCAGTTTGTGAAATTCATCCGTGCCTTGCTCAATGACTTGGTCTTGCGGGAGAGCCTGACGCAAGGCCTGGATTGCTGCTTGGTTGGCATGCTACGGGTTTAGGAAAGAGGACACTAGTAGTCTTGGTCGGATGCAAGTGAGTTTGGAATACGTCTGGTCTGGATAAAACTAATCCAAATTTTGTGGTCGAATAGATGAGGACTGCAAGGAGCTTTAAATATACCCTCGCCGCACGCTTTGAGTGTATCAATGCGTAGATTCATAAGTCTGGTAGACGGTTACTATGAATAGAACAGCCATATGAATACAGGGTACCACTGAGGTAGTCACAAGTCACTTTCTAAATGCCTGAGAGGCAACGGAAATGCGCCAGCAGAGTGACGTTTTCAGGCAGAATCCAAAAATCCAAAAATTGGCAGCCAGCAAGGCTCAGGGATATATCCAACACCGACAGGGCTAGGAGTATTACTGGACAGCAAATACCAAAAACACTGACCTAGCTCCATGAGCAACAAAGAAAAGAAACTTTGACCACATCAGCCAAGTTCAAACAAAGGAACGGCTGACGCCGAGAACCGCCAACCATAACAGTCGCCCACTCTCCCATCTCTAAGCAAGGTGCTATCGGGGCTCAAAAGCCACTCTGGTCGACTTTCTGGGCACCGTGGTCGACCTCCAAGCAAAGGAACGAGGGGCTGTTGGGTCCACAAGACGACATTTATAGCCCAGAATTATCTGCGCGAGAATCGCTTTCATCACAGCGGCGGCGTAAAATCGACCAGGACTTAAAAGGTGATAGCCAGTCAGTGATTGAACTGCATAGAGCAAGATCTACTACGAATCACCTACCAAGTCATGCGTCCAGTACCCCACATCTGCCATTTCTCGTCCACGTCAGTCAATTTGGACGGCTGCGGTTGAAGCGGGTAGGAACCATGGAGCAGACCGGGGTCCGCGAACCGAAAGCCGCTGAATTGCGAAGGCTCCGGGTAGTTTGTTGGGTCCAACATGATCGAACGGACAGGGGTGCAGGCCCAATCTCCAACTTCTAGTTTAGTGCCGTCTGAGAGAGCGAAGGGTTGGACGGCTTGGCGGCGAGTGCTCACTAGTTTTCAATGTTATTCTTGGTATTTACACTCAAAGTAAATTACCTGAGGCAAAGCATACATGACTCAACTGGGGTTAGACGAGCAGACTCTTTGATAAAGCTGTCTAACAGGGGTAGACCATTTCCGGTGTTTTGGAAAGCATCATATTGGGTTTCAATCTCATAGCGGAGAGGCTCGATGTACTCTGGATGTAGGCAAAGATCATGAATGGCAAATGTGAGTGTCTGCTGTGGAAAAGAAGAAAAGCCGGATCGTTAGTCGGTAATATCAGTCGGAAATAGCCTGGGAACACTTCACCATCGCTAATCCATGGACGGAGCCAAACCAGATGGCCATCAGCTCGTGCACAACGCTCGTGGTCGAGCGTGTGTTATGTTCAGGACATGTTTCCAGTATCCATTCAATACAATCGGCCTTGAGGATTGGGTTAGAGTGCACTGGACTGGGAAAACATAAAGACGTTGGTCGTTGGATCACATACATAGCTTTTAGAAAAATGACCCGGTTTAGCAAGACTCTTTTCGCAACGTCGCTGCTCAACGGCACGATACAATACATCAAAAACCTTCTCCTGAGCGCGAATACGACTCGAGACAATCCGACCAATGACACTGCGTGATTGCTGTTAACGTCAACTCTTTCCTCTCGTACTTGCCTTTACATATTATTCTTTTTTGGACATTTTCCCTCGTCCTTTTCTTGCTTGGATAATTATCACCGCAGGATAAGCTTACGGAGCAACGAAAGACGGCATCAATCGGATGATCTCTGCACCCATGACAGTTTCCTCAACATAGGCCAATGCCGCGTTCATGAACGATCGATCTCTGGCTGATGGCAGTCAATCACAAAAGGCTCAATCGCATTGCTACAATCGTGCAACACATACCTAACTCAGGACCAAAGAATACCAACGCATTAGATAGAACGACAAGATTAAGTGTCAACTCGTATACAGAAGAGTGCCGCGCCCCTTGCTAATTTCAATCATCAAATTCCTCAATATTCCTCGGGGAGGGGTATTACCTCGGAATATCGGATCCTCCGTCTGAAGATCCGCCAACTGTTTTTTAATCATGACCGTGAGGTCCGGGAGAATCGTCGGAATATTGCGTGTCAACAGCGTACGAATAACACGCACAAAGCCAAACCCGCCTGTCCCCTTTCTATCAAACCAAGCATATCCATGCATGGTGTATTCAGGCTGTAGCATCTATGACAAATCAACATGTCACCGAGTCGGAAAGGGAAGCTCCACCAACATGACTTGACGCAGCGTAGAGGGATAGCATATTATCAGGTGCTCTGTCTAATTCTTTGATATGCGTTGGCGATGAAACGAAAACATATCGCGTGTCCGGGGCGAGGACCTCGAATGGCTTGCCTTTAGCCTATGGCAGTTGTAAATCAGTAATTCACTTCCGTAGCAGAGGCTTGAATATATAACCTTTTTATACTTGTAGTGGATGATATCGGGTCCAGAAAGGAGATACCGCCAAGCTCCTAAATGAGTTGAAATAGCGGCGAGGATACTGGCCACCGCGTACCAGGCGTTCTATGAGAAGAGGTTAGTCAGTCAAATGACAAAGTCCCCTGAGAAATACATTGTAAAACTCACCATTCTTGTACTTGGTAGGATATTTCGCACGCGAAAAATTCGACACACTTAGATCGGCGTATGCTGTTCAGACTGCAAAGACATGAATGCCCAATTAGATTGTTCAACCGAGAGGCGTCCGTCTTATAAACAGCAACTGCGCCTAATTCACCATGGATTCATATCCCTACCTCCAGCATCACGGATATGACTCCTTCTGCAACGCCAGTCCAAAGATAGAAATCAGAAAGCAAAACCAACCGAAGAAAGCGGGCCATCAGACACAGGATGTAACTGTGTTTGAAGCATGATCGCAAGAGCACAATACCCACAGCGCCATATCTCTGTGCTCTGACGCATTCATGGGTAATACCCATCGCCAGCATGCATATTAATCACGGAATCCCTCACAGGCACTGCCGCGGCATTCAGCCTCCTCGGCTTCCAGTACCACCGCGGCCATAATGTCCACGGATAACGATTGAGGCTCTATATTAATAGTCAGCATGTGTCACACACAATATCCAATGATACCCCCTGTCCCAACAAAGCCGGTGTTCTCCGTTGTCAATGCAACGGTCTATCCTGGAATGGCTATGCCCCGGCATGCTTAGCCGACGAACGAACTACTTGCTCGTGCGGATAGCGTGTCCTATACCCCGCTGATTGGATATCCGCGGGCCCTAACCATGCAAGCAATTTAAAATGGGTCGATGGCTTTGCTTAGCCTAATTTATATTCTGGCTAGCTATGTCGTCGGAGGTGCTCGGGATCCTACGCTGTTTTAGATTGAGCCGCTGGGGAGCTGCGCCGCAAATGTCAGATGCTCTTTGCATAGTTTGTGGTACGTTCGGTTGCAAATCAGGTTTCATTCCTCGGCTGCTGCGGCTTTGTTAAATGTCCACTTGAAAGAAGGCTCTCGTTCATCGGGGGTCGAAATAAACGGGTTGGAGAACAATAAGAGACCCATCATTGGCCAATGTAAACAATGTCTCTTGGCGCTTCGTGCGTGATACCATCGCAGGTACCGTTCCAGCTTATTGGGTGTTCAAATGCCACCTCTTTCAATGCAAAAATCTCCAGAGTAGACCACGAGGTTTGCATTCCTACTCGACAGATTCACCCAGAATACAATTTGCCCTTGTAAGATCACCGGAGAGGATAAATGTTACTCACAGAACCTTTTCGTGGTGAGATTTGGTCTTAGGTTCCCCGCGAGCAATCTCCAGGGTTACCTCACGCATCAATCACAGCATCATGAGCGTGCTGCCCGGTCCTAGCACCACGAGCCCCACACATAGTACAAGGTATTTACCATGTATGGGAATGTTGACGCGTTTCAAGTCTATCATCACGAATAGACTCCACAGCATGATCGTGAGTACCAGCCCGAGCAGTTGCAGACCCTCGGCCGAGCGAAATGAAATGACAACGTCGCTGTATCGCGCCATCTCCCGAACGAATCGGAACATCAACCTCATATGAACGAATCCAAATAATAATACGCATCGGCCAAAAAGCATACACACATGCACCATGTCCTGACTACCATACAACATCTCGGATGTGCTTAATCGTGGGAAATTTCTCTCCCGCATCTTTTTTCCGTGGCGCATCATCAAAGGAAAAGTGAGAAAGGTCAGGGGAAAGGTCTTCCAAGCGAGAGCTGATATTGCATTCCCAGCCCATGGTATCAGCAAGACAACGCATAAGTATCCGTTTGAGATGAGGTCGGGAGGACAGCTAGGGGCACAAACGGCGATGGCTCTTGGGTCGGGATAATAGTAGGATTTGTGCTGGCTGACGTGTATGTGGACGGCGAAGTATATCGGTAGGATAACCTCCCATCCGATGATAGTCGAGGCTAGGATATACGGTAATCCGCTGGTTTGGTCTAATCAGCCTGGCTATTGAGAATAATCAAACCTAGGAAAGGGGCGCATAGGAGTGAATGGCCTACCTGGCCAGTGGACCTATTAGTGACATGGGTCTCCAGGATTCGATAGTCCACAGAATGCTAACTGCTGACGCGGTGACCAATGTGTCAAAGTATATGAGATTGCTCAAGTTCTCGTTTCCCTCACCTATGCCAAAACCGGAGGTGAAGAAATTGATGCAAGCCATCGACAGCATCAATCCTGTCCAAAATGCAGTCAAGCTGTCAGGTCGTCTGTTTGGCAGGATGCGAAGCTCTTTGTCACGAGGAATTTCACCTTTTTTCGACGGCTCTGGCATATAGCGCAGTGTGTGTCCAGACGTGTAGACTGGCGCAAGAAGCATAATTGGTAAATACCGACCAATCCGTGCTGCGCCTCCGGAGAGAGTAACGAATCTCAAGAATGGGTTCTCCAAAGCCTCAACACCTTGCAATGAGTGCGCTTGTGCAATCAGCGTTTCCGCTTTTGGGCGACGCTCTTCCAACAAACGGGAGAATTGCGCCTCAAGAGCCGCTGTCGTGGGACAAAGATTCTGGTCCACCGCCTCTTTGAGCAAGTCTCCAAGCAAAGCCGCGTCCTCTATAGCTGCATTGGCACCTTGTGCTGTAATCGGGTTTATCTTTGCCCATAATGTGTTAGTCGTATGGCCCGCCAATCCGAACAACATCATCCTACCTTATGCAAAGAATCTCCAATCAGAACCGATCGCTGGTAAAAGCATCGCTCGAGGACATACTCTTCAACGGGCACCAGGGCTCTATGTCGACATCGGTCGTACAAGTCATTCAGCCTTTGACCCGGGAATATAATATCCTTCCCAAATTTTCTGATTATCTCTTCATGGTCCTCCGAAGCGTACCGAGGGATCGCCTCGTTGGTCCTGGCTTCAGGATTTTTGAAAAATGCAAAGATGTAAAGCTTATCGCTCCGACCTGCTTGGCACAGATAGGACCGATTTTGATGGTAGGACTTGTATCCACATCCCTCTGGCAGTCGATCGTCACGGTCGGCGATTCCAAACAAACATCTATAGGAGCATTTCATATCTGTGGATGAACGGTAATGTCAGAAACCGCGTGTAATAGGCTGGCAGAGGACATGCCTGGGGCTATTTTTCCGGATAAGCTGTTCACGCCATGGGCGAGTCTGCTCATCTCACTCCGAGTCTGGCTGTGTACACCATCGGCGCCGACAACTAGGCTGCCGACGTAGAGAGCACCGTCTTTGGTCATCACTCTCGCGACATCATCGCGATACTCAATTGTCGCCAACTCTTTGGATACGTGGACCTTGGATTTGTTGGGTAGATTGTCGTACAGGACTTGGATAAGTTCCCGACGGTCTAGGAAGCTGAGCTGGTAGCCAGTCCTAGCCATATCAATCGTTAGTTCCACTGTCGCGTCATTTCAAAGCCCGTCAAACCGTAGGAAACATACACCTGTTCAAGATCCTCGCCAAAGGTGTCCCTATCCGAGAGGAGAGTACCGTCTGGACCAAACGCTTTCATGCGTCGCACCGGTTCGCTGAGTTCGAGAACTTTCTCATACAGACCGAGCTGATCAAGGATTTGGGTTCCGTGCGGAAGGAGACCGACGCTGGCTCCCAGTTGAGGGGCAATTTCGGAGTGTTTCTCGAGCACAATATACTCGATCCTGTAGCGTTCGAGGATATTCGCCAGAGTCAGGCCGGCGATACTGCCGCCGATGATGATAACAGTGAAAGTAGTCATTGTTGGTGATGATGACATTGGATTCTGGATGAAGCGAGTGATGGCTTTGAGGCGGGAAGGGGGTTGACCATCAAGTGGCCTGGAAAAGAAGGCAGCAGATCAAGTGATCAACTCTTCCCTCATTCTGTTTATGGAGGGTCACACCAAATATCCTCGCATTCATGCTAACAGTCACCGGGGTGACATTAGGTACCTTCCGCGATACCTTTCCTAGATGATTTCCTACTTCTACTATCTTCATAGGATGTTGTGATATTAGTCCTAGTAAGTGTTTACGGATATATTACTAGTGATCCACATTCTGGGTGAAGGTTTGCATACTCACGTAAAGTGATAGATGATAGTTTCATTTATCTGTGACATTACTGTTCCAATAATAGCCGACCTGGATTGTTGTTTTATGCTTAAAAAACAATAAAAATAAAGTAGAGTACTGAAGAATCCTATTCGAAGAACCACTTCAATCCTACGCCCATCATTCTAGCCTTTCTTCAGAACCACATTTCAGAATAACATGTACATGACTTTCAGTCTTTCGTATTCATTCTCTACAAGTGAGACATCAATCCCACGGGATCAAGTCATGAGGAAGCAATCTATCAATCCCCTCTGCCTGTCGGGAAGCCAGATAAGTTGTCTTGTTAATCAAGGGGACGACCTCAGGACATAAAATGCATGCCGCTCCCACTTCTTCATACATGGCCCAGCCAGTCTGAACGTCATGCTTCACCAAGAACCTGATCAGATTAGGCATTCTTCTGCGCCTTAGACACACGTCTAGGAGAGTTCTGTTGCGCTCGTCCCTAACAAACAACATATTGGGGTACTGAAGTGCGAACCACTTGATAGTTTTGATATTCTCTTCCCTGTAAAAGCTTGAAGCATAGCGCATAAAGGCCTCGACCATAATGTGCAGTGCTGTTGAGTAATAGGAAAGACGGGGCTTGAGTATGGCAAAGTTACTCCCGTGCTCGACCGCGTATTTTAGCACCTTCAAATGGTCGTCGAAGCTTAGTATGAGTCTGAACTCTCTATAGGTGGTGACTTTCAACCCTGCCCGCATCAGGGCAAACAGCCGATTCTCACAAGAACAAGTCTCTCTGGTCGAGCCGTGATTGCCACAGGGTACACGTCTGTCGACCTTTGCCCATAGAGCATGAAGAAGTGGCGTATACTGCCACTCATACCCGGGGATGCGGTTATCGTATAAGTAGAACTCTGCACCAAACTCCATGAGCAAGACGACAGTGTCTATATTACCGTATCTCGCAGCAATGCTCAGAAGCCTTGTGTTCTCGTTGAAGCCATTCGGGTCTGCTCCAGCTGCTAAAAACGCTCGGAGGCTATTAGTACGACTGCCATATACAGCTTCCGCTATATTCGTGAGTGGTGGGGAACTTACCTGTTGGTCTGTCAGTTCACGATTTTTCGGGGGCAGATAGGCGTATTCTTTTATCAACTTCCGTTTTTCTTCTCTCAAGATGTGGTACATGCCTTTGCATGTTGCAGACAATCGGATCAGTGTGAATATATCCATACATTTTGCACATGCCATGACTAGCTCGACTGGAAGCTTGTTAATGCCTTCGGAACTCATCTTGGCTTTTCTTCGGTATGTGGAAGTATTCGAAGGTTTGTTGTTAGTAATGTGGTGACACTGGGCGATGAAGAATGTCCTCATTACCTTGGACTCTCGTGCATTATATAATTTTTGCACCGGCCAGTCAATTGTTATGTGGTTAACGGGTGTCGCATGTAAGACTAGGGAAGCTTCCACCAGGAGGCACATGCTGGGAAGTTCTTTGTATTCAGGCCCTGCTTGGTTGGACAGGATGCCATTCAAACTTGGTGTTCCATGTATCACGGCCGCTGGTATGATCAGGATGAGGTAAATCCGACATCGCTGTGATGGAGTTAGATGCTTGAAATCACGTGGCTCATCACATCGGCGATCTCCCCACTTCCCCAGACGGACTATCCGATGATCCATTACATCTCTCAGACCGAGGTCTACGTAAACGAGGCGGACTATGACATTGAAAAAGAAGGAAAATCGCTTAAATTCTGACAAATGCTATACCTGTACAGTAAGAAAAATGCATCAACAAGAACCACCTTCTATCACTATCGCGTAGCTAATCTACAGCATCTTACTGGATGGCAACGTCTCCTGAAGCATTTTGCACATAATAATCTATAGACCAGTCGGATAGAGAGAGAGACCTTGCACTCGGTTTGATTGATCTTATTCAGCCACTACGACGTATCAAATAGTTTTTTGTCGATTACGGAATAATTGTTAGAAGCGGGAAAATTTGATTGGAACAACATAAAAGGGAAATATACCCCTACGACTGACTTGTGATATCTTTGATATCTTGTAAGTGCCTTAAAATGTCCACTCGTTGGAACAAAATCCATAAAGCATTATAAGTATAAGCATATGGATGCCGAGAGTCTGATGATTACATGACCTGTCCGAAGTAGTCTGCCGCAAAGGATGAGCGTTGGCTTTGCCGTGGAATACACGAAGTTCAACTTGAATTGGGCTACGTGTCTCGTTTCTGCTATGATAATGCCATTGAAATCAAAAGGGAGCGGAACCAAAAAAGCACGATTGTAAGGATCATACGAAGAACAGTAATCTGGGAGTGCTGCCGTTGCAGCCAATGGATCCTACTCTCCAGACTGATAGGCAAACCTGTCGATAAGTCCACAGCCCATTTCAAATTTCCCGTTTGATATTCTAGATAGATTCAGTTACCAAAAGCTTATTCTTCTCCTGTCCCACCAAGCAAGACTCCTTCCTAATCACTGGCCCTTGATACGGGGAAGGGGGGATATGTTTGACAGACACTTCACCTTTTATGTGTATGAATTGACCGCTGGACCTGTTGTCATTGTTCTAAGGCGATTGTCGTTTCCTGTTAGGAAAAAATGCCTACCAATCTATTCATAGCCATCTTTACAATTTTACATAGTAGGATATGGCTATAAAATAAGCCTCAGCAACCTGTATTCCTATTCCATTGGCAGTCCCAACCATTTTTGCGAAGCACCCCTCCTCCACATAGAAGGTTCAGCATAAGTCAATAGATAGAGAGGGGAAGGCGTCAAATGCTGGATTGAATTTATCTTGCAGAAACGAGGATAGGGCTCTGGGGCTCCTGGGAGGGTTTGAACATCTTTACAGATCCGATCCATCATACCAAATTAACACGTTCCGGATACTGAGTAGACATACGCCAAGGGTGCTTTAACTTGTACAGACAAAGCCTCAGCATAGAGACGTCTGAATAAATGTTTACTGGATTTAGGCTGGCCCAATTAACACAGTTTGCACTGGAAACGGAGTAATAACCAAAGGACTAGCTAACTGCATGTATAATGCATCGTGGGCTCTCTTCGGCGGAGAAAGAAGCCGTGTTTATGATTTGGCAGAGTATTGAATAGAGAATCAGAATGACTGGTGAAATCAATATCAATAGCAAACAAGGAACGCTTACAACGAGCGTAATCCCAGCCCACCTCCACCATTTTCATGTGAGCTCTCTCGTTACACTCACATGCGACCTCATCTCGATCGTTAAGCAGGTATGTCGGTTTTCCTTCGTTTCTGTCCCTGCTCCTCTTGCTTTCGTATGTACTTTTCTTATCTCTTTAAACTTCTTCTCGCGCCTTTCGGATTGCAGCCTTTTCAATTCCGTCCTTCGTACCCGTAGGGCCGTATGAGCAGCTTGACGGTGATTGGCATAATCAAGGCTTTGGACCATGCGCCGGTCGATATCTTCGAGAATCGTTTGAATAGTTCCTGTATCCCTGCGGGGTATTGTGAATTCTTTGCCAATTAACTGAGGGTGTGAGAGGGGGGGTAAAGTGGTTGATAGCATATGGTTGTAGTATGTCCAGTCGAGAGATAGTCCAAGATCCTCAGTCTGTTGTATGTGAATGCGCTCGCAGTACTCAAGACGTAATGCCTGAAATGCTACGGCCTTGTCATCATGAAACCAGGCCCGTTGTGAGAGATCGCCTGAGGGGCTCCTAAGTTGTTGATATTCCAACCAGGATCTTCTTTCGTTATTGAATACAAGGCCAAAACCCTTGACCGGCGAACGTATTGCTAGACAATTAATGAGTTTATAGAATCGGAAACAAAGCAATACAAACTTGATTCTGAGATGCACAGCTTGGTGCTCAGAGATGGATTGTTAAGTTGACTTTGTGGAATAGGAAATCCTAAGAGATTTCTCGCAGATCTTCCAAGTCCCTTTTCTTATCCAAAGCCTATTAGATATATCAACTCTGCATTCGAAACTCCATCCAATAATAAGTAATTGTGTTTTTAGGGATAGTAAATATCTTGGCTGTCAAGGAAAAGCCGCCATATAGGTGATAGGATGTCTTATTGTGTAACCTTTGGCTTGTGCATAGAATGGCCAATTAATTGCCTTATGGGGGCTGTTCGATGACTCTGATGGTCACCCTTCTGATATGGCGTACATCATCTGAGATCTAGACACAACAGCATTATCAAATTTTAAAAGTGTCCTTGTCACAATGTTTATATATTCTCGCAAAATTGTTGAACACTGTGTCTAACGCTTCGTCTTTAAGGAACCGGCAGAGCTCTTATTTTTGGGAGTGTTCTACTTTCCTGGCGACATAAACGCAACGAATCTGGCACACGTTTGCGAAGTTATTCTAAGGCACCTGAAGAGAATGGGGGACTCGGGAAACAAAGAGGGAACCTTGAAGTCACCGTATGGGACTTGTTGGACTCTGAATTATTTCGCTGTGCACGATGCTGTCGCTGAGAACCCGGAGGCGGATCAACATATGCAATCAGGCGCAATACTAGATAAAGGGGCAGCTCAGATTGGAATTTCTCTATCAGCTTCACCAGATCATGTTTCTCCAGCTCAGTGAAATTCGAAGCCCACTCGTGTGCTCCGAAACAATGAGTTACCAAGATGAAGCAGAGTAGAAGGAGTGCGCAGTTGTACAGCTCCCAGGCGGTAGTTGTGTGGCAACGGTAACATAATTTACTACTCCATCATGGACACAAAAGAATAGTAGAAGATAAAAATAATTCGCGTCACTCGGAATCTGCCATAATCTAGAGACCACCAACTATAATGAGTGATGGGACTAGGTTGAACTACGTTAGGGCCATTACAGGTAATAGCCAGGGGGGGTGTCACAGGGTATGGCAATACCTTGGTAATGTTTGAACCTCCCATTAAGATAATGGAGGTTTTCGGTAGATCAATAGCTGGGATCACCGTTTGCTTGTCACCTGATCATGCCTATATAAAGATGGTCATCACCCTGCTGTAGATAGACATAGACAACCACCCTGATCGAACAATCCATTCCTAGGCGGTTACAATATCGTGTCTCATCGTCAGTTTTAACGATCTTGCAAATGCCCCCACCCAGATGCAACAATTTACTAACTGCCACAAGGAAAGCTCTTGAAAACCCCAATACAGACGTTATCTCCCGCAAAATGGATGCTTTATCTCTCTAGCAAGGCGACTTCGGCTTACATTTTGCTTTTAGGGAGTTAACAGAGCCACTGTTTCTAGCCCCTTTCCGAGTTCCCGCCACTTGCGATACCAACAACCTGAAAGATGTCTGTGAATGGATCATAGCGCATCTTCAGGAAATGAGCCCAAGGAATAAAGTTGGTGAAATTGTGGAAGTTGCGTTGTGGGGAACCTTCGATGACTCTACAGGCCGAGCTGCTGATATATCCGTCATCGTCGTTGACAGTCTCAGAGTCGTTGAGGGTCTGTCGCCCCGATCGCTGCCATACAGCGGTCCAGCCTTGCCCGGATTTTATATTTGCGTCAATAAAGGGGTCAACATGACCCACAGGTGGAAGCCTGGATGGGTCTCTCACATCTAGCTGGACAAGCCCATCCAGGGTCTATCGTCTGATAGACGAACGTGATCTTGCGATTATGATAGGAGTGTAATTGGTAGTTTTGCTACATGAAAGTTTCTTTATCTTATCTATCTTCTATTTTCCATTTCCTTTTTTCTATTTCTTTACATATTCTGTATTGATGGTGACAGTTACTTGACAGCTCTTTTCTTTTTCACTCTGTACGTTTTTTGTTTACTTCTTTCCCCCCTTTTTTTCTTTCAATGATTCTCTTGTCCTCTTCTTGTATTGTAAAAGTCAAGAACAATGCAAAATGCATAAAAGTCAGTCTGCTGAAGGCTGGACAAGAATGGTTAATAATTGTAGACTTTCTGGACATGTTGATACACGAAAGATGTGACCCAGAATAATATTCGGATACCTGAATTAAATTTGAACTGCTCATCTTTCAAACGTTACACGGTGCATTTTGTTCGTAGATTAATTTTAATATATCAAATTATTGCTGCGAGACCTAGGGGCATTGCCTGCAAATGTTGGAAATGGTATTATAGGTCACCCATGCAATGGTTTCTACTGTTGGATACTGCTGAAAGCTTGTGCAAATAATTCTTGTTGTCGAAGAATGTTGATCTCAGTTTGGTTATTTCCATGCTGAATCGAATACATCTTGGAGATCAAACCAGTGCTAAGAACGACCCCACCCTTTTGCAATAACAATTTTCTTTTTTTTTTTGGCATTCTCTTTTCCTTCCCAGGAGAAATTGATGTCCACCCCACCCTCGTTGTATGTGAGAACTCTACAATTCTATGAATGGTCCAGCTAACATTTCCCAGCCTTTCTTTTGCACCCAATACTAATTGTTCGCTCGTTTGCCCATATTACTAACTCCCCCCAATGATCAGCTCGCACCTCATTGTGGTGCTGGGGTCTAGTAGCTTATGTGAGCGAAGCCAAGACGAGCTTTGTATTTATGTAGAAATGAGCCTTATTGTAGCTTGCATCTTAGACCTGGTGCTAATGACATGTGATAACCTGTTCACTGCCATGTGGATAGCAGCATTTAATTTCCGCGTTGGGTATGCACCAAATTCACGGATCAGTTGTGGTGTGGAGCCTCGGTTTTCTCCGTTGATCTCATGGTCTCCTCGTCACTGCCGGCTCCAAAGTATCGCGCCAACTCACGGTCAAGGTCCCGCCCCACCAGATGAGGCATTTGTGCACTCTGTTTCACCGGCGAGATTCCTTTAGCTCTCGCGCTGGCAAAGACGAGGTCCAATTCTTCCAGGGTCCGACCCTTTGTCTCAGGGAAGAAGAAGTATACGAACGGAATGAGGGCCGCATTGAAGACTGCGAAGATGATGTAGGTTTGGTAGCCTAGATTGGCAAATGCGGGAGGCGTGATCATGACGATCAAGAAGTTAGACATCCAGTTTGAGCTGGTGGACAAGGCGTTGGCTTGGATCCGAATGCGTAGGTTGGTGATCTCTGCTGGGTATAGCCAGGTCATTCCGAGCCAACCAATGGCGAAGAAGGAATTGAACACGAATAAGAATAATGTAGCCGTTACGCCATACTTTGTGTCGAGCTGGGGAGCGCCATTGTCCAATGTCGTGCCTGTGGACACTGTGCCTGCTAGAATGGACATCGAAGCCATCATGCCGAACGCTCCGATCATCATCAATTTCCGACGACCGGTGCGTTCTATCAGCGGAAGCGCTACCAGTGACGCGAGGAAATACTCTGTCCCGTTGCAGGCCGCAAGGAGACGAGCCATATCGGGCCCGAAACCGAGCGAATTCTCAAACAAGAACGTGGCGTAGTATGTGATCAGGTTGATGCCGCAGATTTGTTGGAAGAATTGCGCAATCATGGCCAGTGCGGCACGACGGCAGTTCTGCGAAGGTCCATTGGTGAGCAGCTCTCTGTACCTGAAGGGGCCGTCTCGACTTTGAGCTTCCAAAGCATCATTGATGTTGCGCAGCTCTTCGTCAACGGCCGGGTCGTCCTCGGGCTTATTCACTAGACGAGCAGTGACGTCGCGAGCTTCAGTGTGGCGACCCTTCATGATCAGCCATCGTGGAGAGTCGGGTAGGTAAAGAAGACCGATCATCACGATGATGGTAAAGAACGACTGGAACATGAGAGGGAACCGCCATCTAACGGAGCCTTCGAGGAAGTAGAAGCCGTAGTCAACCCAGTAGGCGATCATGATACCGGCGGAGATCAAAGCACCTGACAACATGATCAGGACGCCACGCTGATGGGGGCGGGCACATTCGCTTTGCCAGGTTGGAATAGCTAGAGAATAGGTTAGTAAATTGTATATGCAATCTTCCAGGAGCATGGGACCTACTGGATGTCACCATTCCGTTCCCGATGCCACCGACAACACGACCGGCAACAAACAGTCCATACTCGAAGCAGGCTACCTGCATGATAGTTCCAATGATCATGATCAGTGATCCCCAAAATGTGGAAGACTTCCGGCCCCATTTCTCGCCATATGCCAGAATAACCAGCGATCCGAGCCAGCACCCGACCTGGTAGATGGCGACTCCAGCCGCCTGAGTATTAGCGTCTCCTTTGCAGTGATCGGGATGAGGGATAGTGTTCTCCGGGTTATCCAGCCAGCATAGATCATTCGACTTCTCTCTCGGGGTCATCAGAGACAGAGTCTCCTGGAAAGAGTCCAACGTGAGCAGGGCGCTGAGCACACCCTGGTCATAGCCGAACATCAAGAAACCGCAACTGGCAATGAAACCAATGGACCAGTTAAGCGTTCTACCCGCCAGGGCTTTACCGCGAAACTTCCATTCTGGCAGTTCTTGCATCCACCCGAACCATTTGTCCATGGTGCTCCCACTTCTGAACTGCTGGTGCTCATATTTCATGCGCTCTTCCTTACTGGCGTTTCGTGTGGGCGATGAGTCGGAAGATTGATCGTGCAGGTGCTGCGAATTGGGGAACATGTCCCCCGCGGTTTTTTCGTTCTCCGATGGACTCGACATGGCGGTAAGAACGCCTCTCAATGGCGAAAATACACAGGGAAACGAAGTCCGGCTCTTACCCCAGACAGAGAGCAACTTGATCCGGGGTAAGGGGGTCCATTTTTATACCCGACGATCAGAGCCCCACGGCCTGTCCTGGACACGTCTCCTGCGTCGTGGAGGAGTAGAGGATAGGCAAATGTGCTCCTTTTCGGCCCCAGAGCACCTGTTGATACTCCATACTTCCAGTCCACGCAGACGACGATTGGCTCCCGACCGCCAAGACCTGCCGACCGGGTTCCGCCATGACGGACTTGGCGCTGAGGGCACGGATTGGACGCATTGGGAAATCCGAGCGTCAGCCAAGGCTTGGCCTGCACCCACCATCGCCCGCCCTACGCGGAAATCTGCTCGGCACCTCGACAGCGCTGGCACGGCCGATGTCATTTACCTGTTTTCCAGCCGACCGAGCGCGCGGCATACGTGTGGCCTTCCTTGAATATTCTCGGGTATTCTCTCATCTCTGGCTTTCGGCTACCCTCCAACAGCCCCGGTCATTTCCCTACTGCCGCCCGAAGGACACCACTTCGCACTAGGTGGACGGTCATCCCGCATGGTTCTCTTCCCACGCGACCTCCTGCTTCCAAGCAAATACGGCAGACTGGGCGTGGGATCTGCGAAAGTATGTGCGGGGATTGATGGGACACTGAACCGCTGGGATCTTCGTTGATCGCTGCTCAGCTGCTCTCTCAGACGTGGTATTCACTCTCAAAAAGTCCATCGTGTCTCCTGACAATCCTGCTCTGGGAGGGGACTTTCGCTCTATCACATTAGCTCTCTCAGTGGCCAAATCAGGAAGAATCGATCTGCCCACCTGGTTTCGAATGAGGCAGCATGGCCAAGTCTCGGCGTCCGTGTACGTGGAGCGATGCGCGGTCATGTTGTCTAATGATGATCTCCCTTGTCTCACTGCGACCACAAAATGTGCAACTCGTCCCAATCTGTCAAATTGGCGCAGTTGGGTGACTCGAATCATGGGTGACGCTGTCGCCGGCAATGCCCGTTCAGTCTGCCATTCGCTTCTAGGAGTTCGGGATACGCCGAACAGTCATTCGTGTTTAAACACTTCAATCGTAGACTCAATGTAGATTCCATACCTTTTCTTACTCGGGATACTTGCTTGGGTGTCATCTGTTCTGAAACCGACTTGGGAAATAAACATCTGACGATCTATATTTCTACAGCACTTTCGGCCCGAACTCCGCCCCCCAATCACACAGTTTAGGGAACTACTGGTTGGGCGTCAGATCACCCGGGCTCTTTAGTTCCTCCTGAATCTGGAACCACGGTCTGCTATTGTGATTCTATGACCATCGAATACGACCCCCCTATGTCGGCCAAATGCGGTATTTCTATGCACTCTGTCGATGCGGATGACATTGGCCCTAAGATCCACTTGCTTCCTGCAGCCCCTACTTACGCTGGATATTGGATGTATGCGCCGATCTTCCTCTTTTATCCCTGACTCAAACAGCTTTGTCCGTTTCCACAGTTTGTGTTGTGGTCGGGCGTTGTGGCCAATGTCTGAGCGCTTGGCCTCTTGAGGTGGAATCCTGATTCTTGGATGCCCCAGCTTCTACACAGCCACGGTGTTTTCATGGCTCCAAACCCTGGTCCAGAATGTTCTTTCGTATTTTCAATCATCGCGGTTAACCCCGGGATCTTCTTTCATCTTGCCTCATGATCAATGCATGTGCGTGAATATTCTTGGTTGAGTCTGGAATTGCCATGGCTTCTTGTGGGACTGATATGCGTCTGCCAGGGACGGCCCGATGGCACCTGGAGGTTTTGGTTATGGGTATCGCTATTCCACATGTCTTAGTGCGCATTGCCACTTCTCTCGTAGATTTGTTTACTCAACCTTTTAGTGACCGGACACTGGTGCCTCGCTACTTGCTCGATATCTCCCTTCTGACCTCTGACTGGCTGCGTATACCCCAGGACAAGATCTCATCTCACGGCATATCTCATAGCTCTTGGCCTCGTCTAATTTCAACGCCGTTTATTCTAGTCTTGGCTCGTCGGGAAGCATACAGGGAATGTTTTGCCGCAGACGTAAGCGGCTGGCACATGGATACTCTTGGCCTTTGTGCACAACTTGGTTCATACAACTTCAAATCTTCCTGATGCTCTTCCTCCATCACCAGCACTCACGATACAAAAAGTACTTCCCGATTCTCACCCTTCGAAGGGTGGATTCTTTTCTAATTCAACAGGTACCTAGTTTTTCTATCCAATCCTACCCCGAGAGTCGCCCGCCTTATTGTTTCTACTTCCTCCTTTCGTTTTTTTCTTTTCTTTTTCTTTTGTCCATTTTCTTTGGGAAGTTCCCCTTCGTTGAATAACGAAGCAGAGTAATCACAAGAACTTTATCCCATCTCTGACAGACATGAAAATTTATCTGGTTGACAAATATATATGTCCTGCAAACACCGAGCTTCCCTACTCCGCAGAATTATCACAGAACTATTTCATTTTTGTTCTCCACCACGACCCGCACCCTCTTCACTCAATTTTCAAAAACAATTTATAGCATAAAAGGAACCTTGCACCGTAGATTTGAAATGCAGCTTGAAATCTAGGCCAGCCGAGTCGTTCAGGATTCGCATGCCAAGAAATATCCGAACGGTCACCAATCCGGACAGGATCTGACTAGATGCCCTGAAGGTATCCACTTGGTGCTCGTAACGGAGACTGTGGCTGGTGGGCACTTAATATGTATCTAGGCAACGTTTTTAACGAAGTAGACCAGAATCCTGCAGCACGTTCTTTATGATTCGCTTGTTGTATCTGCGAACAAGGATTCGCAGTGTAGAACGCACGGACTGATAGAAGGTGTAAATGTTGTGCCTTTTCCACGTAGGATAGCCCGCCAGATATATCCTTCCTTCTTGTTCATATGGAATGAATTGAAATAACCGCAACTATAGTCATCACTGCCCTTGTGTGTTGCATAACCATCATGTCGGCATTTGAACCCAGAGATTGGAGCTTCTCTCTCTTCGCATGCTTCTCCCCAATTGGTATTTGTATGTTGACCTACTCTGCTAATTCAAGTCTCTTTTGCAATCCGACTGTAACATGTACTAACGAAGAATTTTACTAGGTTTACGCAGCTGGCTCTGCCCATGTGTACAATATGGAAAAACACAAGCCCGGCTCAAGGATCCGTACCGGTCATCTTACAGCTGCTGCAACTCCGATGTAAGGCTCATGTGCCATGCCAGGCATTGTTTTGCTCCAGGCAGCGGTCATTCTAACCACTACTTGATACAGTGTGTGATTTGGACAATAAGCAACCTGCTTTGCTGCTGCGGCTGTGTTCAGTTCTGCAAGCGCAGGGCCATGGCCAGCCAGTTGAATATCAAGTCGGCTTGCTGTGGTGACTGTGTAGCTGCCTGCTTCTGCCCCTGTTGTGCTTTAGTGCAGGAGGGGAAAGAGGCGGATCGGTTTGTCCGGTCCATGCAGGATGGGTATCAGCAGACGTTTCCTATGACTTATCCGGGAAGGTGATCTACAGGCGTATCTGAGATAGAAATAGATCGTTAGCTTGACTAGTAGCTCAATATCTTACGGAGTATAATCAACGTCAAGGTGTTACCACCACGTAGAGCCCGGAGGAAAGGGAGAATTGAGGTACGTCACCAACGACACCGGCGAAGTCCGCTTCTACCATACTAGTCTGATCACCAAACACTAAGCCGTGGAGCTTATATTCGATACAAATGGTTACCGGCATGGTATCTGTGACTAATGGGAAATTGCCTGAATCAAATAGTGGATCAATCGAGGATTAAATTTTCGGCCCATCAATATGCGGATAAGGAGCCTGACCAACACTTGTACGATGATATAATATATTCGGCGAACTTGTGACGAAGACTTATCAGAGAATAGAGTTGAATAATCACCGTGACCCGGCTATAAAGAGAATTCAAAATAAATAGAAAATCCGCCACGATCGCATTGTTGAATGACCCCTTTAAATTGGATGATTTCACGCATCCGCTTAGAAAACCCCACCCGTGCCCTACGCCCTGCTGCCTGCGAGTTCCGTCCGCTTTATTCACCTCTTCATGTGGCGCAGCTGTATGCAGGAACTTGAAATATTCAACGATTCCCTGATGCCTGGAGCTAGACTGCTTGGCAGGACAATTAGAGTAGACTAATTTGCTGAGAAACACACTATCTGGCCCTAGAAGTTTATCGGGCGGAAAGTGCCGTCAAGCGATGCTCACTAATTCACGATAGTCGATGGTTTTCCGCGGAGTTCGACATAAAGTCTTCGATAGAATAAAGATTCCAGTCTCAGTACATTAGTAACCCTTTCCTTATTGCCCTCTAAGAGTTAGGTCACAATCGAAAAGTTGAAGCCTGGTTTGATATCCACTGTGTCCCAACCAACCTGTTTGGCCGCGAGGCTTCACGCCTTAGCTCAATATTTATAAGATAAGAGAAGGAACCATATTATTTAGGACATATAATCATTCAGCCGTGTTCATTCTCTATAGCTGACGGCTGGACTTGTTTGGCGAAAATGAAGTATTCTTCCTTGGTTCGGGCGGCCGGGGTGGCTGCGGCTTTCTCAGGTGAGTTACTGCAATGGCTCACCATGAAGCCTTACATACCCTAACTATACTCTTATCCTCAAGGTGCTCTCTGATTTGAGGCAGAAAATGAGAAAATTACACTCCACGAACGTTCCCTTCCCAACGCTCCCGATGGCTATGTCCCAACCGAAGTCGAATGCCCATCCAACCGCCCGACTGTTCGCAGCGCAGCAAGGCTCTCGTCCCACGAAACGGACTGGCTTGGTCAGCGTCGCAAGAAAACATTCGATGCGATGAAGGAGTTTTTTGGTCACGTCAAGATTAGCGATTTTGACGCTGTCTCCTATCTGCAAAAGGCAGCACATGACATGGACAATGTGCCCAATGTAGGCATTGCTGTCTCCGGCGGAGGATACCGCGCTCTGATGAATGGCGCCGGCGGACTCAAGGCGTTTGACAGCAGGACTGAGAACTCCACTGCCTCGGGGCAGCTTGGGGGGCTGCTGCAATCAGCGACATATTTGTCTGGTCTCAGCGGTGGGGGTTGGTTACTCGGCTCGCTATATATGAACAACTTCACGAGCGTTTCTTCTCTGCAGACGGATACCGTGGGTACTCCGTGGCAGTTTTCAAATTCAATCCTCGTTGGTCCGGATGATGGCGGCCCCCTTCTATCATCTGCATTGGAGTATATGGAAGCAACCCGCGATGCCGTCAAGGCAAAGAAGGAGGCCGGCTTTTCTACAACAGTCACGGACTATTGGTATGTTGCCTGGTATTCGTAGCGGAAGCAAAGATCCAATGTTGCATACCGTTTTAATATCCAATACAGCTAACCGTGTCTCTATCATAGGGGTCGAGCACTGGCATACCAGCTCATTCATGCGTCCGAAGGCGGCATCAATTTCACCTGGTCCTCAATCGCCAAGTCACACAACTTTCAGGAAGCCGATATGCCTCTGCCTATCCTTGTGGCTGATGGCCGCAATCCAGGCGAGCTCCATGTTGGTGGCAATGCGACCGTCTACGAGTTCAACCCGTGGGAGTTTGGCACTTTCGACCCGACTCTGTTTGGATTCGTGCCACTCGAGTATCTGGGATCTCGCTTCATCGGCGGCAAATTGCCCAGCAAAGAGAAGTGTGTTCGCGGTTTTGATAACGCGGGATTCGTTATGGGCACCTCGTCTAGCCTGTTCAACCAATTCTTGCTGAACATCAACGACACCGATATACCCGATGCAGCCAAAGATATCTTGGCCGGCGTTCTGGAGTTGGTTGACGACCAGGAGAAAGACATTGCCAATTACACCAATCCATTCTATCTCAATCCTGGATCCAAGTCCCATTACGCTGAATCGGAATTCCTCGCGGTTGTGGACGGGGGCGAAGATCTTCAGAATCTCCCCTTGCATCCGCTCATCCAACCTGAACGCCACGTGGATGTGATATTTGCCATCGACTCGTCTGCAGATAACAACAACTGGCCTGACGGCACTTCCCTGGTGGCTACATACGAACGGAGCCTGAATTCCAAGATCAACAATGACACTGCTTTCCCAGCAATCCCCGATCAAAACACGTTTGTCAATCTCGGATTGAACACACATCCGACCTCCTTTGGCTGCAACAGCTCGAACATCACCGGAACCGGAGACGCCCCCTTGATCGTGTATATTCCTAACTCGCCTTATACAACACATTTCAATGTCTCTACCTTCGATCGGAAGTATAACAACACCCAGCGCGACGCCATCATCATGAATGAATACCATGTTGCCACGATGGGAAATTCAACTCGGGATTCAGACTGGTCCACTTGCGTTGGATGTGCCATGCTGAGCCGTTCTTTTGAGCGTACCAACACCTCGGTGCCTAGTATCTGTGGCCAGTGTTTTGATCGGTATTGCTGGAATGGCAAAACAGATAGTCGCAAGCCAGATAGCTATGAGCCGAAGATGGTTCTCACAGAGCAGAGTCTCACTAACTCGGCTGCTGGATTGACCAGTCCTCTTCAATGGGCTTCACTCGTGTTAGGGGCAACTTTCCTTGCCCTTTTCTATTAGCTTGGTCGAGCTGCTTTGGCAGGGTTTCGTGTGCCAGCCCTGGCCAGGCCTAATTCCGGACCTTCGTCGTCTGTCTTACATTCTTTACTTTTCCTTCGTTTCTTTTCTGGCACATTCGTTGAATTGCTTTCCCTTTGTATATCCTGAACCTTCACTCCTGTATCTTTCTCCCCTTGACTTATTCCTTTCAAAAACCTGCCTTATGCCTTCCTGCTTATGCCTCAGGTCTTCATCTGGGCACTCCTTCCATCCTTTCTATCTAGCGCCCTATCCCGCGGGCAGGACAAACCTTGAAATATCACCTTGTTTATCACGTATAATGCATCGCTCGTGGATACAACATAACTGCTGCTTCTTCTATTGTCACAAATACTTTAATCGCCATGTCAGAGTGCGGGCTCTCTTCTCCCTGCAATGAAACACGCACTCAGAAAAGCAAGATGAGTGATTTGACTTTTTGGGTGGCCATGTGACTTATAACCAATAGATAGTTTATCAATAAGATTCAAGCCATTTGGAGAGAAGTTTAATCGAGAATATTTTCCCTACCCATTCTGCACTGCACAAAGCTATTGACGTCTATTTCCCTCAACACAAATCGACACCAGTATCCAACGCACGCAAAACCCCTCAAGCGTACATAAATCCCACCGAAGAGGGGTAAATTGACCGCTACTTCCGCTGCAGATATTGTAAAATTTCCTCGCAGCACCTTCCCCTGCCAGTTCTTCTTCATGGCAGGTGATAGGTGCCGAGAGGAGGGGCTGCGCGAGCTAACGCTGCACAAATCACCACGACACGAACGGCAGGGATCTTGATAGGAGAATATACCCGCGATTCATGCACGTCATCGACGATCGCAGCCTATGGCATTAGGAAGTTATCCTGCATGGACTGGCTTCGTTCCTTGTTTTGGGCGATTTTTAAGATCGGGATTATTTTTGCCGCTGACGGGAAGTTCTTTACATCTCTACCTGCCTGTGGGATTGTATACGGTTTGTTCGGAATTTTGTATCTGGCCATGTCTCGTGATTCAATGAAAGCAAGCGATAATGCCACGCCGGTCCCCTCTGAGGAGAGAGATCAGTCGGATCTTATCTCGGCTGGGTCGCAGGACCTGCACCGTCGACTCAGAGGTCGAGAGGTGCAGCTGTTCGCGGTTGGAGGAGCGATCGGAACTTGTAAGTCATGATTCTTCTCAGTCAATCGCGTCGCTTATGTGTCCAGCGCTCTTCGTGCAAATGGCCGCTGTCTTGCCCAAGGCTGGACCTGCCGGACTGTTCCTCGGTTTTGTCGCGTACGCCACTATCGCCTTGAGTGTTAATCAATGCTTCGGTGAGTTCTGCCATAGTTCAGGGGCTTCGTCGAGAGAAATACTGATGGCTTCACAGCGGAGATGGTGTGCTACCTCCCTGTGCCCTCGCCGTTTGTCCGGCTAGCGAGTCACTGGGTGGATGATGCCTTGAGCTTTGCGATGGGATGGAATTGGTTCCTGAATATGGGTAGGTGATTTGGCTCACTTCGGCGGAGGGCTTACTGACGCGTTCAAGCCCTTGGTATTCCTTATGAGATTGTCGCTATCAATGTCTTGCTCACTTACTGGACTGATAAAATTCCCGTGGCTGTTGTGGTGGTGGTATGTATTGTTCTATATGCGTATGTCAGCTCATATCTCCTCTAAGTACCAGATGTTGATCTTGAGCAACAGACTTCTGAACATATTGACTGTCAGATACTTCGGCATTTCCGAGTTCTATCTGTCCATCTTCAAGATATTCCTCATGCTAGGCTTGATCATGTACACGTTTGTTACTATGGTTGGCGGTAATCCGAGACACGACGTCTATGGATTCCGATACTGGCGTGACCCGGTTCGTGCGTCCCCCAGATCGAGTATTAATCTAACCTTAACAGGGTGCCTTCGTCTCTTACCTCGTCCCTGGTGACACCGGACGGTTCTGTGGAGTAGTTGCGAGCATGGTCCAAGCATCCTTCACGTATGACCCCCATCCGACCGACATGTCCCAAACTAATGGACCAACAGCATGGTCGGACCCGAGTACATCTCCATGGCCGCCGCCGAAGCCGAGCGACCCCGAACCGTCATGAAAAAGGCCTACTCCGCCTTCGTCTGGCGACTGATGTTCTTCTTCCTCGGCGGTGCTCTCTGCATGGGCATCGTGCTTCCGTACGACGACCCCGTGCTGGCCGCAACCCTCGATGGAACGCGTGAAGGGAGCGGGACCGGCGCAGCGTAACCTTCCTCTCTCTCCCCAGTCACACCAATCCCTCAATCTAACACATTCAGATCCCCCTACGTCATCTCCATGGACCACTTCAACATCAAAGGCCTCCCCTCCCTCGTCAACGCCCTCATCATGACCTCCGTCTTCTCCGCCGGCAACAACCTCGTCTTCTCCGGCGCCCGCACCCTCCACGGCATGGCCCTCGAAGGCCAAGCCCCGGCCTTCCTGTCCCGCTGCAACCGCGCAGGTCTCCCCTACTACGCCGTCGCATGCACGATGGTCTTCTCAGCGCTCGGCTTCCTGCAAGTCAGCAACAGCTCGGCGACGGTGCTCAACTGGCTCGTTAGCATCATCACTGCCTCCTACCTCCTCAACTACTTCGGTACCTGCATCACCTATCTCCACTTCCACGCTGCCTGTCGTCGTCAAGGCGTCGACCGCAACTCGCTGCCCTATAAGGGGCTCTTCCAGCCCTATGCGGCGTGGTACACCGTCTTCGGGACGGGGATCATGATGCTGGTTCTGGGGTTTGATTTATTCTTTGATGGGCAGTGGGATACGACGAGCTTCTTTTTGAATTATACCATGATTGGGTTCTTTGTTGTTACGTTCATCTTCTGGAAGGTGGCCCGTAGGTCCAGGTATGTGTGGCCTGGGACGGCTGACTTGCAGTTTAATGGGTTGAAGGCGGAGATTGATACATATGAGGCTTGTTTTGTGCCGAAGAAGAGGGGGAGGGTGGGGAGGATTTTCAATGGGCTTTTTGAGTAGGGGTTGTCCATCTGGGGGGGTATTCAGGGTAATTACTGAGGTAGATTTGATTGCGCGCCCTCGATCTTACATAGTTGAATCTTCACCTAGATACAAATAAGCCTCTACTCAGACCCCAGCTCGAACTTCTTCACCGTAACCTTCCCACCCAGCTCCTCCGTCGCATAATTAAAGATCCCATACCGATACCCCAGAAAGAACGGCCAGTCGCTATTCAGCGTCAACTCACCCCCTAAATCAGTGAACGATGTCCCGTCCGTGCTATACGCAAACGACCCCTTCCGGCCCGTCCCGGGGGTGATATCGATCGTCGCGCGCAGCCAGATCTCGTCTCCGGATACATCAGCCCCTGCTTCCTCGCTGCCCTTCGATTTGGTGCTCCAGTCGGTGTTCATGGTCAGTCCGTTCGTCATGCTGACTCGGGAGGTTCCGTCGTCGCGACGGATCCCGATCCATGCGGATGAGTCTCGGAAGAGGGACAGCCCGGCGCGATCGCCGTTCGTCATGGATGAGATGTCGAGGTGGATGATGGCGCTGGATTTCGGGCCAGGGATTCGTCGCGTTAGGGTGTTGCGCGCGGCGTAGAGGTCGTCCGTTACGGTTGCTGCTTGCAGAATGAGTCCGTTGTCGAGGCTCCATTTGCTGTTGTCCGGGTTGTGGTTCCATTCCCACTCCGCGCTAAGGGTTGACTCCTCGAATGTGTAGGAGGTCGGGATCGGGGAGACGGTCTTGTCGGTGGACACGGAGGGGAGAGGGTACGATGATCCCCAGGCCCCGCTGTCCAGCGTCACAGACGGCCAGCCATCCTCGTCCCATTCGACCGGAGCCAGCACCGGGATTCGACCTCCCGGGTACGCGTCGATGAACGCCATATAGTACCAGTCGCCGTCGGGGGTGTCGACCAGGGCTCCTTGGTGCGGGCTGCCGGCGCCAGCGACGGGGGCGTTTACGCCGATGACAACCTCGCGCAGCTCGTAGGGGCCGAATGGGCCGGAGGTGGACTTTAGCACGAATTGGTCGCTCGCCGGCCGGGTCAGCCAGATGTAGTGGGCGCCGTTGATGTTGTAGAAGCGCGCGCCCTCAAGATAGCCGATGTCGGCGGGCGCGCGGTACACGACTTCGCTCTTGACTTCGCTGAGGCCGTCGGGCGACAGCTGCGCGACCGAGATGTTGTACTTGTCGTAGGCGACGTACATCGTGTCGTCGCTGTCTACGAGGAGTCCGGCATCGTAGTAGCAGCGCGGGATCGTGCCGCTCTTTTCCCACGGCCCTTCGGGCGTGTCGGCGGTGTAGATGTACGTGGTGCTGGAGTCGATGCAGCCCAGCCAGAAGAACGTCTGGTCGCTGGGTCGATATTGGATGGTTGAGGCCCAGATGCCGCGCACATAGGCCCGTTTGCCGTCTTCCAGGGAGTAGTCGGAGCCCCAGTCGAGCTCGGGGACGGAGTGTCCGATGTACTCCCAGTCTGCGAGGTTGTAGGACCGCAGGACGGGGGCTCCGGGGGAGTAGTGCATCGTCGAGGCAGAGTAGTAGAAGGTGTCATTGACGCGGATGACATCGATGTCGGCCAGATCCTCCCACAGGACGGGGTTTGTGAATGTGCTCTGGGCCTGGGTGAGGGCACTCAAGCCCAGGAGGGCGACGGAACCTGCTACCTTCATTTTTTCTGGTTAGTTGGTTTGAGATTTTGGTCATCAGTCTACTGCAGCAGTATTTATCACATCCCGCCGGCCTTGAGGATATCGCCAGATCCGCTTGGCATACGACATCCCCCACGAAGATGCCCGGCACCGCCAGGAGTATTTCCGCATCGGAGCCTAGTCTGCTGGTGCCAATACTCCACCGCGCATTCTTCAGACTGGAAAGGGTAATTTTCCATGGGACGAACTCTTCTCTCCACATCGACTGACTTGTGGGGAATTGCGGAGTCTCTTGCCCGGATTTGCGCGACTTGGCATGCGGAGGCACGTCCGTTACGTCTGTGGTGCTAATGGCCGCCCTAGAAGAAAGAAGGAATGCAATCTATCATGAACCTCATAAATAAACGAGAAAGGAAGTACATCAAGCATATCGCGGTAGCACTGGACGAGGTGCGGCCACTTGGTACGGCGGAGGAGCCGGATAAGCCATGGGCACCATCCGGGGCGGCGGTGCAGATGGTCGCACTTTAGGACGCCGACAACAGCAACAGATAACACATCCCAGAAATGCAAGGACCAGAGCACCCCCTATTCCAGCTGCTAGACCGATTACAAGCGTCCGGTGCTGATCAACCCACGAAGATACCCCATTTCCCCCGTCGTTCTCGTTCGCACTTCGGCACCGTCCATTGCGACACGATCCTCCATCGCACGGAGTCCCATCAAGCACTTGCTGTCCTGTGTTCATGCAGCTTCCTGAGCCCTCACTGCAACTGAGTGTGCATGAATCACCATCACACGACGAAATGCTGGTGCTGTTTGAAGCCAGCTGCTCCCGACATTGCATATCCCGACTGGTACATTCGCCGCTGGCGCAGAAGAGCCCTGTGCTGTTACCGCAGCTCTCTCCGTCTGGAACATGTCTGTCGGACGGACATCGACTCGAATTGCCCGGGCAGGTTTCCTCAATATCGCAGGTCCCTGAGCTCCGACGACACACGGTGTCGGAGGACGCGTATTGGCATTCATTGCAACATGGCCCGGACGCATCGTCGCATTCTGCTCCATCTCTGAATCGACAGGTGGAGCCATTGCAGCACGAATTCCCATCACAATCGTCGCCGCAGTCGCAGTCTTCTCCTGCCTCCACGATCCCGTTGCCACATTCCCCGGGGGTGATGGTGGGCACGTCGTCGTTGCTGATCAGACAGTTTGTGCGGACGTCTCCCGACCCGATTGCGGAGCAGACGTTTCCGAGTGTGCAAGGGGAAAAGTCGGTATGCGAGGAGCTCGAATATGGGTTCATGAGGTACTGGGCGTCTGCGTCGCATGTGGACGAGGATAGAGGGCAACACTGCTGTCGGGAAGCGGAACATGTGCTGGCCACACAGTCATGGACGGCTCCGAAGGTGTGTGCGGACTCGTGACTGTAGTATTCCAATGTCAGAGTCGGTCTGCTACCCAGGACTTGCATGAGCACTTACGCGAAAACCTGCCATTCATTACCCGTCCGGGCGACAACATTCGCGCTCATTCGCGAATTACACAGCTCCCCGATCCAAGACACTCCAACTTCTCCGCCGGTCCGACACGTCGTCATGAGGGTCCAGTATGCGTTTGTCGAGTCGTCGAGGGATCGTCTCCAGGATGAGAACTGCCGAAGACGCCAGTCCATGTCGCCCTCCGAGCACTCGACGTTCCAGGGTGTCGAGTCCGATGCGCTGTTCGGACAGTTTGCGTCGCTAATCGTTACGTTGTGAAGGCCCAACGAGATGTTGAAGGTGCTTTCAAACACCTCGGAAGCTGTGTTCACCATGTTGATCAGGTTCCGACGGACGGATTCGGTGGAGTTGAATGCAGCTGTGTATGAGCAGTCTGTCGCTATGCCGACTAGCGCGACTCTTCTCGTTGTGGGACAGCCCTCTGCGCTGCCGATGCTGTCTGTTAGATCGCCGGGATTGAAGCCGAATTGGCGTTTCTCGAGATCTTGGACCGTTGATCCGGTCATCATGTCGATACCGCCCATTAGAGGATCAGTGGTCCCTGGATTTGAAAGGTCTCCAGCTGCACATGTCTCCCCTACGCTGTCCGACCTCTTCGCTTCATGATGCACGACCACATGTGATGTCATTTCCGGCGTAACCCCATTTCCCTCGTCGTTAGATACGACCTCAACACGATACCGTTGCCCCGCGATCGTGAACGCGCCTTCAAACAGAGGGCTCTCCCCATCTTGGAGCACGTATATCCTGGCCCAGCCTTGTTTCTGCCAGTCTTGATCCTCCAGGCGAGCCCAGAGACTACCTCTATAGACCCTATCCTGCGTTCCGTCTAGTGTTCCGGTTTGCAAGATCTCGCCGTTGGAGTCAAGGTGGCGAATGTGAGGCGTCTGGACAAAGATATCATGGTTCGGTTCCAGATGCAGTCTGTACTCGGGTTCTTGGTTGGCTATCCGGAACGAGATTTTGAATTCCGTCCTCAGAGTTGCTTTATGTGACGGGGTGTGGATTGTCACATCTTCAAGACTGCTCGATTCGTATATTGTATAGGAATGTATTGAGCGGCCTGTTAACGTTAGTGCGATCACATCGCCAGATTGGGAAGTTAATACCTGAAGCAAGTCCAATTATCGGGATTAACCATGCCAGTAGAGTAATAAAAACCACGGATCTCATGTTTTTCGATTCTTTACTTCGACCTGGCATACGTCGTACAAATTCAAGGGTTACTCCCTTTTATAGATACCACCACACCCATCTACCTATCCACCCTCTATCTCACATCAACTCTCTACGCAACTCTCATAAAGACCCACATCATCTAGGCATCAGAATAAACCAGATCCGATTCCACCCCCAAGCCAGAGCAAACTGCAAGCCAAGACCGACTCGTCACCGCTGAGACCCGCCAATGCTGACAACGGACTGGGTGTGGCTCCACCGCACCAGTGTCACCCCGAGCCCTATGTCCAAGCACAGCCTCCATGGCCTGGTGTCTTGGACCTTGTGTCGCTTTCTTGGCTCCGACTGGTGGGAAATCCGTGCCAAGGATTCATCGAGGCGCGGGGTTTGCTGGTGGCTGTGCTTTGATGGGTTTGGGAGTATTGGGTTAGAACGGGTTTTAGTTCATTGGGTTGTTGTCGAATGGGTAGTGTTCTATGTCAAATTTTCTTCATATGCTATTGTTCAGTGGGTCATGCTAGAAATGCGTGATCAGGTCGTCTATGGTAGTCTGTCGATTCCTGTTCACTCGCTCATTATTCAAGAATAGTCACATTATTTACAACTGGTGTTTATTCCTCCACTTTGTATCAATCAATGTCAGATTTCCGCTAGAAGATCTGCATGATAAACCCCCTACAAGAGCCCATTCGTCACATCATCGCCGGATATTTGTATCCATTGATGCCATTCGCAAGCGAGGTATTTGAATTTCATGACAGCCGTATACTTCGTCCTTTTCAATCGCTCAATCTGGTTCAACTTCCTCCCCAGTCGCCACCTCACCCATAGAATCCGCAAGCATCTGCTCGGCATAAAGGGTCAAGAAAATCAGAGGCAAAAGCCACGCAGCCATCGATGAGTGGCAAAATCAAGAACGTGGAAAGGTTGGGTAGAATGTTTTGAAACACGGATTTCTCGATTTCTGACTCCAATAGTATCAAGAAGTGTACGCGTTTATACCTCTTTTCCCTCATCAGCATCCGGAGTTAACGTGTAAGGCCGGGCGATGACACTTTTAGGGTTCCGCCGGGCTGCAACTTGCTGACCGGCGCCCCACGAGGGCATTCTTGGCGGTATGCCTGGTGGGTTTGGGTCTCTTTGTGTCCTTATCTCGGTCTTCTTGTTCTAGAATGTTGTGCGGTTGATGACTCGGTGGAGAATGCGTGATCCGCGGTCGGTATGTTATTTTTGGGTTTTTCTCGGTGGAACTTTGCCTGCGCTTCGGATTCCTCCGTGGCAGAAGAAATCCATGCCGAGAACACAGGTGAGAGGGAATATCGACAGGCAAACTTACTCGATGGCATCGCACGTTCAAGGCCACATTCGCTCTCAAAATGTCATCGTGATCACGGAAACCTGCGCAACAATACCGGGTTAGCATGGTATATATTCCACACCATGAGCAAGATTCTTCACTCAAGTCCCCAGTGCGCTGTCCTAGGGAGATAACGCCAGACCACGAAAGCTGCAAAACACCCAAAGAATAGCTTAAAACGATCTCCCGGTGAACCAACCGCAAACTACGGAATAACAAAACCTACGACTCGATGGCAACGCGCATGGTCAAGTCGGCCATCGGCAAGTGGACCACAACCCGAAATTCCGCTGAGTCATGCGATCCCCAACTGGTGGATTGCGACGATTCGCGATGATTGGAACACTCCTTCAGAATGCAGACTATCTGCACTCAGCTGTGGAAATTCGAGGTGCAGATCAATGGAACCCTGCGTCCGAATGACCGGCGATGGGACCGATGGTCTCTTTAGGGGTCCCGCGAAGTCCTCCATCTGAGTCTTTCCTCCTCCTGCCACCAATTTCCACCATGTCACCGCGAGGACCCTCCAGGATGCTGTAAGACTGCTATACGACTCCGAGCTAATGCTTTAATATCTCGGCCTCGGCATTGCATTCCCCGCATTTCCCCACACTCCGACCATCCCCATGCTTTTCGGTCCTTTTGTCTTTGCTTGCGGTTTCTCCCTCCTTGTCTTCTCGCATCGCTGTCGCCATGTTTGGTGAATCCCCTTCTACCACCTCTCCCACGTCGCCGCAGAGATCTGCCAAGGGGTACTTTAAATGTGGCAGCTGCAGCAAGAGCTATGTTCGCGCAGACCATCTTATTCGGCATGTTCGGTCTCGTTAGTCGCCTTTCCCCTAGCCTAGATCAAGGCAATTGACAGAGTTACAGATACAAGAGAGAAACCTTACGTTTGCCACATCTGCAATAAAGGCTTCGCCAGGCCGTTAGTATCATTCCTTCCTCGGCTCGTCTATATGCTGATTGAAATAGTGACTTGATGAAGCGGCATGCTGCGGGTCACGAAAATCCAGACGAAGGAAAACGAAAACGACCCCCATCGTATCCGAAGAACGGTCGCGTCTCCCAGGCCTGTGCTGCTTGCGCTAAAAGTAAACTGAAGTGTGACGAGGAGAAGCCGTGCAAACGATGCAGGGAAAAGGGATTCACGTGCGACTGGCCGGATGGCGGGAATGATGCGTCGCCTTCCCCTGTGCAAGGTATTTGGACTGTCGCCTTAATTATGCCTCGTTGCTGACAATATGGGACCTTAGGATCGCATACCGACCAACCGAACGATTCCCTCGACGATGGACTCGAGCAGCCCTCACTCTCACCTTTTAATCCTGGCGAGGAGGCTGAAATGCTAGATGTAATCGACCCGGCTGATTTGGAGTCCCCTGTCGCAATAGATCCCTATTTGCCCGCAACAGGGACGAATCCATTACCCGATGATGGCTTGTCAATGACTTACGGTGGTGAGCTTTGTTATTGTTGTCTGGTAGCTTCAGCTATTGATCGAGTTCAGCTCAAACGATTTCTCCTGCCATGGATCATGACAGCGGTATTTTCAGCGTCGACGGTACCTTTTTTCCGAACTTCATTCCCGACTCCTTAATCCCTTCTCTTGCGCGTCACGATATGGACACCTCGACCAACCTACCGCACGACTACATTCACGATGTATTTGATCATAATGTGAATTTTGACTTCGACCTCACCGACGTGGACTTTGGCCTGATTGATTTCTTCAACACCCGAGGAATTGCCGAGGCACCCGACCGCTCCGATGCAGACAGCGGCATTGCCCTGGGCGCCGAAGCATACCGACGGTCATCATTATCGAACTGGACGCCAGCCCATGAAGACCATGCATACGCTCACCAAGGCGACCTATCGGTCCCTAAATCCATCGACAGCCCAGAGGCCAACATGCGACCGGAACGTCACATACTATCAGAGCGCCTGTCGCCAGGAAGTCGTGATCTCATCTTCGGCATGGTTCTCCAAACGAACACAAAAGCCACCACCACACGGATAATGAAGTCGTTCCCGAGCACAGAGCTGCTGGACAGCCTGATTCAGGACTACTTCGAGTTTCAAAATTGCCACATTGACTCCTGGATCCATGGCCCAACATTTCAGCCAAACGACCAAAACCCGGACATGTTAGCTGCTGTTGCCGCTGCGGGCGCGATCAGATCGCCTATTCCGACTATCCGAAAGCTTGGATTTGCGTTGATGGAGGTCGCGAGGCTTCAGCTATCATCCAAGGTCAGAAGGTTCCTTTCTGTTAGTGGATTTGTGACTAAAGGATGAACATTAACAGTATGAGAATGACAATTCAACAACTCGTGACTTACGGGCCTCGCAGACTTTCGCCCTGTCCCTCGATATCGGCATCTGGAGCGGGAACGGTCGACGCACCGAAATTGCCGAAAGCTTTCAACAACCGCTGATTACGATGCTACGGCGTTCTCTGCGCTTCCGACGCTCCGCGTATTCTACGATTCTCCCTAGCGTGGACGACTCACCGGAATCTTTGGAGCGGAAATGGCGCACCTGGGCCGAGCAGGAGTCTTTCAAAAGACTTGCACACCACCTCTTTCTTCACGACGCTCAGTCTGCTATGATGCTGAACGCTACTCCGATTCTTTCCTACGCCGAGCTCGAACTTCCATTTCCTGCCATCCGAGCACTCTGGGATGCCCAATCTGCCGACGAATGGCGAGACATATACCTACGAACTGGGACAGGCCCCGGCCGTCTGCCCTCACTAGTCGATACACTGCATAATATGTCAGAGCTCTCATCGTTCTCGGGATGCATCGACTCACAGCTAAGCATCTTTATTCTCTTACATGGTCTCTCCGCTCTCATCAACGAATACCACCGCCTCAAATTCATCTCCAAAGGCAGCTCGAAGCACTGGAACGCTCTCGTCATCAGCTCCCGCCAGCAAGAGCTCTCCCAGGTTATATCCTTCTTCCGCATGGTCTACCATGAACTCGCCGACACCCCAAGCCCGCAGATTCTCCTCGTCTACGAAATGATATCCATGTTCCTGTATATGTCCCTTGAGGAATTACAGCTCTTCGCCGGAAAAGAAGACAAGAAAGAAGCCCGACGCGTGTACCAAAGCGCCCTCGAGTGGATCAACAGCATTGACTCTCGTCGGGCGCTCTGGCATGCAGGACAGGTTCTCCGCGCCGCAAAAGCCATGCCGCCCGGTTCACTGACGGGGTTCTTTGCCGTGGGTGTATACTATGCTAGTTTGGCTTTCTGGTCCTACAGCGTTGTTTACAGGGCGAAAAATGCGAAGAAGCCGGCAGGCAGTCCGCCGGAGGGGCATTATGGTGGGCGATGGCCCACTGTGTTTCTGGACGGCGACGACTCGACCGACGTGCAGAAGTTTATCTCTCTGGGATGCGGATGTCCGGCGTTGCAGGGACCACGAAGTCCTGTGCTGGTTGCGGACCCGAATCAGACGATGGCTCTTGCGCGAGGAGTCCTTCGTGCTGAGGCGTCGCATGATGCGCTGCCGCCGTTGGTGCAGAGTCTTTGCCAGTTGATGGGGGATCTGGGGAATGCGGCCAGGTCGAGTGCAGTTGGATCGGTGTGAATATGATCTTGTAAATTAGGTGTTACGAGATTTGCTCATAGAGTGTGAGCAATGTATATGAAGCTATTCCAGTTCAGACATGGAGTAGACAATTACCATTTCCCATCAAATCACCAACATCAGACACCAGCTACATACCTAATAGCCACCTACTTCATCCTCCCCCATCGGCTTAAACTCCACCGCCGTCGGCTCCTCCCCAATTCCCCTCCTCCTCGCCTCGTCCAAAATCGCCACCGTCGCCGTTGCGCCAATCCTCGTAACCCCCAAACTCATCACATGCAGCAAATCATCCAGAGTCCGCACGCCCCCAGCGGCCTTAACCTGCACCTTCTCTCCCGCCTTCTCCCTCATCAGCTTCAGATCCTTCACCGTCGCGCCTTTATAATTATACGACCCATCCCCCTGCTTCACAAACCCATACCCCGTCGAAGTCTTCACAAACGCCACCCCCACCTCCGTACATATCTCACAAAGCGCCACAACATGCTCCTCCGCCAGATAATCATTCTCAAAAATCACCTTCAGCGTCGCCTCCGCCTTCACCACCGCCTCATTCACACCCGCGATCTCAGCCCGCACATACCCCCACTCCCCACTGAGTACCTTCCCAACATTAACCACCATGTCGATCTCACTGCCCGGTCCCGCGGCCTCCGCTGCGGCCCCAGCTTCGTGCACTTTCATGGCGATGGTGCTGTTGCCGTGCGGGAAGCCGATCACGGCGCAGATCCGGACAGTGGTGTCGCGGAGCTCGGTGAGGGCGAGGGGGATCGCATAGGGTTTTATGCATGCGGTTGCGACGTTTTGGGTGCGCGCGATTTGTAACCCGGTGGTTAGGTCACTGTCGGTCATGGTGGGGTGGAGGAGGGAGTGGTCGATTGTTTTGGATAGTTGGGGGAGGGTGACGGTTATGGTGTTGGTGTTGGTTGGGGGGGACATTTTGAATGTTGGAAAGAATTGTGCTTTTTAATGAAAGGCTGTTTGGAATGGAGGTTGAGGAATGATTGTGGTGTTGAGGGTGAATGGTATGGTGTGTGTTTGTGATCTATATATGCCCTGGGCGGGAAATGGTCCGGTGGAGGGAATTACTGTTTACGGTTAGGCCGGTTTGTAGAAGGGAATGGCTTCCGGTGGAGGGAATTACCGAAGAGGGATTTTATGCCCTGGTTTTTTTTTTTTTTTTTTTTTTTTTTTTCGACGGACGGCTGATTACGAATGAATGTGAGGGATTTCATTGTGGCATTTGATTCTGAATAAGTAGAATTCAAATAGGACACCAGGATTAATTACTGGTTGGTGACCTTGCTATAATGGGTCACCAGTTCTATTTTTTCTATCTTCCATACCAGAGACGGTCTTTGTGGATTGATCCAGAGCTGTTTCTTCCATTGTATTGCCAAACTATGCGGACTTAAATCATAATATACGGGAAGAAAGCAATCCTAAAAATGCGGCGGCAGATTATCCCAGCCCCAGATCCAGGTCTGCTCAGGCATTGGAAATCCTTCGTCGGCGGGTAGCTGAATGGATGAGCCGAGTACGTCATCGGACTCGGAAAACGGCGGATTTTGGAATAGTAGCGCTGTAAAGTGTTAGATCCATAGATCTCAAACAAGGATAACTAGGTCTAACCTTGGTCAAAGTCGGACAGTGCCTCTGTTAATGCTGGGTTCTGTATGTATTCCAAATACCTGTCGTTGATAGGGTCATCTAAGGCGACAGATTCTCCTTCCGGTATTGCGGCCGGATCGGGGCCACTTGGAATATTGCATCCTGTGTTTAATATGGACTCTCCAGGATGTGACAAAGCAGCGCTTTCGAAGTTGTCTGATCGTCTATCCAGTACCGTAGCACAAGCATCATCATTGCTGTCCTGTGCGCCCGGAATAACCTGCAGATAATCTTCCGGCTTTGATAAATCCAGCATCACATGCAGTTCCTTCTCCATGACGAGCTTCGTCAATCGCTGCAGAATTTCCAATCCTTGTCCTGCCAGAACAGAACGACTTCTCAGCTTCCGTTGAGCTCCCATCAGCCGGTGGAGGCCAACTTTTGCCTCGCCTGAACGCGATGTAAGAGGCTCGATGCTACTCAAGATGCCGAGTGTCACGCCTGCCGTGAAGGTATGGATCCCAGCGAACGAGGCGGCGTATGTGGCGGATACGATGTCCACGATTGGGCTGGTGATGGTTTCCGATATGCGCATTGCTGCGTCGTGGCATGCTTGAGTAGAGAACAGGTATGAGGTGGCTTGAGATGATCCGGTTCCAACGCTTGTGTTTTGGTCAGCTGGCTTGGTCACCAGTTTGAAGGAGAGTACTGGGCGGTGGACAAGGATTCTTGAATTTTCGTATGCGAGCTTCAGTGCAAGTCCTTGGAGCTGGTAGACGTGGTTTTCGAAACGAGGGCCAGATGCGCCGACGTCGCGGTCTAATTCATCTGGGGAAGAATAGCTCACGCCAATGCCAGGATCAGCTCTCCACCTGAGCTTAGCGGGAATCTCTTGGTGCCATGCTTGCAGTTTGTGATCAAACTCTGATACCCTTTTGATGAGGGCGTGTGGATTGGAAGGGTTGTTCGATTGTGAGTTTTCCGGGGAATTTGGCCCAACGCCGTAAAGTTCTGCCAGGGCGTTCTTCGTGATCACGGACAATTTCGACTTGTAGTACTTGTAGGATAGTAACGTAGCCTCTCCAGTGAGCTGATCGTCGAATGATTTTGGCGACTGGCGAATTTCAGATTTGGCAGACGGGTCAAGCGGCTCAACGTCGCAATCGGCATCCCTAATACTATGAGGGTAGCCATATGACATTGAACAAAACGTCTCGATTTCGTAGATCGCCCACCAGCTTCGTTTCCTGGCTTCGTTGCGTTTTACCATCTCCACAGGTGGATCCGCCAATTGCGAAGTGTTGACTACCTTCCGGTGAAGACCGAGAGCCTGGGCTATTCGAAGGCCACAACCACACACAGGCCATGCTAGTCTAGGTGCTCCGTGGTATAAGTAATATGTTCCTAGTAGAACGCAGGTCTGAACGGCCTCTAATGAGCCAACCGCGACTATATCAAGAAGCCTTGTTCGAATCCTCGACAGTATGGCATCTTTTAGCTCCTCGGGGACGATCCCGTAGTTAACCAGTAGGTGTCGACGATACTCTCCGATGTATTGCAGTCCGATGGCAAGCACCATCAGAAAAGTGCTGAGAAAGCCCAGGTCACCCGTTTTCGGACGCCTGTTTGATAGGTAAACCTCCGGCCAACGCTGTCGGAAATCGTCCTGGTGAAAGATGAGCATGAACCAGTGGACTCGGTCAAAGTAGGTATCCACAAGTAGGGCTGCAGCTTGGTGATCAGGCAGAAGCTGGATGAGCTCTGGAATGGCGCCGTGCCCGAGCGGCGGAAATGATGGTTTACCATTTCGATTTGAGTTTCTCGTCTCTGATCGATCACTCTTTTGATTTGTTCCTGCAGTCTCTTGCTCCGACCCCTCTGATTCAGGGCCATGCGGTTGGCCGCCAGGAATGGCGCTTGTTGCTGGAATACTCGCAGATGCTGCATTGTGCAAGTTAAATGCCTACACAAAGTCAAATGAAGAACCAGTGAGTCAGGATAGGCAATTAGCTCACTCCATCGACCAAGGACATTGTTGAGCTTGAGTTCCATGGACGTGCAGTTGCGGTTTGTTCGTCATCCCTCCCATTTGTATGTCTCCTGGCAGACCTCCTTAACTGAAAACTTGAAGAACCATTGTCTGCGGTCATGATAGGTTCGGATGCCTGTGTCGTAGCAGATCGAGAATGTCGGCGAGCGCGTTTAGCGGCCGGTTCCTCTGACGCGTCATGTTGCTGGTACACCCTCCATCGCGTACTCACAACTGGCTGACAATCCACTCCAGCCCGGACGCATAGTGTACATGGATGGTTCACGTCACACTGGATCGATTAGAAGAAATCCGGAGACGTCGACGAATCACTCACCTTGAGCTTCTGACGCCGGCAGCGCTGACAAGCGCTGGGCACTTTCTTCTTAGCGCTGCCCGGTGCGTTACTGGACTCATGGTTCATCGTCTACTAAGCATGGAGGGAGTTACAAACAAAAGCATTGGCATCTTGATGTCAGTTAAGGCTGGGTAGTGCGTGGAAAAGGAAAATCGAATCACAGAAAGCGCTCGCTATGGAAGCCTCAGGCAGCGGTTTTGTCAGCCGAGATAAACACTACGTCATCATATGCCTCAATATTCAGGCATCAATCGGGTTGAAATGGATTGTTTATTTTTTATTTTCATTTGCCAACTCATAGACCATTATCTACTGTACATTCATGGCTCAAAGGTTCAATAGCTGCGCGGCAGCTGGAGCACCTTTTCGCTGACGTAGTTGAGAATCATCTCACGACTCACAGGCGCAATCCGCGGCACCAGACACTCTCTGAGATATCGCTCCACGTCATACTCCATCGCGTATCCCATGCCACCGTGACTGAGGACCGCGCGCTCACATGCCTTGAATGCAGCCTCCGCTGCCAGATACTTCGCACTGTTGCAAGCCACACCAACAGAGTGGAAGGGGATCGACTCGTCTGTCTTCGAAGCATCGTACAGCCGGGCGGCGTGGTACGTCGCGAGCTTAGCGGCCTCGAGCTGCATGTACGCGTCTGCCAGCGGGTGCGCAATGCCTTGGTTCTGTCCGATCGGTCGTCCGAACACCACGCGCTCGCTGGCATAATGTGCCGCCCGTTCCAACGCTGCGTATCCCAGACCCAGGGCCTCGCCGGCAAGCAAGCACCGCTCCGCGTTCATGCCGTGCAGGATGATCTTGAAACCGTCGTTTTCTTGCCCAATCAGGCTGGTCGAGGGGATATCGTAGTTGTCGAAGAAGACCTCGTTGGCGTCCACTGCGCGACCGCCCATCTTCTTGATCTTGCGCATGTCTAACCCGGGGTTGCTTCGGTCGATGTCGATGCAGAACATCGATAGACCTTGGTTGGATTTCTGGACCTCCTCCAGCGGGGTCGTCCGCGCTAGCAGGATCATTTTGGATGCTACTTGTGCACAGGTGATCCAGATCTTCTGTCCGGTCACCGAGTAGCCGTCTCGGTCCGCGTGCTTCAGGGCGAGAGTCTTGAGCTTCAGCGTCTCCAAGCCCGTGTTAGGCTCCGTGACTCCGAAGCAGGTTCGCCAGGTGCCATTGATGATCTTCGGAATGGTCTCTTCGAGCTGCTCTTTGGTGCCAAACTTGGCCAATGGTTGGGTGGCATACACATTGGCGTGGATGGACTGCGCCCCGGCCATACCAGCACCGGACTGGGTGATGGTCTGCATCATCATGGTAGCTTCCGAGATTCCTGGGAAAAGTCAGGTTTTGTCTCCAATGGAGTATAAAGGGAAATACCTAGTCCCGCTCCTCCATGTTCTTCAGGGAGCGCAATTCCTAGCCACCCGTCTTTCGCCAATGCGGCATGGAGTTCCTTCGGATCTCGCTCTTGCTGGTCGCATTCTTGCCAGTATGTGTTGGGGAATTTGGCACAAATTGCCGAGATTGCATCGCGTACCATCAATTGCTCCTCAGAGAACCCAGCCAGCTCCATCAAGGGTCGCTGGACGGTGGTGGAGAAGCCTGATCGCGGAGCAACTCGCGACGCCACCCGGGAGGGTTTCGACAGCACCGGGCGCAATCGATGACATAGACTTCTTTGGGCGTATGTGCGTGACATTCTGTTTGATGTGTTGGAGTTATCCTCCCAGCAGTTGACAATCAAGGACCCTTTTATGTGGTGGTAGCAGTGGCGACCAGCCTGCAAGTAGCCGCCAAGTAACCGAGGGTTAACCGTGCATATAGCCAGCTTCTCCACCCCCGCGACTCTCCCAGTTATAATTAAACCCCAGTTATCGTCACTCCAGAGTTGCAGCTTGGCAAGTTCCAATCTTCCTTTTCGCGTGATCGTATACTTGGTCTTCAATATGAACCTCGTCAGACCGTTTTCCCGGGCAGTTCGCCATGTTCCCGGTCCTCGGTATACCTCAACTAAAGCCTCGACCAAGTCGAAAGGCCCCCTCTCAGGCGTCACGGTGGTCAGCCTGGAACAAGCCATCGCAGCACCATTCTGCACCAGGCAGCTGGCTGACCTAGGTGCTCGCGTGATCAAAGTCGAGCGGCCCGGCGTTGGCGACTTTGCACGTAACTACGACACTCGCGTTAACGGCCTAGCTTCGCATTTCGTATGGACCAATCGCTCGAAAGAAAGTCTTGCTCTCGATCTCAAAAATCCTCGCGATCATCGGACCCTGATGCGCCTGTTGAGTCGTGCCGATGTCTTGGTCCAGAACTTAGCTCCCGGTGCTAGTGGCCGACTCGGTCTATCGCATGACGCCCTGAAGACCGATAATCCCTCCCTGATCGTCTGCAATATCTCGGGATACGGACCCGACGGACCCTATCGTGACAAGAAAGCCTACGATCTTCTCATCCAAAGTGAGGCGGGTATGCTCTCCGTTACAGGCACCGGTAAGGAGCCCGCTAAAGTCGGTATTTCGATCGCCGATATTTCGGCCGGCTGCTACGCCTACTCCAATATCCTGGCTGCCTTGATTCAGCGCGATCGAGACCCAAACCGACGCGGGTCGAACATTGACGTTTCCATGCTGGAGAGCATGGTCGAGTGGATGGGCTTTCCCATGTACTACACGTACAATAATGCGCCTGGCCCGACACCAGCCGGGGCCTCTCATGCGGCCATCTACCCCTACGGGCCCTTCGAAACGGGTGGCGGCAAGACAGTGATGCTCGGCATTCAGAACGAGAGAGAGTGGGCAAAGTTCTGCGACCAGGTGCTGGGTCAGCCGGAATTAGCGACATATGAGCGATTCGCCAACAATTCTCTCCGAGTCAAGAACCGTGATGCCCTCAAGGCTATCATCTGTGAAGCTTTCTCAACCCGTTCGGCCGACCAGGTGCTTCAGTTGCTCGATGAGGCTTCGATCGCCAATGCCAGTGTCAACGATATGCAGGGTGTCTGGGACCATCCCCAACTCAAGGCTCGAGATCGCTGGACAGAGGTGTCGACTCCTTCTGGCAGCGTGCCGGCGTTGTTGCCACCGGGAATGCAAAAGGGTGGTGGTGGCTTTGAGGTCCGCATGGATGCTGTTCCTGATGTTGGGCAGCACAATGCTTCGATATTGGCAGAGCTTGGTATTGAGGATTAGGAATGGGACTTCCCCTCGCTATGTAAATACTAGATATAGATGATTTATTTCATGCAAATTGTGTTCGTGCTGCCTCCTCAGAGTATTAGTAACCCTGACCGCGGGAGTATGACACTCATAGTAGCACTCAAAATATATAACGCAAAGACATCGAAGATAACCAGCTCAGAGGCGGTAATGCATAATTTTGTGTTCAAAGATGAAAATAGTTTACACTAACCGAGATACAAAGAAGTCTTTTCCATCCACCTGTGGGAGGGGGAAAAATAAAAACAAAAATAAAAACAAAAGGAACACAGACTCGTCAGGTGACCAAAAGACCGCATAAAGCCGACTCCAAATGCCAAGACCCAAATAGCCGACTTGCGTCATGCATCTTTCGGCTTCTTCATTCATTCTGAAATTCCTCTTCTGCTAATAATCTCGCAATTCCATCCAAATCACTCAAAATGACACCCGAAGCAGATCCAGGCCATCGCCAAGGCAGAATTCGCGCAAGACAGGCGTGTCTGCATTGCAACCGACGTCGCATCCGCTGCAATGTGTTGGAGAAGCGTCCTTGCGAGAACTGCGTCGCGATGAACGTACCCTGCGAAGTAGGGGTCTCGAAGAGAGGAAAGTAAGCATGTCTCCATGAAGCCTTTCTAGAGATGGATCGCCGAGAGATCGCTGCCAACACTAAAAACTCCCAGGTACCCGCGCAAGAAAAATAACAGTAAAACCCACCGGCCCACTACCCCGAGGAGTGCCAGCCATCCGATCTCTCCGCCTGTTCTCACCGACTCCACCGTCTCTTCGGCTTCCCGAACTGAAGAGTCCCTGCTCACAGAGTCCAATGTCTCCAGCACTTCGCTGCAGGCTAAGCATTGGCTCCCGCATGGCCTTGTGAATGGCCCGCGTGCTCCGTGGATCTCCCCAGGGGACTCGACCTGTGTGTTCCTTGGGGAGTCGAGTCCGCTGACCTGTGTGATTGATGAGGGTCGTCGCTCGCCTCATAAGGGTTCCAGCAATGTGATGCAGAAGACGCGTCTGCATTACCCGATCCCTGAGAGACTGGAGACGAACAGTGCGCGGGTGGAGGAGCTTCGCGCACACAAAGCTAAGCTGGAGACGCAGCTGCAGGCAGATGGTGCTTTTTCTTATCCCCCGACAGAGACGCTCGAGACTCTATTACGTGCTTACTTCACCTGGTTTCATCCTTGCTTTCCCATCCTCGATCGCACGACAGTTCAGCAGTCGTATGCTGAGGGGAATATCTCGCCACTTCTGTTGCAGGCCATGCTTTTTATCGGAGTGAGTCTGTGTACGGATGCTGAATTTGCACGGACAGGGTTTGAAATCCGCTACCGAGCGAAGTTTCTGTTTTACAGTCGAGCAAAGGCAATTTATGATGCGGGTTGGGAGTCAAACAAAACGGTCAAATTACAATCGCTTTTCCTGTTGAGCTACTGGCGTGGAGGCCCTTCCGAGGAGCAGGACACGCGGTTCTGGCTCGGAGTGGCTATCAGCTTGGCTCAGAAACGTGGAATGCATATGATGTTCGTGCTTCATGGAATGTTGGAATCAAGGCTGACAGATCCAGGTCCAAGCTTTCTTTTGGTTCACCACGGGAAGAAAAGTTATGGAAGCGGATATGGTGGGCATTATATGTGAGTCTTCAATGGTAGGAGGGTATAAAGACCAAGACTAACGCTTCAAAGATCCGCGACCAGCAGAGTGCCTCCGCCCTTGGCTTGCCCGCCCGGATTCGCGACGAAGACTGCGACGTGGTTATGCTTGACACCAGCGACATCCGAGAAGACGAGATTGTGGAAAACCCTGACGTGTTTGGCACACAGAACGTGGAAGATGTGCCGTATCCAGTAGAAATGGCTCGACTGGCTAGGATATGTATGGCACCGAACCCAAACAGTCTGTTGCAACCATGGTATTGACAACCATAGTGCGCACAATTGTCTCAACGCAATACTTGCCAATTCAAGCATCCGTCGATACGTCTCTAAGACAAGAGCTTCAACAGCAGCTTTCGGAGTGGGAATCGAACATACCATCTGTTCTCAAGTTGGGGAACACTGCTAGCCCCAGGGCTATATTCTTGACGGGGTTATTGCATACGACACATAAGTGAGATGCACATTTGGAAATTTCACAGATGACATTGCTGATTAGCGTATAGCTACCTTTATGTTCTGCTCTACCGATCATTATTCCTTCATCCTTCTAACTCGGCCATGGACGAATTAGGCCAAATCGCACTTAACGCTGCCACGAAGACAACAAGAATAATAGAGGACATGCTATCCCACAACCTTGTTCAACACGGCGTAACACATCTGTAAGTCCAATGTCACCCAAGACGAGCCCGATCCTAACAAAGAAGGATCACCCACTCATTCTCAGCCTTGTGCATTCATACTATTCACTGCCGACGAACAACAGGCACAGCCCGCAAGTTAGCAGAGCACCGCGCAAGATTATGTCTGCTGGGGCTGCAGGAACTGCAAAAGACCTGGGACTTGGAGAACTGGGTCCTCGATCTTTTCTTTCGCTGTTTGGACGATTGCACGGCCCGTACGCTCCGACTGACTGATAATGTCAATCCAACGGCCCACTCACAGGCGACCAAGACTCATGAAAACGGGGAGGGTGAAGATCATAATCAACAAGGCCCTTGTATCCCGAATAATACGATGACACCCAATACACATGATCCTACGCTCGCACCGGACCTTCAAACTTCGCCATATGTCCCCGCTGAAGACCTTGCTGCACCGACAGACTGGTACGGCTTGTTCAATTTTACGGACGATTTCGCGGACGTTCTGGGAACACCGCAGTCACAGGAATCTCTTAACGTACAGAATCTTCAGTTCTTATATCGGTTTCTATAAGAGGTTTGATACAAAGTTTACAGTCGCAAAACTATTCGCCAGCTCGCAACGCTGCTTAAAACCCTCCCCGCATGTGGCCTGGCAATTGGATTGGCGGTTACTATGACCGAGACTCAATCTATAGACTGCACTTGCCGCATGAATCCGGCCCAACACTGGAATGTTCCACCAAGGTGGACTTGTTCTGGCTCTGGCTTGAACGAGGAGCATCGTTGGAAGGGTTCAGCTCAAAGAAGCTGGTTGGCTTCAGAGAAATCGACATCTTCTCCACCGGCATGACGGGGAAATCTAGTCGCCATTAGCATCTGGTATTGGGGCCCATTAGGCTATTGAGGCTTACCTTCAGGTCGCGTGATGTGGGTCACACCAAATGTATGCCAGAGCACGACATCTTCGTTCTCAACATTTTCGCCACGACGGGCCCAGACTCCCAACCCCGTGTCCTGACGGCTTTGGTTGGTGAACTCGCCCGCAGCCCATAGCTCACCTTCCTTGTATGACGTGACCCAGATGGGCTTGCTCGAGAAATGACCTCGTTGGTAGTTGAAAGTCTCGGGTCCCATCATGAGCATCTGGCTCGGCCAAGCGTGCAGCTTGTAGCCGACCGGCTTGCCAGAAACGGCATTGATGTGGTCGGGGTTGATGATTCGATAGGTTCGGGACTTGGTCAAGTCCAGATCATACCCTCCCGGTCGCTTGATGGGCGTGGTTTGCACTCGGAAAGCGCAACCAAAAGGATCCAGGTCGGGTTCGTTGCGAACAGGGATGATATCGTCGCACACAACAGTGTTTCGCACGCCGTCCAAGGCTGGATCGACTCGGACACTGAACAGGTGCTGGTGGTTGACCGCGAGAACTCCCGGTGCCACGACCGTTCCCCATGGGGACAGCGTCTTCTTGCTGATAAGCATAGTCGACATGATACCAGTGGCTTTTACGTCGATATGTAAGTTCGCCGCCTGGTCGAGGATGAAGGCGAGAATGTATTCGTAATTCATGATCGTGGCTGTACACTGGATTACCAGCTGTCTGTTTCGCACCATTGAAGCTTGTCCATTCCGCAGGTTGGTGTGCTTCCAACCAACTCCGTCGTCCACTTCGTGCATGCAAATCACGTTCTTCATCAACAATGGCTCTCCGGCCCCTGTGGTCCGAAGTCCGTCAAAATAGGCAATGTGCCCAAGACAGTCGCAGCCTAGGGTCAGCGTATTCGAGGTGATGCCGAAGCCAGAATCACCGAGATCGAACGCTTGTTTGCGATGGTACGGAGTGCGAGGATCGCCATATGGCACGGTCATTTCACTCATCGAGACACGATGGAAGATGGACCGTCCGTCGTAGTAGACATTGTTCAGAACGGGCCCTTCGCGCACCGTCCATCCCATATGGAACGACCACTTTTGCCAGCTCACCTGGCGACCGTCGATCCGGAAGGATGGGCCTTCGGGTTGCACAACGTGAAGAGGCTTGAGATCCTTGCGGAAATAATCCTTGCCCAGCAACGTTTGGCTGTATTCAACCGGTTCCGCAGGCTCCCATGGCTGAGTCTCGGATGCTACCTGGGGGCCGGCTCCTAGCGGAAGTCTCTCAATTTCAAGCAGTTCGAGTGTATGGGCGTCGAAGATAGGAGCGAACGAAGCAGGAAGGGAGTAATGATTCGCTTCGGGGTCGTCGTTCAGCACGATATACATGTAGCATTGGTACAAGCGACGGCGCTCGTTCGCATCATCCGTTCCATAACACCACGGATCATTGATGACAGAAGCACTATTCCACACCCAAGAATTAGCAATCAAAATCACAATCCCAATCAAATGGAAACGAATATCTCACCCCTTCGGTAACTTCAGCTTCTCAATCTCTTTCAGAACATCTGGATGCTCGCTGCAGACTTTCAAAATCCGCTCGATCTCATCCATATCTGCCGGCCCTTGGATATCTGGGTGCTCGGTATCCTCTTCCACCTTGCCAGTGGTGATGTTCACCTTGGCTTTGCGTAGCGTCTGGCTGCCTTGTTTATGGTAGTAGGTGTATCCCTTGCGGGGAGGCGCCTGGACGCTTGCTGTCCTGTCGCGCAGGTACGCCATCAGAGTTGTCTTGGGCGTTTCCAGCAAGTCAATGACCTTAAACCGGACCGGAGTTGGGGCATGGTAGGCTCGGACGGTCTGCGACACCTTGCGAAGCTCCACCGGGGAGAGGGGGTCAAGTGGGTGGAACATTGCGATGGGCTCGAGAGGTACTGTTCAAGAATTCAGTGCTTCATTCAGGAAGCGTTGAAGGCGTGGTGAGTGTGGTGATTGAGGTATAGAGTGACTTTTGACTTAGCAAAACGCATGGCTATTTATCCTCGGCTGGTCCGCAGCCTGGACGAGGGTGGAATTGCCTCCATCGCACCGCGGGGAGCTGCCTATATTTCTCAATATGTCGAAGCTCGCGCCCTCGAATCAGGACAAGGAACAAAATGCTGATGCATCACGGCGCATTGGACTTTGCTCCACACGCTGCCTGCTCTCTGCGCCTCCGCCGGGGATGAGGTTGGGATCTTTTCCCAATGCGGTAGTGATTCCAGCAGTGCATCCGGCTCCACATGTCCTGACCCACTGCACGGCGGTCACTCAGAAACATCGGGATCTGGCTACGACACGCGCCGTTATCCTATCTTTTCCCTCTTTTTGAGAAAGTTTGTTCGTTATCAGGGCTTCTTGGCTGGAGAGGGGGTGTTAGATGACCCCGGAGTCACTTGTCCACTTGCAGATAGAGTGGTCAATCTTTCTATCTTGTCCGAAATACTTTGGGAAAGTCTGCCAACCCATGCCTCAATGGCTATGATATCACTGCAGGCAGAACATACCTCTGTGGAGATAGTACCCATCTGGACCGACCTAAGCATCTAGGCATTGAGATGAGAAGTTACTAGTGATGGTAGCTCGCACAAGACAAGCTTGCGTATCTACTCAGCATTTCTCCCCTGACGAAAAAGATTCCTTATCGATTTCCTTCCGGATATGTTTCAGTATGGTCGAGTCTATCTCTACACAGAAGCTCAATGCGGCGATCGGAAAGATCGATGAGGCCACCCGCGGCCCGAATGCCAAAATACCTGGAATCGTCTGCGTCGCGGTGAATCGCAACGGCGACCTTATACTTTCTCATGCGTCGGGCCTCACCAAACTAGGTGGTGAATCTCCAATGTCCCTCGGCACAGTCCTCTGGCTTGCTTCGTGCACAAAGCTTCTGACGGGAATCGCGTGCATGCAATTGGTCGAGCAAGGCCGACTTGCTCTTGATGATGCTGCTCAGCTCGATGGATTGGCTCCAGAGCTGAAGAAGCGGAAGGTCTTGACTAAGGGCCCTGGGGGCGAATATACACTGGTTCCTCAGGAGCGGCCTATCACCCTGAGGATGCTTATGACTCATACCTGTGAGTAAAAATGACAATGCTGTTGGGTGTTAGGCTGACGATGGTAGCTGGATTCGGCTATGCCTTTGACGACTTGAACATCTCCGACTGGGCAAGGCCAATTGGACTAGATGATTTCGGAGGCAGACAGGAAGAAGTTCTGTTACGACCGCTTGTCTTTCAACCTGGAACAGCCTTTCAGTATGGCGTCAGCATGGACTGGGTGGGGCTGATTATTGAACGAGTTACAGGGATGTCTTTGGAAAAGTATTTCCAGACGTATATTTTCGCTCCGCTCGGTATTAACGATATAGCATTTCGTCCAACTCAGGACATGAAACGAAGACTTGGATATATGCACCAACGTGCCCCGGACGGATCCCTGAGCGTGACAGACCATCTTCTGCGACATGCTTTGGTCACGGATGAATCCGACGAGCCCTTCTGCATGGGCGGTTGCGGGTGTTTCGGCACTCCAAGAGAATACGCAAGTGAGTGTCCTCCCATTTTAGCTTGAGGGTGTTCTAATAATCATTGCCAGAAATCCTCTCCGTCCTTCTCAACAACGGCACCTGCCCCAAGACCCAAGCCAAATTACTAAACCCCGAAACTATCAGACGTACGTCCTCAACCCCCCAACAGCCGTAGCCAAATCTAACCTCTTTCTCAACAAGATATGTTCACCGATCAGATCCCCACGCTCCCAATCGATCTCAACGAACCGTGTCCCTCCGCAAAACCACACCTCGCCAACCCCTGCCCCATCATTCACAAGCCAGGCAACCCGACCAACGGCTGGGGCTTATCCTTTGCTTTGAGCCACCAGAAGAGCGAAAAGGGGCGAGCAGCTGGGTCCGCGTCTTGGGAGGGTCTTGCGAATTTATATTGGTTTGCAGATCGAGAATCTGGGGTTGCGATGGTTTTTGCGGCGCAGGTGTTGCCGTATGGAGGTGAGTTTTTGGGCTTTGTGTTGGTGTTTAGAGTAGATATCTTGGTGCTGACTGGTACTTAGATTATCAGGTGGTGAGACTTTGTGAGGAGGTTGAGAGGTTGGTTTATGAGAGTCGGGGGACAGAGGCTAGGAGCTCGCTTTGATTTACATATAGAAGAGTTTATAGTAGGGTTTGTGGGCCAGTGGAATGAAAGTATGGTGTTCAACTTGCACTTTTAATTAGAACAGTGCATCTCAAGTATCTCAACGCATGTTGTCAGTCCCAAGACAAGAGTCACTAGCTCCGTTTCTGTCCCCCTGAAGCGCCTAATACCAGACCCAGACGAATATTATAAACCAACCACGGCCACAGACTTCAAGATTCTCCCTGATAATAACTTAAACGGTCAAAACACACCTAGGCTACCATAATACCCCCTATAAATTCAATCGCGCATAAGCAATCCACTAGTACCACGATCCTGGTAGAATTCACACATCTATCCAAGACATGTGTTCATCGGTCCTCGCTGCAGTCGGTTCTCGTTCAGGAATACATCCCAGCTCCATCCCCTACTACCCTCCTTCCCTTAGGCCGCCGATAGGGTTCTGAAGATGTTTCACATCCCCCATGACAACGACGGTATCTGATGATCGACATTGCCAATTCCCTCCCTCTCCGGCAATTCCCCGCGACTCCCCGCATTTCATCATTTTATCCGGATATCTTTGCGGGGAAATTGTGGGGTAGGAAAGATTGCCAGAAATGGAAGGTGGCCTTTTGGTCACGGGGTGTGTCATGTCCTCTCGTAGGTTGATCTTCATCTCCGTGCTGTGACTAAATTCCAAATAGAAACAATTGTATTGAACTAATCAGGCAAGGAGGTTATTACTAGCTGGACTAGCAAGAGCCAAGGCATAAGAATCCGCCAAGTGATGATCGATGGGTGAGTAGCGTACTAGTTAGCATCAGCCCTCAACGCGTCCCAGTCAATACGCGGCCCCTCAAAGCTATACCGTCCTATGCACACCCAAAGGAGATTAATGATGACAACAACGCCAACTAGAATCACAGAGACGTAGTTCATGGATCCCAGTTCCACGGGAAGGTTGGGCGGCATGCAAATCAAAACGCAAAGCACGAAGATCCACATAACAGAGAATATATTGCAGTACCAGCCTAAATACCCCAGGCGGAGATATCGAGCGGGTAGGCTGTCACGGCCGCGAATGAGGAGCAGACCCTGGGGTACAGTGTAGGTTATGTTTAGGAAGAGGACAGCCGAGGTGATGATAGAGTTGAAGGCGGTAGTGGAAGCGAGGTAGAGGAGCCCATAGAGGCAGCTGAAAATGAAGGCGGCGACTGTGGTATGGACAGGGAAGTTGAGGCGATTGCTGACTTTGGAAAAGAAGGTGGAAAATGGAAATCCGTTCTGAGTACTGTCAACACCTGTTGGATGATTTTGATGGGTTGACTCACGTCGCGAGCAAATGCCCAGGCGATGCGGCCGCTGCTGACCCACTGAGAGGGTAGACAACCTTGAACATTGTTAGCTGTTTCTTTGAGGCGTTCGGGATTAAGGCCTACTGAGGTATACGACAAATAGGAGAATAAACAGCCCGAGTGTTACGCTTCGACTCCCAGTTCTGCCTTTTGTTAGACAGTCTTGTCACACAGTACACTGGAATCAAAACTCACACTTGATGGATCACTTCAAGACTAGGCAACGGGGATGTCCTAACAGCATCCATGTCCGAGATGAAGAACATCAATACAATGAACAGAGATAAACAGGTAATGAGACCGATAATCATTGTCATGATCATCACCTGTGGGACTCGTCTTGCCGGTCGAGGGATCTCCTCGCAGATATGAATGACTGCTGGAGGTAAGCTTAATACTCAGTTGATCGAAGCTTGGGAACCTACCGCCGTCTGTCCCTCCAAATGCGTACATGGCATTACTTACTGCAAGCATCCAGGCTGTACCCTGACCCCAGCCACTATTACCCTGTCCCGACGCAACGACAAATGATCCAGGTTGAGTCTGCTGGTGCATTGCTAATGAAACAATAAAGAAGATCAGGTAGCCTGCAAGCGACAGGTAGAGCGCTGCTTGGGCTACAAGGGAGATCCTGCTGGATACTGCGAACACCGGAAGGACTTGGAACGAGGTTAGTGCGTCCAAGTGCGCCTAAGACGGAGGATAATCGCTCACTTGTTATCAACGACACAGCAACATATGTCAAATAGGTCTGCCACTGATTGGCAACGTAGCCGGGTATGCAAAAATTGACGATGCCATTCAAAACCAAAGACGCGAGGGATATGCCCGAGCAACTTGGAAAGTTAGCCCTTGTACCTGGATTGGATGGTGAAGGACACACGTCACAATCCACCAAGCTAGAACCGACAGCCATCCCACAAGATAGGCGGTGTATCCTTTGGTCCTGTCCGCGCTCAAGATGTAACAGAAATGATATTGTCCCCCACTCGACTGTGCACGGTTAGCGCAATGTTACCGATATAATAGATCTATCATACCGGGAAGGCTGAGCCAAGTTCTGCAAGTCCGACCGTGACGGTGAGCTGGATGATAAAGGCGACGATGAGACTGAATATGCAGGCTTGGGCTCCTCCATACGTCAGGTTCTGTCCAAAACAACTCTGTGTAACAGGCAAACTGTTAGAAGAATCATTGAAAGTCTCAAGGAAATATGGAGAGAGTTACCAAGTAACCAATCCAAGAGTTAGTGATAGAAAAACCTAGCCCGAGAGCAGATATCCAGTTGAATTGTCGAGGCAAAACCGCATCATGGCCATTTGCACGGAGGATTGCATCATCGTCATAGTCTTGTACGGTACCCTTGAGTACTCCAGCATGAAGACTCTCCTGATCCGCAGGCGTTGACTGGCACTTTTCGATTTTCGAAGACTCTTCAGACATGTTGCTTCAGTGAGACCTTTCAAAGGCAAAATCGGCTGGCATCAAAGGTGATCTTGGCGAGACAAAAATGAGCATTTTTATACCCATCTTATCCTTGCTACGCAGTCCGGCACGCAAGGGTAAAAGCGTCTGTTTGATAGCAAATCCCGCATGGTAGACCTGACGGTATCGCATACTTCGTCCTATCGCAAACCCTTGATGATAGCCGGGAAGTATGGTTCTTCACCCCGCAAATCAGAAGTGCCGAACCCGATCTTCGCCTAGACAGCCACGATAAGAAAAAGTGCTAGCCGGGCCACCTCAGCGAGCTCCGTGACCTTATCATTCCTTGTCCAGAATGGAGAGGATCGATGACGAGACCAACGACGAGACCAAGCAAGGGGCCGGTTGGAACGATTACCCGATCAGGTAACCAAGGCCGCCAGCCGTGCTTCCCCGCTCAATGCAAGTCGAGGGTGGAGACGCGCGAGACGAAGCGATGTCATCCTCTCCGTGCGTCCTCACTACAGCTTGGCTTGCGTTATAAAACTGACAATTTTCGACTCGGTGACAATGCTGGCTATCTCGGCCAAATAGCATATCCAAAGCCTGATTGAGTCAACGCCAGCAGCTCTTGTGCACAATATGACGGTCACTCCTCCCAAGTATAGCGACGAGGTCCAAAAAGTGACCAAGGACACCCCGATTGAGGACATACTTTATCTTTTGAAGCGCGATGGAGGGGTTTTTATCAAAAACCTCATCCCTGAGGATCAAGTCGACCAGGCGATTTCCGAGGTGAAAGATCGCCTGGACAGCGATGTTGAATGGAATGGGACATTCTTCCCCGGTGGGTCTTGAACTTCCAATCAGTCTAGACAACACGCAAGATGAGTACTTACGATCTTGTGCAGCTCAAACCCAGCGTGCTCCATCTCTCATCGCACGCAGTCCGACATACACAAGGACTCAATTGATGAACCCGCTCTATCGAGAAGTGTGCAACCATTTTCTTACCACCAGGAGTTGGTTCTGGTGGGGAGATGAAAAGAAAGAGTCGGTTTCAAAGCCCTACGCACATTCCTGTACTGCAATGAGGATCGGCCCTGGTGGCAAGGCGCAGCCATTGCATCGCGATGATTATATCAGCCATCGCTATCACACTGAGATTGACAAGTGGGATGATGCGCGGGATATGGATCGCGAATCTGCCGTGGGTCTGTTTGTAGCCGGCTGCAAGATCACCAAGGAGAACGGAGGCACTCAATTCATCCCGAAGAGTCATCTATGGTAAGTCTTCTTTCCCTGCCTCTTTGCGCATTGGAGCATATCTAACCGATTTCAAGGGGAACTGACCGCAAGACGCCTCCCCGTGTCGACGAGTGTATCTTTGCCGAGATGGAGAAAGGCGATGCGTTCTTCATGCTAGCCTCTGCGTTTCATGGGGGAGGAGAAAACACCACCACGGATGAACATCGGCTGCTGTTCTCTACCTTCGTGGTGCGCGGTTACCTTCGCCAGGAGGAGAACCAATTCCTGGCCGTGCCGAGGGAAATCGCCCGAAGCTATGACCGGGACATTCAGGAATTCATGGGCTACTGCATGAGTGATCCGGCGTGTGGCTATGTTGAGCAGATTGATCCGATTTACCATCTTTGTCCAGAACTCAGCACAGACGCCCGACCGAAGGACTTTTGAGGTGATCGCCGTTTTTTATTGTTAGATTCAGCCATGAATTGATTTTGCGTTTTTATTAAGCTTTGAAAATGTGGTCGTACGTAGCTAGGCCGGCAGCGGATGTAGTCATTCTCCCTTTTCTTGAGAATCATCGTCAACTTGATCGTACCCAGTACTGGGTTCTGTCCATTGCAGGAACGTGGGGATCGGCCACAGCAATGCGGGCGTCTGACAGGATATCATTCAATAATTGTTGGGTCATCGTCGCCTCGAATCCAGACCCAGAATTCGTCGAGTGGAGATCTCAACTCGCCCTGCTCCGCTGGCTGCTTTTCCTAATCGGGTAGTGGTTTCAGTCGCGGACCATCAATGCATTTATAAAACGAGCGTATCTTTCAAGAAACTGACGATCAAATAGAGATCAGTCCTAACAGCTTTCCAAATTGATACTCTGGCCGATCGGGTGTTTTGATACTTTCTTGCGTGCTTTTTAAAACTCCCCATTAAACATGACTGCCGACACAGAGAATAGAACCCCTTCACCAAGTTTGTCGGCGAACATGGTGGGGAAAACGGCAATCGTTACAGGCTCATCTCGGTATGAAGGTAGCATCGTTTCACAATGACACCAGAGGCTAACTATTGACAGAGGAATTGGCGCCGCCATTGCTCTAGAACTCGGTCGCAGGGGTGCAACTGTCATAATAACGTTTTCCGGTGAAGGATCTCGAAAGCCAGCGTCGAACGTGGCCGACGCAATTGAGCGCACAGGCTCAAAGGGAAGAGGAATCACAGTGAAGGCCGATATTACAGCAGTCATGGACCGCCAGGGGCTCGTCGACACGGCAGTGAAGGCGAGTCCAAGCGGATTAATTGATATGGTGGTTCACAATGCAGGTGATGGGGAGGATTCCTATCTCTCTGATGTCACGCCTGAGTTCTTCGAAAAGCTGGTGGGCGTAAATTTGAAAGGTGTAGTATTGCCAGCCCAAATATCTCGGTCAAGATGCTTACCACGGTTCGACTTTCCAGCTCCTCTATTCTTGACTCAGGCTGCTATTCATCATATGTCGAGAGGGGGCAGAATCGTTCTGATTACATCTGCCGCCGCTCGGATGGGTGTGGCGGAAACCTCGGTCTATGCGGCGACAAAAGCCGGAATGGAGGCATTTGCGCGCGTCTGGGCGACTGAACTGGGACAGTCTAAGGGAATCACTGTCAATTGCGTGAGTCCAGGTCCTATCGCGACCGACCAGTTCCACGCCAGCACCCCAGAGTTCAAAGCAGCGTTACAGCCCATGATCGAAAGTACACCAGCCGAGGCACGGATAGGTGAGGTCTATGACATTGCACCATTGGTCAGGTATGTTTATTCGACAATTTCAAAGCACAGTAAACCAATTCTGACGTCATGGCAGCTTTCTGTGCTCGGAGGAAAGCCGGTGGGTTACCGGGAGTGTTATCAGTGGGACTGGCGGATTGCTTCTCTTCTAGACCTTCACTTGGGCCAACGGCCTCAGCGTAGTGCCAAATATGCCTTGTCTCTTTGTGTTGTAGAGACCCAGTAGCCGAATCTATTCTAACATTAGCTGTGACCAGCCGATTAGCGCCACTTAAGGCCCCGCATTCCCTCTTAGGTCTCCATGTTTCGCACCTGATACCCCGTAGCAATCTTTGCCACGCCATCCTTGGTGCCACACCCGTTTTTAGACAGTCGACATTCACACAATGCATGCTGTCGTAAATCGCCACAAGGCCAGACATGTTTCCTAGGACAAGTAAGTCAATATCGTCACATTCTCTTGGTCGAGTGGAGTATTATCTAATCTTTTGATGAGACCCTGCTTGCGGCACTTGTCGAAAAAAGTGTCGTAAATGCGACCGCGCCCGCCCAACCTGTGAACGATGTCGCCTTAAAGGGCTACATTGCGAGGGTTACCCCCCACGATATCGGTTCATGCAAGATCATGTCTCCACCGTCAATGGGCGTAGGGATCGGTCAAGCCGCCCTAGGGAGGCGAGTTCCGGCAAGTAACCAAGTCGGTTGATTTTCTCGATGCCCCTTTTCTCATGATTGCTGTATATCTGCAGATCAGATTTCTTTGGATCCCACCCCAACAGCACCTAATAGAAGGTCCAAGCGGCTAGGTAAAAGGCCAGCTAATGCACAACAGCCAAAGCCTCCTTTGAGCAAGTCTTATCGCCTATCTGGAGCTCATCAACCCGGAGATACTGATAAAAGAAACGCCGAAAAAACCATTGACGATCTCTTAAAAGCCGAGGAGAATCAGGATCTTCTTTTATACTGTATGAGGACTTTTACGCACCGTCATACTTTTCATGGTAAGACTGATGAGTCGCAGTTGATAAGACCGTATGCAACACCATGGTCATCGATGCAGATGGTGTGGATAACCCATTTCGGAGCTACATTCTCCCCCTCGCATACCGGGATCTCGGAATTCTTCACGCCGTGCTTGCTCTGAGTTCATGCCATATCGTGACATCCGAAAGCAATACGCAAGCTAAAGTCAATGCAGCCATCATGATAGAGCATCAGTTGTCTGCTTTGCAATCTCTGAGCTCGCTTCTGTTAAAAGAGGAGCTGTATAGCCTTGCGGATGAGGAAGAAGACATACTTCTTGCCACTGTTCTTTTGCTCGTTCTTCATGATGTGAGCCGTTTCTTACCACCTCAACCCGAGCCCCACCGAAGAGAGCTTCTCATCCAATACTAAGGTTGTGCCAGGTCTGCGAGTCAGGAATTTCATCACACGGTGTGCATCTCACGGGAACCGGCTTTATTTGTAGAAAGATTTGTCAACACCCGCAAGCGCTCGCTTCACCACGAACGACATTTCTTCTTACGGCGTTATCATGGTGAGACAGCCTTCCATGTCTGGTCTTCTTTTTATTCTCATCTTTTCCATAGGCTTGATGTTCTGAGAGGGTTCAGTGGTGCTGAAAAAATGGCGTACACGGATGATGTTCGCCGCTTCATTTTGGAAACAGAATATTTTAGCCTTGAGACACTAGTAGGGTGTCCGGTCGATCTCTTCTATAACATCGGCGGTGTTCTGGAGGCGGCAAAACAATTCATGGATGGATCAATTACCCTCGGGCCATTTCAAACCGCCCTAGACGAAGCGGACCTATTCTTTCGCGAGTGGAACCCAGAAGAATCGTCATACCCGACTCAGTCCAGCGATTGGAAGGCACTCGCCGAGGCATATCGCCATGTTTGCATAATCCGAGTGTTACGCTTTCCAGACACACGAGCGATTCCATGTGAAGACCCACGCATCCAGGCCTCTGTTGTTTCGATTCTGGATGCCTCAGCTTCCATATCCACCAAATCCCCGTTCTTTAAACGTCTGCTATTTCCCTTGTTCATTGCCGGCTGTGAGAGCTCGATCCCTCATCAAAAAAGATATGTGGATCTATGCATTGATGAGATCAAGAAAACAACTGGCTTCCAGCATCTTGCAATGACCAATCTTTTAGACCAGGTGTGGGATGCAAGAAAGCAACAGATAGACGCATCCATCAACATACCATGGATGGAATATGTAAGCGCCTTGAGCTTTCCCCTGGTGATCGATGCTGACTGGTTGTCCAAGACTTGTTCTACTGACCTAGTTCGACAACACGATTACCTGTTCTTTTGACCATCACGTTGACCTGCCTCCCCGCCATTTCTCTCAATGAACGTTATTGACGTCGAAGTCTTTCTTATGTAACAAATCCTCCGTGCCGCTATCACTGAAAGTTGAAATAAATTGGTTCATCAGTGAAAGACGAATCTTATTCTATCGCTCTATCCACTTAATATTTACCAACTCGGCTCGCGGGATGTGTAATGTGAGCCCTACTCGACTTTCCTCAATTATAGAATATGCCTGGTTCTGGGCCTCCTTCATGTCCTGGCCCCGTCGAGGAACGACTTCGACTCGGTGTCTTTGAAGCAAATGGACGAGAACTGCGAATACTTCGACTTGCGAGAACTTTTGTCCAGGGCATACGCGTGGACCATTCGACCAGGCGAAAAGGGAATCGGTTTTAAGCCTAGAGAGTCGTTCTTGATCAGAGCCGGTGGTGGTCTGATCGATCCACCTGCTAGGTGTCCATTCGGAACAGTCAGGGCCCCAGAAATCTGGGTCGGTATGCAAACCAATAACACTTATATTGATTCGAGTGTTCTTCGGAACGACTATCTGTTTATTAGGTGTTCGGACAATTTGATCATGGCTGTTCGTCCCCCGGGGAAGGGTGGGAACCGGGCCGTATAGTCTCAACGTTTCGTACTGCTTTCAATTTTAGCACGCAATTACCCGCATAACTAAGGGTGGGGATGGCCTCACCAGTATAGCTCGCAGTCTGATCATGCGAGGATACACTTGACTGTAACTCAAAATGTCACACGCCGTTTTCTCGCCGAAAAAGCGGTCGACTTCCTCAATGACCCAATCTTGATAAGAGGGGAAAACAGCTAGAAGGTATATCATGTAAACCAGTGCACTAGCAGTAGTTTCATGCCCAGCAAACATGACCATGAACAGGTTTCCGGTAATATTCCCGCGCGCCAAGCCAATATCGGTTGCCGAATCGAGCAAGAAGGATAGCAGATCAGCCTGGGAATTCGGAGTCGAAGATGATAATCTGCTCGCAACTATATTGTTCAACGAAGCCCCAAGGGCCCTTACATTAGCTTTGACTTTATGAGTTGTCCGATATCCAAAACGCCTTGGACGCGTGATATCATTCAAAAAGTTCGTCAGGTTAGACTGGCAGGATTCAACGGTGCCTGGCTTTTCACCAATGTCTTCGTTGACGTCTATGCATGCTTTGAAAAGGACATTCAAACTGAGCGTTGTCATATCGGTTCGGGTGCTTTGCACGGAGTGGCCATTCAGCCAGTTATCCAAGACCGCCTTGGTCTGCTCGGCGGACACGGTCCATACGGCTTCGTTGACCTTCTCATGGAACGCCTTCGCAACCAATTTCCGGTGTAGTTTCCACTCCGACCCCTCGACCTGGAATTCGTCAGAAATTCAAAAGATCTGTAAATCTGAAGCAAAAGTCTTTTTGGTTGCTGACTTACCGACGCTATATTCTTCCCAAAAACGTCCAATGGTTCTTGAATCGATTTAGCTGGGTTTTCCACAATATTGGGGATGCACTTACTCAGCAGATGGATTGGTTTAGGGAAGTCGTTTCGACGATAAAGGATGTCCCGCGCCACATCCCTGTCTGCGACAAACAATTCATATCCCGTTGGTGTCACTAGAATGAAGATCGGTCCGTAGTCGCTGTAGATCGAAAATTTCTCGCGAAATTGCCAGTTAGGCTTCGTTAATCTGATCAAGGCTAGGTTGGCCAAGAGATCTGGAAGGAGACGATAATGCGAAGCATATTGCACACATCGCCATAAAAGACTTCCAGGGGAAGTGGGGCTGAGAATTATAGGCAAGTTGAGTTTCCTGGCCCGTCTCCAATAACGATACCACGGCCAGGCTACACTTAGGCACCACAAAACACCGACCACTAGGAGAGCGGACAGCAGAAACATGAAGAACGGTCGACGCGCACCTCTAAGCAGATTGTGGGAGTCCGACAGTCCAGCTGGATCAAGCGGAGAAATGACAGAGCGAAGAGGAAATCCTGAAGCGCTCTATGGGCGCATCAAGCTTGGGAAGTGGATTGGGATTTATGTTCGGAGGGGAAAAACTGTGTTCAGAAAGATATGTATGCAGATGATTGACGCCACCGCAAAGGAAGCAAGGACCGCTCCATTGTTGGTGCCTCGCGTGCGGAGCATAAGCCCCTGGATAAGTTTTGTGGAATACTGTCCGACCCGTTAGATTCTTGGGGCTCTTGGATACGTGTGTTCCAAGACCGAGGCAACCGGGATGGTGGGTCTGTTCTTCGTACTCGTACTCATGTCCACGAAAAGAATGAGCAGTCTCCATCAGACTTCGATCTGCTTTGCCGGCGAAACCGGTGGGTGGGTCAATGATCTGTCAGATAAAGCACTGATTGGATATCATGACATGGTAGTGGAGCGAGCCATCGGATGGCGAGTGGACTCGATCTTCGACATTCACGGACAATGGGCGAGGAAGAACAAGTCGAAAAAGCCGGGAAAAGGAGAGCCAGGCGGCAGGCGGTCTGACGGGCGGCATGCAATAGCGGGCAATTGATTTCCTCCGCCTCGCGTTGTTTTCCGCCGCCGCTCTTTTCTATGCTCCGCCCCTCTCCTGCGATTGATCCGACACGACTGACGACACTGATCTCGCGTCCCTGGCAGATCATGCCTTCGGCCTAACTCCCGAGGGCTCATTGGTCAATTGCGCATCATGGCTTTGCGTCGACCCCACCAGAAATCCCGACATGGCTGCAAAACCTGTAAGCGTCGACGAGTCAAGGTATGCCCTCAGCTTCCCTTCCCTTTCCTTCTCTTCCCCAAGCCGACGAGAGAACGATAGCCATGCTCCTTCCCTCGCCATCTTGCATTAACACTTGCCACAGTGTGATGAAGCACGGCCAACCTGTTCTAACTGCCAACACCGAAAAGAAACCTGCGACTATGACACCGAATCATCCCTAATTTGGGCCGGCGACAGGAAGCTGCGTCGACGAAATCAAAGGCGGACAGAAACTCCAGAGCCCAGTCCGCCCGTCCAGTCCAGCTCAACCAGTGCTACGTTTGACCTACTGAATCGATTCGGCGCTGGTAACGACCCTACGGTTTCCTCGACGACGTTAAACATGAACCAGCTTGAACTTATCATACAATGGACCAACAATACCCACCGATTTTTCACGCGCAATGGGGAAACAAGCCACGTATGGAAGGATTTGATAGTCGAAGAAGCTTTTCATGCTCCATTCCTGATGCACGGGGTCCTGGCGGTGTCTGCGCTGCAGCTTTCGCTCTCGAGACCAGAGCAACAGAAGGCCTTTTGGCTGGGAATCGCCACCGCACACAAAGGCCATGCGCTTCCACCATTCCTGGCAAACTTCTCCGACATCAATTCGTCTAATGCCAAGGCGATGTTCGGGTTCGCGGGGTTGGTCGTTGCCTTTGCATTTGGCTCGGCACTGACCGGAGGTTCCGACGCTGATAAACCCAGTCTGGGCGCTTTGAACGATGCTTTCATCCTATGTCGGGGCGTGCAGGAAATAACGAAGGCTGCCTCGCAGTTTCTGCGAGAGAGTACCTTTGCACCTCTGCTCAATCCTTCCCACCCCACTATCACAATTCCCCATTCAACTACAGAGGCGCTGGACCACCTTGAGAACATGAATTCAACGGCTTGGCTCGGGGAACAACATGACATTGAGACATATGCACGCGTCATCAAAGCGCTAAGAGACCTCGCGCCATACACGTACATTCAACCCACCTCCATGACACTAGCAGTAGGCTGGGCAATCAGATCCCCGGCTCCATATCTCGACTATTTGCAGATCCAGGAGCCTTTTGCGCTAGTTGTCCATGCTCACTACTGCGCTTTCCTCCATTTTGCACGCGAGAACTGCTTTATCCAGTCTTGGGGTAGTGCCGTACTCCGCGATATTTGGCATATATTAGACTCAACTTGGAAAGAACATATTGACTGGCCTATCAATCAAGTATTTGGCCAAGAGGGTGTACTATGAGTGAGCTCTCACACCCTCTCCATCTTCTCCTCACGAAGAATTTGGATTGACGCAGCCGGCTGTTTAATCGATTTCGTTCAGTCCACCACCTGCTCGTTATGTAAATGCGCACTGTTAGGCCACATGGAAAATATCGCGTGAGATTGCTAGATGTCTTACTGTTTTGGCGATTATAGGATACATCTGTTTCTTCCTACATCTTTTCCAGGCTGTCAGACTTTGGAATTGCTTTTTGTGTGTGCTCCGGGCATGCCTGACGATATGCTACTTTGAAGGGGCAGATAACTATCATCTCGCTGGTGCATAAACTTCCGCCTCGAGGACTCCCAGCTTACTGTTTGCGTCGAGCGCAATTGTGGCACTTTTTCCAACGGTCGCATTAAGATCCAGTGTCACATACCCCAGGGATTTTGGCGTTTTGCCCTTCCATGCAATCTTGTCGCCCACACTGACTTCGACGGGGTACTCCTTATTCCGAAAGTCATTGAGCTTCAATACCACCTGGGAAACATTAACAGACGCTTCCCATGAATATTGAATCCAGGCAGACTTTTTGTGTGCGTCCGATGACCATTGAGTTCTTTCATCATCATCGTACGAGGATTCGGTGTTATCCTTGTCAGAACCTGCCGTGGCACTGGATATTTCGACGGCTTTGCGCGACGATCTATATGATCTACCTGGAGGGGTTGGTCCTCGTGAAAGATTCGATAATAGATCATTTCCGGGCATTTGTGTACTCAATCCATCTGTGGTCTTCTGTGGTTCCGAAGACAGTGTAACAGATGCTGATTTCAGTCCGTTTGACTTTGCACTCAATTTGATCTTCCCAGCAGATGTTGTCGACCTCAGCATAACACGATTGATGCCATTTTCCACCGGTAATGAAGTCGCAAGGATGTAATTGTCCGGCCCTTGTGCCAGCCCACCGCGCCACGAGGCCTCGCCTTCCAACGTGAAATCCATCTCGTTTAAGGCAGTCGGAACTCGGCGGCTTCTTGCATCTACCACTTCCACATCCACCAAAGCAATGTCGGCTCCGTTTGCGATAAATCCACCTGGCGCGATGTGCTTTGTGAGGCGGATCGCAGTCGCTTTTCCTGTTGTCGCCTTCTCATCGATAATGGCCTTCTCGCTGCCGGTATGTCCGACGGCCTTCAATTCACCAGGTTTCCAGGTGACATTTGTGAAAGTGAAAAGGAAACGGTCACTCTGCTGCCCCCAGCCCAATGACTTTCCATTCAAGAACAGCTCCACACGTTCAGCTGTGGATGCTACGTAAACATTTTTGGTTGTGCTGTCGTTGTAATTCCAGTGACCAAAGATATGGCCAGACAACTTCTCGACATCAACCCAGTTGTCCCACATCACCCGGTGCGCATACCAACCGTCTTTCGGTAGCCTCATTGCATCCACTTCTCCAGACCGACGATAATTCTCCGCGCCCCGGTAATGTGTGTTGGAGTCGGAGAATACAATGTTCACTCCGCCAGCGTTGACTCTGGTCCCGGTCCCTGGTCGTTGGGCGTAGTACTCATACCACCTTTTGACATTTTCGACGGCATGCGAATCCTGATTCCGATTGTACACGCTAGCGTCTTCACCCTTGTACTCCGGTCCGTCGCCATCGACATGGTACGGTGGGGAGTAGTTGTCCCAGTATTTCCGCAAGCCTTCGTCGCGGCTATACTCCATTTCCCAGAGAGGCTGGCGAGCGCTTTTCGTGACGTACAACATCTGTCCACCATACTCTGCTACCGTGCTATTCAGCATTTCGCGGCAACCAGCGGCGCGCCCTCCGTACGGGTCGAACTGGTCACGGAGGTCTTTCATTTGTTTCATATGATCTTCTGTGATTCCGTTGTTTCCTGACTCGTAGAACACAACACTAGGGTTGTTGCGGTTGTAGATGATGGCATCACGCATTACTTCATGTCTTTGCTCCCATCGTCGGCCTGTGACGTCTTTTTCGGAATCCCCCGCGGGCATGGCCTGCAAAATGCCAAGTCGGTCCAAGGACTCAACGTCTTGCTTCCACGGTGTGACATGCATCCATCGGATCAAGTTCCCGTTGCTCTCAAGCACGAGGTTGTTGGAGAAGTCGGACAGCCAGGGTGGCACCGATGACCCCAGAGCAGGCCATTCATTTGTAGTTCTCTGCGCATATCCCTTCAGGTGCAGTGCTCGGTCATTAAGGCTGAAATGTCCGTCTTTGAACGTCGTCTTCCTGAATCCTGTTCGCGTGGTTACAGTGTCGACTGCACGTCCGCTCTCTGTTAGACTGGTGTGCACGTCATACATATACCCGTAGCCCCAGCTCCACCAGTTCAAATCCGACATGTCCCCGGAGACATGGAGGGTTTTCGTTTCATTCGGTCTCAGCGTGAATTCCTCCCCGCGAATTTTCTTGACGGTCTTTCCTTCCACATCATCAATCTGCACATTATAGGAGAACCTCTTCGATGATCTGTACTCGTTCCTCACTTGAGTCTCGGCCGTGATCGTCGCAGTCTTGCCGCTCACGTCAATGTTTGTCGCGTACACATACACTCCCGTGGTCTTAAGATTGGAATAGAGTGGCAAGGTCTGATACAACCGATCGGTGACATGAAGGTACACATTCTTGTTGATGCCTCCATAGTTGGCGTAGAAGTTCTTGTCGCTCCACTGATATGGACTTCCTGTCTCGACTTCGCGGTATTCCCAATCGTTATCGATACGGACAGCTAGGACATTCTCGCCGCCGGTCTTGATCTCGTCCGTGATGTCGAAGCCGAATGCCATCACGCCATTTTCGCTCCGTCCGATCCATTTGCCGTTAAGATAGAACTCTCCTCCATGGCGAATGCCCTCGAACTCAAGGAATACTTTCTTGTCTTTCGCGGACGCTGGGAGCTTGAAGTGTTTGCGATACCAAGCAATTCCAGTGGATAGGTTGGCGATTCCAACGTGAAACGAATCGTCTTCATTCCACGCGTATGGGGTGGTCACTTTCTTCCAATCGTCGTCATCGAAATCAGTGGTCTCTGCCTTGTTGGGGTCACCGACGTGGACTCTCCAGTCCGAGTTGAAGTTATATTTGACACGTCCGCTCTTGATGGGAGCAGTGGTGGTCAATACCAAGGAAAGCAGGAACACTAGGAGAGACAATGATTGTTTCATCTTGAGCCGCTCGAGTTGTGTTGGTAGGGGTGCTTGGGAAAATTCACTCCTACCCTGCAACAATGGAGCCTTTTATGTCTGTTCCCGGGTCAGCAATTTAATCCGCAGCTCCGATCTATGTTCACTTCAGCGTCACGACAGCTACTGACCAACGAATGGTAGTCTAGCTGTCGAAAGCCGATTTCCAACTCTTGACCTACGGCAACTGACGCCAAAAGTTCGTTTAATTCATCCACCATTCATAGTCTGTCCCAATCCCCCCATATGGCAAGGGTAGGTGTTTGCCATGCCCAATTAGGCAGTTATGTCTCTCATGCACAACCATCCTCAACTCTTCCCCGCTTTGAAACGCAGGAACTGGGGGGCGCTGGGCACTATTAAGCGTCAGAGTACTATGATGCCGATCTGTGTTGAATGGTCGGGTGGTCGAAGTAACCGCTTGATATGCAGCTTCCCGGTTGCCTTTTGACCGTGACGTATTATGAGACGTTTAGCAGTCCATTCTCGGCCTAGGGCCTCCTCGTCTCTGGACGGAATATCTCGCGGTCGGATGAAGGGAGCTGGGGTTTCATGCATCTGTTGTAACTCAAGGGATTAGAAGGAAGCATGCTCGCCATTGGAATGCATTGTTGGTCCGCGATTCCGGATTCATTTCCCCGAACCCCGTGAATTTCAGTCCGTGGCCTGTCTTCCAGATTTCACATTCCCCTCACCTTTGTCGTGTTATTAAAACAGATCGCGTCGATCGATGATGCGATAGGCTGTTACGGGAGAGTGAATAATCGATCAGCTGGTCGAATGCATCGGCTGTTTCCCATGGTCTTTACGGGCTTTCCGTGTTTCGCTCCTTGGGGACAGTGCATTTCTGCATCGTCTTCTCGTCGTGTCTTCCATGGGTTGAAAACCCAGCCAAGTATCAATTTCCTGGATAGGCTTTTTTATCTTTATCATGCTGTCAATACTGCATGTCGGCAGCTTACATTGGCCGGCTATTTCGTAGGTTGGAGAGCTTATACACCGAGATGCGCGATACCATTATGCAGCGCCAGGAGTCTAGCAATGCTCGTTTTCTGTAAGTCGCATTAGCTTTTCATACGTAACAGAATATCCAGACTAGATAGCCGTCATACACTGGGGTTCAACAAGATTCAAGCACCTACCGGTGATCTTACCCAAAACATATCAGTTCTGGAAAGTTTCGATGCGTATAATCAGCCCGCATCCATGGAACGAGTCATGACGATATTTTTGGATGAATCGTGGCTGTGACAGAAAGGGATTTCTGAAACGAGTTCGCAATTCTGGAAATAAAGTCGGTCGCCCCCGGGAAACAAGCGCCCGTTATAACCGGGTCCGCTCGCTCGTATACTCGTTCAACTGCCCCAATCGGGCTCTAGATACGAGAGCGAGCGGACCCCGACCGCAATGATTTTGGCGATTGTTGCCTGGAAACCGCAACCCTGACCATGGAAAATGGCGAATCACAGGCGCAGGTCTGAACTACCTGCAGTGTTTATTCGTGATTAGGTTGTCTGCCATCTCGCCGTGGCAGCCAAGATGTCCTCGCTTCGTGCAGCTAAACGAGTACGATCGCAGTATGGGATTCTAGGCAGGCAAGATATGTCGGGGTTGCAGATTCTATTTAACTGGTGGTCGGAATGTCTAGATACAGTGCACTTGTGATACTATTCTTCAAATTTTGACCCTATCTACTGCTCAATCGACCCTTCTCCTCTCCCCGTCTGCCTGTTACCCGGCCATAAACCTCCAAACAACCGGCACTATGATCGATCTTTCAATACATAACAACCCAACACTTAAGTTCCGGCTACATATAGTCATCGGCGCACTACTTTTCTTGAATTTTATTCTTATCATTGCGCGCTTGGCAAACCCAGGAACACCCGCGAGTCGAGCTAACACATGGGGAATCGCAGTGGTGAGTTATTTCCGATCAAGCTCACAGATTACGATGGGCGAAGCTTGATGAATTCCCTTGGTATCGCAGTGTGTCAAATCGGCCGTCTTCATGGCATACCAGATCGTGTCGACACACGTGAATCGATTCAAACGATGGGCCAGCCCTAAAGCTAATATGATTCTCAACATCATCGACACCATTTTCTGGTTCGCCCTATTCATCATCACCTGCATGAGCACCGCCGGCTCATGTAGCGGGAGCAGTTGTCCACTCGGTGGCCTTGTGGCGACTTTGGCGATCATTCTATGGTAAGAAAAAGACACCTTCTCCCTCCAGGTTGGGGTTTATCCAAGTGGAAGAGAACTGTTATTCTGACTATGCCATCTTTATAGTGGATTTTCTGGTCTCTTGTCCTTTGTCTGTATTCGCGATCATCGCTATTTCAAGGCAAACGGAACCCTGCCGGGCATGGCTAAGCCGGCTTCTCACGGTGGCGTATAAGAAGTCTTGAACACACGGACACTTCGATTATTCATGACGATATGATTGTTTCCGTTGAGACTTTTGTGGGATTCCAATTCGCATCTTTGTACGCCGTCGGGTCTGACGAAAGGGCTCGGTGTATTTGGTAAACGGTTGTTTCTCGGTTTTATTCCCTGCTCTCACTTTATTCTTGTTTAGAGGAAGGATAGAGTCTGGCGTTTTGAAGCATACTTTTTAAGCGTTCCTGGGCATAAGTTGGGCCTGATGTTCGATTTCTCACTTCCATGCCAGTAAGAGTTCGCAATATATATAGTTCGGAACTGTCAAGGACACCGAAAACCACAAGACGTAATGTCTGTACCGGGAGAATAAGCTCGCTAGCGAGGCTAAGCTGTCTGTATAGACAAAAGAAAAGAAAAAGAACAAAGAAAACAAATAATAAGGCTCAAAGCCCAAGACTACTTTTATGGTGAGGGTGACGTCCAAAACCCGAGGAAAGAAAGAGCCCTTGGCCGACCGGATGACTAAGCATATGTTATTTCCGTGCATTCCCGACACTCTCCTTCTCGTTTCCCCCGACATTCCCGACCGGAAATCCAATGGACGATGCGCTTGTCAATTTCGTGTGATGCTTGTCGGTATGGATACTTCATCAAATTCAAATGCGTGTCATTGATTATCGTATAGACAAGCCAAGGTCAAGTGCGTCCATGAGGGCCACCCACCTTGTCGACGCTGCCACCGCCTCGGTCAACCGTCTTGCGTCCTGGCCGATCCTCGAGTTTCACCGTTGAGGCCAAAGAAGGACTCATCATTTCGAGTTCAACGGAGAGATGGGCCTTCATCGAGATCGACAGAAATTATACCAGAGGCAATTACACAACCCTCTGTGGATCATACCTGTCAATGTGCCCCCGCAAACCCCATCGCCTCCTTGCCGACGGCCACCATCGTGAGCGCCTGCGACACGTACCGGAAGAAGTTCCCCGTCGCCAATTTCCTTCACTATCCCACATTGATTGCCGATATTTCAAATAACCCGACAGCGGTGGACCCGGTATTTGTGGCCTCCTTGCTCTGTCTATGTGCGCGTTTCATGAAAGGACATCAGCTAGACCGGGAACATGTGTACGCGGACTACGCGCGCACTCAGCTGGCACGTCGTGTTTTTGAGGCGCCCTCCTTGTACCTCGCTCAGTCGCTCGTGATGGTTACCTTTTATGAATGGGGTTCAGGTCGCCCCTACAAAGCCTGGATGTACAGTGGTAAGTTGATGGAAGGTGATTTAATTTGACTCGAGAGTTAACCTTTCTCAGGGATGGCAACCTATATGATCCAATCGCTGTTGAAGACTGCAGACGACAGCATGGAGCATAACCCAGAAGAATTTAACGCGTCCCAAATTCAATATGAGCAGTTGGTTAGGACATACTGGTGCTGTTTTGCTCAGGACTGCGAGCTAAGTTCGGGAGCTCGCCAGCACTTTGCTCTGTCATTTCGCCAGATCTCGGTCCCTCTCCCCATTAGCGACCAGGACTTCAATTTCGGCCGTCGTTCGACGTCCCGACTGATGCCAGCAAATATGAACCGACATTCGTTGCTGTCATCTGACTTGACAATTGATCGGGGCTTGACCATCGTAACTCGTGGGTTTGATATCTTTGTACGCATTCTACGATTTGCAAACGAAAGCCGTCGGGGTCGCACATCATCACCGGCTGTCCTATCCTCCCCACAATTGACATGGCAAAACCTCAAGGAAGAGCTTGATGAATGGAGGTCTCTGCAAGATATCACAGTTCGATATCCTGCAACAAGCGCCCAGGCCCATGTTGCCCTTGGGTATGGGGAGCTTTTCGCTTACATCAACCTAGTTTATTTCATGAGGTATGTTGTAACTTCCCTGGTGATCCAAAATGCTAAAACTTTGGTCCAGCATTCTTTTTCTCCATCGTGACTCTGTCCTCTCTGGCTCGAAGCTTTTAGTCGACAGATCGGTAAACGCGATCGAAGAGTCCGTCGGGTGCGATGGGGCCATTGACCAACTTTTCGAGGCCGCGCAAAACATAAATGGTGTCCTGTCCGCGCTCGAAGCATCCGAAACGCCCGTAATAACTCCCTATGCTGGTTTCAGCGTGTTTGTTGCAGCACACATCAATATGTACGGCACTGTTTCTCCACTTCGGTACCCTGGTGGACGTCAGAGGGCCGAGCAAGAAAGGAAAGCCAATTTTTCGTACTTGGAGCGTCTCTGTGAGTACTGGCCGGTCGGCCATAGCTGGGTAAGTTTGGAAGTTCCGATTCTCGATTCGCAATGCTAATAAATCGATAGTGGCGGACCGTAAGGGAAGCGGATAAGTTCTATCGAACTGCCAAAAGCAGCCACAATCCCGGCGATCGTCCCAGTCATCTCACCCTTGCAGGAACACTGGACGAGTATGGAGACATTCGGTCTTCTCGCCCCCGGCATGACCTTTCTATATCTATGCGAAGGCGCGATGCAGCGTCATCTGATACGATTGATTCGACACAAGAAGACCGACGATTCAACCGAAATAGCCAAACAAATGTTATGTCAGGCGATCAAGGAATCATTGACTCTTACGATCTGGAGGCTGAAATGCTGCAATGGCCTTTCATTGACGAAACGTGGTTCCATGGATTCGATACAGGGTTCGATGCGGCATGGCCAAATCTGGGGTAAAGTGATCAGTCAGGCATGTACTTGATATTTTTAGCGGTTTGGGATCCGGCCAGCTACCTTGGATCGACTTTTATTTCCTTTTGGGAATGCTTATATCATTGATGCAGTCACCTTTGACTGCTTCCCAAGAGCGACCGACCACAGGAACCAGGCTGAGCGGCTAAAGTCCTTGTCGAATGCCTAGCATTGCAAACCGGATGCGTTCGAAGCCTAGACTGACCTTAATACGTTCAATTTATGACCGTTACATCGTTCTTGCGACAAAACGCCCTAAAAGGTTCGAAGCCCAATCCTTTTTGCGACCCAATTTAGACAGGCAATCTACGATAACGATATGGGATTCAAGAAGAGAAAGGATCGCCCTCCGTCTTCTCCATTCTCAAGATGATCCTCTATTCCTGTTGGTCATTTCAACTCATTATTCATCAGCCTTTTGGCTTGCAACGTCAGCACTAATAGGGGTTACATTGGCGGGAAGCCGATCGGAACCGAATTCGGTGAACGAACGATAGCCATTGAAACACGGCGCAGGCGACGATCTTCCAGTCGCGGAATCGGATGTCAAGCCACCCGCCGCTACGATGCAAGCTAACGGCGTCGCGTCCGAGCATTGCCTCCAATCATTTCTACCACAAGACAATCCCATCGGTGTTTGTGTCTTCCCCGGCCGTCCTTCTCCATTTCCGTTTCTCGTTAGTCCATTATTGGCGCAGGCTCTCGATACCAAGGAAAATAATTGGTAGCGGTTACTTTTTCTAAGAAATGGCATGTTGTCATTTGAGAATCTATCGTTTAAAAGCAGAAAAGTGACAGAAGAAAAGTATAGCACCCAGGAAGAAAGAAAATGCAAAATTATGGGTCCTACGGCGTTGCAGCCATATCGGGGGTTGAGATTCATCCGTCATCGTGGGATAGCATTAGGCCGTGGCCACTCGAAGAATCTTGAGACCCTCGCCTTTGTCCGCGCCCAAGCAATGTACGGCTGGACTCATTCCGTGGTGCATCACTGTTTCTTACTTCGTTGTCGCCAACAGAGGGGACTTCTGATCCTATCGTATAAGGGCTTCTTCTGCCCCGGTTCCCCCTTGTTCTAGAGCCATCCGTTGTATCGTACTGGCCACCAGAGACAGAAAGCTCGAAGAATTCTGAAATAGTTCCAGCCATCATTCCAGTTTGCAGGTCAGCGAACACCCGTTTGAGACTTGGTATGCAGGTACAGACGATTGATGAGCTCTGTATCAATTGCAGCCAGATCGCTGGCATGACCGCATTCCATGGCAGATCTGTCGGGATTGAATGAAAGTAGGGGCTAAGCGACAACAGACCGACGATTGAGATGAGAGGCACACTATACTTTTCTCGTCAGCTCTTAAATGTTGCCCCAACTCATCGGGTCACGATATCTCACCATAAACGGAGTGCAAAGAGTGCCGAAATCTGACGTCGCTTCCATCCGATCATCTGCACCCTCCACACCAGGGCAATCGGCAGTGCAATGACGCCAAGATCTAATAGAATATGCCAGATCCCAAGAGCCAGATAAAGAGCCTCCTGGTTGACACAATTACCCGAGTCAATGACCCATGAATCTGTCTTCTCGCACTGGGCTGCCAATGTAACAACCCCAACCACCACCCAGGCACTCGTCAGTCCTAGGACGACCTTGCAGGCGAGGAGCACAGCGGCGAAAGGTTCGATGGATACCACCAGGAGTGTAACGGCAGCTTTGGAACAAGCGAGCACGACGACAGACAGGATTTGGCTAGCATATAGAGACTCGAAAAGGTCAGTCCGCCTGTAGTCATGAATGGAAAAACCATAGCTGACTTTACTGTATGCCCCAAAAGACTCATCGTCTATAGTATCTCTATGGCGCCCAAGGCCGTTCCTGCTGGCGATATTGACACACACCGTTTGGGGAAGATAAAAAAGCTATCAAAGAGATCGTTAGTAGACGCGTATGAAGATGTCAAAGGGACCGGTTTACTGTTCCTGCCAGGAGAAAAGCGTCGCTCCAGGAAAATTTGCGAAGAATGCGGAGCCGGGAAATGAGAGTGATAGTTGTCACCCCAAAAACCAGAATCACCAAGATTGTGGCGACAACAACGACCCAAGCACCATGGTCATCGTCAGTCACTGGAAGAAGGGGAGGAAGCATCTTCTCCCAATGAGATACATCTCCCATGGCGATGCCGGGACTTTATGTGCCATTGTTGAATGACCATGGCCAGTCATCGCCGGCAAGGCTGGCGTTATATCCACAAGGCACTAAGTCGACAAAAGTACGAACGAGAACAACAATTTAATTTCAAGCCGCCCTTGGCTTGTTCCCGATCCCAGCGGTGTTGAAACGCCACCAAATCATGGAGTCTGGCGTTGGCCAGGATGAGTAGTCTCTTCCTTGGCGCACGGAGGATGCAAGGATAAGTTAGGGCTGGAATGTTACATTTTTCTTCTAATCCCTGCCACTTGCTTTCGTGAAACTTCCCCTCCCGTCTCGGAATATTTCAACGGTTTTCGTGGATCTTTTTTCTCCTCTGCTGCTGTCCACATTCATCTCATCTTCACGCCACTCCTCATCGGAGCTGAGCTGGATTCTGTTCGCATTCTGCTCGCCAACAGGAACTTTCAGAATGGAGCAACACGAATTGACGTCACATCCGGGAAAAGACCCCGAGTCTTCGATCAGTGAATCGCCAGGCCGCAGGGAGCGTCCAGCTCCTGCGACCGAAGCACGCAATGTCAAGCAGGAGGTGGTTGAGCAGACACAAATCAAGGTATTCTATTTTACCCATTTTCTCAGGAGAAATAAAAGGCAATGGTCTGAATGAAATCAACGCAGCGACTGTTCAGTTTCACCCAAATATTTTTCTTCTCGCTCACGTTTATGTCAAGCTGGGAGAGTCAGGCTCTGTAGGCGACGATGCGATTTTTATGATATCCCGACCGGCTAATCAGCCACCAGCAATTTGAATGCCGTGCTTACAAATGGCGGTCCTGAAGCGTTAGCCTGGGGAGTGGTGATAGTGATCTTTGGGGCTATGGCCCAGTCCGCTTCCCTGGCAGAGATGGCCTCGATGCAACCCATCGCCGGGGCACAATATCACTGGACACATCACCTTGCACCACCAAACCAGCGGAAGTTTATAACATGGATGCAGGGTACGATCACCCTCGAGTACCAAATTTCCGACGGCTGACATAGGACCTAGGATGGATCACATGGTTCGCGTGGGTATCGTTGCTAGCTGGTGTCGCTAATACGACAGCTACAATGATTCAAGGGCTGGCCATTGTCAACTATCCCGAGTATGAGGCCAAGCGATGGCACTTGACACTCATAATGTTTGCTATGCTGGTAGTGGAGGCCTTGATGAACATGTACACGTTCTGGCTGATTCCTTGGATTGAACTCCTGGCCGGAGTGCTTCACATTATCATGTTCATTATTTTCCTGGTGGTCTTTGCTGCGCTGGCCCCACGACACACCGCCGACTACGTGTTTTTGACAACGGACTCTTCCTCCGGTTGGACAGACAGTTTTATCTCGTGGAATATTGGCCTATTGACACCGACTTGGGGATTTGTCGGTAAGTCTCTGTCTCGTGTGCCTCTATTTACGCGTGCTAACCGTCGTAGGGTTTGACGGAGCTGTGCATATGAGCGAGGAAGTTCGCCGAGCACGACAGGCAGTGCCGCGATCTATGTTCTGGACGGTGGCGACCAATGCTGTGCTGGCCTACTCGATCGTCATTTGCATTCTTTTCACCATGGGTCCTATCGATGCGGCTGTCGAGGCTAGTTTCCCTATTATCGAAATCTGCCAGCACGCGACGGGATCGGTGAAAGCTTCCACGGCTATGGTTTGTGGCCTTCTGGTCATCTCGTTGTCCGTGAACCTGGCCAGTATTGCGTCGGTATCCCGGCTGACCTGGGCATGGGCCCGTGACGGTGCTCTGCCTCGGTGGTTTTCTTATGTGCGATTTCAATGGATCCTTGGGATGTTGTATGGGATGCTGACATGAAACAGGTCGATCGCAGGCACAACGTACCCGTTCGCGCGGTCTGGCTCCCCGTGGTGATTGTGATGATCCTGGCCTGTCTCAACATCCCCAGTTCCGCCGCCTTCGGAGCTTTCGTCGCCCTGTCATCGATCGGACTCTTTGTGTCGTACTTCATCGCCATCGGCTGCATGGTTTTAAATCGGTTTCGCAACGACAGTGTGCCTTTGGGCAATTGGAACATGGGCCGATGGGGACTGCCCGTCAACATATTTGCTTTGCTATACACCGCCTACGTGACGGTTTGGCTATGCTTTCCTTCGTATCGGCCTGTTACAGGCGAGAATATGAACTACGCTCTTCCGATATTTGCGGGAACCACATTATTTGCGTTTGTATATTGGTTCCTCAGAGGCCGGAGATACTGGCCGGGGTTGAATAAGGATGTTGTTCGGTTAGTGGTTGAGGGTGGGGAGTTGCAACTGAGGTAAGATGTTTGGGCACAGTTTTGAAAAAGTTGGTAAGTATGAATGATGAATAGGCTTGTTTAGATACTTGGATACACATTAATTTAAAGTTGCTTTGACGCCAGAAAGCTGTTGGGTAGGGGAGGGGATGGCTTCTCCTGTGTTTGCGGCAGCATAACGCGCCCGAATTCTATTTAGAATAGAACCATATGCACATACAACGAATATGTATAAGAAAGGGAAGTGCGAAAAAAGGAAGCAATGATTTCTTCACGGGGTAGTCAACAGCAGGATGATAGGAGACATGTCCCGGGCCGAGACAGGATGTGGTCATCCATTGTCTTCAGCACTATCCACACCTGTCGGTCGCCGAGCAGGATGAACTCAGAACTGACAACCCGATGTTTCTCGCATATCCACCGACCAGTTGTGCACAACTCTTTCTTGTTTGGTGCATTACAGGCTGTCGGACAGCCTCCTTCCTCAAGTTCGATCAACTTATTCAGTGCCTGCACGGCTAAGATCGTCTCGCAGATGCCCTCTCGCCGGGGAAACTGTTGCAGAAGTCGCGCAGCTTCTCGACGCACCGTTGGCTCCCGGCATTTTACTCCTACCCAGTACAATGGCTCGACTACGGACGTAGCCAAGCGAAAGGACGGGTGTGGGATCTTGTCGGACGGAGTGGTACCAGATCGCTTCAAGATTCGGTCTGCAATGTTCAACAATTCCATAAACTGATACAGCAGATCGTCGTGCGCCAGCTCGCCTTTCGAGAAATCTGCCGAGAGAAAAACGACGCCAAACTTGTATCGAATGAAAAGGCTGTCTAAAGCCTGTACCGGGACTTCTTTTTCTGCTAAGTAGGCGGCTATCCGTCGATTCCATTCCGCGAATTGTTGAAGATATCTTCGTTTCTTGTCGAGAGTCTCAGCGGTCGGCGTTGGCGAGGCGTAGACCTTGTGCATGACAAGCCGTATCACCCCATTATATAGCATCTCTAGACATACCTCAGCTTCAAGCAGAGATTTGAAAGGTCGATAGAGTACCGGTCGGTCGATTTCGACGTCCGTCCATGCCACAAGCGATTGTGTAGACGCAACGTATGGACGAACTTGGCTATCGAGCCGGGTGAACATGATCAGGAGCATTTCCGCGGCATTTTCCACCTCCGAGCTCGGGCTGCGGTTGAGCGAGCCCAGCTTCCATTGGTGGAGAAGCTTGAGGCCGTTATTGATATGCACGAAAGCTTGGATCTTGTGGCCCTGGAGGCTGCAAATGCAGGTGAAGAGGATGCAGGTAGTCAATACCACCAACTGATCCAATAGTGTGGAACAGAGCCCCGAGAGGAGTCCACGCAGGGACTGGATAGCATGGTTGAATTGTTTCAGGGCAAACTGAACCCGGGGAGGATCTATGGCCTTGGGAGCGGAAGCCTCGGTGACGTACTCCCGGTGGATGCAGGCCAACGCGTTCATCCCATGCCACAGGGCCGGGTACGAGTGTGAGATCCTTAGAATCTGTCTTGACCAGAATCCCGTGTCGAAATAGCCGGATAGGTCTCCGATGGTAACTGTGTAGAAGTAGTGGAAATTACTTCTCTCCTGCGCATCACCCGGCAAAAGGCTCGATGTTGAAGGGTTCCCCTGGATCAGCGCTTGTGTCACTGCCTTGGGATCCCTGTACCCATCGCATTTGCGACCTGTCGACATGCATCGACGACAACTAGGTGCTCGCATCCGACTCAGTCACTTGGCTCAAGCTGCATATCGGCTGCAGGGACCCACCATGGTTTCTCTTCGTCACATTTGATCTTCCGTATGCTTTAATGGTGATTGTCAGCCATTAATGCGTGCGAGATAGAATCGAGCATGGAGCAGGTCGTCTTACCGACATGTGCGACAACCAGTGGTGGTTTTGGGCGCCCAACGTTTCTGGCGCACCTTGATGGACTTCGGTAGCTCCGAGAGGTTCTCGATATAGACTATATCCGTCATCTCAGATGGTCCGCTTTTCATATCACAAGTTTATGATGGAGTGGCCAGTTGCGGAATATGGAGGAGGGTTGGATACGGAGTACGGTGTCCGGGCTGGCATGAACGAGGCATAAACGAGCGAGCGAAAGAGCGGTCGGCCGATCTTCGATCCCTCTGGGAGACCCACCTCCAGAAGCCTCATAGGTCTGCTCGTTCATTCCTTCGAACGATCTGCCAGCCAAGACGCACTAAATCGCCGGTCTATGAACTCTGTACATTCTGGTTGGTCGAGCTTTTATTGCACCCCTATTTGACATCCCATCGGGCTGCTTTCCCTTTGATCTATTCCAGGCCTTCGATCCCGGCTTCTAGAGACTCCTCCAGAGTGGTCCAACCTGGTCTTCCGTAAAATTCCTTGATCAAGTCCTCTGCTCGCTGGGACGGCACTACATAGAAGATCTTTTCAGCCTCTTCAGGTGCATCGGGAATCGATTTGTTCTGCGGTCGGAGACGGCGCAGGATCTCAACGACCCGAGCCCAACTGAACGGCTCTGAGGCTGCGAAGACTCGTTCCGATACAACCCCAGGATGCAGTACAGCGATAGCGTGCAGGCGAGCAGTGTCGTCGACGTCGACACGCCATTCTATGGTCCGGTGTATTAGCGAGACGAAACTTGATCGGGAATAATTAACCGGGCCACAACATACGACGGGGAATCAGCTTCATCACCAGATCGTCACCTTGCAGGAGGTTCTGCGTAAGTCGCATGGACGACCGTCTCAGCTGAGGAAGGTAGGTGGATCCAAACTGCGAATCTCGTTAGATGCGTTAAGTATTGGATGTTGAACGCTCTAGCTTACGTTGAAGTTCGTTAAGATAGTGTTGAGCTGAAAACGGGGCTTGTTTTCTTCCACCCATTTCCAGGCAGCTTGCTCTGCCACAACCTTTGAAGCAGCGTATGTCACCGCGGACTTGATAGCGTCGGGGGTGTTGGGGTCCCATGCTGCTTTGACAGCCGCGTCGTTCCAGGTATCTAGGACTGAAAGTTAATCCGTTGCTCACCGACATAGTGTAAGGAAATGGAATAAGTTCAAGAGACTTACCAACATCCACAATGTTATCACTACTGTTCGTTCCATCCACTGAATTGGGAAAAGCAGCCACAACAGAAGAGGTCAACACAACTCGTTTCACACCATGAGCTTTAGCGGCCGCTTTCAGGGTGTTCAAAGTTGCCGCGAGAACTTTTGGGATCACGACCTGTGGGTCAGGATTATAGGATATGTCGGATGCCTAGATACCAGCGATCAGCCCCTAGTATACAGCCTCATTCTCCGTAGTGGATAGTTTGATCCACCCCATGTTCGTTGCACGAGCTAAAGAAAGGGTCTTACCACGTGCAGCACGCCCCGTACATCTCCTAGGTACTCATCCAAGGCACCGTCAACTTCTAAGCCGGGCACCACGACGGACTGGTACTTGTCTTGACCATGCCTGTCGGCGAAGAATTCGTCTAGCCATGGTTTCGGCTCACGTACGGTCCCTCGTACTCTGTATCCGCTTGATAAGAGCAGGTTGATGATGTGAGAAGCTATGAACCCATTGGCGCCGGTGACGAGGATCCAGGAGCCGAGTGGAATGGTCGGTTGAAGGTGAGGTAATGACATCGTGTACTGTTCAATGTGTTGGCCTGAGTTGCTTTTTTTAAGTGGGAAAGGGAGCACGTACACCTTTATATATCTTTACAAGATACGGTAGGATACCTATTTTGGTAGACTACCACGGCGGCACGGATCTCGGAAGTATTTTAGACCTTAGTGATAAACGAACGAAGAACGAACGAGGGGACGAACCATGGTCTGCCAACTGATGGGGTGGAGTCCGGGTTTAGGATACTATACATCCCGTGGTCAGCAGGACAAAGAATTGCTTGTTGAATGTTAGCCAGACCGAGAAAGTAGATGCCTAAAAAAAGATATTAGGCTATGGTGGAACGACGAAGGCTGTTGGGAAAGCCATGGAAAGAGAGATACGACAATGGTTGATGTGTATTTGGCGTCATTAACATGATAGCTATGACAAGGGAGGCGAAACCGCTGCCTGAGGACACGGTTGACACCTAAGGCCAGAAACTCGGGCCCGAAGTCGCGCCTTCCGCGTTGGTTTGTTTTTCTTTTTTTCTTTCTCGCTCGCTCCTTCGCCAACCATCAATCCATTCATCACCAACACAATTTCCATCGGAATCCTTAATCCTTCTCATTCTCGTCGCACCTTATTGACTAATCTTTCTGCTAGCATGATCAAACTATTTGCGTGGACAATATCGAACGTGGTCAGTTCGGCCCCCAATTCGGCTTTGATCCAATTTCGCAGCTCCACCGTGGACAGCGAGTCTAGCCCGTAGACTGACAGCGGTCGCTCCGGCTCAATTTGCTGCCCGTCGTTCCATCGGAGCATTTGACCTAGCCGAGCCGCCAGGACCTGCACACATGGTTCGAGAAGCTCGTCAACAGACGCACCAGCCCGAACGAGCCCATGGAACGAATATACTGCACTGCCAACGGGGTCGCTTTCATTTGCTGCCGTCGCGGACTCAAATGCACTTGCCCGCGCCACGAACAATCCACGGAAGCGCAGATCGAATCGCAGAGCTGAGTGTTTCGGATCTTGTGGTACCGTGAGGCCTGTTATTAACCGGCTCGGAGTTTCAGCACCCGATGGTGACGCTTTGAACATGAGCTGCTGGCGAAGCGAACAATCCACCATGTCGTGCAGAATGGCCTCGGGGATATTTGTCAACTCCACTGATTTCTGATGGCGCTTGGTCAGTGCATCGGATTCAGCAACGACGCCCACATCTTCGATCACCCCGAGGTTAATTGTCTGGGCGACTAGTCCCATCGACCGACGGTACGTAGCAAACGAGTCGAGGAAGCTATTGGCGGCAGCATAGTTTGCCTGGCCGGGACTGCCAACCACGCTTGAAATACTGGACAGCATGAGGAAGAAATCCAAGGGAAGGCCCCGCTCCATGGAGACGTGGTGCAAATTCCAGGTTCCTTGTAGTTTTCCTTCGATGCTTTGGTGGTATTCATCCACTGTCATTGTCTCATAGGGTCGGTCGCGGAGAAGCATGACGCCTTGAATAATGCCGCCAATTGGCACCGGCGCCTTCATGAAGGCTCGTCGCACATCTAGGACCCGCAGGACGTCCCCACGACAGAAATGAACCTCGCACCCGAGTGAACGACAGTTGGTAATTACTCTCTGTGAGCGCGGATCGGCGTATCCACTACGAGACATCACGACGAGGTGTCGAGCTCCTCTTTCTGCCAAGTGCTGCGCAAGACTGCCGCAAAGACCCTTGAGTCCCCCGACCATCAGATATGCTAGATTCTCGGTAAGAGCGAGATCGCACTGCATTGGGCGTATGGAAACCTCGGAGCCTTGCCCAGGTTGGTCACAGATAACGACTTTGCCAATGTGGCGGCCGCTGCGGAGATACGCAAATGCCTCAGGAATCTGGTCCATCGGGAATGTGGTAATTGGGGTAATGGGAGAGATGTATCCATTCGCTTGAAGATCGAAAATCCGTTTGAGAAGACTTAAGTCCTTCCATTAGCTGGTGCCGCGAGCTGTTGTCCGTTGAACTCACCTGGGCAGTTTAAGTAACAATTTAGGGTGCGATAGGTCGATAGCACGGTATGAGCACCCCCGGTCGAATGGATCCATCGCGAGATAATTGCGTTCCACAATATCTCGCTTTCCAATTTCCACCATTGTTCCGCCGTCGGCACAGATACGCCAGGTTGCGTCCAGCAAGTCGCCTGTCAGTGAGTTGACAATAACATCGATGCCCTGCCCCTGGGTTGCCTTGGTGATATCGGATGCGAAATCTGCGGATCGTGATGAGAACATGCGATCGTACGGAATGCCGAACTTCTCGTGGAGACAGCGACGTTTCTGCTCCGTTCCTACTGTCACATAGATATCTGCTCCGATGTATTGAGCTAGTTGGATACAAGCCATCCCGACACCTCCTGCAGCTGAATGGATGAGCACTGTCTGTCCCGGTTGGAGATTGCCGATGTCAAATATGGCGAAAAGAGCCGTACAGAATACCACAGGCATTGTCGCTGCATTTTGATGCGACAAGGCATTAGGAATCGGAAGCACGAATTCTGCGGGCACTTGGATGCGGTTGGCGAGAGACCCCTTTGCCATGAAGACAACGCGCGTGCCTGGTGATAAATCTTTTGAAACGCCCGCTCCAGTGCCACAAATGACACCGGCCCCTTCTAGTCCTAGTAGGTGTTCGTTCTCTGGAACTATCCCCATGGTGACAGCTACATCCTTGAAATTGAGGCCCGCGGCGCATATTTCAATTTCAACATGTCCCTGGGGAGGAGGCGTAGTGGGAATCTCGACAAACTGCAGCCCATCCAGGGTACCAACCCGCTCAGCTCTGAGCTGTACGATTGCATGGTTTTGGGATAAAGGTTGCGTGGTTGGTTTCCGGATGTGTGCGTTTACCTCAGACTCTAGTTTCTTGTAAGGAACAATCCGTGGGACATGGAGAACCCCATCTCGCTCCGCATATTCACTGTCAGTTATCCATCGGGCATGCGGTCGCTCCATCTGCCTCAAAACCTCTAGAATATGCGGCGCTGCCTGCTCAGGGTCGCTGGAACCCACGTCGAGTGTCATGATTGTTGCGCTCGGGTCTTCAGAACGAACGGAACGGAAAAGCCCGACCGCAAGAGCATTGTCTGGTTGACACACTGTGAGTTGAGACCCCTGTGTCACCCAAAGTACCTTGCAGCCGCTGGTCACCAGGCGCCGAAGGTAATCCCACTGCAGTTCCGAAATGTTTGTGAAGACGGAAGAGAATACCTCATCTGTGACGAGGACAGTAGCTCTCTCTGGGATATCCTCAGATAGACATCGACGCTCGTGGACTTGCCACCCTGCTTTGTGGAGATGGCTTCGTAACACGGCGGGAAAATGATAGCCTTCCTCAAAGGAAACAGCATACATGCTAGCTCCCGGTATCTCAGGTTCCTGTTCTAAATGCGGCGAACACAAGAATATGTTTCTGCTCTTTTCAGGTATGGTAATAACCTGGGAAAATTTGGGTCTATCCAAATTGCCCTCCAACGAGCGTTTGGGACTAATTTGACGCCCGGTGGCTGAGAAGTCAATAGCTAGTAAACGACCTTCTGCGGATAGCAAGGTATTTATGGCCGCCAGGACCGATATCATCTTGTCCGGCAAAGGTGAGACACATTTCAAAATTATGAGGTCGAACTTTTCTTCCCCTTGAAGCCCCAGTCGGCTGCTTTCAGGATCCATTAAATCGACCGAAAAATCCGAAAAGCTGTCATATTGGCTTCGGATATCAGTGATGCTAACTGGATCAAGTGCCATGAAGCGGTAATTTCGCCCGGACTGGCGTTCAGTTTGTTGCTGCCAGTCCAACCACGGGCTGTTTAGGTCTCCCGTGTCTAAGTCGATTTCAAGGACATTTAGATCGGGCTTTTTATGCAAAGCTAATTCCAGGATCCCTGAAACGATGTCCGCATATTGGTTGCTCAGTATACGAAGAGATTGTGTGGTCAGCGTGGCGATGTCCGGCTTCCAAACTTCATGGGTCAGCGTGTGTGGCGCTAATGGGTCAGTCCCTAGATCAACCTTGTGACTGGCCAGCTTCGTCATCCGAATGAGCAGTTCTCCTGTGGCTGGATCATACACAGAAGTGTCGCCGAGATAGCTCTTGGCTGCGTCATACCTTCCTCGACCGGAATAATAGCTCGAGGATACCGCCATACCGACGTCGGGGCGGCTGGAATTAGGATTGATAATGAAATCATCGATCATGGCTGGGATCAAGGTTTCACGAACTGCTCTGCGCATTCCTGCCACAGATACTGGGGCAGTAGCTCGGAGAACCCCATCTAGCGCGGCAGGATGGAAAGGATAGGATGAGTGGGCTTGATCTGAAGAAGGATCAGCTAATGTAATGGTACATCGGCCTTTCCTATGACCAGCGCGGGTCTCCACTTCCCGGAGCAGATGGAACGCTGGACCATAGTTGAAGCCGATTTCTGCAAAAGCCTTGGTCCACGAATGGCCCTGTAGCGCGTGCTCTAGAGGTGCGATGTCTTTCTCGGGTGCCGGGTCGACAACAGTGTCCTGGACTCGAATTATCCCGCTTGAATGATGTGTCGTGATATCCTGCCTTGTCGAGAAGACCGTGAATTCATACCAGGTGTCTTCCGAACCTCCGAATGGACTCATAGTGAGGTAGACGTCCGGCTCAATACCGTCTTCCAGGATCAGAGCCATATCAAAACGGACATTGCGTAAACGGTACCCCAACTGATTTGATGATGACACGGCAGTGTCTGGTTGGCGGATGCAGGTGACTTGGTATAATGCCTCCACGGCCATTGCAATGTATCCAGACCCGGGAAAGATGACATCTGATCCAATCTGATGATCTCGCAACCATGGTAAGTGTGCTAGGTTCAGTGTCTTCTTGAATGTTGGATTGCGCCAAGATGTCCCAATGATTTTACTACCGAGAAGGTCGTGGTGAACAAATGGTTTGAACCGCCAGTCCTTACTGGATGTCGATTCGAACCAGTATTTGGTCGAGTGGTCCCAGCTGTATCCTGGCAAGTCAGTCACGATCCGCGGATAGGCCGGTTGCTGATCTTCGTTGACCAGTTGCATTGATATTGGAGCTCCTGCTAAAAATAGTTCACCAGCGACTGCAAGGGTGGAATTGATGGATTCTGGTCCTCGATGCAGCGCTGAAAGGTACTTGGCTTTTGGAGAACCGCCTAAACTGTTTTGGATTTGCGCGAGAGGTCCCTTTAGAGCACCACTAGGACCAAGTTCAATTAGATAATTTGGGGATTCTTTCGATGTCAGCATCTCGCGAACAGCATCGTCGAACCGCACCGGCGACACCATATTTGTCCGCCAATACTCGACATCCGGTGATTCCGTCTGTTCGTGTCCAGATACTGACGAGAACATACGAACGGGACTGGAAATACAGAGCGATGCGGATAGTCGAGGAAGGTCTTTGCTCACGGCGTTTTCGTATTTCTCTCCGACATTCTCCATGTACTTGGAATGATAAGCCTGGTCTACCTGCAGCATTCGTGCGAATGCGCCGTTCTCTGTAAGTCGATTCTTCAGGCTCTCTAATGCAGCGGCTGGGCCAGAGAGAGTCACACTCGTGGGACTGTTGAAACATGCAATTTGAACTTCGTTGCATTCGTCGAGATGTTCCTGAACATCTTCAGCGCCAAGACCTACTGCTAGCATTCCCAGCCCGATATCGCTTTGGTGGCGTGTGCCCTGGCAAGCCTTCCCACGATGGTATGCAAGAATGATGGCCTCCTCATCGGAGATGTATCCAGCTGCGCATGACGCTGCTATTTCACCCGATGAATGGCCCACAACACTCTGTGGTGAAAGACCCCAATTTTTTAACACAGCCAGAAGAGCTAACTGTAGTGCAGTGACAAGAGGCTGACTGAATTCTGGCTGTCTTGTATGCTGGGGATCACGAGGGGATGTCAATTCGTCCAATATTGTCCAGTTAGGCGGATCTGGCAAACGCTGGAGAATTGAGTCGAGGTGATCGATGGTGTCTCTTGCCGGCTGGAATGATGCGAGCAAACTTTGCCCCATCTCTGGCCATTGAGCGCCCTGCCCCGTGAACACGAATCCGATCCTTGGAGGGTGGATACTCTTCTTTCCGCAGACCGCCATTGTGGCATCCAAGTCGCCCAAATGATTTGTTATCAAGTAGCCCCGATGGAACAAATGGCTTCTGCGGACACCCATTGTATAGGCCAGATCGCGAGGGTTGATATTGATTTCGGGGTCGCGCACATGTTGCGTCAGTTTGTCGATCGAATCTCGGAGTGACCCTTCTTTGTTTGCGGAGAAGCATAGAAGGTACGGTCGCAAATTTGTCGAGCTTGAGCACTGGTCTGCGGCCGCTCCTGGCGACCGGTATGAGCTGACATATGCTGGAGTATAATCCGAGACTAGCGCATTCGGTTCATCTAGTATAACGTGCGCATTTGATCCTCCGAATCCAAAGCAATTGACGCCTACCCGGCGGAACGGCATATCTGGAAAAGGCGTGAGTTCTTGCCGAACATCGAGTTTCAAGCCATGGAAATCAACTGTTCGGAGTTAGCAAAGTGAAAGTTCTAGTCGGGAGAGTGAACAACGCACTTTCAGGGTTTGGTGTCACAAATGTGGGATTTCCAGGAATTAACCCTGTCTCGATGATCATAATTCCCTTCATCATTCCGGACAAGCCCGCGGCGGACTCACTATGTCCAATGTTGCTTTTTATCTGCACCAAGTGTTAGCCAGTCGTCCGTATAAAAGCTCGATTGGCTTTTATACTGATCCAATACGAAGCGGTTTATCGATGGTCCGTGACGAAGCAAAGACCGACGCAATTCCTGTCGTCTCCACAGGGTCCCCGGCCATGGTCCCAGTTCCATGACACTCCAAATATGCGGTTAGAGAATAATCGGTGATATTGGCATTAGCGTATGCCTGGCGCACGGCGGCAGCCTGAATGTCAGCATTTGGGGAGGCAATACCAGCCGTACGGCCGTTGTGATTATTAGCCGATCCTCGGATCACGGCGCGGATTGGGTCTCTGTCTTGAATGGCATCGTCGAGGCGTTTTAAGATGACAACATTGACGCCTTCGGCCTTGATGTAGCCGTCTGCTTTGGCGTCAAACGTGTGACATCGTCCGGTCGGGGAGTGGGTGCTCTTGATTGATCCAGCTGGGCCGAGTTAGCATGCACGAGAAGAGGGGATGGTGACTCAAATACCGTCGCATCCATAGTCAGGGCTATCGGGGTTAGTATTGTCAATTACAAGAAATATCTGGGTTTGCTTACTTCAAGATCAACCCGGATGCCGCTACGATTGCCCCGTTTATCTCGCCGATGTGTAAGGACTTGCATGCTGTGTCTAGAGCAACCAACGAACTGGAACATGCGGTGTCGATTGGCAGACTAAAAGGATTAGCTCGTGGCTATTGCGTATCGACAGGACCAACATACCTCGGGCCTTTGATGTCCAAAAAGTGGCTGACTCGGTTGCTCAGCATGGTTGCTGAGCCGCCTATCCCAGCATTCGGAGGTCTTGAATCTGGGTCGCGCGCGAAGACATCCCAGTAATCTATCTGGATGTGAATAATCCGAAGCTTTCATTCGTACCCAGGGCTAGCATACCTCCTGTGTGTGCTCCCACAAAGCACCCATATTTCTCTCCAGCCAGTGATTCCAAAGGTATACCGGCCCCTTCGAGTGCTTCATAAATGACCTCCAGTAAAATCCGCTGTTGTGGGTCCATGGAAATCGCTTCTTGCGGAGGTATGTTGAAAAATGAAGCGTCGAACTCTGCCGGATTTACCGTTTCCATGAACATGGCACCTGGTGATCGGAACGTGTGAGGCCGATCTGAGCCATCGTAGAACCCATTTAAATTGAACCTCCCAGCTGGTACGTCCGTTCCTGCCACTCCGTTTCGCATTAAGAATTCCCATAGTCTCCGGGGTGAATCGCTATGACCTGGGAGCCTGCAGGCCATTCCCACGACCGCGATCGGTTCTTGAATGAATCGATTCGACTCCATAGTTCCCGTGGAATTTGATGTTTCTGGTGTGAACGCCATCTTGGAACAAATCTCATCACGGAGTTGGGTAAGGATAAGGAAAAGTGGTCAGCATATGCGCCCTGTCGATGGAAGGTGGGCGGTCATATGCTACGATTTTACGCACGTTTCTTATCGTGGAGCACCGTCGTTCTTTCTCCATTTGGTCCGCAAATCTGCAGTGATCGTCATTGTCAGCGAAGTCTCACCGAGAATTCGTGTGGAAATCACGAGTGTGATTTGACAGTGAGCCCTTCCCTAACATGAAAGGGTCAATGTTTTATGCAAGGTGTGTTGCCGGAACCTGCCCTTTCTGGCTTTCGATCGCCCTCTGGCTTAGCGCCTGGTATAGAGAAAGGCTGGAAGCTACTAATGCTTGTTCTTCCCATCGTAGGCCAATTGAGAGGGTTGTGGAATATCCCTGAAGCCGTGGATGTGTGGTCTTAGCTCGCCCTTGCATGACTGCCGAGATTGGCGGTCTACTATGTTGGTTCCACGTCCATTCACGACTTGCCAACACATTGCAATCAAGGGGTACTTCTCTCAAGAACTTTCGTAAGTTGGAGTTACGTTTTCTTCTCATCGACCCCGCGGCAGGTGTTTCTACACTAGCTAATGAGGTGGGTTCCCCTTTGAGAGTGTGTAATTCCATGGAGAGCGTAATTGATGGAGTGTGTACTCTCTAATCGCTCTCTATTAGGGAAATTAAGATGAGCGTCGGGATGAAAGTTCGAGGTACCTGTTTACGGCCAGGGGTGCCCGACACCACCTATCCCTTGCAGCTAGTATACAGCCGTTTGTCTTAGGAGTGATGCCTTAGCATGCTTGGTTGGCCTTCCGATCAAACACATGCTATCTCAGGGTTCTATATTAATAATCCTTCTGTTGGGAAGAGGTAGACTAACGTTAAAGTTGCCTAGGTATCTACAGCAATGGGTCTGTCGGGGTCAAATCCTGAAATAAGAGTCGTCGATGGTTGACTACGGTCCGCTGAAACGACCTTCGTGTGGACGGCATGAAGCAAAGCTGAAATAACCAGCTTGTTCCAATGGAAAATGAGACTTAACTGGACTTTCGGGCCAATGTTCCAACTTCCAAATAAGGATATGTTTAGACACGGCGGCGCGAGTGATATTAAGCCCTCAATTCTCTCTAATTGTGGAGATATCCGATATGAATCGGCAGGCTCCCAAGGTATCGCACTCGGACTTGCACAACGACTGGGAATTTCCACTATGTGACCACGCGACGAGACTACTTAACAATGACTCTTTCAGGAGACTCTGGATAGCTTCATAGCCAACGTCCATCTCGCCAGAATATTCCCTCAGTAGGTAGGCTCTATCAGGTCAAGAAAGTTTCGATTGATTGATTGTCACCCTCTTCTATATTCAAAAATATCCATCAGTACAACTGTTCATCCAGAAGCAATGAGATGGCTTCGTGAAATCATTGACGAGATCTTTGAGCTGGGAGCGCTTCGCTGTCTTGCTTTTGCATTAGCTGCATTCGCTGGAGCGTGGTACCTAGAGAAAAGCTCTTACCACGAAGGTCTGATTGTGGACACAAACTTTTTCAGCGACGCTGGGTAAGCATTTCTCCTACCTCATCACTCATCTGCCAGCCCTGCTAATATGAATCATAGCGACGCTGGTGCTCTTCTGCTGGCTAGTACCCATCCAGACGCCAACCTACTCGGAGTCAACGTCAATTACCCCTCGGTAACATCTGCCTTAGCAGTTAAAAATATTTTGGGCTACTATGGTGAACTCTCTGTTCCCGTTGGGCTTCACCCAGGCGCCCAAAACTTCACGATTCTTCATAGGATTCAAGTCGATGATGGAGATCTCGCGGCCAGGTTGATGTGGGGTTGGCAGAGATACAGCCCCCGAACCTCCCAAAACAATGATAGGGTTCCCATCACTCCATCCTTGGACATGTACCGTAGCGTTTTGGCTCGTGCAAAGCGCAAGGGCATCACGATTGTGAGCATTGGGTTTCTCGATGATGTAAGTGGGCTCCATATTCCGTTCATGTGCCTCTAAGAAGAGCATTGGAAATTCAAGAGAAAAACAGAATGGCTAACCGATTACCCTTCTCTGCAGCTTTCTGACCTTCTCAACTCCCCTGGGGATACGTACTCTTCTCTTCTGGGATACGATCTAGTCAAACGGAAGGTCAAAGAGCTCGTCATTATGGGAGGCCAATACCCCTTCGGTCAAGAGTCCAACTTTCTCTACAACCCAGGGGCCGCAGCCAATGTCGTCCGCAATTGGCCTAGCAAGATTGTGTTCTCAGGCTCTGAGCTAGGTCGACATGCCCTCTCCGGGGCCAGACTGACGACTGAGGCCAGGTTTGGCGATCCAGTCATGACAGCATACTGGTGGAAAAAGTGAGTTGGTCCCTTTCTAACGTGCATCTCTCTGCTCATATTAAGCTGACTGTGAGGATATAGTGGGTACAACCGTTCTCAAGAATCCTGTGACCCGCTGACGATGCTCTATGCTATCGAAGGGCCCGGTGAGATGTTTGAATATGCAGGCACAGACGGTCTGAATTCTGTTTTCTTGGACGGAATCAATGTCTGGGTCGAAGCTAAAGGAGACTACAAGCAGGCCTACCTGAAGCTGAAGGTCTCCAATGAGACGGCAGCGGCCAGACTTGACGACCTGTTTGTTCAGGGTGCGGCCCTGTATGCCAAAGAACGGCCCAACTTGGTCTAGTCTTTGCTTCGGTCCATAGTCTGGACGTTGCTCTTTTGACGTTTGCTATTTTATGCTCTTCTGCTTGCCTAATTGCGGACTTGATTACTTCTCTGCTTGACCACTTTGTTACTTGACTGTTTGCCTTTCCCTTGTCTTGAGCTTTCAGTTTTTCTTTTTTTGCTCGTTCTTTTGTTTTTCTCGGTCTTTCCTGGACTTTGATTTCGCCAATCAAACAATAAAAAACAGAAGAATAAAATATGTTCCTTAGATGTATGCTTTGCTAACGATGAGTAAATATTTTCAGTAGTCTTCCCGATCAGATATAAGCCGTTCTTCCTACATGATCGACAGATACGCTACAGAGACCTATTCCAAGCTTCGGAGACGATCACCCGAGCCCGGCCAGACCGAAGATATAGCAGATGACATGTCGATCAAAGACAAATTAAGATAAGTCCGGTGGTCTGCCGACGATACGAGGAATGTAGGGATGTGTGCTGATTGGCGCCGCAGTGGCAATGCGGCCTGGTAGTGGCCGCCACGTCGAGCTAGCTGGCTACTAGCTGGATTGGGCACTGAGAATCCCGGCTTAGGGATTATCCTTTTGTGAAATTGGGGTGTGCTGGTAAAGAATATACGTTGCATAAAGATTGTAGATACTGGTTCAATAAACAAGACTCATTCCACCCGAAGATGGCCTCAAATGACTCGCGTGCGTGATCCTAGAATCATCAACCACCACACCACTCATCTAGGACGATCCCATCCCATTGCGCAGGTTATCATATTCCGACGCAGGATAGTCCAGCTCGTTCTCAGCCTGTTCGAGTCCGCTAGTCCCTCCGAGTGCATTTACTACCTAGTTCTGCTGTCAATACTTCATGTAAACAGTCAGGGAGAGGAAGAACGTACCGTTGTAATCAGACTCTCGTCGCCGGTCTTATCAGCGCTGCTTTCCCACCACATACCACCTCCCAGACCCTTGGACTTGATGTATTCAGACTTCAGCTCAGCCACTCTGGGCGTGTCGTAGCTGATCAGGAGCTTCTTCGAAGAGTCATAGCTGTAGCTAGCGATGAGGTCCTCATCGATATGCTCTTCCGCACCACTCTGCGGCAGCGCCTTGTAGTCCCAAATGCCGTTCTCCCAGCTTCCCTCGCCGACGCCGCTAAATGTCTCACCTAGGCCGTCGGTGCCAGCGAACGCGCGTCCGTAGATGGGCATGCCGAGAACGATTCGGTCGGCGGGGACACCGCCCTCGATGTAGGCGTCGACCGCCTGTTGGGTGTTGAAGGGTGTGCTGTTGGGGTTCGAGGTGTCGTTGTAACCGTTCGCTTGGTGGCCGGTGAAGTCGGAGAAACTGCCCGCGTAGTCGTAGGCCATCAGGTTCCAGAAGTCGAGCTGTTCGTTCATTTCGGCGAAATGCAGCTTTTCGTAGTTTTGAGGACCTGGGAAGGAAGTTGGGTGTCAGTGAGTGGGTCTATGTAATTATTTCGGGCGAGGACGAACCCGCTGGAGAAGCCACTGTGAGAAGGAACTTCTTCCCATCTCCGTGTTCCTGGCTATATGCATCAAGGGCCTGAATGGTTAGTTACATTTAGCGAAACTATACGGTCGGTAGGTAACATACCGATCTCACTTCCTTGAGAAGCAGTACAAAGTCACTCGCTTGGTCGTCATTTTCGGGATACTGCCGGGATGACTGGTTAATCTTTGTTCAAAAATGGAGGTGAAATACCCACCTCCCAGTCAACATCCAAGCCGTCAAATCCTAAGTCCTGCAGCAGCTTGACGGACGTTTCCGCGAACTTCTTGCGACCGGCTTCAGTACTAGCAGGCTGCGCAAAGTTCTTAGAGTAGGTCCATCCTCCGATTGACAGGAGCACCTTCAGGTTGCGGTTCTTCTGCTTGAGAAGATACAGCTGCTTGACGCATCCGTAGACATTGTTGCCATCTTCAGACCATGAGTCATCGGGATAATGCTTCTCCAGATCGGCATAGCTGTCGGAGAGATACACCTCGCCACTCTCGGGCCGCACGTTGGCGAATGCATAAAGGACGTGCGTGAGCTCATCAATATGAAGGTCCTGGGGATCATGGCCTCGACCATAGATCGCCTACTATGGTCAGTGAGAAATACAATAGTGTCTGTGTCGTGGCTATACTGACCCAGTTCACAAAGTATACCACGGAGCGATACCCGGATGCCTGGCGCGCTTCCAGGTCCATGCCCCGAGGAGCGGGCTTGTCAATAGCGGCAGACTGGGCAAGCCAGACTGAGGCAAGGCCGAGGGAAAGGAAGGATAAGACACGAGTAGTGAAGCGCATGGTTACCAAGGATGTTTGCCGTTCGGAATTTGACTGTGGCTTGAGACTCTCTCAGAAACAAAGACGCATTCCGATGCAGAAAACGCCTCCTTTTATGTTCTCGTCCATGGCATGAGCCAGCGTTGAGTTCGTCGTAGCATTGTACCCCAGAATTCTGGTCGAGACCTCACATGGTCAGGTAGCATGGATAACTTCAGATACAAGCAGAGCATATCCCAGGGTTTCATTCCACCATGATGCCTGCAATGCGCCATGCCGCCGTGCCGATCCCACGGGTGACACCACCCTCATGTCAAGATGCTGTGAAACCTGAGATTTGGCCGCGGGACGCCCATGTGAAAGGTATATTCTCTCCGGCAGGCACTAGGGAGTGTGTAACATTAGAACCAGGGGACTGCGAGGATAGTTCGACGAGTATGTCACATCCACGGGCATCATGTCCCCGCAGCATTCATCTACAAGCAACCCAATGGGAATATGCATGTAACCGCCCAGGGACAGTGTGCTAAAGTGCACTGTGCTTTGCATGGTCTAGGGAATAGCTCGCGCGTTAGATGTCGTCCGTGAAGAACGAGATCAAATCTCCAACGAATCGGACCCGTTCATCATCATGTTGGTTCCTGGGGTCAATCCAACTACCGATGTAACAACGGAAACTGTCTGAGAAGATTACCGGTCAGGGCACATGAGCCAGATGGGCGCTAGCAGGGGTTGTAGTCTTGGAAGAGGGGATTTGACCCCGAACTGCATTTTCCCAATCGAGATATCCTCGCCAATCTTTATTCATGTAATGGGAGGCAGAGGTTACAACGTCAAGAAAAATGCCAGCCGATAGAACATATGACATTTCAGTCGGGTCGGTACCGAGAAGATGACACCCTTTTTCAAACAGACGAAGGGGTGACCAGGTTAGCGAAGGCGGAATGTGACTTGAAACTGACCAACAAGCTTAGCCGGTAGTCCGATCTCTTCGCTTGATAAGCCATGGCTCCAATCACAGCTTGGATCGCACATTGCAGGCGACGGCATCACATCCCAAACGGGGGTTGGAATGTAACCCTTATTGAGGGAATGAGGGGAACATGGGCAAGTTTAGCAACCATTCCAAGTCTGAGAGCTTTCAACTGGGTTGGTAGAATCGAACAAGGTTTAATATGGTCTGTTTGCTGGTGGTTGAGAAATATTAAGTGTTGGTGGACTGGCATTGATTCCAGAGGGTCACCATGCCCATCGAATATCACAAGCCAATGTCATCCTGCAACGAGGGTGAAATGTAGGAAAGGAAGCCAGTGAGATGACGGAGCATGAGTATTCTTCTTGGCTTGGGAGTTCACTGGAGGATTTCGTTCATTCAGACAATAGCCTATGTCCCATGTGATGTTTGTGGACTCCAGTGCCGATTGGCTTCAGCCTTCTCGCTTTAGATCGCCTGATCCAATGACGAACAACAAAGACCGGGCATACTTACCAGTCGGAATACATTTCAAAGACCTTGAAGAATCTTGAAATCCATTTTTTGTGCCGGAGAAGCTGTTCGTCGGTTGGCGCTTAAGAGACCGTGGTCGTGTTCTCGCGTTCCAAGATCGCGACCGCAAGGATTGACAGGGTTCCAATCTCAGGGAGCAATTGTGCTATGGAAACAACATCATATATGCAAGGAAATTGACCATGAGATCTTATTGAGCTACAGACAAGACCGATGGGCTGGAGAGAAGAGAGGGAGTCTCGAATTGGAGCCCGAAACCTGGAGATTTCCCGTTTAGGAAAGCGCACGTGATCTTATCTCCAGCCAATCAAGATCCGGTGAGTCATCTATCGCATCTTCCCGATTGGGATCCCTGTTGTTTACCTTTTGGATCACCTGAGCGGGGCAGTCGCCGTGGTGAAGCATTATAAGGCCTCGTTGCACACTTCCATCGCCATCAAGGCGATCAAAGGATCAGTTGACTTCATCATGGCCGCACCGCAGATCTACGCGCTATCAGTGGCGGCCGCCTTCCGCGGGTTGGACCGCCAACAACAGCTATATGCCCATCACATGGCTAAGTACGACATGAGACCGATCCCATGCGCTTGGGCCATTGACAACTAACCTTGCACGGGCAGGGCTGCATGGAACGGCACGAGGATCATCCTTCGGCAGGTATCTCCGGAGGCTAATGACATATTCGATTTCATCATGGCCTTGTATCGCGACTGTGATGGCGTATGGGAACGGACAACGGAGAGAGGCATCGTCCAACCGCATGAGCTGCAGAATTTCCTGGACTATGCGGCGATGTTTCTATCCAACGTGGGAAATTACTTTGTGGGCTTACTCGGATCTTTTGCCAAGTCTCTTCTCTAATTTTTGACATAGGGCTCAGGCGATCAAAAGTTCACGCCGGATATCTCAGAAGAAAGCCTTGCGAGGCTGGCTTCTTTCTCACCAAAAGCAAGCGATTTGCTGCAGCGAGTGAAGGTCCCAATGCTGGCCAAACTACCCAGTAGTCTCGGGGTTCCTGGGCCACTCACTCAGTCAACCTACTACTTGGGAGACAACGTCTTGGCATCTTCAGATGACATTGCCGCTATCTCTAAATTCATGGAAGAGGCAGAAATTCTACCCGAAAATACGCGTTTGAAGAGAAACAAAGATACCGAGGAATACGCTTATGATATCCTGCAGGCATCAATAGAGCACGACGAATTCATCTTTCAGGGCCGTGGGTTCCTCCCAGGCGTGGGTAGGCGCATCAGGCTTGCACAGGGCGACCATAGAAATGAGCTAAGGCTCATTTATGACTGCCTCCAAGAGGCCAAGCAGTTCTCATCCAATGCGGTACAGAAGGATATGCTTGAAGAGTTGATCGATAGCTTCCACTCTGGCAAGTTGCAAACATATAAAGAGGCTCAGAAAATATGGGTAAAAGACAAAGCCCCACCAGTCGAAACGGTGCTTGGTTTTGTCGAGCCATACCGAGATCCTTTGGGCGTGCGTGCTGAGTTTGAAGGAATAGTGGGAATTCCTGATCCGGCGGAGACGCGAATTCTGGCTGGACTTGCAAGCAAGGCCGATGCGTTCGTCTACAAATTACCTTGGGTAGAACAGAATGAGAGGAAGGGACCGTTTGAAAAGCACCTATTCGAGCCTCCGGACTTTTCCAGCATTCAGAGTAAGATCAAATCCACTTTTAATGACAAAGCTGACATTTGCAAGGCCTCGCCTATAACTCTAGTATCATTTTCCCAGGAATTAACCTGCCAAACGTTAGTCCCATTTTTCGCAATCACTCCATCTACTAACATTTCGCAGTACAACGACATACGTCAAGAGGTTGGCTACAAGAATATCATCTTCTCCAACCGCATGGTTGCAGAGCGTGTCCGGACCAGGGGACTGCATATGGTGGAAGAGGCCGAGCAAGAAACGTTCAAGTCTCATCGATTCCATTCCTACTATATTTGGGTCGTCTTACATGAGATACTAGGTCATGGCACAGGGCGATTCCTGACAGAAGATACAGCAGGCAATTTCAACTTTGATCACAAGAGCCCGCCACTCAATCCTCTTACTCAAGAGCCAATCAACTGCTGGTACCGTCCTGGTCAAACGTGGACGGGAGTTTTCCAGGATCTTTCAACTACCGTTGATGAATGCAGGGCGGAGATTGTGGGTGCATACCTGCTGGATGAGCCTGAGATTCTCGAAATATTCGGATACACAGAAAACAGCGAGATCAAGCCTAAAGATGGTATGTAGCCACCTGAATTGTGAAAGAACAACTCTAATGAGAATGTATTATAGTCATCTACAACATGTACTTGCAGCTAGGAGTTGACGGTCTCCGAGGTCTCGAGAACTATGATCCTGTTACAAAGGTATGTTTCCGTCCAGGAATTGATGATAGGATCCGCTAATGAATGAAAAGAAATGGGGACAGGCTCACAGCCGGGTTAGTTATGTTTACTACTGCGGTATACTCATTTCTAACATTCAAATAGGCCCATTACGCAATTTTTCGACATCTCCTCCGAGACAGCGATGGCCTGTTCACGGTCGCATGCGACACCGCGAACAAGAAGTTGACAGTTAAGATCGACGGAGCTAACGTCCTCCAAAAGGGCAAGCCGTCTTTGGGCCGGATGCTCATGAGCTTACACGTATATCGCTGCACCGCGGATATTGAGAATTGTCGCGCGCTGTATGAGGACCTCTCCACTGTGGATGAAGAAGCCTTGAGATGGAGGGACGTTGTTATCTCTAGGAAGGACCCGCCTCTCGCATTCTGTCAGGCAAATACCTTCCTGGGCGGAGATACGGTGAGTATCAAGGAGTATGAGCCCAGTGCTCGCGGTGTGGTTCAGAGCTGGGCCGAGAGAGGCATACTTTGAAGTGGCATGGTGTCCGAGTCCTCACTCATACCAGCTTCCAGTGTAAGTAACATGCTTGGTCGATGGAGTCTCGTACGTCCTGTTTACCTCCACAATCTGTCGCCTTATTGTCCTAAGGCCTTCTTTAGTCGCCCTTAATCATCTGGACAAGCTGTAGAAGAACTTGTAGAAAGGCCATGAGCGAGCCAAATGCCCCGAAAAAAATCACAGCCCAAAACGTAAGCCAGTTCGCCGAATTTCGATTATCCCGCCACAACTGGACCCATGTCCGAGGGGCCGCAGTCGCTAGGTGACGCTGCAAAATAACAATCCGATACCGAAGGATAGGAAAGTCATGCGGCAGGTAATACATCTCTTTTTCTGTAACACCTGGAGCAGGACATGATCTCATACTGCACAATTTATTCAGTAACGGATCCCGGCTAGGCTTAGACACTCGAGTAAACGGATCCAAATCGCGGAATAGGGATCGCGATCGCTTTGTCTGCCCGAACAGAAGTCGATAGGAACATAGAACCTCAAGCAAGAAATGAGTTATCTCCTCCTCCGTTGCCCACTGACAGCGCAGCATACTAGTTGTTGCGCAGGAATAGATGGCACCCTGACCGGTCGATTCGTGGGCGGATAGTGCAATCTCACAAAACGAAGGGAATCGAAACAGCGATATTTCTTTTGTCGTTGAGTTGAGTTCCAGATGGCAGGCCAGGGCGTCGACCCATTTGATGCGCAAACCCGCTATCGAAGTGAGATTGTAGGCGTTAAACGTTTTCGCGTCGACTTCGAGCTGCTGGTTAAAGGCGCGTTGGACTTCCTGGTTGTCGTTTAGACAAAGGTTCTTCGGCGGAAGCAACAGTCCGAATCCCATGAGGAACTCGCTCAGTGATTCGCGCTCGCAGGCACGCGTATCTTGTCGCAATGACATATGTGTATACTCGCAGCAGCCTTCCCTCTCGTCCATGGCTAGATGATATACTGGTTGGGATAGCGACCCCAGAGGCGCAGGAGTGAAGAGCATGGTTTGCCATCCCAGAGCACAAAATACTAAATAACGGACTAAGTGGAGGTAGTCTTGCGATTGTTCAACGGGGACATCCTCTGCCATTAAGCCCTTGTCATATAACTGGGCGATGATCTCGTCAATTGTGACTGAGGGCGATGCGACGATGCATTCAGCGACCGTTGAAAATGCAACTAAAAACACCTTCCAGTGAGCATCTTCGTCGCCAGTGTCCTGATTGATGTGGAATATATCAAAACATCGTGTCGGCAGTTGCTTGAATTGTTCGGCTAGCCACACACCGTACCATCCTGGACACGGAAGCTTGGTGTCGCTCCCTAGGCCGTTTGGAAATGGGGTATCGGTCTCTTGAGAGCTGGGAGTCCCGGTAGCCTTTTCTCGGACTATGTGCGAGCGAAGCGGGAAGTTTAGAGAAGTAGATGTGATTCCTTGCAAATATTTCATGTCGGAAGAATCAATGTGGATTTGCTATGGCAAAATTTGGAGGACGAGCCCCCGCATTAAAAGTGTTCTTCTACACTATAAATAGTGAGCTGTTCTTATCTATCTTACAGAGTTTCAGGAGTTTCAGGTCCACGACACATATCAGCCACGGGCGCAAGATCTTGGATTTTATTTGGTTCCAGGCATTGATGATAATCATGCTGGCGCCTACTCTGCCCACCCATTGCCTTATTGGGTGCTGCCGCAAGACTGGCGGCAAAGATTCATGGCGGTTGGAAGATCAAGCCAAGAGCTAACCGACAATCAGGTTGTGAATTTGTAGGCGGCCAAAGCGTTTTGCACCAAGGATTACTCTACTTCCATACGCAATGGTCTGTTCGTGTCAAGAGCATAGCCACCATTCGGTGAGAACAAGCCATGTCGCGATGCGTTTCTCTGTTGTGCTTTCATGAATTCATTCCTATTAAGCAGACTGAGAAAGGATCCTTCGAATAGAACTCGAAAACTACACAAAGTTCTGATCAAACATAATATCGTTTACCACAACATCCATGGCACGAGATCCTCAAAGTCTGGTTCCGTATCAGGACCAAACGATTGATTAGTGTCGTCGTTTAATACCTCTTTCTTCAGTGCTTTAGCTTGCTCCGCGTATTGCTCACTTTCCTTGCGCTTGCCGACTGTTTCCAGAACAACAGACAATCCATGCTTTGCGCGGGCAAGATGGCGCAGTCCCTCGATTGGTGGGAGCGCTTCTGATATCTTGATACACTCCTCGTAGAGTTGACTGGTATTAATTAGCTATCTGGTAAATATCTTGAAGATTGGGAAACATTACATAGCGAGAGCGGATTGGCCTCCCCTTTGAAGCAAGTCGGCCACTTGGTAGAGGGAATCGCAAACTTTCAGACGTTCGCCCAAGCACTGCCGTCGGAAGTCCAAGGCTTTCGAAGCGAACCTCAGAGCTTCGTTATGTAGCCCCTGTTTTGACCGAATCCTGCCGAGAAGAACCATGTCACTGTATCTGGTGAGCATTCATATGGAATCAAAAGTTGTTGCGCAACCTGCTTACCCTGAAAATCGAGGATTGCCTGTTTTCAGAAAAGTCTCATCGGTGAAATCCTTCAAGGAAGGACATCTTTTCAGCATCTCCTCGGCTTCATCTGCCTTTTCCATGCGCAGGAGAAGGCTTGCCATGTTACTGTATGAGTTACCAATTCGATCGCTATTGTGTTCCAGGCGTATGTCGATCGACCGCTGCAGGTAATCATGAGCTTCTGACAATCGGCCAATTTCTGTGAGAGCAAGCCCGATGTTCACTAGGCTGGCAGCGAGAAACACGTTCTGAGTCTCGAGAATCTCTGAGCGGAGTTTGTAGGCTTCTTCGAAGGCTTCCAGAGCGACGTTTGGCTGGCGTATGTCAAGATGAATCAGTCCTTGTAGATCGACTGCACTGGCGTAAGCGAGCGACTTGTGATCAGAAAACATCCCTAATGATATTTTCACATAGGACTGAGCAACACTGTAGTTTTCTCTCTCATACAGATACCTTCACACGTCAGAATCTTGGCGGGTGTCAAGGATTTCTTCATGCACTCACCATGAACTGCGCAATAAGAGCTCAGCAAAGGCCTGGTTGTCTTTGAGGAAAATACAATGCGCTTCATTCTGCTTGATAAGGCTTTGCAAGTGCGGTAAGCTCTTTTCGCAAGAGGCCCATGAAGCAGCTTGATGTCCAACATCGGCACTGTAAGTGTCGGGGAAGTTGACCAGGAGTACTGCAACAAGAATAGAAAATATTTCTTGTCGCTCCACTGAATTCATTCTGCGAATGACCGCTGTTTGGATGAGTCGATGCATAGACATAATACCACCGTCATTTGTTTTGTCGATTAGAGCCCCTTGAAGCAGAACATCTTCAGCATCTAATAGCCTTTAGTGATGTTAGCGAGGGCTTTAACCATAGAGGATTTGTTTGCCATGGACATACGCGATCTCGTCTTCGGCAAATTGCAGCAGAGGATTGGGCACATGAAGTGCACCTTCGGTCAATAATGATTCTTGGACACAGTCTGGATCCGTGAAAGCAAGAATCATGAGGAGAGCTTTGGCATCTCCGGAGAGTCTACTTAAGGACATCTCCCACACGGTAGCCAGAGTATGGTTGTAGTTCATGTTTACCGTGCCCCTAGCATCCACCCTAGCTGAGCTTCGATTGTACAGGGGCAGGAAGTCCTTCAATGGAATACGTCGCTGGACAATAAACCCACCGATTTGGGTAAGGGCCAAAGGCAATCCACCCAAAGTAGAGGTGATCGTTTCAGCCGTCTCCAAGTTTGACGCCGTACTAGGATCAAGGCCGACAATATTTAACAGTGCCGCGGAACCGGATGCAGTGTCAAATGGTGTTACCTGACAGCCTTCCGAGGCCAGGCTAAATGCTGCAGTTAAGTCACGACTTGTCAATAGTATGCAACCGTTTGTGCTACTGGGCCAAGGCTGTTTGAGAACACCCAAGTCATCTGCGTTGTCGAATATAAGTAGCCAGCGACTCTCTTTGAATTCAATATTAGCATCACAACAGAACATGTATACCTTTGCTCCTGTAGGTACTTACTTGTTGACGACAACCACGATTTCACCTCCAGCATTACCGCATTATCATCAGTCTCCGTGTTTGACTGGATGAGACTGAGGGACCTCGCGATTTCTCGGAAGCTTTGTCCAATAGTGATCAAGTTATCGGCGGCAACCCAGAAAATAGCGTCAAACTTGTCACGCGAGGAATTAGCATATCGCAATGCGATTTGGGTTTTTCCAACGCCACCCATGCCGTACAATGCAAATGATCGCAAGGAGTCGGTCTGTTTACTGGACGAGAAAGCTCCATCAATTTTAGAAAGGATGTCATCCCGTCCCCAGAACCGTGGAGACTCTGAGAAAGGGATATAATGCCGGATTGTCGCCGTCGGTTCCGTGCGTTTAGTGTGGAATGTTGCCATCAGATTGAGGACTTCGTGATATTTTTCATTGTCGAGTCGCATTCTCCGAAGTTCCACTTCACTTTCAATTGTGGCTGACAGTCTTTTAATTCGCTGCACGGTTTTGCTGAAGTCGCCGCTAAATTCCGACCATGAATTCCGCAATAGCACCACTTGATGAATTAGCAATTATAGGGCAAAATACCGCGCACACTTACTATGCTTGTGACTACGAAAGAAGTGAATTGCCCTAGCATAGAAACAGATGACTTCGGTATAAACCGCGAGAAGCGATGCTTCCAGTTCCTGATCCATGGAGACTGTCTTCTCGTAGAACTTCAGGCGGGGAAGAGTCAGGCTCAGTTCTTCCAGCATGTCAAACACTTCTTGGAGGGTGTTTTCTGCCGATGACGCCAACTGAGATATTTTGTCAGTGGTGTTTTCAGACAATAATGACCGTCAGGAAAGCTTGTTGAGTGGGACACAAGGTACCGTTAATATCATTCGAATGCTACCCCAGACGAGCGCCGTAAGCATTGTCCCCGCGCCAAAAGAGACCGCGAGCACCGCAGAGAAATCGTTAACTATTTTGAACGTCGGTCTCAGGCGATTCATAGAATCCAGTGCCTTTCGTCCCTGTGGTCCAAACGGCTGCAAGATCTTCGGATCATTCAATAGCTCATCGAGACTTTTCGTCTCCAGAATCGTTCGAAAGTCATCGTCCGCCGCCAGCTCATCCCTATAGTTCTCCAAAGCCTTCTCCCACAAAGGAGACAGCTGATTATCGGCGAAGGTCGTCATTCTGTCCACCGTTTTCACATCCCGTAGACCAGTCTGGATGAAGCCCAAGCCCATTCCACGATTCTACGGCGCAGTGATCGAACGACTTCAGACGAAGGCAAAAGTCCCAAAGCCCCCGCCATGCAGCTGGACGTGGGGGAAATCGACCGAGCATGCCATCAACCCGTCCAATTGGATGAGAGCATCCATATTTTGGCCCCACACAGTGCAGGGATCAGCAGCGATGCGAAGGTGTCACTGGCCTGTCAGCGAGATCGCATTGCACTAGATGACCATATCACTGGCGATGCTCAGACTGGCGCCATTGGCATTGCCCATGGGCTCATCACATCCCCTCTTCTCGAGGTCGATGGCCTAGGCGGCAATATCTAGCCAATCAAGGACGCCGCACTTATCAGCAACAGGTTTTGTATTCGAGCAATTGAATTCTTTGCGTGTATCCAGACTTGTGATTGACATGATGAAACTACGCACATTCGTAGAAGCGAGAGCAAAGCATCAACAGAGAATCAAAAAACGCGCGGGGAAAAATGCCCGGGTTCATGTGACTAGTCGTCTCCCATTGGTCAAAGAGTTCTCCACGTGATGTTAGAGCTTCTGCCTGATAAACCAGGCAGCTATTCGTTATCGGATATAATTAGTTATATGTGAAAAGGACGTTATAGATGGGCTCGAGCTGGCAATCGCTAAAAAGTCACAGACTTAACGGAAAGCCTGCAGACTATTGCGCTCTTGCTACATGCTGAGCTATAGGAAGCTATACCTTATCTAACCTCACCACCGCAGTAGTTGAAGACTTGATGATTTCCACGATTCATTGTCACAGGAGGGATTCGCAAAATAGCGAGTAGACAGCCGGTTGATCTACACTGCCTATAGGAATGGCAGGAGACTCGAGAGTCTGCAGGTTGGCATTTTGATGTACACCGTGTGTTAAGATTAAGCACTAGTCAGGCACCATCTGCGGAGCAAGTCTCCAGTTCAGCTGTTAGAAATCTCAAACACAGGAGCTATTGTTGCCCTTTCTCATCCTCTGTTCAATCTGTTTGGATGAAACGTCAATTTAAATCGAAGATGATTAGATCGTTCCTTCCAGCCTGTAACTCATGAGTCATGTTGAGCATTGAACTAGCTTTTACCTTCTTCTTTTAGGTCATTTCTAGCCAAATGGGAAATATCCATCTCATATTTAGTCTTAGCATTTCGAACCACGGCGTAGGATTATCCCAGTCATACTTGAAACAAGATGATGCGGAGTCCCAGATTGTTAGTTGCGGATGTCCCGGAGTTTGGGGAACGAGCTATACGTGAATACGCCAGTACGCGAATACGCGAACCCCCACACTTCATTTAGCCAGCACTTGATTATCGGGGGCCATATTATCAGAAGAAATTTGTGCAGTGGCGCGGTTAATGACTCTTTTTCTGGGCGCCAATATACCCGAAAGGTGCGTGCAATTCATGTACGCCCGAATATCTATTAATTAATGCCCGAAACCATGTCTAATCCCGAGTCAGGGAGCTCGTTTGCGCTTTAAAAACTCGGGCCTTTTTCAATATCTTGGCTCGCAGTTACAGCCTCACTCTTGGCTTGCAAATCGCCGGGATTGCCGAGCCAGCCTACTCAACTAGATATCTTGGCAAGGGATATGTGGAAATGGCCCGGTTCTTGACATGACAAACGGATTGGTAATTCATGGTGGGAATCTGCGCCATCTTTGGTCACCAAGCCACTGTTAATAGTTAGATTGGAGCATTGATGCGTAGTTTTGAATTCCGACTCCCGGTATGTAGAGTGCAAAACTCCTTCTATTGTCATTGTCAGGCATTCTGCACCCTCAAATTGATGAACCAGTGATTGATTCAAGCCAGATATTCAGAAAACACTCTTTCCAAAGTGAGAAATGCGCCGCAGGACCTCCGGTCTATAAATCGAAAGCTGTTCATAATAGACCCTAGACCACTAGCAGCGTTCGAGAACATTCAGATTCTCCAGCCGACAACACGGAGAACGGAGTAAATCCTCCGTGGAATGCTCGGCTCCGATCTCCAATCACCCGAAGCTGTGGAGCAAATGGTCAATATGATTGGTTAATTCCCCAATTCGGGCGTTGGGCCTTTTCGGCTATGATCATCCACTACGTACGGACTACCGGGCCTTTCTCCACACTGGCATTAATGAAGGCGGGAAACCGGAAAATAGGACTATTTCCGAATCCCTTTAAGGCAAAGATGACTTTCCAGGATTGTCCAGATAGAAGAGACTTTTGTTTTCAAGGCGAATGGTCCATGTAATCCGCAATCACGATAGCTATTTTGCGAGGGTGGGTGCAGTTAGGGTTGAGGATGTCACGGGCGACATTGAGCGGCCGAAATATATTTTTAATATCCCCGGAGGTCTCGAATGCATATCCTAGCAGTATAGAAATCTCACTAATCAGAACCCAAGTAACTACTACTCTGTATTCATACTATATCTCTTTGTGCTCTTTGGAAATACTTTTTGTCACTTCAATATGATCCCCGATATAGACCCCAACCTAGAGAATCAGGATCATATGACGTATGCAAAAACGCGTGGGCCAAAACCCCAAAGAAAGCAATGATGAGTGTGACAAGGCCATGAATGTTTCGTAGGAGCGCCTCCATTTCTCCGTAGCAACAAGAAAAACGGACCCATTGGGCCTCAATACCGCGGGTCCTTTCTATCCACGTTGGAGCCTTATGCAGGATTCAGCGCAGTGACATGTCGGGGGCAGGGCCGGAGCATGTCCGCAAGGCTGTGAATCGGGATTCCTGCTTCATCTCAAACAGTACCACATGAATCAAACCCATGAGAGAAACGCACAAAAATAGCGGCGTACTGTACAACCACGCCACGCCCATCCTACGCCGTACATGTCCAGCCTGACGTAATTTCCCAATCGAATATACGAGCCAGGATAAGCTTCGCCTCCAACACCACGATGTCACCATAAATCTCGCCGGCACGGATCTCCTAACCACACAGAGCGCGCTCAGGGCTCGATCAGGCAAGCCATCGAGGAACGACCGCTCGGCGGTTTCCCGAAAGACACCGCAATTTCAGTCGCGGGTCTTGGCGGTTTCACACCCAACGGGGGTGGAGATCCTGAATTCCCGCGAGGCCCAATAAGGCGGCGCAGTGGAGTCGTGGCTTATGGGGTACATGACTCGGGCGCGCTACGGACAAAGAAGTCGCTTGCACCCTGGTCAGGGCGCATGTGCTGCGGCGGTTGAGGGCCAATGGATGGATGGATATGGAGAGGTGGTAAATGCCTCGCTTGTCTATTTATGTATCTTAGTACACTGGTCCTCAGGTAGGCTACCTATGCGTAGGGGGTAGGTAGGGTACCCAGGCAGGTATGGAGAAAAACAAAAGAACCCAACTAACTAAAACAACAAAGAAAGGGAAAAAAGCCAACGAAAGGAAAGCTCGCGCCATTGAATCTCTCACCCATGCTCGCTGTCTGCGCCCTTGCATGGTATGGCGGGTATTTATAGCACCGCAAGCACTGCCCCCAGCAAAACGGCCATCCCTGCAGCGCGCACGCCGCCGTTGATCTCGAGCGCCGTAGCAGAGCTGGATTCCCCGCTGTCGGACTCGCTGGCGTTCTCCTTTGTCACGACTTTCAGACAGGTCAGCTGCGACGAGGTCTTGTCGACGGAGCTGCCGTTGCCGGACACGAAGACGGTCAGGACGGGGGTGATTTTCCAGGCCTCGTCGATGAGGGCGTCGGCGGTGTAGTTAGACTGAGATTATTAGCTATCGTAGAAAAAACAAAGTTCACGTGTAGGGAAGAACATACGTGAGAAACCTCGACAGAAATCTCAGCCAGCCCGTCGGACTTGGGCGAAACAGGCCAGCAGTCGGCCGACGAGTTGCTGACGGTCTTGAGATCGCCGAACGAGGTAACGGAGAAGTTCCCGAAGCCGTTGCCCGCACCGCCCAGGTTCTTGCAGTCGTCGAGGTCGTCCTTCTTAAGCTCGCGCTCGAGCGCCGAGCACGGGTTTCCGTCCGCATCGTCCGCGACCTCGCTGGCCCGCTTGGTCAGCGCGTCGATGCATTTCTGGTCAACCACGTCGGGGCAGGTGCCGTAGGCCGCGCGAGAGTCGGTCTTGTTGCGCGTGTTGCCCTCGAGATCGGCGCCGTCGAACTGCTTCGATGGCGGGTCGTTGAACACCACGGCGCAGCCGGACAGGTTGCTGGTCTTGACGTCCGACGGCGTTCCCAGGTAGTAGACCGAGGTGAAGGGACGGGTGGGCTTGTCGTTGTCGCTGCCGGCGCCGCTGGACGACACGTTCACACCCTTGACGAGCGATATGCCCTCGAGCGAGGACGGCGCGTCGGCGATCCGGGCCAGCCCGACGCCGAGGAAGGTGTGGTCGTCAATGGTGCAGCGGTCATCAGCGCCGTCTTTGGGACAGTCCAGGTCGTTGCAGCCGACAATGGAGTGGGGGAGGTCGTCTGCTGCCAGGGCAGACGGCAGGAGAAGCGAGAGCAGGGCGATGCTGGTAGCTGAAGTGAGGTGCACCATCTTGAGGAACAGGTTTGAAATGAATTGGTAAAGAGTGACTTTCGAAGAGGAATGTGGGAGAATCGAATGACAGGAGGAGGGAAAATTGACCGTCGCAAAAGCAAACGATAAGCTAAGGCTAAGGGGATAACGGCCGGATATGAGACGGACGTCGAACTGTTCCCCGTCCGTTTAATTATAGTCAGGCTTTGACGGGGTTTCAGGCCGTCATACGCCGTGGCATCCAGGAACCACCCGGTTGGGCACAGCCATAGCCTCAAACCGGCCAGGGTGCAAGGCTACCCCTGTGCAGACATGGCTGAGGCAAAAGCAGTCGGACGTCTTGGGGGCAAAAGACGTGGCGGAATGTCTTGGCGGCGGAAGGCACCGGGTGGCTTGAAAGCAGCCCCCATCGATCGTCGGGCGTCTCTCTTGGCCGGCGTCATCCGTTGCATCGCGTTCCTGGTAGGGTTGCCCAAAACAAGTCCAGCCTTCTGCAACAGGGATAGTCGCTTTTCCAATTAGGAAGGTCGGCGCAGGTCAAGGCGCTCGGATCCGAAACCTCGCTAGTTTGGCCGTTGGCTCTCCTGATTGTGGCGCGCGCAGGATCATCTCCACGCTCCATATCGGAGAATTAGTGCCGCCCACGCTGCCCCAGAATGACTGAACTATACTGTATAGCCCACTCCATGGCTGCTCGGTTCCCAGGAGACTGGGTCGGTTGTCCACGGTATTCCACTCTGGTCGATGGATGGAAGATCGAATACGAGAAACTATGGGGAACATGAAACTTTAGTTGGACTTGTCACCTCGGGTTATGTCCGATTCTTCTATCACCAGACCACCAGACCACCAGACCACCAGACCACTGCCAGGCTGAGAGCGTGACAATTCCTTCATACCCTGTCTCCATCGCTGATCAATCCATCAGCATCTGCCCAGCGGCACAACTGGGCGCTTACTCTGTAGAGATCGCAATAGCCTCCTTCGCACCCCCTTCTGGAATATTGCACAAGGCTTCAAGTCTCACGTTGATTAATTCCAACACTGCCAACCCATCTTCACCCGCAGCTAACGGCTGGCATCACTACCAATGCCCCCCGGTCCCAACAGCCGGCTATGTGCAGGCATTAATATCGCCGTCTTCCAGGTTCAGGTGCTTAATTTGGGGGCCACATCGGGAATTCCTCACCTTCTGCACTGCGCCGTCAAGCCAGGAAGTGCAGAGGTCCACACAATGCCATCCTTCGCCAGTCTGCCAAGAGCCCGAGCTGAAGTTTGAGTCGGACGCCCCTGTACACCGTCCGACGGGGTTAATGTCTCCTGACAGAACGAGGTCCAGACGGCTGCCATCCTCCAGGCATGACGTGGATGAATTCGGGGGCCGATTTCAGGTGTAGACGGATACGATGCAACGACGGCAATACGCATACTGAGGAGGTGCGAGATATTGGGGAGCTGAAGTTAGACGAGAGGGATTCGGCGAGATGGACGCTGCTCGTCGGAGGCATATAAACCTGGCTGAATCTCCCGACATCCAGCTTCTTTCTATCATCAGTCCAAAGCAGTTCAGTCATTCTCTCATTCTTCATTCTCTCTTTCAGAGCTCTCCTAGCTGAGAGCCATTCCTCTCATTCATTCATTAACTCGGTTGTTTGTTCATTCTTTTGATAATCCAACTCAACTGCATTTGGCATCATGTCTTTCGTCGACGCCATCGGAGTCATCTCCGGTATCCTGACCATCGTGTCTTTTGCCTCCGATAACTTCGGCTCTGGCGAGACCTCCGGATCGACGTTCAAGGTTGCCGTTGCTCTGGACGGTCCCAATGGTCCCACCGATGCTGGTGGTGATCTCCCCGACGTGTACGCTTTCCCCTAATCCCCCTTTTCTAAGTGTCAGTCTTACTGACTTCCTCAGTCGCGTCTGGAACGACGTCGGCAAGTTCGTCGGTATGACCGCCGACCCCGGTACCGTCAGCAACGGCAACCTGGGCGAGATGTCGGTCGACCACGAGAACCAGGGCGTGTACTCGCTCTTCTCGGCCAACAACGACGCCATCTGCGTGGCGTGGGTGACGACCACCTGGAGCGACGACCGCGGCGGCAATCAGTACGCCGTGTCGGGCGACTACGGCGAGGCCTGCGGCGGCACCTGGTTCGAGAGCCACATGTACCCCAACGCCGACGAGGAGTACCAGCCCAAGTGCTTTTGGATCGACGGCGACGGCGACCAGCCCAAGACCGGCTTCCAGGTGCGCTGGCCCGCCTTCTCCAAGGACGAGTTCAGCGAAGACGACACCGACCCCAGCCGCCTGTGCAACGACATCGACTTCGGCCTGCGCGACGAGGAGGACCCCAACTCCATCAACTACTACACCGGCAGCAAGAAGAAGCGCAGCGACAACAAGCTGCGCGTGCGTCAGCCTCGCCGCCGTCCGCAGTGGGCTGACTCCGAGATTGTCATCAGCGACGCCAAGCAGCACTCGGCCAAGCGTCTGTGCCAGTCTGACACCTCGATGGGCCCCGACTTTGCGCACACCGGCGAGGGACTCTTCTGCGACATGGAGGCCAAGATGCTGTATGCCTTCTGCACGGGCAACGACAACGAGGCCTGCTTCGACCTCGACTCGCAGACCGTGGCGACCAAGAGCAACAGCACCATCGGCGGCAACCTGCGACTGGCGACGACTGGCGGCATGAAGGCCGGCCTCAACACTCCTTCTCTCGGGGGCGATGCCGTCGGAGCGAAGAGCAAGTACTCCAGCACTCGCGACTGGCGCAGCCCCGCCAAGAAGGTCTAGATCTTACGATATAATCTTCTCATACCCTGTTCGTCCTGGTGATCTCTCTGATTTCGAGGACATTACCAGACATGTGGATATTCGTTTCGCGATGTATTGCCCTAGGGTGAATATTTATGTGTCATTATTAGCTTCTCCTTCAATATACTGTTTCCATATAGACATGACTTCTTACCAGATCCTTTAACATCCGTAATTGACTCATGGTTACTCCGTATTGGAACTAATTCTGAGGGCTTCAAGCGGGGCACTGCGGGGTGGCTCATCCTGCGTTTATTAATCAATGCTCTCCACTGCCGATGATGCCATTTCCAGCCTGCATGACTCTTGTTGCGCTTTAAAATCCCTTCATAATCAGAGAGAGCGCAGACACCACAGCATTCAAACCGAGAGATCTATACGATAATCATGGCGCAGTCTAACCTCCTCATCTTCGGCGCGACCGGCAACATCGGCCTGTACATCACCAAAGCCATCGTGCAAGCCAAGGAATCCTTCGGCCGTATCTCCATCTTCACCAGCGCGTCGACTCTCGACTCGAAACAGGGCCTGATCGACGACTTGAAACAACAAGGCGTGCATGTCATTGTCGGCGACGTGACCAATCCTGAGGACGTGCGCAAGGCGTACACCGGTATGTTCATGTTCATGCTTCTTGTTGTCCATCTACGACTCCATGCCACACTGCGCTGCTTATTCTCACCCATTAATAACCTCATCCCCACCTACCTCTATAAACTAAACCCTCCACACTGACCCTAAACCAACCAAGACATCGACACCGTCATCTCCGCCCTCGGCCGCGACGCCATCGCCGCCCAAATCCCCCTCCTCCAAATCGCCAGCGACACGCCACACATCCGACGCTTCCTGCCCTCCGAATACGGCACCGACATCGAGTACGGCCCCGCGTCGAAGGACGAGAAGCCGCACCAGCAGAAACTGAAAGTGCGCGCGGCGCTACACGCCGTCCGCGACTCGCTCGAGTACGCGTATGTCGTGACCGGGCCGTACGCTGACTTTCCGTTCTATCTGGGGCCGTCGAAGAGTGCGCCCCGGGCTGGGTCGTTTGATGTTGGGCTGAAGAAGGCGGTGTTGTTGGGGGATGGGGAGGGGAGGGTTAGTTTGAGTGGGTGTGCGGAGTAGGTTTTTCCTTTCCTTGTGGTTGTATATGGAGAGTGGATGGATGATTTGGAGTAATTGCTAATGTGGGATGGTCTAGTGTTGGGAAATTCGTCGTTCATACCCTCACGCACTGGGATGCGGCGCGGAACCGGGCCCTGAAGCTGAATTCGTTTACCACGACGCCGGCGGACATTTTGGCCGAGTTCGAGAGACAGACGGGGAGCTCGTGGACGGTCGAATATACGCCCTTGGAAGAGCTGCGGCAGTTGGAGAAGCAGGCTTGGGAGACAGAGGATCCGTCGGCGACGATTTATACGCTGCGGAGGATCTGGACCGAGGGCGGCACGTTGTATGATCGTCGCGATAATGGCGATATTGGGGCTGACGAGACGGTGTCGTTGCAGGAGTTGGTGAGGGATGCGATTCGGCAGCAGACTGGTGTGTGATGAGACTGGGGTGTGATGGCGTAGGAGAAATGATGCCAGTTAGTGGAAGATGATAAATGATCCTCGGCAGACAATCAGCCTCGGTTCTCCGCATCCCCGCATCCGCTATTTCAATCCACTCATCCCTTTCTTCATTTCCTTCCCTTCCCTTCTTTTTACTTTAGTTATATCGTATCATTTATTTGACTAAATCCATATAAAATGTCCGGACCAGGCGTCGGCCACGAATTCCCCGCCCAGGAAGTCTCCTGGCTCAAGCGCGATGTCCTGCTCTTCGCCAACAGCATCGGCATCACCGCCGACGAGCTGCATTTTCTCTACGTGCGCACGCCTTCAACTCAACGTCCCCATAGTTCTAACCTCTCAATAGGAATTACACCCCAATTTCGCCGTCTTCCCAACCTACCCGATCATCCTGCGTACGTCCACCCACCCCCAGCCGAATTACCTCCACAAGAACCAGCTAACACCCAACAGCCTTCAAACTCACCGACCAAGAAGTCACCGACTTCTACGCCCGCCAGAAATCCCACCCCGTGCCCGGCGTCCCCGCCTTCGACCCCAAACGCGCCGTCGACGGCCAGCGCAAAATCACCGTCCTCAAGCCCCTCCCTGCCACCAGCGAGGGCCGACGCTTCGAGCTGCGCAGTCAGGTCCTCGGCGTGTATGATAAGGGCAAGGCGGGCAGCGTGATGGACAGCGAGCAGACGATTGTGGATGCCGCGACCGGGGAGGTCTTCTCGAAGGTCGTCAGTAGTGGGTTTTTTGTGGGGCAGGGGAATTGGGGGGGTCCGAAGGGTGAGATATTCATATTTCTCTTTTTAGGGAGGGTTTTCTGGTGGTCTTTCGGCTTGCGATGGTGGCTATGTGTAGAGCGAGAGGGAAGGCTAACGAATTGACGCAATAGGACCCAGCACACCCAGCTATCCGCCCCCTGAAGGCAAGAAGCCCGATGCTGTGCACACGATCCAGACGACGGCAGAGACAGCCCAGTTATATCGGTTTGTCTCCCTCCCTTCTTTCTTTCTCTTGAACAATATGCTAACACCCCCAGTCTAAATGGCGACTATAATCCCCTCCATGCGACGCCTGAGCCCGGGCAGAAGATGGGCTTCGGCGGCGTGATCATCCACGGCTTGTTCAGCTGGAACGCGACGGCGCATGCGGTTCTGAAAGCCTTTGGCGGCAGTGATCCGAACAATTTCAAGGAGTTTCAGGCAAGGTTTGCCTCGCCGGTGAAGCCGGGGGATCGGCTGGTTACGGAGATGTGGCGGACGGGGACTGTGGTGGAAGGGTTTGAGGAGGTGAGGTTCGTGACGAAGAATGGGAGTGGCAAGGCGGTGTTGAGTAATGGGAGAGCGTTGGTTAGGGCTGTTAGTGGGGAGGGAGGGAAGACGAAGTTGTAGTGTGATTTTGATCCTATATTCTTAGGTAGAGGATTTGGAACTGCATCTATTTGCAAAGAGCATCGCAAATATGACCCAGCTATATCAGCTCGAATCAATTGAGCGTCTCAATCACCGGCCCTTGGTAAGCCTTCCTCGCTCTGAGCACGTAATACACGACCGCTAGAAGAATCGTCCCCATCGTGCCAACAACGCTGAAATTCATGTTCGTCGCAGAGACCGGGATCTCTGTCGGCCAGAGACTGAAAAACACCACGATTGTCATATGCACCACCGCGTACCCGTTGACCAGGATCCCCCACACCCCGGGGATATGGAACGGGCCCCAGACTAGCTGTGCGCCGGGGACGTTTTTCTGCAGGCCATCCACGGCGACGTCGCGAGGAAGATGGACAGCGCCGGTACATCGGCGGTAGAGAAGCAGGGCACCGACTATTAAGTACGAGAGGTACAGGCCCGATACGGCCATGGAGAGAACGCCGTTTAGAGCGACGCTGGAACCAATGTTGATGAGACCGAGGAGGCCGGCGACGGTCATGGTGAGGAAGACGGAGTACGTGGGGAGGTGATTCCGGGTTGAGACCTGCATTATCGATCAGTATTGCTGATTGTATAGGTGTTGGGATTCGCACATGGCTCCATATCCGCCATCCAGGGACTCCGCGATCCCTTGCAAACGACCAGAATTGTCGCGACACAGCAGTCAACGTGCCCAGGACGGCGCAGATGCTCATGATAACCAGGACGAGGCTCAACCCCAGCCCGCCAGAGGTCGTTCCCATCGCCTGGTGAAAGATTTCGAAGAAAGGATACCCGGTCGGCGAGTCGAGGGCCTGCTGTACGTCGCCCATACAGAACAGAACCGCCACCATGATGCTGAATCCGAGGGTGCCGTTAATGGCAATATTAAGCAGGATAGCTCGTGGGATCGCGACGGATGCATTATTGCATTCCTCGGCCATCTAGCCAATGTCAATATCAACCTTTTGTCAGAACCAGCCTCATTAACCCACATGAACAGCAGCGTCTCCTCCTGCAAACCCAAAAACGCAACCCATCATTCCCACGAAGAACGAAATCCCATCCGCAGGCAGATTGCCCCCGTTTCGGAAGTCCGTGAACACCTCGTGTGCGGACTTATGATCCGCCATGGACGTCAGGGCGATCACGATGGCCAGAAACCCGGCGATATGCATGAAAAAGATCCCTGTTTCTAGGCGGGGGAAGAATTTGCCCGGGATCATGTTCACGGCCATGGCTACGACGACCACGGCCCAGAGTAGTAAGGTTCCATGCCATGCTTGTGGTTGATAGTGCGAGTACGCGAAGATCGCGGCGCCTTGGACTTCGGTGCCGGCTAAGTAGGACACTGATGCAAATGCAGCTTGCCATCCGATCAGTGTGACCCAGCCTGGGAAGGTCAGTTCGGATGTAGGAATTGCCTTTTGGTTAGGACCGACCGGTGATGTAGCTCATGAATTTCATTGTCGAGGGCGGTGCCAGCATAGCGCACCAGTGGTACTGTCCCCCAGAGGTGGGTGCCCTATAATTCTTCAGTCTTGTCATTCGTTTGGATGCGACCGCTATAACTCACATTGAAGATAGCTCAGCAAGGACCGCAAAGCTGCATGCAGTTCCTATCCAAGCAACGATGTAGGAGTAGATTGCACCCGCCGGTCCTCCACTAGATATGTTTAGTTCAAGGCCAAAGCACAGGCTCGGTAATGGTTACTTCTGCAGTGGCACAATAAACGTGCTTTACTATATTAGCAGTCTCCTTTGTTCTCTGGCTGGATAGGGCTCTTACTCCAGTAGGCCTTCCCATGTCGCGATGATCGTACAGCTGAATCCGAGAATGGACAGAACCCCAAAGTTCCGCTGTTGCTGAACATCAGCGATGAACACCGACCTGGGAATGGAAGAATACCTTAAGAACGGCCTTCTTTCCAATCTGTGCAAGATTTGCATCATCTCGATCGTGGGCAATGAATTCCCCATCTTCCTCGCTAGTTGAGGCGGTCTGCTCTTTCGAGTCGGAAAACATAATGTATCAGTGAAATTCCAAGTGAAGCGGGATGATAAGAAGAGAATAATTGAAAGAGACAACTCAGTAACTGCCTGGAATGCCAAAGACCTTGTGGGCCGATCAATCGATATCACCCGCCGTCGGTCCATATAATCCCAGTGCGTGTTGCAGGTAGATCGCACAGCTTCAGCCGATAGGCCAAGTCCGCACCCCTTGCCTCGACGGACTTCCTAAGTGGTGGATGTGCGTTCTTAGCCTGCAGCATAAGCCCTATCGCGATAGTCGCATGCCAACGCTTTGTTGGTCGCCCTCATTGGTCTGATGACATGCAGAGGAGACTCGGCATTCCTTGACGGGTTTGGTCTGCGAATCACATTGTTAGATCAGCTCTATTCAGTTGGACTCTTAAACAGGATCAACTCAGGTGAGGAGAGAGCTTTTCAGAGCTTGGAATTGACAATTTTATGCAGAGTACGCAGTTATGCTTGACTGATCCTTCGGCCAAAGGCTGGACGAATAAATGGGTGACTCATGCAATTCTCTAGTGAGTAAACAGCCCTAGCTTCCCAGCTCTGGGAAATATCAGGGACCTTCATGAATGGTCGGGTTTCTGGCCACGAGCAAGGTTATCTTCGCGCCGCATGCAGCTGCGGTCAATCCAGACCTGTCATGCAAGGAGCCTCAGTGAACGAGCCAATCCAGTGCGTGTTCTAGCTCTCCAGGCTCAAATAGATCGGTGATTCGTGGACATCTTCGGAGCTTGCTGCCGGCGAATGATAAGCCTGCTTGGTTGAGTTGATCGAGTGAAGTCAGCCCCGGGGCCATCTCTATCGATGACCAGATAATCACATCTAGCACATTCATCCTCGTGGATAACGAGTTCGGAATCACCTCCCACTCATCATCTACAGAAATCTACACTCCAGGACTGCCAAGAAACCTTCTGGCGATCACCACTCGATGAGTCAGAGTCTCATGCATCGCCGCGGGGTCGGCGCTAGCATGAATCGGTAGAAACCCTCTAAATAGAGGACATTGGACAGCGAGGTGTTGACATTCCAAGTTGGCAATATTTCTTTCTCTCCTGGATCATCCGTATTCACCTCTAGGTGTCAAATCTCAAGGCATCATGTCAGGTTTCCTCAGTTTACCCTATGAGTTGCGTGCAATAATCATTGAGAATGCCCTCATCGCGCCATACTCTCCCCCAGCCAATCCCTGGACCGGCGCAGATAAACGCCAACCTCTAAAAGACATCAAATATCAATCATGGTCATTCGGGCCCCAACACACCCTGTACGACACATCTCTGCAGGATCGTCTGGCGACCCCATCTCAGTCGCTGTTACTGACAAATCGCCAACTCCACGAGGAGACGAAAGCCATCATGCGACGACTCAAGCGACCCAATTACCTTCTGGATGTAATGATAGTCAACGAGTGGGACTTCTGGCCAACGTGGCTCTCTGTGCCGGTGCTGCGAACCCATCTCGACGAGGTGAACGCCAACTTTCGCATCTTCGGCCACTGTCTCAGCGGCGACAAGGTCCGGTGGATCACAGGAGACGGCGGACATGACGGCCCCGAGTGGTGCTTTTACGCCATGCTGGAGCGGTTTCTCGTACACGGACCCCTGACAGAGCCCAGCAAGCCCAAGAAACAAACAGGGCGGAAGTTCTACATCAAGACGCTCACCCTGAATTTCGAATCCGCTGCCGGCGACCAATATTACCTCGCCCCGTCGACCGTCAGGCGCAGGCTCTGGGCACAGTTCAAACACCTCGATGATCCCGAAGAATGCCTAGATCTATCCCTGTATGCGCCCCGACCGGAATGGCCGGCAAAGATTCTGTATTCGGAATTGGTATCGCTTTTAAGGCTGAGCGAGTACATACCGAGTTATGGGCTCATGTTCTTTGAACACATCGGGAAGATGAGGCTGCTGGTCGAGGGTCGCTTATACCAGGAGTTTGATATAACAGCGATAATGGCGCCGAACACGTTTAACTCCACGATGTCCAATTTTAGTCGAACAGAGGGGAGGGAGGACTTCTGGCGGTGGAAGCTAGACACGTTGAGGAAACGCCAGGAGGCTGGGCTTCCGGTGATATGGTCGGATGATCCGGGGCTTGATCGGTATCTTTAGGATTTGAATAGGGTAAATTGAGGCACTGACTTAAGACTCGGTGCAAAAATGAGACATGTTGTCATTCGGTCGGTTTCCCGGGCCATGAGGACACGTTTTAGTATGCCCGGTATTTAGGCCAGTGAGTCACCAGCCCAGACCCTGGTAGCTAGTAGCTTTCACGAGTCAGAAAGTGGTAATTCTTGTAGGGAATTATCAGACCATCCGATGGGAAGTTGTATCGCTCCTCCGCGGAGGGTCGGAGGGTCGGAGATAACCAGGACCCTACGACTGGATGTGCCGCAACCCACGATTTGGAAATAGAGAACTTCATGATTTCCCAGTCGGCATAATAAAGGCCAAACGAGCCTCTAAGACGAAGTTGGCACTCGATGGCAGAAGATGCTATGACGTCATTAATGCAAAAACGGGTCAATCCACATGGCTGAAGCCCTAAACCGAACTCATTGATGAAGGTGTCTACTCCGGAGTAATACTCGGTGTGCTTCCCCAAGCAGTCGAACCCCAGCTTTCCCTGGAAACAAATCTCAGGGGATGCAACTCATCGGATGGTCCGTCATGTCCGACTGACGGGAGTTCCACTGGGGCCAAAATCCGCCGTCCTTAAGTCCGATCCTACCGGTATTTCCGGTCCTTCACATTGTTTGGAGAACTTGGATTTCCCTCTCTCTCAGTCCAATGTGTCGAAATACTGGGCATACGATTCGAGATGCCGAGTCCACGCACAGTGGCTACCCAGATGAGAGCGCGATCCTGCCATGGAACTACAGCGTATATAACACGCCCATCCCCTCCCACTAACCCCTGAATCCCAGGACACAATTCCCATTCAGATCCAATAACCCAGATACCCAACAACCATGGTCCTCACAATCCACCACCTCCACGTCTCCCAATCCGAACGCCTCCCCTGGCTCTGCGAAGAACTCGCCATCCCCTACGAGCTGAAAACCTACCACCGCGCGCCCCTCCTCGCCCCGGTGGACTACAAAGCCCTCCACCCCGCCGCCACCGCACCCATCATCCAAGACGGGCCCTTGACCCTCGCCGAAAGCTGCGCCTGCATCGAATACATCTGTCACCGTTACGCCGGGGGTAAACTCTTCCTGCCTCCGTCGCACCCTGGTTATTCGGACTTTCTCTACTGGTGGCACTGGGTGGATGGGACGTTTGCGCCGAGTGTGACGCGGTCGATGATGATGCGGGGGGCGGGTGTGGATCAGGAGAATCAGTTTATGGTGATGACGAAGACGAGGCTGCGGAGGGGGCTGGAGGCGTTGGAGGAGAGGTTTAGCACGAATGAGTGGTTGGCCGGGGAGGTGTTCACGGTGGCGGATATTATGGTGGTGTTTTTGTTATCGACGTTTCGGTATTTTGAGCCGTTTAGTTTGACGGAGTATGCGAGTGTTGTGGAGTTTTTGGGGAGGGTTGGGAAGAGAGAGGCGTATCAGGTGGCGATGAGGAAGTGTGAGCCGGATATGGAGTTGTTGTTGGGGGCGGAGGGTCCGGAGAGGTCGTTTATGGAGATGAGCAAGTAGGGGGATACGTTGGGTTGGGATTTATGGGCACTTCTTTCAGTGTGTTTGGTAGTCTTGTACGATAGACGATCAATGAAGCTCTTTGCTCTTGCACTGCCCTCATCCCAACGATCATTTAGACCAATCCCATCTGTAACAGCCGATTGCCGAATTCCAGAAAGTAAAAGTCCGCATACACAAGCCCCGTGTTATTCGACCGATCCGACGAAAACTCGTTGTTACTGATGGTCGCATTCATGAAGATAGACTCCCAGCTCGGCGGCGCCGTAGATAAATCCACGGTCTCAGCTACAATGCGCAAAGCACGTTCCAAATACGGGGAGTCCCCTTCAAGGATCTGGTGAAGCAGAAGCAGTCCATTGGCTGCGACCAGACCGGCTGATGTATCGCGCGGTGGTAATTTGCCCGCGGTGACTGGGGCGTCAAAGTCCCACAGCGGAACGTAGGGATGGATGTGAGAGGATTCGTCGAGGCGACCGATGAAATAATCTGCTAGGCCTTTCGCAGTGTCCAGAAACACGGGGTCTTTCGTCCATTGATAGGTCTGCGCATAGCCGAGGATACTCCAGGCTTGGCCTCTGTTTGGCATTAGCATGCTGGGATAGCTGAGGTATAGCACGCGGGAGATGTACCTGCTCCAGGTCGACCAGTCTTTGTATCCCTGTACTGTCTCCTGGAACTTCACACTATTGTTCCTGGGATCGATGTTGACAAGGTGAAAAGTTGAATGGTCCTCCCTGATAATGTCGCGTATCACCGTATGTGCATGGGTGGTGGCAATATCAACCAATGTTCGGTTGGCTGTCTGGTACCCAGCATAATAGAGCAAATCAAGGTCTGCACAAACGGTCAACACAGTTACAGTTAGTCCAGGGGAAATTACACACTGCACATGCTGTCCACAATCACCAAGAAGTCGGTTGTCTTATCTCTGATATCATGTCGCTTGTTGATCAGATTATCCCAGCTGCGAATCGCTCGCACTTGAGGATCGTATCGAGTCGCCAGACTGTGTGCTGCGGTAATGACCGACTCCAGACTTTTAGTGTTGCCAGTCAGTTCCCAGTCTTTGCGCAGAGCAGGGACAATCAAGAATCCCATGTCGTGGGTATCGGTGCGTTTTGCCTGTTCATGCAGTGGATCTGACCACTGGCGTGAGAGCGCAAGGAGACGGGCATGTAGAGCTACTTGGCTTGAATTTCCGAGGTCGAGGTGGCTCGGGAATCGCGTGTTGCGCTCGAGGAGGGCATACAAAGAGCCGGGAAAGAAGCCGCTGGTCCATGCGGAGATGTCGCTGAAGAGATAAGCCCCATTGTTGGATGTGAATCCTGGAATGTTGTCGGGGAATTTATTTGGGAGCTGATATAGTCAGAATTCGGCTTGAAAGAGAATTACCGGTACACATACCTTCCCAAGATGGTCTACCGCAACATTCCAAATCTTGGAGCTTGTGGCCCGAGAAAAGAGCTCTGGTAAATCAATAGATTTCTGCGTGTCATGTCGCCTCGGTGTAGAGGGGAGGGCTTCCGCCCATAGAAAGAGTGCGGATAGAAAGAAACTGAGCTGCATCTTGCCTGCCGTTTTTTACTACATCAGGCGGTCGGATGTGACCTTATGTATACTACGACGCCAACAACCATACCGTCACGTATGTTCTAGGCGAGCCATCATGCCACATAATTTCCACCTATGATGCGAGAGAGCGAAAGGATCGGCAGAAAAACAATCTTCATTTTGACGCCAAGTTTCTTCTGCTCATGGATTGTGCGGGGAACGCGGGGATGCCGACGTGTGGAGAGCGTTGCAGTCGGCGCAAACCATTTATCAAATGGAACCAGAAATGCACACAGCAAGTTCTGTGGTGTTTATCACGGTTGAGAGAAAGCTCTTAAAGCAATAAACCCTATGAGATTTGTTCGATTGCCAAGACAGCTCGGTCGTACACTTGTCGGCCACTCTTGTCTTGGAGCGCATCAATCCACATAAGACTCTTCAGGATGCTTCGGACTCCGGTCCATGACGATTGGCCCGACTCGCGAAGCCGCTCCCGCAAGAGTGGCATGAGTACATCGTCGTCTTCTTGAGTCACGGCGGCGACCAGCCCCGAGAATAGGAGCCAGAGACCAATTCTCCTGGGACCTGGGTTCGTCCAATTCACTTTGCAGAGAATTCGTTTGAACTGCGTGGAAAGAGAAACAAATCGGCCTCTGAGGCCTCCTCCTTGAAGGAACACGCTGGAGGAAAACGCCAACAGTCCCAGGCGGACAAGTTCATTTATATCATCTTGATCGAACTTCAAGGTGACTAGTCGATATTGAGTCGAGATCAAGATCTCTTGATAAACCTCCCCGGCAATCTTGCGGCCCGTGGCAAAGGCCACGTTCGTTGATGTGGAGAATCTTCGAAGATCGGCAGCAACGCCTGCAAGCCTTTTATCAATTTTGCAGCCGGCGAAGTTTGTAGCCAGGAAATCATTGATATCTGCAGGCCGGGCTAAATAAGGCTGCCAGGACATGCCTCCAGAGAAGAAGAAAGGTTGGTTTCCGCTTAGAAGCGATGTACAAAGGTCAGCACTGCGGCAGAGAGATTAGCGACTTCAAAAAAGCCCATTTCTAGTATGGAGCGACATACCGGCACACCTTGATCTGAAGTTGGGCATTCTTTGCCAGTTCTCTCATTCCGCCCCGCAGAGTGATGATTTGATTCAGCCCCTTCATATGCTTCTTTACAACGCTCACGTGGCCGACGAGCGCGCTAACCATCACTAAAGTAACAACCACCGCGATGGTAGTGTCACGGAGTGCGAATTCAGGATCGTTTATCCTGCATTGCAGGAGCTGGAGGGTCTTGGCTTCATGGAATAAGGCTTTCGCTGACAGGTTATCGCCCTGTATCCAATCAAAATACGACTGAGTTGTCCAGAGCAGGGAGTGATGAAAGGCTGCATCAACCAGAAGGTATTTATACCAGATGGACGCTGCCGGATCAAACTCTAGACAGAATTCAATGGGGTACACTGATTGCTTGAGGATGGTGAAGACTGTGCGATGTAAGTAGCAAGAACATAGCCACACAATGGACAATTTGCAACGGGAATTATGAGATAGAGGGATTGGTGCGTGCATATGTTAAGCTTACACTTAAAAACCAGCTCCAATGTGTACGGTTGAAGTTGGTCGGCAAAAGTGAACGTCTCCAGGTCTCGGCAGAGTGTACGGGGCGGGGGAATCCATGACGGCGCCTCTTCTGATGTCAGGGTCCCCGGTGGCATTAGTGAGTCCGGGCCATTGACCCATGACCCGTAAACCAGTTTTGCTCCAGCATCCTTGGACGTGTTCTTGCCACGCATTACATGGCTCCGAATCAGCTTGCGAGTGTCCTTGCTGATCCTGTCGAATGAGGTGGTCACAATAAAGGGTTGGGACTTGAACCCATGAGAGCTAAGTCTATCAGAGCCCCATTGACGGTTGGTAACAGGGGCCATCACGGATCAACCCGGTCACCGATGAGGGTGTCATGAAGCAGTCTCAATGGCCTCATCTCAGGAGGATGTCTGAGACCCGCTTTGTCAGCGCCTGGCCAATCAGAGGGCGATGTCTGCCAAGACTCGATTGTTTGCCATTCTGGGTATAGCGTAGTGAGACTAGCCGTTGTGGGAATGGCGTTCATCATCCACGCGTAAACTACGATGGCATTTTCTTTCTCTTCTGCTGCTGCTCATTGCCATATGACTCTCTTAAGTCCGGATTTCAAGCACCAAGTCCCTTTACTTGAAAGTCCACTGCATTCCCCCCTCCGTTCTCGAGCGTTAACTCCGATAGATGGCGATCCAACATGGTCCACAGTCAATTATTTAAAGGTTCCAGAGACCCGAAAACATGACAGTATCACACAATTGTGAACAGACCAAGCAAACATTTCCCAGGCTCTGTTTGTTTACATTCATCTTATAACAAAATGCTGTCTTTCAATCCTTTGACCGATATTCCTGACCTTAGCGGAAAAGTCTGCCTGGTGACAGGAGCCAACTCCGGGCTGGGAGAAGCAACTGTGGCTGCGTTAGCCACGCACCGTCCAGCAAAGATCTATCTCGCCGCTCGCAGTCGCTCAAAAGCGGAGGGTGCCCTGGAGCGCATTAGATCCACTTCATCCGAAGCCTCGAAAACCGATATCTCCATTCTGGATCTCGATCTCGCGTCGTTCGAGTCTGTGAAGGCGGCGGCGGCGCGGGTCAACAGAGAGGTCGATCGCCTTGATATCCTCCAGCTCAATGGAGGGATTGCCATGCTTCCGCACGACGTCACCAAGGATGGCTTCGAGCTTCAATTCGGCACAAACTACCTGGGCCATGCCCTGCTCACGCAGCTCCTGATGCCAATCCTCTTAACCACAGCCCGACTCCCCGATGCCGACGTAAGAACTGTGTGGATGTCCTCCGTAGGGCACAAGACCTTTTCCAGCAAAGAGGGAATCCACTTCGACCAGCTCAAAACTCCTATGGAGTCTCACAGTGGACCCGGCCTATATGCCCAGGCGATGCTTGCCAAAATCCTCTTTGGCCGCGAGCTCGCTCGCCGGTATCCTCAAATCACCTCCTCGTCCCTGCATCCAGGCACCGTCAGGTCTAATGTCTGGGGTGGTGCGAAAAACACGAATTTCCTTGTGAAACTTCTCTTCGCGGTGGTTGTACCTCTGACTGGAGTTTCGAACGAAGAGGGAGCCAAGACGCAGCTATGGTGCAGCTTCAGCAAGGACGTGGAAAACGGGGCATACTACGAGCCTATCGGAAAGACGGGACAAGACAGTCCGCTCTCGCGGGACTCTGAACTGGCCAGAAAGTTGTGGGATTGGACGGAGAAGACGTTAGAGGCGCATGGCGCACCAGGATGGCCATCATCCTAGGCCGGCCTTGATTTATCTGTCGCTTCTGATTTTTGCTGTCCGTGTTTCTGTTTTGTGCATCGATTCCTGTTCTAGTGCGCAAATCTTCGATTTCGTTGTGTCTTTAGCTCCTGTATTTTTGTCTAATTTCATGCGTATGGGTTTGGATGCAGTCTACTCCATTCAAGAACCGTCAATGCTTAAATGACACGAAATAAATTTTATATTGATATGAAAGGTTTTCTTTGTCTAGAGTCCGTAAGCTGGCTCTCCTATCATAGTAAATGGACCGTCGCAATACTAACCGTGACCCTCACAATGACTCCAACGGCCGTCTGTTCGAGCGAACCCCTTGATCGGATGATATCATCGGCTTCCGTGCCACAACCACAACCCGAGGAACAGAGAGGGCGACACCCTGCACGCTCTCCTCATAGCCCGTTTTCACCAGATCGTAGACCTCTCGGGCTGTTTCTACCTGGCCCAACTGCGCCAACTTGCCCGCGAACTCCTCTATCGTCATCAAATGCTGATCATTAAAAGCGCGCACTAGCTCCGGGGCCTCATCATAATAATCGATCCACGCATCTTCGAATCCGCAATCCGTCAATGTCCGCGGCAGCTCCAATGCCCAGTTATGTCGACCCGTCGCATACAGCATGGACTGGATCTCCTCCAACGCCGGAGCCACCAGGGATTCGTCGGCTTTCTTCAACTTCATATGCACACAGTCCAGCTCATCCCACTGTAAATAACCCCCTGGTTTCAGCAGCGCCAGGAGATTCCTAATCGCCGGCACCGGATCAACGCCCGACAAAACCAACACGAGCAGTCTCACATGCACCAGGTCATATTTCTCCCGTAGATCGGGCGGCACGGGGCTGAAAATATCCCAGTATCGAAGGCCAATCGCGCCGGGTAGCCATGCTGGGTGCGGCGCTTGCGTCATATCAATGTCTAGCCCGTCCACCTGCGCCGAGGGCACCTCCCGCGCGACCTGGATCATCCAGAGTCCGGTTCCGGTCGCCACGTCGGCGATTACGGGACTGAAGGCCGGGATTTGCACCCCCGGATGAATGTGGTATCCTAGTGTCTCGTGCCATAAGTACTGCTGTAGGTTCAGGCGGGCGGCTGCGCGGTGGTTGTTTTGGAGCGTGTAGCCGAGGCCGTCGGTTGATGGGAAGATCGAGCTGGATGTGCAGGGCGGGTCTGCGATTGGTTCGTTCATTTTGGTATTTGGTGCGATTGTGGATGTTCGGAGACTGGTATCGGTCTTTTCTGGGATCTGAGGCTTCGTTTTATACGCGGATCTTGTTTGTTGGGTCGATGGCTTGTTTTGTTTACCGTGGGACTCTTGGTGATTGTGCTTGTGTTAGGTACGCCATCCATGTCACCTTCCTTTCAAAGAATGCTGCTTTCAAGTTTGTTGTGTCTTTTATGCTGTCGTGGCTCTTCTCCAGATAGACTGCCAAGATCAAACATGGGGTGAGCTGCCTGCCTGCCTTCGAAGGTCGCATTTAGATCTGAAAAGAATAGATGAATAAATCGACAGATGGACAAAATAACAGAAAGAAACAAAGAAAGAAGGAAAGAGAGAAACTTCTGATGGGCTATTTTCCAGCCAATTCGATTTATTTCTGCTGAATACGAAAGTTCATTCTAGGAATCTAATCTTCTCAATTGATCTCCTGCTCGTTGGGGAGAAGTGGTAGCTGGAATCAATGTAGCAGCGCCACGTCAGAAAGACATCCGCACTTTTAGCCAGACCTGTATACATATACTTACGGCAAAATTTCGAATCAGTCGGATATAATTGATATTTATTGCATTCTAAGCATCAAAGGCGCCAGCGAATTCTTGGCAGCCTCTATGGCAGCCCTGCCGCTTCTGACGCAATCTCCCGCCAAATCCCCAAGCCTGTCCATCCGAACTCAATTCTTCGTTGTGTTATTCTGCTGCTCGAGATCGAGCTTCTTTTTCTTCTCGGCGTTGTCGGCGCTCCGCCTATCTCCTTCATTAATCATTTCTATCAGGAATGTGACGAGGCAGGTAACCCCAAGAAGAATGCCAACTCCGACAATCTGCGTGGTAGTCCTGGAATCTCCGGAGTCCCAGGTAACCATAATGAATGTGTCAAGGGACGCCAGGATGAGCCATGTGCCTGTGATTTGGACGTTAGTTTTTTTGTGGCGATTGCAATACATTGAGCGGGTTATCATACTCCTGGATAACCATGACGGTCCTGGTCGGAAGGGTCGCGTCACGAAGGCGCACCAGAATGCGAAAGATCCATATAGGACGACTACAAAGGGAGGTAAGTTAGTTTTTTGGACAAATGATACGAATTAGGCAACAAGATCGCCCACCAGCTTGCAATTTGTTGCTGCCGAACACGCGACAGTCGCATTCAGGGCTTTGCGCTACGTCCATAGTAGACATGCCTTGAAACCACACAGGATGTTGATATATGAGATCACGGTTCTATTCCGGGGTGCTCACAGGTACAGTCCGTGATGGTAGGCGACAGATCTGTTAAAAAGAATCCCTGGAAGTTTCCATTCTCTTGGGACTGAGGTAATTGCCCAGTGTGAGACAAATGCGACACTAGGCCAGGCTAGTGAGCTTAGCCTCGCCGAGTACCAGCGCGACCAAAATGGCCCCCACGAGGCAACCACAAAATTTAGCACAATGTTGGGTGGCGAAGACATTCAGTGGCCAGTCAGTCGGCCACCTTGGTGATAATCCCGATTGCTCAAGTGTTGGTTGCCGGTCACGTCAGGCTAAGCTTCCACCCGCCGAGCTTTTGCATGGCTTGCTCCCATACAAATCGCTCAGAGCATTGAGTACTCGATCGAGGAGCAAGCCTTGCACTTTTTTCAGGGTCCTTGTTAGTGCCGCTAAGTCCCCCCGCAGTCGCAATCGTTCGGCGTCTTTTGCGATCATCTTGGACGCTCAGATCGTGTTGGCGCCACACCATTTCCACCACTTCCCTGGCGGGTTGGATATTCTATAAACATCAGTCAGTGCGTCGAATACACGGACAATTTAGTGGTGGGCGAAATTTACCCCAAAGCGTTTCGGCTGTTCTGACTGCTGGAAAATATCCATGACGGTGATCCTGTCCTCGTCGGTTTTGCAACAGCAGCCCGCTAGAAAAAGTGGCCACAGTGGAAGTGCCGCTGTGCGAATCATGCAGTCGAGGTTCTTGTGTAATATCCCTAATATGTCTTGGACATAACGATACTTATCGTCTTCTGAAAGGCGAGGGAATTTCGCCACACAGTGTTCATCGGCGTTTGGGTGAGAGCAAATCTCGTGCAGGAAAAGAAGAGCTCCCAATCGGTTTGCTTCAGCAATGATCGTACACTCCGCAACGATACTCGATGCTTCTTTTTTGACTGGGGCCATCGTAAGGTAAGTATCTAGGTGGCTTGGAGGCTGTTGCTGCAGATTTTCAAGAGACCTCTTCAAACGAAAGACTTTGGCCTGAAAAGCCTCTGGATTCAAGTCGATGTGTTTTCCACCGCTTTCTCTCGCCAGCTCAGCTACTTCATTGATCAATAGAAGTAGTGAATTACTAAATCCCATATATGGATCGATCTCATGTAGTTCATCCAATGGCATGTGGATGGAAAGGATGTTTGAGGATTTGGACAATGGCTCTATGGTGACCGCAGACAACCATTCCGTCGAACTATCACCACCATGCTTTGATGCTTCATGAAATCTCATGGCTTGATCGTCGCTCACTTCAGGGGATGTCAAAATTGGGTTGTTAAACAAGTCATCGTCGACATGAAAGGCAGTCCGCGCGAGGACTAAATGAAAAGCAAAGTATCGGTTCAAGAACAGGCGCAGACTTGTCCTGCGAGTGCCAAGTCGTGAGGGTTGACAATATCGATCGATAATGGCCCGGATGCCATGTAGGTGTGTCAACCATGAAGGTCGGCTGCCGTCCGTGATTTCATACCAGCATAGAAGTAACGATAATCCCAAAACCTCGTCAACATCGATACGTGAGTGCGATTCTCTTTGGAGCGATCGGATCAGGAAACGGGTTGCTTTTTGCCCATGCTCGAGGGCTGCCACGCGATAACCAGGCCGGGAGAGACCCAAAGTCTGCGCGGATATAGCCATCGTTGCGTGATACATACTCTCGGAGGACATAGTCATCGGCAAAATAATGTGACGATATGGGTTGTAATGTGCATTGTCCAGCAGCGTTGATGAGCTGCATATGACAGCCTCGTAATACGAGAGCAAGAATCCATCGCCATCCGACGTCTGAAAGCCAACCAATGACGATCTGAACGATGGGGAGAGTGTCGTTTGAATCTTGCTGTTTACACAATCCCCTTTGTCGGTACTATATTTGGGTCGAAGCGACGACGCGCCTTCACGACTATCTTCCCTACGATCCTCCATCGCCGACCGTTCAAATTTAAAGAACACTTCCATGTCCCGCACGGTAGTATTCAAAAACATCCTTCGTTCACCCGAGTATCTCCGGTGCAGCTTCTCCCAATTTGATGACTGGCTCGACGATGCTTTCGATGAGATTGCAGCCCTTGGCTTCTGCCCTTTTCGATGTTTCGATGCACTGTTTCTGTCGCTGCCTGGTGTGGACCGAATCCCCGATCGACCATGGCAGACGCCTCTCGAAATTGATTCTTCATGCCAAGTCAGACGAAGGCCATAATCACAGCTAGCATTCATGCGGTTACAACGATGGCAAATTGGTCGTGTTTCTAGGCAAGGTAGGAAAATTCAGCACATGGATACAGTAAACAAAGTAAAAGCCAAAAGCCCACATACCGTCACACTTCACTTTTCGTGACCGACAGGTCCAACAACCTGTTCTTTTGCGCGTGGTCGCCGCCATCGATCCTTGGATGGCTTCACCATGGATTAACGAGTTTTGGAAGGATCAATGGACGGTAAAAGAGGAAAGGCCTCCCCCAGCAACAGAGGATGCTACCAGCGCCTTATCTATCAGGCATAAAGATAAGACTAGACTAGCCACATGCAGTCTAGCGTTGTTTGTTGATGCGGGGAAGCATTTGTTTGGTTTGTTTAATTTGCTCTGTTTGTCTACTGGGTTTTGTTTGCCTCGCAGCTGCCCGATTTGGAAACATTGTTCTTTCGGGCTCCCGATCCGTTCTCACTCATCAATTTGAAGTTCTTCCATCTTTTCAGGAGAAATATGAGAATCGGATGTCTTATGATACCATAATATTCCAGGATTGGCTTTTTTGAGTTGAAGGAGATGATGTCTGTATTCTTCTTACTAGCTGGCTTGCAGGTTCCTTCCTGAAATATATACTGCTATCTACGTTCATAATTTCGACAACCCTCCATCCTCCTCCCTTCGACAACGCCAACCACGCAGACTATTCAATTCAATCTCAGGATCAAGGTGAGCTAAATTATCTGCGCTCACAGTGATACCCGGCCTCCAACGCCACTGATGGAGGATTTCTTGATCCAATGTTCCCTCCAACGCGTCGGCAATGTACCGCCCGAGGACCGGGAGAAACTTAAATCCGTGGGCGGACCCCCCTGTCGCTAGGAAGAGTCCCTGCAGATCGGGATGGGGCGTCACCAGAAAATGGCGATCGGCAGTATCGGCGTCCCAGCAAAGTCGCGTGAAGCAGAATGGCCGATCGGCTAGTTCAGGGAAAACGCGTCGCAGATTCCGCCGCATGGTGCGCTCGATCTCCGGAGGTAAGTCATCTCGTGGATTTTCCACAAATGTATGGGGGATTGACGTGGTGATTCCAGAGACAGGATCGGTCTCTGTGTTGGTAATGAACTGGCTGTGCGCGAGCTTGAATATGCCGTCCTCCTGTACTGGCAGGAAGTACCCCAACTCCAGGTTGTCCAGGATGGGTAGTGAGCGGTAGTGACGCGTCTCGTCTGGAGTGAGCTGAATATGCGCTACGGCATGCCCTTTGGCCGTCAGTTGACCACCGACATCAACAAGACTGGGAGTCCATGCTCCAGCGGCGACGATGACCACATCGGCTTCATAGGTGGTGCCATCCTGGGTGACGACCCCGCGGCATCCCTCCGTGGAAAAAACCAGTTTCCGCACATACCCACGGTCTCCGGAGATATATTGAACACCATTTGCTTGTGCCGCCAGTGCCATCCGACGCAGCGCCTCCCCTGACTTGGCCCATCCCGCTGTCGGATTCCACACATTGACTTCCCATCCATCAAGCTCCCCAGTGATTTGCGGGAACTTTGCACGGATCTGGTCAGGTGCCACACGCTCCAGTCCCTGGACTCCAAGTCGAGTGCTTGTTTCGATGGAGCCTTCGACAAATGGAATGGAAAGGTTGGCAGCGCTCAAAATCCAACCCGGGACGGCGTACAGGTCTTTGAACATGTCCCAAGTCCGCCAGGCAGCGATAGATTCTAGGCCCATGGCCGCATAGAGAGGCTCATTGTAGTCGCTGCGGATGATTTTGCTGATATCTGTCGACGCCGCGTCGAGTGATGGGGCTGCATACCGATCGAGTACGCGGACTGATCGGTACCCTCGCTGTGCGAGATTGTATGCTGTTGACGTGCCGAACGCACCTCCCCCGACAATGAGAATCTTGGTATCGAGATTCATAGCGAAAGCATTATGGGATCGCAAGGTTGCACTCTGTTGGTTTGGACGATGTGCTTAGCAGTAGAGGAGAAGGAACCCCTCTTTTATGCTTATGTGGAACTTGCAACTGCAGTGTTACCTGCGTGTCCTGATTCCTCATATAGCGCAACTATGCATCACAACATAGGATCTGTGGCATTATCATCCGACATCGGATAGCAGTCAGTGTCGAAATGCCTCGCTGTTTCGCTCTGGCCTGCCATGATGTGCTGGATTGTTGGACTCTATCTGCTGTCAATCACTGGCACCCTAAGAAGTGGGGAGCTCCGCTAGTGGCCTCGGCGTCGCTCCGACCTGCTGCGCGCACTCAAGAACGCCACCGCATTGACTAATGAAACGGCGAGCAATACGGCCCTGAGCTAGAGTGTGTAGACTCAGTTGCCGTACACCCCTGGGCATCTGAAAGTGGAACACATTGACAGGTTGTATCGAATACCGAGAACATCCTGTATGGCTGATTAAGACAACATGAGATGACGATAATACCAGGGGAAAGAAAAGGTCCAAATTAGAGAAATGTTCTCGATTGTATTCGGAGTTGGCTGTTAGAGCTACAGGCATTGACACTATACGACAAAAAAAAAAAAAAATGTAGACTGGGAAAATCCGAGGTGAACGTAACAGCCTTACGTCGCCAATCTCAATAAGTGTATCGGAAATCCCGCTTCTCTTTATCGGTCTGGTCCGAGAATGCCTGGAACTCTACCACAGATGCGGTCGCGATCGCTGCTTGCTCTGCATCGCGCTTCTTATTTTCCCAATAACAAAGAGCGCCATACGCAGAGATAGAAACCATGGCTGCGACGATACACCCTAACAGACCCGAGTATCCATGAGCATAGCTAGGTGCATCAGACGACTGGAATGTCTGCGGACCAATGATATTCCCAACGCAGTACGCCAGAAAGAAAATTGCGTTCATTGTTAATTTCTTCGTGTGACCGCTTGTGTTGGCCATCGGGAGTGATGTTGACAACACGTACGGAGCCCAGTACGTGTAAAAGACGTAGTACGCTGCGAGAAGACCGTGCTGATTCGACTGGGGTAATTTCCACATCAGAATGGCGCAGACCATGGGAACTACATTGGACAGGGCGATAATCACACATCGTGAGTTCCTCATGTGCGATGCGATAAAGGAGAGCATTAGCTGCCAAATGGTTGCTAGAACCCCTGTCGGTATTCCCAGTATTGTGGTGATCAAGGTAGAATAGCCTAAGCCTGAGACGATGATGGCAGAAAAGGTGACAAGCCCGCCGTTCGGAATATTCTGCGCACAGGAGAAGATGGCGAGAAGCCACGTCTTGGGATCAGTAAGGCATTCCTTAACCTGGTGCCACTTGAATCTCTTATCCTCCATGCCGGTGTTGTTATCTTTAACTCGCTCTAGGCAGATGAGCTTTTCACGGTCGGACAGATACCAGCATTTGATTGGCGAGTCAGGCAAGAAGACGAAGATAACAATGGCCCACAGGACCGAGAAGCCCCCTAGGACAAGAAAGAGGAGGCGCCACGGGCGCAAGGAGGCGTGAGCATGCCCGATGCCATAGCTAACGATTCCTGCGAAGACCGAGGACAGCTGGTTGAACCAGAATGCCACCCGAATGGGTTGTTCTTGAGTCTTCCACCACATGACGGTCACAATGCTGGATATTGGGAACACCACGGCTTCCAGCATGCCCATAATGAATCTAGTGACTGCAAGGCCGGCAAAGTTCTGGGTCGCTGCAGTGCATAGCAAGATGACGGCCCACCCAAGGATACACGCTGCGTAAAATTTGGCAACAGGCAAACGTTGAATCAAGAATGCAGCCGGCCATTCGGCTGCAAGATAGCCAAAGTAGAAGATGGAGCCCACCCAGGAATACTGATCCCCAACAAGATTTGTGTCGGCTGACATGCCGTAGATGGCCGCGTTCGAGATGATCACCTTGTCCACCGCCGCGAGTATCACGGTCACGGTGATTAAAGGTATCAAAATGAGGTCAATCTTCCAAAGTACACGACGAGCTTCATCGGGAGCAATCGGTCGCGCCCGGACTGCAGGATCCAGGTCGATGAGGAATTTGACGGCGATGTCGACATCTTTGCCGGGGCCGTGGGTGGTAAATTCGTGGGTGACCTCGCCAGCAGAATGTATCTCATTATCCGACGGCATTGAGCTGGAGCCCTCGGTAGGCTTGTCTGTCGCGTTCATGGCAAAAGGACGCTAAACGGCTGCGATGGAATGCAACTGGAATGCAAGTTGGCGAGGGCGAATTTTCTGCAGGCAACCCCATATATCATCGACATTGCTATCACTACCAGCGTTCAAAAAAGGGGCGATACGCAACTTCGATGGCTTATGCTGGCCGGGATTAATTCAAGCATGGGACTGCCGTGGCGAGATAACGGCGACGTGGACCCTGGCTTCATTCTGCTGATGATGGTTGACAGCCAAGCGTGATAAGGCGGCGATGTCGGACTCATCTCCGCGTCTTGTGTCCCCTCTTTCTTTATCATCTCGCTCCGACCTGCCTGGCGCACACCCTGGTTGTGCCGATCAGCCGAGGATTTATCTTGCCCCCGAAATACGCCCATTTGGGAGGTATTTATACCCTGGTACATCACTGGTGCCCGTGGAGGCTTGATTAACTGGATGGCCGAATAGAATCAATCATGTCGCCGCACGTTGTCGATACCAAGGTTGATGGGCTTAAGATCAAGATTGCGATCGGTGAGTTAGGGCTGCTGGAGTTGGAGCATACCGCTGACACCGTTACCATAGATCGAGGCGGGACCTTCACAGATTGCCTGGGAATCGTTGACGGTCGCGAAGATGATGTTGTTGTCAAGCTGTTGTCACAGGATCCCTCAAACTACGATGACGCGCCAATCGAAGGCATTCGTCGCATTCTCGAAAAGGCGACTGGAAAGAGCTTCCCGCGCAACGAAAAGCTCGACACCACCACACTGGATACCCTGAGCATTCGTATGGGCACGACTGTGGCAACCAATGCGCTGCTTGAGCGAAAAGGGGAGAGGGTCGCATTGCTAGTAACGAAGGGGTTCAAAGACGCGCTTGAAATTGGCACACAGTCGAGGCCAAAACTATTCGATCTCAACATTCGACGACCAGACGTATTATATGACGAGGTAGTTGAGGTTAATGAGCGCGTGACAATTGAAGACTATCAACAAAATCCGACTCCAAATCGCGAGCAGTTGCTGACCTCCCTGGAACGCGATCCTGATTTAATCAAGGGTGTGAGCGGCGAGACGCTACGCATCCTTACAGGACTCGACAAGGAGTCGATTCGTCACGATCTCCAATCATTGTACGATCGGGGATTTAGATCAATTGCGGTGGTGCTAGTTCACTCTTACACCTTCCAAGGTATGGTTCGTTGCTAGTTTAGATGTGGGTGAGCCGCTGACTGACGATTTCGGCAAGAGCATGAACTCGAGATCGAAAGGATAGCGACAGATATAGGCTTCTCGCACATTTCCCTATCTAGTCAGCTACTGCCTATGATTAAAATGACATCACGCGGAGCTTCAGCCACAGCGGACGCCTATCTTACGCCGGTAATTAAGCGGTACATCGAGGGCTTTCGGTCGGGATTCAAAGATGGCTTGCGTTCGAGCGACACACGTTGCGAGTTTATGCAGAGTGACGGGGGACTGGTTAATTCCGAAAAGTACGACCGCTCATCTCAGAGGGCTGAAATGGCATAGTGACAGAAACAGATTCTCCGGCTTGCGAGCCATTTTGTCTGGACCTGCTGGGGGTGTCGTCGGACATGCTCGGACATCATTTGATGAAGCAGAGAGAACTCCCATTATTGGGTAAGCTATGAATTCGATTTCTTTCCATTTGTCTCCAAGGACTAGACTCACCAGGGGCGATAGGTTCGACATGGGAGGAACCAGCACGGACGTGTCGCGCTACGATGGAAAGTTCGAGCACACATTCGAAAATACGACGGCCGGCGTTACCGTGATGGCTCCGCAGCTCGACATCAATACCGTGGCTGCTGGAGGTGGAAGTATTCTCTTCTGGCGGCATGGCTTGTTTGCAGTTGGCCCCGAATCCGCAGGTGCTCATCCCGGGCCTGCATGCTACCGAAAAGGAGGCCCACTTACCGTTACCGATGCCAACTTATTTCTCGGGCGCTTGCTGCCGGAATATTTTCCGAAGATATTTGGACCTAAAGAAAACGAGCCGTTGGATGTCGAGACAACCCGGGAACAATTTCGACAGCTGGCGAAGCAGATTAACACGGAGACGGGGCTATCCAAATCTGCCGAAGAGATCGCCTTGGGCTTCATCGAAGTAGCGAATGAATCCATGGCGAAGCCCATTAGAGCGCTTACGGAAGCAAGAGGATATGAGACGTCTGCGCACAATTTGGCCTGCTTTGGCGGGGCTGGTGGACAGCATGCTTGTGCCATCGCCTCGTCACTTAATATACAGACAGTGATTATTCACCGGTACTCTTCGATTTTGTCCGCCTACGGCATGGCTCTGGCGGATGTGGTCCACGAAGCGCAAGAGCCTGCGTCTGGCTTCTTGGATGCAGATACTCTCAATGATATCCGAAAGCGCATATTTATACTGAAGGAAAAGGTTCGAAAAGAATTACTTGCGGATGACATCCCCGAAGGCCAGATTCAGTACGGGGTTTATCTGAACTTGCGGTATAAAGGTACCGATAATCTCCTGATGATCCTTGATCCAGACGATGGGGACTTCATAGCCGCGTTCGTCCGCGAACATCAACGCGAATTCTCCTTTACTTTCCCCGGGAGACCCATAGTGGTTGAAGACGTGCGTGTCCGTGGAGTGGGCAAGTCCCTCTCTGTCCCTCCAGAGTGCCCCCAGGATGAGTTGAAATCATTGAAAACCAAACCTATCGCCCCCCAATGTCTGGACGATTCTACCCGGGTCTATTTCAGGGGGGTCGGACTGGTCGATGCGCCTGTTTATTTCCTGGACAGCTTGCATCGAGGGACCCGAATTCAAGGGCCAGCCATGATTATCGACCAAACCCAGACCATCGTTGTTGAGCCCTCAGCTACAGCAACAATTTTGTCCCGCCATGTCATTTTAGAGATTTCGACAAAGAGAAGAGAGGAAATTGATGAGTGTTCACTTGTTGTGGATCCTATTCGTCTGTCTGTCTTCGGATATCGATTCATGTCCGTAGCCGACCAGATGAGTCGCATGTTTCAGAAGACGTCGGTTTCAACCAACATAAAGGAAAGACTGGACTTTTCCTGTGCTGTCTTCTCGCCTGATGGCAAGCTTGTAGCTAATGCACCGAACGTGCCTGTACACCTTGGCAGTGAGTGAGCTTGTCGCTTTAAACGATACACAAAAGCTAACGAGGCCTAGGCATGGAGTACGCGGTTCGCTATCAACATGAAAATTACGCTTGTAAGCTTCGACCGGGCGATCATATTTGCACTAATCATCCCTTGGCCGGTGGGACTCATTTGCCCGATATCACTATCATCACCCCGGTTTGGGATAATAATGGCGAATCCATTATATTCTACGTCGCCTCTCGCGGTCATCATGGTAAGTTAGAATCTTGGCATAGGATTTCATTTGAAAAGACTAAGTGTGTGTACAGCTGAGATTGGTGGGATCCAGCCCGGATCCATGCCTTCCAATAGTCGCATGCTTTACGAAGAAGGTGCGATGACGATGGGATTCAAGATCGTTTCAGAAAATCAATTCGACGAGAAAACAGTCCGCAAATTCCTTTACGATGGCCCCGGCTCATTCCCTGAATGTAGCGGAACGCGCACATGGAATGACAACGTCTCCGACCTGAAAGCAGCAATTGCCGCGAACCAGAAAGGAGCCCATCTGCTTAAAGGTCTGGTAGAGGATAGCTCCTTGGGTTTGGTCCATTTCTATATGAACGCCATCAAAGACAATGCTGAAGTTGCCGTTCGACAATACCTAAAGGAGGTGGGAAAGCGAAGTCAGGGCCAGAGTCTTAGGTTCTCTGACTTTATGGATGATGGGACTAAGGTCTGCCTGGAGATTCGCATTGACCCCGAAACTGGCTCGGCCGACTTCGATTTTACTGGAACCGGACATGAGACGTTCAATTGTCTGAATGCCCCGAAGGCGATTGCGCACTCTGCAATAATCTACTCCTTACGGTGTCTCATAAACGTGGATATCCCGTTGAACCAAGGCTGTCTGGCACCTTGCCGTGTAATCATTCCATCCGGTACATTATTGAACCCCTCGGGGACTGCGGCTGTCTGTGCTGGTAACCCCATTACATCGCAGCGAATTACAGATGTCGTTCTCGGAGCTTTCAATGCTTGTGCGGCCTCACAGGGGTGCTGCAACATTGTTTCTTTCGGCATGGGAGGTCGTGACCGTGATGGCAACGAGGTTCCAGGCTTCGGAGTGGGAGAGACGATCTGCGGAGGGTCAGGAGCAGGTCCAAGTTGGCACGGAACTTCTGCAGTCCATTGCCATATGACAAACACACGTATTACAGACCCGGAAGTATACGAACTGCGCTACCCAGTCATTCTCCGGCAATTCTCCATTCGAAGGGGCTCCGGTGGTCGGGGACGGTTCCGTGGCGGCGATGGTTCTATTCGAGAGCTCGAATTCCGCGTCCCTCTTTCAGTATCGGTTCTGAGTGAGCGCCGGGGCTACCGGCCTTATGGAATGGCAGGCGGAGAATCGGGACAGGCGGGCCTGAATCTCTACATTAAGAAAGAGCACGATGGTTCCGAGAGGACGATCAATATTGGAGGAAAGATGGAGCTAAATGTGCAACCAGGAGAAAGACTTATTATGCACACGTGAGTTGTCACCCTGAACCTGAGCTCAGTTGTCGCCAGTTCAAATGCTAATGGTACGCGATAGGCCGGGAGGTGGAGCGTGGGGATCCGATGAAACAAACGATATTTTGAAAGAAACCCTCGGAGCTGGAAACTCCTTGCACAGAGCGTTCATTCCATGCGGCAGTGTGAACGCGTTCACGGAGACTGCCGAAGCTGCCCAATAGGTGCCGGGGGACCAGGAAATTTTCGATCGAGTGAACCCATAGGGAGCCACAGATTACGCAATACTATCTAAAATGCAAACTCTACTAGGCTTTCTAAACGCTGTTTATCATGAAAAGACCAAGGATTCCCGAGGGCACAGTGTCTTGATTCCTCGTTATCAGGTGGACGGATTGACCGAAGACTCGGATTAATGACATGTTACTCAAGTCGGATCTCAGAAGGTAATGCTGAAAGCAAAGGTACCACCGCAGAGGGCTTTTCGGATCATGGGCAATAGACTAACAAGCAAACCAGGATCACAAGGAAAGAAATATCAGGCCACATTCATTACAGTCCCCGTTCCTTCAGAGCGGCCCTCAACGTGTCGGCAAAGCTAGCCACGTATTCCGGGTTCAGCATAGTATAATGTGCCCCTTGCACATCGTGAAACCGAACATCCTGTCGCACAAAGTCCTTCCACGCCGCCAATCGACTCTCGACCCAGTCCTTGCGATCCTTTGCAACATGGCTTAAGGGGTCGGCGACAAACACATCCATACACTTCACGCTACCCTGCGGATCATAATCAATGGCCATGCCCTGCATGTTTGAGGCCAGACCAACCCATAGCAGATAGTACTCCTCCGATAAGCCCAGCTCATCCCAGCGGGCTGCGTCAGAGTGCTTCCGGAGATACCGGATAGCGTCTAGCCGCCTATTCTCGCGCTCAAAAGCGCAGAGTGTAGGTTTATGTGTATAGGCCGTGGCCTCGTCCATTAGCCCGACAAAGTAGAAGAGGTGAATAACGCACTCATCCCACAAGAGCTCGCGCATCCGGAATTTAATATGCGGTGGCAAGTTCCAACTGCCACAATAGCGTACTTCATCTCCGTCCCGCTCCATCAATTTCGTGATTTCAAAAGCTACCATGCCACCAAACGAGTACCCTGCAATAGCATAGGGTCCGTGCGGCTGACGCTTCTTGATAGCCGAGCGATAAGTCTCAAACACTTCATCCAGGGAATTGAAAGGTGTCTCTCCTTCCACGGCGTTGAAGCCTTTGGCTCGGAACGCGTATACAGGGCGATCAGTGAAATGGTGAGCTAGCGTGACGAAGACCAGCACTTCTCCGACACCTGGATGAACGAGCCACAGCGGCGTCTTGTGACCGAACGGCTGAAGAGTCACCACAGGATCATACTCGTGCGACACCTGTCCTGTAGTGACAGCGATACGATTTGCTAGACCCCTGACGGTAGGGTGATTGAGCACGTCAGTGAGACGCAAGGCTGGAGAAAGCTGGAGCTTTCGATTTATGCGCTGCATAATGGCGACGAGGTCCATTGAAGTTGCACCAGTCGCGAGCAGAGAGTCACACACGCCAAAGTCATCGTCTGTACACACCTCGAGCTGGTCTCGGACGATGTCAAGCATGGCAGCCTCTTCTGTCGTCTCAACCTGACCCCGTGTCTGCTGTCGATAACGCTTGATTGCTGCATCGTTGCGTGTCTGCTGCTCGGTGAATTGCCCACATTCAAGAGCTGCCTGCAGCTTTGTGCGCGACAACTTGCCCAATGTACTTTTGGGCATGTCCTGAAGACACAGAGGTACGACCTTTGGACGTGAGTGAGTGTGCAGACTGGCCACCCGAATGATGCTGCTTTGTGTCTCGAATCGTGCCTTATCATCTGCTTCGTCAAAGGACGGGAGGTACAAAACTGCAACAACCTCGGTATCCATGGAGGCGTCGCGAGTGCCGAAACAACAAAAATAGCTAGGCGTTGTGCCTGGGATCTCTGCCTGTTCGAGCGCCGCGTCTAGTTCATGGGGTAGGTATTTGACGCCGTTGATGTTGATCATCTCTTTCGTGCGACCATCAAGATGCAAATGACCTTGCGCATCAAGGTATGCCAGATCGCCGGTTCGGAACCAGCCATCGGAGGTGAAAGCCTCGGCTGTGGCCGTCTCGTTATTGTGATACCCTTTGAATATAACTTCTCCCGTCACCTCCAAGCTTCCTCGCTCGCCTGGCTCGGCTTCCTCTCCCGAGCCATCGAGACGGATCACGCGCATTTGAACTCCAGGCATTGGTTCACCCAGAGACGCAAATTCGTAATGTCCCGCACGATCATTGCTGGGACAGTGACTGTTGAAGATACAGCCGGCACATGTCTCTGTCATGCCGAAGGATGGTTTGAAAACATCTTTGGGGATTCGGTAAGGCTTTAGAAGCTCCTCAAGTGCAGCACAGACTTCGGTGACATTTGCCTCGCCTCCCGTGTCTAGGTACAGTGCCTCGAGATTGAGGTCCGCATCCAATCCTTCGGTCTTTCCAGCAGCTAGCTGGCGTCGAAGCTTGGCGAAGAGAAAGTTGGGTGCAAATGTGCGCGACACGCGATGCCGACTAAGGAGATTCAGCCACTGTACCGGATCCACTAGCACATCGGCTGCGGAAACCTGAATTTGCGATATTCCAGACACGATGGCGAATAGGTGACAATGAACCAAGTTTGCAACATGATCCATGTGCACCCAGGATAGAAATGGATTTCGGGGATACTGCAACTTAGCAGCTGCTGTCTTTCCCTTGAACGCAGCTAGAAGTTGGTGATGTGTGAGCGGCACTGCTTTGGCTTGGCCACTGCTGCCTGAAGTGAGCATCACAGCCAGAGAATCAGAGGGACATGGCTGGAATTCGGGAAGAGAGGCAGTGACCGGAATGTCGACCAAGTCCTCTATGGCGAAGCACTGGATACGCGTGTCTCCAGTTTGTTCTGCAAATGGAGCCTCCAGAGCTTTCCGCGTCAGACAGTTTGGTGCATCCAGTGTGTAATAGAGATGAGTGAGGTGTTTCTTTCTGTCTCCCGCGTTCGGACTGAACATTCCCGGTCCAGTAATAACCGGAATGCCTCCCGTCAAGAGAACAGACCAGTACCAGATGATGCTGTCAAGGTTGGTCTCAAAGTGCAGCAGAACTATGGCCCCCGATGTGGAGATACCGCGCTGGTATAACCGACTGGCATTATCTTCGGCTTGGTGCAGCAAATCTTTGTACGAAAGACGTTGCGCCGCCGATGGCTCGCTGATGTCGTTGGGGGGGTATGCCACAATGCCTTCCGTGTTGTGTCTTGCTTCATAGCGTAACGCATCGATGATAGTGTCGTAAGGCCTTTTGACGGAGGAAATCTCGCCGTTTACATTTGATGGAGACATGGTAACGAAGATGAAGGGGTTTGTGAGTTCTCAGTATGATCATCTGGTGAATGGCGGCGACACATCAGACAATTCTAGGAGACACCATCTCCCTTTTTTAACCGTGACACAGTCTCCCTCTCAACCTCGACAATTGAACTACAGATTTATTTGCCAATGGGATAGGCTGAAACAAGTTTCATCGGCATACGAGGTATGCTAACACCCTGATGCCTGCAGCCTCTTTTTGATTCGCCTTCATGTGTAATGGGCCTCAGGCAGTGGAAGTTCGGCAATAGAAATAAATCTCATGGCTCGTTTGACGTGATACAGCAGAGCTGGCAACCCTGTCGTGCGATGAGAAGTCGGTGGGCTGTGAAGGCCTGAGATACACCGCGATCTGTTGGGCTGGGGTGTATTGGGTCGATACGAGCCGGACTGCTGAGCTGAGACCTTTTACAGCTATCAACAAGTGAAGTGGTGGAGACAGAATCTCTTCTTCAGGTCTCATTCATTGGACACGTTAGACTGGTTTTAATTCAGCCCACAGCAGTCAAACGAGGCTGAAGGGAAAGTGGGACAACGGTAAGAGAAAGGCGTAGATAAACGAGTGCTACATTGCGAAGCAACCTCGTTTGTCTATACCATCCCTTCATCTAGCTGTGGTACAGCATCCCGAGTCATCATCTTCAAATGTATCCTCACACACCGCTTGATTGAAATTTCGGGAACAGCGATGAACCCAGTCTCGGAACTGCTCGCTGCACTCTGACTGTGACCAAGTATTTGTCTGGGTTGAATACGAGACCGTGCTGATGCCAGGGCTCCTACGAATGATTTGTCGCCGTGCACGTCATTTGTGAGAGCCCTCGATGATCATTCAATGGTCTACGCAGCGGATCATCTTACTACATAAGTCTTGATGAGTAGCAGTCAGCATTTGAGAATCACCATCTGAATGCCATTGACACAATCCGATCTATGCCCATCATGCAGACGACTATTCCACCTCCGGAAGTCGAATCCCAAGAGGCAGGGAAATCCCTGGCCGTCCAATACTGGAGAGAATACATTCGGTCCGTCATGGTTCCCTTGTTCCACGCGACCGGATCATACACTTCAGCTGAGCAAGAATCTCACCTTCAATTCATGGACAAACTTGTTGCTCCTAACTTAGGGCCCTTGCCTACCGAGCCGCATGGGCCGTATACGCCACCAGCATCTCTCGTAGGATCACCTTTCGATCCTAGTCTCAATATGGCCGCGTCCGGAAAAGCGAAGGCGCGCTTCGACTTTGACATCGTAGGACCAGCGCAACGAACGGGATCCGATCCTTTTGCGGAACATGCCGCCCGGAAAGTTGCGCTCCATATTGCTTCCAAGACAGGGAGCAGCACGCAATGGCTGGAGAATCTTTTTACAACCCTCTTCCTGTCGCCGGAGGAGACGCAGACTGTCGTGACCCAGATGCCTGCCGATATCGCCGCACCCCCGCTGTCTGTGGGAGTTGATTTCGATGGAAGTCAGCGCGTAATGAAATGTTATATTCACGGCGTCCGCAAATCAGTGGCTACCGGGCGCTCATCAACGGACATTCTTCTCCAGGCCCTGAGAAACTTGGAACCAATGGGCGATAGCTTGTCCGCGGGGGTTGAACTTCTCGAAGAGTACGTTCAATGCTGTAGTATCCATCCATCAGACTAATCCTTTATACATAGCTACCTGTCAACGACTCCGAATGATGCAGTACTAATGCTTCTAGGCATTGATTGCCTGGATCCAACCCTCTATCCCGAAACCCGTGTGAAATGCTACTTGCATACACGAAGCAATTCCTTTTCCGTGGCACGGGATGTTATGACCCTAGGCGGGCGTTTGGACGACGAAACTTCGCGCGCACGCATTGAATTGCTTCGGTCAATTTGGTCAATCTTGCGGAATGAACCCGATGACGTGCCAATGGATGAAGAATGGTCCAAGCCCGATCGTATCGGGTCCACTGGGTACAGCGGATTGCAATTTACAATTGAGATCGCTCCTGGGCATACTTTCCCTGACACGAAGATTTATGTGCCCGTGTTCCAATATGCCGAGACCACCCAAGAGGTCGAGAGAAATGTGGAGCTGATGCTGCAAAAGCTGGGTAATGAATGGGGTCTTACCGGTCGGTACCGCAAGACAATGCAAACGATCTTGTAGGTGGCCTGAATCTCGCGCAATCGCTCTTCTACGCCGATACTAACAGCGATGCAGCGGATCCGAGACGGACTATGGACAGACGTATGTCTCATTCGCGTACTCCAAGACAAAGGGGGCGTACACGACCTCGTACTTCGCCCGCCCCATTCGCCAGGTAGACACGAAGCTGGCGGGATATTTTGGCATTCGTTTGAATTAGGACGGAGATAGTGTCTTCGCGTATTTGAATCTTGTGGAATGTGACACAGCAGGATGATGGAGACGCGCGAGAAACATTATGGTCTGGCCGAAGTGGGCTTTCTGGTCAGAATTGAACACAATCTTGCTTTTTCTCAGCACCGAGACACTGTACCTCGTATGGTTTGATGAGCTGTGAGTGTCAATCATGTCATAAAGCTAGTCTCAACAGGGCTTGCCAGAGTTGACACAAACTGGCCGCTAGATTACGTTGTACCGGCTGTCATGTTGTGCAAGTGACACGGGCTTTTGGTTGTACAAGAAAGCATTTTGTTGCTTCCCTGCGGTACTGAGTTCATGGTATGCCTTTCTAAGAGGCCGTGAAGCCGCATGCAAGTTTCATTAGATGCCACGACATGCTTCCTATTTGGACGTGAGCCCGAGGACTTTCGGTGAAACAGGGATCAAAATCAGTATTACGCTCAAATGAAGCAAACAAGCCCTGGATTGCTTCGGCGGGTTAGAAAAGCCTGGAGGCCCGAGCTGCATATAAAACGTCGAATGAGGGTGAGATGCGAATCAGAGGTATGAGCGACACAGCATGGCTCGGGTTTAGGAATGCACCCCTGTCTTGCATTCTCGTCCTAGAGGCTTTCTATCACCCATCAGGCGGGCTGCCCTGTTCCTTGTTCAGCCTCGACAGCCAGTCAAGGCCTTAAGCGGATATCCCTGCTCTTATTTGCTCAATAGTTCAGCTTTGCAATTTCTCTGTGTCTATCCCTGCGTGTGGGATTTTATTTCTTTCTGTTGCATTCATCTCTGGACAGTTGTCCCCTGATGCAAACTACTCAGGTTTCCGGGAACTGATTCTTCCATCCGACCTGCGGTACCCTCAAGGTGTCGCAAACCAAGTTCAATAAGGTCTGAGATCACCTTAAATGAGACACTTGCACTTAACCTCTTGTTTCTCTCAGTATATTCATCGCCCGCGGGCTTCACTGATCTCACCACCACTCGCGCCATCTTGTAGCATTCTGAGACGCCAGAAACGATCATTCCATCGTTCTGTCAGCTTCGCCATGAAAGTTGCACAAGTGACTAGTTGGGGCACAGCTCCGACATGTCAGACAGTCCCAGACCTTCCACCTCCCTCGCCTACGCAGATGCAGCTCACTGTGCTTACTGTCGGCATTCCGCGCGTGGTACAGATTCGCGCAACGGGGAAACACCCCAGTGTGTTCGACTCCCCCTTGCCCTTCGACCCGAGTATTGACGGAGTCGGCCGCGACGATACCACCGGTGACGTCTACTTTATTCATCCACTTGCAGCGCCCCTGCTTGCCGAGCGTGCCAATGTCGAGCGCCACCATCTCGTGAAACTGGCTCCGGGGGCAGATCCCGTCAGCGTTGCAGCCCTGGCCAATCCCATGTCTAGCAGCTGGATGGCGCTGCGTCGCCGTGCCATTGGCGGCTGTACAGGTCGAACAGTGCTTATCCTCGGTGCTACAAGTGCCAGCGGGCGGACCGCCGCCCTCGTGGCCCGATCCCTCGGAGCTGCTCGGATTGTTGGGCTGTCCCGGCGCGAGGAAACACTGGAAACCGTCGACGGTCTTGACGAGCGTGTTATTCTACGCGAGCCCTTCGTCCTACCCCCGAGCGCGGGTCCAATTCACATTATCCTTGACTATGTCGGCGGATCCGCTGCGGCAGGCATACTGCAGAATGCCGAGGTGGAACCAGGGGAAAACCTGCAGTACATTCAGGTTGGAGGTCTCGCAAGCGAAGACACCCACATGCTGCAGGTGCTGCCCCCATACCTGATCAATACCAAGCCTATCTGCATTATGGGCTCCGGATTGGGTAGCGTTCGCCTCCAGGACCTCAAAGATGAGATGCCAGACATGGTACGCGCCATGATGCAGATGCCCTCCCCGTTCGAGTTGGAAACCGTCTCCCTGAGCAATATCCAGTCGGTTTGGGACTCGGCAAACGCTTCTAAGAGGCTGGTCGTGATCCCGACTGCCAAGGACTGATTTGTCTTTCATTTGTTGATTCGTAGTACAGCCACTTGGCGATGTACTCTTACTAGGCAACCCAAACTCTCGGGACAGATTTCAGTACTAGTTAGCTATAGCGCAGGTGGTTACTTCATCATGCATCCTGTCATTGGCCCAAACAGCTTGATCACTTTCTTCTCTTGCAAGTTCACTAGGTTCGGGGATCTTCAATTGAGAATATTTCCATTTGCTGGCTTATCCTCCGGAGTAGCCGCATTGACGAACTTCTTTCGTGTCACGCAATCAAAAGCAACTTTTGATTCTGTGTCCGTATACCTATGAAAGCCATGTCTCACGCTAAATTTGATGCGAGACGATCTTGTGTCGCTCTCTCGCCGCGGCATAATTGATTTGATCGAGAACGTCATACCTGAGCCAAAATCGCCGATACTCGGTCATGCCATCTACGTCACATAGTACCATTATTTCTGCCTATTACTATTGTTCCCCTAGGAAATTACACGCGGACCATTCTGGATGAGAATACGAGAACTAGTCTGCTTGCTCGGCGGAATTGCAATTCCGACTGACACAACACATTGACTGACTTTTTCCAATTCTGGCCAGTGTCTCGGGCTTATCTGGATATACGATTTTCATCTCTCTCTTTCTTTCCCAGCTCGATGCTAGCGGTTGCAGCTGTAATGATCCTGATGGAAACAACACCACTAAGCAGGTTGAACGTGTCGTTAGGCCGGCGATCGTTGAGATGCTCAACATTTTCCAATCCCTGTAGCCACGTACCCATGCTGTCATGGTCCCCGGGCAAGAACAATAGGCTTACGTGGAACAGTACTTTCTAGACCCTCAGCTGAAATGGATCCGGACAACGAGGACGTCCAAATTGAACCCTCCCCTGGAAGGCTGTGTCTGTCTCGAAGCTATTTGACTACAGCAGAGCGTCGGGCTGTATCTTCAGAGTCGAACCACAGAATAAACCCTTGATTCCATATATCCTCGGTTTCTTCGAAGGATCGACTTTCCAATATCGCCACGCGCAATTCATTGCATTCTGGATACACGACAATGGGCTCTATTGGCTTCGACAAGACCGTGCTGGATCCTACGCTTCTGTTCTCGAAAAGGGTCCAGCAATATGAGCCTGGGGCTAGTCTGTTTATCCTATCGATATCTGGGCTGGTTCAACCTGTTTACTGATGCTGTGATAGTTCGCAGTCTTTTGCCGCTCGAGGCGTTGCCCGGCATGATATCGTTGGTCGCTGGTACAGTTGATAATTTGACCGATGGCCGAATTCTGTGCAGCAGTGCTGACTGTAGTCTGTAGGAAAGCCCAATCCAGAGACATTCCCGTTCACTGAGATCTCGATATCGCTCAAGGGCTCGGATGGCCACATGATTGTTCTGGAAGAAGACCAGCTCAGCGAGGCACTGCAATACGGCCTTCCTGGAGGCAACCCGGAGTTGATCAAGGTTCATTATTCCGTTTAACCCCCCTCTAATATAGCTCTACTAACATGACATATAGTGGTTTGAGGAGCTTCAGCGGCGTGTCCACGGAATTGGGGACCATGATGGCTGGGCATGTTGCATCGGCAACGGTAGCCAGGAACTCATCCATCGGGTGTTCCAGGTATTTACAGATTTAGGGGACCCTGTGCTCATTGAAACGTTTGTACACCTTGTCTCTATTTTATTGAGACTAATAGACACTGAACCGTTACCTGCAGGCCAGCATATCCGTGCGTGCGATCTCTGCGGATTTTGACCCTCCAGTTCCTGCTCACTAACAAACCCATAGAGGAGTGGCCGGCTTTCTTCGAGCCGACGGACACCAGCTAATTGAAGTTCGATCGGATGCAGAGGGCCTCAATCCGATTGACCTCGAACACATCCTGTCTACGTGGTCTGGGAAGCGACGACCACGTGTGTTATACACCATTCCGACTGGATCAAACCCGACAGGTCAGTCCTGTACTGAGCCTCGTAAGGCGCAGATGTGAGTACTTCTTACAATTACACTTTTCAGTGACTTCGGACTGACGTATGCCGCAATCCCCTTGTAGCCTTCGTCTAGCGCGCCAGTTCAATTTTATGATTTTCGAGGACGACGCATACGGCTTTTTGGACTTTGAGCATCCCTCATGCAGAGCTCGTAGCTATCTCGCTCTAGAGAGTGAAGTGAACGGCGAAACAGGTCGAGTGCTACGGTTCGACTCGCTCAGCAAAATCGTGAGCTCGGGGATGCGCCTGGGAATCTTAACTGGGCCTTTGCCTGCCGTGCAGAAAGTCATTCGAATCACGGAGAATATCAAGTATGGTTTATATTTCCCTGCACTATGAGCAGAGACGAACAATAAGCTCACAGAACATAGTCTCCAGCCCTCTTCAACCACACAAATGATGGCCCTCACTCTTTTCAACCATTGGGGCCACGCAGGCTTTCTCCAGCACTGCGAACGTGCAGCGGAATTCTACCGCCAGCGACGCGATGCTTTTGCCGCCGCAGCAGAGCGATATCTCCAAGGCCGTGCGACCTGGGAGCTTCCTTCAGCCGGCATGTTTTTCTGGTTGACGTTGCTGCTTCCGCCGGGCCGAGATAGTTTCGAAGTTCTCAGCCGACAGGGCAGGGAGAATGGTATCTTGGCTATTCCCGGGGTGGCCTTTTTGCCCAATCAGCGCACTAGTTGTCAATTGAGAGTGAGTTACAGTTTGTTGCCAGAGAAGCAGATGGCGGAGGCTTGTCGGCGGATCGCGAAGCTGGTGGACAATGCGTGGCGTTTCGAGATTTTGATGTGATGGGCTTTGTCTCTCGCTTCTTGTTAGGTGCCCTCGTTATTCTAATGCTGCGCTTTTTTTAATCAGATCTTTTATTTGATTCCTCTCTTCTACGGGCTCACCTCCGTATACCCGTCTTTCTTAATTGCTAAGTCTATGACCTTTTTTTCAGGCGCCCAGTGACCAGTTCTTCACTGCAGTCGTTGGTCCTTCGTTATAGAAATTGGGCAACGAAAGTGTTCGCGTTGCGATTCAATGATTGGATCTTTATTCAACTAGTAAGATTTCGTGTTGGCCGAAATACCCACCGGCTTAGACAAGACAAGGATCTCGGCGATTTTCATATGGTTGGTTGTCAAAAGAACCAGCTTACGCGCAGGGATCTACGGCGTTATTGCAACTTTGAACGGTTAAACCCCGATGATTGTTTCCCTATCACTAGGTCATTCTCCCTTTCTTCAATCCGTCTGTCTGCCTGCCTGGGATCCATGATGCCGATGTCGCAAGATTTCAGGCCTGATCTGCCTCCTCAACCAGCGGCTTCTGTCCGTAAACAACGTACCTAAGTCCAATAGCGTCAGCAACGGCGATACTCACACCACGAAATAATACGCTCAGACCACTTACACAGGCCAGTAAACGTGCACATTAGGGTCCTGCAGCTCAGTTCGCACATCCACCAACAAAGAATCGACATCTTCCTGGCTCCAGCCCAGGACCTTCGTAAGCAACATGCTCGTAAACTCACGCAGCCTCTCCAAAACGTTGTATAGGTTCCACAGTCCCTTCAGCTTCTCCCTTTCATCCTGGCTCCACGGATTCGTGGGCCACTTGTACACGATTGTTTCTACGTTCGTGAAACCAGCCGCCTGCATCCAGCTGGCATACCGCGTCGGGTTGTCGGCCGGTCGGTCCATTTTGGTCGAGGCTTCCACAAGCAGCTGGCCCCATCGAGATAGGGCGCTGTCTGCGGTGAGCGTTCCATCGTCGCTGCGGAGCGGGTTGCAGAGCTCTTGCATTTCCAACCAGCCGCCGGGGTGAAGGAATCTGGTAGATTTCGAATCACAATCAGTCGGGCCTTACAGTATTGGGTGTGATTGGGTCCACGTACTTCCATCCCTGCTCGAAGAAGGTCTGTTCATTCAATGTTCGGTGTTGCTGACGACAGTGGATGAAGTCAAATTGTTGCTTGTATGTCCAGGCTTTGTTGGCATCGTCGGTTTCGAATACGACGTTTGGAGGGCTGGATTCTCAGCCTTCGTATTAGCAGTGACACGGTGATAGAGTGAATAGATTCAATCAGACAGAGTGGTCTCACCTTTTTTTCGTGCCCTGAGCTAGATTCCTGGCGATTATGGATGTGGCGGGGTTTCGATAGGCTGGGTTTGGTTATGGTCAGCTGAAGGGAATTGAGTGTTGGAAAATGCTTGTACCAAAATCCAGCACCCAGGTTCCATCCCCTGTGGCAACGTGTAGAACATCCTTCGGTTTGTCGTGAACTGGCGAGCAAAATAATTTGCCCCCAAGTGTCAGATGGAAGAGCAGATGCTGCAGATCTATCTCGGTCGGTTAGGCTGGAGCAAAGGCAAACCAAGAACGGAAATAATACCAAGTCGATCTATCTTGTTCTAATAACATCATCTGTAAGCTATCTCCTCATGTAATAGAAAGTTAATACAAGGAAAAGTCGGAGGATGGCCTACCTCATCGCCTTGTTCTAATGAGAGGGGGTCATTAGCACTGGTTAGATCTTTCCAAGATATAACCAAAGGGAAACACACCTCCACCATTCAACATGGGATGAATATCTGGATTCTCGTCGAGGTACTTGAGAACAGATGCCCTCACTGACATTGTCAGGAACTCGCTTAATCTTGTTAGCTGCCTTTTCCATTCCTGGGGTGTGGAAGGCCTACGGTGTTAGAGCGTCATGGGATGCCATGTTGTTGACAGTCTGGACTTCCTTTTCTGGAGCAACCTGTGCTTAGTTCTTCTCTAGTATATCTTGCAATCATACTCACCGTAAATGGTCTCTTGAAAGGTGATCTTAAGTCCAAATATTTGAGGATGGCTTGCGATAACCTGCGTGGGTCGGGAGAATGACACCCTTTATAAATGCCAGTTTTCATGATTTGTTTGTGTCGCACGCACTCCAACCGTCCCCATCCTATTGGTATGAGCTGTTCAGATAACAGCATAACCTTTAGCAACCTCTATTGTCCTTTACTATTGTATACTAGCAAAGACCGAGTTCATAATTTCGCTTTCTCATAACTGCTGGAAGTTTCCTCAAGATCGGAGGGGGAAAATACAAGCGATAAAATTCGACCTGAGAGGCTTCGCTAAAAACCTACATTGCATCACCGCGATGCTATGTCGCTGAATATATATCTTCGCCGCTTGGGAAACTTTTCAATGAGAGTGTACTCGGAAATCATGAACGAATCTGTAGAGGGCCAAAGATCAAACAGTGGTATTCAGAATGACTACACTGTCTCTGGATTAGGGCTCATCGTGAACGTGACAATGTCAGAACTAGAGGAAATGCGTGCCTCAGTGCCTGATCCCCCAGGCTGCGAGGTGGGGTGATCGCCGGATCAGGCAGCCAGGCACTCGCCGGAAGCGGAACAACCCCAGCCGGTCAGCTGCCCCCCTTATCAACACGTGGATGACCCGAATCCCCTCACGATCCGATCAGACCAGCCCTGCCCGTCCATCCAAAAATGTCTCTCAGCCAGAACCTTGCTTACCAGCCTCAGGTGCTGAAATTCGGCACCAGCGGTCGTCGCGGTGAAGTCATCCACCTGACGCAGCTGGAGATCTACATCAATGTCTTGGCCGAGATCCGCTACCTGCAGTCCCTCCCGCTGTCTGACGGTGGCATCCAGAAGGGCGACGATTTTTACTATGCCCACGATCTTCGCCCCAGCTCCACTCAGTACGTCGAGAGCCACCGAGGAGGTCTGTCGCAGGCCGTCGAACAGGCCCTGAAAGATGGTGGCATGCGCGCCATCAATCTGGGTGCGATCCCCACGCCCGCCCTCACCTACTACGCTCTCCAGCACGGCAAAGGCAGCATCATGGTCACCGGAAGCCACATCCCCTTCGATCGCAATGGATACAAATTGAACACCTCGAAAGGTGAGCTGTTGAAGGAGAACGAGAAGCCGATCAACGAGGCCGTCGAGCGCATGCGTGCCGACATCATGTCGCAGCCATTCTCCGAGTCGCTCTTCGACGCCGATGGCATGCTTCGCCATGCCCCATCTGACCTGGTTCCCGCGATCGCCGACGGAAAGACCGCCTATATCAAGCGCTACCAGGACTTTTTCAAGGGACAAACACTGAAGGGAAAGAAGATCTTGGTCTACCAACATTCCGCCGTCGGTCGGGATCTCGTCGTTGAAATTCTGGAACAATTTGGCGCCCAAGTCATTCCGGCCGGCCGTAGTGACACCTTCGTGCCCATTGATACCGAAGCCATCGACCAGGCTCAGCTCAACACAATCCAGGGCTTCTACGGGGAGACTGGTGACACCTTCGATGCCGTCGTTTCTACGGACGGCGATAGCGACCGTCCGCTTCTCCTTGCGCCCGAGGGCGAGCAGCTTCGTTTCTTCGGCGGTGACCTTCTGGGCATGATCGTGGCGGAATACCTGGGTGCCGACGCCGTGGTTGTCCCGATCAGCAGCAACGATGCCATCGACCGAGGTCCTCTCGCCTCGGCCACTGAGCCCCGCACGAAGATCGGCAGTCCGTATGTGATTGCTGGTATGCAGACCGCCGTCGCCAAGGGCCACAGCCGCGTGTGTGGGTGGGAAGCCAACGGCGGCTTCCTCACGGGCTCCGACATTGAACGCGACGGAAACCCGCTGCCGGCCCTTCCCACGCGTGACGCAGTTTTGCCTCTTCTCTGCGTCCTGTTCGCAGCCCACACTCGTCAGATCACCGTGCCTCAGCTCTTTGGCACGCTCCCGGCCCGGTTCAGCAAGGCCGCCTTGATTCGGAACTTCCCGCGACCCACCAGTCTGAAGATCGTCCAGCGGTTTTCCCCACAAGACGCCGCCATGCAAGAGGTCGTCTTTAACCCGGAGAACATCAGTGCGCAGGATGGCGGTCGGGCTCCTTTGACTGTGACCGAGTCGCAGGCTCAGCACCTAGATCAAGTGCGCCGAGAACTGCAGACCGTGTTCTCCGCCGACGCCGGATTTGCGCCCATTGCTCGCCTAAACTACACCGATGGCGTGCGAATCATCTTCGCCAGCGGCGACGTGGCCCATGTCCGACCTTCGGGCAATGCTGACGAACTTCGCATCTATGCGGTCGCCGATTCCCAGGCTCGTGCCGACGCCATCACTATCCAGGGTGTCACTGAACCCAACGGCCTTCTTCGCCAGCTGGAACAATTGGTCTAATTTTCTAGTCACCGTTGACGGCAGCTACAGCTGTGTTTTTCGCAAATTGGAGGTGTGATACGAAATCTTTACACTTTCAGGGAAAGCCCATGGCCATCCACGCGCCGAGAGTAGTAGACTCCTGGCAGCAGCAGAACCCTTGGAAGACTCGATATTCCATTCTTTCCCGTCTTCAATACCAGTTCATAGCGAATGATCGAGTCAGGATTTCGAAAATAGTTAGAGCAAATAATAATACTAGATTTTAATGACCGCATCGGTGTTGTTATGCTTGACGTATTAATTTCTTTTTTTTAGAATGAACCCTCGAGGATTCCCTTGGCTGAGATGTAAGTGTCACTGTCCTTCGCTACATATGATCTTAATCTTCCATTCAACTGACGATTTCTTTTATGTCCCCAGCTTGTCAATGTTTCTAGCCCTGAACAAAGGTTTCGTTGGCCTTAGTGCTGTCATACCCTCCAGTTAATAATCTAGGTAGTTACGTTTCTTTGTTTCGGTCTTTTTGATCAAGCAACCCCAGAATCCATAAGCTTGGCACTCTTTCACTAATCAGCCTCCTCGTGGCTCTGCCATTGTCTGATCCATGGCCCTTGTCCTCAACATGCCAGCCTCGAAACCCTTTCCGTTGGTATCTAATCCTTGTCTCTCTTTGTCTCGCCTACCTGTGACATGCTACACGCCAAATAGCTTTTGTTGTGGTGAATAAGATCCTCTCAGGGATTGGGGAGATGGAACAGGTGATTTCAGTCTTATTCGCTCCTGATTGAGAGCGATATATCAGGTGATGGTGTCCCCAGATCCATCTCTTTAAGTATTTACAATAACCAGCCCTTATCCCAGCATCTCCATAATCCATACCGTCTATACTGAACAAGATATATGCGTAACCCACCAGCCCTCGAAAGACAACCATGACATACACTCGATTATTGGCTTCTGCAAGACTTCAAGGACCAGCTTGACAAAGGATCATCTCAGTTTATGGCATATCCTATCTGGCCAGACGATTCCATCGCCCCGCAACAAAGATAATTCGATACCACCATACGACTTGGTCGACCACACATGGCATCACGAGACATCGTTCAAGGTCATACAGAAACCAAGTCTTTGATCAGATCAAGCAGACAGGACCATCTCATCCAATAGGCTAATTGATGCCCAATGCTCTCTGATGCCAGGTCCATGAGCCAGCCGTTCATAAATACCCCTTCAGGTTCTCATCGGAATCCAACTCTTTCTTCCTCTCCATCCACCATCACCCGTCTTTCTTTGGCCAGGTTGAGCTCCAATTCCTTAAAACCGCATCCGTGCAGACGAAAATTGACTGGTCCTGATCCGATTTACTGCTTCTTTTCCTCTTCTTTGAGCTGGTCTCTGAACCTCCGCCATAATGAGATTCTTCACCCTCTTTCTCGCCTTCTTCGTCGCCTTCACCTCGGCTAAAGACCACAAACAAAAGCCTCACACCACCCTCACTACTAAAGGTAGGTTCATCATGCTAACTCCATTCATCCCTCCTCCCCCGAAAGAGAACCACAGAGAAGAAAAAGCCAAAGACCACAAAGCCACAAAAGCTAACAATGTCCCAGTGGTCGTCACAAGGGTCCAAGGATTCACCGCCACAGCCGCTAATCTGAAAGACCCACGCTGCAAGAATAACGCCGACTGTGGTAGTGGCACATGTCTGAAGGGCATCTGCATAGATGACAGCGCGAGCCCACCGGCACCCAAAAAGAAAGACGGGCTGGTTACCGTCGAGGACTTCCTCCCGCCTGGTGAGCACTATCGTCGTGACTCCGGCAGAAAGTGCAAAACAAACAATGATTGCGCCAAGGACAAGGAACGCCCATGGTGCGGCATGCAGGACCGCTGCGTGGCGTCCAGGCCCGAGGGCACTGACTGCCATATGGATACCAATTGCGACACGGGGTATCGTTGTTTCAAAGCGCGATGTATCTCCAACGAGCAGCATGTTGGTCGCGATGCGCCGCTGCCGGCAAGGACGCCAGCTCCGGTGAAGGCGCCCGAACCGGTGGAAAGTTTGGCTCCGGAAGAGGGAGAGATTGTGATGGCCCTGGGCGATGGGTATAGCGAGCCTGACGAGTTTACTGGCCAGCTGAACGTCAAGACAAGAAAGAGAATGTCTCACATCGCCAAGTCGCAGCTGCTCGGGGAAGCGGATGATGGAAGTGACGACAAGGGATGTGCGAGTTCAGACTAAGAAGAACTCAAGTAGGCTGCGGCGCTCTCCTGGGAACTGATCGTGCTTTCTGCCGGCTCATTTGCTGCCTTTTGAAAGACCATGGCTTCTGTCTCGTCCTTCTTTTGGGAATAATTTCTGAATTTCAATCTCTTCCTCCATCTACTTTCGCTTCTTGCTGTCTTGCCTTCAGTTTTGACTGCCCTGCCTTCCTCTTTAGCCCTGTCTTTCTTTCATCTTTGGCTCTTCGAAAGAATCGGGCTGCCGCTTTTGACCCAAAATTTTTATCAATCATGGATCAGAAATGCTACTGAAGCTTTTTTGTTCAAACTTGCGAATGATTTAGTTTGACAGAGTCCACATGCTACATTCTTCATTCATGATTCATATAATCTGTAGACCCAGTGGCTTGGTTTGGTAGGGTTCATTATGCCATCGATTCGACCTGAAACACTTTCCACGTAGTCCTTTAGTTAACAGCCAGGATTCTTATCTGCAAAGTCTTGTAATCCGGGTACGTTATGTTTATGATCTCCTTTCCCTTACCTTTCTGTTTCTTTCCTTGCCCTCTTTGAGTTTGCTCAGAGAACATGACCAAGGAAGGGTAGGTATTGTTGCCCTAACCTTCAAACAGAGAGCAAATATACTTGGACCAACTCCAGGTAAAAGTTCCATCTCAGCTATGCCATCCTGGACCCAAACACAGCTGTCTACCGTCTACTTGTGTTTCCGAGCTGATCGCTGATGCCGCGCCATGACGTCATTCGTGAGATTGTCCGATGACTACACAAACAGAGCATGACAGAGCATGAATAACTTGTCTTCGATAAAACGGTTAGCCTCGGACAGGCTACATCGCATTGATGGAATGTTCGAAAGTCTGCCTGAGTGACTCAGGATCAGCTGTCGCCTGCAAGCAGCGCAGCGCAGAAGATGGAAGGACGCGAAAGCGGGTCCAGAATTGGACGCCTTACGCAGTCAATTACCACGAATAAGAAGCGAGAACACAGACATTAAGACTCGCTGAAGGAATCCTGCTCCCAGCTTAGCGTGTTCCTATGATTCACGCTGCATTATCTGTTATAATCGGCGCCCTGGTCATCATTCGTGGGCCCACCAGGCACACCCGGCTCAGCTGGGTAAAAGCCATGTGGGCACCGCGAACAATGTAATTCTTTCTCCATTTCTGGTTCTGTTGTGCAACTCTGATGTGCATACGTTAGGCTGGTTTTGCCCCGGCTCTGTTAGCTCATCATCAACTACCACGAGGTGTTCTATTTGGGGAGATGATCCACTTGTGTCATGGTTGACACTCCTTGCCGGCATGACTTCCAACGGTCTGGCTCGAACGTTGCCCGTTTCAGGACTCAACGTGGGGCGAAGGCATTCGTGACATTTTTGGCCTGAAAGCCTCTATCCAAACAGATGCTATCGTCAATGTGTCACACAACCATCGTCGCCAGGCAGTGTCGCGCCCTTACCCGGGTTCGCGGGCAATGAGTGGGATCAGGCAGAAAGGCCCTAGACAGGGCACCTCAGGCTGCCTAGGTCATTGAATGGACCGTTTGAATGAAGAGACATAAATATCATCCGTTTGCTCTGTCCGGCTCAGTAGTTCAATCAAATTCATTTTAACACAGTTCACTTGACAGCTGTTCTGTCTGCATTTACAAATACTGATATCCCTCACCGTGACCGACATAATGTCGTCTGAGAAGACACCCATTCTGGGCTCTCAGCCCTCTCAGGTTCGTTGCCATAGTCCTAGATATCGAGGGAACAAACATTCTGACATTTTCCTTCAGCGCCGGTCCCTTGGCTATCACCTCTACAGTATTTACCTGTTCACTCGAAACGATTTCAAAGTCATTCTGTATCCCCAAACGGCAGTGGGCATCTTTCAAGCCCTCGCCGGGGGTCTGTTGACTACCAATTCCACACCCAGTCTCGGGTTAATCCTGGCTCGACTACCCCTGGTAGCCTTTTGGAACTGGTTCAACCTACTGGTGTTCAATCTTGCCAACCAGCGACTTCCCAGTTCCGTCGTCGAGGACTCTTTCAACAAGCCATGGCGTCCCATCGCAGCCGGCCGAGTATCACCGGACGAAGCACGCCGACTATTATTGGTTCTCATTCCGCTGGGCGTCCTGCTCTCGTACTTCATTGGCGGTTTGCATGAAACCGCAGCCATGCTCGTTCTAACATGGATGTACAACGACCTCGCCGGCGCCGACGAGAATTACCTCGCGCGTAACCTCCTCAACGCGGCCGGGTTTATCTGCCATGGGTCGGGTTCCACCGTTATTGCAGCCGGATATGGCCAGTACGAGCTGAACAGATCGGCCTATGTCTGGCTGGGTGTTATCGGACTGATCGTCCTCACCACCATCCATGTTCAAGACATCCCCGATATCGAGGGCGACGCTGCTCGGGGCCGACTCACGCTGCCAATCATCCACGGCCAGCGAGTCGCTCGGATCTCTGTGGCCGTCGGCGTCGTGTTCTGGTCCGTCGTCTGTCCCACCATCTGGGGGTTGGATGTCCTAGGGTATCTCCTTCTGCTGAGCCCCGCCGGGCTAATTGCCTATCGGACCATGCAGCTGCGGTCGGTGTCGGCGGACGAGGTCACCTATCAACTGTGGTGTGTCTGGCTGATTCTGATCTATTTGTTGCCGTTGTACAAGAACCCTGCGGTTCTGACGCAGGCCCTAGACTGGGGTTGGCAGTACGGTGCTGCGGCAATCTCGGGCGATTCGTGCTTCTAGGCAAGGATTGCTTCACGTTGGTGTTGCATTTTGACGATGGATGCCATGTATAGTACGATTTTTTGCTTTTCTTTTTTTCCCTCTGTTTTTCTTTGCATATTTCCTTTTTTTCTCTTATCTTATTTTCCCCCTTTTTTGCCATTCTCGTGTGTTTGTGTTGCGATCTTCCTGTTCCGGTTATACCCTAGCATAGCAATAGACCAGCCCCCCGGGCATCCGATTTTTTCCACCCAATCAATTCCACCACTAGATAGACCAACCGTATTTCCATTTCCTCCTAAATGAGTCATGTACCTTGCTCCTCTGCACAATGGCGTAGCCGAGCACACCACTCTGAGATTCAGGAAGAATTAGCTATCTGCCTGCCAAGCAGCCAGGATGCATGGGAAACGGGCACGCAGGAATCTTACCCTCGCCCTTGCCCGCGCCGGCTTGTCACTTCGCAGTCTGCCACTGAGAGTCGGAGGGGGAGCAGCAAATCGAGACTCTCCCAGCAACGTCGTCTGACATCAGCCGATCCTTCTGGGCAATCGGTTGGCCCGTGCCTGGCTGGAGGGCCCCATGGGGGCCGTTCTCGCGTGTTTTCGTTGGTCATTGTGCGACGATCTCCCCACTGATCCGATGAGGCTCTTCGTGTCTTTTGCCACTCTCATAATCGCTGACTCAATGCTGCTTTTCGGTCGTTCTGTTTGGTGGTGGCTTTTAGGCAGTGCCTGGTTGGCCTGGGGTGCCTTGGGCGTGTGGCTGATGCCGTTCTGGCCGAGATGACTATGACGCGCCTGGCATCGACGCTCTGGCTGTGATTCATGCAGCTGCGGCAGTGTGCCGAGGCGTTGGTTGGCGTCATTCGAAGTGTGCTGGGGGTCTGGGGCGTGTAGTCATGTAACTATTACCCATGCATATATAGCTGACTGGTTGTCGACATGGTATTGCCTTGGATGGCATTGAATACAACCCTCACGCAATCCAACTGAAAATGTTCGTCTTTAGCGAGTCCCGAGTTGTGGCCCTATCGTTGGCGTCACTGGCAGTGGCTGTGGGATTTCTGTACATCACTACATGCACCAATCTCTTTCCCAAGACACTTTGCTTCGCGATCGAAGCAGTATGACTCCCCTTCCCTATCTATTGGTAACAATTGACTGACTCTGTGACTAGCTCCTTGCGCTACCAATCTACCGTCTTACTTTCCATCCCCTGGCAAATTACCCAGGACCGTGGCTTGCAGCCGTGACAGATCTATACACTGTCTACCACTGTCTCGCCGGTGATCGACACCTGGACTTCCTGCGTCTGCATGAGAAATACGGACCCGTCGTTCGATTTGGACCCAATCGACTGTCATTCTGCAGCGATCATGCCGTATCGGACATTTACGGTGTGCGCGCCAACACCCAAAAGTCCCGTGTCTATAGCGCCTTCAAGCACTTCTTCGCCGTTCCAGCCAGTCTGACCACTATCGACCGCAAAGTCCATTCATACAAGCGACGAGTGACGAGTCGTGCCTTGAACACCTCCGCCGTGCGAGGCCTCGAAGAACTGATTCTACAGAACGTACGGCGCTTCTTCGCTCTCCTGCCATCCTCCTCTCAAAACGAAGAAGACCAGCCCCAATGGAGTCCCCAAACCGTCGACTTCAGCAAATCCTTCCAATACCTGCTCTCCGACATTATGGGCGACGTCACCTTCTCCAAAAACTGGAACACGCAAGCCAGCTCCGCCAATCGCCCTCTGCTGGACCTCATGACGCTGGGAACCTGCGGCATCAACCTCGCCGGCCACGTTCCCGCCCTGCTGAAGCTGAACCTCGACTGCATCTGCTTCCCATCGCTCACGCGCGGCGTTGCGGACTTCTTCCGTCTTTCGGAAGCACAATCGTCCTGGCGCCTTAACGTCGAGCCTACCTCCCTCCCTCATCGCGACCTCTTCGCCGCCCTCCTCGACGCCCGCGACCCGGACTCCGGCCGTGGCTACTCTCAACCCGATCTCGTCGCCGAAGCGGGAATCCTAATCGTCGCGGGCTCCGACACCACCGCCACCGCCACCACTGCAACTCTCTTCTACCTCCTTCATAACGCAGACGCATACGCACGCGCCCGCGATGAAGTCGACGCCATCTTCTTACAGCACTCAGATCCCGACGCAGGCGCAGACATCGAAGCCATCCGCATGGGCCCCGCCCTCGACCGGTGCGTCTTTCTCTACGCCTGCATCAACGAAGCCATGCGTTTATCCCCGCCCGTCGGAGCCGTCTTACCTCGCGAAGTCCTCCCCGGCGGTCTGCTCGTCCGCATCAATGACTCCGAGCAGTATACCGTCCCTGCGGGAACGGACGTCGCAGTCCCGATCTACGCGCTGCATCGCCAGGAGAAATACTGGTCTGATCCGCATGTGTTTTGTCCTGAGCGATGGCTCGGGACTAGCGATCTGCAAGAGCCTGAATTGAAGGATGGCAAGAGGTCGAGTCTGTCGACAGGGGGCGTGGGTCATGCGAATCGCAATGCGTATATGCCGTTTGGCGCGGGCCGGACGAGCTGCGTCGGTCAGCATCTGGCGTATCAGGAGATGGGATTGATTTTGGCGCGGCTGCTGCGGGCGTATGAGATGCGTTTGGTCCCGGAGTCTCGTGGGGATGAAGGTGGGCGGTGGAAGGGGACGTGGGAGAGACGGTGGAGGAGGGAGCGAGAGGCGGACTTTCAAACGAGGGATGTGTTTACGAGTACGCATGAGGGACCGGTGGTGCAGATTCGGAGGAGGCAGTTGGGGAAGAAGATTGAGTCTGGATAGGGGGTTTACTTTCTCTGCAATGATGCATTGGTTGGAGTGATTGCTTCTTTTTTATTGTGTTGATTGGTTATAGAGCGATTAATTGATTTTGCATTCACTTGGACAAAGAAATCAGACCAGCAGGAGAGATTTTATCAGGTATCTACAGGCTCAGTTAATATAGGATTTTCAATTGATGTCTGTATAGTATTGTTTGGCTTTTCATTAGATCTGTAGTCATTTCGGTACGCATAAATGCGCAATCCCATTCCACAGAAAGGCAGCAGAAGAGAAAGAGAAATGCGAAAAGTGTAACATATAATTCTTGCCAATATCATTTTCAATAGTCTGTGATTCAGAATTCGAGTCCCTAATCTTTGTGCCCATCTGACTCGTGATTGCCATAACCCTAACCTGACCTCTTCTACCAATCCATTCAATCAATTCCTCATTCTTCATTTCGCATTTATTTGTACAATTTAAAGGCCCATACTATACGAATCATGAGTACACTGGGCGATCATCTAGGCCACCAGTCGCGATAAGGCTGCCATACACGACGGTGTCTTCTGGCGCAAGGCTGCCAGGCTGACTGCGCTTGGCACCTCGTCAATGACACAATAATGAAACGGAACAAGAAGCATAAGACCGCAATATTATAGATCCGTGAGTCACCAACGGACACGGGGTCGGTGGATTCCGTGCCCTCCGACGGGCTCAGGCCAAGCCATTGTTCGCCTTGCCCTCGACGCGATGCCAAACTTCCTAGCCCTTACTTATCACCATCTCTCCCAAGACCAACCCTGGCCTATCATTTCCTCCGCACTCGATGCGCCCTCACCCCAGGCGATTTTACCCAAATCAAGAAGTTCCAACCCCCGCGGAACACACCGCCAACCCGATGACTTCTTATCGGCCAGCGCCCGGCCTAACAGCCCCACTATTGTAGGGCAATCAATGGCTTCGTTCGGTAATTGGCATTGTATGATTGTTGAGCTGATGACAATTGACGACATGGAATATGTCCCGCTGCAGCCACGTGTGGAGGCTTAAAAAAAGACTCCACATGATGCTGGTGGCTTGCGTTTCTCTTCAACTGTCCTCTACCGGGTGCTGATCGCTAGAATGCTAGAACGCATTGAGGTTGGTGAGCTCCTGTGGGACTCACCCTCAGCCAGCCACGTCTTCGCAGTTCAGACGCGATATGCCTGGAACTGGCGATTGGCATTGGGATCGCCTAAATTTCTAGGAATCAATTTTTCTGTCTTGTTTCTTGGCCTTTTTTTTTTTTTTTTTTTTTTTGGAAACACGGGATACGTCAATGAGTCATTCGCCCTGACCATAACATAGAATAAACGAATCGGAGACTGTTCTCCTGCAATCACAGTCAGTATCATTATTATTCCTGTCAATTGGACGTACTCAAACCCCAGACTGGAAGGACTCTGCACGTCGAATCGAAGACAATCAGGCCTGGTTCGGAAATGGATCCACGCAAGTCTTGACGACCAGCTGACACCGTCGAGCGAATTGACATATTTCCCACGCAACCTAGTCTTTAGTCAAGGCTTGGCCCTGGTGACCATCCCAGCGGTTGCCAACGGTGGACCTCCGAAGTGCCGACCGCTGCCAAACCGGTCCAAGGCGCAGCAGGGCGACTGGGGGGACTAGACGCCTCGGCACCCAGCGCGGTTTCGAATCGTCCGACATGACGTCCTGGAAATAGAACGGTTTTTTATGGGTCGCTGGAATTGAAATATATAGCAGAGGAAGATCAGTTGGACTCGGCCGCATAACACAGAACATACACATACGCACCACAACCTGCGACTCAGATATTGTCCCGGTTGACACATCATATACGGATCACATTATCGCGTCTTTTTTTGTTTATATCACATTTTCTCGTTACCCTGAGACACTTTCCCCTCTCCTTTTCCTTCGTCGCCTGGTCTCTCCTCTTTTTTCTGAAATTCAAGTCCCGTCCGACGGTCGAACTCGGATACGGGCATAAACCGGGACGAGTAACACCATGTTAGCGATTCTCGAATCCCCCTCCCTATTCTGGGTGGCATTGTTGCTACCAGTATTATGGACTATTTACGGTGCCATCTGGCGTCTATATTGGAGTCCGCTGGCTGGGTTCCCGGGCCCCAAATCGGTGGCTCTGACGCTCTGGGTGGAGTTTTACTACGACGTGATTAAGAACGGCATGTTCATGTGGGAAGTAGAGAAGATGCATGCCAAATACGGTTCGTCTTGTCCTGTTCTTTGACCCTATATACCCGACCCAAACCTAGAAACATCACGCTGACAGCCTCTGCAGGCCCAATTGTTCGCGTCAGCCCCTACGAACTCCATTGCAACGACCCGGACTTCTTTGACACAATATACGCCTCTCTACCGGCGCAGCGCGACAAGTGCCCGAAGTTCGCGCGCTCTCCCGACTGCAACAATGCCACGGGGTTCACGGTCCAGCATGCCCATCATCGACTCCGGCGCAATGCCCTCGCTCCGTTCTTCAGCCACCGCAACACGGTTATCTTGGAAGACCGCATCAAGAGCTGCGTTGACCGGCTTTGCCTGAATCTGCAGCACCACCATGTCACGCAACGACCGTTTAACCTCACCGTGCAGTCGCTGGCCGCGACCATGGATATCTTCACCAGCTACAGCTTCGGCGAGTCACTGGGTATGCTGGCCGATGAAGCCAAGGCGCTCAAATGGCGCGATACCATCGTTCATATCATGAAGGCTCTGCCTATTGTGCGAAGCTTTCCCTTCATGGCGCGTCTGGTCCCCGTGCTACCGGCCTCCGTCGCGAGAGTCGCCATGCCTGATATTTCAGTGTTGATGGAATGGAAGCAGGTATGTATCCCTTCCCTCACCCTCCCGAGCGTCATTCAACGTCAAACTAATTCTTCTCCAGCACATCGGCAACCAAGTCGCAGATGTCCTCGCATACAAAGGCCCCTACGCACAATCGACCCGAGAGTCTAAAACCAAAACCATCCTCGAAGAACTCCGCGACACGTCCAAGCTTCCTCCTGAGGAGAAAACCCTCCAACGGCTCTCCGAGGAGGGCTCGATCCTCTTGATCGCGGGCAGCGAGACCCCGGCCAAAGTCAACGCCATCTTATGGTATCACCTCCTCGCCAACCCCGACAAGCTGGCTCGTCTCCGCGCCGAGCTCGCAACAATCTACCCGGATCCAGCAGCTCCTCTCCCTTCCATAACAACCCTCAAGACCCTTCCGTACCTGGAATCCTGTGTCCTGGAGGCCCTGCGCCTTCAAAGCGGTGTTTCGGGACGTTCGCCTCGTCTGGCTCCCACTCCCCTGCAATACAAACAATACACCATCCCCGCTTGGACACCCCTTAGCTCGATCTCGGTGTTCCAGCACTACAACGAGACGATATTCCCCGAGCCGAAGGCTTTCGTACCAGAGCGATGGCTCACGCAGGGTCCGGACGGAGCGTCTGAGACGATACGGGCTGATCTCAAAAAGGACTTGGTTGCCTTTGGGCACGGCGCGCGCAGCTGTCTGGGTCAGAGCCTAGCTTATGCGGAGCTGTATCTTTTAACGGTGGCATTGGCGACCAGGGTCGATCTGCAGCTGTATGAGACTGGTATCGAGGATGTGGAAATCCAGAGGGATTGGACGATTCCGCAGCCGAGGATGGGATCTCAGGGCGTGAGGGTGATGGTGAAGGGCGTTCGTTATTGAGCAGCAGTTGGCAATTCTGCGTTTTGTATAATATTCTTTTTTTTTTTTGTTTGAGTGCTTAGCGGAAATGTATATTAGGTTATGTGCTATGATAAGAGATGGATGTCAATTAACCCACAAACATATCAAGGTGCCTGTAGATCTGCCAGGAGCATTTCTTCCCTGTATTCCATCCGCTGTTCATTCACCGTGCTTACAACAGATAGGAGAGGCCCTAGCGCATTTCATCTATTGGAAGTCTCCGGTAGTTTGGCTCACCTACAGTCACGGAATCTTCAGTATATATAGGATCAGTCATATTCTTCTGGGCTGTTCACTACTTGTCTTTTTCTTACAATTGATTCACTGGTCCTGTTATTTCGCTAACATGCCGGTTCCTAGGTTCTCCAGGTTTTTCAATCGACCTGACAAGCTGTTTGCAGCCTGCCCACCCAACCCAAATACGTCAGATAGTACCCATACCCAGTACACTCTCCAGATTCCACCAGCAATGGGAGACTCGCCCTTCTGTATCCTTCCTATCGAGCTGTTCGACCACATCATAAGCCTGCTTCCCATCGCAGACCGCAAGTCCCTTCGTCTCACGTGTCGCAGCCTCAATCCCCTCTCCACCCCCTGGGTCTACAGAGACCTCTACATCCCCATGACCAATTTCATGAGTCAACAGCAAAAGTTCGAGGAAGGCTTCCCCCAGCTCGTTACAAAGTACGGTCATTTTGTGAGAACCCTTGTCGTGGATGGAACTGAAGGCAGACACATACCTCAGTGGACATGCCCATTCCGAATCATTCCGTATCTCAATTTCCTTCCCAATCTGCAGGATACCTCGATCTGGGGCCGTTGCGCCATGAACGAGCCGTTTCACCATCACCATTCTGATCTGTTTCTTCGGGCTAGTCTGCTCACTCCGCCACAGCACCGTATCTTTCGGCACCTTCGTTCTGGTTCGTCCTTCCCGTCCAAGATAGCGTACATAAACGAGACTGACATTTTCAATAGTGGAACTAAGCATCGCTTACGTCAAAGTCGGAGGAACCGGACAGTTCTTCATGATCATTCCGTCCGTGGAAAAGCTCATCCTCCACGGCTTGAGGCTCGACACGTTTAATTTCAGCGACCTGGGTCAATTCCACGGCCAGACGAACCTCAAATCGCTGACGCTGAACTGGCCCTTCATCAATCTGGAGTCTTTGAAAGCCATGCTCGCGTTCCCCAAGGCTTTGACCTACCTCGAGATTCAATGCTGTTCGCATCTCTTTTGGTGCTGCAATCCCGCCTGGACTCCCAAGCGTCTGTTGGATGCCCTTTCTGCGCAGCGCGAGTCCCTGGAGGTTCTGAAGCTGCGCGAGACGGAGAAGGTCATGGAGGTCAAGCTGTTGGCTAGTGCGTTTTGTTCCCGTCCGCCAGACCCTAGTACGCCGGAGTATCAATTTGATCTGTCTGCGTTTCCGCGATTGAGGGTGTATGAAGGCTTCATTCCGGATACGTCGGGTAGGTTTCCCCGGCGTGATCGTCTTGATGATGAGACTATCAGTTCGTGAAGCTGATTTAGCTGGCTCAACATCTGTTCTCCCTTTTTACTTTACTTTTTTCAAATCGTTGGTCTCGTTGTTATTTTTACTGTTGATGAGACCTTGTTCCGTTCTTCGTTTTGTGACATAGCAACGACCCGCGCCTAGGTGTCTGGTGCATTTGGTTGGACTTTTACTTCTATTCTTAATGCAAATGGTAGACATACTTCTTTCTTGACGCCATGCAAACCACAACATCTCAATTCCTGACATGTAGAGCAGCACATCATGAGGTAGTGTACAAAGCTATACCAGTAAACCCAGTTTCTCTCCAACGATATCCAACATTCAAATGAGCGTATAAGTGAGTCCAATCATCTCCTCTTCTCCGCTTCCAAACAATCCGATCTTCCCAAGCTTCCCCCTAATCTATCCAACAACCCCAACCATCGATCCCACAACCACCATCATCACCACCCCCATCGCCTTCTTCCCAACCCGCACTCCATCTCCACCGCTCGTAGAACCAGAGCTAGACGTAGCCGACGCCCCTCCTGCCGTCCCCGATCCAGTCCCAGTCCCAGTCGCAGTAGCACTCACAACCACAGTGCCCACTCCCGTCCCCGTCGGAACATTCCCCGTCGCCGTGGTCGTCGCGTTCGCGCTCGTATTGCACCAGAAGTCACCCGGGTCGGAGCCCCCCTTGATCAGGCATTCGGCCAGGTCGCCGACGCTCTGGCCCTGTGCCAGACAATAGTAGTCGCAGGCGGAGTAGGATAGGACGGAGGCGGCGCCGCAGCAGGTGCGCATGAGGGAGGAGTTGGGGTCGGAGATGGGGATGGCGCAGGCGGCGTCTTTGATTGGGATGTCGTAGAGTTTGGAGTGGCAGGTGGAGGTGGAGGTGGTTGCGGTGGTGGTGGTGGACATCGTGGTGGTTTGGTTGGATTTGAGGTTCGGTGGGTGTGTAGTCAAGGAGGGAGAGAGGAACTGGATGAGTGAATGAATGGTCTCAAAGATTGAGCGTGGCTCTGGGTTCTTATAAGTTCCGTTAGAAGAGGATTCAGGGAATACCTGACTATGGCTCACTTGATATGCCACTCTGCTCTGCTACTCTGTTCTAAATATACCACGGCTGATCAGGTACATGTCTATTCATAGTCTTGGTTCTATCTCCGATTATATGCCCGGCGTGGTTGTCCCCGAGAGCCGAGAATTGTCTCTATGTTCTCTGCTGCCCCCACATGTCTTACCTTTCCACTTTGACCTTCTAGTTTGTGCCAGTGGGATTGATGTCGATTTGCGACTTGGAATAGCTGAAAGACGCGTCATTTGAAGTCGAGTCGTACGATGTGAATATGGAAGTTCTAATCACATAGAACGTATTGAGTCTCATGGTCATTGCAGCGAAGCATGCTGTGGTTTCGGAGCATTTTGAGAAGGTATTTGCATGCTCTATATTCATTCTCGATTGTGAGCACTTCGCGGCTTCTCGATCAAATGTAATTACCGAAGGGGTCTCAGGCTATAGCAGGTGTCAACTATCAATTTCATTCTTGATTCACTCTATACTACCGAGTATACCCCACCCAATCGCTTCCGTCACAAGTAGAACTCAACGAGGCAATGATATTCAGGTTCAGACGGACATACATACTAAGAATATCACACCACTTCCAACAAGCCAGCTGTAGCTGTAAATAGCAACGGATACATCGGGTAGGATATGGGCCATGTAGAACCCCGATTGTGGGTGATTGTGGCGGTTGTGGGGAGCGGATAAAGACTATTCAGATCGCGTGCTTAACTCCGAGCTGTCACTGGGTGTAGAGTGGGAAGGTGTCTATAGAGATTGTGGGGATATCTCTTAATATATATCCTTTAACACAGCCTTGTCCGCTGCTACTCGTGATAAGCACCCAGCCTGTTGGTAGTCCTGCATCTACGCCAGCATACACTATATATAGCAGCCACCAAGCCATCACACCAGGAATCAACCACCAGCACATCGAAATCCAAATACCATGCAGGTGAGTTGGCGGTTACAGTAATACGGTTTACCACGTAGTCGGATCTAAGACATGCATGAGATCTGTCTAAGTATGCAAGACATTCTGGCGACGAGATCGAGGCAGATGGCTCGAAGGGGTTTAGTGCGGATGTTCGTGCTGCTTGGCATCGCTGGCGGTGGCTCGTGTTGATGTACACTGGATGTACAGGTGGAAGGCGATTCGGTCTTCGATCGGGAGTATTGATGTTGGAATTATCGATGTTGGAGTTTATCGGGATTTTCGATCTGATACATACTCAGTGTTACCTGTGCGGCTGTTGTCGGTTGTATTCCTGGTCTTGAGAGGACGACGATAGAGAATGGCTGTCTTTTTGGAGTATGAGAGCATCTGTAGAAAAGAATGATTGACATTAGTACTGATCAAGATATGGAATCCAGATCAGACAGAGATCATCATTCGATTGATGACATCTATATTTGATGGTAACTTAATTGTACTCAACAACCAATTTCTCCATACTATAGAAGTAATCAGATGAACCAAAGCAGGTTTATTTGCTGCAATAGCTACTAGGCCGTAGGGCGAGAGGGTTTGTACCCGGTCTCTGTCAACCCGACCGGTTGAGCCATGATTGATTCTCGGGTTTTGAATATGATGAACCCACAGGCAGGATATGCCACTGAGATTGAGTCCACAGGGAAACCAACAAAAGACAAAAAAGATAAATAAGATAAAATATAAAAGAAAATAACCAATCCTAAACACGGAGTCAAATGCTCGGATGCCGATTCTAGATCATGAGGGTATCACCAGGTGCCCAGACAAAGAGGTTGATATCAAACACCGAGTCAGGTCTATTTCGACGGAAAAATCAGAATAAATTACGGGCCGGCGATAAAATCAAATAGGATAAAATAAAATCAACGCGAGAACCCCCGGCCGCCAATCAACGGGCGCAGGAGCGCAACGAGCGTTTGTGAATAACTCCAGTGGGTCAGCTGCTCCACCGCGTGATTCTAGATCCCAGGCAAGTGGCTCCTCTCATTCTTCAGTTTTTCTTTTCGCACAATCTTCATCGGTTTCTCCCCGTTGTTCCTCGACACTCGCCATTGGCTTACGAATCGGTTTCACCTCACGGCGACGACGCCGGTTGATCGGTCAAACATGAGCGCAAAGGATTCATTCGGTGCTGTTGAGAAAGCCGTCAGAAAGTGACCAGTCAGAAGGGTAATCTCCGGCGAAGTCGTCGCATCATTCCCACCCCTGGAGTCGATCTCCTGCGAATTTCCGACATATTGACGCCACGATAATGATAATTTGATTTGCGACCCGTCCAGGAATCACTAATCAATCATGTGCCAAAAGAAATTTGACCGGCGATACCGTGCCTGACTAACGCCCAGGTTCCTGGTACGACAGGCTGTTGGGCTGCCAGAATTGATTAATATTAATTAACGGCGTCGAGACTAGAGAATAGGCCCCGTAGCGCGTGGACTCTGAAGTACGGAGTCCGGAGACCCGACAGGAAACGAGATTCTCGCCTTCCCAGTGCGGAATGTCGCTCCGTTCGCAGTCGAACTATTGAAGGCGGCAGGGATGAATCCGCCGGTCGCGAATTGATCATTTATCATCCTGAGCATTCATCAAACCGGTTCGCGCAGCAGCTGCGGCTAAACCGTCGGCGCAATTAGACTATGGAGTAAGGGCCGGAACGCCAAGCCTGGAAAAGTGAAAAATGAAAATAGAGAACCGGAAAAAACCGTCCAAACAAAGAGAGACAAAAAAAAATCCATTCAGGGTCCATCGACAAGGCCCAGGACTCCGGATGAATGGGGACTTGGGATCTGGTTTAGGGCAGTTTAGGGCACAGGGCAGACCACCGCCGTCGTTCAGGTGTCATCGTCTTGGCGATGATCATTCGTGAGGGTCTGCAAACCGGATCCGGCGCTGAAACGGCAAGTCGAAAAATGGAGGCTTACGTAGGGACGCGTCGATCGCAGCGTCGACCCGAGGAAACTCTGGTCGAGGGACGAAGCAATGCCAGCCAAAACGCAATCCCATCCAATCCCATCCAGCCCAGAATCCGTAATACGCGGTAAATACTCCCAACTCCAAACGACCTAAATGAGGATACGCGGCTAATGCAAACACAGCACCTAGCGTGGCCGACACGGTGCACGGTGCCTCGAATCAATTTGGAACGCGAGCAATCAACCCACGACGAAGGGAAGATTCAAGAATGGCCGTAGGGCACAGACCCGGTCGAGAGTGCACTCTCTGTCCGTCGGGATGGATCCCCAATTCCCAACCTAATTTAATTTCCCACCAAGGGAGGGGGACCAGCGCCGTCGGCTGGTCGCGACTCTCCAATCTCCCCGGCAATAAGCTCAAAAGGAAAGGAAGCCGCTAATCGCGACTAGTGGCAGTGGCCGCCCACTTGGAAAAGCGACGGCGGCAGAAGCGGGCCTGCCACTTGTTTGTTAGCGCCACGGGGATTACGAATGGATCCGGACGAGGGCGCGGTGGCGAATATACTCCGTGGTTCGTCGTGTTCTTCCGCATCTGACGCTGATTGCGATCGACTTCGGGGAGGAAGGACTGGGGCTGCATGCGGCGTTGGCGACAGGGAGATCTCCTGCGCGGAGTCGACTCAGATGCCGGCGGCCGATGGTTGTTGAGAGGTAAGGATAGGAGACAGCTAGTCGGCGCTAACCCGGGGCTACCGGGGATGGCAGATAGTGGACATGGGCTCAAATTACAGCATGCAAGGTGCAGCCACTACCGGGATGCTGGAGTGGGGAGGAAGGGCAAACATTGTGCGATACTGCTCGTATGGAGTAGACGAGTCAAGACTGTAATCTTCAACCGAGTGCCTCCGGAGTAATAAGGAGCATCTACATGATATAGGGACTATACGCAGGAGTATCTCTCACCTGGAAGTGCAACGGTATTACTGAATGCGGGGTAGCGCCGGCGTCCTCGTGGCCGCTAGTCCCGAAGCGGCGCCAGAGCCTATCAGCTGACCCGCAGCGGGTTTTTCCTTTTTTTCTTTTTTCTTTTTTCTTTCCTCGGTGTTCAGTCTGTACTGCGTCAGTAACACTACGCAGTAAAACCTGGTAATCCGGGTAATCGACAGTCACGAAGAGCGTCATCAGTCCCGGTATCGACCGTATCGTTCCAAGGTATTTCACCCTCTCGTTTGGCCTGAGGATGATCCCCCGTCGTCATCCATTCGTTGCGCTTTTTGCCTCTTCCCCTCTCCTTCTTCTCTTTTCGTCTCCCTCAACGCCCCCTCGCCCCCTCTCCATCCTCCCTCCCTCTCCTGCACAACCTCGCCATCGGCATCGGCTCCCCGTCACCCGCTGACTCGACCTTCATCTCGTCTCCGCAAGGCCTGAGTCTGCCGGTGGTCGTCCCTTTATCGTCCCAGGCCTGTCTTGGATCTTTCCGATCTACTTATCTCCTCGGTTCCACTCGACGAACGCTGGGAGGAAATCTCCGGTCTCACCCGTGCCAGTCTAATCTTAGCCTCCATACATATAACCCATAGGGCTCCTCCACGATATCGACTTCTTCCGGCCCTCCCCATTCATCATTCATCCCTAACGCGGGATCAATAAACAGAACAATCCCCCCGTTGCATCCGTTCGGCTCGTTCGATGGTTCTCACGGATTCCTTTCAACCGACCCATCGGTCAGGGCCGTTCGTCACCATCCCACCGGAGTTACACCACTTCAGCGCAACGACGACTCCGAGTGACAATGAAACCTCGTCGTCACCTTCCGCCAGTCTGGCGGATGGGAATCCTTATTCCCCTCCTCTATCAACCGGACGCGGCTCGATAGATATAAAGCATGAGGCGGCCCATCAGTATCAACCCGCCTCGCCACACCCTGCGCCGTCGCTTCACATTCGCACCGATCTTGCCGGTTCCACCCACCTGAACTCCTTCAAAGAGTCCGATCCCTTCGTGCACCACAGCATCTCGTCCAGCAGTCTTCCGCATAGAACCCCCAGCTTGCGCGGCCTCCTGGCGGGCTCTCTCCCCAGCGGCACGTCCTTATCGCCCGCCTCGGTCCTATCGTCGCCACAGCTGATGGCCATGGGTGACATCACTCCCCTGCCGTCGCCCGTCAGCGGCACCTCGCCCTGGAAGCTCCCCCGGCGCAATTCGCAGTCGCTTTCGCGCACCCCGTCGTCGGCGTCGCGGACCGGCTCGAGTCGCGGGTTGCGACTGAGCGACTCGTCGCAAATGCTCGGCGTCTCCGATGCTCGGTCGCGAAGCAAGCCATACGCCCCCTCGGATAAGGACAAGCAGTCCGAGGGACTGGCTCAGGATGCAGGGGCTCCGAAGCATGGGCGGAATCGGAGTTTGAGTGAGTACGTTCCCCCGGGTAAAAGCGTCCCGGTTAAGCCTCGTCCAGTTGTGGTCTCGGGTTCCGGCGCACCCAACGGGATCTCGTCGTCCTTCAGTACCGACTCCAAGGCGAACAATCTGCACCGCGAGCAGTACTTGGCTGTTCACCGTGGAATCGCCCTGCCGGCCGTCGCCCCGCCGTCCCCGCCGAGGAGTCGGCGCAGCACCTGCAACGACCCCGAAACTGAGCCCGTGATCAGCCACCCGCCGGTGGCAAACGGGCCGGACGAGGTGTACTCGGTGCGCTCGATTCGCACCCAGCAGCCGCGCATCTATCGCAAACTGCGCCAGCTGGGCCAAGGCACGTTCAGCCAAGTCTGCCTCGCCGTGCGAATGGAAATGCCGGCGAACGGCGATATGCAGACCGGGTCTAGTCTTCAGGGTGTGAATGCGGCGACGCAGAAATTGGTCGCCGTGAAGATCATCGACCACGGCCCAGCCGGCGGCGCGGACGAAGAGCGATTGGAGGTGTCTCTCAAGCGTGAAGTCGACATCCTCAAGTCAATCAATCACCCGTCCCTTGTGCAGCTCAAAGCTTTTGGCAGTGACGAAAAGCGCGCATTGCTGGTTCTGGACTATTGTCCGGGAGGGGACCTCTTCGACCTGGCATCCTCCGGCCCGAAATCCATGAGCCCTCAACTCATCCGGCGCATGTTTGCCGAGATGGTCGGCGCCGTCCGCTACCTGCACGAGAACTACATCGTTCATCGGGATATTAAACTTGAGAGTAAGTCCTTCCCCAACCTCTTTCCCCCACTCTTCCCCTTCACGTTGCACAGCTGTACTAACCGTGCTGTTTAGATGTTCTTGTTAACCTCCCCGCCTCTGCGATGGAGAGTATCACCGATTGGCGCACGTACGATCGCGCCATAATCACCCTCAGCGATCTGGGTCTCTCCAGAAGGATCCCGGCACCGCCGGAGAATGCTCTGCTCCATACCCGCTGCGGAAGCGAGGACTACGCCGCTCCCGAGATTCTCATGGGCCAGCCCTACGACGGACGCTCGACCGACGCCTGGGCCCTCGGAGTGTTGCTATATTCCATGATGGAGAACCGACTGCCATTCGACGCGCTTCCCGGTACTCGAGGCGACCCCAATAAACTTCGAGCTCGGACCCCCCATCGGATCGCGCGACTGGAATGGTCGTGGTATCGCTTCGCCGACGCCGACGGGGAATGGGATCCCGAGAAGGGCAAGGAGCTCGAGGACGCTCGCGCATGCGTCGAGGGACTTCTCAAGCGCAACACGAAGCGCATCGGCTTGGATGAAATTGCATCGATGGAGTGGGTCCGCGAGGCGATCGACGTGCCCGGCGGACTGAAGCGGGGAGATAAAGAAGTGCCGTAGAGCTGGACTCTCGATTCTTAGTCTCTGATTTGTTTTCATAAGGTTTTGTTACGATATACGGTGATGGGTTTCCGAGGCGATGCATTAGTGGTTTTACGATTTTTGTATGGTTTTTGTTACAGGCATGGCTTTGAAAGCCGGAGCAGATAAATATTTATACCCTAGACTCGGTGTTATGATATATATATAGGATCATGGACTTTATTAATTGGATGGACTCTTTGCTGTGTTTGCTGTGTTTGTTGCGTATGAGTGAGGCGGATGACTGATGCCTGCGTAAGCCCCGCCGCTGATTGGCCGGCTGACAATCGCCCGACGCGGATTGGTGCCGGGGAGCCTGAGGCCAACTCCGGCCCCGACTTCGCTGCGGAGGAAGCTCTGCTGCCGTCGTCTCCGGTCCACTTTTCCTCTCGCCGGCCTTTTATTATTGTCGCCCACGGCTCTGCTGGTCGCTTTCCAACTCTCCTCCATCCATTCGAGACTGGTGCTGGCCTTTGTTGGATCGCACACCGTTGACAATGCTTCTCTCGCAAACCCGGGGCCGCATGCCCTCTGCTCTGCGGAGCCTGGCCCAGCGGTCGTCCATGACCGCGTAAGACCCTGCAATTGCCCCTCCCATCCTTGATCAATTCGTGAGATCGTGAAGCTGATTGTCTGTCGTAATTGCAGTCGCCCTCTCTCGACCACCCTCCCGAGACACAAGATCGGCGCCTCCGAAGATGAGCCCGTCCTCAACAAGGTCTCCCGTCACATCACCCAGCCCATCTCCCAGGGTGCCTCGCAGGCCATGCTCTACGCCACGGGGCTGACGGAAGCCGACATGAACAAGGCCCAGGTCGGCATCTCGTCGGTCTGGTACAATGGCAACCCCTGCAACATGCACCTGCTCGAGCTCAACAACAAGGTGCGCGAGGGCGTGCAGAAGGCCGGTCTGATCGGCTACCAGTTCAACACCGTCGGTGTCAGTGACGGCATCAGTATGGGTACCAAGGGAATGCGGTACTCCCTGCAGAGTCGCGACTTGATCGCCGATTCCATCGAGACCGTCATGGGCGGCCAGTGGTACGACGCCAACATCAGCATCCCCGGCTGCGACAAGAACATGCCGGGTGTCATCATCGCCATGGGCCGCGTCAACCGTCCCAGTCTGATGATCTACGGAGGTTCCATCAAGCCCGGTTGCGCCGCCACCCAGGACAACGCCGACATCGACATCGTCTCTGCGTTCCAGGCCTACGGACAGTTCATCACCGGCAACATCACCGAGCCCCAGCGCTTCGACATCATCCGTCACGCCTGCCCCGGAAAGGGCGCCTGCGGAGGCATGTACACGGCCAACACCATGGCCACCGCCATCGAGACCATGGGTATGACTCTGCCCGGCTCGTCCTCGTTCCCGGCCGATTCCACCGCCAAGTTCATCGAGTGCCAGGCCGCCGGTGAAGCCATCAAGAACCTGCTCAAGGAGGACATCCGCCCGCGGGACATCATGACGCGTCAGGCCTTCGAAGACGCCATGATCGTGGTCAACATCACCGGCGGTTCCACCAACGCCGTGCTGCACCTGATCGCCATGGCAGACGCCGTTGGCGTGAAGCTGGACATCGAAGACTTCCAGGCCGTTTCCGACCGCACCCCCTTCCTGGCCGATCTCAAGCCTTCCGGCAAGTACGTCATGCACGACCTGCACAAGATCGGAGGTACCCCCTCTCTGCTGAAGTTCTTGATCAAGGAGGGCGTCATCAGCGGCAAGGGCATGACCGTGACCGGTCAGACCCTGGCCAAGAACCTGGAGAACGTGCCCGACTTCCCCGCGGACCAGAAGATCATCCGCCCCTTCTCCGACCCCATCAAGGAGACCGGCCACATCCAGATCCTCCGCGGTTCGTTGGCGCCCGGCGGCTCCGTCGGCAAGATCACCGGTAAGGAGGGCACCTCTTTCACCGGTAAGGCTCGCGTGTTCGACGACGAGGACCACTTCATCGAGGCTTTGGAGCGCAACGAGATTAAGCAGGAGGACAAGACCGTTGTGGTCATCCGCTACACCGGACCCAAGGGTGGTCCGGGTATGCCCGGTACGTTCTTTTCCAATTCCTTCCTGTATGAGAGTGCCATTCTAATCACCCCAACAGAAATGCTTAAGCCCTCCTCCGCTCTGATGGGTGCCGGTCTGGGTAACTCGTGTGCCCTGATCACCGACGGCCGTTTCTCCGGCGGCTCTCACGGCTTCCTGATCGGCCACATTGTCCCCGAGGCTGCCGTCGGCGGACCCATCGGTCTCGTCCAGGATGGCGACGTCATCACCATCGACGCCGAGCGCCGCGCGCTCGACCTTGACGTTGACCAGACCACTCTCGCTGAGCGACGGAAGCAGTGGGAGGCTGACCGCGATGCCGGCAAGCTTCCCCCCACCGGTCTGACTCTGCGTGGAACTTTGGGCAAATACGCTCAGTAAGTCACTTCCCCTGGTTCCAATGAGCGGCTGCTAACCATCTATAACAGACTCGTCAAGGACGCCAGCCACGGCTGTATCACCGATTCCTTGCCCGAGGAGCAGTCGAAATAGCCTGCCAATCGCCGAAGCGGCTTGTCAGTGATGAGTGAGTCATGTATTACTTTTTGAACCTGTCATAGTGCTCGGGCTCTGTCCGACCGTGTTAATGAAATAGCTGGATCGTATTTCTGGAGTGTTTGCATGGATGGTGGTTTTCTTGTCTTGTCTTGGCTTTTTGATAGGCGAAGTGTTAGAAGAACAGAAAAGCGTTTGATTTTTATTTCTGTCTTTGGTTTGTATATTGCATGTTGATAGTGAGCATTAATGGATGATATACCTTTGTCTTGAATGGTGTAGTTCCTATTATTTCATAGCGTCAAATCTAAATACATCTCAAGTCAAATCCCTCCCTCAAATACTCCGTCAGTCAGATGTCCTGCATGAAACATCACTATTGTCCACATCCGGGGATTGTGACTCTTGGCACCTTGTGGCTTCAGATAGACACTGTTTTGGACTGAGCTTAGACCAGACAGACGCCATGGGGCGATATCTACTTATGGATTGGCCCCATGTTGGCTCGGTAGGTGGACCTTTGATCCCAGGCTTGTCATACTCCATCGTTAACATGGCCATTGGTTGTCCTATCATCCTGGACCGGATCCTTCTGGGCTTATCCAGCCCCTTAGTTTCGCTAGCCTCTTACTGTGTAGCATAAGAGGCAGTGCAGCCTCGATTTAATATATTAGGCGTTAACTTCCTCTGTGACTAAATGATACTCCACTTATTTCGGACCCTCTCCGACCTTCGCCCGAGATCTCATCTTATCTCAAAACACTCCTCCATCTCCAGATTAATCTACAACAGGTATACTCACAACATGGCCTTCCTCACGAATCCAGAACCACAGCCAAAGCCAGACCAAGCCGAGCTCTCGTTCATATCGCTTAACCCCTCCGGCCGAACTACCCTCCTCTTAATCCACGGCGCATTCTCCAGCCCGAAAGACTGGATCCCATTAATCGAGCAGCTTCTTCCGCCTCACTTGATCACCAATCCAGATCCAACCTCTGCTGCACCCCGCGAAGACAGCAACGACGCCTCAGCTGGGAGCCAAGAAGCCTCTCCCCTTCTGAATGACCACGGGGGAGATGAAGATGCTGACGCCTCGACCTCATTGCTACCCTCAAACGCTGCCATCAACTCTCACGCCGACTACTATCACATCCTCGTCCCTTCGCTCCCCCTCCACAGCACCTCGTCGCACATCGGCCCGCTCACAATCCCATACACAACGGCCCTCCTCGCGTCGCTCGTCACCCAGCACGCCAAGAACGGACAGGCACACGTTATCGGCCTGAGTCTGGGTGCGCACATCGCCAGCGCGCTTGCCTCTTCGCATCCCGAGTTAGTATCCAGTCTCTTCGTGTCCGGGTTCAATATCTTCCCGCGAAAAGTATTCACGCCGATTCTGCCTGCGGCGCTGTTCGTTTTGCACGGGCTTGAGGCTTTGGTGATGGCGCCGAGGGAGGAAGTGGGCACGTGGAAGAGGTGGGTCACGGGGGCGGAGAGTCCCGGGGTGAGATATAGGTCCTGTGAGGGGGTGATTGGGATGTTGTTTAGCGATAGGGAGCTGGGGAGGATTGATGAGAGGATTAAGGTTTTGGTGGTAGCTGCGACGCTGGAGCGGTGGGTGCCGAAGGATCGGGTGGACGACGCGAGGAGGCTGTTTCATGCGGCGGTTGGCGGGTCTGCGTCTGGTTCTGGCTCGAGGGTGGTGCAGCATACGGGGTTGGGTCATCCGTGGCCGGTGGACGAGCCGGAGCTGATGGGTAAGGTGGTGAGGGCGTGGGTGGAGAAGGGGGAGGTAGTGGAGGGGTTTGAGGATTTATAATGAGGGTTCGTGGGTATAATTAGTGGATTAATGTACATATAAAATTAATACAGATGCTGGATGCTGGATGCTGGATGCTATGCGGGCTGTCTAGACAGGTCGCGGATTCGCCGCGCGTATAGATCCATCATGTGCATGAGCGGATCGCCAAAGACGGCCTGTCGAAGCACGGCATCGGTAGTCATACAGGCCTCAACATACTCCGGCGTATCATCGGGGTATATAGAGGCGTTATGTACCGGTCTGCGAAGAATGATCACCTGTCCGGCGACAGAAAGGGTGGCTGGTGGAATATTCCACACGGCTGGTTTGCTGGAATTGCGCCGACGGCCGTACAGACGAGATATCGGGGCGGGCGACATGTATAGGTTCATTAGGGATGACACATATGTTTTGTCGGCTCTCGGGACGGGATCGCCCTCGTTGACAATGGAGAAGAAGATCGAGGAGGGATCAGGCGGAAATAATGGCCGTAGTGACACAGGAGGCGCGCCAAATGTTACACAATGTACGTTTCTGAAGAAGGTGCGCAGATGGGTCAATTCCGACCCCACGGTGGCTGCGAACATATGGCAGTATAGAAGACTAGCAACCGCCCCGCCCGCAGAGTGTCCTGTGATCAGAATCAAGTAGTTTGCACGACTGGGATCCTCGGCCAAGAGATCGCGTAGTCGCGCGGCGACAGGGCGGACCATCTTCTGCGCCACAGACAAGAACCCGGCATGGCAGAGGTTGAATGGGTCGTCGAGAAAGTCACGCGGGGGCGTGGGGGCAGTTTTCATATTGACGGCCCAGTCGCGAAAGCTTTGCGTGCCGCGGATGGCGATCACGATGGTCTTCATGTCGTCAACAGCCAATGATTTGATCACCATGGCTTTGGTGCCGTTGCGCCAGTCGGCGTCGAAGTACGCGGCGTTGTTGCCGCCGGTCGGTCGTTTGTACACGTTGCGCGAGTATTGCGCGGCCAGACGCAAGAGGGCGTGACCGGATGGATATCTGCTGTATGTCAGCGTAACATGCCAGCATCTGGTGATGGGATACCCACAGCTGTAAAGGAGCCAGTTGTAGAGGAAGCCGCGAATTGTTATAAAGATAAACTTTGGAGAAAAAGGTCAACGCAGTCGACTGGGAGGACTTGTCATTGTCGGCCGACGTATGCGCTGCAGCATCGGAGTGGACGGGATATTCGACGACTGTAGCGATGAGCCACTGATGTGATTAGTCGAGACTTGCGGTGCTCACCCATTTCGTCTTTTCCCGTGAACAGCCCCTCATCCATCGACGTAATGACATTATCCAGCTTCCGCAGCATCACCCCGTAAGCGTCCACCCCACAGGACATGTATTCCTTCATCTGCTGCTCTAATCCCATCATGGTGGTATTGGCGGCCCCTACCGTCTGCGACACCATCCCGGAGAGACTCGTGTAGGACTGCCATTTGGCGAGAGAGCTGGTCGACGTTGACGACGGATGGGAAGACGACGATAGATGAACCGAAGACGATGCCTGATGACGATACGGATGAGTCTGAGGACGGTAGTGAGACGTCTGCACCGAAGCACTGGTTGCCGAGGCCGTTGGTAATTTGTATAGGGATTGCGACTGCGCCTGCGCCTGCGCCTGCGCCTGCGCCTGCGCCTGCGCCTGCGCCTGCGCCTGCAAGATCGGCTTCACCGCAGGAGCAGTTACCTGATCCCTCGGAGGGAGAGGAGGTGCCTGGGCCGCATGTTCAGATTTGGACTTCTTGTGGCGCCGGGAACTGCTGAACCATCCCATGGTGACGATGGCAGCCGCCCAGGATTCGAAGACATGGATGGACTCGGCGCTAACGAGTGTTTTGGGGCGAGAAGAGAAGAGCAAATGGCGGTCGTGCTTTCTTTATATCGCAGCGACAGCCCTGATTGGCGGCACTGCCTCCCTGCTCACGTGGAGCCTGCGCTGGATCCGGTTAGCGCGGTACGAGTACGAGCGCTTTGCTTACTCAGCCATGTAGATCGGAGTACTTTGGTATTCCATCGATAATACAGTAGAGAAAAGGAAGAGAAAAAGCGGAGAGTGTGGAGAGTAGTAAAGAAACTAGCGAAAAACATACGGCTTGTCTGGCTTTGCGTTAGGGTCGTTCTTGATCCAACTGACCATCTGGGCACCTTCTTGCACCTGAATGAGGCTGGCCTTCTTTCCTCTAGCAATGGGTTTTACCTCAATAAGAGCGTAAGGGTTTTCGTTTCCATCATCGAGATACCCATCGGTTCGAGCTTCAAACTCGGCCTCCTCAAACTCAGCAATAAAAGCCTTTCGGTGCATGGTCCAGTTGCAACCCCGACTGATGTTGAGCGCGTTTAAAAAGACAACCAGGGCGGTATTAACAATCTGTTCGTCTTTTGTCGGCACAAGCATATCTCTCTGGAGATCCTCGGGTACCTGAGCAGCTGGTGTAATGGGCGCTGATGGAGGGGATGGTGTCGCATCTAAGAAGACCGAAAACTCATCGGAGATGTCACGGATGGGTGTCTGGGGCCGTACTGCTGGCTTTTTGGAAGGCGTCTCTAGATGGGTATCTCTCAGCATCTTGTCCAGGCCGCGGGTATGAGAACGTGTGTGTTTTGCCACAGGGGTGTCAAAGCTGTCCGGCCTTGTAGCCCCCCTGTTTGCAATGGCTTCCATCTGGTAATGACGGGCAATCGAGAAAGTCCCCTCCGGAATTCCGGGGCCACGAAAGCCCTCGAGGTATGGTTTCCACGAGGGTAAATCAGCGAGAAGTTGTTTTGCCTTTGGAATCAATGACTTTACTTCTTCAGGTAAACAATTGAGGGGTTTCGTCTTATGCTCTTTCCAGATGACACGTAGCAGCAAAAATTGCAGGTAGGTCATCTTAGAAGCAGATGCAAGCTCAGCGGTGTGTACTGTCTGCCCTGTCAGGCCGTGACTTTTGACTGCCTGCTGCCATTGGTGGGAGTCGTATGGTAAAGTTTTAGGGATGGTACTCATTTTCGCCCGAGGAAGCTTTCGTCGGTGGTCAAGTAGATAGATATCTTGGTCTTGTGGAGTGAGGTTGGTGCAGATAGAAATGGGAGATAATCAGGTCTCAGAAGAGGAGTACAAGCAATGGCCAAAGCAGATATCATAAGCAGATATCATCCGGAGGCAGCTGACTCTTTCCTTTTCAAAAGGTGTCCTATTTTCGGATACGTACTCCATGTTAACTACGATACATATGTGGTACCACAAATCAGAATGCATTGTCACTGTTCATGCTGGCATTCACTCATACAACCCTGCGCCTCCCTGGGGACTTCCGCCATTCAACCATCTCGAGCAAGCGCCGGTTGGTCAGGGAGCGAGGGTTTTAGAAAGCCCTTTCATTCTGGTCAGGTGCGCACGGACACCCCTGATAGTCCAGCGGCACATCTTTGATTATGATTCGATGGAATGCTTGGTCTTTGTCGAGGATTTGCAGGAGATCTCCGGGGAAAGTCCTGGGGGATCCGCCATCGCCCAGCAACCGCCCGGCGGCAAAAAGCACACGCGCCTTAAAGAAACCCTCATCGACTGCGACTTCTCCTCTCCCCTTCAATCACTTTCAAGACCCCCATACTCCGTCGACTCTGTCGCCATGCTTGTTCCTGTTCCAGAGCTGCCCGAGCGTACGGAAATGCGCAAAGCCCTGCGCGACCTCATCAACCATGTTACCAACCTTCAAGTTGATCAGATCAGCATGTTCCCATCTGAGATCGATCAGCTTCGCTTTGAGTGTATGGCCCTGGATGAAAAGTCCGCAGATAGGCCTTCCTTCTTTACTCCGCTACCCGCGTCTCTCTTGCGGGACCCGGATGATGACTTTGACCGGGAGTATGAGATGAAATATCAGACCTTTGATTCCGCACCCGATGATCTCAGAGGTCCAAAGAGCTGCGCAATGAGGATCGACGATTACTTCTCCCATTACGCCGGTCATTGTTCCTATATTATTCCCAAAGAGGACCTCGTCTGGTCTTCAGTAAAGTAAGTTTTCATCTGGTTGATTTTCCCATTCATTCTGACTTAACGCATTAGCTTTGATATTGTGGCTCCCTATCTCAATCTGCATCGGTATGCACACCCTGAGTTTGGAACGACATGGGTTGAAGAGGTCCGTAAGGGACCTTATTCACAGGTGAAGACCACTATTTACAACAACCTGAATGCCGATGATGAGCACATTCTCGAGGGAGAACTGCTTTCTGTCTTGCGTTTAATGATGGCCCACCTGCGAAGGGGCCGATTTGTCGATCATATGATCGCACCCGTGAGTGACCCTCGCCTCTGTCTCTCACCCTCAACCCAGGCGCAAGATCCGAGCTCTAATCTGTTGGCAGGTGATGGCTTTTTCTTTCATGGGTCCCCAGCATGCTCGTGTTATCGAAGGCTACATGGAAGGCCATACTGTCGTAGTACGTCCCAGCAAGTTGTATGACCTCCGTACCAAAGACGAGGCAGCTTTCAAGACATTGGCCGAGTGGTACTTTGGAAAACCACGTGGACCCACGCTGCCATCCTGATGGGTCCACCGTGGCCTCTTCGCAAGGATCTTTTTTGCTTTCTATTCTTTTATCAAGGGAGCGCTGGAGCTGGGGAGGGATATGGACTGTTCCGGTTGGCGTTTTGGTTTAATCCTGATTTGATTGATTGTGGGTGCACCTTTGGATTGGGAGTATCTTTGTTATTGCTACAGATTGACGTCGTGAATGATACCCCCAGGAACAATGTGATTTTTGATCTCTGAGACACTCCATCTCCGCCGGCCATTGGACATTGGCTTTTGTTGTGTAATTCTGGGAACTAGAACTAAAGGCTCGCCTATACCATTCCTTGCATGATTGTCTGCCAATGTTGCAGAGGTTAAAGGGACAGTTGCATCTTTATGTTTACTGGCTAACGGGCTATTGATACGAAGCCCTCAATTCTGTTTACACGGAGGGAAGAGAATGCGGATGACAGAATACACATGGTTCACAAGAACATGATAGGGTGCATAGGTGCATGTCTAAGAGCCGGGGTGTGTCTGATAAGATACCAGCTTTAGTGCTTCGGTTCTGTCGGCAATTCTTGGAGAAGCGCCTTAGTCGATACTCGACAATGTGCCTAATACAATATGTTGGGGGTCATAAGTCGGAGTATATTTGAAACCTTGCAATGTCAGAATTAAGAGGTATCCGATAGAACATACATAAAGGCTAAAGAAACGAAAGAAGACGCTCCATTTCCCGACCGAAACAGTTGTGACTAGTCCAAGAATTCGATAATATAACCCCATGCCTCATTCATAGAACATTATACCCCTGAAACGAACACACACTCACCATGTCCGCCGGGTTCTGGTCCACATACGGACGAAATCCTTCTTCTCGGGGACACCCAATCCGACCCGCTTGACTCTGCCCAGGCGGGCCAACGATTCAGCCACGTTGTCCAGCAAAGCCTGCTCGCTTCGGGTGATGCCAGCTTCCCCAGAAACGCCGTTGCTCTGATCCAAGGTATCCAGGAAATTCGTATCATACGTGGACTTCGGTGCGGAAGCCGAAGCCGAGTCGCCTGCATCCACTTTGACCCCCTCCGCGATCCGAACGCGGATGCAATGGGTCGGCTTGCTCAGGAGTTTCCACAGGAAACTCAAATAACACCGGGGCACCGGAGTCACCACATCCACCGGGGTGTACCGCAAACTCACGGGAAAGACCTTGGTCGCGAGCGGGGCGCTCAAGAGCCCCAGACTCATGGGCAGGATGCCACGGCTGTTGGTGGTTGTGCACTCGGGGAAGGTGACGATCGGTCGGCCGGGATATTTCTGCACGAGGGTCGCGAGTTCGACCAGACGCGTGCCCGGGGGAGGGCTCGGTTGGGGTGCGGCGAAGGCGCGCAGGATGGCTTGCAACAGAGAGATGTGTTCGACCTGGCGCGAGTTGGGGTACGAGGCGGTGAAGATGGGATCGAAGATGGCGGCGAGATAGACGGCGTCGATGGGGGAGGTGAAGGAGGAGGCGATGACGGATCCGGGGCCCGGCAGACGAGCTTGATGTTGCTTGGACAGAGATCTAGGATTCAGGGATCGGAGTTCAGCATGTCTTCCTTCCCCGCGCCCAGTTGAGGACCGTACCCTTTTCGCACACCATCCACCTGCAGATCAATCCACCATATACTGGGAACGCCCAGAATGCACCACAGGGATGCCTTCTTGCCCAGGGATCCGATGGGAAGCCATTGTAGGACGAGGAAGTAACTCAAACAGACGAAGATGAAGAACGGCAGGCGGACGCAGAAGAGAAAGATGCGAAGCGGCAGCTGGAAGCTAAGCGGTTCGGAAGGGATGGGGAGGAAGGGGGCGATACCCGACCCTGCATCATTAGAAGCGCGTTAGTCTGGGCCAGGGGTTCATCAGATAGCATGGTGCGGACCTCGATCGCGGAACTGGGTGAATCTCTCCATGATTTTCAAAGCTGCTGTGGGGTTTGGAGATCACCGAACTCGCCATGCGGGCAGTTGGCGGGATGAAACACGGTTTAGGAACCGATGCGAGGCTTGATGGGACGATGCGAGGCCGTCAGACGTGAGCGGCGATTATAAATGGGACTTCTTATCGCGGGATTTCCACGAGTCGAGCATTCTGGACTTCGACGGACGCCTTTCACATGCCTCGTCGACACCTGGCGCTAGCCGTCTTAGGCGCTGCCTCACTGTATGGTGCCTTAGTGCCTTAGTGCCTTACTCCCTGTCGGTCTTTCTGCCTTGCTGCCTTGCTGCCTTCGTGCCCTCATGCCTTGCTGCCTTAGTGCCGTGGTGCCTTCCTGCCTGTCTGCCCGGGGGAGCATCAGGCAGTGCTTGATCCTGCCCTATCCAACTTGTGAAAGCGGAAATCACCGCTTCATGCCATGATCCCATCACTCCATCACACCAACTATACCCGAGGCCGTCGCCAAACTTATCCCCTTCATGAAGCGGAGATTTGCACTCTCGGTATCTGATCAGTAATCAGTCGAGAAGAGTCCTCGGCAAGATTGATTAGTCGGCGGGGGAACTATGAGGAAGGTGTAGCGTTGGCCTATATAAAGAGCATACAATAAGATTTCCAACGATCATGGATCGCTGCCCCTCAAGCCTCCTCCATTACCCTCAACCATGGCGCTCGCGCACACCTACCAGCCTATTATCGCCTCAAACGAAGACCGTCCAACCGCCCGCAAACGCCGCGCCATCTACCTCCGTCCATTTCTCCTCTTCTGGCTCAACTCTCTCTTTGCCGAAATCATCTTCCTCGCCGTCGGTGTCTTCGTCATGACCGGCACGCGAGACCTCTTCTATAAAGTCATGTGGACCCTCGTCTTCTGTCCCCTGGGGATGGGGGGCGCAATGGGCGGTCTGATCAATTGCTTCGTTGTCGATCACTACTACGGGAAAAAGGCAGCGCATTTCACCGGCATCTTGTCCTTGCTCATCCTCAGCGCCTGCAACTATCTTTGCTACAATTTGGATAGACACTTTGGGTGGTTTGGGGCCACTGACCATCCGATGTGGTTCCATTGGCGGTATCCGATGATCTGGGCAGTTGGTTATGTGAATGGGTTGCTTATGTTTACGGATAAAGGGCAGGAAAGGCTTGCTAAGATGGGTTTGTAGATAAATTATAACGACCTACTCTGGGGAGGATAGTGGATCAAAATGTAATGGGAGGGGATGTGTCGAGTCTATGATTTTGAGAGATGTGGGTCATACAGATTAACCTTACAAGAAACTCGGGGTATGAATGTAGTACGGTTGAACTCTGAAGGACTACATATGGATCTTTTAGGGACTATCTAGGGCTCTTTCCGGGATTTTTTACGGTCCTTGGGGTTTTTAGGAAGTAGGGACTATTTTTTATAAAAGCTTTTTAACGAAAGAGGCAACTTTTCGTTACGTGATTACGCTGATCAGGTATTAGCAAAGCTCGCATAGAATTAGAATTGTTAGAGAATTCCCCAAGCTGCAAGATAATCCGGGATAAGAAAATGTCTCTTAGTATTCTAACACCGGATAAGCGTCATGATATGATTCATCTTTACACCGTGCCAACTGTATGCCCCCAAGAAACTCGGGCCTCGGTAAGAGAAAAGAATACGACTAATCAAAATGTCAATCAATCACCCTAAGCATGCTGTTATTGTGGAAACCTCTTAGGACATATACCTATTGAGATTCCACTGCTTGACAATCGTGGCTCTGAAGAAAAGAAAATATCCGCGCAATGAAGCACACACTCAGCATTGGGGAGAGAATAGATGCCTGGCTAGGTTTTTTCTCGATTGGTAAGTAGATTCAATCTGCATTCTATACTCTATGTGTTGCTGAAGATGGTTCTGCAGGAGCGGGACTGGGATATGCTGCTTTTTGTGGGCTGTTTCGTGGCCCATCAGGGGCTGATACCTACCATCATCACCTCATACAAGCGGTGACCAAAAAGGTTTCTTATAATGCCAGGTTTTTATTCTTTCTAAAAGCCATCATGCTTACAATTCGCATCAGCTCACTACACGGTTCACCCCACTTCAACTCCAGTGGGTAAATCATGCCGTATTCTAGAAAACATCGCGACTGACTATGCTTAACTAGGTACCTTTTCAGGACTTATGACCAACTCTACCTGGATTATTGCCAAAGTTTACAGATCGAGCCGAATTTTATATCAAACGGCCGCAGCCTAAAGGGATTCTGGATCGGTTCTCCGACGGCCAGATACGTGGTGATCAACTTCCATGGTAAGCAGTCCCACCCACTCACTGCCGCTCCAACAACGCTAAACAAGTTCGTCCCAGGCGGCGGGTTTGCCATGGATGCCACAGGTCCGTATCTTGAATTCTGGCCGAGTGTGGCTAGAGCGCTTTCCGAGGACGATATCACTACCGGCTGGTTCAACGTTACCTACACCCTGACGCCGCACGGCACATATCCCACGCAATTTCGTGAGGCAGTGGAGGCTCTGCGCTATGTCCTCAAGGATCTTGGACGTTCACCCTCAGATGTCCTGCTAGTTGGTGACTCCGCAGGGGCCAATCTCTGTCTGGCAGTGTTATCGCACCTGTCCCATCCATCTCCAGACGCGCCGGAACTGGGAATCGCCGAGCCCCTGAAAGCCATAGTTCTCATGTCACCCTGGGTTTCCTTCTGCCATGACTGGCCTAGTATGAGGAGTAACGAACACAAAAATATTGACGCCAGGAAAGTCACGGAGAGATGGTCGCAGGACTACTTGAACGGAGTAACCACGAACTACTACACTGAAGCACTCGAGGCACCCGAAGCGTGGTGGGAAGGCGCTCTAGTGAAGCAGACCCTCGTACTCGCCGGGGGTGACGAGGTTTTGTTGGATTCAATAATGGCTTGGGTTCGCACATTTCGCGTAAGTGACGTTTCTAAAGGATTGGATTCGATAGTCCGGATTGACTGATTATATACAGAAATCTAATCCTGATACAACCTTGGTGATTGGTCAAAATGAGTGTCACGTTGCGCCCCTTATATGGCCCCTTTTCTACGATAGTCACGAGACGGAACAGGGCCTTGCTTTGAAGGGCTGGTTAAATGAGCGGTTGCGACATAGTAATAGATAGGATACGACGAAGGCCAAAGATGCGAAATCGATCAGCATTGCTGGGCCTAGCAGTCTGGGTCATTTAGGCAGCATGGTAAAAGTCTATTTCCCTATTCTGAGCATCGAGCTTCTACTTGCAAAAGATATAAGCGGTCTGTGACCACAATAACGTCTTGTATAGACAATTCACAGGATGTGCTGTTGTGGATTTAACCGGCTTTTTTTTTTTTTTTTTTTTTTTTTTTTTTTTTTTTTTTTTTTTTTTTTTTTTTTTTTTTTTTTTTTTTTTTCTTCAAAACCAAAGTAACTTCCTTTTCTACCTTAGAGTAAATCACGGCCGAAGACCTCATGACCAGAGAACTGATCCACTCCTAATAGAAAAGCGAGTTCAACCGCATAGTTCCACTAATGTAAATTCTCCCACGGAATAAGTTTTAGCCTCAACCCAGTGGAATTCTACAATATCCTTGCCTGGCAAACTATACCCACCAATGATAATATCGCCTCCGTGGTCCGTCTTATTTCTCAAACGAACATGATTAAATGCCTCACCTTCCAGACTTAGGATGTTACATCCAGCTCGGTCGAACTGCTTTTATGACACTCAGCCTCATAAGGCAATGACCCTGTAGCTCGAACCCTCTCAGATAGTCCGCCTCATGGCTGACAACGGTTAATAGAATTAGAAGCCCCACTTTGTTGATTAGAGAGCTAGTTAAAGTCCCGTAGGCAAAGAACCCATCCTACAGAACCCGAGGAACTACCAGGCGAGTGAATAGGTGTCTTAATATTTCCCCTCGGAATAGAGAATATACCTTCCATTTTTGCATAGCCCGACAGAAAGGCATACTTCTACGGAGGATGCCTGATCGGTCAATCAAGTAACGTCCCCAGCGGCTCTTGGACGTTAAAAACGGCCCCCTTGGAAATTCTGCCAGCCTTGGTTCGTGGGATATAGTCACTGGCTAACAGGGCTAGGTTCGTCGCCCAGTTCGCCGGAATCCACTGTGGGGTTTACGAACTTGCCCGTACTCCGCTCCGAGGGATTATGCTAATGTAGAATGATATCATTTTCCCCAATATCGTGTGCGTGGTTGGGCAGCTCGGGAGGAATACTTGGCGATGTCCATATCTTGAATAGTTCATAACTACTCCGGAGCCAGCCAAACTTGAATTTCATATCGATTTCTTGCCTAGGCTCCAGTGTGGATGGAGTGAATGTCTCAGTTATTAGGAGAATAAAGCAATGTCAGATTTTAAACCAACGTGCTCCTCATATCATGCGAACATACCCTGAAAGCCAAGACTTGGCATCTACATCTGGGAAGGTCAAACGAAAAAGAGAATGAGCTGTTCACGGACTGCTATAGATACACACCAGTTGATTCTGCAAGTATACCGAGTCGGATACGGCGTCAGAGATCACAATGAGAACAGAGGCTAGGAGCCAGAAAGTTATAAAAGCCCATGGATGGACGGCCCTTTGAAGCATACCAAACCATCCTCTTCACTTCCCCAGCCTCTCCTCCCTCAGAATCCAGGCAAGTCTCTCAACCAATGCACAGGAAATCTCAGACTAACCCCCTATCAGATCAATTCTCCTCCGACAAAATGCGTTTCTCTGCTATCGTCGCTCTCGCTGCTGCCGCTCCCACGGCTCTTGGCTGCACTTTCGTATTCGAGTTAAACCACGACACAGCCTAGGGTGGCTTCAACGAGGTATCGCATTTTGCAAGAATCTACGAGAGCGATAGCCCGAATTTCAAAGACGACGGGTCCGACGCGTCCAAAAACATCGGATTCGAGGGTGGCTGCAACACCCTTGAATATAAAGGGCAGTCCTACGAGTTTTGCTTCGAGAGAGCCGCAAACCACAACCTTCACGGCCCTGCCACCGTCCAACGGTCTGCTGGAAACAAGCGCAACATTCACCCCGATGGTCAGGATTATAAATATACAAATAGCGTCTATCTGGGCAGCACCCGTATTCATGCTTACTATGTTTCGGGTATTGAGTGCCCGGGTGCATAGAGCTATCTGTCAGGGCGAGTCTGAATTTCGATGGACTTTTGGATGGGGATGCGACACTGGAAGGTGTTAGCTTTGTCGATGATCTAACTCGGAGGCCAACATGATCGGAAGAATGATGTATCCTAATTTATCTTACCTTTTCTCGTCCTCGTGGGAGCTAGATGTGTAGCTAGAGTACCGTCTGCCTTTCTTGATTTTCATTGCTTTCTCGGCGTAGCCTCTGCGTGTGGTGCGTTGGTGAAGTGTTGAACAAAGTCCGTCTTGCATTAGTGTTAGAGATAGAGTAAAACAGCACATTCCATGATAATAGAAGAAATTTTTCTGAGTTTAAATGAAATGAAAAGACGAAAAAAAAGTCAAATGGAAGGCAGCAGTTGGTATGAATCCCGGTTTAAGAAACAAAAATCTAAAGAAAGGTGAAGGCAAGAAGAATATAAAAAATTATCTCTTCAATCAACCAATGATCCCTCTTTTCCACCAGGGAATATACCAAGACTTTCATGTGCAGTATTATTGATCATTGGTCTCACTGGGAGAGAACGGACGTTCAATTGCATCATTCCACATCATCGTTGCGACGGCACCTTTTGTTCGGGCGAATGGGACCGGTGTCAAGCGTGACAGCAGGGCAAAGAACCTCAGACCGTGACTCAGGACGAGGTTCAAGACTAGACTCAAGTTTCAAGCGAGAATAAACAGGCTCATGATTGAGCGACAGATCACATACCAGCTCACGGCGTTCGGATAAAGTCGGGGCGGGTCTCGGGGGTGGATGGAAAGACTGAGGCAGAGAATTTGTATCAAGTTCACGATAAAGTAGGGGATCAGGACATTCAACCGCGGTTTTTTCATGGATATATCGGGTTGACTGCATAAGGTGATCAATGGTGTTCAAGGCTGTAGTGATTTGAGCACGCAGTGTGGCATTCTCAGTTTCCAGCCGAGCTTGATTATTTTCCTACTCTTCAACACGGACCTGAGCAATAAACTCGTTCCTGTGGATTGATTCAAGTTTCAGAGCAAGCTTGCGGACTAGACGTTGGGCACCGAGTATATCGCCTAATCCATTGCCTGATTCATTTCCAGGTCCCACGGCATCGAGACCGCCGCCCTCCGGAGCGGAGATCATAACAATATCGGATTGAGGATCGAGCAATTGAGCCGAAGCAAGAGAGGAGTCAGCCGGCACAAGGACCTGTGCTGGTCTTGGACAAATAGGGGAGAGGCCCGATTATCGGTGGCTGTCGGTGGAGAATCACGTCCAACCAGTTCAGCAAAAGCTTCGTCCTCGGTGGAATTGGATTTGTTCAAGATTCTCTTCATTCATTGAGGGTTGACGAATTGGAGGGTATGTCAGAAATGTCGGAAAGAAGGATCCAAATGACTGTAGAGAACAAAGTGAGATAAAGAATGCAGAAAGAAGGTAAGGAACAGAGGTAGGAAATGCGAGAAATGAGAAGAGTGTGATTCCAAGTGATTGGTACTATGGATCTGCAGTGAAGTTAATAGAACGTAAACATTAACATAACAAAAATAAAGGTCTAATACTTCTGCACTGGCTTGTGGAATTAACAAGTGGGCAACCATATAGGGGCATTCTCTTTTTCAAAATAATAATAAGCATAAATAGCCAAGGATCAAGCTGTAGTTTCCAATAAGCTTAAGCCTGGACCACTCTTCTTCTGCTTCCAGCACATACTGTGGTGACATCATACCCTCATCTTCTTGCCATTGAACCCATTGTGATTTGAGAAATTCCCCACGCCCTTCAGGCTCTGTTTATACTATAACCCAGTCCAACCAGTCATATTCTCATCTCAAATCCCACCTCCACTCTAAAACTCGGGCACCGGATCCGGAATAGCCCACATCTCGTATTCAAAACCGCAATCCAGCCCTCCCTACAGCAGACACTTCAGTCAACCCCCAGAACTCTCAACTGATCTCCAAGACAGCCCAGAATGACTTCAGTCCCAACGCAAAACATCTACAACGACCCATCTTTCTTCAACGCATACAGCACGCTCCCGCGCTCGGAACACGGCCTCGCCGGTGCCCCAGAATGGCCAGTCCTGCGAGACATGGTCGGCGGCGCATCGGGTGTGCAAGACCAGATGACTCTGGACCTGGGGTGTGGGTATGGGTGGTTTGCGCGCTGGGCGGCAGACCATGGTGCTAAGCGCGTCAGGGCGATCGATGTCTCGGAGAAGATGATCCGGCGTGCGAAGGAGCTTGACGGAGAGGGGAGGGGTGGTATGATTGACTATGAGATTCGGGACTTGGAGACCTTGACGGCTGCAGAGGACGAAAGGGACAAGTATGATCTTGTCTACAGCTCGCTTACGTTCCACTATGTTGAGGATTTGGGGAGGTTGTTGAGAGAGATTCGTTCTTGTTTGCTCGGAGGGTCTTCTTCCGCTACGAACTTCAAGGCAGGGAAGAAATCTTCGAGCACTAGAAAAGGCAGATTTGTCTTCTCGGTCGAACATCCCATCTGCACGGCCCCTATCTCGCCGGCACCAGACTGGAGCCTGGTTCGCGACGAAACCAACACGGAGCGCAAAGTCTGGCCGTTGAACAACTACAGTGAGGAAGGGCTCCGCGTGACAAGTTGGCTGGGGACAGCTGGAGTGCAGAAGTATCATCGGACTGTCGAGACGTACGTCTCGTTACTATTGGAGAACGGGTTCGTGTTGACGGGATTGAAAGATTGGGTGCCGAGTTTAGAAGACGTCAGGGCCCATCCGGAGTGGAGGGAGGAGAGGCATAGGCCGTACTTCTTGCTGGTTTCGGCAGAGATTGCTTGATGGTACTGCTTTTGTGAAAGAGGAATTCATAGGCTACCTGGGAGTGGCTTTCTCTGGCTCGTATAAACGGTATACTTGTCCTGATGGATCCATGACTCACGACCACTGCGACAATCACCAGTGAGATGAGTCATGCATTATATGCGCATCTTTCAACTGACTGTTGACTGTGAAAGAATCCAATAGAAAAGTCTATAGAGACCGAGAACATATGTCCATATCTGTCCTCATGTATCCTTAACCGCAATATGCCCATCTAAACTCCCTCTATAAGAACCAGCACACCCTCTCCATATGAATGGCAATAAACAATCTCATATCATCTACCTCATAAAATAAACTGCTCAGTCTACCAAGATGTCTACCCTCACGAAATTCACACCCTCCACGCCTAAAGGCCGACGATCACGATCCCCATATCTGTCCGCCAAAACAGCCACCATCTTAATCCTTGCCATCTCGATTTTTCTTTTCCTGATCAGCAAATTCACCCTCCCATCATTCACTACCTCGCAAAGCCCAGATCATAGTATCAACCAGGATCTCTATCCAGATATCCAAGTGGCAGAACAGAACTTCAACCCCAACGCTGATTGTGACCTCGACCTCGACCCTGACATCGAATCCGAAGAACATGACTGTCCGTATTCGGTACCGCATACTCAACGTGGAAGCGAGAAAAAGCAGAAGAATAGTTGGAACTCTTCCTCTTCCGGAGAGTTCTGGATCTCGGATCTAGGTCCTATCGAGCGAATCCATGTGAAGTTGAACTCTTCAACGGCCTAAGGATTTGTGGCTGTATCAGGAGTTTGATACATCTCGTGCTGGGAGGCACTGACGGAGAAATGGTCTAGTTCTGGTGCCGATTGTGTCCCTCGAAGCTGAGGGAGAGCGATGAGGGATTAAGACGAATCAATTACAGTTAGATATAGTTGTTCTCTGTAGCTAAATTCACCGATATACCGAAAGATTGCCTTAATCCCTCTTCACCTCCAACCTCCTCACCCCCCTCAGCCCCCACAGACTAATCGCCACCGACGCAAACCCCAGCGCGCAATTATACCACCAACCAATCCGGTACCCCGCCAGCACCGCCTGCTTACTGCCTCCATCTCGAAGCTGCCCCGTCACCTGCCTGGCGATCAGCGCCGAGCTGGCAATCCCGAAGCTCTTCCCGATCTGCGCCAGCATGTTGAACACGCCGCCCGCCAGCGCCTGCGTGCGGGCCGGAAACGCCGCCGTCAGGATCAGGTTCGCGACCGTGTAGATCAGGTCCGCCCCGAGCGGGTTCAGCGCCATGGCCTGGAACACGCCGCGCCAGTATCCGGGGCCGTCGACGCGGCATAGCGTCGCCAGGAGAAGAGGGGCGATTCCGCTGAGGAGACAGGCCGCGGGCACGGCGACGGAAGGTCGCAGGCGCGGCAGGAATGCGCCGATGGCGGCGTTCATGAGAACCCCGGCGATAGGGGCCGGCAGGAAGTACAGCGATGATACCAGCGCGGAATGGCCGCGCACATCTTCCAGGTAGAGAGCGGTTAGCTGCTCGCTGGCGTTGAGGGCGCCCCAGACGAGGAACACGGTGATGCAGACGGCGGTGAAGGCGGCGTTCTTCCACAGCGCGTTGGGAATCAGCGCGGGACGGTCCCGGCGACTCTGGCGGTTCATCCAGAGGGCGAAGGCTGGGATGAGCGCGACGGATATACAGATCATGGCGAGGTTACCCGGTTCGCGCATTTTGCGCTCCGCGTCGGATCCCGTGGCCACTGCCAGGGCATAGGAGAGGAGGGCCAGCGCGGAGCTGATGAGCAATGCACCGATCCAGTCGACGTCGCGGGACAGACGGCCCAAGGCTCGGAGTCGCAGGGGCTCGCCGTCTACTTTACGGGGCAACGCCCACAGCGCCAGAGCCAGTACCAGGCCGTTCAGAATGGCCGTGGCGTAGAAGCCCCAGCGCCAGCCGATGGTGTCGGAGAACACGCCGCCCAGGACCAGACCCAGTCCGAAACCGACGGCCTGTCCACCGCCCATGGCTGCGAACGCGACGCTCCGCAGACGCGGACTGTCGTTGGCGGGGAAGGTATGCGCGGTGACGCCGACGGCACCGGGCAGACAGAACGAGGACGCCAGGCCCGCCATCGCGCGGAGAGCGATGAGCTGCGTGGACGTGGCAGACAGCCCGGCACCCAGGGCACTGGCGGCCTGAAGCAGGGCTCCGAGAAGGCAAATGCGTCGACAGCCGAGCACGTCGGCGATGGCGCCGCATGGGAGCAGGGTGCAGCCGCAGGCCAGGGAGAATGCAGCGGTCGGCCAGAGCTGGATCTCGGGGGGGATGTACAGATCAGTCGAGATGACGGGAATGCAAACCGTCAAGAATCCACCGAGCAGATTGCCAATGCTCGTAATGCAGGTGATGGAGGCGATGGTGGCGACGATTCGACTTCTGGACAGCGAGGGACTTGACGGTGCATCTTCCACCAGAACATCGAAGGATGGCTGCTCCGGCGTAGCAGTTGCTTCTCGGGCCGGAGCCGACATGATGTGCTCCTCTGGACAGGTTGTCTCTGACTCATGCATCTGGTCGATTCCCTGAGGATGTGTGGTCAGTCACAAAGGGTTCCGGTGGATCGACAAAGGGAATTCCCTGGAAATGTCGTGATAACACGTGGCGTCACTCGAGTCAATGTCGGTCACATTTGGCCTGGACAATTCCCATACAGAGCTGATGGGGATGTTCAGCCTTATTGTATCCTTATTCTTCTCTCAAATTAGTCATTGCTGTTGAAATCCCGATAAAGCTAGAAATCTGACTATGTACCTCTATACACTTCACCCATATATGCTATAAATCCTATGCAACACTGTACAATCTAATATAACCAGCCCAAACCCAAACTCCAATATGTACACCTCAAACTTACCCAATTATATGCACCCAGGCAGACACACCCCCAAACCAAGCACTCAGCCCGTCATACCTCCCTCTCGCCTCCCTCCTCCTTGTCCTTCTTCAACCGAAACAGCCAAATCGACACGCCCACCCCCATAAACGCCAGACTGGTCATGATCCAGGCCAGCCCGATCCACATGCCCCCCAGCTGCAGGCCGATCTGGAAGACGCCGGTGATCAACAGACTGGCGATGACGTTGCCGACGGACTGCAGCACCTCGATGACGGTGAACAGGCGCGCCGTTTCCTCGCGGTGCACCAGCGTCGTGATCAGGGAGCGCGCCAGGTACACGAACGCCGACCCGCAGGTCTGCAGCAGCAGGCTGGGGATGAGCGTGGCGATGGTGGGCGACAGGCCGATGCCCAGGGTCCCGACGGCCAGGCAGATGATGCTGATGCGCGCCAGCGTCAGGTCCTTCTGGATCTGCGGCATGCGCGCCAGCAGGTGGCGCGACACGGCGGGCAGGATGATCAGGAACAGCGGGATGGTGAGCGCCGGCTTGAAGGCGATCAGGAAGTTGGCCTGCGAGATCGTCCAGTTGTAGCGCGTGGAGATGTACTGGATCAGGAACCAGGAGGAGCCGCGGCTGAGGCGGTAGACGAGGAAGGTGCTCAGCAGCAGGATGATCTGGCGGCTGCGGAAGATGAAGGTATACGGGGCGACGTAGTTGCGCAGGTAGACGCGCACGCGGGTCAGCAGCGGCGGCTTCGGGGCGGCGGCGGAGGCGTCGGCGGGCGCGACGAGAGGGTCCGACGCGTCATCGTCGTCGTCGTCCTTCAGGGGTTCCGGACGTTCTTGCTCCTTGCTCAGGGAGCGCTTGAGGTCGCCGTCGGAGAGGCGCGAGAGCTCGACGCTGGCGGAGTCCCGCGCAGGCGGACAGGCGTGCATCGTCTCGGGCAGGGACAGCGCGCAGAACACGCCGACGATGGTGACGCCCCATCCGAGGAACAGCGGCAGCCAGGGGTCCATGGCCATGAGCCAGGAGCTGGCGGCGTTGGAGGCGAAGTCGGCGCCCATGCTGGCGACGCCGAATTTGAAGAACATGGCCGCCCTGACCGGTCAGAACAGCCTCCAGATCCAATAGACGGAGCACTCACCTCTCGTCCTCCGTCGTCACGTCGGACATCATCGTCCAGATAATGGCAAAGGCCACGACGGGACCGCCGCCGAACAGCCAGGACAGACACGAGATCCAGACGGTCCGCAGCGGAAAGACGTCGGGATACCACATCACGGCGAATTGGATGGCGCAGTTCAGCGCAAAACCGGGGATGCTGAGGCAGATGGTGGGTTTGCGACCGCGTCGATCGGCCAGCAGACCGTAGGGGATGGCCATGAAAATACTCAGGATGCCGTCGAAAAACTCCATGTATCCCTTCACGGCGGCCAGCTCGGACTGCACGTCCTTGATCTTACACAGCTCCTCGTCCACCTGGCCGTTGGAGGCGATCTGCGTGGGGTCGTAGTGGGCGTAGTAGTCGCGGCAGACGATGGATTCGTAGATGCGAGTGACGGGCCCGCCGGCCATCACCAGGCCGACCTCGACGGCCAGGATCATGGTGAAGAGGGTGACCATCAGGCGCAGTCGCAGGTTCGGGTCGATCGCGTTGGGCTGGTCGTCATCGCCGACGGACTTGTCGTCGAAGTCCTCGGCCAGGTCATTCTGGCGATGGGGCATGGAGGGCAGGTGGCTGTCGGAGGCCAGGAAGGGCACATCTTCGCTTTCCCGGTCACGGCGTTCTAGGGGCATCGTTCTGATGGAGCATTGGCCTTGGATTCTGGGATTGGTTTTCGTTTTGTTTGTGTTTTCTTTTTCTTTTTCTTTCCCCGGTGGGGAGACCAGAAAAAAAGACAACGGGTACAGAGGGCCGATGGAAATATACGGAGTTACGTGCGCGAGGTCAACCAGCGTCAAAAGGGGCGCCGAGCGAAGTCGGGAGGAAAGAAGTCACGATGAAAAAAATGAATGACACGGGCGGCTGATTGGGCCGATTCAACGCCATGAGATTGCAGTGCCATCTTCAGCTCCACTCGGCCGCTATTGTTAGTCCAGGGGCCGGATGCGGCTTATGACGGTGATCGCGGACTGCGTTGTCGCCAGCCTCCAGGGAACTGACAGGGACGATCAGGTCGAGGTTGGACTACTGAACCACGGGTCGAGGTGTCAACTTGACAGACAGACAGACTGACTGACTGACTGACAGAAGAGACACAGAGAGACACAGAGAGAGAGAAAAACAGGGAGAGAGAGATGGAGAAATGCCAAGCTGGTCAGAGCCCTCTCGGCCAATCAGCGCTTGAGCCCCTGACGGTGGGCCAATCGGGCTGCAGTGCCGCATGTAGATTGGCAGACCCCTATTGGATCTATAAGATCCCTTACCTGAAGGTAGGTTATGGACATCATGGATGGATCTATAGACATGTATCGATTTACCTGGACCATGGCCCAACATCCTCCAGCACCCCCCTCGTCCCCTCCCGCGCAAACACCATCTGCGTCACATGGAGCACCTTCTCGCTGAATCCCGCCTCCGTGTACGTAAAGTAGTAGACGTACTTCCGCCGGAACACCTGCACCTCCGCCTCCGACAGCCCATACTCCTGGCGCAGTGCAGGCCCAATCCGCCTCTCGAACTGGTCGACAAAACTCCCTCGCCACTCGGCCAGCGCCCGGGCGTAGTGCGCGTCGTATTCCTGCAGAGATTCGAGGCTGAGCCGGCATTGGGTGCCCTTGTTGACGGCTTCCAGGAAGCGCGTGAGGCTGGTGTTGTGGCCGCCGGGGAAGATCTGGTCGGTGGATTAGCCGTCATCTTGGTCGTGGGGAGAGTAGGGGAGAGACTGACGTAGCGGGGGATGAACCTGGAAATGTCCTCGGTGTGTTAAAGAAGCTGTGAGAAGTAAGAGGGATCCATGGATAAGGACTCACCCTTCCCCCTTGGGAAACTGGTTGATATACCGCTGTTCTCGTTAGCCTCCGGTCCCCTGAAGCTATCCCATATCCAATAAATGCAGGACTGCAAAATACCGATTCTGGCATCACGACCGTCTGCACACACGCCAGCCCTCCCTCCCGCTTCAACATCCGATCCACGACACCCCAGATCACCTCCAAGTCCTCGTTCAGATTCGCCTCGATCATCTCGATCGCCACGAACTTGTCGTACGGGACTTCCGGCACCGGCAAGGACCGATAATCGCACAACAGGACCGTGATCTTCTCCCCCAACCCCGCCTCTTCGATTCGCTGCTCTGCCAGCTCCTTTTGTCGCTCAGATAGTGTGATGCTGGTGACGCGGCAGCCCGTGGTGCTGGCGGCGCGGATGGCCATGCTGCCCCATCCGCTGCCAAATTCCAGCAGGTGGTCCGTAGACTCGAGGTGCAGACTCCGGATAATGCAGTCGAGTTTGCGATACTGCGCTTGTTCGAGTGTGTCGAGGGCGTGATCGGGGTGGGACTGGGGGAGATAGATGGGGCCGGAGTAAGTCATGTCCGGAGACAAAAAGGCGGCGAACATGTCGTTGGAGAGGTCGTAGTGTGCGGCCACGTTGAGGGCGGTGCGCTGGACGGTGTTGGTGTCGGTGGTGCGGAGCAGGAGGTCAGAGACGGCGGCGAAGATGGTCGAGGTGCGCGTGGTGAAGTTGGACAGACTGTCATGGTTGCGGATGAAGATCTTTTGCTCACATTCAGCCCTATCCATGAGAGATTCGGGTGCCGTTGGTCAATTACCTGGAACACAGGTTTTAGATCGGTGGTGATTTCGCCGAGCATGAACAAATCTGCGAATCCCTGTTTTGATCAGCCGGCATTCGGGAAACGGACAGTCAAAGAAGTTCTTACGATGTCTGCAGATATCAAAATCCGATACCAAAACCGCGGATCATGGACTTGGATGCAGGCACTGGGGCCGGTCTTGGTAGACCCAAACGTCCACTCCTTGCCATCGGATGAGCGGATCTCCAGATATCCTTTTGCGATGCCTGTCAGGGAAGACAGCACTAGTTTCCTGGCAATATCAGTGGAAATGAGCTGGACACTGCTCCAAAGCAGGGTGGATTGCGCGCCATCGAGCACGCGTTTGGCGACCGACCCAAGAACTCGACCCAGGTCCATGTTGGATTGCCTAGGAATGATACAATCAAGAGAAGTATGGTCTATAGCGTCAGACTTTCAGAGCTCCTGGAGGAATCAGAGGGAAAGGCCACCTTTTTATTCGTTCAAGCTAACCAGTTCAAAAAGCACGCACGGCTTGAACCGATAACGCGCATGAGCTAGATCTTAGAAATCCTCCAAGCCATTGGAACTTCATGCTTATTATTCGCTGCTACCGAGTGACGAAAGATTTTAGTCCTCCAATCCTTGCTAGATCCGGTAACAAGCATGAGAATTGGCGTCGGCTAGATTGACCCTATCTTGCAACCCGGCGTCAGTATCGGATGGTGATTGTCGACCAGACGAAGAGTGATGAAGTCCCAAGTTGAAGCTAGCATGCTCGAGCTCTGTCAACTGTCGATGCTAAATCCATGCGTCGAATTGCCTTTGTTTCAATGGATACATCCCCGACGGGTGCGCAGGCGGACATTTTGTGGAAGTTCTGAATTGAAGACGTTCATTCAGACGGATTGAAGAACGCCCCATATACTCTTCTTCAAATCTCCGCATCAGCATCGGCGCATGCCATCCACCTAATGCACCATGACGCATCGTGCAGACGCCAACGATGCCGTTGGGCCCACGCGGTTGAACGTGATTCGATCTCCGGCTCTGCGACGATGCAGATGTTGATCCGGACTGCCCGGTCATTGGAGTTATGCGATGCATGCGTTGGCCGGCGTAATCTGGTTTCATCGACAGCTCGGGGCCCCCATTTCTGAACCTATAAAACCATCCAGAGCTTCACACTGTCTGTTACTCATTGCCAAGCCCATTATCTTTAGCACAATAACCTGATAAAGTCACGAAACCATGTCCGTCAAGGGAAGAGAGACTAAATCCGCCGTCGGAGGCGCCCATCGCTCCATCCAAGACCTCTTCGGGATGGACGAGCGAACTGTTTTGAGTACGCCCCATTCCAAGTGCCTCTCGCTTCTCGAGGGACCCAAGATCTGATGCGATCCAGTCACCGGCGGCGGCGGCGCAATGGGATTAGAAGCGGCGCGCACGATTCTCGAAACCGGCGGCGACGTGATCTGCCTCGATCGACAGGACGAACCTCTCGTCGAGCCATGGAGTATGCCTCTTCGTCAATCTATCTGTCGGCGACTGGCTTTGTCCCCGATGTCTGTTGAGTCATTGCTAACATCACTGCGTGCCGTCGCCCTCAGAAACGGTCGAAGAAACCGCCTCCCGCCATGCCACCAAAGCATGGTACTTCCGATGCGACATCAGCGATGACGAGCACGTCCGCGCGACCGTCGCCACTGCGGTCTCCGGCGCGCGGTTCCCCTTGCGCGGGCTGCTCTGCTGCGCCGGCATCAGCGGCGAAGCGCCCTCCATCGAGTATCCCGTCCAAGGCGTCCGCCGCGTGATGGACGTCAACGTCGCGGGAACGTTTGCGTGCGCGCAGGCAGCCGCACGCGAGATCAGGAAGCACGGGCTGCCCGGCAGTATGGTGTTGATTGCGAGTATGAGTGCGCATGGGTCGAATAAGGTGCGGCTTGCCCGTTCTCCTGGTCATTGAGGCTTTCGATCACTGACACGGGCATGGGCATCGTCCAGGGAATCGACACCGCCGCCTACAACGCGTCCAAGGCGGCGATCGTGCAGCTGGTGCGCTCGCTGGCGGCCGAATGGGGCAGTCGAGTCGATATCCCTCTCATCCGCGTGAATTCCATTTCGCCCGGGTACATCAGGACGCGCATGACGGTGGACTCGCTGGCGGAGCCGGGCATGGAGGAGCGATGGACCCAGGATAACATGCTGATGCGCTTGAGTGAGGCGCATGAGTATCGCGGCGCTATCTTGTATTTGCTCAGTGACGCAAGCAGCTTTGTGACGGGGGCGGACCTGAGGGTTGACGGAGGACACACGGCATGGTGATTGGGATTATCGATGCATTTTCCTTGTATCAGATCCATTTCTTGCCAGGGTCTTTGTGGTGGTGGATGGTAGGATCATTGGTAACTGAGTCCAGTCTCAGTTCAGTCGACATAACTTTGAATCTCATCTACCGAGGCCTAGTCTTAGTCTTCAATCCAGTCTCTTGAGCATTCTCCGATATATGAGCCCTGCCATTACAAAGGCAATAGCAGTCAAAAAAACTGAGCTATTTTTTCTGTTGCCGTTCACGTTTCCTGCGTATTTTACAATGTAATATAAAGGAATCCTACAATTCAATTTACAGAACATCCGAAACAGCTATAGAGAAATTAATCAGACAAAATAAAAATAATAAATACTAGTCTTAAGGAGACATGACGCCAGTCCTGTCTACACAACGGCCGAGTCTGAGCAAATATGGATAAATAGCAGTTTCCCCTCAATCTTCTTGACGCCATGTCGTCATAACGTGCATTGCTGATTACAGAGCCTTGGTCAGACAAGCAGCTTCAACCACCTACAAGGGGCTAAGGATGCTCCGTAAGCTTAGCGGTCATTAATAATCCAAAGAAGCAAAGTCATTCAAGAATTCATGATTATTCAATTGATATATCGTTCGTTGACAAATGTTGACTAATCACAAAAGTGTCAGTACATCACAGCACGAGTATCTTGCTACCTATATATTCAGCCGATTCGCCGAGCCAAAAGCCATTTCAACCGTCCTTTAGAGACATTCTCGTCATGGCGGCCCCCCTCTGCGGGGTCGACAGTAGACGTGTCGATCATCAACGGCGGGCATTTCACCGTGCCTCTGGCGTGGGTGGTCAAGGGTTCCATACCAGGGCACGAGATCCTGAGCACCCCCTGCTACAGCTTCTTGATTGAAAGCAAGAGCCAGGGGGAAAGAATTCTCTTTGATCTGGGTTTCATGAAGGCCTGGAAAGAGAAACAGCCCCCGTCAAGTGAGCCCCGATCCTGCTAGATGGTGTATCAAATTCAACCGTATTAACTACCGACCAGTCCTGGGTCAACTGGAATATGCCGGCGCCAAAGTGACCGTCGAGAGAGACGTTGCTGACCAGCTGCGTGCCGCCAACGTCCCTCTCGAGTCGATCAACGCAATCGTCTGGTCCCACCACCACTTCGACCACACCGGAGATCCATCTCTTTTCCCGACATCCACTTCGCTGGTCGTCGGCCCCGGGTTCAAGACCAACTCGACCACATTCCCGGGGTATCCCGAGAACCCCGAGGCGGTGGTTTTGAGCGATGCGTTTGACGGACGTGAGGTTGTCGAGCTCGACTTCTCAAATGTCCCATCGCGCGTCGGCGGATTCCCAGCCGTCGATTACTTTGGAGACGGGAGTTTCTTCCTCCTTCGATCCTTCGGGCACAGTCTGTCTCTTCCAATCCATGGGGTTACGGTAACGCTAACGGCCTCCAGCACACGATCACGTCAGTGCCCTAGCCCGCACTTCCGAAGGCAAGTTCATCTTCCTCGGCGGCGATGTCGCCCATCATCCCGGAGCATACCGACCGACGCCCCTTCTGCCTCTTCCGGACGAAATCGTCCCGTCGCCCTTGGACACGCCGAGGTCGTCCTCTGTCTGTCCGGGTAGTGTCTTCGCAGCCGTTCACCCGGCCCGGGCGGCAGAACTGGACTGCCGCATCACGCCTTTCTACGAGCTGAATCCGGCGATGAACGCGTCTCTCGACGATACGCAGATCGCCGTGGATAAGATGAAGGCATTGGACGGGGCGGCGGAGGTGTTTGTGATCATCGCGCATGACGAGAGTCTGCGGGACATTCTGCCCTTCTTTCCGAAAAGAATCAACGACTGGGATGAAGCCGGCTATAAGAGGGTGGGGACGTGGAGGTTCCTAAAGGATTTTGTGCAGGGTGTCCAGGGGAGAGAGTAAATCAATGCTTATACCTCGGGGAGATCCCAAGGGTCTATCAGAATGCCAGAACTGGTTGCAACAATGATCGGGACAGGACAAGCGTGGTTGCTGGTTGATGCTTGTCGTTTCCTGGGGAATTTTCAGATGGGAATACGGGAATTCAACTCCATGGGGTGGATTGCAGTCATAGAATCAAATTATTCCTGCTTTATTCAACAACGTCTCGGTGGCGCAATTGGTTAGCGCGTACGACTGTTAATCGTGAGGTTGAGAGTTCAATCCTCTCCCGGGACGTTACTTTTTTGTTTTGTTTTTTGCTTCCTCACCTAACTTGACCTATCTGTGTCTGTAGCTTTTTTTTATTGATCATACTCATTACTTGCGCGGCGAAAGCCACGAATATCATAACTGTGCATTTTATCGCGTGATCCATACTAGGTTCCCAGGTGCCGGCAGTGATGTGGCTACCTGACCATGAATATATATCTTCAGGGATCCACCTACCGCTCGGGCTAAGGATTGGTCCAGAGATACAGAGTGCAGAGTCAATATATCTTCTACAATGGCTACGAACGCGTTATTGTTCTGATCCTCGAATCGTAATAGAACTAGATATTCCAGACTAACACTACCACGGAATGATGTATACCAAGAGCGGAAGAAAGATTATGCGGACCCCGACCAAAACAGGGCCAGCAGGTTGCAGAGTTCACTGCGGGGTGGGAAATAATTGAATCGATTCGCGTATATACAGTTCCAAGCACGCAGGCAACAAAACACAGACTCCAGTGCCAGATACAGAGGCCCCCGCCGGAAATCCTCAACACCAAAACGACTCCAGTCTAGGCCGTAGAAGCGAGTCTATCACGCCACCGATGAATACAACCCTGAAGGAAAAGGCAAATGGATGGAATAATGCGCGTACGGAAGGAGCGGACCCTAACATCCAGTCGGAGACGCGAGATCGAGAGAAGGGAAGAATGCAATGCCCGCCGAGCCGAGAGAAAGAGGCGCCGCGATGAGGACAGGGATACAAAGGAAACCGTTTTTTTAGAGGGGTATACCGCTGAAAACACAGAGGGGAATGGAAGAGAAGGGAAGAGAAAGATGGGATTAGTCGGAAGGAAAAGGCAATGAGTGAGGAAGAACAATAAAAAAATAAAAAAATAAAATAAAAAGTAGTTCGAAACGGGAGAAAAGAGTGAAGAATGTAGGCTGTGGTTACGCCACGGAGGATTGATGGGCAGTGTGAGCCCCGACAAGCGCTGGGAAGCAAAGTTAGCCATCATTTTGCCAGTCTCGGTGGGAGTAAAGGGGGCCAAAAAAAAAAAAAAAAAAAACTTACTCTGCAGGACAAAGGCCTGTCCCTGTCTCGATTCGCAGGCACATTGAAGCGTCCTCCCGTCCAGGAACTCCAGCAGGATGCTATTGGGGAGCTCCTGACAATCCTCGTCGGGCAGACAGGGGGTGCGGAATTCGGTCAGGTGGTATCGTTTGATCATGTTGCGGTTGCTGGAATCGATGTTGCCCGGCGTCAGCACCACGAACCCCTTGTCATCGATGCGGATGAATCGTCGTTTCCACAGCAAGGTGTCCGGGAACTGCACGTTGACCTCGCCGATGTCCACGGCCTGAGCCGCCTCGGCGGTAGGTTCCAGCTCCGTGGCTTCGGGGCCACTCGGCGGCTCCTCCTTCACCACGGGGCTCAAGGCGCCGGCCGAGCCCTTGCGGGAGTTCGACGTGATCGACGACATGCGGCGGAGAATCCGAGACGTGCGCGATTCCCGCCGGTCCTCGGGCGACGACGGCGCGTCGCCGCGGTCGGTGCGGGACGCCGAGGAAACGGACAGCCGGCTCTCCGAACGGTGCAGGGTGGGCGAGACGGACCGCGGGCCCGACCCGGCGGACGACGTCGACATGCTGCGCTGGTCGGATTTGCCGGCCGTCGACTGGGGGGTCAGGCTCGGCGCCGGCGCAGGCGAGGGGGCATCGGCGGTCTCGTGCTCGACGGTCAACTGGCTGGGCTGGAGATGCAGGACGCCCGACGCGTCCGGAGGCGTGCCGTGCGTCGGCTCGCCCGGCGTCGCGCCGGCGTCGCGCACGATGCGCGCGGTGACGGAGACGGAGCTGGGGGCGCGCGGAGCACCGGCACTCGAGTCGCGGCGACGGAGGCTGGCGGCGCGCGAGAAGGGCTCGGGCGAATACGACGCGTGACGGGAGGGGGGCGTGTCGGAGTGGCCGCCCAGGGACACGGAGGCGCGCTTGCGAAGGGTCTCGAAAGAGGACGAGGCCGACGACGGGGCGGCCAGGTTCGGGGCGGAATGCGACGGCGCGTCGCGATGGCCGGAGAACTTCTCCAGGGCCTGGATGCGCTTCGAGATGCCGGACGACACGTTGATCTTCTTGGCGACCAGGACGGGGTTCGTGGCGCCGTCCATCTCCGGGTACGGGGTGGACACCGATCGGCCGACGGCCAGGGCCTGGTGCAGAGGGTTGTTGAGGGACTGGCCGCCGACGGCGCTGGGGTTCGAGACGGCGCGGGAATTCCGCCAGGCGTCCGGGCTCGTCCGATCGTGGCCGGCGTGGTGGTTCGAGTATCCCGGCGACAGCGGCGACTTGCCGACGGAAATGGGCTTGGCTTCTTCGACGGTGGCGCTCTTCAGTTCTTCCATGAAGGAATCATCCGAGAAGTTGTCGTCATCCGAGTAGTCGGGGGTCGGCACCTGGATGGGCTCGAGGAACGGCTTGCGTTTGTCCTTTCGATGGGCGGCGGCCTTTTGTTGCGCGACGGGGATTTCAGGGGCGAGTTCACGCGGCGGCTCGGAGGCCTCCGCGGCGATGACGGTGGTCGGGGGGGATTCAGGGATGGACGGGGGTGGGATCGGGGAGGCGGACGGTTCCCCTGTCGCGTCGTCGTCGTCCAGCGCACCGGAAATGACAGGGTTTTCGGTCGGTGGGGACGGAGTCTCAATAATTTCTTCTGGAGCCTTCAGGGATTGGGCCTGTTCCGGTGGGACGTCGATGACGGCGCTAGGCGAGTCGGGGCCACTTTTAGCAGCAGGCAGGGCCGACTCAGCGTCGCCCGCGTCGGTTTCAGGTTGGCCGAGCGTCTGTGCTTCTGGAGCCGCCTCCTGCGCCGAGATTTCGCCCCCGTCATCCTCGTCGTCGTTGTCGGTCGGAGGAGGGAGGGTCGACGCCGGCACGTCGAGCGGACCCTCGTCAGCCTGGCCGGGAACGACGACCTCCTTTATTTCCGGCGGCGCGGACGCCTCCGCATCGGTCTGTCTTAAGGAGGCCGCATCCGCCGCGGGGGATGGCTCTGTTACCTCCTGTGCGATAATAGGGGCTGGCCGAGGTTCCGCCAAAGGGGTAAGGGATCGGCTCGAGTCGTCGACCGGGGCCGACTTTTCCTCCTGCCGACCGGGGCCCTGGTCCTCCTCCAGATTCTCCTTGTTCTCACGGGGGCTCATCGCCGCCGGCCGGTGTGGCTGCGGCGACGGTCTGTCGCCGTCCACGGCCTTCGAGGTCTTGCCGTTTCCTCCTCCCTGCGCCTTCTTTTCCAATTGCGTCTTGCGAAGTTGGAGTGCCTTCATGAGGCGTTCCTTCTCCTGCGACGTTCCCGAGGACGACAGGGCACTCAACGACTTGGCCCCCGGAGACAAGGGAGGCCGGGAGACGGACGTCGACAGCGGCGGCACGAGCAACGGAGGCACGGGAGGAGCGGATTTGCCGGGCGTGGCGGCGGCGACGGCGGTGCTGCCTTGCGATCGGGGACGCGCGGTGGGCGGGCTGTTTTTGCGCAGCGACGACGAGCGCACGCCGGCGGGCAGGGAGGCGACCGGCCGCTGCTGTTCGATGCCGCGGGAGAGGTTGCCGGCCGTCCGCGGGCGTCCGTTCACGTCCACGGAGGGACGAGGACCCCGCTTGACCTTTTGCGGGTACGTGCCGGTGCGCTCCAGGTCTCGCAAGGACGGCCGCGCGGACTGGGAGGATTTCCGCGACTCGGAGGGCGGCGGGGGCTGGGCCAGATCCTCGCGGAAACTCCTCAGGGAGAGCGCGCGGTCGCCATCGGGAGTGTCGAACGCGGCGGGCGGCGCGTGGTCGTCGTTGTTGTTGTTGTTGTTGTCGTCGTCGTCGTCGGCCGCCGGGTGTTCGGGGGTCGGAACGGCGGACAAAGAGGGCGGTGGCGGCGGATGACTCTGAGCGTCCGGAGCGGCCACGATGGTGGCGTCGGACAACTGACTGAACGACCGCTGCCGGGCGTTGGCGACGGGGGCAGCAGCCGTCGGGTCGGGCTCCCGGGCGGCGGAGGGTTCTTCTGCGTCTTCCGCGATCTCCATCAGCCTGCGACGGCGGAGTGAGCTCGAGGAGGAGGTGATAGAACCTGAGGCAGTATGCAGCAGACACGCGGAGGACAAGGCGCTCTCGGTGAGTTGGGCGGATTGCGACAGGGTGAAGACGGTATCATGGGGGGAGAATTTATCGAGGACGGATTGAAAGTGGACGGTGGTGCGGGCTGCGCGAGAAGGATGGGGTCAGTCCGAGCGAGAGAGAGAGGGAGGGAGGGAGGGAGTGAATCGATACCTTGGACGAGGCGAGACAGGCCCTCGGGCAGATAGCTCAGTACGACCTTGCGACGACGATATTGGAGAAAGCCGTATAGGGGGGAGACCTCCTCGTAGGCGTCAATGGCGCAGCGGACGTCAGGCACGCCGCCGGTGCCTCGTTCGAACAGGGCGACTTCATCCCGGGAGACGTAACGCAGCAGGAACCTGAGACGGAGATTAACGAGACTGCGGGGAAGCCAGGGGGAATGACGGGGGGACATACCATCCTCCGGCTTCATGCAAAGCGACGTGGTAGGCATCGACGACGGCGGGAATGTCTAAGCCATTGAGCGACATGACGGTGGTGGCATTGGAGAGGGAGAGGGAGAGGGAGATGAAGATGAAGATGGAGGTGGAGGTGGAGAGGCGATGGAGAGGGACAGCAGATGCAAGCCGATCGCAGGAAGGAAGGGAATGGAGAGAGAGAGAGAGAGATGTAGAAGGCAGGAAGGCGATGGAATCCCTCTCCCTGCGGCCCGAGAAGCGGGACCAGATGAACGATTGCAGAAGTGCAGAAGAAGTGCAGATGGAATTGAATTGCAGATTGAAGATTGAAGATGGAGGTTGAGCGACGTTCAGGGGTTCAGGCGAGGGGCGTTTCTGACTGGCTGTCGTCCCCACGTTTTTTTTTTTTTTTTTTTCTTTCTTTCTTTCTTTCTGTCACGGCGGAATGCACTTCCGGTTCTTCTCGTTGCATTACATCTTCTTTGGTTCATCTGCAATCCTCTAGACGCTTTCCAATCCTCTATTCTCTTCGCTACAATGTTTAGTAGACTGTAGGAGCTCTCCGCCCCTCGGCGACCCCCGATCTCCCGACCAGTATATATTCCATCTTCGTCTTCCCTTTCATCCTCCACTCTAGATCTCTCTTCTATCGATCCTCCATCGTAGCCATGTCCCTCCCCCCGTCCCATACCCTGCCCTCGCTGTCTCAGCCTGACCAGTTCCGCGTGCTGGACACGCTCTTCGAGTCCTCCGCCGATCTGCACGCCCTCATGGCCCCCGTCCTGGCCAGTGAGGCCTTCGCCTCGTATGCCCACCTCGTCGACGCCGTCGGGACTCGCCTGTCCGCCCTCGCCACCACCCACTCCCCCGCCGATCGAACCGTGCTGCTGGGCATCCTGGGGTCCCATCCGCGACTGGGACGTCCGCCGACCGTCGAGGCCGAGGCTCTGAGTGAGTTGAGCCGCCAGGAACAGGCGCAGTTGAACGCCGGCGCGCAGGATCTGGCCGAGCAGTTGGCGCGCTTGAACGCCGAGTACGAGCAGACCTTCCCGGGGCTGCGATTCGTGTAAGGCCCGGCGCTGGAGTCCTGCAAGTGCGACACTGACGCTGGTAGAACGTTTGTCAACGGGCGCAGTCGCCCCGAGATCATGGCGGAGATGCGGCGTCGCATCGATCGCGGACAGGCCGACCGCGAGATCGAGGCGACCATCCAGGCGATGTGTGAGATTGGCCAGGATCGGGCGCGGAAATTGGAGAAGTAGCATTTCGCATTTCGCATTTCGCATGTAGCATTTAGTACTCGAATCGTGGCGTGGAGACACGTGAAACCCTGGACCGGCGGAGTTGATGTCATTTCCCTGAGCCGATGATCCAATCCAATTTAATTCTTTCGCCCCTCTTCTCTCCTCTAGACCATCGTCTTCTCCCTCTTCTCCCTCTGCTTCTTCTTCCTCTTCTACATGCGCCGTCCTGCGCGTCGACTGGACCATGGCGGAGACGGAGAGTCCCCAGGCGTCCGTTCCTGCCATCGTCACCAGCCTGGCCATTCCGGAGAATGAGAATGTCCAAGACAGTCCGCAGTCCGCCAAACCGGGCTTCCTGCGCTCTTCGCAGTCCTTTCCCATCGGTCGGTGCTTATGACGCTTTACAGTCCCCCTCCTGCTGACCGACGATCAGGCTCGCTGCCCTCCGATCGGGCCTCTGCCTCCAGTGGCAATCCGCTCGACGCTCGTCGCAATTCTCGTCCCGTCAACGGCCGAACCTCCGTCTCCTCGCCCACCGTCTACGAGACCAGCGCCGACGCCAGCGCCATCGATCCCTTGTCCCAGGTATCTTCTCCGTCGATCCCGTTCTCACCGGGATCCCCGGGTCGCTGACAGACCGTCTAGCATATCATCAAGCGCACCAATACCCACAAGTCCATTCCCTTGAAACTCCTCGGCAGAGCCTCCTACGAGGCCGACCATCCCAGCCCCGTCGAACAGGGCCCAACCCGGCCAGATGTCGTGCCACCCCAGAAGCCCGCCAGAGAGAAGAAGTGAGTCGCCTGATAAACCCCCCTCCCCGCCGTTGCAACCGAGGCTGACGGCCTCTTCTCTCTCTCTCGCCCTCCCGCAGAAAAGGTGTCTCCTTCCTCAGCCGCATCATCGGCGGCAAGAAGAAGGGCCAATTCCTCGAGGACGAAGACGATGCCTCCGAACCGGATACTGCCCGCATGGAGGCCGACACCGCCGCTCAGCCGATCGGATTCTTTCCTCGATTCCCCCGTCCGCCCAAATACATCCGGGTCCGAGCCCATTACAAGAAGGAGAAGACCTTTAACCGCGTCTTCGTGGCGCAGGAGCTCGAAGGGGCCGACGACGACGACGTCGCCCTGTCGGACCGGGACGCGCCCGTCTCGACGACCGGCACGCTGATCGGCAAGACCGCCGGCAAGGCCGTGTGGGCGTTGGTCTTCTCCAATGACGGCCGTTACCTCGCGGCCGCCGGTCAGGATGGCAAGGTTCGCGTCTGGGCCGTCATCGCGTCGCCCGAGGATCGGCGGGAATCCGACCCCGAAGGCGACGGCGGCCTCGACGACGACGACGAGCCGCCCCCCTTGAAAGCGCCCGTGTTCAAGCCGAAGCCCGTCCAGGTGTACGAGGGTCACACCGGGAGTGTGTTGGATCTGAGCTGGAGCAAGGTAACGAGCCCCGCGCCCCCTGGGGAGAGAGAAGGTCGTATCCTAACCCCCGCCGTCAGAACAATTTCCTCCTCTCCTCGTCCATGGACAAGACCGTTCGATTGTGGCACGTCACCCGACCAGAGTGCCTCTGCTGCTTCCAGCACAGCGACTTCGTCACGTCGATCCAGTTCCACCCGCGCGACGACCGGTTCTTTCTGGCAGGCTCGCTCGACACCAAGCTGCGCCTGTGGAGCATTCCCGACAAGAGCGTGGCCTTCGTCGCCACGGCCCCGGACATGGTCACCTCGGTCGCCTTTACCCCGGACGGCCGCCACTCGATCGCCGGCTGCCTCAACGGCATGTGCAACGTCTACGAGACCGACGGCCTGAAGGCCGTCGCGCAGATCCACGTGCGCTCGGCGCGCGGCCGCAATGCCAAAGGCAGCAAGATCACCGGCATCGACGCCATGAGCGTCCCCGCAGGCGACCCCCACGGCGAGGTGAAGTTGCTGATCACCAGCAACGATTCGCGCATCCGCCTCTACAACTTCCGCGACCGCATCCTTGAGGCCAAGTTTCGCGGCAACGAGAACACCTGCAGCCAGATCCGCGCCTCGTTCAGCGACGACGGCCGCCACGTCATCTGCGGCAGCGAGGACCGCCGCGCCTACCTGTGGCCGACCGCTCCGTCGGAGAAGGCGTCGTCGGCCGACAAGCGCGCCGTCGAGGTTCTCGAGACGCAGTCGGCCATGGTGACGGCGGCCGTCATGGCGCCGGCCAAGGTCAAGCAGACCCTGGGCCTGTCGGAGGATCCGATCTACGACGTCTGCAACCCGCCGCCGGTGACGCTGGTCAACCAGGCCGAAGCTGCGCACAAAGACAAGGAGCAGCAGCATCAGCCCGCCCGTCGCTCCTCGGGCCTCGCCAGCCTGACCCGGGAATCCCCGACGTACCTGGCGCGGTCCAGCCATCCCGACGGCAACGTCATCGTCGTGGCCGATTATTCCGGCAAGATCAAGATCCTGCGGCAGGACTGCGCCTACCACAAACGCCGCTACGATAGCTGGGATACGCACTCCACCATCTCGCGCCGACTGTTGCGGCGCACCAACTCGGCGCGCCACAGCATCGCGTCGTCGATCGGGAAGGAGTCCGCGCACAAGACGCCGTCGGAGCGCATCATCGCCTGGCGCAATTCCGTCATCGGCCACCACCGCGAGGGCTCGCGGCAGGGCACGCGAACTCGCACGCCGTCTCCGCATCGCTTCGCCGACCGGTCGCGTCTGTCCAGCCCCCGACCCGGCGGCGCCGACTCGCGCTCGGGGTTCACCACCTCGCCGCCGCCCTCGGCCTATAAGTCCAGCATGGACCGCCGCACGTCCAGCTCCGTGGAAAGCGCCCGGTCGAGCGTCGATGCCCCCGCAGGGGCCGACGGCGCCTCGCGGCCGGACGAGCCGAAACCGCCCGCGTCCGCGGCGTCGGTGATTGCCCAGGGGCGGGACAAGGACAACCCCTTGTGGCTGCAGGGCGACCACAGTTATGCCTTCTACAACCGAATCGCCCACGACGCGTTGGCCGCGCAACAGCGACGGCCGCCGAGTCTGCTCAGCCCCAATCGACTCTCCGCGTCTCACCGCAAGATCAGCACGGCCAGTGCCCTGAGCAGTGACTATGGATCATCGCACGGGGAAGCCGAGGAGGGCGACGTCCTCCGATGCGATACCTGCCAGGGCACCAACTTCCGCGCCACCAAGGGGCGAAACGGAAAACAGAAATTGATTTGTGTGCGCTGTGCTCGGCCGATCAGCTGAATTTCAGAGCATGTGTCTGGACTGAAGATGTGGACTTCCCTTGATCTCTTCTCTCCTTATCCTCTTACCCCATTTCCCCTCCGTCCTTCCCCACTTTGTTCCTGTCTCATATCCATAATATTTTGGAGTTTGTGTATACTGTTTTTGGTTCCATGTTTCTATTCATGACGGCATTGGGATGTGTCCATACGCGTGGGGCTGTATGTAGCTGACGATGAACGGGTTGTAATTAGACATGTATAGTATGAATTGATGATTAGATGGTATGTCGAGAACAGAAAGCAAGTGGCGGCCACGTCAGAGGAAGAAATGTCGGAGCCTAGACGATCTACATCGCAGGTGCCTTGCGCTCCACCGTGTCTGGGCATTTACCATGGAATGTTCTACACGATCAATTTGACAGCCAAGGGAAAAACCAATCTACCAACCTACCTGATATTTTGGGAGAGATAAAAACTACTGTGTAAACCAAACAGGCTATATCAGAGCCCCAACAAGAAATTCAAACACCAGTCTGGTTTGCCAATTCCAAAGCCTTCCGCAGTCTGTCAGCACGAGTCTGTAGCTCGATTCTGAGACTGGATGTCGCGAAACTCTCACTCGCGATATCTGCCAGTTCACCGTCCGAAAGCTCGCCGATAAATTCGGGCGACAAAATCTTCACCGGCCCCTGAGGACCTAGCAGGTGGCGCTCCGTGACTTGGACAATGATGTTGTCGCAAAATCGCTTCAACGCCACCTTGTAGTAGGCCTTTAGAATGTCGTGGATATCATAAACGGCCTGGTCCTCGTTGCTAAGGTGAAGCTGAGTCACCGCATGGCTGATGTTGATATTCCAGCTATTCTGAATATCCAAGGATTCGAGCTTGGTTTTCACTCGCTCCTCTCGAATGGAGGACAGAGTTTCTGCCAAGTAATGATTCACAGTTTGCAAGATCCCCTCCCTTTCATCGGTTAGAATCTCCCCGAGATGTTTACGAGCATGTTCAAGAGCCAAACTTTGGCGTCCGTTGAGACGCGATCTCAGTCGTCTTCTCAGCTCGTCCTCGCTAATGAGACTATCGAAAATCTGGTCGTTGAATTCCTTGACAGCTCGGATGGCTTTCTCCAAGTAAGTGGAGGCAATCCTTCCCCATGGAGCAGACTGCTCACGGAACATACTTTCGAGGACGGCTGGGTTGACCGTCCCAGGGAGCTCCACGCCGCGCGAGTCTCGGTATAACGCACGGATCCAGTCATAAATGCTCTCGTCATCATCAGAAGACCGAAAATACTCCTCATCGACCTTATTGTTAACAGTCTGGAACGCCTTCGCATGTCCATTGCGATTCATCTCGTCGGCAAATTCTTCGTTGAGCTGGCGAACACGCAGTCGAAGCTTGAGCACGCTTCTAGGGGGCAGGCCTTGGGTATAATTCCCGGTCGACGCCTTCGTCACTTCAGCTTGGTATTTCGACGCAATGTGCATCAGGAACCTTCTCTGATCCGTTGGGGACTGTCGGGCCGGCCCTAACAACTCAATTTCGGTTTTGGTCTGCCGGGCCAGGTCTTCGATCTCCTTGACCATGGAAGGGAACTCTCCGCGAATATGATCATACAGCAGATTCCCCAGGAAGCCTCTGACCTTGTCAATGCCCACCCGGTCCTTATGAAGCTCGTTCCATGGTGCATTGGAGGCAAAGAACGTTTTCTCGTTCGTGTGGCGTTGCTCAATCGTAACCCCTTCCCGGATATCCTTTGTAGACCGGTTCTTCACCGCGAACCAGCCATGACGCAGCTTCTCGATCTCGTTTCGGGCAATTCGAAGGACCTATCATTTTTTATTAATATCAATTGCCAGCAGTCAGCACAAAAGAACTTACTCCTTCCTCGTCGCCTTGTTGCACTGTGTCAAATTTGGTGATGATTCCAACAGTTCGAGCACCGAGGGGGTCTGCCGCGCGTGCCATCGAGAACCTATTCAGTTAGCACCAGCAAAGGTCTTGTAAAGACACCCCAACATACACTTCCTGGTTCGCAAGATTATTTTTGGCATCCAGCACGGCGCTGAGTCTCAAGTCAGTTCGTCTGTCTTACACATCGGGCCCTGGTCATCTCATAGTATGATGGTCCGTTTATCGGTGATGTATGTCTGTATCAAGCCACGAATAATATCACGATCCTCTTTGGTTTGGTACTTTGTCGGATCTAAAATATTTAGCAGACATCGCTGACATACAGCAACTAAAGATGCTGGCACTGACTGTGAAAAAGTCCAGGGACATCGACAATGCTGAGATGCTGCTGGTTCGGCCCGGATAGTTCGATCTTCAAGATGTCGTCTGAGAATCGTTTCTCTAGGTTCTCTAGCTCTTTCGTGTTGGCACCAGGGAGTCCCATATTTTCCGCCGCCTAAGCTCATCAGTTATCGACTATGAAGTGGGGGTGGGATCTGCTCGAACTTCGTCAAAGATCTCTTTGAACTCCGCCGGCCCAAATGAATCCACCGCGAGGGTTCGCTCAAAGCTCTGCAGTCTTGCCTTTAGCTCGTCATCTGCTTGTGCTGTCGGACCAGGTATAATGGTGACTTTCACTTCTGCGTCGTTGGCTGGCACTCGTCGGAGAACTATCTGCGTGGCGAAGCGCGTGCAGAGATCGCTGTCGATGGGGAAGGACAGGCCGGTCAATCCTTCAAGGAGCGAGGATTTTCCACTTGACTGATCTCCGACAACAACGAGCTGCACGGCCGTCAGAGAAGGATTTGGACTGACAAAATGGCTCTTACCTGGGAAGGGAGACATTCTCGCTGACTCCAAGCTCACGTAGCTTATCGATGATTCCCAGAATCCGAACACGTCTTTCGTTGTCCAGACTCTGGACACCTGATAGCATCGAGGGTTGCTTCTTCTCCATTTCTGCTAGAGAGACTTGTCCTGCAGAAGACGGAGTGCTGTCTGATGCGGGGATCGATACTTTTCAGTCATCTGGTACGCAAAGGATTGTTTCACATACCTGTAGTCTGTATGTGAGATGGGATCTTTGGAGATACCGAGTCTACCAGCAGCGTTGCTTCTTCTTGCTTGCCACTAGAGAACATAAAAGGGCTAGATAACGGAGTCAGGTAAGCTATGCGTCTCCGCATTCTGAGGGGTTGTGGAAAGGGTGTAGGGAAGCCGAATCTTTATAGGAAGCTCAAAAAGCATACCAGCATTCACTCATCGTGAAGAAGCGACAACTTCCAGCATCTGCAATTGGAATACTTTGTATGATTGGATAGCAATTGAGACATGGCTGTCCTCTAGCTCTCTCATAGGTGGTGCGATGCAGCGGAGACTTATCATCCTGCATTCACTGCCCCTGACAAGGCAGCAGCCAGTTTCTCCTCCCTCCCTCCTTCACCTTACCATTTCTGCTATCGCCTTTCCTAAAAGAATCCTGAGGGTGAGACAATATGTTGTCAGAAGAAAACGCTCTGGTTCTATCAATATATGCATCAGAGAAACTACTATATACATGCACAAGACAAATCGTCACCTCACAACGTCATAATTGGGAGGCTCGGCTGATTCTTCATATTTCGGCAGATTACTGGCAGGGAAAGTGGCGCATGCGACGTCGTTCCTGGAAGCAAACTCAAGAATCGGAAGTGCAAAGAACGCAACAAAAGATTTCGTTCGAGGTCGGCGATCCACCAGCCTCCCTGTGGCCTGGTCAAAAGTGTCCTCACCGGTGACCATGTCCAGTCTCAGTTGGTGCTTGACCGTGAGTCCGGCAGCTTCTTCGCAGTTTTCCAACTCATCTGTCGCGTCTGCACTCCGGGGTATGATGACTTCGAATGGAATCACGATCCGATCTCCCTTCTCTGTCGCCCCTGATAAACAATTCATTGCCTTCCAATTCCCCGTCCGCCTTCCTTCGCACAGTTGACGCGCGTGTTGACTCTGACGGTGAATCCCAGCATCCCCGTTGTCCTCTTGACTCGAGAGATATGGCCCCTTGATCGTCTCTTCAACTCTCCACTTGAGCTCTTTTATTACCACATGTTTAACCTCCGTTTTTCTCACCCCCTGCGTAACGGTTCGATAGGCGGCTAGCTCCACAGAGTAGGCGCCCTTGAGGCTGGGGTCCAAAGACTCTTGTGGCGTGATTCGCAGCTCGGTCGTGAAATTTTCGCCGGAAAAGCCTCGCAGCTGGCATAAAGTTTCGGCCTGTTGTGGGACGAGGCGCCGTTGGATTCGAATCGGCCGTATCGTATCTATCAACTTTCTAGAGGCCGAGCTAACCGTAGCTTTGATCGCGTAGGAGATGTTCCCCAGCATAGTCTCTGTCGTTGCTGGGAGGCTGATGGGAAGCGGGATCGCAAAGGTGAATTTCAAGGTCGTGGTACCGTAGTCTTGATTGTGCTCGATCTTTTCCGGCGCGTGCCAGAGATTACACTGCATAAGGGTCTTTACATTGGCACATACCGCGGGCTCACATGGATGATGGGGTTGCTTTCGAAACGAGCGTCTTCGTAGGAGCCTCTGAAGCAGGATATCATTCTTGTCGGGAAATGAGGCGGGCTGCTGTTTCTTGAGTCCCACGGCTCGAGTGAGCCCGATGTTGACCGTGTAGTCATCCGGGGACTGGGCGCTTGGAGTTGGTACTGTGATGGCCACCGACCCTACTATCGGGGGAGCGTAACATTCTCCATGGCCCTCCACCAGGATCAAGTGAGTATCCGGAGCTGTCAACTGCACGTCGAGTATTCCCATGGTGTTCGAATTTCGGAGACCAGGCCGGTTGGGGACGGAGCATATGCAAGATCGCGCATGGGGTGAAATCCGTGGAGGATCGGCTGAGCTGGAGGAGGGCTAGAGTCAGAGATATTTACAAGAACGGACGAATATCGCATCATGGCGTGTAGGTTGCGTGTAGGTTGTGTGCGAGTGCAAACTGGAGAGGGCATCTGAAGGCTCGCCGCCAAGCGCCCGAAGAGGAAGCCAAGCCGGGGGATTAAGCTTCGCAAGTGGGGCCCCTGCGGTTATCCGAGAGATGATTCGCTGCCGGCCGGAGAGGACCCACTATCTGCTGTTTACCGCGAGGGCCAGCAACCTCAGGCCACCCCAGTAGTGCCGCGGAGTCTGACTGGACTCTTCCACCGCGATCGACTGGTCGGGTCAGGGCAAGGGGTCATCAGAGTGGACTCGTGGGCTGCCAAATGCTCCAATCTCAATATGTGTTCTTTTTCACCGTAAAACCATCTCTCCTGCTCCGACCTGCATACTATCGAACCAAGTATCACCACCTACAGGTAGACTAGAATATATCTACAGAACCATCGTGCTGCCTATAATCGCACTGATCAACCGAAGTATCAAATCAAGACCAAACGACATGCCCCCGATCATCCATCTAGTTCGACACGCCGAGGTTCGCCCACCCCCATCCCGTTATGCCCCTGGACTGGACTCCTCCGGTCTACCTCCCGGCGTCCCTTTATAACTGCATCCAGGGCTTACATAACCTCGGTCATGCCTACTGGGCCTTAATCGACCCGCTCCTAACAGAGAATGGCCGGGACCAGTGCCTGCGACTGCGGCGAGAATTTCCCAGCCATGACAACGTCGAGCTGGTCGTTGCCTCGCCTCTATCTCGCGCCATTTTCACTGCCGTCGAGGGGTTTCAACCGACATTTGATCGGATCCCTGCACGGCAGTTGGTGCTCTTACCGGATCTGCAGGAGATCAGCGATTTCCCCTGCGATGTTGGGACTGAAGTGGAAGAACTTAAGGCTAGAGTCCGAGACTTGAAGGTCCCTATTGACTGGAGCTTTGTTCACGAGGGCTGGACCAGCAAGGTGAGCATCCCTGGCAAGTATGCTGCATGCTGCCAATCAGTCAGATCTACGTTTTTGATACATCAATAGAGTGGACGTTATAAACCTGTCACGGAGATCATTGAGGATCGGGCTCGAGATATCCGGTGCTGGTTGAGCAAAAGACCAGAGAAGGAAATTGCGGTGGTCACTCACGGTGCTTTCTTGCATTTCTTGACTGAGGACTGGGAGGACAGTTATACACACGAGGGTCCGTGACTTGATGCGACGGGCGCCTGAAAGATTTGGCTGACCGGAATCGCATCAAAACAGGGACCGGGTGGACCAATGCCGAGTACAGGACATTTACAACTAAGCCAAAAGAGAGCAGTGGCATGGATGATGCCTCCCTCATTGAGACGGTCGAGTCTCGTCGCCGACGAGGCAAAACGGACCCTGTACCGGCTGCGAAGGAGCAGGCGCAATTATATGTTAGGGCTCTGCGCGAGTGGGAGAGACAGGGATATTTGCTCAGTGCAGAGGACAGATATGGAGTGTCCAGCACCAATCTCTAGATTTGTGGTGCGACAGTTGGGGTTCGGGCGTACTTCAAGCATGCAGCTTTGATCGGGTGATGGTGGATCGATGTGTAGATCGATGCTACCGTGGAGAATTCAATCGAATCAGGGTAATTCCCCAAAATAGAAATGCCATTTGTATGTGTGATCGAGACCTTTCGATATTACGCAATCACTCACGGAGAGATGTGGAATCTTCTGGCGATGCGATGGCCCTGCGATTAGTCATGTGGCCATCGGATCCTTAGCCGATGCCATTTCGCGAGAATTGGCAGGCCGAGAGAATTGCCTTCATATCTGCCGGCGTCCTCGGCTGAAACAGATCGATTTCAAGAACATAAATCCCCGAGGATCCCCAAGACTTCTCCAGACCACTTACTAGTATCCATGGATATGCGATAACCGGCTCCGGCAGCCGACCCGCATGATCGGGAGCTTCCCCGGACTTGCATTCTCCCCGCCGATCTGATATCGGCTCAACATTCGCCGCGTCCTCAACCTCCAAGTTGGCCACGCTTCGTCTTCCCCACAACATGCCCCGTCAAAAACGTCCTCACGTCCCGAAAGTGAAAGGTGCGTATGCCCTGCACGGGTGGCATGTCTTAAGGTCGGGCTTCTGACCCCTGCGAATAGGTTGCTACGAATGCTCGCAGCGACGGATCAACTGCGATCGCAGCGAACCGCAGTGTACCAAGTGTATATCCAAAGGGATTATATGCAGTGGATTTGGCATTCGCTACCGATTTCGTGAAGAAGTCAGCGCGCGAGGGAGGATTAGACCTCGAGATGACCTAGCTGATGGACGGTACGAGGGTGTTCTGTCGTAAGACTCCTGGATCCAGGCTCACAAATGAAGATATAGCAAGGTACCAGCGCAGTCCCTGGGCAGTCCGAAAGTATCTCTCGCGGCGTCATCCAACGCGCCGACGGATCTTCACACCTTTCCCACGCCTCTCGGCACAAATGTCGAGCTAACAAGACAACGCTCTACGGACATCCCTGCTGCTATCCACATCGACGATGTGTTCCCTCTTGTGGTCGGTCTGGACTTGGTGGAGCCACGGAGTGAATTCCTTCTCACGTACTGTAAGCTCTCACAATCCGCGTGTGCTTAAAGCAACGGCCGATAATAACCGCCTAAGTCTCGAACTATATCGCGCCTCAAATGGTGCCAATGGATGACAGCTACAATGGATGGCGATGTTTTATTCTCCCCTTTGCCTGCGCCGACGGGATGGTCATGGATGCCGTGTCCGCCGTGTCCGCCTTTCATATTTGTGAAAAGGGTGGCCGCCACCGCGATCACCGACCCGATAAATTTTATGCCAAGGTCATCTCAGGACTACGAAGCAGGAGTACCCTAAAAGAATGTGACCTGGAAACAAGACAGTCCGTGTTCCTTGCGATCATAGTCTTGTTGGTGGGTGTCATGGTCAACGGATCCTCCGACTTTCCGATCCTGTTCTACATGTTGCAGTCTGCGCTTGAGGCTGTCGGCGGGGAAAGCGGGCTTGGAGATGGAGAATTGACAAGGTTTCTGATGCGCCAGATCCGCAAGTGAGTGGTCGTCTAATTTCTCGTGTCTAAAATGCTCTCCACTAACCCTCACAAGAATGCGAGTCTACGCAGCACCATTACTCAGCCAGGAAGCCGGGGTACAGACAATCCTGTCCTCGGCCCAGAAAAGCTTTGATTGCTTGTACTTCAATTCAGGTCTGCATCCAGATCACTCGTCAACATTCGATCTCATTGTCGGCCTCCGACAGCAAGCCTATGACATATACCTACAGCGGGCCATGCTGGGACGCCGGAATATACGGCATGTGGACCGCATCGGACGCTTCATAGATACACTGCAGTCACTTCCAGATACGGCTCCGGGCCAGCATACCCTTATCTGGCCATCATTTATTGCGGCTTCGGAAAGCTGCCTGCCCGAGCACCAACTCTTCTTCAAGCAATTCCTCGAGAAACAGTACCTTTTGAACGGTTTTTCCAATATCCTGAAAGCTCTCACCTTGCTGGAACGAATATGGGCTTCAGAAAACAGCGATTCATGGCCCTCCTTGCTCCCAGAGTCTCGAGTATTTGTTATGTAGGCTCTGTTAGCTGGAGTCTGCATTCTGGGGGCTTGAGCATAGCATGCTCATTTTACTTACCAGAACCAGCAATGTAGGGCCCTTTTCATAAGGAATTGACGATTCGAAGGTGGCTGTCAGGCTATCAATTTTTTTTCCCACGTCTCCGGAAGCTGATCCACTCATTAGCATCGCAATAGAGTATAGATCGCACAGGCAATAAGACATTTTTCATAGTGTCAATGAATCGATCCCTTGAAATGACCTTTCAGTGGTCTTTCCATTGCCCTGTAGGTGTTCAAGTCGTACAAGTGAATAGTCAAACCGGCTCACAGCCCCATTTTTACAGAATCTTGCTTCCGGGGACTACATATACGCGACCTGTGACCGTTTATCTTCGCCCATCACTCCAAATCCACCCAACGGCTACTACTACCTAACCCCACGGGTGATGGAGTTTGATCCAGAACTTTCCAATATTCATACTTTCATCAAATTTGGTCAATCACATACCAACATACCTACACCGAGAACAAAACCCCTAGAGACTCGGTCTGATTGCTTGCTTCAAAGACTCGACAACCTCCCATCCCCCCTCCTCGCCCGAGCATAAGGCGCCTTCCATGTAGCCCTTCCACTCACGGGCATACTCTGTGCCCACGAAGTGCAGGTTTCCTGCGGGCCTGCCGTAAACTGCCGCATACTCTGTGAGATGCCCTAAGGCTGTGATTGGCACCAAGGCGCCCCGACTAAACTCTTCAAATTTCCAGATTTGCTCGAAAATCTCGATCGGCCGGTACAATTCCGATTCTCGATCCGTATCAAAGATTTTTGCAAGCTGGTGCAGGACGGCGGCCCGTCGCTCATGGGGAGGTAGCTTGGTCCACTCCAGGCCTTGATCGCCTTGCACAAAGCAGGTCAGCGCAAACAAGCGTTTCTCGGTCACGCTGGTATCGCGTCCGAGCGTGAGCGGCCCTCCATTATAGCTCATGAAAAATCCATTATATCCCAACTCCTTCCACCATGGCTTGTCATAGCACACGATCACCTTGTTATAATTTCCCAAGCATGTGGCTTGGCTGACGGTTTGCACTGCAGATGGTAGGGCCGGCGAGATATTCAGCTCCCGATACATGGTGCTCGGAATGGAGAGGATGCATTTCCTCCCCACAAACACTCTGCCCCTTGCGGCAGTCACACTGATATGTGTTTTGTGATCCTCGATACTGATTACCGGCGAGTCAAGGTGGATCTGGCTGGTGCCAATTAAGCGCGCTAGACCATGTGCAATGGACTGTGCTCCTGCGTGTAAAGTGAGCCCTCGTCGGAAGATACAATGGAGAATTGGCTACGCTGCACAAACCCTCATGGAAGCGGAGATAATTGCCGCCCGTTTCGTCGTCAGCACGGACAGCCAAAAGGCCCGTGTTTCGTCGACAGTAGTCGATGAAGAACGCGGCCGACTGCTGCGTCGACTCGACCCCGTGCATCGCCTTAGACCACAAGTTGACCATCTGAATGGTTTTGGGCAGCGCCCCCAGGTTCCGGACGTACTGATCCAGAGTGAGCTTGTCGTCATCGCCTCGTGGCAGACCCGACTTCAACGTTTCTGCCTGGACGTAGTCCCGGATATACTCGAGGTTTCTTTTCTCTTCGGGGGAGAACTATCATCTCTGTGAGCTAAAGATACTACCCAGGTTTGTCTCCATGGCCACTCACATCAGGGGTGATGCCAAAAGGATATTCGAGTCGGTCATTTTCGTTCAGCTGCATCACAGCACGACCCGTCAGAGACTGCGCTTGCGCTGCTAGACCGAACTGTTTGGCGTAAGACCAAATCCGACGCTGCTTCTTGTCATTCACCCAGGCCGCTCCCAGATCGGCCACTCCCCGACCAGATGCCAGAGGGACACTCCATACTTTGCCGCCGACGCGATTGCGGGCCTCGACGACCGCCACCGACAGCCCGGACTGTTGCGCCGTATACGCGGCCTGTAAACCGCTGAGACCGGCGTCAATAACAATGACGTCAAACATATTAGTTGCTATAGTTTGTCGCCGAATAATGAAAGCGACCGGAGCCTAGTTGATGATTGACTGTAGTGGGATGATACCGCATGTTCTTATATCGTTGAGACCAAGAGAATGCAGCTGTCAACTCCTCGCATTGTTGGCCACGGTTTTGCCATATCCAGACATGTGGTGCGGTCCCAAATGCCATTTGATAGGTCAGGTCGTGGCTCTCATAAAAGTTTCCTTTTTCGGCAAAGTGGAAGCCGTTGCGTTTCGTGCGGAGCAATTGGAAGGAACTTATCTCCCTCTCTGTGCCTTTCAATCGATGGCAATCCCTATTCGGTTTGCTCGAGGCACCAAGAACATGTACAAGCAACCGACAATCGCACAGTCCATCTGTGATCAGTCCTCGGGAAAATGCCCTTACATCCCTTCAGTTGACCAACGTTCTGCCACCTGACAAGGATGAACCTACCCAGTGTTGTCTGATTCTGGAATGTAATGTGAGCGCCTCGTCGGCCAGCTCTGTTTGCATGAGTTCTATGAGGCATTCATTTGGCTCGCTTGCTTTCTGTTGGAACCTCAATCAATCCCGCTCGACCCCAGAGAAATGCAAGCATCTCAATACAAGCAATTTCTTTCATTTCCCTGAGTAGCCACGTCATTTTCCTATCTGGAAAACAGGCATCAAGTACCTGATTAGTATGCCAGCTCTTCTTTTGGGCTGGAAGTCAAATAAAAGTAGTTAAAATATCCGAGACACCAAGAGATTCATCTAATCTGGAGGCGTCTGGCTGTTGACAAATGCAAGGCTCAATTTATGGATGCTGCTCCGGGTTTCTAGACTGATATAGACGGTGGCGCTCGAGTAGGTTTCTCTTGACCCTGTCGATCAACCGATTGCTCTTACTATGGGAATAATGATTAAGCTAAAAGAAGGGCCTATCACGCTTCTAATAAACGTCTTCATCCAACTTTGTTTCATTCGTCATCTGCATGTTAAATAAATATCCTTTTCTTATCTACTCTCTTTTTGCTTTATGTTTGGTCCCTTTCTTTCGGTTGAATAAATGTCGTCTGTTCGGACTAGAGAGCACAACGCAATGATACCATTTAATTCCTGGTCCAAATAAAAAGAAACATTCAAAATAAACGCAATAGAGCATCGAACACAAGTTCAGATCTAGCTAAAGTCACATCATACATCATTGACAACCGGCGAAAGGTTCGACCGTCACAGTCCCATAGCCCGAAAAGAACCGCGCAGAGTCGTCTCCAAGTCACTCGCCGGAGTCACCCCTTCAACTGTCCTGTGGTTGTGTCCGCCCACGGCTGCACCGCATTCCGGACAAGATGCTGTCTCCATGGCGCCGCCACACTCTCCGATGGTGAACGGATGTCCATTGCGACAATAATACCAATGCCCGGTGCCTCGGAACTCTGTATCCATGGCCTTAATAATCACCATTCGCTCCTCGTTAGTCACTGCGGCATAGCAGGTCGAGCCTCGAAGCATTTTCTCGGCGCCGTCAATTTCATCCATCATTCCACGGGTTTGCCCGGGGTGTTCGGCTAATACCTCCCTGGCCTTAAGGATTGCGTTTTTCCCTTCCTGATGATGGCATTCCGCGATATCTGGAGTGGTGGAATTGGAGCGTTCGAAGGCACGGAGTTGCGCGAGAAAAACATAGCCCTCGACTTGTTGCAGTGGTCGATTTGAAACGACTGCGCTGTCAATCAAATCTTTGAACTCACGTCGAAGTCTTCCGAGGTCCACTTCAGTCGTGATGGGGCCGCAGCTAGAGCGCGAATTCTCCTTGATCGAGAAAAAGTCGGAGAACAATGCGATATCCAGACGAATGCTCAGAGCCGTGGCTAAAATGACTCCCTTGCTTAGGAGCACACCGTCATCAATTACAAATTCGGTCGTCAAGCCTCTGCGGCGTTTGGCGTTTTCCACCATGTCACGCACTCGCTGGAACGGCTGCTCTTGCGGCTTAACCTGGTTGTAATACTGATTCAGGCGACCCCGGAGAGTTATAATTGCCTTCCACCGCTTGGGGTCGTATCCCTTCACAGCTTGGCTCATTGTGGCAACTTGAACATTCCGCGAACCCTTTATCTCCACACGAGAAGGCCCGAAGTCGTACTTCGTCGCGAGTATTGTCAAAATCTGACTTGGCCTTTGTATGTGACGAGGTGATTTGAATGGCTCGCTGCATCATGTCGTCCAGGATCTCTTCTTTCCATCGTCGGAGCAGTTCTTGCCGTTCTTTCTTGGGCAGTTCAAATATTTTGTCGCGTCTTTCGCCGTTTGCAAAAATGTTGTCGTCGCGCTTGAAGTCTGAACGAGCCCAGCGATCAAGCAGCGCCCCGGGATCATTGGTATTCGCCATTTGAAACCCATCGTCGTCTCTCCCAAACAACTGGTTGTAATAATGTCCATGTTGGTTGCGTAGATGTGTAACGATACGAGCTGACGTGATATGTTTGTTCATTTCAAGTGCAGCAAAGTCTTTTTTGCACTCCTCAAGCTGCTTAAGAAGACTCCACTGAGTCTCCTTCTCCAACTTCGTTTTCTCCTCGCCACTGGCAATATGGTTAATGTTGACTGACCGAAGTCGGTCCGATTTGGACTGTGACCCAATACGAATGATCTTTGAAGTCACACTTCTATCAAGAAGAACCTCCAGTAGTTGGTCCAGCGCGTGGTTGGTATAGGTGACGCAGACTATAGGCCCAAGATCTGTCTTACCATGTCGTTTGTTGGCCAGCAGAACCCGGATAAGGGCAACTCCTGTATAGCTTTTGCCGGTCCCTGGGGGGCCTTGAATGAGACCTACCCTACGCTGGAGGCTGTTAACAAGAGCGACTGCCTGAGTTTTGTCGAGCGAAAAGTTTTCCTCTAGTCGTTCAATATTGACAGCTCCAGAACAGCCCACATAAAAGTCGGTGTTGTCATTCATCAAACAGCGCAGGTTGAAAGCAAAGCCAGGCTTCAGGGAGTAAATCGGAGGAGTGACGTCTTTTTGACCAAGCCCATCTTTGCCTGTCGGAAGAAGTAGGTCCGCGAAGGGAAAAATATTTCTTCCTTTCATAGTTTGAAGCGCCCTGAGCGTCGATTCGAACGCGGGCAATAGCACGCCGGGGAATTCCAAGATCGAAAACCGAGGGCGGTCCCGCTGGATATTGTTCAGAATGGCCTGCATTTCCGAAGGCTTGTTATCCACGAGTGCTAGCACGGTCGAGGCACTCTGCGCGTTTATCCAAAGAGATGATAGCTCCTGTTGTTTGCTTTTGGGTATCTGCTTGTCCTTGGTCCCCGTTTGTTTGGATTGTTGCGTCTCTGCCACGGTGCAGAAGACCAGAAACCTTCCAGGAAGGACCAGACACACAAGAGCGCCAGGCAGAAAACGTTTAGAAAGAATCTACTAGTCCTCTCGCTCCTTCAAGGACATCACAGCCACGCTCCGTGGTTGTGGGAATGAGACTTCAAACTGAAAACCCGACGGCTTTTCCAGGCGGAGTGCGCCGAAAGACGCGGCGTGATAGACAAGGGTTCTTGCCTGGTTTTTACGGGGAGCTTCAGCTCGTGAGCCACGGATCTCATGGTGAACAGCATCACGCAGTTGTCCCACCGCATCTTCTCTTAACAGGCGAAAGTTCCTATCCAGCAATCCGTCGATCCCCCCAACATGCCACTGTGCTGGGTCAAGGACTGGAAGATACTCAGTGCGACTGCTTGTTATTTCCTGGAAGCTTGGCATGATGCGAATTTTGGAGAAGTCTTGGTGGTCATTATTGTGTCGCCCGCCAGGTGGTTCGCGTGGGATGACGAAGGAAAGCTCGGAGCTTTTTCTGAGTTGATTCGGCAGCTTGGTCGAAGCAGTGAGCAGTCCTTTCCCGATTTCCAGTCGACGGAGAAGACGCTCGAGATAGACACGCGCCACGTGGAGAAAGTTCGTCAGATGTCCATTGTTCAGTGTGATGAAAAGATCGTCAAACCGCTTTGCGAGATGCTTGAGAGGCTCTTGAACCAGCGCCCTCGAATTGAGGTCAACAATCCGCGAGAAAACCAAAAGCGAGGCTTCCAGCCGCGATGCAGTGGCTTCGTCATGATCACTGGCACTTAAGGCATCACACGTGTAGTTTAGGAAATGAGCGGCTCTTCTTCCGTCAATCCCGTAAAGAAAGTTGTAGATGGTTCCCACTGTCTGCTCTAAGACTAACGAGGAAAGAACCTTGGGGTGAGCGACTGTCTCTAGGAAGGGAAGGATTTGGTCTTCGAGGAGCTTCTTCTTCCCTGCCGCAGGCATTTGCTCGAAGTCCTTTTCTAGAAGTTCGCGAAGACAACGGAGGCCCTCTTCTTTTGCGAGGCATTGTATCACATTCTGCAAGACACCAGCTTCAATTTCAATGAGGCGACGTGCCTCTTGGGAAAAAAATGACGCCTTAGAGCCCAGGGGCTTATCATGCATGAATCCAACGGGGATGCAATCTCTCCATCGACGAAATTCTCTCTCTGAATTCGAGGTCACGCGAGGATTGTGGGTCTTTGGCTTCGCATTCCCATCATTCGCTCTATCAGGCTGGTCGTTCGGAGCAGGGGTGTGCAAAAATTTGCAGTTTCGAAATTTGCAGTTTCGAAATTTGCAGCTTCCTGTCCTGGCGAAAGCTCGACATATCCTAGTAGTTATCTTAGACTGAGGGTGCACAGGGAGAGACGCAAAAGTACTGACCGTTGGCGCGCCATGACTTATCACTTTTCCATTGAATACGGAATTATTCAAGCAATATCGGTACGATGGTTTGCCTGTTTATTGTCGCCTATTCGGCTTCGAGACAAATTATTGTCAGGCGAAGTGGGAAATGCTGGGTAAGGAAAGCAGGCTGTGCCAAGAAAATGTGAAGAGAGCTGGAAAAATCAAAGAGAGGAAAGATCAGGTCATGTATCATATGTGATGCAAAGGCCACAGTAGTGATCAAAATAATGGAAATTTCTTTCAAATGAAGTGAATGAGATGTGTGCTTTTCTGCTTGAGTCTGTAGGTCTTGAATGGGTTGGCGGATGGTGAAAATGTAGGCGAGGCATTGGGGAGAGAAATCAGAAAAGAGAATCCAGTGATCAGCTTCTGTGGGCCAAATAAAGCAACCCTCAGCGCAAGTGACAGAAACCAAGTGAATAAAAGCCCCTCGGCCAGTCGAAAAGTTGGCCTAGTTCCAGGTTTTGCTTGCAAATTCTGTGACCGGATCTTGATATGCGCACTATACCCCATAAGGTCCACAGACTGTCTTGATGACAGGGTGTATGCAATCAATAAGTGAATGATCTGTTATGAGAGTACTAGATGGTGAGGATATCAGGCTCGCGATGTACTAATGCCATCTTGCCATGAACAGATGCACGGGTCAAAAGGAAAGAAGAAGCAGACGAGCACAACGGGCACCCTAGAGCCAATCATTTGAGTTGCCTATCCATGACCCATCATGGAAGCGTGGGCTGTAATTGAGGACACTCATGTGCCTATCATACTGTGACTGATACCATGTTGGTCTGAATAATAAATCCCGAGTAGCCAGCTGTGCCAGTCCCCGTCCATCCAACCACCAAGGTGCCAAATAGGAGTCCTTCCACGAGTCTCATACCACCCTGGGATATACCTAAGGCATACTCCGGCGTAAATTTACTGCTCGAATATCGAGACCGGCCGAGAAAACCGTGCCTAAATTCAATGAACTGGATGCGGATTGCAGGCAGATCAGCATCTACCCTTAAATAGTGATGTGCCGCGGATTTTTACCATGACGCCACCAATTGATCTTGTAGAGTTGCGGCTGCAAATCGAGAATCTTTCTAGTTAGTGCCTAGTGGACGGATCTATCGATGTTGCTCAGTTTCAGGACACTCGTAGTCGATCCACCACGATGTGCAAAAGGCATCCATGTGGCTGGACTAAGCTTTCCTGTACAGAGACTTATAGCCGTAGCACAAGGACCACAGCACGCAGGACCAAAGGATCCTTTGTAGCCACGCCAGGTCCTTCAAGCAGCAGACCAACCACCAAGCCTACTCGGACATTGTGCATGGTTGGCAGGGTTCACGATTGAAAGGTTGATTTACACCGCAGAGGCTTGCCGACTAGGCAGTCTACGAAGAACACATATTAGTGCAGCCACGCAGGTACCTTATGATCGACCTGATTCCAGATGGACTGGCTGTATTTGGCTCGTATCCGGGCTGATGGAGCATCCGGTGGTCCGGAGTTCAGTCCCCACACGGCACAGTCCGTAAGGTCTGGAGTAGCAGATGACACTCGTGCCATAGTTCAAAACCCTGCTACGTCGTAAACAGTAATACTGGGTAATCCGTATTCCCGGCGTACCCCCACCAGGCCACCCAGCTCGCATCCTCGTTCTGTTTTCCAAATCCCGGGGTCCGTCCCCTTCTTGTCTGACAAGCTTTCCATCCTCGGCCCGGAGGCTGATGCGGCTAGCGTTGCCAACGCAGCGAGCGTTGCCTTAGAAATCCCAAAGATAAGAATCTGCAGGAGCTTGGCAATCGGCAATCCGGTCGGTGTAACTGGCCACTCGCGGTGACTGGTTCCGCACGTTCCGCCCTCGAACTAACGGAAACCTACCCCGTCGACGGGGATCACCCCAGGCTGATCGTCCTGCCTGAATTTTGGATTGATCTTTCACGGAGTCTCCGGAGTAGGTAGGGGTGTGCTCGGTGTCAACTCCGGAGTAGAGCCTGTCAGTCAGGGGAACGTCCGTCGAGGGACTCGAGTCAACCATCAGCACGACGGTGGATCCGGTGGGCAGGAAAACACAATGACCCGAAGGCCGAGGTCTCGACCGGGGTGATTACGGATTAGTCTCTGCCCTTAATCCAGATCCGGCAAGATTTCCGCTGGATGGCCACGGCGGATTCTGGGTGGCGGCCAGTTCGGGCTCGATTCACAATTTGCTGCCACCACTAGCTTCCGCTTGGCAGGACTGCGGGTGGACTGGCTCCGCTCTCTCGCGGGATCTGGTTGCGAGAGGAGAGAGGCTTGCCTGGTTGCCCTGCTGACGAAGGGCTTCGTGGCACAGGAAGCGCTTCCACGTGGAGCCGGACAAGCGATGATGCAATGGTCCTCCCCTCCAGCATCTGCGGTAGTACCGTACAAGAGGTACCCTGGGTAACTCGTAACGTAATCCAAACCTTCCAGCCTCGGACTGGCCCATGCGTTCATGCAGCAGACGCCGGAGGGTGGGGAGGCGCCGTGGTGATTGGCTGGCCATGCATCTCATCCCCCCGCACGATCGTCTGGTGAACAGCGAGAAAGCGGGGCAGCCGGTGGGACCCGCCGTACGGTAACACTTGGGTCGAGGTGTAATACGAACTGTATTTGAAACAGCCCCCGCTGCTCGGAATTGCTGCTGCGCCATTCACCAATCACTGTCCCCCCGTTCCACGATACCTTGGGGAGGTGTTGCTGATTCTCCCCCTCTTCCCCTCTTTGCGCCATCCTTGAAATACTTTCAATCGCCTCTGCCTCTCCTCTCCTCCTTCTCTCTCTCCCCTTGGATCGTCTTTCCTCTCCTGAACTCTGTGATCCTACCTCTCCACTCCCCTTTCTCATCATGGCCGCCCTATCTACCACCATCGAGACTCCTCTCGTCAAGTACGAGCAGCCTTTGGGTCTGTATGTATACTCCCTCCTCCCCCCTCTGTTCCATTTTCCATTTTCCCTCTTCCCTCTTCTCTTTCCTCTGTGCGGTTGGTTCGAAGATCCTCGGGCTGAGGTCACAGTCGCTGTGGGCATCCATCATCTCTAACGCCGTTCTCTGTGCAGCTTCATCAACAACGAGTTCGTCAAGGGCTCCGAGGGCAAGACCTTCGAGACCGTCAACCCCACCAACGAGAAAGTCATCACTTCGGTGCACGAGGCCACCGAGAAGGATGTTGACATCGCCGTCGCCGCCGCCCGCAAGGCCTTCGAGGAGACCTGGCGCCAGGTGACTCCCAACGAGCGCGGTCGCATGCTGACCAAGCTGTCCGACCTCATGGAGCGCGACATCGACACGCTATCCGCCATTGAGGCTCTCGACAACGGCAAGGCCTTCACCATGGCCAAGATCGACGTGGCCAACGCTGCCAACTGCATCCGCTACTACGGCGGGTGGGCGGACAAGATCCACGGCCAGACCATCGACACCAACCCCGAGACCTTGGTCTACACCCGCCATGAGCCCATCGGTGTCTGCGGTCAGATCATTCCCTGGAACTTCCCCATCCTGATGTGGGCCTGGAAGATCGGTCCTGCCATCGCCGCGGGCAACACCGTGATCATCAAGACTGCCGAGCAGACTCCCCTGTCCGGCCTCTACGCTGCCACCCTGATCAAGGAGGCCGGCTTCCCCCCCGGCGTGATCAACGTCATCTCCGGTTTCGGCCGTGTCGCCGGTGCCGCCATCTCCAGCCACATGGACATTGACAAGGTCGCCTTCACCGGTTCCACCCTGGTCGGCCGTCAGGTCCTGCAGGCGGCCGCCAAGAGCAACCTGAAGAAGGTCACTCTGGAGCTGGGTGGCAAGTCCCCCAACATCGTCTTCGACGACGCCGATATCGACAACGCCATCTCCTGGTCCAACTTCGGTATCTTCTTCAACCACGGCCAGTGCTGCTGTGCCGGCTCCCGCATCCTGGTCCAGGAGGGTATCCACGACAAGTTTGTCGCTCGCTTCAAGGAGCGTGCCGCCCAGAACAAACTTGGAAACCCCTTCGACCAGGATACCTTCCAGGGTCCCCAGGTGTCCAAGCTCCAGTTCGACCGCATCATGGAATATATCAACCACGGCAAGCAGTCGGGTGCCACCGTGGCCCACGGTGGTGAGCGCCACGGCGACGAGGGTTACTTCATCCAGCCCACCGTCTTCACGGACGTCACCAGCGACATGAAGATCTCCCAGGAGGAAATCTTCGGTCCCGTCGTCACCGTGCAGAAGTTCAAGGACGAGGCCGAGGCCATCAAGATTGGCAACAGCACCTCTTACGGTAAGATGATCTTTCCCCCTTGCTTTGCCATCGGTTCGCGGGCTAATATCTCCCTAGGTCTCGCCGCTGCCGTTCACACCAAGAACGTCAACACTGCTATCCGCGTTTCTAACGCCCTGCGCGCCGGGTGAGTACATCCTTTTTTCGTTGACGCCGGCCAGACAACGGAATACTAATGCTGCGGAACAGAACCGTCTGGATCAACAACTACAACCTCATTTCGTGGCAGGCTCCCTTCGGTGGCTACAAGGAGTCCGGTATCGGACGTGAACTCGGCTCGTACGCGCTGGAGAACTACACCCAGATCAAGGCTGTTCACTACCGCCTGGGAGATGCTCTCTTTGCTTAAAGGGTTTCATAATGACGTAACGAAGACTAGCGGTTGGTTTGTACCTAGTTGCAATATCTTGGGCGATGGTCTATGATTTCCATTGATCATGTAAAAACAATTTGATACCAATTTATGACGCTGTTCAATTTAGTCGATGGCTTTGTTGTTGCATCCGGCGTAGCACTCCGTAGTTGCCGGCTTTAAAACCCTATCGGCCGAGATTCTGCAAAGTCCAGAAGTCATGTGATTTGGGGAGCAAGAAAAAAGAAGAAAGGGGGAGAAACAAGAAGAAGGCCAAGACGCGAAAGCATTACCAGTGTTGAACCCCATGACATCACAATACCTGCCTGAAGCTGTACCTTACTCTAACTGTAATTTTTACCCTGCCCAATAGTAGGCGCAACATCGCCGACCCTCCCGGAACCTGGGTGGAGGCGAGCAACCTTTGCCTTTGCCACCGCCATTACTTGAACACTAGGGAATATAGAAGATGAAATTGAAACATGTAAGACCAAATACAAAACCAAAATAACATACGAGAATACAAAGATGCGTTGTCGAAGGGCTGAATTGACCCGAGTTGTTGGTGCTTGCGTTCGGGGTATTTAATCCCGAGGGGCTCGGAAGTGAACAATGCCGAAGTATATACCCCAGCTTTCTATGTCTTCTCGAACTTACGGATCTTGAAGGTGGAGCTGTACGGACCTGGTATAAGTTACTGTGTAGATTTGAGGTTCCTGTGCCTGATCTGAATTGCATGGTGTAGTGGGGTTTGCCAGAAGGTGGCATGATGCGGACAGCGCCGCTTTCCCTGCGGATTTCCCGATTCGGATGTCTGACTTGCAGCAATAAAGCTGTTCGGAACGTTTCTTCTCTACTGGAGTACTATGGACTACATAGTATAAGATATTTTCGCTTCCACGGGGCTGGCTGGACCCGGGGGGGTTCCGGGCGGGTGAGCTTCGGGGAAGCTTGTATGTAAATATATCATTGCACATTACTATAGACAAGCTCAACTGCTAATAAGGCGATGGATTATGGATGGCTGGAGCGAACGCAGGCAAGGCTGGGGTCTAGGTTTAGATGCGATTCTCTTTGGTCTTTCGAGGTGGGTTGTGTCATGCGTCCTCTGTATGAAATGAAGGATCTTATATACCGATTCTATCTTTTTCAATCGCCCCAAAAAGGGAAAAAGAAAAAAAAATAACCATGGGGCGCCCGCCATAAGGGCGATCGATGGTCGAGTGCCAAAAAAAATCAAAAATAAATGCTGCGTCGGCCGGGAGTCGAACCCGGGTCCCTTGCTTGGAAGGCAAGGATGATAACCGTTACACTACCAACGCGTCTACTTATTAAGCTCATAAGATTATGTTCTGATGAAGCAGAGCTCCTTACAAGTATCTACAGATAACAATGCGTGGTATGTACGTCCATGCAAATTCCCCTTGTCCAAACTCACAACCTTGACTGCACACCTGTCCGATTCAACGCCTCCTCCAGCTTTTTCCATTCTGGACCACGATACTCCGGAGCAGCATTCGAGGCGACGTGGCGATGCATATCGTACCTGCCACAGTTAGCGCGTGCCTCGAAATATATAGTTTCGGAAAGAGGGACTGACTCATTCATCTCTTCGATTGTCAACTTCTGATTCTCGTTAGCCACCTTATAACGCTGGCTCGTCTTCTGACTGGAGAAACCAATCCTCTCCGAAATGTTCTCCCTCGCGCGCGCACTCGCTGCTTGCACCCGGCTAGCTCTAGTCTTCCGGATCTTCTCGTACAAACCCAAGCCAGCACTGACGTCCTCGGTGTAGGAGTAAGTCGGACTGAACACCAGGCCGAGCGCGGCCGCATCTTCGATCGCCTGGCATGCGCCTTGACTTTGGTCCGGCAACATCGGATGAGCCGCGTCGCCGAGCAAACACGTGCGTCCCTTTTGCCAGTGAGGGTACGGCTGATGCACGAAGAGACGCCAGGGTTTTATATCCGTGGAATTCCGGAACAGGTCCAGCAGCCTGGGATCCAGGTTGGGGAAAGGCGCCAGTAGCTGCTCTCGTGATGCCTCGTAATTCCACCCTTCCTCGGCGTGATCGCTCATCGAGGTCGGGAAGAAGCAGTAGAAGGAGTGGATTTCGCCGTTGCGGCATGGCGAGAACACAATTTTGTCGATTCCCTGGCCTCCCCAAAACTCGATTGCATTATTCGGAGACATGTCCGTCAAACCCAGGCGGCGTACTTCCGAGGTTTCGACAACGCAGTGGTAACAAGTTGACGTCGACTGTTTGCGTTCAGGGAGAATGCCGAGTGTTCGGCGGACGGCGGACTGAAAAGTGATTCTGTTAGTTGAGCTAAACAGATGGCATATGCACAGAGCGAGCACTTACCCCGATACCATCCGCGCCGACGATCAGATCATGCCGAACGGTCACTTTGTTCTTAAAGGTGATGGTGCCCGTCTCGTGGTCTACTGACTCGCATGCATGGTTCAATACAAGCTTCGCTGGCTTGCCCTCCCCTGGCCCGGTCGCTGACACCATCAGCATCTCATGCATGTTGACGCGGTGGAACATGTTGTACACCTGTGCCCTATTAGTCCAGTTTCAACCACACACGCCATGTCGTACAGAGGAGGGGCGAGAAAAACGATCGGGACCGCACATACATAGCCCCATCGGTCCTTGTAATCGGACAAGTCGTAGACGTCCTGCACGTCGCCCGTACCCCAGTCATGACGGATCAACTTCTGTAGGACGACGGGCTTTCCGATGCTGGTGTCTACTCCCCATTCCTCGAGCCACCGAGTACCGTTTGCCGCGCAACTGATCGACGCCCCGACTTCGCCTGCGTAGTCGGCACGCTCGTAAATGGTGACTTTGTGGCCTGCCCTGCGAAGAGACGTTGCAGCAGCAAGACCTCCTATTCCGAGCACGTTAGCAAGGATGAGACCAAAAAAGGGAATGACTTAAAAAAAAAAAAAAAAAAAAAAAAAACAAAGAAACAATACGAGAAGGCAAAAGAGAAAACGGAATGGGGTAGACGTACCAATGCCGCCACCGATGACGGCCACATTCAACTGGTGCCAGTGTCCGACCATGATGATTTCAAGTGGTAAGGTATGTGCGGATTTTTATGTATGAGCTGAGATCTTTCCCACTCGGCGAGGAATGGCCCATATTTAAGTGTGAGCTTATCAGTGTTCAATTTCAACACCGGCGGACTCGATATGCCTCATTGCGGATGGGAACAGGCCCGAGTACTCTTCAGCCTTGTAGACGGTTACTGTCGGGTTCATGGGAGAGGACAATACCCCGACCTGACGGGCCGCACACCTCGTTTTGCTGGATATGACGTCAAATTATCATTCCCTTACCCGTTGAGGATTTGCCCCGCATGGACGTCGACTGACTAGCTTTGGCCACATCGCAGTTTCCAGGGATGGGCGCAGAAGAGAGGAACCAAGATATCTCGCACATGTGGAACACCTACGCTCAAATTCAAGGAGCAGCTATACGGGACTTACGATTCGAAGTAGATTGAGGTCTGGGGGTGGTAGCTCTAGGGAGCTACCCCGAAGTCGATTCACCGTTGATTTATGTCTAGTAGTCTATCGATATATAAAAAGCAACCGCCAATATAAACACGTTTGAAGATCATGGGAATAGGACAGAAAGGATGGCAACGCTGTGAAGTCGAGTTCGCTCATGCAGAAGTTGGGGTATATATCTGAATACAATGTTTAGTATTCAAGCTTGATCGGAGGCACAAGTCGCAGGGGGCTCACGAAGTTCATTTCCGGACCAAATCAAAAGAAGTATCTGCATAGCACACCGGAAAAGCATGCAAGCCTGGTCCGCCGCGAAAGAGCCAATCTCGTTGGGAAAACTTTGATGGATGGACAACTCGTTAGGATGATTATTCATGCTCCCGAGGTCATGTGGTATTCACCTGGCGGAGTTCCCCCGTCAACATACGGCCCCCCACTGGGGCAGTTCACCAGGTGTCTGGTGCAATCCCTTGTAATACTGCGGCGCCAGCTGCTCACAGACACCCCAGATACGTCGGCGGTTCGCGACGCCAATGACGCTCAGATCGTCCATGCCGTACCGAGGCGTCGTCATACTATCCAGCCACAAGTATAGCCGCTTATAATTGAGATCTTCCGGGGCTTTCTTCCGGGCTTGACTCGTGTGTAATTCCCAGAACCAAGGCATATCCCATTCCATAAATTGTTTCCAGAAGAAGTTATCCTGCGTGAGCAGTTGAATACTCAATGAGGCCTGCGTCAAGGCCTTCAGGGATTCACCCGGCAGGTACAGACAGATGCGCTCAATGATCTCGAACGGCAGCCGACCGAACGGGCTGGAGGGATTTCGATCGCCAGGGCTGACGCTTTCGGAGGGGAGCTTCAAGCCGGCGTGGCTAGTCATGCTGCTTTCTATGAAGGCGTCCAAATCGGGGATATTCGTGGGGTGCGTCGCGCAGTACTACAGAGCCGGTTAATTTGTGGTGCGTCGTAGAGCCGGAGTCGGGATATCTTGCCTCGGCGCCAGGAATGCATTCCCAATATCGGCCCTGAGCACGGCGGATGTCGTCTCCGTAGCTCAGCTGTAGAGCGGAGGAGGATCCGTTGCTTAGAGTCGCCATGATATGATAGAGGACATCCAAGTTGAGGTTTTCAGTGTTGGCCGATCCGGTGAGGGTTCGCGTGAGAATTTCGAAGCAGCACGAGTGGAATGGAAGGACGGGGCCGGAGGCCTCTTCTGTTCCGTGGGTATAGCTATAAAAACCACGCAGGTTAGCCCGACGCTTTTCGTTCCACGAGTGAAGGGGTGGTCGCACCATGCGTAAACGTCCCGATGAAAGGGTCGAGGGGAATCTAGGAATCATGTCAGTATGACGGCTCGTCGGGCACGCTTGCTCGAAATTACCAGGCCCAGCCTTGACCACCAATTCTCCCTGCGGTGCCCTCGTTAGCTTCAGTCCTCAACGCGCGCAAGCAACCTGAAGGAGACCTACCATATCGGCATAGTACCCGGATCCCGAGATAAACGCTCTACCAGATCAGTTACGCTAGGCCGTTGTGGACGAGGTTGCTGGCACGCTCACTTTCCCACCCCCTTTGAATCCTCGTTCATGGCCAGACAGTGGGCCTTGTAGAGCCAATCGATCTTTTGGGAGCCGACGATGCGCGGGTCGTAGCTGCGAATGGGGGCCTCGTCGCTCCCTTCCTCGCGGGAGATCTGGTTGATGTCCTTGCCCGCCTGCAGGGCGCGAGTTCTCTTCGCAATCCACCTTCGCCGGCGCTCCATCGCCGTTTCCGACTGGACTTCGACGTGCATCCCCGAAAACCCGACGCCGCAGATGGCACAGTAGCAGTCAAAAGCCATCACGAAAGCAGAATTGACATCCAGGAAATGAATGGTAGGGAGGGATAGATTGTCGACGAGGTGGGAAAACACGACCAAAATAAAGCAGGGTGTCTGAATGGCGATCGTCGCAATATTAGATAACGCTGGAGGGGGCCCACAGCGGAGACGGGGGCAACGCGATGCACGAACAGGAGTCGCTGACAAGAGAAAGATGCAAAACCTTCTCGAGGGGGCGAAGATCCTGTCGAGTGTCGAGCCATTGACCCATATTTATAACACGGGGCGACTGGAGTGCCGTGTGCCAGCTCATGCTGGTTCGCGGGATGTGAGGGAGTCCCAGGGATTTTTCGTTTCTTTCTTTTTTCTTTCTTTTTTTTCTGGCGGATGGCAAATTGGCAAAGCAAAAGGACGGGACGGGTGCACGTGAGGACTTGGCGAGAAAGTCCGACGGAGAGTCAGTTCCTCTCCATTCTCCAACCATCTACGCTCGACGTGGCCCGTCCAGGCCGGCCATTTGCCAGAGCTCTCGTCGTGATGGTTCCAGAATAACTAAAAATGGCAGACTGCTTTCCTTTGCCGTCGATCTAAGATTTTAGTCCGTCATCTGACCCCCTTCTAGTTGATTTGGCGTCCGGATCGAACGGTCCTTGCATCCTCCGTCCCTACTCCGCTGTGTCGGACCCATCCAGCTCCAGCATCATCTTATCTTCCTCGTCCTTGAGCACCGGGCGACTCCGACGATCGCGGCAATGTGTCCATCTCCCCATTCTGATAGCTTCCTGTGGCGACCGCTTCCAACGGGGACACGTACGGACTCCACCGCACCTCTTCAATAATGCCGGGCTCTTGGGAGGCAGCATCCAAGAGTCGATTCGATCCAGCCGACACGAGTAGGGGCTCAGTGCTCCGTGCTGGGTCTGTCTCTCACTACTCCGCAGAACGGCTTTGTGATTATCACCGAACCAGTCAATCAGACCGTTCCGACGAGGAAACTCCCTCACCGCCACCCAAGCTGCCCCACCACGCCAGTGGCGCTAAGCGAAACCCGCGGAAATTCGGCATCGATCCTGGTCCTTGGGTGCTGACCGCCAGATCGTGAATTCATTCGTTGCCCCTCCGGCGTCTGGGCTAGACAACCGAGGACAGAGGAAGAAGGCAGGTCAAAAGAACAGATTCCCCCCTCTAGAAACTCCTTCGTGCCCAAGCTGCACTGAACAGGACATCTCCCGAGCTACGATTCGATCGTCAGATTTCTGCGCCCTATCGCCGTGCTAAACCCTTCAATGATGCGCCTGGTTTTGCTTCAACTCTTGCACTTACCATCTCTCTGCCTGACTCAAGCGCCAGATCTTCATCAGACAACACAGCCCGAGATACCTGCAATCGATCACGCACCTATCTATCAATGACCCCGTGGCCTGATCCATCCGCCTTTCCCCAAGTTTTCCACCCATCTGTCGCTTTGCCTTGGATCGCCAGACTCAGAAACGTTGACGGATGCAGCACCAATGATGTGGACGGCACTCGCATTGATCATCTCACCCCATCCCACCACGACCAGATACCACAACCTGACGGGAGATATCACAATGGAGACATGTCTTTCCTTCCCCTTGGGATGACGTGCCAGCTGTTGCCTTTGATGGGCACCAGCATGACTCCACGGACCGCCTTTCCACACTGGGGAATCCAGGGCTATCTGTCTGTACCGTGGCGGATTTCTTGTCTGGGCCGGGTTGATTGGATAGGGATGTACTGGTGATGCCAACCTTTGGTAGAATACTAGACACAATCGTTGTGTGCGTAGGGTAACCTATAGACATCATGGTCGATGGCCTCGTAGGCACGTCCCCAGTAGAGTGTTATCACGGCGCATGCCCTTTTCGTTAAACAGGGCGACAATCCATCAAGTGCCAATGTAGGCTACCCAGCAGTTTGGCGGCAGGTCTTGCGCCAATGATGGGGACATGGCCGGAGACCCAGATGGATCCAAAGAGAAGGGCAGGCTCCCTCAGAAGACATCATACGATGGCTCGCGCAAAAGCTTTCCCCACAGAGTTTGGTCCCTGCAAATAGTCTAGCGTCAGTGGTAACGACTTCTCTGGCTGCCCCTAGAATGTAGCAAAGCTAGGGAATCATCCAGATGTTCTAAATTGGTGCGGGCATTTGAAGTGCACCATCTACGCACTGCCCGGGACTGGATCCCCGGTAATCTTAGACTGAGCATCATTAAAATTTGCTCTGGATAACGAGGCTGTGACGTGTGCTTTCGGGTTGAAGGAGCTATAGGCAGCCAAGTGACATAAGCGATCGTCGCCATTCTTCAATCAGCGAAATGGTGGAGGTGGGTATCTCTGTTTCTCGACAAGGCTCAGGAAGCCCACATTCCACAACAATGGCCGGGAATACACCGTTATATGAGGCGTGGGGACATCGTATACTTCGAGGTCAATCCGTTGTCGGCTGGTGCCAAGCAATGACTCATGGTCACTCACGATGATCCGACATGATGGACAATGAGCGGTTTTCCATCGTTCCTGACCAACAATGATGTATGTAGGGACCAAAATACTTGGCGACATAGGCGGCATTGGAGGTTGTTATCTGATTGGACCTGTCTTTACCTGAAGTTGGCCCTAATGATGATGCCTCTAGAGACCCTGGTAATATTGGATAGCCATCTCTTGTAGGCATGGCAGTGAGAGCGAAGCACAGTCAACAATTCACTCTCTACGATATGTTATTAGGCATTATGGCATATGTAACACTGTTTTCCATTCATTCATCTAGGCATTCCACCCGTGAGGTAGCAGTTTTCACAGGTATGAATGAAGCATGAAACAACATCCATGCCTTTGTATAGGAGCTGGATAACTTGTGCCTGTATTGTAGAAACGTATTTGTATCACAGCAGCAGAGAGGATGGCTCGTCTAAAGCTTCATTGGACCGTCGATGCAAGCTCTTGAGATGACATTCTCCGCCTGTTCGAAGCCACGGAAGGATTTGAATAGTGCGCAAGAGTCCTCGGGGCTGGGCTAGGCTCTTAGAATACGGACCTGGCCTCGAATAGGCGTTTATCTTAATAGACAGCTAGAGTGATTCATAATGACAGATATTGTCGCGCGACCTCCTGCGGCTGAGGGAGATATAAAAGGTTGCCTCTACCTCTCCTCATCCGTCTGTCTATGCTCTGAGCATGCAGCTCTCAGAATTCAAAGGTCTCTCGATTCATGATCTTCATCCAAATAGTAAGTCTTGCCCTTGTCATTGGATTTGCCTTTCCCCTCTTGATTTTGTGACGAAAACCCATTTTGCCGATGTGAGGTTTTATACAATGATCGCATCTCTACTTTGCTTTGGAAGAGCGACATCGTCTGAAAATAACCGCAATTACATGCTTGTTCGACGCGAGAGCAGAATGTTATAGTTAACATGCTGACATGCACGAGTCTCTCCCTGTCTAGGCTCGATGCTCGAACTCGCCTCGCCTCCTTTTGGTCCATGAGGGTCAGTGGGTGATGAGCAAGGATGCGATGGCTGCCATTGTTTACGATGCCTAGAATAGAGCCCAAGACAACGAATGATCTATCACTAGCTCAGATGGGGAAGATAAACGAGGCGACATTGTAGCCATCAGGTGTGGTCACCCACTAAATAACGTAACTCGTGGTAGGAATATCTTCATGCTGTGCCCCGAATTCACTCGTCAAACTCCGGGATTTCGACAGACGAAGGTCCATAGAGCACGTCAGTAACAGGGGTATGCGACCATGTCAGCGCTCGCCACCACCTGACAAGGCGGTTCGCTAGCTTTGTAGACCACCCCGAAGATTTAACTACTGCTACAATGACACGAAGCATCGATGTCGGTAGAATCCTAAGTAGACCAAAGCCGATGAATGGTGGAACCGCGCAGAGGCGCATTCGCGGCCCGGAGGCATTACCGAGAAGGGAACTGACGCCGATGGTTCGCAATAATGAGAACAGCGACCACTTTCTATAAAGTCGTGAAGAATCCCGCCATCTGATCGTGATGGATTCTTTGGACTTGCCAAACTGATTGTTCCCTCCCCCTCTCCGGGTCTATTGATGGCGACAAGGAAGGACCAGGCTCGACGCAGCCTCGACCGCCCGGCGAAACATCGTTGCCGGGGACTACGAGCCGGGCGATAAGAAGCTCACGGATGTGCAATGACCAGGAATACTGAGCAGCCAGAAATGTGACGGGGACGGCTCGTCACGCCCGTTGACGACCATCCATGCCCGATCTTGAGACCGAAAAAAGATCTCCCGCGATTGGGCCGAACCGGAGAGCGCGCCCCCAGTGACCCCTGGATCATGGCTGGGCTGCCAATCCACTACCCACCTTGGTAGGGATGGTCCTCCTGGGTGATGCGCCGGGTAATTCAAGGAATAGAGACCAGTTCCTCAAAGTCTGGCCGACTGAAACCCGGGCCACGGCGTGAACCCGGCGATGAGCCCCTGACTAGTAGCATCGGCCACGAGGAGATCCTCCAAGAGCTCGTATCCATATTGCGGGGCAGGCAAGCATACCAGAGGAACGCAGAGGAACGCAGAGGATCAGTTCGCCAGCGACGAGGGCGGAGACAGTCTAGAGTTTCCAGCGTTGACACTAGTTGCCTCGATCGTGGACGGCGGTTTTGCCACGGAGTCTCATTTCCAGCCAAACTTTAATCGCCATACTCTTCTCACCAGAGTCTGCGTCCCATGTGTTTGATCCGCTACCAAAGGGAGATATATATAAACCCCGTGGCGCACTTCGCACTTGGATCGGATCACCAAGCCTGTTGCCTGCGCATCTCCCTTGCTTGACATCATGAAAAGCACAATACCGTCTAGGATTTGGGAGACCAAGCGCGTGTTGATCACCAAACTATACGAAGAAGAGGAATGGCCCCTGAAGCAGGTCATCAGGGCACTGCAGTCAAAGGACTTCCACCCCAGGTATGTCGGATTTCGTCCGCAGGCAGAGGGATTGCTAATTCCTTGGGTTCTAGTGAGACACAGCTCAGAAGTCGACTGAAGAAATGGCATGTCACTAAACCGTCTCGCAAGAAGTGGTCGACCAACAAAAGGCCGACCAGCGATGATTCTTCAACATTGCGCTCGCCGGAAACGGGGCATCATCACCCTGGCAGGGGAGTTGGGACATCTCAATCCCACTTGCCCGACACAACATCTCTCTCTCCCTTGGCCTCGCAAGGACTGTCTACTCCAGCATGTGCGGAAGCCCCCTGCTTCCCCCCCGCCAGCTCTTTCATCCAGCCTCTAGCCTACACACAATCCATCCCAGAAAGTGGTATTGGCTTTGAGACAGTTCGACGCGATCCTTCGGGCTGTCGACTCCCCTCGCAGCCAGCTCGTTTCCCCTCAGGAACACAGCATGAACCAGGAGGATCAGTATATCGGTGGCCTGCATGTTTCGATCCCCTTGGCCTCGGGACCGCGGCTTCTGCCCCCGCGACGAGCACGGATCCGCTGTTGTCATCATTGAGACATCCACCTATCGTTCCCTCAATGGGCTACCCAAAAGCCAGCATAGAGTCCAACCCAACCGCAGAAGCCCGACCGACCGTTCCCCGGATTGGCGTCCAGCGAAGCAAATCTTCTCGCGGGACTCAACCCGGGAGGCACATTGTGTCCGGAGACGGTGAAGAGAATGAGGGGCTGGGAATATATGGAGCGGAAACCAATTTTCTACTCGAGGGCTATCCAGCGTGGATAGGGCCGTACGATGTCTATTCAGTAGGGTCCCCTTCGCCGTCCAAGGTGTCTTATCTGCAGCCGCCGCCGCTCTGGCCGGTTGGCGACACTGCCGTCTCGGATGGGAATCGGTATTGAGTATCCCGTTGTTTATGCTCATGATCGCTTAGAGCACCATATGTATAGTTTCTTTCCCTGCTTTGGTCTTTTTGCACCGCCATGTATTTAGCTAGTGACCCGAATTCATCCGCTCACCGCACGATCAATGTATCATTGCGAACCACCGTACACATGAGAACGAGCTCTGTCGTGGAGAGGCAGCGGACTAGGAGCTAGCAGAACGCTCGAGCTTGAAACCTGGTCGACCCCACTCGCGGTGAACCCCAGGGGTTGATAGACCAAAGCATGCCGGAGCTCAAGGAACTTCCTAATCGGGGATTTGCGACACGAGATGATGGATCGACGAGCCCCCGTTTCGGTTCTCCGAAACCGACTGTCCGTTGATGGGCAGACAGTAGATCGCCGGGTGAACTTAATCGAGTTCCGTCGATGGTGAGGTCACCACATCCATAGACATTGGGAGTCTGTATTTTGAGGAGTCCCCTGGAATCAACCCTTGGTGGAACTTCATTTCCGCAGCTGTCGGGTCAGGGCGATTGGCGGTCGATCCCGAGCCCGATCTTTTCGGTGGGCCTAGAAATGCGACCGATCCAACGCCAGCGAGATCTATGGTTGAATCCGTTGGGGACCGAGGTTCTTTGACTTGGTGCCAGGGCTCACTGAAAGGAAAAAGCGCACGTTCATGGAGTAACACGGCGTATGAAAAGCGTTAGTAGTCGAGATAATGCTCCCTCGCCGGCAAGGTCCAATCGAGAGGCATTTAACCGAGCTCGTCTGGCGCGAGTGGAAGAATCCATCATGACGGGGAAATTTCGGGGAATCCAGAGAATCCACAGAGACCGAACCAAACTTCCCAGGAACCCCAAAATTGGGAACGTGGGAAAGGATCTCGCTCAGGGGGCATTGGCCTCTGATCGGCCTGGGAGGTCCGATCTCATTTCCTCGCCCCTTTTGGCGTGATTGAGGGCCTCGGAGGACATCGCACCGCTAGGAAGCTTGGTTTCTGGCGAGAAACGTGACCGAACCCTCGTCAATGACATCGGCTGGGGGAATTGGGGATCATTTGAATCAACCGTGGGCCGATGTGGAGTAGGCACAGGAGATCATCGTCGGATCGCGCCTGGAGGATAGATTCTCTCACGGATCTAGATCGCAGAGGAAGATCTCTGGCCCATCCTCAACGGCCGAACCGAGATACAGCTTGCGTGAATTCGAAATCATATACACGATCGCCTTGGCTTTCGGAAATAGTGTGGCATGAGAAGAATCGGACAAGGATCAATGCAGACAGGAGTCAGAAAGCGTCGGTAATTTCAGCCGAATCTTCAGCCTCGCGTCCGAATTTCCTGCGGGAAATGCCACCCATGCCAGAGCTGGACGGACAACCAATACTGCCTCCCCCTCAGGCCGCTTCGTGTCCGGGATGGAGCGAATAGAGAGCGAGCTGACCGACTTCCCATATCGAAAGCTTGCCTTTATCCTCTGGCAGAGGGCCTTTGGGTGCGAAGCCTCGTCTCAGATCGTGTTGTTTGCGTGGAGGCGTGTATACGAGGCCCCCTTCTGCCTAGCGTCGCCACAACAGCATCATGTCGGCCATTTGATCAAATGCCCCTCGTCTGTGCCGTCTCAAGTCAATAATTCGGACTTCCTTTTGCGTATGCATCCTCCCCTTGCCCTTCTGATCAACCCCTCACTGTTGCCATCGCCTTTAGGACACGACGATCTCGCTATTGTAGCCATGGAAAAGGGCTCTCAGTTTCAGGCCATCTGGAACCAGGCCAAAGAGCGATACCGGACGCTGACGGAGATTGACCTTGACAACCCCTCGGCGCCGCATCCTGTCTCTACGACAGACCTCATGGGTATGCTGGACACCCAAAACCAGGATTTCAAGCACTTTCGCGAGAAGCGCTCTCTGGTGTTTGACTCCTTGCAAGCCGCCTGCAAACCAATCGAGCTGGTGGGCAACCTGGCCGCCGGGGCTGCTTCGATGGCTTTCCCGCCCAGTTCGCTTTGCTTCGGCGCCGCCATGTACCTCGTCAGCGCCGCCCACGGCGTGTCCGCCTCGTACGATGCTATAGCCGACCTGTTCGGCACGCTGAAAGATTTCCTGGTGCGATTACAGGTGTACAATCGCGAGGACCTGCCGTCAGAGCTGCAGGCCAAGCTGGCGGAGATCCTAGCCACCTTGCTGGAAATCTTTGCGCGATCGACAAAGGTAGTCCGAGCTGGATCACTGGGTCGTGTGTTGGCTTTTGGCAAGAACAGTCTTCTAGGTCGGGATGAAACTCTACAGGGGCTGGTCGGCAAGCTGGAGAAACAGTGCCAGAGCGAGCATCGGCTGGTGGGCGCCGAAACGCTGACGGAGTCAAAAAGGACTGGCAAGGCCGTGGCCGGTATCGCTGTGAGCGTGACCGAGACGAGTATGGCCGTGAAAGAGGGTATTGTCAAGATTGACGAGGTGAGCCTGGGCGTGCAGAACATCTCGATGGGTCAGGAGGAGTTCCGCCAGGAGATGCGCGAAGAAATCAAAGGAGTCATGTCGGCCATCGTCTCAACCGGGGGATCCGGCGGAGAGGACCTGCAGCACCAAGGCACGATCAAGAGGATTCTCGAGCCGTCGGTGAGCCCGCTGGATATATACAATGACATCGCCAAGCGCCGTGTGCCGGGAACTGGCAATTGGATTCGCACGGAGCAGTTGTTTCGCGCCTGGACTGACCAGAAGAACCCTGTCCTGTGGGTGTCGGGCAACCCGGGAAGTGGCAAGAGCTTCCTCTCAGAGAATATCATATCGTTCCTGCAAGAGATGCATCCGCAGGGAGTCAACCACCCGTCCAGGACGTCGATCGGGTATTTTTTCTTCAAGGACAGCAACCCGGAGACCCGGAGCTTCCACCGGGCATTGCGTGACCTGGCCTACCAGATCTACCAGAATGATCCTCTGTATCAAAAGTATATCCTGCAGAACTGCCACTCCTCGCAAGATGTGAAAACCATACAGAGCGCCTGGCGAACGCTGTTCCTCAACTACTTCACCGGCACCACCGCTGCGGAGAGCAGCGTATTCCTCGTGTTTGACGGCGTAGATGAAACCTTCCAAGAAGACCGTCAAACCTTTCTGGAGCTGCTTTCCGACCTTCGACGCGCGGACCCTCGTAGCATGAAGATTCACGTCGTGCTGGTAGGCCGACCGGAGATCTTTGACGACCTCGCCGACGCACTTGACGAGTCGCTGCCTACGATTCACGTGGACTGGCGCAAGAACAGCCGCGACATCGCCCACTACGTTGAAACGAGTATCAAGAAGTCGCGGGTGCTTAGCCGCGCCCCGAAAGCCCTGCGCGAAGAGATCGAGGAAACACTGACCCAGAATGCCCAGGGCATGTTTGTGTGGGTCGACCTGATGTTGCGAGAGCTGAGCAAGAAGACGCGGGCTAGCGGCATTCAAGAGGCACTGACCAAAGCACCGCGAGGGTTGGACCAAATGCTATGCCATGTCTTGGAAAATTTCAGTGTGCTCCTGAAAGACGAAGAACCCGACGATTTGAACGAGATGTTGGCATGGGTGACGTGCGCGCAGCGACCCCTCACCCTAGGCGAGCTCGACGCCCTCCTCAGAATCCGTTCTGCCGAAGGTGATGGTGTATTTAATCTAGAAAATATGCTGCGCAAGCAGTATGCTTCGTTCTTCACGCTGGTTCGCGAGGATGGGTTGACCACGGCAGATCTGCAAGGCGACAGCAGCGGCTTGTACAAGGTAGAGAGCGAGCGGATCAACGACGAGGGCCTGGAGGACATCGAGAATGAAACGGATTTTGACTCCAGCCCCTCCACCACCAATGTTGTGTTCTGTCATGCGTCCATTGGTGATTTCTTCCGCGACTCAACGCGCGGCAAGGTGCCTGGCGGAGGCGATTGCACCCCCCTCGGCGTACAAATTGTCGAGGCCCGCGTTCACACGCTTAAGTTTTGTTTGGAAATGGTATGTGGTCTCAGAGCGCCGCTAGATCCAGAAGATAGCGAGTCCATGGAGTCATATGCACTTAGTGCGTGGGACGATCATCTTCTGCAGGCGGTTCCGTTTATCGAGCAGATCGCCCCGTCTGACAAGCAAGCCATTGCATTATTACTCGTGAAGATGTTCCGAGATGAGACGGTCACAAAATGCTGGCTGTCCCACAAGCCCTCTGACTTTGTCACTCGCGACAGCTTGGATCCCATCGTTGCTTTCCTTACAGACCGAGCGAGTCGCGAGACCCTGGACGATGAGACGAAAGAGTGGCTTTTATGTGTTATTGACCAACCCGGCGAGTTATACAGATCGGCAGCAACGCTGGCGGCGAAAGAATGGCTGCGTGAGGACAACTGGGACCCCGAAGTGTGCGTGAAAACCGTATTACAAGTGATCAGATTGCTGGACGAAACTGCTCATGATGACGTGTCGAATGAGACACCCACCGTCGAAGAAATCCGCAGAGCCGCCGAATGGCTGCCACTCGAACATTCTGCTAATTGGCATCGACGCCTGGCCATGTGTCTCCGGGCTTACGGGTACTATCAAGCGTCCATTGACGAATTTGCGAGAGCATTGGAGGTCGACGACAAGCTCTGGACTGCCCGTGAGGGCATGGCAAAAGCGTATATGAAGCAGAGAAATTACGTACGAGCCTTAGAGATGCTCAAGTTTGACGAAGCCTACGTGGAGGATTTGCTTGCTGAGGGTAAGTGCGGTAACGAGGAGGGATCGGATCGGGCGAACCGCGACAGCCTCAGCGACACTTGCGAAGAGATAGCCACTTGTTACGTCGCATTAGCCGATCCTTATAATGCCTTAGTATATTATCGTAAGGCGTTTGAGAACTCCAATCGGCGATATAAAAACTTTCAGATGTGTGTGCAGCTGCTGGGCGAGCTTGATGAAAGAAATCATACAGAAATAATCACCCTGCTCAAAAGCCTTGAGACTGAGATTGAGGGCGAGGACATTACGCGCATGACGGAATGTCTGTTCTCTTACTGTTGGTCTCGGGGCTCCTTTTTTAATACCTGTGCAGCTGTAGCTCACAAAGCGGGCGAACTTGAATGGCTTGAAAATGCCTATCAGACGGCCATCAGCGCCGCTAAACGCCGAAGATTACCCGTGCTTGCCTTGGCTTTGGACACTTGCCTCGCCGAGTTGTACAATAAGTATAGTGGCAAGGAAGAACAGGCTATGGATATATGGCAACGCATCATGGACTTCCCCGTCATGTCAACGTCTGATGCCAACTTTCAGATTCGCTACTGCAAACGCAACGTCGAGAGTTCCTACTCGTATAATCTCTTTGCAAAGGCTCTCAAGGAAGAAGACTCCACCGCTCGAGACGCCTATATTCAAGCTTTGGATGGGTTGGCCAAACATACTGCGATGGCATTGGAGCAGAAACCGAGCGACATTTTGGCTAATAATTCTGCTATGTATATGGGCGTCTGGCATCGTTTGCAGGGCCGTGACGACGAAGCCCGAACCTACTTCCGGCCTTACGTCAGAAGCAACCTGCTTCTACTCTCGGACGATGACCCAGAAAATGATCAAACAGCCTGGTTTGAATTGGCACATGTACTTGCCCGTGCTGGCCTGGACTCATACGCCTGTGCCATTTTATACACGCACCACAATGTCATTGAAGGTGAGCTGTCTAATTTCGACAACAGCGATGACATAGATGTTGATGAGACCGTCTCATTGTCGCCGAGATCTACATTGGACAATCGCATGGCGACGCCGTGGCATTTCACTAGTGGAGACGGCGTCTGGTACTGCGATGGATGTCGACGGAGCTGGGGGAACTGGACTAATGCACACGTTTGTCGTTACTGCCAGGCCGACCTATGTAGTGAGTGTTTTAGTCGGATGAAGCGAGGTAACCTCTCTAAGATCTGTCATACTGAGCATGACTGGCTGTATGTTCCACCTCCGGTGAAGGTGGCAAACCCGGGAGAGATCTACTTTGAAGGGCGGACGATGTCGCTTGATGAATTCAAGTTGTTGATAGCGAGACATATTAGATAACGGCTGGATCTGTTAGCTTTAAGATGGAGGCGCGGGCAATTTATTTGCCATAGTAAAGTATCCAGTAAGTGTTGATTCTTCATGTAGATATTCTCTATCTCATCATGTACGTACATACAAATTCCAGGTCAGATAGAACCCCCTTCCTTCTACTGCATAATCCGACGAATTCCTCCAAACCATCACACGTCATAATGTAATCAGTGTCGACTGACTCTTACTGCCCTTTCTCTACCGTCTCGATGCTCTGCATCTCTGTCTTCAGACCCACATATATTCCCTCGATATCTGCTTTAAACCGTGATCTGTGCTCTGAGGTGTAAGTTGGATGAAGTGATTAGATTGCACTCGGCCAGAGAGCAGTACGACAACAGGCTTATATAACAGATATACGAAATAAACCAAACCCAGGGATCCTGCTCTGTCAGGACCCCCATTCAACTGATATTGAAAACATATTATCTGTAAGTATCTAGTCAAAGGCATGTCTCTGCCATCCACGCCTGCACAAGCAGTACCGCCCAGGCTTCTCCGAGCAGCAAAACCTCCATCTACTCATCGTCGCGGATATCGACGACGGTCTTCTTCCATTTGCGAGCCGGGACACGACGCTTGAACAGAATGTCGATCTCACGGAAGGATCGGTCTTTCATCTCTGGAACCCAGAGCCAAGCCATGGCGGTGCAGATGAAGGCGGTACCAGCCCAGACGTAGCCGCTCTTGCCGCCCAGGTTCCACTTATCAGCGTTGAGCATGTAGCTGGACAGGAAGATGCAAGGGATATTGACGATGTAGTATGCGCCTCGGCCGATACCAGTTGTCAGTGGCCTGAGCCGAACGGATGATGTCTCGCCGATGATGACCCATGAGGCAGGGGCGGGTCCTAAGCAGAACAAGACTGAGACAATCAAACCAAGTGATGCTTGCGCGTTGCTAGCCGCCGTACTAGTTCCAACTGACGCTGCGATACCGAGTATGACCAGAAATGCGCAGTTGATAAATTGACCATACACATAGAGGGTGCGTCGGCCCATGTATGTGGTGAGCACCCAAGAGAGCATGACCATGATCCACTGAAGGGCAGAAGTGATGAGACCCAGTGCAAATGCGGTGTTGTCTGCCATGCCGGCCTCTAAGCTGGTGTTAGTTTTGCTATGGGATTGCGAGAAAGGGGTCGAGCTCACGTTTGAAAAAGTAAACCGATTGGTTGGCAATCAGGTTGCCCGTCAGATTCTGGGATGCGTACACACCGCACACAATCAATGTGCGGTAGAGATCCGTACCCTTCCACAGTTCAATGAGACTGGGCTTCTTCTCAGACTTCTCGAGTTCGATCGTGCGACGCATCATTGCGACTGCGTCAGCGGGATTGTCATTTGCACTCGCCCGTCCAAGGCGTTTCACAGCCTTCTCTGCCTCAGCCAGACGGCCCTGTCGTACAAGCCACCAGGGAGACTCCGGCGCAATGAAGATTAGGATGGCGAGAGGAGTGGGAAACATCCACTGCAGTGCAATGGGAACTCTGGGATGGCTGTTAGTACAATGCTCGTCGATGAAATCTCAAGAGGACGAACCTGTATGATGACGAGTCAGGCTTGGATTGGTAGTGGTAGGTGATACCGCCGACTATGATCTGTCCAATCGCCCAGAACATCTGCAACATTTGTGTCGCTGGGGCTCTCAATCTCATTGGCACAATCTCGGAACAGTAGGCGGGTGCGTTGGCGATAAAAATGCCCCACGGGATGCCTTCCAGAATCTGGGACGCGAAAAACATCCCCTGGCTGTTGCCGAAATAGAAGATGAAAATGAAGGCGTTCAAGAACATGAGACCGCCAATGGTCGCCCATCGATATCCAATCCAACTGGTAATGGGACCTGCGATGAATACACCGATGAAGGCACCAATTGGCCCGCTACACTGAAATGCTGACTGCCATGAAGCTTCGATAAGCCACTCTTGGTTTTTTTCGCTCCATACACCAAAGTCTTCGGCGAACTGAGCTGTGGCTACGAACTGTCCCATTAAGAAAACACAGTATGCTTCCATGATCTATCGCCACGTTAGTAAGTGATCTGTCTATCGTGGGGCAAGACCTAACAATAGTGCATGACATTGTGAATGCCCACCAACTGGCAGCGGGATAGGCCTTGACAGCATCGAGTACAGACATATTATGTTCTGCCTCCTCGGCCTCGATTGCGCCCGTTCTGTCGTAGTCGACCTTCTCGCCAGCATCGTAAACAGGTCCGCCCGTGGAGGCGGGCCGCGCCTCGACCTCCGTCGCTGACGTCTCCTTCTCTGTGATGTCGCTCTTCATGTTGACGATTTCTGGGAGAAACGTGTGGACAAAAGAGAGGCAGACACGACTGGGGTGCGGGGGGTCTCAGATCTTTATACCGGCGACAACACGACCGTGATAGTGATCCTGATCTTAACTCAATTGAGTGAAGCTTGCTCCGGACCTTGACCTCCCGAACCCAATACCTGCATTCACGAGGGTCCCCTTTCCGGGGGCTACGGTCGCAGCGTCACTTGGTAATTTAGTGGTGGATGTGGCGTTCCTTCCGCTGGAGAATTCCCTCCTTTGGATGGAGTCCAGAATCCTTCCTCCTTTTCTTGTCCTCCTGATTCCCTGTCAGTGTGGTTGAATTCTGTTGAGCCTATCATAACGAGCAAGCCAATTGAACCGAGGGGCTGGAAGAGGGTAAGCGCTAATTATTAGCCCGCGCTGTGCTTGAATCCAGGTATCGAACCCAAAGGGCGAATGTTTAGCAAACTTGATCTATTAAGCATGTTTTCGAACGCTGGCATCCGAACCTGAAGCCAAATGCCCATGATGCTTAATCCCTATCGCTGAAGAACACCGTGCTCAGTGAGGGTAGTTTGAAAGGCGGAATAAACGAAGATAATGTATCTTCAAATCCCAGAGTTAGACACGGCTTGGTGTGATTATCTCCTCTGCGGGCTATGGGCTCGGCCAGCTTTACCCCGGACGATTCAGTCCCCGCGCCTTGACCCCGGACAGATTTCTTAGTCGGATTTAGCCTGAGTCCATATGACAGCGGTGCTCGAAACAATGACCATTGGAGTGAGCCAACCATGCTAAGCTCACTACGAGGGAGTGCGCTAACTCTCCCTGGTAGAAACCAATTGTGTGTCAGGCCGCGCAGGACGGTGCCACGCCCACGACCTCGTGCTTTCCCACCGGCTTTTCTCCCTCTTCGGGCAAGCCTCTCAGAAGCAAAGGAGCCTTCCGCCTTGGGTTGCATCCCTGATGGCAAGGATAGATGCGACTAGGCCATCTCAAGCGTACGCGTAATAAACAAGCGTACAACGTGCCCATAGCGCTCTGTAAGACCGTAAGGCTTTTCCACAATTCGCTCCCCGCCTTTTAGGAGCTTGCCAAATCGACTGGTCTAACCAATGGGGTGGCGTTAGGTGGCTTTATTTTCTGGGGCTCGGATAGGCCCCAGACGGTTGAGGCGGGGGCGAGGTGTCGATTGAAACCACTCTAGCTCGCTGGCCGAGACGTTCGTTGGTGGAAAATGGAAATTGTCTCACGCTCGTGGCAAGCTTGACCAGGTTTGGGCTGGACCAGAAAACCCAAGCCCGCTCATTTGAAAAAAATTGAGATTATCGGGAATGCCCTTGTCCAGCGGTGTGATCAGGAGATAAAAGTCCAATGCGACTTGCACGGGACAGCCGGATCCATCAAACTCGCGCGCATTAGCGAGGATGCTCTGGTGGGACCAAGGCTGCCTTCAAACATTGGGTTATGTGGAAATCTGTTCGTTCTTGGCATGGCAGGCCAAGATGCATGGTGTATTTGTGAGTGTAGGAGAACAGAGATGAATGGAAGTAAAGCTAGACGTTGACATTGTGGAGTTGTGGAGTAGGCAAGGGAAAAGGGTGGAGAATCTGGAGAATCTGGAGATTTGGACACGTGGGTCGATGTATGCCTGAGGCCATCACCAGCTGGTTGCCGGCTCAATCAGGGAATCATTTCAACCCAGCGCTCAACAACAACTCCGATTAATGCGATTGAATCGTGCTCTCATTATATTAAATGCCCTGCGCTGTGTCTATCCTTAACTGGATTCATGATCAAGCCGACATTCACCATTGCCCCCCGAACGCCCGAAGAAATGAAAGCTCGTGGCTGCAGCGCCCAACAAGGTGGAACGGCTCGCTAGCCCTCTATTGTCTCTAGAAGATGATACGGATAGAGAAATCTTATCGATACCGCAAAGGGGGCGCTCAGAAAGCTCTAGATCCGCTAGTAATTTAATTGATCGCGATGTCACCCGTCGCCCTGATAACGCGAATCTCTTTGGGCGCCTTTTTAGCTCGGCGACCAAAACAAGATCTACAATGTTACGAACCTCTTTAACCAGGAGACAGATGATGAGCCTGCTACTTAGTGAGTTAGGTGTGAAATAGAAAGCCCTTAATATTAATGGTTAGATTTTGCCTGTGCTTGGGGGTGATGTACAACGTTACGTTATCGGGTTTGGCGCCTTTCCGCGCCCAAAAGGGAAGCTTATCATTAATATATGGCAGCTGCATAGCTCCCGACTCCAGGAAGGATTCCCACTCGACAGGATACTCATCAGCGAGGTTAATTGCCAGGATCTTTGGGGTGTCACCGTAGTAGCTTATCACTTTTTAGGGTTTACATTAGGGTTTACATTAGGGTTTACATTAGGGTTTACATTAGGGTTTACATTAGGGTTTACATTAGGGTTTACATTAGGGTTTACATTAGGGTTTACATTAGGGTTTACATTAGGGTTTACATTAGGGTTTACATTAGGGTTTACATTAGGGTTTACATTAGGGGTTAC